CCTAAACCCTAAACCCTAAACCCTAAACCCTAAACCCTAAACCCTAAACCCTAAACCCTAAACCCTAAACCCTAAACCCTAAACCCTAAACCCTAAACCCTAAACCCTAAACCCTAAACCCTAAACCCTAAACCCTAAACCCTAAACCCTAAACCCTAAACCCTAAACCCTAAACCCTAAACCCTAAACCCTAAACCCTAAACCCTAAACCCTAAACCCTAAACCCTAAACCCTAAACCCTAAACCCTAAACCCTAAACCCTAAACCCTAAACCCTAAACCCTAAACCCTAAACCCTAAACCCTAAACCCTAAAACCCTAAAACCCTAAAACCCTAAAACCCTAAAACCCTAAACCCTAAACCCTAAACCTAAACCCTAAACCTAAACCTAACCCTAAACCCTAAACCCTAAACCCTGAACCCTAAACCCTAAACCCTAAACCCTAAACCCTAAACCCTAAACCCTGAACCCTGAACCCTGAACCCTGAACCCTAAACCCTAAACCCTAAACCCTGAACCCTGAACCCTAAACCCTGAACCCTGAACCCTAAACCCTAAACCCTCTGTGGCGTTGCAGGAAAGCATCCCATGCTCACAGGATCGACTGTGAAGGCGGCACTGCACCCGCCACACCTGAATGCTGGGGGGCTGACCTCTGTCCTGCCGCTGATCGAGACATACACAAGCCTGCTGATCGTCTCCACCTGCTCCCACACTGATCCCACCCTCCCAGCCTGACTGCATGGACTGCAAGCGGGCAGGGCTGCTCTGGCAGCTGTCAAAAACTCTGCCTGCAGCTGCTGCTTCAGTGCTGCTTGGCGTGCAGGCTGACCAGCTTGGAAACATGTGTTCCTGAATACATTGTCATCAAAGCACGCATCCCATGCTTGGTGCAGCCGTCTATTATCCTCTTGAGCTGCCTGTTTCCGCAGACGCCGGCGTGAGGGCGGAGGCTGATAATAGGCAGCAGCGGCTTCTCCATCTCCATCTGCAAAGCCATCCTGCTGTTCTTCCTGCTGAGCTGTGTTTCTTGCAGGGATCCGCCAGGATGGAAGGGCGCTGGCCGGCCTCCGGGGTCCCCTCGGTGCAGATGTTGCCACAGTGCTGCCTAGGTTCCTCCCAAATCTGCGGCCTGGCTGCAGCAGAGCAGGAGTGTCGGCTGATGGTATCACCTTGACACTGACCCTCCACCTCTTGTTCCTGACCATTCGTCCTGCATGAAGTCATCACACAACGGTTTCTGCAAGTGATCCACCAGGACATTAAAGGAATGAGAAGTACATCAGCAGCATGCCTTCTAGTACAAGTGATACAACTATCCTTACAAGCACCTGGGCTACTTGCTACTCTTTGGGGTGCACAGTCCTCTCCAGATGCTCCTCATCAGATTGGCATTCCAAGCAAAGCCAGGTCAGGGCAGACACCCACGGCTACTCACAGCAGCAGAGGGATCGTAACGCTCACCAGAACAATTGAACTTGATGTTGGTTTAGATTGTAGACGACTTCAGTGTCTGTCCGGTGCATCAGTGCTCAATTCAGGTGAACGCTCTGTGTTGCCTGCACGCATTTCATTTCAAGGAATTGGCTTGGCAGGGCATGCAGTCACTACGAAAGAAGTAGACATGCACGTCGATGGTCGTGACATTCGATTAGCTGAGTCCAAACAAGTCAAGGATGGGGATGCCAAAAAACCGGCAAAAGTGCGAACCTCACATGGCCAGCGACAGAAGACTTCAAGAATTCGTTTAAATTACTCCCATAAACATTTGCGGCCGTCCCACCCCCCTTTCAAATCCTACTTTGCAACGGTAACCTGGCAAATGGCATTGCTGTCTTCGCAGAAACGAGTAGCGCACGATCCTATAGATACAGGCTTGACCGAAATAATTAGCTTGACGGAGGTACTATGCAATGCTGAGATTGTTGTAGGTAAATCTGAAGGATGTGCAGCATTGCTTTTGTTATTGCACGCCCCGAAGGGGCGTGCTCAGAAAGAGAGCCAAATCCACTAATGTAGTGGAGTGCATGTCCACCAAAGTAGTGGATTTTGCCCGACAGAGTAGGATGCCACCTCAACCTATAGTGTAGGTCACACATGGAGGCTTTGAGGCTTGATAGCACTCAGACAAGGCCCTTCTTGCTCCACAATGGTCTTTGAAGACTGGTTAAACCTTACACTCCTAAACCCAAAAGGTGAGACAGGGGAAACGTGGATTCCCAAAAAGGAGTGCTTACTCAGAATTGGCTTGTAAACTTTTGGTGGGACATGCATCAAATGAAAGCCCTACATGTGTGGGCCCCATTGCATGCCTCTCCACCATACCATAGGCCCCATCCCAAAGAGCTAGAGCCTCAAAAGGTGAGACAAAGGAAACGTGGATTCCATAAAAGGAGTGCTAACTCAGATTTGGCTTGTAAACTTTTGGTGGGACATGCATCAAATGAAAGCCCTACATGTTTGGGCCCCATTGCATGCCTCTCCACCACACCATAGGCCCTATCCCAAAGAGCTAGAGCCTCAAAAGGTGAGACAGGGGAAATATGGATTCCATAAAAGGAGTGCTAACTCAGATTTGGCTTGTAAACTTTTGGTGGGACATGCATCAAATGAAAGCCCTACATGTGTGGGCCCCATTGCATGCCTCTCCACCATACCATAGGCCCTATCCCAAAGAGCTAGAGCCTCAAAAGGTGAGACAGGGGAAATATGGATTCCATAAAAGGAGTGCTAACTCAGATTTGGCTTGTAAACTTTTGGTGGGACATGCATCAATTGAAAGCCCTACATGTGTGGGCCCCATTGCATGCCTCTCCACCATACCATAGGCCCCATCCCAAGGAGCTACAGCCAACCCTATGCAAACCCTAGCCTTAAACCATGTTTGAGGCCTTATAGAGAGCCAAGGAGGTCGAATATTCAAGTTAGGACTTCATAGGCGTGATCAGCACATCGAAATTGCCCAAGATCACCCTTAAAACCGGGGTCCAATTTTGGACACCCCAACCCCAAAACACTATGTGTAAAAATTCGACCAACACGTCAAGAGCTTCAGGAGCAGGATCCGCTCGAGCCACGCTATGACTGCAGCAGTGATGACTCGATTCTGCAAATGCTCCATTGTGCGTGCGCTGTGAAGATGCAGGCGAGGCCGCTTGTGCAGCAGATGCTTCGGGCATTCATGGCGCAGCACGCCGCGACTCCCGGGCAGCCTGCGTGCCTGACACTGGAATATCTGAGGACTCTAGAGCTGGAGGACGCAAAAGCCTGGCAAAACTTCACGGCGGCCAGAACAGCCAGTGGAGTCATTCACAGCAGGCTGCACACCAGCGCGACCAGGACAAGCACCTTTGTCACCGTCCGGCAGATGGTGTAGGGGAGCGACAGGGTCCGGACCCTTGTGGTGGAGGTCTTCTATCCTGCGCATCTTGAGGGCATCGAGGGGCCTACCCCCCCTCGCGCCTGGCAGCTTGCCGCACGTTCAAGGAGCAGCCGAAGAAGGAGGGCATATTCGTGGCGCGCACACAGGCCGTACAGCGGGAGCGTGTTGCGCTGGACTTGCATAGCCTGAGCGCGGCGCGGGTCACTGCCAAGGTGGGCAACGGCAGACTCTTTGGCGTTCCGCACTACAGCCAGTCCAGGCCTTTTAAGGGCGCATCTGCGCAGCCCTGCATTGCCACCGTCCTTCCTGTCAGGTAATTTCCTATTGACCGGTGTTTATCACAAAGCTTGGGACATGGCTTGCAATAGCAGCTGGGTCCCCACCTTTTGCCTTGGTGATGAAAGCCCTTTGGAGTTCAGCTCCAATTGAACAAAAACTCTGCAGAGTTTGGCTTTTTAAGTCTTGAGCTGCAGGCATTGCGCAACCATGCATGCATGTATGCAAAAACTGCAATAGTCGCCAATGTAGTTGGAAGCTTCTCTGCTGGGACTCTGCACATTGACAGCATCAGGATGGTCACAGATGCACATATTTTAGACTGGCAAGAACTTGCTTTGCAGGAACGTTGGTGGTCGAATGTGGCGGGCGTGCCGCGCAATCTATGGGCTCTTGCAAACTGGAGCCATATGCACGAGTGAGACTATTGGAGCTACCACAGTTGTGGCATGTGACAGCGGTACAGCTGTCTTGCAGCAGTACTCACAGGCGCTCCAATGGGCCGATGCTCTATAGATGTAGCTATAGATATCATTGATGCTCTGAATTACGTAGTATACTGCACTTTGATATTCTTGTTGCCTTGATTGAGAGCGCCAGGGCTGCATTACAATTATTTGCGTCGGGAACCAGGCTTCATACATGAATTGCACTTGACAGTTTGGATGACAGGGGTTGTATTGGCTGTTGGTGCTCAGTGTGCACTCCAGTACAATTAACTGTATGTGTAGCTATAGGTGCTGTACCGGAACTGCATGGGTCCCGGGTGGGACAAGTCTAGTAGAGTACTCTCATTTGCAGCGCTGCTAGCCGCAGGCTGCAGCTGCGCAGATGCATGCGCCCCTAGGGGCGTGCATGCAGGGTTGCCGGATGAGGCCTTCGAGCTCCGGAGCTTGAGCTCAAGAGACTTGTTGTGCAAATAGTATTTGAATAATGTTCATAAATTATCGCCTGTGCAGCTGCAGGTACCTGCACTTCTGTGGTATGACTTGTGGACCTGCATGTGCATATGTCTTGCTTTTAGACCCAAAAGATCAGAAAAGATATTCCAGACTCATACTTGGTCCAGACACCATCAGACATTGTAAGCTCGAGCTGGACATAATTTGTAACAGTGTGAATTAGACAAGCATTGGCCCTCATGGACATAAATGGGACATATGTCCGATTTCATGAGACTTATAGGACTTTGTCAGACATATTGGACACTCAAGAATAGAGCAAACTTGGTTCGGACATGTTTGACGGGGTTCTTGATCAGGCATGTCGGACACTAAGTACCCTGTCAGACATATCCGACATGCCCACGATCTTATGGGTTCTTCGATGCATCCTCGACATGCCGGACAAACGTGCCTGTTCTCGGTTAACCCCAAGTTGGGGTTGTGGTGTCCAAACCCAACCCCAATGTTTTGCACTTAGTTTTCTGAAAACACTAGGTGTAAACTATAGGAATGTTCGACCAGATCGGTCCTGAAGAGGATCGAACTGGCCTTAACATGAAAATCATAAAGAGGTTGGCCCCAGGAACTTGGCCCATCCTAGTATCCAAATAATCAGTGGCCTCAATAGACAAGTGGCTTTCTGTCATCTACTGTAGTACATGATTGGCGTCAGAAGCCAAATTGCTGAGAGGCCCGCATGATCTTGAGCTCCTCCAGCTCTGCTCCTGTGGCAAGGCCATTGAGGCAGTGCAGCAGCTGGTACTCCCGCTTCTGGAGCATGCACATGCTGCGCTTGATGAGCCTCTGCACAACCACATGCACATCTGAGGTTGCCACATCGAACGAAGATCACAGCGGAATAGAAAGCTGTGGGGTTGTGAGACTCTTTGCAATGTTTGTCTAGATGCAGCAAATATACACAGTACATGTTGTTGATGAGCAGAGGCATGATATAAATGTCAAGCAGCACCATGCAGACCTTGAGCTGTGTCAATTGCAGCTCACCTGCCAGCCCTTGCGCTGACGCAGCGCCCTTTCAAGCGCCCCAGTGGTCAGGGATGGGTCCAGGATCAGCAAGTACACCTGGGGGGGTTGCCCGCCACTGTCCTGCGCCTTCTCAATGCCCACTATCGTGCGCGAGTGGCCCTCGTGCTGGAAGTAGAGGGGGGGCTTGCCTGCACATTGCAAGACATTGTTTCGGGCTACTGCAATGCCTGGTGTGGCAAAGAGCACCGTATGTCAACTAAACACCCCATGCATTAGATAGATCATGGTGCCATCCACAGAATTATGCTGCGCACCACTGAGGATGACAGGATTGCCCTTGTTGTTGCCCTCCCCCTGGCTCTTCTGCCCCTTTGCATCCTCTTCGATGAAGTAGTGCCACACCCAGTCCAGCAAAGGTGAGTGGTCAACCTGCTTCTGCACATGCCAGGCATAGCGCCAATAATGGAGAGGACGTATGGAATGCAGCCAATTGAATGTCTCATTGCAAGCTGGCAGCAGAAGAGAAGCTCCACCCCTATTTTTTGCGCTTGGGCTCACAATCAAATAGTCCTCGTGGCATGCTAGGATCATTATGGCAGGCAAATGCACACCTGGGAACCTGCTGCGGAACCGTCGTAAGGAGTGAGTATCTCAGCGAAGGGTCCAGTAGGCTTCGCGCAGTCCATAGCATAGCACTTCCCGCACAGGTCGTAGTCCTGAAGCACCTGAGAGGCAAACGACAAAACATCGATGTCTGTGACATGCCTGACTCTGCGCCTTCAATTGCCACTTACGAGGGGCTGTGAAAGACTGGCACCAAAAACTACTCCGATTACCATCCGAGGAGCTAAACGATTGTGTCTCAGCCCTTACCGCAAAGGTCTGCATTGGCGCCTTCAGATCTTAAAAAAATCTGCTTACAGCCTTTGGCTCACTGTCTGCTTGCTCACTGCCTATTGGTGAACATGGCCGATTGCCAAAACAGCGCCACACTAGACCCCAGTGGACCCGTTCTTATGGCCTTTGCAAAATGGCTGACCAAAATCTATGCACACCCACTGCGGCAGGCGCTGACATGTGGTTGATGATCACCTGGCTGTTGTAGCGTGGCCCTTGGATTGGGCTCACTCCACACTTGTCACACTGGACTCCCTTGTGGACCGGCATCATGTATTGCTCCTCAGCACAGCTGCTCCTGGCCACTAATGGATGCCCAGTCTTCTGCTGCTTTGAGCTTTTGTGACCTGCAGCCAAATGCCGCATCCGAAAGTATTTCATCTGCTCTCTTTCCTGGAATTACACCTTTGAGCCACTTGCAAGACAGCCTCAAATACCATTAATCGGAAATGTAGGTACCAATACATGAAAAAGCAACAGGCGTGTGCACCATAGCAAGATTTGTACTACGATAGTGCCGTCTGGATGTGGACATTCAAGCTTTAAGAGCTATCTTGGAGCCAGCAGAATGTGAAGCGCACCCTTGAAATCGACCACATGCGCGCGGATGCCAAACTGTCTGAGGGTGGCTGCAGCTTCAGTTGTGCCCACCCACTTGCGGGTGCCCTGGATCTGGCAACCCAGCTGAGCCGCGCCCTCATCGTCAAAGCCTGATGCCCATGCGCAGGCCAGCCACGCCTGCAGCGCTGGGATGTCTGGCGTGAAACCGCACCCACCAAACAGCTCTGTCCCCAGGTCCTGCAAGCCATCACAGCACTTTTTTCTCGTCCCTGCAACTCAAGCAGAGCAGAACCTCCACAAGTGCTCCTTCACATGCAGCTGTGACCAAGGATCCACCAAGATAGACAGGGTGCAACAGGTGCACGTGCAGGTGCAGACAAAGAGTCGCGGGGCCACCCCAGACATGCTCTTTTCTGGCATACACAATAAAAGAATGCTCCGTGACAAGGCATTCCATGTACCTCATTGCACTGCAACAGATGCGAGGACAGCATTTGGATGTTGTTCCACCCGCAACCCCATCCCGCATCATTTTGCCCCGCATGGAAGTGGTGCACCGGACCTGTCGACAGCACAGCCTTCTCAGAATATATATATTGTCAAATTTAAAATTGCCCAAAAAATAAGTGAAAACCACTAATTAATAGCCATTCAAAAATGACCTGCATGAGTGTGGGCCGGCCTCACCTGAAAGCACCGCCTGGAATCCTCCGCCCTGGCTGGCAAGGGCATCCGCAAGCAGCTGGATGAGGCCAGGCTTGACCTCCACAAATGGAGCCGGCCGCTGGCTTGCACAGATGTTAGCAAAAGTTGGCGGATTCACTATGCCAGTCAAAGCCCTGTCAGAGCAATGCATTGTGGTCAGAAGTCCTGACATGCTTTGCAAGATTGGTCAGCCAGATTTCCGTTGCTTGATATGGACATGCAGTAGAGAGAGGAGGCGCGACTCACTGAGAATGCTGCCCCTTCTGCAGGCGCTCTTGAACAGAGTGGGCATCGCCGCCAGATTTTCTGCTGCGTCCAGACTGCTGTACACATGCAATAGAGCAATCCTCAACGGAAAAAGTAAACTTAAGCTCTTTCTAACATTGGAACAATAGCCGAAACTTGTCATCTGCCTTCTGTGCACGCCAGATTTGGGGGTCCCTGCCTTGAAGCTCGTCTTGGCCTGCGGTGCCCTTGAGACCCGGCTCCCGCCCTTTGCTGCGCTGCTGGTATCGGAAACCAGGTCCTCCTCTTCTTGCATTCTGCATGATGACAGGATTCAAAGTTGGTTCCACAGTTTAGAGAATTGCATTATGCACTCCGGCATGAACCTGTCGTGAGCCTTCTCATGGTAAGAACTTCACTACACAGACAGCAAACAAGGCATCATGAAGAGATATCTTACTCTTAGATCAAGCTGGAAGCACGGAGGACAATGTCAGCACGTCAACCTAAGTCTTGGCATCGCAGGCAGGAAGTCTGACACTCAGTCGATTATCAGCTGATAAACACAGCAGTACCATGAAAGAAAATTCTGGTGTGAAAAAGACTCCCGCCAGAGATCCTAAGGCATCAAGGAAGCTGCCGTACACCTGTGTGCAGCTTCATGGCTCTCCATTTCTCCCTGTGGAACGATCTGGTCGCAACCGAATGGACAGTGGATGCCGTCCTGCCCTTTATTGTTTCTCGGATTCCTTGTGAGATCTTGAACGTCCTGCGGGGCTCCGAAGTGGGTGTTGCATTGTGCATTTAGATCTGAGAGTTTGAAAACATCAAAGCAAACAGGGCACTTACCCTCGCCCTCGTTCTCACCACTGTCCTGCATTAGATATGAGACTACTCCTATCTTCAATCATCAAGCATGCTCACACATAAACGACTTGTGTAGTGCGCGAGCCTAATAATTAGCTGCTGGCGTCATCAGATTTGGTTGCATGCTGGCATCAGGATGGGGCAGCACGCAAGCCATGCAGTGCAGAGTCTGATGCTCTTGTCTCCGCATATAAACTAACAGATCGAAACGTCGTGAGACGCTTAGGAAAGCAGAAAAGAGTCGAGCTGGAACTGTTTCGCGTCTAGTTTGGCAGGCCACTTTCTGTGAAGGTTAACTGCGATGGCGCACCTACCTGCTGCAGGTAGTAATTCCTTTGAAGATACTCATGCTATTCATTCGTACAGATGTGCAACGTTTAGTCTTTCTTGGACTCGTGTAGTTTATCCGAAGCTGCTTGTCCTCATGTAAGCCTTCTCACACACCTGGCTTGCCAGGTGGTTCGAAGGCCGACACTCGAGATTTGAAGGAGACATTGGCTTCATATCATCAGGTGCATAGGTTGCCATTTATTCGACAGGGATGCTTGCACTTTTGCATACCAGACCTCAGCTTCAGAAATGACTGCACATTCCATTGCTCCTTCCTGCAGGAAGTGCAGAGTTCACAGAAAAGAGTTGAAAGGACTTATAAGCTATTGGACGAGCAAGCAGCCCAAACGCTGCAGGAGTGCATGAACAGATACACGCTGAACAGTCAGCTGCTTGCCCAGATCTTCCAAGGTCCTGGGCCAGTCCCTGCACCGTGCGACGGTGACCTTCCTGATCATCATGCATGGCTGCCTTTTCAGCACTTTTGCACGGTGGAGTTTTATCTGCTTTCCCTTCCTGATGCCATAGAGAACGCATGCACTGGGGACCAGGTGGCACAGCAAAATTTTCAGCAGTCATTAAGCAGATGAGAGAAGCGTGTGAACAAAAAGACCTCCTGAATGTGGAACACCCCCAGGTATGTTTCACAGTTTCTCCTGTGGACACACACGCCACATAAACCACTGTGTGAGCACTTATCCCTCTGGCAAAAGGAGGCACATATAAATCTCCTGAACTTCTGGTCACAACAAATATGGCCGTGATAACATGTGCATGCTGCGCAGGTGGAAGAAGATGTCAGGACTGTTGGTCCCAGCGCAAATCTGCAAAAGCGAACAGAGAAGCAAGGGGTGTTGATTGCACCTGGCGTGCACCGCGTGGAGCTGGATGCTTCTGATGAGGAGCATTTTGCGGGGGATTGGGATAAGGAAGCAATCAGTCTCTGACCGGTGCGTGGGCAATGTAGGGAAGCTGTTGTGATGTTGGAAGCCATGTACATGCTGCGTCGAGGTTGCATAACAATGAGGTGTTCCAGCAGAGGATTGGCACCTGAGATTTGGGAGGGCAGAAACGCGAGGCGGCTGACTTGTCATGACTTTGCCCCCCAGCAGCCTGCAGGCATCCCTGTTTCCATGCCAATGACTGGCATCTGCACTAAGTATATTCTTTCATTCCCCTGCTTAGCCAGTGACATCTGTGTGTGCCTGGATCTTGGAGCTCAAAGAGCGATGTTTTTTGGTTCACAAGAATTATAATTGAGAGTGGCGTTTTGGCTTCTGCCAGTGTTCTAGTTGCCACTGCACGATGTATGATCTGTTACAATGTTGTTCTTGCAGATTGCTGCTCGGCAAGACATCTCTCGACATCCTTGAGGAAGACACCCGAGTCAACAGTGAGCCGCAAACGGTTTTGGCGACCTTGCTCAAGCTGGGGATTACATTGGAGTTCTCCTATGCCTGGCACTACCAAAAGAAAGGCCCTTGAGCTGGAATAGGCGTGATGTCTATCTGAAAAGGATTTACAGGTGCTTCAGTTGCTCTAATCTCATATGCTAATAGCTTCAGAAGTGCCATATGATCCTTGCATGTAGGATCTTTCATTTGCAATCTGTGTGTCGTTTCACTGCGTGATGTTGCAGTTCCAAATATCTTTACTGTAAATTGTCAAAAATTTGCACTGGAAATTGTTTTTGTAAAGAAGAGATATTACAGAAGCTTGCACATCTTTAAGTCAGCAGTCAAATGGTCATGACTTCTGCTGAGGAGCACAAAAACCAAGCAGCTTTTACAAACCCACTTGAGTTCTTTGGTGACTGAATTGCTAGGATGACGCAGAGCCTCCTCAGCATCAGCATCAGAATCAGTTGAGAACATTCTGACACTCACACACTGCCAAACTCCTGCATGTATGCTAGGTGGCGCTTGACGTCTGTCAATGATACGCTGGAGTTGATGCGCTGCAGAGCGTGGTGGAAGTCCTGCATGTTGACCGGCTGATTGACGTCCTCCCGCCGCATGGCCCTGATAGCAGCAGCACACAGCGCAGCACTCAGCCTCCCGGTCTGAAAGCTCTGTCAATTATCGAAAGGGTTACTCAGGCATTTTGGACCCGTACAGTAGTTCTCAAGGTGAAATACCAATTATAGGCGCTGATGATCCAGAAAGTCAAGCTTGATTGTATCCATCACAGACACTTTTGGACGAGTCTGCAGGTTTTAGGGGCCAATTCAGATGCATGCAAACGCAGGATGCTGGGACCCATTTAGGCGCAAAGCACACCTGATCTGCTCAGGAGTCTTGCCGGCAATTTTGGTGCGCATGCCGTTCATGGCAGCATCGCGGCACACGTTGGTGATGTCATCGCCGCTGTAGCCCTCTGTCAGCGCTGCCAGCTGGTCGAAGTCCACATCATCCGCCACATCAACCTCCTGTGGGCCATTGCAACTCTGAGAACAGACCTTACATGCGACAAATTACAACGTATATGGTGACACGGACTTGCATATCGCAACGTGCAGGAGTCAAAATGCATAAACTTGAGCGCATCGGGAGGTGATGGACCTTGAGGGCAAGGCGCAGTAACTCAGACCGCTCTGGTGCTGCAGGCAGGGGGATGTAGATTCGCTTCTCCAAGCGCCGCCGCAGTGCCTCGTCAATGTCCCAGGGGAAGTTTGTGGCTGCCAACACCATCACCTGTATCCAGATAACATTACAGCATATTTCCGAAGGAATTGGAATGCAGCTACTCGGCCATGGAGGAATTTGCTACCAGGCACAGTTGCACTGACAAGGGCAAAGACAGATCCCTGGGAAGATATTCCAGCACAAGGGCCTGACATGGAGACGACTGGTCCATCAAGCTTTGGGAGTCACACATGTGCACAGGGAGCCTGGTGTGATGCGGCTGTGCGCCTCTCACCTGCCCCTTCTGGCCAGGGTCAGCATGGGAGTGCATGCCATCGATCTGCACCAGGATCTCCGTTTTCACGCGGCGGCTGGCCTCGTGCTCACCGGTCGCACCGCGTGAGGAGCAAAGCGCATCAATCTCGTCGATGAAGATGGTGCTGGGCGCCAGCGCGCGAGCCATCTCAAACAGGCACCGCACCATGCGCTCAGACTCGCCCCTGCACACAAGAATCTTCAGCATGAGCAGCACCCATAGAAGAGCAAAATGTCACCTGGAGCAGGGGTGAAGTTTACGACAGCACTCAAAGTAGGTTGAATTTTGGATTGAGAAGCGACAGGGGTTCCCTTCAAAGACCCTGGCAAGGAGGCTTGGCGCTTTGGGGATGGTGACTTGCCTGTACTTGGAGGCCAGAGTAGAGGAAGACACGTTGAAGAAGGTGGTCTGGCACTCTGTGGCAACTGCCTTGGCCAGCATTGTCTTCCCTGTGCCTGGTGGCCCAAACATCAGCACGCCCTGCACATGAACTGTCCAGTTCAAAATCACCTGACGTAATGAATCATACTTTGTTGTGTTTCTTCTGCAGGTTTTCATGCATCAGAGAGTTTATGTCTTTTGGAAAGGGTGCCTGGCACCTGGGCACCATCCAGTGGAGGAAGGCAGTGGATGCAGGCACACAGGAATGGTCTCACCTTGACAGGACGGCGAATGCCCTGGAAGAAGTCAGGCATGTACAGCGGTAGCACCACATTCTCCTGCAGTAGCCGCTTCGCCTGCTCCAGCCCAGCAATGTCCTCCCAGTGCACGCCCGGGCTCGTATCCATCACATCCCTGACAAACTCAGGCACGGTTCAACACCGCAGCAACGAGAAACTTCCACCTCAGTATATCAGTCGCATGCGCAGGGAACAAAGGCGCATCTACCTTTCCAGGGCAGCAGCGAGATCTTGATCGGGCCCGCTGAAGCGGTGGAGGACGCTTGGCATGTCATCGTCGCCCCTGTACTGCTGCCCCCTGTCTGGCCCCCTGCCTGGCCGCTCTCTCGGGTCGCGCCATGAATCCACCTTTGCCACCGCGTTCACCCCGGCCTTGCCTGGCGTCCGCCTGCTCCGCGGTCCGCTGCCTGCTATGAATTAAACTGCTGCTCACACATGCACACTGGATGCCCAAATCCCATGTCGTTTTACCATGAAGGATTAAAGACAGAGAGGCTGTTGAGAAGTGAGCAAACTCTGATGGTCCTTGTCAAGCAGTTCTTGGTTTTTGTTGCACAGCATGAGATGAGCTGCAGCACACCTGGTTCGCCTGCCTGACTTCGTCTGCGGGGCTTGCTTCGGAAGGGGGCGGCACCGTCGTCAGAGAGATAGCTCTGGCGGCCAGAAATGCGCGACAGTGGCGGCGCCCAGACGTCCGGGTCGGGAGGGGACGCTGCGCGTGACAGGCCCCTCACGCCAGGGGATGAGTGCCTGAAACATACAGTCTGTGGTGAGCCTGCATCTCGTGAGAGGTGATGGTTATGCCACATGACTTTTTAACCATGACATTAATTCCTTTATTTCTATTGATGATCTCCAGAGCAAAACGGGTGTGTGCACCTGGACTCGCCATTGAAGCCAGTGCTCTGCTGCAGTCTGGCAGTAGTGCTGGGATGAGGAGTCCGATAGTCTGCAGTGGCTGGGCGCTCAGGTGGCTGCAAAAGAAGGTGTAAACATGTTTTAGATTTGCTACTTGCAATGAAGCAGTGTGCCTGCTGGGTCCAAAGGGCACGAGCTCACTGAAAATTTTAGATTCACTCCTACCACATGGATGGTGAATTCCGGGGTGCTGGGCCCTCGCGTTGAGCGGACCACCGGCAACAAGGCTGGTTGCCTCTGAGCGGGTGTATGAGCTTCTACGCCCTGCAGTCGGAGAAAAACAAAGCCTCTCAGGGACATGGACTGTGTCTCTGATAGAATGGATTGAAATTATTGCTCACATTGTGGTTTCATAAAGTTAGTGTGATATATTTCTCATCTGTGCAAAGGTGCAGTCTGATACCGGGGTTCTGTTTGAAGTGGAAGCACAGTCTACTGGTGGTGCAGAGGCAGGCCGGTCTTGGCCATTGCTTTCACGGTCCAGCTGCCTGACAAGCTCCTGCTCCTGCAGTAGCGCTCTGTGGCACACCTGCCACTTGGCCTTGAGACTGCCATCTTCTTGCTCCATCACGATTCTGCACAGAAGGATGATTGCAATGGTGATCACAAAGGTTTCTCTAGAGAATGTGAATTCAACATGAAAGGTGGGGCTGGTATCGAGGTTGTGGTGTATGTATATTGCAAGATGCTGCGAACGCAAAACATGAAACAAAGGACATGCGATTGTGCAATCATACGAAACCGGAGTTAACAAAGTCGAAGGCTTGGTTTTCGCTGCTAAACTTATGCGGTGCCCCGACGCTTTAGGCATCGCCGCACCTTTGAATTTCCTCCAGGACGCCATCAAAGTTTCCCAGAGCAGCTTCATAGTCTCCGGTCAACGCCAACTTCCTCGCAGAACTCAACTGGCTATTGACTCCATCCAGTTTTGTCATTTATGTCAAATTATGTCTTCCTGTGCAATGTAGTGACCTTCTTAGCGGGTCTTTCCTGGCAAGAGATTGGCCTGATCCTACTATGCGATCTTCCAGCTACCCGATTTAAAGTTGTTATTTCGTTCTGGAACATCTATCCAAACTTGATTTGTTGCAGTCAGAGCAGCAAAGAAATTGGAGTGGGCCTTCAGGTACACTCCATCGAGACTTTCATAGACTTACGCAGTGCACTGTGATGCCTGAACGTAAGGCAACGTTTTTGCAAATCTGGCGATCAGCGTGTTCAACTGGGATCAGATCGACTGGGATGCGCTTGAGGTTCCAAGCATGACTTCTTCTTGACCCTTTCCCACCAGGTTCTTGACCCCATGCATGCTGACTTCAACATCACATTGCAATCTCCTTGGTGATATTATATTTTTCTCAAGTGCTGCTTCTGCTTTGCCAGAGAGGATTGAGAAGTTCTTTCTGAACAGAGCATATTTTACGCAAGACATTCGGGACGGTGTGGCTAGAGATTGTAACAGATCGCTCTAGACTCTCGGCATGGCTTTAAAGGGCAACAGGGAATGGCTGCAGCGATCCCTAGGAAATGTACTTGGATGGGATTCAGACATGGTGCTGGGAGTTTCGGATGCTATTGCTACAGCTGAGAGCAGAGAGGAAGTTGATACAATTTTGCAGGTATATGGCGATCGAAACTGCGATTTTATCAGATCTGATTATTGATTGAATGAAGAAAAAATGCTAAATCTTCTGCAGGAGTATTTGGGTGGCGGCAAAGAAGTCCACAGCATTGTGCAGCGGTTCCTGGGAGAGAACACCAAGCAGGTACCTCGTTGACTTGACTTAGTGCGATGGTAAATCAGCAAATTTCCCTGCAACATCCACTGAAAGAAGGAAGTATAACATCTGAAGCTTCCGCTCAAAGCAGGCTGCTCCATCTACCCCGCAACAGCAAGAACCGGGAAGCGACCAGCTCACTCAGGCTGGCAAAGTAAGGGGCAGCAGCCGCCCGGTGAGCATCACTTTCCTTTCATTGTCGGCTTTGTCGATCTCCCCTGCACTACAAGCATGCATTGCATCCCACGTGCCATCTGCACAGACCTTTCAACCACAAAAAATGATGCAGGCGGCTGCCAGGGAGCGTCCAGCCGGCAGCATGACCATCAAACACACGCAGAAGCGCAAGGGAGCGCAAGCTGCAGCGGCTGAGACAGACGCGTCAGCACTGGACCGTGCAGTTGCCAACTGCCTGTGCTGCGGCAAGGTGTACATGTGCCGCGAGACCACAAACGACGCCAGCCTCTTTGTCGGTGCGCGTGCTGTCTCATGATGTACCTTTGCTTTTCCACACATGCTGCATCCATATACATAGGCATACAAGAGGGCAGCATACACGCAACATCTCCTTGCCTGGAGACCAACTGTACTAAAGTACCGTCCCTCCCAAAATACCAACAAGGTGTGTTGCCCTCGATGTTTCTTTTTGGTGAAGAGACGCCGCTGTGTTGCGCAGAGTCTGGGGGCGTGTGCACATTCTGTGGCGCCAAGGTTGCCCTGAGCTCACAGGAGAGCAGCCATGCGCGGCCACCTTATGCAGAACGCGTGGCTGCACCTGCTTCCCAAGAGCAGCCCGCCAGCAGCGCGCTAGCTGGCTCTGCTGTAGATGATAGCGCTGCTGAGGCGGTTGCGCTCAAGAATAGGCTGGTGAGGGCACACCTCATCTGTGTTGGATCTAATTCACTCCATAACGTCGGAACTCATGGATTACACAAAGTTTCTATCGATCTGCAGGGCCCACCGCCCAAGTTTTGAAGTCTTCAAGCTGGGAGAAAAAAAGTTGTACCAATTGCCAGTGGACATTCTCTTTTGAAATCTTCCCTGTCATTATTTGTCATAATGTGTGGTGGCCTTCCTGCATCAGGTGGACTATGACCGGAATGCGGCCAAGCGCACGACAGTCGTGGACGATCAGAGTGATTTCTTTGAGATCGACTCCAATGCATGGCTGTCTGATGAGGTGCGTCCCCTTGTCTGATTTAACTCAAGGAGACGCAAAGGCCTGCACCAATCAAGCCTGCATGTCAGGGAATGGTACAGTACTCTAACCAAACATCATAGATAGTCCCACAAAAAGGTACTAATTGAACTTTTAAGAAGGTGTTTGTGTCATGCAGGAGAGGCAGCAGCTGAAGGAGCGGCAAAGGGCAATAGAGGAAGCTGAGCAGTCGCGGCGCAGAGCTGTCACAGTCACCTTTGACCTGCTAGGTCGCCAGGTGGGCCTGCCTGAGATTTTCAAAACATGGGTTGAGTGTAACTTTGGCATGAGGCCCAGAAACCCAAACCTTAGTGTGATGCTATTTAGAGGGTAATGAGGGGTGAACATGGTGGGTGCAGGTGATATTGACAGGGGATGAGCAACCGGTCTCCACCAGTGACACCGAAGCAAGCAGTGCAGCTGGCCCTTTCGCTGCAGCTAACACCTCTGCGCAGCCGCCGCAGAGTGTGGGCCCAAGCGCCCATACAGGAGTTGATGAGGACAGGCATGTGCAGGACACCCCAAGAGTACTGCGCATCCGTCCCAACCCCACACTGCATGGCCCCGCACCGGTCTTCATGCGTCGCACCAATGGCCCTGGGAAAGGTAGGCATGTCTTCCGGATGCAAGCTCGGTCTTCATCAATGAGTTTCGCCGGCATTGTGAACACACCGTTACCTTGTGGGTTAGAAAGCTGCATGCATCGGTTAATGATAACTCTCTGCTTTCACCCGATCGTGAAGTCAATTACCTTATTGATTTTCATGTGGGTTGCCGTGTTCAGGTGTAGCACAGCCTTCGGGAAGGCAGCAACGACCCAGCAATGGGCAGCTGCAAAACAGTGGTGCTGGCCGCCTGCAGCATGATGATGCGTTTGTTGCAAGTTTTGGTGCTCTTAGTGTTTCAAGCTGAACATCCCCCTTTTTTTGTAAGGCATGACAAGCATGTAAAGATGCAAGGAGCTTCTTGTAAATATGTGAAACTCTTCTTCCTGGAACTCCGCTTCAATTACAGATTTCACGAGACATTCCATAAGCAGGCACCAACAAAAGCTTCTTCATTATAAATATACTTGTCGACTTGACCTCAGTACTGCATTGCGCATCAAAACTCTCTGCACCCATTGTGGCGGTCCCAATGGATGCAGCAAACCCACTTTCGAATGGAGGCCGTCTCTCTCTTATATCAGGCTAAACCTCAACAGCCAGTACGTACTAGCAACCTCTACAATCCTTCTAGCACCACTTTGCTCTATAGTAACAATGATTTTTGAGACAGCAATCTATTGGCCGTGAACATATAGGACTCACAGACATTCATAGCCAAGTTTGCTTGCCATGTCTTAGTGCCAAGAGCCGCAATCACACAACAGAAGATTGGAGAGCAATGCATTTTTGTTCTGCAAAAACAACTTTGTCGTTTGTACAGCGTCATTGCCGCCAGGGCTGTGTGTAGACATCAGCCATGGCTGCTCGTTTGGCAGGGTCTGTGATGGCAGCCTCCAGCGCCGTATACTCATTTGTGACTGCATCAAACGCGGCCTGCATCCATGACAAGATCATGCTCAGTCACAATAAGAATCTTATGGAGCGGATCATGAAGAAGAGGGTACATCGAGTAGTTTGAAAAAAATACGCCGGGGTGTTTGAAGGGTGTACCTGAGAGAACGCCGCCTGCTGAGCAGCCTTGTCATCCTCTGGGATGCCTTGGAGGATGTCCTCCTCCATCAGCTCGTCTCCTGCTGATACACCTGCACACAGCGCACATCCCATGTAAGCTTACCAGGCAGAAAATGGATCCAGAAGCAGTAGGACTACAAGAACAAAGGGAAGAATAGCTGCAGCACTGAGCCTGCTGGGCTCCTTTATGGCAAGCATGGTAAGAATCCCCTGTACAGCAGCCAGGCAGAAACACTCAGAAGAACACCAATACTCCAGCAGAGAGTCCTCGCACAGCCTGAGCAACAACATGCCCCCAACGGTGCATATGCTGCTTATAGACACAAACGCGCTCCAGATGCAATATGGGGCACACACCAACGCCGACAAAGGAGGTGAGGCGGCGCTCGCCGAGGCCTTTCCGCAGCTCGGGCGGGGGCGGCATCATCTCGCCGCTGTGCATGGCGAGCGGAAACATGTGCCCCGGCCGCTTGGCTTGCGCCAGCAGCGTGCGCATGAGGTCTACCGAGGACGGGTCAAAAGCAGCCGGCATCCAGGTCCCCTCCGCGTTCGGCCGGTCGCGACCGCCGCTCGGCGCGATCCACAGCAGCTTGCCGCCCTGCGGATAGCACAGAACTCTCACAAATTACACTTGAACGTGCCAACTTTTCGTGACATGCCATAATACTTGCTGGGACGTCTGGGAATTGACACTGCCGTCTTTTGATGTATATTAAAGATCATTGACAGCTTCCAGCACTTCAACAGGACTTGACAGGATCTCACACGATGACCCAATACGATGCAGTGGGACACAGCTTTTTCTCTCAGAAGGTAGAAGCACACAAAGGCATGGGCATGCGCCGCCATCGAAATCCAGGACAGGCACGGACCTCTCGGAGGCCCTTGACCATGGCGGCGAGGGTGCGGCGGTTGGTGCGCTGCTTCTCGGCCTTGAGCTCGGGGAAATCGTCCATGCGCTTCTTGGAGTGCACGCAGAACAGATTGCGCCCCATGGAGAAGGGCTTGCACAGCGGGTCCGTCACCACTCGGTCGCCCGCCACGTAGATCACACCTGTCGCCAGGCTGGGGTGCGTCTTCTCCAGCAGCAACGCCCACACGGCTGCAGCCACCGGGTGCAGCGTGTCAAAATCTCAATGCAGAAACCCAACAAAACAGAGCTACTGTGGAATATTCCACACATGCCACATATCTGTCACTTTATAGCAGAACTCAACGAAGCACAGCGAGTTTGGGTCTCCCCACACAGCACACATGAAGCCAGACATGTCCTCCAGTCTCCAGAGTGCTGCTTTCAGAAACCTCGACAAAGCGCCGAACTTGCATGGCATGGCAGGAGCCAGTAATGGCGGATGTGTGCACATGATCCTTACCGGGGTCAGCCTCTGTCTGGTGATTGGCCAGCATGATGACGTTGTCTCCCCTGGCCAAGTACTCTGCAGCCTTGTCAAAGTTGTCCAGGTGGCCCACAACAGAGATGTCAAAGTTGACGAGGTTGCGCACGTAGTTCTGCACAGCACACCATGCACAGAGTTGGGCTCACGCCAATCTGAGGTGCAGTATGTCAATGTAGCATTGCACAGGAAAAGGCGACAATTATTGATGACTCATGCACGCAGGAGAGTCATCAGTGAGGCGACAGAGTACCTAAATCTATGCAGCAAAGTAGGCATACACACGTATGACAGTTGCTGATTGGTGCAGAGCAGTGTGTGCGCAACTAAGGAGGAGAGAAGCAGCACCTGGCCAAACTGATAGTAGTTGTAGGGCTCCAGGATGCGCTCGTGGAAGGAGGGGAATATGTAGGGATTGACGAACTGGTCGCAGACACGATCCGCAATCGCGCCCATCACCTGTGCCACCCGCCTCTCGTCCGCACCAGGCACTCCGCTGTTCACCACCGCAGCTGCGCACACGGCACACATGCTTTGTGAAATTTCCCTGAACTTTCACGGTGATGCCTCGGCCAGAATTATGGTATCGCCATCAGGTTGAAATCTTTCCCGTTTATGCAGATGATTATCTCAACTATCTCAGGCGCCAATGAAATTTCTTCAAGGCTCGTTCCCAGGTGGAGGCTTACAAGCTGAACAGGAGGTGGGAATTGCCCCATGAAGCAATCCAGTAAACATCATGGCCCTCCATCAAGATGTGGTGTGCATCAAAAGGCAACAACTTACTTTTGTAATTGTTGTAGAAGTCCAGAAACCCAGGCAGGAGCGGCTCAGGAATCTTCTTTGCAGCCACTCCAGCCTTCAGAACAGCCACGAATTCTGCTTCGGACTGAACGTCAGCGAACCCTCCAAGCCTGGGAGGCGCCACCTCGGCTATGCATGTGGTGGTGGCCCTGCATTTTGCGCGAGGTCGCGAGGGAAGCGAACATCTGGCCTGGACGGGTGTCCATCTGCAGGCGACTGCCCACCGTGCCAGAGGCAGCGATCTGTTTTGATGTGCGCCGATGGTTGGAAGGGGGCTGCAGTTCAAGATAAACACGCTGAGCACCATTGCTCAGCCAGCAACGGACACAAGTGGTGCACAGGGAGTGCACCCCTGCCCTGCAAATTCGTCCTCAAGTCAAGGATATTTCAAGCAGTTCCAAACAAACCAAAAAATTCGTAGGAAATGCTTGTGTTCGTGCGCAATCACTATATCTCAAGAGCGCCAAGCCGTTCTGGCCAGTCGCGTTTGGATCCGAGCTGGAGGCGTCGATCGGCAGAGGCGTTGTCGTCGGAAAGGCCGCCCTCAAGCTCCGAAAGCTCGCGATAGCAGCAAATCAATGCGATCGCCGCTGTGAGGGCTCCAAGATGCAGCCTGTGAGCGTGCAGGAAAGCCTGCTTGTTGCTTTCAGCCCAAAGTTGGAATACCTGGCCACGGCAAGTCGTGATGGGCGGCTTAAAGCCTTCGACACAGGTAATACTGCACCTGCACGACTTGGGGGCGGGGCATTGCGATGGCTTCACTACGCCTTTTAATATTAATACAAGCAATTCAATGACCTGCTAGTACCGCCATGCAAATTTTTCCTGCCCATTTTGTTGCTTGAAAAGTATTTGTTGTGGCAGCAATTGCACGATCTGTCACCAAGACTCCAATGATTTGCGGCTTGAGGCGCCATCAGTAATGATGCAACATGGTTCTCCTCATCGTTATACAGCAGCATGGCATTGAGGGTTTGCAGTTGGGAACTTGCGCTGAGAATGCCATGTCTTCCTGGTGTGACAGCCTCTGGGAGCCTCCTCTTCAACATCAACAGCACTGCAGCACCTCCGGATGGGAGACTAGCAGGACCGGCGCCCTCATCAGGCAGCGAGCAGAGCAAATGCATCGCCTGGGCCTATGGTCCAGACAAGGTGCGCTCCCAAAGAGACAAATTGGACAATGCTTGCCTTCTCTCTTCGTAATGCATGCTTCTCTAAGTTTTAGACCGCACGGTTGTTGTCTGAATGGGTGTGTTCCTGGAAGACTCTGCTACAGAGCGGTTCCTTGTTGTTACTTTCAGCGACCTGGGCTTGTTCCTTTGGTGAGTCAGCACGCTAAATGCAGGCGAAGAAAAATGGGAGGGCGGTGGCAAATGCGGCAGGGCGCCTGATGTTGGTGGTGGGGACCGCGGCTGGCAATGTGCGAGCCTTCTCAGCAGCAACTGCCAAGGAGCTCTGGGCGGCTAATGGCTGCAACGAGGGGTGCGCAGAACAATGCCCCATCACGACGTGCACCATCATGTGCACGTGTTCTACTTACATGAGAGCTTTTAACCTTCACGTCATGAAATCTCTTCCATCCATCTGTTGCTGCAGAGTCTGCGTGCTGAGATCTGAGACTGATATCTGACCAGCGCTGTGCACATGCAGGGGGGTGACATCACTGGCGTTTGAGGCTGATGCCGGCGCCGCGGGGCTGCTCTACAGCGTGGGCAGCAACAACCACGTGTGCGCGCTGGACGTAGCCTCTGGAGCGCAGGTCGTCAAGTTCAAGGCTGGCAGCCACCCGCTCTCCTGTGTCGGGGCAGCCCCAGGTCAGCCGCACGACTTGACCTGCAAAGCCCTGATGTGCACAGACCAGCTGTTTCCAGCTTCAGCATGTGCCCCTTACATTTGTATTGTGGCTGAGGACACCCTCAACAGGTCCGGTTATGCCTGCCTGCGGTGCATGGCCTGTGCGGCTGCAATGTGGGCTCATGGCTGTGCTTCTGTTGGAGGGGATTGTGTCTTTGAATCGCAGCCACTGATGCCAAGGGCGTTTGGCTGCTGCAGATTGCCAGTCAGTGCTGGTGGGCAGCAGCTCTCTGGCGCTGTGGAATGTGGCGGAGCAGAAGCGCGTGGCCAAGTTCATGGGACACTCGGTGAGTCCCAGAGATGGCGCTCCTTCAGATGAATACACTCTGTTGAAGCTCTGGTAGAAGCGTCTATGTGCATAAGCCTTTACGCAATGGTTCAGTCTGTGAGTTTTACAGACCGATGTCTATTCCCAGTGACTTTGGTTGACACTGTGAAAGATGGCATCACCTGAGCATCTCATTGTGCTGCAGCTGCCGGTGCGCGCAATCGCTTTCAGCCCGAGCGGGAGCCACGCTCTTTCGGCGTCTGAGGGCGAGCGGCAGGTCGCACTCTGGGCCCTTCCTACCATCGCTGCCACAACGTCGAAGAAGAGCCGGCCCAGTGTTGGGCTACTGTCACTGGAGGAGCCTGCGGTGCAGCTCGCCACATCAGCAGCCTCCAGCGACAGCGCAGCAGATGGGGCGTCATCTTTCCAGGTGATTGAATCCTAGCTTGAGTACAGATGTGCTCACGCCAATGGAGAATCTGCAGTATAGATGCACATTCTCAACGCAACAGGAAGCAAGATCCTGTGGCAATTGGCTTTGTCCTGTCATGGGCCTTAATGGTTTGATGCGCTGCGTGTCAGCCAGGTCTTTCTGATCCAGACACCAGACACCTGCAAAGAAACGTTCTGCAATCGGATGAGGTCTCTGAAAAGCGCCGCGTGTGGTGCAGGTGGCGGCAGTGAGCACGGCAGGCAGAGCGTATGTGTGGTCCTGCAGCACGGCAGAGGAGGGCGACCGCGTCAGCAGCAGCCTCAGCGTGCGCGTCAGCGTGGAAGCTTCAACCTCTGAGACGTGCGCACCATGTCCACCAAGTGTGATGCATTTTACGCATGTCATGCCAACAACTCGCCAGGATGTTTGGGGCTGCATTTTACCTCAGGATATGTTTTGATGAAGATGCACTGGACGCCATCAGGAAGGCAATAAATTTGTTTCCCTGAACAGGGTGCACAACCAGGGCGAGGGTGGTATCTTGGCAGCACAGTTTGAGTCGCCGGACACGCTTCTTCTGGCGAGGGGTTCTGTGGCAAAGCCTGTCTTTGAGCGGGTGCAGCTGCTGAAGGACAGCACCACCACCAAACAAATACAACTGGAAAGGATCCTGGTGAGTTTTTGCCTGGCGTCATTGGCAACCCTTGTCTCATGATACTTACAGTATTTTCCTGATTTTAGATGTTAGATGGGATTTCTGATGAGTTGAAAGGGCGTTTATGTGATGACATATCTCCAGTGCTCCCTTCCAAGCATTAATAGGCTTCGCCTCTCACATTGTCTCTCAATTGCCTGATCACTGTGGATCATTTTGCAGGACGGGGTGTTGATACAAGCGAGTGGGAGGGGCGGCGAGGCGTCCACATCTGGGAAGGGCGCGGCGGCGGCGGCAAAGGGCCGCGTTGCGTATGTGGGGGCTGAGCCTACCGATGCAGAGTTGCTGATGTCGAGAGTGGCCGAGGACGGCGCTGCACGACAGAGCAGGTTGGCTATTTCCATTGATAGTTGATTGCTGCTGTTCTGAAACAAGTCTGCCAGCCAGCCGTCGGTGTTTCCCTATGAATGTAAAACAATGTTGTATGTCAAGCCCATTATTGTCCTTGTCCAATCACCTGTCTTGGCAGCTTTTGAGCACTGTTGTATGCCTGGGGCAGGAAAAGGAGAGCGGAAGGGGATGAAGCAGGAGCGGTGGTCAGCGAGCTGCCTGCAGAGAATGGGCCGGTGTCAGATGGGCCCACCCTTGGACAGAGACTGGAAGCACTGCAAGTGCGATCACAGCAGGTCAGTGCCACCCTGACCCGTAATCCCTCATGTGTGGCGTGAAGGATATGCGTTGTTGTGGCGCCTTGACCAGGCCTTCCTGGTCCACCTGGGCTTGTGAAGCAGCAGTGCCATTTGCTGTGGTGAAGTACAGGTTGAAGCGAGTGCAATGATGCTTGGGAATTCATGCTGGTGATTGGTTCTCTGCTGAGAAAGGTCGATAAATGGCGTCTGCATGATGGCTTCAGAATTTTCCACGCCAAGTACACATATTGAAAGGGAAGGAGCGTCCCCTTATTGACTGCCTGGCTCTGCTTGCAGGAGCGGATGGATGTGGACGGTGGGGCGGGGGCGCTGCAGGCAGGGCCGTTGAAGGCCGATTCGGTGGCTGTGCTGCTGGGGCAGGCGCTTCAGGCACAGGACAAGGCGCTGCTCGAAAAGTGCGCATCACCTCGCCCTTTTCTAATCGCCTCCTTCTTGTGTCTTCTCATGCTGAAGACAGCGCCTTATGTTTGTGTGCAACTGCTGTTGACTTTCAAGTCCGTGTCATGCCGTTGATACCAAACATTATACTTGTGAGCTCTTGGGAGACTGTGCACCCAGTGTACATTACATGTGCAGTGCACAGTTGAGAGGACAAACATGCAATGCACAGGTGCCTGAACACGGGGAACGAGGCGGTGATAGGCGCGAGCGTTCGGCGGCTGCGGCCGCATCACGCGGCGGCGCTGCTGGAGGCGGCGGTGGAGCGGCTGCGTTCGCGCGCCAACCGCGGCACCGCGCTTACGGCCTGGATCCGCGCCGTGCTGCTGCACCACACCGCCTACCTCATGGCCGCGCCCGGCGTGCTCCCCATCCTCACCTCCCTCTCCCAGGTGCGCCACACAGACGCGCAGTCACATGCAATCCATTGGACCTCAAGGTGCCAGCTTCACACCTGAAGGCACCTGATTGGAAATGGCCAGGACGCAAGTCGTTTGCTCAGGGGCTTGGTATGAAGTTATCAGCATTCCAGGGAAGCGCACAGGTTCAGCGAGGCCTGCCATGTGCTTCGTCAGGTTTGCATGATTTGGCTTTTCCCAAATGTGTGAAATTACTTCTTGTTTCAGCAACTGCAGTGTGGAGTGTCCTTGAAGGTCCAGGGTGCTTCTCTGCAAAGTCATGTTTTCACCATCTGGCCAGCATGTAGCCTCTCCAATGCACGTGACTGCCCTGTCTCTTCCCATCAGCAGCCGGTACCCAGATGTGCTGACATGTGCTCGTGTGGCTGCGCAGACCATCGAGGCGCGGACGGCGCAGCTGAAGCCGCTGGCAGCGCTGGCTGGCCGCCTGGACCTGCTTGTCGCGCACCTGCCCAAGCCCGACGCTGCCGCCAGTGCCGACGACCTCGAGCTCCCCGGTCCTGAGGTATGCTCCAATCCCCCATGCACTGTGTTTGTGGGATGCCTGAGTCTTGCATAACTCAACGTACAACCCACATGCATTGTTCTTGTGCAGATGAAATAAAGATGCCTCTCCCACTGTATTCTTACCCCTATCACGACGGCTCCTGAGTCAGCGCAATGTAGAACATTGGCAGACAGTCTGTCCTTCGAAGAGACCCTCATTCGAGATGAATGAAACAATTAAGGAGAATTGATGTGGGCTATTGCATTGCAGGTGGTGTATGTGGAGGAGGATGAGCTTGAGGCGGAGAACCCCCTTGCAGCAGTTCCAGACTCCGATGCAGAAGGATCTGACGATGAAGATGAGTCAGAGGAAGAGGATGCTGGGGAGGAGGATGGTGATATTGACATGGATGACCTTGATGACACTGATTGACGCGGGTGCATGACAAGTACAGATGTTTTGAGATTACTATAGTAGTTAGATCCACAGTTGGGACCCGGCTCCATTAGGATAATATTGTAGGCTTACCGTGATTTGCCTGCTGGGGATTGAAGCACAACCGCCAGTGTATACAACTGCCAGTGTATGCAGCATGCAAATAAATGGGAGTTGCATGCAATGTTGAGTGCAAATATTGCAATACTTACAAAAGTATTAGATGCTCTACGCATTGCGGCGTCCGTTCTTCGCAGAAGGTCAGTACTCGAAGTATACTGGTACGTACCAGAAACTGGTTGAGGTCGAAAAGACACCACGCGCAATATTTCCGCATGTTTGTTGCTAGCCAGTCACGTAAGATCATCTTAAAAGGCACGCTGAACCGTGCCAAAATCTCTTTGAGGCTGACATCCAGATCTTCCCACACATGCATGAGCACCACAATGCAAGAATGCCAGATCTGCTCCAGACAACAAGCTATGAGCAGCTGTTGCAGCCTAACAGCAGCAGGCCTACTTGCCGCGCTTGCCCTCCTTCTTGCGCACGACCTCGTCAAAGTAGCGCACACCCTTCTGCTTGTAGGGCTCGGGCGGCCGCTTGGCACGCACCTTGGCCGCAAACTGGCCCACCTGCTCCTTGTCATATCCAGAGATCACGACTGTCGTCTGCTTCTCCACCTGCAGCAAGCACCAGCAATCAGCGCCCTTTCCACTTCCCATAAGCTTGGCAGGAACAAAAGCCGCATCCAGCAGAAAGAGAAGTGATACAACTGGCTCCTTTGCCAAATGAGAGCATGTGCAAATTCCACTGTTTCCTTATTGGATACAGCAAGCGAGCAGACTGGCATCGTCAATTCTGTAGGAGGCTTTCCGTGCACAGCCAGCTAGCCAGGGCTCTACAACAAGCTTGGCCAGACATACAAGAATATTTCGGCACTGCGCTCCTTCTAACATGCCCACACCTATGGGTGTACTGGAGCCACATTACAGAGCGGCAAACCAAGACCAAGCAGTTTGATTTGAAGCTGAGTGGCTCACCGCAACGGTGACGCCCTTGGGGAAGTCCATCTCGATGGGGTGGCTGTAGCCCAGGTTGAGCACCAGCTTGGTGCCCGACACGGACGCCCTGTAGCCCACTCCCACCAGGCTCAGCGTCTTGATCCACCCCGTCGACGTCCCCACCACCATGTTGTTCGCCAGCGCCCTGCACACAGTGCACACAGAGTCAGCATCTCTCAATGTGCCCCTGTCAAGTACAGGGCCCCCACAGACCTTGTGATCATAATGCAGATGCATGGGCTAATCTCTTGGGAAGTGCACCAAGTGAGCACGATCGGTACCAAATCCCTTGGCAAGTGTTCTTCCGTTTCAGTGCGACCAGGCACAGGTGTGCTTTTCACATTCCATGCCTGTGATCAGTGTGTGTGCAGATGTGCTGTGCACATGTCCCAGCAGAACGTCGCACCTGATCAAGCCGTGCACCTCGTTGGCTTTCCTGCTCTCCTCCATTTTGTACACTCTCAACGCATTCTCTTGCTGCAGCCACAATGACAGATTTCAGCAGCCAGTCACAATGCCAAGGAGTTGAACTGGAAGCACTAAACATTGCTGAACCTCAATGCAGGAACTGGATGCAGCTCGCAAACCTCAAAATTCCCACACGACAGGCACCCACTTTGATCCCTTACCTGCTCGATCTCCACAATTTCAGGAATTGCCAGCTCCAGCTCTCCCTTAGGTCCCTGTAAAATAGCAAGCATTTCTTCAGCGCAATTGGACTTCAATATCAGGCCAACGGTCAGACCCGCTTATCTGCTGTGAAGGGAGACCTCAAGAGAGAAAGAGCCACCCATGCCAGCATCACTCACACCCAACACGGGTCAGTACAGATTATTCTACTTTCTGCATCCGCTGGCTCACCTTGACCTTCAACAAGTCCCTTGTCAGCGTTAGCTGCACACCCTTTGGAATGGGAATGGGGGCTTTTCCTATCCGTGACTCCTTCCCAAACTCAGTCCCCCTCGGTGGTGCCTGGCATCGCGTTTGCACCAATACCCTGCTGGCTGCGGTCCTCTGTGAAAACTGCCGCAACAATCTGCTGCCAGCAAACTGGCTGTGCGAGCAGGACTCCATTTGCCCCTGCCTGACTGGCCAGGCTGCAGATCCTGGATTTTTTCAGCCCGATGAAGGTCCTGGTTCCTGGGTGTCACACAAAATGATCCCTCCAGCAAGTCACTTGCTTGGCCAAACGTGCGTCTGCAAGCTTTCCATGGTGTGCGGGCGCTCATAATCTCATCATCGGATAATTTTTCACTTTTGCCCCTTTCGGGCTTCGGTTACGGGGGAAATCGCCCAATAGCCTAGCTTCTACCCCGGCTGCGCTGCCCCAATTGTTGACACGTTTGCCTTGTGGGACATCTTTAACGAGATCGACATCAGATCCTCGGCTAACCCATCCATTCTGCAACCGCCGGTCTCAAACAGCCAAGCCCCGAACGCATACGAAGAAAGGATTGACTGTGAGGAGACCTGTGTCAGGAGCCCACGCATCACCAGGTATGACGCGCCAGGGATTGTCTTGCTGGGGCCATCTGGTGTTTGTAGAAATGGCGGGCGGTGCCAAGTTAGTGGATGGCGCCTTCCCTATGCAATGATAGGCGCACCCTTCTCCCGGCGCGGTCGGATTTTGTGGGGGTAGCGTCGAAACGGGGGTTTAATTGGGCCACTTTTATTGCGTCGGCGATGGGCTAAAGGTTTCCGTGGGCATCCCCCTCTATTGACATTTCGACAGCCTATCATATAAGAATTCGTACCTAGGAGGGTCGTGACGGCCGAGCAGCCGTTGCGAGATTTCAAAGCAGCCCGCTTTGAGGCAGGGTTACGCGAAAGACGCGGCACAATTCTCTTGCCCCAAGGATAAGTAGGTGCGGCGGTCAAGGCGTGAATCGCTTGACATATTTTGGCCACATGGGGAGAATAGATGTGGTACGAGTGGGGGCCAGAAAGGAGACTGTTCGTCATCGGTTTCTAGAAGCAGCTTCTTAATAGGTGGCCTTGAAAACTGGCCTTTTTTTTGGTTGGCGCTTCCTGTGGGGTCGGCTTGGAGTGCATACGTTCGAGAGGCTTGGTAGGCAGTGACGCTTGTCCTTGTGAAGGAGCTCCGCTTGCGTCCACTCCGTTCAGGGCTAACGTTGCCCTTCTGTGCCGCCTGCAGAACTGAAAGCCAGGCGGAGGGACACTTTGCTCACCTAGCTCGCCCAATTCAGTACCTGTACGCTTATCTCACCTACTGCACGAGGATCATACAGGCAAGTCCGGAACCCACTCTCGTCGGTGATGGGCATATTCTGCCGCTGCTTGCTTTCGGGGCGTCAGCCTGTCTGACTGAGGATTTGCTTCGAGAAATTGACTTGCAGCAGTGTCTAAATTCGTGTCACTAAGAAAGTAACCCGCCTGACACCTGGTGAAATCTAGCGGGAGACCAAAGTACTGAACTTGACTCCCTTTGATGCGCAGGACAGTGTGCAGCATGATATCAAAGAATCAAGCGGGTGTCCTTCTACTGGCCTTGGCCGCCTGTGCAGCAACAGTGCAGTGCCAGCAGCAGGGCTCTTTCTTTGCAGCCCAGGCAACCGGCGGCATTGCCTACAACGGGCATGATTGGTGGGATGTGAGGGCCCCTGAGATCCCAAAGATGCAGAGTCAGGCAGCCCTCTTCGCCACCGCCATCAAGTCTTCGCCTGGCGCCTTTGCCGGCATGTTTGCCGAGCTTGTTGCCCTGGTGAGCTGCCCCACTGATCACCCACCATATCATGTTTTGGCCATCCGTTTTGTCCATTGTATATGCGTGGGCGCAGTGAAGTGTGTTATCCTGCTCACATGACTGGCACACAGATCCTGCGTGTGGTTTCCCTGAGGAGTGATGGTGTCGAAGCAGGGAATGCGCTGCATTAATGCTGTCGATGGCTGACAGTGCAGGTACTTCCTTCAGACGTACAGGGAATGCCATCTTACTTGGGTGTGCCATTCCTGTGTGCAGGGATATCAGGTGGATGCCGTGCGTTCACTGGCGTACCTGATCAACGCCAACTTCACCCTCAGCGGCGGCTGCCCCAACCCTCCCCCCACCGCCTTCTTCACTGACAACGTGAGCCCCACTTACGGCCTCGCCTCAACACAAATTTATTTTGACACCCCTAGCATCTGATGCATCCTGATGGTTGTGTTGCGCCAAGTTCTAGACGACAGGTTGTTTTTCCTACTGCATCCAGGCTGGTGCTAGACAAGCATGCTTATGCATTTACAGGAGACTTTGATGACTGAGCTGGTGATAACGATATACTTTCACTGTGTGCAGCTGGGAGACGCCATTGTGCGCGCAGTGGCCTTTGGCAGGAACCCCGCTGACCAGCCGCAGCGCCTGTCCCTGACCGGCAACCTCACGGACGGGCAGGTGGCCAATGCGCTCATCGCCGGCATCGCTCTGGCCGCCAAATCCTGCGGCCCGCCCAACCACCTGTCCTCCTCCAGGTGGGGTCCTGTCTTGCTTCCTTGTGGTTTTGTTGCGTCAGGGTGTGGGCCTCCGCATGGAGTGTTGTCTGAAAAATTCGATGTGATCCTAGTGTCTTCTCCTCAACACTTCCCTGAGCAGGTTTCTGTATAAAGTCCCTGTCACTTTCGCAGACTGGCAGTACTCCCAACAAGATTGCTCTTGTGTCCTGCCTGTGAGGAAACACCGGATGTAGATGTGTCTTTGCTTCCGATACTAAGAAAGCTGTGTTGGCTGTGTTGCAGTGCGGAGCAGGCGCGAGAGAAGTACAGGAACAGCTCCTGCTACTTCGTGGGGCCAATTCTGGCGACTCCCATGAACAAGAGCCTCGTCTTTGCAGACTCCCTTGCTCAAGCTGTGGAGCAGAGCACAGTCCAGAACCCCTGGGCTCTGGGTGCCGTCCTCGGCGGCATTCAGGTGTGTACTCAGAATATCCTCCTTTCTATCTGTGCCTCCACTGTCCTGGGACAACATGAGAAAGTCAAGGAGCAGTACAGTCACTCAAGCTATGGCTGTGAGATGCTGGCATGTCATTTCCCTGATTGCACTGGTATCACACCTTGTAACCCTGCCTGGCTGATCTGGGTTCTTGCCGAGGGTGTCAGGACCTTATTTTGGAGATACTGTGGGATAATTTCTGATTTGTGTACATTCTCGTTTTGTGCAGGACTGCGTGAACGGCCCAGCGGATCTGCAGGACCCGCCCGCCTGGCTGCCAAAGTCCAACGGGCCCATCGACGACACTGAGGTGGCCGAGACCATCCCTGCCATCATACTGCAGCGCGTCCAGTCGCAGGCGTTGTCTCCCTCGCAGCCGCCCAAGCTGCAGGCCACCACCCAACAGCAGATCGTCCCCTTCGCTGCCGTCGGCGGCCGCAGGCGCCTCCAAGCCAGCTTGTGAAGACTCTGTACACCCGTCGGTCCTCAGCTGCGCATTGCGCGAGTCTGAGATGCATACATGACTCGGATTTAATTTCAAACGGTATTCACGTCAGAAAGATGCCTACTGCATGGGCGCACCCTTGCAACAGTCCGGCCGGTGTGCTGCCAGGGAGAGGCTTGCTGCTTTTTGGCGGCAGCCTTGCTCGAGCACACTGCCAAGGAGTACCATTCGAGGGTGTTTGTCCCTAGTTATCGGGGCTGTGACAGCTCAGAGAAAGATGCATGCATGGTGAGCAGTGTCCTGCATTTGCATGCACGGAGCCGCTGCGGCCTCCAGCCAAGTAGAGACTTCTGAGGCAAAGTCCTCAATTTGATGTGAACGCTTTTCTTTACCTTTGTTGCATCTTCCTGGGGGAAGGTCAGTGCGGGGAGCATTGCAGGGCGCTGACAGATCTTTCCCATGTGTCAGACTGGGAAGGCTCTGATCTGTGACTGTAGCGGTGCTCAATAACTCGAAACTGAAAATGTGGCGACCTGCGTTGCTGGGGTTGGGTGCGTGGGTGTTTGTCAAACCTCCCTCGTCACTTGCCCTGGATGCGCATGGTCAGAAGATGATGGTATCCCAATGCCAATGCTTAGGTGTACAGTGCTATGCGTGCTTGCTGTCAAAGGCAGTGTTGTCTGTGTTCTATGTCAGCTCATGGCTGTTGCTGCTGTGACTTGTCGACAATCTGTTGACTTGGTCATGGGGAGTTTCAGTCCGGGGTGGACTCAAAAGGGTACTGCACATACTTAAAGCTTGCCGGATTTGATTCTAAGAAGGAAAACCATGTGGTACAAATTACCATCTGCTGCGATGCCTGCAGATGCTGATAATTAATGTGTGCGAGATGGAAGGAAGGTCTGCGCCTGTCCTGCTATTAAAGTGCAATATCTTTGTTTTAGCAAGATTGCTGCCAATAGGCCGCTCCAACAATTTGGAGTGGCAAGAGAAAGAGGGGTGCTGTGTTGTTTGTAGTGCGGACTCCTGTACGGGTTTTGAGAGATTCATCAAGATTGCTGCTTATTTGGCTAAGTGATGTAGCGTCACGCCACGGTGGTGGGGAAACTGCTTAATTTATAGTACTGCCATTGCTTCCTGAACGTCAACAATCATGTGTCATGGATGAGAAGCCTACTATTGTCTGCTAACGATCCTAAGGTCGAGCTGTTCTTGTTTATACAAATGAATGGGCATTAACGTTGTACTACTGTTGGTATACCACCATTATGTAACCACTTGATGAGTACTCAATGACCTCATGCAGTCTTGGCCTTTCGCAGACGCTACACAGTGGACACGGAATGCTATTTATGAATGTATAAATCCTCTTAACACAAGCAAGTTCATGGCCAAAGCCTGGAGCTTTGCATGTGTTCAATTAGACTTTGAGCCTGAGAAGTGAGGATTACTGATCAGCAAAGAGAGCAGTCCAGTAGGCATTCAACGTCAACCTCGACAGCTGGCACCGTCCAAGAAAGAAACAAATCGATGGATTCCAATGCCTGCAACTCATTCATGTCTACAAGCCTAAGACTTTGGCAGAAGCACAAATACTTATGTTCGTCTGCTCCTGACGCATGTCGCTGCCTTATTGCAACTTTTGCAGAACAGATGCTCGGGTGTCCTGTCAGGCACAGTGACAACTCTTGAGCTCTCCACGCAAATAAAGGCTTTGCATATCCATTGGACTGCACTACTACATTTTTGCATCTTGATCTCACAGCTTGAAGACCAATGGTGGGTCGCCGTGCGTTTTCATTGTACTGCCATTCGCCGCCCATCGGTTCTCAATGCTGGCGTTCACAACGAATGATCTGTACATTACTGCAAGCTACTGGCCTTTCTGTTGATAATTGTGTGAACTGTTGTTGGTGGACTCTGCCGGTTAAACTGAACACAAAGGCCGGCGATCACGACCAAGTGCTTGAAGCAAGCATGGATTGACGATAGCGGGCTGAAGTTTTCGGTTTTATTTTTCTATGTCAGGAGTACACACTACTGGATCCGGAGCTGTGCCTGAACGCCGAGGTCCTGTGCGACTGTGATGAAGAGGACCTGCAGCGCGTTCAAGCAAAGCTCGGCGTCATCAACAAGGAGCTGCAGGAAGTGCGGGAAATTCTCATCAAGCATCTGAGCAGGAGAAGCAGCAGCTGTGACAGCACTTATTCAGAAAGCGAGGTGCGAGATCTGTTCTTGAGTTGCAATCTGCTTCTTGTTTCTGCTGCACAAACCTCCTGCTGGTCATCGATGAGCTGCTGTCAGCTGAAGAGCACCATCTTTTATACTTGCATAGGCATGAGAACTGGCAAGTGATGCAGATGGGCGAGGCGATGGTCCCTGGACTACCAGCAAGCCAGCCTGCTTCCCCCACAGGTTCGCAGGCAAGCAGTGTAGAAGTGGAGATGGTGACGATGAACTCCTCAAACTCCAAATGGAGTCACAAGACAAGAGCGGGTGTCTGACCAAGACAGCGATCCAGCACTAAGCGCATCTAGATTACCTTTGGAGTGTAAATTAAAATTTGGACTTGGAGCATCTGACGAGGATCGTCATCGTGTGGGATATGATTCTTCTCTGTCAGTCAGCTGTGCCAAGGCATGTAGCTTTGATAAGCTATTGAGAACTAAGATGGCAAGCACTGGCAGACCGTGCAGGGCATGGTCTGCAGGATGCTGTATTTGCAGCAATGTTGTAGATGTGTTATTGTACTAGTAGGCAGACAATGCCAAAGGGGGCTCTGTACATTCAAAGTTGCGGAACAGAGCTTTCCATTGTATGGTTCTTTAGGATCCTAGTGGGGAAGTATGGTGCACGCATGCGTATGCAGGAAGAAGAACAACCTCTTTATTTGTAGAATATTGTGCATGCTGTGGCAGATGTACTGCATGCATGGCCATGTACTACTACAGTACTTGTCAAGAACGCCATCAAAGCGGGAGATTCTTTGTGGACATTGCAGAAATGTATCATTGGGTGACTTGCTTTCGTGTATGGAAATGTAAACCTCGCAGGGTTGCAACTTTTCTTCCAGCACTGTGAAATCAGGACGAGTCAGTAGGATGTCGTCATGGATCATGGTGCAGATTTCAGCAGCCATAGCATGCTAGCTAGCATGCTAGCAATTGCTTTGCTAGGATTTACTGGTTGCTCATGCAGTTGAAACACTTGCCGCATTTGTAAGGATACCCTGATTTTCGACGGTATAGAAGGACTGCCCATCAATATGCACAGCAGCTGTGCCTATACTGCCTGATATAATCCAATTCACAACCTCAGACACATCACCATCCATACTTGGCCTGCGTCTCTGCCTTGGTCTTCATGCCCTGTGTCTTCGTCTCCAGCACCTCCAGCTCCTGCACCAGAGCAAGGCAACTCCTTTACAACATATGTGAAACATGTTCGGCAACAATACCTGGGCAGATCACTCCTGCTCATTATCAAACACCTGGAAAGGTAGAATCCCTGGTGGCGTGCGGGATGATGACAACGAGCTCTCCCAATGTTTTGCCTCTGGCTGCCACTTCTCAGGCATCCTCAGGAACAATGACACAGCCACTTGGCAGCTGCTATTTGATCCCTGGGGGCCCTTGTGAGCTTGCCAATGAGCTGCATTGCAGCACTGATTGTCCAACACTCTGCCGGCTCGGCACACGAGCATGTGCCAATTCCGCGCACCTTCATCTTGGCCTGGTAAAAGAGCGAGGAGATCTGGTGCTTGCGCCGCGCAAGCTTGTCCGGCAACGCGCCGGCCTCCTGCCGCAGCTTGGCCTCGTAGTCCGCCCCAAACGCGGTGCGCGCCGCGTTCGCGGCCTCCTTCTTCCCCGGGTCAATGTACTTCAGCTTGTCCTGCTTCACCTGCACTCACGCGCATGCATTGTTATTAGCATTTTACGCAATATTCCTGCCAGAGGCAAGGTGCGTCTGTAGACTAGTTGCAGCGCATGCATGTTTAAACCAAAACTGCCTGTTCCGGCATACTTATGCAGAGGGTGACAGTCACTTTATTTGTACACCACCAAGCCAGCCCAGCTAGCTTCAGTAGGCACACTCCGCCTTCATCAACAAGCGCCCTGTCTGTTTGTATGCTGCATTTCCACTGCCTGTCAAAACAGTGGCCAGATGAAGTGCCACGCACCTCCTTAAACTGGACGCCAAGATTTGCGAAGGGGTCTTTTGCGTTTCTGCGGGCGGCCCCTCGGGCATCAGCCTGCATCGCCTCCTGCAGCAGCTGCTCGCCATTCGCTGGTGCAGCTTCAGGGCCAGCGTGAGCCCCATTCTGCCCGTACGCACCACCATTCTTGCCTGTCAAGCACAATTGCTTGGTCATTACATGCAGCTTGTTCCCGCAATGCTGCAACCAGGACCACTGCTGGAATGGCACCAGGCTGCATGTTTACGTGATGATCTCGCTGCAGCTGCTTTCATGACGGACTTATCCAGGCTATTCAATGTCAACATGCAGCAAGGTACTGAATGCTGCAATGTCTGCAACATCTGCACTTGGCGGCACTTATAGCATGCTATTGCCTGGGATGTCTGCAACTTGTCAGCGATGTCTGCAATCAGTCTTCATTAGTCTGCAATCAAGGACCACATGCAACACAAGAAATCAAGAGAGATGCAGGGGGAATGAGCACACACCAAACTGTGCGCTGAAAGGAGCTGCGTAGGAGGCCGCGGCAGGCGCAGCACCATTGGTACCGTAAGCTGCTGTGGGGCCGGAACCGTAAGCGCCGTAGTCTGCGGCAGGCGCTGCCCCGTACTCCGTGGCCGGCAACACATCGTCCTCCACGCGGAATTCCTCATTTCCCCCAGTGTACGCGTCGGCGCCCCCCAGAACCCCATCGCCCGTGGGCGGCATGTCCTTGAAGTCATCCTCATCACCAATGTCCAGCAGCCGCTGCACAACAATAGACAAACACAATCAGAGGTGCTGCACACATTCAAATACAGACTCAACAAACTGCGCCCCACTTGTGGCAACCAGACTGAGCCCAGTCCCCACATGTAGGGAGCGCAGTACCGGTAGAAGGCATGTGCTCCCGTTCGCACGTTGTCTGCACAAGATATGTCGCCTAAACCATCCAGAGAACTCTGCAGCATCAAGATTCTGTAATCAGGACGTGCACTTTAGACCGCTGCAAGAGACTTTCAAGCAATGGAGCGCACCGTTCCGCCGCCGGCTCCAAGGCCTCCTCCCAGCACAGAGTCGCTCTTGGGGGCAGGCAGGACATCCCCCAGGCGCTTGCCGCGAGTGTCCGGCCTCACCTTCTTCTTTTTCGGCTGGTCCTGTGCAGCAGCAGGCCAGGCTTAGGGTGATACATTGATGCCCAACACGAAAAGATATGTGACATTTAGAAAGACCAAGAATGCAGATGCCCTGTTTAATGGAGAAGAACAATAGAAGGCACTTGCAACATCCACCGTTTCCCCAAGCACGACAAAGGGTCCCACCTCCTCGTCACTGCTGTCAGGGATGGCAGCGCGAGGTAACATGAACTTCACGGGTTTTCTGGACCTCCTGGGCGCAGGCATGCCGGACAGGGTGGTGTCTCCTGCACTTGCTTGACTTGTGGATGGAGGAGGTAGATTGGCAAGCAACCCGCCGCGATCCGTTGCAACACCTGAGTCAACACGTCAATGATACGATACTGCATGATATTGAGAGGCTTAGGGCCAAAAACTCGGACGGTAGCGCCACAGATCAAGACAGCCAACCTACCGTTGCTTAAAGGATCCTGAGCGTCTTCAGCATCAGACGCTGCATCAGACCCAGAGCCATATCCGGCAAGTAAGTCCATGCTGAAGGTATCAGCGAGCCTCTAGTGGAGCTTGCAATGCAGCGTCAATAGATGAAAACACAAGCCCGGCCAGATGTTTGAGGACCTCAGCAACGAACGGGAGTCCTTTCTGCAACAGTCTACTTCAATGTAGCAAAGAGTAATAATTATGCAGTTTCGTTGACGCGAGGAACCAGCCAATGCAGGTGTCTAAAGCAATTCTCAGGAAGTCCAAATGAGGCTCAGTTGATCAACTCATGAGGTGGTAGCTTCATCCTGCTCAGCAGCAGTACCATGGCCAGTGATCATGATCTCAATTTGTTTTGCAGCTTCTCTTGCTTAGTCAGATTCATTTGGAAGACATGCAAAGTCACATGTAAGTGCTGTTTGTTGATATCAATGAGTCTCAATATGGCATGCGATTTTGCCACCAGCTGCAGCCTGGGTCAGCCGGCAACATAATCATATTGATCATATGATATTGACAATCCAACTTATGCATTCACCAAGATGCCTCTCGGAAGTTATTACACGTCATGGGCGCCAGGAACACTTTGGTACACTCAACACTCCACAACTAATCTGATTATGCAGGACGATGCAATGACTGGAAGCTTAGTCAAACAGGGAGAAGCCCATGTCCTGCACAACACAAACACAGGGGATCAGACCCAGCACATTCAGATTAGACAGCCAGCTAACAGCAGGCAGATGGATCAAGGATCTTTGCAAGGCATCACAATCAATCAGAAACTGCGCCTCACCAATGCTCTACAAATGGAAAATGCCCGCATCAAAGTTGCAACGGCAGAAAGCAGCTCTACGAAATTCTGTGTCAATGAGAAAAGCAAATAGTCGGAGAAGGCAGTCTCACCTCGTCCTCCTCCTCCTCTTCCTCCTCCTTCTTCTCCTCCTCCTTTGCAGCCTCAGCACCGCCGCCGCCGCCACCGCCGCCGCCGCCTGTCCAGCCCAGGTATCAAATGTGTCAATACCTCGCTAATACATTCCTTACACAGCAACATAGCGGGTGTGGCACATGCCATTTGCCATGACATGACAGCCAGGATGGCAGCTGTACATTGCCGAAGCAACAATGAGCTCTGCACAGACCAGCTACAGCTGGAGCCGCATCAGGGGTCGCGAAAAGGAGAGGGAGTCTCACCGCCTGAGGCAGCCACAGCGCCGCCGCCGCTGGGCACGGACGCCAGCTTGCTGACGCCGGAGGCAATCACCTCAGCGATGTCCTTGCCATCCAGCTCCTTGAGCAGGGCGTCGACGCGCTCCGAGTCGGCCTCAATGCCCACTGCAGGCCACCAACCAAAATATCATCACCACTTGCTCTTGCTGCTCAAGCCACAGCCACAGCCGTTTCTGTTGAAATTTTGCGAGATACTCACGAGAAAACAGCAGCAGAGAGGTTGCTGGAAAGTGAGCCAACAATATGGCCAACATCAAGCGAGGTGTAACGATCTTCGCCATATTAGAAGACCAGTGATCGATCTCCCCCGAGAGTAGAGGTCACGCACCTGATCCCAGGATCTTGTTAATGTCATCCGCAGAGGGGGAGTTGTTGCCCCCGAGCACAGCCTGCAAGAAAGGAGCACAACAATCCTGAGCATCTTAACCAAAACTGCGCAGCTTTGACAGACACAAATAGTGGCACCCTGTCAGGGAACAAGAAAAACAGATTTGCTAACAAGTTGATGAAAACGACTCCTCATCAGAAAAGCAGCAGGGAGGACATCCTCCAGTAGATGCAAACAGACACAGAGTATGCAAATCACGAGCGATCGTGAGAAGGGCCTCACCAACAAGTAAGCGGAGATCACACGCATCTTGACGTGTGTCCAACTTTAACCGCTAAATTGTTGTGAGAGTTTCAGCCCAGGCTTTGCTGGAGAAGGACGGCGGCCACCAGAAGCGCCGCCGAACAGCACGCCATCTTATGCCTAAATAGGTACTTTTGCTGCAAATGAAGCATGCAGGTGGGAAACAGCTCTAGTTTTGCTCCAACAAAATCAGCTGCGCTGAATATAAGGAAATCTTGTTCAAATTTGTCGTGGGCAAGTACCGTGTGCACTGCAGTGCAGTTTGCTACGAGACAGACCATCTGCTGATGTGGAGCATGATTAGGAACGCCGTCGTATGCTGTGCTGAAGTCCGTTGTTGCAAAATTCCAAATTTTGAGGCAGTTGTTGCGAACCTACACTGTTGCATGATGCTTGTAGAGGGCAGTCATCCACCAAGGATATAATTTGGGTTAGATTGGGGAGCTTCAGACTCCATGGATTTCGGTGTCAGCAGGAAGTGACACATTCAACTTGAAAATCCTTCCGAAACACAGCGTGAGGGTGAGGTTGAAAGGAGTGGAAGATGGTGGCAAGGGACAGCTTTGGGAGTGCTATTTTTGAGGACGAGGAACAGGGAACCAGCACGGGATATGGCAACAATGCTGAAGATATGGAAGACATTGAGGAGGAGCTCCAGGTGCTGGCCCTTAATACTAGCTTGCAGTGCATTAGGAAGGTCTTCATTATTCTTGGTAGAGTGCATGCATTGCTTAATTAGCGCCAGTGGCCGTGCCTGCATCACTCGTATCTTGGCGTCCCTCCCTGGATTGTTTACATCCAAACACCAACATCCTTCACCTGAGGGGGCTCAAGTATGGCATGCAAGCTGTTGTGCTGCCTGCAATCTGTCCAGCATACAGTCATTCACCCCCATCTCGTTTTAGGTCTATGAGAGTGTGCCCACTTAGAAAATCACATTACAAGATGCGAAAAACAGATTGTTTCCAGCAATTCTTATATTCAAGCGCAGAGCGCATATTCCAGATTCTCAGTGCCAAGAGGCACATTTGTGCCAATAATTTTCTGCCCAATAACGCACTTGCTATTACACAGCGGGTGATGGACCAGTATGCTGGAGCGAGGCCCAGTTCAAAGGGTGGCAACTCTGTTGAGGAAGATGGCTACTCAGAGATGGCTGCCAGCAGCGCCAGCATGTGGGACTCACCTGACCATGTGCAGACGACCATCAACCACCTCTCTTCCACCCTTGCAGGTGCCCTTCCTGCTGCTGCCTTCATGCAAGAGACCTATGCCCTTGCAGCAGGTTCTGCATGACTGGCCACTTCTGCTGCTTCTTGGACTTAGGTGGCTGTGCGAGAAGTCAAACTGCAACTGCACTCATCTGCTTGGTGCTGGCCTGTTCTCTACCACTCTGCAGACTTTGCTGAGATCCTAAATAACACCCATGTCTGCTTATTGCAGCCTTTGGACTCCCGTCTGATTTGTCGCTGCAATCAGATCGCACTGGGTTGGACGCCGCGCAGGCCTGCAAGGTACCTACTGATCTGTTTTTTGTTGACAATCTTGACAATCTTTAAACGCTAGTTATTTGCATCCTGCATCTCCCCTTGGCCCCGGCTAGTGTGGGGCAGTATAAATACGGACTACCGTGCCCACGGCTATATTGGGGTTTGCGTGGATCTTGCGAGTCCATCAAGGGGTAGCATTTGTGGCAGTCTTTACATGCAGCTTGTCTGCAGACGCACCGTGCCCCTGGCAGGCTCACCCAATGGTAGAAGTAATTGTGGCATTCACCGTGACCCCCGACCGCAGGTGCTGCATGCGCTCATAAAGCAGCGGCAGAGAGATGTGGAACGTGGCAGGGACGCCGCCGAACGCATGGCACGGCTGGCGCACGACCTTAAGGTCAGCAACCACCAGCGCGACAAGCTGGCGCAGAAATTCACCGCCAAGGAGCGCGAGCTTGGGGCGCTTGAGAATCGGGTGAGGCCATTGGCATTCTATAGCTTTACAGAGAAGAATTCGTCCAGGAGTGTATGTGCAGCTTTTAGGAAAAGCCTACGTCCTCAGAGAGCCAGCATGTCTCCGTGAACTCATCACATCAAGGGTGTAATCATGAAAGCACAATATAAAAACGTTTTGTCGAACCAACGCTTTGTCATCTTACACAGCATTTACCAAGCACACATGCAACCCGCTACGCATGCATGCAATGGGAAAGTCCGCCTGTTGGGATCTCCTGCAGTGGTCTTGCTTCCTGAAGCGGCACGCGGATGTGGCACAGATGCGGCTGAAGGAGACGGGGCAGAAGACGGAGCTGGCCAAGCTGCGGGCGGAGCACGCGGAGCAGGCCAAGGCGATAGTGGCGATGCAGCGGCGCGCAGTGCAGGCGCAGCACGAGATCCGGCGCAAGGAGCACGACTACGACCGCCTGCAGCAGCGCCTGCGGGACATGCTCACCGAAAAGGCACGCTCCATGCACATTCATTGCCCCTCTTTGGAGCGGCAAAGCGTACATTGCGGCAATACCTGAAGCCAGGAGGCTTTCACAGAACAGATGCTTCTGGAGATGTCCTTGGAGACCTTCTGCGACCTTGTAAGCCAGCACAGCATCCGCTCCCACAGATCAAGTTGGCTGGGCACTTCTTGGCTTCCCGGTGATACAGCCCTGCCTTACAGATTGCTAAGGCCCTTAGAATTGAAGTACTCATGTCCTGGGCTCTTGATCAGAAGATAATGGTCGGAGATCTATGTGATACTTGTATCTCACAGCAGTTAGCAAGTCGGCCTGTCTGCGATCAACAGATCTCTCGAATTGGGCCTTTTTTTACGAGGGCATGTACCAAGCAAGGACTGTAGAGAAGTTCAGGACTGTTGTGGCAAGCTGATGGTGTTGTGCGGGCTGGCCATGCAGAAACGGGAGGCCAAGGCGGCGCTTGAGGCGGCTGGCAAGCTGTGGGAGGACATGCATGGGCCGCAGGCGCGTCTGCGCAGGAAAGATGACGAGGTCTACCAGGTGCGTTGCACAGCCTTCAGCCCCACTGTGGAAGTTGCCGCTAGCTTACTCATGGTGGGATGCGTTGCATGGGCAAGCTGGATTTTCCTGATAGGTTTTAACTTAGGTTGCCGCATCACCTGAACGCATTCATTCACCCCGCTTCGGCTTGCGCAGCAAGATGTCGATATGTTGTGGCCTGGGTCAGGGCAGACATTCTGCACCCACATCATTTTTTGCTGTGGATGGGCTCAAGGCAATGTGTTGCCAAATTCTAGGCGAGCGGATTGATGTCGGGTTGTACTGCTTGCACCCTAGTCCTGCGGATCACGATGTGCACATTGTTTGGGTGTATGCAATCATCCTCATCGTGGAACATTCTTGGGATCGGTTGCTGCATCATGGCGAGGATGTGAGTGAATGTGGGGGCGCCTGATAATAGTCTGGGGTTACCTGCTGCGCAGAGGGTGGTGGCGGCGTATGAGGGGAAGCAGGCGGAGGTGCAGCGCGAGGCGGCCGGCCTGCGCGCAGCGCTGGAGCACCTGCAGAAGGAGCACCGTGCGCTTGTCAACCAGCAGGTGCGCGCATGTGACGCCGTGCGGTGTCACTGTATTTTTGTGGCACGTCAGGATCGAGCAACCAGGACCGAGACCAGCACTCTGTTGAGAGTCCTTGGAGTCATATTCTGTGCCGCACAAACAATGTCACACCATGAGACATGGCTCAAGTTGCATGCCGGCCTCAAAGATCTTACCATCATCGTTGCTGGGTCCAAAATTAGCGTTTTGGAAAGCTACTAGATGAAAATTCCTGGAGGAGCCGCCTGTCTTCCAGTGAATTGTGGCCGGGATGCTACTCAGACATCCCAATCCTGAGCTTATTAGTTGCAGCTGCAGCTGCAGCCGGTGTGTGCGGAGGAGCAGGTGCGGCAGCTTGCAGGAGATGATATGTCACAAGTAGCCATATTCAACACTTTGCTTCCTGGTTGAAGGGGTGTTTTGTGAAACCCGCGCAGGTTCGGCAGGTGCACCAGATGGCGGCTGCGCGCAGCCTGGTGGAGGAGGAGTTCCTGGGCAGCTTGGCCGGCCTGCCAGCCCCCCAGCTGCGCGAGCGCCTGGTCGCCAAGTTTGGCGCGCTCCAGGAGCAGGCCGCCGCTCTTGCCACCCTTGACGTCCCCGAAGAGGAGGTGCGCGGTTACCCAGCCTCTTCTTGTGTTCTCCTCCATTACATAGATCATGTGTCCTTGGGACTCCGAAGCAACGCCTTTATTCCAAATTAATTCCAGTTTGTACGTTTGATGCGGTGTCCTGTCTTATCTGGGTGTATTCGTGTCTCCTGTTACTTTCCATTGTCCACCATGCATGCAAGATGGCATTGGGGTGCATCCTTGTTGGAAAGGCATCCCACCATTAGAGATGCTGTGTGGGAGAGGGGCTTCTTGAACACCGCAACAGGTCTTCAGAACAGGCCTAAATAAGAAGTCCTGCACGCAGGAGCTGACGACGGTGGCGGAGCACCGGCTGGGGCGCGCTTTCAGAAGTGGGCGCACGCTGGTGAGGGACCAACAGGCCCTGGCCAGCGCAGCGCTCGCTGCCCTCACACGCGCCGCCGAGGAGGCCCGCACAGCCACCACGGTGCAGCCTCCTATTGTTCCTGTCCTGCTCTTACGCACTTGCACAGGATCACATACATTGATGCACGGGGGGGTGGCATTCAATCGCTCAAAAGATACAGCTGTGGCCCTTCAAAGAAATGCCAACAAATGCCAACTCAGCATTGCATGCCTGACAGTGCCACAGTGTTACACGTTTTGTTTGCGCGTCAAAGCATCCCACTTCAAAAAACAGCCCAAATTTTGGGGGGATCAAGGCAGATGTATGGCGTGGAAATTAGACAATTGAACCCGATCATTGGCAAGCAGGAGGCGACGGAGGCAAAGGCTCGCGCAGAGGTGTCGGCACGTCGTGCGGACAAGATGCTGGCGGTGGCGCGCAAGGCGGCCGGGGAGGTGCACGCGGCGCGCGCCCTGGCCGACGCCGAGCGCGCCGAGAAGGCCGAGTACCAGTCCGCCAAGGAGCGGGTGCGAAACTTGCTGTCCCTCATGCCCATAATTGCCAGGCAACCATGATGCTCAAGATCAGTGCCTCTCAAGCTCCCTCTTTGGGCTCTCCGCTTGCTACACCAGCAAGGCTTCATGGCCTTTTTGCTGCAGACCAGCAGGTCCAGATCTGATGGAGTTGGATGTCGCAGTGCAAGGGACATTGCCCTATATGCAAATCGAGTGAACCTCGCTGTGTGCTCACAGCATTAGACCTTATGCTGCATTGCCACTATAGAAGCAGTTACGACCTGGCTTATCCTGAGCACTGCCCTTTGGACAATGGAGCAAAGCCCTGACGCAGGTAAGTTATCCCCTGACACAGGTATCGGCAAGTAGGTAGTCTGAGGGGCCGATGTGCGCGCAGGTGGAGGCTGAGGCTGCAGAGAAAGAGCGCGCGAAGGAGGAGGAGGAGCTGCGGCTGCGCGAATTGGAGCGCGACTACAGCGCCACCGTCGCCCGCCTCGAGCAGCGCGTGCAGCAGGCCGACCAGCAGTCCCAGCTCAAGGTGTGCTCTTTCGTATCCAGGCATCAGACCCACCGGATGCAGTGGTGACTACTGAGTGGTCGTGGGAATGATGCATGCAAAAGACACCCGTTCCGGCATTTGGGTCGCTGCATGCTTTGGGTGTTTGAGGCCCTCAACATGGCCTTGCGGGCAAGTAGAAGAATTGCGGTGTCCCAGAACTTTAAAGGAGACGGCCATCAGCTTCTCAGACTTGTCAGCGCGCATTGGAAACAGGAAATGCGGCAGGCACAGCAGAGCACTCTGGGCGTCAGCCAGGCAGACTAAACAGAAGGTGCCAGCCAAAAAGACAAGAGTGATTCGCCTTGTAACGAGGGTGTGTGTGAGGTCAATCCCTGTAATATATTTCACTGGCGCGCAGGGCAAGGCGGCGCAGGAGGAGGCGGCGCGGCTGGCGGCGGCGGTGGCGGAGGAGCAGCGCAACGTACGGGCGGCGCTGCAGGCCCTCGAGACCGAGCGCGCGCGACTCACCGCCGTGGCCGAGGCCGAGAAGGCGCGCCTGCAGAAGCAGGTGCGAAGAAAGCTTGACCCTGAGATCTGCTCGTATGTGCCTGGTTGGTGCATGGTGATTACCTACTGTTGAGACGTCCTTTCACTCTCATGCATGGCAAGAAGGTGTGAGTGCACCCTTGAAGGATGGGACATGGCATGAGTGAGCTCCAATGTTGGTTCAGACTTATTCTGGTCGTTGTCTGGCGTTTCAATTGATTTTCCTTTGTGATCGGGCAGCGTTATGGTGTGTGCACAGGCGTTTGAGCTGGGCGCGGCAAAGTGGGAGTTTGAGAATGCGCGCAAGGCGTTTGGCGACACCATGCGCAAGTTTGCCCCCGGCGGCGGCGCCGGACACTTCCTGGCCAACGCCATCGCCCGCCGCACCGACCGGGTGAGACATATTTGCCGCTCACAATTGGAAATTGTTCAACAGCATTACAGAGCGCACCCATCGGCTTGGGACGGCACCTGACAGAAGTTGCACTTGCACTTATGTGTTTGGTAAGATCTGAAGGCGAGTGACACATGCATGTCAATGATGAAGCCCAGTAGAGATCACAGGTCCGTGCAAATGCGCAGGAAGCACAGAGCCGCAGCGCAGCGGACGGCGGCGCGGCGCAGGCGGGTCAGCGTGCAGTGGCGGAGCTGTCAATGAATCTGACTGCAGAGGAGTCTGACGCGACTTTGTTGGACGCGCGCTCAGCCGCCACCTCGCCGACCCGGCCACCGTCTCCGGCGCGGCCCATGATTGCCGCATGAGACTGTGAATATAACATGACCAATCTCGAATTGTCACATGTTCGGCTGTGCTGATCTGGTGGCAGTAATCTGGGTTTGCAGATGAATACAGGCCGCTGCTTGTATGTGAGCAGGATTGTTGGCAAAGCTGCACTGTGGGGACTGTTGGCAAGCTTGGCAGCTTGACGCCCAAGTGAATAAGTCTTGACAGCATCAGGAGACTTGTTCGCTGCGCCTGTTGAGTACCCATGTTCCCAGCTGACTTAGCCGCAATGGTTCATAGTGACAATGAATGAGAACCGTTATGAAACGGAATGGATGCAGCATGACAATGGGAAGCGAGTTGATCGCACGATGCTGTTGTGGATGTCATAAATAATGCAAAAATTGTGCGACAATCACGACTGCCTTTCTATCTTTTGCTTTTAATGGTACACGCATGGTCCTCTCTGTAGAGTCTTTGTCATTTGGTCAACTTCCACGACACTCTCGAGGGTTGTAATCAATTATCGAACAAAAACCACGTGCTTTAGCAAACAGAGACCTGAAGGCACGATAACATTCCAACTGAACAGCACGATTCACAAGGGTCAACCGATATTGAAACAGAACCCCCATGCGTGAGCTCACTGCCCGCTGAGCAGCGCCTTGGCCTCTTGCTGCTGCGCCTGCAGAGCAGGGGTGGAGTACTTGGCCAGCAGCTCGGCCTTCTTCTTCTCCACAACGCGCGCCTCGATCTCCTTCTGGTCCGGCAGCGGCACGTATGCCACGTACTGGGGCTCGTCTGACGCAGCGTTACCGTCATCCATGCCCCCCGCCACTCCTGCCAGCGCGCTCTGCCGCTCCGCCTCCTTCTCTGCCCACTCCTCCATCAGCTGCGCATTATGGAGCACACAGCTGATCAGCACTTTTGAGTTGCACACAAACTGGGCAAAACTGAGTCCTGTGACACTCTGAAAAGACGATTGCCAATATACGTAAAGGGCTGGTCAGCCCAAGTGGGCCTTCACTCCTGCCAACCAGCACATCACAGCTGGGTTCAATACGGTGAGTCACCTGGGATCCTCTGTGCTTCAGAGCTCCCCACACGAGACTTCACAAACACAGGCATGGCAATCCAACCAGCCCAAAGCAAACCCAACTACAGGTCACCTGATTGCTAGAGAACAGAGAGAAACACCTGTGCTTTGACTGTGCGCACCTTTTGGCGCACGGCGCGCTCAGCCTCGGCCTCCACTCTCTCCAGGACGCCATCCTCCTCGTCGCGGAAGCCGTAGTAGTCCGCGTTGATGTGCGCATACATCTGGTGCCGCGTGCGCCGCAGCTGCCGTGGGGCCTCCTTCTCAAACAGCTCCTTCACCCCCGGCAGCTGCTTGGCGGCTCCAAAGTACCTGCATGCGCCGCAGCAAACAGCATCAGTGCTATGGCATCTGGTGGGCCATTGGTACCCGAGGCTTTGTGCGTGTCTGAGCACTGCATCAGATGGATCGAGGCAGGTGATCAGCTTTAAGAGCACGATATGTGCCAGTGTTAAAGGTGCTGAGGAGAGAAGCACTTGTATGAGCATCTCACAACCTGCAGGACATCTAACACAAGCTATAGAGCCGCAAGGCAGGTCTGTACTACGTGCCTGCAGCGCAACTTATTTCACTGCATTCAAGAAACAGTTTGGCAGGTGGATAATATGCATGTCTTGAGAGTGAGACAGAGTGTCCATTACAGCTCACCTGTAGCCGCTCCCCTTCCCAGTCGCCCCTTGGATCTCAAATCCCTGGCTGTCCTGCACCTTGGGAGCGTTCTTGGCATAGTCCGGACCCCCCAGCTCCACAATGCGCTTTTCCCAGTGCCCCTTCTCTCGAATCAGTTTGTTGATCTCGTCGTTGAGGTCTCGTATTCTGCGCGCACGATCATAACTCAGCATTTGGTGCCATCACAATCACGCTGCAGCACAACATTGCTGGGCTCTCAAGGATTGAGAAGCTGGAGGCAACAAGATGCAACTTTCATTTCATGCAAACTGCAAGTTCATTGGCAGCATGCAAATGATTGGGGGGAACAAGAAACATACACCCCACCTGTGATCGCCAAGGCCGGCATTTTGGATTTCCATGACCTTGCGCCCAATCTCCCGCAGGATCTGCTGCCGCCATTTGTCTGCCTCCACCACATCATGGCACTCTGTGGCCAGGTACGGACGCTTCTGCTTAGGCTCCTTTCCCTCTGCAGCCTTTGACGCCAAAAGCCTGCATGACGTGCCAGGTGAATCATAAATTCTGTGATTCCCCACAAGAGAGCACGCACAGACGCGCACAGATGCGCTGCAAAGCCAGCAACAAGATGGTATTACAGGCAGAGTTGCATTCTTCCTTATCCATCTGTGTTGATGGGACAAGGCATCAGCTTTGATAACTTGCATATGTGCGACAGAGGCACAGAGGCTTTTTGCCACATGATATCATATTGAACCTTTGTTGACAGGAGAACACTGAGATCCCCCTTGGCAGCTCACCTGTTGAGCATAGACTGCGCCTTTTCTTCATTACGAGCCATTTCTGCACCTTTTTCTCACAAGCGCGTGCGGGATCTGCCCTTCCTACGCCCGCAGTTTCGCTGGAAGGAAGGAGACTGCTCAAGGGCCAACAAAACCCACGTCGTCGAAACCGTCGATGTCAGTGCGAGGAACAGTCAGGATTTTCCACACTCCGAAAAAGTGGACAGATCTCTCAGGATGTCGTGATGGGACAAATTGCACTGCAATAAGAATAAGCAGATTGTGTTGGCTTCTTTGTTTCTCAACAGACCGGCAGCTAAATCCCTACGGTCGCATGTGACGTGAAACCGACACTGATGACCTTGTAAAGCTGGAATGTCTTGATCTGATTTGATTACTGGCCTGTGTCTCAACCTCATGCACAAACATGCAGGGTGACTCATCACCCCACAGCCTGCAAGAGTTTGTAGTATTCTCCCCAAAGGACTGCTGATTGGTCTCAATCGCACAGCAAGAATGTGACAACAACGCCATGGTCTGTGTTTGATCTCCAGAGGAGGCTTCCTCCTGGTCCGAAAGGTGCGACAGCCCCACTAGTTGCCCGCCCTGCCCATCTGCTCTGCTCTGCTATATTGCAGCTTTTACGCGTGTCGTGTGTACTAGCCACAACATAATGGCATGTTCCTTAAAATTAGCTGTAATTTGCACCATCGACTCCATACGTGCTGTGTGCAGACAACAGTCTCAAGATTCATTTAAGAGTACTTGTATGTGCTGCTCAGATCCCTGCTCGACACATCATGCCAAGCTCGTGGATTGTGGTTGAGGAGCACGTGTTCGTCTGTCAGTGCCGCTTGAGTAGAACACATCAGAGGAAGTGGAGAAGCACGTGAACGAGCGCAATGGCGTCTCCACTGGATCACGGGTGAGAAGGCACCTATACTTCCTTGACACATTATCTGAGTAAGCAGATGACACTGGACACTTTCTAGCGACGTGCAAAAATAGTGATGCCTAGAGATGCCTCGTCACAAACCCTGGCCACCAAGCATACGTTTAGATTGTAAATTTAATGGTATTGCAGGGGCGGGCAAGGAGGAGCTGGTGTTCCAGTAGAGGACAAGGCCGTCGCATCAGCTATGACAGCCCCATCGGCCTTGGACCAATACTTCATGCCGCCCAATCTTGCCGCTCCCCCAGGCTACCTGCGCAAGAGTAGAGCTGCACCGGCTCTGCCGCATGCGCCCAGCGGTGAAGGCAGCAAACACCGCAAGAAGACGGAGCTGGATGACTGGCAGGTGCCAATCTCATTCTATGCAGTGCTTTTCCAGTTTCAAGCCATCTATACGCCTGATTCTCCGGTCGTAGCGCGGCAGTTCAACTGCTACCTCCACCTGCAAGGCATTTCATCGAGTTGCTGTCCGTCTTGGCTTGTTGCTGCATGCATAGTGCGGGCGCATCTTGACATGCATTGCATTCTGGCAGCCGTGCAGCAGCCTTGCCTTTTGGACTCACAACTGGGTCATCATGCCATGCAGGGCATTCCGCACCTGCGCAACCCAACGCAGCAGAACTACATCAGCATTGCGATACGCTCTGGTCCGACATATGTCCTGCTGCATGGCGTGCCGGAGCACTGCAGGCACGTTGTGGAGGACCTTGCAAGGACTATGCATGACTGCGAGTATGTCCGCCTGTACAAGCCATGCGAGACCTACCTCGCCATCTTTGTGTTCCCCAACACCAATGGTAATCTCCGCGCTTGCTCCGCAAATCTACGCTTTTTGTCAGCAACATTCTTTCCACTTGTTCCTGGTAATTTCGTGACAAATCTTCCCTTGCTTGGTTTTTGGATTGTGTCCTCCCGGATCTGCATGTAGCACAAGGAATAGAGCATTGTTGATGGCAAGTGGTCTTGGTGGTGGTGACATGAAAGTCTCGCATGGACTTACCTCTATTATTGTTTGCTGGTTTTGCTCTGCAGCTGCTCAGAAGGGGTATGGAATCATCCTTCGACACGTCAACGAGTGCTCCCCGGCTTTGAACTGGTTCCCACACAAGATCTCGGTACGTCAGACTTGGCCCTTGCCCCCTGCTGTATTCTGCCTCACAATGATGCACACTTGCCACCGGCCATATCTGCTGCAGATAGTGTCGAGTCGCTTTCGCGTGACGCCTGCATTTTCAAAAGCCATATTTTTTGTATGTGCAGCTCATTGCCAGGACAGGCCTCATGCGGCCTCTGGTCCGGCTACCCAGGCTAAGGGAGTTGGTAGATGCATCCAGACATGCGGCTGCAAGTGGGTGCCCACTACCCTCTCTGCACCCTTGCAAATGCTGCCATCCATGCATGCTGTCAGCAGCTTCTTGATGCCTTGTTGATGTGAATGTCCGTGTTTATTGAAGAGCATCGTGTTTAAAACGTGATTCTGAAAATGCTCTGAATTGGTGCGCTGAAAGCTGAATGATTGCGCTTGCATAGCTGCCACAGATGGCATTGCTCTGGAGCTGCACCCAGCTGCTGAGGCCCAGACACTCACAAAGAGCCATGCAGCTGCTGAAGAGGAGAGATCGCCCCCGCCGCCGCCTCTAGAGCTCCCAGAGGAAGCCATACTCCTCCCCCCAGGGCATGTGCTCCCGGATTGGGGTCGCAATCCCCAGCAGGCGCCCCCGCCTCTGCCCGATGCGCCGCCCCTGCCCGATGCGCCGCCCCTTCCCAGTGACCCACCGCTACCCCCTGCGCCCCCTCTGCCATCCCCGGTGGACTCACAGACCCCGCCGCTGCCCTGGGCAGCCGGCACCAGTGCAGCCGGGCAGCCGGTGTCGTGGCAGTCTGGACCAGATGCAGGCAGCTCTGCACCCTGGACCAAAGGCGCAGTGGAGCCCAGCGGATCGATGCCCTGGGCCAATGGCACGGCTCATCTCCCTCCGCACCTGGCCAAGCAGGCGTTGCCGCCGCCGCCTGCAAACCCCCTGCCCTCTGCAGGCCCCTCAGCTCTTGCAACAGGTAAGTGACTCGCAAACATCAATCTCCTCTTGCTGCCACTGCATTTGCTGATCTAGACTAAACTAGACTTCGGTAGCTTGTGTGTTGCAGTCTTCTGCAAAGCATGTCATCCCTTACGGGAGAACGCTAACATGTCCTTTTTCAGATGTGAGTGGGTCCAAGTGGCGCGTGCGTGTAGAATTTGGCAAGAAATGGTTGCCATCATTGGCACTGTGACCAACAGGAGCTGCAGCAGCGAGGAATGGCTCTCAGCCCAGCACCAGCGGCACGCCGCACCAGGGCACCAGACCATCGCAGGCAGCGACACCGTCCAGGAGGTACGGCAGGACACCAACCGGGAGGCGGCCAGTACCGAGGACCGCTGTGCAGCCGGCTGCAGCCAGCAGCAAGCCAGCAGACCCCGCTCCCACCCGGAAACCCGCCCAGTCCTTGCAGCAGCCAGCAGTCGCTCGGAAACCTGACCTGAACGCTACCACAGCCGGCAGCAGCAAGCCCGCCGTTGCTGGCAAGCCTGCGCATCCGAGCGCCCGGGCTGAGACTGCAGACAGGCGCAGCACGCCGCGGCGCAGTGCCTCCCAGGAGAGGATCAACGGCCGCCACGGGCGTGTCAGCAGGAGCGCGTCGCTCGAGCGGCGGCTGAGCAGTCGCAGGTCTGTCGACAGGTCCGGTCGGGACACCAGCTACAAGGACATCCAGTACCGCACGCGCAGAAGTCCTGGGGGGCATGGCAGCGGCAGCTCCCGGGATCCGCACAGCCGCGGCAGGAGCAGATCCGGGGAGCGCGGCCGGCGGCCGTCAGAACGGCGCGCGGACATCTTGCAGCCGCACAGGCAGCCGCCCAGCCGCTCGCCTGTGCGGCGGGCATCGGCCAGGCGGCCCTCTTCTGTGCACAGCAGCCAATCTCCTGTCAGGCGCGCGCCGCAGCGGCGCTCATCGGCCCACCGCAGCCCCTCGCCCGGCCGGCCCGGGAGCGGTAATCCCGCTGAGAGGAACGGCCGCAGCGCAGATGCGCACCCCCCAGAGAGGCCCTCATCTAAGAGACCCCGGCCGCGCGAGAGCGACCGCGCCGTCCGGCTGCCGCAGAGGAAGGAGCCATTGCCCCTTGATCAGAGCCGCGCAGATGAGGCCATGCGCAATGACAGGTCAGAGCAGCGCAAGTCTGGCACGCCCCAGGACCAGAGCAGGCTGTCCAGTGCCCCCATGGACACCCGCAGCAAGCGCGCGCTGGCCGACGGTCCGCCTAGCGAGCGAGCTGCCAAGCGGCCGCGCGGGCAGGACAGCGCGAGAACCGAGCACAAACAGCATGGCAGTCAGGTGGAGGTAGAGAGTGCAGAGGGCGACGCGCAGGTCGCTTCAGTCAGCAACGCGCGCAACAGGCAGCAGAACAGCAGGTGGGACTCTGGGGCACCAGGCAATCCCAGAAATGCACCCAGCAACGAGCAGGTGGATGGCTCTCAGAAGCAGGCAGGCAGTGCGGAAGGAGCTGACAGGACCGCCCAGGCTGCAGCCAATGGGGGCCGTCGCGTCTGGGTGGATGATTGGCCTGGAAGTTCCGAGCATGGCAGTGCACAGCAGCCGTTCTCTGATGCAGCAGAGCCCAGCTCTGGACAGCTGCCCAACTCTGCGCATGCGTGGGAAAAACAGAACAGGTTTCCCGCTGAGAGTCTTCATACCCAGTCAGCAGTCCAGCAGATCAGTGGCACAGAGCATGTCAGAGTCTCGAGTCCAGGTCCGAGCCATTCTGAATGGCATCGTGAGGTCTGGTCGAGTGAGCAGCAGCCGGGGTCTCTTGACACCGCCAGAGGCCCATATCGGCAAGTCAAAGTTCCCTCCACACCAGAGCAGGTTCGCCTTGGTAGCAAATCTAGCGAGGGGTTGCAGGGGAAATCCGGTCATAGAAACTCCAGAGCTGTCGAGAGTGTGCCTGCCATGCGTGACGGACCCAGTGGAAAGGGCGCGCACCATATGCAGAATGGTGCTTCTCACCGCGGCATGAATGGAGGGCCGTCCTCCCACAGTGGACCCTCCAATGGCACCATGTCAAGGAAGAGCGCGGGCATGAAGGACATGAAGGGCATGAAGGACAGCATAGTGCGGTCGAGCCGTGCCTCCCGCCAAAAGCAGGTGCATGATCCACGGAGTTCCAACACCCTGATGTTTGATAGCTCAATGCAAAGATATCAACAGCAATTGAGCAAGGAGCCAAATTAGGACGTGACCCCAAAGTAGCAAGGTAGATGTAGACTAGTGATTTCAATCAAAGACCCTTTCCCCTGACAAATGTAGCAATCTCCAAGAGATTGGTCAAATAGGCATTTTTGATGATCCCAATGAGTCTCTTGCAACGGCTTTTGTGACGGCATGCAAATTTGCATACCTTGAACCTTTCTTGAGAATCAATGTGAAAGCAAGAGTGCAAAGCAATGCGACATGATAGGTGTTCTTCTGAAGCATTGCATTTCTTGTGAAGGGGTTTTGCCATGCGTACAGGTCTCTGGAGTGCCCAAGAATTTGAGGGTTTTGCCTGGGGATGTTGCACGACGGCTTCAATCTCTTCTGCAAAAGCATCATCACACTCTCAGGTACATTCCATACATGCTTTCAGTGAACTTCTGACATCTACCGGTACCAAGCCAACAGAACTTTGCTCGTGTGGCTTAATCTTCCCGGGGGATGATCATGATTTTGTCATCGGCACTCAGCAGCAATGTATAAATCCAGAGACTCTAGAGCCTAATGTGATTCGTGACATTAGGTTATCATGTATATACCTTTCAATTTTCCATTTGCAGGCTAGCACACTTCAGTGAAGCGATTGTCGCCAAGCTCAGCAAACTCGATCCCGATTCCGCCCATCATGCTGTGGACTTAATGAAGGAGAAGGATTGGACCCGGGTGAAGAACATCCCTTCCATGATTGGGAGTTTTATCAAGACTCAGGAGCTCAAGACCGCCCAGGATCTTGCAGCCACCGTCGCTGGACGTCAAGAGTGTTTGCACCCCCAAGGCATGTTGCGCAACGACCACGGATTCACCCAGGTTGGGGCTTACCAATCTCCATGTAGCGACGTTGGAGGCCCTTTCGATTTCAACGATGCTTCCTACAATCCTCTTTGCGAAGGAGACGTGGACATCAATGGACTTCAGTTCATCCCTTTCTGAGTAATTACTATAAGGTGCACTGTGCAATTAATGTGACGTGCACGTTTGTACACCGCAATGGCTTGCATGTACATGTAGTGTTTGATACGGATGTACATGTTTCAAATGACCTTTATCAAGAATACAATCATGTAAATCTCCGTGTCTTGGCCCCGGTTGGCGGGGGACGATACAAATACTGAGCACCGTGCCCACGGTTGATTGGGTCTTGCTTGGATCTGGCGAGTCCAACAAGGAGTAGGATTGTGGCAGCCTTTAACTGCAGCTTGTCTGCAGGACGCACCTTGCCTCTTGGCAGGAAAAGCGTGTAAGAAAGAAATCTCCGTGTCTAGCCCTTTCATGGCCATGTGCTCCATGGACTTGATCGACTTGTATGGCAATATTGCAATATAGCATTAATGCTAAACATGATGTTTTTGGAACTTCCTTGAAGGCTCCTGGAGACAATTTTTGAGCTAATGTTTGAACATTGGTAATTTGATCTTTGGCAGACATATGCCGGATGCATCACAAAGTCGAATTAAGGAAGCCCACATCAAAAGCTTAGCACTGCCGACATCGTCGGAAGCTAGCATATACAAGTACCGAAATTCGTACGTAAGGGGCGGAATCATATGAAAGCTTCCTATGAGTCACTTGATGATCATGATGACTCGGAAGGTGGCACCGCCACCACGGAAAATGCGTCAACGGGCGCCCCGTGTATATGAGAAATTGGCGTGTGCCGATTTCATAGAATCTTCAAGGACCATGCGAATTGTCCAATCACCAGCACCATATGGCATCCGTACGAACCGACCGACGCATCCTACTCTAGTGCCGTATGGGGCTGTTACATATCTCAGAGCACTGCTATGGCATATGGGTCTGATTGTGGTGGTCAGCTGCTCTGAATTGGCCTTTTGTGCTCTGTATCACGCTATATGCGTTGCCCAAGGTCCAAGGAATCTTGTGGACGCTTGGCAATGAGGTTCAAGCTTGAAGAATCTTCAAGCTTGAACTGTTGCCAGCACTGCAATGCTTATCGGATGCTGATGGAGACTAGTGGGTCTTCTGATCACTGATATTTATGAGATTGGAAACACCTGTATAGGTGTTTATATTATATAATTATATATATTATAATATACTAATATTGTCACTGGTGGTTTTCCCGATCTTACACATAGCGCCATGCCCAGGGAAGCTACCCCATGGACTCGACCAATTGCAATTTGCACATAGGGTAATTACAAGTATAATAATTAACCCATATATACACTAACTAACTTTGGAGAGTTCCGGCATGCCCAATTCAATTGGCAAGCACTGCAGGTGCGCACCCACTATCATGGTTATCATAGTGTGGCCGGCCGGCCGCGGCCGCGGCGCCGCGGCCATGATGACTGATGGCGCCTTGATGATTGATAGCAGTATGGCTAATATTTGCAGAGGTCACCGCACGCGTAGGTAGTACGATCATCGTACGAGGCTGGTAGTGCAAAACTACTGTGGGTGGCATGGTGCCGCCGGCAGTTGTATCGATACGGCCATATGTTCCTGGGTCAAGGGTCTGCCCGTTGACTCGCATCTTGTATCTATTTCAATGCTTGTGTCAAGGATTCCATAGAGACATCATGTGATTGTGGTAGATCCAGAAGTTGCAAGTGTTTGCTTATTTCAATGCTTGGCTGACCAGATCAACTTGGACCCTGATCAAGCTGTGATCTGTTGGCTATCAAGGCGAGCTCACAGCTTTCAACTACTTTGCGTTCTCGGCACTTTCGCTATCCACCAAACTACTTAGTAAGCCTACCGGTTGGTTGCTCACTCCTTGTTATCAATGCACCATATCTGGTGCATGGTGTCTAGACACGCCATGACTCAGAGTTCGGAACTCTGCATGGTTCTAGTTGCAAAGTCCCTTTGGTGCCTTGCCGGCAGTGAAGCAAGGGCCTTGATCAATTCATCAGCCTCACTGAGTCTCAACGGTTACAACATATGCTGCGCTGTTCGTGGGGCCCCGGCCAAGCCGGACTCATATCTCTGACCTCAGTCCATGGCTCCCATCTCTATCTCAAAAAATTCTTACGCCAAGCCTACATCATCATCATGTCAACATCAACTCTAGCGGCATAACCGTGTTGCAGTCAGCATCATTTGAAAAGTCATTTCCGCAGCTTCCTCGACGGGGCAATGGCTTCCCAGCCACCTGATCTGAGTCATCAAATTATAGCCGAACACTGCCACGGTTGTGCATTTCCCAGTGGTTGCCTTCCATCTAATGGATACATCTTTCCTTCAATCTTGAAATACACGTTCGTAAGAATTCGTAAGTAACATGTCCGTGCAGTTGCACCGCTTGGAAAGCTTTTGTTTGGCGTGCCCCATAGTCAGGCATCAAGTAAGCGGTAGGTATAATCTGCCTTCCAAAGGAGTGCTGCATCGCCCTGGGAGTGTTACAAAGCTCAGCGCAAAAGATTGCACCGAACATCGCAGGTGATCCTTGTAGTGAGAGATCCCCAGATCTGCATATTGGCTATGTGTGATCGGGCTTTGGCTTTCTGTAAAACAATGCACCGGCAGCTTGGAAGGCCATTCCTTGCCGCATGGAAATGATGTTAGGCCTTTTCTTGCAGCCTTCGTTGCAGTGCAGCCATGGAAACTCGACAAGCAAAGGAGGCAGAGAGCAGCACGGGGACATCTGGGCGAGGCTTGCAATACACCACTTATGAGGCTAACGCCTGGGGTGCTGTCTTCTCAAAGTCAGGCATGTCCCATGATCTGATTCATTGTGAGAACCAATGCCAGTAGCTTGCAAAAGACTCGCGCTTTCCAGATCTTACTGGCAAGAAACGAAGTAAAGGTGCACGAGCCTTTGATGGAGCAGCTTTTCATCCTGTACCAGCTGCTGCATTGTTTGCTATATTAGGATGTGCTCACCAAATAGCAGGTGCATGAGAGCAGCTGCACACAAGATTGCTCAGTCGTTTCTTTTCTGCTGGGAGCAGTACAACAGGCCTGCAAAAGGTATTGCTTACTTTGTGTTCTTCTGGCCGCACAGGTGTCAGCATCCTGGTGGACCCATGGCTAGTCGAGGAGCTTACATTTGCAGGGCAGGCCTGGCTGTATAGGGGCAAGAAAACCCACATCCCTCCACTGGACCTGAACAAGATAACAGAGGGAGTGGACGCCCTTATTCTCTCACAGGCAAGCAGGATTACCTCCTTCCCTTTCCAGAGCGTGATTCATTACCTGTTGATGATTTATGTGGACAGATTTCATAGGCCTTGACAGAGTCTGTCAGCCAGACATCATCTCTGCCCCCATGGATGGATGCTGGGAGCAAATATATGTCTGGCTAAACTAACGTCTGTCAAGCCTTGCACCATGCGCAAGCCATGCTTAGCAAGCCCCTTGGTGGCTCCGACTCTCAGTCTTCGACTACACCTGTGCTGGTCAACAAGCAGAGCTTAGGAAGATCTAGGAATCTGCATGTTTCTGCACGGAGATGGGAATTATTCCTTCCTCAAATCCGTAAAATTATAGTTACCGTATATAAAGCTAGTCCCCAAATACGGGATGATCGCCAGACGGCTTTCTGCCCTTCACGCAGGGGTTGCCGGACCATGCGCATGTGCCCACGCTGGAGCGATTACCTAAGGATTTGCATGTCGTGGCATCGCCAGCTGGCGCCAAGGTGGCGGCCGGACTGGGCTTCAAGAATGTGACTGCGCTGGACCACGGAGAAGAGATCGCCATCGCAGACGGGAAGATGACCATCCGCGCCACAGCAGGTGCCTCAGGCCTTCAATAGGAGTAATTTAATAGACCAGCAAGTTCCTTCAATTGCATCAGTAAATGGGGTAGGGGTGATTGTTGTGCATCTCTGCAGAGGCAACTGGCCCTCTGCTGCAACAAAGACGCTTCCCAGTATCCAGATACTTGTAAAGAACACTACTGAGGGCCTTGCAGGCTGCTTGCACATGGAGCAGCCTTCTTGTGTACAATGGTACTGAAATGATTAAATTTGTGGGCTTTCGGGACTCTTGAAGGTTGCCAGCAATTGTACTGATTTGAATATTTTGAGGACTGTCAGGACCTTGAAATCGCTTACTGGTGAATGTGCTGTTCTAATGGCTGTGTGTGGGCTTTCAAAACTTATTAAAACCTTGTCAAGGTGCATAACACAACCTGCAAATCATTGAAATCTTGGCTGTGTTGTTGGGTGCAGGTGCACTTGTGGGCCCCCCATGGGCCAAGAGGGAGAATGGCTTTGTGTTCAGGGAGCAGGTGCCGGACGGCATAACCCTTTACTACGAGCCGCACTGCGACTACGATGAGTCATCGCTGGCCGGGGTCGACTCCGCTGACATCGTCATCACCCCCTGTGTCAACCAGGAGCTCCTCAATTACCCCCTGGTGCGCCTAAATTATTGCCCTATCCGGCTATGTCTTCTGCACATCAGTGCTCAGCATGCTGTAGTAAAGCGCCCTCCCTACAGTTGATCTCGTCAGCGAAGGCCACAGGATTCCACGGATCTGGAGCACAGCACTCTTTGCTGCATCTCCCTGTGATACACAAAGTTCTCTCGCTCCCGGCAGCAATTCCCGGGCTCTTGACAGGATGCACTACACTTGAGATGCACAGCGTGAGTATCATGGCACCATCACCGCGAGCAATTGGGAAGTGAGCTTGAACAGCAGGTTCTGGAGGGTGACTTGAAAAGTTGGAGGATGATTTTCACCTTGAATTTCTGATAGAGTGGCTCAGAGGCCTTTCTGGGCCCTTTAATTATCCATAATCAGTACCGATCTTTGATCAATCCAACACTGAAAGATAAATAGCGCCAATCCCAATCAAGAATTCAAAATTGAGTTCTGGGCTGTTCGCGTTGCAGGTGATGGGCAAGGACAATGTGGTCGGCCTGCTGAAGAGGCTGCGGCCGTCAGTGCTGCTACCGCTGGTGAATGCAGAGTTCGACTCGGAGGGGCCACTCTCAAAACTGATCTCTGAGAAGGGCAGCGTGCAGGAACTGGAGCCGCAGCTGCAGCCGGAGGGCCTTGAAAATGTGCGCGTGCTTGTGCCCGAGCCGGCAAAGCCACTTACCGTGGAACTGTGAGGGTGGCAGTGTGACTGTGAGTTCATGTGTGTGAGAGGTGTGATAAAGCTGACAGCTGCTGTTGATGGGAAGGGTGGAGGCTTATGTGGATCCAGACACTCGGACGCAGGCATATGTTGGTGATTGACCAGTTTGTTCATTGTATGTGTTTGTTCTTGGCCATGTTAAGATGCGCGTGCTGCTAGGAGCGCTTGCAATTGGCTTATGGTATGATGGGCTGCTGATGATATCACTTTAAGATCAGCTGCGGTTGCCCAGTACGGTATCCTCTCACAGGCTTGGTTGTTCTTTCTGAACACGTGGTGCATATTTTGCATAGTGACAACAGCAACAAGCAGCAACCATGAAGTCATTAAAGCATCCAATCTTCATGTGCTGATTAAGCATTAAGCAACCTGAAGGCAAGGCTTCAGAGTAATCTTCCTTCCTTCCTTCAGAGTTCAGGTCTGCTCAAATTTGTTTCGGATACAAAAGTCAACTTGGTTCCTGATTTTTCACGCTCATCATACGAGCAACATGCAGCAAGGATCATTGGCCGGCTCATGATGCTCTCGCGCAAGCTTGTCAAAAATGAGAATCTCAGCCATACTGCACATTACTGTCATCGTCTCAAGGATGACGCAGGCCTGCTTGTGAGGTGGACCCCGTTCTCAGCCAGCTTGTAGTTGAGCAGGCGCGTGTGCTGCATGCGCCCACTGCTTCCAGGTAGGTGGCTGCTAGGAGACTGATCCAAACCAGGCGGCAGCGATCTCTGCTTCACCACGAGCTGCATGGAAACAGCAGAAAACATCTTCTGATGCTCTACTGTAACCTCTCATTGGCAAAAATACACCAATTGACACAGACTAAAGCTCTCAGAAAAGACTTAGTTTCCATATGACACATGCCATTGAGTGACTGCAGTTGAGATGCTGCTCCATACATGTGCACAATTAAGGCTGTCTCACCTGGCCCGTGATATCCATGGCCTGCCCTGCCTCAAGAGCAACCACCTGAATAACAACCTGCACAAACAGCAATGGCCATTGTTCAAATGAGCCAAAGGCAGCCTCCATAACGCTGTGACGACCATTACAGAATTGCACCTTGCTGTTGCATATCGCTCAAGACACGCTCAACGGCCCGCCAAGAAATAATGTGCACCTTTGTGGCTGCATGACTCTTAAATGTAGATGGCAGTGACAGACTGCCTACAAGACCAATGAGCCTCAGGTGGCTACCACAAAATCTCTAAAATGTGATAATAATATAATAATTTAATTACACAGACGTAAGAGCATGTGGACTGTTCAATAGGAGGGCTTGCCTGGGCAGAGTGCTCCATGTAGAGCTGCCAGGGGGAGGCCTCATCCACGTCAGCATGCACACGCATCACCACACACGTTGCCCCCTGCAGACAGAACAACAGGAATTTCAATGCAATACTTTAAGTGTAAAAAGCACCAGCATGCAAAGCAGTGGAAGCTCCTGGGCACAGGGCATGAAGCCAAAAGGCAGGTGATCTGGCATGTGTGCCGCAGTGGGGTGAGCACCTGGTGGAAGCTGCCAGGGCTGCTGCAGCGATGCACAAAGGCTCGCCACTGCGCCTCGCTTCTGCACAGCTCCCGCAGCAGCTGCATAAAACACCCAAACATCCTCGCTTCATTCTTCCTTCATTGAATACCCAGTTCTTCCTTTTTGCAAAGACACCAACAACATATCTGAAACACCCTGCCTCATGCTGCAGCATTGATGCCAAGAGAATTCTGGCGAGTACAGCAAAGCTTCAACTGGCACCAGGAGGCTGGTGCCAGTTGTCTCTCACCGAGAGATCGTCAAACATGATGCAGAGCTTTGTATTGGCGTCACAACGCAGCCCCTCAATGGCTTCTGCCAACGTATTTTCCGTATGCATCATTCCATCTGCGGCAGGGACACAGCCAGCCTTCTGTACATGCATGCCAGGGGCCTTTTGGGCATTGTGACAGGCTAAATTGAGAATGACGGTGTGAAAACATTGAGGCACATTGACATGAGGGTGGTCATTGGAAAAGCTAGCAGACCTTCTGCAGACAAGGTCTCAGCTAGCCATTGGTGTGACAGGGCCGCCACAGTAGCCACTTGCCTATTGTCAATGCAAGCTGCCAGGTTTGTGCCCTGTCCAACATCCTTTCCGTCATGTACTTCGAGTATGTTACATCACCAACTCAAGGTTCTATCAGCTCAATGCATGGACTCTTGCCGGCCAGTACAGCAAGCCCTCACCAGTTTCCGGAGCATATACTGGTAGTTTGTGACTGTGTTGGCCAGGCACACCAACAAGACCTGCATCAGAGGCTTGCTTCGTTAGTGCATGCTTTCAATCTGGCGTGGCTTCTCCTTCAGGTACGAAACATCTCCAAAAATGTACACACAGAGAACAGCATAATCAATTACTGCACACAAGCATGCAGTGAGCAGTCAGGTACTTACCTTGCAATTGTCGCTCAAGGCTTGTTTCACCATGTATGGGATGAGAAAAGTCCCTTCTGCATCCAAACTGTCTTTAAGGAGTACAAGGCCTCTGAAAGGACAAAGCGATGCGAATAGGTGCTCCTGTTCCATCACTACCATCTGGCAGGTGATCGATCTGGTAGGTAGGCCTTCAAAGAGGCCTTCAACAGTGTTGCGTGAAGATTCAATACAGCAGCCTCTCTGATGCCTTAGGTATCCACTATTTGTGCGCTAAATCTCTGTGATCAGCAGCAGAGTCTTCTGCCCTCCGATCTGGACTAGACAGTTCTTAACGATCCGGCAACAGCCAGCCCCGTGACGAATGATCAGCTGCGATAACCGCGACTTAGATCCTAAGGTCGAATTGAAGCAATTTCACAAAATGTGCAGAGTGCAAGAGAGGAGCTATAACTTGATGTGTCATGCGCACGTGATACTTTTCTGATTTCGACAGCCCAGACAAGGGCAACGCAACACGAGTGCCGATGTGAAATCGATGAGGCAAATATTGGGAGTTACTTGTCAAAGGGGTAGGGAGGCGACAGTAAAATGTCGTGATATTTGCTGCAATACCTTACCAAACCACCATTTGCATGCCCTGACAAAGGACAGAAGCGTATTGAATTCGAAGTTTGCTGCGATCTGTCAACATGCTCAGGACGTATCAAAGCATTGCTTCTGCAAGCATGCCGTGCCAGTGTCTAGCAGATTCTCCGTCCTCTGCAACATTTGTCAGGTGAGGCATCAACTATTTTCGTCGAGGAAAGTGGGGTCCTTTCGAAGCAAACACATACAATTCGCAGATATCTACTTGGAAGATCAACCTTCAGAAATCGTGGATGTCTTACATGTTCCATTGCTCTCTGCAGGTGTTGCCCTCAGCCCAGGATCAGAGCTTTGCCAGGCTGGAGGCAACTGCAAATGCCCCCTTTGCGCAGATGTAAAGCTCCCCAGGGTCGCAGAATGCCCCCATCATGCGCATCGGCAATCCCAGCAGCACTGGCATCAGCAGCAACCTGGAACCTAGCCGGGCTCCTAGTGGGGGCAGGCCTGTTTCTTGCGGGTGTCTCAGCACTGATCTTTGTCGTCACAGCTATACCTGCCATCGTGGTGCACCCCCTGCCCCTTCCTGCTTATAGCTTGCTTGCTCTTACATAGCCCTGTCATCATGTCTGTGTTCCGCTGTCAACAATGCAATCTCCGATCAGAACATGATATCATCGAGCTGCACTTCCAAGGTCGGTTGCACAAGCTTTAATGTGTCTTGTGTGTTGCAGGCTGCGAGGCAGGCAATGCTGGAGCTACAGCGGACACTCAGGACACTGGATCAGGAGCTCCCAGACACCGCTGCAGCCATTCGCCTGTCTGGCCTGGAGCTGTCAGACGCCATCGAGGAGGTGTCCCTCCTAAGGTACAATATTCCCCCTGAGCATTCAGCCACAGTTCAGCAATCCAGAGTGTAAGACTCTTTGCAGGCTCCTTGTTTCGACGAAGGAGCAGTACAGAAATACTTCCGTTCATTGCTGTTGCTTTCATCAGATGCAATGTGTCACGTGGAGCTTCATGGGGTGCTTGATGAGTCACGCTTGATGCTAGATGAGAACATGCATCCTGCTGCAGCTGATGGGATGTTCTGTGTTCTGGTGCAGCAATGACTTGAGCCAGGGGGTGAGAGCAACAGCACAGATGATGACAGGCACGCAGAGCAGCATCATACAGGGGGTGGAGCTTGCCGGGGCAGCCATCAATGGCTACGTCCTTCCTGCAATGAAGCAACGAGTCCCAGCAGCCAGGAGTGAGTCTCGACCCTCAATATCGGCTTTTCTGCATATAGAATAATACCCCCTTTCACTATTGCACAGCTAAAATTATGTATTCAATTGCACAAAAGCTCTCTCTGTGCTCTGCGAGGTGTCACACGACCGGACTGGCCATTCAGTGCTGCAGGAACATTTCTGTGCTGCTCTGTTACCTTTCCACAAGATCGTGTCCTGCTGATGTGGTAGCAACTCCAGCTACATTATACCTCGCTCAATGGCAACACATTCTAGCTTCTTTTGATCTCGCATGCCTGTTTTGGCGCAGGTGCGCTGGAGGCGAGGCTGCAGGAGAGCGCAAAAATGCAGCGGCAGGCTCCGTCCGTTGCTGAGCTGGCAGCCAGCACCAAGGTGAGGCATTGACATCCCTGCAAGGTTCCTTCTTGTCCCTGACTCCATCAAGCAGCATGTTCATTGTCACAAATGCAAACTCACAACACCAGCGCATGCCCCTAGTGTGCGTACCCTTCTCTCATGCATCCTTTATCTTGAGTTTCTGCAATGTCCCTCCCTTCTCGTCTCAGGGCCAATCCTGTCTTTACCCCTGTATTCATGCCATGCAACGATTCTGTGTGCCAGGCTCCAGAGGTGCTGACAAATAACAATTGTGGCGTTGCACAGGTGGCTGCCACCCGGGCGCGCGCCACGCTGGCGGCCGCCAATCTGGCCGGCCTGGCCGCGCGACTCGTCGGCACCGCCCGCGCGCTTCGGCCCGGCTCACGCGCTGCCCCTACATGACGCATTATTTCCCTGGCGTCCCTGGGGTGTTGTTGTGTGGTGAAAACACTATTTGTTTTACCCTTGCGGCCAGACCGCATGGCTTGGTGGCTGCACGAATGCAGAATTGGCACTGACTTTGAACGGTATAGCCCTGGGGTCCAAGGTGCTTTGCAACTTGACTTGAATTCGTCCCAATTCGGCCTGGACAAGGGCACTTCATAAGCACACAGTGTGTTTGCCAACTTCTAATTGACCAGGACTATCAGGTAGTCAAGCATGATTAGCTCGAGTGCTTTGCGGATGTTCTTGTTTATCCATGTACGGCTGCAGCTGGATCCTTTCAGTTAGATCCAGTCTTGACCCAACGATTTGTAATCAGACGTGACAATTGCCCCTACTATCGTTTCAGTTGACGTTGCCGCCAGCCGCCAGGCGGCGCTAGTGGTTTTGTCACCACCCCAAGAACGTTTATGAGAGGCTGCGCAGCACAACCCATGAGTATGCGTGCAGTCTGTTTAAGTTTGAGTTGTTGCACTGGCAATGGAATATTGCACCGTCACTAGAAATCTGGTCTCGCCAAGGTGTGGACAGCAAAAAAAAGCGCAATCATGGAAACATTGAACCGGTGACCTGTGCAGCTGGTCGCGAAGGACTCGGGGAAACCATCTCCAACGTTCAGTCTGCACCTGCCTGGTGGATTATTAGAAGAACAGCAAAAAAGATCGTCACGCGGGCTTCGCAGGTCATCTCTGAACCCACTACTGATCGCGCTCAAGACCGCTTTGCTTCCGTGAGCGGACGAGATCGGGCACCCCCTGTCTGATATGAACAAAAACACTGGCCATGTCAATATCTACCTTCTGTCCCTGGATGGGCATCGCATTCCGATGCATGCAGGTCTGGCCAGATGGTCATGAGAGTCTCTGCGCCGGATCTTGACCAGCTGCGGCATGCATGCTTTGCGTCTTCGTAGCAAATTTGAAACAGCATACTGCTGCAGAAGCTGCATGCAGCGTTGGAGAGCACAAAGAAGCTCAAGCTGGCAAATTGCAGTTTGCGCATGAGCATGCTGCATGTGCATGCAAGCAATTTTATCAAGCCTGGTCCATGTGCAAAGACTTGCGCTTGATGCATAGCACTGCTACCGATGCCACTGTGGTGTGCCTGAGTGTGCGCGGCATCATTGAACCATCGTCCCCCTCTGAAGGGGTGGATGGTACATGTACAGCTACTGTACAGCTACTATTGTCGCAGATCTGAAGCTGCAGCTGCAATACTTTTGCAAATGGCCGGCTAGCTAGGGGCCCGGGCCGCGGGGCTCAACGATATAGAATGCAGCTCTTGGACTGGAGCCCTGAGGCATGGTTTCTACCTTCTCGAAGACATAGCGAGAAAACTCTGCCAAGCGGTTTGCATGCAGTGCTGTTGGGTCCACTTGATCACGTGCTCGCACTGATCCAGCATGTGCCCATGCGTGCCGGACCTCCCCAGAGATTCCCGATGAGTCCCTGGTCTTCCTCGCACAATTTTCGATGAAGACCTTGCTGATAAACGCTCTAGTAGTTCTTGTCGAGGTCATAGGTGACATCAGAAGCTTCTGCAAACAGCTCCTGGACGGCTCCGCGGTGCGGCATATTCTCCCCATGGTAGTCACCGTCGGCTGACGGCTGAGCCGGCACGCCATCGACAACCGGGATAGTATCAAATAGTCTTACATTAAGACAGTGGTGTCATATCTGTCATACAACCAGCGCTTACAGCCAGAGCTGCACAAAGAAGGGTTCGCGAGAGCTCCAGATCGCAGGGCGATCGAAAAGCATTCGACACCGTGAAGAGACCTCGAGAAGGTGATTCAATGATCTGGTCACCTTCAAGTACTAAAAATTTGTACTTGGCGTACTCTGAAGCCGAGCAGCCAACTTCGTAAGAGTTCGATGCCGTTTGGCGTCAGCACTGTACGTAAGGTACTGCTGCTGTCGTCCCAAAGGACAGTCTCCAGATTTTATAACTGTGAAGTTTATCATATCATGGTGTCACAGAGACGTCCCAAAATTTTCTAGTCCCCTGCCAAGAATGGGGCCTTTTTTTCTGTCCCAAGCAGCCTGATTGCTTTCCCACGATGCAATCATTCAAACCTTACTTGTTGTATCCTAGAAGAGGCACCATAGTGTGTCAGCATTTCTGTTGTGCAGTCCTGGCACATGAGGAGCCTTTATTGATCATGGAGGGACCTCAAGGGTGGTGTGCATGCACACACAGGTGCAGGCACAGCTCCCACACTTCCCGGCAGCTGCTGTGGGGCCAGCTACCGCGCAGCTCTCTGCAAGCACTTGCTACAGGACACCTACAGGAGCAGCAGCGGTTGAGGCCTAGGAACTAGCTGTAGACAGGGAGAGTCACACCTTGTCAGCTCGACTGCTAGTCTCTCCTAATAATCTGGCAAGGCCTAACGGCTGCGTACAGTCAGTGCCACACCTCGCTAGGGGGGTAAGGAAGGAAAAGCAGCGGCATAGAACTGAGGCAGTGAACTCTGCCTTCTGCAGCGAGAGCACCGCTGACAGCTGCCGGGCAATCTGATACAGCATCAGCAAGACAGCAATAGCACGGAGCAGCTCCTCTTGCAGCGAGAGCACCGCTGACAGCTGCCGGGCAATTTGAAACAGCATCAGCAAGACAGCAGTAGCACGGAGCAGCTCCTCTTGCAGCGAAACCACTGATAGCTGCAGGGGTGTTCAATTAGCATCAGAAGGACACAATCACTGCAGATCAGCACAGCACTGACAGAATGGAGATGAAGGCCTGGCAGCGCGTGCGCATCACTGTTGTGATGGCGGTCGCGTACACAGCGGAGCATGCAGAGGCGATGCTGCTTGGGGCCATGTACCTGGCAATCGGGCGCTCTCTTGACATTGGAGCCTCCAAGCTTGGGACTCTCAGCATGTGGCGCGCACTCGTGCAGGTAAAAACAAAACTAAAAATGTAGCCAGCATGCTCACCGAGGTGCCTGTTCAGCCTTGCTCTTGCTGTGTGCTTGACATTTGGTGCGCTTATTGCCTGCCCACAGATATAAGAACAGAATGCCAGCGTGACTGCATCAGCTCATGCGGATCAACTGCTTGGTTTCGGCTAAAAGCACGCTAGCAGTCCTAGTATCTGTCAAAGAACCATCTGCATGAGACCACCAAGTGTGCAGCAGCTGATACAGGAGCTAATAATTTTCTGTGGTTTGGCAAATTTTGCCATACCAAAAGCGCCTGTCCTTACTGTGATAACCCTTGAGCATGGTTAAATTTTCATTTCATTTCGGTTCATTTCTATTGATGACTGCTGCAGGCGGTCAGCATCCCATTTGTGGGCGTGGCGGGCAATATGTACAACCGCATCCATCTCATCGCTGTAGGGACACTGATCTGGGGCTGCATGGGCGTCGGCATGGGATTCTCCAATAACTACTCCGAGGTGTGATCCCCTTTTACTAATATGGACACTGCAGGTATTCTGCACAGTACGTGGTCACTCAATTCCATAGAGGGCAGGCTAGACGCCAACCCAATCTGTGGGCACATTTCCATGCATTTTGCCAACAGCTGCACAGCATTTATGACTTGGAAGGTCTTGATTACTTGCCTTCCGGCCCAGATAAATGGCGTAAAAGAGCATCATTGTGCCCTTACACCAGCTTTTGCCTCTTGTATCTCAAGGCCTCCTATACAGGATGCAGGACTTACCGCCAGGTTGATTGAGTAGTTCAGTTCTGGACAAGTGTCTTTGTGCTCCTGTGACTAATGACATGTGGCGCATGTGTCAGGCGGCTGCGTGGTGCGCGCTGAATGGGGTGGGCCTGGCATTAGTCATGCCATGCGTGCAGTCCATCATCGCTGAGGTGTACCGTGCCAAATCGCGCGGCAGAGCCTTCGGCATCATCTTCACAACATCCGCTTTAGGTGAGTGACAAATTTTAGGACGCATGAGGACTATTTGGGCTGCTTTGGGAATTTCTTTCTTGATAGCAATGTGTTTCCAGTGCAAAATACTAGATCCTGCTGTCTTCACTTGCACACTAATGGAAACTTCTGCGTCAGCATGCTGTGTGGTACATTGACCGGCCTGAGTTCAACCAAATAATTTACATTTGTGCACGCCGTGAGATGCAAGGTATGCTGTGATTCTCAGGTGGCATGGCGGGCAATTTTCTTGCCATCACCTATGCCAACAAAGAAATTGCTCACCACGAGGTACCGCCACATTTTTATCCGTGTCATGCAAATTGTCCTTGGTTATATTGATGGCTGCACAGAATTTGTAGGAAGTGCGACATTATGGAGACATGAGAATATCAGATCTGGACAGCCCATATGCATGCAGAACTGGAGCAATAATTTTGTGGGCGGCTTGTGAAGTCAAAGTGTTACCCTTTGCAAAGCATAAGGATATCTTGTGAACCTGCAGGGGTGGCGAATGATATTCTTCACAACTGCCGGAGTGGCGGCTGGAGCGACTCTTTCTGTGCTCTTTGGGGGATTTGAGCCCCGCAGTCTGCGCCCAAAAGAGAAGGTGACTATTCCTTCTCTTCAATGTCTTTTTCTCTGGTCAAAAACATGGAATGTTGTGCCCTTGATGTACAGCAATCGATGAGACTTGTACACTTAATTCTTCTAGAGCCCTGATGCTTCATTTCAGACCATTTTAAGCGTGAGTCCTTTCTGCAGACAATGTTCGTGCCTGCAATGTAACATCATGGTCATACCTTCCTCTGCACTCTGCCTGTTACCTGCCTGTACATCACAGACCCCTTATTCCCACATGTTTGACAAGTTGCACTTTGCCCCCAAAGCTTCGGCTCAGACAGACATTTAAATTTAGAATGCTTGCAGGTGGAAGAGGATGCGCCAAAGCAGTCATTTCTGCAGGCGGCCTGGGCGGGGATTTGCTTAATTCTCAAATCCACGTGGTCCGTGTTCCGTATACGGTCCTTCCAGATCATTTTAGTTGCGGGCATCGTGGGTGTCATCGCGCATGTCAACAACGGCTACAAGATCATGTACTTCCAGGTGAGCCAAATCTGGAAGCCTCTCCATGGGTGCATGGTGTTGTGCCAGGGGTATTAAATATGACAGGGGATTATGCTTTATCACCCTCATGCTATATTGAGGGCTTGCAGTGCACATTATCTGGGTGATGGAATCTGCACATGCATGATCGTTCCAGGACAGTGGCTGTATGATTTTGTGGGCGCTCTTGCAATGCCTGCATGTCCGCCCAGATTTTAGCTCAAGGGATGTCGATTCTTGCCCTGAAACTCTAATTTTATTCAGCTCAAGAGTTCTCAGCTCACCACTTCGAGGCCCTTACTGGTGGCAGCCAGTCCTGCTCACATTGATAGATTGACTGATCAGCGTCGCACTTATCAACAAGCCCCTTGGACAGTGCTCACTGCGACTTGACTGACTGACGGTTGAAATTGCTCCGCAGCTGCTGGGCTTCTCAGATCTTGCCACGGCGACGCTGAGCATGTGCACTACGCTGGGACTAGCAGTTGGTTTCTTTGTGGGCGGGGCATTCGGAGACGCGCTGTCCGTGTGCTGGCCCAACGCATCGCGCCCCTTTATCAACCAGCTCTCAATGGCCCTCGCTGGCCCTCTGGCTGCCGTGCTGTATAAGGCCATGCCCGGTGCGCCTGCCGACCCTTTTGCACCCTCCAGGGACTCTAAATATGATGAGCGCTAATTGGCCTCTGTAAACCCTATATAGACCCTTAACCCTAAATATAGACTCTTATATTGAATTTGTATATTATTTTCCCGGCACCCTCTGTGCGGGGGGTACTAAAGACTGGACACTAGGCCCTTGGAATTGCCATTATTACTCCCTGCTGTGTGATCTAGTGTAAACACAGGCTGCATAGCTTTGTGTTGCATGCCTCGGTCTTGATGGCTTCATCAAGCATCTGAGAGCATGTCAGACTGCAATAGTCCTGGACCAGAAGGAGGGGCGGCTGTTGTATGTCGCAAGCAAGTGCTACAAGGTTGGCTGAGCATGGGACTGTCCTCAGCTCTCCCAAAATTGAACCTGAAGCTATTGATAAACTACTGTCACTGAAGCACATGCATTCAGATGTGATTCAGATGTGGTTTGGTGGGTGCAGGAAATTCAGCGCATGCAACAGGGGTGCCCGGCAGCCTGGACAAATACCTGCCAGCCTACGGCGCGCTGCTATTTGCCATCGCACAATTTGCCTCCTGGCCGGCATCCAACAATGCGGCCATATTTGCAGACGTGAATGGCTTGCCTGCATCCATCTCCCTGAATGACAATTTGCATGCATGAAAAATGTACTCATAATCGGTTGGTACTCAAAAGGTACTCAAACTCTTCTCAAAATTTTACGGTGAATAAAACAGATTGGGCATTTGGCGATAATATACCTGTGAGTCAATAGCTGTGCCTGGCGCGAGTTCATAGGAAATTTTTCAAATGTACATTGAAGCCCTGCGACCGCTGAGCAGTTCTCCAGAGTGTTTGCGGACAGAAAACCGCAACCAGAAAGAAGAGCTGGTTCATGGTATGAGACCGCAACTGTCATCAGAGATCAACCTTTAGCCACATACAAGCCTCACTCAGTCAACCAGCAAATTCTTAGTCATGCCAAGTCATACATGCTGACGTTTTGTTTGTGCAACAGGTTGTCCCAGAGGCAGTGCGCACGTCAGTGTACGCCTTTGACAAGTGTATCATCGGGGCGTTGGGAGCCGTGACAACGCCCCTGGCCGGACTGCTGGCAGAAAAGGTCTTCGGCTTCGTGCATGTGTCCACGCACAAAGCCAAGCACGCCAGCGGAGGTACTGTATCCCTAATTTGTTTTTATAGCTGAGCGGAAAATGAAGGATGTCTGGTTTGCAGGGATGCTTGTGCAGGAACAAAATCTGCCTGCATGCAAGCTAAACTCATTGATCCATGCCGCTTGATGCATCTGCACCTGATCAGGAGAGAACAATCATCAGTAAATATGTATTCCTCTCATCATTAATGAGCAGATGACCTCTAGATGAGGCCCTATTACAGCACGCATAGCAGGGATGCGCAAAGGGCAGGCCTGGCGCGGGCAAAGAAATGACCATCGTTGAGATAATTCAATGCCTAATCAGGGTTAGTAATGTTAACAGGAGGGCACGCCGCTGTACACGCGCCCCCACCCGCCGGGGCATTAGCGGCGCAGCATGCAAACAACCTCAACAATGCGCGCGCTTTGGAGAACGGACTTTTGTGCATCATGCTGGTGAGCTCTTTTTTCAGCTGTTCTCCTGAAAATCGCTGGAACAGTCGACTTTGTAGGCAAGCAGCAAGGGAAGGCTGGTCACACACACACTTTTTGCAAGCTATGGTGCACAGCTGCTATTGCCAGAATACATGCAGGCAAGCACCTGTGTCTGCTGGTTGACACATTACTTGCGCCATGGCATATCCTCCCCGGATGTTCTGCAGTAATTGCTTTTCACGGGACTGTGCTTCTGATAGTCCACTACTGAGGAAATGCAGGAGTATTCAGACCTTCATGGAATTTATGCCATGCATATGGCAATGATCTGCTCTTCTTCAGTGTGCCGTAAAGATTCTCTCTTGAAGAACTGTGGTTGTGTGCAGATTCCGATGGCGCTCAAATTCTTCATCTACTTTGGGCTGTACTACACGCTGCCGCGCGACCGCATAGAGGAAGTGGATGAAACTGGTGAGCCTCTCAACATCTGCTCCTCATGGCACGATTTTTATGTGCAAAAAGCAGCCCTTACACACTCCATTGGGTGTCACACCATCAAAGATCTGACCTGTACCCAGCATCTCAGGCATACCACACAGATCAAATCGATGTCATTGCACGTAAAATGAACTGGTGTCCACAAATTTGTGTGGTTTCCCCTTGGCAGTCTCTGCTAAAGTAGCTGTAACATGGAATGACTAGAAGGGAGTCTTAAAAAGCAAACCTTGTGTGTGCAGGTTCCAAAGAGGCATCGGTGGCCACGGGGGAGAAGGGGAAGGGTGACGAAGCCGCCGATCTGCCGGGCAGCCCGCGAGAACCGGACGGGCCGACGGCGCCGGCCAAATCTGGTAAATCTGAGCTTCTAGCAAATTACCAGGCCTCTTGTGGCATTCCTTGCTCCTCGCCCTCAGCTCAATAGTCAGCGGCACCAAATACATGCACCAATACTCATACAATGTATACATGCTAAATATGCCTGTTGGAGCGTGATGCATATTTTGAGAAGCACTGATAGGGATGGCTGCTTTCTGGAATCAATAAGTTTAATCATTGTATTGCCTGCCCGCCTTACAGAGGCCGTTATCGCCTTCCTGGTGTCACATGCACGCTAAATATTCAATTGCAGCCGAGATGTGCTTCGGATTTATTTAATCTCCACAAGCTGCACAGGTGTGAGTCCGAGTCTGCCCAAGGCAGGTGCCAGCAGCCGCGCGCAGTCGCTGCGCCAGACTTCGTCATTCGGCAGCACCCGTTATTCCTCCCTGCCCGGCTCCGGAGTAGTCACCCGCGATGCTCTGCGCGCCGGCCTTGCCAGACAGGTGGGGGGCCGAAACACAACGAACACTTGCAAAGAAACACCGATCCTTTCAGACACCTTGGCACCCTTGGAAAGAAGATACGAGGCAGTTGTCAGCATGAAGAAGGAGACCGAGAGGCCTTTGCCCTGTAAATCTATGTTTTTCGCAGCGTCCAATTCCAAGTTTGTCTTCTGCCTGGTCAATATGGAAGTATTGACCAGGGATCTGCAACGGCCACTGTACCCTTTACATTGATCCTAGCACTGGCTGAGCTTGTCATGTTAAGTGCCAAATTCGCTCCTTGAGCTTGAAACCAACTCTGACAACGGCTTTTCTATGGGTCAGGTGGTACAGAGTGCGGGCCCGGACCCCCCGGTCCCGGAGGGGGATGAGGAATCGGATCGCCGTATTCTGGAGAGGCAGTCGCTTGGGGGGCCCAGCGGGGGGTCCCTGGGGGTACCCATTGGCGGCGTGGGGGGGTCCCTGAGGGGACTCGCTCAGAGCCTCAGCTTCCGCGGCACATCTGTCGAGAGCGTCAGCAAATTTCTTGCGCTCGAAATGACGCCCCCTGTACTGCCGGGGAAAACCCCGCAGCCCTCCCCTGACCGAAAGGGGACTGTGTGAGGGTTTTCCATCGCACAGCTTGTGCCTCTGGAAATATCTCAGTCTGTCTGTGCATGTCTTGTTGGGAGCCACTTCTCCCCTTGTGGTTGGATTCTTCAAAAATCCAGTCACAGAGGGGCTTCAAGATTGCTATAGCTATGGTGGAGTGGTTGATTGAGGGTGCTCAATATCTATGATAGTCTATCAGATGAGCATGGGATCAATTGCAACAAGCTGCCTTCGATAGAGGCGCTATAAGAGCTGCATGTGGCATGAGCACTGATTTAAGGGCAGCTGAGAGCCCTGGCGAAGTCGAAGTCTGGGAAGTCTGTTGAGACACCACAAAACTACTACCAATTTGGCGAGTGCTGATGAGGAGGAAGATTATTTGATGACAAACTTTTTTGCTGTGGCTCCCAGCCAGGAAGCAGCCTCCTCTTCTATCGCGCATGGGCAGCCATAAGAATTATGTTTGAAGTATTTTCACAATTCTACCTCAGCACTTTAGGGCATTTAGTGGACCAAGTCATCTTCTCTTGGTGGCGGCTGCAAACAGCCAATTTTTTCTTGCGTCACAGTTGTGGAATAGCCGCAGCTCAATTTTTTTTCCTGTGCAACTTGGGACCACAGGTATAAGTGCTTGGTAATCTGACTTAGATAGTACGAACCTCTTCTTTTGCTGGCAAGGCGGCTCAAAAAGGTTTCCTGCAGGCGCATTTGATATTTGAAGTCGCTCTAGCAAGACGCATAGTTGAAAGTCACTGTCAGAAGTATACTTGTGGGACTGCCTCGGATATGCAGTTTTGACATGTGCGATGGCAGAGATTCGGATTAAGCCGCTGTGAGGCCTGCTAGTTTTGCGCTGCTATAGGAGGCTGATTCATTCCATTAGTAGACGAGACCTGGAGTGCAATATATAAGCTATGTTGAAGTTGTCTGTAGATTTGCATGGTCACCGCATGTCAAGTGCTGTCATTGAGATGCATTTAATATCAGCAGTATCTGGAAGATGCCAGCAGTGCTAGCCAGACTGTACCCTGTTCCTTGTGTGATAATTTTATTGTCAGTGCAAGGACACTTATATCCCTATAAATCTATTATGGGATACGTATCAAAATATCTGAGGTTTCCAATGCAACGAAGGAAAATGCAAATTCACTCCAATAAGCTGCAGCCCCAAGCTTAGTACTTGCATGACCTCACAGCAAAATAGAATCCTGGCAACACTGCCATGCTGGTGCTGTCAGATTAGTCACCCTTCACATCACGTGCTGGCATTATGCACCATTGCAGGTGTCGGACTGCTTCTGCCACGAGTTGCGAACAAAGGCCCGGCCGAATAAAGAGTATCTATTCAATACCGCATCCCATAATAGTTTTTGTCCAGTACAATTACTTAGTCACACTCGTTGGTCGGTAGGACGTCCCGTTCTGATGTTCGGATCCCGACGGGACAAGCACTCTTGAGGAGATCATCCACACCCCTTCGACGGGTCCCTTTCTTGGCAGATTTTTTTATTTGCTGCATTGCAAATTGGAAAACACAGGTCATCTGTCGTGATTATCAGGAGGAAGCGAGTGCTTTGTCACCCTTTGCCAATCTACCGAGAGACTTTCAAGGTGATCCTGCGCGTTGCAGGCTCTTTGTCCACCAAGTGACCGTTTAAGTTTTGGTGTTAAATCATTTGCCGTGAGGTTGTACGAGTTGGGGTAATTAGTGGGCCGCGAAAGGGTACTTGTTCTGCTGCATGCCTCCTTAGTCAACAGACGGTTGTCGTCCCTCCACGAAATTGAGTACCCCAATTCACGGGTATTAAGACGGTCCAAAGTCTCTGATCTATCGAGAGGTTGTGCCAGCGGCGATGTGTCGTGAGGTCCTTGCAGTGCAGAGCTTTGTCATGGAGCTTGCCTGCTTCACTAGGACTGTCTTCCGCTCAGAGCAAGCGCTAAGCACAAGGCTGCGATGCAGGAAGATATTTTGTGGGGAAAAAACCATGGAGGTGCCTATGCTCCACAAAATCCGGACGACGATCGTCATGGCGATTGCCTTCACAGGTGAACAGGATCCTCTCTATTTGCCGTTCACACTTCATCAAGCTCCTAAAATTCTCGTTCTTGTCTGTGTGCGTCTATGAACGACTCAAGCACCCGTCTTTCGCGGTGAGACACTGCATCGGTGGCTGCAGATAATTCTGTACGTGTGCTGTATGACCGCCTCACTTGGACTTAGGCTTTTAGTATGATACCATATATATTGGCTGCAGACCAGACCTTCAGGCCCCACAGATGTGGCTGCAGACACTCTGTGTGTATGCCGTATGGCCTTCGGGATTTGGGTTTGCCGACACTGTAATCATATTTATATGACAGCTTCTGTCCCTTGACACTCTTTGTGTGCGCGCAGCTGAGCATGCTGACGTGATGGTTGTCTCGGCCCTGTACCTTCCCATAGGACGCTCGCTCGATGTATCTGTCTCAAAGCTGGGAGAGCTTTCCATGTGGAGGGGTCTAGTCACGGTGTGCCCATGACAAATGCCCACCTGCTTACTACATGACATGCAGTAATTCTGTTAGATGAGATGACACTGAGTGTGAGGTTGCCTGCCATTGAAGAGAACAAATGCATGCGCGCTCAAGGCAACCTACTTGAGACTTGCAGAACTCTGTGTGTAGCAGACTGCTCTGATAAATTTGCTCACTTTGTTTTGACGGAGTCTGCGTGGGCACAATTTATTATTTAGAGCATCCGAGACTGTCCAAAAGCTTCTCACTTACATGCAAAGCCAAGTTTTGTCAATGCAGCCAATCTAGGTAGCATGAATGTGCAGGCCATCATTGTGCCATTTGTGGGGGTGGCGGGAAACATGATCAACAGGATTTATCTGATCACTGGCGGAGCTCTCATCTGGGCTGGCATGAGCACAGCCTTTGGATTCTCCACGTCCTATTCCCAGGTAAATCTCAGAAGGCTGCCGACCACAAAGAAGCGGCACCTTGCTTCTCTGTCTTATGGGAGCGTCCACTGCGACTTTAGAGTGGGACTTTGCTTACCCACAAATTGTTGCCGTTGCTCTGACCATCTCTCAGATACAGGAGCATACTGTAGTCCTCATTCTGAAAGCCGCAACACACATTTAATTTTGGCCAAAAAGGGTGGATAATTAAGACCCTATAGGTATCTCCCAAAATATAATCCCCATGATGATTTTGAGACCAGATTCGGAAAGCTCTCGACAAGCCCAATCCATTGGAGCATGACCCTGGTATCATAGTGTCAGGAAGACCTCTAAAAGTTGCTTACGTAATTATCCAGCACTGCCGGGGGTGCGGGGTTTTGAAATGAGTACTGCAGTGTTCCCTTTGACGGAGTGCAGAGTCCCTGACTGTCCCAATACTATAAAGACTATTTTGCGGGGGCATTTGCAGCTTCTACGCCACTGACAAGTGAATATTTGTTGTCTAAAGAGTTGCCGATGCATATGTCAGGCGGCTGCGTGGTGCGCCCTGAATGGGGTGGGCCTGGCGTTAGTCATGCCATGCGTGCAGTCCATCATCGCTGAGGTGTACCATGCGCGGCAGCGGGGACGAGCCTTCGGCACTATCTTCACAGTCTCCGCCCTGGGTGCGCACACATTGCAAATTTGATCATACTGTAGATTTTATTACGCAAAATATAGTTTTGAGGTTTTCCAGTGCTCCTGGGCTGGGAGAAGTTATGTTTGTTGATGCGCTCTGATATTTTGCAAGGCAGCCCTTCCTCCCTTCTTGGCGCTTGCACTGCCTTGTACTTCTTGCATTTTGCCTTTGGTATACTGAACAGTAGAACGTGGTGAACTATTTATTCTGTTGCATGTTCTGGCCAGGGAGAGAAAGAGCAAGGGCTCTTTTGAGGCTAATCGTGATGCACAGGTGGCATGCTGTTCAACTTCCTGGCGATCACCTACGGCAACCGAGAAATCCACAACTATGAGGTGCGCAGACTTGCGTGAAATGCTGGACCCACAGCGTGTAAGATTGTGCGCCAAGACAGATGTAATTGCAACGGCATTGGTGCAGCAACGCCAGCTTAATTTGACAGCCCTTTACTCCTCAAATGTTGAGGTTGCCCGTTCATCCTGGGGGTCTTTCGCATCTGGCAACTCCAAATCAGGGTAAGAACTGTGGCAGGCTTCACCTGGGGCTTTTCTGAAACGCACCTTGCCTCTCAATGAAAGTTCATGTTGTGATTGATTTTTTTGAGTTCGATGATGTCACAGGGTTGGCGAGTGATGGTATTTGTAGTGGCGGCATTTGCGGCGACGGCAGCTGCGGCCGTCTTTCTTGGGGGGATTGAGCCGCGCAACATGCAGGCAGGGCAGGGGCACAATAAAGAAGCGGCCTCTTTTGGCTATGCCCTGTGGCAAGGGCTGATCACCATCTTCACAGCCACAAAGGTGGTATTCCGGATCAGGTGAGAATGCTTCCTTGAGCATGACCTTCAGCCCAAATCGTTTTGGTCACCCACTGAGGCAATGTGTTTGGAGCAGCCAGAGACGATTCCTCATGTAGGCCCATAAGTTCGTTTTGCGAAGACCCCTTGACAAGGGAAGCGGCATAGTCTTGCTGTGGGTTTTTAAAGTCGCATGTGCATTGATCCTTGATCTGCCGTTTTGTGAGGACGGGCAGTAATCTGGTGGCAAGGTAGTCATGCAGGACTACTCATATCAATGAGAGTGTAATGCGGCAGGTCGTTCCAGATCATCATGTTTGCCAGCATCGTGGGAACCATCGGCTTCATGGGCTTCGGCTACAAGGTCCTCTATTTCCAGGTCAGCCAATCTCCTCACCCCAACGCTTCAATGCACTAAACGACCTTTTGACAAGTCCTGGGGGAAAAGACCACCACCGCAAAGCAAAGCAGGGCTGTGAAATCTGGACAACCACCAGAGCTTGTTGTGTTGTAAAGAGCAAACCTCCAAGCATCTTTAGGCTATGAAACAATTCAGTGACCTATGCTTGGGCTGCTTCAGCCTAGCAACAAACATCATGCTCACCTTGTGTAACCCCACAATCCAACCACAAAGCAGGGAACGCGCAGATACGAGGTGTTCATCAAAGGGGTGTTGACTTGAAGATTGTGTGCCCATGCAGCTGCTGGGCTTCTCTAGCGTTGCCACTGCCACGCTGAGCCTGTGCACGACATTGGGCGTGGCACTTGGATTCCTTATGGGCGGCTGGGCCGCAGATGCACTCGCGGTAATGTTTCATCAGGTCTTTGTTTTGTAATTGCTTGTGTATGCCCAGACAATTTGTGAGTTGATTGTCAGGAAAAGAAAAGACAAAAGAACGATTGACTTTTGGGCACACAACAGGGACCCCGGCCCTGAATTGCATGCATGCATCATGATGCATGCATGGCTGATAAGTTGCTACTGAGGCCGTCGATTTTGCTCCACCGCGTTGGAGGCAATTAATTAGTACGTGCATGGCAGAGATTAGGCATGTGTTGTGCCACAGGTGCGCATGCCGTACGCGGCGCGCCCCTTTATCAACCAACTGTCCATGGCCACCGCCGGGCCGCTCACCGCCGTCCTGTACAAGGCGATGCCTGGTACGGTGCACTTTTGAGATTCACGGGCTCAAATCAAGGGATCAGGGGGGTTTTATGCCTAAATCACTTATATTATTACATGCTTTTCCTGCCAAGAGGCAAGGTGCGTTCTGCAGACAAGCTGCAATTGAAGGCTGCCATAATCCCACCCCTTGTTGGACCCACCAGATTCAAGCAAGACCCAATCAACCATGGGCACGGTGCTCAGTATTTACATCGCCCCCCGCCAGCCGGGGCCAAATGTCTAAATACTGCACTTAAATGCTTGCTGGATGTGGAACCTGCTCTAAGAACCTTGCTTTGAGGGATGCATGCTACGATGCTGCCACGCCGCCCGTGCATGTGCCAGACCGGGATTCGTTCTAAGGCCGTGCCCTGTGAACACAGCTGCTGTCCTTGCCCTTCAATGCGAATTTAGTAAGGGTGTGCCTGCTCAGGATAGATTGTACGTCATGGGCCCCAGAAATGACATCTTTCACCCAGGATTTGCATGGAGTGCTGTTTTTTTTGGTGAATTCTCAGCTACTGATATGCGATTAGCACGTTGGATTCAGATTTGCGCACGCCAGATGAGAGCCAGTCTGGTATGTCTGTGCAAAACTTGCGGCAAATGTCTGTCAGAGAGATGGGGACAGAATTCAAGCCATGTTGCATGCAGGGTGCTCAAAATATGCGAGTGGCGTGCCTGGAAGTTTGGACCATTTGCTGCCGGAGTACGGAATTCTCTGCTTTGCCATCGGCGCCCTTAGCTCCTGGCCCGCCTCGAACAACGCGGCCATCTTTGCCGAGGTGACTACTTCATGCCACGTCACGCCTGTCATTCCTAAATGCACTCCTTCACATCCATGCTGCTGTAATTGTGAGCTGCTGTGAGACGCCTCACAGCCAGCAGATGCTGATACAAACTCAGCACAACTAAAAAACAAGAAAAACCACGGCGAACGCCCTGGGCCCAGCGGCGTGCGCTGTCTGCATCAAAATGTAGACCACCACCTCAGAATCGCATCCGTGCCCACTCAAAATCTCCCTGTTTTGTGGCTTTGCATAATCTTCCATGCCTCTGTTCGGGCTGCAAACAGCTCAGCAATTTGTGCCAAGCAAGCTTGCTCTAGAGCTGAGCCAAACGCAGCAAGCAGGACCTTGCCTAGAGAGTTTTGCGCGCATATATTGGAATCCGGGTGATATGACAAGACATATAGTGTCACGCATGGGCTGGTATGAACGATCACCAATGATCCGGGACATGCCCTGTACGCGCAATATATAGTGCCAAAATTCATCGCCAGACGCTTACGTTCTTGTGTATCCATTCGAGATATTTCTAGCTGGTGACACATGCCTCTTAGTAAGCAATTTAGTAACTCTGCAGCCTCATGCGCAGATTGTCCCAGAGGCGGTGCGTACATCGGTGTACGCGTTTGACAAATGCATCACCGGCGCAATTGGCGCTCTCAGCACACCCCTGGCCGGCGTGCTCGCCCAGAAGCTCTTCGGCTTCACCAGTCTTTCCCACAAGCACACAGGTATGATGCTGGCAGAATGAACACCATCTCAACACCATTTGTTTGTCTTCTTGCAAAAAGCCTGAACTTGCTCTCGCCCCTAATGAGAGGAGGTGCATCGCCCAGTCTGGTGTCCTGGGCCATAGCTGTCCTAACCCTAGCACCATTTCCCTTGACCCTTATGGGCACCTTTATAATTACTCACTCTTTGATGCTGTCAGGCACCGCGGCGCCGCCGGCCGCCGCTGGAGGGAACTCCTCCGCAGCCCGCGCAACCGCCGAGGCAGCGGCCAATCTAGGCAACGCGCGCGCTCTGGAGAACGGCCTGCTGTGCATCATGCTTGCTCCAATGGCGGTGAAGTTCCTGGTTTACTTCGCGCTGTACTACACCCTCAAGAGGGACCGGCTGGCGGCTGGCGAGGACCGGGAACTCCTGCTGACGGAGCTCTGTAAGAAAGACAGCGAGGCTGGTAACGGCGGGGGTGACGGCGCGTCAGAAAGTGCTGCGGAAGCTTCTGGGAAGCTGCCGGTCAGGGCCGACACGCGCGCGCAGCCGCTGCCGGGGAGGCCGGTGTCGGCCGAGCTGTGCCGGCTGCGCAGCCTGTAGAGGCAACCTGCGCCAGCTCAGCTGACCAACGATGGAAGCACACAATTCCCCAGGCACACAGCGCGCAACTCTAAGGATGGCGTCGAGAAATTCTTGGACCTTGAGATGTCCCTGCCTGCAGCTGCAGGCTCTCAGGCACGCAAGTAAGTCATGACATGACACCGTGACATGATGTCGTGATCATCGAGTAGCACTATGTTGCGAGTTAGCTGAGGAATTCTTTCATCCCTTCCGCAGAAGGATTTTACCCTTTTATTGACCCGTTTCAAGCAGACACGCTTCCCACGGGACTGGCATTGCAGTCCTGTGATGCAGATCATTTTTTGGAACTTAATTAGTTTGCTGGTAGTTTGACTTGTCTGGTAGTTTGTAGATGCATGCTGCACATTTTGTAGTTTATTCAGTGCAGATTGGTCTGATGAGCCTTAAGCAGGGCGCTGAATCGTCAATATGACCAGGGGAGAGTGCTGCATTCTGCCTGATGAAGGATAAGGACATTTCCTGTCCTGAAAGAACGGTCGCAGTCTTAGAGAATTTATGGCAGACGCTGTGCACGCAGATATCCCCTGAAGAGTATTGCTGATAGGGGGTTGTGATGCGTGCAAACTGTCACAGCAGTTTTGCTGTGCTTATGAGGGATCGCTGACCTGCTAGTGTCCTGAATACGGTCCCTGTTCTAAGCAATAATGCCGTAAACCTATCGGAATGGACTGGTCATAGACAGGAGAAAAGTACTGTAGTTAGCTTTCATGAAAGGCGGCGGTACAGTACATAACTGACCAGCGAAATATATAACAGCTCTGATCTTTATCTTCATCTCTTCCACACGGATGTAATCCTTGTATATAGAGCTGACAGCACCACTAAATTCATCAACGTAGCAAACCCCTCAAATACGCCTAGCCACTGAGGTGGGTCCAGCTGGGGTCGCATCTTTCCATGAATTCAAGCATAACATTTAGGAATCAGCCGCTTTGGCCGAAAATTGCGCTGCAGACGTTCCTCTCGCACTCACACTTCTCAACTCTCACAAACCACCCTAGAAGAAAAACAAGCACAAAACCTCGTTCCAGTTTTAAAATGCAACATCAGAAGCTCAGCCGCCGCCTTTGACAATCTGTCGCAGCCGGTCCTTGCGCATTTGCACGGCAACACTGCCGCACATAGAATTTCCTGCTTGAAGTTCAAATTTTGAATTTAAAAGCGTCAGCCGCTAACTCCAATAATGTGCCGGAGCCGGTCTACTCGCATCTGCACTGCCTCGCCGCCGTGCACATAATTTCGAGGTTCAAATTTGAAATTCGAATTCAAAAAACATCAGCAGCTGTCTCCAATAATTTCTCAAAGCCACGCCGCCGCGCACAGAGCCTCTTGCTCAAAAATTAATGTTGAATTTGAAGATATCAGCCGCTGTCCCCAATGATCTGCCGAAGCCGGTATTTTCTCATTTGCACGGCCACGCCGCCGCGCACAGAATCTCCAGTTTTGAATTGAATCTTAAGTTTGAATATATCAGCCGTTGTCTCCAATAATCTGCCGAAGCCACGCCGGTGCGCACATAACCTCCTGCTTAAAGTCAATTTCAAAATATCAATCGCTGTCCCCAATGATCTGCCGAAGCCGGTCTTCTCTCATCTGCACGGCCACGCCGCCGCGCCGGTCCTGAAGCACGCGGATGCAGTCGTCCAGATACGCAATGCGCACAAACCCGGACCCCCGGATCGGCAGCGGCAGCACTTTCCCAAACGCGCGCAGCTGCCCCCCCTCTATCTCCGCTTTCACTAGCACCGGCATCCTGTCTGTCTCCCCCTGCGGCATTATCCGAGCAACAGAATAATACTTGAATTCAAATTCCACTTTCGAAATGATGAATATACACCCGGACCCAGAACTGAAGCCGAAACAGGAGTTGCCTGGACAGTAAATGCAAACAGCAGCGCGGCGAAATAGGGGCCGTCAAAATAAGCGTATGCAAAAGCAGGCCACAGAAGCACATCCCAAGCCAAGATCCGAATCTGCCTGTACAAGGGGAAAACCCAAACTGTTCCTGCCATAAGAGAATCACGAGCGCGCTGTGCTCTGCAAGTGGCACTGCCCTTGGCAGAAAGGCATGTGCAGAGGAAATTCACAGCAAGAGAATGTCTCGGAAAGGTCCTCACCACGGGTTCATAGGAGCCGCTGGCAGTGACGCAGACGCCCTCCCCAAATATCTCCCCCCTGTTGATCACGCTGCGGTCTGCCGGGTTATAGTCCTGTGAGGCCTGTACACCAAGAAGCGAGCTCGTGACCTAACAAGCTTGCATGCATGTAACATCCTTCTAGCTGACAGCTTTGCACCTGCTGGGAGCTCACATAGTGTAGGCAGCAGATGCAGATGCAAACTTTGCGCTGCGCACAACTCCTCTGACAAGGGAGCAATGGGAGACTCAAAGGAAAGGTCCCAGAATTCTCTAGTCTATAAGACCCGTCAGTGCAGCAGCCTTCCGACGGTGCAGCCTGGAAGCATATTTGTAGCTTGGAAAAGCAACAGGGAGGTCACCTTGTTTCTGGACCGGCCAATCCTGCGCTTGGACAGCGCATTGCCTGCCAAAGTGAATCCCTGCCAAAGCAGCGGTCCCCTAGAGTACACAACCTGCACAGCAAACACTTTCACCAAGTATATATTGTAGATTCTCTGCTCACGTGAAGGTCCCACGTTCTGCTTTGCATGGTCGTCTTTTCGACCAGTAGCCTGACACACCAAGGGTCCAAGACTATGCTATAAGGATCTGTGATAGAGTGAAAAGGCAAAGCCCAACCTGCCAGGGTCCCCCGCCCAGCAGTTGCTCCCTAAAGGGCAGGTTCGATTCCAGCAAGATGTCCACGATGCTGCTCACTTGCTGCAGATCGGTGCTGCCTCCTCTTATTGCTTCTAACAGCTCTGCTCGTGCATCATCCACTGGACTCCTGCGCATGCAACAGCAATTTATTTTATGTTATAACGAAGTAGCAAGTTTCCCATGCCCCAACAAATCATCGACGACTGGGTAATAGGCACTATTGTTTTATTCGTCTTCCTGATTGACTTATCACATCGGTCATTTGCTAGGTCACCGAAGCACCTTTTGGAAGGAGCAAAAGGCCGAAGGATCTGGTTGAGAAGGGCAGTTGTTTGGCAAGGAGGGTTTCGATGCCGTGTTCTTCTCGTCGCAACAACGCTGCATATACGGTGATTTGGACTGCAAACACACAAACTTGAAATAGTCGGTGCTGGCAAAGTATATTCGATGATTGCAGTCACACAACAGAATGTAAGCTGGGTTGATCAACTTGGATCACTTGGTGTGTGTGGTACCTTGAACAAGGCGAGAACACCGGATGAAAGACCGTACTCCGCATTGCAATGTTGCAAGAAGACCTTTCTAAGCGGACGCATGCAGAATTTAGACGGTTGCTAAGCGTAATTAAATGAATTTTGCAAGAATGTTTCGGTAGATGATGCCCAATCTCACAGTCTCGGAACATTTCAAATTTGATCTTGAAATCGAAGTTTGACGTCCAGCACTTCACGTGGCCTCTTCTTCCAAATTTCTTCTTCTCTGATGAAGGCATTCGACAGTCTGTTCTGACACCATCCTTCTGACTATTTGATTGACAGGCTGACTCCTAAAGCATGTTTAAAAGGGCTTTCTACCTACTCTAGTCTCTGGCTCGCACTCCTCGTATCTGCGACTTGAGTGTAGACCAGAAATAAATACGCAATTAAGCAGACCCAATGAAAGAAGAGCCGCTGGACTGAGCCGGCCACTGGTCAGTCATCCCCTGTCCAGTGCGCACTCGACATCTGCCTGCGGCGCTGCTCAAATAAAAGTCGATCACGTTGACATCAGCAATTAGATCGTCCAGCGCTGCTCTACTGAGGGCAATATTGGAATCCGCAGTGGCAGGCATGACGCTGAATGGCTGGGCAAATTGTGTCTTGCTGTATTGGGAGGGACTCTCTAAGTTACTCCAGGACACAATTGGTTCCCGACTGCACAATTTCTGCAAGGGGCAATGTATGAACCGGCTTTATAGCCCTCCATAATTTGACGTCCCACAAAATCTCCTTGCGTATGTACAAGACATGCGAGCACCACTGCTGACCCACCGCAACAAGCCTTGCAAGCTGGGCTCCGGACCCGAGTTTTGAAGCACTGCGCTGTTGCTCGCTGCCTTTCTGAAGATGAGCCATTAGCTGTCTCATCTCTTCCTCATTGCAGGCCCTGCAGCAAAAACACAACAATGGTAAATCATACTGCCAACTCTTCACAGCTCTATCTATGGGCATAGAAGGATATTGGATGTAACTGCCAGACCTTTGTGAAGAGGAATAATGAACAGGTGCAGTGCAAGTTCTGTTTGCGGAAGTCAACTGGGATTCACCTCAAAAAGAGCAAAAGTGTTACAAACCATGAGTAATGGGGCCAAAGGGCGTGACTAAGCCTTACTAAGCGCTCACCTCAGCGGTAGCAAGCGCTGCTGGGTGCGCTGCAGCATGAGTTGGGCAGTCCAAGTGCGCAATTTTCTGAAATGATCGGCGCTCTGGTCTTGTCTGCGAATGCGGTGATCGTGCACTGGGAGAAGAGCGAGCCGAGCACGAAGAAGTCTGACTGGAAGGTGGTCGCGTTTGCGCTCACAATGATGAAGCCTCCGTTGCCTGCATGAGAAATGTGCAAAAAAAATAAATTCCGGCTCAATGCAGACTATTTAGGAGTTGACAGAGCTCAATAGAAAACTTATGATGCCCTGCATGCAAGAAGCAAGGAGCCGACCGATGCAAATATGATTGCTGCTAGATCAGGATAATCTGGCTTGCTTGGCTTGACCGGCATGCAAGGGGTGTGACTCACAATGGACTAGTAATGGTGCCAGGCCTGTGGGCACACCCTGTCATTGAACTACTGTACACAATAGGGGTGTAGACCTGTAGGCTGCAAGGGTGCATTTGTGAGTTGACAAGGCTGCAAGCCTGTGCATGTTGTCCGCGGGTTCCGGCTGCAGACGGACCTGTGTATGCCCTATGGCCCTCTGGGCTCTGGGTTCGCCACTCATGAGGATTACATATATATATATATATAGACATAGAGTAAGGAGGCTCACCTCCGTTTGTGTAGTAATTGCTGTTTGCCGGTCCACAGCTGTCGGCAGGCTCGCCCCATGATCCGGCCCCTACTCCATCAGTCATATCAGTCATGCTTACACATGAGCTTTTCATGAGTCAACAGCAGGGTCTGCTGCTCAGGCAAAAGGTCCTGATACACCGCGCTAGCTATCTCGACAGGCTGCCTAGTCAGCTTATAAATGACGCAACAAGCTCTATTGCTGCTACTCTGCATCGCATGTCATCGTATTTGGTACCTATTTGCCAAGATATGTGTTCACCCAAATACTATCTGGAGAGACAGCCTTCTAACTGCAGCGGGGAGTTCCCTTATGGCGAATCAAACAAGCCTTAAATTAAGAGCTCCAAGACAGGCATATTGAGGCATTAAAGGTCAGCTCCTCATGACAGTCACTTCAATGAAGTGCGGTGCATGTGAAAAGGCATTCACCGGAGGTCAGGAAGACGGTGTGGCCATTGTAAGGAATTGGGGCGCCCGGCTGGTTGGGGTTGCCAGCTGTCATGACGTGATCGTGGCCGTTCATGTAAGCGGTCGCCTTGTTGTCGTAGATGGTCGTCAGCAGCTGCGCGCACATGTCGCATGCCACGTCAGCATGCAGGGTTCCAGGGCTTCAAACTTGAACCAAGATTGAACTGTTATGTACTGTGTCCCCTGCTTTCAGGACAGGGGTGAGTCACAGCATGCACACATGCTCACACAGCCCATGTCCAGGTCAGCAGCAGTCACTGCACAATGTTAGTGATATCGAGCATTGGACGCCTCTTGATTAGGTTTTGATGAGTAATCGAACATAGAGCCTTTCACCCAGCTTGCACCTGACTTTACACAAAGAATTGAAAAATGGCATTATCCAGAAGTCCCCTCCAGCCTACGTTGATAGTCTGCATTGTATCTTTGAGTTGGAGCAAGAGGCGTTTCTCACCTTCTGCCATGCGTTGAAGTTGCCTGGGTAAGGGGAGGTTGCCTTGCCAGTCTGGTCAAATCCGTACTGCGTGGCCGAGCCAAACAGCGGGTAGTGTCCCTGCACAGCACAATAGCATGATTTAATGGAAACGAAGAGCTGAAATGCAACGTGTCACATGCTACATATGAGTCATCACGCAGGGCAGCAGTGCATGCTGCTTATGAGATATTATGGCACTGCGGTGGCGATTATTTAAAAGTAGTGCGCATGGCTCGCAGGAATCCTTGCTCAAGACAGATGAAGAATCATCCAGAGCTCTGCTGAACCTCATGTGACATGCTGGCTAGTGAGCACATCCCTGGTGCAAATTTCAAGGCAACGTGGCATGAACTGCATGCATGGGTAATCTGGTAGCCCAAATATCTTGCATGCATGCATGCATGCACGCACCACAACAATGTTGTAGTCAGCAGTGGATGATGCCAGGTTGGACTGCAGCCATGCGATCTGGCCATCAATGTATGTCGCATTCAGCTGCAAAACCAAAAACACACACACACTCATACACAAGTCAGAAAGATCTCAAGCCACCATTTCCACCAAAACCCCCCCCTACCCCATGTAGCCATATCTCTCTGCCATCAGCAATGCACATTCTATGCTTCAATATGCTGTGATTTTGTTCCTGCAGATTCCTGCTAATTTTTCAGTGTAGCAGTGACTTCAGTGGTGGCGACACATGGGTTCAGATAAATTCATTCTAAGCTCAATCTTCAGCTGCTAGAAAGGACTTACGTGTGCCTTGTAGTACGCCTTGTTGTACTTCTGGCCCGTGACGTTGTAGCTGCGAACAAGCACAAAGCCTTTCAGAACGCTGGAAAACTCCAGATGACTGGTGGTTGAGTTGACCTCAACGGAACATACAAAGAGCAGCGCGCTTAGATTGAATAAACCTGGAGAGAAAGCATGCTGGGTCAACACATAAATGATTGCTCTGAGGACTGTAAATCATCGTGTGGGGTTAAGGATAAAATTGGTTTATTTCAGATTTCCCTGCGCACCTGGCAATGAAGGGGTTTGCGTCGATGAAGAATGCGCGGATCTTGGGGCCTCCCGCTGTGGTGGGGAGGTCCACAAGGAAGTAGTTGCTGGGAATCTGCCACCTGCGCGCAGCCATCAATCTCATTTTTCTTGCTCATTCTCAGAAACACCACATGTCTTGGTCCGCATGCCTGGACCATTGGTCCAAATATCTGAGCCATTGATTGAGAACCTGTGCAAGTATGAAGCCGTCTTTGAGATTACTTTCTACATGAGGCATGCACTTTTTGCAGAAGCATACTATTTGGTACATTTGTGATGCATGGTCTAGGGAGCATGTGATTCGGTTGTTTCCAAATAGTGTCAGGCACATGGTCTAAAAAATGTCGAGCAAAGGGCGCACTTGGGATCCGTCTTGCTGTAGTCGATCTGAGCCTCCACACTGCCTGCAGCACAGGCACCCTTCTTTACATGGTGAACCTTCTTTCTACAGCTTGACTGAAATTCTGCCGCGTGCATGGAACGTTACAAGCAGCCTAAGATCATAGACTGATGTTAAACGCAGGCCTGCAGTGATCGTGGTGCATGCATGCAAAGCAAAAGATTGCCCGAGGTGGTGGCATTGTGAGACATTATAAAGAAACAGCTGAGCGGATGACTCACCAGTGATGACCATGTCGTGATTGCCAAAGGTCTGGTACCATGTCTGCGGTCCAGTCAACACCCAGTCAGCACAGGTTCTAAAGAGACGAATATCTGAAGCACTGAAGGGTTGATTTCTAAGTGCACTCAGAGACACATCACAAATCTTACTGCAGAGGTAACTCTGTCTTCAAATGGGTTGGGATGACTCACCAGGCCCTGCAGGTTCGGTGTCTTGGGAGTCTGATAGATCTGAGACCTGCAAGCAGACAATAATCTCGCTAGAATAATATCGGAAAAAGCAATGTAAGTGTAAAAAATTGCACATAAGGAACAAGCAAATGCCAGTACAGATGCATTTCGAGGTGAGAAGACAGGTGCTGCTTTTTAGTAAACATGCTAAATCTACCCCATGAGAGACAGTGGAAATGCTTACCAGTCTGACTGGAAGCGGTTGGTGGTGTCTCCGGGGTATACACCCTGCGCAGCAAGGAAGCCAAAATTACCAAAAATTACGGGCATCACTAGCATGCATGTCCTCAAATGTTACGGGGGCTTTGCCCTGGAGGCTTGTCACATGACGAGGGCCACAGCATGCATGCATGCCAAAATAAAAATCAGAATAGAAAGTAAGACTGACTTGCGATTACTGGAATGACCAGAATGGGCAGCACTGTAGGAAGCACAGTACGGATATCCTCTGAAAGGGTTTATAGTGCAGGGGAAGCGCAGCCACATCCGCTAGTGCAGCTGACGCAAGGTTGTGAGACTGTAGCTGAGGGGAGGCATGAATGTGGGTTGCAGGAATCAGATTCTGCAGGCGGTTGCCAACAATAGGAGGGGTACGTACACACTGGTAGAAGTTGTCTCCGGTGCCGATGACTGCCTGGCAGCCGCCCAGAAGCCCACACACCTGATCCGCCAGCAGGGCAGTCTCCGTCTGCTGCAGCGCACCTGTACGCGCATGATGTCATCATTATTCATGCTCAGTCAGTCATGACACACTGGCACAAAGGAGTCTTGCGAGCACAGCAATCACCATTCCAGTTGCACTATATGTGACAGCAAGACAATGTCACACAGCATTGTCATGGAGCCAGAAAGGTGTTCTCAATTATGGTCTTGATGGGATCAAGAGATAAGTAATAATGCTGCACCATATTTACTGCATATACAAAAGAAGGGGTAGCAAAGCATGACTCACCCTGGACATCGTTGTTGCCACCATAGTCCTTGGCGCTGCACTGGTCCAAACCCAAACTCTGGGCGCTCCCAATGCGGCCCCAATCTGCACCCGCCACGTCAGCACTTAAAAGGTATTACTAATCTGATCATGATGCTAAAGCATGGGTGTGGGTGTTCTGAGCGCTCAAGTCACTGATCACATCTTCAGCCCAGGCCAAGCCTGCGAGGGACTGCCAGCGGGCCTTATATAGTCATATGCATGCGGGTGGTGAATCATCTGGGTGGGTGAGTAAACCGGATGACTAATCTATGCGGGTGAGTCACCTCCGATAACGAGATAGCGACTAGTGCCCGGGCCGAGGTTGAAGGCTGGGCTATTAGGTGACGGGAAAATTCCCGGAGACCCGGCCTGCTCCACAAAAGGCTGGTATCTGCGCAGATCAGATTTTGTTTTGAATGTGTATTCCTTTGGTCATTACATAAACGGATGGAACGCATGATTTTTCCAGATGGGGCACGCTATAACAGCATGCACACCAGGGATGCCTGAATTGCAGGCCTGGCTCGAGAAAATAATCAGATCAAGCAGCAGAACTTGACGCTGCTGCAGCACTTGCAAGTCCTGCATTTCTGGCAGTGGCTTCTTGGCCGGCCCAACAGAGGGCAAACCCTGTGCATCAGGCTCTCTTGCAGTCTCTGCTGCTAGCGAGGGAGCGAGGCAGTCATTCTGCTGGGCACCATACTATCTAATACTCGCAGCTGATTTGATCGAGTCAGTAGCGCTCTTTCAAGGTGGGTAGCTTGGCAGTGTCACTGCCTGCTGATTATGAAAAGAACGAGCGAAAGACATGACAAAGTTCTGTGCTTCGATGCGGCACTGGCATTCATACCTGAATGTACAACAGAGAGGGGGCTCACTTGTTGGCCGTTGTGGCGCTGACAATGGGGTTGAGGTAGTTAGGGGTCTTCGTGCTGGGGGGTGGCAGGGTCGTTAAAGACCCCGCAGTGGTCGTGCCCTCAGGGGTTGTGGTCTCCTGAGGCTTGGGGGTGGGCTTGTTTATTAAATCAAGCACCCTCTTTGTGGCGGTCTCGATGTTGCCCTGGATGATCTCCTCGGCAGCCCTCTGCACCACAGTGTTACAAGCAGCTCAGTCACTGTGCTGAGGTGATTCCTGTGAGTAATCATGTGAGTAATGCTGAGCCAAGTGGAGCACATTGTCACAGCATGCATAGCAGGATGCATTCAAGCAGCTTACTGAGCGCTGACAATCTGCAGACTGAGGGCTGTGACCGGTAAATTGCAAGGAAGTTACAATGCCAGAATGCAGCTTCGTGTAGTTTTTTGAAGGCCCCAAAATGTATTTACAGAAGGAAAAAGCATGTCTGCTCCAAATGATTGGTGGGAATCAATATAAACAGTAATAGGCAACAGCAGACATGGTGTGTGTGACAGTTGTCTTGTAGGGTCAGGGATGACTCACAGAGGTGAACTGCTTGTCACCGGAGTCCTCTGCCCTGATGCATGACTGGCACAGCAGGACCAGCGCGGCTGCGATGAGGATGGCCCTCATGGCTGGCGCTTGCAGCTCCCACGCACTGCGAAGCACATCGTGTAAAACGTGCTGCACCTCAGCAAGATATCAAGCTAAAGATTTATCAAGAACTAAGTGGAAGTCGCTTACACAAACATCGTACTCTATGTCTACTCCATGTAAAAAACACATCTCATCCTGTCCTACACTGTGAGCCGTCAATCCGACACCGTACCGTGATGCTGTGTACGGACATTGGATTCATTCTGAGTGTATACAGCCAAATCACCGCGTTCAAAGCCTCAATCAAAGAGAGTGGACCGGGGACAATTGCACGGAATGCGGCCTGGAGGATCGCCAAAGGCGATGGTGAGCAAGAAGGACTGGTTTAGCCTTGCGGAGGTGCATCATATTAAGTAGAGGTGAGATATCGACTGAATAGAGCCGAGAATCTATCCGTGCAGTTCTGGGGTGGGCTAGCCCACCTGGGTTAGCTAAGCCGATGGATGTCCTGCAAGTCGGCTGCCTGCCTCTCCGCGTCACTGGCAAGCTTCACAAATGACGGTCTCGACAGCGCAATTGACGGTCGTAAGTCGTAGCTTCTGTGGGCTGTGAGACACGTTTGGCTGTCAGTTTGATTTGCCAGCGAGTTTGAAGGGCAAGAGAATATTCGCAGGCCCTGAGGGGCGAAGAGGGCCAGTCCGCATTTGGCATCCTTGCAGATCGTTCCTTGTGGAACGACCCACATCTTTCCAAAGCTTTCTACGTTTACAAGTGCTAGAACATTCCAGAGGCATTCTAGAACATGCACAGTAAACCCAGGTTTAATGTACTATATATATACATGCCATAACAAGACTAATTAATTAATTTATAAACTTAATCATGGGTGATTTGACGTTGTAAGGGATCCTAGGCCCTGCCACAGTAGGTACTCCCGGCATGCCGGTTCGTTGCGCAATGGTTCACATTTCAGCAGTTGCAGTGAAAGACAGAGTCCATGACACAAAAACAGCCCATTCTGCACCGTTTGAACCTGCCACTGTGGAAAAGCTCTCATTTGAAATAAAAAGTTCAGAAACAACAAGCGCTGAGCAACGGGCCTGCGCAGGGCGCCGCCTCGCAATCTGTGCCATTCTTGGAGACTGGAGCACTTGTACATTCATTACTCATACAGTAGTCCACGCTAGTTCCCACCCCCAAAGGCTAGGTGCGCTGCAGCAACATCGATATTATTCCCCATCCAGCCTTCCACCGCACAATTGAGGGCCTCTCTTGAGACTGGGTGAATGTCTTTTGGTGAAATCCCCTTCACCTCTTGATCAGCTTCTGCTGCTCCTCCCTTCTGCAAGAGCGGCAGCTCAAGCGTCCTTGAAACTCCCAGGTCCTCACGCGATCCATAATTGCAGCTTTCCACTCGTGCACTTCGCCTGTCAGCTCACAGACATGCTGCCACCACACATGTAAATTACTGCGAGCGCCCACATGGTCGGGTCGCTTGTCGCCATTGCGCGTGGGGTGCCACTGCGCGGCAACCTCCGGCGTCTTCACAGCCATAGATGTGCATGGGCATACCACACGCCCAGAGCAGAAGGGGCAACCACATCCCAGGCTTGTGCGATTTCTAATCGGAGCTGTCCACTCATGGGCATGGGTGCACCCGGGAGGGGCATTCTTGCGCTCGCGGCACACCCACACCGCCTTCCTCTTGCTGCCGCTGGTGACCTTGTCAAGGTCAAGGTGCTCATTCTTTGTGGGGTGCAACTGTCCAACCAGCTCTGGGTGCTCATCCTTGAGCAGGCCCCGACTTGATGCATTTCTTGGATTGTTCAGGTTCACGCAGTCTGGACAGCCAGAGCCAGCAGCCCTACTCTGGACTGTGGCTAGCCATGGGCCGTGCTGGGAGCACACCCAGGATAACTTCTTGCTGGAACCTACGCTGATCTGCTCAGGATGCACGCCTTCATTGGCTGTGTAGTCCCATTGCGCCATCAAGTCACCCCGCACAGCTGCTAATGAGCTGCAGGTGCAAACGCATAGCCCTGAGCAGAAGGGGCAGCCTGTTGGGATGCCTGCCTTTGCGCGGTGTTTGATCATGGCCTGCCATTCATGCACACTGCCGCACGACGAGCACTTCTCTAAGCACAGCCACCAGACTTTGGCATGGCTTCCAGTAGTGAAGTCTTTGGGCCCCGTCTCGCCGTTATTGGTGGGGTGCCACTGGCGGGCAAGCTCTGGGTGTGTCTCTGCAATAGAAGGCTTCCTTGTTCGTACAACGCTCGGTGACTCTGCCGATGCGGCTGCACCAGGACAAGAGACAGGATCAGCCCCAGACCATTCGCATTGCCGTCTTCACACATTTAAAGTCCGAAGGACGAGTATATGCAGCCAATCATATAATCTCTGCTGCCACATCGCACCTTTATTTCTGGTGGGGATCGTGCATCTGCACGATCTGAGAGTGAAGGATGCAGTGGCTTTCAAGCCTGCAACCCATGCACACATCTCTCCATGAGGATCACTTCAGATAACTGCTTCTAATGGTCTGTATATATTCCTTGAAGATATCGCACCGAGCTGTCGCAGGAAGATGGCAGCGGGATGTCCTCTTAAAGATGTCCTTGAGCTCAACGCTAGAAACTCCCTATTCAGCAGCATCCTTGATTTCAGCTCATGTATACCTCCGACACATACCGGAGTATGCTCGACAGTACGCCGTGTATGAGCGCACATGAAGAAGACAAAAGAGCACGTGAAACTCACGTGATGCATGGAACTTGAGATTTGGGGTCCCCTGACACACTGCCTGTCATCAGATTTGGCATGATTCACACTGTAGCCATTGAAACCTCAGGTGCCTTTGCTATCCTACTGCTTCTGCTGCAGCATGTTACTGCATGCAACCACAAGCGAACAGAGTTATTCCATTGGCTCAACGTATCCATGCACGTGCGCACTTGCAAACAGCTGTGTTTGCACATCTCTTATCCTGCATCTTTCTCAAGATATCTGCAGTGTAAGTACACAGGAAGACGGAGCAACATACATCAATTTATTCATCCAGCTGATCAAATTAATGCCTGGCAGTATATACATCATCAAATGCATGCACGCTGGGATCCCGTGACCGCTTGCGAGCACACTGTGCATGAGCCAGCACCAGCCAAGTGAAGCAAGGATGCGCGTGATCAGAGGAGGGCACGTAGTGACCACTTCTTCTCGGGGCGAGAATTAGATTTCTCTCTGCCATGCATCTGGGCGTGCTTCTGGCACGTGACCGCACATGCGCCTTCTTCCCTTGCCTTTGCGATCTCCTTGGCATTTTGCAGAGACAAAGTAGTTTTCAAGGCTCCATGGTGTCGTCAAGGTGACATCGTCAATGACCGCCCAGGAACGATGTAGCTGCAGCGCACAGGTTTCCCAAGACATTTCGCAGCGATCGCGACTCCAGCTCCTCAATCACGCACTAAATGCGAGGCAACACAGGGGTGATCGACACAATTTTCAATCCTATAAGAACAAACCCGCTGAAAATGTTTTTATATGAAGTGACATAGATGTTGTCTTGCAGGGATCACAAATTTGACATGCTCAACGACTACGCGCATCTATCAGCAAACCAACAGACTCCATGGTAAGCTCAAGCGTTGCTATGGCGCGCGTGGTATTGAACAAGTACTTAGAAATGTGCTGATCGGTCAAGGACCTGATCATTGGTCTCTGTACTTGATAGCATGGTATAAAGAGACCGCAGCAAGACATTGTGGCCTGCATGCAGTGACATCAGCAGCATCTGGCAGCAAAACATACGGTGGACGGCCATCTCTGGCCGTGACGCGCCCAGAAATCGCACAGCAATGGCACCCCACCAAGAACGGCGACAGGCGGCCCGAAGACTTCACTGCTGGCAGCATTGTGAAAGTCTGGTGGCTGTGCCCAGAGGCCTGCTCATCATGCGGCAATGTGCACGAATGGGAAGCACCGCCAAATAATCGCACAAGATCTGGCAGCCCAAGCGGCTGCCCCTTCTGCTCAGGGCACAGTGTCTGTACCTGCAGCTCATTAGCAGCTATGCGGGATGACTTGATGGCGCAATGGGACTACACAGCCAATGAAGGCGTGCATCCTGAGCAGATCAGCGTAGGTTCCAGCAAGAAGTTATCCTGGGTGTGCTCCCAGCACGGCCCATGGCTAGCCACAGTCCAGAGTAGGGCTGCTGGCTCTGGCTGTCCAGACTGCGCGAATCTGAACAATCCAAGAAATGCATCAAGTCGGGGCCTGCTCAAGGATGAGCACCCAGAGCTGGTTGGACAGTTGCACCCCAAAAAGAATGAGCACCTTGACCTTGACAAGGTCACCAGCGGCAGCAAGAGGAAGGCGGTGTGGGTGTGCCGCGAGCGCAAGAATGCCCCTCCCGGATGCACCCATGCCCATGAGTGGACAGCTCCGGTTAGAAATCGCACAAGCCTGGGATCTGGTTGCCCCTTCTGCTCTGGGCGCGCGGTGTGCCCGTGCAACTCTTTGGCTGTTAAGGCGCCAGAGGTTGCCGCGCAGTGGCACCCCACGCGCAATGGTGACAAGCGACCTGATCAGGTGGCCGCCTTCAGTCATCTCGTGATGTGGTGGCAACATATCAGTGAGCTCGGGGGTGAATTGCATGAGTGGAAGGCAGCTGTATACAGTCGCGTGGTCTGCTGGGAGGCAGAGGGACGCCTGAGCTGCCCTAAGTGCTACAATGGGATGCGAGGGGTACTGATTGCTCGCAGCTCCTCAAGTTCCTCAGCGCAGATCACCGTCCGCTGTATTCTAGAGAGTTGCGCCTGAACAGCCATGTAAGCAACTCTTTCAGGAGGAGGCCTCATCAGCAATTATTGTGAATGCTTTCAGGGCTAAAGTTTGAGAACATCGGACGATGGGCAGAGCTACCTCAGTATGTAATATCCACCGACAAGCGAACAGAGCAATTCCATTTGCATAACGTGCGCACTTGCAAACAGCTGTGTCTGCGCATCTTTTCTCCTGCACCTTTCTCGAAACATCTGCAGTGTCTTGAGTGTAATTACATAGGAAGACGGAGCAGGCTGAAACATAACAAGCACTGCAGCTCTAGATTTGCTGTGCAGCTGCAATTATCTATGATGTGGCTGCTACAACTACTCTACATCCTGCAAGTTCTGTTCTTCGCTTCAAGGACAGCCCTGAGGACGGGTCCCCTGCTGTGTTTTGCCATCTGCGTACAGCACAGCTACAATCTACTCCTGCGGTTCCAAGTTCGAATTTTGTGTTTGTACAAAACATGCCTTCCAGATCAGGCCATCCACGGTCCTCCCCGTTCGCGCAGAACGTACACCTTGTCATTCGCCTCCAGCCGCTCGTGCCAGGGTGGATTAGTCACCGTGTAGCTAAGCCGCCACACAGGGTTTTCACTCTTTCGCCGGTATAGCCCAAGGGGAATAAGCCGCTGCTGCAGCGCCAGCCGCTCAAACATTTCGCCATATGTCCTGCCCACCATGTCCTCCCCAACATCCACCTGCCAGGGTGGAAACAGTAATCGCACATGTCAGCATTAGTGATACATTACTGATTTTATAAATTCCTCCCCGGCGTCCACCTGACAGGGTGGAAGCAGTGACTAAAGGAGTCAGCGTATCCCTTGCTGACCCTGAGTCCCTCCTCAATCAGAGAAACCGCGGCAGCATCAGCAGAAAGAAGTGCAGTACATCTGAGGGGCGGTTCTTGGCTTTATTTGCATGCTTGAGAGCGCATACAAAGCCGCAGACTACCGCTGATATCCACTCACAACCCACAATTACCATATTGGCGCCTGTGTCACACCCTTGCCTGCTGTACTGGGTTGTTCTGCTCATACTCAATTCCAATGGAAGTCCACAGTTGCACTTCCTCAGAGAACATCTGAAGGCATGCGATCAGCTTGTCCTCGGACATACGCGTCAGCTCAGCACACACACTGGGATGCCCTTACGTTTCCAGGGGGAACCCGAATGGCTTGATTGCAACGATTATATATACGGCTGCAAACTCACAAGTGACATAGCGTCCCTCATTTGGCACCAAACTGCTGAAGGCAGGCTGCATGACAACAATACCCCTCTGTATTTAGGGTTTTAAGGTATAGGGTTAGGCATCCCTACACCCTAAAACCTAAAAACCCTGAATACAGGGGTAAAACTGGATCTCGCAAAAAGCTGCCACGCACCTGTCTGAGCAGCGCTCCTCCGGCCCTGCCGTCGTCCCCTGCCAGCTCAGTCATCAGGCTCGTCAGCATTGCCCTGTGCGCACACAAAGCACGATGCTCAATCTCTTCGGAATCAGCGCCAAATCGTCAATATCACAAATACCTGCTTTTCCTGCCAAAAGGCAAGGTACGTCCTGACAGACAAGCTGCAGCTAAAGGCTGCCACAATTCTACCCTTTGTTGGACTCGCCAGACCCAAGCAACCGTGGGCACGGTGCTAGCATTTGTACCGCCCCCCGCCAGCCGGGCAAAGTCAAATCACACGGCCAAAAATAATGTGCCAATCCATCTGCCCTTGATTTCTCAATGACAGGGCTTTTCCAAGACCCTGTACAGGTGGTATGGTAACTTCATAGCACACGATTTTGTGGCGATACAGTATCACTGCTGCGCCTGACACAGTATTAATATTATTATTATTATTATTATTATTATTACACACCTATCCAAGCCACAGTTGGCTTAGGTGCGTCGCAGCAGCGTTTCTATGACAGCCTTCCAGCTCGGCCTATCTTGGCACCTTTGCCACCATGTCAGGGCCAGCCCAAGACTATCCAAGTCTTTCCTGACACAGTATAGTAAGCGACTATGTCTTAAATTGGTCATTGCTGTTTTGCCAGGTATGTATAAATCGACGCTGTGCCACTGCATGCCATCCAAACCATCCAAACCAAAGCTTATGTCCATCAACGTATTTCGAGACAAGGGAAAAAGTAGTGGAGCGCACCTGTTAAAGAAGCTGGCGGAGAGGGTGTCGATTATGGCGGGCACAGTCACGCGGCCGGCGCAGTAGTAAGGGTTGGCCTGAACAGGCAGCATCACAAATCTCGTGTCAGCTTCTCCTCACCTCATGCATGCGCCAGATAATGCAAGCCCCACTTGGCACCCTATGATGCTATTGCCAACTTGTTCGAAGCGGGATTTGTCCTGTAAATGTCAATACCGTGCATCTTGAGAGGCAATCAGCTAATTCCATTAGGTGATTGCATGAATTTCAAGCGTCTGATAGCATGTATTTAATGTCACGCTGTTCTAGCTTTCCGAGCTAGGTGCATTCCAGCAGTAGTTGAACACAGATCCTCCAAAAGCACTCATAACGCGTGCAAGAAGAGAATCTGAACGGCAAGCGAGTCGTCAGGTTGCCTGATGGCCGGAAATGGGGAGGGATGTGAGATCGACCACTAGGTTTTGAGAGACCGACATCTCCCCCTTAAGATGCAATGTATGACTCGTTTGCGCTCCGCAGAGGTTGTCTGATTGGTATCTAATGACAGGCGGGTAGTCTGGATCTGCACCTGCCACTCTGCGAGGCCCTCCTTGAGAGCGGCTCGCTCCTGCCGCTTGCGCATCTGCCACGATTTGCGCGGCTCCTTCTGGGCGCCAAAATCCCCAGCGTCATTTGCCCCCACCCCCTGCAGATGCACACACAGCAGTCTCTGCACACGCGCGCTGTGTTCTTGTAGTCAGCAAGGCACAGCAAGCCGCCCCAAGCCACTACCCAACATCTCGCGCACGCGTCCACCCAACAGCAAAAACAGCTGGCTCGCTTGCCAAGTATACATGCACAAGTGCGACTTTCATCAAAAATACCTGGATAGATATCAACCAGGGGTTCAAGTAATTTGGTACCAAGGATTAGGGACAGAAGCACAGGCCAATGCATCAGCGGACCCAGCTGCAGCGGACAATTGCATCAGGGGTAGCCAAAAAAAAGCCAGTCATTTGTACCCCTGATGGCATGCGAATGCGGGTGAAATAATTATCCCTACTGCAGGCACATGGCGGCACATGCGCGCACACCTGCAGGAGCAGGCCGGGCTGCAGGAAGCGCACGGAGGAGGTGTAGCACAGCTCTATGACCGCATGAGTCAGCGCCGCGCTGGACTCCTCTCCCACACCGTAACAGGTTAGTAACCCTTCTGCGTCCGCCAGCACCGCCCGGTCGCGCACGCTCGCCCACTCCGGATCCTCGCCTGCCCCGGCGTCCTCCTGCGCGCGGATTTTCATTTGACTGTGATTTGAACGAGCATGTGCCCAAGCAACACTTGGGGTTCCCGCAATCCCCTTTCTTCTCCTGCGTGCAGGTCTGTCTAAAATCGAGCTGAGGTTTTGAGGCTGGCAAGTAATTGATTAGATGTCTCATTGCGCCTGCGCCTTCCCATCCCGCAATGAAAGGATAGGTGCAGAACTGACGGCGCGGCAACTGACGTCCACTTGCCAGCACAGCCCTTGCCATGGACTCGCTTATCTTCCTTCTGAACCGGTGGCTTTGCACGAAACAAAAAGCATGGTACGCATGCAGACCGGATGCTCAGCTTGCGGCAGAGCAGGTTGCGCACCTTGCTGGGGCGGGAGCTGTGGGCGAGGTAGGCGAGCGCACGCGCATGCTTGGCGCGGGCCGCTCGCAGGGAGGCGCCGTCAGAGGGAACGCCTGCGCAGGGGAAGCAACGGGGGTATCAAGTGTAATGAAAGATCTGCGGCTTTCACCTCTTTCTGCAAGAAAGTACTCAGGGCAGGCATCGTCTGTGTTGCACTCAGCCGTATTCCGCCACACTTTGGTAGCATTGTGACAACATACTCTGCCGACACACACATGCTGGCCTTCACTCTTTTCCAGGATCCTCGGGACCAGATGCCCTGCCAAAGCATAGCACATGGCAAGAGAAGAGGCCGTCCTGAAAGGGACATGGGTCAACACATGGCCTCACAGGAACCATGCCTTTGGCATGCCTGACCTAAGTGTCCGTAATCACGCCCTGATCTGCATCAGATTGTCTGATATCTATCTTAATCTGGAGTTTAGGGGATGCATACACTGAGCCCCACCTGCGACCCCGTGTACGGGCCCGAGAGCGCGCCTTGCGGGCCATGGTTTGAACCCACAGCTCCGAGTCTACAAGCCTAAAGAAGCTACCAGACAGCCCTAATCGTATCGTGTGCAATAGCATGCATGTTGTATACGGGGTTCTCCGTTTGAAAAAGGAAGGAAAACCCGCACCTGGGACCCAGTGATTGACCCCAGAGCGCGCAGCGGGAGCAGAACTTGAAAATATGTTTCTCAGACAAAAAGGCTTGCAAGCCACCAGGCTGTTCTATCGTGCACTGTTGCTTTCTTCACATGCGCAGGTGAGGCAATTGCAACCGGCGTGCATACTGTAAACGGGTTTCTCCTTTTAAGAAAGAAATGAAAAACGCACCGGCAACCCAGGGCACGGGCCCCAGCGACAAGACTGTCACTGCAGCGCTCCACAACCATACCAGGTGCTATCTTAGTTGGGGTGGCACACTGAACGCAAGAATTGTACCCCCTCGAGATTTGCAATTCTTGGATGGATGCAAGCATCGGCACTCACCGGCGACCCAGTGCACGGGCCCCAGCAACATGACTGTCAACGCAGCGTTCCACAACCATACCAGATGCTATCTTAGCTGGGGTGGCACACTGAAAGCAAGAATTGTACCCCTCAAGATTTGCAATTCTTGGATGCATCCCCTGCAGAGAGTAAGCTGCCACGACCTCGTACAGGTCTCCCAGCGCAACATGCACATGATGCATCAGTGGCTGCGTTTTCTCGGTGGCACTCACCGGCGACCCAGTGCACGGGCCCGAGTGCGCGCAGCGCGGGCCAGGCGGCGGACGGCCGCGTCGGGTGGAGCACTACGACGGGGGTTGGCATCGGATCGCACCGCCGAAGCTGCTCCACGAAGTTGACAAAGCTGCCGGCCGCCCCGCACACTATCACGTGGCCCGCCAAGTCTCCCAGCGGACCCGTTGCCTGCGCGGCAGTGCAAGCCTTTTTTTCCTCAAGATCCGTCAGCTGGAACGCTTAGGTAATCACTAGGGCCTCGACGCAAATATTCTCACAGTGATTTTGATGACAATCATAAAATTTCGACCCTTCTTCGACCCTTAACCCTGAATAGACCATTGCATACCCCATGAAAAATCGTCAAACCCTAAATCACATTCCTTAACCCTAAAGTAAAAATCGTTGTAGAAATATTTCCGTGGTAGGGCCTCTTTGACCAGCTTGTCAATAGCTCCGCACACTATGAAGTGCCCTGCCAAGTCTCCCACAGGGCCAACAGCCTGCTTTCAATGCTAGTATGTTTGCTATAGATTGTGCCGAGGCCGTGCAGGCTGGAGAAACACAGTCCAACGTACATACCTGAATGTAGACCTCTGCAAATCTAGACCTTCTTCTGGGGAGTACATAATTGTTAGGCTGGCCACCTCAACCTGACACATTGAAGCTGCTTAGGCAACTCCGATATTATGCTTCCTCCTGGCGCAGTGTGAAAGGCAAGACTGTTGCCGCTTGAGACCCCCCACAGAAAGCTTTTTAAGAGAGGGATTGTCAAAGCTGTGGTGTTTCTTCTGCTTTCTTTGGGGATACCACAGCAGAGGCACTCTCTCTCAAAAGGCAAGCTGAAGTGGGTTCTGTGACCCCTCTACCTGAGCACCGCTCTCTACAATGCGTGGGATTTAGCGCAGACTCTCATCAGAATTGCATGCAAATCCATCTGGCTGGACACTCATTGTTTCATATACCAGTGGGAAATTTTCTGTACCACCATCTGGCGTGTGTTGGAGGTCAGAATATAGAAGTCATAAAAGCACATGATAAGCTTCTCCCTACATTGTCCCAAATCCAGTGGTGTTCACTGCGGCCACAAAATTTGGATGCCATAATGGAGCAGTAGCTCAGAGAATGCTCCTGCTATATAAGCGTATACCCTCCAGTGATCATCTCTTTCGAAATGGTCTAAGGATCACCGTATGCAAGCGCACCTCCTCTTCTCGTCCAGAGGTTGACGTGGCTTCTGTGCTGCTGGCCTGCCGCCGCTCCTCCATGTAGTCATCCACAAACCCCACTCCAACATCCTCGCCGGAGCCTTCTGCATCCGCGTCAGCCATTTCCGGTTGCTGCTCTTTCTGATCTGTTGCTGCTGATGTGGCGGGACGCATGGATGAGTCATCGAGTGACTCATTGGGGTCCACGCCCCTGCGTAGCGCCAAGTTTGGGTCATCAGATGTTGATTTCTGCGGCAAGTGAGGAGGGCAGAGCAGGTTCTTAACAAAACAGCGATGAATTTACCTTCCCGTGTCAAGCTCATATCTGGCTTATTTAGAGCCCAAGAATGTACTCAAGAGCAGACACGCACAGCTGCAGGACCGTCTGTCAGCTCTAGCCCAAGCCCAGTATCTTGGGACAATCACTGCCATCTATGCTTCCGCTAGCTCAATTTCAGAGCCGACTTTCAAGAAGAGCCAACTCTTGTGACTTGTAGGCGTAAAGGACAGAGATCTTAAAACAGCAGCAATCACCCGGCCCACCTATCCGGCTCCTCGGGATCGTCGTCCTCCAGATCAAAGTCATCTTCATCATAAGACTCGGACGCAAGCACGCGCTCGGGGCCCCGGGCGGCCGCGCGCGCCGTCGCGCGGATTGCGTCGGCCGCCTTAGTAATCGGCGCGCGGCCCAGCACCGCGTCCCGGTGCCGGTCCACCGCCTCCTCGACTGCGCGCACAATATTCAAGGGAGAGTGAATTTTGGCGCTGAAATTCGAATTGGATTCAGACAGGTGAACATTTGCCTGTGCTGTGGTGCATGTGTCAGCTGGATGAAGTTGCAGCAGCTCGCGCCTGATTTGCGTCACACGATGTTTAGGAGGACATGTCCTTTCCCCATGACAAGCATGGTGTCATCAAGGTGAAGTGAGAAGAAAATACGCAGCACAGAGCCCTGCCAAAATCCGTGCAAGGTAAAATGACAGACACCCCAAACCGTAAGCCACGCAACATACATGAGTCCATAAGGGGTTGATCAAGGGGCATTGATCAAGGCGCACACACTTCTGCTGATGGGTGATCCCGCCGACGGCGGCCGACGCGCCCCCGGCTCTCTGCCGCCGGCGGCCGGCGCTGAGCTGGATGCTGATGTGGACGCTGAGCTGGAAACTGCATTAGCTGCTGAGCTGGATGCTGGTGTGGACGGCATGGGTACAGAGTCCTCGACGCGGCAGGGAACATCGTCGAGGTCGATGGAGTCAGACTCGGTGTTGAGGTCGTCTGGAATGTCCGGGATGCAGAGCTGCTTGGGGTCCTCGTGAAAATAATCGTCGCTGTCGGGCGTCCCCTGCGCGCGGCAAGCAGCTCTCTGTTTCAGAAAAAGAGAGATTGCCAGGTACCTTGTACTTTCCAGTGCTACTAACTGCTTGCTTCGTAGAATACTGTACAATCCTTGCTCGTGCTCCGCAAATTTGCGGCGCTGCCATAATGTCTACAGTACCTTGGAAGTTCCACCCTGAAGCCCGACCTGAATCATTTGGATGCACTAGATGCTTCACAAAAAGCAGCACAGCTTCTTCACTAGTCATGAGTAGCCCACGGAGCAGGCAATGCGAAATCGGTTGAGGAATGCCCTGGGCGCGAGGAGAGGTTCTCTTGGTTCAGGATCGTATCATTGGAGATGAACATAATATGCTCACCGCGGGCATGGGCGCGTCGAGGTAGTGGCGAGGGTCGGAGGGGTGGAGCGGCCGCGAGAAAGGCCGCGTCAACGCATCGTCCAGAGCGGCCTGTGACGTGGCCATGAAGACCCCGGCCTCGCCGCCCTTCAGCCGCCGCCGGCCCGGGTTGAGCACCACCTTCTTGCCAGCCATCACGCCTGCGGTGTAAACGGCAGATTAATACCTTCTGTGTAATTTTTTTTGAGTTTCCTACCTCGCTGTGGCAGCTGCGTGCCAAGAGTCCTCTGATGGAAGCATCCGCTGGGAATGAAGCACGCCACCAACGTGCGTACAAAAGTAACCAGTCAGTCTACAAGAGTTATCCTTGACAGCTGCTGCGCAGCAGTCTACATCGTAGAGAGTAATCCCTGCCAGAGCTCTCTCAACATGCAGTCTGTGAATGCAATGGTTTCAGGAGGGAAGGTCTCAGTCGGCTACTAAGACTTATTCTGAGAACCTGCAACTAAGGCACGAGCCAGCCTGCTTCAAGAACTTCCGATACAGAATGGCCGCTGAGTATGCTTTGTGACATCAGCAAGCAACAGACACATCAAGGCATGCAAAGGAGCAGCCTCCATGCCCTACAGCCATGACATCCTTCAGTCATACTGACCAACTGAAGGTTCCGGCAGCCCAGCACCATGCGCGGAGGACGCTCAGGGTGCACTTCTCGTTTGTCCTGTTTATATTGCCATGCAGCCATCACAAGGATGCGGTCTTGCAGTAATTTCTAGTTGTCCATTTGGTGGCAAGCACAGGCCAGTGTCCATCGTTGCACCTCTTGGATACAAACCGCTGGCTCCTCCCGGCTTGTCACCATTGCAAAGAAGCTTGGTAGCAGGCCCTGCACCTGAAGGTGCTCACACAGACTGCCTGACCGTGACTCCAGGCAGTCCAGCAGTTCGTGTTGAGCTAGTTTAAGTGCAGAGCCACGGTTGCAAACACAGGTAAGCATCCTCCATCATACTCTGGAGCTGCCCCGCAACTGAGCCTCGCTTGTTGGTTTCTGGCCATGATCATGTACATCGAGGAATGCATGCAAGCCGGGACCAAGCCCTGCGCCCGAGGGTGCTTCCGACATACTGGCTGACTGTGTCTTCGCGCAGTCCACCGGTATGCGTGGAGCACTTTCAGGTGCAAGGCTTGGTGTAAAAGAAGCACACACCAATGCAACACACAGCTATGAGAAGAACAAGACAACGAAGAACGCACCGATGAGCACAAAGTTGGCGGTGCGGTAGAGCCACTCGACCAGCTCGCAGAAGGGCAGGCCCGCCAGGTGCTCCGGCAGCACCGTGTCAAACACCTAAATTGGCACATTCAACTTCAAATTTGTGCATCAATGTCGCACTGCTGCTTGCACAGGCCAAAATGGCCAGACGGTTGTACACAGTATATGGAGTGTGGGGTCATCAAGTGTGGGAACAAGTCAGAGTGAATAATGGGGACGGCCCACTCATCCTCTGAGCCAGTATCCAGAATCAGAAGCTGAAGTAGACTATTTTTGCAGTAAACAAAAAATCTGCTCCCTGTGGCCAAGCTTTTTGTGGGCAGCACTTGACATTCCATAGAGATACAGGGGGAGGTGAAGATCAGATGGATATGCAAGAAGCCAGGATTTAAGAAATTCTATGTAAGACACAGAGGAAGGGTCACTGGCATAGCATTATTCCAGCACTGTTGTAATCGCTCTGACATCCTCACTAATAGAAAATGTTGAGCCTGCGGGATCGTTCAATTATACTAGATTTCCGGCATGCGGGAAACTGCCTGCGGGATCAGGAGATAAACGAGGTTCTACCCAATAGACCCCATTTCACTGGTAAAATGGGTCAAAATATTTTTGGGTTTGCGGGAAGGCAAAACAATAATGCCCCAGCGTGGAGAAAAGCCCTGCGGGAAGCTGTATACCGAGAGGATTTTCATGAAGTTTTTAAAGATTCAAAAAAAGTGCGGGCTGGAGAATGAGTGCTACAGTACCCAAATCACTGCTTTCAGGGGCGCATAGGCAGTAGGCATACTCTCAGAGACAGCACTTAAGGGCACTGTCTCTGAGAGTATCCCTACTGCCTATTGCCAGGTTTGCATGCTGCTCATTTGAAATTCAGTGGCAGATTCAGTGGCGGACCTTGAAGGCGCAACCGTTGAGGTACGCGCGCAGCCACCGGCGGCCTGCGGCCGTTTGCGGCTGCGCCTCGGGCGGAAGCACCGACGCGCGCCGCAGCAGGTTGGCTGCGCAGGCACACTCACCCCCCTCAGCTGTAGTATTCCTTGGATTATCACTGTATCACTGTACTTTTCCTGCACCTCTTACTGTACTCAAGAGAGGCCCACCACGTATTGCAGGTGCCCAACAACGCTGTGTGCGGCTCCAAGCTGACTACTGGACAGTCCCGCCAGCCACGGCGCGTCCGGCCCGAGGCCCAAGCATGCCAATGCTGTCTCACAGTGCTTCAGAGGCACTCAGCAAGGCCAGGTTACAGACGCCTCCTTGATGCGCTCCGATGAAGTTTCGAGGCTCCGGAGCGTTGCTGACCTCTTGATGCCAAATACTCAGTATCAAGCTGGAGCACTGACAGCATTGCCACCCTGGCACCATGCACCGTGTTTTGTAGATACTGTAAGAACCATGCAAGGCAGATGCGCACCGATCAGAGTTGATGCTCCCGGGCAGAGGCAGGAGAGCGCCAGCAGGCGGTGGCGCATCTGCTCGACGCTGACGAGGACGTCTCGCTCGGGGTCTAAAAAGGGAGCGAGCATGCGCAGGCTGTCGCGCTGCAGCACTTGCACGTACACCGGCACGCTCTTCGTGTAGCTCTTCACCGCCCACACCTGATTGGCAGAATCAAGCCGTCGGATTTGACATCACTTACTGAGTGCAAAAATGTAGGACTTTGATCTGCACCGCTAGGTTTCTCCAAGTGGCAGTCCTTAATGCTCACCACTTCAGCGCCGCTTAAGCAATTAAGAACACAAAGCGCTGAGGCAGATATGCACATGGCAGCACCATGGTCTGACACAAGGTGACAATATCACTTAGCGCTCATATGAGCAATGCACTGCACCAACCCTCCGCGGGTGCTGTGCCTCCAAAACTCACACCAGCGATGCCCAACGCAGAAGTTGACGTGCAAGCTTGCTCTCGCAATGCCCATGGAGATGTTCTAGTGCTAAGACCCTTGCCGCCATCCTTAATAAATCAAGGTCGCTCCAAAAGCAGAGGACAGCATCTCACCTGGAACTGCAGGCCCAGGTCCTCCTGGTGGGCGGAGGGTGAGAAGCGGTCGGCCAGCAGCAGGATGGCGGCTGCGCTGTGGGCCTGTGTACGCACCAGGTCCCGCTCGCTCAGGCAGCTGCCCTCCGCCAGCGTCAGCCGCCGGTCGTTCAGCTCCTGCACGCACGCGAGCTCAAAAACAGTTAGATTGCCCAGTACCATGTGTTGCCAAACGATGTGCGTCCAGGTGAAATGGCCTGCCGAAAACAATAGAGGAGCAGAACCCAGATGCTAGGGAGCCCAAGTCTATAGCAATTGGACAGCCAGATGAACACAGAAGACCAAGATGTGTCTTCGATTGCAATCCAGTGTCCCTGTGCGGGCCATCCATAGGTACTCGACATGCCCATTTCCAAATCAATGCAGTAAACTTACGAAGTCCTTTCCGGTATGGTAGCTCCCGAAACTTTCAAGCATATCAGAGAAGACAAAGCGTGTACCTGGAAGGCCCGCAGCTCTTAGTCGGAGCACATGCACAGGACCACAATCCCCGAAAGATGCGGGCCAACAAAGTGCTCCGTATCTTTCAGGGCATGCCAGCCCTTACACCTCCAGCTGCCTAACGCAGCAGGACCGCTCATGGAGTGATACCTGTACTAGAAGTTGATACGCAAAGATTACAAAGGAAGCAGAGAGCGCGCGCTTGGAAGGCCCGCAGCTCGTAGTTTGGGCGGGTGCACAGGACGACCATGCGCAGATTGGGCGGGAAGTGGACGGTGCGCAGCGCGGTGAAGAATTCGGAGAAGAAGTCGCTGAACCCGCGCACCTCGCTCAGCCTCGTGCCCACCAGCACGCTGGGAGCCTTCGCGCCCGGCAGCGTGCCTGCGCAGAAACTATGAGTTTCCAATCAGGACGTGAGACGTGGGTTGGCTTTGTCTGGGGCCGTGTGGGTGCATGCAGTGAGGTGCGACGCATTCTGGTGCACCCGGTAATGAGCTGCACAAGATGTCCCGATGCCTGCATGCACCTAATGTCACACGCCGTGCGGTGAGCTGCGCGTGCAGCCGGCTGGTCTGCACGGGGATGAGCACTGCCTCAATATCTGTCACACCTGCCCCATCCGTGTACAAAGAGCCCTATCACAGTATCGACAGCAGCAAGCACGCACCCAGAGTCACCCTGCGCGCGGTGAGCTGCGCGTACAGCTGGCTGGTCTGCACGGGGATGAGCACGACTCCAACGCAGATCATGCCCAGCACGGCCACCTTGCCCAGCAGGGAGGACACCACCACATCGCCGTAGCCGACCGTCGTGAGCGTGGTCGTGACAAAATAGAGCGCGTCGAAGAAAGGGATGCGCTCCACCAGGTGCACCTAAACAGGCATGCAAGCTGATCAGACGCATGCATGCGTTGGTCTCCAAACACAGTGACTGGGTGATGACGGGAATATGACCAACCAGGTGCACCTCATGTAGTAACACTAATAATAACCTTTCTCAGCGTGCCAGATCTGCTTCTATCTCCTGCAATCCTTACAGCACCTAAAAGGCACGTACCAGCCTGTCCCCAACTCCACAATTCCCCACAAACCCCACAAAGCACTGAAAAACACTAGTACCTCCCCGATTTCCACCCACTGAGTAACTGGGGACTAGTACTAAATTCAGAACACAGTCAAAGAAGGTAGACTTTCTCATCTTATGATAAAAACTTGCAGATCATTACGAGACCGCAGATACCTCACAGAGGCATGGAGCAGTTATTAGAAAGGACTTGTGGGCAACATGGTCCCATCAATGAAAGTGTACTGTAGAAGATGCAATCACACCCACATGTGGCGGCAGTGCAAGTCTTCCCATTGATCCTTTGCTGCATGCTTGCTTATAATGCCTACATATTAGGGAGGCATCTGTGCAGCTGATGGGCATAACTCTCAGTATGGTAGAGGAGGTGAAGGACGTGTATGGCATGCCCACGCCAGTCATGCATTACAGGAATGTCAAAGAGGATTAGGCACAGGGGAAAAGGGCTTACTATGGCAGAGGTGGTGAAGAGCAGGGTGAGCACGGATGCCACGAGCTGGTACAGGCGGATGCTGGCCGCTCCCGACAAAAGCGCGCCACTGCTGCTCAGGTGCATCGACCGCATTTCGCCCGCCAACAGACTTATGCGCATGACTCGCAGCGCCCTGCATGCATGCGAAGACTTTCAGTCTGCGTATCTTGTCTTCTCTCCAGAACTATCACAAACATTGTTGTCAATAGTACATTATACCTTCTCTGCAGGATCACATTGCCTCTCGCCAGGAAAACCGTGTAATAGTAACGATAATGTTTCATTTCTTGAGGACTAGGTATGGTCAAGAAATGCATGGGCCCTTCCCCAGAATGAGCATGCATCATCATGAAATTATGTCGCCAGAGTTGAAGCAGGCCAGAGACCAGACTAAAGAGCCGCAGAGGGAGCCACCACATAACAAATTCCTCCTAAACCTGATTGCATCATCAAGCAGCAGTGCAACAACAGCTAAGCAGGCAAGAAGCTTGTCCTGCAGAGTCGGAGAGCCACGCAGGCAAATCCTTCATGCTAGTGGTGCTCATATTCACAATTAGTGTGATGGGTTGCTCGGCAACTTTCCAGCACCAGAGCTTTGATAGTGAGACGCACGTGGCATCACAGGAAATCAGCCTAAGGATTTCCTCCATGAAGGCATGAAGCTGACAGTGCTTCCTTCCCAGCCATCATGACACCTTCTTGTAAGTACTCCTTAAGACTTGACTTCTATGAAGAAAATGCGGGACCAAAGGGGTGTTGTCTTTGAGATTTAGAACATGAAACCCCTCTTAACGCGCTTCGTCAAATTGCAGTCCTGAGCTCGCCATACAGAATCCACAGGACTCGGTCACTAGAGGATCAGCACAATGGAAAAGGCTGCTGTGCATTTTGATATAAGCAGGCATACTCCCTTTTCTGATGATCCTCTCGCATTGGAGAGCGGGGAAGGAGTGGTCTGGGACTATGAAACATATGTTACAACTCCCTGATCCTTACAGCCACGAGAGGGACGCACCGCAGAATTTTGAGTAAATGCAGGCCAAAGCTGAGTTTGGTGAGTGGCGCAAAGGCCACGGCTGAAGAAAGAATGCAAAGCTGACAGTGCCCCACAGCCGGTGTTCATCTTGACCCACGCATGGATGATCTCTCAATTAAGGCTGCGTTGGTTGATTGACCTGCTGGGTTGCCTCAACCTTCTGGCTTGCCATGACCACAGGGACAGCTTCTCAGGTGTCATCGGAGTGGTGAAAAAGAGGGTGAAGGAAAGGGGAATGCGCACCGCAAGATTTTGAACCAGCGCAAGTCGAAGCGGCCGAGGCGGAAGGGCAGGTTGGCACCGTACATCAGCGCCAGCTCTAAGAGCGGCGGGAAGAAGGCTGCAAAGTCCAGGACGTTCCAGACCGAGCACAGCATGCGCGTTTTGCTCTCCGCCTCCTGTAAATTGGGCAGTGTACATGCGGTGTTTTCAGAGTCCCGACAGCTCTGATGATCTGTGCTGCCAGACGCGAACAAGGTGACTTTCTGGCGCCTGGCAGAGTTTTTCAGTGTCTGGTACCATAATGTCCAAGAAGGGTGTCCACACTCACAGCAGAACTTGTGATGAATACCTGACTGCAATCACAATGATGCTCAGATACGTTGCTATTCGAGCCTGAGCATTTTTGTCTCTGAGATCAAGTATTAGTCTCAGGTTATTTTCGGAGATCTAAGCATTTCATGTGTGCGCGTGTTTGTCCCTCCACTGCTGTACTATACAGGGCAAAATCTGCATGCATGGCCTATCTGACACCCTGGTGTGCACTTGCATGCAAACAGCCTAAGAGAACCACCCCTCTCAATTTCAATGCTTGCAAGTTGAGAGGATTCCTACCGCAAGGCGGAAGATGAACTCGGTCGCGAAGAGCGCGCAGAGCATGAGGTCCAGGTTGTAGCGGATGGAGAAGGGCGCCGGCGTGGAGTAGGTGGACCATACATACAGCACCACTGTTGCATGAGACACACAATGACATCAATTCATGAAGTGCTTTCTAGTGATCAACTACAGTGGTTCACTCTTACGCACTCGAGGAATTTTGGTCTCTAATCTTCATCTATGTGGGAACCTGCTGCTGTTTCAAGCTCACGTCAATTCAGATATGGGCAGGAGATAAAGGATGCTGTTTCCATTGTTTCTTGCGCTCCCCTAGAACGGGCGGACTGAACATTGCGTGATGAGAGCGCATGCATGTGGAGCATCAGGAGCACTAAACGTGCATCCATACATACAGTTGTTAACGCACACAGGCATACCGTAACACCAACTAAAGAAGTACCTTGTCTGGTGATATTGCAAGCATCAAATATGCATCATGAGCACATGCATCAGAAGTAGCGAGTGCGCATGGTTAGGTGCAGCGTCCAGGTGAAAGAGAGCGCAAGGGGCTTGCCAAAAAGGAAGGAGGCTGTGAACTGGCCGAACTGCAGCACGGCACGCACTTCTGGCAGCCGCAGGATGGTGCGCATCGCTCCAGAGAAGCGCTGAAGCAGGGAGCCCTGGATGGCATGACACACGTCAGGTCTGACAACGGACAAAGGGATCGTACACGGCTTGCATCGTATATAAATCTAATACTATGAGAACTCTTTGGCAGCACCGATAGTCAGAGTGTTCGTAGAAGCTGTGTGTTGGATGGCATGGGCAGGCGCATGGTGTGCTAATTGCACACCTCCTCCATGGACTCGAAGACATCATTAGACCCCTGCCACGGCTCTTCGAAGCTTGATGCCGCCGCGCACACGTTCAAAGACGTCCTAGGCTCCCTGCCTGTTCCATTACGCTTGCCCAACGCTGAAAGTGCGTTCGCATGAGAGATTCTAGACCTCCAGGTCCCAGATCGGCATTGGATCAGCCGCGATCTACGTGGTACCTTTATTGGAGACGTTGGGGTAAAGTTGAGTGGGTTGAATCTGTGAGTAGGCGATGTACAGCCTATCTGTAAGGCAGGCATGACCTACAAAAGCGAAGAAGCTTGCAGAATGAATCTGCCTGAACAGTGTGTCATCTTATGAACGTCCATATATAACTTCCTGCAGGAGAGAATGCGGTGCAAAGGGGTGCCGAGGGCCAATGATCTCTATCGCCTGTGGCTTTTGGGCACGTCAGCACAGCAGTCACGTGGTGTTCTTGTTTGTTGTGAAGCATGAAGCCTCTCGCAAATATGTGGCCATTCCTCGTGTTGATACTCTAATGCAGTGAGGAAATGCCATTCCGCCCAGGTGTGGCTCAGGTACAGCAGGCTGAACAAAATTAGACCCTCTCGGACAGTTGGTCTGTAGCCTCAGGTGAGCTATATACCTTGGGTGATGCTTTAGGCTAGCAGATGGCATAATGATGAATAGGTGATAATGTCGTCTATTTCCAGCGTCCGCAGAGCATTATACAGACAGCAAGCTTGTGAGGTGACAGGTTGACTCGTAGCGGATGTTAGCTGAGCGAAAGAAGGGGAGCGCCGAGGTGGTCCAGGAGTGCCTCCCACTACGCCTTGTTCTTTGGTACCTAGTGGACTAGCGAAAGGGGAATACCATGGACTTTGGGGACAATGACGGAACATCCTCTTCCCCATTCCACTGGGTGAGTTGCTCCTCAATATTGTTATGATGGGCACCCAAACGCAGATACAATGAGTCTTGGATTGCCACTCTACTTCACACATCCCTTCCTGCAAGCTGCTGGACATGGCACCTGGCACGTTTGCAGTACTATATAACAAGATGTTACCCTGCTCAGAGGCCCTTATGTGTGTTTGCAAAAGAACAAGAGCCTCTCGACGAGTCCGACGATTGGAGTGCTGCATCCTCGCAATACGGACATGGACAGTGTGGCAAGGGTGCGCCAGGAGCAGGTGGATGTCTTGGACCAGATGAACAGGGTAAGTCACAACAGGACTTTCACTGGCTATCGTATTAGTGGACTTCACAGCAGCGATGCAAGGTTGCCAGCTGATAATGCAGGTAAAATGTCATAATTCTAAAATGCGCATACTGCTCATATTCCTCAACAAACGCAGATGGAGCTCTGGGCAAAGAGCGTGGAGAGGCGCTCTTTGGAGCTGACTCGGACCAACAGGCAGCTGAGGTCCTCTGTGGAAAAGTACAAGAAGGTACGTGACAGAGCCCGCTCTGCCTTCACATCCTTAGAACTAATACTGTCAAATTGTTGCACCTTCATCAAAGAGCCAAGACCATGTCAGGCAACCGGAGACCGTGCCAAGCTGCAGCCGGGTCATATCTCTCTAGACAGCAGAGCTTCTTTCAGACACGCGAGTTGCCACCGCCTATGCAGTCTCCAAGCCAGTAACAATCTAGGATTGCTGCATGCCGTGCCCGCACCTCCACAGAACCCTTGAGCAAAGACCTGTCATAGCTAATTCATTGCATGTAATGAAATCGAGGTGTCCTGCGCCAAAACAGGAGGCTGAGCACCAGCGCGCCAAGGCGGAGCGGCAGGCTGAGCTGGCGGTGGCGGCTGAGCTGGCGCGTGCATCAGCCGATGACGAGGCGCAGCGCCTGCGCTCCAAGTTCGCGCGCAGCGACAAGGGGACTGCTCTGCTCAAGGCAGCTAGATTGAAGATGGAGCTGGAAGCCTGCAGGGAGAAGCTGGCCTCTGCAGAAGCCGGCATGAAGGAGCAGGTCTGGACTTCTTGACCCATCACTTCATAGGATATGCTGGACAGAAAAATTATGATTGCAGGGCTCAATCATGTGATACGCTAGGCAGCCTCCTCAATGTGCCTGGGGCTTACGGGGATCTGTGACGATGGACACTGCTGTACAATATATCGTGGCACCATTTTGCTCAAGCAGTGCATGCAAGTCCAGGATAGTGCATATAAATGACCAAGCCCAGGGAAAATTTAGATTGCTTAGGCATGACTACCTGTTGTAGCAGACCACCGTCAGCCATCATCTGCAGAGGCACCTTGTCACAAGCAGCTATGCCCTTGCAATAAATTTCCGAAGAAAAAGTCAGCCCAGCTAAACTCTGCATAAAGAAGAGTGCACACACAGGAGCTGAAGGTGGAGGCAGTAAAGGGAGAGGCAAAGGCGCTGAGGGAGGTTTTGCATCAGCAGCAGCAAAAGCACTCCCAGCAGGACAGCGTGCCAGCTCAGGAGGTCAGCGCCCTCAGAGGGCAGCTGGCGGAAGCTGAGCAGCGCTGCCGGGAAGCCGAGCAGCGGCTGGCGCAGCTTACGGACGCCGAGAAGCGGCGCGGGGAAGCCGAGGAGAAGCTGCATGCGCTGGAACTGCAGCTGGTGAGCAAGCAGGCTCTTCTGCCTTCAATTAGGCCATGTTTAAGCAAGCAATGCGGAGTCTGCTTGCACCATTGCACAGTGACATACGCCACATGTCAGGAGGAAGTAGCATGCACGAGGATGACAATCAAAGCAGATTTCACTTGTGAACCATGACCCATTCGTTTGCGATTGGCAGGAGGTTCAGGCAAGAGAGGCACGAGAGCAGGCAGCAGAGCGCGCAGAGGAGCATGCGCAGGAGTTATTAGGAGCAAAGAATGAGGCGGCGGCACTTGCAGAGGAAAAGGAGACACTGCAGCAACGGCTGGCAGATGCTGAGCGGCTCCGACGGACCATGATCGATGCTGACAGGGTAATGCGTGCCTGTGGCATGCTTCAAAGAACTCTCTGAGTGTCCTGATGCTCTCAAATTGAATCGTCTGGAAAGCAGCCACATGCATGCTGCCGAGCGCTATTGATGGTGCAACGTCCTGCTAAATGGAAAGAATTGGGGAACCGTGCCCCAAAATTTCCCAGCAATGAGTGCAAGGATAGGTAGATATCCTTGGATCAATTAGACCAAAGTGTTCAAAAGTTGGGTGCATGGCACTTCACAGGACCATGAGGAGGGCAGCCGGGAAGCCTGGCACGATCTGGCCGAGCGGCTGGTGCAGGCAGAGAGCTGCGCCGCCACCGCTGAAAAGGAGCTTCGCTTCCAGGTATCCCTTTGGAAGCACTCTTGCAGCCTATCTCATACAATTTCGAGCCCATGGAGCAGGACTGAACCCTAAAACTTTCCACATACCAACTACGCGTGTGACAGGCAGTCCTCATCATGGCAGTGATGAAGTTGGACAAATTCCGGGTGGACCCAAATTGAAGATGGTGGTCTGGGATGTGCAGGTTCAGGCGACAGAGAGCCTGCAGGAAAGCGTGGACACGCTTGCAGCCGAGCGCGACTCGCTGCAGCGGCAGTGCCAGGACCTGCAAGCCGACGCGGCGCAGGCCGCTGCTGAACACCTTGAAACCCTGGAGCGCCTGGTGTGTACCCTGGCTCTTGACAGCGATACGTAAATAATGCTGCACGAGCTTTTGCATGAACGCCAGGTTGGATGATTTTCCAGCTTGCACAAGGCATGATGGAGTTCTTCGAGAAATTGTTTTCTGAGGAGCACTCTTTGCCCTGCGCAGATGCAAGAGGGCGCACAGGCGCGGGCAGAGGTGGATGCGAACGCCGCCCGCCTCGCGTCAGCCGACACCGAACTGCACGCGCTGCGCGCCGCTGCAGCCGATGGCTCCGCGGCGGCTGCCGTCGCGTCTTCAGCTGAGCGCGCGGCTGCGGCTGCGGCCGAGGCGGCGCAGCTGCGCCAGCAGCTGGACGCCGGCCGCGCAGCGGCGGCAGCCGCCGTGGAAGCTGCGGCGGCGGATTCGGCGGAACTCCGGTGGCGGCTGGAGGCCGGCGCGGCGGAGGCGGCCGAGGCGGCGGCCGCGCGCGACGCAGCACTGCTGGAGGTGGCGGCCGGCCGCGCTCGCATCACCGCGCTGGAGGCCGAACTGCACGCTGTGCGCGACACGCATGTGAGCGCAACTTCGCCAGCCTTGAAGCATTGTATTGAATGTCTTTTGCAAATTGAGCAGTGTCCCATGCTGAAGAGCCAGTGTCACGGTACCGGTGTCATAGCCCAAAATAGTGCAGGAATAAGCAGTGCGGGGCAACTGTATCTGTCACAGCAGCACAAAAGGTAGCATGTATTGCTCAGTCCTGTACCATGTGCATGTACACAGGCGATCCAGGCTGCGGAGCTGGCAGGGCGCTGCGAGGAGAAGAGCGCGCTGCAGATGCGGCTGGACGAGGCGGCGGACTGTTCGGACCTTGCAGTCTCAGCTCTGCGCGCTAAAGCAGAGGAGCTGCAGCGGCAGCTGACAGAGGCTGATCAGGCGCTGCATGCCGCCACACAACGCCTGAGCGAGACGCAGGAGCAAGTCTGTGCGGCGGAGGCAACAGCACGGGAGACCGCGGTACAGCTCGGCAGCGCGCTTGAGAGGTGCAGAATATTAGAGGAGAAAGTGGCCGAGGCAGCAAGGAGGGAGATAGAATCAGAGGTGCAAATTGCAGAGACTCAGGCAGCGGCGAATGAGCACAGCAGCCGCGAGCAGATACACTTGGAGCAGAGCGTGGCACAGGCGCAGCAGATCATCTCGCTCAACGCGCAGCTGCAGGAAGCCGCCGGGAAGCTGGCGGAAGCCGAGCGGCGCCAGGAGGAAGCCGGCGCGCAGCTGCGGGAAGCCGCCGCACGGCGCGAGGATCTTGACGCCGAGCTGGACGCCGCGGCAGAGGAGTTATTGCGCAAGGGTTACGAACACGAGGAGAAGGTTACATCACTGCTGCAGCAGCTGCACGGCGCGCGTGACAGGCTGGCGGCTGCCGAGGCTGAGCTGGCGTCCGCGCAGGACGAGAACATGCAGCTCTCAGGCGACTGTGCAGGCGCGCTGCTGAGACCTGTTCCAGTCTTTTGGAAATGTAACGCTCAAATCCGAGGGATGGCATCTTTTTCTGTAGGTCCTTGAGTTCCAATAAAGCACTCAAGTTAATGAGGTCAACTCAGCAATGGCGGGTGCTGGGTGTCTACATGTGCGATGCAACCTACATATCGTCTCATCTTGCTTCTTTCTCGCACATTCATCAGCAGCGGATGATACTTGTCATGCGAGGTAGTACCAAGACGTCCCCCCTTGACATAACCGCACATGCAGGCATGTGCCTGGAGCTGGAAAACGCGCGCGAGGCGGTCGCGTCAGCGCTGAGTCAGCACGCAGCCGCCGCGGCCGACGCCGACGTAGCGCGCGCGGCTGCCGGCCGGGAGATCTCGGCTGTTACGGCGCGCGCCGAGGAGCTGGCCGCTCACCTGGAAACCGCCTGCAGTGAGAACGCTGCACTGTCTGCCAAGCTGAAGGAGATCGCAAGTGATAACGCCAGCTTGCAGGTACAATCTGCAGTCTCATCACTTGTGGCATTTCAACAGTGTCTCTGATCAGGAGTAGTGTTCTCGCGGTTCATCGTGCACATATCAACATAGGTCGGTGTCTTGTTAAAAGCAGGGCACCTAGAAGGGTGTTTTCTTTCTTTGAGCACATAATGCTGCAAAGCATAGGTCCCAGGACCAGCAGAGCCTGTACCTGTGGATTGATGGCAGGCTGCCCAAGCTGAACAGTTAGGACGATTTGTGTGCAGGAGCTTGGGGGTGCACGGTGCGACGCGCTGGCGAAGCATCTAGAGGTGAATCGCGCGGAGAAGGCGGCGCTATTGGGAAGGTGCGATGAGCTGGCGGCTGATGTGGCGGCGCTGCGCGATGACGTGGCGGCCGCCGAGCGCCGCTGCGAATCCGCCGAGGCCAGCGTGGACGCGATCGCAAAGGCAAGCATGCACCCGCTTGCTTTCTTTGACTTCGTTGCCTTTTGGTCATCACCTAATCCGTCCAATACAATACCTTTTCTACCAAATTATCTATGACTCCAGTCAGCATATGGTGAGACTGGGAATGATCAAGATTGCCGCCTTTGGGCAGGCAACTGCTGGCATTCTACCGGAGGCCCTGAGAGGTCTGCAAGCTTTCAGTTATGGAGAAGAAAGTCAAGTGTGCCGAGCAACAGTGGAAAGTTGCGGCTGAACAGAACTACAATAACAACAGTAAAATTAGAACAAGGTATGGCACTTGCAGGCCAGCGAGGAGGCACGCGCAGCGCTGGAGGCTGACGTGGCGCGACTACGCGCTGACCTGGACGCCAGCTCGCGCCAGGTGGCCGACCTGACAAAATCGGCAGAGGAGTCGCATGCGCGCGCCGCAGCACTGACATCTGATCTTGAGGCCATGACTGCGCGGCTGCATGAAAGCCTGTCAGACGCAGAGGTGACTTACTAGATCACCTTGGCCTTAAGAAAGTCACCGTACTAGGTCTGATGGGCAGCTGGATTGAGCTAGAGTACTATGGGTGCAGTTTGTTCAGGGAGCATTTAGCCCGCCCAGCAGCACAGTGCAGCCCTGAGTGGTTTCCAAAAGAGTGCTTTGCAACCGGCGGGGAATGCATGCCTCTCTGGCACAAGTTTGCAAGGAGGTCAATTTGATCTTGCAAAGAAAAGCAGGAGGCTTGATCAGGTCCTCAAAATTCTCATTAGTGTGCCCTTCCGAGACAAGTGTATCTGCGCAGGCGGCAGAGGCACGAGTGCGGGGCCAGCACAGCGCTGCGGTGGCGGCGCTGCAGGGCAATCTAGATTTGGCGCTGGCTCGAGCACCTGAATTGGAACGGCAGCTGCGAGATGCGCGCTGCGAAATGGACGAGCTGGAAGCTAGCGCGCGCAGCGTGCACACCTCCCTGCAGGTCTGTTGAATAAATTTGTGTGTGTAATTATTGCAACCTTGCAATTATGCTAATCATGGCCCTATACCAGGCATTTAAATCTGGAGTTCCTTGAATGGACATGACTCACGGCTGAGAGTCTGGTGACTAAATAACGTTCTCTTGAACAGCCCATGGCAAGCATCTTGCACCCTTTTTCAAATAAAATGTAGGAGCTGGAAGCATGCCGGTTGATGAAGCATCATGTGACAATGAGCAACATGAAGAGTGGTGCTATAGAATTTGAGCTGAAGGTTTGGGCTGTGCTGTTGTGATGCAGATTGCGCAGACTGAGGCGGATGGTCTGAGAGAGGAGCTGGCGGGTGTGCTGCGTGCAAAGGCGCAGCTTGAGGCCAAGTCAAAACATTCTGAGGCCGAAGTGAGCTGCACTCCTTCTTACTGATATATAAGAATGATGAGAAAACGACAATATGCCTGCTGCTGTTGCTGTTTCTCTATATGCAAAACACACACACAAACGAGTCCAGAGAAAGCAGGAGGGGCAAAAATGCACTTTGGCTTTATTTGGATATTGGCACTCCTCTATAGCAGGAGTGCTGCGCTCCTAAGGCAGCACAGTCTATCTTATTGCAGATACCTCAACAATTTCTGGAGCCAACTCTCGAGAGCACAAGCTCTTTTAGTGTCGCTGTCCTTGCTCCTTGCATGGCATAGCAATCATGACTGATCCCCATGCTGATGTGGCGCGCCAGGTGGCGGCAAGGGAGGATGAGCTTAGAGCCTGCCAGGTCCAGCTGGAACGCCGCGAGGCAGAGGTGCACAATGTCAAGGCACTGCTGTCATCCAGCCTGCAGCCCCGCATCCCTTGTCAACCCCTGCCTCGACTCATCTCCCTTGACTGCGCCGCGGCTGTTCCCTCCTCGCGCGCCACTGGCCTCGGCCGCTTGAACCACCGGCAGGTATGCTGTGTCAGCGCTCATGTATAAAATCATTTCCTCGATCAGTGATGACTAATTCATCACTGACCAATCCTGTGGATACGCCGGGATTGTGCCCAGAAAGGGAAGTTGAGCTACTTAGCCCCTACAGTAGCATTCATGCCGTATGGTAGATTGCTGTCTTGCGCTTGCTGTCTGAAGTTTCCTGCTTTGTCACATCCGAAAGTACTGCACATTGTTCTTGTCACCAACTACTTCGTCGACACTCCTGCAGGACGGTGCGTTCTAGAACTTGTCGTCTGTGTAAAGTGTGCATCCTGTGTTACACCGCTTACTGGTGAAGACCGCGCAGGGCCTCGGCAGCCGCTACCCACCGCGGCCGGCGACGGCCGACGCATGTCTGGGTAACACACCCAAGGCAACCATGCGCGTGCATCCACGTGCGCATGCGCCGACCGGTGCTCTTCCCGCCGGCATCGAGGCGGAAGTCGAGCGGCGGCTGCGACTAAGCAGTGACGAAGCGGACGCCGCAGTCGTGGTGGAGATCTGCAGCCCTGTCAAAGGCCGAAGCGGCCTGATCTTCTCACCGGCAAAGTTCGGGGCCACCGTCCCTTCAGTGAGCACAAGGGTAGACGTGGATCACCCATGGTCTGAGCTGGGCGCTAGAGACAGAGGGGATGTGCACTCAGAAGCCGGCAGCAGAGGGGTGGGAAGGGGCGGAAACCAGGGAGCGATAGGATCTGCGCAGAGGGTGAATGAGGAATTGACAGTGGCGCTGTCGGGGGCGTCGATCGTTTCCGGGGGTCACGCGCCGACGCGGCGTTGCGCGCGGCCGAGGCAGGCCCGGCCCGAGGTGGGTTGACCCACTGGGTTGCTCCCTTTGCCTAAAATGATTCCGGGAATTAAACCCTGAATCCAACGAACATGCCAAAGCTGCTGCACTGTCACTCTTGGAGTCATGCGCAGTAGCCCTTCTGTCTTGCTGCCGGCTTGAGAGGTTGATCTAACAGAAAGGCCAACCGGCTATCATAAGTTTCTGCACTGTTGTGAGATCGAGTGTCCAACAATTTAGAGTGCAAAATGATCTTTCTTTCAGGGAGCTTTCCAGGAGCAGTACTTGTAGGATCAAAAGATGGTGTCTTGTGTATGATTGCGTGTTGCATGCAGGAAGCACCGGCCATGCAGCAGAGCCGCCGGCCACTTCCAGGGGAGGGGCCACACCCTGTCATAGAGCGTGTTGTTGTTGAGAGCCTGGGGCCCAAGGCTGCAGAGCTGCTCATGGAGCGGGCACACCCCAGCCCACGCCGCAGGTGCATCCCCTCTTTTCAGCAACTATGAGAGCATGAATGTAAGTGTGGTTGATGAAGCCATTGGACTCGCTCTTTGCCAGCAGCAGCTGGCATGTTTGGCACAATTCCAGCTGCTCAGGGGCTGCCAGTAGGTCTGCTGGTCCACACGCCTGGCGGGGGGAATATGCTCCTTTTCAGGCGATGTCTTTACAGAGAAAACAGCAGTTTGCGGTGCCTGTTTTGAGTGCGTTATCCTGGATGCGGGTACCTTTTTAGCGTGAGGTAGTGCATTCAGCTTCCGTGATCGTGTTCTGGGAAAAGGTCTGCCCTTGGCTTCAGACTTGCATGTGCCTTTGATGAAGCGCAACAACCGCCTCAAAACAAATTTAGGTGATGGTATTCTCGTTTGTCATGTTTTTGTCACAGGATTGTTGGCTGAAGGCTCTGCATGTGCTGCAGGAGGCCGCTGGCGGCATGAAGTGCCTTGGGAATTTGTGAGGGAGGAATAATATGGGTGTTAGGTGAGGTGAGGAAGATAAGGTGTTTACAATGGTTTTGAGTGTGCGAACGAGACAGCAAATCTATGCATTCACTTTATTAAAATAAATTTAGGAATTTATAAATCCATGGAATTCCTTACAGATTTACAGAAGGAAGGAAGGGACAGAAAGAACACTTCCCTGCATGCCGCACATGGGCATCTTGTACAAGCGAGACACAGTCAGCCTGTAAATACTATCACAAACTTCACTCGAAGACTTGCGCATCTGCAGGGGCACTCAAGTGCATGTGCGCAAAAGCCATCTGTGAAACCGATCTGATTGGCGCAAGTCCATGCAAGCGGTAGCAGGCTCAAAGGCATCCGATGTCTATGCAGCTGCAACCTGAGACTCGCCAAATATTGTGACACGCATTCTTTGAGGAAATTTCATCACTACTTGAACCATGCAGCACATGGGCTCCACGTGCTCTTCATGGAACAAGATTTACTGCGCTCACAAGAGGAAGATTGGTGCTGGCACCACGCACTGGAGATTCTTCTTCCGTATATGTTGAAGGTATCTGTGAGTTGTGATCAGAGATGTTGCTGAACAAGAAATATCCAGCATTGAGCTCACGGACTTTGACAGGACGTCCCGCTGGCACCGTTCCCCGAAGGCTAGGTGCAATCTCCTACTTAACGGAAGTTGTAATGTAGAACACGAACGCTATTTGCTCCCTTTAATGTAAATTTTGTATGGATTTGCAGGCCAGGGAGCTGGCATATCCTTCTCGCTCAGATCAGGCAGATGCAGCAGCAGGATCATAACCAGATGTGAAGGTATGATCTTCCAGGGAATGAAAGTCACTTATGCACCCTTCATCGGGACAATGATTTTGTGACTGACGCAATGCAGCTCGCCAATGCCTGATCCTCTTTTTCTTTGTGGTGCAGCTGCAAGAACAGTGTCACAGAGGATCCCACTGCCCAAGAAGCCTTCTCTTGCAGTCACTCACCCGGAGCTTGCCCGCCAGTGGCACCCCATCAAGAACGGCGAGAAGAGGGCTGAAGACTTCAGAGCTGGATCTGGCTTCAGGGCTGTGTGGCTGTGCCCAACGCCCTGCTCATTATGCGGCAAAGCACATGAGTGGGAGGCAAGAATATCAAACCGCGCAAAGGCAGGCAACCCCAGCGGCTGTCCCTTCTGCTGGGGCCTACGCGTCTGCACCTGCAGCTCATTGGCAACCACAAAGCCTGACTTGATGGCGCGTTGGGATTATGCAGCCAATGAAAGCCTGGACCCTGAGCAGATTGGCGTAAGCTCCAGCAAGAAGGTGTCCTGGGTGTGTTCCCTTCATGGCTCATGGCTAGCCACAGTCAAGCGTAGGGCTGCTGGCACTGGCTGTCCAGACTGCGCAAATCTGAACAAACGAGGTCATGCATCAAATCGGGGCCTGCTCAAGGATGAGCACCCAGAGCTGGTTGCGCAGCTGCACCCCACCGAGAATGAGCACTTGGATCTAGACAAGCTCACCAGCGGCAGTAGAAAGAAGGCAGTGTGGGTGTGCCATGAACGCCAAAACGCCCCTCCTGGGTGCAGCCATGCCCATGAGTGGACAGCTCTGATCAGAGATCGCACTGGCAGGACAAAGCGTGAGGGCAGTGGCTGCCCATGGTGCTTTGGGCTGCTTGTGTGCCTATGCAACTCCCTTGCTGTGAAGGCGCCGGAGGTTGCCGCGCAGTGGCATCCCACGCGCAACGGTGACAAGCGACCAGATCAATATGGTGCTTACAGTCATGAAATTGTGTGGTGGCAGCATGTCAGTGAGCTGACAGGTGAATTGCACGAATGGAGAGCTTCAATAATGGGTCGCGTGGCGACTTGGAACATAAACAATCGCCTGAGCTGCCGTCAGTGCAGAAGGGAGGAGCACCAGAAGCTGATCAAGAGATAGGTATTAAACCCGTCATTGAGATGTCAAATAGTCTCTTGACTCTTGCCCGGTCTCACCAACAAACCGGCAGGCCAGCTCTCCCTGTTTGGGACGCTGAGATTTGAACTGAATTTTAACCTCTCGCTTTGACTTGATTGATTGGGATCTGACTCTGAGTTATCGCCAAAGGGTCCAGGAGGTCTTGAACGCAAGTATCAATGCAGCAGCCCGTGTAGTGTTATCCATTGCTGCAGGTTGGCTGCCAAGAAACCTTCAATTGCAATATCGAGATCTGAAAAGTCATCACCGAGGGGGCGTGCATGTCTTGTTCCAGCAGTGTACTGTGAAGAGAAGATGTTAATCCAGAATGGGACCAGACTTTCACGAGGGTACCCGGTGGAATTGTATCTTATCGGGAGCAACAGAGTGTACTTTATTGGCCCTCGATCAAGACTTCATGTGTAGCCTTTGCGCAGGCGCAAGTGTGTTGCATAAGACTGGGCCAGATCGTGCGATTGCATCAACACACAGCATATGCATGCGCATGCATGTGCTTGCGCATGCCTTGTTATTTGAAAGCAATTGCAATTGTGGTAAAGCCCGAAAATTGCCATGGATATTGAGTAGCATTGTCACTGCCAGTCTGGCAAGCAGTTTCTTAGTCTAGAATCAAACCGGCTACATATGTCTTTAACTGCTTAGAATGCATTTGATCCCCACATGTGCGACAGTCTCACGGTGACCCATGCACGCACATGCCTGAGTTTCATATTGGGCTAATGATAGGTAGTGGCAGTGGCACTATTAAAGCACCAGGTGCTTACATCACCCGAATTCCGAGGGCAATCGCAAAAAGGTTGCACCGCACCTGTAGATCTGATTCAGTACAATATCTCAGTCCTGGTCACATGCAGCACATGAGCTCCACGTGCTCCATCATCTCAAGAACCACTTTTGCTCGGGCAATGGAGAACGGCGATTAGGGAACCCCGATAGTGCTTCCGTACTTGATGAATACTTGTATGTGCTGAGGTCAAGAATGCTGCTCGATAAGGAGTTTTCAGCTTTGAACTTCAGGGCAATGACAGCCCATCCCGCTGCCATATTCCCGCGACGGCTCGGTGCGATTTCTACAAAAGATATGTACTGGAAAATCGTAAAAAATATCGTGAATGGTTCCTGTGACGGTTGCATGCGTTTGCAGGCCAGGGAACGAATAAGTGCTTCTCGCTCAGATCAGGCAGATGCAGAAGCAGGATGACAACCAGCTGTACAGGTGTGCCAGCAAAAGACAAAAAGATAGATTTGATGCATGCTCCCTTTTTTGGATCTCTTTACCCCTAACTGGAGCAAGGCAAGCCACATAGTGCTGAATGTGCTTTCACGTCTTGATGCAGCATCAGCAGCATCACAGAGGATTCCACTGCCCAAGAAGCCTTCCCTGACAGTCACTCACCCGGAGCTTGCCTGCCAGTGGCACCCCACCAAGAACGGCGAGAAGTGGCCTGAAGACTTCACTGCAGGAAGCAGTGCCAAGGTCTGGTGGCTGTGCCCAACGCCCTGCTCGTCATGCGGCAAAGCACATGAGTGGGAGGCAAGAATATCACACCGCGCAAAGGCAGGCAACCCGACCGGCTGTCCCTTCTGCTGTGGGCAACGCATTTGCACCTGCAGCTCATTGGCCACCACAAAGCCTGACTTGATGGCGCATTGGGATTATGCAGCCAATGAAAGCCTGGACCCTGAGCAGATTGGCGTCAGCTCCCATAAGAAGGTGTCCTGGATGTGCCCCCAGCATGGCCCCTGGTTAGCCAAAGTCAGCAGAAGGGCTGCTGGTACTGGCTGTCCAGAGTGCGGGCAGGTAAATCGTGCCAAAAACCGTTCAAGGCGGGGCCTGCTGAAGGATGAGCACCTGGAGCTGGTTGCGCAGCTGCACCCCACCAAGAATGAGCACCTGGATCTAGACAAGCTCACCAGCGGCAGTAGAAAGAAGGCGGTGTGGGTGTGACATGAACGCAAGTATGCCCCTCCTGGATGCACGCATGCCCACGAGTGGAGTGCTCGAATCATTGACCGCACTGGCACGACAAAGCGTGAGGGAGCTGGCTGCCCCTTTTGCTATGGGCGTGCGGTGTGCCCGTGCAACTCCCTTGCTGTGAAGGCGCCGGAGGTTGCCGCGCAGTGGCATCCCACGCGCAATGGCGACAAGAGACCTGACCAGGTTGGCGCTCACAGTAATGAAATCGTGTGGTGGCAGCATGTCAGTGAGCTGACGGGTCAAGTGCATGAGTGGAAAGCTACAACACACGAACGTGTTGAGTGTTGGAACAAGAACAATCGCCTGAGCTGCCGTCAGTGCAGAAGGGAGGAGCACCAGAAGCTGATCACGAGATGTTCTTGAAATCCGCGGATGAGGATACTAACATACTAAACGAGTATTGCCCAGACTCCAACATTTGGCCACCATCACTGTTATTTGGAGACTCTAGAGGATGGAATGTCTCCCTGCTTGTTTCTTGCATTTTTAGGTACGCCTTGACTTCCTCAGCGATACATTACTTGCGTTTGCAGACATCAAATAGTCAGGAGAGTTTGAACTAAGCAGCAGCCCGTTCCCCTCTGTGTGCGCCTCTGCTTGCAATTTGTCGTGACTACAAATGCCTGAATGTCATTATGAGAGAAGATGTTGCCATTGCTAGATGGATTTGTGGCGAATGGTCTACTTAATATTGATATATTGATTTTGATAGGCCATCTAGAAAGTGCTGACATGTGCCGATAGATGACATCTAACATCAGAGTACATGCTCAAGATTGTAATGCAACCGCCGTAGATGCCTGACTATCATCAACCAAAGCTGTTGCCAAAGCCTATGCAATGCACAAGATCATGGCATCCAAAAACACACCTCAAGAACTCCAATATACACACCAAATTTTGAAACCCATCACACTTTGATAAAGGCACATCACAGATCACAACGCGATTGGAAGGCCTGAGTTGTTTCCAGGCTCCAAAATGGTAATACTCTCTCGCTCACAGCCCCAAGTTGCACTCAGCCACCACCATCAGCCTCAATTCCTATTACTAGGCAGGGGGATTGGTCTAATCATCTCCCGGTGGAATGCCCTTGGAAACAGACGCGGTAACAGACCCCCTCGCTCCCGCCTCTCAGGCCTCTCAAGCTTAAAGGCTCCACACACCTTGAAAGCCTGCTGGCTGCGCAGCGCAGCAGAGCAGGGTAGAACAGGAAGTAAATGCTGACTGAAAGGAACATGTCGAGCGGCCCTGGAATCCACGGGAACTTCCACAGTCCAAGGGCTCTGTGCGCTCCATCCCCTGCACATGCATACGCATGTCTGTCTCAGTGTGAGTCATTGATCTTTCAACACTGACTCATGATCTAAAAATGCCTGGCCGCAATGCACCTACAAGAGAATGTTCAGAGACCCTTCATCGTCTGGATGTCAAGGAAGGGTATTCCTCTTCGGCATGCAGAGTGTAAATTTCAAGTACGGGCAATGGCGCCTGAAACTCTTTGTCAGAAGCCACCTAGCGTGACAATTGCCCTTACAGCAGCAGCAACCAAGTGTTGCATATTCAATGTAGAGAGGAATCTTCACTTGTTCTTTAAAGATTTTGCATCGGACCCACACGTGGCCAGGCAAAGCCCCATCCATTAGCTGCACGGGCGGTGCTAAGACTTTGAGCAGGCCTCCTGATAGGCATTTCTCCTGGGTCTCTGGGCGTCTGATGTGCAAGCAATGCCCTGCAATCTTACCTGCTTTGCTTCGCAGAGAGCGCTCAGCAAACCGACATCGAATACGAGGATTGCTTCTTGGTGACGGCGGTCCACTCTCTTGTCAATGATCAAGTCCACCTGGACGACCCATGCCTCACACTCTGCACAACACAATCAGTTTCAGCTCTGAGATTTGCAGGTTGTACACATCTTTAGCAACTGAACACCTGGCAACCATGTGGCGAGTCCGACCTTTGGTGTGTAGCAAGACCAGCAAGAATTCTTGAATGGATTGTCTGTCTGCCCACTGAAAACACCCGCTGAAAATCCTGATAGTTCAAAATCTTTCACTGAAACTTCAGAACAATGACCCGATCAGGGAGAAGTTCAGAAGAAGAGAGCACTGAAAATATGAAGCCGACACGCCGGTGCAAGCATTTTTGGATCTGGCACACAATCGGAATAGAATAGCAAGACAAGAAATGGGGTTGCCAGAGCATGCAAGAAAAATGGGGGCATGTGGTGATTGCCTCACTTGAATTATCGCTTGTTGAACAACATTACACACAATGTGTTCCGGGCTTGAAGCGGCAGTCATCCACGCGCACAGTCATCCGCTTTGGTGACCACTTCTGCCATGGCACTGACTACCACAATGACACACCTGGCCTCAGGCATAAGCAACCAGATGGAGACTCACAGGGTGATAGGTTTGCCATAGATATTGTTTAGCATTGTCACTGCCAGTCTGGCAAGCAATTTTAGTCTAGAATTAAACCTGCTACATATGTCTTTGATTGCATTGAATGCATCTGATCCCCCCTGTGCGACAGTCTCATAGTGACCCATGCACGCACATGCCTGAGTGTCACGTTGTAGAGGCAGTGGCACTATTACAGCACCAGGTGCTTACATCACCCGGAATCAGAGGGCAATCGCAAAAAGGTTAACCCGCACCCGTAGATCTGAATTTAGTAGAAGAAGAAGAAAGGAACGCAGAACAGGAGTCCCAATCATACCCAGAACAGGAGTACAATATTTCAGCCCTGGTCACATGCAGCACATGAGCCCCACGTGCTCCATCATCTCAAGAACCACTTCTGCTCGGGCAAGGGAGAACGTTGTTAAGGGAACCCCGACAGTTCTTCCGTACTTGTTGAACACTTGTATGTGCTGAGGTCAAGAATGCTGCTCAATAAGGAGATTTCAGCTTTGAATTTCAGGGCATTGACAGAACATCCCGCTGCCATATTCCCGCGACGGCTCGGTGCGAGTTTTATTGAACATATGTACTGGAAATTGATAAAAGTAATGATGTAAGATCCTTGTGACGTTTGCATGCGTTTGCAGGCCAGGGAACGCATAAGTGCTCATCGCTCAGATCAGGCAGATGCAGAAGCAGGATGACGACCAGATGTACAGGTGTGGTGTGCCAGCAACAAGAGAAAAAGATAAATTTGATGCATGCTCCCTTCTTTGGATCTTTGTACCCCTAACTGGAGCAAGGCAAGCCACATCGGGCTGAATGTGCTTTCACGTCTTGATGCAGCATCAGCAGCATCACAAAGGATTCCACTGTCCAAGAAGCCTTCTCTTGCAGTCACTCACCCGGAGCTTGCCCGCCAGTGGCACCCCACGAAGAACGGCGAGGAGAGGCCTGAAGAATTCAGAGCTGGATCTAACTTCAGGGCTGTGTGGCTGTGCCCAACGCCCTGCTCGTCATGCGGCAGGGCACATGAGTGGGAGGCAAGAATATCACACCGCGCAAAGGCAGGCAACCCGACCGGCTGTCCCTTCTGCTGTGGGCAACACGTCTGCACCTGCAGCTCTTTGGCAACCACAAAGCCTGACTTGATGGCGCATTGGGATTATGCAATTAATCAAAGTGTGGACCCTGAGCAGATCAGCGTGCGGTCCAGTAGGAAGGTGTCCTGGGTGTGCCCCAAGCATGGCTCATGGTTAGCCACTGTCAGCAATAGGGCTGCTGGCACTGGCTGTCCAGAGTGCGCGCAGGTAAATCGTGCCAAAACCCGTTCAAGGCGGGCCTTGCTGAAGGATGAGCACCCGGAGCTGGTTGCGCAGCTTCACCCCACCAAGAATGAGCACCTGGATCTAAACAAGCTCACCAGCGGCAGTACAAAGAAGGCGGTGTGGGTGTGCCATGACCGCAAGAACGCTCCTCCTGGATGCACCCATGCCCATGAATGGAGTGCTCGAATTGGTGACCGCACTGGCAATGCAAAGCGGGAGGGAGCTGGCTGCCCCTTCTGCTATGGGCGTGTGGTGTGCCCGTGCAACTCCCTGGCTGTGAAGGCGCCGGAGGTTGCGGCGCAGTGGCATCCCACGCGCAACGGTGACAAGCGACCAGATCAACATGGTGCTTACAGTCATGACATCGTGTGGTGGCAGCATGTCAGTGAGCTGACAGGTCAAGTGCATGATTGGAAAGCTGCAACAAACGATCGTGTTGGGAGTTGGAACGTGAACAATCGCCTGAGCTGCCGTCAGTGCAGAAGGGAGGAGCACCAGAAGCTGATCACGAGATAGTCTTGAAATCCGCGGATCAGATACTGACATACTATACGAGTATTGCCTATGTGAGATAAACATTTTTTGTGCCAATGCCATGTTAAAAGCAGGCAAGCATGTGATTGTGGCCCTATAGGGCCCTACCCGAGCAAGTACGCAGCTCTGAGACACTTCCTTTGATCAATTCATCTGCAGGGATGCTTCAACAAGCTCCAGGTCATGCTGGCAGCACGGCTTGCGCACACTGGAAGGTTTCAAGCCATAGTTTGTCTAGATCTTTCACAAACGTCCTATATGCACTGCAGTTGTGCACAGAGTGCTCAGCATCTAATCTTATCCCAATATCACACTGCACCACTTTTTTTCACTTCCGCATCCTCACACTCTCACCTTGCATTGCAGCCAAGCCTTAGATGGCTCACAACAGAGCCTGCTGCTCCGTACGGCTGCTGACATTAGCGCGTATATTGGGTCAGATCTCAAACCTATCCTGAAATTTTCACTCCACTGCCCTCACATGGCATACGACAGGGCCTGCTGGTCAATCCTCTGAGCGTGCTGCTTCCAGTGGGGGTGCCATGACAGGGCGTTCCCTCCTCTGTGCTTCAGCAGCATGATCGCCGTCAGAGTCTGGGTTTCTTCGGGGCTCAGGTCGCCGCATCTGCCGAGCTTTTCCAGCCGCTGTCGCCGCGCCTCGCTGAGAATGAGTGCGGCCGCCACAGAAACATTGAAAGACTCTGTGAAGCTGTGCGCCATGGGGACTGTAACTGCCTGGTCCGCCAGCTCTATCGCCTCCGCTGATGCCCCTGCAGCGTTTGCGATTGAAATGCAAGTCAAGGAGAGTCCTTCTTTGCAGGCATGGCGGTAACGGTATTTGTGAGCGCCCGTTTTTTTTAAAGACGGCGGTTATTTCAACATTTCAACCTGCAAAAACATGCGTACAGGCCAACCAACGCCCATGAGCATTCTTCTTCTGAACAAGTTACTTTGAGCTTTTGATGTCTTACTGGGTCCTGCGCCATTGTCATCCTGATTTGCTTGCACTTGAACGCTATGACAAAAGGCCTGGTCAGTGCAGAAGACTGGCCACAGCCAGACAGCTGCAGGTACTGGCCCCTGCCAGCATGATTTGACGCAATACCACCGCCATGCCAGCACCCGGTGATCTGCCTATGCATATACCAACCTGACAAGTGATGGGCGGAGCATAGATACGCACCGTTGACCTCGTTGCCCAGGATGAAGGCTGTGGGCAGCGTCCAGTCAATCGCCCCGATCGGTACTGAGTCAGCCGTCGGCTGTGTGACTAATATCCTGTAGCCACAGTCACGCAGGTACTCCACACACCTGCATTGTCGATTTCTTAGGTTCAAGATTAATATACCTGTTGGGTGTTTTCATATTCTCCTTGTATCGATATTTTTTTGGGGTCCTAAAGACGACAACCGTAACTCCAAGTGATCCTTGGGATGATGACATTCCGCATGTCTGCAGCGCTGACTTCCAGTTGACACACCAGCAAGTACATGTACTGCTACGTGACCAACAAAAAGAGTGTCTCCCTGCTCCTCCTTATCAGAGCTAGCTGTGAGGAGCTGAGCAACTGCACTGTTCCTCGGAGGGAGCCTCAGAGCACCACATGGCATCACCAAGTGATGATCATACTACAGATTGTCAGGACTGCACAGATATACTCTAGAAATTCAGGGGTTCGTTGCTTTCCAACACACCTGCGAGTGCCCCAGGTGCGCTGCACGTCCAGCCATTTCTCCGCGCCCTTGCTGGTGCGATTCCCCCGCGCAGACTTCACCCTCTCCACGCTGCAAGCACAAGAACCGCCCGCGCAATGTCACTCTCGTCATCTGAATCATCTGGCCTAATGAAATTTCCGGTGGTTGCCAGATGCTGTTCAGGCTTCATCCAGTTTGTTTGCTTGCCAGGATCCATTTCTGAACACTGGCAAGGACCAGAAAGTTTAGATGGGGGAGAGCCCGGGCTTGCTGATCTTGCATGATGTGCAGGTTGTGAGAGTATGCAGGCTGCTCTGGCGCACCTGCTGTCTATGCACTGTACAGCTCCAAATCCCAAGGCTGCACAGCAGCAGCGCCATTGCAGTTAGGCGCACGAATAGAGGAGCACAAAGCAATGGCATCCTTGCAAGCATGGCCAATTATCAGTTGGATTGGTACATGCAGAACGGGGATTTTTCCATAACATTGTGATGGAGTGCCCCACCGTCTGCGGTCCGACAGAGCGCTCCCACATTGCCCCTGTCAATCAGACCTGCACAGAGCAATGGAAAGCTCAGAAAGCTGGGGGTGATCTGGCACCATGTAACCTTCAACTCTGTGTGTGCACAAGAAGTAGAAAACAAAAACTGCACCTTCTACAACTGGGAGGATGGAGTGGCATCTGTCAGAGGCAACCTGCGGCCAAATTCTGGAATCTTGAGGCCTTCTAAGAGGGTGAAAAGTACCGGACAATGGCATCTGTTGATGTAAGAACAGGATCGACATGTAATGGTTACACCGTGTATGGGTGAAGAAGGGGTGCAGCACACCTGTTGTATCCGCTCCAACCTCTCAGGCAGCACCTGGGGAATCAGCGCCTCCAGGATGAGCGAGCTGCTCGCTTCACAGCCCCCCACATCAAACCTGCAATTGCATGCAACTTCAAGTACGTAGGCCTGCCAAAAGTAAAAAGTTGCACCCCTGGAATGCCTCAACCAGACGCCCACAACAAATCTGTGATTGCATGCAACTTATGGACACAGGCCTGCCAGAAATGATAAGGTGCACCTCTGGATGCCTCAACACGAGTGCAGCTCCTTGGGTAAGGGAGCATGCCTGTCTGGATATGGAAAGCGGGAGCTTGTTCTGCTGATCTCATCCGCGCTCTTCCTTATCAGGTTATAGTTCCCCGCGCACAGTGTCCCCTTGATTGGGCTTGTAAGGGAGTCATCGTAAAAGTCTGCCGGGTCTGAAAGGCCCACATGACACACTTCTTATCACCTTGTCTGCACAGAAAATAGCGACAGGGGCAATCACTCAGCAAGTGTGCAGGGTGAACGTACCTGTGTCGGCTGAATCTAGGGAGTCATCGCTTGAGACTGGTACAGGCCACAGCGGCCCATACTCATCTCCTCTCTGGTTGTTTGGGTTGACTTTTTGTCTATTGTGGTATGCACATGTCCTGCATTGTTCAATTGATCATTTATATCAGCAACCAAATGTTTCTGAGGTGACAATTTCCCACTTGAGGGCAATATGAAAGCCTCATCTTCAAGGCCCAGTGAGGCATGCAATTGCAGCACAGTGCAGCTCTCTTGTGAGCATCACTGCAGCAGCTGCTGGTCACTTTTAGAGTAACTTTATCAATCAAGCGAGATGCGTGCCTGAAGTGTCTGCAGGCCCTTAAGCTCTGCAGAGCATGGTAGCCAAGAATGGGTGTGGCACACACACGCACAATCCCCATGCCCCTGTCAAGTGCAGAATGCAGTGTGCTGTTTTGGGAGCAGTCACTGCCCCTGCCTCGATCTGGAGGGCCGCTGGGATGCCGATCGCTTGTCTATACCTTAGACCCAGCTCCTGCGACACAATCGCGGGTAACTTTAAGGTCAGTGCCGATCTCTAGCTAGGCAGGTCCGAGAGAGGAGACTGTCAGTAAATAAACTTCCAGAATTAAGATTTCAGCAGATATTTGACAGATTATTACCTTGAATTGTCGACACGATTCTTCGAGGAGTCCCCTGAATTACCCTCTTGAGGGTGAGAAGATCGCTGGCAGCCTTCTTTGAATTTCGCGTAATGCCAGTCTATCCTGTCGCATGCGAGATACCCAGAAAGTCTGTTTTATTTCCACTGAATGTCTTTCTTAATGTTAGTGTTCGCAAGAACTGTAAAGCATGCAGAAAGCAGATGTGGATTGGAGCCTGACTATCGTGGAAGCCTATGTGCATTACCACGGATTCCAAGGCTACTTAAGACATAAAGAAAACTTCTAGCAGATCTGCGAGCCTCTAGATTTGATCTGTAGGCCCGAAAGTCTGCTTTATGAAGAAAAGGCACGTGATAGTGTGCTCCGCTCACGTGCAACGAACGAAGCCTGCAATATTCGGACGAGGTGATGATCACTTCACACATGAGAAAGGCCTTTCGCAGGATTCTAATATGGAAAGTGGCCAAGAAGGCAGTATACTGCCAGTAACGCGGGAGCCACCAAGCTAGCCAGGTGCAGGGCCGCCACAAGAAAGGCAGTGTTGTATAAACGTGGAGATCAATAATATTAAAATATATCATATGATTTTAGAAAATACATTTTCTAAAATTCCAGTACCTCATCGGCCTTTTCTTTACTCAGTGTTCGTATATGTAGATGAAGTAAACAATGCCCGTTCTTCTTCAAATCTGCACTGCAAACCGACCCCATCGAACACCAGTGTGCTGCTGAAAAGCCCTCGCTCGCACGCCGGCTGTAGTGCATCTCAGCTGCAAAACTCTAGGCACAAACAGCCGCCTCACAGGCAGTTTCTGATGCAAGCACCCTCTCCTGACGACCGCAGATGCAGCAAGACCTCCTGGATTATCTTCGTCTACATCCCTGAACATTCCCCGGCCCGGCCGGCGGCCGCGGCCTCTGCTCTGATCTGCACCGCCTGAGTTCTCATTTGAACTAGTAGCTTCCTCTGCGCTGGAAGCTGCCTCCGCTCTCTGGGCGCCCGGCCTCTCCTGCTGTGCTGCCTCATCAGGCTCTGCGCTGACATCAGCCGCTGAATCATCCACCCCCAGCTGCCCAACAAAGCTCTCAGCAGGTTCCCCCTCGCTTACATCAGCATCTGATGCTGCTTCCTGCGCTGGTGTGACCTCCTGCAACGCCAGTGAGTTGGCCATTCAGCTCATTTATTGGATGCAGACAGAATTCCTAGACAGCAATTCTGCATTTCTTAGGCTGGTTGCGCAGTATCGTGCAGGCTACAGGTTGCAGCTCTCTTTGACACATCAAACGATTAACTCAATACCATTCTGATGACCTGCTGGGAGCGACCTGATGATCATGGGTGTAAGGGCAGTTTTTCAAAAGCTTCTGCTGTGTCCGAACTCCGTCAAAACATTGGGAGTTTAACCAATTGGGCTTTGAGCAGAATAGGCTCCACATCGCACAAGTCTAGAGGCAGGTTAAAGCAGCGAGTCACCTGCGAAGGGGGTTCCAGGATGGTGACAGGTGGCATGGGCTGCGAGGGCGTTGCCTGCAGGGTCATCCGCACGGCGCCCCTTGGTGGATTGTTTCCACTGCCACGCCTGCAAACAGTGCACGTTTCTTGTAATTCAACTTCAGAACGAACGTAAGCTGGCAGACAAGGTCGTGTGGCTTCAATCTGCAGGTGCCAGCTGCTGGATAAAGAGGGTACATGTGGCTCCGCTCCATATGTTTGCCGGCCAGATTTGCGTAACAACAATCACTAACGCACATGCTGCTGGAAAACTGCAATACGGCCCTGTCATAAACTCCATGTAAACAAGGACAATGCGGGGATCAGAACAAATTATACAAGAAGAGCCTGCAATGGGTGCAGCAGGGGACAAGCCAGGCACCTGGTCCGTCCAGCAAGCCGCACATACAGGAACGCCGCGACAGACACCGCAGCAGCCAGGGCCGCAGCGGCAGCGGCAAAGGGCACCGGGGGAACCAGCGGTGGCAGGGCGGCCTCAGCGGTGGTCAGCGGTGGGGGGACCTGCAAGGAGGTAAAGGAAACATGCAACATCCAATACTGGACTGAGTGCCTAACCACAATGTTCTTGACAGAAAGCACACTGCAAATGTGGACATGAGGACCTTGAAGATATCTGTATTCAGAACCCCTGTGGAGCCAAGAACAGTGTCAAGGCATCAAATAGAATCTAAGGAATGGAAAGGGGCACCTGTGAGGAGACGAGTAGGGCCAAAAGAGCCATGAGTATCGCTGATGTCATCGATGACAGCGGTGCCAACGCAGCTGCAAAGCTGTCATTCAGGCGCGCCTCACGCGCGTAGTCCACCAACTGCAGGTTGCACGGCAGAAGACACATCAGATTTCAAGTTTCACCGCAGTCATCAGGAACGCAACAGGTAGCTTTGCGGCTCCTTGCATGTCTTGCAGCGGCTAGCCTGGTTCCAGGAAGTATTCTGGACCAGACGACTTGTTTAGTGCATCAAACAAGGGAGTTGAAGGCAGCCTGCACTTGGAGCAGGACAGGCAACTTGCTTCCTCTAGCTCAAGATGAAAGGCTTACCGCATATGGAGCGGGTGAAAGGGCGCAGATGGCAGCGACCGCGGCCAACAAAGAGTGGGAGGGGGAAACAAGAGCGGCCGCAGCGGCAAGCAGCAGCGGCGACACATACCGCGTAAGGAGGACAGCAGCAGTGTCTTTCACCTGCAGGACATGCATGAGTTTTGTGAGAAACGCAGCACCCTGCAGCCATTGTCACATTCCTAGTATCTGCAGCTGATATCTGCAGGTGACATGGCGGAGAACAAAGACAAAAGCCCTGAGTTTCTGGACGAAAAGCACTGTGGCTGTGCATGGGCTGAATCGTACGCATGTAGGACAAGATGGGGCATAGAGAATTTGAAGCCCAGAAAGCAGTCATGCACCAACCTGCAGGACTTTGGGGTGCGGTGCAGCGAGTAGGGCCCCAGAGCAGAGCAGCACTAGCGGCAGGTGTGCGCTGGCCAATGTCCCACTCACAGCATCCACCTGTACCACCACCATCCCTCTTGACATTTCAGGTCATATCATCTGGCAGAATTGCTGACAACTCGCCTGGTAGAGAGTTGGAGCAAACGAGGTCATGCATGCATGCATGAAGGGCGGAGTCAAGATGCACAGCAAGATCCCAGGTTTGTAAATAGTGAAAATAGGTGAAGCGCACCAGGGCGGGCAGGGGAGAGCCAGAGTAGCTGAGCCACAGAGCGGCGGCGCTAGCCCATACAAACGGCTGCATCGCCAAATTCATCAACACATCCTCCACTTTGCCGCCGCCCACCTTCACCCTGCACAATAGGGACATTTCTCTCAATTGTCTTTGAGTTGGCTCAAAACACCGTGCAACACCTGTCAGCACATTCAAAACAGCATTTGGGAACAGGGGGTGCTCCAGAATCAGGCACAACTCTGCCTGTGAGAGTGTTTCTCGTACCTTCGTGCCGCCTGTGCCGCCCTCTGCGCTGCATTGACTGCATAGGCGCAGTCCAATGGATCCATTTGCTTCTCCAGCTTTGCCGTGCCCCACCGACCCGCCTGCGCTCAGAAGGCAACAAGTATCACTCGTAACTTGCCAGCACACTGCACAGTAGGAAGGGTGCTGAAACAGATGATTGGCGTTCGGGGGCATGGCGGACAGAGCAATTTGCACCTTAATGCTTCCATTGCGCATGAGGCGTGCACCCATGCCCTCCCGCTCCCCAGCCACCCACTCGCCCTCATACAACCCACCCTGTGGATAGCAAACTCGTTCTTGGCAACGACCTTATGCATAATACATCCTCAGACTTGGAGTACTGTATCTTCCCACCCATACCACTGCATCTACAGATTGCAATCTCTGTGCAGAATGACAAAACGATAATTGGGTATTGTGCAAAGAAAGCTGAGCATGCATGAATGCCCGATCGGCCATTGTGCTCGAACTCATGAGAAGACAGACGAATGCATGGTCCACACAGTTACCAGCCACCTACTGTGGATGGTCCAGGCACCGGTCTGGCTGCTCATAGACTCAGAGCGTGGACCTCGATACGGCGTATTTACCAACACCCATGCAACCTTTGCCCTCCAGCTTATGAGCAATTTGAGTGGGAGCATGGTCCATACAGTCATGAAGCACCCACTGCGGATGGACCATGCATCTACCAGACTGCTCATAAGCTGGAGGCATCAAGGCATGAACATCTAACAATACTTATATTTCTCCCGTTTGGCCCCCATGTTGACTCCCTGTGCCTACTTTAAGACCCTGAATTTAACATAACGAAGCCCTCTGTGTTCAAGTTGTCACCTTTGGGAAGGCGTACACCCCATAGCCATGCTTCACGTTGTCGCGCCACATGCCCTCGTAGCGCCCACCCCCGGGGTACACATAGACCCCCAAACCCTGCTTCTTATTTCCCCGCCACTGCCCCCTGTAGGTTCCCCCGTCCGCATGCTCGTACAGCGCCGGCGGTGGCGATCCTCCCGACGCAAACACCAGGTATGCCAGCCCGCAAACTGCATGCGCGCACATGTTGGCACATGCTCAGCAGATTGCACATGTGCATGGACATGCTCAGCAGGTTTGTTTTGCACTGTATTAGAATGTTCAGTTCAATGTGCATGGCAGCAGGTTGAATGCTAGTTCAAGCTGTCAAAGGACGAGTTCAACTACAGATCCACACATCGCACACGTCCAAAATCAAGCTCGCAAAGGGGACAAAGCACCCACCTTCAGTGCTGTGAGCAGTGCCAATTTTCACGGCTTTCACCCGTCACCAGAGACCAACAGGGATTGTGAGAGTCAGCATCAGCTCTTTGATATGCAAACTGGGCAGGCCTCACACCATGTACAGATTGCAGGGATAATTGCGCACCTGCCACGACATTAGCAAGGTCCCAGAGCAGGGCAATGCGGACGCCGGCTGTGCCAAACGCAGCCTCTACAAATGGCAGCCCAAATGTGCCCAGCGCCACTCCGACTGCTGAGCCTGCACAAAGGAAAAGTGACACACCATTGGGGCCGGCCTGCCATAGACATAGTGACAACAAGCATTGTAAGGTGTGATCGGCAGCAGTGCATACAGTAGGGCAAAGTACCTGTGAGTAGCGCTCTCTCTGGGCCTCTTCTTTTGCCATGAACGAGCCTGCAGGAGCATGCATGTTCACATTCGTCACTGAACCTTGCTGGACGCAGTCTTCCTCATATCTCATGAATGGTACTGCCTGCTGCATGGAGATCAAAGAACATCACAGGAGTGCTTTTCAACTGCTGTGACTGGGCGCACCATCCAAGAAGGGCCAGGAATGCGCTGAAGGCCGCTGATACTGACACAATCGTCAGCGCCTGAATACCGGCCACACCCGGGACTGACAGGAGTTGGAGCGCCAAAGCTGGCAATGTGACGTACGCCGCAAATTTGAGCCCCAGCTGCAAGACACAAAACAAGTCAGGTGCAGCTTGTACGACCACCAAGCTGCAGCTCATGATTTGTACAATTATCAGCCCTTGAAATTTTCCATGCAAAAAGCGCACCTGTGCATCGATTTTCTCAAGGGATCCAAGATTGTTTGCAAATGCACCAGCCGCGAGAAGGACTCCCGCTTGAACGAGGGAACGAATGGTCTCGTGAAACATCCCTGAGGCGTCCTTATCCCAGCTTTGAGACAAGGCCTCTCCAAACAGAGCAGAGTATATTCTTTCAAAGAATCGAAGTCTCCACTCAAAATGTCACGATCGTGAGAGCAAATAACAGGAAGAACGGTGGTGCATTGACTTTAGACTTGTGCAACAAGCAACAAGTTCAAGCCCCGATGCTGCCTAAGATCCGTACATCTGTCCTTTTAAAAGATTCTGATTGTCAAGTGGAGGTTGACAAGGAATGCCATGAAGGAAAGTGATCACCCATGTCCTCCAAATGGAGCAGGAACGCCCCAGGACGTGTGCAGCAGTCTATCGCTCTATCTTCCCATCAGCGTTAATGATCACTGCAGAGGTCGAAGACCATTCCAATTTCCTGATATCTAATTGATAGTGTAATTATTTCTTCGAGTAATCGAGAGTTGCTGCGCGCATTGTGTTCTCCTCTCAATTCCTGTTTTTGCAGCACATGGAGGCCATGTGCGCGCAGGCCTTGCCTGCACACTGCAGCTCATTAATAGCGACACAAGGTGATACTAATACTCGCATGTGAAGACAGTCCTATGATCAAATTGAATAGCCGTGTCCCAGCACTCTGTGCCCAAATAGCAAGGATTGTGCTTTCAGATCGTTAGCGCACAACAACAATCTTGAAGTGCCAGGATGCCAAGGTCTAATAATCATTTCCTAAGTTTTTATTTACGCTCGATGCAGGCCAGCGCTTCGTGCCAGGGCCAGCGTCATGCTCTGGCAGGCAGAGTCTGCCCAGGCCACCCCAGGGGTTGTCCAGGGGGCAGAGTTACGTCACAAAGGGCCGCAGATCGTGCAGAGCACGGAACAGCAATGGCAAAATACCGATCTTGCAGACAATCCTCAGCGCAGAAAGCCAGGATGGGGCACCCCAGGAAAGCCTGGGGGTGGTGGCAGAGGATGGCTGGATTGCTCGCACGTTGGCAGCGTTCAGGAAGGATAGCGCCAATGCACAGACCCTGCCTGGCCCGTGAGTGTATTCTCCAACCATTCATTGCAGACCCAAATGCCTACATAGCATGCACGCATGCATGACTTGCTGTGCGGTGTGCAGTGCTCATACCTGGCTTTGTATATGATATTCTGGTACACATGAGAGTAAGACTCAGCATACCCCTTTAAAGTAAGCATGCAAGTGATGAAGACATGCATGCATTTGCTCGGTGCGAAAGTGCCACTCACATATATGTAACCAGCTCCAATGTACCGTGCAGGATGGAAGAGATGAGGATGGACTGCACTGTGGCGCTGCGCTCGCAACGCATGCCCACCACGCGCAATGAGGAGTACCGCTTCACAGACATAGCCCCCATCCTGCAGCTGGAACCACAGGTGCCTCAACATGTTCATTCCGACATGGATCACTTGCTGACCTTTGAGATCGAGCTATTCTGTGTTCTGTGAAGTAAGTCGGCGTCTGCTTGTCTAATGTCTTCCCTCCAACCTGCACAGCATTGCCATCGGACGCACATCTCCGGATCTACTTATTTGAGATAGCGGACGCTTGACTGCTCCTGAACATGATCTATTGCATGGCGCCTTTGATGGCACTCACGTTGCAGGAACTATCACAGTAGAAGTGAGGAAGTAAGTGATCGTGTGCAGGTGGCGGCCTCTGCGACTGTGCTGCCAGGCGAGGCGATTGCAGCGCTGGTGGAGGCGTCTCCCCTTAAGGAGGCTGTGGCAAGGGTGGTGGTCATTGACGGGGTGGTGGCGCGCCAGCTCAGCGACACAGACCGCTTACCTCAGCAGGTGCGCCATGGAACCAACTGTGTATTATCTGTGATGAGAATGGGAAGGAGGGGTGATGACGCCTGTACATTGCCCACTATCCACCTTGAATCAACAATAATGAGGGTGCAATGTAAAATGATGCAGATCTTTGCTAGTATTTTCTTGTATTTGTCAAGCTTTTTTGCCCGAAATATTGCCTCTTTGTCCGCAGCAGATGCTGATTTTGTATATCTGCTGTGCAGGTGTTTGTTGGCAGCCTGCGGGGATGCCCCAACACTCCCGGCAGCACAGCACCTGGTGAGCACAATATTCATCGGAGACATTACATAGCATCAACAACATTCAATACTCTGGCGCAGGATTTTGGATCAGGTGCTGCAGTGCTGTCCATGGGAGACTCACAGTGCTTGCATGCCCAAAACTTGTAACTGTGCGCGTGCAGGGGAAGCAGGCGCGGCTCAGGGGGAGCCCCTTTGCGCTGATAAACGGCGCCACGGCTGAGGATGTGCTATGCATTGATGTGCCAGAGGGCGTCTCTGTGGAGGGGCCCATCCACGTCCTCTACATCACCTCAGGTCCGACTCGGGAAGATCTGCCGAATTCACGATGGGCAAGGTTTAGAATAGTTGGCTGTTGGGGAGTGAGGAGCAGGAATGCGAAGTAGAACGCCATGCTTCAGGAATAGGGGCAGTCACATTTTGATCATACTCATGCTTCAGGAGTGTTGTCCTGGGTATTGGAACAGTACTCCTGAGAGCGATCACAGCGGGAGTGACGTTGCAACAGTGGGATTGCAAGCCAAGCTGAACAGAATTTTCTGAGAAGCCTGGTACTGACTTTGATGTGGGGTTGCCTGTTCAGGCGCGAGCAATGTGGTGGCGCCGCGGCTGCTGTGCACGCTAGGCGCTGATTCATCCGCCGAAGTCGTCGAGGAGTTTGTGGGGCCTGCAAAGGGCGCCGAGCCGCACTTCACCAATGCCGTTGCAGAAATCAACCTTGCAGATCGCGCGCAGATCAAACATGGGTCAGCTGCTTGGGCTGTGCTTGCTTCTTGTCTCCTTTCAGTCCATTTTCTTGATGTTTGGTTATCAGAAGGCAAACACTGGTGAACTGTAGGGGATCAGATAGCATTGGCCAAACAGCGAAGTAGGTGAAGTCAGCTTGCACCCACAAATTCTACGGCACAACTATTTCCGACTCGTGAGCACCTGTTGCGATGCAATCTCGAGGCTGGTTGGTGTACAGACGCGCTCAGAGCTCCCATTTTGAATGCAAAAGCAACTTACATTAATGCCCTGGATTCAGGTATGTGGCGCTGGAGGGACGGCGGGCGCTGCACATGAAGGGAACTCTGGTGAGACAGGCGGCGCAGAGCAGCTACAAGCTCACGGAGGCGCGCCTGGGCGGCCGGCTGACTCGGCAAGACCTCTTCATTGAACAGGTGCATGTTCTTGCTCTTCATCTGTGCGCATGCATGACTCTTCGACCATGCGCAATGCAAGAGTCCTGAGCTGCACATGGGTCTAATTGAGGTCTTCGCTGTCGATCTGCCCAGTGTTTCATCTGGCAATAGAGTGCCATGTTCATACCGCAAACTCCTTTTAAAAGCCCACGCTGCCACTTTTATTCAGCGGCTTGTGCCAACTAAATTGACACAGAGTCCCATTTTGTATGCGCAGACTGGCGAGGAGACACAGACAGAGATGGGCAGCTTTTTGCTGTGCGGTGATGAGCAGCTGCACGACCTGCACTCCAAACTGCGTCTGGAGCACCCGCGCGGCACCGCCAACCAGCTCCACAAGTACGCGCCCCCTTTTCTAGTGAGGCTCAACATGGGAAGGCCAAGGCTGCAGGTGCTTACAACTGCAGCCGTCGACACCTTCACTCAGCTTGTTCCCTTGTGCCTTCTGGATGCCTTGCGGAGGCAGAAACCTGGCGGTGTTGGCCCTGCCAAGGAACACCCTGCCTGGGGCCGAGCTGATGAGGTCAAGGACATGTCGGGGCTGTCGACATCCTGTCGGCTTGTCGACATCCTTCCCTTCATCCACATCCTGTGGACGAGGTACCGTATGCAATTGCTAATATGAGTAAGTTCGCGCGCAGGTGCATTGTGGCGGCCGGGCGCGGCCGCGGCGTATTTGACGGAGCGGTGAAGGTGGAGCAAAAAGCGCAGAAGACCGACGCCGGGCAGCTCAGCCGCAACTTGTTGCTGGTGCCGCGTGCGACAGTGAATGTGAAGCCCAATCTGCAGATTGTGGCGGACGATGTCAAGTGCACGCACGGCTGCGCTGTCAGCGACCTGGAGGAGTCCCAGCTCTTCTACTTCCGGTGCGACGCGCGCGCTCTTTTATGTATTCCTTGGATTGACCTGTACTCTCTAGAGGAGAAGGAATGCGAACGTCAAGGCAGAAGGAGGGCCAGCAGTGAGAATGAAGGGAAGGATTTTGTTAATAAACATTTTGATGAGTTGATGTGTTGCCTCAGTGATGTGGTGAAAGCAGGTGAGCTGGGGCTCACCGAAATCAACTTCACAGGCAGAATTAGATGGGTCTAAAAGCCCATAGTCATTTCCTCTTGTGATTTCTAGCTTGTATGAACCAGTAGCAGCAGCACCTCGCAGCATGTCTCAACTGTCCTTCCTAAGAGTGTTGTCTCTTGAAGCAACTGTGTCTCAAAGGCAACCAGCGGATTCTTTATTGTTTCTTGAATTGGCAAATCCCGGAATGGGATGGCAAATCAAGCACCGGAACGCGATGTGAGGACCCGGCTCCTGACAGCTGCCGTATACATGCAGGGCGAGGGGAGTGGACGCAGCAACTGCGCGCAAGGTGCTCGTGTACTCCTTCGGGGCGGAGGTCACCGGCAGGTTCGCCTCGGCGGAGCTGCGCGCGCGCATTCAGAACGCTGTGGACAAAACGCTGTCCAGCGTGCCCATCCTGGAGGAAGCAGCAGCAGCTTAGCTGCCTGACTTGCAATGACGTGGGCAATTACACAGCACAGACAAAAGAGTTGGCCGGGCGAAGTAGCCTAGTAGTGTGGCACGTCAGGTACTTTGATAAGGGCCCTGGATCTGAGACTCCGGGGGTCCGAATTTCTTGGAGGATCTGGTATGCAACAACTTAGAAATAGCCATGCAGGAATACTCGGGCTAGTTTCATGTCACCATATTTTTTGTGGATGAGATTGAAGGTCATTGGACTTGTAGCAATATTGAATAATGCAAGTAATGCGTGAGATGCCCAGTCCTCTAATGCCATGCAAAGCCGGTGAATCGACTGAAGATCACGCGCCCTGCGTCTTCATTGTTACTAGAAACTTCCCTCAAACGCAATGATAGCTGTCCAAAGTACAAGGCAACTATACAACCTTGGACAGCCTGCTGATAGGAAGACAAATTTTGCTGGCCTGGATTTCCTCGCATAGCAAAGTAACAGTCGGCACCAATTATTACCGGCAGCGCATCACGATGTCGGTCAACTTCTATGATAGCTATTGGCTCCCCCGTCCAGCTGTGAGTCTGAGCTTTGATCATACAGAGCTTGTCAAGCAAACAACATGTACGTAGGACATTCAATACAACACTTTGTATCAAAATTGATCCATTGATTCATGTGGTGTCGACACCACAACTCGAGGTTTTTGGTTCATAATCATGAATTCTTAGCATTGATCCTAGCGCACCTCAGCACCCAATAAATGAAAGAAATCACCACTATGCATACTGCCTTCAGCTCATATCATGACCACCTGATCAACCTCTCCTTGATGCTGTCAACTCCAGTGGCTTTCAATGCCATCCAGGGGCTGCAGCAGAACCAGCACGCCTGGCATCGGCACAGGTAGAATAGGTTGTGCCGCTCAAAGTTCGCAGGTAAATAGAGCAGGTCGTGCGCATTATCTGAGGGACTGTGCACATAGCATTCCGCATTATAACTGATGTTAGAGTCATACCAATCCCAGTCTACCCCCCTCTCAGCCATGTATCTGGTCAGAAGCATCACGCCCATGCCTTGCAGCGTTGTGAACTGGAAAGAGAACTCAGGCCGATTATCCACAAAATTCTCCATATCGTGCAGCCGGATGCCGAGGCTTTTACAGGTGTGGAAGTTGACCAGCCGCCAGCCATGCCCAGCTGGCACCTCCACATGGATGTCATCTAGTGTGTCAATGGCCAGCCGCTCGACTTCCAGGAAGCTTCCACGCAGCTGGATGGGAGCTTTGACGGTCTCAAACCCCCTGACTGACACTATGAGCGTCTCAAGACTGCTTGGCCCGAACAGGAACAGCGGAATGTTCTCTTTGGCATCGAAGGAACTGTCCTCCTTCTGCATGTCTATGTGAAAGGTGCGCAGGTGGGGCAATAGGCTGATCCAGATTGGGTGCCTTGCAGCGTGAATGTCATGCACGCGCACGTGCAATTGCGTGCTCTCGGGAAGGGCTAGCGAGGCTGGCAGGACACCGCGCAGTGCCAAGCTCCGCAGCTGAGTCATGGCAGCGAGCAGCAATTCAGGCCCGTCGTCCTGGCTGTCATTGAGGCAGATGATGTGCAGCGTTTGCAGGCTGGGCAGGGCATCAGTCATGCACCTCGCCACTCGGCGGCAGTCGCCGTTTTTCAGGTGCAGCTGCAGGTGCTTCAGCTGCGGCAAGCGAGGCAGGCCCTTGAGCTGTATCAGCGTCAGGTTGAGGTATTGGAGCTGTCGAGCCTGGCCCGCAAGCCATGTCCACATCATGAGCAGTGCCTCTGCCTCTTCGTGGGTGCGCTTGTGCCGGTAGTTGTCCTCGCGGTTGAGAGAGAGCGCAGCAAGGTTGGTGAAAGAGTGCGGCGACTGCAGGAGCCCAAGAGCAAAGTCCTGCAGCGCCTCGCCAAACAGCTCCCCTATCAACAGTGTGCGCGCATGTTGCGCCCTCTTCAGCAGCCATGCAACCCCTGTGCACAGGCACACATGCGAGCAAGACTGTAAGAAACCCGCTGCCATCAGTATCTCTCAATGGACAGCAGCAGAGAATTTGCATACCAGAGAACGTTTCATAATTGTTGTGCTTTACCTGCATTGCCCAAACGATCACACTCATAGACTCGAACGTCTTGCAGCTCCACGTTCCAGGTAGCCTTGCAGGTGCCTGACACCTGGGCCCAATTTCGCACCCCCAAATGGCTGGCAATCTTTTGCCAGACCTCCTGTGGCAGTGTAGCGTTGCCCGTACGCATGTCCTTAAGCCTGCACAGCCGTCACTGATTGTTGACGCAAGTCTTTGTTCAGGTGCTGGCATACACTCAGGGTCGCGAAATCTGCGCGAAATTTTATACTCGGTGTGGTGATGTCTGACCGGTGCATATATGCTACTTTCTGACATGGCCCAAGGCTACACTCAGGGGATGCTGTAATGGCATGCTATAGACGTTGGGAGCATGTCTGGATGATCTGCACTGGAAATTGGTTTGCACATCTCAAGGGACCCTTAAGTATAATATTAGGATGGGAAGGTGCACACTTATGAGTGGAGTATGCTTAGCTGTACCCCTCCCAGTGTTGTGCTTCAGATCGCAATTCTAAAGATCGGCTTCAGCCCACTTTGCCATTGACTGGCAACGATTGCCAACGAAAACAAGTCTCGAAATCTCGAGAGTGAACACGCTCAGGACGGGGCGTCTTTCCTGACCCCTAAAGGCGAAGTCGCAATTTGATGTGTATAGACAACTTAAATGGACGAATCGGCCGCCGAGTAACGAGTCGTGAAATAGTGAAAGAGATGGAGAAAAACTTGTTGTTTCAACGAATTCTGGGAAGAAGAATGTACAAGGCAAGCCAGGCAGCAGGCACGTGCATGCATATGGAAGTTGTCCTGTGATCATCTGGGGATTGCCTTGCTTGCATGCAATTTGTGAAACAAATTGGAGCCGCAGAGAATCGACGGAGTACTCGACGGTGAGACGATCATATTGAGGGAGAGGTTCATAACTTATCAAAGAGCATGGCGCCTGAAAAGAGGTGATCCTGCATGGGAAGCGTGTCATGCGGACTCAAACATCTCCTTCAGTTTATCTATTTGACACAGGAGAGCAGAAAATATCTATCCAGGTCCCTACTTGGGACTTGATGAGCTGCCCCACAAGATCGTCTGCTATTAATGACAATGATTGAAAAGGATAGGATAGGTACTCAATTATGAGCTCTTCCAGGGGTCCGCCACTCCTGATATGTGACTTGCATTTAGGTATGAACTGCGCACTGAAGTGCCTGCTGGAAATTTGCCATGGATTCTTGTCAAGTTTGTCAACGGCGGAATTTTTGAGACCTCTTTTTAGTGCGCGGGCGACTTTCCCAAGTCTTGCCCAGCATTTTCTTTCGGATACAGGCACGTTGATAACCAGGCCTTAAATGCTATTTGCCTGCAGGACGCACCTTGCTTCTGGCACAAAAAGCCTTATGATAAGCACATATCTAAAGATGTGAAAATCGGGGGTCATGTGGATGCAGTGTTGTGCCTGCAGTCACTAGGGTGCTTCTTCAAAGAATATCTCTGATGGCAGATACTTCTTCGTGTGATGCAGCACCGTGCTTCACAATGGTCATGACTTTCATGCCGCATAGATACTGGTTTCGGTATTGAGCACTTAGGTGAAGCTTTGCAATTTCCATTCTATATAATTATTATAATGCATCCATTGAAATTTTGCTACCGCCCCTGTCACTTAGAGAATTGCATTTTTGCAGATTGCACACTGTGTATCCGCCGGTCCGGCACCGGTGGATCCGGGATCGGCGCGCCGCGCGGTGGTCGGGCCATGCAAATGCATGAACACAATATTGTTATGCAGATATCGATATCATCATATGCATGTCTCTGCGAGAAAGATTCTAGGCACTGCTGTAAACCCTGTGAAGGCTCTTTCGTGGGGCACCTGCAGTTGCCATGATACTTTAATAATAGAATTCAAGTAATGCTTAGTACTGTGTGACAAATCTGGTGGATGTGTCAGGTGTTGGTTTATTCTCACATAGTAGAACGTTAAAATTAGGCCACAAGAAGCACAAGCAATAATAGCAAAGAAACACAATTGTTTCCAGAGAAGTCTTGGGGAAGAATATCGCTACAGAGCGTGAGTTTGCCATCAAGGGGTGAAGCAGCGGAATGCTCGTGCTCTATATTCTACGCTTGGTGGACGGAATGAAGTATTCACAAAATCTTCAAAGTTCTTTAACCTGCCAGAATGACATCGATGATTGTGGACGCATTTCCAAACACTGCTGGCAGCCCTATCATGACCAACCCTGGGGCACGGCCGAACGCGGCATCGGCAGCGACATTTCAAGGAATACATCTTGCAAAAACACATCCAGCAGCCGTCGCAGAGCAGGGCACCGCACGAAGGGAGCGTTCTTCGGGGCCTGGAGAGCGTCACGGACTCATTACGATCGACTGTTTTGCAGCTTCGACAGGGTGAGAAGCTGTCCTCGGCAAGAACAAAGCAGTTGCCTAGTTTGGGCATGCCTGCCATTGCCTATTAGGGCTTGATCTGCTCCGACAGGGGGCATTTGACGACAACCTTAATGGTGGCCAAGACTGTGCTGCTGAGACTTCCTTTCCAATCAGATCTAGTTCAGGTACTTACGCCTCGTTAATTTGTTCAGTTACACACCGGTTTGTGCAGGTCAACACATGCCTACTCAGGATGAAATGAGAAGGGATCTGTTTGGTTGAACAGGTGCCAGTCTTCAACGCTAAAAAGAAAGCCCGAAAGCAGCTTGCTTATATCAATTTGTATTGTACGACCGTCTGTACGACCGGAAGTAATTACAGGTGGGAAGAGATCCTGCTTGTAACCCTCAGGCATTGGATGTGACAAAACCTTGTTTTTACTTGTTGACGAATCTACGACCTGCAGGCGGTGGACAATCACTTATGATAAGTACTAAAGACTCTTTCGTTGAACGCTTCATTCTACAATGTGAGTGCACCCCGACATGTCGAAGAGGCTCCCCACAGTCCTGCCTTTTCTTTGTTCACCATTGGCTATATGGTTGCACATATTTTGAGTTGATGCATTTGTGTACCCACGATCAAACGTACGCAAGAGGTGCTGATCATAAGCCGAAAAGTATGTTGACTTCCGTGCAGGACCATACATCAACCCAGCAAGGCCGCAACATTCCCATCAGAAGTCTGGCAACTAATTGCTCGGCACATGAGCATGGCCGAGTGGGCTCAGGTGTCTGGCACATGCAAGACTACCTGGCACCTCCAGCTGGACGAGGTCCACCTGACCATGCTGGAGCAGGCCGCAGGTGCAATTCAGAGTGATTTGATCTTTGCATGGCGCTCTTCTTCCCCGCAAAATGAAGTCACGCCTCCAGGAGCGGAATAAGGCACAGCATCTACTTGGTGTGCAGAAGTGTACACTAATCTGTAATCATATTCAGGACATTGCTTTGAGCGTGCATGCCTGATGGAAAGGGTGAAAGTGAAGCAGAATCCTCACTCTGAGTGCGACTGCCTCGGCAGGGGCGGCATGGATTGTGAAGAGGGGGCACAAGGCAGTCAGGCTGGAGCTGGGGCAGTTGGGGGACGGTGACCAGGTCAATGCCGCCGCAGCCGCAGTTTTACAGGGAGACAACCGCTGGACCAATCTCAAGGCGCTCAAAGTGGTCAGCACCGGAAGCTTCCCCAACGGCTCCAAGGTCAGCTTCCACAGCGCGGTGACCTGGCTCCTGGGCAACGCAAAGAAGCTGACATTTCTCCGCATTGAATTGGATCGGCTGCGCTTCATGCCGCACCTGGTGCAGCTCAGGCACCTGCAGCTGACAGTGGCAGGGGGGATCCACCAGCTGTCAGAGTCTTTGGGGAACCTGGTGAATCTCCAGACGATCTTCCTGGAGCAAGCTGTGGGGCTGGGATCGGACGCGCGGCCGCACCTACCCCTCGCCGGCTGCCCCCACCTGCAGAGCATCATGATGCGCGACGTAGTGCCGGCCTCTATGAGCCTGCCACATGGCGCAGCGCTGCATCTGTTCTTCCAGAGCATGGAGGACGCTCGGCAGGACGTCTGGCTGCCGCTGGCGCCCGCCATGCAGTCCGTGTACATAGTCGACGAAGAGGATGGCGGCTGCATTGCCCAGCCGTCGGACATTCCAAGATTCCTGACCGGCCTCAGGGGCGCCCACGAGGAGTGCATCTGCGTGATTTTGAATCTGAAAAGCTGGGGGGCGCCTGACAACCACATAGAGATCTGTGGGGCGCTGCTGCAGTCGTTTCGGCTGGTGCTGCAGTGCACAGGGGACTTGTGCGCCCACGTGCCAGCCGGCAAATGGCCCTGGCACGTTGCAAAATTTGTGTGCGGGGGCACTCTCAACATGACCTTTGACAGCGTGGGAGACTTTCTAGACTCCTGCGCAGCGTTTTCTTTTGCTTACAGGCACCTGCAGGGCCTGGATATGGTGAAACTCATCCAGAGGATTGGGGAGCGGGGCATTGAAATCGAGTCCGAGTATTATGATGATGAGGGGTGTGAGTTCCACAGTGTCAGCACGCCCTACCCGTTTAACAACTGCTTCGTGCACCACAGTGATCCTGTCTGCGTGTGCCTGGCATGCCCTTGGTGCAGCGACAAGGGCCTCTTGGGTCCTGAGTCGCGCTTTCCAAAGCGCGACTGGTGATTGCAAGCATCCTGTGAGGTGCATGACGCTGAGAATCAGATTGTCACTAACTTATTGACCGATGGTACATTTTGGGGACGCCTGTGAGAGTCTCCATAGTATGGTCCCGAGCCTAAGTAGATGGTCTTGACTGCCGAGCACAAGTATGGCTGAACAATTAATTGGAAGCATTTTTTGAATTCCTGCGTGGGGATGATATTGAGCTCGAATTGCTAATCTTGAGCATGGTGAAATATTATATTGGGTGGACTTCGTTTGGGACAAGAACCAAGACTGCTTAACAATTGCTTGCCCGATGACCGCCTTTGAGGCTGACATTCTAGTGCTAATTACAGAATTTCCCTGGAATTTCTGAGCTGCGCTGGCCGGGGGTAAAGTGCAGGCTGGCAGCTGTGTGGAATGTGCGATGGCGCGGAGGCCTCTGATGTTCTCTGGTGGCATGACAAGTAATAAACCGTGTAGCACTCTTCCTTGCTTGAATACGCATGATGTGTTGCAGAATGGCTTTGCACTGTTCTCGGCATGCGACGGCTAAGCTGCCGCATGCATGGGCGTACTAAATTTAGTACGGTACACCACAGAGCTGTGGCCTGTGTACTGGATTCTGCCATTATGTTGTATTACTGGTACCTGCGCGCAAGTTTTTGCCGTACTGTTCATCCGAGACTGTATGGCATGCTCTGTAGTTTTTGACTTTTTGTAGTCCACTAGAGGGACTCCCTGGCGGATTTCACTGGTGCGGTGACGATGGGTTTTTAAAATACACCTGACGTCATTTTCCTATAGTTCTATTTGTCATGCTTAAAAATCCGAGATCAGCTTCAATATCAGAGAACGAAGAGCATGTATTAGAACCAAAATCAGTCTGACTAGCTCACTCACTTGGAGTCATGTCCTGCCTGTCAGAGGAGCTTTGAAGCCTAGTTTGGGCGTTACCTTGACATCAGGCTTCGACACCAATGGCAATTGCATATGCAGCATCAAAGATCCAAATTTTGAATATGCAGAGGAAGCTTACTCTGACGCCACCGCTCCAGGGATCGTTGCAGGTTTCCTGATAAAGACTGAGTGAGAACGCTAGTCCAGGTTAAAGCGTTGGGAAAAAATGCCGCACATTTCTTGTAGGAGTTGTCCATGCAAATCGAGGTATAAGTCGCGGACCTAGGCTGCTATTGTTTGTTGATTGAACGATGCACTAGGGCAGATAAATAGGTGCGTTCGTAACCGCCTCATGCTGATCAATACATTTCTTGTTGCGAGGTCCAGGTTTTACATACGCTTCAAAAACTGTCTAAGAGTGTTTCCACTGTTTTGTTTCAGGTTCTTCAGAGACTTCCGACTCTAAACCGGCAGTCAAAGACGCTTTTCCTGGACCATCGATAGCATGTGCGTCTCACTTATGTCTAGAATTGAAGATCGACCACAATTAGCAGCATGACTATCAGAGGAATTATCAAACGTACCGATAGACTCCCCTTGCCGCACATGCACAAATTACGCCCTTTGATATTGTGTGCCTTGGAACTCCATTGGTCACCTGCGCTGAAGAGCACGTTATTGGCTTGCAGGGCCAAAAAGCAGGCCTCCGGTACATTTCCACCTGAGGTATGGCATCTGATAGCTGGCCACCTGAGCATGACTGAGTGGGCGCAAGTGGCAGGCACCTGCAAGACAACCTGGCACCTCCAGCTGGACCAGATCAACCTGGCAAACTATGAAGGAGGTGCGCTGCATCTACACAACTTCCTTCTTCTGGCACATACTTCTCTTGCGCATGCTATTCAAAAGCCCGCAGCGTGCCCCTCCATGCATGCAGGTACAAGACATTGCCTGTCAATACTGCCGTTTTATTTTTGAAAAAATCCCCAATTTTTGTGTCCTGCAGGAGCGGCATGGTTTGTGCAGAGGGGGCGGATGGCACGCATCCTGGAGACGTGGAAGTTGGGGGATGCTGATCGGGTCTATGAAGTGGCAGCAGCTTTGCTGCAAGCAGGGCACAGCTGGGCCAGTCTCACAGCTACCAAAGTTACCAACCCAGATAATTACTGCGTGGGGTCCACAGTAGCGTTTCAAAGCGCACTCTACTGGCTCCTTTGCAATGCCAAGGGGCTGAGATTCGTAAGGCTGGAGCTCAAAACCCTGCGCTGTATGCCACGCCTGGCACAGCTCAGGCACTTGCAGCTTTATATTTATGATGGCACGGGGAATCTCGGGCAGTCACTCAGCAACCTCAGAGACCTGCAGACGCTCTACCTCAAGCAGGACGCCGACTTGTTTCCAGTACAGAGCCCCGTCCTCGCCCTAACTGGCCTGAGTCAGCTGCGGAGCGTCAAGCTCAGCAATGTGGTGCCGGCCTCCCTGGCTCTGCCGCTCGGTGCAGCGCTGCATCTGCGGCTGCGCAGCATGGAAGATGCGCATGCGGCTGTATGGAACAGCTGTGTAGACTTCTTGCAGTCTGTGCATGTGCGCGATCGCACCGATGCAGGCTGTCTGCGAAATGCCTCAGAGCTCCCGGATTTCATGAGTGGGCCGAGTGTGCTGGAAACCATTGTACTGAGGCTGAAGAGGTTTGGAGCTCCTGAGGAGCCTGCATACTTCTCTCAGTCGCTGCCGCAGGCTCGCCGCCTCGTGTTGCAGTGCACTGACGAATTGCGCATCCACATTCCGAGCGAGGGATTACAATGGGGAGTGGTGACCTTTGCGTCCATGGATGTGCTCGAAGTTACATTCGACGACATATCATTTTTTCTGCTCATCACCAAAGCATTCTCCTTTGCGTACACAAATCTGCAGGGCCTGGCCCTGATGTACCTTTCCCAAGCCATGGCAGAGCAGGGCATTCAGATATGCTGTGACACTTACAACCCCACTGGCTGCGCCCTGTACAGCACTCCCGCCCTCTATTCGGAGAGTGCGTATGATGACACCATGCTGGTGTCTCTGTGCAATTGCGGCGCGTGCCCAGAGTGCAGCGACAAAGGCAGCTGCGGCCCTTATGCCGCATACTCGCGGCGCCACAAAGGGCCGTGACTACACCATCCCACCCAGAGGATGGTATGTTTGATGAAGCGCACTGTACAAGAGGCCATCGGGCCTGTGCAGCATGAGGTACTGTTTGGAGGATGATCTGCTGGTGATGTAGGAGGCTAAGCTGCCTGGACAGTGCTGTTAGTGATGCGGTGCGCGAGGCACAAGCACATAGGGTGTCAGGTTGGCAAAGCTGACTGGAGCCTCGACGCTGTGAATGCTGATTTTTGGGAAACACCTCCAATTGCCAATACTTTTGAGCTGGATATACTTGGTGTGAGGATCAGGTCTACGTGTACTTGTAGTACGCTGCAATTTTTTTTTTTTGAATAATTTCACCTGGCCATCATGACGTGATATCAAGCCATCTTCAATTGACCCACTGTGGCACAGACTTGCGAACACATTTGTGCAGTGCGTTGATCCATTAATGAGGCCAATGTTGAGGCTCATAATCAATCTTTCAACATCCTTGGCAAGTAGTCAATGCCAATTGATCAGTGATCTCGACAGGCTGCCCGTGGCAATTGCTGCGCAAGCTTGCATGCATGGTACTACCAAGTGCATGCGCATGCAATAGCTCAGATTGCTGGTGCTACCGAACCATCCAGACCTTGATCAATTCATATGCATATCCAATGACTAAATCTCAGTAAGGGTTCAGTGACTGAAGGAGACATCATACCATGACTGAGCAGTGAGTCACTGTCGAGTTTATGAAGAGTTTATGACGAAGAAGGACAAGTAGAAGAAGAAGAAGAAAGACATTAAGAAATTCCTGCCGACGGAAATTTGCATCTGAGCTTTGGCAATATTGAATTCTTGCATTAGAAGCATAATTTGATTATTCTGCAGTTCCGCATAAGAAATCAAAGAACAAGTACCTATTTAGGCAGTGTTCCGCCAAAGATCAGGTAGTGGGGATGCCCACCAAGCTGTTTCAGCGTCTGCCAGGACTGTAAAGACATATTTCACCTGAAGTAATGCGGGGGGAAGAGCAATCTCGCAAACCTTTGCCTGCTGAATTATGGCAAATCATCGCCTCCCACCTGAGCATGCGCGACTGGGCCAAGGTATCAGGTGCCTGCAGGATCACCTGGCAGCTCCAGCTGGGCGAGATTCATCTGAATCGGGAAGGTGAAGCCTGCAGGTGTGCTTCATCACAGCAATTCACTTCTTCCCCACTCCCAATATGTGCTTGTCCATGTCTCCAAGAGCCTGGCGCATCATGCTGCACAATTGCATCTGATTGACTGGTTGAAAGAAGCCGATCCTCACATTGTCTCGCCTCTCTGCACAAGCCTGATAGACCTTTGAGGTGCATATGTAAATATTACTTTGTGCAGCATGTTTGGCAGGAACTGCATGGATTGGGAGGAGGGGACAGCATGCACAGAGACTGTTGATTGGGCCCATGTAAACCAACAGCCTGGATTCCACCGCTCTACTGCAGCCAACCAACAGCTGGACTAGCCTTAGGGGGGTCAACATGACAGGAGTGTGCACGGGTCAGGCAGATGACGGAAGACTTGAATCTGCCGCGGTGTGGCTGGTTGGCCGTGCGCCTGCAGTTTCTCAGCTTCTTTGCCCACGGGAGCCTCTGCATACCCCAGCTGGCAGATCTGAGGCATCTGCAAGTCATACTCTTTGAAGGCTTCTGTGAGGTTGCGCAGTGCCTTCCTCTTATGATGAGCTTGAAGACCCAATACCCGGAGTGTGTAGACCATTGTTGGAGAAATAGCAGCGACCTACCCTCGCACTGGCCGAACTGAAGCAGCTGCGAAGTGTGTCTTTGTGCAATGTAGTGCCCGCCTGCCTGAAGCTGAAGGCGCGGCATTGCATGTGGCAATCAATGGCCTGGGTCCTCTTCGAGAGCAAGTCTGGCAGGAGCATGCCTCTGTGCTCAACTCTGTGTATGTCAGCGAGGGCTTCTACAATGCCATAGCAGATGCCTCCCAGCTCCCAACTGTTCTGATTGGGCCGAGCAACTTGCTTCAAGCTGAAGAGACTCATGAGACTCTGAACAGCTTTAATACTCATGAGCGCCCCATAATGCTAAGTGCAGCTTTCCTGCAAGTGGATGTATTTTTATTAGATGCTATCAGGACCTCTACTTGCGCGTACCCTTGGGAAACCTGCCATGGCGGCTGGCAAGTTTTGCATCTGGCTGCAGCCCTTGATATTGCATTTGAAAACGTAGGAAGCTTCCTGGATTCGGGCCCGACGTTCTACTTTGCATGCCACAGCCTGTGGGGCTTGGACATATTGCAGCTGGGGCAAAGAATAGCCGAACGCCGGATGAAATGTGACTTCACCTCGGACTACTGTCCTGACACAGAGTGTGTCATGTGTGACATTGTTAATCCTAATACACCGTACTTTGTCATGGATCACTATTGCGATACCCCCTATAGGGTACCTGCATCCCTGGGGAGATGTGCCAGTGCGGCGGGTGCCCTGACTGCGGCAAGAAAGGTAGCTGCGGCCAGATATGCCCAATCTTCATGAACCTTGTTAGGCGGTCCTGATTGATTCTTTTGCCGATGACGTAAGTGTGCACCTGACAAGCACTCAAGATAGTGGGCATTTAGAAAGAGCTTACCAAGTCCAGAAAGGAATCATCAGCTGTCATCCATATGTTTGTAGGTTTGAAATAATTTTGCCTATTCAGAACTTGCAACGGTTGAGTCAAGCTTGAGTCAAGCTTGAGTCAACCTTGAGTCAACCTTCATCGGCCTCAAAAAGACCTCCATCGAAGTCAAAGTGCCATGGAAAGGATCACAAGCAAGCGAGCAGATGGCTGTGACAGCAGGTAGGGGCTGAAAAGGCGCGCCTAGCCATACGTGAGCTCCGATGCAGGAAAGCATCAGGTGATCCCTACGCTACTTATTGACTTCGAGCAGAAACGCATGATCATGATGCAACAAGGAAATTTTTGCTTTGTCTTAGACTGCTACATCACATCGTCTGCAGATGTGAGGGTCCCATTGGGCTCTTGACCTTGATCGCATCTTGCCAAACAATTTCGACAGACCTGTGCAATGTTTGTGATCTACCTTGTCTTTAAAAGCACTCGAGAGTGAGAACACAATAGCTGTTCTGCGCTCTCTTCACAGCTCCCCTCAAGCAATGCCCTCCAAGCAAGCTGCCCTTTGCAAGCGCAGGATCGGATTGCAGGATCGCAGAGAGGTCGCCTTTCCTCCTGACGTGTGGCGAAAGATTGCTGGGCACCTGAGCATGACAGAGTGGGCGCAATTGGCAGGTACATGCAAGACAACCTGGCAACTCCAGCTGGATGAGATCCACCTTGGCTGGCCGTGCAATCCAGAAGGTGCGGTTTATCTGAGAAGCTTCCACCCAGCAATTGCTTTAGAGCATGACATAGGATATCCGTAAAGGTCTCTTTGCTGGTGAACCGAGTCTCTGCTGGTGAACCGAGAATCTAGACACCTTCTGATCAAGACTGGCACCCAACTCGAGGGCAGAGAAGCTTGAGAGCGCAATCTTGAAGTATGAGAGCGTGTGTGGTTTGTGTGGCAGGAGCGGCATGGTTGGTGACAAGGGGCCAGCAGGCACGTAAGCTGGAGATTGAATCAGTACTGGCTGACGCCCAGCAGCTCAACATGGTTGCATCCGCTATGATGCTGCCAAGCAACAACTGGGCTGTTCTGAGGGGTCTCAAGATAACCGTGACTAGTTCATATGCTCAGACTGAGGAATTCTGCACCGCGATCCTGTGGCTTTTGGAGCATACCGACAAGCTGCAGTTCCTGCGCTTAAAATTGACGGAGCAGCTGTTCGCCAACCTGTCGCTGCACAAGCAGCTTCCGCACCTAGCCAAGCTTGAGCATCTGCAGCTGTCACTTGAGGATGGCAGCCTGTGTGACCTTGCGCAGTCCTTGAAGGCCTTGACATCTCTGCGAACGCTCTATCTCGAGTTCAATCGTCATACCTCACAGTTTGATGACCGCCCCGATCTTGATCTGAGCGGCCTGGGAAAGCTGCGCAGCGTGTCTCTGGCAGATGTTGTGCCTGGCTCTTTAAATCTGCCCAAGGGCGCTGCATTACACTTGCAAATGTGCCGGTTATCGCATCTCATGGAGGACGTTTGGAAGCAGCATGCCCCTGTTTTGGAATCTGTTTACCTCAGCGTGGGCAATGGAGATGTCATAGCAGATGCCTCTCAGCTGCCAAAATTTCTGGTCGGACCTAGTGGGCTCAAAAGTGTCATACTGCAGCTGACTAGTTTTGGGACCTCTGAGCACCCAATACAGCTCAGTGGATCTTTCTTGCAAGTTGAGTGCATCATCCTGCAATGCTTTTTGGAGGTGTGCATACGCGTTCCTGCAGGCATGCTGCCTTGGCGGCTTGCAAGTTTCACGTGCACCGGCTCATTAAATATTGCTTTTGAGAGTGTTGGAAACTTCCTTGACTGTTGCCCAGCTTTCCATTTCGCTTACGGGAGCTTGAGAGGCGTGAACATCTTGCAACTTTGTCAGCTTGCGGAAGGGCGCAGCATTAGATCTGAATCCTCATGTGAATATAATCATGAGGTGGAGAGAGTCATGGGTGAGTTCTATAGCGTGTGCACACCAGATTTTGTCAGAATATACTACATGTCATGGTCAAGAAATCCTATGTGCCTTTGCGGTGCCTGCCCCACATGCAGTAGCGAGGGCAGCTGTGGATCCTATGGCCTGTTTTCATGACAACAGTGACTATCAGTGGCCACAGTGACCAGTGGAATTTTCACTCTTTATTGTCCGATATCATCGTGGATTTAGTCTGCATGGTTGATTTTTGCAGGCCCAGACAGATCATCATTAATTTTAATTCCCTTGGGACAGCAAATGCCATTGGTGATACCAGTGGTGATGTGATTGCGCGCCTTGCCTGTACAAAATTAAGTTTCTATAATCTGATGTATGCCTGGAATCCGTGACGATGCTGTCCATCAGTGTTCAAGATGGCTAATTATCCCAAGATGGCTGGTGACAACACAAGATTTTGGGGATCACTGCCCTAATCCTTCACCAAATCCTTCAAGACCCACTTGAGGTACAAAGTATATGTCATTTATACATTGAGTATGGGATATCCTGAGTTTTGCAGAATACTGTAACAAGCATCACATGTGGCCGTGCTCCTCCGTGCTCCTACGTAGGAGCACGTTGTGCCCACTGCTCCACAGCAAGCTTATTCTGCAACGATCTGTTGCCTTTTTGGGCAAGATGCACGTTTTCTTAAGGCAGGTGGGAGTCTAAGAGGGAGGCCTCTTGAGCTGACTCATTCTGTGTGTCAGTCAGGTGAGCAGGAAAACTCAACCTGTGCCGAGTCTGATCAGGTAACACATTTTACAAACCTACACCAAACCTGCAAATATCTGAATTACAGTTGGATACTGGTTTACTTAACATTGGCATGGTATTTCTACTTTTGTGTTGTGCATATGTATGGCAGCCGCGCCATCTTGCAATTGCACAAAGACTGTGCATGCAAACTTTGTTGAACATGTATCCGATGTCAGAGAATCTCTGACAGAGATCGATCCTGCTTATTGATCAGTCAGCACTGCAATGGATGGCATCCAAGACGACAATTACCCCATGCAGATGCCATACTTAGCTGATAGCTCCAACAGCCAGGTCTGCTATGCTGAGCTACGAGTTGCATTGCCATGAGAGCCACGGTGGCCATTCTACGTGATCACCGTTGAGAACACCAGAATCTCTGAAGTCCTTCAAATTTGCCGCATGGCTGTGCATTTCCATGCAACTTGCAAGAAAGGGACTGGAAGGCTTCGAAGCCTTCCATTCCCCTTCTATGGCCCTTCATCCAAGTGATCTGAACTTCACATCATAGTGCTTTTTCTCACACACATTGCAAGATGCTACACAGCTCAGCACTTAAGTGCATGTATGGTGCACACTTGCAAAATCAGCAGATTTCCAAAGATGATTCAGGACATCCAACAAGGTTCATGGAACCTGGGCATCTCTGATGCAGCTGCTTTTCTTGCTGCAGTCAGGGCATCCGCCGCACTGGCACATCTCACTAGGTGAATACATGGGACCGCAAAACTGATCCATGACAAAGTATGGTATGTCAGGGGAATCTCTCTAACACAGCACTGCTGAGCACGCAGTCTGTATCATAGTTGTACTCCGAATCAAAGTCACAGAACTAGTTGATACGGCATTTGGCTATTCCTTGACCTACCTGCAACATGTCCAAGCTCTGGAGGCTGTGGTACGCAAAATAGAACGTTGGGCACGAGTCAAGGAAGTTTCCCACATCATCAAAAGCGATGTCAAGGGTTTGATAGGATGCAAAACGAACGAGCCGCCATGGCAGGCGTCCCGAGGGCACACGCAATCTGAGGTCTTTAAAAAATCTGATGAAGATGCATCCGCCTGGAGGAATGTTGCAGAAAGGGCCATGGGGTGCTCATGAGTACCAACAGTGTCCAGACGCATCATGAGTCTTTTCAGCCAGCAAGAACAGCTGGGAGCTGGGAGGCATCCGCAATGGCATCATCAAAGCCCTCGCTGACGTACACAGACTCAAGCACTGAGGTGTGCGGTGCAGTAGGCCGAATTGCCCACGAGTATAAATGTATAATAATGATGATCTGATAATTTTTATGAGTGGCGAAACCAGAGCCCAGAGGGCCAAACGTAAGCGTAGATTTAGAAAGCATTCATGCGTCTGCTGATTTTGATTTCAAATCAGGACTTACTGCCAATTCTGGCATCGATACTGCTTGTGAGATCACCTGGAGACCAGGCTCCGTTTTTGGAGCAAAGTAATACGGTCGGCAATATCGTAAACTTGTACAAAGCTGCGTGGTAATATTTGGCGCTGTTCAGTGTACAAAAGAGTGGACCTGACACGGTTCCCGACTGGGCAAAAAACTGTTGGCGTTTCAAGCGAGCGGTCACAGGTGATCAGGTCATTCCATACTTGCATGATCTTGTTCCTTCACGTATGACACACAATGTCCGGAAACCTTAATGTTCAAGCACTCTCAAAGATTAAGCCACATTTTGACAGCGGAAAGGCGCCTTTAATACGGTCAGTTACGAATGCTTTACTGGGCAGGAGTATTTGCTCTCTGTGAAGGCAAAGATTGACCAGGATCCTGAATCGATAGGAATTGCCTCTCATTTCTCAATGACTGCTCCGTCGCAGAGCTAATGCTCGCTGACAAAATAACCGCTTCAGCGCATCACACCTTTTTCTCATAATCTTGTTACACACAGGAACCGAAAAGAGGATTGATTCTATGGAGATGCTTCCTCCTGAGGTGTGGCGCACCATTGCTGGCCATTTGAACATGCGCGAGTGGGCCCAAGTGGCAGGCACCTGCAAGACCACCTGGAAGCTGCAGCTGGACACAATCGACATAGAATATCCAGATAGATATGTGGAAGGTGACTACGCTGCAGTGTGACAATTTCGCACTGGTATTCTTGCTGCAATTGTGTACTGCTTTTGAATGAAATGTTCTCTGCATGGCGGAATCACCATATACCGGCGTTCATTGCAATGCGCCCATGTGTTTGACTGAAATTGGTGGTGCAGATGTGCCGTGGTTGCTTAAGAGGGCGAAGCGGGTGCGACAGCTGCGATTGGGGCACATTTACATAGAAAGCCATGTGGTTAACTCCATTGCAGAGGCAGTCCTGCAGTCCGACAACAGCTGGGAGCAGCTGCGGTGGCTTGAGATAGAGTGCTCTATCTTGATAGGGCCCTCCGACTGGAACGAGCGCTCCCTCCTGCTGCACAGCATGCTGATGTGGCTTCTGGGCAGTGCAAGGCAGCTTGCCTTTCTCCAGCTGCAAATGGAGGAGATCCGCAGTGTCCCATGCCTGACACAGCTCAAACACCTGAACCTGGTGCAGAAAGGCAGCTTCAAGCACCTTGCAGGGTCACTCAGGCACCTTCCAAGCCTGCAAACTCTTTCACTCGAGTCCAGGGCCGGTGATGGCCATGATCCTGAGAGGCGTCCACACCTTGATCTGGCTGGGTTGAGTCAGCTGCACACTTGAGTGGCATTGTGCCGGCCTCTCTGACACTGCCGGAGGGCGCAGCTCTGCACCTGCGCATGAACAGTTTAGAGTACGCCCGACAAGAGATCTGGAGCAGTGTTGCGCTGGCACTGCAGTCCATCTCCATAACTTGCTTGGTTTTCATAACCGAGGTTTCTCAGCTGCCGCGTATTTTCGCGGAACCCAGCGGCCTGAAAAGCGTCATCCTGTGTCTGGATGGCTTCGGCGACAAAGAGCATCCGATAGAGTTTTACGGGGCATTCTTGCAGGCGGAGCGGCTCTTGCTACAAGCCCACAATGAGCTGTGCGTCCGAGTGCCTGCAGGAAGTTTGCACTGGCAAGTGGTATGGTTGTGGGGATGGAAAATGCTTGATATCAACTTTGCAAATGTTGGGAATTTTCTTGTCCGCTGCCCAGCGTTTTCCATAGCATACCCCAGCCAGAGGGGACTGGGTCTGATGCATCTTTGTCACGCTATAGAACAGCGAGGCATTGAATGGGAGACTCGAGCTCATACTTCTGCTCACCTGCCTAATGCCATGCATGAAATATGCACCCCTTGCGCTTCGGCTTACTTTTTCTTGGACCCGCGTGAGTTGAGTGGGTATCAATATTTCTACAACGGTCTGGATTTCCAGGATCTGTGCATCTGCGGGGCATGCCCATCCTGTACCCAGCCAAGGTTGAGCTACAGAATACCTCAGATCACTCTAGATAACGTGTGACATATAGCATGGTGCCGAGGAACAAAGGTCGTCAAGGTTTATCTTATTCGCCGAGTCGGGGAATTTGAAGATTGGTGGAGTAAATTCAAACTACCAATGTGCTGGGAAAGACATGCATGCACAACCAAATGATTTTGGTTGAAATCAGTTTTGTGTTTGCTGGGATCAAGAGGGTGTGGCCAGCTTATGTCATTGCACCCCGATCGATTCACAAACATGGGGACTACTTTAATGTTTTGTCACAAACCTCGAGACAGACCTGTCTGTTACATACAACTTTCAAGCTTGCATCAATACTGGAAATCTAGGGCACCTAGGAGGCAGCTCCCCCTGAGACTGCAGCTCAGGCTTCCAGTGAATTGGCGGATCTCATATTCACCCATGTACGGGCCAATCATCAGGCTTGGAGTGCAGAGGCTGTGGAACTTGTTATACTCATCATGGATGCCCGTGGCTGACATCCTGAGTGAGGCCCATCGGATTCCTCGCTCAGCAATAAAGTGACAGAGATGCATCATGTCAAGCCTGTGTAGGCTCCCATAGGCAATGGAAAATGCCGGACAGCTGTCAAGAAAGTCTCCCACGCTGTCAAAGTCAATGCTGAGCGAACTCCATGCAAGGAACTTCACCCGCTGCCATGCCAACGTCCCTGATGGAACTCTAATGTTCATATCACCTGTGCACTGCAGGATCAGGCACTCGACCTGCAACAGTGGCCCACAAAGCACTATGGGCGCTGCACACGTCCCTAAGGTGTCCACATCCACTACGATGGTCTTCAGCCCACTTGGCACCAAAAGGATATCTGGGAGCTGCAAAATGACACTCTCCATGGTGTCATTGCCCACCCAGAAGAATTCCAGGGCAGAAGCAACGCTCTGCCAGATTGGCGCATGAGCATCACCCCAGCACCTCATCCACACATGCAATGCTGCACCTCTCGGCAGCAGCAGAGAGGCAGGCACCACATTGGTCAACATGACAGTCTGCAGCTTGTCAATGCCAGTCAGATCAAAGTCTGCCTCCTCGTCAGGGCTCACCCTGTGGGCTTGATCAAGGGGCAGCGTCTCCAGATTTTTCAGGTTGCTCAACGACTGAGCAACAGCGCGGAAGTCTTCACGCAGCGACAGCTGCAGGTGCCTTAGCTGCGCCAGGTGTGGCATGCAGCGCAGTTCTTGCGTCCTCAAGAAGAGGTAGTCGAGGTTTGCCGCGCTTCGCAGGAGCCAGACAATCGCGCTGTTGAGACTGATCACTTCTGCTGTGCTGTGGGGCCGAGTGCGCGCGCTTAGTAATACAATTGTGGCGGCCTTGAGACTGCCCAGGTATTGTCTGTCTGCAGCAGAGCGTTTGCAGCGGCGTCAATCTGATGTCCATATGCCAGAAGCCCAAACTCCATAGTGTGTGCTTGTTGCGCCCTTCTTACCACCCATCTCGCTCCTGCAAGATGTCCAAAACCAACGGAGACCCTCAGCTCCGCAATTTCCACTGTTTCAGACCAACTTACCGACTCCTTATTTGTCACAAGAGGGACATGCCGGTGTCGAAACTGTGAGCTGTAACATCAAGATGCCAGCCCTTGCTTGCGAGGTTTTGATGACCTGAAGGTTTTGATGTTAAAAGGTCATGATTGCCTGTTGGACTCTGCTTGCACACCTGCTGCATGGAGCCCTTGGCGCCAGGTGAGGTGTAACTCGTCGAGCTGGAGTTGCCAGGTGGTCTTGCAGGTGCCCGAGATGCGCGCCCACTCGTTCAAGGTCAGATGGCCAGCAATTATGCGCCACACATCAGGAGGAAAGGCCACAGCTGTGCGGCCCTGCCCTCCCGCTCTGCAGAAGAAGAATGAATGTCAGTATTCCAACAACTGACATGAGACCTCTCTCGAACCCCTTCATGGAGCCCCTTTGCGGATTCTTCCCCTCTTTGGGATTAGCAAAAGGAAGAAAGTTTTCGATCTGGCTCCCAGAAATACTGGACAAAAGTAAAGCTTTTTTGTCTGTAAGAAATGCAGATCCCGTCGAATCTCGAGTGTAACCACGTCGGGAATCCAAGTCCAATGCTCCTAGGGCAAAGTGCCAGTCGAGACCTTTGGGGTACTTAGGAAGGGCTGCATGAAGGCTGACAGACCCAGAATATGATTTCAAGTATGCCTTTTTACGAAGACATGCGTAAATCTGTTGCAACAAGAGGGAATTTCTACCTGTTGTCATGCTCCTCCATGGACGCTGAAAAATTTTGGACACCTCTGAGCCAGACAGTGCAAGGCTGCTTGCACCTTGACAACTTAATGTTCTCATCATATAACACAGATGTCTCTTCCTTTCTTGCATTCCAATGTTCATATCTGAAGGCGTGTGCGTTACAGATCATCACTCACCAAACCAGGCAACAACATGCTGCACCACATTTGCAGGAATGGGTGTGAACTTCTTCTTCCGATGGGCTTGCATGCAACTCAAGATTGACCGAATGTGGGGGCCATTCTTTGTTCCTTGGCTTGTGCTTGTGAGCCAATTTCAAGATAATGCGCATGCGCATGCGCACGTAATTCAACCACGCGGTCACTGATGCACGGTGCATGGTGCACTGCAAATACAATTCCATTTTACCTGCGTCACTATACATTGGCAATCAAGATCAAGCTGCACATTTGCAAATCATGGCATTCCAATTGGCACACCAAGTGCAGTGCACCTTCGGGCAAACAACCTCATAATGAAGTGGCACTGGCAGCAGCTTAGCTCTACTCCCCAGCAGGTGTTCTTCAACAAGCACAGTGCACTGATGTTTGAGACTGCGCCAGCAGAACACCAGCGAGCGCTCAAACAGTCCGAAGCCTTGATATCATATGCAACGTTTGCCTTGCATCCCTGCTTTGCTTGCAACTTGCATTGAATGTAATCACCCCAACCAGAGATCATTCGGTTCCAGGGTTCAGCAGAGCATCACCAGCAGAGCATCACACATCAAGAAGCACACACCAAGCGATTCAACCACCCTTCAGGGTTTAGAGCTCGGCGAGGGAGTCGATAATGAGGGTGTAGCCCTCGGGGACGGTGCCTTTGGTCTTGACTGCTTCGATGATAATTGCCAGGTCAGCAAGGTCCAGGTTGGGCTGTTTTGCCAAGTAGAGCAGAAGGTGAAAGTCTGCCAGCCGCTCTGCGTAAGGCTTGCCCCTGTTCTTCTGCAGATGGTGCCGAAGCTCCGCCTTGCCTGCGCAGAATTTGAGATGATATTGATGCTGACATCAGCATTACTGAATGGACTAAATCTCGAAGGTGTTGAGTTCTAGCTTGTATCACCAGTGGAGGGCAGGGCCAGATAGCGCGTTTTGGGTTGCAACAGGAATATGGGCGATATTTCTGCTCAAGCTCACGATTATCTGCGCTCTGCCAGTCACATGTGCTATCACCGGTGCACATGCGAAAAACGCAGCAGCAGGTCTTGTGCAGTGTCAGCCTCTGCATTGGATTGAGTATAACCTGATCTTGGATCAGTAACACATCCCATGCATGACCAATTGTGAGCAGCCACTGCCCATAAAATTGGGCCTTGAGTATCCGGCTCATTTTCAAACGCCATGAAATGACACGACCACCCCAATCCCCTCAATTTACAGGACTGTTACGCCCTCGGTCACAGCTCAAGCTGGCCTCCTCATACGGGAGTGTTCACGGGCCTGCAACTCGCGTGACGTGGCAGCTACTTGAAATAGGGCAGAGTGCAATGGCAGGCACACCTTGCGGCAGCAGGCGGTTCTCCACAGGGAAGCTGGCCGTGAGGGGCCCTTCGTGGTCCAGGATGTTGACTGGGATGAGGAGGTAGTCATTGTCCGCCTCGCCCTGATCCTTCCCCGCCACTATCACCGGCGCCTTGTGGTCCGGCTCCTGTGGCATGCATGCACATTAGTCATCGTTACGTAACACAACTAAATACTGCAGTAGCCATTCTAAACCCCGTACCCTCGGCGGTGCGGATATTTTTAAAAGCAATTTTCAAAGGTCTTCCTGGTTTACAGTATACCAGGGTCATGCTCCACTGGATTGGGCTCGTCGAGCTCGAGAGCTCTTGAGAGCTTTCCGAATCTGGTCTCAAAATTATGATAGGTTTTAGATTTTGGGAGATAGGGTCTTAATTGTGCACCCTTTTTAGCCAAAAATAATTATTTATCGCGGGTTTCAGAATGACTACTACAGTATGTTGGACCTCAAACCAGGAATGGAAATGAAGGGACACCAGGCTTGCAAGCACCATCTGCCTTTCTGCCATGCTGGTTCTGTCTTCAAGGCAGAAAAGCTGAGGTACATCTGTTCGTTGGCAGGTTTAGCAAGCAGCATCCGACAGCCGCTGCTGCTGCTTTTCTCTCAAGAACCACAGCTCATGCTGATGATGTAATAAACAATCGGCTTGCAACCAGCATTTAATACTTGATGCTGCTGCTTCTCTGTCCAAGAACTATCAGCTCTTGCTGCTCATGCATTTTCCTCATCAGTGGCATCTATAACCAACCACTGCTACTCCAGTCAGCTACCGATCTGCCTGGCGTCAGCACCGCAAGGGTGTTTGCAGGGACCAGGGCGCAGAAGAAAAGCAGAGGGTTTCAAGCACGGGGAAATACAGGAGTGGAAAAGGAGTGTAAAGTGAGAAGAATTGTGCACCTTGGGGTTGCGCAGGATGGAGACGCCGCTGAATTCGGTGCCGTTGGTGAACCAGCCCTCCTGCCACAGCCGCACTGTCTGATCTGACACCTGCGCGCATGAGACGACAGAAGTCACTCGTGGTTCTTCCAGGACGGAATTCTTCAGAAGTCCCAGAAGCGAACAAAGTAGCTCGCCTACAAGATTTAGGCAACACTGTGCCACTGCTTTAGTTCGCCAAAGCAGAGTTATAGGGGGACAATCTGAGTGCAGGCAGTCTGGTCATGCTGACTGTATTCTGTGCCAAAAGTGGCCTCGACACGTCACGCAAGCGCGGTCACATAGAAGAGATTCTTGGCAGTACAAATCAGCAATATAACACGCCAGAGGGCCTCCCTCAACTGCTGACGGGGTGGACTAACCTTGGCATGTGAGACACCGCAATTGAGAGATGCCTTCCCAGAAACGACTGTGTGCAGCATATAACAGGACACTCAATTGGCCAAAAGAATTCCATGAAGCGGTCCTTGGCGACAGGTGGCGGCAGGCAGCTGACCTGGAAGGCCTCAAAGTGGATCTCGGGCGTTCCCTCCTCGGCGACAGTCATCGACACGACAGCAGTCACGGCGCGCTCCCCCAGCTCTGCCTGCACAGCCGCCATCTGGCACACCTCCTCCGCCGACATGATGAACTCGCGCTCCTTCGTGCTCTGCGCAAATATCCAGCCCACCTTCTGCAGCCTGCGCGCATGTGCACACGACTCAGCCGTTAAAATCCACATTGCATAATAAGAGTAATAACAATGTTTTAAATGGCGAATCCAGAGCCCGGAGGGCCCTAGGGCATCAATGTGACAATCTCAAGGTGGCCCATCAATGAGCAGGCAGGCCTAACTGTGGCCCCTCATCATATTCTTTCTTTCCTAATCTTTACACGCTTTTCCTGCCAAAGGCAAGGTGCGTCTGCAGACAAGCTGCATGTACAGGTTGCCAAATTCCTACCCCTTGTTGGACTCGCCAGATCCAAGCAAGACACATTCAACCATGGGCACGGTGCCAAGTATTTGTACCGCCTCCCGCCAGCCGGGGCCAAATGCTATTGCTGAATATCCCATGCTGGCATCTGGTGTTCTTCAGCAGCTTTGCACCAGGAATCCTCCTAAAGCTGTGTGCCTCTCTTTCCCGTTATAAGCTGGTATTGTTCCTTGGGAAGGAGTTAGTACCATTTCTGTATAAGCCTTGTGTATAACGCGCACATTTGCAGCATTGACCTGGCTAGACAAAGAGGTTGAAGCCACACTTGTTGATTGTTGGTGATCGGGCATGTAAGATATGCCACAAAGCCTGCAAAGAGGAGCACTCCCACCAAACATACAGGCGCAAGCCGAGAAAATGCTCCCCTTTTAACACCAGAGCTTTTGCGCCCTCATGATTTGAGGTTGTCTGCCTCCCTTGCAGGCTGTGCGCACTCCCACTTCTGGCAGGTCATGATCATCAGCAATGCACACTTGTAGGTTTCCTGAGTGGGCCATGAACATAGGGAAAGAGCAACGCTTACCCAAGCTGCTTGGCAACAAAGTCTGCTCGCTCCTCCTCCTCAGTACTCCTCTCCAGCTGAAGACTCTCAGCGCTACCCGACTGCAAAACACGAAGCAAAAAACAACAGTCAGGTGCACAACTTATTTCAAGGCGAGCACTGAAAGCACACGATTCCTAATAGACCTTGCACACTGTTCCCCCTGCAAGATGTCCCACAGAAGTGGCAAGAGATACTATCAGCTGCTCGGGCAATGCCCGGGGCGCTCACAGTGATAGCCATGCTCCAAATGATCTCCCCTGCTTACTCAAGCAGAACGCAGACAAGAACAGGACGTGTCATGTATGCTGCTCATAGCTGGGCATGGCCAAAAAAAACAAAAGGCGGTTCAAGCACATCACCGTGCGACCATTGTGTGTTCGGCAAAGAACAACGGTGTCAGCACCTTGGCGGCTCAGGGTTGACCTCCAGTCTAATCTGGCTGTCGCCAACCCCAACCCCAATGTGGCTTCACCTGGCCGCTACAAGAAAATGGGCAACGTGTTCTACCTTTAAACTACAGGCCCTGTACCCAAAGAAAGAGGTCGCCACATGCGTGAGGTGATCCCCGAAGGGGATTCCTCTATCTCACCAAATGGGCCCACGACTATGGGAGGTCAGCGGCACCATTACGGTTTATCGTGTCTAAAATCAAATTCTGGCAGAAGCACCAGAAGGCTACCTGGGGCGGTTCGTAGATGGCCTCCACTGTGACCTTCCCCTCCTCGTCCACGCTGCCATACAGCAGGCCCCCGCGCTTGATGCTGAATGCGATTGCGCCCTGCACATAGCTCTGGAATGCGTCGGCTGCGTGGCGTTCGAAGGAGGCCGACGCGGCGTGCGGCGCTTCCTGCCGCTCGATGCGCGTCTGCTTCGCCACAAGCTCGTCCACAGTCATGTGCGTGCCTGCATTCGAATTCGAATTTGACATTTACTATAGACAGCACGGTTGATTGGGTCTTGCTTGGATCTGGCGAGTCCAAGAAGGGGTAGGATTGTGCCAGCCTTTAACTGCAGCTTGTCTGCAGAACGCACCTTGCCTGTTGGCAGGAAAAGCGCGTTATAATAATAATAATACTATTAGACAGCACATGCACGCGGGTCATGCTTCAAGTCCAAAGATGGGGTGTCAGCAAGGCCCCAGTTGCTGGTCTCCTCTTGGTCACTGCTGGGTGACCAAGCTCTTTTTGTCTCAGGTGAGTCTTTGCTATGGACGGGATTGCGTGGCGCATGCATCTTTCCTAAGATGTCCATTGGTGCGGTCTTTGGGTTTCCAGCAGAGCATCATTAAGCATTCCATGGAAGCATGGGAGTTTGAGAACAGTGAGAGAAAATGGGCCCACCAAAAGCGCGGTTCTCATAGGCTGTTCTAGGCACGGTTGATGCCACCTCCCGCTCAAATGGATAGTGCATGAACACCTGCATGTCAAACTTGTACACTTTGAGTCCAAATCCAGGACCAAGAGAAGACCTCGCATTTCTGGGCTGAAGAGACATAGTCTATGGCCTCTGGCATGGCCAAGTTTGAACGTATATGGCGCACTCTTAGGTCAGATGGGGGACAGTGAGTGCGCACCACGTCTCCATGCTGGATGCCCAGCTTCACCAATGGCGTCCCTGGCCGACTCAGGTCCTCAAAGCCAGACTTGTCCAGAGCAGTCAGCTGCGCAGGCAACATAAGGGTCTTATGTGGGATTCAACCAAAAAAGTAGGTCAATCTTGCGCCTGCATGCCTTTTCAAGTTGCAAAGTGCTGCCTAGGGGAGAGTGACAATGCATCTCCTGCAGAGCCGCTCCTAGAATTTTCCATAAGTTTCTTGTCTGCCTGGCTAAGAAAGATTGGGCATAGCAAAGCCTCACCAAGTCCTTGTTTCGAGACAGCGTTATGTCTTCGACAGGGATACTAAGGTTGGAATTGATCTGCTTCTTGAGTTCCGCAACGGTGGCGTGCTCAGGCAGCTGTATCCGCTCGAGGCCGTCCCTGGTAGCGACAGTAACTTCGAATTTCAACATGAGCGCTGACATGAAAACGTTCACACAGGTGCACCTTATTGGTCTGAATCAAGATCACGACGGACCATCACCAAGTCTTCGAGAGGAGCAGCGCACCTTGATCTGAGTCTGATCAACATTGAAGTTCCCAAAAACAATCGTCTTGTGATTTCCTCGATACACACGTCTCAACCAACGAAGGTCAAAGTGACACAGACTAGAGAATTGTGTACCAACGACATACTGGAAAGATAGACCTTGCAGAAGAAGATGTTATGCTAACATGAAAGGAATCGGATAGTATTAGTGGTGTGCATCATGTAATTAGGAGGCAGGTCCTGCTTCTCATAAGAGGTAGTGTGACGCCCCTTGGTGACTTGTCAGCCAGCTGGAATCTGACATCAGCGTCTTGGCTTGCTTTCTGAAATTCATGCAGTGCTACAGCTAAATTGTTTCCCACTTGTGCTCACAGCACTGCTCATTACGTCTTATATAGTGAGAAAAAACAGTGGTCTGCGTCTTGGAGGGTCTTGGTCAGCGTGCACAAAGGATGCTGTCTTGACATTCACTATAGCATGACTCCCACTGCACAGGTAGGGGGTTTCAGTGAGCAATCCTCTGATGTTGTCAACCTGGCTTCCCCAACCTTCCGCGCAGCTGCGCAATCTGTAAACAGCAAAGCTCCCAGAGAGCGTGCTGTCATCAAGTCCTTCACCAGGACACCCAATTCTGAAGGTATCGTTCACATCCATGTCCTTGAGGAAATTGTATACCGTTTCAAAAGTCACTGATTCCTCCCTTGCTGAACTTCGATTGTCAAAGCAAAGGAGTTTGCACTGTGCTTTGTGTATGACCGTTACCGATGTGTCCTGCATATGCTAGATAAGTCTGGTCCTCATCGGCTACGATTCAAACTTCGCAGAGTTTATTGAGCTGCAAGGTCATCTTTGGGCTCGCAGATGCAGACTCCTTTGGCTTCATGACCCCTGGAGTGACAGCCACTCCTGCATCGGCCAGCTTCCAGCAGGCCACTCCTGAACAGGAGGTGCAGGACATCTGGCAGCCAGCCTTTGATAATGCTGGTGCCTCAGCGCATCAAGCTGCGGTGAGCTGTCCTTCTTAAAATCTGCTGACTGACATGCATGCAAGCATGCATTCATGCATGCCATCTTGAAATTAGGGTGTGAACTCATTTTCAGGAATCTCAGATCTCTGCAATTGCAAGTGCGAAGGATCCAACATGCACAAAGGTAGGGGACTCGCAATGCCTGATGGGCAATTGATCCTGTGGAGCCTTGCTGGCATTTCGCGATGCTGGCACTCTTGCAGGCAACTTGCCCGGCCCCTCGCAATTTGGCATTTCACTTTCAACCCCAGACGCAGTGTGCAAAGTGTCTTGAAGCCCCTTCATGTGGTTCACCTCCCCAATCATCCTGTGAAGCAGGCAATTCGTACATGGCTCAGCCCGCATAGAAGCCTGAACATCTGCACTGCTGGGGTGCGCAGGATGCTGAGTCATACATGATGGGCCAACGCGCGGCGCTGATGGACGCATTCAAATTGGCGCTACCTGGGCAGTCGCAGCTGGGCGGTATGGTGAGAGACCTGCATCGGCTGCAATCGCAGGTGCGCACGATCTCCCGAATTGCACGCCCACGCTCCTACTACTACTATTATTATCTGGACGCTCACAGGGGTATATAATGTGAATTTAGCGCGCCCCTTGCTTTCTTTTGGGGGCGGGGGGGGGGGGGGGGGGGGTATTAATTCTATTCTTACTTTTACTTTTGTTTTCGAACGATTTTCCTGCCAAGAGGCAAGGTGCGTCCTGCAGACAAGCTGCAATTCAAGGCTGCCACAATCATTCCCCTTCATGAACTCGCCAGATCCAAGCAAGACCCGACGAACCATGGGCTCAATGCTCTCTACTATACCGCCCTCTCCTTTTCATCAACCATTCATGAAGATATCAAGGTGCATGGGGTCTCAAGTGTGAGTCAATGAAATTTGTCATTCTGGTGCAGGTGGATGAGGAGCGGCTGCATGCGCGCCATGCAGAGAGCAGCCTCGCAGAAGTGGCCACCAAAGTACAGGTGCTTTCTGGCCTTTGCTTTTACTGGAATGCCGATGTTCTGCCCAGATGCTTTTCTCTGCTATGCTGGCTGGCCCACAGCCTTGTTTGCATTGGATCTCATGGCATGCCGTTTCCCTGCCATTCACCTTTTTTGGCATCAGATCTTGTTTTGAATGAAGCAAGTCACTACTGTGTAGCCGCCAGGAGCGCATTTACCCTTCTGCCCCATGCTTCTAACGTGCACTTGTGGGACCCTCCTTTTTTCTACTGTGTCTCATGTGCTCGCTGACAATGGAACTGCCCTTTGCCAGGGCCTGGCGGACCGATTCACAACCCTGGAAACTCATCGGCTGCCAGACATGGACAACAGAATCGAGCGTGCCAGCACAGCCCTCATCTCACAGGCGCGCATCTCCGTATTGCTGTCTTGAGAGTGGATTCTATCTATTCGTGCAAGTCAGCCCATGTCCATGACGTACACGAAGCACTTCTCCTGCAACAAAGTAGTTATACAGTAGAAGGTGAACTTTACCGTGATGCCATGCAACCCGCAGCCATCCTGCCTGACTGCTGAACTTACTGAGTTTTGAAAGATGGTCTACTGACTAATCACACTGTCATGCAGGAGTTCCATGCGACACTGGACATGATGAACGACGCACTTGCGCGCATCTCAGAGCGCAAAGAATCACCCGGCGGTTATATTTTCGGGGGCGGCGGCGGAGGCAACGCCGCGGGAGGGGGCGGCCTGTCAAGCAGCCTGATCTGGCTGCTGCAAACTGCGGCCGGCTACGCGCGGCGTTCCCTGTCGCAGGCTGACGTGGCGGCCGTCTTCCTGTCCCGGCGCATCCTGCTCGACCGCGCCGCGCTGCAGGGTGTGTAAACATAAATTTTAAAACCCTTACACCCCTAAAAAAAACCCCTAAAAGAAACCCCCTAAAAAAAAATTAAAATTGCTTTTGCTGCAGTTTAATTCTCAAAATGGATCTCTCAGTTGATGAATTTACTTGCAGAATCTATCAAGGCGACCAACAAGACCTGCTGTCAGTTCTTCTTTATTTCTTTCCTACCTCATGGGGAATGCAAGTTGCTCTGTCAAGTACTCTGCGCGCTTCTTTCTTGATTGTGCATCAGTGTGGATTGAGCATGAAGCTGAGTCATTTCTTCAGCGCTTCTTTCAGCGCTGCACAATCATTGTGGGCCAGCGCCAGATTTAAGGCTTTGGTTGCTTTCCTGCATGCAACATTTGGTGTTCCAGCAAGGAACATGGTCTGGATGTGCCAGCAAAACAGACTTCAACAGAATGCGATGGTGCGTGCAGGGTCTGGCATGCCGCGTGAGGCTGCAGCGGAAGGCAACGCCCTGGGACTGAGGCTCAGAGCAGCGGCGCGGCCGGCGCTGGGCTCCGCGGCGTTCCTGGCCGCGGTGGAAGCCGCCTGGCAGCTGCACGAGCGGTGCGCACAGCTTCCCTACAGCTTCTAGTACAGTGTCTCTCTCCCTCTATTACAACCCGGCAGCAGCTGACGCGCATCATTTTGGGGGTGGAGCTGTACTTGCTCTCCGCTGTTGAGTGCTCATATAGCCCTAGCAGATTCACCACAAAGCCAGGAAAATATATGCAGAGATGACATACTGCATTACTGATAGGGTGTATTTCGAAATACTCAACAGCTAGTTTTCTTAGTGATTGACAATTTGTTTCACCAGACAATTGGTTTCACTGCCTGACACACCGGGCATCAACAAGGACTGGGCGTTTCGTCAGACCTTGATATTTCACTTCTTTTACCTTCCACCCTTGCTTCTTAAAACAATGTCAACAGCCCTCAATTCCTGATATTTATCGTAGGTGGTCAGGCCTGCTGCCGCGGCAGCTGCGAGCGGCGACGGCTCCGGCCGCGCTCGGCATTCGCGCGGTGCGCGGCGCCACGTGGGCTGCAGCCATTCTGCTGACGGCCGTGGCCGCTCGCGAGTCGGCCTTTTCTCTTGTGGACGCCGGCTTCAGCGCGGCGCAGCGGTGAGCCTTTCCTTTCCTTTGCTTGCGTTTGATCCCGGCATACTGAACAACTTTAGGAGAGGTGCACTTGTCATGCCTTGCCAAGGAAAGCACGGCAGTTGTGGCAGCGCGTGATTCGGCCTTCTGCCTCGTGGAACCACAGAACAAAATCGATACCAACAAATGTATTGCCGGTGCAGCACAGTTGCATCTCTTAGTATCTCTATCTGTAATCTCTATCTTATTCTTTAAAGTCTGGAAGGAGGAATTAATACATGGGGTCTGGACTCACGTCATTGAAGGGCTGTTTGCAGGTGCCAAGCGAGCTTGATCACAGTCATTCCCAGGAGCGGCTACCTGGTCTGGGGAAGCAGCACTGTCAGCAGCGCGGCAGCAGATGACATCAGCAAGGCAGAAGGGAACGCTGAGACCGCCGTGGTCGCCGACAGCGCCTGCCGCATCGGCAGCGCGGCGGCCGAGGATGCAATGGAGAAAGGGTTAAGCCCCTTTGCTGGAAAGGGTTAGGGGGAATCATATGATAGGCCCTTCTGATCCACTGGACCCTTAAGTGCCGGCTGAAATTGCTAAACGGGGGATCATGTTCATGGAAATGGCAGGGATGCAAGAAGAGGCCTGGCTCGGTCATGGGACCAATCAGATTTGGGTTAGGCTACGATGTTATCACTTTGTACAGCTGGAGCCTGTGTGTTGACATCACAATAATGGTACAAGGGGGGCTTTAAGCAAGTTACGCTTGATTTTTTCCCCGTGTTCAGGCCTGCCTGCGCAGTCTGCACACTGAGTGTCTTTCAGTGTGAAATTCAGTCTATTGCCCAACGTCGTCAAACTGGAGTGAACAGCTGTGATGGGTACCTGTGCTGCCCTCCATTCACTGACGCAGCAGTGGTGGCAGTCCTGATCAAGCTTGTATTGTACACATAGCAGCGGCTCGCTTGCCATGCCTTGGGCGTGTCTTTGTAGATGATTACGGCACCGGTGCCAGATTCACATTTCTGCTGTCTCTCAGATCTGGTGCAGGACGGAATCAGTACTATTGGACTTCTGATTGCGCTCAAGGTCTTGTAAGACCGCCACGGATGCTATGGCACGTCTTTTTGACATTTCTGTGCACGTACTGCTGCGTCCAGCTGGCTAGTATGGGGAAGTGCAGAAATTCCTGAAAAGCCTTGCAAAATTGACGACCACGAAAAACGCTCAGATATAGGGCGATTTCTATCAGTGCGGTGCGCTCTCATAAGCTCGGGATAAGCACTGATGTTGTTGACCGTCAGACGTGTGACACCGCGATGGCGACGCCAGCAAGTTGATTGCAAAGGATAACAACGATGAAGGATTTGCAACTGACATAGCTTTCGCAACTATCTTTTGCCTCTCACAGCAACTGTCGTAATACCGAAAACAATTTCTACACAACTCTGATTCAAGATGCGGCTGCTGATCTTGAATTCGAGTGAAGCCCTACCAAAGGGTGCGCAACAGGGTTCCAGGTCACACCCGGGGTCGTGAGGATCGAGACAGGCTGCAATAGCCGGCGGCAGCCAGAAGACATCACCTCTCAAGAAAGCAAGAGATCTACAAACAAAGATCGTAGCATCATGGGAGGGGAGTCGGTGCGGTGAGTTGTTCTCTGCCTCTCACCTGCTGCATATATTGTTTTGGGGATGTGTCTCTTTTTTTGCTGATTACCTCTATTTGCTACGTTGATATCGTGCTGGGCTGCATTGATAAGCGGTACTGATCTCGTGACGGGCGATGTCGCAGGCTGTACGTTCCCGGCAGCATCCTTGGATACAAGAGGTGCGCTCCTTCCTCCTTCAGAGTATGAAGCTCTAAAGCGTCTGTCTGGAGAAGTTGCCATGCTCAGCTTGAAAAGCCAGCGAGTTGGAATAAATCATACGGCAGCTTACTGTAGCTAGCTCGCGAAAAGGCAAAATATAGGCTTGTCAGACTGGGGAGCTCCCAGGATGTTTGGGGATCTGCGCCTAAACCTGCAGGTTCAGGAGTGGCATCTTTCAGGATCGTAGAGATGCAAGCTTATCGTAACGGCTTATGCACAGGGGAAAGCGGACGCAGTACAACCACACATCCTTGATACAGATCAACGGCGTGTCCAGCAAGGATGAGACAGAGTTCTACCTGGGCAAGAAGATTGCCTACGTGTACAAGGCAAAGACCCTAAAGAAGGGATCAAAGTACCGCGTGTCATGGGGCAAGGTGCGCATATCTTCCTGCAGTCACCTGCTCAGAGCACCCAAAGCCAGCCGGGGGCTTGGAAGTGGCTTCCCTGCAGCCTCTTTATAAGAGCTCGCAAGGTTTTGACAAAGAAGCAACAGCACCGAAGTGATCTGCAGCAAGCAGCAGCTTGACAGCGCTCTTGCTTCCGTTTGCTGTAGCCCAGGCTGCTGCCTATGTAGATGGTTGTAATGTCTGTCAAGTCATATGCATACCGATAGCATTGGTCTCAGCCCTCATCCCTTGCCTCTGGCCATTCTCCAGGGCCTTGTCAGTCTTGAGACAATCTTCTCTGCAAAGCTGATGCATTCCCTCTAGTCCTCTAATGGTATAAAGCTGTTATACAGAGCGTCTGACCTGTCGTACCGAGCGTCTGACTTGTCGCGCTGTCCTCATCTGTCATCTTTTCTGCGCCTGCAGGTCACGAGGTCACACGGCAGCGTGGGAGTTGTGCGCGCCAAGTTCCGCAAGAACCTCCCTCCCAGCTCCCTGGTGAGCTTGCCTACTCTGCGCTCAAATCACCTCACATTGTGACGTCCAACGATGCACCTGCGAAAGCTTTGTGCAGCGTGGCTGCAGATGAAATTCTCAGGATGCTGCCACAATTCTCACCAATGCTTGGAATCACATGAAGCTCATCTGGTGCACATTTTTGTGAATGCAAGCGAGTTCTTGTTCACTCCAGCCACCCCTGTGCAAAGGTCTAGGGCGATCAGCACGAGGTCCAGGGTGTCTAGAGCTCCCTTGCAGTAGCACTTGCAGAAGCAGCGGGAATTTTGGGAATTGACTGCAGTGTGGGGTCAGGCTTGGAGTTTTTGCTTGCCACCTGCACTGCTGCAGCGATCAGATGCCCCTGTGGTCCAGCATGCGCTGCCTGATAGACAGCTTGTTGCCTCTTGTGCATTGCACATGGTGTTACAGATGTGCCTTTTAGACTGTGACCTTCTGGTCCCTGCAGCTTTGGGCCTTATCCCGGCCCTGCAGCGCTCTGCAGCTCCATTCGCTGAACAGAGTCCTTTCTGTCTGCTGGAGTCTGAAGGTGTGCTGGCAGGGACGTGGGACTGCTGTGCGGCAAGGACTCCTTGGGCTTTGAGTGTGTATTACGTCGTTGTAGATTATTGGAGTTTTCTGAACTCTGGAGTGCTGATATTCTGACTCTGTTGTGCGCAGGGCGCCAAGGTCCGCGTGTTCATGTACCCAAGCCGGATATGAGTCACGTCCATGTCAGTATGACTCACCCGCGCTGTTGGCTTTACCCGTGCCGCCTCTGGTCCTGAGGGAAACTGCGGCGCGGCGATGGAACAGTGATTTTGGGAGTCAGCCTGAGTGACTCACGGTGGGTTGTTGGGAATACTATACATAGTATGATGTTCCTGGCATCATGCTTATGACAGTGTCAAGACAAAAGCAGTTAGGAGTGGCGGATCGCCATAGGCTTGTAGATCTAGAGGTTCAAACACAGACACATCTACAAGAGGGCTTTGCAACAAGCATGTAAACAGGATTCTGCCACGGTTGCAATCACTGGCAATCATCAGATTGGACGCAACCGAAAGAGCCTGAGGCCTATACTACAGGCCTATCGGATAGGCCTAGCTAGGGCTCAAGATCAGGGTGGAATCAGAGCTTGCTGCTCAGCTTGCTGCATGCATGCGCACTGGGCAGCTGCGCTGTTTCCATTCTCATCAAAATCATAGCAATATTTTCACCAGAAGAAACCAGCAAAATCTGCATGGCACGTGAGGGCAGGCCATAATAGGAGATCAGCGAAGTTACGAAATGTCACTTCCGGAATACTTCCCGATGTTCTCGTTCACCGACGACTTCAGTCTGAGAAGCTCGGCGCAGATCCGTATTGTGTGGACGTCTCTCGACGAAAAAAAAACTGTTGTGTCAAGAGAGTCGAACAGGGATCGGTAGGCACGTTGGGTCTCATAGGACGGTGACATCCGTGACGCTGTGCGGAGACTGCAGGTAGATCTAGCACGATGCCAAGCAAAAATCGCGATTCTGTCCGATATTTTCCTTCTAAAACGCTTGCAATTGTACAACGCACATTCAAGTGTTGATTTTCTTCCAACCGTAGCCATTGAACTGAAAGCACACCACTTTGATGGACTCTCTGCTTTGGCAGGATCAAGACGGCCTTGCAGATGTATCGGCGAGAAAGATGAAGTCCGGAAATCACTATGCGAAGGAAGGCATACGGATCCCGAGCATGAAGTGCTAGGCAGTGAACGCGATATCAACAGCCTGCAGATCAGAGCTAGTTACCAAATTACAGCCTTGAAGGCTTGGGTTTGCCGTCAGCATACACTTTGGTTTCCCTAGACCTCTCAAAGGTGGGGAGTGGGCCTCAAAGATCCCCTCCTAGCAGAGGCGTCTAGCCAGACCTACAACAGCCACCACATCACCCAACCTGTGGATAGCAGAAGAAGCCTCCAATCCGTCCAACAGCCGGAGTAGTACAAAGCTAAAGATATACAGCCAAGGAATGGCCTTGAACGCATCAGTGGCCAGCGCATGCTGTCTTAACAGAGGACTTGGCAGTGTCTAGAATCGGAGATCAGCGATGGAGGCCGCAGCAAAGCACAAGCGGCAAGAGGACATACTGGAGAGGCTGCTGTCAGGGGCGGGCGTGTCTGCGACGGGGTTCCTGCTAGAGCCGGGCGCCAGCGGGTCGCTGCACATGCACATCAGCGATGACGTCATCCGCGCTGCGCTGCACAGACCCCTGCCGGGGATCGCGCGCGATCAGGAGCTGCTCGAACCCCTGTGGGACTCAGAGTCGGGTGCGAGCCACTCCTCCTCATTGCGCCATGGTTGGCATGTTTGCCTGAGTAAATCCCGTGGCAGTAGTGTAGGTTCACAGATCCATATTCAATGCATGTGCTTAAGGCGAATGAAAACTCACAAGTACTCCTTCCTCGTCACTTATGCCCCTTTGCCTTGTCCAGCTGCATGCAGTGTCTCAGCCATCAGTTTTTTGCGCATGGAACACTCCTGTGACATGGCGATGATTACTTCAAGTGCACTGCCGGGTCTTTGGTCTTCCCCCACCACGCTCGGATGGCGACAATTCCTGTGAAAAATGCCAGGGAAAGATCTGCAGATTGACGTTTGTGCGGTGGGGTTGCAGATGAGGGTAGCGGGGGAGATGGGGACAGCAGCAGCGGCGAGGAGGGCAGCAGCACCGGCTCTGAGGCCGAAGGGAGACCGCTCAGACGGCAGCAAAAGGGCGGCGGCTCTGGGTGAGTCATGCCATGTATCCAGCACCTTTAGCTGTCCAGGCCAACATGAATGGACCAGTGACATTTGCAGCAAGCAGCAATCTACAGACTGGCAAGACCTTGTCAGGAAATTTGAACAATGCCGGCTGCGATACTAGACCAGTGCAAAGTACTACAGCTATGAGAAGACAGCGGTCATCATGACAGACCAGGCACCACCTTCACTGGCCGTAATGCAGCTGCACAAAAGTTCATTGTGGGCATGGGGTGGGCACTTCTGCAGATGGTAATAGACACATGCATGACCAGTGCATGTGACTTTCTTGGGCAGGGCCGGCAAAGAGGATGCGCAGCCATTTTGGAGGCGACATGTGCGTCCGATGAAGCGGCTGCTGGCGGCTGCGGTCAACAGCCTGACCTACGTGGCGCTCTGCACGTCTATTTTGGCGCTCGGGCTCGTCGCCGGCTTCCTGCTGGCTTCCCCGCTCTCCTCACAGGTGACTAATTGCAGTTACAAACACCTGCTGCAATGTCAGTGTTCATAAAGCAACTTGCTGCACTGCCCATTGTCTTGGTAGTAATCTGCAAGGAATGCCTTATGTGTGCGCGCCTGATCTACCTTGCTGATGTCTCTGAAGATTCCGGGCTTACATTTTGGGCCTTCCTAAATGCTTTTAGCCATCGTTGTGCCTTCTTGTGCTGTCACCATTATGCCATAGCCTGGAGCCTCCATACACTTTCCAAGCCAGCAGTTGCCAGCAATCATAGAAACTTTCACTTGTCTACTGAAATTGTGAGAACTGTCACTGGCTTTAACCTAGGGAACTCCAAAACAAGTTAGTTTAGAGTCCCCTGTCAGGAAACTGACCAGGGGCATACAGTGTTTAGAGCGCGCCCCGTGGACTTTGGGGGTCGTATCCAAATCTATAAATATGAATTCAATGCATGGCTTCTGCAGAGGGCGGCGCCTGCCTATGAGCTGGGTCCGGGCCTGCTGGCTGCCCAGAAGCTGCCGGGGGGTCCGGTGGCAGGAATGGCGTTTGGCGGAGAGGGGGGACCGGACCCCTCAAAATTCGACTTCTTGGTGGGGGACGATTTCGGGGTGTGGCAGAACAAGAGCATGGAGAGCAGCTCTGTCACTGTTGAGCAGTCCGGCATCCCAGGGTGAGTTCTTAAACAAGAAAAGAAAGAAAAAACATTCAAAAAACAACATACCACTTTATAAATCACACTCATATCTGATGGCATGTTGCTGTTTGTGGGCAACCTCATGAGCAAGTGAAGGTCATACTTCGGAAGCTCATGCATTGGATGCAGCAGTAGCTGCAAATTTCCCTGGCCATCAGCAATATGGCGCAGCTGCTATCCGTGCCTTCAAAGAAGCACATGCAAGCAGAAAGTGCGCCATCTAGAGGGCCGCAGGCAGCTTGCACACTCTGGCTCGGCACATGGCCACCAGAGCCTGTCAAGGTGTACCATGCACATGCCGATTTTAACCTGGGCCGAGAAATTGAGTGTAGGCAGACATACTGTTTGTGCAACGCAGGCTGTCGACGGTGGGAGGCCCGCACAGGAGCCCGCGCGTGCCGATAAAGGGCCCGGGCGGGAAGCTGCTGCCCTTGCCGCGCAGCCTGCGAGTGTGCACGATGACCGCTGATTTTTGGGGCCTGCCCACCGCCGGGGGGACCGCCACCGCCTACGGACTCCTCACCTCCGCGCTCAGCGAGGACCCCTCCCTCGATGTGCGCGCTCTTGTATTTGAATTTGCTACTAAGGGTAAACACTGATTTTCAATTGGTTGGATGGTGGAGTCATCTGTGAGGACTCCCTGCCCACGTATTTGGGACGGCCTCTGCAGTCTCATGCCCCCTATCTTGGAGGGATTTATGGTCCTTCAGCATCGTCTCAGCTTTGAATGTCTGTGCCTTTTCGCTACTAAGGGTAAATCTGCCCGCATACATGTCCCCACGCACAGCAAGAAAGAAAAGGCAAGGCGGCCTTTGTCCAGCCTCTTTTGCGCTTGCGTGATCTGCAACTCCAAATGTACAATTTCAAGAGGGGCTGTCCATAGAGTAGGGACAAGAGTGCAAGGCGCATGAATGATTGGTGAATGCTAGGGCACAGAAAAGGGGGCATCAGGTTGCTGATGTTTGGCAAATTCGACCATGCCGTTGGCATGCTAGACCTTTGTCTATATATTATCACACCCCAGGCTTCACCAGGGGTCCAAAATCTAACTCGACCTTTCCCCTGTGCCCACAGGTGACGCTGCTGGGCGTGAGCCGTATGATGGACAAGTGCATTAAGGGCCGCAAGCAGCAGTCCCGGCTCAACCCGCGCGCCAACTACGCATGCTTCGACGACCGCCACTTCCAGCCATTCGTGGTCACCACGCAGCCCTACGAGGGGCTTAGTCATGCCACGCTGGAGTGGCTCAAAGAGAACCAGCACCTCTGCGATGTGCTGCAGGTAGGCGTGCTTGAGAATTGGACCATGGGTACTTCCCACGGGTTGTAGAGTTCCAAAAAACCCAAGAACTCACACTTCCCATGCATAAGGGTTGCAGGAACTAGGGTCATATCTGATGTGGCTGGCTACCATGAGCCTGCCGACACTGGAGGAAGTGTAGTGCCCCATTCGTCCTCATGTCTTTCTCCTGGGCTGTCACATGTTCTGACACATTTCATAATCTTCTTGCTCTGTCAGACAATTACCTACTGCCGCGCCGTGCTGAGGGGTAACTGCACGACTGAGAATGGGCATACATGAAGGGGTGCCCATGTGATGAGACAATGGAAGTGAGGATCTCTATGGTTGCGCAGGTGCACGAGTGGGGCGGGGTGTTCACGGACATTGTGACCTACTCCCACTTCCGCCAGTTCAGGCCGGGGCTTCGCATCGCCATCAACTCCCACGGAGGCCACTACTGGTCCACTCAGGTATGTTTCAAACCCCACAGGCTACATTATTATTACTATTATTACACGCTTTCCTGCCAAAAGGCAAATTACGTCCTGCAGACAAGCTGCAGTTAAAGGCTGCCACAATCCTACCCCTTGTCGGACTCGCCAGAACCAAGCAAGACCCAATCAACCGTGGGCACGGTGCTCGGTATTTATACCGCCCCCCGCCAGGCTACATTACTAGTAATCAATCGCAGACGTCAGGGATGAGGGTCAAGGGTAAGGGTGCAGTATTCTGGTGTCAGCGGTGTCCAGTAGTTATGCCAAGGGTCCTGCAGCCCATGCAAGGCAGGCGCAACCACACAAGCGCCTGCTGTGCTTGCCCCTGTCTCTCCAGCACTAGCACACATTCATGAATTTGCCATACAAAACCGCCTAAATGAAGATTGAGGTATCATCCCTGGACAAGTTGAATCCGTTGGAACAGCTGTGGCACCTCGAGCTTCATTATAACCCTTCGCAGTCCTTGCCATGTTTCCACCTGGAACTGCCTTTGTGATCACCTGGGATGCACCTCAGCTCGTGTACTCACCTTGACGTCGTTATGCAATGCCAACAGGGTCAGCTGCCGCGGCCAACGGACATAATGAGCCTGCGCATAGACAACGGCGAGCGCGCCACTCTGGAGTATGCTGACATAGCGCTGTCGCCCACCCGCTACATCGCATCCTGGCTGCGCCAGCGTGGCTGGCGCCTGCCTGACTACCGGTGAGTCATGCTGCCGACTCAGTAACATGCATCTATCTGCAAGGCGATTTGCTTGCATTGTCATCAGGCCAGGTGCAGAAGAGCGCCAGCAAGTAGGTCGTACTTCATCCAGAACCTGCTCATTGCCGCATTGTGAAGCCCATGTAATGTCATGTTGCTGGCATGTTACAAAGATACATATTACCCAATACTCCTCAAGACAGACCAATACACGAGTTGGGATGCTGGGACTTGTCGTGGTACAGGCTGCTGAACCCACCCATTCCCTCTCTGACATTTCTCTTGTGCGGGCTGCTGGTAACCATAGCCAGCAAGCTGCGCTGCTGCTTAGACAGATATTATCTGTAAAGCAGAGTGCAAGATTGTGCAGCTAAGATACATTACATCTTACATGACATGAGATGGGTGACATCTCATCACATAATGTCAATTATATGTCCATTACATGTCAATTATGTGTCCATTACATATTGTGTTGCGGCTGCGCTGCGCAGGCTGCCGGTGCCCAACATGATAGCGGATCTGGACCAGGCGCCAAAAGAGAGAGTGGACAAGCCGGTCTGGCGAGTCGCCTTCTTCGGTCGCCTCGAAGAGCGCAAGGGCATCAAGCTATTCGTTGATGCCGTGCAGGTGACTAACCAGCATGCCGCATGTGCTGCATGGGGGTGTAGGGTGACTCAAACACCCCTAGGCTATTCTGCGTTAGGTAGTGGGTAGGTACTGGTGCTGGTGTAACTTTGAATGCTGGAATGCCCATGCGGCCGGCAGTACATGCACATGGAGCGCCTGCAAAATCAGAGGATCTGCGCCCGTTGGCTTGACTTGTTCTCTGTTCAAGTTTCTATCGGCACTCGTGCACAGTAGGGTGCATGCTGGAGACAATCCAGTGTGCATGCGCAGATGATCCTAACGCTAGGCAGCTTCAGGCCTCATGCTTGCCTTAGGAAAAAGCATTCATGCCCTGCACAATAGCAAAGGAGCATGCCATCCCTTGAACAGCAATCTGAGACATCCGTCTGCAACGGAAGCAGCGGCTGCTGAAGGAGATTCTGATATTGCAAAAGAGCATTAGATTTCTGCTTGTCTTGAATCTCGAGCTGAGAGATTTTGTGTCGGTTTTGTGCAGCGGCTGCCGAAGGAGATTCTGGAGAAGCCGGAGTTTGAGTCCTACTTCGTGGGGGCTGAGTCCAAGATCGACCAGGTGCTGAGCAGCACGTGGCTCAAGGCGCACACCAAACACTGGACCTGGAAAATTTTCATCATGGCCAACACCCCGAGGTAAATCTCCTTCAAAAAGCGATCTCTATTTTTTCATGATTTGGCTCATTGCATGCGGTCAGAGCCCTGGATCCTCTTGGGCTTTGCATGCAAGTGATCGGGAGTTTTGGGCAAGTTGGGCAAGGAAGAGTTTTGCAAGGATGGCGTGAGTTGTGATTGAGATTGTATTGTACACAAACAAAATGGCCATCACTTGTCATTCTGCCCTTATAAATAAACTCTGTTTTCTCTGCAAAATGGCAGAATGTCCTTCCTGTAAAGGGAGAGTCGCATGCTAGATGCTAGTTCACCCTTCACTGAAACCACCACTGCTTGAATTCTGCAGGGACAAAGCTCTTGCGACGATCAGTGCGGACGGCATTCTACTGGTGCTGGCGTCCATGATCGACAACATGCCATACGTGCTGGCGGAGGCATCAGTCATGCGCATCCCCTTACTAATCTATGACGTCGGCGGGGTGACTGAGATGATCGACCCCAAGCTGCACGCCGACATCATCTGCGGCACGCCCAAGGTGACTCACCCGCGAATCCCTTGCAATTCAAATTAGAAAATTAACATTCCAATCCAAATTCAGTCAGGCCGGATGGTGACAGCTTTCTGGCCTGGTTGTTGCTTGCCGAATTTGGCATGCCACATATGCACTCCTGGCAATCTAGTCAATTTTTTTTTCAAAGTTGCCCAATTGTCCAAATAAGTAAGACTGCTGCTTCCTACTTATGGGCCTCATGAATCCTAAGCAGCAGTGCACAAAGCTGTGCAGCATGAAGCTTTAGAGGGAACTAAAGACATCTTAAGACTACTTAGTAGTCTTTAGTCAGCACACCCTGAAACCTGCAATGCCATGGGTTGTCCCTGGATGATGGCAAAGGTTCGGGGTATTCTGAACAAACCCCTAATCACCCTTATGTCATAACCCTACCCAGGGTGATGAGCTGGCGGTGCGCATGCGTCTATTGCTTAGACGCAAACCCTGATCACCCTTATGTCATGACCCCACCCAGGGTGATGAGCTGGCGGTGCGCATGCGTCTATTGCTTAAATGCAGACCCTGATCACCCTTATGTTATAACCCTGCGCAGGGTGATATGCTGGCGGTGCGCATGCGCGAGGCGCTGCAGGCAGGCAAGCTGGGAATCTCCGCCCTGTCTCCACGTGTGACCACCGGCAAAGAGCAATGGCAGGAGTGGCACCACGACTTCTTCCACAACCAGAAGCAGGACTACATCCAGGTCGGTGCCTGCAAATTGTCTGGTGGGACATTGCCCCTGTGAAAGCAGGATGCCTCCGGCTGGGATGTGAAGCCATGTCTAGGCTGCATGGGACGTTACCAAAAAGACACGGCAGTGCGAGCGCCAAGAAGAGAGGAAGGGCTGCCTCACAAACAGCATCAACATAACATAATAGAGAAAATACATATTACATTGTGCAATCTTATGAAGTACCAGAGAGGCAGCAGCTGATATACGATGGCAGTATTGTGAATATACAGTTACTTTGGCTCCACGCGTCTTTTTCAGTTCCCGGTATGAGCAAGAGTGGAGTGCTAACAAAGGCTTCAAAATTTTTTGTCAAATTTACAGTGTCCTGAGATCTTATTGCTTATGCCCCCACAGGACGACATAGAGCTGCACGCAAAGGCGGACACCATGAACACAGACTTGGAGATCATCACTCTGCGCGAAGCCAAGCAGACCGCCCTCGAGGTACGCCCAGCAATCCACCCCATCTGCCTTCACCTGTGCATAACTTTGAAGGAAAATATGCACTTTCGTCTTTTTTATTCTTGACACTTGCAGTACATAACGGACGATCTGCTGTGTCAGCAAGCACTCATGCTGCAACCAGAACAGACATCACCTGCTGTAAGCGCAAGCAAGCCGTGATTTTCGTGCATATATAATATATCCCGCAGAACAGGCTGACGGCAGGGGCACTTGCATTTTCCCAGAATGCAGCCTGTGACGCAAAAGCCAAATGACGCAAATGTCCTTTTTGGAATAAAAACGATCCTTGAATCTATACTAAAGTTTGAGTGCGGCCGCAGCTGTATGAGGAAGTGTGCGATGCCGAGGGCTGCACAGAGCGCGGCTGCGGCTTCGGAGTGAACGCCACATCCGCCCCGCCCACAATCCTGTTACTACCCCCGCAATTCAGCGTCCTCAACGAGTCACGCCTGCCGGAATTAGTCAGGCTGCTCAACATCGGCGAGCTGCGAAAAGACTCGATCGGGGCGCTGACTTTCGGCGCGGAGATTCCCCCGTACAAGGACGGCGCGCTGCCAACGTCGCCCAAGCTGCGCTACGCGTTCCCTACCGCGCCCACCTGGCAGGTCAGTCATCTTAAATCACGTTCAGTCACCTTCATACTGTGCATGCTTTGCTTGACTTCTGTGTCACTTGTGCAATGCAGCGGCACCTTGTACGGCTCTTCTGTCAGATATGCGTTTTATTTTGCATAGGAACCGTGAACATGCAGGGGGTGAGGATGCAGTAGTTTTCAAAGCAAACGGTGATTCATGCTCCTGATGCCTGCTGGCATTGCGTGTCATGACAGAAGTGATAAGAGCTGCTGCCTTCTCTCTGAGCGCATCGCATGCAACTTCGTGCTTGATCACAGCCGTTCAAGAGTCTCTATGGCCGCATATTTTGTGATTGTGAATGCAAACCTGCATGTCGACTGGTACTCACAAAGTTGTCTGCACCATGACTGACGAACAGGAGTGTATCTGCAGATATATGAAGGCGAGGTGGAGCCATGGCTGATGAGTGACTATTGCACTGACACCGTCCCCGTTCTGCTGCGGCGTTCCACCTTCTGCCGAGCATTCGCAGCCGACGCCAAAGACTTTCGCGCCTACAACTCATGGGTCAGTCACCCATTTCTTCCACGGAGAATTCTGTTTCAGACTCCTCTCCTGATGCAATACTCATTGTTCATGTCGCTCTCAAAAACTCTAGGGTCGTTCTACAAATTGCTGCATATACCACCTTATATTTTGCAAATTTACTGATCTGCACTGTCAGCTGAAGGCGCTGTTAACAGCAGCTTTAAGCATTAGGTGTCACCGTGGCTCACCAGCAACAAATCCCATGCAGTCCGCTATAGCCAAGAGGGGTGCTGCCTCATGTTAAGCTCGTTTCTCAAGCCCTTTTCAACCTAGTGTCCTTGCCTTATGAAAACTTCTGCCATGCATGCGCATGCGCAGGTGCTGCAGCCAATCCCCAAATTCTTATCTGAACTCAAACTTTCCACGCATGCCATTGTACAGTCGCGCATGCTCATACTTGGACTTTGATTTTGAATTGCCACGCACGGTGTTTATGCAGGTGCTGTCGCTGATGCTGGGGCAGGCTGGCCTGCACCTGCACACATTCCCGGAGGTGGCGTTCTCCTTGGACAAGTGGACCATGCAAGGATACCCCTGCGTCCTCGACAAGACACCCAATCGCCAGCTGGACATCCACGTGAGCGCCCTTACTAATCCTGCCGTTTCCACAACCCCAACAACTTGCACGGCCAGTGCAGTGTTGAAAGCAGTGATGACCTGGCTAGAGCACATGCACAAAAGCAGGATCAGCAGAGATATTACTAACAGAGATATTTCAGTGCTTGAGAAACCTGTCAAGCAGACACGCAAGCGACAATGCAGATGACAAATAGGAACATCTGGCTCAGTCTGTAGGAGCGTATTCACTTTTAAAGTAGGCTCGGACAAGAGGGAGGGAGGCCTGTATGGCGCAGACTATTTGCCTGGGCAAAAATTCCACGAGCATGCTTAGACTTTACGAGCTGATTCTGGCTAAACATGACTTTCTAAAGGGTGAATAGTCCGTCCCTATTAGTTCTCTGACATTATGAATCTGCATCCTGAACCGAGACTCACACTCTGCAGAATGCTGCAGCGGTGTCAAGTAGTGTTTGAATTAGCGTCTGAATTGGCAAAAGTCAGCAAGTGACTCGTGCTGCTGTGGATGTATGTTGTGCTCTGCGCTGCGCTGCCATTTACCACTCTTAGTAATTAATTATTACTCCTTTTCCAGAATTGTATATGACGCATAAAATTGCAAATCATGCTGGCTATTCTGTGCATGGCGTCCTGCAATGAATCTTTTGGAGCCTCGGGTTCATGCTCATCGTTCCATTAGCAGATGCAGCAGGCCGCACCTGAAAGTTCTGACTTAATATTTGAGATTGCATGCATGCGGGCTGCCAGGTGGCGGCCAATCTGATGACGGACGAAATGCTGATGCGCACGGCACAGCTCACCCCCGAGTACCGCCCCTTGGTCGATTTCCACTCCCAATACTCCACCACCCAATCCCTCAAAGGGTGGCGCTACGGCTACACCGACGCCTCCAGGTGAATTTTCTCTGTCTGCAGCAGTAAGCACATGTTCTCTTTTTCTGCCCAGTAAATGATAGAGAAAGAGAAGGAGATTCCATTTATGAGGTTTGGAAAGAGGAGGTCTAATCTTTGGTGGTTTGGAAGAAGGCATTGTGATCGTGCTATGGGGCAACACTCGGCCTATCCTGCCTCCCTGTCAGATCGATCTTGGTGCCCGTGAAAGGTCGGAAAGGCAGGGCTCTCGTGGCCGTTGCTGCAATTTTCAAGGCAATCTGTTGGGGCAAGTGCTTCATCGTTTGTCGGCACAGCGTGCCCGGTCGCATACCCACCATTCCAAAAAGATATGCAACTGTCGGCGTTTGAGAAGCTAGAGACTGAGTTGGCTTTTACTCTTCATGACCAGGCCAATGGATCGCAACACGACGTTTCATGAAATGGTGTGGCATGCGCACAAGAACGGCCACATCGCAGACGGCCGCTGGCAGGCCACCCAGGTGCTCCACCCTTCCATTCAGTATAATTAGCACTATTATGTAATGATGATAGATGGCCCCATCACAATGATGATTGGTGCTTTCATGTGATGCAACGCGTGCAGCAAATCGGAATCCAACTCTCTGTATGTACTTGTTAAGAGGTCACGAAGTTGTGCGCACTTCTTCCCATGGTACCTTGGCCAGCAGTGCAGGTGTTTCGGGCCTGCCATGCACAGTTGAAAACACCTGATGGTCACACCTTGCTGCCCAAAATTTTGCCATGTGCTCAACCTGTAGTCCCACTCCATACCTCAGAAGATTTACACCTTCCTGTTTGATGTGTCCTTGCAGGAGCAGATATACCCGCAGCTGTACCGATACATCCTGCACCCCTGTGTGAGCTGGCCGGGCATGCCCAACATGTGCGGCGGGCTGCACACAGCCACCGGCACGCTGCGCTTTGACTCATTCCTCACCCAAGAAAACGTGGTCATCATGCTCATCTACGAGGTGGGAGCCTGTACCCGTACTACTGGCTTTTTATATATCTACTTAGGCTCTTGGAATGCTCCATGGTGCATCTTAAAAAGTCTCTGATGCCAATGCTCACACAGCACTAATCAGCCGCAGGGTTGCTTGTACATCAGGAATCTTATGTCACCTGGCAAATACAAGCATGCTCGCCTGCATGAACGAGGTCTCCAAGGGAATAGTGCCGCTGCAGAAATTCTAGCTGCCACATCTTCAGCGGACATAAGAAGACTGTCTATCACTTGAGTTTATAACCATTCCTTCACCCTCGCAGGTCTTCCCAAAGTGCGGCGACGGAGTCAATTTTGTGGTCACACTGACTCCAGTGGACGGAAGCCCGGTTCAGACTCTGCACGAAGCAGAGTACGAGGTTGCGGACAAGCCCACGAGGCAGCGGTTGCATTTCTACCTGGACAAGCTTTCCACGGGTGACAAGGTGGATCTGCTGGTGTACCCTCGAGAACAGCATGACTGCGACGGGGCGCTGATTCTTGAGGTCCAGATCTGGGAGCAGAAGGCCTACAAGGGCTGAGGATTCGAATTCGAATGCAAATTCGAAAGGGTGTATGGCTTTCTTCGGCAGCAATGCGTGCAGCATGACCACCATAGGATTTTATACTAGAGGTGCTAGGTTCAGAAGGCCTATAATGACTGAGCATTTGGATTTCAATGCAGATTTGATTCACACTGTTGCTTTTAGCTGCTTGTTTATAATGAAGGTCTTTACAGGACTGCAATGGTGCACTGTTAGAGCAGTGTTGAAGGAACGGTGGCAGTGTGAGAGATGCAGGAAAAGCCCAATTGCTGAGTTTTGACTTTTACAGTTACGGAGGCAATTGGGATCAAAACTCTCACTGATCATGCTTAGGGAAGTCAGCAGGGCTCTGTGAAGTGAGGGCTGTATAGGTCCCCTCATTTCGGATGCATGCTGCAGGTATGTATAAAGGTGTCTAATGCTGAGGCTTGCTTTGGTTTAGACTGAGAATTTTAATAGACTATAGTTGTTGTTTCAAACTTGATGCATGTGACGCTGCGTCTGAGAAGATCAGTTCTGGGTTGGCCGTGAATAATGAAAGTTGACTGGCTGACATGTACAGAGTGTAAAGACCATATACACTATATAGGATATGCGAATCTGGCTATACACACTCTGGCTATACACTCTCAAAGCACACAGACACTCAGCATTAGCATTACTCTAGTAGTGTAAATGAGCTCATGCATGCGGATTTCAAGTAGAAGTTCGCTGTGTTCCGCAACGTTTGCATGACGAATATTGACACTGAGCACAGCGCAGCGATGTCCATTCCTATAATTGCAGCATCTGTATCATAGGATTGATATTCATATAGTTGATATGAAGTTCATTAAATACTCCGTGGCTTTTCGCCGGCTATTCATGTGCAAAGGAATGCTCCAAATTCAAGATTCTCAGGTAATGGGCCTCCTTCGCCTCTCCTTGTCGCACTTAAAGCAGCTCGGGCGTCCTTGAGCCTCCCAAGTGGTCACGCGATTGGATACACTGTTGTGGAGTCTGAACAGTGTAACACTATGTTCACAACGGAAGTAAGCAGCAGAACTTTATGCTTGTAAAGTTGTTGCTATTGTTGTCATTATTGTCGTCAAGCTTATCCTGGCGAGAGGCAAGGTGCATCAGCATACAAGCTGCAATTGTTTTTCCTAAACTAAATCAAAATTCACGGCTGCCAAAAACCTACCAGTTGCTGGATGCCCTAAGTCCAAGCGAGACCCGATTATTGTGGCCCGGGGCAATTTAGGCGCCCCTAGGGGCCTCGCTAGCCAAAGCCGCGTGTACTAATTCAAGAGGTAGGAGCTGCGAGCAATCAACTTCACTCGCCTCTCACTGTAGCACTTGGGGCAGCTCAGGCGTCCCTCTGCCCCCCAGCAGGCCACGCGTGCAGTTACAGCTGCCTTCCACTCATGCACTTCGCCCGTCAGCTCACTGACATGCTGCCACCATACGATCACATGACTGTAAGCGGCAACCTGATCAGGTAGCTTGTCACCATTGCGCGTGGGGTGCCACTGCGCGGCAACCTCTGGCGCCTTCACAGCCAACGACTTGCATGGGCATACAACACGCCCAGAGCAGAAGGGGCAGCCACATCCCAGGCTTGTGCGATTTAAAATTGTTGCACTCCACTCATGGGCATGGGTGCATCCGAGAGGGGCATTCTTGCGCTCGCGGCACACCCACACCGCTTTTAATCCACTGCCACTGGTGACCTTGTCAAGGTCAAGGTGCTCATTCTTGGTGGGCTGCAGCTGCGCAATAAGCTCGGGGTGCTCATCCTTCAGCAGGCCCCGATTTGATGCATTCCTTGAACTGTTCAGATTTGCGCAGCCTGGACAGCCAGTGCCAGCAGCCCTACTCTTGACTGTGGCTAGCCATGGGCCATGAAGGGAGCACACCCAGGACACCTTCCTATTGGAGCTGACACCAATCTGTTCAGGATCCAGGCCTCCATTGGCTGCGTAGTCCCACCTCGCCATCAAGTCGGGGCGCTTTGCTGCCAGCGAGCTGCAGGTGCAGATACTGTGCCCAGAGCAGAAGGGGCAGCCGCTTGGGCTGCCCGATCGTGTGCGACTATTTGGCGTTGCTTCCCATTCGTGCGCATTGCTGCATGATGAGCAGGCCTCTGGGCACAGCCACCAGACTTTGACAATGCTGCCAGCAGTGAAGTCTTCGGGCCGCCTGTCGCCGTTCTTGGTGGGGTGCCATTGCTGTGTGATTTCTGGGCGCGTCACGGCCAGAGATGGCCGTCCACCGTATGTTTTGCTGCCAGATGCTGCTGATGTCACTGCAGACACAAAGTTTTGTCAGGGCACTGCTGCTGTCAATAAGCGCCAGTCAACCGGATACATACACCACTGATCAGGTCTTCGAGCCTGAAAAGATGTACACGAAGATATGCAGTCGTAATCTGCAGAAGACATACTTACCGTGGAGTCTGTCGGTCTGCTGGCAGGTGCGCCTGGTTGATATCGATCTCAACAATATGATCCCTGCAAAAGAAAATCTTTACTGGTTCGGTTTTTCTCTATATAAATGCGGTATGAATGCTATAAGATCAAAAAATATATTTCTCACCTCTATGATGCCTCGTGCTAAGGGCGTGGGTGCGAAGCTGGAGTCCAGATGGCTGTAAAACTTGTTCGGGAATGGGTGCGCTGCAGCTACATCCCTGCTGGACGGCCATCGACAATGGACATCCTGAAGACACCAACATCAATTGCTGTTTATACGATGTCCCTGCAAAATGGCAGGTGGACAAAAATGCAGAGAAAGGACTCGCATGTGCACTCACGTGCCAGAAGCAAGCCTCTGCTGCCCCCAAAAAAGCAAAACTTTTTGTCTGATTGTATATCTTATCTTGCTCCGATAACACGTTTTGGCTTGGCCTCACTGGTGCTGGCTCAAGCACAGTACGTACCACTAGTGTGCTCGTGGTTCTCACATTGCATGCACATCATCATGATCTTGACCAGGCACACCGAGAATGAGGCTCATGATGCAGCTTTTGCAGGTGCGCTGCGTCAATCAGGGCTTTCAGCTTCAGACCAGGCCATTGATCCAGTCTGCAGTGGCAACATACTGAAATACCTCTTGAATTAGTACACATGGCCTTGATTACAAAGGCAAGGGAAGAAGGCGCATGTGCGGTCACGTGCCAGAAGCACGCCCACATGCAGGGCAGAGAGAAACTTGATTCTCGCCCCGAGAAGAAGTGGTCACTACGTGCCCTGCTCTGATCACGCGCATCCTTGCTTCTCTTGGCTGGTACTGGCTCATGCACAGTGTGCTCGCGAGCGGTGCTGAATCCCAGAGTGCATGCATATGCATTTGATGATGACTCAACAGGTCGGACCAGCTGGCCAAAGCAACTCGCTCGCAGAGGCTCGTTTTACAACAATTTTAAACTTAGCAGGCGTGGTCCGTCAATAACAGCCTTCATTGTCAGACCAGGTCATGAACCCGGTGTGCAACATGATGGCAGAGATGAAGTTCCATCATTTATGACAAATGATTGAAATAATCATGTTCAGAGCTCTAGAAAGCTGACCATGCGCCCAGACTCTAGGCCTCCAAATTGCCACCCTCTGACTGTCACCATGATAGCGATGAGTATTTCCTTGTTGGGTACTCTCCTGAAATTCCAGATCAGTGTATCAAACCTATCAACCTGTCGTAGTATATATAATGTACATATAGCCTGTGCAAATAGACTCTTTGGAAAGCTTGGGTATGTTCCTCTCTGTGGTAGCTCTGCCCATCGTCCAAAGTCCTCAGACATATCCCCTGAGAGCCTTGCTGTGATCTGCAAGAGGCCTCCATTTGCAAGAAGGTTGCCAGAGCGGCTGTCAGTTGCAGTACCTCAAAACACTACAGGATGGTGGAAGGCTCTCATGATCCTGAGGAGCTCCGGGCAATCAACTTCATTCGCCTCTCACTGTAGCACTCAGAGCAGGGTAGGCGTCCCTCTGCCTCCCAGCAGACCACTCGGCCTGCTACTCTTCCCTTCCATTCATGCACTTCGCCTGTCAGCTCACTGACATGCTGCCACCACACAGTCATCATGCTAAACGCAGCAACTTGATCAGGCTGCTTGCCACCATTGCGCGTGGGGTGCCACTGCGCGGTAGTCTTTGGCGCCTTAACAGCCAGGGAGTTGCACGAGCACACTGAAAGCCCAGAACAGATGGTGCACCCACTTCCTTCATGCGTTGCCTCTGTTGGTACATGACACAGCAACCTTCCTGACTTACCATTGAGCCACGTATTCACGTACATAGTGGCCAGCGCACTGCTCGGAGTCTGAAGCAGATCCATCGGCTTGAAGGCTCTTCACAGATATGACTCCCATTTAACGAGCTTCTTGGGAGACGCCACAACTTTGTCTTGGAACATGCCATGCAGCTAGCTCCTCTGCAGCTATGCTGTGCTGGCCTCGTGAGCTTACCAGCTCCAGGTTTGGTGTCCAAAAGCCTCCATAAATACCTTGAGACTGTTCTGCCAGCAATTGCTAATGCAAGGCATCTGAAAAATTCCCCAGACAATAAATCACGCGTACTGGTCCAGGAAGCCGGGCAGGTGCAGGCTGCCCACAGCTGCCCGCACTGCCCGCACCGTCACTGGCGCGCACACGCGCTGCACTGCCGCCTCTCTGACGCTGACATCAGCGCTGCTGCCTGACCTGGCGCTGCCGACATCATCTTTCCCGTTGCCAGACTTGGCGCTGGAATCCGCGCCAGTGCCAATTTTGGCGCCGGTGTCAGTTCCGGTGCCAGATTTGGCGCCGGTGTCCAATATTGTGCTTGGTTTGGTGATGTCAGAGTCATTGGAGAGGTCCGTGGCTGCGGCTGCGATAGCGGCCGAGAAGGCGGTGAGCGCTGAGGTGGACAGCAGCAGCGGCGGCTCGCCCACAGACTTGCTGCCCATCATGCCGTGCTTGTTGGGCGAATCCTGCAGCATAAGATTATTATTGTTAATATAAATACACGGTTTTCCTGCCAGAAGCAAGGTGCGTCTGCAGACAACCTGCAGTACAGGCTGCCAAAATCCTTCCCCTTGATGGACTCGCCAGATCCAAGCAAGACCCAACATAAAATGATGTTTTTTTACTTAGTAAAGGCATGCTAAACGCAGCGTATTCTGCAAGGGGACGCCATGCAATGGATTCGGCAAGAGCTGCCAGGCTGTCACATGCAAGAGATTTGACATGCAACCAAGCTGCTTCTCTCACTACTCGGACACAGGACTGCATCAAACCCCATGCATCCTATTTCCATGATGAAGCCAAATGCGAGTGTCATGCGAATCTCTGCCCCTTTGCTGCTCTCACTCTAAGCCTGATTTCAGCCCAAGGCTGCACAGGCACTTCAAAAGACTGCAATTACATTTGGCATAGTTTGAGGGGAGTGACTTGCCTCCAGGAGGGAGATGTTGAGCTGGCGTGGGATGCATGCGGCGCTGGGAATTTTGTAGTCCCAGGTGCTGTCATACGTCGGCTGCCCAGTCTCAGAATAGGTCACGCTCTCCTGCAGCATCATGCCCAGCCCAAACACAAACGCACCCTCCACCTGGACTCAGCCACAACCTTGCCATCAATACTCATTGTTGTCGTCGTGCATTGTGCCACCGTAACATTCCAATTATACCTTTCACCTTCTTATAATGTTACTGCAAGGTCTGCAGGCAAAGATCCACAGGCCTGAGGGCCGACATGTAGGGTGTTTGCAGCAGCATTTGCGAAGCCGAGAATAGTCTGCAGTCTGGTAATTCAACGCATACACCGTTTCTGGAGCCAGAACACAAGCCAGGCTGGTAAGCTGGAAAGCAGGACCCCACACCCTCTGCAGTTACAAGTACCTGACAACACACGATCAGAACTCTCCACTCAACGCGCTCTGCTCTCCGGCAGCACATCTCCCGCACATGCATACAAAATACTCGCATGCACAAAAATTTCCCATCCCTTTACGCGTGCAAGGGTTCTCTTGAGGGGGGTAGAAGGTGAGTCACCTGGCCCATGTCAACGGCAGGGGATATGGAGTGGCCGGCGTCGTGAAGCACATCTGCTCTGATGACATGGCGTTCCCCGGTCAGCACATTGACTTCCACCTCGGTGCACGCCGCTCCAAACGTGCTGTACTGCAGCTTCTTGCCTGCGCGCGAATAAATTTTAGACTCTGGCAGGTGCAATGGCTGCAATTCGCTCTGCATTTCATGTCTCTGTGCCACATTTGGGTTGCAGATTGGTTATGAAGGTTGGGTTACGTGAGTCATGCGTGTGAAATGCAAAGCATGCGCCTCTGGACCTGGAGCAGATGCTCAGACATGCATCACAACAGCTTCAGCAGCAGCAGCAGACATCCTGATGCAAAATCAGAGCACCGCTCCGGGACCAGAGGGCTTTGACTGAACCCTTATGAGCGCCCTAATCAAGGCATCTTCTGGATCACGTCATATGGTACAGGCAAAAGGGTACAGCTCTATCACTGTTAATCGGATCTGTGTAGTGCAGTGCCAGCCAGCAAGCACTGCACAGATCCTTCTTTGCACATGCACAAATATCAAAACATACAGATAAATAAGCTACATGCGTCCTCCCTACGAACTCCTTTGCAATCAAAAGAGGTCTTCTTCAACCCTGGACCCTGGACCCTGAAAAACACAGAAAGTGCAGACTTTTGGAGCAGCGCGCCTGTGCCGTCATCGTTGATCTGCGTGCCGTCCCACAGCGCGTACGCGGTGAGTTTGGCGGTGGGAGGGAACGGCGTTTTGGGTTGCAGACTGGCGATCATGGCTCGCCACGTCAGACCGTTGCCCATCTTCAGCGCCTGAGGCTTCAGCGTCTCCTCCACCTGTCGTCATCATTTGTCGTTGATTTGTCATCATTTGTCATCATTCTGTTATGATTTGTCATCGTTGCTGAGACCCGCATGTCTCGGTTGCAACATTTTGCATTAGCAGGTCTGCATTATAGCCTTGAGAAAGACACTTGACAGGTACTTGATGCATCTTATTGGCAGTGCAAGCGGCAGCAATTACATTTCTGGGTGCCGATCTCAAACAAGGGCTCCTTCAGCAAGCGTTGCAGCCCAGCACCCTAAACTGGCACTGTTTGGAAGCGCTTCAGCAGCTGCATGCTACTTTTTAGACTGCACTTTTCAGGAACAAGAAAAGATGACAACAGCAACACGTGAAAAGAAGCGAGGGGCGTCACCAGTTGCTTGCAGGCCAGTCGGACGGCTTCACAGGACCCCTCCGCGGCAGTGGAGCCCGCGGTCCCCCCGGTGTTGGGCAGCCAGAATGAGGCGTTGTCATTCACCGCCACGCACTCCACCGGCAGCGGCCGCTGCTCCTCGGGGAGCGCCTTGCTCAGCTCGTGGATCGCAACCTGTGCACGTTAGTCACATTTGTCATGCGCGCATGACTGCTGTCAGTCATCTATCGGTCACAGCCACCATACAATGACCCGCTGCTCCTGGGGGCAGCGCCTTGCTCAGCCCATGGATCGCCGCCACTGCGCGTTAGTAACATTAGTCATCGATATTAATTAGTCATGTCAAGTAAATTCCCCTGGGGTACACTGGATGCGCCCCTTGTAAAAGATGTCTTTGGCCACAGTAATGAAGCAGTCAGCCATGCAACCAATCTACCAGCAACTGGAATGCACAACAGCCACGGTGTAGTCTGTCCTGATCCCCATCAGCCAGTGGAGCGATTGCTTGCCAACCCCAACATCACAGTGACCATGCAGCACCATTCAGGAATTGCAAGACTCTATGGTTTGTTGAGGTGCAGCTGTGGCAGCAAGGAGACAGGGGCCGACCTGCGTGACTTTTGTGAACATGCCCTGCCCCAGCTCGGCCCCAGCGGTAGTAACCATGACTGATCCGTCCGCAAAGATGCTGACCACCGCCGGCCGCGGGGGGACCATGCTCCGGAACCTGAACAGCGGACCCAGATTCTTCCTTCAGTCAAAACTTCAAGTCACATTGTATGAGGCACATCAGCATGACACTAGAAGGGTTGATGCAGATGCGCTCTCGCCTTGAAAATGACATTTACATGCACTCTGAGATTCGCCCAGGCTGTGCAATGCAAGGAGTCACTCCACATGCACGAACAACTTCAGGATGCTCTGACTCTTGACGCTGTCTCTTTGTCAAGACCAAAAGATTCTTGACTCTTCCAGCCTTGGAAGTGAGACAAGGAGACTTTTGACCCTCCTGGTCTTGAAAAGAGGTCTGGCTGTGGTGCAGACAGCGTAATCAGCAGAGCAGGGAAGTGCACCTGCAGTGAGTCATGCTGATGCCACGTTTGACCCATTTGTGCTGCCGGTTGAACTCGGCTACCTCTTTGCAGCGCCTGTCATACTCCGCATCCTTCTTCACCTGCACAATAGCATCAGCTGCCGTCAAGAATAGCTCTTCTGGTTCATCCAGACTACACAGTAATCAGGTACAGCTGTATCTTGGCAGAGCCAGGTACTGCACAGCACAAATCAAATCAAATCAGACAAAGTGCTTTGCTTGTGGCATCAACCCATGCATGCATAGCATACCAATGACATCACCTCTGCATAGTGCCATAATATTCAGAAGCCTCAGCGGCGCCCGTTTTCACCGCAAAAAAATCTTGTGCCAAAGAACAAAGATTGGCACACATGTGAGACCGCTGCCGCAAAAAGACATGTGCCGCAGAAAGCGGCACAACCTTTTCGGCAAGTATGGCAATAAGAAATTTTATATTGCCAGAAACGCTGAGACAGTGAGCGTGCCTTGGCCCAGATGCGCGGCAGTGTGTACATGTGAGCAGGCACCTCTTGGCCAAGTGCGGTCTTGACGCCTTTGGGTACTGCTGCGTTCGCCACTTCTGCACACACAGATACCCGCACCAATTTCAGCAAGCAAGATCGTCTCGCAGAACGCTGAAGCTAGCATAACTGCTGGTGTGAGCCATGACATGTCATGACTCAGAAATTTCTCAGAACGAGTTAAGACTGAGGAAATTTCCGGAAAATACTCAGAAAGTTTTTAGCTCTTATATCTCATCAAAATCTTCTGAGAAAAAGTCCCCATAGTGACAAGTAGCACTCCTGCAGAGCTTTGGTGTTTACAGCAGCCTACAGATATAATTTGCTCCAATGCAAAGCTTCTCCCCATGGCACGCGCCTCAACATTGCCGCTGTGTCTTTGTGATCTTTGCACATGGCCTTGCTAATTCTCGCATTGTGAATGCAAAGGCCAGGAGCAGGGAAAGAGACACAGCAGCAAAGAGCTGGCATGTTTCATGGGAGAAGAGCTTATTCTGGAAGATATACTTCTGCTGGAGATTCTTCTCACCCCAGGCAACCACAGTCTATCGCTCACCTTCTGCTACTCCGCGACAATGAAAAATATCATCTTTTGATATGTTCCTTTTCCTACAGGAATGCAGACAAGCAGACAGGCAGGAAGGCCGACAGGAAAATCACCTGGAAGCTGCAGGAAGTTGCGCTCGCGCACAGCGACGGGATCAAGGCCCAGCCGAGCCGCCACATGCTCTATCACATGCTCCGCCAGCATTGTAGCCTACAGGCACAATTGCACCATTCGGTCAGAAATTTTTTTGGGGACAGTATATACAGCCGAATATACGCGGTCATACGGTATTAAATTATATGGAATATGGTCAAAAACGGCCAATTTTGGCCCGAAACACCAAATATTCACCGTATGCCGAATGGCCAAATCCGTATGGTGCAACTATGCTTACAGGCAAAAACACCGAGCGCTCTTCAGTGCTTAGATGCAAGCGATAAGTGAATATTCAGTACACCAAGAATCAGGGTCTTGCATTATTCACAGTACAAAAATCCACCAAATTTGCACACCAATAATAAGAGTCTTTACAAAATTATCAGCATATAAGTCCTGACCAAGGCATGCAGTTGGCTCTTTCACCCTGACACCTGAACTCTCATACACTTCACATCATGGATCCTGCCAGAAGGTGCCCTTGAAGCTACAACGGCAAGGGACTCTAAAGAAACACGATTTTGAGGCATAGCAATCCTGCCAGAGGCAAGGTGCATCTGCAGACAAGGTACACCGTAACAAATTTTCTGATGGAAAGTGGAGTTTATTATTATTGTTATTATTATTATTATTATTATTATTATTATTATTATTATTATTATTATTATTATTATTATTATTATTATTCTAATTATTATTATTATTATTAAATTTATTATTAAGAAGAAGAAATTTTCCTGCCAAAAGGGAAAGTACGTCCTGCAGACATGCTGCAGAAAGGGGAAATTAAGGGGGAAAGATAAGACCTGGATCTCGCCGGGCCCGCGCACGGCGGTGTGGGGCGGCAGATTTGCGCGGCAGAGGTGCAGGTCAAAGTGGAAGGCGGGAAACGCGTAGGCCTGGTCGATGTTTCCTTTCAGCTGGTACAGGTCGACGAAGCTGCCGCTCAGCTGCGCGCCGCCCAGCAGGTACGCCTGCGCAGAACAGCAGGAGTGACTAAGCTTGCAAAAGTGATGACTAATTTTGTCATTTAGCAACACAAGTAATCACCCTGACAGGTGCGCCTGCACAGACATGCTTATCAAGTTGACATGGCCTTTACTAACTAGTTTCTAGGCTAAATATCATATGCAGCATTGTGACGTTGCTCCAAGCAGGCGACACGATAGTTTGCCAAATGCTGGGTGCATACTGATGTTGCCAACGTTCACATAATCAGCCAGACAGCTGATTCCGGGATTCGCAAGGCAGTTCTGAAGAGATAGTCTGAAAGCTGGCATCAGGAATGCAACTGTTCATAAGAGGAGTCAGGATAGCCACGATGCGGACTTTCCCACAAGCAACCCTCACCAGGATGCATCATAATATCCTTGACAATCGCACATCGCAGTGCTGACTTGGAGCCACAAGCAAGATTTGTTTGACACGCGGAACCAAGCTGAGGAAGCCAGGTCAGCATGCAATGTGCAGACATGGTGACACACTCACACTCCCACTCGGAATATGCATAAGCCTCAGCAAGCTTTAAAGCCGTACATGCAAAAGAATTATGTATATGACCGGGCGAAGGAGCAATCTTCAGGTATGGCCACTGACCTGCATCTCAAGCGCAAGGATCTTGCCGCTGTCATCAAAGCCGATGTCATATTCCACTTCGACTGCCGCGCGGCCGTTGTTCATTCGGAAGTCCTGGTTACGGTTCACGCCCAGACGCACCTGCAACACAGACATTAGACCCACGTGGCTTATATTCTAATTTGGAGGTGTTTTTTTCTTTCAGGCTGGTGGGACAAGTGTCGGAAAGCCAAAAGAGGAGCAAGCAAACGCAACCTTGATATTGCCTGCTTGAGTATTTTTCTGGCAAGGTGTGCTCTAGCATTTGCCTATTGCAGATCAACTGCGTGTTGAAGCACAGGGAGTGACACCTCTCCAGTTGGATCCTGACCAAATGCTCCAATTTCGTTGCTACATGCTCACATTGAAGCGCAAAACAAAGCATTTACTGGAACTGCTAGACTGGGTTCAAGATCAGACCGGGAATTTGCTCTCTGCACCTCTGAGAGCACTACTCTGAGCACACTGAAGAACTAATTCAAGAACACAAATTTTGCTTTGCTGCCCAAGCGCACAACAAGTGACTATATGCACAAGCGTTACCAGATTTGCCGCGTGATTGTCTGGATTACAATGGCATCCTTGCACGCGAGGGCGTTGCCTGACCTGGCACCTGACTTTATGAGCGGCAACAGCAGCAGCCGCAATGATGGGGCTTACTGTCGACCCCAGTCTGATACAACTTGTCTTGCGGAAACATACTCTTGCCTGGCGCCTAACCATCTAGATAAAAAGAGAGCTTGACTGCATGCAAGGACATCATTTCCCGGTCATACTCTCACCTGCCGTCTCAGCTTGTGTGCGGCCACGGCGGCGGCCGCGGCAACGGGACTAACACTCAACCCTCGTGTGACAAAGTGTTTTTTGGTTAAAATTGCCCTTGAAATGGCAATCTGATCAGAGATTACATACGAGGGGGATTTTATCCAAGAATTCTTAGACCCTCACCTGGCGTCTCAGCTTGTGCGCGGCCACGATGGCGGCCCCGGCAATGTGACTATCCCTCAACCCTCGTGTGACAAAGTTTTCCTTGGTATAAAAATTGTCCTTGAAATGGCCCACCTGGCGTCTCAGCTTGTGAGTGGCAACAGCGGCGGCCGCAGCGACCGGGCAGGCGCGGCTGAATTTGCCGCCGAACCCGCCTCCGGCGCGGCGGCAGGCGACGTTTACGCGGTTGTGGGGAAGGCCGAGCGCCTGCGCGACCGCCCACTGCACGTGGTCCGTGCTCTGCGTCGCCGCCTGCACCTGCCGGGAGCATGCGCACACGTGTGTCAACTTGCATGCGCGCGCACTTGTTGAGGGCCATGACGACATGTGGTGCTGGACTGTCACACCGCACGCACTACTGCTTCGGAGGATACGCTCAAAGGAATGGTCCTCAACCCACAGCGGTGTCTTGTCAGAGCACCAGGCCGGCAATGCATGCGTATATCTCCAGCATGCATGGTTTTTGAGATGGCACTGCAATCAACAAAGACCGCCGCAGGTGTCGGATATACATATACATATAATATAATTAATGCCTGGTGACACAGATGTTAACCAAGCATCTCTGCACAAAATGCCGGGGCAAGATGACATCCTGCAGACACAAGGTTTGACGCAAGAAGTGCACGGTCCAGCGTGCTTTTTCAACATGCATGTGCACAGCACTATGCATGTCCACAGCACATAAAAGGAAATGTTTGAGATTTAGAAATCTGACAGACCTGGATGACTCCACCCTCGTCCCAGCTGACGATGGCGGTCTGAGGCTCCATGTAAAAGTGCGTCTGGTTGGGGATGCGCCACCTGGACGCCACATCAGCACCCCTCAGATCTTGAACGTTTACAATTATTACTACAATTAATTTTGTTATTATTACGCGCTTTCGCTACCAAGAGGCAACGTGCATCCTGGAGAAAAGCTGCAGTCTTGATCTTGAATTGATATGGTATGGCACTCATATAAACAACGGACACAACGGGATAAGGGGAGTGCAGGGCAAAGTGCTGAGGTAGCTGCCTGCTGCACTGCAATTGTGCACAGGTTGCAGCTTGGCAATAGCAATTAGCAATTCCAGCGCTGCTTGCCTTGCAAACACTGCAAATTGTGCACAATGGCAGGGCATGGCTCTCACCCTTCGCTACCATTTGCCACACAGAGCAGTGTCGCTGCCTGAGCTCCCACGGTTGCTACTGTGTAAGTGTAATTGTGTGGAGAGCTTCAAAGTACCCAGGGCATCCACCGGGAGAAGAAGGCAGGTGGGGTGAGGCATGCAGCACACATGCCCTCCTAAACCCCTCTTCTAATCCCCTGAGGCCTATTTATTTCATGGAGCGCTTGGGTACTGCAACTGCCGTGACCCGAGTGATGTTGCGAGTCGGTGCTGCAGCGGTTTGCACAAGCCATTCAAGACCAAATGATCAGTGAATTAGGAACGGTCAGTGCTGCGAGCACACACTTGGTGGCGCGGATCGCAGGGGGGGAACATCCCAACAGCGGGCAGTACGAATTTGCACGTAGGGTAAAACCAGGTTGTGAAGTATTTTATCCGCTTATGTGAATGAGACGCACTTGGCGCTGCGGATTTCCAGGGGTGAAGTCTTGACTGGGGGCAGCGCTTCAGGCACTAATTCATTCCTTGACATGTGTGGATTGCACATCCCATGCACACCCCCTTAAAGGCATATCATTGGAGGAAAGCCATTGCGGGGTGCAATATACAGCCTAGAAAGTATGGAACAGAACTCACTTGGCACCGCGAATTTGCAGGGGAGATGACTCGACGGCGGGCAGGGCGCTGTGCTGCCCGTCGGGCAGGTTGCTGTTGGGCCCGGCGACAGGTAGCGAGTCATGGAACGCCCCTTCACGGCGCGCATCCTCAATAGTCACCACTGGGGGGCCCAGCTCGCAGCTGTAGTCCACCTGTCACCAAAATAATCAACATCAAAAGCGTTCTCACAGGCCTCAGCCAGGATTTCAAAGTTTTGCGCGCGTTGCTAGGAATGCAAGGAAGACAATGTGGGCAGAAGCCCTGGTTGCAATTCAGAAGCCTTCAAAAACTTTTCCTTCCTGCTGTTAGAGCGAAGTACAGACCAATCTCTGTTAATTGACACAAGACTCATTGCAATCCAATGGGCTTCTGGTGCTCTCTGGGCAAGAGTGCAGGTATGGGAAATGCATCGCGCCGGACTGACAGCATGGGGTTGCCAGTCAAGCTGCGAAACATGTCCACATCGGCATTCTCAGCCTTTCTCAACCTCCACATGGATCCGCCTAGAATGGGCATCTTAATGACTAGAAGACTTCATGCATTCCATGTGGAGCCTGTGTTGCTACCCTAGCAAGAGAGCAGCCATGCGAGGCCTTGGACTGGCACCACTGGTTTGCCAATCCAACCATCTTGCCCCGCATCCGCAGTCTCAGCTGCACTTGACATTCGTGTTCAAAGAAGCTTCAAATGACACATGCAGTTCCACGTTGCCCACTCACCCCCAGTTCCCCTTGAATCTTTTGCAGTCCCTCCGGACCCTTCCCAGTGGGCAGCATTACAAAGGCACCTCTACGTGTTGCCGAGGCTCAAGGGTCATACATGGAGTAGTCTGACTCACCTTCACAAGTGCTGCTGCGCGCTCGGCCACTGCCCTGCTCTCTGCCACTACCAGCCCAATCGGCTGGCCCACCCACTCCACCTGCCCAAGAGTACACCCAAATCACTCTCAACGTATGCTGTTTCTCGAGATGTTTACCTTACCCGAGAGTCCTACCGCTAATGATGCAGCTTGCATAGACACCCCTGGAGCATATCACCTCAGACTGACGCACAAGTGGGCTGTGCAGAAACGCCTAGGAGGACTTCAGCCTTGCAGTTTCTGCAATCTGATTATGATTCACATCCAAGTTGAAAGCCCTTTCCCGGACATTCTCAGCACAGCACACTTTGCATGTTAAGCGATTTTGAAAACTTCAGTATCTCAAGGCAGCAGCACAACACCTCGTCTGGTGGACCAAAGCTACATCTGCTTACCCACACTTCTAACAAAACAAAGCTGATGCTTCAGAGCCTGCCCCACAGGATCAAAACTCCAAACCAAGGTTTGACCAAGCTCTTCTCACCTTGTCTGTGGCGAACAATAACTCCGCGTCCCCTGTGGCCGCCTTATTGACCCCTGGCACATCCTCCGCGCCAATGTAGGCAACCACACCAGGCAGCGCCAAAGCCGCCGACGCGTCAACTCCCTTAACCACCGCCAGCGCTTCTGTGGAACCCACGAATGCTGCAAACAGACTCTCCCTCTGCTCTGGCATGTCCCCTGTGTACTTAGCCTCCCCGCTCGCCTGCAGGGGGCAACAGAGACGGCTGAGAAGGATTCAAATTTGTGTTCAATATCTAAGTTTGTTCATCAGCTGGCTGCTAATGTGATTCACCATATCCAGCATCCTCTGCTGTGTGAGGTTTGAGGACCAAAGCATACGCAATAGATGAGCCGGATGAAAGGAAGTACACTAGCAGGTGCCCACCACGCACACATTGGCACATGCATGGACATTTTATTTCATTTCATTCTATTTCATTTCATTTCGTTTTGTTTCGTTCTGTTCTGTTCTGTTTTGTTTTGTTTTGTTTTGTTTTGTTTTGTTTTGTTTTGTTTTGTTTTGTTTTGTTTTGTTTTGTTTTGTTTTGTTTTGTTTTGTTTTGTTTTGTTTTGTTTTGTTTTGTTTTGTTTTGTTTTGTTTTGTTTTGTTCTGTTCCAAGCACTGGCATGCGCGACGCCCATCGCTTCGATCTTTTGGGCAGGAAAGTAAGTGCGCTTTTGAAAAGGAAGCAGCTTTGGATTATTTCCAAGCCTCCCTTCAAAAGCCAATGACCCAACCGGAAGAGCACCAAAGATTATCGTGCAAAACAAGACACGGCCAGATCTCTACAGCATATGGTCCCTTCTTGCAAGGCAGACCTTCTGTAAAGGAAATATGAGATATGAAGGCTGCCCTCAGTATTCATATCTGGAAGATTGCCATGCAAAGAGTGTCCATATGCAGTGGATCACAGCACAGGGAACAAGAAAGGCACCCATGCTTATTGCCCCCGATACTCTTCCGCATGTGCAATTTTGTAACCACAGCATGCATACCACACAAGCCAGCATCACACTTCTCACCATCGCCCATTAAAAAATCCACTAAAAAGCACACGAACATTCAAACGGAATTATAGAAAAAGGGAAACAACACACCTGCAGCAGCGCGCGCTCCTTCATGAGCGGCAGCCCGGCGGCCGATCCCGGGCGCGAAAAGTCCGGCAGAAACTGGCGCCCGGCCGATACCGGTATGTCGTGAAGGGATGGCGTCTCCAGAATGTACTCTGGCAGAGGCTTGCCCGCCGCCAGACCCACCTGCATCGATCACAAACATACGCACGCATCAACGCGGTTCGCTGTATAAATTGAAAGCATGGTGCTGCAGTTTTTGCTCCTGGCACCAACTGTGGGGGCGCTGCCTGTTGCCACGGGTAAGGCCACAAGAGACCTGAGCAACATTGCTTGATACTGGTCACGAAACACATGCGCATCACCCCATCGAGGACTTTGTGTATTTCATTCTTAGCGAGGAGGACAAGACAAACAACATTAGTCTAGACTACTGGTTCAAGTGCATTGACCTGAACTGGGTTTTGCCGCAAGTGAGGGCCAGATGAGACATAGTTGCTGTCTAACACCGATTAATACCCGTGAAGCACGCTAGAATGGCACCAAGACCAGAAAGGTACGGGCACGTGGCGAGTTGCTCACGGAAGCTGCTCCTGCTTGTCTTCAGCAATGAGAGCCTCGATCTTGAGGTCCGCACCCATGAGAGGCACTCTCAAAAGACCACCAATCTACAGCACCAACGTGCTTCAGCAGATAATTTACTTATCACATGACTGCATGGCGGGGGGCGGAACAAATGTTGACCACCCTGCCCACTATTGATTGGGTCTTGCTTGAATCTGACAGGTCCAAGAAGGGGTAGGATTGCGGCAGCCTTGAACTGCAGCTTTTTTGCAGGACGCACCTTGCCTCTTGGAGGGGAAAGCGTGTAATAATAACAATAAAAATACGCTTCCGAGCGCACCGGCTTGAGAGTGGATTCGGACGCCTCAAACTGCTCGTTCTTGAGAGCGCTACCAGCACCCGCACTCCCAATTGATGTGCTACAAGACCATCACATGAACGTGGTTTGCCTAAAGAACCGCTGACTCGTGGAGGGGTCCCATGCGTACCGGCTTGAGAGTAGCCACAAGCGCCTCAAGCAGCACGCATGTGACAAATATCTACTCATAATGTAGAGTGCATGCATGCGCACCGGCTTGAGAGTGGACACGAGCGCCTCGAACAGCAGCCCTTCAGCGGTGCTGAGCAGGAACGCTGCGTCACGGACGTCCCCCGGCGCCACGTCATCGTGCACCGCTCTGAGCGCTGCCGCAATCGTTGCAATGCTGACGGCTGCGCCGGTGAGAATGCGCTCGATTGCCGGAGAGCGGCCCACGCGCCATCTGGGGGCGTTCCCTCCTGCATGCATGCACCACTCCACTCAGGAATGAACCTGCACGAGTCAAGCCAGTAAGAATATTGGACTCAGAAAAATTGGCAAGGCTCAACCGCAGCTATTTGTGCGCGGCTTGCAAATACTGTGGCACCATAGAGCCATACAATCCTGCAGGGCGACAAGATATGTCCACGGGATTACTATAGACTGACTCGAAGTCCGCAAATTTGAAGTCCTGGCAGCTTGACTTGTGCAGCTATGACAGCACCAGCCTGTCGGCAGGCCTGTGTTTCAACGACCCTGAACTACTAGCCGCTTGTGCTCTGTGCCTTGAGACGGGAGTGCACCTCTTGGCCATCCATGATGCACAATGCATTCTTTGGCCCTTGGAGAAGCCTACTCAGGCATCAGACAGAAGCTCTTCCAGGGGTGTGATCCTTAAAAGACGAGTCTTTTTGCTGCCTCAATACGCATCCCCAACAAGGAGACAAAGGAGGAAATATTATGTCATCAATCACTCACGTGCCCCACACACGTGGCTGCAGACGCCCTGCGTGTATGCCCTAGGCCTTTGGCTTTGGGTTCGCCGACCTGTAATAATAATAATAATAATAATAATAATAATAATAATAACAATAATGATACTCACCCTTCTCAAGTGCCGGGTAGCCAAACACGACGCGCGCTGAGCGGACGGTGGCTGACGTGGCGGTGGTCGGATCTGCAGAGGTGTTGCCTGCGTCGATCGCCAGCTGTACGGCGACGTTGACGAATGCATGCGCGTTCCAGTGACGCTGCGCCACCTGTCAATTCCACCATGCTCTAATCATGCATAAATAGTGTCACTAGCATATTTAAATTATTATTACGCGCTTTTCCTGCCAAGAGGCAAGGTGTGTCCTGCAGACAAGCTGCAGTACAACGCTGCCACAATATTGGATTAATCCTAACCCTTGTTGGACTCGCCAGATTTACGCAAGACCCAATCAACCGTGGGCACGGTGCTCGATAATTGTACCGCCCCCCGCCAGCTGGGGGCCATACAGCATAGCACCCTTAAATGCAGCCAAGACTGCTACGATTCAGGAAGCCAGCTCATAACATGATTTGCACACCCGCAACACCAAGCCAAGAAGAATGCAACACCGACAAGGCAGCAGGCGCCAAAAAGGGAAACAGGGCTGTAAATACCCGCAAGTAACTTTACCCACCTGCGATCACCCGCAAATTCATATACAAAAGAAGCGCTAAGCCTTTATGGGATATTATGTACCTATCCTTATAGAAGCCCTGTCATGCGCTGCGTTTTCTCAGACACTAATGCATGCATACAAAGGGCCGACAAATCTTGTTGCAACTCCATGAAATGCATGGGGAATGGGAGACAGCCTGAAGGTTGTAGTCAGCAAGGCGTTGCAAGAACTATGTATATACATACAACAGCAAATCCTGCAGGATCGTGCCCTGCAAGCTCAATGTCCCACAATCCATGTATACCACAACTAACATCTTGTCAAGCCCCTCTCAAATGCTGGAATAGGTGAGTGCCATCCCACAAAAAGGACCTTGCAGTCACTTATGTCTGACACTCCAGCAACAGGGCCAATGCAGGGTTGCTACTGGCACATGAATTCGAGGAAGAGCATGACGATTCCCCCGCTGCAGAGCAAAGACCTGGTACCTGACAAATCTGCCCAGAGTGTCTAAAAAGATCAGAATCTGCCAGAATGGCGGATGCAGATTCAGGAGATACTTATAATCTACAGGGTATCATTCTCATTGTTCCCCTGAGGGCACACCTTGTAGGACCAGAAGACGTCCCCCGGCCTGACAGGGGGGAACCTGACAGCGACCACCACCTCAGGCCCCCCAAAATCCCCCGCCGCCAGAAAGTCCTTCACGGGTCGCCACCTGGCAGAGCCACCCGGCTTCATTGTCTGCACCTGCAGAGCACAAACACCTGGTGAGCACAGCCTGGGCAGGACAACGAATTTCAATGATATGCACATGTCCTTGCTGGTGCGATCTGTGAACTAGCTTCCTACCCAGTGCCTCTGTTATAGGAAAGCAGGCAAAGGTAATCACTTCAAAGTTTCTGTCCAAGCCGAGCAAAGCATGCTGCCTTTCTCAGGAGCACCTCTTCCACAGCCAGAGATCTGCATTCTTCTGGAGATAGTGTCACTAAGGGGGTGTCGGGCGCACCTCTGCGCCGGCTGCCATTAGGAGTGTTGCCAGATCAGACTCGAGGCCGCGGTCGCGCGTCAGCACCAGGTTGCCGCCTACCGTTGCCGCCGCACGCACCTGAAGCAGGCAGCACGAGAAAATATCTCACTGAATCAGTGACACGAAGTAGTCGATAGTCACTGCTGACACACTCTCAGCTTTTGTGGAGACATGTCGCTGTATTCTGTTATAAGGTTGCTATCAATTCATGGATCAACCAGCTCAAACCAATCGACCACAGATGGGAGCAACCCACAAAATACTGAAGCGAGTTGCAGCAGCAGAGCTTTCCCAATGACGGCCTGCCACTTTGCGTTGTGCGGCAAATTTACAAACAAGAGTAGGAGAGTTTTGCAGAGGTCATGCCTGGTTGCCGGCGATCCGCTGCAGGTGTTTCGCCAGGGGCACCCACACAGGCGCAGGGTCACAGCTCGGCTTTGCTGCAGAGCTGCTGTCTTGCATGCCCAGCAGCCATCTCACTGCGCTGGCCACAGAGCCGCTGCCGCTGCTGCTGCAGGGCAGCGGCCGCTCCGGCTGCCCGTTCCGGCAGCTGGGCAGCTGTGGCTGCCCGTTTGGGCAGCTGCCGGGCGCCCGCCGGGCAGCTGCGCCCCGGCTGCTATCTGCGCCGCTCCTCCGGCCTGATTTGGCGCTGCTGCTGCTGCTGCTGCTGCTGCTGCTGCTGCTGCTGCTATCCAGAAGGCAGTCGATCAGCTCCTCTTGTGTGATGGCTGCTCCGACCAGCAGTCCGCCATCCTGCATGCCAAAACAGCAAGGGGCTCAAACATAGGAACCCAACAGGTGACAAATGGCTCCAAATGAGCACCTAACAAGATCTGCGGGACACGCATGTGCGCGGTGCAAGTCTAGTCCAACAACTACAGAATTCTCAAACGTGGGATTCTTGTATTACTTCATATTAAACAATCCAGTCAGTTTGGAACCAGAGTCGCGGCGGGTTGCCTTGCTGAGTGTCCGCGACAGAATGCCAATGCACCTTGGTGGCCCCAGCCGCACACCAGCTGTCGACGAGGTCAGCAAATGCCTCCCAAATTATGAAATTCTGTGTGACACACCGCAACCCCCAAAGAAAGATGCTTTGCTCACCTGGGTCGTCTCAAGAACGCGCAGCTCTGCAACCTTAGTCACATCGATTATGGTCCCCTCATGCCCGCTCGGCCAGTCCTTGTACACCCCTGCGCCGGTGTTTCCGGCCACAATTCTAATCGACAGCGGCCGTCCTGAGCGTTCCCTGCCGCCGTGCCTGTTTTGGCCGAGAGCCTCCAGCAGCTGCCCGAGACTCCTTGGGGCTGCCCAGGCCTGCCCACTGCCCGTCACATGCACCGCATCGCCGCAGGCCGCCTGCACATTGGAACAATTATTTTGGTGTGAGGACTGTTGCTTGCTACCCTAAAAAAATAATGACCGATGCACTACTCAGCACTTCAAGAACAGGCACATGTCGGAAATGCTTTGACTTCTTATCACACAGAGAGGAGCCTGTGCAAATATCAAAATATCGACCTGCTAGTCATTCAGAATGTCCAACAACCAGCAGGTGGGGTGTTTGAGGCGCCCTGTGACAGGAATGCATTTTGCGCATGCATCATATGAACGCTCCCTGTGGCCTGCCAATGCATCAATCGCATGCATGCAAGCAATATTACGAGAACTGAGAGCGCTCTGCAGAACCCAAGACAAACGGTGTATTAGTATTATTAGAATTGTAATTAGAATAATTCTTTTTATTATCACTATTGTTACACGCTTATTCCAGCCCTTAGGGCTAGGTGCGCTGCAGCAACCTCTCACTGAATTCCTCTCCAGCCTTCTCTGTCTGTCTGTGTCTAAACATTATGTTAAGGATGAAATGGAGGCATCAGGAGGCGAGGCACACCTTGAGCTTGACATGGTCCTTGAGCCAGGCTGGCATGGTGATGTCATCGGGCAGATCTGTGGGCGCATCTGGGCCATGTGACATGGCGGCGGCATCCCTCACCCCCAGATCCTCCATATCAACTCCCTTAGCAAAGCTCTGCACGCAGGGAACATGACGCATCATGACAATCGGGTTCAGCCGCTGTGTACACATGCGTTGCCAGAATAAAGCATTGACAAGAGAAGCTGCTTGCGTCACAGCAACCAAGTGCCGCCCTGCAGCTCTCATAGGGCTTGGCCATGTCTCCATGTACGTAATATGAACACTGAAGATACAGCCAATTCCTACGATGAGCCCAGGGTCGCAAGTTGGTGGCAATGATACAAGATCCGCTCGCAGCCAGTCTTGCTTCATTTGGCTTGGACAGCTGGCATGGTGCCCCATGAAGTCCTGCCAAATCCATCAACTTCCCAACCGAGTACCAAGGCAATTCATTGTCCACCGTGTGAGATAGCTCCTCGACCTCACTCTCAATGGTACTGCTTTACAGTCCTCTCCACGTCGCTATACACAACACACACTGGATGCTGCAAAGGCGTAGAACCCTGCGCAAACCCGTGCTCCATAGTCTCACCTCAGAAGATAGGAGTCATTGCAATGAAGTGGTCACTTGTCTATATTCCTCCTAATGCCCTGTCTTCAAGAAGATGGTATGGTATCCGTTTTGGGGAGTCAACGGCTTTTTTCTCAGGTAGCAGCCAGCGCGATAAATACTCCTTTTTATAATACTCCAAATGCCACATGCTTTCAAAGCGGCAGAGAACTAAAATGATGCGGTACACTACCAATACCAGGGGTGTTTCCGGCTTGATTTGATCATCATCATTCCGCCTGTGAATGTAGATTTTTTGGCTTGGACTAGCCCAATCTGGCCCCAATCTGCACGCCCACACAAGCCCTATCATTCATAGTGGTATCTGAGTAGTGATTCACCTTGCATGCGTCCAAGATTGGCCGATACCCGGTGCAGCGGCAGAGATTGCCGTCCACACTCTTCTCCATTGTAGCAGCGTCCGGCTGGCAGTCGTCGCTCAGGTGAGCCTTAGTCAGCGCCGCGTGGCAGGCCACCGCCATGCCAGGTGTGCAAAAGCCGCACTGCGAGCCATGGAACGCCGCGATACGCTCTGCGCGCAGTGCACGCCAAGATTGGTTGCCCCCTTTCGATGTCGACTCAACATAAAGTGCATTCACCAAGGCTGATTCCCTTTTTTCAACTCAAGGATGTTGCTCTCGTGGTGCTTGTTGCAGTATGTGTCGGAGTGCAGTCCAACAAACAGAAGTCAAAGGGTGCCCCTCTTATTCACGACAGGACTTCACATCCTGATCTGAGCAATCCCAAGATGCAAGGTCTCTAGACCGCATCTGCGAAGGCGCTTATCGATTTTGCCACAAGATCGCAAGTACAACAAACATACTGCATCAGCGAAGGCATCACACTACCGAGTCTTTGAGGAGACTTTGATTGGATATAGAGGTAGGTTCTGCGCTTGTCCAAGGGTGTAGCAAATAAACATGCCTTGCACCGGGTTGAAGCCCTTGACGCAGTCGCCCAGTCCTTCAACTGTGACCACAGAGCTGCAGTCCAGGGAAGCCACTGGCGCTAGGCAGGCATTGATGCACTTGACGCTCACCTTTCCTGCATGAACAAATCCGCTGCTTGTCAAGGCCGGCAAAATTCAAAGCCGAAGGCAATACATGCAGCACATCAGCAGCAACATCTGCCGCGCGCTTTTGAAGTCTTCTCCGAGCTCTGAACTGCACCGCTACACTTGAGGGCACAGTTATACTTGTCTTGCTGCTGATGTCAACAGGAGAGCTTGACATAGCAGCCACCAAGACAGAAGCATTCAAATCGCATTGGGTACAGCACGATGCATGCACGCAAGATGTACACCTCAGAAGCCAGCCACAAGCTGAAGGGTGATAACTGTGGATGACAGTACAATATGCAAGGTACATGCGGAAGAAGGAGATCGCAAGGGCACCTGAGGCGGAATAAAGGCGATACACCTCCACAGAACACGATCCGCAGCCTCCCTCGCCACAGGCGCTCTTGGTGCCCTGAAACAAGCAGCCAGGCTTTCCTTGGCAGCAATGTAAGAGCGACAGATGCAGGTTAGATGGCCCGCAAGATTCCGAAACGTTCTGATTCCTTGCTGTGTCGTTCTTAAGCTCCGAGCAAGACGGGATGATGTCAAAGACACAAACGGTCGTCCTACCGATGCCGACTACTCAGTGTACGATATCACTTATATTGCGAATCAGACGCAAAGAACTGTCAGATGTACGAATCAGACATATACTGTACCGTGTAAGGCGTGCAGCTGCGGAGATAGTCGAACAACGTTGCAGAAGGCAGCTGGTCTCGGTCCAAGGCATGCTTCTGGCCATTGATGGCAAAGACAATGTCTTGGTCAGGATATTTGGTGAAGATCGCACTGGCTACCATGACTAAATCTTGTATCACAACAAATTCTCGACAAGGGCGTGGGTGTGCGTGTTGCGGTAGCTCCTGTGCGGCATGCCCTGAAGGCTTCGCTGAATACTTTGCGTCTAGCGTTGCCAGTTCCACAGCTTCATTAAGAGCTCTGGCTCTTGTGCAGATTGAAGCAATTCTTATTGAATCTATTGTGAACAATGCGATCAAGAATTTGTCCCAAATGACTGCATTACCAATGGTATCGTGGCGGAACAATGCCATTGTGTTCGAATTTGTCACTCGACAGCTTGAAGTTTGTCCGACTTCCCATGCTTTAGAAGCGTTTCGAAACGCTAGACTAGAGCATATCACTTGTGGATGAGGCGATAATTACATCATATGCATGGAAATGTGGATCCGTTGTTTGCACAACTGATGTCACTGCGGCTAGGCCTAGGCCTCCGGGCCTTGAAGGTGAGTCAAGTTGAGTCAAGAAGTCTTTGGACTCAGAGTGCCAAGATGGTCCACTATGGTATTTTGCGCGGCTATTAACTGCTGCTGCCAAGCCTGCTGCCCAAGAACAAGCATGGCAAAATTGCCGAAAGCAATCTTGTGACTTGGCAAAGTCCTCGAGGTCCAATGCGGCACATGGGCTCCACGTGCTCAATGTAGGCTGAATGGTAGCCTAGAGATCAATCTTCTGCTGGGCTCAGACAAGGAAGACTGATGCCGCATTGTCCCGATCGTGCTTCCATAAACTAAGACGGTACCCTACGAACTGACGTCAACAATGTTGCTGTATAAAGAACTTTCAGCATTGAGCCTATGGACGTTGACGTCAAAAGGACACTCCGCTGCCCCCTTCCCGCAAAGGCTCGGTGCGATCTTGATTACTGCAGGATATTAAATTGCAGAGATGACATGCACCATCTTCCGTATGAAGAAATTGTTCGTATGGGTTTGCGGGGCAGGGACCCAACCTATCTTCTGTCTCAGATCAAGCACATGCAGCAGCAGGGGCCCTGTCCGTAATCAAGGTATGATATGCCAGCAGAAGTAAAACTATATTCCGTGTAATCCTCTTCACAAAGGAATTTCTGTCAGAACCAGGACAAGTCGCCTGAAAGTTTTAACCTCTTTCTTTCTGTGATGCAGGCGCATCAGCAGTTTCAGAGAGCGTTCAACGGCCAAAGAAGCTATCACTTGCAGAATCTCACCCGGAGCTTGCCCACAAGTGGCACCCCACCAAGAGCGGCAACAGAAGGCCCGAAGACTTCACTGCTGGAAGCAATGTCAAAAACTGGTGGCTGTGCTTGGAGAACTGCTCATCGTGCGGCAGTGTGCATGAATGGCAGGCCGTGATCAAAGATTGCACAAAGGCAGGCAACCCAACAGGCTGCCCCTTCTGCTCAGGTCGCCGCGTCTGCGTCTGCAGCTCTTTGGCAGCTAAGCGGCCTGACCTGATGGCACAATGGGACTATGCAAGCAATGAGGGCCGGGATCCCAAGCAGATCGGCATATTTTCCCATGAAAGGGTGTCCTGGATGTGCCCCGAGCATGGCACATGGCTAGCCATTGTGCGAGACAGGAGTGCTGGCAGTGGCTGTCCAGACTGCGCACAACTAAACAATCCAAGAAATGCTGTAAAGCGGGGCCTGCTCAAGGTTGAGCACCCAGAGCTGGTCGCGCAGCTGCACCCCACAAAGAATGAGCACCTTGACCTTGACAAGGTCACCAGCGGCAGTAAGAGGAAGGCGGTGTGGGTGTGCCATGAACGCAAGAATGCCCCTCCTAGATGCACCCATGCCCATGAGTGGCTTGCTGAGATTGCTAGCCGCACTAGCCTGGGACGTGGTTGCCCTTTCTGCTCTGGTTTAAAGGTCTGCCCGTGCAACTCTTTGGCTGTGAAGGCGCCGGAGGTTGCCGCGCAGTGGCACCCCACTCGCAATGGTGACAAGCGGCCTCATGATGTTGGCGCTTACAGCAATTTGATTGTGTTGTGGCAGCATGTCAGTGAGCTGACGGGTGAAGTGCATGAGTGGAAAGCAAGACTTGATGGTCGTGTGCTTACCTGGGAGGCTGAGGGACGCTTGAGCTGCCGTCAGTGCAGAAGGGAGGAGCTGCCGGAGCTTATCAAGAGATAGTCCTCAGTCTCACCAATCATTGCACAACTCGCAACGCAGCCCTGTCTCCCAGCGTGTCGCTTGCAGTCACCTCTAGGTCTATCTTTCTCCCTTACCGCGATTTACCGAGGGCGGACTTTGCGCCAGTGAATTTCAAAGAGCCCAAGCGGTTTCTTATGCGGCATGTTCAGCAGTAAATTTGTGGACTGAACTACGGAGCGCAATTAGACGCTACTGGTGTCAGCCCTGGCCAGTTCCATGGTTCATGCTGCACATTTGGATGTGCGCCATTAGTGCAAGAGGACTCTCATCAGCTCATGCATAATGTCTTGATCTCTACGATGACTTGTGGCGTGCTAGTGAGACACTGGCACGCAGCACGTGCTATCCTATGCCAGCGATGAGCGTTACTGCTTACCTTGTGAATAGCGTGTGATTGGGGACGAGAGCCACCTAGTCTTGGAGCGCTGTGCAGTCTGATAGAAACACCCTGCAGACCCTGAGAATTTATTTGAGACCATGCAGCACTTCATGGAGTGCCAGAAATTTGACATTGCCTATTTTGCATATTTTTCATAGCTAGCTAGCTAGTGATAGTCTATAGATTCTGATAGTTGGGGGATAGTTATTTTGATCTCGTTCTTGCTTCCCTCCTAGCTAGGAAGGAAGAGCCATTAGCTATAGCTAGTGGCCTTCCTGTGTAATCAAGAGTTCATTTACAGTCTAATTACAGTGCAGGTGTCTGAAGGAAACCTTTGGAAAAAGCTTGCGCAGACTCGCAATTGCATGCATGCCATGCGCCGATTGACAACTTTTGAGAGCATTTGCAAGGACTCCGGAGGACTCAGAATCCCGCGCGATGATTGAGTCGACTTGAAATCTATGCAATGCCTCAGCTGCAGCAGAAGCAGTAACACTATCACGGCATCTGCTACATGAATTACTACAATTTAAGACCTGCCAGACCGTATGACAAGCAGTGTATCGGGGGATAGCAGAGCTCTCTGCACAAAGGTCACATGCATGCATATGCACCACATGGGCTCCACGTGCTCATTCTTCGTGACACAATCCAATTGTGCTCGCATACTCCCGATCATGCTTCCGCACACATTTTCTTCGAAGAATTCCAAAGTTTGGAGACAACAAAATGCTGCTCATTAAGAAATTTTTAGGATTGAGCTCAAGGACATTGACAGAACTTCCCGCTGCTTCCTTCCCACGACACCTCGGTGCGATATTCTTAAGTGGTATATCCTGCAAATTATGATTGGAATACTGGGAACAATTGTTCTGGACTGATGTTTGCGTGGGTTCTGCAGGCCAAGCAGCTGGTAGATCCTGCTGTCTCAGATCAGGCAGATGCAGCACAACCCTCATTAGCAAGAATGGTATGATTGTGTCGGCACGGAAGACATTAATATGACTGCATGGGATTTATCCGTACTGTTGTGTACCTGTGAAAGCGGCAAGACGGATGGCCTGGGGCTCATTCTCTTTCTTGTTGTGGTGCAGCCGCATTAGCAGTGTCACAGAGCATTTCACGGCCTCAAAAGCATTCACTTGCAGAGACTCACCCAGAGCTCGCCCGCCAGTGGCACCCCGCCAAGAATGGCGAAAGGAGGCCAGAAGACTTCACTTCTGGGTCCGCCGCCAAAGCTGTGTGGCTGTGCCCAGAGGCCTGCTCATCATGCGGCACTGTGCATGAATGGGAAGCAACGCCAAATAGTCGCACAAGGGCAGGCAACCCAACAGGCTGCCCCTTCTGCTCTGGGCGAAGCATCTGCAGATGCAGCTCGTTGGCAGCCACACAGCCTGACTTGATGGCGCAATGGGACTACGCAGGCAATGAAGGCTTGGATCCTGAGCAGATTGGCGTCAGCTCCCATAGGAAGGTGTCCTGGGTGTGCTCCCTTCATGGTGCATGGCTAGCCACTGTGTCAGACAGGAGTGCTGGCAGTGGCTGTCCAGACTGCGCACAACTAAACAATCCAAGAAATGCTGCAAAGCGGGGCCTGCTCAAGGATGAGCACCCAGAGTTGGTCGCGCAGCTGCACCCCACAAAGAATGAGCACCTTGATCTTGTCAAGGTCACCAGCGGCAGTAAGAGAAAGGCGGTGTGGGTGTGCCATGAACGCAAGAACGCCCCTCCTGGGTGCACCCATGCCCATGAGTGGAGTGCAAGAATTGCACATCGCACAAGCCTGGGACGTGGTTGCCCCTTCTGCTCTGGGCTTTCAGTGTGCCCATGCAATTCTTTGGCTGTGAAGGCGCCGGAGGTTGCCGCGCAGTGGCACCCCACGCGCAACGGTGACAAGCGACCTGATCAGGTTGCCGCCTTTAGTAATCTCGTGATGTGGTGGCAGCATGTCAGTGAGCTCGGGGGTGAATTGCACGAGTGGAAAGCAACAGTAAACCATCGCGTGGCGTGCTGGGAGGCAGAGGGACGCCTGAGCTGCCGTCAGTGCAGAAGGGAGGAGCATCAGAAGCTGATCAAGAGGTAGTGTTGAGACCTCGCGATATAGCTTTACCTGGTGTAGAACGTTTGCAAAGTCTGATGTGTACAGATTCTGCTAAGACAAGAAGGCAGCCCATCCTTGACTGATGTGCTCGGTGTCACTCAGACGATCTTTAGCTATTTGGATCGGCACCAACCTTGTTTGCATGCATTTCTGGACCTGAGCAGTATTAAGGTTGCCATGTTCTGACGGAATGCGCAGACACTTAAGAAGTATGTGATATGTAGATGCGCAGTGACAGACTGCCTGCAACACCAATGAGCCTCAGGTGGCTCCCACAAGGTCTCGTAAATGGGTCTCGTAAATGTAATAATAATAATAAGTTGTGGTCCCTGCGCTGACAGTGTGCCATTGAGACACAAAGTATGCGCTTCTAGATCCAGCAATGCACAGTACTGACTAGTCAGCCTGAGACCGTATTTGGCAGTAGGTGGAAAACGGGCCATAGATAGTATGGAGCACTAGTAGTACTACTAGCCTGGCCTGACAAGCTGCCTATTGTTATCCACCCTGACAAGCTCCATATCCTAATGCACCCTACAGAGAAGAGAAGGCTTGTGCACATGTGTGTTGTATTCCTACTTGCACTTTTGAATGGAAAATTTTACTTGTCTTGCAGACCATGCGCAAATTTTGAGACTTGCATAGCGGCTGCACAGCTATTCACCATATGCAAAGCAACCCCCCCTGATTGACAGTGGCAGCTGCAAAGGCGGTGTACATGTAACAGCACTTATTTAACAATGTTGGATTAATCAATAATATTATCAACTTCCTGCATGTCAGGAACCATTTTGACCAGAAACAATGACTTGCATGCAATGGCGCGCTGCATCATGAGACAGCATAAAAAAGGGTGTGACCCTTATTGGTCAACTTGACGGTGTTCCCCAGCTGGCAACTGCAGTAGGCTTACTAGGGCTGATGTCTGTAGCACTTCCCAAATGGCAGTGTTCTAGATGTAGATCTAATGTGTGAGCAGCTGAATTGAAATCACCAGACAGTCAGGGGTCTGTCACCTTTACGAGCCCAACATCACCATAACACCCTCGAAGGGGATGTCAAAAGATCATCAAGTACTCTTTAATACCCCCTCCCACGTAGGACTGAATAAATAATCTTTTTCCTTCCCCTGTCACTGGTCTCCGAGGTTAATTAGTCATCAGAGCTGGGAATGCGCGGCGGCTGCGTCGATGGTACAGTAGGAAAAGTATTAATTCTCATAGAATTCTGCTGACCAGTCTTTTTAAGGGGTCAATAACCTAGGACATTAAGGGCATTAAATTTACAGCTCAGAGTGCACAGCGTTGGCGCTGCCGGCGAGCTTGGCAAGGGTCAGCGCCAGCGCTTTGATGCCCCTTTCAATGTCCCCAGGGGTCGCGAACTCGTCGGGACGGTGGCTCCAGCCGTTGCGGCAGGGGATGAAGATCATGCCGGTGGGGGCGAAGCGCGCCATGAAAAGGGAGTCGTGGTATGCTCGGCTGACCATTCGCTTGTGGCTCACTCCCAGCTCCTCTGCCGCCTCTGCGGCTGCACTAATAACCTGCAGCACCCACCAAGAAGCATGTGTCAATGCATGTCTGACTTTTAACAGCGCTACTTTGTTCTCGCTGACAGAAGATTCGTCCAAGCCCTGGACTGAGCGCGCATGTCGCAGCCACGGCAGTCTAAGACTGCACAGAAAGCTTCACATGCTTGTGCGTGTTGCACTGCAATGCATGGGAAACTGTCAGGCTCTGAAGAGCGCCCGCTCTAGATCCCCAGGCTCGAGGGCGCTCAACGCTTCGGTTTCCGGCAAGGATGGTTTGAAAGTTGAACGAGGCACGGGAGAAAGTGGAGGGGCTTTCAGAAGGACTGTGGTGTGTCAGTGAGATGGCGTAACCTGGTCGCTGCAGGTGGCAGGAGCGTCCTGGTTGATCATCTCCACTCGGTGCCTCACCTTGCGCCTGGCAGCCACCTCCTCCACTGTCTGCACACAGAACATGGCTTGACATTTCAGATCGTCCATACATGCGCGCGCCCGCATGTAAACCGGCCTCGCTCGAGTCAAGCGAGTTTAACAAGCGGGAAGATCTGTGACAGACGTTGCATGTACCTCGTCAGCAGGCTGCACCTTGGACTCTCTGGGACGGTGACTGAGGTAATGGGGTTGGCACGTGCGATACTGTGCAAAGCCATTTGCAGGACAGAGTGCTCAACATGAGTCAACATGAGTCACGGTGGCTGAAATATTTACAACTGGATCACTGCTCTGGCGATCCAGAATCTCTCGACTCGCTTCAAACAATTCGCAAGGAGCACGCTGTGCACAGCCTGCCATGCAGGCTGTGCACCCGCTTCCCCACATCAGAGCCCTCCTGCAAGCCTGGAGGCCACAATGTCTACAAGGGAGCAGGTGCAATCCCTTTGGGCAGACTGCTGCCGTGCACCCACACTCATGGCAGAGCCCAGAGAGGTGGCCACAGGCATTCAACCCCTGGTGGAAATAAATACCCCATGCGCCCTTAAGAAACCCCTGGGGCCGTACCTTGAGGACAGATGCCACGATGGCGTCACGGCGCGCGGCGTCGATATCGCGGATGTCGATTTCCAGCTTGGCCTCGCGCGGCACGCTGTTCACGGTGTTGGGGCCGATCTCAAACAGCCCTGCCGCCAGCACAGCAAACGTGAATATCTGACATTGTAGTCGCATCTATGCAGCGAACGTCTCAATTTCCCATTGTCCGGCCCTTTCACCTACACTTCTGCATGGGTGCATGGTCTCCTGAAACATGTGAATTCGGGCGCATATCATGCAGAGAAGTGACTTGTCGCCAGGGCAAAGCTTCCTAGCAACATCCCTGCATGCTGCTATGCTCTAAGGATCTTTGCCGAGATCGGCATGCTATGGTGCAGGAATTCGCAGGGTGGGGAGTAGGAGGACCGAGTGTGGATGAGCAATAGATACCGGTGGTGCCGACGGCGTCGATGGCGCCGGTTTCCAGCACCGATGCCTCCACGGCCAGCGCCACCTCAGCAGCCGCCAGGCCCGCATCATTCCTGCACAAGGATTAAAGACCAATCGACCCTGATGGATTTGTTTCTGATCACCCTTGGGTTCATTCATCACACCATCTCTCTGGGCAGCATGTATTTCATCAGGCCAAGGGATTGCAAAGGCAAATGGACTTGAAGTCAATTGGCCGAAAAGGAGCAGTGCAATGTAAGACAATCTTCAGCCTATCAACAGTTGAGGGCCTCTTGGCAAATCACAGGGAGGCATGTCAAGCAACTTATGGTACATGCAGGCTTGCCTCTTAGCTTACTGAGCTGAGATTCAATGATATATCTCAGGCACACAAGATCACAAAATGTCCCAATATGGAGTGACCTTGTAAACCCAGCATCACCCGACTGGCACACCTGTAGCGCCATCAACCCCTGCTGTGCTAGCACTTTTCTTGTTCAACCAAGACATTCATCATGCGCACCTGTAGGGCACGAGCAGCGTGCCCGCGTGTTGTCCCTAATCTTTGACCCCCCCAATGCCTGCATCTTGCTGCTTTCTTGCTGACATCTCTTCAAAGGGATTCTAATTGTCAACTTATGGACACCCTGACCTGCGCACCTGTAGGGCATGAGCAGCGCGCCCGCGTGGCCGCCGTCTCCCGAGAAGAACACGCGCAGCGCAGCAGGAGCCGCGATGGCCGTCACGATCCCGAGCTGCGTTCCCTCCGCCTCCAGCAGCGGCCCCTGTCCACAGTTATAAAATCTCAAATTCCAGGAGAAGTTTCAGAAGAGAATGCAAACACATTGTGGACAACTCAACGCCTGATTTTGTAAAATTGCAAAGTGGTTCAATCTGCAGCAACACATCATTTGAAACACATTTTGCCTGTTGATACGCAACCTCTGGAGCCTAGGCAGGCAACTCCCGAAAGATAACCGGCGACCTAGCTTCTGCCCAAGCTGTTGACATCAAGGACGCTTTGCTCAGCACAAGCATGCAATGCGTGCAGTATCAATGCAAACAACTCCGCCCTGCCCTGAGTTTAGGCCTCAACGCCCTTGCCTTATGGGCAAGGATACAGAAGCTAGGGTCAACCTGCTCAATGTGCAGCTCCACGAATGCTTTGACTGCCCCCTCCTTGACCAGGGTGCCGTCCAGGATCTCCTGTTATCGCAAGGCGCAATTGCAATCAAATACAACTTTGCTCATCTTGAAGCAGCCAGGCCTAGTAAGTTTCAACCGCGAGTGAATTCGCTGTACTGCGTGCTGCTAAGACTGCGCTGCTCGGAACCGTCACAAACCCAGCGGTGCAGCCTCTGTTTACAAGCTGTATCTGCGCCCATGATGGGACGTATACAAACTGATCCATTCTCATGTTGCGTATTTGAATTCAAAACTGGCAGGCAGGCATTCGGAGAGTATGGTGCAAGCAGACCTGGTGGGTGCTGCCGCCGTAGCCTGCCGCAGTGCTGGCCTCCAGGAAGGACGTCCCATTCACATCCAGCTTCTCATCCAGGAGCGCCGCCGTCAGCTCCCCTGCCATGCCCCGGCTGCATAGCACATTTGGGGGTCTTCAAAATACCCTGAAGCCAGAACTTGTAGAGTGAAACTTTCTGCAGACCAGCTCTGAGGACAGGATGATTGCCATAAGTGACAGCTACTGCCGCTGATCCCTCAGGACTTCTGTAAAGGAACCTCAAGAGAGTGCTGCCGCCCCTCGTCATCTCAAACGCAGCAGGCGCAAATGCAGGTCCATCAGCAACTTCTCCCACCACAACTAAAATCTCCCATCTCTGTGGTGTCCTCCACCTGCATTTCTCTGCCAAGACAAGATCGCAACTGCGTCCATGTAGGGGCATCTCCAGAACCCCTGCCTGGAGGCACGTGAGGAGGGTGATGGAAAAACAGAGACTGCGGCCGGCGCGCACCTGCCGATGCAGCCAAGGCCGAAGCGCGTGGGCTCCTCGCTGGTGAACATGAGCACGTCGATCGGCGCGCGTGGCTGGAAGCCGGCTTTGCGCAGAGCCGCCACCGCCGCTATCGGGCCGATGACCCCCAGGGTTCCGTCGTACGCCCCCGCCAGGGGGATCGCATCGGCGTGCGACCCTGACATCACCGCGCCTGTTCAGGCACCGGCTTGCCTGGTTAGTCGCCACCTTCAGTCACCGCCCTGAGCCTCTCGAGCGCATCGTATCCACACAAGGCGTGGTTGTGCTCAGCATGCGAGTTGAACTCCGGAACTCTACACTTTTGGGACTCTCACATGGCGCTAGGAAGACTCTCAAGTTTTGATGGAGCACAGACAGGTCCGTCTGTGAATCATTTGACTGGGACGTGACGCTGACATGCCAGGCCAGATGTTGCTACAATGGGAGCAGGATGCGGCGAAACTAGAGATGTGAAATAGGCACTGTGGGCAAGTCGGGCACCTGCGTCAGGATCGCTGCCCTCCCAGCGGCCAAAGATGTTTCCCATGGGGTCCTCACGAATTGTCAGGCCAGCGGCTGTCATAAGCTCCTTCACATACCTGCAAATGACCATAGCATAGTTAGCTTCCCCGAGTATCAGTCCTTACCTCATTAAAATGTGTGCGACAAAGTGCGACATAAAATTCATAGAGAAGGACAGAGGGTTATATGTTCTGAAGATATGTCGGTCAACGGATCAGTACTAGGGCTTACCCTCGAGCAAGCAGATCATTCTCCGTGAAGACGATCCGTGTCACCGCAGGGTTTGGATCGTCGGTGAAAGTCGCCAGATGTAAAAGCTGCAATCGCGCACCACAGGGAATTTATTCATATCGCTAGGGATTGAAAACGTTTAGGTTAGGTGTGTCTGAAGGTGCGTACCTGTGAGGCAATCTCTTCCCCAGATACATCAAGGTTGATACTTTTGACAGTACGCGTCGCAATTAGCAGCACTCCAAGCAACACAGGCAGGCCTGAGCCCCCTTTCATTTGACGATCTGAGGAAGCAAAAGATCAATATTCAGCTCTTAACAAGTCTGCATGCCCCCAAGTACATCCAGTTTCATCGAAATTTTTCAGTGGGGCATAATGATCTGTGAGATCGTGCAATGTTGAGGGCTGCACGTTGAATGTACGCTTGCATGCTGATTCAAATGCAGGGTCGGTCTCCATATGGCGTTGCCTGCTCCGTGCGCAGCAGTACAGTAGTCCTTCACACCTCCTCGCTATTCACCGCTGAATTCTGCAATCAGGGTCTAGCAAAATTTGAGTTTTCTCAATGGGCAGATCGCATTACACACCGACGCCATAATGCTGGTTTGGAGTGTTGCTCGATCCTTCTGACTGGTCCTGGTATTTTCGCTCAGCCTAGTGTTTAGCCCTTTAAAAGTGCACATTTCGGCGATTACTACCACGGCAGGGGACATAGTTGTTAGCGAGGTGGACGCTTCTGCCATGCCTGCAGAAGCGTCTGTCCTGGGAGGAGGCCTGACCTTGACAGAGACGGTCAAGGGAGCAGCGTCACTGACAGCACGATTTGCGTTATACCCATCTATTCTCTATAATCTTGCAAGGAATAGGTTGCAGGACAACTGGCACTGGTGGGATAAAATTACAGAGGTAGGTCTTTCAGGGCTTCCTCATCACTACTGTCGATTGGTCAGAATCACCGCCTGTTAAAGAATCGCATAACAACGTCCACCTCAATCGTAAGTTGACAAGTGTGAACATGTCCGATTCCGTGACTAGTCACACCATGCCTAGGTTCCTCAACCAAGGTCAAAGATTATTTCCACAAGGAAGCGGTGCTCAAGGGATTCTGCATCTTATTAATAAATAGCAGTGTAGAAAATCCTGCCTGAAATCTGGCACTTAATTCTGACCACTACTCACTGTGCTTTGCTTGCTGTGCAGCACGTCATCTTGGGCGCCCTCCCCTTTGCATCCATGCTGGAAACGTTCCAGGACAAGGTGTGATGAACTACTATCGTCTCGGACAGTTTCCAAACTCACCACCGCCATGCTGTAAGAACTGCAGACTCATGGGACGATTTGGTCCATCAAGTTCCAACCTTGTGCACAGACCAATCGAACCTATTGCTGCCTGCCTCAGGGCGTTCGCGCTGTTGTCACGCTCAATGAGGACTTCGAAGTGTTTATATCCTCCGAGCAGTACAAGGTGATTACATCCTGCGTTTGCTTCCTTCGCGCATCAGTGTCCAGAGTTTATAGAGTGTAACCTGTGGGAGCATGCCTGAGCTGTTGTGTTCAGGCTTGCAAGTTCTGTGCGCAGGAAATTGGCATCAGCCACCTGCACATTCCCACGGTGGACTACCTCTACGCGCCGCCAGTGAAGGACCTGCACCGCGGAGTGCAGTTCATTGCAGGTGAGGCAGCAGCATGAAAGTGGTGGGCGTATCAGGCGGGGATGCTGGTCGAGAAATTTGTGCCTATCTTGGTCTCTTACGGGCCATCAAACATTTTAAGGACACTGGGAGCACGAGAGAATGATGTATTGTACAAGGCGGGGCAGGCAATCGTAGTGGAAGCCCAGGATTGCGTCCCACCTACCAGGGATCAGAGCGAGTTCCACCTGCAAAGCCTACGGCACTTGCAGTCCCTTGCTGCCTCAGACCCACATAGTTCTGCAATTCCGCTGTGCGCAAGCATGGGCTTTCTTTGAATGCTGTGATGCATGCGCGCAGAGCAAGCGGCGGCTGGGGAGGTGACTTACGTGCACTGCAAGGCTGGGCGTGGCCGCAGCACGACGCTGGTGATATGCTACCTGGTGCGCGAGCTGGGCATGAGCCCCCAGGAGGCCTACGCCTTCGTGCGCCAGAAACGGCCCCAGGTCTGCCTCGCCGACGGGCAATGGAACGCCGTCCGCCAGGTGCGCGGCGCCGGCCACAGAATTTATGTCATGTGTCCATGCATGTACCGGCAGGCAAAAGTCCTACACCAGGTTTCCTGGCTACAGCGCTGGTTTAAGTCTGCTGGAGAGGATCTTGGCAGACAATCACGAGTTGTACACTGGAGTGTCGTGTGCGCTGAGTAAGCTGATGCTAGCTCTTGTGCTGTCAGACTTTAGCTCTGGCCCTCTGTGTTTGCTTTTGCAACAGTGGACTTTAGTGGACCTGGATGTGCCAAATTGACATGAATTCACCTCGCAGGAATGGTGGGATCATATTTGCCATTCTGTCGAACCTGTTCGAAAAGATTACGACGAAGTGGGAGTGCATTTTGACAAATTGGTAAGAAAAGGGCTCCGAGTGCTGATGGATTTTTGGTGTGCTGGCAGTTCTACAAGAGCTGCCTGGATGCGCGGGCGCTCAATCCAGCAGCGTTCCCTCCCACGTCAGACCGGCTGGCGGTGGAATCGGACGATGATGCAGGAACGCCTCTGAACGACCTGTCACTCTCCTGCGCGCCAACACCCTCTCTCCTGGACCACTCGTCCTGTCAACCAGCCGACGATTCAGCGCAGCAAGTAACGCCCTCAGCAGCAGCAGCAGCGGGGACCGAGCAACCACAGGCAACAGTTGAGGGGGGAGCAGTTTCGGACATGGCAGCTGTGCATGACTCAGCCATGAGCAGTGCTGCAGATGCTGGAGCGCCGCAGAGGACAGGCGGTGAAAGGGAGGCTCGCAGCTGCTCGGAAGCTGCCGTGGCAGTTGCCGCCGCCACCGAGACCCGTTTACGGGGAGCCGTCGACCGCTGCTGTGGCCAGCTGGAGCCAGCAGAGGCACCGATATGTACAGGCATGTGTCGGGGAAGCACCCTTGAATATTTGGTGCTATCTTTTATGACATAACATAGTGGAGGAGGAGACTGCCAGGATTGCCACGAAGTATCCTAAGACCTTGATCTCTTCACCTCGCTGGCAGGCAGAGCTCAGTGCGCATTATTTGGGAAGCCAGGCTGTCTTTATGTCGGCGGCTGATCTGTGCGCAGGCGAGGCAGCAGAAGCCAGCTCGGTAGTGCAGAAAAGTCAAACGCTGCCAGCGCTGCAAAGCGCGCAGCATGCGAGCGCGGCGTCACTAGCGCAGTCTGAGCCAGTTCTGGTCTCAGCCTCCGATGCCGAAAGCATGCGCTCAGCCGCCACCACAACCGCCGCCCAATCGTGCTTCGCAGGTTGGTGTCTTGCTCAAAGGCCTTCTAAAGCCTTACCAATTTTTGCCTATTTGAGGGCTACTGTAGAGGTATGCTGACTGCTTCTGACAGACACAATTGGGCTCACATGGCTCTATGGCCTGCTACACAGAGTGGAATTTGCATGCGAATCCAGTCTTTACTGTGCCTGATTTTCTTTACGGCCCCTTTAAATGGCCACAAGAGGATACCATAGATGTCACTCATGAATACAGACAATGACGCAGGTCTTGCCAAATCCGGCCACGGTGCTACATCAGGCGACGCAGCCAGATTTGGCGGCGCAGAAGGCGCGTCGTCCCGGGGCGATGCCTCGGTCCGGTCTCTGAGCCACGGCTCTCTGAGCATGGTTCTATGCGAGGACTTTGGCACCGCACTGTGTGACGCGGACGACCCGGATGAGGCGTTGCCTCCGCTCGAGCAGCTGGAGGAAGCTGCCGCTGGCCTTCCCGGAAGCTGCCCGGAAGAGAGTGCCTCCAAAAGGCGGCGCAGCGCAGAGGCAACGGATCCGTCGCATGGTGAGTCGTGTCCATCACTCGGCGCTTTCAAGAAATTCTTTGCGGAATTTATGCAAGCTCAATCCAGCCTGCACTTGTAGCCTGCCCTTTGCTTGAAGACAAGGCCTCAAGCCAGGCTTGCATCAAGTGCGCAAGAGCGTGTGCAGCAGCTTGTGAAAGTCCCACGGGGTGCTTCGAGGAGTCTTTGTTCTGCTGCAAGGAATTTGCTTTCCACCTGTTTAGGGGATGCTGGGAGTGACCTTCAATCCAGCCAGGATACTTTGCAATTTTGCTGGGGACTGAGCTCGGTACTGAACTGCTGCAATTTTGGGCTGCAGGCAAGGCGGCAGAGGGGGAGCTATTGCGAGCGGACAGCGAGCTGCAGCGGATTCATGATTGGGCTTCCGTTTGCCGAGACGGCACGCTGGAGACTGTGGAGCGTTACTCTTAAGAAATACATTTGTCCTCTGCATTGCTTTCCTATCCTGCCCCTAGCCTGGCTGCCTTGCCTGGCTGCTGAGAGAGCTATGGGCTGGTCTGCATGGGTTTGAACCACAATTTGTGGGGTACATTAATTGGAGACATGCCTAATCGGTGTGTCTCCTTGGGTGCCAGCAGCATTGTTGCTAATGTATGATTTATGGATTTGCTTGAAGGATGAAAGCGTTCTTGCAAAAGTGAGGATGGGGTGTGTCTGGTGCGGTGATATGCGCATGCATGAACCCTGTTAGGTTTTGCTTTTGGTTTGTAGCCGACAGCCATTAGCAGGTGCAGGGTTGGTTTTATTCGTCTGGTCCTTGAATGGTTGCCCGTCCAAACAAGGATCTCTGAAGTGCACTTTGGGAAAATTTAGAGAAGGCAGATAGGCAATTGCTGCCAATATAATGTCAGTGCATGCTTGAGCTGGGCACTGTTTGTAGGTTTATGTTGATCTGATCAACCTGTGTGGAAGCACGATTGGGCTCAAGTCTACTGGTGTGGCCAAGGCCGGTGCTTGCACAACAGGGGCCTGTTGGCTAACGAGTAGTTGTCATCGGGAAAGTGAATATAAGAAAACATTCAATAACGTGCATCCGGTGAAGCCGACCTTCTTGGAGAAGTCTATGATTGGTAGTCAGGCCCTGAGATCGGTGATGTGCTCTTCTGATCAATCCAAAGCCTGCGCAATGCAGGACGGTTTATAGGCGTCCCACAAATCAGATTGCAAAACGTGCAGTAAAATACAAAGAAGAGAATGGTAAGGCAACCCAGTGAGCTGGGAAGGGAGGCCAACTGCATCTGTTCAGACGTGGAAATATTGTTCCAGATAGTCCAAAATCCCCATTGTTCACGTACATTGTCATAAAAATGTGAGAATGCTAGCGATTTGAGGAGACGTCGCCATGTCAAGAAAGAAAGAAGAAGAAGAGGAAGAAAGAAAGAAAGAGAGAAAGAAAGAAGGAACGCAAAACAGGAGACCCCGGGGGGGACCCCTGCCAAGTGCGTACGGGCGCAGCCGGGGGCCCGCGCAGAGGACATCACCTCATCAAAAGGGAAAGTTGAGGGCAGGCGGCATTGTCGGGTGGAGCGTCGCAGGGGTGGGGGCGACACCAGAAGTGGCGGAGGGCGGGCGGCCGGGGTCCCGGAGGGCGTAGTGGGGTGGGCTGCCCGGAAGCGCTAGAGGCGGTGATAGCAACTATAGTGATCAGGGCGGCGCTGAGGCGGGCTCGAGAAAGAAGCAGGGCGCACCGAGGGGCGAAGGGCACGTTGCGTCCGGCGCTTTGTAAGAAGACCCCTGGAAAGAGGGGAGCTCGAGGCTAGGAGGGCGGAAAGCTTGGAAATAGAGGGCTCGGAGGGTGGGGTGACGAGGTGGCGTTTGCATTGGAGGTAGAATTTGCTGTATACACGGCAGGTCGCCTGAATGGTGGAGTAGTGAAGAGAGTGGAGCAGTGCAGAGAGGGCCGGCAATGGCGAAGGTGTGCATGCCACAATGGGCAAGGACCGTGGGAATGTTGGAAGTGAGGGTGCGCACCATGCAGCATGCCAGCCATCCCGGGAGTCAAGATCATGCCAGCCATCCCTCTAGAGGTGGATATTGACAGCGCCCCAGCCATGAGCACGGAGCTGGAGGCACAAGCTTTCGTGTCGAGTGCATTAGTCAATGGCGCGTTCATGAATAAACGTTAACGAGTCACTCGTGCATGACACTTTGAGGAGGAGAATGATTGACCGAAAGAGGGAAGGTGAACATTTCATCGCACGTGAAGGCACGTGCCAGGTCCCCGTGGGTGGGGGTAATTACTATACTAACTAGTTACTACTAGGTAACTACTACTAACTAGGTAGAACAGTCAAGCTTTGCATGACCCCACATGCCATGCTGCTATGGATCCTGATTTTCAGATGATTGGGATAAAAGATGATATTTCATTCAAAAGCTCAATATCCTCTTTGATTGTCACAGCATTTTGCTGCCTGGCCAGGCCGTGGGTTTGACAGAGACTCTCTCTTGTTTCGGAAACAAGACTCCGGTTGGACTCTTTCATGGATAAATGGTCATCCATTAGATAGTTCACATGCGCAGTTCACCCCGATGTCGTCAAATCAATGGCAGAGCCAAGGCCATCATTGAAGCACCGCCACGTAGCTTTCTGACAAGCAGATCCACCAAATACAATCCACAGCTTTAAAGACGACGCTGGACAATCACGCCCTGACGAGACAACCCTCCAAAATGGCAAACATGCTGTAGTCAATAATTTATGTCCTCATGAGCCGTCCGTCTCCATTGCCTGTGCCTGGTCCTGAGGTACCAAATTCTGCGCAGCTTGGCTGGCAGAATAAGGCTGCTCCGGCGCATGCGTTTGGTTTGCCGTTCCATGTGCCGGTGGGCCTGTGTGCGGCTGTCCTTGGGCCACCTGCAGAGCACCTCTTGGCGTGACATATGTTTCCTAGGCATACGAACAGTCCCTGACCAGACCAGTGCAGCGCCGACATCTCTGCCGCATAGCCCTGCAGTTCCAAATGAGTTATTCTGTAAAAGTTGTTCTGAGAAGATTTTTAGACGAACCTCCTCGCACTTCTTGATCTGCCAAACGTTACAGAGAAGCTCTCTTGCCCAGAACAATTCTCACAGCAACCAAGAGATGCAGACATCATTACTCAACACGCTCTTCCTGCAGAGGCCAGACAGACTGCAGGTAAAGGCTGCCAAATATCCTAATCCCAATTGGACTTGTCAGACCCAAGCAGGACCCAAGCAACCGGGGGCACGGTGCCCATTATTTGTACAGTCCCCGTCAGCCAGGGCCCCAGACGCCGGTAAGAATAGTGCAAGAATAGTGATGTTGATATAGAGCACACCAAGCAGAGAGGCATGCCAATTGAGTGCCCTGACACCAGAAAATAGTCAGAGACTTTGAGTCCCTCACCCAACTGCCCTGCTGGGTTTGGCCAGGGAACGCATGTGACTGGTGTGTCAGCTGCGATTGATTAGTCATCGATCTCTGCTGCTGCTGTTGCAAGAGCTGATGAGCCCGCTGCACCTGCACGTGAGCAGCCAATACCTTGAGCATCTCTCATCCCCAGAATGAGGCATCTCACATAGCAAGAAATATTTCAGCCCCAAGCCTCCCATTAAATAGCACCAGGCTTGCTGCCATGCACAAAACAGGTCGACAATCTCCCTCAGGGCCTGCCGCAAAGATATACACAATGTGTGTCGGAGGTGCACTTCCGCATAAGACAATGCCACGCATTAAAGTTCATGAGCGGAGGTGCGACACACAGCGGGAGCACATGGTACAACCAACACTGTAGCGCTGAAATTAAAACCCCCAATAAATTTGTTTTGAGCCTGCGGGAAAGTCTGATACTAAGTGGTGCGGGAAGCAGCTTGCGTGATCATAAAGTAAGTAACTTGCAATAAACATAGGCCATTTTCCTGGTAAAGATTTGGGGTTGCGGGAATGCACATAAAGGTTGTGAGAGAGCGAGGAAGCCCTGCAGGAACATGTTTACCGTGAGTTATGATAAAATGGGTATTTTGGGTCAAGCGCTACAATGTGCAAATTGAAGCAGCAGCAGTGAATGGAGGAGCGCACCATGGCCTGCTGCTGGGACAGTGGCAGGGACGCCGCGAGTTGTTGCACCACGCTGTGTGCTGACCCAGCGCCAGGTGGCAGCGCGGCGTGCTGCTGAGCTGGCACCAGTGAGCTGGCGGCCGGCGTCGCTGACCTGGCAGCTGGGGGGTCCGCTTTCTGGGGAGATGCCCTGCACGCAATACAGGAAGATAATTTATCAGTATACGGCCTCTTCTATTTGTTCTTGAAGATTGCAAATAAAGACCTACTGGGAGCCACCTATGGCTCATTGGTATCATGGGCTCTGTAGTCTCAAAACTCCCGACAGGTCTGCATTCTGCATTATACGAGGTAGAGAACGGAATGATCGTAGCAAGTCTCACTTGCTCTCAGTGTATTGCATCCCAGTATGTAACATTTGCAGCACGCGCTGCCTGGACCAATAAAATGCTTGGGACTCTTCCAGCATGCTGCTGCAGAAATGGCCAATTTTACTCCCGTACACGCATAATCTATTATTCGTATCAGTATCAGCAGCATCCATTCTGGCATCTCATCAGCTGAGCCTGACTCACCGAGGAATAAGAAAGGAAAAGGCAGATACCAAGGTAGAGCAAGCGCCAGAAGATGGAAGAAAGGGCTGCCTCGCCAGAGAATGTACTCTGTCTCATGATATTATTTAGATGTCAGATGAGGATTTGACAGCGCGTCCGCACCACTGCTGCTGCTGGCGCGGCAGCAGGAAGTAGAGGGAACGGTCAGCGATTTGGATGAGGTCCTGTGAGCGCAGCACGACTGGGGGAGAGCTGGGCGTATGCAACGTCCCTTCAACAGTGACCCCATTCTTGCCCAGCACATGCAGCTCCCACACGCCTGCAGGAATACCCATACCCAATGAATGTCAAGATAACAATGCAGATGGCTGGAGTCCCCTGGCATGCCCTGTCCCTGGACCCTGAGGCCTTCCACAGAACTGTGGCGGGTGTGAAAGCCTACAGGAGTGTCATGTGCTGGTTTCCACGGCAAACCAATCAGGTGTATATACAGATTATCATTGCTAAATCTCACAATTTTCGATAGAAGCTGCGCAGCACTGATGGCTGAGGTGTTGCTTTCTCAGTAGCACCCTGGCAGACACAGGGAAACTCACCTCTGGAGAAGTTGTACAGAATTTTTGCGTGCTGCCTGGATATGTTCATGTTGTCCCCTGCAATCGACAAAGCCATCTCAGGTGAATCTAATTTCTGAAAGCTGGAGGAAGAAAGCACGAAAAGCGTTAGTGAAAGAATAGAACAGAATCAATATACAGAGCACAATTGTAGACTTACCAAGAACAACGTCAACCGTTGAGCTTTTCGAATGCCTGCCAATCACAATCTCGTACTTCTTGGCACACAGTTCGAAACCATCTCCCAGCAGTTTGGCAAAGCCAACCTGATCAATGCGAGGATCATTGGGAGACACCACCATAGCGTTCTATATTTTCAGCCGTATCTGTCTCTGACGAATTGTTTATCAGGCAAGAATATTGTCGTAGCTCCAACCCACTTTCTGTGCCCTTCTCAGAAGTCAATGCCTTTCCACACAAACTCCTTTCGGGAACAAGCACTATCTTCGTGAGAAAGAAAGTGTTCACCCCAAATATTCGTACTTGTGCAGTGTTTTGCCCTTTTGAAAGCTATAAATTCTATAGTATAGAATCGAGATGCCGTGCAATGCATGTGGCGTGCATGTGACAAAGATTGGCTGATCAGTCATGACATGAGTACAAGAGATTGGCTTAATCACTGGCCACTCTTCACGCAAGGAGAGCTCAGTACTTTACAAGCTCCTTCATCTCTTTTATCGTTTCAAGTCAACTCTGCTATGATCGTCTGGCCGCGGACACAATGTCGTAGCCGGAAAGCAGTTTAATCCTGGCTGCACGCTTCTTGTATCTTCCTGACATCGCAAGGCAAGAGAAAAGACCTCCACTGCGCGCCGGATCCAAACACAATCTGCCGCTCAGCTTGCTTCTATACCACAATGCAAGACAATCCCCTTCAAATCTCATGTGTTGCCCAGCGCATGTGCATCATGAGCTTCACTGCTGCTTCTGCCGTGTGATTTCCTCAAATTATACTCCTGCTGTCACTCAGTCGTACATGCTGCTCCGGCACAGCTAATCAGGCCTCCATGTCAACCGCGCCTGCAACTTGTGCACCAAACATAGAAGGCTGCTGCTCCTGCATGAATCCCTGCTGCTGCTGCTGCTGCTGCTGCTGCAGGTCTAGCCCCTGTTGGAAGTCCTGCTGCATGCCAGTGAACATCGCATCCCCTCCATTGCCCTCTGGCTGCCCCTCTCCCGCCATGACCGGCACTGCCTCGACTGGGTCAAATTCCACTGGGAAGCGCGTGACCCTCGGCTTGTCTGCGAGTATGCTCCGTGACAGCCTGCGAGACCCACAGAGGTCGAACGTTAAGCTGTGTTGCGCCAACACCAATGTCTGGAGTCTGGAGTGAAGTGACTTGCCCTGACAGGTGCTTCCTAGGACCAATACATAGTCGCACCATACTGATTTTGGCCATTCGGCATAAGGTGAATATGTTGTCGTATATTCGGTGTTTTGGGCCAAAATAGGCCGTTTCTGACCGTATTTCGTATATTTTAATACAGTATGACCGTATATTCGGACGTATATACGGTCCCCTGAAAAAAGGTCTCACCGAATGGTGCAATCTATGGACCAATAGAATGTAGTCTTAACAGTTGCCGCAGGATCCACAACCTCCCATGCTGTAAAGCAGAGCGAAGGAGGATTCGAAGGCACAAACTACCAAAATGCGCCAAGCAGCAAGCGAAAACGTTGCACCCGCATGCACAATCAGGAGCAAGCGCATGCCTAATCAGATTCAGAAGCATCGGCAGAAGCGCCAGAGGATGAGTGGAGCGGGAACATTGATGCCACCCAGTGGGCAACTGACCTGTCAATTTGCGCCTTCTCAGGAGGTGTTTCCCTCAGCTCCTCCTCCATGTACTCGTTGTTGACATAATATCCCACCCTGATGAACTCCTGTGGGCAGCAGAGCATGAGCTTCAGCCACGGCGGAAATTGGGTCTGCCACGTGATTACTAACTCTAGCTTGCACAATGAGTCATGCAGACGAGAGGCACTGTCGATCTGCATAGACTTCAGTGACCTGACTGGACTCATCAGGATGGCAAAGGGTGCATAATGCAAGCGCACAGCAGATCAACAAGCAATCCCAATTGGCCAATCACAGGTCAGCATGAATACGCTGATGTGTCCACAGGGAGGTGTGCACTGCTCAGAAGCCGAAGGCCCACGAATCAGGATGGTGACAGGATGGTTGCGCACCTTTGACTGGTAGCTGCAGGTCAGCAGGAGGACTGTCACCCCGACAATGTCATCCTGTGGCAACTTGCTGTGGTCAGGCGGGTCAGCCTGCAGGATACCCAAACCTTCAGAGTTTTTTTTCCTGAATCAGCAGCCTCATAGACTGCAAGTCCCTTTTCTGCAGGTTACCCTCGTGGAACATGCAGGTACAGGTCAGTGCTGTTAGGTATCTCCCAAGCACGCTCTCACATGCCCCACTGCTGAACAGGATCCTGACAAGCCAGCAATCTCCTTGACTTCACAGCTGGCAAGCGTGTTCAAGGTGGAACAATCTAATATATGACACCCTCTTCTCACGACACACTAGGCGAATGCAATGAGCCAACTTCACACAGGCCAGAGGGGTCTGAAGTTGCAGACCATTCGTTACCTGGAAGATGAAACGGTACTGTCCTCGCACCACAGGTCCCACCAGCACGCTATCCAGCTCTTGATCGTACTTCTCAGACTCAGCAGATCCAACATACGTCAATTTCCATTCCAAGTCTGCATCATAAAGAGAGCTTCTCAGGAAGTTTCAGTCTCGCAGCCGGTCGCTTGTCAAAGTTCCCAGTACAGGCTTCCAGAAGCACGGTGTTACAGAACTCCAAATATTTCATACTGATGGGAGGCATCCCCACAAGTGCAAATGATGCCAAACTGACATGCAAGAAGTCCAGGTCTGCCCCAGATGGATGTGAAGCCGTCAGAAAGGTTGTGACACCAATGCAGTGCCTCCACAGATAAGAAGCCAACAACAATGCCACTGCGGACTCACCATGTTGCAAGTCTTGGAGGCACTCATACTGTATCTCAAATTGGAAAGGGTTAATGAAGAGCGTCGGGTTGTCGAGCACATTGATTGCCGTGATATTGATGGCTGTCATGCTTGTTTCTCCGGGCTAAGGCTCTATCAAAACCTGAAATGCCTCGGCACTGGTCCCCAGGCAGCCCTTCCTTTTCGTCACGCGCTCGCAGCCAGCCGCAATTTGCTTAACACATCAAAAGCAACCTTATCAAGACGGGCAGTGCTGACGCGACCTTCCCGTGAACGATGCACGCTCACTACAGGGCACAGCACACGAAGAAAGCGTCGGGGCCAGCGAGGCACTCCTGGGCAACGTACTCGGTGTATTTGTACACAGGTGCCACAAATTTGCGATGCGATCCGTTTGAATGATATCAAAGCGATGATGTGCAGGTCCAGGAACAAATTTTGAGCAGTCCCGCGAAATGGCAAAGCGCAGCTGCGTGAACTTGTCTGCACGGCGTTCCTGCGCCAGTGCCAGCACGAAATCTTGCAAGTCAGATGTGACAATGATACCTGGACGTTGGGGGCTTAGCCATCTCACCGATTTGCAAAACGTATGCTGGCGTCTCAATCGTGATGTAGGTCCGCGCACGGCGTTGAGACACTTTGTTCTGGTCATGTAGTCAGCCGTCACTTCTCCATTGCAAAGTGACCAGGCCAGTACTAATAGGTGCGATATAGACAAATATCATTGAACAGATACATTATCGCCCAAACGCCTCTTGGGATAGTGAGTAGCAGATAGATCGCTCATAGTGAAAGTCACTTAAGGTGGATTGGTAAAGGGGCTTTTCCCATTACATTGCATCACCGCTGATCAAGATGTACATCTCTTTTATGAAGTGGCTTGGCAAAGGTTTTCCTGTTCAAGCAACTCGCAGTGTGCACCTGATATAACAGCACCTAGGGATTCCCACACCTCAAGTGATCGCAGAGGTGTTGCTCGTGTCAGGTGAGACCCGTAGAAGCAGATGAAAAGGTCATCAAATTCTCTGAAGTCAATGTCGATTTCTCAGGTGAAGGCATGCAGATCTTCAACAGTAAGGGACACCTGCCTGTCCTGGGCCAGAGGCCTTGCATGCGCACAAGCTCAAGGCTGAGCCCCAGCAATGTACCTAGGATTGGAGCAATCTCACGTCTGCTTCCTAGCCGGAGATATACTGGGAGCTACGCAAAGAGTGCTGACTTTGAGGAATCTGGGCTGCCACCACCCCCGTGAGTGCCATCGCCAGCTGCTTACACTAGTGTGCAGTGGTGGGGCTGAGAGAATCTGTGCTGTGCATGCATGCCTTTCTCCGATGGCCTGACTCTTTAAATTAATCCCAGGTGATGTCCAAAAGGCATCTGTGCTGTGCATGCATGCCTTTTCTCTCCAAGATCCTGATTGCAGGACCGCTCCCCACCTGATGATGGTAGTTGAAAAAGGGAGTGCACCTGAGCAGGGATGTCATTGTGGAGCTGAAAGTGGACGAGGGTGATACTCTGGAAGGCCTGGCAAAGATGTACCACCTGCCATTTGAGAAGCTGCTGGCAGCCAACAAAGGTGCACCCACCTCTGCCCACATTTCAGACAGTGTCACAGATGTATTTGCAGTGGGAGGGGCAACTGTGTGCCTAGGGTGCGGTGAAGCGGGCTTGCTACCTTGTGGACATTCCATGCTGAGCTGCCCACTGAGATTATGGGAACACCTCCTCAGCATTGGAAAACATGAAAATTTGGGCCGCTGCCATCCATGCTCTAGCCACCTTGGCAGGCCAAGACAGCTGAGTGCATGCCTCACTAGGGCAATGCTGTTCTGGCTGAGATGCGCTGTTATATAGCTTAAGGTCCCGGCCACCTGGTCTGCTACTACAAGCCTCCAAGATGCCTAGAGAGTCATTGTTGAAACAGCGCTTCTGCTGCGGACCCTGCAGGCAAAGACAAGGTGAAGGCAGGAGACAGGCTGCACTTCAAGATCCCTCTGCCAGAGGACGAGGAGGCGCTGCGCCAGCTGCTGACACCCAGCAAGGAGCTCATCAGGGAGGCAGTCCTGGAGCGTGCAGCAGAGACAGGGCAGCGCACAATCGGAGGAATTACAAAGGGAGAGCAGAATGAGGATAATAGAGTCTTCCAGGGAGTGGGTCCACAGGGCGGCAAGCACACCTATCTCGCCACAGCAAAGTGAGTCCGGTTCCGGGCTCCAGCACCTTGAGAACCCCGAAATAAGAGGACAAGTTTTTCGAATGGGCAGCTTGCAATGTGCACTATGGATCAATGCTGCAAGTGGACATGCTTTGCATGTGTTCAATTGGGCTGATGCGTGCCCGCTTGTCCTGGATCATGTGCCCACGGAGGTCACAGCTCTGGTCATGTGTACATTGGTCAATCAAGCCATTGGCTTTTTGGTGCAAAATATCAGTACATGAGGTGCACGGTGGTCTCGGAATGCATGATGTGAGACTCGCAGTGCAACTATAAAAATAGGAGACTTGGGGTTGTCTCGGAGTGCATCACCAGAGAAAGTGTGGTGTCATAGGTACTTGGGTGGCGCGGCAGGAAGAGTATTGCTGGTGGGGCTGGCGTTGTATGCTCTGGTGCGCATGGGGAAGAAGCTGACAGAAAAGGACAAGGCAGCTGCTGCCAGATCTGGCGCAGCGTGGCCGGCCATGGATGACGCCGACCTGACCACCCGGTTCAGGCTGAAGCGCCCTGAAGGGAACACCCCAGACACCCCTGTCCAGGTGAGCAGCCATGCATGCAAATGCAGTGCATGACATGGGCGTATGTATTAGAACAACGAACTCAAATGGCATGCTGCAGACTTTATTGTGCAGCTAAGTGCCTTGGGAGCAGGATATTTAATCAACCAGCAATGCCAATAGCAGGGAGGCATTGATTTATTGGTCTGAAGTACTTGATTGTGGGTTTCCAGGGCAACAGGGGAGGCGAAGCATCGACTAGCACATCTCCATTAGCCGGCGGCATTGTAGACTCTCCAGCAGCCCCAGCTGCTGCTCAGCAAAGCACTTCGTCCCAAAATTGCGCCTCTCCTGGTCGTAAGGCTGCAACTCAGAAGGGTATGCTCGGCATTCTTATGGAATGCAAGCTGTGCTTCCTGCATCCTCTGCCGTCTTCTGGGCCCTTCCAGCTTGCATCACTCAGCCGACATCAAACTTCATTCAATCATCCTGTGCAACTTCTCAGCATCCTTTGTGCAACAGCTGCAGCTGTATCGTCGGCCTTGTGCGTACTGCTCACATTAACGAGACTATGAAGAGCATCGTTGAGGTCTCAGAGAAAAGTTGTGGCATTCTTCACACATTACAATGACATCGTCGAGGTTGTGTGGGAAACTTCACACATATGAGGGAGTGTTGTTAATGGTGTCTCCGTTCTGTGCAGGAGGGGAGAGCGGCTGGAGCAGCGAGGATCCGGCGTGGCTGGCGCTGCTGGCAGTGCACTACGCAATGCTGCCGGGCAACCAGCAGCCCTGCTTCCGCGTCGCGCTCGGCCACGGGGACACGCGCGCCTGGCTCGCCTGGGAGGTGACTCCTCAATTCTCGCCTGCCGGACCAGCCTCAATCCATGTAATGTGAAATTGGGCTGCCCTGTTTTGTCAAGCGGCTCCAAAAGTCGCTTGTGCGTGCCGCAGCCTCGGAGCAAAATCCCTGCAGATGTGGTGGCTAGCATGCAGGAACATGATTCAGAAGATCTTGCTGGCTGGCTGGTGGCTGAGCTTGGTCACTGTGTCATGTTCCTGGCTGAGTACACTGTAGCCTGGCTCAGTACACTGACAGTGTAAGCTCAACATAGATTACAGAGGGGAACACGGAAAAGGTATGCTTAGCGCGTCTTGACATGGGCGGCCCGTTTTATGCAGGATCCGGACGATCTGCGGCGGCTGCTGCGGTGCATGGAGGAGAACGGCCTCGTGCCGGAGCCGTCCGCCGTCAGGGTTGTGGCCTGCCCGCCCTACGAGTACCTGCAGACCGCCGAGTACAACGGCCGCCCTGTCGGCTTTGTGCCCAAGGGAACGCTGGTAAGACCCTACACTCCTGCAGAAATCTAATCTTTGTCTTGCTACCTTTGCCTTGTGCTTGAAAACTTCTTTTGCTCGTGCAAACTCGCACCCATGTTCGAGCAATAAGCGTTCTCAAGCACAAGGCAGAGCTACTTCACAGACCGCTACCTGAGTAGAGCCCGTGCAGCCTGCTCAGAAAGAGCGCAATTTTTATGGCTGGGTTGCAGCAAGGTCCTTCTTAACAGAACGCTGTCAGACTGCCATTCGTGATGCACACAACCTAGTGTGTTGAATGTGCGTCTTGTCCTTGAGAATGATTCTGCCACAGCACCTCGCAATTCTCTTTGGGTATGATGCTATCGAGCTTTTCTTTTCTTCCCCTTTTGGAGCAATATGCTCTGACTGCGTTACGCATGCCTGCTCAATCAGGTGCAAAGTCTTTGGTGCGAGTGATGGCTCTGTAAGTGTAGGGGAGGACAGGACAAGGTTGTACTTTGCCGGTTCTATTCCATGAGAGAATGTGTACCGGTCAGATAGCCGGCCGGTTTAGTCATCTCATATCATTATTATTATCACACGCTGATCCTGCCAAGAGGCAAGGTGCGTCCTGCAGACAAGCTGCAGTTGAAGGCCGCCATAATCCTAACCCTTGTTGGACTCGCCAGATCCAAGCAAGACCCAATCAACCGTGGGCACGGTGCTCAGAATTTATATTGCTCCCCGCCAGCCGGGGATTTCTCATATACCTCAGTGAAATCACACCCCTGGTGGGCAAAAGTCCTGTGACTGTGATGTGCTGTGACGACGGAACTAACGTGCCCAAATAGAAGATCTGATGTTGTGGCATGACCCTGATGATGAGTTTGGGGTCATTGGGGTGTTTTGGGGGATCTCAGGGGTTTCTGGGAGTCCTTTATAAGTAAGACTCGACTGTTCTTATGGGGTTTGTCTTGGTGGCGCGCAGATTGAGGAGGCGTGGCACGACGAGCAGCTGATGGATGCGCTGGTGGCGGCGGCTCAGGTGGTGCCACGTCAGCCCGGCGGCGATCCCTCCTCCGCCCACTCCATCCTCTCTCGCTGGCGGCAGCGCACCGGCGTCGCCGTCGACAGCAATGATGTCCTTGGCAGCGGCGCTTGGGAGGTGAGTGCCAGTCGAATACATTCCTTGTCATGCTATTCGGCGGAGGTGTCTTGTATGCTGCACGCGTTGCATTTTTACAGCGAGGCACTCCCATCTCCTGTTGATGCTCGTTTTTGGCGCTCTGCTCTGATGCATGCGTTCCTCTTTTTCACTTTCAAGTTTCATGACAAGAAACTAGGGGCCTATGTTGCAGCCATATGTGTATGCAGCATCACACTGAAGGGAGTCCTTTCATAGAAATAGTACTGTATCATAGCTGTGGAAGATACACACTGCTTTTTGGGCTGCTTGATGTGTCGTGGGATTTTTCTTGCGCGAGTCGACATCCAAGGAGCCCTATGTTGTCTCACACCAAAAAATCCTCAGGGCAGGACAAGCGGCATCTTGCAATTACTGAACAAGAAACCTCGCTGATCAAGGGATGCGGCTGGCAGGTGCGCAGCATAGACGAGGATGAGGAGGCAGACTATTACGATTCTCTGGCCGGGGGCCGGGTGATAGAGGCCTTCACAGAACCCCTCAACGACGCCGACAGCGGCACACAACAGCCACCGCAGCGCGCGCAGCACACAGACAACGAAGCTTCATCAGCAGAGAACGCAGCGGAGCAAGATGCAGGAATGGCGGACGAAGAAGATGACCGGACGGTGTGGCAGCGGCTGAGGGGGGTTAAGCGAGGGGGCGGAGCCAAATCGGGCAACGGCAGGGCAGGCCAGAACGGGGCGGATCGCGGCGGGCGGCTGAGTGCCCGGCGCATCCTGGAGCGCAGCACCAGCAAGAACGGGGGGTCCGGGGGGACCGACCCCTTTGCTGAGATGCTCGGCCTGGGCTCAAGTGAGTGTTCTTGATGCCCTTCCCTCAAAATTCCCAATGGCAAAGCCCTGCATCAACAAGCAGCTAAACTGCCATGTTGATCAGAAATGACTCTTGGGTGAGCACTTATCAATGTGTTTACTCTATAACATTACATTACATGAGGAGGTTCTGTTCTGCGAGCTGAAGCTGCAAAGATAATGGGAGATACCTGTACGCAACCAGTTATGAGGTGGTTGTGCCTGGTGCAGGCAGCAGGAACAAGCCAGAACAGAGGGAACGCCCTGGACAGCAGCAGCAGCAGCAGCAGCAGCAGCAGCAGCAGGCGCCGTCCTCTGGAGGCCACCAGAATGGCGCACAGAACGGTGACATTCTCACACAATGTCCTGATCCCGCCCTGAGTCCTGTAATCCTCTGTGGATGATATACTGCATGGCTACATGCTCAAGCAATAATGCTGAGGGTACTTCGGTGGGGCCAGCAAAGTTGCGCGGGCTTATATGGGCTTGCTGAATGCTGCATGTCTTGGAGTGGGGTGCCAAGAAGTCGCTGAGGTTTTGTATGTAACAGGTGCCAGTGGGCAGGCTCCTGGCAGCGCTAATGTCAGCGGCTCAGCAGGCAAATCTGCTGATGTCAGCGGCTCAGCTAGCGGCTCTGCTGACGTGGATGAGCGGGCGCAGCGGTATGCGGAGATCCTGGGGAAGCAGCGTGATGTGGCCGGCTCGCACACCCACCTGGACAAGGTACATCTGTTGCCCTTGCAGCAGTACTCTGTGTGGCAACTCAAGGACACTGACATGGCAATGCAGAATCGGCCCCACAACACTGTCTGAGGGGCAGAAAAAAGTGAAGTATTATAGGAGGCTTTGAACATCATTTTACACATGCTGCACCATTGGAATTGCTGTGATGTGCCGCAACTGAATCATGCACAGTAGACAGGTATGGTGCTCAACCATCACGTTGTTGTCAGGAGGGCAGCGCTGTAATGCTTCTACAACGTCAGCTGAACTATTTTGCAGCAGTAGAATGCCGCTGGTATTTGCCTGTCTGCGAGCGCTGTAAAGAATGCAATGTGCAGGTCCGGCGGGATCCTTTGCCAGTGGAAATCAATGACGATCAGGAAGGTGACAGAGCCGCTGAGTCACCCAGTGACTCACCAGGGGCCTCGCCGGGCCCGGCCGCTGACTGGACGCAGGCTGCTCGCCGTGGGCAGCGCCTGACAGACCTCACAGCCGCTGCTGCAGCATCACAGCAGCGCAGCCGCCCGGAGAAGCACAGAGCAGGCGGCAGGAGCAGCACAGGTGTGGCCCCCTGCCAGTATTTGTATGGTCCTTTGACCTTCACATCGCCAGATGTCATGACTTTGGGGGTAAATGGGAGGGCTGTGCGGGCCACTGGTCTGGTGGTCTCAATTGGGTGTCGATGTTCTGCCCTACCCATGGAGGCATGAACCCAATCATTCCCCAGAAATGTGGTGGACTCTATTGTGGTGGTACCTGCATCGAGGACCCTTGTCCCTTACATGACGCCAGATTCACTGGAGCCCAGCCGCGCATAATTGGCTCAAAAGACACGGCATGGATGCAGCTTCCACAGCCAAATATATTTGATGCTCTATGCTCCTACACGGGTGGGAACTTGTGAAACTAGCAGGTGCACAGGTCTCGGTCTGGTGCTGTCACAATTGGGCCCACAATCGCGCCCGTCCTGGGACAGTAGTATAATGGTGTGCATCTGGTCGTTGGATGTTTAGCCCTTTTCCTCTGCAAGCGGACTGATGCGGCCATTTCGTATCTGCTATTGCTCACCGTGGGCCTCCAGACAGCCACTTATCATACCATGTGGCAGGAGCGTTCACTGAAAGCATTCTTGCCTTCAGGGTTGCAGCGAGGTACCAGAAGGAGCCTTTGCCATTTCAGTCCTCCCAACATGCCTGCACTTCATTAAATTCAATACTCAGTGGTATTCAAAGCTCCCTTTGAATCGTGGGTGGCTGATTTGGCAACAGGGCCCGGCGCGGAGTGGCTGCGGCTGCCGATGGTTTGCGTACCAGTGCGCGAGTTCCGCGGCGGCGGCTACGGGTTCCTGACGGCCGATACGGCGCCGGCGGTGGCCACCGAGGGCGGAGGGGTCGCCCCCGCAGCCCGGGCCGCCATCGTGGGATTTGCAGACCGTAATGATGCGCAGCAGGTGCAGTGGCTGTGGGACAGCTGGCCGCAGGGGGACGAAGGTGCAAACAGGTGAGCAGTACCTGAACTGGCTTGCATGCATTTGATGAAATGTGCCAACGGCTGCGCTGATCCCTGAAGGATGCGTCTTCCATGATTGAACACATGTTGGAGGCCTGGGGTGATTTGCCTGTGGTTGTGAAGCTCTCGCCTGCATGTGCACTGTGTCATAGTGTCTGGTAATGCGCCCGACTCCGCACTCAAAGATGGATCCTGCTGGTGTGTGCAGTCAGTCGGCTTGCTCTCCTGCAATACGACACCCCTTGGGTGGCACCCTTCTTTTGGAGCGCACTGATGGGCAAAAGAAGTCATGCATGGTTGAGGAGTGCTGGTGCTGCTACACACCTGTCAGTGGTAGATAATGGGAGCTCCAAAATCCAGTGGTCAAGGAGTGCTTTGGTGCTGCAGAGTGCTGCCGCTGCCGCCGGTGAAGCTGCAGAGCATGGCGCAGGAGCAGGGGTTTGAGGTGGTTGTGTTCCCCAAGGGTCTGCTGCCGCTGCGGCCGGGCATGACCGAGCAGGAACTGGGCGCTGTCTTCTCCGCCTATGCTGGCTCGTAGAGGAAGTTGCCGTTTGACTCCTGCTGAACTTGGGGGCCGGGGATTTCTGTCGCATCTGCATTAGGGTCGGAACTGTGTGGCAGTCTTCACGCAAAGGGGCTAGTGTGCTCTTCGACTGAGCACAGTAGATTCTGGCCTTAGGCTGGCAAAGGCATGACCTCTTGAATCCGAAGATATTCTATGTCCTGGCAAAGGCTTTGGGTTCTACGGGAAGTTGGAGGCAAAGATTAGCTCTGTCCTGATTTGCATGTGGCAATGCAGCAAGCAAGCATCAAGTTTAAAAATCCACTGTACTTCCTAGCCACCTTCTTTGAGGGTCTACATACGTAATTCATTCTATTGTGATATTAAAAATGTTGTAATCATCTACTATAGGTAGCTAAGATCCGGATGGACGTGAAGACCCAGTGATGGCGTCGATATGGCTGCGATGATATCTCTGTTGTTTTAAACCAGCCCTTGTATGCGTAGTACGCTTATGTGTCTATGACATATTCGACTTGCATTGAGGCTTGCAAAGTGCAGACTGTACATGCTGCAATCCTTGCGGCTGCACGCACACCTCTTTTATGAATGCATGACACAAAGATTCTAATAGTATCAATTGCAATCTCTTCTCTGAAACAAAGAGTCTAAACAGCTATTTTCTAGAGAAATCATCAGCAACGGCACACACTGGCGACCTAGACCTACATGCCGCGTTTTTCCAAATATCATGGAACGCTGTGACGTCTACCAAAGCAAGCAACCCTGAATAAACCCAAGTCCCCCAAGTCCAGACATAAGGATAGCGCAAGGACACAGGGAGCTTGGTCTGCCTTGAGCTGCTCTTGACCAATGATATCGGTGATGTTCCGTCCGCAGGGCGATGACTTATCCTTGAAAGGCGGTCCGCTCGGACGGACGGACTCCACCATCCAGTCGTCAGAACGAGGCAGGGCAACCGGACAGCAGACGGACACGGCGATGCCCCGATGCCACTGCCGACGCCACACGCAGCCACACAGGCCAAGAGGCCACCGATGAGTGGTTCCATTCTGTGGATGACTGAGAAAATCTGAGACCCTCTGCAAGCCCCGGTGGAGAATTCTGAGAGTTTTCACGCATCCGGATCATCAATCCGTGAAACATCCGTGAAACATCCGCGAGATGTTTCACGAGGTATACATTTTTACACAAGACATGAACGCGATACCTTACATGCTGCCAACATGTTCTTTCTGAGACACTCTTGTCGTTGTTGATGGCAATGCGAAGGCGCTAGGGGTTGCAGTTTGCCCTGCATACACTCTGTGTAACAGCAGCATTGACCAAGCAAGTGGAAGGATTTGCAGCACAAGCTGCAACGGCAAAATTCGGACATTCGTCGCATTTTGGCTTTGCGTTGGCAATGTTGCCCACAATCCGCTTTTCGTTGTCGCTGAGGTCACGCCCAAGTTCTTTGGCAGCGACAGAAATTTCCTTCCCAAATTTTTTCCCGATCTCACTAATTTCCCTTCCGATGTCGGGGAAAGGGTTGCGTGGGCGTGGGATCCTAATTCCTCCAAAGTCTGCGAGAAACGTAGACCGCATTAAGGTTGAACTGGTACCAACGCTGGCGCAGTCTCCGATTCGGACGTCGTCTGCTGCCAGCAGTGGATTTGCGATTGCGGACCCGGACAGTGCCTGCAAGTGCGTTCAATCGTCATATATACCGCCGTCACAGAGCCCATATGCACTGTTCCTAGGAAACCCTCGATATTCCAGCCCGAGTCCCACTCACCTACCAGGACTCCTCTGAGGAAATGTGATTCATTCGTCGTGGTGTGCACAAAGCATACAGGAAAAGGTTGTTAGCCAAGCAACCTGTAAAGCCACCCATCTGAACGTATGCCGGGACGTTTGAGGTCTTCAGGGACTCACCAGGGTTACCAGCAGGGCGGATGCAGCGTTGAGCACAGCAGGCAGGCGCGGCCCGCCAGTTGAGGATTGCGCTGTGCCGCTCATCTGTGTTTCGTGGCAGGCTTTGTACACATGTGTGCTTCCGCGGTTGATCGCTGGCCTGACGATGCGAATAAAAGAATAACTTCAGTCGACAACTCAGAGGGTACATAGCCATTGCTATACATCAGGACAAGAAGCGCACCTTTTCACGATAGGCTGGGTGAAGCTGGCACTGGCATCGACGAAGCGGGCGCGAGCAGACACGACGAATCTGGAGTTAGGGATCCGGCTGGAGCGTGTGGCTGTTACCTTGGTAACAACAGGAGTCCTTGTCAAAGAGATCGTCGTCATCTGCAGGCAGAGAATGGTTGATCAGATCTGCAAGAAATCAAAGCGGGGGCTAGCGGTAAGTGAGGAAGGTTGGGTGGCCACAGCTCAGGGTTTTCCAGAACCGAGCGCGCCCTCCACTCGATGTCTACCCTCTCGTAATGCTTGAGTCAGGGTGCGCACCATGATCAAGAGACGTCCCGCCGGGTGTTTACGGCCAGAGTCGACTGGTTTTCCTCCCGAGTCTTGGCGTTTGTAGAGATGTTGAGATCTCTGAATCTTATCCTGATGCAACACTGTTCAACGGCGCCCTTTTGTGCGATGACTCGATTTCTCCTGGTGTTCACGTGCGTTCGCGACCGGCCCTTGTGTGTGGTCGGTGAACGGGAGGTTCGGTATCACTTGGCAGCTGTATCAGATGATGGTCATCGAGGAGCCCGGGAAGTCCCCGGCCCTCACCGAGTGTGCCTTCGTGGACGACGTAAACGGCGAATGAACACGTTACACTCAATCGAACACGTTGCACCCATCGAACACGAACTCCAGCATGCGCCGGGCGATGTCGTCCAGGCGCAAAAGTTGAGACCAGAATATTCTCATCAGTAGGTTTCTACACTATCTTTTGATGAGCTTCAGCTGCTCGTCCATTCTGCACTGGCGGCAGCTCAGGCGTCCCTGTTTCTCCCAGATCCTTGCACGCGATCCAGTGCAGCAGCTTTCCACTCATGCATTCCGCCCGTCAGCTCACTAACATGCTGCCACCATACGATCACATTACTGTAAGCGCCAAGCTGATCAGGTGAGCTTGTCAGCATTGCGCGTTGGGTGCCACTGCGCGGCAACCTCCGGTGCCTTCACAGCTAAAGAGTTGCATGGGCATACCACGCGCCCAGAGCAGAAAGGGCAACCACATCCCAGGCTAGTGCGGCTAGCAATCTTAGCAAGCCACTCATGAGCATGGGTGCACCCAGGAGGGGCATTCTTGCGGTCATGGCACACCCACACCGCCTTCCTTACTGCAATTGGTGACCTTGTCAAGTCAAGTTGCTCATTCTTTGTGGGGCTACCAGCTCTGGGTGCTCATTCCGTAATAGACCTTGTCTTCTTTGCGCATTATTTAGATAGCTACACTTTGGGCAGGCAGTACCAGCAACCCTAGAAGATACTCTTGCCAGCCACATGCCATGCTGGGTGCACACCCAAGACGCCTTCCTACTGAAACACAGGCTAATCTGACTAGGATATAAGCCCTCATTGCCTGCATGGTCCCATTGCGCCATCAGGTTAGGCCGCTTAGCTGCCAAAGAGCTGCAGGCGCATACGTGACGCCCGGAGCAGAAGGGACAGCCTGTTGGGTTCCCTGCCCTTGTGCGGTCATTCACCCTGGCTTGCCATTCATGCACACTGCCGCACGATGAGCACTTCTCTAAGCACCGCCACCATACTCTGACACTGCTTCCATGTAGTAAAGTCTTCGGGCCTCCTGTCACCATTATTGCCGGGATGCCACTAGCGGGCAAGCTCCGGGTGGGCCGCTGCAAGTGATGGCTTCCTTGGAGCGATCTGTGGCACTGCAGCTGCACCAGTACAAGAGAAGAGGATCAGCCCCGGACGGCTTGCCTAGGATTTCTTGGATACACAGATCTGTCTAGGTGTAAGCTTATTTAGGAGGAAGTTGTTCTCTGCTGGCACGTTACTACGTTGAAAAACGTTGAGCCACGCCCGTACATCACTACGTTGGCTAACGCTCGACGCTCGTAAAGTTATTTTACGTGCTCGTTGATTTCTCAGAGATTACAGGCGTATGCTGATTCTATGTACGCAGAGCGTTGCTAAAAGTCATCACCTGTGCCATTTAGTGCAAATTTGGTGGAGTATCCTCGTGGCATGATAAGACAGCACCAAGAAAATAGTCGAAAATTTACATGGCTGTCTCATCTGTATTGATTGATCACGCAACCAAACCAGGGATGTGCAAAGCATGGCGCAGGAGCAGGGTTCGAGGTAGTTGTGTTCCCCAAGGGTCTGCTGCCACTGCGGCCGGGCATGAGCGAGCAGGAAACTGGGCGCTGTCTTCTCCGCCTATGCTGGCTCGTAGAGGCTATCTCATTCCTGCTAAGCTGAACTTGGGCGCCGGGGATCTTTGTCGCATCTGAATTAAGGTCGAAACTTGTGCGTTCTTGAGCGGGCTGTGAGATATCATATGTCATGGCAAAGGTTCTACGGGAAGATGGAGGCAGACACCAAATCTATCCTGATTTGCATGTGGCAATGGAGCACACAAGCATCAACTTTAAAACATCCACTATACGTTCTAGCCAGCATCTTTGAGGATTTACTTGTGTTATCTATATTCACGTGATACTCGAAAAATGGTGCGATGCGCCGGCGCTGCGGGACTCCCCGTCGAATGAGAGTTTCGCGCTGCCGGTTGCAAAGGAACAACCTTGGACATCCACCTCTGGTGCCCACAAAGATGGCAAGCTGGCAACGTCCCAATTCACAGCGCTTGTGAAGAGCTGCACAGCAAGCAATGTTGGACCTTGCCCCTTAATACTTGAAGCGGGGGAGACAGTCCAACGAGTGCCACGATTTGTGGCACCAAAAGTGCCCTATAGTGTCTCATCTGGCAGTGTGCTTAGCAAAGTTCAAGCCACTGCTGAATTTGGCAAAACGGGTTACAAGCACACCTCAAGGTTTGACAGGCGCAGCTGTGCCTTTAGCTTGTAGATCTCATCTACTTGCTGCTGGCACAACGTTGCAAACATCATAGACCCCAAAGATGAGCCTATAATTTGGAAATTTGTGTATTCGTGTGAGCAGCATGAGTATCGACTGGTCATCACTACTGATGAACTTTGGATCTGGGATGAGGTGTGCCTGCATGAGTCCCCTTTGCAATATTGGGGGCTTGAGTCTGCTCCAGAATGTTGGCCTGCTTGAGTCGCGCTTTCCTGCAATCGTTCTCTTGCTTCCGCTGCCTTGCATCTTTTAGCTTTTGCCGTAGTGCTGCATCTTCTTGCTGCAACCGTGCAATCTCCTGATCTGTTTCTGCAGTCGTCATTCTCGCAAAGCTGCACGGCCTCTGGGTTTCGATCAGCGAGTAAAGATATTTGTAAGTGCCCTTTGGGCCCTCCGTCACCGAAAGCCCTTCCTCACTACGCCCAGAAAGTACTTAAAAAAACCAGGCTATAGCTTACCACATGCACAGAGTTCAATATGGAGCGCCATGGTCACGACCTATCCGGCCGCAGCTGTTCAGGCAAGCACTGGCGCATTGGACCATGTTGCCTTAGATGTGACTTGCCTGATTGTGCTTGCCTGCTTTTATGGACGTCTACGGTTGCTTGTACTCTGGGTTGTGTTCTTCTTAAAAGCAAATTTGCGCTGCCATGTACTGCTTGATACTTTGGGAATTGTCGGGATACCATCGGGTGATTGTGCTTCATTGATTTGTGATGGATGCTTATCGTTCATCATAGTTGTACATTCGGTTGTTGTGTTGGTTGTTGGCCACGCGATGTGGCCAGACGTCTGATCAGCCCTAAGCGGCTGGAAAGATGTAAAAGGCTGACTGACTGTTGTTGCACGCAAATCGAAACCGTCTGGACGAGGTCCGAATCATCTGGCTCTTCCAAGAAAACTGGGTCAGCTGATGTCATCATTCTTGTGCATGCTAAGGAACGCCCCCAGAAGTCCCTTCTGATGTCGGCCTGAGTTCCGGAACGCTGCTACTTTGCCCTGGTGATGGCATTCGATTCGATGAAAGAAATATGCAGTAAATCATCATCTTAGAGCTTTGTAGTCGGCTGTCAAGCTGGTATGGCTCGCATCCATCAGCAGATCGTGTTGGTGGCAACTAGGACTCAGTCAGCAATCACCACATGGTACGCCTTTCGACGCCAGATATACGATGTAACGATCTACTGGAATTTATTTTATTTCAAGCACACGATTGGATGCTCACATTCTCCCACTTTAAAATAAGTCTCAAAGACATCGTCGTGAGTGCAGACTTTCTGTGTAGGGATGTTGATACTGGTACACATCTCGCTTCCTTCAAGGACAACTGCAGCGTCCCGAACTCGTTGACGCTGGTAGGGCGAGACTACTTTGTTGCCGCTCAGCACCCCAAGGGATCTCTGCACTTCTGGACCTGGCACAAGGTACTATCGTCATTTTAGTGAAGCAACGAGCGCAGATACCCGTGCAAACTGTACGATGAAGCGCAGCTTTTATCGAACCAAATGGCCTAGGTTATTGCAGTCTGGCTTTCTGGCAGCAGGCAATGCTGGGATTCCTACAGTCTGCTTTTTGGCAGCTGGCAATGCTGAAATTCCTGTGGTCTCTAGAACCTGGCCACTAGCATATTATTTAGACTGGGTAAGTTGGCCCTGAGCAGCTAGGATGGAAGCTTTTCCTGTACTGGTGCAGGACCAGGTCCTGCTGCGCAGCTATGCAGTGGAGCCCATAGTGGCGCTGGCTGCCTCGCTGGACGGGACACACTGCGCCGGTGGCGGCCAGTCTGGCACAGTGTACCTGTGGGAAGTCCCCTCTGGCCGCCTGCTGCGCTCATGGCCTGCCCACTACAAGGTATTTTTCAGCTTCACCTTCCCCGTTACAACCGTGTCGTCTGCTGCAAACCATCACACTTGGTCTACCATGGCTGCATGCATGACTGATCATGTGACACCCGTCCTGACGTCCCAAACAGCAGCAGAGTGCGGGCCCTGCAGCAACCTTAAGGGCAGGCAAACAGGACCGCACAGCAAGATGGAAGATGCAATGCAGGGCAGCAATGGTCAGCTCGTAATTTATCACCTGAATGATCCCAGTCCTCCAAATGGAAAAAATAAATATATTTCAGTAAGTACACAGCGAGACAGCCGTTCCTCCCCAATAGGCGCTTGCACTGCCTTGCATGTTCTGCACTCTGCCTGGCTCAAGAAGTGAAAAGGGACTTTTTGCTATTACTTGGCGTGGATAGCAAAGGAAGGTTGCTGCCTGCAGGCGGTGACGGCGCTGGCGTTCACCGATGACGGTACAGTGCTGCTGAGCGCTGGGGAGGACACAGTGGCGTGCGCGTGGCTGCTCATGGACGTGCTGGATGACTCACCAGAGCAGGGCTCCGGCATGCACGGGCCGCCCACCTTCCAGTCCTGGTTAGCAACCTATTTTTTATATATATCTTAATTTTATCTCTTGGCATACTTGCATCCTTGCGTTGCAAAGACACGCGCACACAACCTGGGCTCTTGCATGCCTGGGGTGACCCTCATCAGATGACAGGTGCAGTCACATGAATACATGAAGGATTGAACATTGAGGGGTATTATATTATATGTTTGTAAAACTGCAGAAGGGCACTTACAAGTGAAGGGGTCTCTGCAGGATCATTGTGGGTGACATTGGGAACTGCACCATGGCTTGACAATAACAAGGCGCTGAAAAAAATGATAGTACTATCTTTGAGTGCAAAATGAGTGAAAACGGTGCGGGAGGACATGCCCTAAAGGGTTGTGATGTGGGCTCAGGTCGGAGCACACGCTGCCCATCACTAGCCTCTACTGCGGCATGGGCGCCAACCCGATCGTGGTGACTGCCTCCCTGGACCGCAGCTGCAAGATCTGGAGCCTCTCACAAGGTGCTGCTGACCTGCGTTCTTCATTCCCTTCCCCTGCCCTTGCACTTCACATGAGAGCTCATGAGATCATCATGGGATATTTCTGGCTGAAGTACTTTCCTGAGGATAGACGCTGCAATGAAAGCAAGATGTCCTTTGATATTCCTGGAGCGACATCAGCCTTACATACTTGCTTTTAAATCAGTGATGCTTTTTGCGTAGAGTGGACTTTGAGGCTTGTACTTATGTCCATGCAGGAGCGCTGCTGCGCTCCGTTTCATTTCCGGTCTCCCTACACAGCGTGGCGGCCGACCCGGCGGAGCACGCGCTCTATCTCGGTGGCGCGGACGGCCGCATCTTTGAGGTTTCCCTGGCCGGCCCGCGGCCGGCGCCGGATCCGACGGCGTTCCTTGGCATACCTGGCACCGGCACCAATTTAGTCGCAGGCTCTGGCGCCATTTCAGGCAGTGAGGCTGGGGAGGGGAGTGTCATGGAGGGGCATGCGCGATGCGTCACCTGCTTCGCGTGCACGACGGACGGCGGGCACATGCTGTCAGGTGCGCGCATGCTGCCTGCACATGCACACAATTTCTAAGTTCCCTCAAGTGGGGATCACTGCTGCTGCTGCTCTTTCATTCGACAGCTTGCATTGTTGGCAACAAGTTGTTGACTTAGCCACGGAGGGTGTCATAAGGATACAAAGATGAAAATCATATATGTCTGCCTTGTGCTGGTGTAACAAGGCATGTTGGAAGTTTGAACTGAAACGGCCTCAATATGGGCTGCTGAGCGCCAGAATATGTAGAAGATTAAGATCATCTCCTTGTATTGTGGCAGGGTCGGAAGATGGAACAGTGAGGGTGTGGGAGCTGCGCAGCCGGCAGGCGGTGAGAGTGATAGCCAGCCCTGACAAGGCGCCAGTCACCGGGCTGCTGGTGCTGGACAGACCCCCCAGCCTGGCCTCTGGACAGGGCCGACACGGCGCTGCATCCTCCTCAGACTCTGGTGAGCACCACACAGCTTGCTAATCCCTGCTATAATCCATACCTGACATCGTCAAAAATCAGCCGCTTACTGATCATGACTGCATCTTCAAACTTGGACTCGGACAGCGTTCGTGGGAATTCTTTGCCCTGGAGCCTTTGGATGTGCAGATGCTGTTTTCACTGTAATTCCAGGAAATCTGTCTGTGTAGACATTGACTGCCATGAGCACCAATGGCTGGACCCAAAGATGTCTTTTTACATGGAAGGCTAACTCCAATAGGCTTCATTTCATTCCAGTACTACTTCGCATATATTTCTTGTTTTTTAGTTCAGATGTACGTGTGAGTTGCAGGCTTTCAGGCAAAGGGGCCCAAGCGGCCGCAGCCGTTGGCGCCGTTTTGCAAGTTCATGGGGATGGCGGGAGCGCTGCAGCCCTGGGAGGGGCCTCCACTGCTCCTAGACGGCAGCCATGGCTACAGGTGACTGTACTCTGCTGCCGTCAGGTCGACCGCTGCATTGGAAGGGAACGTGTTGCAGGGTGACTCGGCAAGAGATGTTCTGAGCAGGGCCCCAGCAAGCACTTGGAGCATGCTGGGAGGCCCATGTTGACTGGTGTCACAGAAAGTATATGCATGCACATGAGTGTTTGGGGCCTTAACTTATGCTGTCTCTGGCGGACCCCCTTGGTGCTTGAAGACTTCAAACACTAGTTTGGGTACTTTATTTGTTTATCTCTGCGCTTTTCGGCGTTCTGGTGATAAGGACTACCATTTCCTGCTGCTCATTAGTAGACAGCTCAGTTCTTTATGGTGGCTGCTGGTGCGTGCAGGGGTGACATCCTGAGAGTGTGTCCTCTGGAGCGAGGCACGGCAGAGGACCCAGCAAGGGAATCCTTTGGAGACATTCCACATCGTAGCATGGCATCTCCTGGCGCAACAGTATTTTTGGGGTCTGTGGAGCAAGCAGCAGTGGGAGATGAGGGGGGTGAAGTTGATTTTCGAGCAGAAACTGAGGAGGTGAAAGAGCAGCTGAAGCAAGCTCTGGAAACAGCGCAGAAGTGGCAGGGGCTGCATGCGCAGCTGCACCAGTTCTGTGTTGAACAGGTGCTGCCTGCGGCCAGCACGCCGGGCTGACAATGTTCCATGCATGACAGGAGTAGTATCACAGGTGTGTGTGCTCTGAGATCACCATCAATCTTTGATATCCTGTGGCAGAAGTGTAAATGTTTTGCACATGTTGCCAATGCGAGTCTTGGCACTGTGTAATTTATAAGTCTCACTGTCTTGCTAATTCCATAGGTCATCCGTCAGATGACAATGTCTCTGTTCAACCTTATTGAAAACACCCTACTATTCTGCTTGGCCCGCTATCCTCTCTATGATGTAGGCACTCCAAAACCAGTGTGCTGCATGATGATTTGTGTAAGAATGTGCTATAATGTTCAGATCACTCCCTTGTCTGCCAGTGGACCCTCTTGATCAGGCGCTTTCTGAGAGCTCCCAGAAAGCCACAACGAGGTACTGTTGCCCACGATGTTCTGTGTGTGTTCATCTGCATCTGCCAATACGCCCTCCAAATTTCCCAGCTGCTCCTCCAACCTGTGCACCATGTCCCAATGCTCAGGTACTCAATAGTTTGGACGGGCAAGGGCCCTGTCTCCAAGGGGATTTGCTCCCAATGCCTAGTAACAGTGCAGATGCCACGGCCATGCCAGGAAGCTTTCAATCCACCTCCACAAGAGCACGGGGATGAGCACAGGCAGAGGTGGAGAAACTCGGATGATTGACACACCTATCCAAGGTGCTGGCGATCTCGATGTCTGAGGGAGGCTGAGTTGTAGGGGGTCCCTTCGACTTCGCGTTTGCCTCTTGTGCTGACGCCAGCTCCTCAGTCTTCTGCTTTAGTCGAGCTATGGCCTGACGTGCCTCCTCATCCTGACCTCCTTGAGCATCTTCAAGCTGCCATTCACGCACAGAAAAATCAGGGCCTAGAAGAGCGGCGATAAATTTCTATGCATTTCACTTACCCCTCGGTCTCCCTTAGAAGCAATAAGATCTGTATCATGCACTCTTGATCTTAAAAGGCCTCCAAATGATCTGATGGAAGGCCTTGCCTCTTTCAACATTTGCTGAAGGTAGTCCAGCATCTTCGCGTGGCCATCGGCAGCTTCGGCATTAGTCCGGCCGCTCGGCGCAGACTGACTGGACATTGTTTATTTTATTTTGCTTTGATTGATACGTGATTGCCTTTCATTATCTAACCAGCCATGTGTCCTCTGGGGATGCACCAGGAGGAAGGCGCAGCTTTGTGATCGGATTCTTGAATATCATACATACATCAAAATTGCCTCGATCTCTGCCACTTTCATGCCCGACGTGGTGTCCCCAGAGATTCTCTTCCATTGTTGTGAAAAGATACCACGTGGTCCCACGTGTGCTTCACGTGCTATTCATTATGTTGTTCCACGGTATTTCTCAGCCCGAAACTTGGTGGTGTGCTTTATCTGGATATTATTCTTTACTGTGCAGAAGTCTTTTGCATGCTGCAGCGCTTAAGGACGGGTCAGGCAGCTTTGTGCCTTGATCTCGTCTCATCGCTGTTCGGCTCCTACCAACCAGTTGTCCTGCAATTTGGTGCGCATTTTCATCGTCAAGGAGATTTCCTTTGGCCCTGTCCTGAACACTACTGTAGGATACAGTGCCTAAAATCGAAAATTATTGTGCAGACACGGGGCGGATCAGATGCACAGAGCAGAGGGCTTCATACTCCCGCTGTTGCACTGGAGGAGGCATCACAGACAAAGGTATATTCAATCCTTTTTTTCCTAAACAAAGTGATGATGCCTTTGAGTTTGCCCTCTATCTAGTGCAACTAGGGTTTCCAATTCTGGGCTTCTCTGACACAGGCTTCTTATCAACCACTTGCTCATGCTACCATCTGTCGCCGCACAGGGACAGTAGCAACTGCTCAGAAGGCGCCACAACCCAGAAGGCCTTTGCTCCTTGAGACACACCCCCATCTCGTACAAGAGTGGCACCCCACACTCAATGGCGACAGGACACCTGAGCAATACACTACCGGGTCTATTGCCATCATATGGTGGCGCTGCCTGCTCTCCTGCTCATCATGCGGCGAGGAACATGTGTGGCAAGCTGAGATTGCATCGCGCACGCGCGGCGGCGTGCCAACCGGTTGCCCCTTCTGCTCCGGGCTCCGCGTTTGCAAGTGCAGCTCACTGGCAGCCAAGCGGCCTGACTTGATGGCGCAATGGAATTACGCAGGCAATGAAGACCTGGATCCCGAGCAGATTGGTTTAAGCTCTGATATAAAGGTCTCCTGGTTGTGTCCAAGGCATGGGCCTTGGAAAGCCAGGGTATGGAGTAGATCTCATGGCACTGGTTGTCCAGGATGTGGGGTGATCAATCGCAGAAAGAATTTGTCTAGGCGTAAGTTGTTCAAGGATGAACATCCAGAGCTGGTGGCACAGCTTCACCCCACAAAGAATGAGCATCTTGATCTGAACAGATTGACCAGTGGCAGCGGGAAGAAGGCGGTGTGGGTGTGTCCTGACCGCAAGGGAGCCCCTCCTGGATGCACCCATCCGCATGAATGGAGAGCTTCAATCCAAGCTCGCGACGGCAGAAATGGAATTATTGGGAGCGGATGCCCTTTCTGCTCTGGGCTCCAGGTCTGCCCATGCTGCACCTCTCTGGCTGCCAAGGCACCCGAGGTTGCTGCGCAGTGGCACCAGGCGCGCAATGGCCACAAGCGACCACATCAATTTGGGTCATCCAGTCGTGCCAAAGTGTGGTGGCAGCATACCAGTGCGGCGACCGGGGCATTTCATGAGTGGGAAGCTGCCATAAGGGATCGTGTCCGAATCTGGGAGATGCTGAAGCGCTTTAGTTGCCCTCATTGCAACAGAGACAGGCAACGAGGGCTTGTCAGCTAACCTCTTGGCTTGCAACTGATTACTGAGCCATGGCACTAATGAGTCATTTCTAAGTATAAACTTCTGCTGGTTCATCCTGGATGGTGTCAACATGTGCAAGTGTGGACTTGTATCAATGTACAAGACCATGATCATGATATCATGCATGACCGGCATGCTGCTCTGTGAAATGAAATTGCAAGTCAAGCATGGATATACGCAGGAACAACAGCAGATCAGTTCAGAAGCTGAGGTTGCAGATTTCTGCATCTAGATCTGTCTTCAAGGTATATTCTATATTATGATCCTGCTGTGCAAGACAGAGTAGTGGTGAATCACATATATACTGATGGCATGATGCAGCCATTATTACATTGAGCGCTCCTGACCAGAATACCATCCTGTGCCCACGTGGGCTGGCCAGCATGACATAGACTTTCCTTTCATGCCAAAGCAATAGCAAGTCAAGATCACTCATTCCAAGAGGAGGTCTCAGGCACACCAGGAATTCCGCGACTAGCTGTAGAACATCATGTCACATGTACATGATGTGGTGTGATGTGACAGCACTGCTGTGCTTGTCCCATGTCACAATACAATCAAGAACGGCCACATGGGCTCCGGGATCTTTCAAGACTGTGCTGATACTTCCATAGTTAGGTATTTATACATTAAATGCACAGCACTTGCACCATGGCCTTCAAGCGAATGCTCTTGACAGCTCTCATCTGTTTGCTTCAGCCATGATCTGTATGCTGATCGGACTCTCATGAACTCCAATAGGCCAGACCAAAACTTCTCTTCACCACCCAGCCAAATGCTGGCCAATTGTTACTGACAATTCTTAGTAACGGGATCCTCCCTCCTCTCAGAACTCCCAGTGCTGCAGGTGTCCAGAGCCGTGCTGTGTCAGGCGGGCGCCAGCCTCTGACAGGGCATCCATCACATGGCCATGCACTGCATGGTCCAACCATGCAATGACATTTGGCGTGGCTGTCTGTGATGCCAGCTCTCCCTCTGTGGTGCTCCATGCCTCACGCAAACTCCTGCTGTGCACTGCCCGGCTTTGCAGGCGCGCACCTGCACGCAGAAAAACACATGCTTTGCTTGTCCAGCTTGAGCTCAGCGACTTTATATCTGCGATAGTCGGCAACGTGTGCAGCTTCCTGTATTGATTGGGATCTGATCTTTGCTGAGAAAGCTTGATCTGTGATTGGAACGGGTTGCACAGTTTCAAGTGGCACACAGCAGCAGAGCACGTTGGCGATGCATGTTAGAGAGACATGAAGGATGAGCACAAGCAGGAAGGAGGCTGCATCTGAGCATCAATTCAGTGATCTGAGGAAATGACAAAAGAACATCGGCGCAAGTGAGCTGGCAATGTAAGGCTGCAATGAAACCAACGGCTTGCTATGAGGTTGCATCGATTCCATTTGTCACATCTAGCCTTATAAGTGTGCCTTCCAACATCCACATGCCATTCCAAGAGGACTAGACACATCCGAGTCAACAATTTCCTTGGGTTGCCCTCCAGAGAGATTACCGGTGACGCCTTGTTGCAGTATGAAGATTGCAAGTAACGCAAACATCCACCTCCTGTCCATGATGATATCTAGACCCTTTTAAGCAGTGGACTTCTCGATCTGCCAGCGCAGCACGAGCGATGTGTACGGGTAAGGTGACGCCGCAGCCTGCTGGCAATCCCCAAACGCAGCAGATCGATTTCTTCAATGTTTAAATTGAACGTGCAACAATAAAGCTCCAAAGCAAGTGGAGTATGTCGATCTGCAAATCAGAGCGAATCGAAGGAGAAGTTGCCCTGCAGATGCTCGCGTGCACGTGGACCCTAGCTAGCTAGGGTTTGGGGGCACTTGAGAACCGACCAATTCTCCACTTCCATTTCTCCAATCATGTCACTTTACTGACATGGAAGTAACCACTATACGTGCGCAGGTTGTGCCGAGGCAGCGATCGCTGGTACTCTCTAGATATCACAGAGATCAGGGTTATCTCTACAAGGCACGCCCTTCAAAGTGCCACTGAACACCGCTGGATAGATATCAAACTCACCCCTTTTGATTGTTATTCTAATACTTGGGCGTGTATGAGTGCTGAAATCTGCTTGTTCTTGGTCTTATAGCTGTCTTATCATTTGTCATTGGACAGGCATGTTCTTGGAGATCAGGCTCGCAATTCACATTGTGCACATATGAATGGAGGAAAATCTCAAGAAGATGCCATCTATTGAGAGCATCGACCGAGAACGGTTCAGGCGAGGATGGCGGTGACAAAGCAGAAGAAAGAGTCCGTTCTGGACAGGGCGTCAATGTGGAGGTGATGCATGCACTTGTACATTTTTGTGCTGGTTCCTGAAAATATCACATTGACCAGAAGGTCTGTTCTGGCGCGTGTTGCTGGTCACAGAGTGCTATGCAGCCCTTGTGTCCCAGCATTAAGCAGTTGTGCCTGAAAATCATCGTCGCATTGTCCCCACAGGATTTCAATCTACCCTTGGCAGTTGCTCTGGGAGCCTGCTCCTTCGAGGCCTACAACCTGCCATACCACATGTATGGCATCAAGGTACCCTGTCCATCCATCTTTCTGCTTCACAAAATTCAAAATATGATCTCTTCCATAGCAAATCCTGCGTTCATGCACGCCTGCAGCTGCATGTGGAAACACTTCACATGTCCGTGCTTGTTTCTCATGTCAGATCGTCTCACAAGGACATGCGGCCTTCTTGGAAAATGCCATCCGATACAAGAGAGGCCCTCATGCACGCCAGCGGTGGCAACTGGCAATGCTGCTCATCCGCCTGCTTGTCTCTCATGCCAGATTGGCTCACAAGTGGTACTTCTTCTCTCATCCCTGAGAAAGAAACCAATGAATAAGTTAGTGAGTCATTGTGATTGGGGATGCCAGGAGCTGCACCCTTGTGGAGCAGAGACGCTGTACATGGACCCAGCCTATCTGGAGGAGATTGTGGAGGGCCTCTTGCGCGTGCATGTGAGGCATGCCTTCGGCCTGCAGCCTCAAGGGGAGAAGCAGGAGTGCAACCCATTTGTCACCGTGGCCCTCGGCCCTGGTGCAGGTGCACTGACCACTCTGCCATTTCAGAACATTTTCTCCCACCCCAGATTTTTGACAGATAAAGGGTCCTCTCAGGACTCCTTGTGAGGGAAAAGGAATGCGACATGCTTCCAAGCTCAAGGCAATGTCCTCAAGAAGTGGTCAGTTTGGAAGCCTCATGCATGCTTCAAGGTAGCAGGCGCCACATTGTAGGTAGCAAGGTTTAACGAGTTACAGAAATGTGCTGAGGTTCTGACCAGGGCTTTTGGCATGCATGTGTACAGGGAGGACGCATGCAGTGAAAGGGTCGAGTGATCCAATATGGCGAGAGACGCTATTTTTGTACGTGCGGGATTCAGAAACACAGAGCCTCACAGTGCATGTGGAGCACGCTGCGCGGGAGCCTGAGAACATAAATGTTCTGCTGGGCTACGCTGAAATGAAGGATTTGAAAAAGCTTTGCGATGGGGATGTTCACAACTTGCAACTGGACCTGCAAGGGTGGGTGCATGCATGTCTCCATTTTGCCAGTAAAGCATCCGCCCTTCCTGCGTGGTTATCTATGTCCAGGGATATCCCAGTTTTGCTGTTGCTAGCAGATTGGCCCAACGTTTTGCTGCTAACCTTGGTGGGATAATGTGTCGGTTTTAGGTGTTCGATGCTCTCTTTAGAATCTGATAGGTGGTCTTTCATGCAGGGAGGGATGCAGCGGCTCGGTGGATTTTTCGGTGCGATATGAACCTTGCGAGTACAAGGCCGAAGCCATCGACAGCATCAAGGCCAAGGTGGGCCTGCGCTCTGACTCAGTGTGCTGGACTTTGACATTGCATCATTTCCATATTTCTCTTTTGAAACCATGTTTGAGCTTCTTTCTCGCATCAGAATTTCCTTTCCACTGTCTCTTATTTGGATATCTCCCCCTCATCCGTCCGCTATGGCCTCTGCATGTTCAACACGAAGAGGAATTTGATCACTTGGGAGAGCATCAGGATACTGCACTCTTAAAAGAAAACACCGTTGACGCGCTTCAAGTGCATGGTGTGCGCTGACAGGCGGTGGGGCAAATGCTGATTGATGACTGGGCTCCTGGGAGGGAGGACTGGTTCGATGCAGAGTCAGACACATGGCACTATGAGCCCGGCGAGGGGGAGCGTTTTCCAGGGCTGGAGGAGGCTGCTCTGGGCGACCATGTGCAGCAGGTCCTCTCAGATGCCACAGGTGCTGAGCATGCCATCTGGGCCTTGCAGCTATCACCTTGTCAAGCTTTCTTTGATTTCATGGCAATCTCGCCAAATGCTTTGTAGTTGGATACCAAGGAACTTGCGGCATGGCTGCTCTCTGACCCTTCCAGAATGTGCCCTCTCAGACGGAGCAGCAACCCAATCAATAACCCTGTGCAAATGTGTCAGCAAGAATTACTACTGGACGCTCGTGGAATGGGGGTCCTGATTCCACCTGATCTGGTGGTGGCAAGGTTCTAGGCTTCCCCAATCCAGTCATGCATGGTGTTGACTGTCTGGCAAGCAGATTTGGTGCATGTGGCAGGGAACCTGTTGACTGAGGGAGTGGACCCCACCAGGGAGGAGTGGAAGGCATGGACCTCCTTCAGGGACTCCATCGCTGAGGAGTGGAACCCTGACAGCCTCAAAGCTGTCGCCTTCATCCTCAACAGGGTGCGCTCTTTGGGCTCACTGCATGTGCCGCAGGGGCTGTTTCGACCAAGCATATTGGCATTGCATGTCATTTGGGAGTCCACTTTGGGCTCTGTGGAGGATGTGGCTTCAGCAGTGACTCTGATCTGGCAACGGCAAGGGCAACCTTGCCTTTGCCACTCTACACACTTTGGTCCTTGCTGTACTGCAAAGGACTCTATTGGCAAAATGTATGCACCCGTATACCTATAACATGACAAAGTCCAGCTGTTGCAGCAGTATCTTAAACTAATCAGGACATCAATACCTGCCGCCGAGGAAATGAGCACCTGCATGCATGCTGCTGTTCATGAAGTTACAGGGCATAAAGGGCACTCATCTGCTGCATCTCTGAAAGGCGCTGACACCTCTTGAAGAGTGTATCTTTGCTGCGCAGGCGACCAGCACAGAGGTGTGGATATACCGCAATCAGCAGACGAGGGAGGCGGTGATTGCCTTCCGGGGCACGAGTAATCCGCAGGACATGATGACTGATGCGGCGCTCGCCATGTCAGCATTCAGCCCCGGGCACCGCAGCGGCGGCAGCAAGTCGCCTAATGACGTGGCAGCTGAGCTGTCGGATGAGGAAGTCCTACAGGGGCCGCTGGGCGGCATCTTTGCCAGCATCAAGGTGTGCTGGCAATAGGTCTTGTCATTACTCGTGCTCTGCGACAGTGTCAAGGTATTTGTTGAGTCCTGCATGGGCAGAGCAATCGTAGTACAAGTAGACCCACAAGAGCCGCTGTATGTATCATGAATCTTGTAGATCAGGCATGCGTGACCATCATTCCACCTTTTGTCGGTTGTGCTGCAAGAAGGTGAGCACCTGTCCGTTTCAAGGCCTTTCTACCCAGGCTTCCATGCCTTGATCTATCGGACATCATCAGGCACAATACCCCTTCTGATTGTTCTTTGCAGACCCTGTGAATGCTTAATATCTGAATCACAGATTTTACACCAGATCGCATCTCTTGACATGCTGCGGCGCTGTGCTGTGCTGTGCTGCTCAGTGCAATGTGAGCATCAGATCACATTGCCGAAGCCAACCTGCTGTGCGGTGATGTGCAGAGCATGGAGAGGGTGCGGCTGCCAAAGCTTCCATTTGGGAAGAAAAAGAAGAAGGGGTCAAGGAAAACGCGGCCGCTGAAAGCCGTGCAGGGGTTGAAGGCCTGGGCCAAGGCGCAGTCTGTGATGCTGTACGGAGTGGAGCACGATGAGATCTGGGTGCACGAGGGCTTCAACGAGGTGAGTCAGCATTCTGCTCACTCTCTCGTACTATGGTAACCACGAGTGCTGATCTATAAATTGAGCAACCCCTCAGATTTTTTTTCACATTGTTCCCCCAGAATGTCCCGGATAATTACACTGTGGCAGGCGTCATTTCTTGCGCAAAGATGGTGTAGAAGTCATGCCAGAGAGTCTTGACCTGGCGAAGTATGCGCAGATAAAAATTGTGCATTAATGATGCAATGAAGTGCTGGCCTTGTGCATGTGCATCCGGCTAAGCATCATGCAACATGTATGCTTATGGAGGCTCCACAATGATTATCTCTTGCAAGTGGTAAGAAGTTTTAGCTGTGCAGCTGCATGACATGCATGCAATCTGTCATGTGCGTGCAGGCGTACCAATCGGTGAAGCCGCGTGTGCTGGACATCTTCGATGAGATCATTGGCGAGTGCGTCAACAGCCGCAGCCCCGCCGCCGGCAAATCGAACGATGACAGGTGGCGAGTGTATCTCACCGGCCACTCCATGGGCGGCGCGCTGGCCACGCTGTGTGCGTACGAGCTGGCGGTGAGTCACCACTTACTCCATCCAGCAATTTTGGTCATGCCTAGTCTTGGATGGCTTTTTCATTCCAATGCACACCCTGGCCGTCAAGACAACCTGCATTCACTCCCAGATGAGCGTTGTTGACTGCTCCATATTAAGAATCAAGGATAAAGTTTTGAGGGGAATGGGCTTCAATGACAGACATGAAGACATACAGGTGTACTAGAGCTTATTGACAGAAGTTTCTGCCATGTCCTTTGCAGGCGAGGGATTATGGGAATGTGCCAGAGCCAGCGGTAACAATGTACAGCTTTGGGCAGCCCAGAGTGGGCAACCTGCCGTTCTCCTCTGACTACGGTACCGTCTATTCAGTGTTCTTCGTTGCTATGCCACATCTTTAAAATCAGTCTATGTGCCCCTCTGACCATATCACCGTTCATCTGGCTTGCCTTGGGCATTCTGGTCATCTTCCAGAAGAGAGCCTCACAGGCGGCATGCAATTCCCTTTCAGCTGAGACAAGTGCTGCAAATGCTGTTATTGCCTTCTAGCAGTGCAATACAAAAATGTATGTTTGGTATGAGATGGTGTGTTGCATGCATGCGTGCGCAGACGAGGTGGTACCGGACAGCTGGAGGGTGAAGAATGCGAACGACATAGTCACGCGCGTTCCCTCCCTGCTGGGCTACCACCACATCGGCGTCGAGGTGCAGATGTTCCCTGACGGGCAGCTCACAATCTCGCGCGAAACCTCCGACGACCTCCGCGAGGGCGCCTTTGCAGCAGACATCATCCCTAAGATCAATGGTGCGCCAAACGTGTACTGTCAAGTTCCGGGGGATTTGTTCTGTGCATGGCCTATCTTTATAATCTGCATTTTGTTCTTCTTTAAAAGCGAACCATGTAAATGGCTCGCTTGCTGGTGTCCCTTTCACAATGATGGGCATCATCCTCAGGGTTGTAGTATCAATTACCTGCGGATATTTGCTATTTGCGCTGCTCTGGAAAGCACCCTCTGTTGACTCGGTCACACCCACACATGACTTGGAAAGAGCCTGCTTCCCGCCCCTTGTCTTACAGATGGGCCTGAGCAAATGACCACAAGTCTCCAGCTGCATGCCTTGCCTTGTTTTGGAAACAAAGTTGACAGACTTGGTCCACATTGGTGAGCGCAGAGGGGATGCTAGGGGACGATCCGAAGGCCAAGGAGGAGTTTGAGGCGCTAGCAAAGGCCGACATGGAGGTGTGGAAGAGCATCATGAGCGGCGCTGCCATCATGGAGCACATGGAGGATAAGTACCACGACATGCTCAAGGTGAGGCCTGCCCTTAATTTGGTTTTAAGAGATACAAATGAGCAACGAGAGATACAAAGAGAACAAAGAGACATTGCAAAATATGGAATTGGAGGACTTAGAGTTTTGGCGTATTTCTTTGCAATGCCACTCGATGACTTACCAAGCATCCAGTATCTTGGCAGAAGCAGGCATGCAGCGTGCTTGTGGTGTGTAAGCCAGGGAGCACCACTTTGGAGTCAGAATTTCAGGGTTGGTACTTTTTTTTTGCTGGCTTTATTGGTGCAGGCAGAACAGGTTGCTGCTTTGAGCATGCTTTTCAAGCTTATCTGCCAGGCGTGTTTTGTAATGGTGCTAATTTCAAAGAGCGGGTCCACTTCTTTGCAGAAATGTGTGGAGAAGCGCGATGAGGGCGGAAAGCTACCAGTGAAGAACCTGGCTGAAACAGGGGAATAAACTCTATTTACAGTCTGGTATTAAGACGGCGATCATATTTATGTGGTTGAAAATTTCTTTGCTACAAATTTCATCTTGCGTTTGTGCATTTTCGGATTGTCATCGTTCATTGAAGAATTTGTCTGCCGCACTATTATTGCTTTGCCATCTGATCTTGAGCAGACAATCAGAATTGGATCAGAATCTGCAGCATCGCTTTGGTTTGGGTTCAACATTGCTCTCATCATGCTGAGATTTGTTGCTGTGCATTGCATTCATAAAATTAGTGATTTTCCTAAGTATGTGGTCAAGAGACAATTGCATTCTTTGATCAAAGAGATTTCTTAGGGGAGGTTCCTCTGGTTGGATTGAGAGGTGCGTACAGGCAACTGCAGAGCTTATTGACAGGACAGATGCGGTGAGCCAATGCTAGCTGCATGCAGGTCATGACATGAAGCAGAATGCTGACGCTGACAAAGGTGAACAAAACAGGACAGAGGGCACACGTGAAAGGCATTGCCAGCAATATAATTAGTCAGGAACGGCCGCCTTGCTTTGCAATAAATATTAAACCATTTAATTAAGTAATCAACACAAAGTGGAGTTGTATCAGTACTGATCATCGATCAGCACATGCCGTGATCTATCACATCTCACATCCGTGCAGTCTTAGTATCAACAGAACATCGCATGCACCAACTTAGGCCCCTCAAGTACAGTACATGCATGGATCAAGTGATCATCAAGCGCTTTCGCCGCTGTTCAGGACAGCTTTTCAGTCAGCGCAGCAGCGGCTGCCAGTCCACTGAGGATTGCTCCCTGCGCACTAGACTCCCGGCAGAAGTCACCGCAGGCCGCCAAATCCAGCTCCCTGTTCAAGATCAGGCCGCCCACACCATGATCTGGTCAGCTGCAAATTTATATGTGTGTCAGTCAGGTTAGCAGGAAAACGGTGTTCCCTACTTCCACCAAATGCCAAACACAGCAGCGTGCAATACATCATATTTATATGTGTCACTTAATTTTCCGAGCCATCACAGGGAGACTCAGCTGTGCAGGGCTATGCAGATCTTTCTGAGGGAGAGCTTCAAAGACAGGAGGCTGTACACCGCAAAACCCACTTCAACCCAGAGATCACAGCATCTGAATACATGGGGGATTTATCCCACAGTGCAAAAGCTGTCTGAAGGGTTGCCGTACCTGTCAATCAGGCAGGCTTCCTGCAGAACGCTGGCCTTGAATCCGCCGCCCCAGCGCTGCGCATGCATATACACCGGCACCGGCTTCTCCGCTCCTGTTGCACCAAACTGCCAGTCTTGTCCCAACAGCATGATTTCAGCACACCACACATCTTCTGTCGTTCAGTGACACCACCTCCCGCCACAAAATCTTTCGATGGGGCAATTGTTGCAGCCTGTCTGTAAGATGGCGCAACTTGAAAACACTTCCAGAAAAGTTCCCGGGATGGGTGATTTGGGAGAAAGCAGCCTATGTGAATCTATAAGCGCAAGCACAGCAGGCTGCTGAGCAAGACACGGGGTGGTCTTTAATTGATCTGATAACTTCCCCAGAGACCTTTGCTCGACAGCTTGTACAAGCACCAGAATCTAAATTACAAATCAACCTGGGTGTCACCTGAGGAGAAGGGCTGGAGCACCCCCCAGAGGGCGTCCCAGATGCGGGGCGCCAGCTCAGACAGGTACTGCTGACTCTGCGCCACGTATGCGCCGTCCTTAGTCAGCGGTGCCTCATCCAGCAGCTGGCGCGCAAAGGCCTCAGTCGTCATTGCCACCCAGCATTCCAGATTGTCCTCACGCTCCCTGCCTGCACACCATTTTTTCCCCTTTTCAGGTGTAGATTTTGAGCGAACTGAATAAGGCCCCTTCACTCCAGCAAAGGTCAGAAGCCTCAGTAAGCAGGTGTCATTCTGGAATGAACTGGTAAAGCAGATGATGTCCTGTGAAATATCCTCTTCTCCATGTCTAAGATCTCAGGCTTCTCAGACGAGGGCAGTGAGCCAAGCAGTCTTCATGCATGCATGCACTTGAAAAATCCCGCAAAGCATGCAACCTACCCACCACAGCTTTTACAAGTGGCCGGACAAAGATGACGTGAAGGCCTGACCTGGTTTGGAGGAGTCTCTGGCAACCCACTGGATGCCATCACTTCCAGTCACCGTCGCGCCGTCAAAGGGAGCATTCACAGCGCGGCTGTCAAGGCACACCATGAGCGAGAAGACTGGGCTGGCAGTGACCGTGCCCATCTGCTGAACCATGGGCGAAGCCTCTGCCCCACCCAGTTGGAGCGAGCCGGGAGAACCTGCGCGCATGCACATGATTTTCGATAAATAATCCAAAAATGCACAGAACGCAGGCCTCCTTGCAGAGGCGACATCACCAATCTTGTGACCACAATGATGTGGTCGCAGAACCAATCAGGATTCCACCCATTCCTCAGGAAGCGTGGTTCTATGGAGCGGATGGAGGCCTGGTAGGTCATACAACCGTGCCATTGGAAAGCTTTCAGAGATTTTAGGTAAGCATCACTTCCCTGCTTTCCTCGAATGAATATTTTGAGGAATTAATTAGCATTTCAAAAAAGTCAGCAATGTGCAGCACACACACTCGAGCGCATTGTCATGATGTCCGCCAGCAGAACAGCGCCGTGTGTTGCTGTTGCAGCAGCGTCCTCGCTGCCTGTGACATACTGCAGCTTCCACGTGCCATCCTCAAGCCTCCTGATGCCCTTGACCTGCAATCCAGGGATACCCAGCTTCGTTCTTCTCACCATCAGTCATATAGGCCTTTGCACATGGGCGGTGCAAGCTAGCCGTTGCTGGACCTGCCATTGCTCTGCCAGCTCACTTGGCTTTCTGCACTTCACGCCAGGACTACAGATGAACCATAATTTCGCACCTAGATAGATAGATCATATTATCAGCAGCATCTTAACGCGCTAACACCAGCACCCTCCTGCAAAAGGGCCAGTGGGAAATCAAACGCCCCATTGCCCAAGCCAGGCTCGTCTTGTGTACATCCCTGCTACACATGCTGCAGCAGCTTGCCCTACCTAGAGGTCATCTGCATGCAAAAGGACAGAGAGTGACATAAGCACTAAAATGCACCTCATTTTTACCTACCTTGCTGCCCCAGTGTGAACGCAGGTTGGGGTTGGCGGCCAACCCTTGGCAGACAGCGTCCATCGAGGGAACTCCCACGTAGATGTCCCCAGGACCCATAATACCGCAGAAGCCACTTGTGCTAGCTGCCTCTCCTGAGGCGCTCCTCTGGGTAAAGTCACCTGAATCATCCAGGCTAATAAGTAATGCATGCAGCGTCTGACACAGGAATGTCATTGGATTGCCAAGCTTATAGAAATGGCACAGGGGATGGTGCATGGATGTACACAATTGTACACTGATGGTGTGAAGATAAATTGCCTAAGTCGTGGAAGTTGTTGGGATAGTGATACCTGTTGCAGCATCCAGCAAGCCAAGCTGTCCTTCCCACCGCCTGACAAAACCTGCAGCAGGTCACCTTGGATCAGGTCGTGTCCAGAAGAGAAGTGCCAGAGCACAGGGATGCTAGACAAGAGAAGCCTGCAGAGATCAGACATGTACAGCACCTTTACGTTGCCAGTCCTCCATATGCTCCAAGCAGGCAGGCTCAGATGCTCTGATGAATTGGCAGCCATGGTCAAATTGCATTGAGATCCCATCTTTATCCACTCGGCGTGTCGATGACCTGCCTCCTGCAGGGTAACTATGAGTGTCAGTACTACTGAGAACGCATAGACACTCGGCACGAGGAAAAATAGGAGTCAAAATCAGTCTGTTTGTCACGAATAAATTGTCCCTGACCTGGCCCACGTCTGCCCATGTCATAGACGTCAACACCAATGCCCCGTTGAAGCAGAGCATCAGCAGCAGACAATCCAGCCAACCCACCTCCTGTCGCGAGTTTCAAACAGTTTCAAGCTAGTTTACTGTACCGAAAAGAAGAACACATCTGGACTCACTACAAGAAACTTATGGGCCACACAAACTACAGATGTCCTGTTTGTAGTACCTATAACAGCCACACTTCTACCCTGCGGCATGGCTGACGCTTTTTTGGCTAACGATCGGCAATGTTGAAGCGTGCACACACGTGAAATCTGCCTGCTGAAGAGGATTGAAGCACAGGGCATGGGACTACAATCTTTGCGGCAGGCAGTGCTGCTCTACGGCAGATGACATCAACTTCGTCTCTAGAAGCCTTTGTTACAAGTTTTCAATTTGATCGCTGCTGTCTCGCCTTGCTTGCTTGCGAAAGGCCCCAGCGATGACTGATTTGCCAGTCAGGAAAGAGATTTGTAGCTTCCTCCGAACGGGAAGCCGGGCAATCTTACGGCATTTCAAAGGCTGTAGCTTAACCAGCAACAGCTTGCTCTCATCAAGTACAAATATATCGTCAACTTACAAATATGGCCAACGGCGACATTAACACCAACGGTTACACGCTCCGAGTGGCGCGCACAGCCCAGGATTTCCAGTCGTTCCGGGAGATCGTGCTGGACTTCCACCATTTTCTGAATGTTGATCTCAGCTTTCAGGTGCATACAAAACACTGTTAAGTACCAGTATTGCTTATGATTGATGGGTGCAGAAATTTTGCTAATTGGCAAGTGCCCCTCCTAACACATCTTGTTGGTGCAGAACTTCGAGGGGGAGATGGCAGGGCTCCCCGGTTGCTATGCTCAACCTGATGGAGCCATACTCATCGCCTCGGTGATGACAGAGTCAGGGTCCCGAGATGCAGGTGCAGTTGCTGTGAGGCCACTGCCCGAGAAGGCCAAATCCTGGCAGAGCATAGCAGCAGCAGCAGCTGCTGCAGAAGACTCAGGTATTCAATGCCCTTCTGCGAATATAATGCATACAAATATTCGCAGATCGTCTGGGGAATCAACAGAAGAGAAGAGAGATACAAGACATACAAGGCGTTGCGAGCGCCGAGTAGAGAGAAGGGGCTGCCTCGTGGCGCATATGCAGTGCTACTGACATTTCGGTATTTGAAGTAGGACAGGGCATGAGAACCTCGTGTTGCACAGGTACCAGCAACGCAGGGGAGAATGGCTCAGACGGTGAGGTCTCTCAAGGGTGGCATGGCCGTATCTGTGAGATGAAGCGCTTGTATGTGAGGCCTGAGTTCCGGGGGTTGCAACTGGGAAGGGTCCTGTGCGAGGAGCTTATCAGGTTGAGCAGGGAGATGGGCTATGATGAGATGGTGTTGGACACTCTGGACAGGCTTAAGAGCGCTGGAAGGACATATGAGAATTTGGGCTTTGAGCAGTGTGGGCCATATTATCACAACCCTCACCCTGGTGTCATTTACTGGCGGAAGAGTCTGAAGATCTGACAGCAGTGCAGTTGAGCATCGTGGACAAATTGACAAAATCGTGCTTTGGAGCTGTTCAACCAGCTGTCAATTTCGGCCTTTTGATGCCGATATGTGGTTTTGAAGCTGCATACGGTAAGTCCTGCTGCATCAATATTTCTCGCAAGTTCTTTAGTATTGCATGTGAATCCGAGCTTCCAGTATTGGGAAGAAGATGCCGCATTGCGCAGATCCATGAATTAGTTGCTTTGATGGAACAAACATTAGCGACCCTTGGATGCACATTTGCATCCATGCCATTATTTTCTTGCAACTGAGAGATGGCAGCAGCTCAGCTGCAGCATTTAGACACACTGTTGGCAACCTGCCCATCCATGGCCAATTCAAAGCTTAAATCGGGCGGTTTGTGTTAACAACTTGACGCAATCTTTTAATACTTAGCAGGCACGTTTGTTTGAAAGGCAATATTACCATGTGTGCTGTTGGCATCATACTGGACAGATGTGTGCGCAGCATGCTTGGGTTTGCGCAAGCCCGCAACAGTGCCATCAGTGATTGGCGGCCAGTGCCCAGCTGCCCTGCAGGGATGGTCCTATACATGAAGGGACCGTATGTTCTGGGAGAGGGACTGCAACAAACAGATCTGGCATCAATATTTTGCTTCAAAATGTCAGTATAATGCACATCTCACAGCAGTTTTTAGCCAGCGGTCCCACAAGCCTGGTGCATGGAGCCTAATCTGGCGAAGGAAGGTCCAAGTCTCTGGGACCATCTTGCTAAGACGAGATGCTACTGCGGCACTGTGAAGTATTCTTCTACAACTTTGCTTGATCAGCGTCGCCGTCCTGGATGTCGACCATCCTGGCCGTTACAGGTGCTAGCCCGCTTGTTAGCCAATGCCAGACCACTTCTCTGCTGAAACTATCCGTGTCCAGTGACGAGCATGCTGTAGAACTTTCTTACTCAGATTTAATTAAATGGCGCAGGCCTGGGTATCTCATCGACAGGATCGGCATTGCTAAGAAAAGGTGGGGCCTTGGCATGTGATCGTGAACCCTGATCTTAGCATATACCTGCCCAATCCTGGAACTTTCACTTGATGTGTCCTGTACTTCATTACTAATGCATCAGTTCTCAATGCAGTTCTATTTCAGCTAAAAGCAGAAGGAGAGAACGGCGATGTCCACACCTTTGAAAAACCCTGGTAAGTCCTCGTTCAGGCATCTTCTCCAGGAAAACTGCCCTCAGCCACAAAATGTGTTTTTTGCTAGCTGTTATGCCTTCTCTAGTAACTGCAGCTTCGCTGTGCCTGGGCTGCTGTGATCCAACTGCCTGGCAGAATCCATCGCTTCTATTTGCTCCTGCTCTGTGACCAAAATCCCCTTGTCCTCCTACCCTTTGACATCCTAGATGGTCTTAGGGACATCATTTTTCATGAGCAATAAGACTGGCTAGTTGTATCGTATCGCGCAGCATCGACCTATCATGCATCTGTGCAGGTTCACGACATTTGAGTCAGCCTTAGCATGCCTTGTGAGCCTGCTCCTCTACAGTGTGTACCAATACCTTGCCCAGTGCTGGCGATGGAGGAAGCCCAAGCAGCTGACAGCTACTCAAGAACCGCTGCTCAGCGACAGCGAGGTAATGGCACCACAGCGACTAATTGCTCTTGACATGCATGCATGCAGCAATCCACGCTTTGACAGAAGGCCTGTGATGATTCCATTCTGCTTGTTTCGTCCAGACAGCGCGTGCAAATGGAACATATTGAGATGCAATACACTGAGAGGAAGTAGGACATGGCGCTAATTTGTGTATTTATTTCCCAATGCGCAGGATAAAATTGAGAAGGAAGCGGTACCATGCAAGAGAAAGAGCTCTTGGAAGGAGCTGCTGATGCTGGCGTGGCCAGGCTCCCTCAACGTGATGTCCATCATTGTGCAGGGAATGGGGCTGCAGTACATCAGCGCTTCTGTCTCACAGATGATCTCAGGTGTGATTTTTGATTATGCGCTTTTTCATATCGTAGCTTGCACAGGTGCTTGGTCACACAACCTTCAGAAATTGCAACATGTAGGATGGACAAGAAGGCAATGTGTCATGCAGGGTCTTGTATCATCTTCACGGCCGCCCTCTCAGTCCTTGTGCTTAAACGGCGTCTGAACTGGCTTCACATCACAGGTGAGCTGCTCTGCAACGCTTGCATGCAGACCACATTTTGTCTGGCACCATGCAGACTCCTACTTTCTCTCTTCACCATGATCTGTGCCGCATATGCGCAGCTCAGTCCTGCAAAGCAGTCCATACTCATACATGTAACATGCATGTTAATGTCACATACTGATGATGTAAGCTTGCTTGCAGGGATTGTGCTTACACTGATGGCGGTGGTGATTGTGTCACTGGTCAACTTAATCTACCCACCCTCTTCGTGCCCCCGCTCTGACCCGGCCTGCATGAGCGCGCATGGGCCGGACCCCCACAGCAACGGCCACCACATCCTGCTGGGCATCATGCTCACCTTAGCTGCGCAAGGCTTCCAAGTGCGGGCACACACTCATGCTATGCTGAAATAAATCGTGCATCGCTTTCTTGCAAATACGGTGATGAGGCCTCAAGCTGATGGATGTTAATACTTCTGGCACTGTTCTGGTTTTACTGACTTTGGAGCACTAAATCTGCATGTTAGTGGTCTTTCCTCAGCCTCACTGGACTAGCTCTCCCATTAAAATGCCGACGGCGGCCCTTCACATCTACATGCATTGAACTAGGTTCCAGCTGTCACTTTCTGTCCTAGTGGAGCAAGGTGGCTGCGTTCAGGAGAGTGTCACCCATGACTAGCCCTGAGAAGTCCCAAGAGGTCATTGCAGACACTGCATGGGCTGGGGTGAAGTAAATTAAAGATGGCATGTAATCTGGCCCAGGCAGTGCGGCTGGTGATGGAGGAGCTGCTGCTGGAGAAGATGGTGCTGCATCACATGGAGGTGTGCTCCTGCTATCCAGAACATCCGCAAACATCAAGCTTCACAAGTGCATGCATCGGGCCCTGTGCTCGCAAATGAGCCGGGATGTGTAGAAAATGTCCTGATCATTTTGTGTGGAAAGCCAAAGGAGGCTCATACGGTTGTGGGGCTGCAGGTGCTTGGGTGGGAGGGTCTGTGGGGGACATTGGGCATGGCGGTCATTGGGATGCCCCTGGCATGGTTCCTGCCTGGAGCTGACATAGGTCCGCTCAACTCCGAAGCCAATCCTTACCTTCGGCTATGATTGAGCCCTACCAGTGAAAGAACACTGGCTCCATATTGCCACTGAGCATCAGCAGTATCCTGGGCTTTACACAAGATGAGGCCATCCTGACTGCCCTATACTGTGCCGTACAGATATTCAACTGCATGCAATTCCCCTGTTGTGTAAACCCTGCAGGGGGACGCGAGGAGAACACGGTGGACAGCGTGCTGATGCTGTGGAACAGCGATGGACTGAATGCGGTCAACACGCTCTTCTTCTGGTCAGTCGTGGGCCTCAATGTGTTTGGCCTCATGGTCACGCAAGTGCTGGGCTCCGTCTTCCGGGCAGTCATGCTCACAGCGCGCACCGCCTCGGTGAGTCACCCTTCTCAGTGTCTAGTCAGGGTCACCTCTGATCTTAAAGTTAGGCGTTTACCTTTTGATGACGGGGCCTAGCTGTTACCAGTGATGTTCCCTGCTCAGCCATTCTGGCTCTGCGCGTATGCATGTTAGGGTCTCCTACGGGGTTCCCTCTAGTGCATTCTTTTTTTTCTTTTTTTCTTTCGTTCTAGGCGTAGTACCCCTGGTCTAGTCTGGGTATCACATCGATTGGGAGGTAGTTGCTGCAAAACCCCCTGCTACATTTATTTCCATGTATTGAGCTCCAGAACATCTTGAAGAGCAAAAGGGTATGGGTGACGTACATCCCTGCTGAGTTGCGCTTCTTCTCGTTCAATTTACCCTTGCTACCCATAGTTCATTCATGTAAGGGAAAGCACTAAGGGTGTGATTCTCCTATCCACTGTCACCCAAGCCATGCCTCGGACAATTTGCAAGAAAAAGGATCAGAAAGAAAAACGAAATGCTGAGGCTGATGAGGCACGATAGGTGTGGGCGGTGGACTTATTGCTGTACGCAGCGCTGCCGGCGGATCTGAATGTGGGCGAGGCATGGGTTAGCCCCGCCTCATGGATCCAGCTCCTGGGATTCTCCCTGCTGCTTGCTGGCACCATCATCTACGCGCAGGTGGGGCCACCCTTTTCCTCAGCTATTCTGCTTGCCGGTAGTGAAATTTGAAATTGAATTTGAATTTGAATTAAAATTCTTCCAGGTCAGGTTCTGCCCAGGGTTCAATTCATTGAAAGACACTTTTTGTGCAGCCTAGCTTCTGTGTCGTCTGCCAAGGTCAAGGCATAATGATTGTGCCTGAAATAGCAAATTTCCTGATGTTCAGTCACTCATTCTGCTGGAGAATGCCTTCACAGTCTGCAGAACCGGTACAAATGATCACCTGATAAATTTTCTGTGCATGCAGGGGTCGAGTCCATCCGCGCTCACAAAGGAGGCAGCAGAGCGAGAGGGGGAATTCGAGAGGGAGAGCGTAACAACCGCCCCCGGCGAGCCGCCGCCGCCAGGCATCGGTCTCAAGCGGCAGAGTATCGCCAACATTCGACCCCTGTACAGGTTTGGCAATTTTTTCCCGGGCTGTCTCCTGTGGTGCTTGTTTCCGTGAGAGCGTGCAATTTCACACCAAGCTAGCGTATACATCTACCTGTTCTCACTGCTTGCACATCAGAGCAGAAGTTTAACATCCTCACATCAGGTCACATACTCTCCAACTGCAAAGTATGCGGAAGCAGACAAGTGACACTGTCACTGGCGATCTTATATCAAGGATACGATCACAGTCACCATTAGTTCACATATATGCACTCTCGCTGTAATGCCAAATGTTTTCCTCTCTGTATGCAGTTTTTACATTCCCCAGTCGCGCTCCGGCGGCGTGCATGCGATGGCGATGCCTATTCCTGGCGCGAGTTTGGAACGCACCACCTCCCTGCCCACAACCCCGGAGCGAGTTTACGAGCCACGTACGTACCTGCACCCTGACCTGCATTTTGTTCTTCAGCTTAAACGCTTCTGTTCCGCCGCAGCAAATGTTCACATGTGGCACTCCTGGCTTGAATAATTAGGGTCTAGGGTGTTAAGGGTTCTCGGCATGGAATGTGCGCATGCCCTTGCTTTAATTGATTCTGTGAGGATGCAAGTCTGTGGGCCACCTGGGCTAGCATACAGTGGTTAATGTCAATTTTACAAATAATACACTTCTTTAGGAGTGCACTGTGAGAGATGACCTTGGTGCCATAGACCATGCATGTGGCTGGTGAAGAAATAACCACAAAAAGGAAAAGCAAGACTAGATTTGACATTACTAGTCGTTAGGACCACAGGATGTGTACCGTAGAAAACATTATTAAAATAAACACACTGTGTTGCAGCTGTGGTGGATGAGCTTGGGGCACGCTCAAGCCTGCCAGCCAACCTGAAGGGCCGCCTGCCATCGCGCCAATCCCTTCTCAACTTCATGTCTCGGCTGAACACCGGCCAAGACAACGAAAGCATCAGCTCGGTGCGCCCACGCTGGTCACTCTGCCAAATTTTGATAGCTGGGGCTCTAGAGAACGCGTGGGCTTATCTCTGTGTCACTGTCGGCCATAAGGCTTAAGATGACGTGCTGAGCGAGCTGAGAAGATGCCTCTTACAAAACGCGCAGCCGGGATGCTTCAATTGGCTCCTGGCTCGTTCTGTTAGGCTGGTGCTATGAAATGCTGCTTTCGGGCCCACCATCATTTTACTGCATGCGCAGCGGCACATCCGCACAGCCCCGAATTTGGGACGGTCCCTCTACTGGGTTCCTCAGCAAGATCTGACGATTGAGAGTGTGTCTGCAGGCCGAGGGGGACCTGCCAGCTGGCGCCTCGCCAGGTTTTGTAAGGACGCTGACTCACCGGTCCTCATGGTTCCTGGACCGCGCCCTGGTGAGACCTCCACTACTCTGATCAACATGTTGCCTGCATGTGTTGACACATGGCAGATCTGTCACTGAAACGAGCTGCCCTCACAGCACGTCATCAGGTTTGCAGTAGTAGTACGAAAACTGTTTGTCCAGAATGCATCCATGGATGGCGTGTGCAAAATCAGTAGTTCATGTGATCAATGCAATAATCGTGTGCCATCCTCCCACTGCTAATTGCACGCGACGCTGAGTGGCAGAGCCTGTCTACGCAGGAGGATGCGCAATATCAAAGACCCAACTCTAGAACAAGCTCGGGGGATTTGGAGGCGGGGCCCTCGGGGACGTACAATGGCGCAAACCCCTTTGCGGCCGCCATGGCGCGGGAAGATCTGCGCAACCTTAGGCCCATCCTAGAGGACGACGGCCGACTTTCCATGGATGCCCGCAGGAGTTCGCATGCGCTCGAAGCCGAAAACGTAAGTGTCTGTAAAATGCATACTTAGGCCATCTGCAGATACTGTGCATGCCTAACGATGCCTGCACGATGGGATGCATGCTCGTGTGTGTTTAGCTCTGCTAAGTAATTTTATCACGTCATAATTAAAGCTTGCCATGTGTCTATGCATATGCTCCTACTCATGGTCCCGTGCCAGGCCATGCCGGCAATCTTTTTCCTTCCTTAGGTTTCCCTTTCCACTTGTCAGGCTGCACACTCACGAGAGTGCAGCTCTGGGCAAGAGCAGGGAAACCCAAATCAATTGATATACTTCAGAATGATCTATCAATTGCCTAGTTAGAGGCCTTTAGGCAAACTGGCAATGGGTGGATGAATTCATTTGTGGAGCTGTGCCTGTGCAGGACGGTGGCGAGCGGCGGCCGTCTGCAGAGAGGCAGATCAGCTCGCGACAGGGGTCAAGAAGCATCAGGTGGAGCGATGAGGAGGAACCGAAACCACAAACGTGAGCCCTTTATCCTGACAGCTCCCAACTTTCCCAACCCAGCCATCTTCATGCACATCAATAGAAAGGCCTCTTTTAAAGCGCACATCACGGGCATGAGCTTCAAGAGGTTCTGATCCTGAAGTGTCTCACTCAGTTGCTCAAGTGACTGTGCTGGTTGTATATGCAAGTGTGTGAGACTTGATCGGGTCTTACTGTGTCACTCAATTGCCCCTGAATGTCCCTGCAAATGTGTGAGGATAGATGGGGTCGCACTGTGTCATTCAATTGCTCCAGTGACTGTGCTGGGTGTCTCTAAGTGTGTGAGAGTTGATGGGGTCTCACTACGGTGAAAATGTGCAGTTCTGCTGGCTTGGATTGGGCAATGCTTGGGCAGTCACCAACGGCAGAGGTGCTTCTGGAGAGGCGGGCTTCGCAGCGGCTGCCGATGGCGCAGCAGCCGGCGATACCCGAGGCAGATGACGGTGGGGATGAGTCAGAGGAGGATGACTCAGGGCAGGCAGCATTTAGGGGGGCATCTGGGGGAGTCTTTGGGGACCTCTGATCATGATGTGGCGCTTGGGTTCGGAATAATGGCTGCCTGAAAGGAAGCTGCATGTGAAGAAGCCGCAGCTGAGGAGAGTGTGAATTCGAATTTGTGGACCTTCACACTGCTATTCTTTACGGACCCCCAACCTTGCTGAATTCTATGAGGGGTGGGCGGGCCATGCACTCAAGCTTGCCGACCAGTCTGCATTCTAGACAGACCATCCTGTATATCTAAAGCCCTTTCAAAGATGGCAGTGTACAGTCAGTAACTATTTTACTGTCCTGATATCGGGATTAACACGAGACAGCTGTAGCAGGTTCAGATATTCACAGTGCTGTTAGGATTAGCGTAAAGAATTGACATTGTTTTGCCGATCTAGATCTATTTTTACATCAGGAACAAATGCAAGGTAGTTGGTGTGTTGGCAGTGTGCATGCCTCGTAGCAACCGCATGTGTTGTGGTGATCATCATGATCCTGGGCCCAGATGACCCAGGATACATGCGCTCAATACCATATATATGTCTTCAGCCAATTGGCGCCTCTATGAAGATACAGACCATACTTAGCAAGCGGCGCTGCCAGCATGCATGCATGCATGCATGCATATGCTATGCAGCCACCATCCTGCTATTAGTCAGCAATACCACACAAGAGTAAAGCCCGGATCACTCCTGGAGAGATTAATTAATGTTGATCAGGAACACTCCAAATGCACTCTCCTGGAATTGTGTAGCAGTCATTTGCAAAGGCCAGACATGCGCCAATCCTGTTAGGACTGGCACCCCAGAGGGCTGCCTCCATTCCCAGCACACATTGCACTGCTCCCTTTGAGTCACTTCCCCGGCAATTGACTGCTGGAGGCATCAGCATAGTATGGTGGTCGCTTCAAGGTGAGTCCATACTGCATGCACACAGAGTCTCTTGTTGATGAGTGCAGAAACTGCACTTCAGATCTCCTGCTTTTGTAAGCCACTGCCTTGAATTAGTAATTTCTTGATGGCACAGAAACTCTATCATAGAGTGCACACCTCAAGCATGGCTTCAGCCAGATCCTCTGTCAGCAGCACAGGTCGCCTGTCCTTGACATCATAGCCTGCCTCCTTCAGCCGCGCTGGAGTCTGCTTCTGCCGCCGGCTGTAAACCTGCTTAGCATCGTGCAGCGCAGACGCCACGAATCTTTGTGCCGCTAACGACACCAGCCGCACTCTGCAACAGGACAATAGGCCTTCAGTCTGTAGGGAGGATGGACCAATTTTTCCTCCCGAGTCTTTGCAATACGAGATGCATGCGATCCACTGAGGAGGTTGGATGAAGATGCCTACATCCTTTTGTCATTGCAATCAACTCCACATCGCTCCAAAGATTGTTCTGTGAACTCGTCTGGGATCTGCAAAAATGATGAAAATCCAAGTGGCATATCAGGTTTGGATTTGTAAGTTGTCAACGTGAAGACATTCGGGCCAATTCAAAATCAAAATTAAGCATCTTGGTTCGTTATCGCACGGTGGGCACGAAGTCCTCCAGAGAATTGAGGAATTCAGGAAGATTAGTGGACGGCGGTTCTTGCATCCTCATCCAGCTGCATGAAAAGGGCAATACTTTTGTACAGTTTGTATAAAGAGGAGTGGCTTGAGAGTGTTTGCGAAGCGAGATCGGGCAGGGAGAAGGGAGAAAATTTGGCCACGTGCCAAGATGAAGTCCACGTGCGAACATGAGCTCGTTCTGTCCCGAAAGATCACTGCGAGACCGGCTTGATCGGCTGTTTGGGACTCGTCGAACAATCAGGAGAGTGCTGCTAGTGCACCGAGCGTACAAAGGTTCTTAGGGAGTGGCCAGTTCATGTCTGGGATCTCCAGCCCAACCACTATGATATATGCGGATGATTCGAAAAGAGAATCTCTAAAGTGATTTCAACTTTGTATTTGGAGCACCCAATACAATATATGGCATCCTGGCGTGCCCAGCTACAGCTTTGACGCTCAAGCGGCTAGATGCCATTTGCTTTCTTCGCCACACCACCCCTTTCTTGGACATTTCAGTCAGTAATCTCTAGACGTGTAAGCAAAATTCTAGTCAGACGTGTAGTCAGCATGGCCGCAGAGCCTAATTCTTCAGGAAGGAAGCTGCGCATCCTGTGCCTCCATGGCTACCTGCAGAATGCTGAGGTACTTGGCAAGACACATCTTGTTGAGCACAGTGATCTAGCTCCTTATATGTGCAGACTCGATGCCACCTTCTACTATGCAAGAACAACACGATTGAAGTTTGAGTGCTGCAGGTGTTCAGAGGCAGGATAGGTTCGCTCCGGAAGGGGCTCAAGTCAAGGGCAGAGTTTTTCTTTGTGGATGCGCCACATCTGGCACAGGGCGAAGAGGCAGAAATCAGAGCAGCAGGGGGAACTGGCGACCACCCTCGAGCCTGGTGGACATGGGAGGTAACCACGCTCAGGGAGACCCATTATTGGACCTAGAAAGCTCCTTACTGCAAGATCCAATCCTGTCCTGGTTGTAAAGCACTCTGCAGAAGCGTCAACACGTATGCACTGCTCACAGGATCTCAATGAAACAAAGCGGCCCTCAAAGGCTGCAAAGTACAGCGGTTGGAAGGCATCTGCCGATGTCCTGGAATCTGTGCTGAAGGAGCAGCAATATGACGGCATCCTGGGTAGGCAGCCTTATGAAAAGTAATCTACAAAGCATTCGACTCGCATGTGCCTGATCTTCTCACTAAGCATGGAGTACCTGATGATGCTTGCAAGGGAAAATACAAACACCACAGGAGCTGCTACGAATATGCAATTGGTCATGGCTTGCACCCTGGAGGGATAAGCATCAGGCTGTGAGGGGTTGATTATAGCACTGACGCGCTTGCGGATGCCATGCACAGGTTTCTCACAAGGCGCCACTGCAGCAGCGCTCTTCCTGGCAGGCCACAAAGACTCCACTCCTGCCTTGAAATTTGCCATTCTGGTGCGCCAATGGCAGTACTTCAGCCTATCATTTAATACGCTGCACTGAATGCATAGGTGGTAAAACGCTGCCTTAAGCTTTATCTCTGGTGAAATTGTGAGTCAAAGGAATGTTGTGGGAATGACTCAGGTGAGTGGCTTCTTGCCGCGGGACCCCAGTTATGCAGAGATATTGAAGGAGGGACAAGTGTCACTCCCAACACTCTTTGTGCATGGCAGCGCCGATGAGCTGGTACTGCCTGAGAGGGGGCTGGAGTTGCAAGAAACTTTTGCAGAGGGCTCCTACACGGTGCTGGAGCACCCAGGCGCGCACTTTGTGCCAACATGCACTGGGGCCGTTAAGCAGCAGATAGTGCACTTTTTGGACAAGTTCTGAGCTGCCCGTCAGGGACTTCCCACAAGACAAATTTGGGGAGGTACAGGAGCTTTCCACAATGGAACTGTAATTCAACCAACGAACCAGTAAGTACTTATGGGTTGGCTCAAAAAATTGAGAGTCACCTGTCACTTTGCCGTTCGTATTTCAAAAGAAGAGACACATCATCACAGTCAGCATGGATGGAGTTCTAGAAACCTCAACTGAACAGGAGCTTCTTATCGAATTATACAGTACATTAAAATAAATATCAAGTTGGAGCGTGACTGCGTTGTATGCGACGCTGTGGTAGCCAAGCCTTTGTGTAAGATCGGTGCTATTGGATGCCACTGTGAAGCACGAGGTGTTTGCATTCGAAGAATCGAGGAGATGCACACTCTATTCTGTCAGCCCCCAGCTTCTTCATTTTCATGTGCTTACTCGCAGAGGATCTGCAGCACAAGTGGCAGGACACTCTGTCCGCAGGTGGGACTGGGACCCAAGCCATCGTCTCTGCTTGTCCAGATTATGTCGGAGCAAGCACAGCCTAACAATTACCTGATTTTTTATTTTTCTGGTTTAACACTGTCTGCTTTCTTTGCAGAAGCTGTCACGGGGCAGGCTTAACCATCTGGTTGCGAGGGCCTCAGAACAATTTGAGACAGGACTTGATGCACCAGCTCTCACAGATTACCTCGACGGGCAGATGTCGCAACTGCAGCGAACCTTTGCTGAATTGGAACGGGAGGTGAGCAGCTGGCTTTCTTTACTAGGCACTCAATTGCCCGTTGTTCAGCATCACATGTTCACAAGGAATTCTTAGGTGTTGGCAGTGAAATTTTTTTCTTTCGTGTTGCAGATGGATGCAGATATGAGCAGGGTAAATGAGCGAGCCCGGCAGCTGCAAGAGAGTGAGTCCCTCCTGCAACTCGTCAACTAGCTGTATTGAAGTGCTGAGGTTCTGGTCGATGCTGATTCCCTCCCGGACTCCCTTCAAATCTCCCTTGCATGCAGGGGGACAGGCACGCATGTATACTGAGAGGCAGAATGGAGCACAGACATACAGGTGACTGAACCTTCTTCCTTTTTGCATCAAGCAACTATCTTCCAGCCAAACCACAATCCTGTGGACAAAAGCAGACCCGCTCTGGCCCTCTCAGAGACAAGTTCACAGGCATTGGTCTATGGGTATAAAAAAGCATGCATGTTGAGGTGAAGAAATATGATTTGTGCAGGAACGAGCAGCAGTGGGAAGAGCAGCTGCCGGGCGGCTGGAGGAAGGGCTACCGCTCAGAGTCAATCACCTATTTTGGCTCGCCCCCGGCAGCTGCCCCGCAGCTGCAGAGCACGGGTCTGACTGGCCTGGGTGGCAATGTGGCACTTTTAGCAGTCGCCACAGTGGTCGGCGCGTATGCTGCAGTTGCTGCTGCACTGCTGCGCAGCTACAAGCACACCAGGTGCGCACACCCCTCTGCTTTGCACAGAATGGCCGTCTGGTATTGGCAGACAGGCTAGGAACCACCCTGCTCTTCGTTGCTGTGTCACCCTGCTGTGAAGGCTGTTCTTCCAGAGCATGCGTGGCTGGTTTTTGGCATCGCACTGCTCCATGTTTATGCTGCATGCACACACTTCCTGAACTGGAATTGTGCCCTGCACGCCCTATTGAGAAGGTATTCAAGTAATTGCGGGATGTTGCCCACAACAGGCAATGAAGAGGTGTGTCTGTGTCAGGTACTCTGCATCCAAGGCCTGGCTGGTGGTGGCGGTGTGGCCTGTGCTGGCGCTCTTCTCTGACCGCTTCCGACAGGAAATTGCTACCGCTCTGCACCAGCAAGGGGTGACCAAGGCATGTGCAGCAACTCCAAAATCTTGGGCATGTTGCGAAAACGAACTGTAGAGGACACTTGCGGAATGGACTAGGGTGTGACTTGCAGGTTGTGTGGAGAGGCCCGGGCTTTTGGCATGCATTCCCAATTGGATTGATGGGTCCAGGGCTAACTTTCTGAGTGCCTGTGTGCTGTGCAGGATGGCAGCAACGATGACAGCTTTGTATCGTGAAGACACATGGTCGTGTGCGGCCTCTCAGGCATGGAGAAATTTGAGAGATGAAGCCTGTCTCAATTTTGTGGTGATGAAATTTCTGAGTGGCATCCTGGGTTCGACAGCCCCCAAGGGCCCCCCAAGGGATTGGCCAACCTGCTTCAGGGCTAGGGGCAAGTTTTCAGGGCCCGGGGATGAATCCACATTTGGCAAACTGGCATCAGGGCCACGCCCCGAAGCCACCTGGGTGTGACTCAGGGGCACCCCCGACTTTTCCGGCAATTTGTGCCACTTAAAGGCCGGATCCCATGGAAAACCTGCATATCCCTCAGGGATGTCCCGAAGTTTCGGCTACTATCACGGCAGCAGGCGGGGTGCTTTGCCTGCTCTTGCCCTATTTAGGGGCTTGTCTGAGATTTTCTGGGACCCATGTCAAAACCCTGGTGGCATCTCTCATAGCAATGCTGTGCCGATGGGAACCCAGTGCTCCACTTGTCAATGCAACCTTGTGTAGAACTGCAGAGTTCAAGGGCGTGCTTGCATGCTTACCTGCCGTCGACAAACATGTGTATTTTTATTTGGATTTCTTCATTACAGTGATAGCACACGTGTCATTGAACGTGCCGATGTGGTGTGTATGCCATACACTGTATGCATATGCTCATGTTCAGGGTCTATGTAGCGTGTATTGAATGGAAATATAAAATGGCTAGATCTGGGTGTTGCTCAAAGTCCTTGAAGTTCATAAGCTTCGGGAAACAGCTGTTCGACTGAGATTCTTGTGCGGAGCATGTACAACTCTAAGATTATGATTGTATTGATCATCCATATTCTGAGCTGTTCAAATCCCCAGGCTCTCAAAGAGGGCTGACTGACCAAAAAATGGTGCTCTTGTCATTTAGCAATTCAGTTTCATGTCATCTCATGCCAATAGTCGCCTCAACTTCCTTGACAAGTAGTACACCCACTTCTTGGGGCCACGCATACGGTGCAGCAACAGGATCCCTGCCTTAGCATCTTTACTGATGTGTGCATCAGTGCAGCGTGGCGTGAACCTTTAAGAGCCTCCTGAGGGCCGTCAGCCACTTGTCGCACTCATCCCAGTCCGTGGTTGTCAACGCCGTCTGCATGGGAAAGCGGAGCACCTTTACAGCCGGCTCGTCTACCACACTTCCTTGATCTGACCTCAATCAGGGTTCCCAAGAATTTCATGGACCAAGGCCCAGAAGAACGTAGCACATTACTGCTGGCGCTGAGATGACTTGTAAGCCTGCATGCATGCGGCTTACTGCAACAAGGAAATATTGCTACAGGTGCACCCTTAGGAAAGATGAGTCACAGGGTAAATACTGCAGGGAACATCCCTGGACGCACCTGGATGCTGTTTGCTTGGCCAAAGTCCCTGGCGGCCAGAGCAGCAGCGAGCTGCTGCAGTTTGGCCTGCACCCCCGGGGAGACATCGCCGGCGTTGAGGCGCCAGAAGAGCATTCCGATGCGCTTCTTGTTGTCGGAGTCCTCGCGCGCTTTGGCGGCCATCACCGGATTGCACTCCCTCACCAGCTGCCGCAGCGCTGCCACCACCGGCTGCATCTCCCCGGACACCTGCGGCAGTAGTCCCTTCAAAGATATGGCTAATTTCCATAACAAGGGGGTGAGGTATAATTACAATGTTTCGTGCATTCTTCAAGCCACCCAGGGCTGTCTGGGAGGCTGACACATGCAGCCTGATTAGATTGGTAACAGCCGCAAACCTTTCAGACTTGTGCCCATCCATGCCTCACTGTAGTAGTGATACTAAAGCATTCGTGGTTCTGTGACGCTAATCAAATGAGAGCAAATTGAACAGAGAGGCACACAGAGAGATGCATGGCGCAACAGGAGGGGAAAAACAGGCACACCTTTGATGTGTCAACAGTGTCCATGTGCACGTTGGGCGGCGGCCCCGTGGGTGCAGGTGGCGGCGGCGGCTGTGCCGGCTGCGGCGGCGTGGCCGGCCCGGAGCCGCCGAACGGTGCGGGCGCGCCGTAGCCGGCCGTGGGGGTCGGAACCGGGGACCGATGCGGCACGAATGCCGGCGGCGCAGCCTGCCGGACAACATCGAATTTTAGAGCACGCACCGCTGCTGCGCTAAGCACGAAGTTCATGCCAGTCACATGTGGTGAAAACACAGGGATGCAAGACAAGGTTCAACCATAGGTAATGCCAGATGAAGTTCAATCAGAGTGATACAAAGGGTGTCTTGTGCACCCTGATGGTCAACATGTCAAGAGCAATTACTGTAGTACTCATTCTTTACCCCGCACCCCGGCGGTGCGAAAAATTATTCCAAGCAAATTTTAGGGGTCTTCCTAACCTAAAAAATACCAGGGTCATGCTCCATTGAACTAGGCTTATCGAGAGCGTTCCGGATCTGGATCAGATATTTTAGGAGATAGGGTGTTATTTATCCACCCTTTTAGGCCAAAAATAATTATTTTATTGCGGATTTGGGAATGAGTACTACAGAATCATGCTTTCGGGGCCCACCTGGCAGTCTTCACATAGAAAGAAGAAAGGCAAAACCTGAATAGTTTCTTGCGTGGAATGCTGTGCACCTGGTGGGTGTTGACGGGGGCGAGGTTGCTGGCGCCGGAGGGGCGGAACACGTTGGGGTTGGGCTGCCCGTAGTCGCCCTGCTGCGCGCTCGGCTGCCAGGCCGGCTGCGGCTGCTGCGGCGGCTGCGGCTGCGCCTGCGGCTTCCAGGCAGCTGTCGGCTGCACCGGCTGCGGCTGATGCGGTGGCTGCTGCTGCACCTGCTGCGTCCACGCAGGAGCCGGCTGCGCCGGCGGATGCGGCTGCGCCTGTGGCTTCCAGGCAGGTGTGGCCTGCGGAGGATTGATTGGTTGAGGGGCCGCCACCGGCATCGCCTGTGGCTTCCAGGCTTGCTGCGGCTGCGTGGGGGCCTGTGCGCGCATGAGGCACAGTCAGTAAAAGCAGTTCAGGCACAATGTTCATACCCTGCATGTCCCGCTGTTTGGACAGGGCTTGATCGCTGATACCGCACCTTGGAGGAGCAATGCCTTACAGAAAAAATACCATGAACCATCAAAAACAAATTATCTACAGAGCATATCTTCATGAAAGCAAGAGGCAAGAATCAGATTGTTTCATGAGTGTTCAAGGCGTAACTGCACCCCATGGTTGTTTTTTTGACTCGACTGGGGTTACTAATGTGCGCCCTTACATATATGCCCAGAGCAGGAGGCCTGACCTGGTTGTAGGAGGGTGCAGGCGCCGGTGCGCCAAAGTTGGACGCCTGGGCAGCGTAGCTGCCCGTGCCGGGCTGCATGGATGCGCGCGACTGCGGTGCAAATTGCGGCGGCGGCGGCTGCACGGGCGTCTGGTATGATGCCTGCTGCTGCTGAGGAGCAGGAGCGCTGTAGCTCGCAAAGCTGCTGTCGTAGCCTGTGCTGTAGCCGGTCTGAAGGACGCAAAGAGGTGAGGTGAGGCTTGTGCAATCATCAAAATGCCCTTTATGGCATAGATCTTGACAAAGAGTAAGGTCATCCCGGACATTGCCAAAATTGATGTTCAGGCGTGATCATAAAGAGGTTTCACTGTATGAAGAATCTCATAAAGAATCTCTGCCTCAAGTGTCCCACCTGCTGGCTGTTGTAGCTGGGTGCAGTCTGCCCGTAGCCGCCGCTATTGTCATACGCAGCAGCCGCCTGTGGCGCCTTGTAGCTGCCGGCCACCGTGTACGTGTTGCGCGCATAGAAGTCCGTGGACGGCGGCGCAGCAGCTGCTGACATAAAGACACTCATCAAATAATGACCTCACCCATAATCCAAGGTAGTCAAAGTGACATGTCCGCACAGAGGTCCCATCCTACAAAATTTCAGATTGCCAGGTGTTTGGAGCCAGAACAAACAGTTCACACAGCATTTCTCAGGCTGTGCGCTGCTCTCAAGGGCTGTCAGGCCAAGCAGACCTTCTTGCCGCTGAGCTGCGCATTGCTAGTGCCCAGTACAACAAGTTCCCAAGCTGGCAACCCCGCACGCATCTGCGCCCGGCCTTGCTGGCTGCATCTCGCTTGGGCAAGCGCAGAAGACTGCAGACATCGCGACAATCATTAAGGAGTCCAGGGGAAGCGCCATCACCTTGATATGGGGCATGCGCGGCGGGCGCGGCGGCGGCGGGGGCTGCAACAGACACTGGGACGTCCTCACCGATGAAAGGGAAGTGCGGCTGGGGGAACTCTTTGGCGGTGTCAGGATCCAGGGACCTGTAGATGCGGTCTCGCAGCTCCGCCACGTCCGGTGTCGGCTCGGCCTTGATCAGGGCCAGGTACTCCAACGCAGCTTTCATGCGACCCTGCAAGCCCAGGAGAGCTTGGGACTTCTAGATAGCTGCACATCGAGAGTTCAATTCCTGCAGAATGCGCACAGAGTTCACTCATCAAACGGGATGCTGCGAAAGACAAGGCCTATCGGCGACCCTCTGGGGGGACTTGAGAGGGGGCAGAGAGATGCCCCTTGGAAACCAGAAGGCTGCGAGAAGTTTGAGGCCATTGAGATGCTCTGAAAACATTGATGCACGCACACCATTACTTCCACCAGTCTTCACATGCTTCCTGAACACTCTGGTGTGCGCTCAGGAAGCATGTCAAGGCAGGCAAAAGCAGTGCATGCTGCTATTTGTCTGAGCCCTCAGGGCACAAAAACAAGTCCCTCCTGATGCAGATGCATATGCAGCAGGGTGCAGTGCTCCCACGGCCAAATTCCTTAGAACCCTGGGATGGAGCTCCTGATGTGCAACCGCAGCGGCGCGTACCTGGGAGGCCACCAGGGAGGCATACTCCTTGATCAGGCTGGCCAGCGCAGGGGGCGCGCCTTGCCCCTCTCCCTGACCGGTGCTATAGAACAGCACCATCGCACGCTCCATCAAGCTCTGCACGTGGGCACAATCCAACATCACCACGGACAACTTGTGTACATATGTGATGCAGTGGACGCTAAGCTGCCAGCTTTTGACCTGCTCAATCGTGATGCATGCATTTCCCGCCCTTCGAGTTTTCTTTTTCTGCTATTCCTGGGACACAGCCATGCTCCAGCCCAGGACAGCTGCTACGCACCGCGGCAACCCCAGGAAATCCATCGCAAGCCACTCACTTTGTTAAATATGCTGCAATCTGTCAGCCCGGACATCAACTTCTGAGCCTGCCAACGTTTTTATTGCTGATGCTGAAGGCTATGATAATCAGTAGAGAATTAGGAGGATGACACACCTGCAGCTCCTCCACGCCGGTATCCTTGGGCCCCTTGCGCAGGTCAGCCGTCCACTGGCGCACCGCCTTGTCCACATTGGAGGCGCAGATCCAGGTCAGCGTGGCAGCCTGCCGAGCACGTGAGAGTCACAAAATTCTTTACAACAAAACATGCAAGCAGTGGATCAGTATGGGCAGCAGGAAAGTCTTCAGATCTGTCATGCGTGCTAAGGAATTCTAGTGTAGTATTGGCATCATGGGGAGTCTTCAGAAGTGTACTACAAGATGGTGACTAATCCCTGCAGCTCTGTGTCAGACAGAGAGTACTGCATCTGACCATATCTAATTTGAGACGAATTACCCCCTGGTGTCAGAGGATGCAAAGGGTATTGAATATCTCCTATACTTTATACCACCCGGAGAATCCAAGGAAAAGGGTGTGAATGCAGAGGTGCAGCAGGGGGCATGCCTGCGCCAGGCCGGCCCCAGCGAGGCGGCGCGCGAGCATGTCGCACAGCTCGGGGAACTCGCCGGTCTCGCTGTAGGCCGCCAGCATCGCCAGTGTCTCGCGCCACTTGTCCAGCGGCCGGGACTTCACCAGCCCTGCGCAGGCAACGCCCTTTGACTTGTGGCACTTATTATACTTGATATCAAAGGAGCTTGCTGTCCCTCAGCAGGACCCCGGTGCAAGACGAGCCCGCAAAGATTCCCGGCTATTTCGCCACACCACATCTTGATGGTGGCGCGAAACACAAAGCCACAATATTGATTCACGGACAATGACATGATGTGAAAGTGCGCCATCTCTGCAGCGCATTGCAATCTAACGTCTGTGCTGCCCATGCCTTGATAGGCATATACCAGTCTTACTTGTTAGGGCGAGAGACAGGAGAAGATTGCCCTACACTGCAGGCAATATCGACGCTCTGCACTACAAACATGCACATATCTGCGAGCAGCAGAGGCAGGAGAAACCACGCAGTATCCATAGAGTTGCCCACCTGCCAGGTCGTGGTCCATGATGGCTGACACGATTTTCATGTATGGGCGCGGCGCGCGGCGGATGTATTCCTTCTGGGCACGAGCCCATAAGTCTCCCCCGCCGATCGAGGCTATCAGCAGCGCGTCCGCCATGCGATCAGCCTGCCCATGCGCATGCCTCCACAGATAAGAGCTGTCCTGATCTTCTGCATTGCTCAGCTGATTGCCTGCCACCGGGCTCCCTGACTCTCAATTCGCTGGGAGTAGGCAGAGTGCCAACTCCTCCAGGACTTCTGACATCTCCCATTGTGCAGCAAACGAGATCCTCCAGACAGGGTCAATTGCGTCAGGCCTTTGCAGGGAACAAGCACCCCAGCAGTGTCTTGAACATCAGTCCAACATGTCTTGAACATCAGTCCAACATGTCTTGAACATCAGCCCAACATCGTGACCTCAGCAAGGAACTCATCAGGTCACAGTATGGCAGCAGGCGGGCACCTGCAGGCAGATGTCGAGCGCGGCGGCGTAATTGGACACGAACAGAGCGCGTTGGATTTCTGCCTCGCTTTCACCGGCCTCGCCGTGGTCCTCGCCCGCTGTGGCCGGCCGCGGGCTCAGCGCGCTGTTTGTGCGCGACGGCTGCTGCGGCGATGCTGTCTCCACTTCCGGCAGGTTCTCAAAGAACGACTCACCGGCGTCTGCGATCAGCCACCGTTAGCCCTGGTCAGCGCCCAAAACACAACGTGCAGCATTCCTTTGCCTGGATACCTCATGGCAAGCTCAAACAAAGCGGATTGCGCCAAAGTACAGGTTGATCTGCCAGATGCATTCCAAGGCATGCCCGGACTCCAAGTGGTGGCTCGTAGATCTGGCACTAGTTCAAATGCAGCGCAATGCATGCTCTGAGAAAACAGGTCCTGTTTGCTCATTTTAATTCGCAGCAGACGATGAAGGCGATCTGGACAAGAAGGCATCACCCAAAGGGGGGTGACAAAAAGCCACAGGCCCACCTTCATTGCCCAGAAAGGCAGCGTCCCCGTTAGCGTCCGCCACCCCATTGCGCGGTGGGGAGGTCCCTGCGGCGCCGTCGCGCGGCGATGTCAGCTGCAGGCTCTCGGCGGCCGCCGCCAGCGCCGCTTCGGCCTCGGCTGCACCCTCCGCCTGAGGCAGCACGTCCTCGAAGCCCAGGTGCGCCAATAGCTGCCTGCGCTCACATGACAACATCGCATCTGGCTTTAGGAAAATGCTCTTCCGTGAGAATCATATGGCTATCCCTAATTCATGACTGGTACATTCTGCAACATCTCTGAAGCTCGCAGGCATCATGCACATGTCACCATGGCCTCAGGGCATGCACAGACTGCAGCGGCCCCAACAGCCCCATTCTTAGGTAGGGGAGCTGACGAAGCAGTGAGTAGTAGCGCTTTGCAGAGTAGGGGGATCTTAGCAAGAGAGGTTGGCAGCAGCTGCCAGGTGACACAACATGGTGTTGAAGAGAGCGCACCTCTTGGGGTCTTCGTGGAACTGGACCTCCATGAAGGCCCAGACCTCAGCATCCTCCGCAGGTCCTGAGGCAGCCTTGGCAGAGCAGAAGTTTGCGAGGGCGCTCCACTCTCTGTGCTTGCCCTGCTCAATGGCCGGCTCGAAGGCGTCCGCGCGCTCGGCCAGATTGCCATCAGTGATCACCTGCATACAGAGAACAGAAAAAGTACTTCACAACTGTCAAGTGCGCATCACACTTCTGCTCCTTTTAACAAGTAATGAGAGTCCCTCATTGGACACAGAATAGGAACACAGGTTCTTGGTTGTCGAGTACTCTTCACACTTCTGATCCCCTTCAGATAACAAGTGGGTAATGTTCATTGTGCATATAAGATCCCTGCCGCCATATTGGCATGAGGGTCCTGTTGGGCGTCCTCAGCACACTGGTGTGAGTGCCAGGTAAGTGCAGTAGTGCACCTGGGTGAGGGTCAGGGAGCAGCCTGCAAAGGACCCGTCCTGACGCTTGGTGTTGGTTATCGACACTAGCCTGCCACCAAAGCCGAAGGTGGCCGCCGCCGGCCGCTTCAGCCATGCCGGCACCCTAGCCAGCGGCGGCGCCGCTCCTGTGTAAGTATTCAATAAAAATCACCTCCAGTACTTGTTTGGTAAAGGAAGAACAGGACAACACCTTTTCTGTGCAGAGCATGCCAGGCCGTAAATGGCATGAACTGCAAGCGTACAGCTTCAGGGATGCAAGCAAAAGAACGGCACTTGTGACGAAGGCAGTACCTGAGGAGGCGGCAGAGCCAGAGAAGCCGTCATCTGAGTACTGCTGCTGGAGCTGTGGCTCCGTGAAGGCTGCCAGCGTGTGAATGCGCACCTGAGACAGCACAACCCCTTCAATTCCTGCAACCGACTATATATCTCTCACACAGAACACCAGCTGGGCAACGTTATCATTGATCCCAGCAGCAACGTCACCTTTACCACCAACCCACCATCCTGAGGCCGAGAGAAGCAAAGAGAACCTGTGTGCAAGCTGCCAGCCCAAACTTCACATACGCCAGCACGACTCACCGAGCCGTCATGGTTCTCGCCAGCGCCAAGCGACGCAGTAACAAAGACCCCCGGGTTGCTCGGGGACCAGGCCACGTTGTGCATGTATTTGCCGAACGCGCCGCCGGAACTAAACTCTCCCAGCAGCCGCCCGTTCTCTTCTGGGGACATATCCCACAGGATGACTCGGCCGTCCTTGCCGGCGGACAGCAGCAGCGCCGGGTCTTGCACGCACCAGCTCGCAGCCAAGACACCCTGCAGCGCACCACAGCTCTCCGATCGTCTCAATGCAATGCTGGTACCATTGAGGAGGAGGTGTTGAGAAGTTTTGATGGACCCCAGTGGAGCCTCAAGAGACCCCTCAGGGCATGCTTTTTTTGGCATGGTAAAGTCAGGAAGGCAAGCACCCCCACCCATGTTATATACCATGAGCGTGCGCGGAGGACCTCTCACCAATCACTGCCGTACGCTGTGTCAAGAGCAGTGCTCAGAAGAAGTGTGAGGTCATTGGGGAATTGAATCGAGACAGCCTTTTGCTGGAGGGGAATGCCCAGAATTAAGTGTGCGCACCTTTGCGTGGCCGAGCAGCTCGCACACGGGCGCCATGGTCTTGTCGCGCCGGTCCCAGACCTGCAGCAGAGGCGACAGGTCGTCCTCGCACGCCACGACCAGCTGCGTCATACTGGCCGGGTTCCATGCCACTGCTGAGCACCGTTTCATGCGCCTGCGCACCACAACACCTTCATCAGAGATTCGAGGTGGGATGGATGTGCTGCTTGCAGGACAGGTGATGACTCCCACATGCTCAGCTACCGATTGACAATACAAGAATGGACATGCCAGGCACCGCAGCATGCCAGGTTGACCTTCAGGATCACCTGTGAGAGCAGCCAGGGGCTGTGAACAATTGATCTGCGAACAACAGATTCTGTTTGGGGCAAATTTGCTCTGGGATGCAAAGATGCAAGGGGCCGAAGATGCGCGCACCCTTGGTTGTCCGTCAGATGCAAGACGATTTTGCGCTTCTTGAGGTCATACACATGGACTACGCCCGTCTCACAGCAGGTGGCTAGGATCGTGGGGGTCTTATGGTTCCATGAAAGATTGGTCACCCCCGGCAAACCCCCCGGGGTCGCGCTCGCCTGACCAGCAAACACAACATAGCGTCAAGCAAGTATCCCCAAGAACAACTGAAGCCACATGCAGAAGCGCATAAACCTGCGCATACGCGCCACGTGCTGCTTGAAGAGAGAGCCTCTTCAATGGTGTGCAAAAGGGGAGACAGGCAGGGTAGGCGACGACTTACATCGAGTGCAGTGTACTCAACGGGATTGGCTGGATTGGTCAAGTCCCAAATAATAACCTGCCCATCGGCTCCTCCAGAGGCCAAAAGGTGCACCGCGGTCGGGTTGAATTGCACCGCTCTCACCTGCTCAATACAACATCGCACGGCTTTTTGCCTCTCTGGGCGTGCCGATCTATCAGTTTAAGATGATCGCACAGACAGTGTGACCACCCAAAATGCAAGGAGGTGGCAGGATTGTATCCAACGATACTGATGTGTGGCCATTGGTGAGCAAACCGAACAGAACCCCTACAGCAACTTACCGCTCCTTTGTGCTTTGTCAGCTGCTTTATGAGGCTGGCATCCCCATGCCCCTGCACAATCTTTGCTGGGTCCCAAAGGGCAACGCTGCCATCTGCCAAGGCACCCGCCAAGATTCCATCCTGCAGCAGCGCGACCCTGTCGAGTAGTTTGAGGTCGACCAGACATTGACACCCCTTTCACGAACCCAAGTATGCAAGCTTGAAGTAAAGCTGTGCGTCATGCCCTGAATCATGAATAGGGAAGTGAGCTTTGAGGCTCACTGGAAACCCTTCTGGCTTGTATGTACTCCAAGCAAGCTGATGAAAGCCGTCGGTGGCGGCGACAGATTTTCCAGCCCGTGTAATGCCCTCGCTCCCTCCAAACTTCAAGGAAAACACCTGACAAGCACCGATTGAATGGAAATATGAGGCTCGTTTACCAGACGTTTCCCGGCTCCCAAGTGTCTTCATGTTTTCATTGATCGTTTTGGGAAACGTGAGAAAACCTCTTGAAAAGGCTGAGTATCAGTTCCAGGGCGTCGCAAAGGCGATCAAGGTGGTAAGTTTATAATGCCCTCAGCATCCCAGACAAAGCTGCTCAAAGTCCCACGTAAGTTTTTATGCACCCACCTCCAATGACGAAGAGCTGGAAAAGTCACTGTCGATGGATCCTGCAACCGTGCCAGTAGCTAATAGTGATCGTGGGCCGAAGGCCACCACTGCCGACAATGGAATCTCCTTGACGGGTGCCATTTTTGACACTGAAACCAGGCCGGCTTCTGAAGCTAAACACTCATGCGTAAGAAATTACTTCGAGCTCATCAGTTATGCCTTTGATAATTGAAACTCCGTTGCGCAATGCCCCTGGGCAATCATGCGAGTCCCACCGTCAACATCTGAACAAAGCAATCAGACGCAACAGAAACAGGACGGTGCATGTGCATTTGACGAACGTCTGAAAGGATGGAAATTTGATGCAGCTGGCTCCAAAGCCCTAACATTCGATAATTACCCTGCTTTAGAAAACCTGTCAAAGTCGCTCCTTCTCCTCGCTCCATCGATAGGACATGACTTCAAATCAATATCTCAGACTGTGGAATGCGTATAACATCATTGAGGAAAGTTTGCTAGAGCTTCTCGGCATTATTCTGCCGAGAATTTGCTGCGACGGTCTCAGTAGGGTAGAAGGGAATATTCAATTCAGCAAGATACTGCCTCACTCCAGTAGCCTATAACAATGTTGGAGATCGCTATCAGTTGCATCTTAGCTATTCTGAGAAGCTATCAATTTCCCCACAATTGAAATAATCACCGAGGGGTTCTTTGAGGCACCTCTCGGTGAACGCATGGAGTGCCATCGGGCAAGTGTATGTTAGCTAGGATCAAGCAGATAGATTGATTCACAACTCAATGGCAAAAGGTAAGCGTACGCACAAGTATTCTGTGCTGCTCCCGACCTACAATGAACGCGAAAATATAGGCATCATCGTCGCCCTCCTTGTGAAGACATTCGAATCCAGGTGGGTTTCCTGTCATGTGAGCTCATGTTTACCCTTTTGAATCGGATTGTTTGATCCCAACCCACCTCTAGAGGCCGCATGTTGGCCTGCTCTTCTTCTGTGGAACCACTGCTTGCTAGGGCTCACAACTGAGCCTGTACAGACATCCTGAGACTGTTATACTCTAGCAGACAGCTGTTGGTGGGATGCCGCAGGAAACTGGACTATGAGATAGTAATCATTGACGACAACAGTCCAGATGGGACACAGGAGGTGGTCAAGCGACTGCAGACTGCATACAGCTCTGACAAGATTGTGAGCTCCTTGCTGCCTGCCGAAGCTCCTGCGCAACCACCCTTGCCTTCATCTTTTGTGGCACGACCTCTGGTAAAAATTACAAATCTACTGAAATGTATGATGTGATTTGCGCCCACATGCAGGTCCTTAGGACACGGCCTGGAAAGCTGGGCTTAGGTGAGCCTTCATAACAGAGCTTGGACCGGCATTTGTCACTGTCAACCCGACATCGCTACCTGTTGACCAGAAACTACACTCATTTTGCCAGAATAGTCTTGTATCGCTGCTTGAGTTGAATGTCAGTGTGTGTCGGCGGCAGGCACTGCATATGTATACGGCCTCAAGCATGCGACAGGGGACTTCGTTGTGGTGATGGATGCAGACCTCTCGCATCATGTGAGCCCCTGTTATCCCCTCACTGCACTTATTGTGCACCTATTTTGATGAAACATCCCCTTTGTGCACTCCGCCTGAACTACGTTTTGTCTGTGGAGTTCCCTGCTCTACTGTAGCATTCGCAGCCAAGATGCATAAAAGGACTGGAATCGTTCATGGCTGCCAAAAGCTCACAGCAGCTCATGTGTAGCAGAATGACATCATAAACAAGAGGTCACTGCTCGAACAAATGCATGAAAATGTTGGACGCCTGTGCAGAGTTGCGGTCTGACCTGCGCTGCTGTGTGGGGTTTTGCAGCCCAAGTACATCCCAGAGTTCATAGCGAAGCAGGCGGAGAGGGACGCGGATATTGTGAGCGGGACTCGCTATGCGCGCGAGGGGGGCATCTCCGGCTGGGACTTCCGTCGCAAGCTCACAAGCTGCGGCGCCAACATCCTGGCAGCCACGCTGCTGCAGCCCAAGGTGTGTGTCTGCCTTCTGCCGAAGGAAGCTTGGAGGAAGGATGTGTCTGTGCTGGTGCTTGAGAGATCTTGGATATTGTGTCCTCTTGAATGATTTGATGCAGGGTGCTTGTCATGCGTTCGTCAACCCCTGCTTGCTGCATAGGGCAGTAGATCTTCTTGATAGGTACCAGTGCATAGATCCTCTTCACAGGAGGTTCCATTCCAGGGGACTTGGCCCCACCCACTGGTGCTTTGCTGATCCTCACAGACTCCTTGCACAGAATATCTAAAGGGTTTAAGTCAGGGGGACTTGGCCTCACTACCCTGTTGCTGTGCGGGTCTGCAGTTGGCAAATTGCATGTGATGCGGCGCAGGTGTCTGACCTGACGGGGTCGTTCCGGCTGTACCGCAAGAGCGTGCTGACAGAGCTGGTCAAGGACTGCGGCTCGCGCGGTTATGCCTTCCAGATGGAAATGATGGTCCGCGCACGCAACCTTGGTGCCACCATTGACGAGGTGTGCACAGACTTCTCTCTCAAATCAGAGAAAGGGTCAGAGAAAGAATTGCAGAAGGAATCGTAGGAGAGGGTTAGCCACCAAAACGACAGGCTGCCTGGCTAGGAATTTTTTGTATTGAAGCTGGCTACACCGTTGAGCCAGGGTCCTTATTGCGTTGGAGCTAAGACTGCAGTGCACAGATGATATCTGGGAGGCTTGTTGGGACTGCCTGCCTAGAGTGAGACTCAACGAGAAGGAGATCCTTTTCATTGTTGCATGCTTGAGCACTTTGTGATTGCATTGCTGCAGGTGCCCATAGTGTTTGTGGACCGGCTGTATGGGGACTCCAAGCTGGGCGGCGCAGAGATCTGGATGTTCCTCAAGGGCCTGCTGTGGCTGCTAGTCACGACTTAGGGGCTCTTCTTGACATCATGGTTGCTTCTCAGCAAAGCATGCAGCAGAAGCATGCGTGCAAGATCTTACTGGTGCCTGGGCAATCCATGTAGACTCGCATGGTGCATTGCGCAGGGCAACGATTTACATTTTGCAAGTGGTCCTTTGAGTGCTGTGAGTGTGACATCCATGAGTAATCGAAATTCTTCTTGACAACGCCAACATTTAAGCATTTTTTATGATAATATTGCACAACATGCAAAGGCCTCCTAGGAATTCCTAGGATGCTTATGCTTAGGAGCTGCCCAGTGAAAACATGCGCTATTGGAGGGCGATCTGCAGGTGCATGCCAATCAGATTGTAATTACAGTACTAGAATCAATTGGGACTCTGGAGCCGATCGCGATGCGCTGATTGACATGCGTACACAGATCTGAGGTGCACATCGGCTGGAACCAGCTACTTATAGCCGCTTTCTGTAAAATCACTAATGCTAGTAGCATTATGCTACAGTGTAGTACACACTAGCAGAACGGTGCAATCAATATTATCTATACCTTGGAAATTTCCTTTAAACCTCAACAGAGGTGCAACCTTGCTGTCAAGCGCTTCTGGCAGCTTCCTGGGAAGCTACTGCCCAAGCGCATCTGCCCACTTTGCCCAATGGAAGTGTTCATAGAAGTATTGGAACCCCAGGAGGGCATCCTCAAGCTGGGCGGGAGGTTGGGGAGGGTGGAAAGTATTACGGTATCCATGCAAGAAGCAAATTCCGTTTTCTGCCGGGTGCTGCTGCAGGCTCCTCTGATCGTCCTGAATAGGACGCCCCAACCTCTCTTGTATCTGACTCGTAGGCTCTGATACATTTGCAAAGGATGATGACGATTCTCACGACAACAAGGATTTGGTCTGCCCTATGGGCTTGCTTGGAAAGCGTGTACATCTACAGGCACTGGCGCAGGTGCGGTGCCACACAAAAAGCTCTTCCCACACATGATGGTGTCTGATTGGTGAAGTACTTTTAGGAGAGCTACATAGAGAGAGTGGTGTATAATTTTTCGTTACTTAATTGAGCCATTTCTAAGTACAAGAATTACGGGTGCAGGCTGAGAGTCCTTAACAAGCCTTCTGCATATCTACCTTTCGGCGACAATGTACAGGCAGTCATGGAGAGATTTCTCACACTGCGACAAACCTTCTCGTTGGATGACTTCCTTCGGGGTTGGTTCCGTGGCGCTCCTTGTGACAAGATTCTGCGCAGAAACGTGGAGGAGTTTATGGCGTACGCGTTCTGCTGCAAGCATTGGACAGAGCTCAGCCCAGAGGTTTGCGTCTTCAGGCTTGTCTTCCTGTCTTTTCTCCCACAATGTGCACGTTTTGTACAGATTAGAGCTTCAGAGTCGGTATAGACGTGATATTCAATATTTATTATATGTAAATATGCAGGGCAGAGCTCAGGTAGCTCGCTTTGTGACCAAATGCGAAGAGACCTGGAGCGTCAAGCTGCTGGAGGGAAAGAATCCTGATGTGTTCTTCATGGCGCATTTGTGGGAGCCCCTGAGGGTGTACTATAAACCTTTGGCGGTGCATCTCTTCAGCGAGCTTGCTGGCGCAACAAGCAGGATATGGCTGCTGATGTTGGGCTTCAGTTTGCACCAGTTTGAGGTTTGTTCTGACAGTCAACAGCATGTCAGTGCTGGTGCTTCTGCACATATTCCTTGTTCCAACGTCAGACCTTGAATGCGCAAGACATTTTGATCTCGGCAAAGGGCATTTGAGTAAATAATGCATGTGCATCCACCTGACATGCTTTGTGCCTGTCACGGCAGGGAACAATCTATTGGACTTTATCACGACAGGCCGAGAGGGGTTCGATGCCAAGGCACCCAATCATTTTTCTACATGGCATCGGCTTGGGACTGGTGTGACTTGCACTGCTTCCCTCTTTGCACCGCGGTTGATAGATATAAAAAACCAGGTGTTCATGTGCTTGCAAAAGACGATCTTACTCCACTCATCTACAATACCAGTTGGCCTTTGCAACGCAAGCCTGGAGCGGTAAACCATGCCTCCTGTTTTTCCCAGTACCTTGCATATTTCATACTATTGTTCGGACAGGCCAATACTCACAGTCAATGCTCCCTAGACTGCTCTTGTGGTGATGCCCTCAATGGGAGGGCACTAGTGCAAGCCCAAGATTTGTGATTGCTTATGTGTCCACAGGGTCCATACTTTTACTGGGTGCTGGACCTGCTACGCGCATATCCCAGACATACACTGATTTTTGTGGAATATGGCCACGTGTCTCTGAGATTGCACTCCTCGAAGGTCCTCTTTGATGATGCTGCCCGAGATGTCTGCAAGATTATTCACAGAGGAGGGTTTTCAAAGGCATGCGTTGTCGGACATTCTTTCGGGACATTTGTGGCTGCACGTCTCTGCAAGCTACATCCTGAGGTGGGAGTCCGCTCTTTCAGGTTGTTGATCAGGGTGATTAATTATTTAAATAACATAACCTCCTGACAGGAGTCTGGGTGCTTGGAAGCTTCAGTATGGCTCTGATGCAAAGCATTGCAAAGTGATCTGGGATATGCGGTGATGCTTGCAATGCTTATGAGATCTGTGCGCCTTTGTGTTGGTATGGCGCACAGGCGACTACATGGTCGATATTAAGCTTCCGTGTTATCTGAGAGCTTGTGGGCAAAGTGCACATTGGGACAGATCGTGTGTGTTTTCTCGCAGGTCGTTGAATCGCTGGTCCTCATTGATGCAGTCTGTTTGCTTACCTGCTGGCCGGGCCTGCTCCAGAATTTCATCTATGCACCGCCGTCCTGCCAGCTGAGTGGGAAGGGCTGTTTGGACATGATCCGCTTCTTCTGTGCCCGTGATCTGATGGTTGCTGAGGTATGTTGATGGCAATTTCGATCCTGAGCTTGCAGAGTTCATCTGAGCTTTGTGTATCACTCTTGGTGGCTGCGTGGAAGGACAAGTCAGTGAAACTATTGTACAAGATGGCAGTGACACGATTCTTTCCATGTGCGTGCAGGTCTTTTGTCGAGACTTTTCATGGAGTGCACTGATGCTCTGGCCAGAGGACATGCCCCCTGACACACTCATCTGCATTTCAGGGGCAGATAACCTTGTACCCACCAAGCTGATCCTGCGTCACCTGAGGACAGCAGGCAGTTCAGCAAAGGCAAGGATGCTTCCGTGATAGATAGTGGCTCAACATGTGTATTTTTGGTTTTAAGGGCATTCCTCATGAGCTAACAGAGCATTCCTGCTCAGTGTTTTGACTGAGATGAAAAGTCTTTGCACATCTTTTTCATCTCATCATCATGGCAGTCTGTGCTTTCAATTATAACAGCCGCATCTTGACGGCAGTCGGCTGTCACCAAAGGTCCAGGACAATTAAGCTGCACTTCTCTGCAGGTTGTAGAAGACAGGGAGGCTTCACATGGAACCTTTCTGCTACCTCAGTGCTCCGGCTGGCGCAGGAGCATTCTCAATACTATGACGCAAATGGTGAGGCCTTAAGAGGCTGTGAAAAGGCTCAATGCCTTGACAGCGGCGCTAGGACATGTGTATAGGGGCTTAGCTATGTCCTTCTCGTGGCATTTTATACGCATTTTTTGGGGGATATGTGTTGCAGCTTCTGCACCATCTGTAGATTTTGCATGTCTAGCTGTAAGACTACAATGCACATCACTTGCCTCACAAGCCGGGGCTGGTGGAATATGAGGAGGTGTGCAGATGCGTGAGGCAAGAAATAGAAATAGGCAGGTGCCCGACTAGGATAGTGTCGCATAGTATTGTATCAATATGACGAGGTTACCGCAAGAGTATTGTACTATCGCTTTGGTGAAAGACATTAGAGGAGAGGATCATGGCTTGGTCAGAGCTGGTTATAGATGGTTAGAACAACAATGCATTGGTGCAGATGACATTTCATCGCGCAGAATCAGCGCGCCATTGTTCTAGGGTTATTGGACATGAGGAGATGCGGTGAACATTCACCTGCGTTGCTAGGGTCACCTGCAGACGCATTTGGGATCACTACATTCAAGGGTCTGTATATAGGAGTAGGACTACTACACTGTGTACGTACCTGCTGAGAATGGGCGGGATTGTCAGGACATCTGGTGACCGTTAGTGCATGTCTGACTAGGTCTGAATGCGGTATGCATATCTCATGTTCACATGATGTCACTTAGGGCTCTCGTTGACATCATGGTTGCTTCTCAGCAGAGCATGCAGCACAAGCATGCGTGCAAGATATTTTTTGAAAGGTATATTGCACAACAAACAGATCTGGGAGGCCTCTAGAGGCCTCCCAGGAAGCTTATGCTTAGGAGCTGCCCAGTGAGTATATGCGCTATTGGAGGGCGACTTGCAGGTGCATGCCAGTTACAATATAATTACAGTACTAGAATCAATTGGGACTCTGGAGCCGGTGCGTGCACTAATCCACATGTGTACACACTATGGTAGATCTGGCAGATCTGAAGTGCACATCGGCTAGAACCAGCTACTTATAGCCGCGTTCTGTAAATGCAGGAATGCTACAGTGAGTGTAGTACACTCTAGCAGAACGGTGGATTCAAACTATCTATACCTTGGAAAGCTCAACAGATTTGCAACCTTGCTGTCGAGCGCTTCTGGCAGCTTCCTGGGAAGCTACTGCCCGAGCGCATCTGCCCACTTTGCCCAACGGAGTGTTCAAGTCATGTCGCACTCACCTCCTTCAACTTTGTACAAAAGTGCTTGGCTTTGATTTCTAATGTATGATAGTGCATTACTGAAGTTCAATTTAAGATTATAGCTGATTCTTCTCCCTTGCCGTGGAAGGGAGTAGTACACTTGCGAGTACTAGGACTCAATGTGCTTATTCTTTCTAGGCAGCTGTCCAGAGGACGCCGGTGCGCAATAAAATCAAGAAAACCTGCCGGAAGCGTAATCAAAAGGATTCCAGCAAAAACGTCCTTCGTCGTTCGAAAAGGCTGGGATTTGCCATGGACTCTGGTGAAGAAATTATTCCTGTGTACGATGAGAATGCTGAGGAATCGGCTGAACCTGCAGCTCACCATGGTGGGTGCTCGGTTCGCCTTGAAATTTTTTTGAAGCCTGACGCAAACCCAGTCTTATATCAGCACAATCTTGCAAGCAGCACCTTCTGGTGGTTCCTGCTCGGGTTAAATTACGCTGATCTTGCAGGTGCCGACTTGCAACACATTGCAGCAGTGCTGGCAGACCCCAACCCAAGCTCAGGCCAGCTGCAGGGCAGGAAAATGGCCAAAAAGTTCAAGTGGAGGCCCGAGCCATCTGGCAGCAGAAGGGTCAGATCGGGCCAAGAGTCAGCTCTTCCAGGCCGCCGGGTCAGCACAGAAATAACACTTTACCCCACTGACAGCCCAAGGGCCTCAAAGATGGCAGAAGTACCTGCTCATGCCTTTCAGGACAAGGGGAAGCAATGGCTGCAACCCAGCACTGGTGCCACAACTGCAGGCCCAACGAAGCATCACAGCAGTCTCGGATTTAAGGCAGGGGCTCGCAGGAGCCCGCATCAGGCAAAAGCTTACTCATCAGAAGCAGGACCGAGCATGCAGGACGCAGAGAGCAGTGACAGCGATTGGGAGGAGGAGCAAGATCAAGCTGCACAGAGGGCAGGAAGGTCTCGTGCCTACTCTGGCACGGGGCCGAGCAGCTCTGAAGCACCCAGCGCAGCGCATACAGCGCGCCACAGCTCACACCAGCATCCCAGGGGCAGATTGAAGCATGACCAATCTCAAGCTTCCAGCGAGCACCCCTTTTTTGACCGACCTGGGCTGCAGAAGACGCCAGAGGCAAGTCCCATAAGGCACTGCATTTAGCCTTCTGTGAGATGCCAGCATCATGTTATTGAAAACAGAAGAAGTCATGGCATGCATTGATGCTGCTCACGTTCCTTGCACATTGAGAAAGACGTATAGGGTGTTCTGCTGTCGTGTAGATGGTCTGCCATTCATTTTCAGAGTGTCTCCCTGCAGATTTCTCCGGTGCACTTTTGCTAGCAGAACATTCTGAGTGGCAAAAGCAGTGCTGAAAATCTGTGGGCTTTTGTGCAGGCGGCGTTTTGCGAGGCGTGCGCATGCTGGGTGCCGTCAGAGCCAAATTTGCAGGATAAGAGGTGGAAGGAACACCTGCGAAGCAAGCGGCATGCACGGGAGGTAGCCTTGCGGCTGAGGGAGGAGGCGACCCGGCAGTCGACCCAGCACTACAGAAGTGCGCCTGCACGACCTGGTTGACTGCTCTTGTCTGCCAGGATGCATGCATGCCTTCTTTTGTCATTATTTCCATTCCAGTCCATTTGCAGCAACTCTGTCCTGAAAGGTGATGCCGGTGTCGTCCTGGCATGCATGCCCATGCTTCAACAGGGAACTAGCCCTACCTTGTGCATGGCTCAGCTACGCTCTTGCAGCTGTCAGGCAGGTTCCGTAGCAGTTTGAATTCCGACTTGACAGCTGGAGGTGCATGTGTAGGCAACGTGTTGCCGGCCATGAAGCATGCGGCAGAAGAGCTGCGATGCCTTGGAGTGAGCGGGGCCGAGGGCGCAGGGCCGTCTCTGCGCCAGGCGGCCAGGTCAGCGAACGAGGTGCTGCGCGCCAATGACCGCACCTCCCAGCAGATCTCCAAGCTGCATGCGGACGCCATGCGGGTGTGCTTCTCCACTCCAGGCTCTTTCTGTCTTGCACAGATACTTGAAATGCTGAGTTATCATCTATTGAGATGGTGGCACCTCTCCCCGCAGAGGCCAGAGGAACACGCAGATGTTTGTGGCCTTGGTGCTTTTATCCACCTGGACATGAGCAGTGAAGTTTGCTGCCTTTCAACAACCAACAACAGGCTGCCTCCTCACCATTGCAGCTCAACTAAATGAGCATCGTTTCTTCACCAATGCAGATGCAACTGATTGGCCGCTTCGATGGAGCACAGGTTGCTACACAGTGATAAGCACAGTGATAATCCTGTAGGTTGGTTGACTGAACTGTTGTGAACTGAATTGCCCGCATTGCAGGAGCTGGTGCACCACACTGGCGGCAGTGGGGACTTTCAGCGCATGGCGACGCGGCTGAGCCGGGAGCGGCTGGCATGCGCGTGGCCGGTCATGGCCGCCAAGGAGGCCAACCCGGCAAATAACACCCTCATGGTTCTAGGCGCCACCCCTGCCACCCTGGCCTGCCTCGCCGGCCAGCTGCCTGAGATGCAGGCCACCACGGTCGTCATATCATGTGAGCCGCCGTTCTGAGTGCCAAGATCTGTGCAGCTACTTTCAGCACCAACAATCATGCCACACTGCTTACTCTGATGAAGCCCTTTGTTGGACAAAGTGCCAGAGATGCAGGTTGCCGGGAAAAGGTGCAGGACATGGATTGGACTCTGTACATTTAGTATCGTTCTCCCTATTGTGGTTCCTTTTATCGTTCACTTTGCCACAGGGGTTTGCAGTGGTGGGAACTCTCTCCTAGAAAGTGCTGAGAAGTGAAAACAAGCAATTTACAGTGTGTGACTCACCGGCTGTGTTCATGGTCTGCAGTGGCATCCATGCATGCGTCTGACCTGGCGCCCACGACGGCCGCGCTGTGCCTGCTGGCCCGCGCTCTGGCGGCCGGCAACAGTTTGCGCCGGCTGCAGGTGATGGAATCTCGTGTTGCTCATGGGTCGGAAACAACTATTCCACACGACTCTTCAATCAAGTCGTATGCTTAAAGTGCCACCAACTGAAGGACGGAACCTTACAAAGATTGCTTGCATGTTCAATACAGCCTTTTAAAGCGCAGCAAAATAGTGAAAAGATGCTCTTCCGGCCCTTCCGAAGCTGGGTGAATGGAGAGCAGGCCCTTCACAGAGCCCATGGCAATCTATAAAGAAAAAACAAGCAGCTTCAGTGATCAGACAAAATGCAATCCTCTAGTCTGCACCATACTGCCCGCAGAAAGGGTCGAAAATAAGACCCTAAAACTCAAAAATAAACCCTATGGCAATCTTTAGACCAGTTTTGGTAAGCTCTCGCCGAGCCCGGACGAAACATCATCTCAATGAAGGACAGACTCTCGAAAAGAGGTCCAAACTTTTCACGCATTATGAGGGGTGCGGGAATTGTGGTGCTGACTACTGTATCTTAATTGCAGGTGAGCCTGCTTGGTGTGCGCGCATCGGCGGCTGCATCGGCGGCGCCGGCGGAGCATGCAGCGGAGCGCGACGCACGGCTTATCGGCCGAGTCATCTCCGAGCTCAATCGCACCGTCGCCATCAACTGCTCCCTCAGGTGCGCGCCTGCAGCCGCTCGCAGCAGCCTTGTGAGATTTGCTTTGGCGGTTCTGGGCTTTGTCTGCTTCATATATATGAAATGTAGCTCGAGTGCGTGCACAATAGTGAGCTAATTAGCCTGAAGGGGAATCGGAGTGTGGGATTTGAGCTGTAGGGCTGGCATTCAGGCAGCCCTGAAGCCCAATTGCCCGCTTGCATAATCGCTGAATGTAGCTCTGCAGCCTCTCCAAGGGCTCGTGGGAAGCTGCAGGATTGACATATAGAAATTTTCTCATCTTTGCTGCGCAGAGGGAAAGGCAGCTCATTGATTTGAATGGTGTTCTGCGCAGGCTGCTGTCACTGAGAGTGTTGGAGCCGCGGCTGGTCGCGCGCGAATGGGCCGAGGTGCAGGCTACGGCTGCCCATGCTGCGCCACGTCTGCGCGGGGCGGTCGCCGCCGCGCTGCACCCCCGGTGAGCATGCACTTGTTGTGATGTACAAGTTGTGTGCCCTGTGTCTTCACAAGTCTGCACCTATGTACCCGAGTGCAATCATCCCGTGCCTATAGTCTTCCTCGCAAATCTGCACATGTACCTGAGTGAGAGTTGAGGTCAGTAAGGCCTTTAGAGACTGCAGCATGGGGAGTAATTCCCTAGTGGCTGTTAGGGCAATTTTACTGTCATAGATTTAGATGGCAATGTAGGGCGATGGCTATAAGGGCAAGAAATGAGCGGAGGAGGTGAGGAGCAACTGACTAAGCAAAGGGGAAAGAGGAGGCTGCAACACAGTCAGAGAGTCCTCTGCCAGCCAAAAAGGATGTTTGATGGTGTCAGTGGTGGGTGCAGGGTGGATGGTGCCTGCCCACTGAGGTGGCTGCCCTTGCACATCTTCAAGGAGATCCTGGACCTGGCACTCCCTATCACTCCCTGCAAGGTCGTCCTCAGATAGGGACTGGGATCAGAGTGGCAGATGGGCTGCAATTAACTAACGACTATTGCACAATTGCATTGGTCAAGCGACCCCTGGCCTTGTTGTCTGACGTCAAAATGTGCAGTAAACGCGCTTTTGCAGTCATGCTGAAACTGTGTACCATCAATGAGTGATGCGTTGGGCAGATGATAGCGCGCATGCGCGCAATAGTCATAAAGGTACTGGAAATTGAATGCAAAGGACAGCCATCACCACCAGCAGATGCTTGAAACAATGCGAGATCATGGAACAAATTTGGTAAACGTTGAAAACATTGTGTTTGTTGCTTGATGTCAACCTGGTGTCTTCATCCTTGTGATCTTTGACTATGCCAGCATGCGCTTGCAGTATGTCTGAGGAGCTGCCCATATGTGTGCATGCATGCGCAAAGTCGTTGTAATATTCGAGTTGTCTTGCGCAGCAATCTAGCACCACCAGTAAAATGAAATGTTTGTGGGATTGGCACATAGGTCCGGACGTTAATGGAGGCAGTGACGATGGAATTCATTAATTAAGAAGACTTCACTGTGCTCGTAGGACCATGCCTGAGTGAGATTCTCATGAGTGCACTAAGATCACGTGATCACTCTTACCTTTTCATTGCATTCAGAACCTTCTCAGTGTTCTTCCTTGTCCAAGCTCTGTGCGATTTCCCACAACACCTTGCCATTCAAGAACATGCCCAGTAAGCTCACTGACATGGCGCCACCATGCTTCTTTATGACTGAAAGCTGCAGATTGATCTGGTCGCTTGTCGCTGTTGCGTGTGGGGTGCCACTGCGCAGCGAGATCCGGTGCTTTCACAGCCAGAGAGTTGCATGGACAGACCTTGGTTCCAGAGCAGAACGGGCAATCGCTCCCCTTACGCTGCATTGTGCCAGTGCGGTGATAAATCTTGGCTTCCCACTCATGGGGGTGAGCGCATCCAGGATCCTCCGGAGGGGCATTCCGGCGATCATTGCACGACCACACAGCCATGAGATCAGTTTGGCTGGTGACTGTCTCCAGATTGATGTGTTCTTGGTGGGGTGCAGCTGCGCAACCAACTGCGGGTGCTCATCCTTCAAGAGACCACGTTTTGACCAATTGATGGCGCGCAAAATTTCCGCACAGTCTGGACAGCCAGAACCAGGAGATCTATCTGAGACTCTAGCCATCCAACCTCCATGCTTTGAACACACCCAGGACACCATTCCACCCGAACCTACGCTGATTTGTTCAGGATCCATGGCATCGTTGCCTATGTGGTCCCATTGGGCCATCAAGTCAGGGCGCCTGGCTGCCAGAGAGCTGCAGGTGCAGACGCAATTTCCAGAACAGAAGGGGCAGCCGGCCGGTCTATGCCCCCTGGTTCGTGATAACTGCCTCCCATTCATGCACCTTGCCGCATGATGAGCATGAAACCTCTCACAGCCACTATGGTCGTAATGTGACCCACTCGCAAGAAAAACAACCAGTATTCCAATTCAAGCTAAATTTCCGGCGGACAAGAAGATAGCTCTGTCCTGGACCAAACTTCCAATTTATTGAACAAGCACTCCAGTACATTCGTTTGCCCTGCTGATGGACCCTACAGCTGTAGTCTGGTCTAATAAACTCACTCCTGCTCATCCTCCAGGTAGCCCCCCCGCAAGCCCCTCTGCTGCAGTCTGGCCAGAGGGGGCTTGCTGTACTGTCTCAGTCCCACAAAAGCACCTGCACCATCGCAAATCCCTGCTCATGCCTCCTCATGGGCCGATACAAAGCCGCATCCCACTAGCTATCTCAATTAACAAGCCCCCTGCCATCCATGTCTAAAAATTTAGCCTGGCAGCTATAATTCAGTATTACGCACCAAGTTTTCAGCAATGACAGTGTATATCATGGACTTTGTCACCATTTTAGTACTTTTCCATCAATACAGCATTTCTAGCACTTTTATATTAAGGAGGGGCCGTGCCTGCATAGTACCAGGGGCGCATGCCATAGAAGTGGAAGACCAGCATGTCTTTGCCCATCCTGACCACGTTGGACTGCTTGCCCGAGCACAGCGCACACTGCGGGTAGTATCTCTGCCGTGCCGGCCCCGCCACCCTCACCCGCCCCTTCCCCATCAGAATCTGCCCCAGCTTCCCACTGCATGGAGCACAGCCCACGGTCTCAAATCATCACTGCCGCAGAAATCGAATACATCGTGTTTGTTTATCCCTGTGTAGAAGAGGTGTGGCAGACGAGGAGACATGAGCAGTCGTGAGCTCGAGACTGTGTGGGGCCAGTGTGCTCAAATCCCCTTCTCTCAATGTTATTTCCCCGCTCATACCAAGCAAGGCAAAATGAATATCGGCTGAAACCTTGGTGCATCACACTCTGTCCAAAGAGCCGTGGACCTCTGTTGCAGATTGAACAATGGTGCCGAGCGCAGAAGCAGACTGGCAGACAGACAGAAAACGCTGAGGATAGTTATAGCCAGTGCACCACACCTGAGTCGGCTGAAGGGGGCCTTTGATGAGGATTCGCTGAAGCCCAGGCTGGAGGTGATCTGCTGGATGGCCTTCTGGGTGCCTGCCGGCCCGTGCATGAGCTTGTTCGGAGGTATGTGATCCCCTATCACCCTGCCGTTGCGCCGCCCACAGTGATGGCACCCATCCCTGCAACCACAGCATTCTTTCTTTCAGTCGTGCTGTCTGCAGTTCCTAGTCACCAAGAACACCGCAGCTGTAGCAACAGGAATGACATCATCCCTGCCATTGCCGAATTCTTTCTTTTGCATGCTCAACCTGCAACCGGCATCCACCAAAAACACCACCAGCCAGTGTCCGAGACCTCAAATGACTTGCATTGCAGCACCTCTCTTTGAGAACTTTCACCATGAAGCTGAGCAAGACATCTAGTACTAGGCAGTGCAAGCGCCAAATGGTACAAAAGGGGCAGCTCAACGGTTGAGTAATCTGCAATTTGAGAGTTGTCAGTCCGCCCCAATCTAGAGGAGCACCTGAGGAAATGGGCCCAATCGTGTTATGGCCTGCCCAAATGTTACGCGAGCTGCAAAAACAGAGGCTGGGGAGCTCGAAACAACAGCACATTCACAGATGGATGAAGATTTGAGACTAGGGAATTTTTCAAGCAGGTGCCCATTTGCGGACCATTGTAGTTAGAAAGAAAGGCAATGCAGTCTATGTGGTGCACTCCTGCGCCCGCCGGCGCACCGGTGGAAGAGGCGTTTGAGTTCGCCCTTGGCCATCTGCGACGCGTACTCGCTCCCCGGCGCCGGCAGCGACTCGACCGCGCACGCCCCCGGCCGCAGCAGGCTGCTGGGCATCAGGTTGCGGAACCGCCCTCCCATCAACTGCGCACATGCCATCTCTCAGATGAGGCAGATCTAGAAAGAAAGGATATGTGACAGCTGCAGGGACATTGCCCATCCCGCTGCTGCAGCTGCTAGAGCTATCCAGCATCAAACAGCATGCTAGGGCTGTGTCAGCTGCATCAATTGCATGCGCGCCATACTAGGCTCAGCTCACTGTCCTCTGTTGCCTTCAGCATAGCAATATCCCCATGTCTCACTTGGTTGCAGCAGCAATTGCACAGTTGCTGCTGAGATTGGCAACTGGTCTCCGACAGCACGACTCAGACTGAGACCGAGTCAGCAAAGTAGCGCCAAATCACAGAAGAGTATTCCAGAAGGCGCACCAAACAATTTGGAGAAGTCTTATTTTTGTCGACTTTGGCAGCAGTGAGCTCCCAACAGTTCTTCCATGAAGTCAACAAGCAAAGATGCAAAAAGAACAGAGACCTTGAAGAGGGTGATGCCCATGATGGCGTCCAGCGCTGCGTCCTGGGCCACGGCCTGCGCAGAGCGGTGCCGCCTCGTCTCGCCGCGCAGATGGGACCCGAACCGCCTGGACGCCTCGCCTGCCAGGATTGAGGATAGACCGATGCCAGACATGCCCAGCGCCGGACCCAAGACTGGCGTCGCGCAGGATACCCTCAGCGCAAATCCTGTCACCTGTTGCAGACCAGCAATATTAAATAACAGGACACGGCTAAGCCAATGCGTGCATTAGCGTGTAGGTGCATGAGTAGTGTGAACAGTTATTGTGCAGGGCATCCGAAGCTTGCCTGTGTGATGCCAAGCCCAACTGTGAAGGCGCCAGCAGAGGTCAAGGCATGGCCTAGAAATGGGACTGCTGGCTCCAGAACTATCATGAGTTGGCCAGCTGTTCGTCTGCATCATGCATGCCAAGCATCAGGATATTAGTTTGCTCGAGGAGAAGATTGCAACACCTGGAGAGCCTGGCCATCAAGCGCACCTAGGCAAGTTCCTTGATGGAATTCCATGAATTCTGAAGCTTATCTTACATTAAAAAAACTGAGAAACTGATAATCGTTGGACACTGCGGCTCTCAGACGACTTACCTAACACTGTCCTCCATCGCTGACCTTGAAATAGTACTTAGCAAACTTGCATCAACGTCACATCCTGAACATCAACTAGTGGTGGTGTCTTGTACATGTGTTGATAATCAAAATGACGGTGAGCTTTTAGCTGACTGCAAGCTTCGATGGTGGAGGTAAAGTCAGATTTATACTTCCCAAACAATGCTTGTTATCAAATGTCGTGCATCTGCAACATTTACTGATGCAACCAATCAATAATGACCATAATAATCAGTGACCTATTTCTGTCCTCGTTTCGGTCAAAGACTTTGATTAAGAGGCTGATGATGATGTCAGCACGAACGTCATGTCCAAGAAAGGCAATTTCCAGATGTGTGCATCCTCCCGGACTTCCGCTGCTTCTTCAAATCATTCTATAGCGGACACGTTCACAGCATGACAGTCAACGCAGAAAGCTGGGTACCTTCTGGTAGAGATCAGGTCGTACTTGCCTTTCTCATCACGGCATCCCAGTCGTTCTTGCCTTCAATTCTTGATGTTTGCAATCTGAACATTGCGAGGAAAATTGAATTGTATGTAGCCTATCAAAATTAATCAACGAAATCAACACTAGGCTCGAGCGATCGCAACTTTTTAAGACGGGCATGCTGATCATGTTGGACCCGTGACAACAGCCTGATGTGAGTATCTAGTTGCTTTTTGAGTGACCAGCTACGATTTATTCAGCAATGAGCGCAAGGGCCACTTCACTCCCCACCGGGTGGTCTCCGTGGACAATTTTGCACCGAGTGGGTAATGCATGCTAGACTCTTTTCTGTCACATGAAGTCAATGAAAATGCTTGAGCTGTTAGGAAAGAAAATTCTCGCTTTGCAAAGAGAATACGGAGCACAAGGAAGGTAGGAACGGAATAATGTGTGAAAGGCTAGTGATTATGTCACTGTCATTGCACTGGAAGTCATTCTGTCAACATTTAATTTGACTTGCAAACATTACAGCGTTTGGCAACAACGGCCCAGACATGGCGCTCAAGCCTTGGAAACTGTGACCCCTCAAAGTGCTACTATTCCAGCTGGACAAGACACTCCCTCACTCTCAGACAGGACCATCTCTGTTTTTGGCCATGTCGACTCGTCATCTGTACTCAGCAGTGGAGATCTCTCAAGACATACACCCATTAAATACCAAAATTGCCATGCGGCAAATTAGCTAGACTTGGTGTTTGTCACGGACATTCATCGCACATGCATGGGAGCATGCTGCGCGGACAGTGTCATAAAGACAGCCTCGCGCTCACGAATCCTCTGCTGCGGCTTGTGGCAGGGCCTCAATTTCAGCTTTGTCCAGCAGCTTCTCTGCCAGCTTCTCCTGGATCGCTGCCATGCGCATCACCTGAAGCACGTGGCAAGCCTTCAGGAATTGCATTTCTCAGACACCATTTCATCGACACCAAACTTGCAGTATTCTTGGTTAAAACACACCGGGAAGCTACAACACAGTCACAGTGATATCATTGACCACCACAGATGACTACATTTTGCACCTCAAACTTATCCTCATTCACACAAGCAATGCCTGCTGGCACCACACTTTCTTGACCAGCCAAAATAAAGCGGAATAGGAACTGGGCAAAGCCTGTGTGAGTAAGGCACTCACCTGTGCTTCCAGGTTGTCCAGCTGTTGCGCCATGGCATCCTCCTTCTCGGCAGCTTCCGTTATGGAGGGATCCGCGCTGTGCCGATTGACCTGCACGCCCATGCAACACAGACAAAGTCAGATCTTCTGGCAAAATGCACAAGGGCATGTGCTCAGGCTTGTACAAGCGTAGGTGGAAAATTGCCCTGGTAAAGTTGCTGGTGAGTTGAAAGCGACCGTGCCCAAAGCTTTTTACACGGTATACGCTCCAGCATTGCAGACAGGGACCCAACATGCACACAAGAGGCATGCCTGGCCTCAAGTGCTCACAGTGCTCTGAATAGCCAAGGTCCCCAATCAGCCACATGTCAAATCGCGGCAGGCCAAACTCCGCAATTGAAAGATGCAATTGAGCGATGCACATCAGAGCAGCCATTCCTGTGAAGCCTCAGGCCTGCCACTACTGCAATAGTTTCATGATACTCTTTTCCTGCCAGAGGCAAGGTGCGTTGCAGACAAACTCTACGTGAAGGCTGCCAAATACCTACCCCTTTTTTGGCTCGTCAGATCCAAGCGTAACCCAAACATACCATGGGCACGGTGCTCAGTATTTCTTCCCGCGGCCCACCAGCCAGGAAGCCCAATATTATTATTATTATCATTACACGCTCTTCCTGCCAAAAGGCAAGGTACGTCCTGCAGACAAGTTGCAGTTAAAGGCTGCCACAATCCTACCCCTTGTTGGACTCGCCAGATCCAAGCAAGACCTAATCAACCGTGGGCACGGTGCTCAATATTTGTACCGTCCCCCAGCCAGCCGTGGGAAATAAATTCACTAAGATTTCTGGGGTACCGATAGGGGACCTGAGCTCACCCTGAGGAAGTGGATGTAGCGGGGGTACCAGCTGTGCGAGTTCCTGGCGCGCAGCCAGCTGGGAATGCTGCTCTCCAGCTCGTCTATGATCTCCGCGCGGCCGCTCAGGAACCGGGCGTCCTGGTTCTCGTTCACCTGCAAACATTGAAGTCATGTGAGGGCTGTTTGCTTACTGGTGCATCCCAGAGAGCTGGCGATAGACAATTACTCTCTGAGGGCCTCAAACAGAAAACATCTCTTGCGCTCCTCCACTCTCTGATAGTTTCTGAGGTGATGCACACTCCATGGACATCAGCAAACCAGCGGTGGGGAGAGCGCAAGACAGCGCATAATATCTCAATCCGTTCTCTACCTTTTGCTTAAATTAAAGATCTGCAGCGATTGAATGTGTCTGGAGTTGTATTAGACATCTACAATTGTCCCCATCTCTGATGACTTGACAGGCTGGACTGGCGTCTGGCTTACCCTGGAGCAGGCGTCTGCCAGGATGGCGATAAGGCAGTTGAGGAGAACCATGGACATGCTGAACCAGTAGACCAGCAACAGCGCCAGACCAATCTCCGGGTTGTGCGTGCCAGCGAAGATGGTGAGATCCACGCCGCCCATGAGCCAGTCAAACACCGTCACCAGGCTCGACCCTATGTCCCTGAACGCCTGCAGCGCCGCACATTTGAAATTCAAATTATATATGCGGTCCAACAATAAAAAAGTGTGCAGTGGGAGAATAAACCACTGTGCACTTTGGCAAAGGGGAAGGAGGATGCATGTCATCAAGGCTGCCAGTTGCGGCCTAGTAGTTGAGAGCCTGCCTTAGGTAGAGTTGCATGCCTACTAGGCATGATGCACGCGTTGCGAAATTAATTCGCATGCGCTTTGGCAAGTTTAGCATATCAAAGGAATGGCAACGCTTTGGCGAGTGCGCAACGACTGTACTGGAAGAGTGTGTGGGAAAGAGAAGATCTGCGGGGCTCGCCTCTTTCTTCTGGTCGCGGCGGAAGAGGATGTAGAAGCTCACACAGAAGCCCCACATGGTGAGCAGCAGCAGGAAGAGGAACCACTTGACGTCGTTGATCACCGCGCGCAGCGTGTCCACAAAGGGGTTCTTGGAGGGCTGCAGCACCCTGCAGCAATAGGGAGAAATATTGAGAGTCGTGGTATGTCGCCACACAAGGGTTCCTGGAGGGCTGCGGCACCCTGCAGGAAAGGGATTTGATGAGGGTAAATGTCTAGGGCAGCAATGTAAGTGCAGGTTGGCATGCCTTTTGGAATGTGTGCAAGCACTTGTTGAGAAGGTCTCCCAGGAAGAAGAGGCGGTGTTGACATGACAGAGCTGTGACATCCATTAGAATACACTACTTTTTTAGCTACAAGATGGTGGGCTGCCATCATTCAGTCTTAAAAGTCTTGTCAACAGCAATGCATTCACTTATGCTGTGCCTTGGTCAAGCCAACATCTATGAGTGTCACCCCCTGACAAAGGTGGGGGAGGGCCCACTAGACCAGAATGGAAGCACTCTGCTCCGACGCACTGAATCCTTTTGGATTGGAAAGGCGTGTGATAGATGAGAGATAGATAGGGCAGGCGGCGCACCTGGCAAAGTACTGCACCTTGACCCAGAGGATGAGCACCTGCAGTGCCATGATGACTGACAGCCCATTGCTGGCCAGCTCCAGCCGACCCAAATGCATCACCGTAATTGCTATCTGCGCAGCGTACGCCACTATGTCCAGAATGTTCCTACATGGCAGCATGAAACATTGAGGCAGCGGGCCGACATCGGGCTTAGAAGGCAATGGGGCCCTGGCATGGAAAAAGGTCCATGTCCCAACACAGCAGAATGCATGGGCATGCCTGCAGAGTGTCTGCAAAGAGAATGATGAGCTCATTACTTGCATGCTGCACGTGTGCAAGGACTTACGTGACTCTATCTCTTGGAATTAAGTGCATTCTCCGCATGAAGCTTCTTGATGTATTTGATTTAAGGGGTTGATCTACAGATGAAAGGGGGGATACACACAGAAGCAAGCCAAGAGTAGGGTGCAAGAAGCTGACCAGAAGTTGTAGATCCACTGGGTGATGCCGTACTCCAGCACAGCGCACAGCTCGATGTACATGAATGGCAGCATGCCCAGCACAGCCAAGATTTCAAATGTGACGGCCGTGGCGCCCGATCGTGTGTTCAGCAGCTGGCCTAGGCTCAGAGAGGTGTCCTCGTCCTGTGTGCACCCAGTCACAGCAACATGAGATCAATCCAGTCTTCCACCTATACCAAATGCCATGCGCGAGAGTCCATGATCAGTAATGTCATCAACCGATCTCAGGTGTTCCTCTCTTGGCAGACCATAAATTGGACAATTTATGCCTCAAGCACCAGCTCTCTACGGCCATCAGCATGCTGAAGCCAGCAGAACAGTGGAGCACATCTGCCCGAGGGTCACAGAATGCTGCACATGCAGGATCCATCAATAAAGCAGATGCTTTGCTCTGATGAAGCCAGAACGCACCTGGAAAATGAAGACAAAGATCTGGAAGGCCAGCAGCCACACTAGGTACATGGCCAACTCCGCGTGCATCCATCTCCTCGCCCACTGCTGCCACTTGAAGGTGATCACAGCCTGCAGATACCAGAGACCAGCATCTTACATTTCAATGTCTTGCATTCAATCTCAATATTCTGTGGATCTCTTTGACAACCACTTCACGTGCATTTTGATGAAGTTCTGTTGCTCCACAGAGAGTGCACGACCACAGGGTCAAGCGCCCCAATCGAGATCGAGAACCTGCAGCAAAAGGGCACCTGCAGTCTCATGCAAGCGTGCACAGCATGTGGTGCAGCGGGAAATTAGCAAACTGCATGCGTCAACAAGCTCTGCTGTTTGCATAAATATCGTGCAGGAGAGTCTCATTCAGTCAAATATAAGCGGTATTTCTGGCAATACAGACAAAAAAGGGAATGTCACACACCTCCACGGCTGGCAGCGCCCAAACGTTGACATTGAAGATGTTGCGCTGGAAGCAGTGCAGCAGCGGGTTGAGCAGCCCGCCATCGTCCGCGCATGCCACATTTTCTATGTCCACCACGTAGGCCTCCACCTCCATTACAGCACTTCTCCCTGCACAACAATTTTGCCTGGGTTTTAGTAGATACTCTGTTGGCGGGTACGAGAAGAGAGGAACCTTTCCTGGAAGAGGAGAGGTTCTTAGCAACTCACATTAGTGACCCTCATTGCTGATGAGGGTCACTAATGTGAGTTGCTAAGGCAGGGCATTGCTCCTACCATACTTCATTGACGGTATTCAACCGAGAGGCTTGCTTGCGCCACAGACACATGCAGCCGCGCAACGGCAGGACTGAGCTTGGCAGCATGCATCAGTGGACCTCATTGCCGAAGATCTGTCGATGTAGGCTGAAATAATATCATCATTCTCACATCAGTCCCGAGCAACACAAGAAGGTGGTTCGTCAGCACATATCATGCTGAGGGCCCTAGGGAACGTGCCATCCAGGCCGGGGCGGTCATCTTTGTCCAGTTGGGACCGCCAGGTCCTCTGCCAGTCTATGTCTCTGCTGTCCATGCCCAGCGTCAGGATGCCATTGTTCTCCAGCAGCTGCAGAACTGTGGAGTCCTGCACAGAGTGAAAATGAACGAACAGAACAGGCCAAGAGCCACACCACATGCATGATCACCTGCCGCATTTCTGCTGTCCCCCGGATATAGACTGTCCAAGATAGCAGGAGATATTGAAAGATTCATCGAATGGAAATCATGGCCTGAAGAAGGCCCAGAGACTCTGTAAGGTGTGTCTCCTCGCAGGCAAATATTACTGATGTGGAAGAGATCCGGGAGAAGTTCTGAACACTTACCCGCACTTTGAATGTGCCTAGCTTGCGGACGCCTTCCTGCTCGATCCATTTGAGGGTCTCGGCAGGCCTTTCATAGAGCAGTGATGATGAGTAGCCATTGCCGCACTCGATGATATCGTCGTGACCGTTGTCCATCAGCGGCTGCTCTATATCAGATGCATTAGTTGTTCCTCTTGTGGCATTCAGTGCCATTTCCTGTGGTCCCAAACCCACATGGCTTCTGTGGTGACGCGGCATTGGACCTCAGTACCGCGTCCCCTGAACGATCAGAAACTTCAAAGCCGATATGTAATTATTTACATGAAATAATGAAATTGAGATGGGACTTGATGATCCTTAATTTCTTACAAAGTGTTGAACAATTTTGTGATCAGTCTTCACAAGTTTCTGTAGGCTGATCGAGTCAGCGTGACGATATTCAATGCAACGAAGAAACCGAGCTAAGTTGAATCACAAAACAGAATAATTTTTACTCACTTGTGCATTGTACTCGGTGAAAGATTCATTCCGAGAGCGTGCCTCGGCCTCATAAGATAAGAGACCGATGAGGATACACATGCATGCACCGTGATCACCTCGTCAGCACAAGAATGGTCTCACAGGGCTAAAAAGGATTTAACTTCCACTGTCTGGCAAGGTCGAGCGTTTTCACAGACCTACTCTTCAAGAAAGAAGGCCTGGTCAATATCTTTAAATTCTTTTCCTTTGATTTATAATCACAAACCAGGAAAGGCTTTCATACTTGAACTTCACTTCAAGAAGTGACTCGAAGTGAGCTATACTGGTAATAAGCGGCGGATCTGCACAGCAGATCAAATAAACATTAAGAAGACCTCACCGTTGGAGGCCCAAGGACAGAACCTTGTAGCATAGTGTATGCCAGTGCCCAAACATCGATGTTTAAGATATCGTATGCGTCCACTGCCGTACACTTTCTCTCTATGTTCTCTAAAGGTTTCCCTAGGAAGCTTGTTCCCGGATGCTTAATGACGACTAGAACTTGGCCCGGCAATACAAAGGTGGTCTCCCCCACGGCAACCTGTCAAGGAACTGCTGAATCTTGTTTTGCCTGCGCATTGTGGTGTGACTCAGAAAGCTCAGAAACCCTGTCCATTTCAATGCCTCATCACTGGATATTTTCCCCAGAGCTTTGCCCCCTAAGCCTTGTTCTCTCTGTCAATCCGCCAGCGCTTCGCATAGCAGGCAGCAGCACGCGGCCGCAAGGCTGCAGTCAACACTAAAACATCTCAATGACATTCTCATACTATGTTGCATCCAGTAGGGATGCTGGCGTCGATTCACAGCAGCTTTGGCTATCCACACTCCATTGTGCAGTCTTGCACAGTAAACGGCAAGGCTCCTGATGCAAGATGGCCCGAAAGCATGTGCACTGTTGTCTTCCATCTGGCTGTTACTGTCTCTTGATGCCATGGAAGAGTCCATTTTGCAAGGATTCACCAGATCAAATGGCGCCATTAAATGGTTCAAGGAAAGGTCTCACCAGGCCTCAAGGCACCCCTTGCTGGAGCTGCCCTGCGGCTGCGCATACACTGGCTGCGGTGGGGGCTGCGCGTAGTAGGTGGGAGGGGGCGGCCCTTGGGGATATCCCCCTTGGGGGTACTGGGGATACGGGGGATAGCCCTGCTGTGGTGGGTATCCTGGAGGTGGGTAGCCTGCAGACTCGGGTGACTCAGTATCTGAGATCTCAATATGTAGAATATGTACGCACAGATCCAAGCATAGGGCCCTTCATCTGCGTCTCTTATTACGAAAAGCGATGGTCTTGGCTCAGACGTAGTCCCAAGAGATTTGCGAGGAACGCCATCGTGGTGCATGATGCAGCAGTTTAATTGGTAACAAATATACCTTGTAAAAATATTGAGGATATGGTGATGCCTGGACAGCATACAGGGGAAGGTACAAGGCCAGAGGTGGGGCACCACCTGACATTGGACGACCAAGCAACGAGTTCCTGTAACTCAAACCTTGGTGCGCACAGTATAACTAAATTTACTCTGTTTCCTTCAAGTATCAATGCATACAAGAGCGTGTCATCAGCCAGATATGTCCTGGAGATCTGCGAACCGTCCAATGGACCATGATAGCGCAGGTCAGGCAACAATTGATAAGCACCTTGGGATTTCTAGACATGTCAGCACATAAAAGTACATCCTGATCAGAGTCTCGGAGGCATCAATAACAGCTCAAAAACACCTGATGGTGGATACTTAACCTTGTCACGCTCGACTGTGTGGTGAAGAACAAAGCTTGCAACGATGGGAGCCCTTGACAACATCATCGGGCGCGACCCGGTCACGCGGCAGAACAGAATTGCAGCAGGTGGGAGCCAGGAGGCACAATTTTTAAGTGTTAAGCTTTATTGCAAGGCATTGCTGCGCTGTAATTTGGGACCCGGGGTATATTGCTTTGTCAGCAGTACAGGATCCGCGAGAAGGTGTGTGCCCGGGTGCTGTCCGTGAACGGACGACGGCTTCTGAATCCCTAAGTACGCAGATAAAGTGCATGCAAAAGCCTGGTATCATCTGTGGGATTCACCCTCAAGATTCCCTGCAGTCCGAAAAGTGCTGATGGTCATCAGCCGTGGGAGATACCTTTGCTGATTGTCTGAGGACCTGCGTGTACTGCTGTGCACAGGTGCTGCCCTCGCGCTCGTTGGAGCGGGGTACTATTGGTACAGCAGCAGGAAGGAGGGTGAAAGTAAGCAGTCCGCCTCTCGTCCATAGGAATCACCTGACATGGATGGCTTCTCCTGATACTCGCAGCTCACGTTATCTGTGGGCATAGTTGGACCATAAAGGATTTCTTTTATCAGTTTGCTGAAGTTTGACTGGAGTACTTCATGTATCTGTGCCTCGGCCAGCATTTCCCAAAACAACACCGTGGCCACCAGTGCACTGATCTGTTACACCTGTGCGCAGACCCGGTTGATAGGGCCAAGCGTGAGGCGGGGCACGTGAAGGACAAGGCCAAAGAGGAGGGGGAACGCGTGCGTCAGGCTGTAGACGACAAGGCGCAGAAAATAACAGGGCGCAAGTGAACTCCCCAATCTGTGAATCATGTCAGCTGCAGCCTGTCTGTGCCTGCTGCACAGACAAGCCGTGCAAGCTACAAGCTGTGGAGTAGGCTGCAGGCAGAGGTCATGTTGGATGGTCAGAGACCCTGTGAAGATGATGTAGAGTGCGGCAGGACAATGCACAGCTAAAGCATTATGCAACAAGTTGGCCGTCTGACGGTTTGCGGGACACCATATTCCACTGCTGGTCAGGTCAGGGGAAGGGCGTGTTGCTCTTTTGAGACCAGATTTGTGCTCTCCCAAATCTTGCAGCACCTAATGCTTGAATTTTGACGAGCTTTTTTTCCTGTCTGCCTGACATGCCTGCATCTGTAAATTTTGATCAAGCAACTTGCAAATTGCCGTGCAGCGACTCAGAATGCAGGCAACATGTGCCTGTCAAGTAGGGCAGCGCACCTCAAAACCCAATCAGTCAACCTTTTCTCTCTAGATCCACATTCCAATCATGCATTTGGGTCATGACCCCTGATCAGGTCATGTAGCAATATATTCATCCTTGGTTCAGGCTCTGCAAAGGAATTTGTCACCAGTGCAGTTTCTCTGAATGCTCTCCAATTCTTGCTGTGCACGTTTCGGATAATGTTGTCAATCATGTCTTCAGTTGACGGCAGGCGCGGCAGCCATGGCAGGCGCAACAGCTCGCACCCCTGAGCTCCGCAGGGTTCCCAGGGTCTGCGCAGGGGGAATAAATTACAGATCAGAAAACCCCATCAACCACCCTTCTGACGGCACGATCGCACCCAGTACCAATGCCACTACTAGCGCAATAATCAAGTCACTACAAGATGGCACAGAACATGACACGTCACATGCGCCGTATCTGATACCATGAAACTTGGCAGGGAACTGTTTGAAGTGAAAAGGGGTGTGGGAAGAAGCTGACCTGGAGGCCGCCACTGGGTTCAGCACCTGTATTTTTTTAAGGGTTTAGGGTTTAGGGTTGGCAGGGAACTGTTTGAAGTGGAAAGGGGTTTGGGAAGAAGCTGACCTGGAGCCCGCCACTGGGTGCAGCTGCTGGGGCGTTCACCAAGCATGGGTTGCCATTCAGCAGCACCTGCCCACCCCACATGCTTCAGCAACACTCACTAGAGGCATGCAAGCATAGTTGCACCATTCGGTCGGAACATATTTTGGGGACCGAATATACGGCCCTATATTCGGGCATACGGTCTGAAAACATACGGAATTCGGTCAAAAACGGCCTATTTTGACCCAAAACACCGAATATACGACCGAATATACACCGTATGTCGAATGGCCGAATCCGTATGGTGCAACTATGCATGCAAGACCCATCAACCTAGCTCACTCTCTCCACATCAGGTGGCACACTGTAGTGCCCCAGTGTTCCAGCTATCATTAAAGGACATGGAAATGGTGGGCACGATGCAGTGGCAAACAGTAATTTAAAGCAGCACATGCCGGCCTTGCATGCACATGTCAATGTAAATCTCTCTGAGGCTCCCCGAAAGCACTCTTTCTGCTAACGACCCAATTTCCGTTCACCAAAGAGTCCAACAGGCCAAATGCAATCTTTGAAGAGTAGGTAGATGTGTCTTCTGGAGCTCAGAAACAGAGGAGATCTGGTCAGGTCACCTTGTCTGGCTGCAGAGCGTCCGGGGATCTGCTCAGAACAATAAAGCCGACAGAGACTGCATTGGTGGCTCCAGGCCACAGGACATCCCAGTAGTCACTGGCAGTCCCAGTCAGCGTGCCGCCCAGCACATACTGCGGCTGAGTCAGGCCGAACGCCTGACTAACCCCCGCGTAGTAAACGTTTGCGATGGTTAGTACCCACGGCGTCGGCACCGCCACCGGGCCCACGTTTGTGGCTGTCACCATGACACTTCCCAGGTACAGCCCTGCCCGCGCCACAAATCTCCTTTAAGTACAAGCACACTGTCTGAAACCGTCTACTGGCTCATGGTGATGGATTTAACGATTGAAGGAAGGCATGGGTTTTGAGCGCTAGACACCAAGTGCGATTATGCAAATGTTAAACACGTTTCTCTTGTGCTAGCAACGCTGGCAATGGCGGGGAAGAGACTGTGCTTTGTATGCTTTGTGGTTATTTTTGGAAAGTATTTCCGAAAGTTCTAGCTGACAAATGACCTGAGCTTGTGTTTGAGGATCTGCATGCTATTACTAATGCAAGAGATTGTGGCTCCATTGCCCCTAATCTTCTGTACACGGGTGGACAGTGAGTGGTTGCTGTAGGTCTGTACCTGTTGTGTTGTCTACGCCGGATGATGTCACAGTGACCTGAGAGGAGCAGAAGTTCTTGTTGACCGCGACTGTCGGCGGCAGCCCGGTCGCCTGTTTTGGCTTTACCCTGCGCCACAACACCCCCACAGCATGTGTTATCACCCCTGAAAATTCTGCTTGCAAAAGTTGCCCCAAGAACCAAGCCAGGCTTCTTTTTGCATCCCTGCCTTCCACGCCATCTAACAATTTTATACATTCCTGTGCATTCCAGGGGTCGAGAGGTATCAGACGTATATTCATCTGAGAGCCCTTCACAGATTGCGGGGTGATTCTAGGCGTGAGACAATACAAAGGGACCTCTTGGGCAGGAAAATCCTGCTAGGACAGGCGCAATCAGAAGCATCAAGGAAAGGGGACTCACTTCTGGGCGCTGGGTGGCAGGTACCAGGGATTCAGCCCCAGGCCTATCAAGTAATCCAGTGGCCCCTTCAGCACTTTGAGACCATCCGTGCTGGTTAGGCTCCCTGCATGTGCGCACCATCACATTTATTGCTCAGAATGATCTTTTTGTGTCATCTCTTGGGGCAGTGGTTCAAGAATCAGGCAACCCCTTTGCGAGCAGTTCTTGGCAAATTGCCGAGCACTGTACATTCTACTAGCACAAGGGATTGAAAGAGTGATTGTGCATTATGTGCGCTTTATACATCATCTGCAGAGCCTGCAGGCAAGCCTTACAGTGACGAATCGTATCAGGAGGCTTATTGAGAAGGACCTTTTTTGAGAAGTTTGGTGATGAAACACCCTTAATAATGTATTATCCATTATGAACAGCTTGACCTGCTGCGCATGAAGGCATCTGACACCAAAGGCACGGGTGCAATGCACAGACATGCCTAATTTGGCCGCCAAACGAGGCAGATGCGTCTGCAGATAAGCTACACGTTATGGCTGCCACTTATCCTAACCAGTGTTGGACTCGCCAGATTCAAGCAAGACCCAATCAACGAGCAGGCTTTGGTGCACAGTATCTGTACCGGCCCCCGCCAGCCGGGGCCATATACGATTAGGGGGACGAAATACAAGGATAAAAAATCTGGAAGAGATATATTGAAAAGCTGCTGGAGCGCACCTAGCTGAATATGAATGACTGAAAGAGGGTGATTTGAAGACAAGAGTAATGATGTGTTGATTGCTTGATTAGGCATCTGCCGCACCTGCCAGATCAGGCGTCCAGCCATTCCAGAACCAGGAGGAGATGGGTCCATGCGCGCCGTCAGCCGCCAGGCAGGCGGGCAGGCCACAAAGCGGCTGCATGTAGGCCGCCAAGTCATCAAGCGCTGACTCATCCGTCGCTGATGCCAGCCCCGACCCAAAACTGGCCAGCACCACTGCAAAGCTCCGGCAGCTCTTGGAGTTCACACAGTAGCCCTGCAAAGTGCAAAGACACATATTTTCAAATATGGGGGGTTTTGAAGGCTTGACGGTGCTACATTTCAGGTCCCAGGGTTCAGCATATTGGGTTGTTTTCAAGTGGCAGTTCTGTGGTATGTGACCTCCTGCTATTGATACTGGGTCAGAAATCATGACATTGAGTGCAACGAGTGTGGAGCACGTACAAAGGTTGCAACGCAGCCAGAGCGCATTGCAACACTTGAAATGTATGTAAGGCAGAGCTCAGGGGTATTCTAAAACAGCGCAGCGCAGAAGAGCTGCTATGCAGAGTGTAACAGGATAATTGATGCTTGTATGCAAAGCAAAGGCTCTGTGAAGGCCCACCTCCTTGTTGAGGTAGCCGAAGGATGAGGTCAGACGCTGCCACAGAGCAGCACCGGTGCTGGCGGCCAGAGATCCGTTGTAGACTGACGGCGCTGTGTAGGCCGGTGTGATCACCACCTGATTTGACACATAAACCACAATATTCAAACCTCCTCATTCCCTGCCGATGGTGCCTCACATGGAAGCTATCAAAGACTCTGATTCAAAGCTGCAAATGCATCACAACCTGATCACCTTGGATGTACTTTGGTAGTGCAATTCTATGAAGGCGACACAAGGCTGCAGTTGGTCGAACACGCTCAGATTGAAATCAAAGTACAGTACGAATTTGAAGTTCAAGCTGTAGAGTGTATACCTGGTTGACGTAGGGGCGGATTAGAAGTGTCTTGAAGAATGCGTTGGGGTCGGACAGGTTGTACTTCCTGATCAGGTTGGCGTCCGTGGCAAAGCCGTCGCCCGGGCTCCTTGTCAGCGCAGTCTGCCCCGCTCCTGCTCAGTAAACGATGAGTCGTGATTACTACTTGAGAATCTGGTGTTCAGTCATAAGTGCATGTTCAGAGTCTTCTCAACACATCGGAGTGCGGCTGTGCGTTGTCACGGGACAAGCTGCTTTGCATGCACGTGCTGAGGTGAAGAAGCTCTAAATGTCAGTGGGTTGCGTTGATTCCAATGATAATTTTCAGCCCAGATGCTGTAGTAGCTCTGCTGATACCTACGCATGGCACCGCAAGTTATTGTGCGCGCGCAGCACAGCAGCAAGCTGAAATCTGTGCTGACGCCAGCAGGATTACTGCTGAGATGGGGCCACCGGCATCTGAAGGCACTCGTGGCAGTGATGCATTCCTCCTCCAAGGAGAACCCAGAGTATCAATGTAGCGCCGTTTGCTGCCAAATCATGCATTTGAGGTCAGACTGGATGCAAAAAGATCCAACAACTGGGCCTCTGATGGACCTCCATGGATCCTGAAGGACTAGCTCGGATGGGATGGCTGCCCGTTGAAGCCGCTTCAAGTTTTAGAGTCGGGTGCTGCAATAAGAAGGGGCTAGGGCTAGACGCAGGGTATTGAGTGCAGGAAGCTTGCCTTGCAGGAAGAAGAGGGCTTTGGGGTTGATGGGGTTGAGAGCGTCCAAGGCTGCCATGTAGATGTTTGCCAGCCCTGGGGCACCCCCCGCCGCCTGCCACCTGGCAAGATGACAAGTTGCACTAATTATGCACAGCATACTTCTACTAATGCTACTAGGCACGTCACTGGTGTCCGCCAAAGGCAGAATCGCCCACATGTGGAATGGACATCTTGCTTTGCCACAGACCTGGCTGGCCTGCATATACTGCTGGTTTGCAATGACATCCGCGAGCTATTTGAATTTAGTGTTACGTCAGAGTGTTTTTCGACAGGCAACTGCTCATGATATCCAGCAGAACATATACAGAACTATACCAATGTCAGCGCCTGCCGAAAGACAGTTCAAAGCACAGTACAACATTTGGATAATTGGAAGAACCGAGTTTTACTTGAGGCCGTGGGTGTCCGGATTGCCGAGGGGAGATATGACGATGCGGGGGGCTGCGACGGCATTCTTAGTCACCGTGCTGACTAAGCGCGTCCAGCTCTGCACCCACGTCTCCGGGTTGTCTATCGCCGTTCTGTCGACCTCAAAACTGTTCTCCAGCACCTGCGCCAAAATAGGACACTACGGTGTTGGCATGCGCATGGGCACACATACAATATACGCGCATCAACAACCCCCACTGCCCTCTTAAATGTGGAGTCAATTAAGGGCGTTTATCAGGATGAGATAAGAACATTAAGCACTGCTGTCTTGTACTTACACATAGTCCAGTGCAGACAAGGTAGTTCACAATGGTTTTCTGACAAGTTGCCATTGCTGATCATCCGATGAGTCAGTTTAGTCTACCGTGGATAAGGTCACTCACACCAATGCTTGCTGTGACCCTCCACCACTCAAACATGACTGACAGAGGGTGAAGAAAAAACAATCCTGGTGTGGGACCTCATGCAGGGTGAACAAGAAAGGAAAACGGCATTTGCCTTTCAGTCTTCGCTATGTACAACGCTCGGACTCTGCATTGAAATTTTCAATGGAAATTATGCCACTGGAAGCAACGGAATTATTATTATAATTATTACACGTTTTTCAGTCCTCAAGGACTAGGTACAAAGGAAAGAATTAGAGGCAGATTTATTCCAAGGATCTCGCACCACATAGAAACCATTGCCAGCAAGGAAGCCAACAATGGCCTGATACTCCTGCAGGGGAGTGCCGGTAGGAATGTCAGTGTTGCACTCGCCCTCTCCGTTTGAAGACTGCGCCAGAAGGTCCGGCACCTTGGCAGTCACGGGCAGCAGCGTGCCATTGGGCAGCACAGACGCCTGCAGTGCATCAGCAGCAGTGATTCTGCTGATTATGGACTGATGATCAACAGATCACTGATTGATCATGTGATGGATTTTGTCCTTCTGAAGCTTGGCGGATTGACCCTATTGGTGTTGCAGAACTGTTTCTTTTTTGTTTGTAAGTTCTTGAACGTCATGCTTGGCGCTAACTCTGAAAACATGACTCAGTCAATTGATCAGTGATCACCGGGAAGTTGGCCGGAAGCAGTGTAGATTGACTGATTGGGCTGATTGGGTTGTTTGCTCTGCAATAATGCTGCGTGATAGGGTACATCGCTGAACGGTGCCCTTCTGTGGTTGATGGCAGAGCCTTGAGTGGGACATGCATGTCCTTCTTGTGTGACATGCAAATCAGCTGAGCTCCTCATTGCATTATTTGAGAGCGCCAGTGATGGATGCAGTACCTGAAGCTGAGCAGCAGTGGTGCTGATGCACTTGAGGGGGTACTTGGGGGTCGGGGCAGTGCCCAAAAGGGTCTTGAAGCTGAAGGGCAGCTTGACAGCGTTGAATCCCAGTGATTTCATGCGCTGAACCTGTGTGCTGAAGTCCGCGCTCACGCTGCTGGCACCCTGAAAAGGAACACACAATCTACATTTGTCATCATTGCTCTTATACGCTTTTCCTGCCAAGAGGCAGGCTGCTTTTGGAAACAAGCTTTATCTTCATGCTTCCTCTCACTGTCACCCAGGCGTTTCCTTTCGTTGGAAGGGCCACTGAGAAAGCATTGCTCGAGGTGCGGGCACAGGAATGGCCCTGCAATCCTGAAGAATATGACTGAAGTTCTCTTATAATTTACTGTCTGCCGTGGTGCATCCTCTGCTTCTGGATCATGGAGGAAAGGCATGACCATGATCTTTGCAGAAGTCTTAAGAAGGAGCAATATCAGCAAGACTGGTAAACAACAATGTAGGTGTTGCTTGACGTACCTAGTCCTCAAGAACTGGAAAATTGTGCAATAATTATAGAAATTTATTATTTTAGCAAAGGGGTGAACCTTGAGGTTGTTCAGCATGGTGCCTGTGTCAAAGCCGGGCCATGTTACGCCCCTAAGCAGCACCGGCAGGCCATCAGCGCCCACAATGACACCTGCAGAACACATGAACGATCTTGTCAGTACGGTAAAGGTCCCTCGATCATGCTTGCAGATAATTTATGGCAGAAATCAAATGAGCATAACGCGGGCACCTGCCCTCACTGTCTGTCAACTTACAGCAGGACTTTCACAGGTCAGCTTGCAGATCATAGAGCAGATCCCTATCCTACCCCTTGATGGACTCGCCAGATCCAAGCAAAGACCCAATCAACCGTGGGCACGGTGCTCAGTATCTATACCGCCTTGCAGACCTTTATACCGCTTGCAGACAATGCAGAAATTAAATGAGCATAACGCGGGCACCTGCCCTCAATGTCTGTCAACTTACAGCAGGACTTTCGCAGGTCAGCCTGCAGATTAGAGAGCAGATCCCAATCTGCGTTGGACAGAGACTAGAGCCCATCGACAGCCTCTTCCACGCTTCTCTGGTCACAAGGAAGCCTCCAAGCAGGGCCCTAGCCACCTAGCCACCCCGCTCACAGCACATGCCCTTTCCTGCAAAGTGCCTTACCAGCACAGACTTGGAAAATGGTTACCAGAGAGAGCGTACCATTGTTTGTGGTAAGTGCAGTTGTTGTCGGCCCAACGCCCCCGGCTGATTCAATGCTGCCGCCGGTCGACGGCTTGTAGGTGAACACATCTCCGATCGAGCTCGAGAATGCGCCGTTGCTAGAGCCGCCGTTGTTGTTGTTGGATGCAAACGTGACTGGTGGCGGCGGCGGAGGCGCCAGCACTGATGCTGCAGGAGCCGCCCCGGTTTGTGCTTCCTGTACGCAGGTCAGAGATGTAAAAGTTTGTGTCTGTGGGACTTTGTAATGGCTTGCATAAATGCTATAATGCATGGGGCATTGCAGGTCCAGCAGGTCCCATTGTGTCTGGTTCCTGAAATTTATGAAAGTGAAGTGTGTGCCAGGTCTTTTCCAATCCTGATCGAGCACGACAAGAGCGACGCAGACATTGGCAACGAAATTCGAGGGCACTTCCATTTTTCAAGATGAGCCTCAAAATGAGCTACTCTCTACAGAGGAGCATTTGCAAATCCATGCCACTTCCAGGCAGAGGTCGACATGTGCTTCGGGCAACATGCTGAAATGGGGGGACTCACCGGAGGCAGGACTGGGGTGGGCGGTGGTGGTGGTGGAGGAGGGAACGCCGTTGGCGGAGGAGGGGACTCCATCGGCGGGGGTGGATAATCGGTGGGCGGCGGTGGCGGAGGGGAATCCGGCGGTGGCGGGGGCGAGTCCGGCGGTGGCAGGGGAAGTGCAGCCTGCAATTTAATAGAACCCCTCTTTTATTTATTGTTTTCTATTGAGTGGTTTATGTTCAATGGAAAAGCAGCACTTGATCAGTCTTGGTGAGTATAAGAAGTACAATCGTTCCTCAACAGCTGCAATTGCATAGTCCCTAAAGGCCTCAGATGACCTCTAAGTTGGGCACCCCTCAAAAAGGAGTGGCGCTCAAAGATAGCCTGGAAAAAAGAGTCTGGGGACTTCAGGTGGTGACAGATCCAAGGTACTATTTTCTGGATGCTTCGTGGGATGCAGTCGTGGAGATTTGATGCATGACAGGCAGCGCAGCATGACACTGAAAAGAGCGTTAGGTAAGTTTGGTATCTCACCTGTGGCGACGGGGATGGGGATGGGCTGTCCGGGGGTGGCTGAGCAGGGGAGGAGGCCGCTGCGGGGGATTGTTCCGATGGAGAGGGGGACGCGGCGGGGGATTGCTGCGTTGGAGAGGGAGATGCATCGCTCGACTGAGGCGACGGCGAATACTGGTCTGAAGGCGGCGGAGAGCTTGGTGCTGCAAATGCACATCAAGTGTGTCAAACTTTACTATTTTGCATTGTGTGTTGTTGCGCTACTGTCTGCCTCCACTCTTTGCTGTTTGATTTTGCAGTAAAACTAGTCTGGTTGCATCAGGACCAGAAACACTGAAAATGGTTCTTTGCATAAAGCAAAGAGCAAAGCCTGTGCACACATCATCAGCATGCTTGCACTTGTAACACTTTTCACCTGAGCCAACCAGTGTGCTTGATTTCAAACTTTCAGGACGCTTACTGCTCTTGGCAAAATCTTCACTTCTTTGAGTCCAATTGGTAATGCAAAAAGAGCGCACTTGACGCAATTAACCCTATAATATCACTGCGGGCGCATTGCTTTGCAGCGCAGCCCCTAGAGATCGCAGGAAAGCTTTACAGGAGAGTGAGAGGAGTAGAAAGGGTTCACCTCCGATGACGGAGGCAGTCGGGGTGGGCTGCAGCCACCAGGGGGTGTATCCCAGGGCGATCAGATACTGCATCTTGTTCCAGTCCACCTGCGACCAGTTCTCTACCAGACCCAGGCTCTGCCCTGAACAGCAAAATCCACCGGGTTCCATCAGTTGCCAACATAAGTACGCGCTTTTCCTGCCCGAGGCAAGGTGCGTCTGCAGACAAGCTGCATGAAGCGGCCGCCAGAATCCAATCGCAAATTCCACCAAAGCTGGCTGTTTGTATTTCTGCGAGAAGAGGGCTGCGGAGCGCAGACGTAGCATACATCAAGCCAGGAGAAAGTGCGCTGTTACATGGCAGAATGGACAGTGCAACAGCCTTCTTCCCCGCATTCTGCAATGTAGCCGTGCACAATTGCCTGCAATGGTCTGATAGAAAAAAACCTTGGCACCAGAAACCTTACCGGTGGGGGACAGGTGTGATTGCGCAAATAAAGTCAACAGGTCAGGCAAATGAGCATGATTTTTTTGCAGAATGCGAGGGAGAACGTTGACATCAAGTCCCCTATATGCTGCAATGTTCTTTGTCCTCTTCGGCCTCGTGCCTGCATTGATCCAGAGATGCAGAGATGCAGAATGATTTCCCTTGTGGAAGAGAGGGACAGAAGCGGGGTGACAGCTGGGGGCGTGCCTGAGTTAGAGTTCCAGGCCCACCAGAAGACCCCAGACAGTCTGTTGTGCAGCCCGTCCGCGGCCGCGCCGTTATTCAAGAAGTAGGGGATCAGGTCCTGCATTGGCTGCGCATCCTGGTAATCCTGCACAAGCGCACAAGATACATGTCATTTTGAAATCATTATATTGCAACACGCTTTTCTTGCCAGACGTAAGATGTGTCTGCAGATGAGCTTCAGGAAGAGGCCGCCACAGCTCCAAACTTTTTTGGGCCTCACCAAATTCATGCAAGTTCCAATTGACGAAGGCAAAGTGCTGAATGTTTCTACCGCTGACTTTTTGATGCGCATATCTCGCACCTTGATGTGTTGCAAAGCACCCTCTGGGCATGTGAATCAATATAACGCTGCCATGTCACTTGCATGCAGGAGGACTTGCCATCACCAGATGAACCCCACTGCCTGTCTTGCCGCTGGATGCTGCATACATAATCCCATGCATGCATATCAAATGGCTAGTGAAGTTTGGCAGTCGGGCCAATGCAAGAGGGCACTTGCCGTAAATCCAGTGCCGGTCTCTCCAAGGATGACAGGAAAGAGGTGACAGTCCCCAGAGGGGCTGCCCAGCACATTGGAGCCCGTGCAGTAGCCCTGCTTGTTCAGGTATCCGAACGATGCAGAGTAACGCGCCCACAGCGATGTCCCCTGCACAGCCACACGCACAATAAAAAGATGGCATGAATCATCTTTGTTTTTCAATTGCACTGTTGCCTGCATGTCTGCTTGACAGGTTTTGCTAGGTGACGGTAGGTAATCTGCTAATCGTGCTACTGTGCACATACTCTAGCCAGCTTGTCACTCATTTGTACAATTGCATTAATATCCCTTTGGACATCGGGATGTCCCATGTGCACGGTTGTGGGTATGACTTGATTCCACTGGGATCATCTGGCATCATGTTCTATATTTCTTCTCTGCTCTCCCAGCATTGCAAGGCCATGAAGTTTGGCTGTTGAGCCAGTCCAGCTGTCTCTGAAAAGTTGCTGGCCATGACCAGGGTTCAAAAGGGTTTGCATCGTATTCAGTACACAAAAACAGGAGCTTGATAAGCGATCCAGATAAAAATCATGCATGCAGGTCTCCTCGTGATGCATGAGGAAAACAAGGTGGACAGGCTTGCTGGAAGGCATGCATGCATGCATCCTCACCTCAGTCTCTTCGTGAGCCATGGAGATGGATGGCGGGTAAACATGGGGCCCAATGATGATCTGGGAGAGGTAGGGCTTCTGCAGCAAAGAGCTGAAGAAGGGGTTGGGGTCTGACAGGCCCCTGGAGGATATCACATTCGGGTCTACAGCTGTACCGTCTCCCCAGTTCTTGCCCAGATTCCCCTGGCCAGCTCCCTCCACCAAGAACAGCACATCTGTGGCAAACAGGCATATGTGTAAATTCGTCAACACTGCTTCAGGGTGCTGCGTGCACAAGCTTGACTCTCCCAAGCAAGCACAGTTTGTGTGTCTTGCAATGAATGCTTGTTTTGTCCAGGCCTTTATATTTCTACATCGAAGCGCGTTGATTCACGTGGGAAAATCAGAACGTTCGAATAAATGGGCTCTGGCTGGATCGATGTGAAAAGGTTGCACGGTTTTGGAAAGCCCAGGAGGCACGCACTTGAGGCGACGGGGTAGACGAGGTCCATGACGCTCAGGTACAAGTCCTCCATCCCGGGCAGGCCAGCGTCCGGCTGAGCCTCCCATCGCAGGTTGCCAAAGTCCGGCTCGTTGAGGAAATCGCAGATGACGCGAGAGGTCGCCTCGGGATATTTCGTGCTCAGCTGAGTCATCAGGTCCAACCACTGCATGCAATAGAGGGAGGCTGTTTCACACCCTGTCAGACAAGCCATTCTTCACAGGCTTTGTAGTATTTACTATTACAGAGAGGATAGCACACAGGCCCTTCCTGCACGGCCGGCATGTGAATGCATCCTGGCAAGAATGACTTTGTGGGCGAGCTATACTTCGCAATTCAAAGCATGCCATGTACTGCATCCATGCACTATCGGACAATGGAGTGCAAGAGCGATGTCAGGGCGTGCATACCCGTCTGAACCACTTCTGGGTGTACTGCAGGACTGCAGTGCTAGAGTACCCTGACAGTTGCATGCACACTGACAATTACTGCACTAACGCTCTGTGCAGCACGCTCTCTGCCTCCGATGACAGCAGGTTCAACAAGGCACTGCGCACCCGGTTCAGCCACTTCTGGGTGTCCTGGGTGGCGGTCTGGTCGAGGTTGAACTGGTTGTCCAGGATGATGTAGAAGCCCTGGCTGGCAAAGTAGTCGACCGTCCACATGAACCGGTTCAGCGTGCTGTCCTCTGGCAGATACGCGTTGCACACCCCCGGCACACTGCACAAGATGCACAACAATTCAGAACGCTTCAATTGCATGCATGCAATGTGGCCAATCATGCTCCTGGGCCGGAGGTATGGCATGTATGCTGCAAGCCTACAAGTCGCGTGGCAGGCCCTTCTTTAGTAACTGGCGCTGTTGCATTGCCTTGCATCTTGCGCCCAACACAAAAACCTGCCCTATGGTGCAGTGCAAGAATCACAGCAGGTATGGCCCTTATCGCTTGAGCACATCCCATGACCGGCGCTGGCAGCAGAACAATGCACGCGCGGTGAGCTGTGGCTGGGTGGAATATCTACCTGGCGGGAGGGGTGGACCACTGGGGCGGTGATCGGCTGGGTGTGGTGCCAGGTGGCGTTGTGTCTGCCACCACAACATCGCTAGACACCTGCTCGCATGTGCAAACCCATAAGCTTGCTGAAACGCGGAGTTTTTAGCTATGACTGTAATTACTCATGCGCAGCATCTTCCGGTACGGAACACGAATTAAGAAAAGAGCTGGTGGGTTCCATTGCAAGAGCTGCTCTTAACTGCTTATCCCGAGACTTTAGAGCAGCTCACAACAGGTATCTCCGAATACTTCAATCAGTGCTTCAGGACAGGGCTGTACAATGAGCACTACCCGAGAAGACCTCAAAAGTACATCTGAATAGAAGCAACACCACGTTAAGGGGCTCGTACCTGTGCGCAGTTCCTGGCCTGGCTCTGAGGGGGCTTGTCGTAGATGTCTGAGAAGCTGAAGGGCAGGCGCACGGAGTTGAAGCCCAGCAGCTGCAGCCGGTACACAATCGTGGCAAAATCCAGCGTCAGGCTGTCAGAGCCTGCAGCATATGCACTACATGGTCTCCAACTTGATCAGATGAAGAGCATGTCAAAATTAGTATCAAACACTAATACAGAAAGCATAGCACGTTGTTGAGGAGCACATCACACTGTGGCGCAGGTCACAGGGGTGATGACCAAAACAATGAAATACGCTCCATGTCGCTGGTCCTATAATATAGCATCAGACATGGGCACTTTGAGGTCTGATTGAAGCTGCAGCAATTGTTGTGAATTATAGTTGCAATGCTAGGGGGACACGAGACGTAGAATCAAGTACTCACCAGCCCAGAGGCCGTCCAGGAATGTGGTGCCAGTCTCAAAGCCAAACCAGTTGATGCCCCACAGCTGCAGAGGCTGCCCGTCCACGCCGATGATCTGCCCGTTGACCGTAGTCATCGAGAACGCTGACTCAGCCTTTGACTTTGTCGGCGGCGGCGGCGGCGGCAGCTGCGCTGACTGGACCGTGCATGGCTGGTTGTTGACTGCCACCACATCCGGCATGCCCAGCCCATCAGACACCTGATGCACACCAGAAAGTGTCGCTTAGCATTTTCTTTCGTTGCATGCTGGCCCTGTTAAGAGAGGCAACACGCATTTGGTTATTGTACAGTTGTACACTGTTCCTTCCTGGTGGAGGCAAAGTGTAGTTGCAATGAAGCTGCACAGAAAGCCTGCCCCAGGCCCTGCCCTTGTTGGGCGCTCAACATCTCCCACGAGAATCCATCCTGCATGATCTTTCTGTTACGGCAACCAGCTTTCATTTGGCGCAGTCATGATCTGTCAGTCATTTAGTGATGGGGGAGCCTTTTACAGAGCTGTAACGACGGGCCTTTTTAATTCAGAGAGCAGCGAGGTGAGTCACGCATGGGTGTACCTCCACAATGAGGCCCACGGCGATGCCTCCGCCGTTGGGCGCCAGAGTCTGCCAATAATTCAGCGCATCTGACACAATGGTGCCATTGGCATTGCTCACCACCTCCAGATTGAATGTCTGCACCAAAATAAAGACCCCTCTTTTCATTCCCTCTCTGTATCCAAAAGATTGCTTGAATCTGTTTCTTCACTTCAGGCCAGCTGTGCCAACCCATCACAAGGGCACCATATGAGCCCTTATTTTCTTGTACATTGCTGAACGTACATGAATTCTAGAAGTCTAGCTGCTGGGAAACGTGCAGCAACAATTGCCAACTGGGTCTGCAGCTGTAAACCCAGGTCTACAGGTCTACTATTGCTGGTTGCAGACCTAAGAATAACAAACAGCCGTCTTTGAGAAAGACACACCTGTCTGATGTTGCCGTAAGTTGGGCTCTTGAGGGTGAGCGACCAGGGAACAGTCAAAATCTGAGGGGAGCTATTGACAATGTTGAGGTTGACACTGGAATAGCTGTTGTTTGTTCCATCTGACACCCAAGCGTTGCTGACTGTCACCACTGCCTGACAGGTCACTGCTGGCGTCTGTGCTGCTGCTTGGGCTGCACATGCGGCCAACACCAAAACTACCAGCAAGAAGGGCTGTGTGAGGCGTTGGAGCATCTTATTCAAACTCCTGTAATGGAATTGGCTGGCTAAGCTTCTGTTCCCTACTCCCTGCGATTAAGATGAACTGATTACATTTTTGGTACTGCTCGTGATCTTTTGCAAGGACTTTAACATATGATAGTGCTCCCAAGCTTTCCAAGTTAGAAGGATCCTTGGACTTGTACAACCTCAGTGCTGGCGACGACAATTGAGTTAGAATATGTAAAATTGTGATATCAAAATCATAAAGTGTGGCTGTGAGTGCGGCGTTGCTCTAAGTTTCAGCGTCTGCATAATCAAGAAGCTCGATCGCTGAGGGTGCATGCCGTTCACAGCCTATCAAGTGACAGGAACACCCGCGGATCATCTGGCTTCGACTTCTGTAGATTATAATTGTTGCTTGATCATTACTTGCCTGGATCATGCTATAGCTGCGCCCTGCCACAAGTCTAGGGTCGGTCCGGCACTTGTAACTCCTAGATTTCCCGACTCGCTTCCCCGACTTTTGCGGCCATCGGAGGCTTGCTCATACATTTCAAACTCTTTATACAACTCTGTAAAATATCTCATGTACTAAAGCATCCCCTCGGTGCTTCCTCGATGGCTTTGACCGGCGTGTTCGTCTGCCGAAGTGACTAATTCCCACGTGACCATCTCGAAGTGAAACCGTCACAAAGTTTCGCTTGTTTCGCTTTCCATCCTCTTGAGTTGCAGTCAATCATTGACATAGGTGTACAGTCATATTTCGATTTCTAAAGCTGAGGAAGATCACTTTTCCCTGCTTAAGTTTGCAGGATTTGAATCACGCAATCAGCTCAACACCGCTTCCACCTTGTCTACTTTTTACTTTGTTTGGCGTAGTGACAAGTCAGGAATCATTTAAAAAAAACTTTATGAGGTTTCATGCCTAGGCATGCGCCTTATGCAAGCCCTCAGGGAGGGTATATCACCCAATTGAAATAGTACCAGAGCTCAATCCGCAACCCGGAGCAAGATCGACGCAATGATGAGTGACAACGATGCCGTATATACTATGCCTGTCGATGGGGACGACGATCCACAGCAACCGTTGCGCTCAAAGATATACAGAGTCTTCGATATAGACAATCGCAGTGCCTGCTGTAGACATTCCCTGTTGGGACCAGGCAAGCTCGCAATATCGTCAACCATCTAAATTCAAGGAATCCTGCATGCCTGTACTTGTTGGGTGGTTTTTGCAGATAATACTAGAAGTAGCATATTCCAATGCATACTACGGTAGCACCATGAGGCAGATAAGCCTTGAGAGTTTACCCTTTCTCGATCCCATCCCTTTACGTAGTTTTGTGGTCTTCAATGTAATCTAGGCAAGCGTATCGCTCAAATACTTGCCCAAATCCTCCTGCATGCTGCTGCAGGCCACAGAGGGAAGATCCTTGGAAGCTTGGGGCTCAGTCTTCTTGTGGTGATCGGCATTCTGCTGCTTGGAATGGACCACCATCGCAGCCAGTATCCTGTCACATTCCTTGTGGCAAGTCCCCCTTCCCTTGAGAGAACCCTGTTACCCTTCATCAAATCCCTCTACACACTTCACTTTGAGCGCAAGTAACTGATGGACAAGGCATGATCTGGGAAAAGCCATGCATGATGGGTACACATTGTTGATGCAGGTGGGAGATTGGGGCCGGAGGGGTCAGTACAATCAGTCCCACGTGGCAGCAATGATGAGCCTGCAGGCCTCCCTTGTTGGACCTGATTTTGTTGTCAGCGTTGGGGACAACTTCTATCCAAGTAAGTGGCAGCACGGCGATTCGTTCTGCCTGGCTTGGACTGGATACTCACACCTTTCCGAGACACAGAACTGGACAAGCTTGCATGTTGCTGATGACGCAATTCAATGCATGCAAATATGGGTGTTTAAAGGGGTTTCTTCAAATTTTTAATAAAATATTTCTTTAAAGGGTGTTCAAACCTGCATGAGATGCGGGGATGCACATGCACAGTTTTGGAAAATTGCTGAACTAAATGTGCAGGTGGCCTGTCGAGCCCATCAGATGAAGCTTTCAGCAAGTCCTTCTCAGATGCATACAGCGCCAAGTCACTGCAGGTCTGGCCCCTGCGCAAATCCCTCACCCCGTGACAATCCTCTGCAGACCCACATGCGTCATATTGCACTGCACATCAGGACTGGCTGATGGAAAGCATTGGGTGTCTGTGCAGGTGCCCTGGTACACAATTCTGGGCAACCACGACTATGGGGACAAATGCTACGATGAGCAGCCGGGCTGCTACCCCACAGGAGACCTGTACTACAGCCCAAACCACCAGGTGAGGTTGCGCACTTTCTTCCTATTTCAAGCCCATTGCCGCGATTTCCTATTGCACTCTGCATTGAGTGGAGCAGTGTCAGTATGACATGAGGCAGTGGCATGAGGCACAGAGCAACTCCTCTACTGGCACTTCCCTCCTGCGGGCGCAAGATGTGATGCATGCATGCATCTCATTAGTCACAACACTCCTGCTCTGCCAGAGACTCTCCCGTTTTCGTTGCTCCTCTGCAAATCTTATTTTAAAATATAGAAACAGAGTGACACCCACATGAGTTTTCTTCAATTAAGTTCAATATAACCGTGTTCATGCATCCGTTGAGGTTGCTCTCGCTCTGGGACTCCCGAGCCAGATTTTCTGCATTTCAAACTGGGCAGGATACAAATCGTGCACGCATATTGGCGAGCACCGCTGCAGTAGTGGGCGTAGTAATGACAACACGTGTTGCTGGCGCAGATGCACACCAATCTGGCAAAGAGGGATTGGCGCTGGAATTGTGAGAGGACTTTCCAGATGCACCTGGCAGGCGGCGATGTGGAGTTCTTCTTCATAGACACCAGCCCCTTTGTGCAAAAGTACTATTACACCCCCTGGGCCAACTTCACAGGCGTGCACCCTTCTCATGCCACAGCATCTCTTATTTTTACATACTCTGCACAAGCTTGCGTGCTCATGACGTGCTCAGGTTCTTTCACGGCTATGCCGGGCACTGGTCTCTACATTCAAGAATCTGCATGCGCCTGCCCTGCGCACAATGCCCAGATTCAACGCTGCGCATGGGTGTTGAGATGTTCTTGGAGTGTCAGTCAATCAGACTTCTTGCTTCCAGCCAATGCTGCTCTCGGTCGCCAATGCCTTGACACATGAATCTGTGGTTGACATCTCTTGTTTGCTATTGAGTTGACTGGTGTGGTGTGGTGATGCTCAGGTGGCCTGAAGGAGCAGAGCTGGCAGCGCCAGCTGGCGCAGCTTGAGGTGAACCTGATGACATCACGTGCAAAGTGGAAGATCGTGTTTGGGCACCACCCGCCGCGCTCCAACGGCCACCACAACAATACTGTCGAGCTCATAGAGCATGTGGAGCCCCTGCTGCAGGTCAGTGGCACTTCTTTCCTCTGCTCAGGCGCCCATACTGCTTAGGTGCAAATGCATCTCCTGAATTTTGATTTCCTCTGCTCAGATATGTCATGACATGTCTGCACAGCAGCTGTCTCTTTCAGTTCCATTAGCAGATGGTGACTGAGTGAAAGCAGACCCTTGCCTTGCTGGCTGCGTCTGGCATGCCTGCATGCCTCAGAATATGTGATGGCTGCTGTTCTGCTCTGCAGACAGAAAATACAGAAGCACGTTGTTGCGGTGTTGCCCACAATCTTCACCTAGCATGCTTGAGTGCCATTTCGACAGACATGCTGCCGAAATCTGTATTTTAAAGCGCTTCAAATCTAAAATTAATGATTCTTTGTCCACTGTGCAACAGGCGGCAGGGGTGCAGGCGTACTTTGCAGGCCACGATCACAATCTGGAGCATATACACATGCCGAGGCGGACTCCCCACTACATCATCAGCGGCGGGGGTTCAAAAACTGAGCGCCCCTTCGAAGGGAGGGAGGGGTCTCTGTTCCAGTGGCCGAGCAGCGGCTTTGTGTCTGTGAAGCTATTTGAGGAGGAGATTGCGGTGGAATTCTTCGGTTATGGGACAGGCGCGGATGACAACGCCCCCATGTACGTGGCGCGCATACCCCGGGAAGCTGCGCGGCGGCTGCGCCGCAAGGAGCTGCGCCGAGTCATGGCGCGCTAAGCTGGCGATTTGAATTCAAATGGTGATTAGGTGATTGTTTGGAAGCTTTCTAGGATGGTGCACGTGGTTGGTGGATGATCGCACTGCTGGACTTACAGAGCTTCTTGGGCGTCAGGAGAAGGTTGCTTCCCCAATTGTATGAGTCAGTCTTGAATTTGCATGAGATGTACTATAGTTTCAGCTCTGTAGTGTGCGATACTTAGGTCGGATAAGGAACCCTGTGTTTGAATCTACACCTCATGCTGTTGTATATTTTCTTGCAGTGCAGCGATGGTGCAGTTGCGCGCCGGAAATGTCTGGGTTGTATCACTTAACCATTGTTGTCTCCAAAGCTTTGTGCATTTGCGGGGCTTGCGCCGATTACACCGACAAGGGCAGCCATGCAACACGTCTGATGGACTTCTGAGCTAGAGCCTCAAATGTCAAACTGAATTGGTTGATAGTGCAATGCTGCTACCCTGTCCTGGTGCGCGAGGTGGAACTGGTCACAGCCAGAGCACTGTCCTCCATAGTTGCACGACACGGCTGGTCAAAATTTGGACACGCGTTTGCGAACGTTCGCGACACCGCGACACCGCGACACGCGTGTCCAGACCTGAGGACGTTAGTAACCATGCAATCGGGTGATGACTACAGATTACTAAGGTTGACGGAACCTCAAAAAGCTGTTTCCGGACCCGACAACGCATCAAAACACATCGGAATTGTCTCTAAACACCTTTACAAGCATGTTATGTGTGTTTGGGGTGTTGTTGGGTCATTTCCCGGCGTCCAAGCGGCCAAAAACGATCAGAAACGGTCAAACGTAACCCTTACGTAACCCGGTGTCGGAGCGGTGTCGGAAATGGCCAAAATTGGACACGCGTTTGCGAACGTCCGCGACACTCCGACACCTGACACGCGTGTCAGGTGTCGTGCAACTATGCCTCCATAGTTGCACGAGTCTGGCAGAGGACAGTGTCCTCTGCCAGATGTTTTCAGCCTAGTAGGTCTTGAAATGCGTCGTATTGCTGTTCTTGCAACGTGCTATATAGTGCCCTCTGACCTGACATGTCTGTTAATGACAGACTGTTATGCTGCACACCTTATGTAGCATGATGCAAGCAAGCTACATGGTCAGTTGCTATGATTGCATGAGTATGGTGCATAACAGCCAATCAAGCCGTTATATATTCAAGATAGTCAATGCACGGGACCCCTGCTGAGCAGGCTGCCAGCACGTGCTGCAACTATTCCAGCAACGCAGGAGAGTAATGCTTGTTTTTGCAAGAAACATCCAAAGCTCATTTCAGTTTTGGAGAAGAAAGGAGGGATCGCGGCTTTATGAAGACCCGCACAGGGACGGACTGCGGACTGTCGCCCAGCATCAGGTGAATTCCCTTGCATTTGGTGGCGAACGCCTGTGTTGATAAGCTTAAAGAAGACTCGCAGGTTGTTTCATACCCAAGGCAATTACTGGTCAGCGAAGCAACACTTTTGCACTACAGAACCGGCCAAGAAATTTCTAAGATTCGAGATGAAGATGGCCTTCTCAGCAAAGTGCTCTTACGCTGATCCTGCTGTTGTACCTGCGATGATTCTTTCATTTTTCATTGTAGCCTAAGAGAAGAACCTATCTCCGAATTCAAACGCTGTTTTCAAGCTCCAAGCTCCTCTCCCAGTAGTACTGCTGCAACTTGTTGATCGGCACTGTGTTTGCGCTCCTGCAGGCTTGAAGAGCAGCCTCGGAAAACGATGTGGGTATCCCTGCCCACTGAGGTCTGGCAGCTCATTGCAGCACGCATGGACTCAAAGGACTGGGCTCGTGCGTCAGGGACATGCAGAGCTTCATGGGAAGTCCAGGTGGAAGAGATCTGTTTGGGGGAGACAGTCGCCGAAGCACTTGCTGCAGTAGAGCACCAGAAGAAACCAGCAAGTGCGCCTGGACTCTTGGCCTGCATTGGTTTTCTTCCTAAACTGTATTTTGGACGTGAACCACATTTAACTCCAATCCTAGGCAGGCGTAATGCTAATTCTTTGCAATTGGCACTGTGGGTTGGGGAAGTCACAAAATACAACCTTATAACGTCATGAAGGTCATGACTCACCGGCATTTGTGTCCTGGCAGATTATTATGCTGAGAATGGACCCTCATGGAGCAGTGCAAGGGCAGCCTGGCTGTTGAAGAGGGTCGGCCGTGCGCAGAAGCTGCGATTTGCCCCCAAAACGCGCTTAGCGGATGCTACAGCTAAGCTTCTGCAGAAGGGCAACATCTGGTCAAAAGTCAGATCGCTTGACCTTGTATACTTCAAGCCAGAATTAGAGGATGTTCACTGCGGATGTTCGCATGCGGATTTTTGCAATGCCACGGGGTGGTTGCTGGGATGCGCATCAGGCGCCACATTTCTGAGGCTGGTGGCTCCGAGGCTGCCCTTCATCCCACGCTTGCCCAAGCTGCGGCATCTGCAGCTGCAAGGACAGAATATTGACAGTCTGAGATCTTCCCTTGCCTTGTTGCTGAATCTGCAAACTCTTTGTCTCAAGGATCTCGAGCACACATCGGGCAGGCTTGCACGATTGCACGCCTTGCACGCTGTTCCTCGTGCTATGTTCACTTCGATTTTCGCACTTCGTTTTTCTGGCCTAAGGCAACTGCGGAGCCTCATGCTTGATGGCATTGTGCCCAAGTCACTGGTTCTGGCCCAAGGGGCAGCGCTGCATATCAAGACACGTGACCCTGAGGCAGCAAAATTCCCTGTCTGGCAGAGCGTCATTGACTCCTTGCAGTCTTTCCATCTGGATGCACAGGCTGATCTGGATGGCACAGCCTTACAGTGTCTGAGTGCAGCCAGCAATCTGCGTGTGCTGCGTCTCAAGGTCAAGAGCTTTGGAAGCAGTGACTCGCCCATTGCCCTGACTGGTGTGTTTCAGCAAGTTGAGAGGCTGGCCTTGCATGCTCAAGACATTTTTGTGAGCTTCCCAGCCGGCAAGCTGCCGCAAGAGCTGGTGTGCATCTCTTCTGAGACGCTCTATGTGTCCTTCGCCAGCGTTGCAGCCTTTGCTGACAGCTGCAGAACTTTCTACTTTGGTTGGAGCAACATGCGCGGCCTGGGGCTTATGGATTTGCGCCAGCTGCTTGCGGATCGGGGATTTGACTATAGAGAGTGCATCAGCATCAAGAGCAGCCACTTGACCAGAGGTTGCAGCTCCACATCCAGCTACAGCCAGGAAATTGACATGCAAGGCATGATGTGCGTGTGTGGGGCTTGCACCATCTGCAGTGACAAGGGCAGATGTGGCCCAGATGCTCAGTTCCATGCGCAACGCGTGCCTGAGTACTATTCGGATGAGAGTGGCTTGCGACCTCTGTAAGATTGCCTTATGGGCTGTGTATGCCATATCAGTCAAGACACTGGAAGCAATGCTGTATTGACATACCCTGGTTACGATAACACTGCTTGCATGGTGAAGTACTGAAAGGAGGACCATGGAGTATATCGAGGCCTGGAGAGGGAACCGGGCGTCTCAAAGTGTGACCAGGTGACTGACTACCTGACGAACGAGAAGCTCGTATTGTGTTGTATGATGCTGGCAGTTGGCACCAATTGACTGTTACAACGAAGTGCTCAACGTAGAAAGCTTCAATGGTGCCTTTAGGCATGTGGTCATGACCATTTGTGCTCAGGATGGCCTTGACTTATAAATGCGATTCATGCCCGCGGCCGCATGAGGATCTTCATGATCTCGATTGTAATAGACATATATTTATTGTTAGTAAGATACTTCCTCAGGGACATCTTGTGACCACCACGCAAACCTGACTGCAGTGTGCCAAATTGATGATCCATGACAAAAACACAGAATACAGACTTACAGAAATTTTTCATGACATCCATACTGGCCAGTCACGTTGGCACGGCATGCGCCTCGCGGCGTTGCCTGGCTGACAAAGGCGGGGCCGAGCGCTGTCGCCGCTGAACCTCCAGGTATATGAGCAGGCTGTCAATGTCTGCGGGATTCACTCCACCTATCCGCGTCGCCTGCCCAATGTCTCTAGGCCGGATCTGCACGAGCATGCACCACACAAGTCAACACCAAGCTCACAACTTCCCAACATGTATACTTCCAACAACCGACCAGCAAGTTAATCCTGACAGCCACTGGAGATCCCTCATGGAAGTAATTTTTCTGTCAATGCCTAAGCTTCTGTGTCCGATTCCCTCAAACCCAGCCTCAATGGCGCTCTGGGAAATGGGGACTTGGAAATGGGGACGGCATGTCAGACAGTAGCGCTGTAAGCTCCATAACCTCAGTAGCTGCCGGACTTGCTCTATTCCAGGCCACCCCAAATCCCTTAAGAAGCAGACAACCCAGCTCAAGCACTCACCTTGGCCAGCTTCTCACGGGCTTCCATGCGCAGGGTGGTTATGGCGTGGTAGTCCAGGTCAGCAGGCAGCTGCAGCGACTGCCGCTGCTCCATCTGCGCCAGCTGCCGCTCCTGCCGACGAACAAAGCCGGCGTACTTTATGTCGATCTCCGCCGCCTCCTTCTCTGCCAGGCTCAAGCCCTCTGCACCTCCCTGCCCATGCCTCTCCAGCAGCCTGCGCACATTGCAGCATCCCCATTGAAATCCTGTGCAGCAGATGCTGAGGTTGCCAGTGGTTGCACAGCGCGCTGATGAACATGTCTTGTTCTTGTCAAAGCCTGGGCGGCTTATCATATTCGTCGCAGTGGATGACAGCTGGTGCTGTCACTGAACCTGAAGAAGCGGAAAGGTATCATGCACCAGCTCTGTCCTGAAGTGCTGGCAGAAGATCCCTGCTATCATGAAGAGTGTATTTGCCACAATTTCAAGGACAAATGATCACTGCGTAAATGCATCTAGTCTCTACTGCTCCAAGACAAACCAATGCTGCTGCCACACCAGACCAAACAAACAGAAGCAGAGGTTCATAATATCCTTAACCAGGAAGTGGGGATGGCTGCTTACGGGTAGTGCACGTGGGGCCGTCGCAGCAGCTCCTCCAGTGAGGCGATGCTGGGCACCTGCTGCCCAGATATTTCTGCTGCCGCCTGCGCCAGAGAGCTGTCCTCGCGCACCCGCACAGCCGCCAGCCGCTCTTTCTCGACATCAATTGCCGCCTGCTCAGACACACGCCTTTCAGGCTTTGAGCACAGGCACTGAAGGCAGATAAAAAGGCGGAACTCATGCACAGGCATCCTGCGGAGCTTGATTGGAATGCAGAAGAAGTCCAGATGTGCTGGGCCCATGACGCCAGAGACTTTTAGAAACATACAGAAACATCCGCATATAAAGGAAGTCACAAGCAGCTTGCATCATGGCAGTATCCTACTATGGCCCAATTGGCCATTGATTTCAGGGTGTCTACATGCTTGCAATGTATCCCTCCAGAAGCATTGCTGTTGCGCAGGAGACCTTCAGGGCTGGACAGCTGCTCGCATCTGCTTGTGCCTTTGTGCATGCCACATCTTGTGTTTAAAGACAATACCCCGATGGTGCAATTGCAAGCTAGGGAGCTGAGCGCACCTGCTTATCCTGGAACATGCGCCACCTGGCGTCGTCCACGAGGCCCAGCTGGCGACCCATCGGCGTCAGCCGCCTGTCAGCGTTGTCCGATCGCAGCAGCAGCCGGTACTCCGAGCGGCTTGTGAGCATGCGGTACGGCTCCCTCAAATCCTGTGCCCATGGCAAATTCCGCTCACTTATCATTGTACCAAATGTGCCCGGAGACACCCAATTACTGTGGCTCTCATCCCATAAGAACACGACTGCCCTCGGCATGCTTCCCAAGCCGCAACCAGTGCACTTCCAACTGCACATGCGGATTGGCACATGCACAGCAGTACAGTACCTTCGTGGGCTTGTCAAACAAAGGCACAGGCGGCAGCTTCGCTGGAGAGGCAGTAAGCAATCAAGTGTTGGTCTGGCCAGAAGCAGGCTTCACCTTGGTGACAAGGTCGTCCACGAGTGTGCCGATGTAGCTGCTGTTGCGCGGCAGAGTCACCACCTCCAACCCCTGAGCGCGCCTGGCAGCATTCATGCCAGCCACCAACCCCTGCCACAACCAGAGCCACCACATTACACTCTGCTGCATGCAACTTCTCTATAACATCAGCACACCACAACCCCGTCCGCCCGGCTTTCACTGCAAAGCAATACATGAAGGGCAGACTCTCAGGGAATGCGCTGTCTGCACACAGGAGCATGTCAAGCCGCACAAGATAGCACATGATATCCACATAGATCCCACAATAATCCACAGCAGACACAACACAGCTGCTTGTACCCAGTATCATGAGCTTCATGCATTTTCGCTTTAAGAGCTGCTCATGATACTGGGCATGAGCAGTTATGACACTTAAAAACCAGTGCAAGTGGCCCAGGAGAACGATGGCAAGCAACAGTTCAAGTGTATGCAAGAGGGCCCCACTTGTGCGGCAGCTTCCTCGTAGCCGGTGGTACCGTTGAGCTGCCCAGAGAAGAAGAGCCCGGAGAAGCGCTTGGTTTCCAGTGATGCGTTGCACTGGTGTGCTGGCAGGTAATCGTACTCCACCGCGTATGCCGGCCGCAGCATGCGACACCGCTCCAAGCCTAGACATCACCAGCAATTGCACACATCGGTGTGAAAGTGTTAGGAAGCGACCAGCAGCATGCGCTCTGCATCTGATTTAATCCGGCTGTGGGGCTGTATTGTTGGCGCAGAGCAGTCAGCAGCACAGCACAGAAGTGCGCGATAGTCAGGGCTCGGGTACTCAAAACACCGTATATAGGATACAAGATGAAAGGCGGTCATAGAACGGGATTGAAAGCATCTCGGGAACTGCACTGGCCATTTCAAGCTCGAGGTGGTGAGGCTCCCGATGGCAGTGAAACTCGCTACCACAAACGCTGTTCTCCTCACCAATTGCGACCCTTACAAAATCAAATGGGGAAGTCATGCATTGGGAACTACAGTACCCTTAATTGCACCCTTGAACTAATCCACATAAACTTTCCCAAATTTGAGCACTAATAGAGAAGAAGGTGCAGTGACAAACACCTGGCAGGGTGCGCAGGAGGGCGAGCTGCAGGCGCTCGGGCAGCCCCGTTGAGAAGCCCTGCACATACAGCTCCGGCGTGTCGCGCCCCTCCGGCTCCAAAAACACCTGCGCAGCAGAGTACTCTGTCACTCGATCATGCGGCACCATTCAAGCACTATGCAAGCATAACTCTGTTTCAGCCACCATTCAGAAAGGGCCTTCTGGCAACAAATGGGCCTGGCACTACCAATGGCAACATTGCAATGACCCATCTGCACGAAGAAGGCAAACAGGAAGATACAAACATGCGGCAGCAACGCCTGCAATGAACAAAGCCAGGTTGTAGAGGAACATGCTCATGCTCATGGTTGATTGCATACCCGGACGATTAGTGAGGCCTGCAACCTGGAATATGCAGAGCCATGCCTGCTTCTGGGAAGGCTGCACAGCCAGAAAACATCAGCGGGAAGGGAACGGTGCGTGCCTGGTGGGAGTCCTTGTCGGCGAAGCGCACGATCTTGTCCTCGATGGAGGGGCAGTATCGCGGCCCCGCGCTGTCCACCCACCCCCCGTATACGGGCGTCTCCGCCAGGTTGTCCCGTATGATAGCATGCGTCTCCGCCGTCGTTCGAGTTAAGTAACAGCTCATCTGCTCCCGCTCCACATGCACCTGCAGGACACAACTTCTCGTTCTCAGACTTGTTACATGCGGAGTAAGGAAGCGAATGGCGCTCACGCAGAAAAATACCCGGCAGCAGTGCCGAGAAAGTCAGAGAGTGTGCACGCGCCATGCTTCTCCAAAGCTTCCAAAATTCCTCAACAGTTACAGAAGGGCCACTGAAGCATTTGTCATTAAGAGCAGGCCGGGTCACATTTGTCTTGGGTAGGTGGGTGACCCAGAATGAAATGATGCAGTTTACCTTCTCAATGCAATCCCAACTCCACAACCTCAGCAAGGTAGGTAGGGCACTTTCAAGCAGTTACACGAGGATGACGCTCCCGGCCGGGAGCCTTGGGCGGCGGGCAAAAAGTGGGCGCCGCACCGAGGAGTCGAAGCTGAACCAGCGCACGTCGGGGTCGCCCGGCTGCGCCTCGAGGCCGGAGTAGTCAACTGTGCGGCTGTCCACGCGCGCCGGCGTCCCCGTCTTGAGCCGGTCTGTCTCAAATCCCAGGCCCACCAACGCCTCTGTGAGACCCGTCGACGGCGCCTCCCCGGCCCTGACACGTGCCCAAAGTCTCAAGAGTTCACAACGGGGTCAATTGTACATGCCACAGAAGACACCCAGGATTGCATCTCGGTTTTCAGGTGTTTATATCTACACTGGGGTACTGAGCTGATCAAAGGAACTGCCAAAGAGCTTATCAGCCTAGCCCTGCTCTGCAGCGCTCCTGGTTGCACTTAAACAAGAGAAGCAATGGATGCAGGCCTCCAAGCAAGACCATGCAGGCAGGTCCACTTGCAGCCATGCATGACTGATGAAAAGAGCGAACAAATGGAGAAGGGCTGCACCTGCCGGCGGGCATGGAGGTGCGGCCGACCCAGATGCGGCCGTTCATGAATGTGCCGGTCGTGATGACGGCCGCGCGGCACCGGAACGTGATGCCAAAATACGTCCGCACACCCGTCACCTGCATGGTTACCGATCTTATTCAGTCTCCTTGCCTCAACGCAACCATAAGCAGCTTGCATGCTTGCAAAGGAAAGCAGGCGCACGCATGTATGCGTATGCGCGCGCAGCGCACCCTGTCGTTAGGCCCCGGCTCCAGGTCGATGTCCACTTGCATGCTGCATCCTCTGAGGCAGTTCTTTGACATGCTCCTCACCCTGATCGTAGTCTTAATAGTCCTGACACAGGATGCGGCAGCAAGGCTGCTCATGTGCCGCAATGTGCACGCAGCGCACCTCGTCGTTTGGCCCGAGCTGGATGTCGACGGCCATGCCCTCACGGATGTCCAGGTTGGGAGTGCGCTCCAGCAGCCGCCGCATCTCACGCGCATACTCCAACTTGTCTGTCTGCGCGCGCAGCGCCCACACCGCCGGCCCCTGTGGATTGGCGCAAAGCTCTCACCCATAAGTGAGGTATATAGATTTCTCTCTAAGCGAGAGATTCTGATGTAATGGTAAGGTTACTTGTCGAGGTGCATGACTTGTATCCGTACTTTTGCTGCCCTGAAGCGTACAAAATGCTGCACCCTGTAAGTGACTCTGCAAGTAGACTTCCAAATGAAAATCACACAATACTACCCGTGTGGAGCATGCATTTGGGAAGCCCCTTGCAACTCCAATTCAGACGGCTGTCAGAAAAGACATTGGCATCCTGGATCAACGGGCCTGGTGTGCATAGCTGAGAGTGTGGATTGCCTTTGAGCGGTTGAGGATGCGCTTCTGCAGGTATGTCCGGTCGGCCATCTTCCCCATCTCCCCACCCAGCGCGTCCACCTCATGCACCAGTTGAGACTTGGCCGGGCCGCCTACTGCCGGATTGCACGGCTGCAACATGCAATCATTATTAATGGAAATCTAGACCCAATATCTCAAATTTGTGAACCCACGCTGCTGCAATAGGGAGCAGAGTCATATGACAGCAGATCAGGACTGTGTTACACAATAGGCACTAGGGGTCGGACTGTCAAGAGATATCTCCCTATAAAGAGCATGGAGGAAGAAATATGCACCTGCCAGGCGATCCTGTCCAGGTTGAGGGTGAGCAAGAGTGTCTTGCTGCCCAGCCTGGCACTAGCCAGCGCTGCCTCGCACCCAGCATGCCCGGCACCCACTATGACCACATCATACTCGTCCTCGGCGTCCAAAGATGCCGTCTGGCAAGCTGCGCTGGGTACCTTTCGCTCACAGCGACGCCTGTGCCTCTTCAATCGTGGAGACTGCAAAATGTAAATGTTGCATCACACCGAAGAACTAGACATCACTTGATCACACATCGGTCTTTAAAAGAAGCAAGTTTGATTCTGCCTGCCAACACTGGCAAATATATCCTTCGACCTCCAAGCTAGGATGGGTGCCCAGGAGGCAGCAGTGATTGGACAAGGCTCCGTACCCTTTGTCCCGTGGGTGACGAGTGGTCAACGTCAGTTTGTCTTCTTCTAAAATTCCGCCTTACGCCTTCCTGAGAAGGAAAGCGACAGCTTGCTAGTGAATGGCTCAATACTCGGTTGTATGAACTTGCTTGCATGCTTGTGCACTTGCACGTCTGTGACACAGTCATGCCTTCTTTGAAGGATATCCCTCTTACAGCAAAACTAGGTGTTCGTCATTGATTAAAAATTCTGGCAGGATCATCAATTCTTGATTCAGAACCAAACAGACCAAGTTGACTCAGGAACGCCTGTGCAGAACAGGCCATGCAATCATGCATTCAAAAAGAAATTCAAAATACATTCTGGTGAAGTATCTGACAACTTGGGACGCATCTCATTCCAACAATCTGATTTTCGTTCGAAAACACCGCCTGCAGCTCAGCTAAGCTTTGCAGTATCTGCTGAGAATTCACAATTGCACTGGCATCTGCGCAGCCAGATGCAGCCACAGTTGCAGCCTGCAGGCTCCAGCAATGCCAGTACACATACGCAGAGCAGAGCTGTTGCCGAGGCAGTACAATGGAATCAGTTCTTGACACAGAGTTGGCAGTGAATTTCTCGGAGTGCCTGCTGCACCGGCGCATTGAAGCACGCACAAAAAATGTCAGGTACCAATTTGCGAACAATCCTGGCCCAGTCGGTTTGTCACACGGATGTGTGCGCACCACCGCCGGCAGGGAGCATCTGATTGTAGGCCTTCAAACAGTAGGCTCAGAGAAAAAAAATAGAAAAAGAATATGCTGCCAGGGGAAGTCTCATGGTGAGGGGGCAGGTGCCTGTGGCACCCATAGAACATTGTTTAGATTGTTCACGTCTGCTACCAAGGAGGTGGCTGCCGGGGGGCCCTGGAATGCATACACAGGTGGCGGCGAGTAATTCCCGTCCTGCAGTAACAAACAGTCCTTTTCAATTCTTCCAGGCTCGTGAGCCATCACACAGAGATGCTTCAAAAGAAATCTTGCACACTTTGCATCTGCATGAGACTCACGACACAGGTGTCACGATCTGTCTATGTAAACATTAACGTAATGGCATGTGTCACAGACCGACACGGATCATTTTGTTGTTCGGTCGAGAAGGACCATCCATTACTGGTCTGTGCTAGTCTAATTCACTTCTGGTGACAACCACTTCTGACAGGCTTGCGCTTCTGAAAGGGGTGCACTTCAGACAGGAGTGCACTCTATGTGCATTCAAGAGCCTCTGCATTCTTTGGTCATCAGCCACGTGCAGGAGCCGGTTCGCATTTGACCACCCGGTAGGGAAAGCGGGCAACAAGCTTGTATCTTTGCTAGGCAACGCAGCCAAGAACAGTAATCGACCACCTCTACGTGCAGCCCCCTATCAGCCAAACTTTGTCAGGTGAAGAGGGGTCACCTGGGCAAATTTGGAGGGGCCATACAGGCGAAGCACAAGGTAGAATGGGCCGTTGCACACAGGCAGCCAGTTGGAGAACTGCAGTGTGCCGGCTGCAGGGGCTGTTGAAGAGATGAACACCATGAAGGACCCAGAGCTGCCGTCAAAGCCTGGGGTGCTGTCCGAGATCGAGTACCTGCATTCGGGATTAAATCGGGGTGAAACAGGGGAAAACCCAACAGAATTGACGCTGGTCCAACCTGAAAGATAAACCTACTGGTGTAATCTGGCCTCAAACAGGCAGGTGACCTCACAAGAAGGGCACCCTGATAAAGCATGCATGGAAAGGATGCGCAAAGACAAGCCAGGCTCGGGCGAAGCGGGGCGCCTGCAGAGTGTTGCACATGCTGACCTGGCATCAAGGCTAGGACTTGATTGTATAAAGGAAGAAGCACCTCAGCTAAAATGGGGTGCTGCAAAGTGTTGTATAGGCTGAGAGGCATCAAGGGCTAGGTGTTGTGTGAAGCTGCAGGACACTTGTAATCTTCCTGATAGCAAGGCCTTCAGATGACCTGAAGTAAGTTGGGCAACCTTTTCTTTACATGCAGAGCAGGGATGCTTGAAAAACACCTGCTGACATGGATGGGTGATAGGTGTACAAATGGGTGACTCACCTGTACAGTCCCTTGGCTTCATCGTAAGGCGCATCTGTGATCAGGCTGCCATTCCTGGTGTACGCCGTCAGGCTGCACAGAGGCACAACATACTGTTTTCAGGAGATGTGCGTACTGAATACACACACATCCGCATGCATGCTCCTGCATTGCCCATCGACTAAAATTTCCTGTTTACTGTGGAAGCCCCACTTGTGTCATAGTGCTCATGACTGTGCCACTGGTCTAGCCGTGCAATTTTGCATGCATCACCGCACAGCCCATATAGAAGCCCTCCTCAAGACAAAAGAAAATGGCATGTGTAGAGGCTGCAAAGTCAACAGACTCAGGCGGATCTTGTCGTTCACTAGCATTCTGCTTGCTTTCTCTGTGATGTTTAACACTTAGTAATCATATCAGGAGTAACGGAATTAAGGGGAGTCATGGTAAAGATCATCCATGTTTACCGGAAAATTCGACGCCAGGTCCATTACTCAATACTGTAGAGCTCAAATCAAATCCTGCGGGATGGCTCAATGATAGGGTGCGGGAAGTTGCCCTGCGGGGATATATGAAATACAAATTTGCAGCCCAAAAAGCCCATGTTCCTAGTAAACTTGAAAGGGTTGCGGGAAAACAGAATCATAGAAGCCCTGCGGGAACCTATGTAATATATGACTTCTCAAAAGTGGGGGTTCTAGATTGAGCTCTACAGAAAGAAAGAGACAACCCAATTCAAACCCACCTCCAGGAGGCTGTGACGGAGGGAGCTTGCGCGAAGGAGAGGGTGTAGTTGTATAAAGAGCCGTCCAGGGGGCGGCCGGGGCCCCACGAGTCGCGGTCCGTAGCCAGGCGGCTCAGGTAAGATATCGCGACTTCCTTGGGATTTGTCCCCAGCGCTGTCATCGCCGCCACCGCCCTCCCCAGATCTGCATGCATGCACAGCTCGTCAGCTCTCCTTTGCTGTTGGCAGACTCGACTGCTTATTTGGGACAGAGATTATAGGACACACAAAAGTACTTTCTGCATGCGCGGCTCATCGGCTCTTTTAATTGTGTTTATTTACGTGGTGCTGTGATTTGATACCACAAAAAATTTAAGGCACACAAGAGGCTTCCTGCACGCGCGGGTTGTTAGATCGTGATTGATTTGAGCAATTGTGGGTGCTAAAGTGATTTTGGGCACTTGAGATTTGCACAAGAAAGGTATTTTTGGGCTGTTGTAGCTGAAATCTTCTATGATGTATTGTCAGCTGCTGACAGTAGCAAAGGCACCTGACAAATCACAGTGACTCAAGGGTATGGTGAGACGCACAATCGCTGCCGTAGTCGGCGGTTCCCAACAGAGGCTCCCAGCGGGTGGAGGTCAGGACCGACTTCTGTTTCGCCTGCGCCGTCGACACGATGCAGCCGAGCGCGGCAGCTAGCCCCGCGTTCATTCCCCCTAACACCCCTGCAGGTAGGGTCAAGATCAGCGCATGCTGTTGTGATTTGCAGACTTCTCAGATCTTGACAGGGGCATTAGAAAGCAAGCTGCTGTCTGTTCAAGGCATGCAACAAGCAGTGGCAAGTCTAGTCTACTGTGGTGAGGAAATATTATGTCTGTCATTGCTAGATGGCCCCATTATGGGGCCAATTGGCCAGGACTGCCCTACAAGCTTTGCATGTTATGTGATGCAGTGCCCAATTCAAAGGTCATCTCAGGCCTTCAAGGGAGTCCAAATCAATCAAAAAAGTTGATGAATGTTAGACTTGATAGATGTCAGAGTCCCCTGAGGCCTTAGAGTCCAGAGAGACTAAGACAAGAGCATGCTAGAGACCCTGAGCCATTTGGGAGACCCTTCCGAATGTTCAAAATGAAGGGGAATCTTAGGGTCTTGCCTGCAGTCAGGTTGTTGGGGTCGAATCCGAAGCCGCGCAGGGTGAGGCCGATGGGCGCCAGACTGGCATATAGGGTTTGCTGCTCGGGGTTGCGCGGAGGGTTTATCGCTGTTATCGCCCCCAGAAGCTCCCAGAAGGCCGACGCATTCTGCGCGTGCATGACTCATCCCGATTAGTCTCCCTCAAAGCTTTCACTTATTTCAGCCCATACATAGACAGTTTACCCCTGAAATGTCACACTCTGATTTTGCTTATTGACCCTTGCCTTAGGAGATAAGCAACATTTCTAGCTCATGGAATGCAAGCAAAGAGAAAAAACATATCCTGTGATTCGAGAACGCCTGATTGGCAAGGTCTAGCATCCTCAGCTTTGCTTGATATATAAGATAGGGAATGGGAGTTTCAGCTGGACAGAGGTGGTCATGAAGATCAGTTGCCTTGTAGATTGGGGGCGGTGAAGCGATGGGGAAGAAGTCTTCTGTGGTCACATATGGGCCCTTGTCGGCTCCAAATAGCCGGTAGGGGGTCACTGATGCCACCACACCCCTCCTGCACAGCAAGTGAACCACCATTGCTGCTCCTACTCAATCCATATCGGCAAGTGAAACGGGACATGTATCTTCACGATTTCACAGACAGTACAGTTTTGCAGTCAAGAAACTGTTGAACCCACTGTCAACTGGACCTCAAGTCAAACGGAATCTCTTCCAGCCACTTCCGAGACTGAGCTGGTCTCTGACTCTGCCCTGATAGTCAGCCCGCAGCATGGAGATCCCAAAAGTCAATATCAACATCCTGCAACCTTCCTAGAAACAGAAGAGGGACAAGCGTTTGCATGCATGCGATGCTAGAGGAAGGTGGCAGCAGGCAGAAGGCGTTGCCTGTACAGGTCGCGCGCAGCCATGGCGAAGGGCTTCTTGTAGGTCTTGGGGAACAGCGGTTCGATTTTGAATCCTTTCTGCGCGGCCTGCGCCGCCGCCAGGTCAGAGTCGTTCTCTGCCCTCACCGCCAGCCGCCCAATCATCCACAGCTGAGCCACACAAAATAATATTCAAAATCTTAAGAGACATTTATTTAAGCAATCCTTGACCCTAACCCGCAACCCTTGCATTCTGCACTACAAGTTCTGCCATATGATTGCACGCTGGGTCTTGTGCGCCGACCGCTCACTGCACCAGTGACGTGTGCACTGGTTAACTGGGAAAGAGCAGTGCAGTCAGCTTTACAAGTCTGTCAGAATCACATATCCCCCCAGAAACACACTGACAATTGATTTGACAAGCCAGCAGGCGGAGAGGGAAGAGGGACCATGCATCGATTTGAGTGCATTGCTTCCCAAGCTTTAGCCCTCTGACTTCAGCTAGCCTCCCAAGGCTATTCTGCAAACAGGCTCATGCGCAGCAATAAGGTGAATGGACGCACTGTATTGCTGTTGAGAGTGGCTGTGAAATTGTAGCCGGGGGGGACTGTGCCGTTGTAGTCATAGGGAGCCAGCACATAGCGCAGCGCGGTTGTCAGCCCTTCTCCAATGGGACTCGAAAGGGGCCCTGCAGACATCAATTTACAACAGTCAACCTCACAACATCATTGAACTGTTTGCCTCGTTGAAGGGGAAGAGATAGACTACACCAGTTGTTTGGCCTGCAAATATGTGGCACATTTGCCTGGATATAGTCAATGTAGGAAGGGCAAACAGCTTCTGAACTTTGATGTCATTATCAGCTGCTTTGCTGCACCATTCCTTCCCGTTAGCATAGTTCCAAGTGGTGGAGACGTTTGGAGCAAGGGAGATGTTTGCCCACCAATCAGAAGAGGGATCTCGTTGTAGACATCCACAAACTGGAGCTCATAGAAGCGGCCGCCGGTGTCGGGTGCATTGACAACCAGAGGCCCCCCGGTCAAGTCGATCCAGGCCAGCGAATATAGAAAGTTGACATCCTGCGTGCCAGCCTGCAGCCACATGCTGCTACATTAGATGGTTGCTTTGGCTTGCAGTGCATATGCTGCGGGCATGTGCCCGCACATGCGCGCATGGCTTTCGCATGCATGCAAAGGAATAGGACACACAAAAAGGATTATAACAGCAGCTTGGGTGTATGCATGAATTTGCTGATGCAGTAGAGCTGTTTCTAGCCTTTTCACGCGACCTGGTACACAGCTAATGGGAAACTAGCAAGAGACCTCAAGAGACCCACAGATTGCTCGATTCACGAGCCAATTTTAGTGGGTTTGAATGCCAAATGTCATGCTCAAAGTTGGGTCTTTGCCCGTTCAACCAGAATGTAGATTCCCCCGGATTCCAATTCAATTGTGTTAGGAAATTCTCAAGTTGACGAACGTGCCTGTGGCTGCCGAGTGCCGTCCAGAGGGTCTGCGTAGTTGACAACCGCGTTGATGGAGAGGGTCGGGAAGGGCGATGTCTTATTGAGCGCGCTCTTAGTGAACGCCGTGGCTACCTAAGAGCAACAGCCATACCAATGAGTTCTTAGCTGCGTAAGCTCACCGTATGCACCGCTGCTCTTATTTCCTTACTAACGTGCCTGTACCATCATTATACACTTGCATGAGAAGCAGTGATACTACCGCTGATGCAATACTCCTCTGCTGGAACAGCATGTTTTAGGCAGCCTGGCAGGTTCTCTTATTGCACCAAGAACATGAAACGCTCTTGCAGCATTGCAGCTTGCTGGTGTGGGGCGCCATTTCTCTCCCCGAGATTAGTGGTTGGCCAACCACAGATAAAAAATCGTCAGGGAGCAGAACCCACGGTCATACTATAATTTGACACCCAGCACGGTCATTTAGCTGAACGTGTTATCAAGTGGTGCACAACATAGATCATAAGCAGAAAACTTTGATCTGCCAGGTCAAAGACTTTTATTAAAGATTGGCCCCAGAATGCATGCACAGGCCCACACTCAAGAGTTTGAAGAGTGTGAATCCTGCTATTCACTACACCATGCATTCGGTGAGGGTTCTGTTCAGGGAATGCAGGAGACGCCCACCTGGACGGAGGGAACTCCCCAGATGGCTGCCTGGTGCGCCAGCTTGAAGGCTTCTGGGAAGCCGTCAGGGAAACCGCTGTCCTTGTCCGGCAGATAATCCCACAAGTGCAGCAGCTGCGCATCCTGCAGCTTTGGCCCTGAGCAAGCATCTGTGCCGCAGGAATGCACCAGTCTCAAGAAATTTGATAGAAATGAGTTCGTGTGTGAGGACTTAAAGATGCTGGAGATCATGGTTCAGTCACATCTTAACCTGGCAAGCAGGGATGGATATGAACAGTGTTTCAACGCTTGTTAAATGGCCCGCTCAGCCACAACATAACAAACAAGCTCAGATGTGTCGATGACTCCTGTGGCATAAAGTAGAATACAGAAAGCAGTCATGCCCAGAGCATGCTTGTCCTGGCGATGGAGCATCTGGTGTGCAAATCACCACGATATATCTGGGTGCAGCACCACCTGCAGAAGGAAATGGCTGGAGGGCATTTACCTAGTGGGGGCCTCAGGATTGACTTGACTACAGAGAAGTAGGGCTCCTGAGGGAGCAGGTACGCAGGCAGTGGCTCACTGACCGAATGCACCTCTTCGCCTGCGAGAATTGACGTCCGTTTAGGTGCGATTAATTGGCTGCCTGCCAGACCTCAGATTTGCAGCGTTTGGGCCGCATGCTAAAGCGAGATGGGAAGATCCCTTGCCTGTCCGTGCTTTGAAGCTGTAGATAGACGTCATGTCTGAAAATGGGAAGTCGATCTTCCCTGCCCAGGAATTGCAAGCGAAGGAGAGCATGCACAGCGCAACAATCAGTTGCTGACCGCTGTCCATGCTATCTTATTGCGGCTTCGTTTGCATTTGCCCGGGGCTACTGGAGGAGGTGGAGCTCTGCTATATTACAACCACTCGATGTTCTCACAAGCACGAGCAGTAATCCACACTGCTGGACAAATACTGCTTGTATCAGGCAACCTCACTGTCTACTGACTGTGGGCTGTTGCGCGTGCGGGCTCCAACCACGATACTGTGGCAACCAATTGGCAATCAATTTGTGTTAGAGCTGTCCTTGCGATCGTCTCCCAGTATCAAAAGCAGTTTTGAGTCAAGCCACACCCCATCGGGCCAGCATCTTGCAATATACTCTGCTCCTCCAGAACCTATGGCGCCCTCATGAGCGATCTACATTGATCAGCATGTGGCATGCCATCTCACAGCGAAACTGAAACATCTTACTTGCTGTCGTACCAAGGAAAATTGAACTGGCGCGTCCGAATGGGATCGCAGCGTGGCGCCTCGCCCTATTCAGGCACCTCGAATTTGAAATTATCAATAGGCCACGCGTCAATAAAAAGCCTAATCTGGTCGTCGCTGCTTTCCTGTCACCCGGGGAATCTTGCGTCGTTGGTCCTCTTGCACCATTGCTTGATTCAAAAGAGTGCTCACCGATACCCGGCTCACCATTTGGCACAGTCGTCCCGTCGGTCAAGTCGTGAAGGATGAGCTACCCACCTCCCCAAGGTTCGCACACATCCTCCTGACTCAGTTCGTGTCCTGCTTTCGCATTGTAGCATGCCGATTATCCTTTCTGCACGTTCAACAAATAGGCATTAGAACCTTGCGGATCAGGCGAAACTGCAGAGGCACTGCGCCTGCCTGGGCTGTTTTCTGATCATCATGTTCCCTTGAAAGTGGCAACGGGGTTTCGCGTGATGCAGCGACATAGATGCATTTCGTATTGCTTTAATTTTCAGTTGATTCCAGTAGACCGTCGAAGTAGAATCCTTCCTAAGGGTTGTTTGGTTGCGCTTCCCCTGTAGCTTCCGACCATGTTCTGCTCGCTTCACTCTCTGACTGGGCTTGCTTGCAGGTGGCTATCCCCAGCAGGGTTACCCGCCGCAGCAGGGCTATCCCCAGCAGGGCTACCCGCCACAGCAAGGCTACCCACAGCAGGGCTATCCTCCTCAGGTTTGTTCTTCTACACAATCAACCCGAAGGGAGGTAGCTTCCAGCTGTTCTCGAATTGCCTTCGTCGCCTTGAGAAGTGTTGCAGGTCATCAGTAGGACTTGCAATGTCTGGAAGGTCCCAGTAATGGCACGTCTGTTGCCCTGCGTTCTAAAGTGCTTCTGAGATGTTGCCTTGTATGTCTGACAGGGTGGCTACCAGCAGCAGCCTCAGCAGCCTCCCCAGAAGGGCAGCCGCGGCTGCTTGGAGGCCTGGTGAGTCGAACATTTGTCGATTTACTGTCCTTATTTGTTCCGCACACACTTTTGCCAATCAACCTCTGCATCCCACCGCCACTGTTCTGCTTTGAATCATCCGTTCTGTGCCTCCTGTTCGGTCTCCTGAAATTGGTCTGAGATGCTGTTGCACCAAGATGTTCTGAGAGCTTTTGGTGTGCCCAATGAGTCACGGCAAGATTGTGAGTTGAGGCATTTCTGTTCCGGGGATCCATTTCTGTTCGGGCATGCATGCATCGCCAACCCCTGCTGTTTGCCCCCTGCAGCCTGGCGTGCGCCTGCTGCTGCCTCATCTGCGAGGCCTGCTGTGATTTCGTCTGAGTGCATGCAGTCTTGCATGCGCCTGCTGCTGCCTGCTGTGTGAGGCCTGCTTCGGAGACTGATTGGTGGAGGGCGGCCAACTCTTCTGGCGCAGCTATGTTTATCTTCTGGCGCAGCTATGTTTATCCTTGGACGGAACTGTTCTTCGACTGAATGGGGCTGTGATGCGTTGGCATGACCGTTTGCTTGCAAGTTGCGGCGTGTGCGTGATTAGGGTGCTGTGGTGCAGTTGCATGCTGAATTGTGCATGCTTGTTGTCACTTCCTGCTGTCCGGAATTTCTTGGAATATCCACCTTTTGCTTTTTGTGCATTGGATGGTATTTGACCAAGTCAATTTGAGCATGTATCTAAAGTTTGATCTCCTGTGCATGTGCAAAATCTCCGCCCAAATCTAGATGCATGCGGAGAGTGCTTGTCGGCATGGATCGCACAATAATTGCAGTTGCGCACCAGTGTCTTACTGTGAAAATATTATAATAATTATTAATATAATTACACGCTTTTCCTCCCAAGAGGCAAGGTGCGTCCTGCAGACAAGCTGCAGTTGAAGGCTGCCATAATCCTACCACTTGTTGGACTCGCCAGATCCAAGCAAGACGCAGTCCTGGAAATATAAACCAATTTTATATATCATTTTAAGGTCAAGATCGCACCGAATTGACGCTTCAAGATGGCAGAGGAGTGTCCCGTCAATGTCCCAGCCTGGGACTCCCAGGGATGAACCCTGGAAATTCTCCAATCAGCCTCATCCTTGATCGTAGATCATGATCATACATATTTTTAGCATACGGTATGTGGCAGTACATTCGCGATTGTGCGGAATCAATCATGCTCAGTGGATCAAAGCAAACAAGCGTGTACATGGGCCTATGCCCATGTGCTGCATGTGTACACAGTCAGGTCAGCAGGAAAACGGTGTTCCCTACTTCCCACATGTGCTGCATGTGGCTGGTGTGCACACGTGTGGACACAAATGCTTGCACCAGGATCCCTGCACTGCCTAGCAGGAATATGCCGGATACCTAACCAACAATGTGCAAGAGGTATTCCTGTTGCATTGCTTCACAAGTGTCTGCTTGAGCTTGAGATATTGCACCATGCATATGTGCGGGCCGCCCATATCTGGACAGAAGTCCCCACATTGTTAGACAATTTATGACACTGTCCTCAAGAAGTCAATGCACTTGTTACATGCGTCCCACAGTGCACTGCAATTGTTTGCTATACATCAAACCCATTGCTCTTCAGCATGCGCAATCCTTTCAAATCAATCACAGATGCAGTCAATCACAACGCTGGTGCAAGCAATTGCGCAGCTGCTTTGTGCCAGTTGAAGGCTTCCAGTCCTCAGTAAAAAAGGCCCATGGCTACCAAGTCCTAAAAACAGAATGTTGTCCGATCATAGCCACAATGCAGGCTCTCGAACCCTTCCCAGTAAACCTGCCTTTCCACACGCCCCTCCTGAAGATAAAAGTACACCGTCTGCCAGACATTCGGACACACTCACACACAAAGACACGGGAGGGCCATCTTGAGGTTAGCGTGCTAACTTAAACGGCAACCCTGTTGTTCAGCTCAGTGAGCGGTTTGTAAGCGTGCAGAGGCTGCATCCCCGGAGACACAACCTTGTCTCCTGAGTGCAATGCCTGCCAGCATCCCGAGTGCCACCAATTTGCACAAACTGTAAAAACAGCAAGTGGCCCCGTTGGAGCCTCAATAGCACACACCCACACACATGCGGCACTGAGTCAGCTGTGCACAAGGCGATGGTGAACAGATAACCCCACAACATGTGTTTCCCTTTGATACAGCTGGCGAGATCTACACCACAAGCTGAGATGGAGTGATTTTGCATCTGGGCGCGTCTGGTAATGTCCAGAGTCACGCCAACTCCTGGGGAATATTGAGCATTCCGCCTCTTGGTGAAATAACACCGAGTCAGGCACAGGCATTCCTTGGATCACCAACTCCTTTCTGGAGACAGCTGACTGCCAATGCTGTGCCAAATGAGGCACCCGCCTCAGCAAAAGGGCAGCCACTTAATCGGGCATGCCCTATCAATGCATCCACATCATAAGGAAAAAGCTGCTCAAATGGGGGTTGTGCTGCTGTAGCCACCTAACAGCACGATGTCACAGCCAAGGACAATGGCCCCTGGATATCATCTTGCATGGTGCTGCAATCTGGCAGCATGGCAACCACCCTACTAAACCTCTGTGATTGGCATCATTTACATCGTTGCTGTATCCGGCCCTCAGTGATTTGGCATCGCTCGCCTTGATTGCATAGAGCCGCATGCATCTCTTTTTACGCCTCCTTGTGGGAGTCCAGGGTGGTGGTCATGGAGTCACGCTGATGTCATGTCAACGGTTCAGGGGCTACGCTGCAAAGCAGCTCTTGGGGATGTCTGGCAGGGGGCCTGATTTGGCGTGGCTGCCAGCTGGCAGCGAGCATGTGTCCCACGCCTTGCTGGCGAGCGTCGCTGGCACGCTGCTCCTGCCCAGAGCCGACACCTGGCGCCCCGGCCTGCACAATCGGCAAAGGAAGTCAGGAACACCGCGATGGTGGCTTTAGATTAACAAGGAGAAAAAGAACTATGTGCCTTGCAGTGCTCACAGTCAAACTCCCATCAGGATCTCTGCTTGATCTGGGGTCTTTGTCACGTACTGTAATATGTGTCACGTACTGTGCTTGTGTCACGTACCGTACCCCCAGCAGAAGTGGGTTTATTGAGAAGTGGGGAATTGCCCAAAACTGTCAAGAGAAAGCTGAGCATGCAGCGCGGCAACATGATGACATTGAAAAGGCGCTCGGCGCTCGGCGCTCAGTCTTTCACAGAAACTGTATATCACAAATGGATGGTTTCCAAAAGTGCTTGCCTGGGAGAGGCCATGCCATGGTCAAGTCTGCTGGCGTCAGCAGGCCCCACAAGCAGCTGCTTGAGGGAGAGCAGCTCGTCCAGCAGTGGAGTCCTCAGGAACAGCCCAATCTCGCTGTCTGGCGACCAACACTCCTGTTGCACTTGCAATACTCCGTGTCAGTCACAATAGTTGTGCCTCACTGGTGTCTCAGCAGTCCAGGTGAGACGGCTGGGTGCTCAATTGAACATGGCATACCAGACTCAGGGTCAAGCTATAATGTAATAAATTGACAGAACAACTTGTGGAGAAGTATTTAAGGGCAGTCTGAGAGAGGTAAGGACCATTAAACACATGGTTCACAGCTCCTAACGCCAAATTCCATTTTGTTCCTATGCAGCCATAAGACTTCGAGACTCTCTTGCCCGCACCGGGCCTCCAAATGATCCGCAGCTTCCTTGCTATTCAATCCCAGGTTCCTCCTTAATGCTATTCAGGGGGCTCAATATATGACCTGACTCTAAGTTAGATATAGAGCCCCCTAATGCTATTGAGTACGAGGGGGAATAATAAGAGGGGGTCAGTGATGAATGAGGTGCAACTATGCCGGGAGGGAACGTGCCTGCAGGAAGCGCGCGCCGGCGCTGCCGCAGCGGGAGCGGTCGTACTGCTCGGTGAGGCGCTGCAGAGCGATGCGGTTGATGGCCGCGTACTGCTGGCACCAGTGCACCTCCGCCGCCAGCCTCGCCCTCTGCACCAGCAAGCCCGGAAACACCAACTTTTACGATTTCACACAGACTTTTCCCACAGCAGAAAGACACGAATACGAATATATACAGAATGAAAGACCAGCCCCCTTCTGTATATTTTCCACAGCATAGGCCTTTCCAACAGCACAAAATAGGAACGCAAACTAGCGTGTGAAGCAGAGGATGAAGGGCAGCTTGGCCCTTTGCACCAGCACGCCTTCCTCAGACTACAGCGCCAAAATTAAGCACACAAACCAGAGTGGTCCGCACAAAGGCCTCAGTTTCATGTCAGTACTGTGCATCTATCTGTGAACTTGCTGTTGTTTTGAGCTCTCCAGCCGCCTATTTCTGCAGCTCGATTTGTATTTGGGCAGGCCATAACAAGCGGGGGAGAGTTTTGCGCTTGCGCTCCTCTAGATTGGGCGAACTGATAAACATCACTTGACGTATCCCTCTTTTTGGCTTCTTGCCTCTTCTCAGTTTTGCCTTCCCCCTGCGAAGGACTATGGTGGGGAGGAACCCAGTGGCTGCCAGATATGCAAACCAGCCAAACTGATTGTGGCAGTGACATGAAGCCCGATCCAGCTGCGGCCTTTGCTGCAGGAGTTGCGCTATCTGAGGTCGAATTTGCGCCCATAATGGGAATATCGCTCAGGACCCACCTCGCATTCCACGGCAGAATGGCACATCATCGCGCGCAGCGCACCCAGCCGCAGCCTCGAGGTCCAGCCATTCAGGTTCAGGATGCGCAGAGCCGTGCGCACAAAATGCCTGCGCGGCAGCCAATGATGCCAGTTTCATGGGCTGAGCGGCCTCCAGACAGTGTCAGGAGTGCCACGCACAATGGCTTTGGAAGATCAGAAAGGACATCGCCAGACCCAGACAGATGGGCAGCATACATGCATGGGCAGGTGGCAATGATATTGCGCATGTGGCATCAGGCGTGGTGTTTTGCTGGTAAAGGTTTACCTGTCAACAAGCCTGATTTCTTCTGTGAGGGAGCGGAAGAAGGGCGGGGGGTCAGGTTTTGCAGGCGCAGTGCCATCCTTGCCCTGTGCGGTGGCTTGGGCGTAGCAGTCCTCCATGGCCCATTGCAGCTTGACATAGGGGAGGCTCTTGCCCTTGAGGGGCCATTTTGCTGGTGCATCTGCTTCAAACCCCTCGATGACGGCCTCAAAGCTGGTCCTCTTCAGAAGCATCACCGATGCCTGCAGTGAGAATACAAGCCGAGGCATTCATGAACGCTCCATCAACTTTCTCCTTGCAGGGTTTTTTACAACTGCAATACTTCTCTGCTTAATCATCGACAAATTACTGCACGCATGTGGTTTGTTTGACAACTGAGCTCCACAAGGTGTTAACGTGGCAGTAAACGAGGTGGCCCCACCCTCCAGCTGAATGTGGAAGCTGCTTGCTCGTCATGCTTCTAGTCAGGCGTCAGGCGTCAGGCTTATGTTATTGCCTGGAGACGGGAGGACTCTGCGATCCCGAGTCGCTATAAAAGGCGCGCTTCGATCCAGGACTTCCACACGTTTTCTGAATCTATTTGACAGTCCACAACTTCCACATTTCGCAGCCAGACAGCATTACACAGCCCCTCTCTTCGTGCAGGGAGGTCTTTCGCTGTTCGCTCCAATGCCAACGTAGCTTCTCAAAACAAGCTCGAAACGGCCCATAGCTTCGATCGGCCTGTTTTGGACACATGCATATATTCGATACGTATCTCCCTCGCTCCAATAATGCAAGGGTCGCCTGGTTTCCAACCTGGATCAGTCACCCAGTAGTTAAGCGATTGATCTTGCGCTTGAAGTTCGCATCAGAACTCGGATTGCGTGGTAACCCATCGTCAGATCAGGCGACTTTTTATTTCTTGGGACACTTGCGCCTGTCAGGCATTCTTGTGTCCGAGCGTGCAGCTTGCCAGAGGTATCGTTGTATCAGGACACTTGGCGAGACGACCAGCGGCCCAACATTCAGCAGTGGTGAGGCTCTCCCAGCGAAAAAGGCGAGTAGCTGGAGGCGGAAGAGACGTGCGTGTTGTTGTGGGTGCTAGTGTGATGGCTTGCCTGTGAAGTGCGTGGGACTAGAACGCGAGTCGTTCGGATGTGCCAGCAACAGCGTTTTCAAGAGGGAGTGACCCGAATTTGCTCAGCTGGTAGTCCCAGGCCCCAACCTGGCCGAACAGATTTCAGAAGGCCAGGACGCGTAGGCGCCCTGCTCAGCGTATAGGGACTATGTAAGCCGTGAGGATCAGTTGCGGAAAACATCTCAATGGCCTCTTTATGGATCCTGTGACGATTGCTGGATACTGCTGACGTCGCCGGGGCTGCTGCGTCTTCGCAGGCACGAGATAGCATCTCAACAAGCCCTTCGCAAGGACAGACGCGAGGCGACACCACCACACCAGAGGCAGCAAGCCCAGCTTTTACCGCTGAGGGTGAGACATCCCCCACGGCAGAGTAGCATAGTCCCTGCAGCTTCTGGCGAAAACGTGTGGATCTGCAGGCGCAGAGGACGGAACTTGTCTACGTGAATGCGGACCAGGAGTGCAGGGGTCTTACGTGCCAGGGACTGACCTGATCCCCTGGTTTTGTTGTGCAGGACCCAAGATTGGGAAGCTAGCAGAGAGAGTGGGGGCCACAAATAGCATGTGGACAATGGGCTCTCCATTTGACGCCCCCCTTCCTAGATTCCAGCAGGCAGCAGCCAACCTCAGCAGCAACATCGGCCCCAACGCTAAGAAGCCCCCTCTGAGTGCGTCCCTGCCCTTCACAATCCCAACGTTTTCCCTTTTTTTGCACCGCCCCACACCTGAACTTTGACGTTCCAAGCGAGCAGCCAAGTGCAGGACAGGCCGGAAAGAAGGCTGAGACCTGAGCAGCCAGGCACAGGTGTGTGCCAAATGTACTTTTCAGGCCTCCATACGAGCACCATGCAGCCAGCTTTGTCTGCAGACGCAGCTCGCCTCTGGCAGGAACAGCATGCAGTCATAATGATATGTGAGCACCAGCGCCAGTATTCTGAGCTTCACTTTGGCGCTCTGTGCAGGTCCCAGTCTGCCCATCGATGGAGAGAAATCGCTGCAGGAGGCTAGAAGTCCCCAGAAGGGGCCTGGTCTGGACTTTGGATCCTCTCCATCCCTAGAGCACAGCGCCAGCCTCAGCAACATTTCGCGCCGCAGGATAAGCACCTCTGTCAGGAGCGAGTTCCCCTCGTCCCACTCCCTGCCCTTCGTTCAGGTGACCCCCTCAGCCCTTCAGGGACCCATTCTTAAGGCTGTTCTCAGCTCATTGCTTGGCAATAAAGACTCTGTCAGAGCACTTGCTGGATTGCTTTGAATTGGAGCCAAGAGGGCACTGTTGCACATGCTGCAAATTGCATGAGCGTAAGGGTATGCACATGGCGTCGCCCATGGAAGGAGACGTTGTCTGCTTAAGATGTGTATGCAGCAGCGCTATGGGCTGTTTTCATTTCAGCACACTGTCACGGAGGATCATGCCTTGTCCAGGTAGCAGAGATATTGAAGGACAGCTGGCTGTGCAGAAATTCGCGGCGGAGACCAAAATGGTAACGAGCGATGCGCTGGAGATTCCTTCCTGCAGTTCGAGCGAGCCGCTGCAGGCGCAGGTATCGCTGCCGCCAGTATCCTCGCTGCTGCTGCCGCAGCCGGCCGGCTTCCGCTGGTTCCCCCGCAACTTCACCGGCATACTGGCAGCTACCGGGATGCTGGCGCTGCTGGTGATGTCCGTAGTCATCCTGTGGCCACCAGCTGGCGGCTCGGCAGTCATCAGCCAGCCCCTGCAGCAGGCCCCCTCCATCGGGCACCCCCGCAAGTTCTTCGACAGGTGCGCGCACATGCCTGAATTACTCCCCGCGAAACACCTGCCTCTGAGCCTTTTCCTCCGGTGATCAGCAGCACAAGATCTGCAGCCTGTGTGCTCTCACTCCCCCATTTCTTTCAAGCCCAGGTCGTGCATAGGAGGCTGATGCCCCGAGAACTTTTGCAAGGCTTCATCAGTACTAGTAGAATCATATATGGAGGTGAAGGCAATCTTTTCATCATGGCCTGTGCAGTGACTGAATGCTGTGCTCTGTTGCGGCAGGATCTTCAACGGCAACCAGCCACAGCAGATGGAGCACTTCACTGCAGCGCAGGGCGCCGGCTGGGGCACCGGTTTTGGCCTGGAAGATTCCTCGCAGCCCCTGGGCCTAGAAGTGATCCCCTCGGACGACTTCACAAACTTCGTGGCCACGCACCTCGGCTGGGAGGACGACGAGCCCGTCACGGACTCCATCGCCGAAGCGCGGTTCGAGGCGGCTGAGGCGGCTAACGACCACCTGCCGCTCGCTGGCGGGTTTGGTGAGGGATTAGTCACCATCGACGCAAAGGGGGTGGACCACATGGCGCACGCTATCTCCGCCGCCGTGGCCGCCAGCGCCAAAACAGGTGCCGCCGCGAATTCGAATTCAAACTCCGCTGACGCGGCCGCCAAATCTGGCGCGGCCATTGAGGGGCGCAAGGAACTGGAGACCGGGGGGACTGCGGCAACGGCGACTACGGGGACTACGGCGGCAAAGCCGGCGAACGCGGCGTCCGGAGTAATTCCCCAAGAGACCGTTCGCACCGGCAACCCTTTGGCCAATAGCATCGGGGTTGCCGACCCCGGGAACCTGCTGGACAGCGACTCCACCACTCCTGTCACGTGAGTTACTGTTGCTTGCCCCTGTATGTTCAAATCCCACTGTATAAATATCAGGATCTGGCTGGATCTGTCATTTTTTTCTGCAGTTTGCATGCTCTGCTTGCATGCCTTTCTATCAACCTGGCTTTTGTGCCAACTGGATTGCCTGCCTTGCTCCATCAGCTCAAACTTTGTATGTCTCAATCATCGTGCCATGCTGGTGTGAAGCAAGTGATCTGAATATCTTTTTTTTCCCCAAGCTCTGAATGCGCCATATTCTCAGGACAACGTAGTTAAGCAGTGCATGTGATGCTGCGCAGGAATGCTAATAAGCCGCGCATAGCAGTGCAGCCGGGGGTGGCCGGGGGAGTGAACAGCGCCAACAACCAGATGGCGAGCACCTTCACAGCCACCACCCAGCCGAGGGTTGCAGTGCAGCCCACCGTCGCGGGGGGGACCAACACCGGCTCCCAGATGAACGGGGGGACCACCTCCACAGCTGCAGGCACCATGGGGGCCACCCAGGTCGTGGGGACCAAGCCGACTGGCTCCTCTGCGAGTTCCTCGGGCTCTGGCTCGTCTGGCGCAACTGCCAGCAGCCTTCGCAGTAGCAGCGGTGGCCGCGCCACGGGCAGTGGATCTTCTGCTCGCGGAGGTGAGGATTTTCTCTGTCTTTTTCGAAACTGTCCACAGTCGAAACAGTGCTTATGACGTTGTTGTGCGATTGCTTGTGTTGATGCATTTTGCGAGGTTTGTTGGGACCGCGATGCTTGGAGTCAGGAGCGGCAAAAGGTGTTTCTTGCAAGACTGATGCATTTTCTTTTGTTTCCTGCAGCAGGCACGGGCACTGTGGGATCCAACCAGCCGCTGGAGAACATAGCGGCCGGCCAGACAGTGACCGTGAGCCAGGCCGATTTGTCATCGTCCACCTCAGCGAGCGGGGGCTCCAGCGCCGGCAGCACCTTCAAGCCCCTTGCCGGATGAGCTGACTTACCAATGACTCATCGATGAGTCAGCGGAAAAGTGAATAACACAGAGAAAAACAAATAACGAGCCTGGCTGCAGGGATGCGCAGAGCAACAGCGCACAGCGCAAGGCTGATGCTTTGGGCATCCCTGCTTCTGTCAGACCAGCAGAGAGTTGCTTTTAGTTTTGGCTGCAAATAAGAATGCTGTACTGTGCTGTGGGCCGCCTCAGGCATGCATATAAGAAGAACATCTTGTAAATGTGGCCTGCAGAAGAGAAGTCCCCATTGTGTGAGGCCGTCAGCAGAGATTGAGGGCGCCAGACTAGGCAGGCTTGTACAGAGAAGATTTACAGGTGTACATAGGAAATCGACCAGGGGATTCTGCTGAGAACACTTATAAGTGTCGGGCTGCCCTGCAGCAGCAGCAGTGGCCTCCAGTGAGGCACCTGATTTTGAGAAGGAGACAAATGGGAGCACTGTGTTCTTTGAGATGGCAGCAGCTTTCTAGTGGCTGCAGTTGGTTGATGCATGCGCAATTTTCTTTGTAGATGCCTGTATCAAGCAAGCAGCTGTTTGCAAATTGAGGTTGGAGGTTGGCAGGAAAGGCTGCACTGCAGCAAAGGAACTGCTTGACATTGCACATAATTGATGGTTTTTCTGATGAATAAACCCAAAGGTATGGGCTTAAGGGTGTTTTCCCACTAGACGGGGCAGGATTTGGGTGGCATTCTAATGCGTGAATACTCCTTCGATGAAAGATCTAGCGCTGATAAGAGATCTTAGAACTGATATAGCCTTTTTTACAAGTGATGTCAAGTGCCAAAGTAGGCCGAGCTGGAAGGCTGTCATAGAAACGCTGCTGCGACCTATCCAAGCCAACTGTGGCTTGGATAGGTAAAAACAATAATAATAACAAGTGATGTCAGCCGGCGCGCTGGCAAGCTATGCTGTCTGTGTACAGAAGTGTTCTCTTTGCTTTTCCAGTCTTTTGCTGTGGCAGACAATCTTCTTATACATTCCCTTGACCATCGCTGCTGTTAGTTTGAGCCTTGTGGTCGCAATAAACACCCTCGCAGTTTCACAATTTGTTTTCTCGTCACCTTTAATGCTGAGCTCAGGAGGTGTTTTGTCCGATAATGCACTGCCGTTTAAGAGGCTGCTGAGTGCATTTGACATGTGTAGTCGTGAGCCAGTTGAGGCTGTGACCATTCTTGTATGCACTTAATATTTGGGTGCAGTGCGACTTGAGCACCTGAGTTCCGCGCTTGTCCTCCAGACTGGCCCTTGAGAAGACATGCAGACATGCTGTTCATCATGATGCTTTGTCCGACAATAAGTCGAGTCAATAACGTGTAAATCACTGTTCTGAAATCACTGCTGGTATTTACTAAAATTCCGCTCTGTAGTACCCCTTCAAGGAATTTCGACACAATGCATTCAAGCATATATTAGCAGCTGCCGCCACCGCGGCCTCACTAGTTGCCAGAAGTTGCAGTGCATACATGTATATATAAATTGTATATAATATATATATATACATAATGCATTTTTATTATTAATTAATTACACGCTTTTCCTGCAGTCCATGTAACAAACCTGAAGTTCTTCATGAGCTTTCAGATTACATCTGCCACACTTCAGCAGCTTCAACCCCCTTCAGCCTATTTCGGAGCACTGGCCATTCCCATAGTGGCATGCCAAAAGGGAAAATCTGTCCTGCAGGCAAGCTGCAGTTAGAGGTTGCCACAATTCCACCCGGAGTAGGGGGTACCCCCTACCCCTTGTTGGACTCGCCAGATCCAAGCAAGACCCAATCAACTGTGGCCACGGTGCTCAGTATTTAGACCGCCCTCTGCCAGCCGGTGCATACAATATACATCGTGGAGGTCATGCCCTGTGATGCGCATGCCTACACAGGCATGACTCAGGATCCGATCTGACTTGGATCTGACACTCTGAGGAATATCATCTATGATAGACGGATGCCGGCAATATTGTTTTGATGCCTTGCTCCCTTGGTCACACAGCGCAGTTGCAGCGCATGCATGCATGACTCACTCCTCGCAGAAACTAATTAAGAGAAGAGAGATGGATGAAAGGCAATGCCTTGCAGTTATGGTGAGTTTGCCTCCCACCCAGCCGCTCAGTGTCAGGATAATTCTGTCAGGGGAAAAGGAAGTTCGTTTTCAAAAGCGTGGCTGAAGAGGGAACACTTGAAGAAGCCGACAGCCTGGCGAAGGGGTGAGTGATCGCGGCTGCTGATCCCGGGAGCACGGAAGCTTACTGATACTTGAATTCGCGTCCTGATGATCTTGCGAATAACGTATCTCCGCCGGAGACCTCCCATTCTTACTTCGAGTCGTCTCATATCTTTTCAAAGTGTCGCGTGAGTTTTGTGCATTTGGAGCGGAGACCCCCGTACCTTGGCAGTTCTGCTTTGCATACAGACGTTGTGAAGGTGAGCGTCGCGCTGCAGAGTACTGGCCCTAGGTCGAAATTACCTTGGTGCGAGTTTACCAATTCCCACAGATAGTTCACCTTTGGGGACCCAACGTTCCATCGAAGCACCTGCAAGGACAACGGATCGGTGCTAGTGCGTTCCACCGATCTGTCGTTGCGTCGAGCTAGTGTCCGTACAGTGGCTGCTGACGTTGTATCGGCCATCGGAGCCAACGTGTTTTTTTGAGTAGCAATGTCGATAGTGGAAGAACGCCTTGCTTTAGGTCTGTTGGTCACCGCATCGGTCGATGGCAATGGGGCGCCCAAAGGTGGGGTTACTAGGGAGGATCCTGTTTGGCCATTCTTATTCAGTCGTGTCGACAGAAGTTCATAGTGGTTCCGCAATTGATGGGATCAGAGCGTTTAGCGACCTGTCGGAAGTTCCACGTCGCGGTTCCAGCATAGTTCAGTCACTAGTTGAGACTCTTCAGCAATATCACCGTGCAGTTTTCGCGCTTGGGGGAACGAAAATTATGTCTAGGTGGCAATCATTGTGCGGCCGTCGTCACCCCGATACAATGGGGAGCACGAGCGAGATATACAGGGATTGATTTCCAACAGCAAGTTCCAAAGAGCACTACCTTCTTCGTTGCCTGACGTGTATTCGTTTCCTTGGTGCAGGCGTTCCGACCACCAGAACGGATCTGCAAGGACCACTAGCGTCAGTGGCTAACAGCAAGGAGTGCCCAGCAGCTCACAGCACTTTCACAGACTGGTGAGCATTCTGCTCAGATTACCTGGATGCTTGGAGGCCTCGCAGCCCTGTACATTCATCCTTCTGCAGCAGAGCTTGCCTTTGCCATACTGCTGATTTTTGCAGGCATGTCGAACTGTTACCAGCAGAACATATGCTTCCTACCATCCAACTGGGGAACTCTTCAACGCCCATTTGCGCAGACTGCAATTATCCCACTCTCTGACACCTTTTATTTTAATGCCTGCAGGCACTGTGACCCTTCCTCCGCACCCAACTCCAAACCATTTAAAATGTACAGCAGCATTTCACACAAGCAAAGCAGGAGGCACCGCATCAGCAGCAGGCTAGCAGTGCTGCTTGCTGTCCTGGCAATCCAGCAGCAAGTGAGGCTCGGAGCAGCCGATGCCAGCTCAGCCACAGTTGTGCGACAGTGAGTTGCTCCTCTCACCTTCTTTTCCCCATTGCACGCCTTTGAATTCCCTGCCTGACCTGACCGCGAGCCTGTTACTTCTGTCCCTGGCCCCTGTACTACATACGTCTGCTTGCTTTGTTGCACGTGTCATCACTAGAGGTTCAACTTGCGCAAAAAGCACGCATTGACCGTAATAGCTGCAGCAATATGGCCTCCTTTTTGCTGTCAGCCTCAGTGCACCACTGCAAATCCGAAATAGAGCTTAAGAGGGCCCCTCAGGGTGCACGGCAGAGGCTGACAGGAGCCTGGTCTGTGTGCAGGCCAGGGAAGATCGCCGTGGACCCCACAGGGGGTGAGGAATCGGGGGAGAACGAGATGAATCCTTCAGGGCAGCTGGGCAAAAATGCCGGCACAGCCCCCAGCGGCCCGGCCATGCTCAACGGCCAAAAGGTCACTTCCGCAAACCTTAACCAGAAGACCCCTAAGAAGGCCGCCACAGCCACTGCCACCCCCCTTGCAGCCGCCACAACCGCCACCGCCCCTCCAACACTCGTCACCGCGCAACCAGCCGGCGCCGCGCAGACTCTTGTCACCAGCGCGATGCGGTCGCAGACTGTGCAGCAGCAGGCGGCTGGAGGGCAAGGGCAGGGGATGATGAGCGGCGGCGGCGGCGCGGGAGCCGCCGCGCAGTTTGTGCAGAAGGCGCCGGCAGCTGCCGGGAACGCCGCGTCACGGTCCGGGCAGCTCAGGGGTTCAGTAACCAGCGTCTCCGGTGGCCGCCGCATGATGCTCGTGGTCACTCCCCTGCGAGTGATTTCACCCTAGGCAGCCGCCGTTCTCTGGGTGTATCGCGCAATTGCGCATGCATGCAGTGCTGTGAGGGTCGAGAGAAATGCCAGTGAAATGACAGCCGGAGAGCCAGTGCTCAGAAAGCAGCTGCAGAGGCCTCTGCAGCGCTAGTCTTAGATACTGCAATTGCAACAGCCCTCGGCAGACCTTGCAAGACAGTAGCGTAGAACTGTAGTTAGACGTCAGTCTGTGTGCCTCTTTTTAGTGTGCCTTGTGGCTGCCCCGGGCACTGTAGTGTTTTCTTAGAACTGTGAACTGTACAGCAGAGTGTGTGAGTGTGAGTGAGAGCAACAGGTAGTGCCAAAGAACGAGGTACTAGCAACGGCACCTTGCCGTTGGTTGAACCGAGCAGAGGCTTGTCTCGTGCAGCTCCAGAACTGTCAAGACTTAGCCATAGAGAACTTAGCAACTACCTGCTTTGCAGTTGCAAGTGAGGCCCAAAAGAAAGGACCCTGTTCTTCTGGCAAAATCTTGAGTGGTCCCATGAAATGGGATTAGCCTCAAGAGTGTGAGGGAACAAGGTGAGGCGGTTTTGCCATACTTGTCGCGAAAACACTGAAATGCAAGAACGGCACTGGAAACATCTGTACAGGAAGATTTGATTTAATTACCGGAGGATTTGTCTGCGCAAGGGCGCTCCTTTTTTTACTGAGTTCCCGGGTCTTTTGTCTCCTGTTCTTGATGGGAGCTGCAGGCTCCCTCAGAAGCAGGGATGATCTATAGAGACTGAAGTTTTATGCCATGGTGTCAGGTTGTGTCTGCAGCAGCTGTTCAGCTGAGGGCTTTTGCTGTCACCTTCTTTTATATCGTGCACATCCGGTGTTTGAACTAATCATGTGTATAGCGACTGGCAACTGAGGTGCCTGGAATATGGCAGAGATTCATGGCTTGCTCAAGAGGAGCTGTTTAGGCGCTGAATGACTCGGAAAAGGGTGTCTGATTTCACCTTACACTTATTGCTGTAAGAGGAATTTGGGACAGCAGACTTTGAGCTCTTTGCATGGCATGCTAATGCTCTGTGCGCTTCAATCTTGCATAGCACTGAAACATCTACAAGATTGCGTTTGAAGTCAGAGTCTGCACTTTTGAAACTTCTATCATGATGCCATCAATGCCATGCATTCACTGAAGGCCGCAGTGGAATTCACTGAATGGCATAGCTGCACAGTCAGTGACTGTGACTCCTGCTGCAAGTGCACGCCAAAGCTGCACCATATCTTCCTGGAGTCAACCGCACAATTCGCGAGGCAGATTCGCAGGACGAAAAGGGCACCAGAGGTTCGCAACAGCACGATCTTCCAAACAGCTCGATATTCACGAATTACGAATTCGAAAAAGTGCCTAAAACGTCAAAGACGCGTTGCGCTGGCAGCTTCGTCACCTCCGTCAGAAAGGGCGTCAGTGATCTCTTTGCGAGGGCTTGATCTTCCGATCACCACGTCCTACTTGTTCAGAGTGCTTTCGGTAGGCAGCACAGCCAAGAGAAAAGCTTATTGATTCGTCGCCAGGTTTTACTGCCTGGATAGAATCTCGTTCGTTAAAGTATCCGGTCAGTCGTTGGAGTGACGTGCCCTTCAAGGAATAAGCTGCATCTCCGTCATCACTTGCCGTGCGGAGACCTCAGTGAGATTGTTGCTCAGCACTGACAGTGAAGCACGACCAACTCTCGATAAGGTGAGCCTTGCCGTCGCGAGGTTGCCCACTCCGTCACCCTTCATCGGAGGCTCCGTCGTCTGATGTCACACTAGCTCTCTGCGCGTCCTTTTCGATTGATATCAGGCAGCCATCAAAGATACATTCTGAAGTCTCAACATAAGCATTTTGTGACAGTAGGTGCTTCGCTGGTGATAAAGGTCCAATCATGTCCCTGGAGTCGCTTGGCTCCCTCGCCAGGACCGTCAACGATAGATTTTTAAGGGATAATCTGAGGCGCATCATCTCAGGCACCAACGTGTCCATTTCTTCAGTTCTAGATGGTAAGACATCCGAAACCCATTCTCAAAATGTCGGACTATCAGCACTCACCAAGCTTCATTGTTATCCGAAATCCTTTCAATACCACCAAGTAACCTCTGATTGCTGGTCTGAGCACGGTCATCGCGCATTCATACGCAGTGTAAAATTCATCTGCTAGCAGTGCAAGTTCCCAGCACACCCTGCCACACAAAGCCTTGCTTGTTGTGATCTGTGCCTGTCTGGGCCTGATCCTTAGCGCAATCCTGCAGCTGACACCCATGATGCTACTACCAGCGCATCCGTCATTATATACGCATTGACTGAGTGCAACTGACCTAGCCAATTCGAATTCAAATGTGCAGGCTTCAGAGGCCCCGACAGCGACAACGAGAACTGGGCAGAGCCGCTGCAGAGCAATGAGCCGCAGACACTCCCGAGCGCATTCGAGGACTTGGCGCGCGGTGGCAGCTACGCGCGACAGGGCAGCGACAACATGCTAAAGCGCAGAAATTCCTCTGTGGGCCGCCGGCCCAGTCAGCTGCAGCGGGGGGCACCGGACGGCGCCAGCCGCGCCCCTGAGCTTCGCACCATCTACTCTGCAGCCTCGCTAGGTGCGCTTAGCAGCAAGTTCTAAGCACTGGCCGGCACTTCAACTCAAGTGCTTAGAGGAGCATTTATGGCAGCGGCTTGGGGTATGATCTGCTCTGCAGCCTCGCTAGGTGAGCACAGCAGTCTCAATTGAATGCTCTGCTCAGCATGCACACAAGACTGCTGTCAGTGGCGCACTCACAGCCGCGGTCCTAAAGCAGCAGCATGGAAGAGTCTGCTCTGCCGTCTGGGAGTCTGTCTCTTGACAAACACATCTGGGAGTCGTCACTTAGCGATGCACAAGTGTACATGTTGCTGCGATGGCTGTTGCAAACTGCACGCTGGCGGCAAGGTTACATGCCGAAAGGCTTGGCCAATCATTGTGCTCAGCCTTTTTGCACTGGTGGCACTTTGTTTGAAGTGTGTGCAACACCGGTGCAGGGTACCCAGTGAGTCCCAGAGCGCAGAGGAAGCCAGCAGGAAAGGACCGCAGGCAGCAGCAGCAGAAGCAGCAGCAGAAGAGATGGAAGTGGTCGAAGATTGCAACTGCAGCCTTCTTTATTGCGTGGGCAATTCTGGGCATATGCTTTCTTACTGGCGCTTGGCTCCCACAACACGAGCCGGATCTGATGCACGTAGATTTGGGATCTGGTGAGGGCCAATCGCAGGCTGCCAGCTGGCGCCTGCTCAGCCTGCTGCACCCCGGCAACCCCCGCCGCCTGCTCAAGGTACCAATCTCATCAAAACTTGCCAAATCACCTTCTTGGCAAGATCCTCATCATGGAATGTAGAGGGCGGTATTGTACTGCGACGCTCATTGTTAGAGACCCTGGTGACCTCCTCGTAAGTAGACAGGGAAAGACATGAATCTCTGCGAGGTGCCGTCCTGTCGGGTGCAAATAGGGTGCTCTCTTGCTAGATGTCCTCACTTGGCAGCAGGATCTCAGTAATGATTTTTTGATGAAATTTCACAGAAGGTGCAGCAGAGGTTGATGGTGGGAATGGGTCGTGTGCGCAGGAGAGCCAGGTGAAGCCGCACAACAACATGGGAACAGCGGCGCACAGGCAGCACGGCACGGACGCCTTCACGGCAGCTGCCGCGCGCGTGCAGCACCAGCATGCCGCTGGCCGCTGGGGGCAGCACATGTCCTCGCGCATGAGCCGCTCCCTCGCCGAGGGCGATGCCTCCGCCGCAGGTGAATCAGCACTCCCCGTTTATATCTACTGCCGGCTGATTGCACCTCTTCTGAGCGGATGTCAACTGACCGCCGGCAACAAGCACAAGATCTACAAGCCACACCTCTCTCACCACACTCATAGGTTCTCAACAAGCAGGACACCTTGTTCGCAACCGGAGTCATGCTGTGCCGCATGCAGCCCTTACCATCCTCCTGGCCGCTGACGACCAAATTGAAATTTGGCAGGTGACGGAGCTTCTGCCACAGCTGAAGCGCCGAGCATCGCAACGGCGGCGGCCTTCCGCCCGGGACAGGGCGCATCGGCCGGGTCCGTGGCCAGCAAGGCCGGGGCCGGCAACGGCGGCGCGGTCGGCACGCAGAGCGAGGCCGAGCGCGCGGCCGCGGCCGGCAACGCCGCGGCCGGCGGCGGCGGCAGCGGCGCGTCGGTGGGCGGCGCTGCTTTCGTCGGCGCGAGCCTGCTGCAGCAGGACGCGTCTGCTGCCGAGGTTGCCCAGCAGACACCCACTGCTGGTGAGAACTCGTCTCTCTGTTTGTTCCAGCAACATGCACCGCACTCAAGTCAGCGCAGTGACCTTGCTTGGATCTGCTGGGAAATTGAAAGATCCTGGAGGAAACAGGATTTCTCTTATGTGCAAGATAAGGGATTCCCTGGGGCCCTTAAAGCGTTCAGAGCTACAACCCTGCCTGTACAGTGCCTGTTTAATCCTTGACGCAAGGAAGCTTGCTGATAACAACTTCTGCGACTGGCTGCAGAGGGCCAAGCAAACACGCTGCAGTACAGCAACGGCTACGTCAACGTGACCGGCCCCCACTACCGAGTGGTGCAGCACACTCAGAACCGCGACGTATGCGCGGCTGCATGCGCCGGTGACTCGGCATGCGCCGCGTGGACGCGCATCGCCGCCGGACGGTCGGACGTGCAGTCATGCTACCTCAAGTCCGCCGTCGCTGACCTGGCCGCCGCTCGGCGCAACTCGGTACGTTGCCTGATCTGGTGTGAATGCAATTCCGTCATGGCTGCTCGGCATGCCGAGCCAGATTAGGCACCATTCAGAGGCAGGTCTTAAAGTGCATCAAGCCGCACATGCTGTGATGATTTACCCGAACAGAGTTGTGAGAAGGGAATGCCAAGGGGTCATTGGTGCTCACTGCACTCTGCTGCCTGATTAGTTGGCTCCCAGCAATTTACCTGCACCCTGGAGTTGTGTCCCTGACTTTGTCTCCAACAGCAATTAAGTCATTTCAATGAATACTCTCTCCTGTTTTGGCATGTCAGGAACTAATGAAGTGTTGCATGCATGTGCAGGCAGTGCAATACGTGGCACCAAATCCTACATCTCAGGTGGTGTTGGAGTCTGGGACAAAGGAGCCCAACGCTCTGCCCGCAGCCCTGTACGGCTGCCCATACCCGCCCTCGCGCAACGGCGGCTGCAATCCTCCGCCTACATGCAACTGCTACCAGGTGGGTTACCTCCCTGCATCATCATCGTGCTACATGCGTTCCAGTCCTAAGGACTGGGCATATTAAGGACTCCTGTATCGTCGCTCTCCACTCTTCTTGGTCAATGCTGTTGAGGGCAATTGCGACTGGGCGAGCGCCCCTGAACTGTTTGTTTTGCGCTTCATACAGAAGCATGGGTATTGCAGGATGCTGTGTAGTGAGTGTTGGATGAATGGATGGGCATTTGAAGGATTAAGAGTATGCTGGTAAGTATCTTACGCCTCTGCTTGGTCTGTGCAGGGTGTCTGCTATGGTGACTGCTGAGGAGCATCTTCATAAAATTAAATATTTACTGTAACATTCCTTTGACCTTGGGTCCATTTGCTGTTCTGTTGGGAGGCGCGGCCAGTTGTGAGAGGGGTGTGTGCCAATGCGTACTGAATGATTTGGTGACACCAGAGGCTTGCAAATTGCAAGGCTCTGAGATTTTTTTGCTGAACAACCGCGAAGATGTTATCAGCTGAAATTATTGTTCCTGAAGTGCTTGATCAATTGAGCCATGTTTTGATATGTGCTACAAAGCAGTGTCTGTGCAGAAATCTGAACAGCTGCAGCTTGACAGCAGCAATTGTGTTCTTGTTGTTTTGAGGCTTGAAAAGATGTCTTCCGAGATGATATGAGCTCTACTGCAGCTGTCATGAATTTCACGGATCCGGAGCTTGCCTCCGCCGAGACCCCCCAATGACCCGCACGTGACTCGTTGAGAATGATTCTTTCCAGATTTGAATTCCCAGGGAGCCGGCTGGCCAGTCAGCGCTGGTCAGAACAATCGCTGCAGGGTCTCCACTGCATTTGCAATCACCCAAACTTGACAGCATCCATTACAAAATTTTTGGAGCACACAAAGACGCCATATACTTTTGCAAGACTGCAGGGACAGCCGTTCTCTGGGACTTCCAGAAGCAAAGAGTCTCAGCTCTGCAGTCCTAGGACAAGGAAGCTCAATGGCAAATTGAAAAGCTGGTAACGAAGCAGGCAGCAAACTGTTTGTATTGATACAGGCCAGGCCACCCTATTTACTCATATGCATGCATTCCCGCTGCTCAGATCCAGTGAAGATTCACTCAACAGACTCCCCATCATTGTCGCCCGCAGTGTAACAACGATCCTGCTCCAAGGAATAGCCCAAAAACCTGCAGCAGCAAAGCAGCTTTCAGATACCACCTCCCAGACTTCACACGCCCGCTGTTCCAGTTTGACATCTGTCACGTAAGTACTTGGTTGTATCTACAAAGCAGCCGTCTCACCGCAGCGCTGCTGAGGGTTGTCTGCCCAACATATCTGATCTTGTAGAGTCCAGGCACCTGCTTGCAGGCAATTCCTCGTGAGGTTGCGATCTCGTCGAATTTGCAAATTCAGGTAAGCAATCAAAGAAACAATAGCATGGAAATGCGCACCTTGAATCGAAACGCCTCATATGTGCCATACAGAGCTCCTGCAACACCAGGCCAATTGATAAGCCACAATTTTCACACTATGCAAACGAATCAGTTTGATAGCTGTAGCAATTAGAACGACAAAAAGTATACGGGATAATTCAGTCTACAAATGGGTGTGAGAATCGCTAGAGCAAGCAGCTTCCAGGCTAGGCAGACCAAGATGTGCCTGTCCAGGTCCCTAACAGGCAATGTGCTGCAAAGACATCCGAAGCGCATGACAAAAGATTACACGCTGATTGTGACATAGCGTACCAATTGAGGCGCCCAGCGCTGCTCCAACACTCGCACCGTTCACCACCCTATTCACGCATCTGTTATCTAGTGCGCCCATCGCGCTGAATTTTCTGCAGGGCCTGATGCGAGCGCACAGATCAGGCAATCGTGAGCATCAGATTTCTCAGCAATTTGCGTGTCCCCAGCAAATTGCTGCCCAAGTCTTGGAAAATTTCGGTGATCATGCAGCTGCTGAGCTGGCGATCCACATGGTGCCGTCGCACGAGCGATCCTTGGCACAATCAACCCTCGCCTCCAAGGATTGTGCTGTGATTATCAATTGGACAAGCAATCATCATTGCGATCTCAATCAAAAAGTCTTGGGATTTATATGCACGCTGTCTCTCGATGTCTCGACCATCAAGCAAGGTGAAACCTCAGGCTTTGCATGTTTTGAACAGGCAAGGTCCTCATATACTCAAGATATGCATCTCATATTGTTTCTTGTGCGTGGACAGAAGCTAGAGAAGGCTCTGTTGGCAGAGCTGCAGGGACTGCAGAAGATTCATATCGCAGTTGCCAACCAGATCACACGTCTCAAGGTCAGTACTGGTGCTTAAACAAGTGAAAACTGCACTTCCTTATCTTGTTCAGTACTGCTGTCCTGGTGCATTCCATTCCTGGAAAATCAACCAGCTTCCTGTTGCCTCCTGTCCAGTGTGAGGAGACAGTCCTGCAGCAGCTGCTGGAGAAAGCTGAGGCTGAAAGCCCATCAGAAGATGCTCAGCCAGCCAACAATGCAGCTGCAAGTTAAAAAGACAGCCCTGTTCCAGCACAAGACGAGCCCTTGATGCTGGGTGCTCTTCCGTGCAAATTTGGTAAGCACGCCCTTACTTTGAAATAAGGCAAAATTTGCAGTGTCCTATAACCCTGGCAGTGTCCTGTCTGCCATCTGTGATCCACCATGACCGCTCTGATTTGTTACAGGTGTCCAATTGCAATCGGCTCGCAGGAGCTCATGATCCCACTGGATGTCCTCAGTAGTGTGCTCTCCGAGGAGTCCAGCGCACAGAATTGTCAAAAGTGGTAGTGTTACAACAATGAACCTTGTGCTATTTGCGGCATGAAAATCGCCGTGAAATGCATGGACGCCTCAAGAGGTAGAGCAGGAGAATGCTGCACAGTAAATGAGCTCTGGCGTCACTGCAGAGGTTGCGCTCTGCCATAAAAATATGCAGATGCGCGGCCATTTACACACGGCATGTGGTCATCGCTTCCAATAGACCGTGCCACAACTGCAGATTCTAGAAACAAGCCTCAAGGTACAGATCTGTGTGGCTCTTGACAGTGGGTAATCGATAATGCTTTCAGCTGTGATCTGATATGTGTTACATTTGGGTTTCAATCTGGGCAGGTCATCCATAGGATGTAACCCTTTGCTGTGTATACATGTGTTCTTACTGGTCAATTTTGACAAAAGCTACACCGTACGGATGCATCATGCAGCCATGATTGCCCAATATTAGCTCCTTCTCCAGGGACGCAGTACTGACTAATGACTTTCTTGCAGAGAGGATGGATTTTTAAGATTGCCATGGGCTCATCATGCAGCAATGGAAGCAGCACAGCAGACCAGCTGTCTGGAGAGAGATATATCTCTCTATACCAGCAAAGCTAGTATTGACAGTCTAAAGGCCTGCTAACTTCACAGCATGTCAGATTTGAAAAAATCTCAATTGCTCACTTTTGCGCTCGTATACAGATGGGACCTTACAGCTTTGATCGTATGCAATATGGACATCTTGCAAGGGAACAATCCCCTACACTTGCAAGTGCACAAGGATGTCTGCTTGACAGGGGTCAAAGGTGACAGTGTTTTTAATTAAGCTGATGTGTGAATGGGACACGTTTTTTAGATTCCATAATAGAGACTGATCCGCCAGTCGAGAGTCCTGGTCAAGATCCACAGTGCCCCTTAACGCATGCCGAACGCATCCTGCTTGCACAATAGGTAGGACGAAAACAGCCTCTATGTCGAGCAGGGGGCTGCATGCATTTAGCAGACAATTCATACATATGCAGCTCCTTGGATGTGTGGAAATTACAGGAGGACATCAAATTGCTGTGGAGAAGCTGCAAGAAGTTCCGACGCGGGCGGCCTAAACAGGTTGTTGAGGTCACACGTCAGGTGCATGTGGAAGATAAATGGCACCAGAGAAATTGCCGGACCCCCCAGGCAGTCGGTGAGGATCAGTAGGCAAACTATTGTCTGTGCGGAGGGCATATTGATCAGCAGCTTAGAATAAAGGCTCCCAAAGAGAGCAGTGGTGTCTGCAGGGGCCTGGGAACTTGCTGCTTGATGAAAATAATTCAGATTGACTGTTACAACTAAGCTTAAGTCAAGTGAGTATCACGCCTCATACTAGCGTAGGGACTTACGAAAGCCCAGAATTCGGCCTTTCAAGGAGGTCCAACATCCACCCCAACCCCAAGGACGGGACAAACCACACTCGACAATGAAGGTATCCACCACATTAAATTTTCTTTGTGTTGCCTGCTGTCGGAGTCACCGATTCCTAAGCGCAGAACTGCGAACACAGTCGAGCCAAACAAAATCTCAGCACCCACACTCTGACTCGCAAAAGCGATCGCCATATTAAAGCCTGCCCCATTCTGTAGCGGGTCGTGAACCTTTCATGTGCGATTGCTGTGCAGCACTCAACTATAGTAGTCAATTGCAGGATATGCACTTATCTGAGCCCCTGTTCATTTCTATAGTGTGTTCCCTAGTGGCGATCAGTAGCTCACTTGCTTTTGACCACATCACGCACACGTTGATGCACATATAGACGGTAGTTGAGCATAACTCCTGCTCCATTAGCGCGTGTGTGCCCCTAAAGAACCCTGTGCCATAGAAGCAGACATGCCCTGGTTGACTGACACCTTCACATCTGCACCGCAGGTGGAAGAGGAACTGGCATTAGTCCGCCAGCGGAAAAACAAGGTGAAGGCCTTGATGAACGAGGCCACAAGGGTGAGTTCCTGCGCCGATCTTCCTGCTTCCCTGTCATGATGGCTCCACAGGCATCAGCCTGTTTGACAAGCAAGCAACACACAGCCTGTCTCACCATGGAGACCTGCAGGGCATTTCTGCTGATTCTGGTGGTAGTATGAGTCATGTGGAGCAAAGAGTGGGTGCAGCACAAATTGGGTGCAGTTTCCGTGTGCTTACTGAGGTGATGTCCATGCTGCGTGCCGCAGAAACACGAGGAGGAGAAGATGAAGTACCGGGACAAGATGATAGGCTTCAATTCCAGATGGGACTCCCTGGACAGCGATGAAGCGCGGCTGTTGCGCTTGGCGCAGGTGCATGTTATTCAATCTATTTGGCGCGAACAGAGCTGACACTCTGTGTTTCGTTGAGACTCCTGCATTGAAGCTCTTTTGAACAAATTCCAAGGCATGGCAAGGGGAGTCTCTGAAGTTGATACTACATGCAGGGTGGACGGCCTACGAATGGCCACAAAGCAAACGGCTTCAGAACTCCAGACGCCGAGTCAGATGGTAAGCATACAGTGTCACCTGTCACTTATCGCACCGGCATACTGTGCGCATATGTGCGGCAGACCTGCTGTCTTGTATTGCCATCGTTGCCTGACCTCATGCAACATGCCTACAACTGTATAGAGACCCCATTTGGGGCATTGTTGCAATGCGCGAGGGGTGCTCCAGAGCAGCATGGCAGCTTGCATGGCATGGCACTTATTTGAGTGTGGTGAGAAGATCTTGAGACGCGAGATGGTGTTTTCACTGATGCAGAGGACGACGCGGTCTTTGTGACGCCGGTGCAGCGCGGCCGCTCTGGCAGGTATGAAGACTCGGGTGAGTCAGATGAGGACAGCGATGGGGACTCCCAGGAGAGGCCGCTGCCCAGCAGGCCGCGCCAGGATGATGACTACATGAGTGAGGTGAGGACCCGGTTGCATTTTCTGTTCACCGCTATTTCCTTAGCTCCTTGCATCAGGTCAGAAATCGCTTGAATTAGCTCAAGCGGGTTGATCACGGCTGTCCTATGGACCATGAAATTATGGGTAGCAGCATCGCACAATTTCTCACTTTCCACTAGTCACAGGCTCTGTATTCCTTGCTTGGCTATCTCAGCTGGCCCTGTAACAAGCATTTTCCTTTTATTCAGGATGAAGACGATGAGGAGCTTCCTCATAGTTCTGTGGTCAACAAGATCGCCACCACAAGTCTCGTCCCGCGCGAGGCAAGTCTTCTGACTGTGCACCTGTCATGATACTGCATGCCGCTTCTCCTGTGCTCCCATTGTGCCACTGCTCCTCGCAGTAGTCCTATGCAGTGCTACTGGATGCCCTTGGTTCCCCTGAGATCGACCATCACTGAAGCCAGACAGCAGCAAGTCTTTCCACCCAAATCATGATGGAGAGCTTTGTCCGGCAGAGCAGACGAAACCTTACATGTGGTTCAAATTTCTCAAAATTCAAATTGCAGGTGGCAGTGCGGCAGCAGAGGGCTGCCGCCACAATGGCACCGCCTCCAGGGTTTGGCGCTCCGGCGCCCCCTGGATTCGAGCAGCAAACGCCTTGCGCACCCTCTGGCGCCGCGCCCCCCGGCTTTGACAAGCGCAGCCCCCCAGGCTTCTCCCGCAGCCGGCCCGCAAACGGCACACAGGTAGCCATTCCGTACTGGAGGACGCGTGAGCTTTACTGCTTTGTGTACTTGCATACACAGCGTCCTGCGTCTATGCTACAGCATTAGCGCAGCAGCTGGAGGCTGCACTTGCACGCATGCGATGCAGGAGTGGAACAGGATGTGTCATAACAGTTCGCAAGGCGCTTCGCTAGTACCACTGACGCTAGTACCACAGACAATTTAAATAACAATATGTGCTGCACACTGTCCTGGATCCCTTTCCGCTGACTATTGTCATGCTTGCAGGAGGACCGTGGAGCTGCTCAGCTGCGACACAATGATCTGCGCAACCTGCTCGCTAGCAAGCGTGCTGCCGCTGCTCCGCCAAGCGAGGGGGGCAGGCACGTTTTTATTGATCAGACAGACATAAGCATGCACTGCTGCTTTCCTCCTGATAAGGACAGTCCCTTCAAAATTGACATTTGGGAGTCCTGAGTGGTGCTTGTCAACGCGCAGGGGCCGTGAATGCTAGTTTGCTGTGCATTGTATTTTTGATTTTGTGACCACTCCTAGCTAATTGTATGATACGATGTGGTGGGTGGAACATGATGTCTAAGCCCATGGTCACTCATGCAATTCCCATGCTCTGCAGTGTGGAGTCGGCAGGGAACAGCATTGGCCCCGGGCCGCCGCGGCGGCTGCAGACGCCGGCGGCGAAGCAGGGGGACTTGCGGGAGCACCTGACCCGCATGCGCATGGGACCCTCCGGGCCGCCAAAAAACGGGCCGCCAAACGGCCGCGCACCGGAGAACGGCCGGCCACACTTTGACACCTTCTTCCCAGCCCCCAAGCCGTCTGAGGAGGACGAGGCCCCTGCACCCCCACGTGAGCAGCCACCCCTGAGTGAAGATGTCTTTCTTTATGTCTGCTTGTTAGCCGTTTTTCCTGCCAGCACTGGAAATTCCTTGTGGTTGTAGTGCCAAAGCTGCTATGAGGCCTGCAGTATTATGTGCCCTGAATGTGGATCCTTCAAGAAGCATCTGAAGGGCATAAGCACCTCCTCAGATGTCTTGCAAAAACACCACACTCTTGGCACACCCTTTAAAAACGTGTAGTGCCGGCGTGCTGATGTTGCAGTGCTGCATTTTGTGAATGGAATCTGTATGTGTTACAGCGAGGCCGAGGGGCGCCCGGGAATGGGACGCGGGCAAGTCGGAGTTTGGGGAAGAGGCGCAGCCGCCGCCCCCGCCGCTGCCGCCGCCGCAGCGCGCACAGCGCAGCGGCCGCCAGGAGGGCGGCGTCTACCAGCCGCCTCGCCGCGAGTGGTGCGCAATTACTGCCACTAACATCCACCCTGGAACCAGTAATTCATGGCCTAGAGTGCCTGTCGGCTTGCTTAGCAGCTTGAATGCCAGCTGAGCAATGGATATATTGCAGTTTTGTGGCAGGGTTTGGTGTGTGACTGATGGCCTGCGTTTGTGTGCAGGGATGCTGATGCCGAGCAGCGAGGAGCCAGTCCAGACCAGGGATGGGATCGCAGGTGCTGCACTTCCTCCCGTGCCTTTGCCAGGATAAACAGTGTTTTCTTCCCAGCAATGTCCCCATATTTCATCATGAGGATGTTGCCAGAGTAGGACCTCAACATGCATGGTGATTTGGTTGGCAGGGAACAGTACGGGACGGTGATTGGGCGCAGCGACGCGGAGTACGCGGCTCCGGACCCGGCGGAGGGCGGCGTGATCGACTTCGATGACTTCCCGGGCCTCGCCATTGCCACCAGCGTAGGTTTCTATTTCATTGCAAGCTTAGTGCTATTGGGTTGTGCAACCTGCCAGTGTTCATAGCATGCCATAACTGCCCTCATCACCAGCTCGTGCTGTGAGAGCTTCGGGCCTGCTTGCGTGTGCGCCGTTCCTGATTTCGCTTCTGCATGTGCTTCAAGAAGTCCGAATTGTATCTCTGTCATGTACCTTGTGGTCATTGCCACCCTCACGATTAGGCTTGCGAGTAGAAAGGGCTAGATATAGTAAGTGGAAATAACGAAGACACCACAAGTGAATGCTCCGATGTCCTATTGCTGCAGAGGCCGGAGTGGGACGGGGACGCGGCGAAGATGGAGGAGAACTTCCCGGCGCTGGGCGCAGGACCGGCAGCCGCCCCCAAGGGCGCCTGGGGCGCAGGCGACACCGCAGCCAAGCTGCAGAAGCTGTCAGTGCAGGGTGCTTGACTTTCAATACCCATGATGCTCCATGTAATAATCACACGAATCTCACTTGGTATCAGATTGATGTTGCCGGGGAGGTGCGTATCGCCGTCAGAGAGCCTGGCCCTTTAGGTGCTGCTGATCTCCGCTGACATTGATAGAGCGATTCCGGGTCTGATTGTTACTTTGGAACTTTGGCTCTTTGTCTTTTGCCAATACCTGCACAAGTGAACGAGTGCGTGCAGGTCCCCGGTGTAAATTGTGTGCATGGTGGGTGTGTTTTGTGCTGAGATTATGGCCTGTCTTGCAGCTGCCGAGAAGCCGGCGGCTCCCAAGGTGGATGTGGTGGCGCTGGAGCTGACGGCCGGCCTGAGGCTACAGGGAGACACCACTACAGACGTGGAGAAGCGCCAGCAGGTGACGCATTCAATTCAACACCCATCAATAAGCAACGGACGGCATGCTGAAGAGTTGCTCAGTAGTGCCGGCTCGCTTGAAGAACATTTTCTAGGAATATGTTGTGCGGGGTTGTGACCCATGCTTGAAGTGAGCATATTTTGTCCTGCTATTTGTTTGCTGTGGAAGAGGACATTAGTGTGCGCCCTTATTCACATCGTCAAAGAGCAAGGCGGGTTATGCTCTTCCTTCACTGCAGGTCACCTCGAGTTTTATGGAGGCAGCTTGTCTGCAGGACGTATCTTGCCTTTTTTTCAGGAAAATAATGTAATACTGTATATAATGTAAATTTATATTTTGTGGGCACGAATTTTGCCCGAGAGCTTATGTGGAACGGCTGCGGTGCAGATGCGGAGCAAGAGGAACTTTGTGTTTGACGAGGTGGTGAAGCGGCGGGGCCCGCCGGGGACTGTGAACGTGGTGCAGGGCCTGGAGCTGCACAAGGGGCTGCTCAATGCGCAGGAGCAGGCACGCGTCGTTGGCGCCATCGAGAGCTGGGTCGAGGCCGGCCGCGCAGTAAGTCATCTGCTGTCATCTGCACTTTTGAATTTCAAATTGTGATTCATGCCTGATCTGGCGTGCCGGTTGCCGGCTGACTGATTCATGTGCAGGCATTCTGCACTTCTCCCATGTACGGCTACATGCGCAAAATTGCAGGTCGGTATGAGCAGACAAGCATTTTATGGCGATTTTGTGGGGCTGCACCTTCTGCATACAATTGGCAGGAAATCGGGACCTGAACGCGGTGGGTGTGGTGTGCAGGGGCTGCTGCGTGGGCGCACGTTCTCGGCACCCCGCAAGCACATGAAGGGCAAGGGACGCGTGACGGTGCAGTTCGGCTGCTGCTACAACTACGCCATTGACAGGGAGGGCCGCGAGCCGGGTGCGCTTCTTATCTCTGCAGCACACCGCTGGAGGAATTATCATTGGACTGACAAATACCCGCCTTGGCCTTCCATAGGAGGGAAGGAAGACCAGAAGTCCATCTGAAACAATTCCAGCAATGGCTGCAATGATTGTATACTCCGTGTGCAAATCAAATTCCTTTTGCCACTGTAGATGGCTGGTCTGCCAATAACATCAAATTATGCCATATCCCATGTGTACAACGTTGCCCACGCATGTGAGTACTTGCTTGGTAAAGACCCCATTGACCGCCGGAATGGCTCTGATCTTTAAATCTTTGCGCGGTGGCCGGAATATGAGAGACCCCACCCAATCGTGCAAAGGCCATGTTTACGGCTTTCTGCGCACTGGCCAGATCAGGCAGTGGCACATCGATTACTACTCCTGACACGTGGCACGCTGATGTGGCCCAGGGATCATCGCCGAGGAGGTTGTGGAGCCGATGCCGCCGATGCTGCAGGCGCTCGTGCACCGCCTGGTTCGCTGGGGGGTTATGCCGCGCTCCAAGGCCCCCGACTCTGCCATCATCAACATCTACGACCAGGTCTGTGCACGCTTTGGCTGTAGGACCTTGTGTCATTGTCACTGTCCAAGCAAGGTTCATGTTCTTGCACGTGTGCACAAAGCAGCGTCTCAGCGAGATATTTGCAAGGTCTGTAAGAAGGCTCCGTGCCTGCTGTGATTGTGTTTGGGGTTTGTACTCCGTGCAATGAGGAGCAGCAAGTTTCTGTGGCCAGGTTGCACCAAGGAGCTTGTATTTTGGATGGCCTGCCTGTTAATCTCCTGGTTCTCATTGCAGAATTCCTTGTTCCCAGTGATGTTTGGGGCCACTGTTCAAGGGTGGATGACAGGCAGGAGGAGTTGTTGGATTACCCCCAATGATGCCACCTGCCGCCTTAGGTGGCCGATTAACCGTTTCAAGTATTCTCCAAGGGATGCAGGCGTGTGACTGTGCATGTGAGGCTCAGCAACCCCGCTGTGATGCGCGCAGGAGGACTGCATCCCGCCGCACATAGACCACCACGACTTCAGCCGACCCTTCTGCACCATCTCGCTGCTGTCCGAGCAGGCCATCATGTTTGGCGCCAAGCTCATCCCCCTCGGGCCCGGCAAGTTTGGTGGCAACCACTGCACAATCCCCTTGCCCGTCGGTGCGCTCCTGCCACCTTTTATATTTCCCCACACTGCAAGTTCCTCCTTCTTATGACTGTGCACTGACAAGGCTAGCCAACAGACCCCCCTGCAAGGTGCCTGGACCATGTTTCCGATTTGTGTGAATTGGTGCCCTGGTGATGGCGCTGCATGCAGCTGTGCTCCACATCTTTGTCACAGACAGACAAGTAGCACACGGTCAGGGACCCAGCATGGTCGGTCTGTCTCAAGATTCTAGCAGCTGTTGCTGGAAGGTGGCCAACTGCCTGGGGTGGAAGTACTAGGACAAATTTCGTTTCAATGCGTGCACTCCCATGTCTGACACATGTCTGACAGAAGCGGATGTCTCGGCGTCCTGCAGGGTCGTGCCTGGTGCTGAAGGGCAATGGCGCTGACGTGGCGATGCATTGCGTGCCCCCAGTCTCCCAGCGCCGCATGTCCATCACCCTGCGCAAGTGCGCCCCCCGTCACTCCTCTCACCTTTGCTTTTTGTTCATTTGCACAAGCCTATAGTTCAGCAGCATTGCATGCTGCTTATTCCTTGCATCCATGATTCTGACACTGCACTGCCAGGTCAACAACCGGTGTGCATGCACACCTTTTCATGCCTTAGAAGAGATATTCTGACTACTTGACGTGCCTGCTTGACTGCTTGAGCAGTCTAAGTGAGTGCTTGATCTGCATCTGGTCTTGATATGCTTGTGGTGAATCAGATATTTAGGTCTGAGAGGCGGATTGTGTGGGGTCACAGGATGGGCGACAGGCACGCAGATCGGGTCAGGAAGGAAGTGGAGCGCATCGCAAGGAACCCACGCGTTACCAGCAGGTACTCCTCCCATCACGTGCTGCCAAAGACTTGGAAATTGGAGACATGTCCAAGAGCCTGGTCTTTCTCACATATTTAGAGCCAGAAAGAGGCAATGGGTTCTTAAGTCTGATGCCTATCCTCTGCTAAAAAGATCGTTGACCCTGCACAGTATCAACATAAATGGCTCTGCAATGCAAATGCTCAGGATATTTGTGCTGCGATTATCAGTACTAGCAGTTTCTGTATGCCGCATTGGAGGGAAATCAAGTTTATTGCCACGGTGCAGGTGGGCGGACGACGAGGTGCAGGAGTCGCCGCGCCGTTATGGCGCCGATGACTACGATGACGGGGATGGCGGCCGGCCACGTCAGCGCCGGGTTGTGTGGTGATCTGCTGGAGTGCCTGATTGGGCATCTGCTTGAAGCCATGCGCTAGGGGTCATCGACAATCTAATCTGGCATATCAAGCACCCTTGCATGCGCGTGCTACAGCGCGCATGCATGCAACACGGTGGGCTTGGGCTCGGTCGTGCAGCAGTTGAGGATCTACCGTTACAAAGTGTTAGAAGTGTGTAATATAATTATATAACAGCCTTTCAAGAGTTTGCAGCAGGACGTTGTTGATATGGTATGCAGCATCGGTCCGCTGCATACGGACCTGATTGGCAAAGATGGAGTCCACCCTGATGAAACCTGTATCATACAGGTTTCATCAGCATGTTGCAAGCGCTACAATATGAGCTAGCTGGCAGAGCCGTGAGCAAGATCAGTCAAGGATAAAGGGCCGGCAAGCCGTGCTGCAAAGGAATAACGAACGAGTGGTTGTTGTTTTGAATACGTCAGAGGACGCACTCAGTTACGAACAAGATTCTCAAAGGTGTGGGGGGACGTGGTTCACCAAGGGTGGGGATGCCAGTAGCTGCCATCTGCCGCTCAAATATGGCAGTCAGGGCAGAGTATCAAGCTTATTCTGTGGGTCAAAGTTTTGGTCTCTTTGTTAGAAAAATGCGATTTGGTGGAGGACCGGAGGGACAGTCTAAGGACACACGATTTGTGCAGGAGAGTCTTCACAACTTTGAGGGGTATTCGCCCCATCTCCACATATTTATCGAGTGCAATTGTAGAAATCTAGGCAAAATCTGCACCAATTTCAACGATTTACATTAATGTCTTAACGTCTTGCCTGAACGAGTGCTATAGTATCGTTGCATGCAAGCATATATGGGCACCACTGGCCAACTCGATCAGAGCTGCATGCATGCATTGCAATGGATTGCAAGCAACAGAAGCAGTTAAAAAGCAACCAGGACATCCTTCCTTGCATCTGCGTGTGGTTTCACTCGGACCTTGTTGAGAAACCAGGCACACATACAAGCCTGAATCCTCTTCACATTCTTCACATACTTCAAGAATTGGGAAATTTCTTCAGGAAAGTTTCTTCACTTATGAAGCATCACCAATCCGGATTCAGCAAAGCTGGTGATCTGCCGCTGTCAGTACAGATGTTCCCCGAAATATTGACAACAGATCACACGCAGCATTTTCACTTCTTGTCCGCAAAGAAGACAGAGGGATCCGGAATCTCCAGTTGCACCTGCAGCAACAGAGTGGTCGCATTTGACGAGAAGGAAATGGTGCCAGTAGGACAATTGCAACTCAAAGCAGCTTTGCAGAGCGCTGCTGCTCTCTTCATTGCTGCTGCGCAAAATAAAAACCCGGTGCCATCCAAAATTCTTAGTATGCCAGACCCCCACTGAACATGCGACAGAATGCATCAGCTCGTCTGAAAAGCTGGAAAAGCCAAAGACTGCATCAGATTTCCAGCTGGCCAGTAAGATGCGCCAGCAAATTGCCGCAGGTCCGCTATGCAGGTGCCAAGTATGACATGCCAATGACGAATGCGTGCATGCATGCATGGATGCCAAGCCGCTTTCTGATATTGACATCGATCTCTTTCACACAAATTCATTGGGCACTCAAGCATCGAAATCGACTTCATTGCCGTCAGCGGTGGGAATAAGTCTCTATCCTTTCTCTTGTTGGATATTCTTGCCATGAAACATCCATTACTTGGAAAGCAACTTGCTTGAAGCGAGTGGGCATGTGCCCGCACCTGCGCGGCGCCTGCGATGGGGAGGTGGACACCGCTGATGAAGCTGGAGGCATCCGAGGCCAGGAACAGGATGGGCCCCGCAATTTCCTCGGCGGTGCAGATCTCGTTCAGTTCGTTCTCGCTCTTGGCCCAGTCGTGCAGCTCCGCCTTGCTGCGCCCCGTCTCCTTCACCAGCACGTCAAATATCTCCGTGTCCACCTGGCATAGATCAGTCAGCGGTTAGTACCAATCATACAATTCGTCATGACCTGGTAGCGATTGGCCCAACTGCATGCCTGGCCGAAGCCACTGCAGACAGAGCGGCAGCTTGAGTGTCACTCTTGCGTGCACAAGAGGACGACCTTGATGCTCGACAATGTCACTGTGAAGCGCATGGAATTGCAGATCAATTTTGAAAACATCATGACCATGGCAGCTCTGCCACACAATTTTCGGCACGCAATCACAAGAGTCAGCAGCTTGCTGCATGCGAAGAGCTGTGCAATACAGAATTGATAGGTAGGCAGGGATGGCAGGGGTGTTTGAATAGCCCCTGCCCTACTTAGAGGCTGGCCTGAAATTTGCTATGGCCCTTTCCAAAACCTGGAAGTAACAATATAAAGCGTGTATCCAATCAATCCATGAGGCTTGCCCTAATTTACCTCTGTGTTTCTTACAGACCATGCCAGGCTTACCTGTCCGCTCTTGTCAGTAATTTACTTTGTATGTGCAAGTGACCTGACCTGTAACAGGTTTGCCTGATCGTGGTCAGAATAGGCTCTCCCCAGTATTGTTTAATCCATGAGGCATGAGCAGAAGGGGTGAGTGGGGCGCACAAAGCCGGGGTTGACGGAGTTGATGCGCACGCCCAGCTTGGTGTACTTTCTCGCCAGCGTCTTGGTCAGGTGGTCCTGCGCTGCCTTGCTCACATTGTAGGCGGTTGAGTCGGGGTTGACCTGGATCCCGCTGAGGCTGCTCAGGTTCACCACCGCACCGTTCTGCAAAGCCGAGCAGTGCCACCAGTCAGTCGTGCTTCATGACCATTCCAGCACTCCTACCACATATACGCACTCTTGGGGATGTGCCGTGCATTGGAAGTCCCAGCAAGGAAGAGAAGCATACTAACTTTCAGGAGAAGCGAGTTTGAGATGCAGGCGTGCAGAGCAGGGAAGATCAACAAGGAGAAACAGTGTTGGTGGACATGAGCAACTGAATAAGTCAGGAAACATACGTATCTGGTAATGAGCGCAGCAGCTAATCTGCTCACGTCAGCACTCGGATCAGACCAAAAGGGAGAGAGGAAGACATAAAAAGCCAGTAATTTTGTCAAGTAGGCAAAAACACAGCCTCCCAGCCTATGCGCGATGCGTCCAAGACACCTTGATGGTAACTTCAAAATCAGAAAGAGGATCTGGCGGCGGTGCGCACCTTGTTCTTGGACAGGTGGGGGATGGCCTCTTCGATCAACTGAGCGACGGTGATCACGTGCATCGTCAGACCGTCCAAGAAAGCCCTCTCGCCAATCGGCTCGCTCACCATCGCATCCGTCCACACACCGCCGCTGTTCACCAGAATGTCCAGTCCCCCCATCTTCGCCACCGCTTCCTCTATCGTGCGCTTGCAGTCTGATACTTTGAGCAGGTCTGCCACCACCGAGTACCCCTGTGCAAGTCATCACAGTACTGGTCAGGACACTAGAAACTTCACCAACACTCCTGCATTTTTGGCGGCGCTGGGCGTGAAAGAGGGTGCCAGGGAGCCTTTGAAGGCAGAAAGATGCTACAGATTGGGGGCATCAAATGAAGAGCAGGGGTTGGCAAGCTGCCAGGGTCCTGATTCCGGACTGATAGCTGTCAGAGCCGCAGACAGAAGAGACTACATACATGTGCTCCAGCAAGAGCTGTTGGCCTCATGGGATGCTGGACAGGACAAGTACATATGTGCCGTGATTTCTTAAGTCAGCCCGTCAGTACCAAGTCTCATGAAATCAGCCAGCGGGGGCAGCGGAGTGTCCTGACCTGCTTGAGCTGGGAAACCACTGCATCCAGGCGGTCTTGCCTCCTCCCTGTGATGGTCACTATGGCGCCGTTATTGCTCATCGCTATGGCTGTCGCCTTCCCAATACCTGCTGAGCCTCCTGCGCACACAGTGTATTTTCGTGGGGAGTGCCCAATTTTGATGGGTGTGCTGAAAATTGGTCATGCACGCCTGAGCGTGCAGGCTTTCCAGGGTATTGATGTCGTTGAGCAAACAGGAACTTTGGTTTGCCACGGACCGGTGATGAGGACCTTCTTTCCCTCCAGACTCTTGTAGTGCGAGTCGGCTGAACCACGAGTGCGTGCCATCCTGGATCTGTCTCCTGCCATATTACGTCACTAAGGTCAGGGTGCCTTCCAGCAAACGCACGCTACAGGAACGCTTTAAGCAACAAGAATATGATTGATATGGCTATATAAAAAGATCCATATCCCACATAAGATTAAAGCACCGCATAACGTAAGGCATGCCATGGTGATCTGAAGGATTGATCTACGGGGTTGGCTTTGTGTGCGTGGCAATTGAATGCCTGAAAGATATGTGCAATACACAATGTAATTTATGAAGCTATTCATTAAGTTTTTGCTGTGGGATCGGGGTTTCACCTGTCCTCACTGCCCTAGGGATCGCTCCTCTGTCACCCTAAAAGTATCGATCAATTGCCCACGAGTGTTCCTTACAACTGTGAAACGTCAGAAGTGACTCTCGCATCCAACTTCTAGCACTGACACTCTCACATGAAGTCGAGGAGCGATTACGTCTTCAAATTTGTGTTTTGTCTGCGTCAACCCTTCGATAGCTTTAAAGCTAAATTTAGGGCTTAAGGTTATGAGGGAAATGTAGGGCTAGGGCTAGACGAGCATTTGCTTCATTGATTCTCCTGTTTTGAGTTTAAACGATCTGTCGTCATGTTGATGAATGCAAACTTCAGACATTGTTGTCAGCGGGCACTTCCCCAAAGTTCAGCTTGCCACATTAATCGAGGACTCTATATTTCTCATGCCAACTCACCCAAGCGACGGGCCTCTCTCTGCGGGCGCTCGACGCCCAGGTTGGGACACATGTCGATGTCTGAGGCTGCTTTGATCAACTGAGTTTATCAGTATGTGCTTTATTTGTTTCAGATACCGCCTGTATGCTCGAACGCAAGATATGATCAGAAGATGGGAGAGTGGAGTACTCTGAAGTCACCAATCCCATGCGAAGAACAGTGCTAATAAACATCCGATACACCCAAATATGGATGTAGATTTGCAAAAGGCATGCTCACCTTGAACAAATGTACCCGGTGCACAAAGCAGCTCATCTTGACGGTGCAGGCTCTGTGGATCAGCACTTAAATCAGATTTGGGCAGATCCTATGGAGGTGAGCTTTGTTTCTACTTACAACGTGTGCACGTCATGTCTGGACAAGTATCTGCTGCTGTGCTCAGTTCTGCAGGGAACCTTCCAAACAACTTCCTCTGAGTGGGGACTCAGGTGCTGGTGATGAGAGGTAGCATGGAGTAGTTGTAAATGGTCTGTCTCTTCAATCAAATTAACCTAAACACATTTTATCATTTTTCCAGGGAGGACCACACTGCGGTGCACAGCTGCAGTGCAGCTTCTGGACAAAGCACCTGCCGCTGCGCAACCCAAGCAGATCCTGTCATCTGAAAGGTCAGCAAGGCCTCCTGGCCTTGCCCTCGTCACCTTCAGGCGATTGCAACATGTTTTTCAGAGGAAAAGATGTTTCTGGAGGCCTGACAGATTGTGGCATGCAGGTTTGATGCCGGGGTGGATATTGAGGTCTCCAAAACAGGCAGCAGCTATGATGTAGTCGTCAAGGCAGACCCAGTGCGGCCCATGATGCTGCACTGGGCCGTCAACGAGTGGCAGCTGCCGCCCAGGGATGCCTGGCCTGCAGGCACCAACCAGGTGTGGCATCTTTTGCTCGGTGCATAAAACTGTGAGCACCGTGCCCATGGTTGATTGGGCCTTAATTGGATCCGGCGAGCCCAACAAGGGGTAGGGTTGTGGCCGTTTTTGCAGGTGCAGCTTGTCTGCAGGACGCACCTTGCCTTTTGGCAGGAAGGGCGTGTAATTATAGTAATAATAATAAGATTTGTGCGCCTGCAGGAGGATATGTTTCTCAGCATTTGCAGATGATAAGAAGCATACCTGCCATGCTGTCATGTTGTGAATGGCTTGGTGCTTGCGCAGATCGATGAGAAGGCGGTTCAGACCCCTTTCTCTGATGGCGGCTCGGTGCACATCAGCTTCCCCGCAGACAAATGCCCGAGCAGGTGCTTGCATCTTTCAACACTGCCGCATCAAATGCAGCCTGCTCTGCAAGAAAGGCAGCCTGTGCAAGGCACTTGTTCCCTGCATTCTTGTGAAAAACTTGGCATGAATGCAATAAACTTATTTTACCCCTCCTTCTGCTGGACAAGATTGTTTCTGAGCTACAGACTTGCTGTGACTTGTGTTGCCGGATGTTGTTCAGCCGCTATTGCATGAAGCCTGAGTACAGATTCCAAATCAAATAGAGCAATGTCACTATGGTATAGTACGGTGTCTGACAGCATAGCACGCTCGTGAAATTTCAGCGTATGGGATGTTCATTTGTTTAACGACAAAGTTGCATGCATGCCACAGGGTGGTATTTGTGCTGAAGGAAACGCAGCCAGAGAACTGGCTTAATAGCGGCGCGGGAGATTTTGTGGCGCAGCTCAAGCCGCCGGACCTGAGTGACGTCGTGGACAAGGTGTTGGATGCGGAGGCCAACTATTCACACTGGTCCCTCTTCAACCGCTTCTGCATGGCCAACGATCTCCTGGACGCTGCCGATGCTGCCGGTGTGATATTATCATTTCTCCCTTGGCTACTATTTGCAGGAGAGATGCCTCCAGTAACCTTTTGCGCATCTTGGTATCCTGGCAAACATGCCAAATGCAGTCTGTAATGATCCAGTCTGCAATTACCAGTCGGTCAGTCAGTAAAGCCATAAACTGCTCAGATTGCAGTATGGTGTGATGAGCCTACCGTCTCCCTTTGTGCTGACAAGAAAGAGTGCTCTCTGGCAATACTGCTCATTCAACGGTCCTGACTGGACATTTACCACAAAGTGTGCGTATGCAGCTGGTCTGCCAGGAGTTGCACTCTTATCCAAGCAGTAAGAACAAGGCCAACCCAGGTTATTATACTGACCTTTGAAGTCCTGCAGGTGCACCCGGCATGGCGCTGATCTACGTGTGGCTGCGGCTGAGCACGATGAAGCAGCTGGACTGGCACCGCGGCAGCAGCTACCAGAGCAAGGACATCGCCCACGTGCAGAAGACCATCGCCCAGCGCATGGCCGACAAGGCCCGCACCGGTGTGCAGCTTTGCATACATATTACAGTGCAGATCGGTCTGTGAGGGAGCATAGCTTCCAGAATAATTTTACCACTGGGATTTGTCTCATACTAGGCTGCTGACTGTAGGCCACAATCAATTTGGTGGTGCAGGCTCCGGCCCTCTGGCGCGCCAATTCGCGCGCATGGCGCTGGCCGGCCTTCCCCGCGGCGGTGGCGATGGTGACGCGATTAGAATGGGCATCCTGAACGTCATGCGTGACAATGGCATCCGCGAAGGGCACCGACCGGTGCGCAGACTTCATCACTTTCTCTTACTCCATCTCTGCCCTATTTGTGGCTGTGAAATTTCTGCAGGGTGCCAGTTCTGGGACTGCTGTGAGACCACGGAGAGGCTTGCGAGTGGTAGGCAACCAGTACCGGCGAGCTTCTGTGGGAATTCCACAAGTAAATGGGCATGTATCCAAGAGTATGTCCAACACTGCCGGGTCCTGACGATTGCTCTCATGTACTGGCTGCTCTGATCCTGTGAGCGCCCTCATGGCTCAACAGCAATTTCCCTTGCCCAGGACTGCACCCTTAGCAGGTGGCGCAGTCACCACGACTTACCAAGCACATCGCAGCCTCTCACTGTGCTGATGGTCAACCAAGCTCTATGACCGCCATGCAGTCCAGCACCCCCTACGATACATCAGGGTCTTAGGGATTTCTTCTATACAAGAGCAATCTTTAAGATCTGATGGGGGTCGCATATAAAGGGATGTCCAAATGTCCGCTCAGAGATGTCATCTTCCGCTGACGCTGCATTTTTCTGGCATTCATGTGCGCAGGGCATCGAGGACCACTTTTTGGAGCAGTGGCACCAGAAGCTGCACACCAACACTACGCCGGCCGACATCGCCATCTGCGAGTCCTACATCGATTTTCTGCACTCCGGCGACGGCGGCCACTTCTGGCACTCCCTCTGGGAGCGCGGCGGCCTCTCCCGCGAGGCACTCGCCACCATGGACCACCCCATCACCGGTGCCCCCACTAAACTGTAAACAATCAGTCATTGACAAGAGATCTAAGCTCCTGTCGAGGGCTGGCATACCCGCTGCCTTGAGTTGCGGGTTTTCCGTTAGGGTGACAAAATTCCCTTCTTTCGCAATGAGCTGAGCCGCATCCGCAGGCTGTCTTGAATATGCATTGTGCATGCTGCAATGCGTTGAAAGCCATGATTGTGTGATTGGAACATGGATGAAGTGATTTGACAAGGTGTTGTCCACTTCTTGGCTCCGAGTGCTGTAATGAGACAGAGTCGGCTGCCCCAAGTCAGTGGTGATCAGATGGGGCCCCTCTATTCCTTGTGCAGAGCATCAGGGAAGCTTTGTGTAAACACTTCTTGGGAGTCTCTAGAATGATGAGCTCTACTTCTTCTTCTAATGTTCGCATTTGAGGCTGTGGCTGTGCGTGCTGCAGCGACGCCGATGCACCTGCCGCACCTGATCGGCCCGATGCAGCACTACCTGTGGATTCTGAAGACCACCCACTCAGGCGCTGACCTGGACACCAGCCTGGAGATGGCCAAGGGCGCCCTCGATGGCGGCCTCCAGTGGACCCTCTACGACATCCTCAACAACAGGTGCCAGCCCTTATATTGGCTCTTCACCCTGAACCTCAGATGCGTTCCCTGACCCTGCATACTCACTGTCCGTCATGTCTGGTTGGTATGCGCAAGTTAAAACTATGTTGCGCACAAGTCGGACTATGTTGCGCCAAGTTTCTCACCGGGAACATGCAGTGCCATATCCAATACCGATGCAACTTAAGTAGGCAAAAATAGTGTGCATCAGCTAAGACTATATTGCAAGTATGTGACCATCAGATGCCACATGACCCACGTTTTGGTGCAGGAATGAATGGTGGGTACCAGGAAAGATAGTGGAAGCCCGCGAACAACTGCAGTGGGTTTGGAAGGTGCCTCCCCATCCTTTTGACACGCTCTTCCTGCCAAGCACCGTGTCACCTGCATGCTTGCTCCCTCTACAACAAAATCCGCTAGTCTCATCAACCGCTCAGTCCCTGGGACTGTTGCTGCATGCATGGCTACAGTGTGCCTCCCCCAGTTGCCAGGCATCAACTTGTTATACCAAATCTCGTGTAATCCTGATGCTGCACAGCCCCTGTGAGCATCAACTTTATGTCCTGAATCTCTTGTGTCATTCTGGTGCTGCTCAGGCCCCGTCGTCCAGGGATGTACTATTGCTGGACATAGCCCTGGACAACTACCTGCGCACGCTGCTGGAGCGCACGGACAAGGGGTCTCTGGGCGGCGACGACTTGTGCGAGCTCATCGCGCTGTCCCTGCGCAACGCCGTCATCGCCATCGACAGCGAGGACCTGCGCCAGGTCAACTAACCCTTGCATGCATGCATTCTGCATAAACGGCTGATGTTGCAACCCTCGGTCTTGCAATGCGTTGGTCGTGGGCCGCCACTTTGAAGGATTACCGGTGTATGCTGTGTTCGACCATGGCTATGCACTAGTAATTTGTTCTGAAATCCGCACGTGCCACTGGAGTTTCCTCCCGCATCCTTTTCCACCTCATCAACGCCTGCACTGGCATCCTTTTCCTTCTTCTCTGATCAAGGCCCTCTTTTCTCTGCTGAAGTGAAGCAGTCTGATTCTTCTGGCAGGAGAGAGAGTGCGTTAGCCAGGCGGTCACATCATTATACTTTTGTGTGTGCAGTGCCGGGACCTGTGGGACAAGGTGAGGGAGGGAGAGCGTTGGTCCAAGGGGTGGGCGATGCGTGCGCACGCTGCCGCACAGAGACTGGAGCTGTCGCTCGGAGCCTACGCCGACAGCCTCTACAGCCTCACCCAGGTGCCCCTTCTGACCAGATGGGATTCCCATATACGGTGTCACACGATCCACTTTAGAAGCTCTATTTTGCTCTGCGCGTGACAGCAATCGGCGTAGGGGTGTTCTTTCTCGATCAGCAATGATACTTCAGTCAACTAGGCATTGCAAGCATTGACCTGAAGGAATTTGAATCTTCTGGTTCATATGGCTGCAGCCGCTGGCGGAGAAGTTTGGGGCGGCCTGTGGAATAGAGGCGGCGTACATCGCCAATTTTGGTGAGGAGGTGGTACGCGGGCAGCCTATCTTCGTGCTCAGCCAGCTGCTCAAGTTCCTGGAGCCGATGCTGCGCACCACCGCCGAGATGGCTTCTTGGCAGGTGCTCCACATTTGCTTCAGTCACTTATTCCCAAATTGACACACCATTCTCAAGAACACGTGCAAGTGTATTACATTACTGTAATTTGACTGCCTCCTGTTCGGCATTCCTGTTTGCAAAGGTGCAATGTGTCAATGATGTTTTCGCCTTACTTCTTGATCCGCTGAGCACTGTAAAGCAAGCACCGCGAATGCTGGCTGTGCAATGGCTAGAGGGCGGGGAGTCATCTAATCGTCACTGTTCTAGCTGTGAATGGATGCTGACAGACGCAAAACCTCACTGCTATCAATGTTAGAGAGGATCTGAAAACTGAAGATTGTGTTGGTGCAGGTGGTGAGCCAGGCTGAGGCGAGTGGGCGCGTGCTGGTGCTGCCGGACCTGGTGGAGGTGCAGGGGAAGCTGTTTGAGGAGCCCACCATCATCATCGCGAGCCATGTGGGCGGCATGGAAGACATCCCGGTCAGCCGCCCTCTCATCTCCCTCGTTACCCTTGCCTTCTCACCCTTCCTCACCACAGTAGAGGCTCCGATGAATTACCGAAGAATTTCTTGCAAGGTGTGAGAAGCTTGAAACACGTTGATTGTGTGCATGCAGACGCGTATACCTTTGACAGCTAGAAGAGGGGTTTTCAGAGATTCACGGAGACTTTCTGAAAATGATTTGCTGATGTTTTGGCTGTTGACTGCTGCAGGAGAATGTGACAGCTGTGCTGACGGCTTCCACCACGGATGTCCTGTCTCACGTGGCCATCCGCGCCCGCTCCCAGAAGGTATCACCCTGCCAAGAATGGAGAGTAATTGTGTTAGACCAGGGGCTCCAGTATCGTCAATGTGTATCCATCAAAGCTGCTGAACAATTACACACAACAGGCTGAATATATGTGCAGTGGGAGAGGAGGAATCTCCAGAGGCATGCAGTAAGGAAGTATCCACTAATCTTCAATTGTGGGTATCACCTGTGTTACAATCAGCTGCCATCATGCACTGAGTCTGTGTACTTGCGCAGGTTCTGCTGGCTACCTGCTTTGATGAATCGGCGCTTGAAGAGCTCAGGGGCATGTCTGATCAGACAGTCATCCTGACCACAGACCCGTCAGGATCCATCGCTGCTTCACCCCTCGACTCCGCTGCAGGTAAATAGCGTCAAAGCCCTTGGGCACTAATCAAACCTCCAAGTGTCTGGTCAATGCCTGAGACAATCCAGTGTGAGGGACTTATCGTGGTAGGCACACTGGCTGCCTGACTAAGGGAGTCACAGCAGCAGCAGACAATGTCAACAGCATTAGGAGACGCAATCCTGAGAGAAAAAGTAATACAATCGAAGCTGAAGGCAGTTCTTTCTGTGTGGTGCTAGGGGCTGTTGCTGGGAATGGTGCCAGCAGTGCAGCAGCTCTGCCGCCCCTGACAATTCCCAAGCCCAAGGCAACGACCAAGTGGGCTCTGCAAGAGGCGGACTTTGGGCCGGGGCTTGTGGGAGGCAAGAGTGCCAACCTGGCCAAGCTGCGTGGAAAGGTGCGTGGTGCCAAACCTCTCCCTTGTCTCTGCCACTTTTGTGTTTGCCCTGCTCAGTACCTTGGTACACTTGTGGTTATTTGCAGCTTTCAGAGCTCGTTAGAGCAATAATCATGCAGAGACAGCATGCGATCAGTGTTGGGACATGCATAAGGCAATGCTGGCATGTACAGTGCATGATAAGAGGCACTGCCTGATGCCGTCCGTGCAACATCACATGCCGTGTCTGTAGGAGAGCATGCCAGAATGTATCAGGGAAACATGTGCACATGTGGTGTCTTAAAATTAATTTCTTTGAGCATGTGTTCAGGTGGCTGATGGTGTGAGCGTGCCAGCCTCAGTGGCGTTGCCATTTGGCGCATTTGAAAGGACCCTCAAGGACCCCTCAAATGCTGCCTATGCGGACGCGATCGAAGGACTTCAAAAGGACCTGGTGATAATTGCCCTCCCTGTATGGTGTCAACAAATTACTGATCCACCCTTTTAACGGATCCAGCCGTACGATCAGCCCCCTGGATCATGTCAGAGATAGCATATAACTCCTTGTTGCCCCGTTTTTTGCTCTGCAACTCCCTCCCTGATTGCAATGCTTTGGGAAGCTTCCCTCAGCCGCCACCACCTCTGCAAGAATGGACACTTTTTTGGGTGTCTCTCACCGACACACAAGGCAACAGAAGTGGGCACTGAGGCTCTGGTTTGTGACACATGTGATCATAGCCAAGCACAGAAGACAGACAGATCAACGGATGGCTTCTGCACTGACAAGAATGGGTTTTCTAGCGTTCACATGTTTGGGAAGCATAGGCCAGCTCACCGCGGTTTTGTACAGGCCAAGGCAGGAGAGGGCGTTCCTGCAGCACTGGCACAGCTGAGGCAGCTGGTGGCGACCGGCCTGACAGCGCCAGCTGCCCTGGTGGACGAAGCTGCCGCGGCCGCGGAAGCTGCCGGGCTGGTAGAAGCTGGCCAGTGGACGGCCGACTCTGCTGCCTGGGGCCAGGCTTGGTCCGCCATCTGCCAGGCAAGCACTTCTTCTTTTCCTGCATGCACTCATGCGCTCGCTGCCTGCTGTGGCCCTCCCAATGCGCAGGCTTGTATCGTGCATATCGCATCTTGAGCAGTCCTCTGAAGATGCGTTGAGCAGCAAGCGAGTCCTCCAACCCGCAGGCTTGTATCCTGCATTTTGATGTTGAGGAGTCCTTTGAAGATGCCTTGAGCTGCACGTGAGTCCTCCAACCCGCAGGCTTGCATCGTGCATATCCCATCTTGATGAGTCCTTTGAACCTGCGTTGAGCTGCAAGTGTGTCCTGTTTTCTCTGAAGGGATCAACTTGGTTGCGCAGGTGTGGGCCAGCAAGTGGAGTGAGAGGGCCTGGCTGAGCAGGCGTGCCCGGGGAGTCAAGGACAGCGACCTCTACATGGCCGTGCTCCTACAGCAGGTCAGGACCCTTCATCTGGTTTATGTACACAAACTTCTTGAAGCACTCGTCTGCCTCAGTCTGCCATCCTCCTAAATCAACGTTGTTGCCATCACCACTATCTCCTCCGTACAGCACCGCAGATCGCAAAGGGGCTGGGTGCTGATGACACAATCGAAATCTAGGATGGTGCATGTAGTTTGAGAACTGCTGCCCTGTGACGTTTGGGCTTTCTAGAGATGGGAAGCCACATGATGGACACACTATGCAGCATAAACTGGCACGATATCTGCGCGGAGGGGAGCTTGTGATGCTGCACTGCTGTGACATCAGGTTTGATACAAGAATACTGTACTCTAGAGTCTCAATGCAATGTCCACAATAAATCGAACCAAATAGTTCTAACATCATAAACCTCTTGTGTGTGTGCGCAGGTTGTGCCGGCGGAGTATGCGTTTGTGCTGCACACGGCCAATCCAGTGACTGGGGCGCTGGGGGAGGTGTTTGGGGAGGTGGTGGTGGGCATGGGAGAAGCCCTCGTGGGCAACCACCCGGGCAGAGCCCTCAGCTTCCGGGCAGAGGCCGGGCAGCAGCCACAGGTGAGCGGACATACCTGGCCTCTTCTGAGGATTTTGAAAGGGTTACATGCACCCTACATTTTTATATGATGTGGATCCTATTTTTTGCCCCCTTGGTGGCCGGGATCGCTTTCAGACTACAAGGCGCTTTCTGTTACCTTGGACAGTACAATTGGTGCACAGAAATTGCGTGACTGTTCAAGCACTCAAGCGCCACCAGCATGACAATTTTGCAGGTAAGGTGCGGTGTGGTGCATGCAGCTGCATGCATGCGCACTTATAAGTGTCGGCAGCCTTCAAAGGTGCTGCGAGGTCAGGAGGAAAGGTGTAGCAAATCACGCTGGTTCGTGATGAAGTGCCTTCAGCTCAGATTGTGGCGCTTCTTTGTGCAGGTGCTGTCACTGCCATCAAAGCGGCTCGGATTTTTTGCGCCGGCCGGAGGAGCGCTCATAGCGCGGTCAGACTCCAACGGCGAAGATCTTGAGGCATTCGCAGGCGCAGGTGAGTTCTGCCTTCCATCGAATGTGCCCCTTGCATCCTCAACAAGTCGAAATCCTGAGCTCTCGGTCTCCCATGCCCATACTTGCAGCCCATCTTTTCTAAGTACCAGGCAAGGGGACCATCAATGTGTTGTAGCAGCCTGCTTGCGTACAGCATTCTGGGTGACAGGATCAGTTTGGAACTCACTCTGAATGCCAAGTATTCTCCTTGATGGTGGCGCAGGCCTATACGACAGCATTCCGTTGCCGCCCCTGAACGAGAGCACAGTGGACTATGGGAGCAGCGGCCTGTTCTGGGAGGGGGAGCATCTGCAAGGCATGCTGCAGGAACTCACCGAGGTTGGAAGATCAATAGAAACAGCATTTGGAGGAGCACCCCAGGATATTGAGGGCGTGTGGGTGGATGGCAAGATCACAGTTGTGCAGTCCCGCGCGCAAGTGTTGTGAGCGTCGCTGAGCGAGGGACTATAGCTATCAACTTCCGTGGCATCCTGTACTGACAGGTCTGCAATTTTGACGTTTTTTGCTTTCATTCTTTTGAGGAGAGAGATGTTGTAGCACGTTTCTGCAACTGAAAACGCCTGCGAGAAGGTTTGGATGCTCCATGGCAGCTGCTGACCATGCAGGGCTTCTTGTAAATGGAGGGAAATGTTGTATCAACCTACTTGGACTGAGTGACGATCAACACATCTGACAAACGACAAATAGGCGCTCACTGCCTGCATTAACAAAAATGAATTTGTCGAAGACATTTTGCAAATTCAGATCAAGAAGGGATTGAATAGGTTTGTGTACATCTTGTTCGTTGTGATGATCAAAAACGTAGTCGGATTTTGAGCTGATAGTCCTCCAATTGTAGCCATCTGTATAACGTCGTTTGTATAGTCACATCTGAACAATCTCGATGCGGAAGGCTGCGTTGTATAGCATTTTATAGGTGTGTCCTTTCGTCTCAATCACCGAGAGCATGCGCTTTGTTTCGAAAACGATCGTGCTTAAATTAATGTAGACATGCACTCAAGATGTTCTATATTTGATCCTTCATAGAACATTGAGTGCATGCGATTGCCTATCACTCTCAGTGGGAAGATTGTTGAGTTCAAGTCCGAATGTCTGATCGCGGGCAGGGCCCCAAGATTGGATGACATCTGCGTGCATGCTCCCTTCCTGGACATGTCAGACTGTGCAGAGGGTTTCTGGAAGTCCTCCTCTGCACAGCGCCTTCCTTGGCACTGCCCCATCACTGCTCAGGATTGCCACAGACCGTTTGAACAGAAGCTCATTGCCCGAGCCAGAGCACCAGGCAAGACACTCTCGAACAACTGTAGATCAACTATCGACGTTTTAACATCTTTCAACACAGGAACAATCGTACTTGTATGCTCTTTGAATGCTGCATCCCAAGTGTCCTGTGTGCTGCAGGCAGCCAGTATGCCTGTGCACTGCCAAGCCACACGCTTAGAGGCCCCTCAAGTGGCGAAATACAGACAAACCGTTGAAAGGACGAGCAGTGGCATCGCTGCTACATCGGAGTCCCGATTGCATGTAACTTCCATTTCCCGCTCCCCACCCCGCTTCAAGCCTTTCATCCAATCAGCCAACCCCATGCCTGCCACACACATCACGAGCACTGCTTACCATCTATGCCAGGCCATTCCTTTTTTGTGCACGCGTGCTTAATTGAATGGACAATTGCTCTTCACTGCAGGCCGTGGCTGAACGTGCGCAGCTGTCAGAGGCATCCAGCAGCCTCAGGCAGCCAGCAGCATCCACCCCCAGCGGTGAGCAGAAGGGCAGGAAAGTGAGGGAGGACTATGCAGTGGTGGCATCAGCCGTCCTGCCGCCCGGCAGTGCTGCTGTCTCGCTGCCTCAAGCGGTGGCGGAGCTCTTCCCAGAGCATTTTCCCACGGCTACCAGTGCCAAAAGGGCCTGCCGCAGGGGAGAGATCCTGGTCGACGGCAGTGTCAGCAAGCTCAAGTACCAGAGGTGGATCTCAACAATGTGGCTTTCTGCCTGCCATGTGCGCTGCCATGCCATGCAGGGGAGTCTTGGTGATTACATGGATTTGACGATGAAAAATATACCATGCAAGACAGCTGAGTTTGCAATTATCCTATCAAGTGTGACTTGGCCAAGTGTGACCTGGTCAATGTCTGACGCGAGGAGTTCTTTCTAAACAGTGCTGCCTTGCCTGGTCGATGTGAGCATGATTTGGGCAGCACTGATGCCTGATATGATCTAATTTCCATCATTGATTGGGATTGCTCGGCCAGATACTGAGCAATATTGGAAAAGGCGGTGTCTGATGTGGTGCTGGTGTGGAAACAGGCTGGTGCTTGCCGGGCAGCGGCTGGAGTGGCAGCAGCGCGTGCAGGGAGGAGCACAGCTGCAGGCAGAGAGCGCACCCGCCATGCTGCAGGTGAAAAGACACCCGAGCGCGCATGAGTTCTTTGAAGCTTACAGCTGTGCTGATGTCTTGCAGACTGCGCTGCCATGACATGCCTACAGCATACAAGCAGCTCTTTGGTCAATCAAGAATATGATGCACCTCGGTGTAATTAAAAAGTAACAAAAAAAGACTCTGGTATCTGCAGGTCGTGTATGAAGACGAGCACATTGCGTGCGTGGTGAAACCGCCCGGCATGCCCACTCAGGTGCCTGACAAGCTTTGCCCCTTGAACAACATGACATGAGCGAGTTCGTTTGCTCACAGAGACTGCTACACGACCAAAAGCTGCTGCAGCCTACAATCTAACATTGGACATGTCTTAAGCAAGTGAAGTCAAGCGCAGGGCATGGGAGGCGTGAAAGACGTGGTGGGCTCTTTGGGCTACCTCCTCACGCCGTCCTCCAAAGTCGGATCCCTGTGGCGGCCCCAGCATGTAAGTGCCCTCTTCCCGTGTGCCTCAAATTGACAGATCACATCTTTCTTTGATCAGGGGATCAATGGGATGCCATTGACTGGCAGCCATCCAATTCGCTTGTTTTACGCTAATGGCCCACTTTTATCACTAAGTAGGGGTTTGGACCGATGACTGGCAGCTATAAATGGTGGTCATTGTGAATCAGAGTAGTGGTATTTATTATCTCTAATCAGGAGACCGAGAAGCCAGTTTTACATTTTCTGCAGGTTCACAGGCTGGATGCGCCGACGGGGGGCCTGCTGATGGTGGCCAAGACGCGGCCGGCCATCAAGAGCCTCAGTGCCGCCTTTGCGCAGCGCGAGGTCAAGAAGACATACATGGCCATCGTCGGCGCTCGCCTCGATGGCCGCGGCAGCATCGAGGTGACCAACCATTCTTTTCGCGTCTATTCTCTCTAATTGGATCTAGCTTTTGTTTGGAGAACATTGCTGATGTATTCTCAGCCTAAAATACTTGCGCATGCTCTCCACAGACCTTGCAATAAGTGCTAGGCAGATGAGCCAGCCTGCCCTTCAGCACACAAATCCCCTCAGCAGCAGGGCATGCAATAGCATCAACATGCAATAGCATCATGTGCTATGGTCGCAAGTCCAATGAATCTGTATGCGCAGCGAGTTCTTTGGAGATACTTTGCAAGACTGGAATTTGTGTGCGTGTGCGCAGTATGCGCTGGACGGGCGGGCGTGCCTGACTGAGTGGGTGGCGTTGGGCCACACGCGCTCGGCGCGCCACGGCTGGGTCACCACCGTCCACTTGCACCCACACACCGGTGCAAAGCCACTCGCATCTCAATTACACTGGGGGCTCCTGCCGTAGCCTCAGGCTGGCAGAAATGGTTGCGCAAAAAGTTGAAGCTCTGCAGGCTTCGTAATGACAGGGTGACCCACATCAAGAGTTCACATCTGTTTCTGGCAGCTGGTCTCCACTGGACTGTGCGCATTCTTGCCAAAATTTCGTAAGGGCGAGCCGTTCAGCGGGTGCCAGTCAAATAAAGGCAGATGTGTGACTGATCTTGGACATCAGATGCGCCTGTATAAGGGGTCAAAAGCCCAGCTGAGATTCTTACGATTGAACGACAAGGGGCGTCATGGCCTGGTTTAACAACTTAATTCCCAGGACTGTTTTGACACCCAATAGAAGTTCACAGATTCGGGAGAGGTCATAGCAAAGTGTTCCCTGCGTGCATATTTAGGCCGGCGGCACCAGCTGCGGCGACACATGGCGCTGATTGGGCACCCCATCGTCAACGACCGACGCTACACCTATGGTCACGCTGCCCAGGTGGGGCTCTGCCAGGGGCGCCGGCAGGCCAAAAGAACGGCTTCGGACAGCTGCGAAGATGACGACTCACTCTGTGATGTCACGCCCGATGCCGAGCAGTGCGCGGCAGAAGACTCTGTTGCCGGCAGGGCAGAGGTGCGGGCCCGTGATGCCTTATTTTCTTTTACATTACATTTCAATGCTCTTGTTGGTTGCCTGTCTAGTGCAGCATCGCAATGTCTCTGGTTTCATGGGCAGCTTGCAACGAGTATTGCCTCCTGCACTCACATTGGAATGGATATGGTGAATGTGCTTCAGTTGCCGGACGATGTCGATATTCTGACTTTTGCTTGACAATATGCATGGTCCCTCAAGGGCATCAAGGGACTTTGAAAACTTGGTGAAAAACATTTACCACCTCAGCAAGTCAGGCCCTTTCTTTGTCTGTGTGCAGGGGGATGATGAGGTGGAGGGAAACAGCGCAGCCATTGCTCTGGAGCGGTTCGGCAGGGCTCCAGCCGCAGAGCAGCCGGGCGGCAAGGACGCTGACGCACTGAGCGCTGCGACGGCGGTGCAGCGGCTGATGCTGGACAAGAGCGCCGGTCCCTCCAGCAGAGGGAACGCCGCCCTGCTGCCCCGGCCGACGCCGCCGCATGCGCTAGCAGGTAACCTCCTGTGTTGTCATGGCTAGGACAAAATGGTCCCAGGAGCTGATTGAACTACTAGATCGAGATTGGTTCGACCGGATTGCGAGTGCGGTTGTGGTGCCCATTCAGTATCAATGGTGTAAAATTATTGCTTTGCAGTGCAAGGTGCAGCATGGAGACTGCAACATCAGTGCCCTACAAGGAATTTTGCAGACTGGCATGCTTGATTTCGGCTTGTCATCTGGGGGTCTTATTGCCTGACAGGTGTCCTTGCTCATCTGCTCGGCATGTCTTGAGTGTGCAGTTCGGCTGAGAGGTCGAATCTGTGTTGCAACCGCAGGCTCACACAGAGTGGCGGGCAGCGTCGGGCTTGACAGTGAAGGCGAGGTGGACACGTCTGAGTTGTGCCTGTGGGCTGTGGGCATCTCACTGACCCATCCCGCCACTGGCGAGCTGATGAGTTTCAACATTGATGAGCCGCCGCTCTTTGAGGCGGTGCGCGCTGCAGAGTTTGAGACCTGGCGCAGCAGCTCCTAGCTCTGTGATCTTGAGTGAGAGCTTGCGATGATGGCAGTGTACTTTTTGTTGAATACTTGTTGTACCGTACTGGAATAATTAGAAATGATCTCTTCAGCTCTGTGCAAATTTACAACCGCACCCCAATAAGATACGTTGTCATGTTCCTGCTAGGAATCGTCATTGTGATTGTACCACATTTTGCTTCTCAGGCAGCTCCAAATGTCAACAATGCGGTTGGATGGATACACTCGTGGTTTATGGCCTGCTCAGCGCACATAAGAGAGTCTCTGAGAGCGATGCTTGCATCCGGTTCTGAGTGTTGCTATTACACGGATGATCACTCGTACAGCGCTGAGGTCTTGAGAGACAATCTTGAATTAGCATGCAAGTTTCTATAAGGACAAATCTGTGAAATGCCAATGTTTCTTAGGGGTCCACAGAATATGTCATTTAAGCATGCCTAGATGATTTGGTATGACCAGGAGTGTCCGGTGCTCTCTAATTTGCTTGCATTTAAGTTTGCTTGTGCACATCAATTTGAACGCACTTGTCCCTCTAAGTTCATCATGCGCAGAGCACTGCATGTAGATGTCTTGAGTAGCAAAGGCCATAGCATAGGACCTGACGTTGCACTGGTGGTCACATCTACTTGAGCCTGCCAAAACAAAGTTGTGTCGTGTACAACTGTAATTCCTGGAATTACCAGAGTGCATCGATATAAGGGCACCAAGCCCACAGAATGAGAAAAAACAAGATGGTGCCTCAGAGGAACCTCCTGACAATGAGAGCACCTTATATGGTATGTCTTGAGCAGGACGCTGGATGTTGGAGCAACACCGCTAGCACGGCCTCTTGTGTGCGCCAAGGCTTAGGCGCAAGCGACAAAGATGCAACAGCTAGCAGAACATTGCCAATTTTGCAGTACACAAAAAGGAAGCATAAAGAAGAAAAGCAGCTGGCCTGCAAGCCAGTACTGCCATCAGGGTCACTAGGATCTGGACGACTCTGCCGATTGCAGGCAGCATGCAAAGGGGGCGCCGGCAGCTGCACGTCAATATGGAGCCCGCCCTGTAATGCCTCACCAAGTTTATCGTTCAGGTCCAACAGGGCTCTGTTGGGGGCACATTCCAGGAGGCCTGCGCCCTGCTATAGATAATATCTATTATATAATGATAATATGCCCTAGCCTCACCCTCGCCTGACGCTGTCGGGGTCTACAGTGCCCCGGTCAGCACCCCTACACCGCACTAGCTCGGCTGTCGGTGCAACTCCCCAACACAGCTATTTCTGCTGTCTTGATCTCTCACATCTGAGAGGAAGCTGATGGGAGCGCATGCAACGGGGCTGCGCAGCGCGGCTTGCGGTGCAACACCCCACTAAGATATCTTTGTTGCACTAATCTCTGAGAATTTAGAGAATCCTGACGGGCTGCGAATGCAAAGGGACTTCAAAGCGCGGCTAGCGTTCGAGGCCGGCGGAGTCCATCATGAGGGCGTGGCGCATGTACTCCTGCTTGAGCGCCTGCGAGTGCGAAACCGCGCTCTGCTGCGCCGCCGCTGCCCGCAGCGTGTACGAAGGCGTCGGCCCCGGGTAGCTCACCTGCTGCTGGGTACAAAGTGTGTATCATCAATGTTGCTCTCCAAGCTAAGGAGGATTCGGCAGACACTCTTTGTCTCAGGACCAGAGCTGCTCTCTTCAAAGATACAAGAGAAGTCTTCCTCTCAAGACCGGACTCATATTCTCCTCAAGAAGAAGACACCAAGGTGTTTTCTGGATCTTGATGAGCTGGAAGTAGGAAACATGGGCCAGCATGACGCATGCAGTCAAACAGGAATATAAATATCTGAGGTCAGCTGGTGTGCTACTTGTTCAGGAAATAAGCAACAAATGCCCTCATCGGAGGCATGAGACATTCTAAAGGAAAGCAAATCTCTGAATATCCTGGCAAACAGCTGCGGCATGGCGGCTGACCTTCTTGGGGGAGTTGGGCGCAAGGAGGCTGCCCCTGGACAGCCCGCTGCCCTCGATTTCCTGCTGCATCGGCGGCGCGCTGGCGTCCACATGCGCCGCACGCCCCAGACCTTCTGTCTCTGATACGTCACCCCTGCATAATACCACGCTAGCGACATCACCAGCCATCAATTTGTAACACATGCACACGCGACGCCGAATCCACACATGTGACTGGAGGCTGTCTGGGAGTCCCCAGCCAGCTTTGGCCCTCGCCTGGCATCGACTGCTGCTGGCTCTATATCTCTGTTTGCATTGCAATGCCACCACTGTTCAAACCCCGGTGTTGTGGCATGCATCTGCCATGCGCGCAGGCACCCTGACAAAGCCAAGGCAGAGCACTGCTGGCAGACAGCATGCATGTGAGGATGTAGTCTCTGCGCACACACCTCTGTGAGGATTTGTAGTCCAGCGGAGGGAACTCCTTATGGCTGCGCATGGTGCAGCCGCAACACCTGCACATATAACATTCCTCAGCAAGCCGCCATAATTGCTCCTATTCACTGTGCCAACGGGGAAGGCTCTCTGGTGTCGACATCCTCATGGCCTGGCTGTGAATTGGGGATGATCTTCTTGTTGATAGGCTTCCTCTTCAAATTGACTGCTGTCCCACACTTTCTAAACGAAAGAATGCTGCCTTCAAAGAATTGATGCATCGCAACGCCCTCCTCCACATTGCATCAAGCCTGCAAACTTGGCTCATGGGGAAAGGGCTTCTTGATATCCACGCTGCCAACATCACAAACCCTCAAAGCATCAGGCTGAGAGAGATACAGTGGCAGGAAAGAGGTGCAGGAAATGAAGGCAACTCACGCTCTGGGAGGCAGCTGGTCGAGGGCGCTGATGTAGATGAAGAGAAAGATAAGTAGAATGATGGAGATTGATCCCGAGGCAAACATGCTGACCCACAGGTTCCCAAACATGTTCACGCCGCTGCAGCACATGAAGGTTTTGGCCTGCATTCACAACATTGCATATCAGAAGCCGATCAGATGAGCATTTGAAGATCAAGTGCCGGTGTGCAACCGAGTGCATTCTGTTGACACTTCATCTAGCACCCATTGGAAGGGAACCCCTATTGCATGCTCAGCCAGTGGGCAGTCTATTTTGCAAGAGATGCATATCTGTTCGCATGAGGAGACATTTAGCCCTTTTCCTCGCACAACAGCAGGTGTCCATACCGACATGGCATCTGTCGACCTACTAGTGGTTCACCTTTTCCTGAAGGGAAGAACAGACAGGGCAACCACCTTGATGTAGAGCGGGTGGATGGTCTCATAGGCGGCCAGGCTTTCAGAGTCAGTCAGCCGCTTGGTGATGTTGTTGGAGATGCCATACACGCCATCCACCACCGACAGCATCTTGGTCCGCAGTGTATATGTTCCCGTAATCTCCTGCAGATATTATGACCCAGTTTCCATCACAAACCCAGTTCTACACAAATCATGTATGGCATCGCAGGCTTCTGCCGAGTCAGTAACATGCAGCATGCTCTGTCCTCTGAAGTCATTATTCAGGCTACAGTACAATTCTCACGAGGCAGAAGACACAGTTGCTATGACCTCATGACTGAGAACATGACAGTAGGTGAGGGGGCGCCACCTGTACGGCCTGGTCTCGGGTGGAGTTGACTGTGGCAAACACATCGTCCAGGTTCACGCCAGCCACGCTGTTCAATATCTCCTTCACCCCTCCGCCCTGGTTGTAGAAGTAGTAATTCGCGAGCGCGATGGACTTGTTCAGCGTGGCTGGATCATTGCCCATGAGGTCCGGCAGGCGCCCAATGATGTAGGGCTCTGCATTTGTGCACCTGCAATTTTGGGCAAGTACTCATCACTGAAGAATGTCAGATAACAAGTGTCCTCTACTCACGCCCACTTCGATGTAAGCATGGTGGGCCTTGTCATCCTCAGCCCTTTGTACTTGCACTGGCGCGCTGCATTTCTTGTCTACCATCAATTTCCTCTATTGGGCACCACACAGCGGTACAATATAATCAATGCAAGGTATTGGTTTTGACGCATGGCAGGGCATAGGGAAGGGGCAGGGGTGAGTGCGCACCCGTCATTCCCAATAGAGGCAATCAAGAAGAAGATGACGGCGATGATGCTGTAGACCACTGTCAGGATTAGCAGCACGAGCGTGAAGAAGCTGGCCGCGAACTGGCAGTTTGTCAGCACTGCAAAAATGATGCCCAGGCAGACAGCGATGGCCAGTGCGAAGTAGGTATACTCCGCTGCCTGCCGACTGCATGCATGCCAGAATCCATGGTCAATAGTGGTCCAAGAAACATGCATGCATGCATGGAATGCAGGATGCTATAGGCCGTAGGGGCACGTCACAGCATCTTGCCCAACAGCTTGAGGTTAAGCTATAGAGGGGTTGTAATGGCGATGCCCATTCTTTTTGCTCGTGGGGCAAAGGCATGACTCAACAGGTCTGCATTGGGCTGTGTGCGCGCAATAGACAGGAGGTTTATTGGCGCACTAGCGGTCATATTTCCGCACTAGTGGCTCGTAGTCTGACCGGTAGGTGGTGATCTTGTCCACTGTCTTGTTGTGCAGGTCATCGGCCTTGCTTGTGAAGCTGTCTATATTTGAGTTCACTGTGTCCCTTGCACCGCTAATGGCCTGCAACCACAAGAAAAATGTCAGCACATCAGCAATGAGCACTTGTTCTGATGCTTGGGGCAAAGTACCCTTTGGAGGTCCGTACAAGATTCACAAGCAGGGCCCAGCTCTCACATACCGTCAAATGGGCATAAAAAAGATGCATGCAATGCAGCTGCAAGGGGAAGCATCACCTGCAAGATGTCGGTGTCTATGGACGTCAGGCTGTTCTCCAGATCAGTGAAGATACTTGTCGGCAGAGCATTGTAGGCATTGACAGCTGGCGTCAGAGCAGTGATGTAATTGCTTATATTAGGTACCGAGCTGACGCTATCGGTCACGCTGGTCAGCGTGGCTTGCAAAGTCTGCACACAGAAGAGCACTTGTGTCAGATCTGCATAGCAGCACTGTTGCAGCTATCCCCTTTGTTGTGTATGTTAAATTCAAACAGACTGGCCACTCGGTCCATGCCCCAGCATTCTCAGCAGCACGCAATTAAATGGCTGCAGCTTACAGGCCTTCTACAGCAGGCTGCTATAGTCTTCCATGTGAGTCCTTGCTTTGAGTCTCTCTTCTGCAAAGGAACTGCATTGCAGCAGATGTGAAGGGTCGGAATTGTAGCTCACCGCATTGCTTGGGAGGGAGCTGAGAGCGCTGGATGTGGCCTGCAGGGAATTAATTGTGGTCCCATAAGAGGAGCTGGGAGTGGTGTCAAATACTGAGAAGCCTGACTGAATGCTTGCCAGGTCAGACCTGGCCACGTTGCATGCGTTCTGCATGCTAGTGTAATCAGTCGGATCCCCTGTGGTGCTGAAAGTCTGGTAAGCTGCGTTACAGCTGTCCACGTCACCTGAGTGCACATGACAAGCTTCACAAACCTGTTCTCACTTGTGTCAGCGGGCACTAAAGACTCCTAAATACTCTCTATTGTACCCCTGCTTGTGCTGCGCTGAAACGTCAGCAATACATATTTGACGTTCAGAAGAGGTGCACCACAAAGGAGTGCACAACACAAATAAGTGCAGGCAAAAACAAGACCGAGGCAACTGTAATATTACCGCTGTAGGTGTCGGTGAGAGACTTCAGCAAATTCAGCGGGGCATTCGCTCCCCCCGGTCCATCGGGATCACTAAAATTGCTCAGCTGAGCCTGCAATTAGTAACAACGCTTAGAAATCTGCCATGCATCCACACCGCTCACTCCTCAGAGGATTTGAAGAAACACAACATTTGTTAGAAGCATAGAGGAAAAAGTGTCATGCCTGAGAGTCTGTCAGCGCAGTAGTGATGGAGCTTGAGAAGGGCTGGCTGTCAATCTGAGATGCTGCCTGTGTCAAAGATGCTGCTAGTAGCACCGGGTCATCTGTGCCATTGACGAGCACGCCGTCCAGTGTCTGCTGCGCATCCTGCAGCTGACTGTAGGCATCCTGCAATGAACACATCACCCTTAGTCATGACATGCGCCTATAGGCACACTGCAAAGAACACATCACCCTTAGTTATGGCATGCAGCAGCAAATGGAACTCAAAGGATCCCCACACACAAAAGCTGAGCTTGCAGAGGGACGAGTACGGTATATTGGATGAGCAAAGGTCCTACATTGATGTCTGCGGGCAGCACAACCACAGTGCTGTTGATGTCCTGCAGGCGAGTCAGCAGGCTAGTCATGCAGGGCCTGGCAGCTGTGTAGTTGTCATATGCAGCTATGAGGGTGGCGCTGAGAGCCGGCAATGTGATGCTGAGATTGCTGCCCACCCCAGAGAGCCTGCAAGGCCAATCTTTATTGAAAGTATGGCCGTCAAGAGGCTCCTGTGTTTGATGGGATGTATTGACCATGCCATTCAGTGACAGGGTGAGATATCCTCTCTTGCAAAGGGACAGCACAAGTAGCATCTGCAACACAAGGAAAGATGCAGTAGAGTGGGTGCGCACGCTGTTATGCCGGACTGGATGTCGCTCATTGTGGACAGATCTGCAGATTTGACTGAGTAGAGATCTGTCAGAGCGGTTCTGAGACCTCCGATGCGGCCTGATTTGGATGTGGCACCCCCGTTCAAGGGGAGACTCAAAGCCGTCAGAGCCAAGCCTGCATGCAGCACTTATGTCGAACTGCCACTGAAAGGGAACACCAACTACCCTACAACGTCTCTTCTTAATTTCAGAGGCACTTGAGAATGCATACTGACAATTGATGAAACGCTGAAATGTTGGTGTATGCTTACCTAGAGCTAAAACATTGGCGTTGGTGCTTCCCCCAGCAGGGAATGATGCAGGCAGGTCATTGACAGCCGTGATGAAATCATCGACCTGCGTGGAGTAATTTGCAAGGAATGACGGGGATGCGGTTATGGTGCCACTGTAACCCTGAAACTCCGGTACTTCTTGCCCCTGCAACAACAGAGGCACGCAGTTTGCCTTGACGTTTGAAAAAAGCTCAGCTTATGCACCAAGCAGACAGTATTGAGGATTGTATCCACCCAGGATTTTTCTTGAAACACAGGGGCACGTTCGTGCTTACCAGCAGAGTGCTGACATCAGAAGACAGCGCTGAGATGCTGGGCTGCAGCTTGTTGTCAATCTCATCCCTTATAGAGTCCAGGTAGGAGAGAGCCGTGGCTGGATTCAGGCTCCCAATTGAGCGCGCCACGCACTGCATGCATTGCACAATACTGAGTGCTCCATAGCTGCCTGACGCCCATACCTGATGCAAGCAGAGCGCCTGAGATTGATCACCCATTGCATGCATTGCAAGTGTGAAGAATGTGGGAGGCACCGTGATGCCTGCACTGATGTCTGTGACATTGACATCCACCCTCAGAATGGTCTGCACTTCGTCCAGCAGGCCATTCACAGAGCTCACATCCCCCAAGACGCCATACACCTGATCAAACACGCTGTTCATGTACCCCTGCGCAGCAGCAAGTAAACATTTCAAGCGAATAACAGCAATCTCAGCAGATTGAACCTGCGGTAAGCGGGACGCCTATCGGTCTCAGTCCCTCTAACAGGGGCCATGCTTTCTAGAACAGCTGCAGTGGGCGGGGCACTTTGCTTCTCAACAAGGCACATGCTCCCAAGCATGGCTTCAAAACCGCGCAGTCTCGGATTGCACTGCAGGGTTCATTGATGCCTTTGATTGCGCTTGATATACTTCTTATTACACGCTGTTCCAGCCACAGGCAAGGTGCGGCTGCAGACAAGCTGCACTGAAGGCTGCCAGATCTTTTTTATCCATTGGACGGGCCAGATCCAAGCAAGACCCAATCAAGGGTGGGCACGCTGCTCAGTGTTTGAACCGCCCCCCGCCAGCCGGACTCAATATGTTCAGGTGAAAGAGGTTGGGCAGCCGACCTGTGTGGAGTCGATTACACTGAGGCCGCTGTCCACAAGATTGGGGTCCACTTTGCTCATGCCATATGCGCACGATGCAGCCACCCCCAGGCTGAGCAGGGTGATGATTGTCTTGAGCACAGTCATCCGGCTGCTGCCCAGGACCTCGTCTGGGAATGGGTTTGGCGTCACGCAGCACCATCGGCAGCAACACACACAACACAGCCTCACAATGCGCCTGCACAAACCGAAACCACACTCTGTGAGTCCCAATCCTCCATTACCCCTCTCTCCCTGTCGTGCAGGGATTGATTTGGAGTCCCCTGTGTCATGAACGTCTAATGTGCATGTGTGCACGAATCAATCAAGAGATGCAGAGAGACACCCTTGCTGGCAGCCCTGAGCCAGGGAAATTCTGCACTTTATGGTCATTGCATGGCTTGCGGGGAAGGTGCAGGGAGCGCTGCTCAGGCAGGAGGGGCTGCCAAAGCGACATGGCACATGCTGTGTCACAAGCAAAGGAGGAATACCAGAGAAGGAAGATAATGAGGAGGACGACAGCGAGGCATGCTAGCACTCCTGTGGGGAGAGCTCTCTGCTGCACCGGTCCCCTGTAATAGCTGCTGTGCACGTTGAGTTCTTCAGGCTTGAACTGAGCACTGCTGGCAGGCGTGCCGAAGAAGGCAACCCCCTGCAAATGACAAGTCAGGCATGCTGTGAGCTACAGCCAGAAGTCCTTAAATGGATTACGAGGTGAAACATTTTCAGGCCTGGCATAATAATAACGAAGTTATTTCCTAGAAATACAGGGACGATTCATGGTCTTCAAAGTCTACGAGAAGTCAGTGAAGGTCTTTGAGAGTAGATGATCTATATTAGGAAAGCCGCGTGAACGAGCAGACTGTAGTCATTGGCCCTTCCCAAACAGTAGGACACGGCCATTTCAGTCAATGAAGGTCTTCAAAGAAACACATATCATCCTTCAGTGCCAATTCCTCTCCTCATCTTGTACTGTTGAACTGAGGCTGGGCTGACAAAGAAGGCCTCGTTGAAGCTGATTAGCTTACAACACTCTGAAATAGAGGACGAAAAGGCAACTGCGTTAAAGTACGTGCAATTTCACCTTCCAGTCCGCTTTGACGCAGACAGAGTTGTTTCCATTGGTTGACTGCGCCTGGGCGAAGCCAGCAAACAGAGCTGCCAGGATGGCAATGAGGACGAGTATTGTGTATCTGTCTTTGTCTCGTGACATTCTGACAAGCGTACAGCGCGGCTTCCACCAGCTTCAGTATTACTATTACAACTCTCAATCATGCTAGCTCTCTCCAGGGCCCAGCCTCTACCGTAATCTTGTTCATGAAGGTGCTATTTATAACAAGTCATGCAGTATCCACGACACAAGAAAGTGTCGGAGATGAAACGGATCGAACCAAGGAATTGGGACAACTCCTCGATTTCATTTACAACGTTGCGCTGGCATTCTTCATAGTCAATATCTCTGAAAGGGTTTTTCCCCAGGGGTGATGCACCCAGCCCTCTCATGCCTTCTTCCCATGCTCGGTTTGGACCATACCCAAGCCCATGCATCAAGCACAATGCTACAGGGATGCACGATTGCCAAGAGCCTAAGGTCACGAGCACATGCTCCAAAATTAGTAGTCAGCTGCAGGGCTGTCCTGCAGGGCAAGACGGCTGGCCACCATGCCAGCCTGTTGAGCGCGCCACGCCAGCGCGCCGCGCACTGGTCGCCAGCTGCCGGCTAGCCTGTAGGGCAGCGCTGGCAAAGCTGTCACAACAGTTGCAATGGCCATGCTCAGCTGAGGGAATTCCTGCTCCACACACATTTGCCGTGCGAACAGCGACGGGTCACACCCTGCACGACAAGACACACCTGTCAACTCGAAAATCCGGATCCCACAGGTACAAACAGACCGGAATGCCAAGGAAACATGTCACAAGCAACAACCGCATGAAGGTGTGCCACCTGAAGTGTGAATGTGAGTCTGTGCTTGTGCAAGTGAGTGCAAGGAGCGCCCCAGTATGTGGCTTTAGGCTGGGCACTTCATAATAGCATGGAGGCGGTGTGCAGCCTGCATGATGAAGGAAATTGCTGCAGCACAGTATATCATCGGAAGACCCAGGTCACAAGGACGTGCAGTACATTGCAAAATCCAGTCATTGACACTTCTGAATGTTTATGCAGGGGCCGCACCTCAGATGCCAAGCTACATTACTACCCACTGTCATCCAACGCCCCGAGTGTGAGGGTGCACATGAGGGCTGATCAGGGCCTTTCAGAACTGTGAAAACCTACGTCAGCCGGAGTATTGAACAATATGGCGTATGCAGACAACAAACAGCCAAACACACGGTTGTCACAGAAGGTTTGGTCACATATTAGGAGTACATTACTGTGCGACAGGAACGTAAGGGAATGGCGGCTCAGATCGGTGGGTCAACATGCAATTCCGTCCCAGGCGCAGTGCGCTGGCAAAATTGCTGTCAGATAAGATCAAGTAAACCATCATAGCCACATCCCAAAGCAAGCAAGTGGTGGGTCAACACCAAGGGAATTCGATTTCTTTAACGCTCACCTTCAAAAATCATCATTCTGGGTATCTTTTTCAAGGGCCAACGGAGTGTTGTCTGCCCGACAATCAGATCTGATCTGAATGATCGACCCTCCAGACTCACAGCTTGTCTAAGGCTGTCTTGCACACTGGTCAGTTTGAAGAGTGCATGAAGCATGATTTCCATCTCTCAGAAGTGGAGTTGCCTTTTCGAACTTTCTCTTTCAGAAGTGAATGAGGGAGACAGCATATATATACGCTCTAGCTGGCGGAGCCGAGGCGTCTTGCACGTCTTGCTCTCTTAACATTACATCGCACTCAAACTGCAAAATGGTGCGTGTTGCGATCGGTATTCTGATCATCTGATTGTTTGATGCGTTCTCTAAACTTCTGATGTTGACGTTGTAGCATTCCAGCTGTATCCTTGTATTCTGGCGAGTGCATTCTTTGAAGATCTGCAGAAGAAACGCCCAGCAGCAGGCGAGGAACAATGATCAAACTCTTCTCCGTGAAGGTGAGTAATACTGAAGCTTTCAGCCATCTCACATCTGTCGGTGCTATTGGGGAAGAACCGAACACCTGTGCACCTGAGGTGTGTACAGGATCTCACTCTTTCTTCTGGAAGCCGAGCCATTGTCGCATTCATTTTTTAACAGCAAACTTTTTTGTAGCTTATTCTTCGCTCAGATGTTTGTGATGCTGCAAGAAAAGCTCATCTTTCCAGGAAGACCCGAGGTCTACTCTCTTGAAGAGACGCAAGTGGTGGCTGAAGAGCTGGCATAGTCTCTGCAGACAGACTCTTGCAAGCTTAGAGTCCTACCACTGGCCATGTCTAACCGGTAATGTCGTGGATCGCAGGAGAAGCAGAAGAAGGAAGCTGCTGCAGCCAATGGAAAGGGCGTAAAGCAGAGTGCAGGAGAACTCAGATTACAGAAAGGTCCAGCCCTTTTCTAGCTGGAACACTGGTCTGCACAGGGCAGTTGTCATTGCTACACCACACTCTATGACCCATCGAGCTGAAGATTCTGACTGCTGTGCAGATATCTCAGAGCTCAACTTGCAAAAAGGGATGAGCATCAAGTTCCCAGAGGGAAAGGACAAGCTGCTGCACTTTGAGATCACCATGAAGCCAGATGAGGGCATCTATATGTAAGCGTTGCATTGCCCAGCATGGCTTTCATATGTCAACTCTCCAGCTGGGGTGATGTGTTGATGATTGATGCATGTAGATGTATGGAACATGCATCATCATCTTCAAGAGAAGATGATGACCTTGGCATGGTGCGCAGGGGAGGAACCTTCACATTTGACTTTGTCATTGCAACCTCCTACCCCCACGACGCCCCAAAAGTAAAGTGCAAAACAAAGGTACAGTTGGAAACACCTCGATCCAACACATGCGTTGTCAGAAATATTGCTTTTAGACTGGAATGGCGTTGGCCAGTACAACAAGGCATGCGCTAATTGGAGTTTCACTGTGCAGGTGTTCCACCCCAACATTGATCTTGAAGGCAATGTGTGTCTAAACATCTTGCGGGAAGACTGGAAGCCAGTTCTGTCCATCAACTCTGTCATCTATGGCCTGCAATTCCTCTTCCTGGTGAGCTGTCCTGGCAAATCCATCTGTCTAACATCTTGCTGATACATGATTCACTGTCTCTGGTGTTACTATGCTGGGATGTTCCTGTACATGTCTCCTCGAGTCTGCATCTCTGGCTGCGCCTTCATGTAGCAGTCTTAGTGGCATGTAGAGGGACACTTCATTAATTGAATTGGCCCATGAGAGGTCTAGAGTGCTTTTGACTGAGTGTCTGGGCTGTGCTCTGCAGGATCCGAACCCAGAAGACCCCCTGAACAAGGAGGCAGCCGAGTTGCAAAAGAGCAATCCTCGCCAGTTTGAGGCAAACGTGCAGGCCTCGATCATGCGCGGACACCACATAAACGGCCACTGGTTCCCGCCCTGCAAGTGACAGGGATACATGCGAGCGCGCTTCAATTATTGCCCCAGATGACACCTGGCATGGCGCTGAATCACTCCTGGTCATTCCACATTGCTGGAAAAATTCTGAGGGGTCTGTGGCTGCAATGTATCAGTGCGCCCATACCACAGGCTCATGCTCCTGTGATCCTCCCATTTTTTTTTGAAGGCGGGGTGAGATTTGGCAGGGGAATGGCTCTGTCAGCGCTGTCTCGTGGGTGTGCTAGGAATCTCTCAGCCAAAGGCATTTCCTGGAGTGGAGTCCTGGAGTGGAGCCAAAGGTCCATACTTGTGAACGAGCAGACTTGAGAGCTGCTGGATAGTGTGTATACAATTGTATTATATACCAGTGAGTGCAACAGCTTCTTGCTTCAAGCAGCTTGGAGTGTAGGCAAAAGTTTGGAGCCTGCAGGCAGCTGACTTTTTGGAGTGTGCACACGTGGGTAAAATAGAATTTTGGTTGCCCATCTGGGGCCAAGGCTTCCAGGAAAGCTTCTATACCTGTTTGCTGGCAAGACTTAGGAAGACACCCAAGCAACTGAGTTGCTTAAGTATGCTGTAAACCCATCCTGATGCGGCCTTGTGAATTCTTCGAAGATACCTTACACATACGCCACATGCACAGGATGGAAGCAATGCATCCCTCTTTCTCTAGCGAACTGTCCACAGCTGTAGCATGGTCCACAGCATCTTCTGTGACTTGGCCACAGTTCCCCTTCTACATATTCAAGCAGACTTGTTTTGGTACATGAGTCCCTCAGAAGCCCGTCTTGCGAGGCTACAAGGGCAAATCACACATCTACACGTACATCATCCGGACCTGGCCTCACAATCAACTACCCAAGAAGGCTCTAGGAACAGTAACCCCAGCTCAATAGAGCCAAGAAAGCACCCTGTAATGCCGCAAATAATCAGCTGTAATTGAGCAAGCCCATAGCATTCCGCATGCTCTTGTTACTTCAGGGCAGCGAGCCGTGCGGTGAGGCTGTCTTCCTCATCCTGCACTGGCGCTGACACCTTCTGCTGCGCTGCCACCTTCTTTGCAGGCGCAGAGCCCATCTGGGCAGTGATGTCCACGCCAATCTCATCCAGCACCTGCATGTGCATTCGGGTGTCACACCTAATCCCTGCATAATAGAATGTGCGACATCCTTGCAGTCTTCAGGAAAATGAACGTGCACGCTGCTCGAGAGCTGCACTGCAACTGCGGCGCCAGAAACAACAGGATGATGCCCAGCTGACAGTCCCAAACAGCTGTTGTCAGCATTGTTTTATTGCCATGCTAAGGAGGCTTAGCAATGCACAGCCTTTCCTGAGCTGTACTGCGCGAGCGCGCAGGTATTCTGCAGATGGCCGACTAATATTTGGTGCAACAGTCTTCGCGTTCCCGCAGCATTGAGTGCTGTGTACAAGTCAAAAGGGCACATTCCAGCAGTGAAATTTCCCACATAGAGAGCAGAAGCCGGCTCAGGGCACTAGTGATCTGCACAATTTCCAGGCAAATGGGGCCTGACCTGGTTCATGAGGTCGCTGGTCTCTGCCTCGGTGTCTTCGTCATCCCAGATGCCGTCCAGGCTATCGTCCATCATCTCCTGCCCCATCTCCATCTTCGCATTCTCCTTCTGGAACTGCTGCATCGTCGCCGCGATCTTGGCCGGGTCGTTCGTCTTGCCCATGACCGCCATCGCCTCATTTGCTTTCGCCATCGACTCGCCCATTTTGGCTGTCACCGCGGCCGTCTGCGCAGCCATGCAGCCCACAATGAGCATCAAAGATATTTCTGATGTACTGCATTTATCATTTGAAGGTGGCATTGACAGAAGCTTGCTGCATTTGGCTAAGACCAGCAATCTCCTGTATTCCAGGGATGCTGCTGTAATGCTATGCAGACTCTCCGAGAAAGCTGCTGGGCACAAAATGGTGCATTTGACAGAGAGGGGACCGGCATTGCACTCCCCAGGAGCACTATTCCGCTTGAGGCATGCAGCAGAGCAGGATGTATATTGAATTTTTATCATGAACCATGGCTCGCCATGAGGATGATGCATGACAGGCGTGGCCATGTGCAGAACCAAAAATGCCACTAATAGAGCTGTTTTGTACTGCGGGTCAATACTGCAGGTAATCTGGACAAGTATGGTGGCGTACCCCTATGGAAGCCCTGACACCTCTGAGCTGCGCTGAGCTGGCGAGCACTTTGGTGCGTTGCCCCCGCAGCCTGACCAGGGATTTGGCCAGCACCCGCGCGCCCTTTTCATTGCCGTTCCTGGCCGCCTCTTTTATCTCCTTTATGAGCTTCTTCTCCTCCCGGTCAATGCCCAGCAGCTCGCGGTCCAAATCTGTGGCAGAGTGCAGGTGTTGACAGCGAGTGCAAGTTTTAAGTAGACGAATGGAAGCGGAGCGTTCGTCCCTTGTCACAGCATGCATGATCCAAATATTGCATAATCAAAAATAGCTACAGTAAGAAGCAATACCTCGCACGCCCCCAGTGATCTCCCTTTGTGACGCTCGTACTTGCTCTGCGAGTTCCAAAATTATAATCAGATAGATGCACATTAAATCTGAAGCCACTGAATATTTCAAGACACGAACTGTCCCTGATATCAATCAGGTCAGAGACTGGAATAAATTGATGCGCCGTGCCAACTTGGGAGAAAATGCACGCACCCTTCACTGTCGGCTTCTTCTGAAAGAGTTGCATCGTAAGATAATTGGAGATTTCAAATAGCCTACAAGAGCTTGATTTCTGCAGCGAAGCTAAGTACTAGGTGGAGCACATGCGGCGTAGGCAGGTGTGCTTCTCGCTCGAACCAGTACAAGATGGCTCTCCCTCCATCCTCGTCGATAACTTTGGAACCTGTAGTACTCCAATATGGTAGAATCGTCAATTTTTTTCCACCTTCCCCCAGCTTCAGTCGCAATGAAGCCCTTGGATATCAGGGGAGTCAAACCCTAGGAAACAGCTGAGCTGGACCTTGGCCCACCTTTCTTTCTTGCTTTCAAGCTTTGAAAGTCGTTGGTCTACAGTCCCAAACAGGCATCTATATTGGGGGAAATTATTCTTGGTTGCAGACTAGCATCCACCCAAGATTGGATCTTCACGGAGCCAGTCTCTAGGGAATGGTTTGATATCTGGCTAGCCTAGTGTAGTTATTGTCGCAGACACAAGCCATGACAACTCGACAATTCTGCTTTTCAAGTTGAAATATCAGTCACGTTTCCTACGCAAGGCTGCCGTGGTTTCTATTTGTTGCGGATAAGCGTCCACTCTTACCTAGCCACCGTTTCAGTACTTTATTATCAGCGCAGATTGGCCAGAGAGTGCAACGGCATTTCATCTTTAATTGCATAGGTAGTCTACATAAGCCGTGCGCATGGACCTTTTGTCCTGTCACGGCTTTTCACACCAAATTCTGCCATGGTACAGAAACTGCAGCCCACTGCTCCTTGCCCCGCGATATCAACGTCGAATCGGCGGCAGAGGAGTGGGCCACCGTCATGGCTGCAAGGCCTTTTCGACCCCTGCCAATGTCAGCTCCCGAAGCAGGAATAGCGGTGGTGAAGAGGCAGTGCCATTGCCTTCCTGGGTTGCCTGGGACCAAGAGGCACTCAAGCAGCAGGAGGCTGCCCTGATCGAAATGCAGGCACGTCCACTTTATATCTTTGATGTGGCCTTAAAATGCAGTGCACAACATGGTTTGTATGCTACTAATCTGCACTCTCACTCTCTTCTAAGAAGGTTGCTCATGGACACTGCCTGATGCAGATGGAGAAGATGAATCGGAATCCGCAGGATAGGCGACGAAGCAAGCGGACGTTCAGGAAGAGCTTTCAGCCCACCTATGAACAAGCAGTCAATCCTGCTGCCTTTGAAACACTGAAGACAGAGGACGGGTGAGACCTTTGTCTGAGTGCATGCCGGATTGACAAGATGGCAGATCAAACTGGCCCATTTGTTGTGCCCTTGAGGCCACCCCAAATGTATGATGTTTCTGTGCAGGGTTGACTACGCTGCCTTCTGCAACGGGGAGATGCAATGGTTTGCAGTCAAAGTGGGTCCTTTTGCCCGTGCCTCTTCTTATTTGCAGCCTCCTTGTGCAAGCCACATTTCCCCTGAAGTTGCCTGCAACAGAGGTTCAACCACTTGAGGCTTTACAATCAAGTGCCCTTTGTCCAGGTGGCAGATGCTGACATCAAGAAGGCAGGATTCGTGACCAAGTGGCTGGGCTATGGAGCCCAGTCACTAGGCCCTGTCAAGAGGAAGGATGGCACCACCGTTGAACGTGTTGTGGAAACCTGGCTGCCAAAGAAGAAGGTCAAGGCCTACAGCCTCAGGTGAGATACCTGCTCGGCAGCTAGATTTTGTGTTCAGCATGAGCATCCCGCCAAGTTATAGTGGTTCAAGGCACCGAGAAAGTGAAATATGTGAAGTGAAAGTGAAATGGGTTTGGTCCTTGAGCTGCGAATTGATACTAGGCTGCAGAACCTTGTAGGCCCTGCTGATGTGGCTAAAGACGCTCTGCATGTGTATGCCTTATTTTCTTTGGCTTCGGGTTTGCCAATCAACAATAAATATAATAGTAATATTATCCGAACGTCTGCGGTTGACATCATGGACAAAGTACTCAGAGCTATTTGGTTCTGCACCACCTTGTTTGCATGCATTTTTGGGCCAGAACAGTATTTAGATTGCCAGTTTTCTTTACGGACTGCAGACACATGAGAAGTTTGTGGTATGAAGATGTGCAGTGACAGATTGCCTACAAGACCCATGAGCCTCAGGTGGCTCCCAAAAGGTCTCTAAAAATGTAATGATAATTAGATGAATAATTTCTGTTACATTACAGGACTGGCAAGATGGGCACCCGTACAGTGGCGTATCAGGATGGGCAGGTGGTACTGTTCAGGGCGATCATGGACAACGAACTAGGGGAGTATCTGAAGGCGGGCCTGCCTGACACATCAGGGGTCTATAATGACAGGGTTGCGCGCAACGAGGGCAGGATCACCGGGTTTATGGAAGAGGAGGTCGGCAAGAAGCTCTTCCTGGAGACCAAGACCAAGAAGATTGTGGAAAAGGTGGGGATGCCAAATTTTAACAATATACGAAGACTTTGAGCCCGTCTCAAATGTGAGAGTTTCTGGCATTCGTCAGATCCCTAATATGCCGCTGTTTTGTCTCAACAGGAACACATTCCCAAGCCATGCGCTGAGTCCTACATCGAAGAAATCCAGGAGGTAAGCTAGCCAGTGTCCTCCTGCGCTGCTTTATAACCCTGGTGCAGGGCAGAGTATGTTGATTTTGGCAATGTTTTTGGCTGAAATAAGTTGCATGGGCCCCTGCAGTGGCTGGAGACCAAGGAGGTGTGGGACAAGGAGAAGGTGTGCATGGCAGAAATGGGCTATGTGCCAGATGAGGCTGTGGGGGTGAGCACTTCCAACCTCATGAAGTCTTTCCAGATCAAACAGACGGTACTTGAGCAATCTTGAATACTGTAGTAGTCATTCTAAAACCCGCACCCCCCGAGGTGCGGGAAGTTTTTCAATGCAACTTTTAGGGGTCTTCCTGACAAAACACCACCAGGGTCATGCTCCACCGGATTGGGCTATTCGAGAGCCTTCCAAATCCGGTCTCAAATTCATCATAGGGTAAATTTTGGGAGATAGTGTCTTAACTATCCACCCTTTTTGGCCAGAATTTTTTTTTTATTGCGGGTTTTAGAATGAGTACTACAGCTCTCTGAGCCTCCGCACGTCTGTCGTGGAGTGGTAATTGATGCCTGCTGTGGGGAATGCACTGCAGTGGACTGAGGAGCAAGGGGAGGAAACCGATGAAGCCACAGCCGAGGATGCCCAGAAGACTCCCGGCCGCAGAAGCCAACAGCTTGACCCGGTTGTCAGGCGAGCACCTTACTTCCTCATCGCAGAAGCCGTTCTTGCCAGAATGCTGTAATGAAGCCCCTGCATGCCTTGCAATAATTCTTCTTTTAAACCCTCTTAGGAGAGCATGCCAAGACGAACACAGACCTCTAGCAAGGCAGTGTTGGAGTATGATGGCGCCTCCTGAGAAGAAAGCTCTTTGAGTGCATAAGGTGTCTGATTGCGAGAAGGTGCATGAGACTGTGTGGCTGATTGTGGACTCTGTGGTGTTCAGGGACTTTGCGGAGGCAATCTTTGAGAAGGAGAAGCGGGAGGTGGCTGCTCTGGACAGCGGCGGCTGGAACGTGGGCAATGTTGTGGAGCCACGCCGCAGGTGCGCAACACACTTTATCCTCCATAGTTTCTAGAAACAGTGGATTATCGCATGCACTGGTGCCCTGCGCAAGTGATGCTGAAGCTGCACAGTCTGAGCGGCGGCAGCACAGCCAGGACAGCAGCCAGCACGGGATCGCAGTTTGATGCTCTGAAAGCTGGCAGCTGCTGCTCAATGCAAGGTGCGTGTGCACGATGTGGTGATCGCACATGGAACAAGCTTCAGAAAGGAAGAACTCAGCGTCATCATCAGCATTTTTAAGTTCTAGCATGTGACCAAGTTGCGACGACTGTCGATGTGCAGGGGCGGATTCGTTCGCGGCCGCGGCCGGGGAGTGGGCACGCGGAGGGCGCCGGGCAGGCCACAGACATTCAGGCCGGAGCAGTTTGACAGCCGCCAGTCCTCCTCCTGGAGCACATCCAGCCCCCAGTGGAGCTCCGCTGACGGCGACGCGCGCTACAGGTCAGCCCTCTTACACAACCATTTCCAATTGTAGCCCACTGGACCCTGAGGCGCCAGCTTTACCTGCTGAATATGAAGACACCTGGCAGGAAAGGCAGGATGCAGTTGTTTCCATGGGACTTCGGAATTGCAGATCAAGAGAATTCTGTGTCAGTCAATACCACAGGCAAACCTTTAGTGCAGGACTACTGCATTAGGGAAAAGGTTCAACCGTTTGAATGTTTGGGGATTTTTTGGTGCGAATGAGCACTTGGATGGCTCTTCGGCAGCTGTTGTCCGTGTAAGCATGCCCCGAAGATTCCAACTGTCCTGTGGGAGCTTACAAATGCCAGATGCAAGATGGGGCTACGCAGGGGCAGAATGCGCTGCTGTGGGTTCTCCATGTTGCTGATCGAGTCCGCAATTCTAAAATGAATCATTTTTGCTGGCGCGCCAGTGGCTTCTCTTTGTCTTTTTGTAGGAGTGCGGATTTTTTATTGACTGTTTGTTCTATTGGCTTGGCAGTGGCAGCAGCGGCGGCCGGGGCGGCGAGTGGGCGGCAGGACTGAGCGACTTTTCCTCTTTGAAGGACTTCTCTGACAAAGAGCCGGTGGCGTCCGATGACGCAGCCGATGACTCAGCCTGGGGTGCCAGCGGCTACCACTTGAGCGACGCTCCAGACGGGTGCGCCAGGAACACCGCAGATCTCTTGCCCCACTATAGCATGAGCTTGGGGAAAGTGAATTGCATTTTGAGATCTGATACTCAATGCGATGCAAAGCTCACTTTCTGTGGCGGCACGTTTAGATGCAGGCTTATCGCCTGATGCGCATTTAAAGGTGACTGTGAGAAGTGCACCACAGAGGTTGAGGTTGAAGGAAAGGGGATGTTGGCAGTCTTCAGATTGTCATAATTGATGCTTGCCACCAAGCTTCCACAAGCCGCGAAGGTACTCAGTTCCTGACACACATGCAGGGCTGCGGCGGTCAGTCAAGGAGGCTGGGCTGGGCCAGAAGTGGCGGCTGAGCCAGAAGAGGCGGCCGCCGACGTCTTTGTGGAGGAACTTGGCAGCAAAGAACTGTCTCCAAGCCACCCTGAGGACTGGGCCGCCCCAGAAGTAAACCAAGGTTCGCCCCAGTTCTGAATATTACTATCCGAATATTACTATCCGATTGTTTCTAGTGTCATTATCATTACACGCTCTCCAGCCTTCCACGGCTAGCTGCTTTTCAGCAGCACCTCCACAAACCTTATACAAAGTTCCCTATCCTTGCATTTTCTCCACCATTTCCCACTAGGATGACCATTATGGCTTCCAATGCATGGCACAATGCCACCGGGCGCTCACAAATGTCAATTTGTATTCCAAGGCCTGTGCACAGTACTCGCAAGTGATGTTGCATGAAGTGTCAATCTGGTTCAAACAATGTTAGTAGTGATCTGAAATGCTCTGATGGGGCCTGCGCAGACTGGACCTTTAGCCCAGAGGAGGAGGCGGCAGTGGCGCCCAAGGGGTGGAACACCTCTTCGTCCGGCGGCTGGGTGGATGACTCAGCGGCGGCTGCCGGCAACTTCTTCGACCGCGCGCCGCGCTCCCACAAGCAGGCCGGCAGCTCCGGCTGGTCTGAGAGCAGCCCTGCATTGGACAACAGGTGGGCGCGCAGCCTGCCCTTGCATGCACCTTGTTTACAAAAAGGCATCTTTCTCAGAACAGCAAGGATTCCGATATTACTGTCCCTTGCGCTGCTGATTAGATGCGGTCCCTTACGGACCTCACGGGACGCCGTTCTGACTGCAAGCCCATGGCTTGAGCTGTTGACGCGCTCCTGATCTATGCTTGGGCTTCACTGCCGCCTGTGCAATGCCTGAATCTGCCAGTGCACTGCCAAGTCAGTAAGGTTGTACCCTGTAGGTGACATTTCCCCGAAAGGTATGCATGAGTATTCGGTGTCCTTGCAGGGGAGCGGAGTCCTGGTCAGACCTGAGCAGCGCAGCGGGCGCTGACTGGACCGGTGAGGCCAGGGGTGACTCGCAGCCTGTTCAGGCGCCGCGCCTGTCGCACTGGAGCAAGTACGGCACCGCCGGCAGCGCAGAGCCGGTTCGCGGCGATCCCTCCGCGCGGGGTCGCCGCCGCAACCGTGACTCTTCCTTCTCCGAGCGCGAACCTCTGGCCTCCGACCGGAGCCGCGCAGATGACAGCAATGATGCCATTCCGCCGCTCGCTGATGTCACAGGTATGACAGCTGCACCCCACCGTGCCACTGCTGGCATGTCTGGTTGCCACTCCATGTAGAGTGCTGTTAAAATAGCGCGGGACAGCGCCTCACTCCCTCGCTAACGTTGTCAAAGAATTGGTGGAAACCTGCCGCCCAAAATGTGCATAGCTGTGCACTGCATTTGCCCCTGAGTCCCCTGTGAGGGCAGCCGGATTTAGCTGCCAGCAATGCGCATGTTTGGTCAAGTGAAATAAGCATATAGCTCCCTGGTGGAAAAGGATATGTCCAGCGCATCAGTCAGCACGAACATACTTCTAGGCAAAAGCATATCCTGTTACACCGCATACAGAGTTGGCGACGCGCACAACCATTCAAGACTCATTGGTGCTGCGGTGTTGATGCAGCAGGCGACGATGACACTGCATGGGTGGACTCTGTTCCCTCTCCCCGCTACGAGTGGGACGCTGGCGCAGACGCGGGCGCAGAGCCGGTGCCCACTTCGGGTAATTGGGGCGAGTGGAATAATTACATGGCTACCGACGCCGATTTCCCCATTGGCGGCGAGGGAGTCCCCTTCAGAGTGGACGACGATGACCTGTTCCTTGACATCGGCGAAGAGGAGGTGGGGCTGCTTTTGCTCTCCACAGTCAGCATGATCTGATGACTGGTGTACAGAATGGGCAAATCTGGCGTGCCAGACCATCACCAGTTTTTGTCCAGTAGCTCGGGCAACTGTAGAGAGGGAAACTGGGCTGGATGGCATCTGGTGTTGTTTGGCATTATTGTTTGCACGTTTTGTGGCACGGGTCACCTGATATCTGGTTCTGCACAGTCAGCATAATGTAATTGACTCATACTAGAGAATTGGCAAGTTGTTCATTTGCCGACGAATACTGCTTTCCCGTGCAGTAGTAGCTCAGGCAACTATGGGCTCTTTCCTGCTGATAATTACTTTTGGGCTGGAACTAGTGCTGTTGGGTGAAGAAACAAATTGATGCTTCTCTTGGATCGGTCACCTGACGCCTGTGTTGGATGTCTTAGCAGCACATTGGAGACAGCTGTTCTGAAAAGCATGCCTTATGCTCTGAAGCCTTATCTTTGGTGCATCTGCTGCAGATCGTACTTATGCTCTGTACCTATGCTGGATCAGCATGCCTCGGCGATTTGCTTGAGCAGTTGTTGGCCCGCAGCAGGGGGGGACACGTGTGATTAAGTGTTGATGCTGCATGCAGGGTGCTGGCGACGTGGGGACTCCAGCAGTGGCAAATGAACAAGAGGGGCGGTCGAAGGCAGCGGAGCCGGCCAAGAGGGAGAAGAAGCAGCGCAAGAAGAGAGGCGGTGACGACAAGTCAGCTGCAGACTTGTATGGCGACTCTGTGCAGGTCAGCGCTTCCGATGGGTTTGTAGAGGATGGGCTTGCCTGGGACGAGATGGCGTGAGCGTGTGGCGTGGACTGAGCTGAGAGGGCAGACAATTGAGACTGCTCGAGTGACCATTAAATATGTAGATCTACAGATCTAGAGTATCCCTAGAGTATCGTATACAGATCTTGCAATGCTGGGTGGGGCCTGTAGTACTAGTGACACACGCTACAACATGCCGCATGGCGGAGATTAGTGGCGCGCCAAATCACGATGTCTGGATTTGATAATTGCAGTGCTTCATTATCTCAAGATGTTCTCTAGAGACTGGATGGAACGTCGGAAAATTTGGATTGGCTGTTCCACTGGTGATGGAACAAAGATACCCACTGTAACAGAGGGTGAACATACGATGACCTCTTGTTCCAGTGATCATGTTACAAAGTATAGTACCTTTTGTTGCAAAAGGCTGGAAGGCAGTTCTGTTACAGTGGTGCCTCTCCATAACAATGGCCATATCTTTGTTACAAAGGTTCTGCTACAAAAATAGGCATGTCTCCGGAACAATGTTACCCATTGTTGTCTGTCAGATTTTTGTAACGCAAGTACATCTGGTTTTAACAACATACGCATCCTAAGCCCAACTTGTCAAAGCTATCTCTGGTCGGAAATTTATGAGACTGAAGGGCCGTTCCAAGTAGCACCATGTACTGATTCAGTACAGCTTGCCGGCCACTTGCCGGCAAGCGTTACTGAAGCAGTCCGCGTCTCATGGCGTTCCCTACCTCTTATCACTCTATTTCATTTTTTATGTCAACAGGTATGCATTCTTCCCTCCGTGTCTTCTTCATTCTTGTTTCTATACATGTTCTCACATTGCTTGCCGGGGTCTCCTCCACCGTTTCGCGCCTTTCCCAAATCTGCAAGACATCCCACATTCCTCGATCCTCCCCTTCTTCCAACCCGCCGCTTTCACCCTACCTCGCCCCCGGGAAGTAGTACACGTCTTTCATCTTCGTTTTCTTGGACTGCTGCTTCATGACAGGCAGGTGCCGTTGGGGCTCGGGTGAGTAGGGGACAATCCCAGAGTGGTTTTCGAACCAAGTGCCTAGCTCTATTGCTCCTGTGCAGCACGCACACCGAAGGCTCCCGAGCCAAAGCCCCACCCCAAACTCTGTTACCAAAGAGTTCTAGATGCCATACGTGAGTCGCGCATTGCAAACTTTGCAATGTATTGAATACAATAAGTTGTAACTCATGGTGACACAACAAAGTCAGCCAGCTGACCTTTTTGGTACCTGGACCAGGCCACCGGCTGATGGCCAGAACTATGGCTATTAAACTGGTGACATTGTCATTGTAATTAATCTTACAATTTCCTTTCTTGCTGTAGATCCACACCCCAAATTTCATTCATATCACACACGGTCCAAGAACAAGCTGAATGAACGGTCTTCTAGAATCAGCATGGCTGTTCTCTCATACAGGCTCCCAAGTCTAGTTAGCCTAAGCTCAGTAAGCTGCAGTGTAAATCTAGCCTGCTGGGTTCCTTGCCCACGGCATGGTGTTCAAGAAGAAGAATGGCTATAGCTGAGAACAGATCTTGCACTTGCGTTTGCAGTGAGATGTTTGGTCCAGCTGGTCATCAGTAGTGATCATCAGTCGTGATAAGCCCCATGGAAAAGTGAAACTTCGGAGCATGCAGCCAGCACCTGGAGCCTAACCTGAGATATCTCCCTTGCATGATTGGTCGGTAGCGCAACTACCTCGTCTTGAAATCGCCGATGAAGGAAGCTGCTGGTTTCTACCACCAAATTGACTTCAAATACAGAAAGACAACAATTTGAGGCTGCTAGTAATTATATGCGACCAATTTTACACACATCGGGCTCCGATGGCACCGGACTATGTGCAGCCTAGGTGGGCATGAGTCCTTATTGCGCAACATTCAACAGTCTTGTTCTGTCATCACCTGTCATTGCTTGGGTGAAATTATGATGTTTTTCTGGTCGTTAGTATTCAGCAAGAGGCGGTGCATAGTGCTGTTTCTCCTCATCGTAGCTAGCACTAGGTGCGATGCCAAAGGGCAAGGCAGCCCACCTGTCTATGAGGTGCCCCATCCTGCAGTGGTGGACAACCAGAAACGAAGTGGAACAGGTGAAACTTTGCTCACCTGTCTTATCGTCCACCGTCATGTGTGGGCAGACTATCTAGCCAGCTAGTCAACTCAGATGGGCCCTCGGCAACCTTTTTCCTAGTTGATCGGTCCTGACCTATGAATTTACGTCGATCTGTGCAGACTCACTGGCAAAGCTGCGCACGCTGGCAGCTCAGGAGGGGACGATCGACCGTCTATGGGGCAGGAACTGTTTCACCCGAGCCATGGACACTCTGGGGGTGTCACACTGCCGAGCCATGACGCCAGAGACTGCGTCCAGGCTGGCACTGGCCCTGGCAAACTGCCACCTGGCCATGCTGGGCCAGCGGCAGCACAGCTGCTCCCAGAAGAGCTCCCTGCAGGAGTGCACCAATGCCTTCCCTGATGACCGCTCCTTCGAGGCCTACATGGCTCAGCTCAGCCACATTGACAGGTGTGCTGGGATACAGATCTTGGTTGGGAATGCAATGAAGATCAATGTGCATGCCTGGCATTCTAAGCCTCAAGAATCGAAGGAGTAGAGTGTCATTTTGCAGTCCATCTGTTTGAAGTGGAGAGGAGAAGCTACCCGGAGTATCGGGCACCTGTTGGACTCTGAAATTTTCTGTGTGCTAATAACCCTTTCTTTGGGCGTGCAGCATATGTTTGTACCACATGCACGACACTTTCGGCATGCGGACGGAAGAGCTGATGCACCAATTGTTTGGCGCTTCCTCAGAGGCCCTCGAAAGATCAGCAGCAATCGGATCAGCGCTGTCTGGTGTCAATGAGCGGCTCGGAAGCATGGGGGATGTGCTGTCGAACGTGCACCAGCAACAGGAGCAGCTTGGAATAATTGGGAAGGCTACGCTGGCACAGTCACAGATGATCAATGGGCAGGTGGCCAGCATTCATGGGGGCCTTCAAGCTGTGCAGGAAGCTGGGGTAAGCTGCTATTGTCACTGTGAAGGAAGAAAGATTACACATCATCCAGTAATTTGACTGAATCCAGAAATGTCCATTGCATTGCCGCCTAGGGCTGACTAGGTGTATCAACAGCATCCAAATGATGAAATAATCCATGACAAATTGTGCAACATTTTCAATGTCCAACTGCCACAGAAAGTGAAGCCCTGCTGGCAGTGTTGCCAATGGAGACTGATTCATTAAGAAATCGATCACACCCTTCAAGTTCTTGTTCTTGCAGGATCTACTTCTCGAGAGGTCCAGCAACACCTTGAAGTCCATCGCCGAGCTTGACGCCAAAGAGTTGCAGCGCCACAGACAAAATAGCCTCCTCTGGCAGGTTGGTGCCCTATGCGTTATGGCTGCATATTGAGACTGCATTTAAACACCCGGAGAGCCTTCCACTCCCCTTGCCATCGTGAGTTCTCGGTAACCTTCTGACCAGTAGCTGTGCGTCCACAGGAGGCCAAGACGGATGCGCTGGCTTTCCAGCGCACCCTCGAAGCCATGAAAGTGAGGGAGCAGCAGTCCAGTCAGCAGTTGTCAGATCACCTCAGGTACTAAACAAGGATTCGCATTGGCCACCCGTTTTTTTCTTGTTGCATATGCTGCGCTAAATATACGGACACAATAGCTTATGTGAAGATATGAAGTGGCCGAATGTGGTGTGCAGTGATCTGGCTTTGAGATCTGAAGGGCTGCTGCAGCGTGTGAACACTGTGGTGGACCTGCAGCACAAGGCCAGTCGAGTCATGGTGCATCTCCTGGGCGCCCAATACACCCTAGGTGTGCCCTTCCTAGCCTCCCCTCCTGTATAGACATTAACACTTTGCTCACAGTATGCAACAATCTGCTGCTGAGAGACTGATGAACTGGGCATATATTCTGTATTCCTGCCGCTGCCCCGGATCAAGCGTACCTCCTGTATTACAAACTATATAATGCGTAGCCATTAGTGCAGCGTCAGTGAGTTTTTGGCACCTTGAGATTGAAGGTCAAATGGCTGTGGCAGGTGATGTGGTGTACTATGGAGGCGGCTTAAGCATGGCACTGCTGATGGGCATGCAGCCAATGACAAGGGCTGCACGGCTGCCTCTAGTGGGGGTCCTGCTTGCGAACTGGGGTGCTGAGCACTGGCTGATGCAATTGCTGCGGCCCCATCTGGAGGCTGATGCAGCGGGCGTGGTCTATGCTGTCTTGCCCAAGCCTAGATTCCTCAGCAGCGCCATCACCTTGCTGCATTACTATGGAGGACGTGCATCTCCAGGTAGTGAGCTTCAGGTGAGTGTGTGGTGGCTTGTCTCAGCTCAACACTTCCTTGCATCACCTAAATGCTCACTCATGCTACCCTGTGTGTCGATTACCAGGCGCATCACCCGCCTAGCAATCACACATTACAACCACCCTTAAACATCATGCATCAGCTTTTAATCGCGATTAATTTGTGTGACTCGATCTCCTGAACAGCATAGTTCTTAAGTGGTGGTTTCAGCGCATCTTCAGATGATGAGGAATGCTGTATCATTGCAGGCAGGCATTGGAGCACACAGCGTTGATAGTCAGCCTCAGACTGGCATGCTCAGATTCAGCGTGAAGAGTTTGGTGCGTAAGGCGTGCATGGGCCTGGCCCTGGTTGCCGTGGTGCGGGTGGCGCTGCTGCACAGCCGGGCTGTCAGGCTTCAGATGCTGAAAGAGGCTCAGCATGACAGGTGCCCTCACCAATTCCCTCGATATGAGAAAAATGTGATCTGTGCCCAATCCTTCATGCATGACACCTCAATGCCCTCCCATGTCCTTCTTTTTCTTTGCTCTTTGTCCCTGTTCCTTGGAACTTTGCCACTTGTGAGTTGGAACTTGCCACTTGGAACTTTGCTACAAGTTGATCCCTGTGGATGTGTGAGATGATTGTGTATGTGGTGTAATGATGCATGCGATCACAAATCTGTACTCAGGACGTGCATGTCTGGTTGGCAGGGAAGTGTGTGAGATACTGCAGAGGATGCAGCGGGCAGAGAGGCATGAGCGGCTGATGAGGGCCAAGCTGAACAAGGTTCTGGCTGAGCTAAGGGGAGGGCAGCTGCAGAAACGCCCTTTGCAGAAGGGTGCAGTGAAGGATCAGGATCAGAATACATTGATGCTGACAGAGGCAGAGCCCAAGAGCAAGCAAGGTATGTGCCGAGTCTGGTATTGAAGGGTGAGACGAGAAGCAGGCAAAATGTCTTCTGCATGTTCAGGCCATCGACAAGCGGAGGTATGTGCTGTGACAATCGCTCAAACGACAAGGCAGTAGTCGAAAGGGTTCGCGCACAAAAACTATCCCTCATGGTGCAGGAATGCCAATGGGCAAGAGCAGAAACCCAGCTGCTCAGCGCATGGGTAATGAGGGAGCCTCCATGGCAGGAGCACCAGAAACGGATGTGGCAGGATTGATGCAAAGCCCCTCCCCACGAGGGACTCCTGCTGTTGCAGTGCTGGGCCCAGCACAAGGTGCTGATTCACCTGCCTTGGGCGACAACGCAGCAGCAGCAGCAGCAGCAGCAGCAGCAGCAGCAGCAGCAGCGGCAGCCGATGATAGTGTGGGAAGATCGCTACGGAGACGGGATGGTGCAGAGGAACCTACAAGGGGAGGAGATGCATCAGAGGGGGGCCATGACAGCCACCGGGCAGCATCAGTGCGGCGACGTCTCAAATTCTCATCAGAAGCACAAGTAGACACAGCCATGCGCAGCGTTGTGCCTGCCGTGACCAATGATGCCAGCGCTCCTACAGCTGAAGTGGGCGCAGGGGTGCACATTTTCCCAGCAGCCGGTGTCTGTGAGGGCAGCGCTTTGGGTGGAGGTTCAGAGCCTCCTTGTAGCGCTGTGTCCCCACCAGGTGTGAGCTGAGAAGGCTTGAGCATGCATGGAGATGTCTTACTGCCGTGTGACATCTTCTTATGCAGTTAAGCATGCAAACCATGAAATGTTGCATGTGGCAGGACTTTGCAGTGCCTGCCACAAAGACATTGCTTTTTTTCCTCAAGGCACATGTACAAAGGCATTTAAATTCTTTTCTTGTGCAGGCGCTGGCAGAAAAGAAGCACAGAAGAGAGGCAGGGACGATGCTACCTCCAGCAAGAACTCAGCAGGTGCAGGGGCCAAGCCTTTGAAGAAGGGGCGGCTTGAGGTTGCGAGATCTTGAATGTCTTGTGGATTGCCCGACTCAGACAATGTCGGACACTGTCTAGACTGGCCAAATGTTGCTCTCTCGGCTCGAGTGTTTCTATCTTGTGTAACCAAAAAATTCTGACATCATGACATCGAGAATGGTCGTCATTTCATGTGGGATGCAATGCCGTGCAATGCACATTGGTCTTCGCATTCAGTGAGGCGAGAGTGTGGGTCATCTCTGAAATGCAGTGTGAGTGAGATGCCTAAATAGGCCGCCGCCAACAATCTGCCCCTGCATGTGGAGGCACCCCGTTTCTCGATACTGAATCAATGACTCTGAGACATTCAAAAACGGCGATTCTGCCTGATGACAAGAAATCCTCAGCTTTCGTGAAGCAACAGTCTGTATCCTCGGGGAAGATGAGCGGTCCGACTTACCACGCAACACAACAGGTGCTGGCCTTCATCTGTTTGTGATAATATCATGGCTCCAAGGCTGTGTGATCATGCAATTCCAGCCTTATCACATGTAGCGTTGCTTTCGCCTTTGACGGTTGCCGGTTGGGTATGTGGGGGACCTTTTGCTGCAGACGTGAGTGTGCTTCGTGCAGTGGCTTTTCACTGCCTATGAGCGCACAAAACGCATCGAGGATTGGCCGAAAATATCGCTGGTGGGCAGCACCAAAAGCGAAGGTGAGGCAGAGACGTCGTTCAGTTGCAACCTCAGGCACTGTGTGTTGGGCTCCTGACAGGCCCATACTCTCATATGACAGGTCAGAAAAAGGCCATATGGCCTGAGGGCCTATCTGAGGAAGAGCTGCTGCGCTGGTGGATCACTGAAAATGGCGGATACATCCACCCAGCCCTGCACCTCATTGACTCCCCGACTTGTGATGGAAGGTGGATATTGAACTCAATCTTGTCCTATAGCAGTTGCAGTGCACGTCATACTGCTTCCAATCCGCACTGGCTGCGCTTGATTAAGTAGGCAGTCTCTGCAGGGGCTGGGTGGCCTCAGAGGAGATCGATTACAAGACCGTCTGCGAAGAACAGCTCATTGTGATTCCCTATGGCCTGGGCTACTTTACCAAAGATGCCGTGGCAGAGCTCAACAAAGGCATACTGAAGGCTGGGTCATTATGTACCCTTCAGGTGCTTTTGAGACTCTGCCTGTTAAGCTTCTGCTTGATCATGTATCCACGGAATGCATGTGACTTCAGCAGGCAGCATCAGCTGATGGCCTAAAACATTGAGGGGTCTGCTTTACATCCAGGAGCTGGTACCAAAGGACTTGATAGAAACTGTGGCTCCACTGGGCATAGCGCTGGCGGCTGAGCGCAAGAAGGGCGACCAGTCTGAGTTCTGGCCCCACCTGCGCCTGCTGCCTGCAGAGCCTGAATCGCCCTGGTACAAGGACTATGATGAGCAGTCTGCCATCTGTGGAAAGCTCGGTGAGCCCCACAAGTTGCGAATATCAAAGTATGGCTGAACTCTGCGGACACAACTATCAATCGCAGGGTGTTTCTGCAGATGTCAAAAAGGCAGGGTGAGGTCAGATGTGTGATGCACCAGTAATATTTTCAGCACGCTGGCGATCATTACATTTCAGAGACCTTTTGGGAACCACCTAAGGCTCATTGGTCTTGTGGGCAGTGTGTCACTGCCAACCTTCATATCAGAAACTTCTCATGTGTCTGCATTCCGTTATAAATTTGAAGTTGATGTCATTAAGGGTTGCTTTTACTGCTGGCAGGGTGGCCGCGCATGCGCAAGAAGGAGCTGCTGAAGAAAATGAGGAAGACCAGGCGCACAATGTCAAACCTTGTAGACCTGTTCTTCAAGCTCACCAATATTGGCACACACCTGGGCCTGACTCAAGAAGAAGCCCTCTGGGGCGTTTCCACTGTAAGGACTTGGTCCCTCTCTGCCTTGGCTGCTGACGAGGCATGTTGGTGATTGCCGGCGGGGAGTTCCCTTCATTACACTGGGCTACTCAATTCAGTGCCGCTGCAGCCTTCTACTGTCTGGCCAAACAGAGGCGTGTGCCCTAATGACGAGTCTGATGCACTTTGATGGGGTCACAGGTTGAGGTGAGGAAGTACAGCTCGGGCATGCAGTGCAATCTCAAGCCTGCCATTGACTTCCTGAACCACCACCACGAGGCGGGCGGAGTCCTGAGGTGAGGACATGTCTTTTTCAGGAAGCACCTGCGTCATCTGAAAACGGATCTTTTATTGGCGTGGGGACATCCCGTGACCACGTTGGGGGTGTTCTCCAGCATTCTGCAAATTTGGGCGACCCCTCATGTGTTGTGTTGTACCCTTTCAGGCTTGCCCCAACTACCAAATATGACTTTGAAGATCGCAGCCTGCTCCAGATGGTGTTGTCAAGCGTGAACACAAAGCCCAAGCCGATCGCAGCAGGTAAGACCGGGGATTAGAGTGTGCTTGAGCTGCCGAAAGGAGTACCTGAGATTATTCGCATGCTAGCAAGAACTGTGCCCTGTCTTCATGCGCAGGAGAAGAACTCTTCATCCTGTACCCTTCTGGGCCAGGAAAAGTCACAAGAGATGAGATTTTGGAAAGGAATCTGATGCTATATGGAAGCGTGATGGAAGCCTGCCCAGCTGACTTGATATACAATAAGAGTGGTGGTGAGCATCTCATGCATTTGTCCTCGTTTGCATTGCGGTCTTTGTGATTTAATTGATGGCTGATGCCGCTTGCGTCGTGGCAATTCCAAATAAAGTGTCAAAGATTGCCAGGCAGACAGAGTCTGGCATGTGCTGCAGGGACTCCCGTTCGGAACCTTTACATTGACGGGATGGCAGCACAGAGCATCTCAGAGCAGCACTTCAATTTCACTCTGGAAGAGAAGACCGCTTTCAGCAAGAAATGCTGGGATTTGTTCAAAAAGGATCCTGAACATCCGTACCTTGTGAAATTCTGGCGCCCAAACATCGACTCCTACAGTAAGTATCCAACAGCCTCTGGCATGTCGAGGCCCCTAGGAACCTCTGTCTGAGCACTTCTACTTTTTGACCTGCAGTGGCGTGTTCCTATTGCCGCATGCCTACCATTTTATCCAAGCTACCAATTAAAAAAACACAGCGTCTGCCCATTCTCAATCCACACGTTTGGTTGAACATTCAAGGAGTGGCCTGGGGGCCAGTACTTAGAGCCATACTTCTGCACATGCGTACATCAGAAATCGATGCACTCGTCTGAAAGCTTGAGGTGCTTCTGGCATACATGCAGGGAAAGCGGAAGCGGAGGGAACTTTGTCAGAGGAAGTGCGAGTGCGCGTTGAGCCGCTGAAATGTGTCCACCCAGACTGCCCCAAGCATGCAGGCTACGGCAGGAAGCAGCTGTACTGCAGAGGCTGCTACGAGCCCTACTGCAGCAGTGCATGCCAGAAGGGGCACTGGCGGGAGCACAAGTCTGTCTGCAAGGTTATGGCTGAAGCACGGCAGCGTTCATAGGACTTGCAGGCATGATGCCCAGCTGCCGCCACAGATATGAGCTGCCATAATTAAAGAATGTTTTCACAAGATCTGTGAGCTTCTGACGTCATATAAGTCGAGCCGAGGCTACTGTACTACTGGCAGCATGCGCCGTTCCAAGCATGTAATCCTACCGGGTGTTTAGAGGTGCTGCATCATACGACCTCTGTGTGGAAGCACCCCATTTCGGAATCAGTTTGTGACAGGAGCCTGTGTGAGAAGGAATATTAGAGTATGTAGCGGGTGCACGCACGGCATCTGCAAGCTCAGACCACCCAGATTCACATGGGTCATTGCAACAAGTGCCTAAGTAGGCCGACGCCGATTCAGAGTCCTTCTGTGCGCAGCCTGGCCCAAACTCAACAATACGAGTCCTAATCTTCCAGATTGCTTGAATCCAGAGATATAAGAAAGTACAGACATCTCTCTGAAGAGAGAACGATTTCAATATCCTCTCGATTTGTGACAAGTTTACGCATATTCCTTAGCACCCAAATTGCTCGTCGACAGTGATCACTCGTGGATCACACGCAATGCAACAGGTGTAAAGAGGCCCATTCGTATGCTCTCTAGCTTTGCGATTAAAGCTATCGGACCCCGGTCCTGAATATCCTGCACACTTGCTTACAAGACTAATGCCTGTTTCAATAAAATTTACCAAGGAATAGATCCGTTAGTTACGCAAGATATCTTGTGCGCAGTGGATTTTCAATTCCTACCAGCTTATAGATGCCGGCAAGGCCAAACAAGAGTGGCCTAAGTTCTCTCTTGTGAACAGAACCAAAGATAAAGGTGAGACGGGCACTTCCTTCATCCGTACTCTCCACTTGATAATGAATTCAATAGTCTGCTCCTGGTCGCTCCAGTTTCCTGCTTGGAAGCTCTTTCTGATGCCTGACAGGTCCTCCAAAGCTGCAATGGCCTGAAGGGCTGTCTGAGGAAGAGCTGATGCGCTGGTGGATCACATCAAAGGGCGGATACATTCACCCTGCTCTGCGCCTGATGAAGTCTCCCACCTGCGATGGCAGGTGACATACCAATTCCACCATCATCATAGAGCATTGTTCAAAGCTAGAGTGTGCAATTTACAGTGAGCAATATGTGTTACACAGGGGCTGGGTGGCATCAGGGGAGGGGATTGGCTACAGGACTGTCTGCGAGGAGCCCCTCTTTGTCATCCCCCATGGCCTGGGATACTTCAACAAAGATGCTCTGACGGAGTTGAACAAACTTCTGCGCCAGACCGGGGCACTGCAGGATGTTCAGGTAATAAATCATCCCTTGCCCTGCCAAGCATGCCTATCCTTAAACGCTGAGACACGCACATGATATGTGGTTTTGATCCATGGCTTCCTTATTCTTGGCCCAGTGTTTTGCTGCTCGTGGCCTGGCGTTTCATTGGCTTTGCTTTGTGTTCAGGAGCTGGTACCCGAAGATCTTCTCTTGGATATTGGGCTGCCGCTGGGTATAGCACTGGCTGCTGAGCGCAAGAAGGGCGACCAGTCTGAGTTCTGGTCCCACCTGCGTCTGCTGCCTGCAGAGCCACAGGCGCCCTGGTATAAGACCCCAGAAGAGCAGTCAGCCATCTGTGACAAGCTGGGTGAGTCCCACAAGCAAGCCCTTGCTACTCCTTCTCGCTTGCTAGCACGCTGCTGTGGTGCATGTGTATCAGCACAACGCGTGCAGCTGATCTGGGGTACTTTGCCAGGGACACTGCGGCAGAGCTCACCAGAGTTCTGAAGAGCCGTGGTTCCAAGTACAGTCTTCAGGTGTGGAGTTGTATCCTCCTGTCATGCAGCCAATATGATTGCCATGCATGCGGCTCTCTTGGGATCTCTTGGGACATATGCATGCATGTCACAAGCACCTCAATTCATGACATGAACTCTGTGCTGATGCATGCAAGGGTTCTGTGAGGTCCAGGATCTTGTAGCGAGAGTCCTATCTGAAAACTCACGTGCTAATGGGCATTGCACTGGCGGCTGAGCGCAAAAAGGGCGACCAGTGTGAGTTCTGGCCCCCACCTGCAATTACTGCCTGCAGAACCTGAATGACTCTGGTTCAAGACAACAGCGGAGCAGTCTGCCATCTATGACAGCACAGGTGACTCCCATGACAAAAATATACAAAGCTACTTGGTTTGAGTTGCAGTCATTGTTTTAACATATCTGAATTATAGTGTGCAGGGTTGTTGACTCGTAGGATGGCCATCGCGCCGCAACAAAGCAATTATCAATTGCCTCCGGCAGGACAAACGCGAGATGTGGATTTTGGGGGATTTGTACTTGACGGGGACCAATCTGGGAACACTTCTGGGGCTGACTTGTAGAGGTTTCATGTGGGGCACGCCTGTTGTAATAATTTAAACCCTCTGACCGCGCAGAGATCCTTCGTACTCATGCTTTGGTGTGATGGCAGGGGTGGCAGTCATTGATACACTTATATACCTGCACTTTACATGTGCCTCTGCTGCAAGTTTTTCTGCATGGCAGCGAGTGCAAACTGCATGTGAGTTGCTGGTGTCGCAGGCTCAGATTTGAATGCAGAGCTCTGGAATGCATGGTGTCATTCCAGCAGGCATTTGACTTCCTCAAGCACCATCCTGAGGCTGGTGGAGTTATGAGGTAAGGACACATTCATGACTTCAGGCTATTGCTTTCTTTGCAGCATGCACATGCCACTGTCTACCCAAGATGACTTGCAGGTGGGGAATATGGCACAATAGACCCCAAGTGATACCGGCATCACTGTGGATCTGTCTTCACTGACAGACCTGGAATACTGATTCCTCCGAGGGTCTCAGTTCGTGACTTTGCAGGGTGGCCCCTGACAAAGCAGCAGATTTCAACGATTGTCACCTCCTTCAGCTCGTCCTGTCATGCATGTCTCCAAAGCCCAAATCGCTGTCACCAGGTGAGTCTACAGACAAGCCTTTGTTTTCCATACTCTCGAACTCTCATGCATGACTTAAATTGGTAAGCAGGTGTAACTCATTACCTCTTCTGCTGCCGTGCGAAGGAGAGATGCTGTTCATGATGTAAATGCTGACCCACAGCGCGCAAGGGAGACACTCCTTGAAGATGGCTTGATCCAATTCGGATGTGTGCTGGAAACCTCCATTGCCACTGCCCAGCTCACCATGGAAGGTGAGCTCCCTCACTGAGCTGGCAGCAATCCTCTTTTCTACAATATCAACTGTCCAGCACTGAGAGCATGAGTGGAGATACAAACTGCCGTGCCCTGCATGCATGCCTGATGTCACGCACTATGCTATTCGCTGGTCATAGGGTGTGTTCAATGAAAACAATTTGGTTGGGGGACTGCAAAGAAGACCTAGCTGGTCCCCTGCCGCCTCCTACAGCGGGGGGTCCTTTTGCTTTCTCATAACCGATATTTCCCGTTTGGCCGTCGCCTTGGACTTCTGTCCGCTCGTAGATCTTGATTAGAGTGGATGCAAGCAAGAAGAAGAAGTTGCTCGCGTGATAGGCGATAGTACTTTGCCCCGGAACGGGCTGATCCTTTGGCTGTCCGTGCAGACAGGCACGGGAACTTACAGAGCTCACATTCGTGCAGCCGGGCCCAATATAACGCAAAGGTATCGTTAGATTTGATAGATGTCGATTGCCGCAGATGTTGCAGAACAGATCCTAGACCGTATACAGGAGTCATCGTGAGCAATGCTCGACGCATTCCCAGACGCAAAGCACCAGGTGCTCGCCCTCGGCCTTCCCGACACCGATGTCTAATAATATTATTTTAGTATTAATGAAAGGGATCATAAACACCACAATTGGAACTACCTGAAGGAGTAGAAGGGAGATATTGACCTAGACAACTCATGAGACACACTCGAAGAAATAATCCTTCTTGTTCGGCGCAGTGGCTCTACAAGGCATACAGCCTCGTCAATCCCGCCAAGAGGGCTCTGCCCAAGTTCTCCTTTCATGAAGGCATGGAAGCTGCTCGTTTCGGAAGCCTTGGCTGTATGTTCACCCATTGAAAAGGATCCTTCTGCTGAACCTGATCTTCGTTTCTAACCTGATATGTTCGTTAGGTCACTCAGAGCTTCAGTGGCCGGAAGGGATGTCTGATGAGGAGCTGCTGCGCTGGTGGATCACTGAAAATGGAAAGCACATCACCCAGCCCTGCACCTGACAAAGTCCCCCACCTGCGTCGGCAGGTGCGCACTGAAGCCTGGTGAACTGTGTACTAGCTCCAGGCATTGAGTGCAAAGTGGCAAGATCATTGTGCGTGTGTCATGCAGGGGCTGGGTAGCATCAGAAGACATTGACAAGAAGACTGTGCGCAGAGAGCCTCTCATGGTCATTCTGTACGGCCTGGGTTACTATGCAAGAGATGCCCTGGCCGCGTTGAACCAGATATTGCAGGACAGCAACTTCAAACAGTCCATCCAGGTGCTATCTTTGCACAACACTCATGGCAATTTGGGCCATCATGCATTTGATCCCCGAGGGGTTAAATTGAATGTTTTATTGCACTCAGCTTGGATCTGGCGAGTCCAACATGGGGTAGAGGATTGTGGCAGCCCTTCACTGCACCTTGCTTCTTGGCAGGAAAAGCGTTGGAAAATGATTTAAAAAATAGTACACTCAGTGGGGCTCTTGGCATAGGCTGTTGGCAGTAACAAGAATGAATGTGGTGACTAGGAAATGATGCCAGAAGAGGTGTGGGACAGCTCAGTCCCGCTGGCAATTGCAATGGCGGCTGAGCGCAAGAAGGGCGACCAGTCTGAGTTCTGGCCCCACCTGCGCCTGCTGCCTGCAGAGCCACAAGCGCTCTGGCTCAAGACCCCAGCAGAACAATCTGCCATCTATGACGACCTGGGTGACTTGAATCGCACGTTGCCCTCCATACTGTTGTACTTGCTAACAGCCATGGCAACCTTTCCTTGCAGGTTGCATGTATTCTGCACATGGTCTTGCAGTGCTGCTCAATGCTAGGGAGGGTCCTCTCACCATTGAGTACTGACAGACTGGTATGAATGGGAACAGGACGGCCAAAATATGGCAAGAATGCAGTGATGAAGCTACTCAAGGAAATAAAGCAATCTGCGGAGAGCCTTGTGGATTCCTTTCTGCAGGAGACAAACCTTCACGTACTCCTGGGCATTACCCGCGAAGAAATTCTGTGGGGTCTTATTACAGTGAGGCATTACAGCCTGAGTCCCGATTGTCCTGTAAAGCCCATTTATGTAGCGTGTGCTCTGTGTTCAAGGTTTTTTGGGTGTGCTACATTGTTACACAGGTATGCACATGCATTGTTGCTTGCTCAGCATGGGTTTCTCGGTTCTGTAGAAAATCTCTCAATGTTCAGGTTAATATGAGGCAGCACAGCTCAGGCCAAGAGGGCCACATCAAGGTGGCTCTTGATTTTCTGAACCACCACTATCTGGCTGCCCCAATCCTGAGGTGAGATTCATGGAAAGCATGCTTGACATTCAGTTTCCCCACCCCTTGTAGAAGCATCCTTTGAAAGCACGTTCATGTCTGGAGCACCTAATCAGCATTCCGGAGAAATTTTACATGGGATTCTGTCTACATGCAGTTTCGAGCCATCTGATCCAGGATCCACAATATTCGATGCTGACATCCTTCAGATGGTGATTTCCAGTAAGTCTGTGAAGCCATCCGCCCTTGCAAAAGGTAATGCAATATTGACAAAGCGCACTGCAAACCCCTTTTGGACTCTAGAGAAGACAGAAGACTTGCCCTTGGCAGTGCAGATATCTCATTGGAGACGCTGACCTGGCGGTCGCGAAATTGCTGTGCAGGGGATGAGCTCTTTGTTATCTATCCTGACGGAGACGCTAGTTTCTGGAACAGGAAGAAGGATCTGATTGAGAATTATTTTGTCAATTATGACGTTATTATGCAACCTCCTCATTGTGAGCCCTTTTCATGCACAGCCGTCTCCAATCATGTTCTCGATCTGTTTATTTGAAGCTTTGCAGCCTGCCCATATTCGGAAGGGAAAAATGCCGGATCAGATTGGCCTTCCTGCACTCGCCCAATTGAGACAAGCTATGTGCCTGTGTTGCGCAGGGTCTGTCTTTGATTGGTGTATTGATATGCCATTCGTCGTTTCAAAGAGGCCCTACAAGCTGACATGGGATGAGGAAAGGATCCTTGAAGACAAGTTAAACGCTCTGGCCGAGACCGACCCTGGACATCCCCTCATTGTAAAGTACTGGCTGCCCGAGAAGATGAAGCGGGGTAAGCTCATCTGCCCTGCTTGAACTGTATCAGAGCAATGCATGCCGACAATGCCAACTCAGATGCAAAATGCCCTCCTAGGAAGTGTGCGCTCAAAATACCTTAACTTGCAATTTGAAAGGTTATTGCTTTCCTGAGCAAGATCTCGGCTCATAGTTGCTAGAAGTCCGTGCATGCTATCAAGTCACTGCTCTGCCAGTTCTGTCCCGACAGGTTTGCTTGAAGTCGTATGTGAAAGAATGCCTCATTGTGCTTGCAGAGACATTGCTCTTGCAGATGTTCCCTAAGAGGCGATCAGCGCAGGCTACCTCAGGACCGCAATTCATGGCAGGAGGCGCTTTTATCGCAGCAGCACTTGCAGGCAGAAATGCAGCTACAATTGCCAGGAGGCGCACTGTCCAGAGCAAAAGCCTGCCTGCAAGGCTTCGGTGGCCAAGGGGCCCTGCATGCATGATGTACAAGCACAACCTTTGCATGCGATGCCACGTCCGATAATCAGCCCTGGCAGCAGTGGGATCAGGCCTCAGATGTGACTTTTGTGGTTCTCTGCAAGATTGTGTATAGAGTGCTGTGATGAACTGAGCATATAGCTTGGCGTGCGGTTTGGAAAGAGGATGTATATCAGGTCTGCACAGGTCGGTACATTTGATGCACACTTTGCGCATGTGGGAATTTGGGAATCACATCCAGGAAGTCATGACCAGCAGAAAGAGCCATGCTGGTTTAACTTCCTGCATGCACACACAGGGTTGCAGCCTTTAATCCTGCCAGTTGACAGATTACTCAACTTTTAATCTTTATCACAATCCTGAAGCCTGTCTGTCTGTCTGTCTGTCTGTGTGATGGAGATGTCTCGTACAGCAGCAAGAGAATTGCTCCAGTACTTGCAGCATGGGCAGTGGTCACGGGGTGCTCCGTATGGACATTCACAAAATCTGCCATGATGTTGCTACTCAATTTAGATGCAAATTTGCTGTGGCATTTTTAGCTTGACTGTGCCACAACTTGTGTGTGGTCTTGATGGCCTCATGCATGCATGCGCACTTAATGAAAAAACACATGATATGCATTCTGCATGTCACTGTCTTGACTTTGGCAAAAAACCGGATGCACAGATGAACATGCAATGCAAGCTATACACTGAGCTTGCAGCATGCCCTCTAGGAGGTCCTCCAAATATCTACATGCCAGAATATGCAGGTGTAAAATTTTGGCAGAGGCAGTGACAAATCCTGGAGGACAACCTAGATAGGCAATTGCATCATAGCGACCAACTCTCACTTTCTCGCTTAAGCTTTGAGGCTCAGTTTTTCAGGCTCGGCCGCTACCTGTATCGAGGACTTTCATGTAAATCGCAAGCTTCTTATCCGAGAGAAGAGAGAAGCGGACGACGGAAAGTAATGCCCGACCGTAAAGTGCCTGGCGGCTTGAAGGCCAAACTTCTGGTGTGCAACATCGATATCATCACTGATTCTCAGACGTCGTCGCTTCTCCAAACAATGGGTTCGAATTCGCTTTACTCTTGGTTGTGGCAACTCCAATTGAGTGGCTAACGCGAAATTCGGGCGCAGTGGACGAATAAAGCATATCGACAAGTAGCACAGCCTGAAACGTTTCCAACTCTGCTGGACAGCTGGCAGCAGAGAGGTTTGTTTTTCAGCTTGCATTACTTTAGGCTTCAAGCACTTGCAACCTGCCTGTAGTACCACACTGACCTGGTGAGCTTACTGTGCTTTCCTCAGAGTGCTTTCGAGGTGAGTGGCCCGATGATCTGTCCGATGAGGACCTGCTGCGGAGCTGGATCACTGACAATGGAGGCTATGTGCACCCTGACCTGCACCTGACACAGTCTCCCAACTGCCAGGGAAGGTGCAAACTCACTCACATCAGACAGTCCTTAAATTGTAGACTGGCGAACGTCATTTGCCATGTACAGATGCCACAAACATCCTTCCAGGGAACTCTGATATGCAATGCAGGGGTTGGGTGGCTGGGAAGCTGATTGACTTGGAGACTGTCTCCACTGAGCCGCTCATAGTCATCCCTTTGGGGCTGCGGCTGCAGGCAGCAGACGCTGTTGTAATGCTGCAGCAGGTGATGGTTGATGTCGGCTGGAAAGGGAGACTGGAGGTGTGTGATATGCCAGTAGTGCACGGCAAGTGATATATATATATATATATATATATATATATATATATACACGAAAAATCACATCCCTCACGTGCACTGTAAAAGTCGGAACATGTCATGGCCTCTGTGCAACACTGCGGCACAATTTGTCATTGCAGGACGTGCCCAATGCCAAGTACTACCTTGAAGGAGAGATCCCTCTTGCGGTCTGCCTTGCTCATGAGCGCAAGAAAGGAAGGCAGTCACCCTTCTACCCCTTCATGAACCTCCTGCCCAAGACGGCCCCATCCTTATGGCTCAAGAGCAAGGCAACCGCCAGGCAGCACCTGGCAACTCTGGGTACGGCACTCCTATATGGCAGCACAGGATTGTTAATATACAATTAGGGTACTTAGGTTCACTCTATTTGTTGCTGTTGCCCTTGATGTGCATCATTTCATGGGGTGAGCAGGCCTTACACCCAGTCAGATGGCGATCGTTCATGGGCAGATATTTGAGGTTGACAAGAAGGAGTACGTGCCAGCAATCCGGCAATTCTTGGCCTCCACTCCTTTTGGTGCGGCTCTGGGAGTGACTGAGGCTGATGTCCAGTGGGGACTGTCCCAGGTGAGGTTCCTCACATACTCTCACTCAGCCCTGTGCCGGCTGCTCCAGCAAGTTGGCACTCTCTTCTGGCTTTCTTGCTGTGATCAACCCTTGCTACAGTGAGTCGCGTGTTGAGCAAAGTCCCTTTCCCGTGGTGGGCAGGTTCTCACACGCCAGCACAGTGGGGGTTCGGCCGGCAATGTGAAACCGGCCATTGACTTCCTTAACCATCACGGCTCTGCTGGAATGATATTGACCATGTACGCACTAGTGCTCACCCAAACCGAATATGTTTTACCAGCAAACTGCTGCTCTCAGCAGAGTCGCCTGAGTGTGACTACGCAATTCATGCACGCATGCATGCGCGCATGCCCAAAAGTTGTTTATTGTGCTTCTGCAGGGCTTTTGCAAAGACAGTGCCTGTGCAGCTCCCAAAAGAGTCCCTGCAGCTGGTCATGTCCATCATGGATGGATCCCCTAGGCCGCTGCAGCCAGGAGACGAGCTGTTTCTGGGCTATCCTGGCCCTACCGCAACCTCACCAAAGCATGCTGAAAGAATCATGCTTTCGTCAGTTGCAATTTTTGGGGCAGTCCTGGATGAGACAACTGCCCAGGAGCCACACAAAGTGCAAGGTTTGTCATCATATATCTCAGACTATCGGATTCTCTGTGACGCACCTCCCTTTGCTCGACACACTGTTGACATCGTGCCGAGCGCACTTAAATATTCTGTTTGCTGTGTCATCACCTGATGCAGGAAATTATATCATTCACGATGACACGTCATTAACCGGCAGCAATTGGGTACCCAGCCAGGATCAGTGGGTGCAGCTGCTGGTTGACTTGAAGGACCTGTTTGAAAAGACGCCGGATCATCCCATCATTCGGCTCTTCTTGGAGCCTTGCGGCTTTGAAATGCGCGGTAATCTCTTTCCCTTGTGTCTTCCCATTAGTCTGCATGCTGGCGCAAACATCTCTGGCATTTAATATTGCCATTCTCAGATTGTGCCATGCAAGCTCTTGTTACAGGAGGCAATCTTCTGACACGGTGTCATTTCAGTTCCACTGCGATGTGTCTATGGAGGCTGTCCAAAGGGCAGGGTTCCTTTGGGTACCAAGCAGCCCCAGTGCTCAGTCTGCCATGCGCGCTACTGCAGCCAGGCATGCCAGAAAGCACACTGGCGGGAGCACAAGCCGCACTGCAAGCTAGCAGCGCTGAACATGAAGTGACTAAAACCCCTCATACCCCTGAAATTCCCGATTGAAGTGAGGTCCAGGATTGGCGTTGCACCTTAAGGGGACTTTTATATATATTGGATCTGCCTTACTGCAGGGCAATCTGTAGATTGGCGGCAGTCCAGTATGATGCATGCTTGACATCAACAGCACATTGATGCAGATTCACCGTTCCAATTGAGCATGGGACTACCAATATCACCTTGTGTGGCAAGCAAGTTCCATGCAATGTTTGTTACAGGAGGGGCTATGCTCAGGAGGGCAAGTTTAATGCAAATGGTGGTTCTTAGCTTTGCATGCGATGCATTGATGCTCATTTGATTGGCATGACGAATCGCATTGTCACGATGGAATGGCTTCCTAATTTGGCAGCGAGGCTGCTCTCGAAGTTCTCTTGCATCGAAGCTTTCTCCTTCTGCCTACAGGATTGCATCTTGGTCCCGACGATATGCCTACGTGTGCAAATGCAAACATATTTGACTTAGAGATGGCGCAGCCACAGGGCAAGTCTCTGGATGATTCGCTTAACGGCTTGAAGTCGGATTTATTGGTTCGCCCAGGCTCAGTCTTGCAAACCATTACCTTTATCGAATGTTTGGTCTCACTCACCAGATCCTTTCGCCACCTGTGGTCACGAGTGAGCGAAGAATATTGAAATTGCTTTCGTGTTTGGTTGTCTCACTGATTTATGGACTGTTGCGCAGTGGTCATGCAACCTATACCAGAAAATCAGGCGAGTTCAGAGATGGCCATCGATTTTGGAAGCTGGAAATAGAGAGGTGAAAGTTTAATTGACAGCTTCTCAGCTTGAATTTGCTACTTGGTCGCATCTCCAAATGCACTGGCTGACGATGATGTCAACAGCTTGTCGTGCTCTACGATCAGGTTCCGTCCAGGGCAGCTGGCCCAAGGATGTGTCAGATGAGAACCTGCTGCGATCCTGGATCACTGACAACGGAGGCTATGTGCACGCTGACCTGCACCCGACACAGTCTCCCACCAGGGCAGGTGCTCTGCCCCTCTGGACCGAAATGCAGATCACAACTCGCCCTGCAGGGAGACACTTCACTTGATAATTTGAGATGCATTGCAGCGGTTGGGTGGCCAGGAAGTACATTGACTTGGCCACTGTGTCCACCCAGCCGCTGATGGTCATCCCATTTGGGCTGAAGCTGCACTTTGGATATGCAGTGGCCATGTTGAATCAGGCCATGATCGACATTGGCAAAAGGTGTGCTGTGTTGGGCTCGCGTGTGTAAAAAGATTTCCAGGGCTGGCCAATAAGGCCAGTGTTGATTTCTTGCTATACTTACAGTACTATGTAAGGCAAGATCTGCAATGTGGATGCTGCAGGATCTGTATGGATGGAAGCATCGGAAAGACACTGAGTGCCCTCTCGCTCTGGCTCTAGCCTACGACAGCAACAAGGGGCCTCACCCTTGTTGAGGCTGCTACCTGAAGAGGCCCCATCCTTGTGGCTGAAAGAAGTCAGGAGGCATTTGTCCAGCCTGGGTGATTCTGAGCTTCTATTCATGCAGATTTCCTGGCAATATCTGCATCTGCATATATTTCAAGTGCATTGTATGGGCCTAGGGTGTGAGCTGTGCTGCTACTGTAATCGCATTCAGTACGCATCTGCAGAACCAGCCATTGGGTGGGAGATCTCGGCAACCATCATCGCATAGCAACATCGTGGGAGGTTTTATCTTGTCATATATTAAGTTTGGATTAAAAATCCCATTATGCAGGAGGCGGGATGTGCGGTCCCAACTCCATTCCTGGCTGACATGCTTGTGGGGACTTCCAATGCCTACCGAAAAGTTCTACTTCGAACGACCCTGGAAGTTTCCGTTTCTGCCGGAAGCATGGGATGAGAGAGGTGTGCTTCAAACCATTCCTCCAGGCTTTGAGCAAAGTCTTGATCAGCCTGCTGCATCATGCTGCCATGGACGGCAATCTCTAATTCCCTCTGCTCTTTCCGGAATACTTTAATGGCCCTACTTGGTATGCTATATCTATTGCAGCAGTTTTGAAGTAAGATTTATGGCACGTTGCACCTTGGTGTGACCCAAGGCAGTCATGACAGCGCAGCACGTGCCTTCAATTATTACAAACTCTGAATAACAGTGTTCTGCAGCTTCAGCTTTGGCTTTTGCAAAATCAAAGAAGACCGAGAGGAAAACCAATGGTGTTCTCATGCATGAAGCGCAAACCCAGCGCACTGGCGCCAGGTGAATTAAAGCAGCCTTAGAAACAACCCAGTCATGCATGAAATTACACACCTAAGATTGTGTCGATTTTAGGTGCACCCCGTTTGCATGCGCAGGGGACGAGCTGCTGGTTGTCTACCCCCCAGGAATCCGGCGGGCTCCACATCCGAGCGTGAGATTGAGGACTGCATCGTTTACTTTGGATGCGCCTTGGAGCCTTGCTGAAAAGGAGCCGCCTTTCGCGACGATGGTACGTGTGCATCCTGCCTGTGCTTACTAATCTGCTGGGATTGCAGCTTTGCATTTGGTTTGCAGCCAGACTCAAGGTGGCTGCCAGAATCCTGGTCTGTTACTGCGTTGAATAGACAAGGGAACAGGAGCGCACACTCATGCCTGAGACATCGCTTCTGAACAGGGAGCGCCCTGGGGCTTGCGACCATCTCAGGAAAACACTACAGCCTGACATCGGAGGAGAATGGTGCCTCAAATAACATTTAATGGAAGCTATACGAGACAAATCCTGAGGCGGCATTCATTAAAAGATACTGGCTTCCCATGAAGACCGAGAAAGGTACATCAGTTTGCCAGTACACTGTTGCTTGGATTTGGGAGGAGCTTGACATGAGTAAGTGAAAGTGGATAGCATCAGGTCAGCTGCTGGACTCTTGTGCAGCAGCTGTGTACCCCTTCAGGCATTCATTCTCCCCTGATAATGCCGGCGTGTCTTTCTGGTCTGCTCTAGCGATAAAGAAGGCTTGTATAGCTCAGACCGTACATGCACTTGAAGCCTGAAATAGTGCCCCTCAGGCGTACAGTGTGATCGGAGAGAAGATAGAGGCAGAGGGCCGCCTTTCAGCTACAGGGATCCGGCAGATGCAACCCCTGGAGTGCATCAACCCGAGATGCCCCAAGGATCCGGCCTATGACACCAAGCAGATGCACGGCAGTGGGTTGCAATGCCCCCTACTGCAGCCGCGCATGCCAGAAGACAGAGTGGCCCCAGCACAAGCCGCACTGCAAGATCTCAGCTGCTGCAAAACAGCGGCTCCAGAACCTGTCTCTGTGATGCCGTGCATTTGCATGCAAGAGTACTGGGTGCTGCGGCATGACTGGCGGGATATCCTGTTAGGTGCTCTGCATTGGGACACATGCAAGCTGTTGTCAGGTTGTGTAAACATGATTGATTCTCTGCTGGTAGCGGGAGATATGCCTTGGCCGCGCCCCTGTCAAGTTAATTGGTCCCTGAAATTAAATCACAGTATGCATGCACATGCAGTGCCGCACATGCGGCATGTAATGCACAGTGCTCCCTCCGCACTTCATTCCCTCATTATTTTCATGCAATAACAGAGATGTTGTCATTGCTCGCACAGGGGAAACTGCACCTCAGCAGTCACGAATGGGACTCAATGAGAAGCCATGTGCCACCATTTTGAAAATGCCTAAACAGGCGGCCCACGCTTTCATGCAGGATCCATCGCCGTGGTGCTGCTCGGTGAAAAACAGATCGTAATATTGTCATGAGAAACTTCTACTCTTAAATAAATTCTCGTCCTGAATGTCATCGGCATCATAATCCACAAGCTTACGAAACGTCAGCCTCTGCTAATTGGACTCCCCAGGCCTGCACGCCCTCTATCAGGTTTGGGCTTTGAAGCGGTAATGGAAGTAAATGCAAGTACCTTCAAAAGATTATTCTCATGCTTGGGAAGTCAGATCCGCTGGTGCTGAGTCTACGGCTTGAGACAGGAACACAAAGGATTCTCTCTGAACCATAATGTTCAGTCTGGAGCGATCGTCGTTCTCCTGCTGCGCAGGGGATTTTCACATCGTTCAAGCTTACAAGCCCATCCCAGCGTCACTCTCAGAGAAGGAAGTGCAATGGGGAATTGTTTGAGTCCCCCACGGCAGGTGAGCTGCGATTGCGCTGCTGCCGCCCTTTCGGCACACGATCAATGATTTGAATGATATTACGATACTCCAGGATTCCGAGCTGCTTGTGTGATTGTGTAGGAGGAGGAGGAAGAGCCCAACGCTGTGCACGCTCTCCCCATTGAGCTCTGGGAGAAGATTGCTGGCATGATGCAGACCGAGGAATGGGCACGCTGTAGTGGCACATGCAGGTGGTTCCTGACGTTCAGTTGCCTCTGGCTAGTGGCTGCAGGTGTAAGGCATTGCGTTCTGTGAGCAAGCCACACTTGATAAGAATGGGCCCACTGCACTGCTGAGGAAACCTCTCGCTATCCATGCAGGGCCACATGGTCGGTTCAATTGAAGCGCATCAGAGTGCAAGAACGGCCACTCGTGGCCATGCTCCGGCCTGGGTCAGTCCTGCGGTGGGTGGTGCGCCACTGGCAAGCAGCCCAGACGATCAGCATGGATGTCAGGCACAGTGATCCGATGCCAGAACTAGCAGCCGATCAGCATCACAGCACCATGCTGCCGGTCAGGGAGCTTAACCTGCGCCTTCACAACCACAGCAAAACATGGAGCACATGGATACAAGCCGTGCTGTCACACGCTCCGCAGCTGGACTACTTGTCACTAACCATCACAGAGTGCCCGCTGCTCCCAGCAATGCCGCAGCTGCAGCATTTGCTTTTGTCAGCCAGGTACAGAAACGAGCAGCAGTGGCGGTCGCTGGAGCAGCTGACAGCCCTGCGCACGCTCCAACTAAACACCCCGATCCACTTTGGCATCCAAGAGGATGTGGTTGTCCTCCCTGCAGCCGTCCAGCAACTCTCCCTGACTGGGATCCTGCCACTGGCAGTGCAGCTGAGCGCAACGGCTGCCAGACAGCCTGTCTTCCACATAGATGCCACTGCGATCGAAATTCGGGAAACTGCCGCCCGCTGGCCCATGAATGTTCGCAGCCGCATCAAGAGCGTTGGCATCCGAGCAGAAGCGTATGAGCTTGAGCAGGCGGTGAATGCCCCAATTTGGAACGGGCTGCCAGCACTGCTCCAGCTTCAGATTAGCCCACCAGCTCACATCGGAATCTCGCTGCACTTCTGGCAGCCAGTCCACTTCCATCAGCTGACTACTCTTGTCGTTGTGGTGAGCACAATCTTTTCTCTGTGACAACTTGCAAAAGAGGAAGGCGCATGCATGCCAGTGCCAAAAGACGTGTGCAGTACGGTGTCTGCTGTACTAAAGATTTTCTGCAAGTGGCTTTGTTTTTATCATGATCGGGCTGACTGGATGTCATGTGTGTAGCCTGACAGGCATCCGGCGACCTCTGCATCACTGTACCAGCGCTGCGAAGCCTGCGGCTCTTGCGCTTGAAGACCGAACACAAGCTCTGCTTGAGATTTTCGGATGCTCTTCTCAGTGCTGAATGCATCCATTCCTTTGAAGTCTCATATGCAGAAGGCTCGCTTTGCCGATCAGATGAGATGCAGCTGTTCAGGCAACATCTAGGTCAGGTTGCTGATGATGGCGTCCGATTGATTCGAGAGATATACCAGCAGCCTGAATATCCTGAGGAGAATATTGTGCGCTTGAGGACCTCGCCCATGCGAGTCTGCAGCCGAAGATGCTGGCCCCAGCGCACATGCCAGTGCGGGTGCTGCACCAAGTGCATGGCATATGGAGTCTGTTGTGACGACTGCGCTTATAGCTTTGCCTGCAATGAGTGCATTGGTCCCCCTGCCTACAATGAGGCTTCACCGGAGCTAGGATGGAATCTGGCGCCCTTTAGTGGGAATGAGGATGCCTGTGCAAATGAGCACTGCCTGCTACATGATGCAGGCGCAAATGTGTGACTCCTGGCTTGGACAGCATGTGACCCGATGGTGACTGGCATGCTTTGCGATCGAGGCCCTGAAGTGGCATTGAGAAACTGAAGGTGTAAGCATATACCTGGATGATGCCTTAGCGTGCCATGAGGCCACATGCATGTGCAATGTTTTGCTGCACTCCCCACTATCATTTGTTTCCCTAACCTGCATGATCTCCCTGAAGGGTTCAGGTTGGAGGAACGCCATTCAACGACTTCTTGCATTGTGGCTCAGCAACTGCTGCCTCCCAACCTTGTTTCAAAAGCGGGATTCAAATCACGTCTACGTTGAACCCAATTGTCATCTCAGGGACGCACGAAGGCCCACCAAGGAGGTGTTGGTAGCCTGACGGCTTCCTTCCTCTATCCAGCCCTTTTACATGGCGAGCTGCAGGCAAGCCTCATCTTATTTTTCGTGACACGTGTGTGTCGAGGCTGGAAGAGAAGCTCGTGCAGCGCTTGTGTCAACAATGACATTGTGTCCATCACACTGCTAGGTTGCCAGCACTCTGGATAGATCTGCACATTGTGTCAGTCTCACCGCCGCTACTGCTGGTGCTGCAGGAATGAAATGCAGCAGGGAACAGACACACGCCGTTTCCAGCGCACCGGTGAGCCCTGCTACCAGCAGCAGCAGATTACGAGAAAGCGATGTGTCGTTCCAGCCCTTGACTATACAATCGAAGGACAGCCCTCCGTTTTGGCACCAGCAGCTAGCTGGACACAGGGTGTGTGCAGTCCTGTTCAAGAGAGCCACAGACTGCGTGCCTATGCACATCCTGATACCTCTCCGCTCTGTGTGTTCAGACGATGAGGAAGGCTGCAATTTATGGGAGGACGACGACGCCAGTGACCTTTATGACGCTGATCCATTTTCAGGTAAACCTTCTCATTAGCTCTTGTGACATCTGCAAGTTTGCGTTGCCGCAGAGCCCTGATGGGCGTGTTGTGTGTCTGGAATGCGAACCGAGCTACTTGCCAAAAATGACTCCAGTGTCCATCCAGCAGGACTCTGTTGATCGCTCCCCATCGCAGCGTCTTATGTGTGTGTGGTGGGCGGAACTCAGCGAAGCATTGGCTTATACACAATGCATAAGGTGCCGGTTGGAGAGCTGGTTGTGCTCATGCAGGAGACCACCCGAAGCTCAAGCCCAAGTTCTCTCGTGAATGCTATGAGGCACACGCAGAGAGCGTGGCCATGCAACTGAGCGAAATTCCGTGGACTCCTCGGTTCTGGAGGTCTACCTACCCGGTGAGGAAACCGGTGCTCTTGCAAGTCCACTATTTGCAGGCTTGTTGATTGCTCCAATGCCAATTTCTTGTGCGGATTGACCTTGTTGCTTCATTGCCTGTATCTTGATTCAGCTCGTGCGTGGTGAATGCAAGTGCCATGCACATACAGTGTGTTCCTTGCTGACTCATCGAAAGTGGCACTGGTCCGCTTGTGCTTCTGGCTTCTCCACCGCCGCCGCTGCTGTTGCTGCTGCTGCTGCTGTTGAAAGTGCCAGGAGGAAGAGCGCGCCCTTTTTTAGGATGCCCTGGCTTGCTGCTGTGCAGGAAGAGGAGGAGCTGTCGGAGCTGGAGCTGCTCAAGTGGCGGGTGGAGATCACAAGGCTGTACCGGCCCACAGGCACAGGCGGCCCCTGCCCAGCCGACGATTACTTCTCGAATTCTCTGCGCTATGCTACTGAGGAACTTGCGTTCTTCCATTGCCTGATGGAAGTAACCAGCCGCAAGCCCGGAGCTTTCATCGGTGCCAACCTGGGCAGCGAGGTTGCCCGCCTAAGCGAGGAAGCTGCCAGGAAACAGCGCCGGCCAGGAGTATTCAACCGGCTCATCAAGGCTTGCAAGTTGCCCAGAGCTCAGAGGGCCTCGTAGTCAGCTTTGCCAAGATTACAGGACGGGACTGCGGCCGTCACGTTCATTGCAGGGCCATGCACAGCCAGCAGCCGCCAGCTGTGTCTCGTGCTTGGATTGTTTTGTAGAGCTGGACATGCAGAGCTGTCCAGATGTAGATGTATGCCTGTGTTTTTTCCTGAGGTAAAATGCAGGCCACCTGTGTGGTCTGCCTCTGTTTATACCGTGGCTTACAATCTGTTTGCTGCCCTGGGCTATCCCCTAGAATGTCGGTTGCTCTGTCAACTGCAGAGGTTCATTCATCTCCTACAGGCCTGCGCCTTGCAGATTGACCCTGGGCCATAGCTTGTACTCCCGTGAAGGCCTGTTTCAGATGGGCCAGGCAATTTTCTGCACCCTCCTTAGCGCGCTGGCTCTGAAAGGTCTCTTGTCAACTTGCTGCAGCGGGTCTTGGCAGCAGCGTACCAGGCATTAGATAGGGGTAGTTGCCAGGGTGATGCATGCCATTGTTTGACTTGTAAATAAGGGCAGTCATCTGGGATTGACAGTGCAAAGAGCTAGCCTGGGCCTTAGCTTTACAGCTCTGGACCGCTCGAGTGTTTGCTGCTGTGCTTACCATATTTGGCTCAATTGTGTGCAGCTTCGTTTCTGCTCCTCCTAGTACCTTCTACAGCATGCATTGCCGGCAAGATGCGGCAGGAAGTAGAGGAGAGGCACCTGTGGATGCCCAGGCTTTTTTTGCTTGCATGCAGATGCTATGCTGAACACACAATCATTGTGAATCCTTTACCAAATTCAGTCTTGGGCGGGTCAAGTTTGTGGTAGGAAGTCTGTGCCAGCCCAATTGGCCATGCCCATGCATATGAGAAACGTTGAAGGAGCTTAACATCCATGATTGCCCGGTCGTACCTTCCAGCAGTCACAACTCCGCCTTGAAAGTGGCTCAGCACAGCCAGCAATCCTTCTGCAATAAGGTGCTGTGCGCTGTATTTGTTTGTCCAGGAACGTATCACGATATCATATAGGCCTAGGCCCTAGGGTCCACACGTGTGCGCTGTGCTGCTACTGTAATCGCATTCAGTACGCAGAACTAGCCTTAGTCACCTTCACAGAGCAGGGCAGCCTGCATGCATGCGCATATGTTTTAGATGTTGGATATAACAGTCTGTCTGATGATCATGCCGTATATGCATGCGCATGCTGGCTGATCTGATCCGGGTCTCTGCTTCCATACACGCTGAAGCCTTTATAGACAGCTTTTGCTGCTACTACTATGTACCATTCTCTTCTCATTTAAAGGCAATACCAACATCAAGCAACGCATGATCCACTCCCGATGACGTTTGGCCCATGTGCACCGAGTGGCGTGGCACATCATCCTGCTTAGGCACCCCCTCGGATTGCAACAGCGCGTTCACCTTCCTAGCATGCAAGCCTACCAGCGGAATGTCATGACTCATGCGGGCTTTGGACATCTCTGTTTCCAGTAAGTCCCTGGTCCTGGCCCTGCGTATGCTTGCTCTCATTTGCCGTGCATACCTGCAGATATTTGCCTTCCTTGCAGAGTGATTCAATAGGCACTCTGAGCATGCACTTCTACCATTGAATATTGCCATGTTGAAGTGTAGGGCAGCCGTTGCATCCCATCAACCCATCATGCCTGAAGAAACAGACACCAGTGTTCACCAGGCATTTCCACAAGGTTGTGCGCCATGCGCCTACTGCAGCACAGCATACCCAAAAGCAACCTGGCGTCAGCACAAGCCCATCTTCAAGGCCGTGAATGCTGTAATGCACTTTTGAGTCCGACTGTGAGTCACCTGATACAAAGTGGCAGCGCCTTGCCAACTTTGCATGCTATATAGAGCTCTTGGCCCCGGCTGGCGGGGGGCGATATATATTCTGAGCACTGTGCCCACGGTTGATTGGGTCTTGCTTTAATTTGGCGAGTCCAACAACTTGTAGGGGTAGGATGATGGCAACCTCCAACTGCAGCTTGTCTGCAGGACGCACCTTGCCTCTTGGCAGGAAAAGCGTGTAAGAATGGTAATAATAATAGTAATAATAATAATAATAATAATAATAATAATAATAATAATGATGATGATGATGATGAGAAATAATATAATGAATAATGGTGATAGGGCTCTTTGCCCTGGCTTGATTGCTTTTGTGGTGCGTGTGAGCGTTCTCTGGATTTTGTGCCAAGGACTGGGGTGCATGCAGGCATGGGGCCTACCCTCCTACAATTGTTTTGAGTCAGCTGAGGTTCTCTGAAGGGCATTGCATGCTCACGTACTTTTGACAAGCCGGAAATGGTACCTGTATGAAACTTTCAGCCGCATGCTCAAGATGAGCTTTAATAGACTGGCATAAGATTCATGCACTGCTCCTGCCTGATTAGGCATGGCTGCACCACGATGACCCCCAAAGTTTCTTCAGTTCAGCTAGCTCAAAAGAAGCAGCTTCGAAAAAGAACCGTAGACCTCATCCCACATTAAGTCCTTGAATCTGGCTTGGGCATTGCCTGGTGGTCTCGTTACCACTGCGATCTGCAATTGGCGAGGCTCGCTAGAATGAAACCAATAGGAAACGGGAGAACAGTGCATGAATCAAGTGCTGTTTCGATTGCCACTTTTCAGGTATGGCCCCACTGTGCTTGTTTTCCTGAGCATCCCATACTCATTGACCATAGGGACACACCCGTCTTCAACGAAGGTTCCAACACAAAAGGACCTCTGACCTGGAGCAGCATAACAAGTGATACCAGCAAATTAAACTGCTTGTTTGTCTGGCAAAGTGGGAATTTAACGGCTACCAGCTTGCGAAGCCAGCAGCGAAGAAAGCGTGCTTTTTGGAAAGCTGGAGGAACAGAGGTTCGCTACTGCAGACATTCCATTTCAGGCGAAACATCTTCACATGAGAAGCTGGAAAAGGCATTATTAAATACGTGTCGTGATCCATCAAGTGAAAGTGCTCAACGATTAACGAGGTGCCTGCAGGTTCTTCAGAAGTCCTGTGGCCTGAGGATACCTCAGATGATGACCATTTGCACACCTGGATTGAGCAACACGGCGGATATGTGCATCCAGGGTTGCACCTGGCAGCGTCCAGCACCAAGCTGAATAAGAAGTATCTGCCTTTCTGCTGTTGCTGTGTCAGACCAGACTATCAAAGCAGCAGTTCCTGCCTTCAAGATCTTGCCTGCAGTGTGGAAGGGGGACTCTTAGTGGACTGGATTATCTGTGTTCAGGGTGTGGGTGGCCAGAGAGGAGATTGGCTTTGAGACAGTCTCCACGCAGCCACTGATTGGCATCCCGACAAGCTTCCGCCTCAGCGCAGCTGATGCTTTTGAGACGCTCCAGCAGGTTTTGAGGGACAACGGATGCAAGAAGAAGCTCACGGTACGTGGACAGCAGCTGTCACTAACAGAAACCTGCATGTTGTGTTGCATAGGCGATGCCTCAATACTTGTCATGCATGCATGCAGGATTTCAAGCCCTTTGGATTCTATTTGGCTTCCAGTGATGCATGCCTGGCAATCTGCCTGGCATATGAGCGGTCCAAGGGGCGGATGTCACCTTTCTACCCCTACATCACTTCTCTGCCCAGCAAGACACCGGGGTTCTTCAGCAAGGATGAGAACGAGGCGCAGAAGTATCTGAAACAGCTGGGTGAGTGCAACAAACCCATACTTGTCGGACACTGCCTGCATTTGAGTCGGGTGTAGTAACTGGCAGATTCCAAGTAGCATCCCTAAGGCCTTGAAAGGCGGTGCATGCGCAGGAGTGCAATCCCATGAGGCCCACAAATTCCTCAGCGTGATAGACAAAGAGCGCGCGATATACAGTATATCATATACTCTAAGCTCATCAAGTTTGCGCTGAACACTGTCCCATTGGGCAAGGCTCTTGGGATCACAGTCAAGGATGTCATGTGGTGCCTCTCCCATGTGAGGAGCTACTTTTTTCTAGCTGAAGCTGTATTGCATGCATTTCTGCATCCTTGCTCTTCAGTCAAATCGGCTGTCACCTAGACAATCAGCTGAGTGCAGCTGCTCTGGCAGGTATTTGTCAGGAGGTTCACGGATGCCTCTGAAACACTTGGCCACATCAGACCAGCCCTGGATTCAGTCGCTGCCCATGAGGCTTCTGGATCACCGTATGCCCTGTGAGTGCGCCTGCTTCCTCGAGTCATGAAAACCCATGTCCCAAAATTTCAGGGCATGCATGCATCATGTCAGTGCACACCAGTAATGCTCAAACATGTGAGACTGCTTGTGGTATTCACAGGGGGAGGCTTTCTGTGTGTGGACCTGTGTGTCCCCATGGATCCCTCAACATGCTCATGTCTTTGTTGGATGGTGTTCCTCGGCCTCTGAGCATTGGAGACGAGCTGTACACGAGCTGCTCAGGGCCCGTTGGAGATACCCTTGAGCAGCAGGTCATCAATCATGTCGAGCTGTATGGGGCACAGTCCATGGCTGAAGCTGAGTCATCCGTGCTCAGGCTGCAAAAGCGAGCTGGTGACTGTCTTGGCTCCTCCGTTGCAACCTTGTTATAGCGTCAGGAGCTCTTGAACATGGCCTGCTTGAGATTGTATCAACGCTGTGACCTCCTTTATTGCTTCTGGGCAGGAGTCATTGAGAAAATGACTGTGCTTACCAAGCAGGCGCTGTTAATGTGTGCAGGGGTGCAGAAGTTCAATGGAGCTCTGCTGCCCATTGTTGGACATGACGCTGTTGCCGGGATTTGAACCACCGGGCATGAACCCTCACAAGTGGCAGCCCGGTCGTGAGCAGCAGCTGATGCTTGCTGCCAAGCTGACAAGGCTGCTAAAGGCAAACCCATTTGACCCCGTTTCTCAGCTTTGGAGGGACAGGGTGAAGCCTAGCGCCGAGGGTGAGTATCAAGTCCCAAAGCAAGCTGCATGCTGCCATATCCATTTGTCAGATACTCTGCAGCGTTTGATGCGGCTGTGAACATGGTGTTTACATCCTCCATCAACCATCAAGATAGCTACAGCACCCGTAAGACTGTATGACTGTGGAGTGAGACCATTTTCGATGGTCTCATGTGCAGGGCAAGTGCACTCATGCATGTACCCTGCCTGCCCCCGCCAGCGATGCTCATGGGATGCAGGCGAGCTCTTCTGCGCAAAGTGCTTTGGCCCCTACTGCAGCCGTGCTTGCCAGACAGCGCACTGGCGCCAGCACAAGCCGCACTGCAAGCCGCCTGCTCCTTGACAAATCACCGCTTGCATTCGCCGTTGCTGAGATGCAGTAGCTGCATGTTCAAGTTGCTGCAAAAAACCTGTAAGGCTCTACCCTAGCCACTGAGTGGTGTGCTGGGAACTCCAAGAGACGCACTTTGAAAATGTCAGTGTGTGGCAACAAAGCCGGGCTCAGATGGATTTGCCTTTGTCAACGTCTGCCTGCAAGTCTGTGACATGATGTTGACAGCAAGAGAACATCCCATTCTATTGGCCAGATTGGCTTCTTTGAGCTCGAATTTCGACTCCAGTTGGGAGTTTGGAAGGTGGAGGCCACAATCCAAGTTCCAAGAAGCTGGAAGCTACAGCGGAATGGCCACGCACAGTCACCTGTCTGCGTCATACAAGCATATCTCGCTGGTGCCCAAATAAGTTGCATCTACATTGAGCATAGGACAAACGCAATCACCGGAGGAAGACGTTTGCAAGGTGTGCACATGCTTTTGCTTCTTTCTTACAACTGAATGCCTTCAAGCGCGGTCGATCTGCCACGCGCTCACAGAATATTTTGGAAGCGCACTCCCTGCGCCAGCTGCTACAAAACAAATTTATTGAGCCTCTGCGGCTGTAATGGGTCTCCCTCAATCTTACTGGGGTTTGGGTCTTGTTTCTGGCAACGTCCAGGTAGTTGCAGCTAATCCAGGGTTTCCCGATCTACATGCCAGTCACCCAAAGCTCGTGGCTGGCCTGTCGATTGGCAATCTTAGGAAAATTGCAAGCATGTTGTGCTTTGGATTAATGGATTATGTCTGGAAGTTCCAGACTGGAAGTTGCTGCGTGCAATGCAAGGGCGTGATCGTCTCTGTGCCGGGGTTGTGGCCATCGAGAGAAAGTGGATGGGTTCTGTGATGGCAATAATACTTTTTCGAACCACATCAGAGTCTTTGAATTTTCTCTGGCAATGGAGATTTTCAGTACTCCCAGCTTTTGCTGGTCCCTAGTCCAGGTCTGCTGCATGTGCTACCTCGTGCGCACTTACCATCACCGGGTTGCACTGTTCTGAGGCCGGTCCGAATATGTGGGAGATATCTCAGAATTGGATTAATGAATCCGAAGAGGGATTTAAGTGCACGTATTCACATGTAGTACAATTTTGGCGTGTCAGGATATGTTGAGCTTCACTTGCAGACAGACCACCAGAATGGTTCAGAATTGCTGCAATCTGATCACATGTCTTCAAAGCACTGCTGGTCCACTCTCAGGGATTGGGAAAGCTCGCTGACATGACGCTTTGGTGCTCGCAGGTCATCAACTATCCTGCAAATATGTCTTATGGCGAGTACAACACTGAGGAGGTGAGTGACCAGTTTCAGGACGGCCTTAATTTGGATGGCCGCCGCGAGGGCGGCTATGGAGGCGGCGACGGCGGTGACTATGAAGGTGCAGCTTTATATTGTGTTTGTGCTGGCTCTGTGAGACAATGGCAGGTTATAAATCCGGGATTCCACCGGCTCCTGGCATGGAATTGCTGTTGCCACGTTGTCTTCTGTGTGGGCGATGCTGCTTGGCCAAAATGTCAGATTGCCCTGGAGCCGCAGGTCAAAATAGCAGACGTACACAGCGTTCAGCAATGAGACCTGCCTGCATGCCATTTCCTCCATATGATGCAGTGCGCGGTCTTTGTTGCATTGACGATTGTGATTTGATTGCTGCACGCAGGCGAGAAGCCCAAGCACCACCACAAGAAGCACGGTGATGACGAGGAGGGTGGTCAGGGCTACGGCGGCGGTGGAGATGGTGACCAGCCCACCTACGGCAGCGGTGGCGGCGGCTACGGCGGCGGTGGCGGTTACGCAGGAGGAGATGAGGGCCAGGGCCAGGTGCACGCTTCTGTGCGAGTAGAGGGGAATAAACTTGGTTCCTCCTTCACCTGACAGCTTGATCTGGAGAGCAGAGCATGGCTGCTGTGGGGAATGTGCTGGCGTTCTGTATAGACTAAATGGCACTTGTGAAACACCCCTGTCAGCCAAACAATCATGCACACCAAGTGGTGTAGGTTTCTTCGACTTGAGAGAATTCCAATATTTCAAAATGTAGTACTCTGAAATGGGATGCAGAGCCAAATCTGAGTAGGATGTGCATGTGTGGGAGGGTGGCTACGGGGGTGGTGATGCCAGCGAGGGTTATGGCTCTAAGAAGACCTACGGGGGAGATGACAGTGAGGGCTACGGCTCCAAGAAGACCTACGGGGGAGATGACAGCGAGGGCTACGGCTCCAAGAAGACCTACGGGGCAGATGACAGCGAGGGCTACGGCTCCAAGAAGACCTACGGGGGAGATGACAGCGAGGGTTACGGATCCAAGAAGACGTATGGGGGCGATGATGAAAGCGAGGGGTACGGAGCGAAGAAGACCAGCTACGGAGAGGACGACACTGAGGGGTACGGCAGCAAGAAGAAGAGCTACGGGGATGATGGCGACAGCTACGGGGCAAAGAAGACCGGCTATGGGGATGATGACACCGAGGGCTATGGCGCCCAAAAGACTTCTTATGGGGATGACGCGATCCCTCAGGTGAAAGCTTCAAGCCGTTGAGCTCCTTGAATCTCTAACATCAATGCCGGTCAAATTGCTAAAGCTTTGTTTAAGGTTGATGGTAGCCAATGCGCCCAGCAGCGCACCTTAGCTGCTGTGATATTATCTTGCCAGGAGAAAAACTGGGAATACGTATTTGAACTTGTATTTGTTTGCAGGACCAGTACGACGGCGTTTCTGGCGGCCTCTCTGGCGGCGCCTACCCGACACGCGGCGAGGCAGCCCCCACCAACTTCACTGAGGTGTGTATTAATTGTATTTCACACTGCCTGAGTGCACACAGCCATCCTAGAAATGCAGATCTGCAGCACCCTCAGAGCGGCTGGAGTGCCTGGCTGTGCAAGAACATCCTCTCGCTGAATGTCTTGCTCATGTCGGATGAAGTGTGCACCTAAATGAGCCCATCGATGCAGCCTTCAGTGCTGGCTCTCACCAGACTGAGGAGCTCTGTCAAACTCTGGCAGGCTGCAATTGCCCTGAACAGCTTGGTGGAAGATACTTGCAGGCCGTGCGTGTTCCTTTACAACAGTGACATGAGTGCGCTTGGAATCAATGGTGATTTTTCTGAATACTCGCTGCGCGCAGGAGCTGACGGAGCTGGCTGCTGGGGCCACCCTTAACGCGGGCCAGACCCTCAAGTCGCCCAACGGCCAGTCCAAGCTGGTGCTACAGGGCGACGGCAACCTGGTGGTGCGCGTTCCCTCCCTCATTTCCTTGGGGGAACTAAAGTACAGTAAGGGATTTGTTTAAATGTAGGGGTACATATCAATAAATGTACCCCTACCTTCCCTCCTTAAGGGTGCTTTTTAGTGCCGCATTGTGGACACAAGCTGCATTGCAGCTGCGCATTGCACGAAGGGCTAGCTTCTCTGCTGCAGTTTTTGGCGCATGCAGGTCCTGCTGTCCAGCTACTGCTGCTGCAGAGGCACGTGCAGGTGGCCTGTTGGATGCTAAAGGATGGATAGATGATGCGTGCTGTGTGATGTGATTTGCAGCTCTACAAGGACGGCGCCGCTGTGTGGACTTCTGGGACTGACCGCTCCTCTGAGAAGCCTGCCATGCTGGCAGTACAGGCAAGCAGCATCCCCAAAAAGAACTGATGCATTTGTCTTGAATTTATAGGGAGGGATAGAGATTTAATAGGGACCGACCAGCCGGCATTCAACTCTTCAATTTGATCTTGAGCCCTTTCCCCGTCCTGCTGTGACTGCATACCATACACTCACACCAGAATTGGGATGCCTGTCAGTATACTGTAGATTGAAACTCGAAGTGGGTGCTTTTAATATAATGAAGTCCTCTACACAATGCAGAGGGCACACGCCAATGCAACGTTCTGACTAAATCTTGCCAACTTGCCTCTGGCGGTGCAATGAAAAGCTCTTGGCAGCCATACCAGGACTGGTGACTGTTGCTGGACTGATTCCTGAACCACGGCATGCAATGAGTGCTGACCGATTCTGTGCGCCGCTGGCAATCACAGGATGACGGCAACGTGTGCCTGTACGCTGCGGGCGGCGCCTTTTCCGGCTGGGCCACCAACACGGGTGGCAGCAGCAATGTCAAGCTGGTGGTCAGCGACTCGGGAGTCCTTGTGGTGCTCAGCAGAGACACCGGCCTGTGGAGCTCTGCTCCCATCTCACCATCGGACGCCGCAGAAATCGCTTCAGCCGCCACCTCATCGTACTGAAGAGTTCAGACGCCGGTCTAGGTCGTGGATGAACCATTCAGCTGAATGAAACAGAGCAAGACGCTAGTGTAGAAGAAGCACTGCTGAGAGAATCTCAGTGATCTGCGCCGGCTGATTGCTCTTAATATTTGATATTAAAAATATATGATTTGAAAGATTCTTTTCTTTTCTGGGAGGCATGTGTTGCAGATCGTTGCTGTCGAGCTGCATTACTGAGCTGCTGTTTACAGCTGCATTTGTTCTTGCTATGCATATCTGGATGCTTGCATGCGCATTTGCTTGCTGCACCAATTTCATGTTACCTTTTGGCAGCTGAGCATGCATTGCCTCAATGACTGCCCACTTGGGCAGAATGAGCTTTTCTTGTGTCACAGGAGATATCCGTAGGGGGATGGGTTTAGTTGGGGTGTGTGCTGGGCCTGTTAAATATCCATCACCAGGATGAAATGAATTGGGAGATGCATCTTCTTGAGCCCGCCATAGGCCACATCACCACGATTGGCATAACTATGCATGGACAGTCTCTCTTCACTAGAAGCAGCAGATCACATCAACTAGACCAGGCCTCTTACTCACAGTCTCCACCAGGACACATCACAGCAGCGCAAATCAAAGCAAACAGCACTCCTCACACTGCGGGGACTCGAGCTAGGCCCTGAAAGCACTTCATCTCTCCTAGGCCAAATCTTTAAGCTTGAAAAGAGTCCCCAAACTGTCAGCCTCCTTGCTTGCTCAGGGCAGCGAGGTGGTCTGCACGCTGCCAGGAGCAGGGGCTGCGGTGTGGTTGTAGAACTTGAGGCTCCAGACGTGGCGGTACAGCTGGCCAGGGCTCAGGATGCTCTGGGGGAAGCTGGGCTTGTTCACAAAGTCCGGCCACACCTGTTTCAGCACACATGGCAATCAGGCCAGCCGCTCAAGCTTTTTGCAGCCTTCAAAAGATGCAGTTCTGGCCTGTCACTGTGCCGCCCCTCTTCCTGGGATGGCGTCATGCATGATTCTGCAAAGCAACGGTAAGCATCATGCATCTGGCACACCCGCGGGTAATGCCCATTCGCCTCTGTGGGGTAAGGTTGCAGGATGTCCACCAGGCATCAGGCCGCAAGGGCAAGTCTGCAACAGGCAATTCTCTCCAATCTATGCAGTGTACAGAGATCAAAGATGGCGGAGAAGGTGTGGCACCTGGGACTCCATGGCGAAGCCGCCGTACTGAGGGTAGGAGTAGGCGCCCTTGCCGGCCACGGAGCCGTTGAGGAAGTTGCCGGAGTAGAACTGCAGTCCTGGGGCGTTGGTGGACAGGTCCATTGCGCGGCCGCTCTGGGGAGAGTACACCGAAGCCGCCAGCTGCGGCCTGCACATGCATACAAATATCAGTGACATGTTGAGTAAGGCTTGATGCCTCAAGGGCTGGTTGCTATAATAGGCCATCCTGACAGAACAACAGCACACCGATAGGCCTTGTGGATTCCAAGTTGCATGCTATGCGGGCCGGCTCAGATCGCAAGGTGGTGTGCCCGACTTTAATGCCATACAGGAAAATTACTAGGACGCCTCTTGAGGGCGCAATGAAGGACAGATCGTCTCAGGAGCAAGCAGGAGGAAGGTAAGGAAAAATAAAACTCACTCCTCGGAGACGACGCTGTTAAAAGTCTTGGATGCTGCGTCGGTGCCCAGGCCAAACAGCGCCCAGTTGTGGTCATAGCCGCCGATGGGCGGAGGGAACGTCACCTGCGCGTGGCAAAGTGATGTCAACAATACTAATAGTACCGAGGATGACTAAGGCCTTTTCCATAACAAGAACCTATGACTGCATGCGTATTTTCCCTTTTCACTGCTGCATCAGTGTCCACAGACTGGCTGTTCAATGACTCCTGGGTTAGCTCAGATTGGATAATGTCCAAGAGATAGGCTCAAGACAGGTGCTTGGTGGCTTGCTGCTCCCCTGCAGACAAGGCACTCACAAAAAAGGGAAGGCGCTGGCTAGAAATGTCTGTGGAGATCAGGGTTGTGTGGGCGTACCGCGCGGATGCGCTCGCCGATGGAGTGAGGGGTGGTGAAGTCGAAGGGAGTTCCCTTCACTGCCGCCAGCTCGCCGTTGGGGATCTGGGTCAGGTCCGTGGGAGTCACGTACAGCCTGCATGCCACCACAACCTGACTCATCAAAGTAGCCAGTGACACTGACAGTGCTGGAGCTTTCATCCCAGGGCATTTGCAGCATGGAACAGAGGGGCACACACCCGTTGATGTAGACAACGTGGTTGAGCACGTTGTCCCTGGCCTGGCCATTGAGGTTGAAGTAGGAGTGCTGCGCCAGGTTCACGGGGGTGGTCTTGTCGGTTGTGGCCTCTATCACCAGCTGCAGCACGTTATCGTCGTTCAGGCTGTAGGTGGCAGTCACGTTCAGGTTGCCCGGGAAGCCCTGCAGTCACTGTCTCATCTGTCAAAAGGGAAAGGACATTGGCAAAAATGTAGTGCTGTACACCCCAATGTCACCAATAAGTATCCAGTCAAAGGCCCTGTTCCCGGGGCAGCACACTACAAGACTGGCAGTGCCGGCGGCGTTACATAGCTTTGAGACGCAAGGCAAGTGCAAGCTCCCAGGCCTTGAGCTGTGCGTGGGAGGACACTGCACAAGCCGCTCATCGCTGATCATGGCAGCAGAAAGGTCTGCTGCACCAAAGAAAGCAGACATCAGAGACTTGGGGCAGAGCGCGAGAAGGATCAGTACCTGGGTGCCGGTGGGGGAGAAGAGGCTGAGCTTGACCTCCTTGTCAGAGGCCTCTTCGACGGTCCACGTGTTGTTCTCAAAGAAAGGGTTGAAGCCTCCGTGCAGAGTGTTGCCGTGGTCGTTCTTGTCCAGAATGTATCTCTGGCCGTCCAGCTCAAAGGTGCCGTTCTGGACGCGGTTGGCCACGCGGCCCACGATGCCTCCAAAGTAGGGTGAGTTGTACCTCTGCACAGCACAAGATGAATTCTTTATACGGGAAAATGGGAGGGAACATGCCAGCACAGGGGGATCAGTCTTTTCTGAGATGCTCCCTGAATGCCTGGAGGATGCACAGGCATGAAGGACTGCTCAAGGCAGGCAACAGCAAGCCAGCCACCTCACGAAGGCCTAGGTTGCAGGAGCAGCAAACGGCTTCCCTCCCATTGAATTGGGGAAGTGCCAGCCCCTGGAAAGCTCTTGAGGGGTCCAGCAGGGAGAGGTGCCCGTTCCAGGCCCACCTCGTAGGTCTTGGCGTCGTCGAAGCCCAGCACGATGTCGTCGGCCTTGCCGTTGGCGTCAGGCACCAGCAGGCGGTGGATGATGGCGCCGACGGGCAGGATCTCAGCCTGCACGCCGTTCCTATTGCGCAGCACAGCCGGCGCCAAGGGGTCTGTCTCTGCCTGCGCCAGCAAAGATCCTTTGAACCCAGACTGAGAAGGATACAGCAACTTGCTGGTACACAGCAAACACAACAGACGCGGCTTACCTGTGCGATGGTCGCCCCCGACAAGCATACTGCCGCGATCGTGAGGGCCAAAGTCGTCCTAAAAATTCGTCCTGCAGATACATCACCACACATAAGTAACTCGTAGAAATCTTTCCTTCCAGGTCAAGTCCTTGTCAGCATACCTGTGAAGCCATCAACTGTCATTCTTGGCTTTAGGATCAGCCGTCGCCATAAATATGGCAACTTGAAAAGGCCATCCAGAAGACCCGAAATTGCTTTGTAAGCATGTAAAGTGGTATCTAAATCATCAAGAGGTGCATCGAATGATCGGATCTTCACTGAATCTGGTACTATCTTGACCCCTGGAGGATTCCTGGAAACTTGACTGATGCGCAGCCACCCTGAAAAGCGCGCAGATCTTTGTACGCAATTGATATACACAACAATAATCTCACAACACTCCTGTAGCCAGCCAGTTGAGGTCTAGAGTTCGGGGCGACCAAGAGATTGCGTCTCACCTCCGGCCATGATCGTGTGTGCTTCAGCGGCGAAGGGAGAATCGGTGGGTCACTGTTGGTGTTGAGCTCACTGACGTGCGACGGTCCTTGAATCAAACCCGCAGGAAGATGAGTGGAGGAAGGATTTGGCGATCTGGTCTGGCAGCGCTGCACTTCATATCAAGCTAAGGAATATTACTGCAACTCTCCTCTGGATATCTTGCCACCCCCAGCTTCTAGAAGGTCTGATCTTGACTAATGTGAGGAATCAGTTGATGTACTGAGGGACTTCTGTTATTAGCTTATGGATGGAAGATTACTTATATAAGATTACATATATGCAGATGGTATACAATGGCATACCCGGCAGTAGATCTAGAATGCATCATGCCCAGCCCTTCTGAAGCGCAGCAGTGCCACCTAATCAGGCTGGCTACCTAAGGCTGGCTTTTAAGGTACGCTGGCTATATATAGCTGTGGCTACAAACGTATGACTGTGGTTACAAGAGTGAGCTCAACAGTCTGAGTGAGTCAAATGTGCCAGCAATGGAGGAGATTAGCACCATCACGCGCTGGTTCTTGTGGAATGGACTCATTCTCTTTCCATGACATTAAACATTTAACATTTTTCCAAGGTGCAAGGTGATCACGAGGGGTTCATCCCTCGCTGGTTTCAAGGGAATGTAAGTGCCTGCTGCTGTGCCTCTGTAGCGTCACACAGGTTTACATCAATCGATTCAATGGCACATGAGGATACGCAACAGCTGAGTACATTCAGGGAGAATCCAGAACTCGAAGAGGATCCTGCAATCAGCTTTTCACACAAAGCTGGTAAACACTGCTATTCAGAGCACAAAAAGAAAAAGGTCCAAATCTGTCCCAGCCTCCTAATGGGACCACTGCCTGGTCTCCTATGGTTTTTGAAAAAGGGACACAGCATCAACCAACTTTCAGAGGACAGAAAATTTTCCATCAAGAGAGCGCACAGGCACCGCATGGAAAGCAAAATCAGCCGTACTCAACAGAATAGCGCAAGCAGATTCCAAGCTGTGGGTGCTGCAAAATGCAACTACAGATGCCACACGATACGCCCAGTCATCTCATGAAGCGCTGCATACAAATCAACAAAACCCAGAAAGTCTCATGATCATCCAGTACAATGTACAAAGCAATACAATGGATCTGCCTGAACAAGAAGCCCCTGCAGTCCTTATCCTGCATTGCAAAAGAACAAACTGAAGAGTATTCCTTTGTTCGAAGTTGCCATTTTGCAAATTGGCTTTCTGTTCTTAACGTCCAAACTGTTTCCATGTTCTGAAAGCAGCAGTGCAGCATGCGGCTGAACAACTTCCGAGATCGATCATTGCTGATCAGCTGGCACATGTGATGCAGTCACCCTCCATAAGCGCTGTCATCCTCTGCAGTTAAGGGATCAGATACTCTACGTGGCTGCATGGGGCAGGTGCAGGCAGGATTCTGTGCTGCCTCCGGTGTGGATCCAGATTGTGCGCGACCCCTTGTGGTCGACATGGAAGTGCTTTGAGTCTGCTCCAGAGATGGCCAGGCGCACGCGGTGACCCTGCCATGCATTCCAGGCTCATATGAGTCACCGCTGCTCAGCACGTTTCTTTGGGTATGATCAACAGGCACGCTGCGCTCCCGAATCACGATCGGGCATGTGGCACTTTCTTGATGGAGCTTCAATTGATGAATAGGGATTCTTGAGCATGGCACATCCAAGAACAGATGTGATGCATCCAAGACTCTTCATAACAGCGAGTGCAAGCACATACAGCATTGCAACACATAGGGGCATGTACTATCGTCGTGCTGTGTCATCGCACCTTGGCAAAGCGGTAGGCGGTGGGCATGAGCTGGAAGCGGACGCGCGCAGCTTCCCCGGCCGGTAGCGGCTGCGCGGCGGCTGCCAGGAAGCTGTGGAAGGGTGCTCCCTCGATGTGCGCAGCTTCTCGCGGCGTCCCCTCCGCGCTGCACTCCGCCCTGTGGCTCGCCCTGAACGTTCCCTCCGTCACATACCTGCACAAGAGCATTTGCCTCAATTCTCACACCAGACATGCTGTGCGTCAGTCGCAGCAGTTGCACAGTTCCTTCCTCATCTGCATGCTTTGAGTGCATGTGGTGAACTCACACTCATCTGTGTTCTTCTCTGTGACTTTTTTCTGACAAACGCTGCAGGGTGCAGTACTCTGGTGTGATCAGAGGTGCTCAAGCGCAGCACACAAGAGATGCATGATTGTGTACAATAAGTGGCAATGTGAGTTGCAGCTGACCTGGCCTTGCCGCAGCCAAGCACTCACCACAAACAAGAGGGTACTTAGGTAATCTGTGTGACATGCAGCCCCTTTCCTATGATGCAGTAAGCTGTATTACTCATAACCATCGATTAGCAGATGAGGTTACAAGAAATCAACCTGGCCTTGCCGGTCACAGGATCTTCGTCTTCCAGGTACACAAAGAGGTCGGCGTCGCTGTCGCTGGACGTCACCCAGAGGGCCACCTCGGGGGGCCCAATAACGACCAGGTCTGCTGACAGGGGTGCCCCCACGAATGTCAGGTGGCCGCACGAGCGCAGATGCGTGTAGCGGATCGGCCGCGTCAGCCTTATCATTGCGTCATACCTTGTGAAGCCCTGCCAGCAGAGCCACACAGCCTCAGCACTAGCAGCCGGAAGCAAGAATATGAATCACAATGAGATTCAAAAGTTATCAGCAGTTTGGGAATTCTCAGCAGTTCTCGATATTCAATAAATGCATCTGTCTGGTGTAGCACACAAAGCTGAAGAAATGCACTTCTGTGAAGGAGGCTTGTGAAGGGGTCAGTAGAGGGGCATGCCTTGGGATGCTTCCACATCTCGACCTTGTGCTGCCAGCGCCGGGTTTCAGTCATTGCCGCTCCCTCGCTCAACACACCCTTCACCCCCTCAGCCACCTCCACTGGTGCTCCAGTGTTGCCTTGGCTAGTATCACTGCCCCTGTCACACACCAATGACATTAGCCGAGGAAGGGATCATCAGAAGATTGCCAGGAACGTCATTGCTTGAAACAAACAAGTGTCTGGTGAGGTCATGCGCACCTTTCATGCACACCCAGTAGAAGCTTCAGTGGCTCTGGCGCCAAATTTGGCGGCGGCCAGCTGGGGGCGCTCTGCCACCGAGGGCTCGGCCCCATCACGTAATAATGCACCGGAGATGAGTCGTCCGCTGCATCCGATGACGTGCTGATGGCTCCATTGCTAGCCTCTGCCTGCTCTGAAGCACTCCTGGATCCAGAATTGCCGCTGCTTGCACTGCTGCTTTCGTCATCCCTCGCCTTACTACCTCCGGCTGCAACAGAGACACAAGTCATGCCAGAACGCCTTTGCGTTAGCCAGGTTTGAATACAAGGCAGAGGTAGAATGCTTATGACTGTACTACTGTACTCAAAGTTCTGACGCACCTGCTGCGCCTTCCAGGGCGCCTGCAGTCTTCAGCACTGCCTTAGACGCTGCAGCACTGGCGCCATTGGCAGGCGCGAGTGCATTCGGCTGCCCATTCACTGCCGCTGACACCGCAGCCACAGCGCCGGTCTCCCCTGCATTCATCATCGCTCTTACTACGCCGCATGGCTCTTCGGTTCAACAAAGGGCACCTTGAACGTACGCAGGTCAGGACTTCACGCAGAATTGCCATAACTAGGTGATTTGCTGAGCAGGTCCCTGGCCATTCGGGGCCACTAAACATCCGTCCAGATCACAGCCGCACCAGGGACTGCCGGCTCAGGGTCTAGTTGCTGACAACCTATGGAAAGGGACCGCATCTGTGCCTTTGGTGCTTTCACTGGAGGCGTCCGCATCGGCGAGTATCAATGCTATAAGCATTGCTAAGCTGAGCATGTGCCTGGCCACTGCCCCCTTGGCACGATCATCCAGATCACAGCAGCACCAGCAACCGCCAGCAGAGGACCTATATGCTGATTGAAAGCGCAAACATCCAATGGACAATCACCGCACCTGTGCCGTCGGTGCTTTCGTTGGAGGCTTCAGCGTTGGCGAGGGCGGCCACGGTCTCCGGGGGCGAGGAGCGGCCACAGCAGCGGTCGAAGAAGGCGAGGATGTGGGTCAGGTGGTTGAACTTGGAGCGGCAGCCGGTGACGCCGTGGCCCACTCGGTTGTCCAGGAAGCCGCTGTGGGACCAGGGGCCGATCACCAACTCGCTGCCTGCTCTCATATTGAAACACCTCTCAGCGCCATGAATAATCAGACTCTTGTTCCCCCACCTGAAAGAAAGAACACTGCAGCTCTGCAGTCATCAAGGGGCGCCAAGGCTCTGGCTTATGTACGTGCAGGCACTCCATGCAACATGCCATGGTCCCATGCATGAGACCATGCTAAATGCGGTAATCACGTATGAGACCGGTAATTTTCCTGAGGACATTGCAGTGGCTATTTTATACAGATGGCCCATTGTACTGTGACAAGGAGTAATGACGAGCGTACCGGGAGCCTTTGCAGTGTGGTAGAAGGCGTGGATGCTGGAGAAGGCGGTCTGGTCCATCCACCCGGACATGAGGGCCAGAGGTATGCCTGAAGAGGCGATCTTGTCCGCCACAGAACATGCGCTGATCTGGCAGCACACATGCAGCACATCTGTCAGAGTGCCAAATTCAATCAAAGAGTCGCTGTGGATGAGATCCTTTATCCCCAACAAACATTATTTACAGAGCATGTATTTGAGGACATCCTTATTAAGGCTGCACCTGAGTTGCAGAGACGCCAGAGAACGCATCCAGCTGATCTGTGAAGCGGATCATGCGCCCGGCCTCAGCCGGCTCCCAGCTGACATGCTCCTTTAGGGCGGCTCTCAGCTTTGCCTTGGCCGCTGCCTTTTGGGACTTGTGCTGCCTGTGTGAAGGCTTCTGCACGCACCAAACAAAGAGGGTCATCTCAAAGATTATCCCCTTCCCTCTGCTGAGCTTCGCCACCGTGCGACTCATGTACGCACTCGTATCTGTCCTTCACATTACTGTAGAATAAGGTGGTCTGGGAAGTCGCACCGCAGTCTGCTCTGCAGCTTGTTTGTGGGTCTCAGCAGCATCTGCTGCGCCATCAGCATTGCCCTGATTTGCTGCTCCATTCTCGATCACCAGCGCACAACCCCTGAAAGACAGAAAACGCAGCCCTCATAAACAATCTGCAGTGGTGCAGACCTCATGTAGATCCCATGTAGACAGAGTGCAGCATGTCTTCACACAGATGAACGGAAGATGATTGCAATGTTGGGGAGATGTTGCAAGGGCAAAGACAGGCACGAGAATTACTTGGACATCAGCTTGAGGGGCAGGGCAGAGTGGCCAGGCAGCTTCATGAAGTTGTTGCTGTCCATGGCCTTGCAGAAGCAGTCCCACTCCTGGACAAAGCTCCGGTTCGCAATGCCTCCGGGCATGGCTATGTCATTGAAAAGGTCCCTGCGAACCCAAAGTAAGTCCCTATCATCCAACATTACTAAGACGTGGCGCGGAGTCTGCATGAGATCTGTACTGTTCAACTGCATGTGGGAGATGGACAAGAGGGGCTGTGCATACCAGAAGGGATACTGGGCCAGGCAACCCTTCAGAGCGGGATGATGCTGGCTGAGAGTGAATAGGGCCGCTGTGGCTTCATATGAGACTCCGGACAAAACCACCTGTAAGATGGTGTCACACGGCTTAAGTGTAAGCTCACAGAGCAAGATGCATATTTACCAGACTGAGGACACATTGTATAGATGATGGAAGAATCATGTGTATCACGTGTGCAAACATGGCAGCGCTCGCACACCTGCCCATTGCTCCAGCTCTGCTGTGTGATCCAGTCAATGACCTGAATGGAATCTTCCCGCTCTGCAGGCGCCCAGGGCATGCGCCACTGCCCAAAGGAAGCACCTAGTATCGAAAGAGCGACATCAGCCGCACAACACCTTGCATCCTTAGGTTGTTATTCAATTTAAACCCACCCGACTACTCTTCGACATAGACATTTGCCTGCCGTCGCTGTCAAAAGATGTGGATGACAGTGAAAGAGAAAGCTTGCATGCGGAGTCTTACCCGTGCCGCGCACGTCAATGGTCACAACGGCATAGCCAGCGGCGAGCAGGGCGGCCTTAAGCTCAAAGTTTATGGGGTCCACTGGGCGGCCATTGGTGAACTTCTTGAGGGGCCAGCGCAGCCGCATGCCCCGCATGTACCTGCCACATTTGTCAATGGCTCACATGCATGAAAGACTTCAGTGGAACCTCCCAGTGCGACTATAGACTGCAACTATAGACTGCAAATGTGGGCTGAGGAAGTTGACGTCAGGGCACAATCAATCGCAGGCGAAATGAACGTCCTATGAAATTTTCATAGACATGGCCGAGATCTAGTGCTCATCCAAGACATCAGAGACGTGTTGTACCTCGTCTGGAAAAAGACAGTCGGCACTGGACTGCCTGCTGCCTTTCTGCTTGGGAGCATGCAATCTGCTGCGATATTGACACCGTCCCTCATCTTGATGTAGTGGGACTGCAAAACAAGAAGCTGCCGTCAAATGAGGCATTTGCATTTCGCGTGATGGGCGTGAGGGAATGCCCGCGTTGCGAAGTCGTGGGACCTCCAGCAACAAAGCCAGGGGTGCAGGCTTCCAGTTCAAATCAAAAATTCTAATTGCTATTGCGTGAGAGGCTATATAGGGGGCGACATACCGAGTAAGCTGCAGCTTTCAGGTGGTCCAAGACTTTACGAGGAACTGCAAAAGGCTTGTTTGAGACACCGCTGTCCCAGTGAGAATCGGAATGCCTCTTCTGCAGCTTTTGGTCAATCGAGGGGTCACTGACATCCTGTGCCCCCATTTTTAGCCTAGGCTCTGTGCTCAGCACAGGTCCGATGCATCCATCATGGAAGCAAGGTATTCCTCAAAGATACATAAAGCACCTCGGGCCGTAGCATGCAATCCCTTTGATAGATGTAATGAGATCAGGAAAAGGACGCAGAGGATTGATCAATTTTCTCCAATTGCCCATTCTCGTCGTGACAACGCGGCAAAGTCTTGGCACGTGAGTCACGACACGAGGTCATTGCAATGAAGACAATTGATCTGTGGCCTTTGATGAACAATCTCTGTAGTTCTCTGTCTAGTTTCGGTCACGAGGTCTTTTAGCTTGGCCCTGGGGCAAACTTTTGTTTCCAGGGAGAGTTGACCTGAGTGGGAGCATTCATTTCCTGGTTTTTTGTGGATACCTCCAACAATTTTGTTCAGTATTGAAATATCCTTAGTTCTGATGGTTGCAACGTGTCACATAGCGTGCAAGTCCTTGGAACCTTGGTCGTCGTTGGCCTCCTTCCTGATAGAGCCCACAACTTGACAGCAATCGTGGCGATTGTAGCAGAACGATCTTAGCTTGAACCCCTTCTACACGATCATTGCTCATGGCAACGAGTGCACCCGGGTATGCTCCTCCTGCGACTGCCCTACCTGTCTACATGTCCCAATGCTGGTACACATCTCTTGAAAGTGTCACAACAGGTATTCACCCACTAACAGCATGTGCATCTATGCGTTCGTGGCAACTTTGATACCGGCACGCATGTCCTGAGTATGCCCCTTCTGATGTGCAGGGCAGTAAATGCCTCCACGGCAGGGGCCCATGGGATTTTCCAGTGCAGGCAAAGAGTCTTGTCCACAAGGCGGCTGAGGAGGCAGCATAGGCGGTCGCAGGGCAGCGGCAGCGCCCCTGGACTTGTGGTGCAATGTGTGCTCCAGAGAGCAGACTATGCAGCCACTGCGAGTGACTCCAGCGTGCTGCAGCGGCCCCTGAAAGAGGAGCTGGCACCGGAGGAAGTGGAGAATGTCTTTGACTACCCGCGCAACCTCCATGACAAGTGCGCAGCTGCCCTCCACTTAACCTCTTTTATTCCAACGCATCCTACTTCACCAGTCCTCACAAGCCTTCCCTTCTCAGAGAGCGTAGCTGGGTACTTCATCTTCTCATGCTGGCTTCACATGGCCCTGAAACAAATTGATGGGAAGCTATGCATGCAAGTGTAGCAATTGATGCACTCCTGTTCACACAGCGAGGCAGCCCTTCCTCCCTACTATGTCGCTGGCACTGACTTTCACATATGCTGACTTTCTGATTACTTATTAAACGAGCTAGAGTGGTCCGCATGTAGGCGCTTGCTTATAGAAGTTCTCGTCTTTACTTTTACTTATCTGTAAATCCGCTGTTGTTTCGAGCTCCCCAGCCCCTCATTTCGCAGCTTGATTTGGATTTTGGCAGAACATAAGGATCTTGTCCCCATCTTGTCCCCATTTAGGTGCCCTCTAGAATGGGCGGACTAACAGAGAGTCTGGCTGGCACAGGTATGAGCTGGGCAAAGTGCTGGGTGCGGGGAGCTTTGGCATAGTGCGAGAGGCGGTGGGGAAGCGGACGGGGATGCGCTACGCATGCAAGACCATCCCAAAGGTGCCCAAGAGGGGCAAGGGAACGCCGCGATACCTGCTGAAGCTGCAAACTGAGGTGGATGCCATGGTGCAGCTGGGCCCCTCCCTGGACGCCGTCTACCTAAAGGTGACTCACCCCTCCCTCAAGACTGCTCTATGTGCTAATTCCGTGAGGTCGTTTTGTCATCCTTGACAACAGCGCTCTCCATGCAGTACCTCCTCGGATAAAAGAGGCGATGCCACATGATATGCACTGTATCTGAGGAGGGCATCAGGCCACAAGTCCCCCATTCCAGAAGAACCACAGTTGTCAGAGTTGCGTGAGGATGTTTGCATAAATCGTTGAGCGGGGAACCATGTATGGTGCTGAAAAACCGAAAATCCAGGCTGGTCTTCGCATCTGTGCCTTATTGGCATGCTCCGTGATGTGGGACTCATTCCAGGGTCCACGCTTTCATTGTTATCATGTTACCCTGTGCAGGGTGCGTTTGAGGACGACGGAAACATCCACCTGGTGATGGAGCTGTGCAGCGGCGGGGGAATATTGGACCGCATGAAGGAGGGAACGCTGACGGAGGCGCGCATTGCTGACATCATCCGCTCCGTGCTGCGCTTCATCGCGCAGTGCCACGCCAAGGGCATCATCTACCGCGACGTCAAGCCCGACAACTTCCTGTTCCTGTCCAAGGACGAAGACTCCCCCATCCGCGCCACCGACTTCGGCCTCTCCATCAGGTGGGCCATTTTCTCGTTTTCTCGACTAGCCTGACTGGAAATTGGAGAAGGAATTCATGTGTTGCATAAGCAGGCTCACATGCATGTGTTGCTGGGCCCTGCACAACTGCAGCACGCTTGATCTTGCAGCTGGCCATGATTCATCTGGGAATCTCGAAAGAATCCAAGCTCATAGGTGCATTACAAGCCACTTAGCTTACTGCACTGCTGTGTCATCTGCTTCTGTGGCCTTCAGGCAGCTTAAGTTTGTCAGTAGGTGTCTCTCCAAGCAGGTGACGTGCACAACATGAGACACTCGTTTCTTGACATCACACTGCGCTGCGTTCCGCAGGCACTGGCCCGCGGACGGCAAGCTGAAGTCGCGCAGTGGCACGCCGGTATACATGGCGCCAGAGGTCATCATGCAGGAGTATGGGCCGGAGGCAGACCTGTGGAGTGTGGGCATGCTGCTCTACCAGCTCCTCACCGGCACCTTCCCTTTCTGGGACTCCGTCCAAAACATCTCCCTGCAGCAGGCAAGGCCGGGTCTGTCATCGTAGTGATCAGGAGATATCACAGCTTTCAGAACTTCTGTGCCCAACATGTACACCACTGCCACTCGGTGCCTCTTGTCAGGAGCTATCAAAGTTTTCCAAGCTTCTGCGTGACCACCTTGCAGACGATTGTCTGAGGTACCATTGTCTGCTTGATGGGTTCGTCAATACTTGATCAAGCCCGGATTTGCAGCATGTAGGCATTGTCAGGCTCTTGAGGGGTGTGTGCTGGCTGTAATGCAGGTGTGGCAGGCGATTCTGACGAAGAAGGTGGACCTCAATTCCTGGAAGATAAAGCGCTCTGTGTCCAGCCCTGCCAGAGACCTCCTCAAGGTCACCCCCAACGCCCTACTTCCAAACCATGCATATTTGTTTTGAAACGTCCCATCTGCACATTTGGCTGCCCGTCATTGTATGAGCTGGCCTGGTTCCTTCTCCTGGACCCTTCACTTGTGCCAAAGGCGGCAGATCGCCTGATCCATGCTGCTCTGATTGACACACCTTGGCTTCTTACCTTTTTATCCACTGACCTTATGGCCAGGGTGACCTCTACGTGGGGCGTACTACTACATGGCATGCATCAGGTATGCGATACAGGCCTGGCTCGGTGCAAGGCCCCTTATATATTTCAAGAGCCCTTGTCCTGAAGGGGGAGTTGTGCCGAGCGCAGGGGTTGCTGGAGCGCGACCCGGCAAAGCGGCTGACGGCGGCGGCTGCGCTGGAGATGGCGTGGGTGCGCGAGGGTGGCTGCGCGCCCACCACCCCCCTGGAGGGCACCGTCGTGCAGCGCCTGCAGCGCCACGCCACCTACGGCCACCTCAAGCAGGCGCGCTGCTTCACCTTTGAAATGCTCTACTGGAACCCGTGTAAATGAGGAATCTCTGCAGCCGTGGAAGTCTGTAGATTGAAGGTTGCAGTTAGCCTGGCTGCATAAGACTTCTTGGCTTCTATGCAATGTGTCTTTGTTTGTTTGCAGACTTAGAACAACATGCTGCATGTGTCGAGGAGCCGCCTTCAAAGTTGTGCAAAGCATGCACCTGGCGGCTCGACAGTTTGATCAATCAGAAGTGTAGGAGATCAGCAGGGGGTGATTGAGTGCTGTGCTGTGCAGATGGTGCTGCACATGATAGCGGAGGATGTGATCTCTGACAGCGACCACAAGGCTGTCCAGGTCATTGCCGCCCTCAAGTGAGTCTCTGTCACCCTGTTCAGCCCTGCGCTACTATTAATTGCTCGCAAACTCTCAAGCATCTGCTCCTTCGTTCGCTCTGGTACTTCCTCACCTGTGCATCGAATCGGGTGCAAAGAGACACACAGCTGCCCCTTTGCACATCAAAGATCTCCTGGAATGATCTTTGCACCGATCACACCCATTAGTTATTCACAGGAGAACCTGTCGCTTACCGAGAACATGTAGGGCACTGCACATGCTAGACATCTCGTTGCACCCACTGCAGGAGCTTGTTCGAGGAGACAGACACAGACAGCTCAGGGGGTATTGATTCGGAGGAGCTGGCGGCGGGGTTGTTGAAGCGCGGGTACAGCCTGACGCGTGCGGAGGTGGATCAGCTAATTGACCGCATGGACCTCAACCAGGACGGCAACATTGCCTTCGACGAGTTCTCCTCCGCCCTTGTTGACTGGAAAAAGGTGCCCCTTCTTCCCACAATCTCCAGACCAAATTGTGATGCCTGCTACAGTGGCATGCATCAAGCCTGGACAGCATCACCTGCCCAGAGTCATGGGATTAGAGTGGTGCTGTCAGCTTGTGATTGTGGTTACCAGGTCTTCCCATGCCTGCATGAGAGGTAGCAGGGAGCCAAGACACAGGCACAGCAAAAGGCTTCTTGACAAACTTGATTAAGAGAATCAATGGTGGTGTGAGTATTTGAGCCGGGCCTGACACTGCATGCATGCCTCATATGGACTGCCTCTCTGTCAGCAAGTCATCTGGGGCCTTGAGTCCATAGGAGAAAGCTCGCCAAGGTTTGAGCGGAGGCTGACTGGACATGTGTGACATGTGCGCGCAGCTGCAGCAGGACGATCTGTGGGTGCGCTGGGTGGACCAGGCCTTTTCGAAATTGGATTTGAACGGCGATGGCTACATTAGCCTGGAGGAGATCATGCACAAGCTGCCCCTCATGACCACAGATCCAGATGACGACATCGAATCCGAACGCCTGCTTGAGGTGCGCAGCTGCCCTGCAGCTTCTCTGTAGCTTCCTCTGCAGCTGCCCTGCACCGGTCCTGCTCTCGCACCATACTGCAGACCTTTTGCATTGTGGCCATGTCTGCGTGCGCTGTTAGATTGCTGGCAGAATCTCTCAGCGATCCGCTGCAAGACCTTCTCCGCGAACGATGCTGCTCTTGTCTGTCATCTCAAAGTACCAGATGGCCAGAGCGCTGCAGGAGTGATGAGAATAACACATCCTACAAGCCACGCCCTGCACCAAAGTGCCTGGACCTAAGCAGTCCTCGATTGATTGGCATGAAGGGCACCGTATTTGGACCTCAAGGAAAACAGCACTAGGCTGCCTGCCACGTTGTGCTCTGGCTGACGTGGGCTACGCTGTCCGCCTACAGAGACTATTCTCATGACATTGCTTCGTGTCTGTGTTCAACAGGCGCGGAGGATGCTCAGAGAGGCGGATGAGGATGGGGATGGCCTGGTTTCCAAGGAGGAGTTTCACGACCTCTTCACGAAGAAGTCCATGCCAGACGCACTGGATGGCTACGACGCCAGGTGGCAGCCAGTAATTGGAGGCATCAACGCCGCGTCCTGACGCAACGTTGCTCGAATTGCTTATCATTCCGCCCGATCCAGTGGAGCACCTGTGAAAGGTGGCACAGCAGTGTTCTGGCCTGCGCAAATACAAATCAAGCTGCAAAAGGTGGGGCTGGGGAGCTCGAGACAACAGAACATTCTGGATTGGTAAAGATTGAGAATAGGAATATTTCAAGCAAGAGCCTGCGCGCGGACCGCTCTAGGCCTGCAGTGAGTCCGGCATTTGCCCATACAGACAGGGCTGTTGAGCCAGAAGTTCTGTGCGGTGCTGCATGGCACCAGAACACGCTGTACTGCTGTGTGGTGCTCTTGTGAGGGCGCCGCCGTCAGGAGAAGATAAGTTTGACAGAGAATAAGTTATGTTACGTAACTTATCGTTGAGCTGTCATGGTACTGGAGGAATGACAAATCTTTGCCATACAAAGCTGCAGCCATGGTGAGTGTGGAGAAGAGAAGAGATGCCTGAGCATGAGCGCACTGATATTGTGGAGCAAGACCTTTTAGAGTCTACCATTATATTTCTTCTTTGTCTTGCAATTGCATCAGTGTTTGCTAGTACTGTGCCTTGGTGAATTTCGCCAATTTTGGAGTGCTCTACTTGAAGTCTGCATTCTGTCTTCTCTGGAATAATTCTGAAGTCCGAGGTGACCTCTTCTTTCTGTGACCTTGATGAAGGCCATCAATAGCAAAGTAACAGGTCGGTTGGTGTTCAGTACTGTTCATACACTAGTGATATGGCACCACCTGTGCAGGCTGCAAGCAATGTGATCATGAGTCAGATTCAATGGATATGGGAACCTGGCCAGCTCAATTCGAGCCCTTACTCGGCATTCAGCAGTCTTAAAAAATACTGGCACACATGCATGCGTCAAAATCATCATCTTTTCATCATGTCAAGATCACATGTGTATACTACTGCCCAAGCAGTGTCAAGATTCTGTCACGCAGGCAGAGGAGCAAAAGGTTCACGGTCCCACAGGACTAGCACCTCCCGAGATTCCACGCTCTGCCCTCTGGCACGTTCTCCCTTCACCGACCAGGGCGCAGGCTGAGCTTGCTGCGTTTCCGCCCTGAGCCGGTTCGCCTGCCTTTAACTGCCTCGACTGCCGATCCTCCGATCGACAACCGGCACAGACCCCGGCCTTGAATGGGACGCAGCCGTCAACAGACATGCGTGGGCGGGATGCACTAGACTGCCGTCCATCGCGCACCAGCTCCCGCTAGGGTCACAACGAGATGCTGCTCTCGCCAGCTGAGAATTTCTAATTTCTCCTCATCTATATACCCTCGATCGGAAGCCTGAAATTAAGTATGGGACGGACTTCATGACATCAAGAGCTCAGCCCCGGCACGAATTGAAAATCTATTCTTTCGTCCATACTTCTGAGAAGTTAGTTAAGGGCAGAGAAAAATTCTGCTTTTTATCATTAGAAGGCTTGGACTTCCGTCGTTGGTGAGTTGATCCAGAGTTGATCCTTGGCAAGAAAAATGTAGCAATTGCGCTTGCGACATCACAGATACATAGAAATGAGCAGAGAGGTTCCATCCACCCCATACATTGAAGGAAACAGACCGAAAGAGGTGCTGAAAGGCGGCACTCGCTTGGATGGAAGAGGCTTTGAAGTGTTCAGGAACGTCTGTAAGTCTCTATCCCTCATCCTTCCACGTTCACATTGTTATTTTTAATGTTGACAGCGCTTTTTGTGTAGTTATCTGATTTGTTCTGGTGCAATGCAGTCATGAAACCAGGGACCCTGAGCCAAGCGGCTGGCTCGGCTTATGCAGAGTTTGGAAACACCAAGGTCATCGCTGGAGTGTGAGTTCCAAATCCAGGTTCTGCTTATCATCGAATGTGCAATCCAATCCTGCATACCACCTGCCTCCTGCCTATTGAAGTATGAAATACTGCGGTGACAGGTATGGCCCGAGGGAGGCCGAGAGGAAGGAGGTCTTCAGCACAGAGGGGAGGCTGCAGTGCGATGTGAAGCTTGCCAGCTATTCCCGCAGAGAACGGAAGGCTTTTGGACAGGCAAGCCTGCTTGCACCGCTTGTTCTGCAGCCTTACTGCCTCAAGCAGTAGCCTGGGTAATATTGTAAAAGCTGAACATCTTGTTGTGCATGCATGCACAGAATGATGAGGAGCGGGAGCTGTCCGTCCAGCTCCAGACAGCGCTGGAAGCAGCAGTGCGGTTGCAGACATTCCCCAAGGCCAATGTGGACATCTACTGCCTAGTGTTGGAGTCTGCAGGAGCGGATCTGGCAGTATGCATATGCGCAGCCTCGCTTGCACTTGCAGATGCAGGCATTGAGATGGAAGACATGGTGTCAGCATGCAGCGTGGTGAGCCATAACCACCGCGCGGAAGAGATTTGCGAGGCGCACGACTGTTAGTTGCGCAATCTTTCTTTGCACATCCTTCAAGGATCCTGAGTATGTCCTCTGAGACCAGCAAGGCAACAACACAGCACAGCGAGAGGTCATACTCAGCTTTCCTTTCAGGGCTTGCAAAGGAAATCCTGCAACTGAGTATCTGCCATGGTCAAGAGATGCAGGTTGAAGGCAAAGGATTATGAGCCAATGAGACACGATGATGAAAATTTTGCAATCACCATGCGGTCTGCATTGATTGTGGAGCTGTGCTGTGTAGAGTCGGGTGGATGGGCACCTGCTGTTGGACCCCACCATTGACGAGGCATACAGGGAAGACGGCAGCGCTCTGCTTGCCATGATGCCATCAGCCAATGCGGTAAGCTCTTCAAATCATCAATTATTGAACCTGTGAATTCAGCGACATCCTTTGGTGGAGGCCCTCTCTGTGAGCCTCATGGACTTGAGACACTCAAAGTACTCATGATGGACACGCAGTGAGTCTCATTGAAACTAAGGAAAGATGCCCCCGTTGAACGGGATGGCCAGAAATGCAGCTGAAATGCCCAAGGCGTGCGGTGAGTGGCTCTGTTGATGGGTTTGGTGTCACTGAGGAATGATGTGGGGTGGTTGCCAGGTGTCACAGGTTGTGCTGACTGGGCAGTGGAGCAATGCACAGGCCAGCGAGGTGCTGCAGCTGTGCATGGGCGGGTGTGCGCAGATAGATGCCTACATGCGGCAGTCCATAAAGGAAGCTGCAGCAGGACAAGTGTGACTTTACGGGAAATTTCTTGTCCTCATGGAAGCTCATTCTCTGCAGCGATAATGAGGTGTCAAGAGAGTTACTGATAAGCAATGTGCTTGTCATGATTGCCTTGTGAGAGGTTTGCTACCGGCTCACGACATACTGTAGTCAACATTACAGAGATGCGAATCCAAATGCATCTTTAAAGGACTTGTAGCACCCTGGGAAGCAAAAGAGGCAAGCAGACACGTATGTACGTCCTGACCAGGATCATACTTAGCAGACAACAAATCACACCTAGGCCATTGACAGGCAAAACCTTCAAAGCAGCTACACCGCCCAGACAAAGCTGTATATATATTACCCCCAATGAGCACTCAAAAGTCATCATTCAAGGTAGAACAGCCAAGATCACACGAGTCCCAGCCAGGAGACATTCACATGGCACACTGAAGTCGCATGTGTCCAGAATCAAACACATGCACATTGCCGGTCTCAGATATACCACCTCACTGTCACCATCGAAAATCCCTGCGTACACCCACAGTCCTGCAAACAAATGAGCTCGTCTGTACATACAGCAGCCTCTTTTTCACAGCTTCACATCCCAAGGGAGATCGTGAAAAGGCCATTCTGTGCGAGTGCTGACATGGGAATGTAGCCTTCCGTGGTAGCATGCGCCTGTCCCTTTCATCATTGCATGCAGCACAGTGGAGGCCAGTTGCCATGCCCTGCTTGTATCATGTGTTGCGGTCAGAGCCCCTCCTTTTGTGCCGCATCTCGCCCAGACTAAGCATACGGCTATCCCCACAGCAGGATGATACGTACTGCAGCCCTCCACAAGAATCAGAGGAGGTACATATACGCCCGCCGAGGGGTGGCCTCTACTACCACCGGAGTAGAGACTGGGAGGTTGAAGAGAAGGACACAGATGGACAGAGTGGAGCGTTTCAGACTTCTCCGTCCTCTGCATCATCGTCATCATCGTCATCCCCAAAGTCCTCGTCGTCGTCGTCGCCTCCCTTGAGCTGCAGGCCGAACACGTCTCCGAGGGCGTTGTGGTCGGTGCCCGTGAACAGCTCCTGCTCCTCTCGGAAGGTCGACGGCTTCTCCAGGTTCTGGCAAGACACAGTTCACACGGTTCAAAGTACGAATATTGCCCATTTGCTCCCTGCACATGCTCCCTACAAGGTGCCAGCACAAACCATGCCCCTGGCGCATGAGGCTTGTCTAGCAGAGCAGCATTGCAATTTTTGCTCAGTGGTGATGCATGCAATGGCTCCACCTGGTGAACATTGCCGGTGGACAGTGAAATTCACCGGTGAGAGCAATCAGATGCATCGCTACTGCATGCAACACCACCTCACAAACACCTCCTGCTCAGTGCACACGTTCCATTTGTTGTGCGGCAGCACCGCCCCCCACTCAGATGCTAGGGCAGCTAAAATAGACCAGGTGCTCCCAGCAGCGCCAGACAGTCCAATGCTCATTGTCTCCAATCTGAACTCTGCCCGAGTGACAAACCGCTGCAGCAAACACAATTCCAGTCAATTCTTCTGCGCACCTGCAGCTGGGCAACCTCCTTTGCGCGCTGCTCCTCGATTTCGCGCCGCTCCTGCTCTACCAATTCCCTCTCAGCTGCGCGCTGTGCTTCGGCCTCGGCTTCAGCCGCAGCGCGGCGCTCCTCGGCTTCGCGCGCGGCGGCCTCCTCGGCAGCTTCCCTCTCCTTCCTTTTCCGCTCCTCCTCCACCTTCTTGTCCTCCTCCTGCACACAGTAGCGCAGTGGCTGACATCATCGCCATGGATTTACGTAAGGGATGATGCAGCACGATCAGGTGGCTGATGAGCAACTCATTCTTATTAAGGTGTCATTGCCTTTGATCATGGACAAGATAATTGCAAATGACAGATTTTAGTGGCATGCAGATGCCACCCAACCATTCCCCTCTGTGGATGGTGGTCATCTGACAACGTAACTGAGCAATATGCACAGACAAGTTCTAGAATCATGCGCAAGGCAAATACCGACTTCATCAGGCAAGCTCATTTGAGAATGCAGGCGCATCATCCCACCCAAGCTGGCAAGGGGCTGTCATGCAGCACAGATCAAGTACCCTACCTGCTGCTGCTGTTGCTCCTCAAGGGTCTTGAACTGGTCCCAGAGGTTGTTGCCCTCATCGCCGCCCTCCTCGCCTTCCTCACCCTCTGCATCGCCATCGCCACCCCCGCCCTCGTCATCCGGCTTGTCTGTCAGCGTCGCCCATGCATTGGCATTCTGCAAAGTCACCTCCTGCACACATGGTCACATGTGAAAATGTCAGCCATACCTGCTCTGGAGTTTCAGACTTGCAATCGTGACATCTGCCTCAAACCTCGAGACAACAGGCATCAGCAGCAGCAGCCAACCATCAAAGTAGCACATGTTCCTTGTGGCTTGGAATGCCCCTTCTGCTGGCATTTCGCCGGCAAGAAGCCACAATGCGTATTGTCTGGCAACAGGGGGATCAGGTGAGATGAAGGTGCAATGAGGCTCCTACCTTTTTGTTGGCCATGTTCTTAATGATTTGCGGCTGTTGTCGCGGGACAGTGGCTGACACGAAATCCATGCCGTCCCCGGCATGGCTTTGTTGCACTGCACGCAGGAAAGGTGTGCATTAGCCCCTTCAGCTAAGCTTCGAGCGATCGTCACATAAACAACAGAGACAAATTGAGAGATGCACTCGTACAAAAGAGCCACTCACAAAGATATTCATACCTTTGGTGCCATGATTTGCAGTGGAGCCCGCCAGCTGCTTTGAGCCCACTTCTCCTTGCGAGTCAGATGCCTCAGCCTCAGAGTCCCCTTGGCCTGCAATGGAAATTACATCAGGACCACACCCCAGACTGCCTGTCAACCTTAGGTATATCATGATGATAGTGGTCACATGGCAGCAGACTCATGAAGTATATCTGGACTTTGACATTGTTGCAGCCCAGCTTTGCATGGAGCAGACTAGCACACTCTTCAGCATGTCTACATGCATGCATATGGTGTGGCATTGGGTTTGTGGCACTGTATTCTGCAAAAAGATTGCAGAATGCAGTGCCCTGATTACCACCCACCTTTTTCTAGACCGTCCTCTCAACAGGCGCATATATATATATATATATATATATATACGCTCAACTGATTAAAACAAGGTGCTATAATTTTAAGGCATGGTGCTGCATGATATCCGGCACTGCTTTGACAGAGCCACACACCGCTCATGCCATGCCCACTGCGCTCCAGCGGTGCCTCTGCAGACTCCTGCTGTTTGTCCTCCTGCCTCGCCCTCGGCCCTGCCCCACCCTGCATGCATGCATGCATGCACTCGATAATCATATGCATACACCTCAGGATTGTACTCAGGCCCGCAGCTTGGAGCCACATGAACTTTTGCCTCTGGCCCCAGCAGACACATACCGAGGCATAGGTAAATGAGATCAATGCACCTGATATGACACAGGGAAGACATTGGTTACATGGTAAGGTGCAGGGGGATAATTCACACCTCATGGTTGGCGCCCCCGGCGCCATCTCCGCCTTCACGCATGGTTGCACCACCCGTGTCGAGGACGCGGCCTATGGACATGTCGGTCACGAGCGCATTGAGCCGCCACAGCGTATCCTGGTTCAGGTCATCTATGTCCACTTCCACCTCCGCCTCCTGCCATGCATGCCAAGCCTTTCATCACTTTAAATCCATGTAACGATAACCAACATGCGCACATGGCGAGGCAATCATCTGGGAGCACATGTCGCTTCATGACAGCTGCGAATAATGCATGTCAAACCCACTGGACAAGAAGGCAGCAGATCTGTACATGAGACAAGTCTATCCACGAGGGCATTTCCAGGGAAGGTGCGAATGCAGGGCAAGAGAGGAGGCAAGCACGGGGCATGCTGCACCTGGTCAATGCGCTGGCACTCTGCAATGATCTCCATGACGAGGCCCAGTTTGTCGCCAGACAGCGATCCCAGCCCCTGGCTCAGCCTGCGCTTCTCCTCAAAGGTCATCGGCCTGTTGCCAGGCGCCGCCACCTCACCATCCTGCGCCTCCACCTGTGGCAGTCAGTCCCTCTAGGCTTGGAAGCTGTAGCAGGTGCCTTTGTAAAAATGTGATGCATGAGTTGGTATAGAACGCAGAGGTAATTTCTTGGCTGGGTGTTTATTTGTTGAATGATACGACAGTCTGGAGGAACCTCTACTGAGGTTCCAGAAGAAGGCTGGCTCTCGGGTGGCAAGCACACCTGTTGCTGCAGCATGCGCAGCTCCCTGTCCATTTCTTCCATGTGGTGAGGCAGTTCAGGCCCGCCAGCCAGCATCTGTGCAGCACGGCAGTAGGATCAAGGAAAACATCCACGACAGATCAGGAGATGATAGAAACCGCGAATTTCTGTCTGCACGAAAATTGACTGCAGTAATGAAATAGAAATTGCATGTGTTAATATCACGCATGCGTGCAGTCGCAAGCCTGACAGAACATACAGCGTAACCGGTTCGTTATACAGCAACCTGTGTGGATGTCTGGCAGGTCATAGCAACCCTATGACTGCAAGATAATGTCCTGACTTACATTCTTGGCTTCAAAGCTCACCGTTTCTTCATGACGCTGCCTGAGCTGCTCTTCCTCCCACTTCTGCTCTATGCCAGAGATGGCCCACTTCTTCTCCCAGTACTCGCTCATCCAGTCCCCGTTGGTCCGCACTGGCTGGCCGATGGGGTTGTAGAGGCGGCAATTTTCCCAGATCTGCCGCATGTCGTCCCGGAACTCGTACACGTCCTTATATTTCCGGAAGCTCCCCTTGGCTGGGTTGTGAGATAGCTTGCCCGCGACATCATTGAGGGCCATAGGATTCTTCACATACTGGAAGTAGTCCACGATCTTGAGCTTCACGGGATCCACCGGTTCTACGAACATACTGGCCTTCTGATTGCCCTTGACGTTGCGCAGGATGGTCTGACATTGCTGAAACAAGGCTGTCACTCTCTTTTCTCTCTCTGCCTCGATATGTGCTCGGTCTGAGGCTGTTCCTCCCGCACCGAAGTGACTGAGAGCACCAGTTTTATTGGGGCCCCTGGCTGTCTTTGCAGGGCCTGCCCCAACACCACCGTTGAGGGCCTGCAGCTGCTGTGCTAAGGCTGCTTTCTGCTGCTCTATGCGCTGCAACTCTTCCTCGAGCTGCTGTTTTCTCTCACGGATGTGCTGCCGACGGGACTGGGCATCCGGGGCCTCGAGCACCCCGTTCATATTTGCCCAACAAATGCAATTGTGTTTGCGTGCCCAGAGATGTTTGCGAGAAATGTAAATGTTGTAGGAACGCCGTCTGGTGTGCGCGGCATGTGCCGACGCTTGTTTTGGCTCAGCTCTATTATGACAGATTTAACCTATGAAAGCCCTCTGTGTGAGATCTCAGCTTATCTCGTGCATTCCGACCTCGATTGTATTCCAGGCCGCTGTATTGCCTTGTCTGTTCCCCACTTGTAAGAATCTCCAGTTGTCATCACGTACGGACGGCGGAAGATCGTTTGATTCACTCCCAACTGTGGAAAGGTTTTCCTGACACCCACGCTCTTTGTCTTCCCCTTCCCTTGTGCGCGATCCTGGCATCCGTCTATGCAGAGTCCAGTGTTGCTTCCAATTATAGTATTTTCTCATGGGGAACACTCGGTTTTCATGGGCCACAACGGAGTGTAACCAATAATCCATGGGCTACCAAAGCACCTGTTTCATCAGGATATTTGCTGACATGATGTGTGTGTGGCGCAGCAGGGAGAGAGACCTTTGGAGGCACGAAAGGGGCACACGACCACATCCATGCAGCGACAAGCACTCCCAGGACTGCAGCCCTTCACTCCGGCTATCTCCACCTTGCGACTGCGAAAGCGAACCTTCACATGCCGAGCATCCGATGCCAAGGAATTGCTGAACACTGAGCAGCGCTCCAAAGCCCTGGAGCTGCAGCTGAAGAGGTCTCAGGCCAGGGCCAGCAACAGCGCCGCCCCTGCAGCGTCCTCACAGGCTGAGAAGTCAGTGACTGGCAGTCTTCCCCATGCAAGAAGTGATGCATGCTACTTGTCCTAGCATACCTGGAGTGCTACATTTCATACATAATGTGTAAAAACTGGATGCTGTCACCGCAGGACAATTGAAGCGGATTTGGCTGCCCGGAAGGAGGCCGCAAGGGAATGGGTCACACCCTGGTTGGTGAGCAAAAAATCCGTGTGTCTGCCGCAAAATGTTACTGTGTGCTTTGCATATCTTTAACACACTCTTGCCGGTTTATTGTGTTCGTGGGTGTCTGGGTCCCTGAAGTCATCCTGCGCACGTACAAAGGAGTGATAGCCTGCCTACAAGCACTAAGGGTGGATCAGCACTGAACCTACCGTCAGCACTGAAATCTGTCAAGTGTGTGCATGTGCAGGAAGTTGCGCAGAGGAAGCAGTCGCATGCGGTGATGTCTGAGCTGAGGAGCCGTGGGGAGCTGCTGAGTGATGAGCAGGAGAAAGCCGCGCTCGCACGCCTACTGGGCGGCAACTCTGCTGCGGTGAGGCCCCAACACCCTCTCAGTGTCCAAGGGTTCCTTGGGAGGTCGGAATCCAATCCTGATGATCTTTTGTAGACCCCAGGCTTCCCTGTACAGGGGACTCGAGCCCGACTTCAGTGCATTTAGTGTCTCCTGCTTTCCACTACGTAAGGAAGGCGATGCTTGGCATCAGAGATGGGCCGCGCACTCAGGTCTCCGATAGAGAGAGCACATTGCAATGCAAGGGAAGCTGTGTCATCAGTGGCGCAGTGCAGGCCTCTTACCAGGCCCAAGAGGATGTGTGCTACAATTGTCTTGCCTCTGCCCTCTTGTCATTGTCCTCAGGGGAATACTGGGTGACCCGCAGGTCAGCCAGAAAGAGGCCCCAGCTGCGGTGGCCGCAGAGAGCAACGGGAGCGCAGCAGTGAGCACTAGTGAGGAGCAGCCTTCCAGATTCGCCCCCAGCGAGACTCTGGAGGATGGCAGGTCTGTGCTTACACTGCATGCTCTTTAGAGCTCTTTCTACTGGCCGACGAAAGTGTGTCCTTTGGGACCCTAGTCCTTTGCGCAGCAGCAGTGTGAAGGTACTTTCGGAAAATTGACTGATAATGGTGGAATCTGTGTCTGAGTCTTTTATGCTGTGCTGTGCAGTGTGGTGTACACGCTGTCTCTGCTGCAGTCCGTGGACTATGAGGCAGTGCTGGCCCCTTGATGGGCTGCAACTACAGGGCGAGGCATGAGTTTTGAGGGCTGATGTATGACAGCGAGATGTACAGTACCCTATCAGAGAAGCCTGGGGGGCGCCAGATGATGTGGCAGCAATCCCTGTGCTTGTGAAGATTTGAGACTGTGCTGGGACTGAAGCTGACAGTTGAGGTGGGTTTTGAGAGTGTGCTGGGACTGAAGCTGACAGGTGAGGTTGTGGGCTGTGAGTGAAAGTTTTGAGATGTTTTGCATTATTGGACCAGGCTTATATCCTTGGAAGAGATTCTTGAGTGGCCGCCACGCGGCGTGATGGTCTGTAAATGCAAGCTGTGAAACATCGAGTGGCATTAATACGGCGCATGAAGTCCGACAAGAGTCCCCTGGACAGGCCTAGGGGGCCCTCTTGACTGCGCAGTACTGGCAGTACTGCACGCATGTCGCAGTCACCTGCTGATCTCAGATGCTCCGTTCGCGTACTGGCACTAGTGGGCACTAGGCAGGTGGGCGGAAATCGGGGAGGTACTTGTGTTTTTCAGTGCTTTGAGGGGTTTGTGGGGAATTGTGGAGTTGGGGACAGGCTGCCAGTGGCACGTGCATGCGCATATGATGACGTCTACTGCCGAGCTGGCAGGCGTCTGAGCCTGACCATGGGCTCAACCTTGGCATCCTCCATTGTGCATGACAGTCACATCGCAAATTTCGCATTTCGCAACTTTCGCATTTCGACTTGCATGGGTGTCTACCTTACAAGAGCACGTGCCGATGAGGTATCACACGTGGCTGGAAGACGTCAGCAGGTACCTTTATCAGGCCTCCAATCTCGTTAAAATTCGACTTGCTAGTCCTGACGTTGGTGTCGTGTTGCAGTCTCACCATGTTGCACCTTCTCGTCTTGGCCCTCTTAGCTAGCTCAGCAGGGGCAGCAACAGACCTGCCATGCTCCTGTCAAGGTGTTGGTTGCACCTGTAAGCCTTCAAACGATACCACTGTCGTTCAAAAAGATGTTAGTAGCATAGCATCAGCTCCTAGAAGCTCTACACTCGCACCTCGGGGCCCAGCTCCGAGATCGGGCCCAGCAGGTGCAGCCGAGGCTGGGTCGGGTTTGACGGATGCGACCGGTTCATTGGCGTCCTCTTTGAGCACCAGCCAGTATTCTTTGCCAGACAGCACAACAAGCAACCCACTCCTAGACCTTACCGACTCAGCACCAGCTCTGGCCCCAGAACCTGCACCAGCCGAACAAATGACAGCTACAGCTTCTCCCAGCCCTGGACCACCACCGGCTACCAACGATGCGACCTCGACGCAGTATATGGTTGCAGGAAATTTGGTCATCGGCAACAAGACTGCTTCTGAGGCGGATCTAGCACTGGTGAGTTGAATGCGTTTCACCTGCATCTCACCTGTTTTGCTCCACCTCCAGGCCCCTCGAGCTCACCACATGATGGCTTCGCAGATAAACCAAGACGGGTTCTTGTTCCCCAACATCACCGACGACGGGCTTCTTGACAGCACGGTATCAGAACTCTTCACGTTCAACAGCACATGCTCCTTAGGTGAGCTGGAGCTTGCTATCTTTCCTAGAGCCTCTTCCGTGAATGCCTTCTGCAGCAGAAGAAACACCCTTGCAGTACAGCAGAGTGGTCCCATGCAATTGCAGGCGAGCCAGCATTGAGGGGGGCTAACCAAAGAAGCCTGTTTCTCTGCCGTCGCAGGGTTTGTGATCGTGGCCAACAGCACGATGCAAGTGCTGCTGGTCAACATCATCACTGGGACGGTGGAGCAGCGCTGTGATGTGATCCGCACACGCGCATGTGCCGTCGACACGTATGATCTGGACCCTGACGCGGCCTACTCCCTCTATGGCGCCATGGCTGACCAATTGGATCCCATCCACTACGGCTTCAACATGACCTTCACCGGTGCGCGGACCACAGCTGCCATGCTCCAAATTGGAGCTCTTGATCTGTCCCTGCTCATGTATATGCAGTGTGGGAAGGCTTACCTTCTTGCGATGCGTGACAAAGATCCTTCTCTGAAGACATGGGAGTGAAATGTATTGGGAAGCTTCCAGAATGTGTCAAGCTGGCTTGTGCGCAGCATGAGAGTCGTGGTAATGGAGCAGAACAGCGGTAATGGGATGGATTACTATGTACACAAGAGGGGGCATTCCCGGTTATTAATCAGCAGAAGCTTGAAAGCAGTACTATGCAACAGTACCAGTCCTGATAGACAAAGTGTAACTGTAACAACAATTATCAATCTGCTGATTCAGGGTGTGTTCTGCTGCGCAGCATGCACGCGTGCAGATGCGGCCATCGCAACCGGGGCGGCCGCGAAGCCGTCTCCCGCCTTCCAGCCGAGCTCTCTGCGCAGCCCTTCTCCTGCGCGTGGTGCCTCCCAGACGCCCTCTCCCAAGCCACAGCCCGCTAAGCCCCCTGCCGCGGCTGCGGCATCGAAGACAGTCTACTACCCGGTGCGAGGCCACATCTTTCGTTGTTGTCGCAGGAGGCATGCTGTGCACAACTGCATGCCCATGCTGGAGGAATCTGGCAGCACCCGCACCGGCTTTTGATCGCAGTCGGCACAGTGGCCTATTGCCTGGTAATGCCTTGAGCACGAGCATGCCAGCAAAGTGAATGTTCAATTCACCAGCAAGAGGAGTCATGCATTATGTTTCCAGCGTGGCAAGATAACAGAGCGGACATTGGAACCTTGCGTAGGAGAGACCCCCGCTTTTCTGTGTCCTTTGCAATTTGCAGCTCGCTGCTTGTGAAGAGGCTGAACTTGACCGTGATGTGGTCACAGTACATGTCCTACCTCGACGACATGGGGATCAGCCGAAGACCATATGTGGCACTGGCGGTGCTGGGCGCTCGAGATGTCACATACAGCGTGGCGGCTGTGACCGTGGTGGATGACTATCTCGTCAATGTTCCCCTGCGCGGCTTACTCATCGCCCTGGATGACTTTGACACTTGGCAGGTGATGCACCACAAAGCATCACATGCCGAAATGTGCTGTTGGTTCATTCACAGCAACAATCTATCTCCGGCAGGATACATCCAGCCCACCACCTGCCAGCCTGTCATAAAGACACTTGCCTGCAGCAGCTTATAGATGTTGAACCTTCACCAGCTTGCTCTTGTGGAGAGTAAGACAGACAGAATCTGAGGCTCAGTACACTCAAAACATAACTCCTAGTGCAAACAGAACAGGCAATGCAGAGCTCCGTCAAAAAGGATCGCTGAAGCAGTGAGTGTGTCAATGCACAGAACTCCACGGGCAGCACAGACCTGCTGACATCACTGGCAGTGGCGGGCGGCGGCTGCACAACACGGCGCGCTACCGGGCCCTGCCGCGGCAATGCGCGCTTCGGCGCGAGCCCGGACGCGGCACTGAGCCCGGCCGCAGATTCGAAGTCAAATTCGGATTCGAAGTCGAGGAGGAGCGAGGTGTACGTGCTGCTGATCTTCACTGACGGCGCGCGATTAAACAAGATTCTGGCCGGCAGAGATAGCCCCTACCTTGCGCGCATCTCCGTCACCTACTGCATTGCCGCAGAAGGTGCGTGTGCCCATGGCTGTTTGTAGCCTGCAGTCTGCCAGGCTATAGCAAAATTCAAGAGTTTCAAGAAGTCAAAGCTGGTAATTTAATGGATTGCGTTCATGGACCTGGGTTGGTGTTTGATTGGATCAGCTCGCTTGGACAGCAATGTGTGCTTTCTACCGTAATCCTGTCATCCATATTTGCAGCAGAACAGTGCTTGCGGAATGATCTCTTCGTTGAGCACAGTTGTTCTCTTGCAGGTGGCTCATGTGGGCGTCCTGTGGCATGAGTTTCACTGATACTTTCGACAAAAGCATAACTTTCAGCTCAGATTGCTATTGAATCAATTGATGTTCTTTTTTTCATTTATGCGACCTTCCTCTCTGCTGCCCTGAAATGCCAGCCGCTCTACTGGGCATGCATGTCGCAGACATCATTATGAATGAGCCCCGTACTGCCAAATAGTTCTGAGCAAAGGCATGTTTTCTGCTTCAAACACATCCTGGGTAATTGAAATTGCAAACGCTGCAGTGCAAGTGTTGAAGTGTCCAAGAGAAGGAACCTATTTGAGAAGGGGACACCTGCGTTGCTAATGTGACTGGTGAAGTTTGACTTATCAGTCGGATCATATTTATCTTCTTCCGAGGTTTTCAAGCTACTGATGATGCACATGTATGGCCCAGGCCATATGCATGATGCCTCACAGGCAAATTGAATGTCCTTCATTTCAGTTCATGATTGTATTACAATTCAAGACTTGAAACAGCTGCAATATGACTATATTGTAATGGAAGTACTGATTGTAGATGTACATGGGAAACTATCATATACAAGCAGCAACACAGGAGCAGATGCATGCCTCATCACTGGCCACATGCATAAGAGTGCGAGTCGTTGTCCAATGCTTTGCCAATCATCAGCGATAGTGTGCCCTTTAACACGACCTTGTGGCAACATACAGTCGCATTCTTCTTCAAGCTGACCAGGATACTTAAGCTTCGCTTGCTCATTTCACATCAGCCAGACGGCCCAGGATCTTGAGGGTGGCCTCCCAGAAAGGCTTAACAGTCGCTATCTCCAGGTTCTCGTCTGGGCTGTGAGCGCCCCGGATGGTGGGCCCGTAAGACACCATGTCTATGCCAGGCACCTTCTCCCCAATGATGCCGCACTCCAGGCCAGCGTGGATTGCCCCCACCTGTGTGCGCACCCAGCCATTTAAGCAACACTGTACTTGATATCTCAAGCAACAGCCCTGACAGTGAGTCATCCCTCACACGCTTGGGTGAAGAGCAACAAGCTACCGCTGCGTTGCCTGGAAGCTGGACTGATCAGAGGACACCACCAGGGGCATGACAGCACATGACCTCCGTGAATCTCCTGCAGCTCACCTGGGCCTCATATGATGCCTCTATCTATTCCTCCTGGGGGTCCGCATTCACCATGACGTCCAAACAAGTGGACACACCCCAACACCATGTGCTGAGGGGAGCAGATGGCATGAACACCATGACGGGATTACACGGGTGAGGGAGGGGTACGGTACCTTGACAGTGTGCCCGGTGACCTCCTCCAGCACTTCCTTGGCCAGTCCGACCACTGCGCTGCCGGGGTTGGGAGCCCAGCCCGGGTATGCTGTGTCCTGCTCCACGCTGGCGCCCACCTGCGTACACATGCCCGCACATGCTGTCATTGTCATGTGACTGCTGCCCACAGATCATGGCCTTGGACACAGACCCGGCAATGATACTTCATTTAGTTCCTGCATGCATGGCCAGAGCATGACATCCGCTGACCAAAGCACCTCCTGCCGGTCATGACCTGCATGCATTGTTGCAAACAGACCTGCATTCAAACAGCTCAACATGCCGTTTCATGTTTAAGCATGCACCAAATAGTACCATGCATGTAAGAGCATGCGTCAAAAAGCAAGAGGGTGCAGGATTATGAGGGCCCCGCACCAGGCCGCTGAGTTTGGAGATGCTGTCGCGCACGGCCTCCAGGGGAGGGCCCAGGCTGCTGCGCGTCGTGCACTGCACCATGTACTTCTCCGGCAGGGCGCCATTCTCGGCAGGGCACGGCTTGACTGATGCCAGGTTTGTCGAGGTTTCCACCAGCCCTGTGTTGGCAAAAATTGTTTGGGCCATCGTTGTACTGTGAATTCACGACAATACAGCCCCTAACTCCCTTCTCAGCTTGTAGTACCTTGCATGTCTTGCACTATGTCTTAGATTCAAATGTGACACCAGAAGGCAGAGGGGCGCACCCCTGGGGTAAAATGGAGCTTCGCAATTAACATAGCAGGGATGCGCACTGTATCGCCATAGATATCATTGCATGCAGCTGATGGTGCAGCAAAGCATTTGTTACGGCAACGGAAACGCAAAGAGACAGGTCTGCCATGCTGTTACATACCTGGGACGGTGTGGGAGTACTTGATGACCCCATGGGGGAGGGTGAGTAGCAGAGTCAGCAGCTTGGAGGCGCTGTCGCTGCTGAGCACCTGGCCAGGCGCAGGGCTGCTGCTCTCTGACAAGGACACACTGAGCTGAGTCTCTAGTGCACCGTACTCCTTCTTCAGAGCATCTGCATACTGATCTGTCACAGCTGAGGCAGCATCCCCGGAGCCCTCTGGCACCTGCAAAAATCCCCACATGCAGAATTGGCTTCAGGTGAAGCAGGCCTCTCTCTTTCTCCCCTGTCGTTATGCCTTGCATGCCACCCTGCTAGCCAACTTGCAGCAGATCTGTCTTTCCAGCTGTTGATGCAGGTTTCTCTGAATCTCCACCAAGTTGTAAAGCGCATACACAGCACACACCAGAAGCTCAAGACACGTCATATGGTTGTCTAATGTCCGAAATGTCGCATAATCATTGCATCGCAGCTGCATGAGAGCAGATCTAACGTCTATGCTCAATTTGGAAATAGCGAGACATGCATACCAGCACAGTGGCAGTGGCTTCGCGAGGGATGGCATTGCGCTTGTCTCCGCCGGCGATTCCTGCCAGCTTCGCACCAGGCGCCGCCCTGAGCACTGTGTCGGCGATGCGAGCGGCAAATCTCACCGCGTTGCCCCTGTCCTCATTGATGTTCAGGCCAGAGTGCCCTCCCATGAGCCCTGTGTGCATGTTACAGCTATCATTTGCAAAGCGGGCAAAGATTAGTGCTATCACATGCCCCTCGCTTTTGCAGCTATATCTGAGCTGATATGAGGACATGTTCATCACCCATCACTCGACTTGTATGTGGCAGCACTACATCAAACACAGGGACCAGGTCACGTGGCAATCTCAAGCGGATTGCGCACCCGAAATCTTCAATTCATAGTGCAGCATTCCGCTGCTTGGCGCAGCCTCATATGTCACGGGGATGCTGATCATGGAGTCGCCCCCACCCGCGCAGCCAATGAAAATTTCGCCCCAATCCTCTGTGTCAAGGTTGAGCAACACTTGCCCTGCAGAGATCAACGTGCTAAAGTCACTGTTGCCGCATTACTCGCTTAGTAATTCACAGGCGGTCAAGTGATTGCATACCAGTTTCAAAAAAACCACGGGGTTATGTCTGCTAGCAACTGCGTTGCCTTAATCATTGCACGGGAGTAGTATAGCATCTGCACCTGTGAGCAAGGTGGGATCAAGGTCAAAGGCTCCTGTGAGGCCTGTCTCCTCGTCCACAGTGAAGAGGCACTCCAGGGGAGGCAGCTTTGCATTGGATGGCAAGTCTAAGAGGGCCAGTGCTGTCGCAACCCCAATGCCATTGTCTGCTCCTAGTGTAGTTCCTTGCGCCTGCTCAGCGAGCAACATCATCAACAAGGAACCTCATGCCTGCAGGTCAGATATAATGACCAAAGCCGGCACAAGGCAAGAGATCCAATTGACTGGAACTGCACCTTGAGCCATGCGCCATCTGATTGCAGCCGCAGAGGGTCATTGAAGAAGTCATGGACAATGTCAGAGTTTTTCTCTGTCACCATGTCAACGTGGCCCTGCCATCGCCAAGCTCACACTCAATGATGCTGATCAAAGTACCTCATACTGTGCGTGTCCCCCAAAACAGAAATTAAAATCAAGGCACTGGCATGCTCAGGCAGTCTGAACACAACCACCTGTATCACCACGGCTGGAGCCATTTCTCCTCCACCAGAGCCTGTCCTCTTGATGACCATGTTCCCCACCCCATCTTGCTGCCATGCCAGCTTCCTCTCATTGGCAAAGTCCTTCAAGTACTGCAGAACCCTGGAACAGCAGCATTGAGGTCAGATAAGCAATGTCCAAGTCTGCCATAGCAAGTACTTTTCTTCCTTTGCGCCAGAGGTGAGCCGCACTTTTCCTCGTGCTTGGAAGGCCGCGGGATCTTGGTCAGCTGCTCAAAAAAACCCCAAACGTTTGCCGGCTCCAAGCCGGACACAGGACTGGTCACAGTCATGCTGCTGGGAGCAAGCAGTGCTGCTGAAGTGAATGTGCCCCTCTTCTGGACTGCAGCCTGTGCGCTGAAGAACCTATGAACTGCTTGGCCTTTTGTCACAATACCGTCCGACAATATGCTTTTCGATGGCGAAATCGACCTTGAAAGGCCGATCATTCGCTATAGGGTTGTGCACTTCCTGCACCACCAAAGGCATATTTGTTGGAACTTGCAGTCATCTTATGTAGACAACGCATCATAGAATGTCAATATTTTATAGTAAAGATATATCTTGTTCATCTCGAAGACGTGTGAGCTTTGATGTGACATATAAGTGTCCAAGAATGATGGCATCCGCTGAAGGGACCCAACCTGTCAAACTTCGTGCACTTGGGGCAGCACGAACATTATTGAATTTCAAATATGGCCAGCGATCTCAATTAGTGTGATTGTCTCGAAAGTGAACGTCGTCCCATGTGGAGCGGGGCCCCCCAAGTTGAAGCGGGGCCCCCTCCAACTTCAACGGGGCCCGGGCCCCCTGAAATGAGCGGGGCCCCGTGTGAATGAGCAAAGACTTCTGCTGCAGGAGAGAACTAGAGAGAACTAGAATCAGAGGAATATAGACTCGTTCTCCGGTATCTCCTCTCCATAACTTCCTTGGCGCATGTTCAGAGAGTTAATGATGGCTGCCAAGTGGATGTTGCAGAGACAACCTTGTCTTATCTCGCAATTTGCAAGACTAAACATGCCAGGTGCGATGATATACGGCAATTTGAGCTGTTGGGAATCTCTTGATGTGACGATTAATCCCAGGAAGCTGATTCCTGGCTTCCATGTCTTAGGTGCATTAAGGTTGCGGAGCACTTGGGACAGCAGAGGCAGCAGATTTCTCATGCACAACGACATCCTGAAGTTTGGATTCCAGGAAGGGAGGTACGACTACCCAACGATCTGCACAGCGACACCAGTGAGCAGCAGCAGCAGTAGCAACACCCTGCCTAGCTAGCACTTCGCCTATACCAGCATACGATCCATGATATTGTGCAGGTCTTGCAGTACCTCCACGTGCTTCGCAATTTCCCCCATGAATAGTGTGGACGATGTCATCAAAGACATGGAAAGCCAAGGTATGCCTGCTCCCACATGCAGTGCCTGACGGTGGACCTCAACCCCTGTGACCCATCTAATTGCCACCAGAAATGCCCATTCACCAGGCATCTTACTGATCGCGATGCAGAATTCCCAGCTCGCACAGTGGACTACGATGCGGACAGCGACAGTGTGGATGAGTTCCCAGCTGAAGGATACAGCGAGGATGACTTGCAGCTTGTTGAGGACTTTGTCGAGGATGTAGCGCCCGCAAAGGGCCTCCCAGCAGAGGATGACGAGGATGACAGCGATGGGGAGCCAGACGTGACATCCACCTCTGGAGATGGACCCATTGTGGAGTTTGCAGGCCTCCCAGAATGGTGCGCCTTTGTATGACAAATTAAAGCTCCTGAGGACCACTCTCACAAGCGAACAAGCTTGTGCCGATACCAAGACATTGAGCATGCGCAATGAGTCCTCAAACCGCGTGCCCCTGCTGTTGACCAAGGGAGCTTCACTGCTACAAATGAAGGTGAATGGCTTTTGATTGACCATGCAGGGGGAAGCCTGCTTTGGAGGTGGCCAAGCAGGTTCTCAGGGCACCTGAGATGGAAAATATAGAGCTGTACTCGTTCAGAGCAGCTGCGCTCAGAGATCGGCTCTACATCCGCATAGACAAGGTGATGCTCATGCACATCCCACAAACATGCCTGGTTAATTTTTATTTCACATCTCCCTCAAGTGACCAACAACAGGGGATGAAGAAGGCCTTGGTACTCCATGAAGGGTCCAATCAACTATTCTGACGTTTTGCCTGGCTGCTTCAGATGGATGATCTATATGGATCTCCAACATTGGATGACGTGGCGCTGTTCTCGTCAAAGTTCTCCCAGGCTCTGGATGCTCGCCTCGGCGAAGAGGCGGCTGGCAAGCTGTCTGTAGAGGTCTCGAGCCCGGTGTGTAGCCCCTGCCGTTATCATCACTCTTCTCGTCATCTTTGAGCCAGCGTTATGCTGTTTAAACTTCCCTTTCCGGTTATGTTAAACATACCAGAAGTTCTTGTTGGTTTTGTCATCTTGGAAGTCAGTTGAGAGCCAGCATATGGTACGATTTTCCTGTTGTGTGCTGCAGGGTGCAGAGCGCATTGTGCGCGTGCCAAGGGAGCTGGAGAGATTTGGGTCGTTGCCCATGCAAGTTACATACCTCAAGGAGCCGGGCAGCACGGAGACAGACACCAAAGTACTGAGCCTCAAAGAGCTAGACGAGCAGCAGGGAACCTCTCGGTGGGGCCTGGCAGATGTGAAGGCCAACCGGCGGAAAGGAGTCATGAAGCTGTCGAAGCGGGAGGCAGGCATTAGTTTTGACCTGCCCATCTCCTCGCTGCAGCTCATAAAACTGCACCTGGAAATCTGACACGCGGGGAAGTGTTGACATCACCATAAGAGATGCCAGCCCTGCAGTAATGCCTAAGCCACAGCACCACTGTGTTATGATTTAAGGCATGAGGGATGCACGCCTGCGCACTTCAACAATGACTCTCTGTTAGCACTCTTTAAGAACGTTGTGCTTGTGAACCCGTGAACGCTGTGACTCAGAGAGACCTGATCAAGGGATGGCGATGATTGATCACGGATGAAATCAGGATGCATGCAGATGCCGATGTGTGGTGATCCTGTTCTTCATGTTGCCAAGAAAAGATACTGAAATGCTGTTACATCCAGCACTGCTGTTACATCCAGCTTGCAAGACAAAAGTTGACTGTATATATAGTCAACTTTTGTCTTGCAAGCTCCCGCACACATTCGAGACCATATGGCAATTCAATTGACTCAATTTATGGCCATGTTCTATTTGGCCAGTACTTGCTGCATAATTGCAGAAACGCCAGACTCTAATAATATGTCCAAAGGGTATAGACTGTAAAGTAACGTCCTGCGCCTCTCACAAGCTTGACAATCTAACATGCGTTCTGGACGATATCCTTTGCACTTCAATCTCACCCGTCAATAATACTGGTTCAATATGATACGTATCCGAGCACTCTCGTAGGAAAAGCATGCCGAAGAGCTGACCATATCAGAACTTTGTTCATGCAAAGCAACTGAAACACAGCGCATCCTGTAAGCTTCCTGTTTTTCCCAATGAATGCTTAGTGTACAGATGATCACGTCACCGCAGAGTCTAGGTCTACTCTCTCCACAATACAGGATTCTGTGCTGCTGTCAGGCCGTATGGTCTTTCGTTTAGACAACACAACACCTCTCCTTCTGGTCAGACTTTTTCTGTCTTGAGGAGATGTCAGCAAGACTACCTCAAACGCCCTCGGCAGTGGCTTGCAATCTCCTCCTGTCAGCATCGGCGACTAGAGCATTTGTTGTCTGAAGCGCCACAGCAGATAGGCCGTGCCACACAGAGTGGATCAGTGGCAGAGTCGGCATGAAGTCCTCCAGTACAAAACATCCTGCCCCCAGAACAGTAGTAGCCATGTGCACCCTGTGCGCATTCCTGAGCTTCGTGTTCTTCCGTGCCTGCTTCAAGAATTCCAGCTGCGAAGCACCAGAGCGCTCAATCAGCACATTTGTGCCGCATGCATGTCATCAAGCAATAGAAAGCCTGTCTGTAGAGCAAGTCTTCATGCACACGAGTATAAGGTGGCAGCACAAACCTCCATCGCTGCAGCGTTGAGCGATGTCACTGCCAGAGGCTGCATTGGAGTCAGCAAAAGAGAGGCCGCTGTCTTGTGTGCAGACACCTTTGGGTACACCGCCCTTGTCAATGCCGCAGTCGAAAGGGAGATCACCTGCAGTGAATTGTTGCACTTCATGAAGCGATGACCCACTTTGAGTGGAAAGTCCAGCTGTTCTGTGTTCATAGAAACAGGAGCAGCCCAATTATCAGAGGTCTTACCCAGTAATCAAGCTTCCGGCCCCAGTGTCGGGCATCTCCTGAGCTAGCATGAAATGCCACAGCACCAGCTCCCACACCCATTATGGATGCCCCCCATAACCTGCTCTCATCTGACTTCGCCTGCCTGCATGCATCACACAAGCAGCACTTGAGCACTGGTTGCCTGGATGGCTGGCTTGTACATTCAAGGAGACAATTTACTGACAGATTTTCCAGAAAGCATCAATGGAAGAGGATCGGCACCTGTATGCCTGCCAGCCAAGCGCAAAGAAGGGCAGGGATGTCACAATGTTTATTACCCTCTCTGCAGCATTGTGATCACACGTTCCAGGGCCCTGCAGAATCGGCACGTAAATCTCAAACCATCTTTGAAACATCTAATTTAAAAGCCCTCCAGTTTGTTGTTCTGAAACAGAGGGCAGCAGGTGCTGGAGCACATCTAAGCACGTCAACAAGAAAGAACATACTTTGCTTGCTATTTTAGATTCAACCACCGACATTCAGGAGGTTTAATATGCATGACACAACTAAGAGGCCACCCGCCTTTGGATGAGCTAGGTTCGCCAGTTGTTGACGTGTAGCACAGGATGTGTTCACCAAAAGTTCCTTCCAGTCTTTCCTGCAGCGGATGACACTGAACGCGGTGACAGCTGTGCTGCGTCTCCTCAACCACCTAGATGGATGCAGCCTTTCTTTCCAGGGTGGTAGTGGCTGATGCGAATCGAGACTAGTGGAAGGAAGTGCCTCAGCTAAATCAAAGGTCAACCTAGTTTCCGTGTAAGTGTGATCGTTCACTGTCATTATACCAAGAAAGCAAGCCAAATGAGCTTTTTTGCAGTATACTGTGCACAAATGCGATTGCACGGTCAGCCAAGGCGCGCTCAGAAATTTTACCATTTCCCTCGAGGGAATTTTGGGCAGCTTCATCGCCGAACGAAGTCGTGTACTCAAAGGTGAAGTCTTGAGATCATGACTTTTCTAAAGAGCCTCGCATTTTCTTCCATGCTGCCTGTAATGAAATCCATCTTTCTATAGCTGCAGCTTCTTGTTTGCTCTTTATGGCCTTGACGTCGGCAAATGTCAAGTGCAATCCTGCAGACCATGGTCACTCAGCAAGAAAGGCATGCAGTCGAACCTGAATAACATTCACAGATTCGTGCACCCCATTTTTTATGCTGGTTGTTCATGCATGACACGGTGTCGGAAAATCTCTCGTGAACGTTATTCACTTTCCCTTCAGGACATCCTCTGTGTTCAGGAAGACAGATCTAACGACTCGGCCAATACCATCGGTGGCGATACCGTCTGTGAGTAAATTACCGGATGGTTTTGTAACGATAGCAATTTCTTCTTTTCAGTCAATTTTAGTGCCATCAAGGAGTGATGTTGAATACAGCAAGTACACTATCCCTGCAGAGGATCTGGCAGAAGTTTAGAGAGGCCAGCTTGCACCTCAGCACCAGTCCATCCCCCTTTTGCAGGACCTCGTAGCTAGGGTGCGTACCCGACAATCACCGGAGGACTGTTGGGATCCTGAAAGGGCCAGGATTGAGGCTCTTGTGGTGTGTTTAATAATCTTGCTCGCTTGTGGCGCTACCTTTGATGCTGGGATCGTGGGCATTGAGTGCTCAGTTTCAGATGTAAAATCACTGTGAATGTCTGTGCAGGCCAGCATGCATGAGGGCATGAAGCTGGACAGGGAGGGGAAGCAGCTTCATTACGGCTTGTTGAGGACAATCCGCGATCAGCGCATCCTGGGAGAGGAGATTATTAAGAAGCTTCAGCGGCGCGGCAAGGTCAGCCCCTACACGCTGCGCGTGTGCATCTGACAAAACTCACTGTACGCTGACAAAATGTTTTTTATGTCATATATGTGTGCTGTGCCACAGTGGGAGCAGGCTGCCCTTACTGCATGATCCAAGTGCCGCAGACTGTACACGGTGTTCTTTGCAGTCAGCTGGCAAAGGATGGTCTGACCAGGTTCTCTTGAAACTCGGGTCTCTGCATTTTGCAGGTCAATCGGGCTCTGGCTACGCACATCACCAAGGAGGATGAAGGCCAGCAGCACAGTCCCTCCTTGAGAGCCCTGGGGTATCTTTCGAACATAAATGAGTCCGGGCCTTCGAGTTTCATGCTGCGATGGGGCTGAGCAGCATCTGTATTCTCAAGACAATCTGCAACACTGAAACATACTCAAAGGACAAGATTGTCAGACCTTGGAAGGCTTACAAGCAGACGAGTAATGAATAGAATGATATGTGCTGTAAAGCCCAGCTGCTCTTGAAAGCAACAGTGGCATATGCGAGAAGAGTGGTGCCATATCTTAATGCAGCATGTTATTATTGTGCTTGCTGCTTCAAAATGCTGCACATCGTCCACGAAAAACAGTCCCCAGGCGTTGCCTCATCTGGCTTCATCTGCTGATTGTCGTGCAGTGTGACAGTGGCCGAATCTGAAGGATGCGCACATGTGCTCGTGGATGGCGATGCTTTCTTTGAAATGTTGCAAGAGGAGCGCACAGTAATCAGGGAGGCCAAGGAGGACATTGAGAAGTGGCAGAAGGTCAGCGCACGCGCATGCTTTAGCCTTAATCTGAGACCAGTTCCTGGATCTCAAGAGCTGTTGGATAACTATGGTTCAAGCCCCCCTGTATGCTTGCGCTGAAGCACAACCCTTGCAATGTGTCAAAGTGAATTCTGTCCCTGATAGAGTGTAGACCGCTGCAGGTATAGCGTCAGTGACGAGAGCTCACAGCAGATAAAGATTCTGCAATACAGTCATGCACAAACCTTGAAGCCTTTCAGTGTAATGTCTGCAGGTAAACAAAGCAATCGAAAAGTACGAGCGGTGAAGCAGAAGCGCCACCATAAAGAAAAAGGCCACCATAGGTGACGACAGGGATGGAGGTGCACCTCGGCAGCTCAGGGACGACATCACGAATGCCTTTTGAAACAACGTGGTGAAACGCCAATGTACACTCTGCATCCATATGCATGCTAGTCAGGATGCACATCCCAGGTGGAACTAAGGACTTTCTGGAGCGACAGCAGTACTTAAGGTGTCATCCTAAAACTTTTGGTTTCACAATTTCTTTTTGCCGACGTGTGAGGTGCCTATCTTGGATATGCTCCATTGTATGTATGCATGTATGGTGACACGCCATCGGTGGTAGGATATATTAGTGCATAACATCCTGGCACGTGCCCAACTATACCTGTCCAGGCTCCATAGGCTGTCACCCAAAATTTGATCTCTCATGTGAAACACATCACGTGTAATGGTGATCACCTCATGCGACTAAGGCCTGCTGCATCGTTCTCACTGCTATTTCCTCTCTATCATGAGCTACTGCCCACTGGGCAGAACATGGGCTGCCCAGAGAAGGCAGGCACCGAGCGAAATAAGGCAGGCACCGAGCGAAATAAGCTTCTTGACAAAGCGCTTAAATGACCAAATTTGCCTAAATCGGGTTCTCTCACTGTTTGTCTCTCGGGTTCTCAGCTACGTATTACATTCTCAGAGAAAATAAAACATGGACGACGAGCAACGAAAGGCGTATGTTGCTTCCTATGTCATACCGGAAGAGGTGCGCTCCTTTGATGGTGTTCCTTGCTCTTAAGAACATGGGAGCACCTACTCATACTTCTGCTCGTCCGCAGGTCAGCAAAGCCATTGCCAAGCGCAAAGAATCTGGTAAGTTGCGTTCTGCTCACAGTGTTACTCTTCTGCTCCTCTGGATTTTATATCACCAAGCCAACGAAAGAAGCTCTCAGGGTGCTGATGACTGGTCCAGGGAGAAAGCGGGAGCAAGAACTGTTGAAACTTTACTTGGCGAAATACGACCCTCAAAGTGACCTCGATCCACAGGTTTGCTTCTTTTCAAAAACGACTTGGGACCTGCATTTGTGCAGTTCTGTCCCATATCAGTGACTGCTTTCATTTGGGACAACTGGTTATCATGAACCATCCACAGGATGAATCCTCTTCAAAAATTTTACCGGTCCAATCACCTGATACTTCACCTCAGTCCTCCAAGACACAACAGAAGCAGCAGAATGGGGGCGTGCCTGCAGATCAGGTCAGCTGAAAACCGGCTGATACCTATGCAAGGCATCATCAATGCACTCTGAACACCACTGTCCTCTACGCACCACATCATTCACAGCAGTGTCGTCTCAAACGCACGCCTTTGACTTTTCCTGAAGGCCGGCATCAGATCTCTTGTACAAGTGTGCAAAGCTGCATTGTAGCTGTGTCTTCTTGTGCAGGATACCATGGAACCCCCAGAGGAGCTGCTCAAGACCAAGGTGATGGCTGGAGGTGCCAAGCATGGAGGTGGAACGAAAGATTCTGCTGAGATCAAGGTGCCATCTGACCCCATTACTGCTGTTGCCACATTCTTTGGGGTGAAGAGCTCTGATAGTGTTGAGTACTCCTGCTGCCGATGTCCTCCTGACAGTCGCATTGACATCAGTGTTGCCTCTCAATATTCTTCAACATGTCTGCTTCCTGGAAAAATGTCTGCATTGGATCCTCAGCCTCTTCCATTGCCTTCAGCAGGACCTGGGTGTTCTGGTGGATTCACTGGAGCCACCCAAAGACATCCAGGCCAGCATGGAGGCTGTACGTGCCCTGAAGAGGGAGCTTCAGGTCTGTATTAATCTTGCCGCCTTCTTCCAATCCTAGCCTGCATGAAGTCCCACCGAGATGCTGTGTTTATGGTCACTGTAGTCACCTTCCTGGAGTTGTGAGCTATGAGCGCCATCTTTTCTGCAGGCGTTCCGTGGCGGCTTCACAGGAGGGCCTCTCAGCCTCCGCACATTCATGGAGAAGCAGGACAAGCTGCGGGCGCTGGAAGAACAGGTCACGAAGAGGCTGCTGCAGCAGACCAAGGTGAGCATGTACAAGCACCATCTGCATGGGCATCTGACAACGTATTCCAGGGTTCTCTCTTTACTCTGGGACTTCACGCTGTCATCGAATGATCCCCCCCGCCGCATTTCAGACCCGATGATGTCAGCCTCAGCTGGCTGATCATCATGTGCCTCAAATCTGAATGGATTGTTTGCAGGTGCTGAGGGCAATAATGGCGTGCACCGCAGGAGGAACCTATGAGGACTGATCCATCCAGGCTGCATACTGCATTCTGGCACCTTTGTCACTCCTGGAAGTCAGGAATCCATGAAGGACAAAGTTTCATGTCAAGCCTTGCTGTACAGCATGTCAAAACCGGTCATGTGGTGATGTGCTTTGCTGCCAAAGCAAAGTAATTTGCTATTTCAGCCACCAAGAATACCCATGGGAACTCTTTGCCTCAGCAGCGCAACGATAATAAACAGGCTGTTTCTGATGTAGTCATCTGTGGGATGCAAAAAGGTGACAGGACTTACTCATGCATTGGCGTTGAGAGGTATCATGCATGTAGGCATGAAATGAAGCTGCAGTCAGTTGCCTACGTGTCTCTTACGTGCTCATGTGTATTTGGGTAAAGCCCAAGATTGGCAACCGCTGATCACTGGTCAGCTCTGTAAGCCGGTGTTTGCAGGGAGGCTGTGGATTGTAAAGTCTGTGGCACCTAGAACTACCGCAATTCTTTACACACACGCTTACTTCAGACCCAAACATGTAGGACCCCATGCAAGTTACCACTTCTCGCAGTGCTGTGAGAAACCTTCTTGCCAGGAGTGTTCTCTTTGGCCAGAAGCTTTGATACTCATGGCACATGACTGACACATGCTTCCCAACTTTCCTCGAGGAAGAGCTCTATACCATCTATGGTCAAGTTTTAGGGGTTGTGATTACAGCAAAGCTGTGGATGCTGTGAGCTCATGAGGGACAAGTGAACATGCCTCGAGTCCCTTTATGGCTGGCGTCAGCAGGCCACTAAGAAATCGCATTCATTCATATCTGATTAGTAGTAGTCTTACATGCCCGTTCACTCCTACATCTGCATGCTCCCAGCATGTCAATAATATACCTTGAGACGGCTGGAGCACCGTCCTGCAAGAAAGAGGCTCGCTGGGATCCTGTACATCCCGGTGCGCAGGCTTTTGCAATTTCCAAGCAGCTCTCCGAATCTTGAAGATTCATTCCCAAGCACGAAGCTTCATAGGAAATCGAACAGTCCCAGAGCATTAAAGAGTATTCTGTGCGCTAGGAGAAGGGCAGCTGCATTGATAGCATTCACATCGACAACCCCAGCTGACGCACATGCTTTGTGCCCCGATGGTCCCTTTGTAGCTCCTTGCCCGGCGCAGCGCTGCTTCGAAAGGCAGCAGTGGGATAGTATAAGAGCTGCTGTCCCCAAGTATAAGGCCGTCAAGGTTCTGATCGTATTCTGCAGAGACATGCTATAGTTCATGCCAAGAATCCCAACCAAATGTTCTTGTGAATGTCTTGTACAGGACGCCTGCACCGCCTCATTGGTTCCAGTTGCAGGGTGCATGGCAAGGTAGCATGCCGTGCCTAGTGTCTGGGCATTTTGCCATTCACAAGCGACCATTGACAGAAAAGTATAAAAGCTTGTTAAGCTCCCAAAAGCATGACATGCCATCCTGGAAGCTAGCATTTGATGCTGCACTTCAGTTCACAATTGCTCTGTTGCTCCCTTACTCCTGCTTCCACTCGACAGCCAGATGAACACCTTATGTTCATAAAGAGGAGCATGAGCTTTCTAACTCTTCCTCATCTGCAAGTTGCTTCGATCAAACCCTTGGCGGTTGGCTTGTCAGGCCCCCGAAGGGCAGAGCTTTAGAGCCAAAGTGTTTGGTATAAACGGGCGTCCCACATGCATTCCCCGTTCACTTGAGCTGCTGTCCCTTCAAGATCTAATGTCCATGTGTTTCCTCAACCATTTGATTCATTCTGAGGTTGGTGCTTGCACCAGCATCAGCTCTCAAAATTCCTCCTGCCTAAATGGCACATCCCGGGCTGCCCGGAGCGGTCTTCAACCTTGCCCAGGTCCGGCAGGCACCGAGCGAAATAAGCTGAAAAAGTTTCTAGAAATTTAAAGTGTGGCGTCTCCAATTCTCCAAGAAGTCAGTTGTCCTTGTGTAATCTTAACATTTTTACCCCTCTTCGCAAAGAAGTATGGCACAGTCGGCCAGCACATTTGACCCTCTGGTCAAACTCCAGAAGGTATGCTTTGAGTCGGTGTGTGTGGCTCGCTCTGAATGCACAACGGCGATTATAATACGACTTGGTGACGGTCGTCTTCCTGTGCAGATCCTCAGTACCTGCGACCAGGCGACTGCAAAGCGTGAGTTTATTCTCACCGCTTTTTTTGGTACCTCGGTAGCCTTTTCAGCTGTGACAACGGTACTTTACGTCTAATCTGCTTGCTCCAGGGATCGAGGACAAGCTGCGAAAAGTGGCTTTTGAGGAAGACGATACAAGTGTCCTGGACGCAGAGGTGTGTTTTTTTCCTCTCGAGACTTGTCAAACTGCTTGGCCAAGATTGCTTGGCCTGCTGTAAAATGCCTAGTTTATGATATGGTCTCGTACTCCTAGGCCTGTGTGCTGTTGTGCCCAGGATATCTTCACCCATTCTGACAGCTCCACACAGAGCTCTCCGAACAAGTTCAAAGACAGCTCAATTGAGAAGTCCACAAACACCTCCCCCTCAACATCCACAGACAACTCCCCTGAGAAGTCTGGTCAGGTTAGCAGAAATCTGGAAGGTGTCTGTTCTGAGCAGGCAAGTCGTGGTTTTCAGTCCCGTCTCCAATCAGAACTGGAATGCTGGCCTCTAGTCCAATACTGCAGTGTTCTGTTCTGGGACATGCATACTCTGAGCCATTTTCCTGCAGACTGCCAGCTCGGATGATCATGACCTTACTGTGATCTTGTAAACTTTGTATGTTCTGTCATGCAGGCTGCTGAGGAGGAACCTCAAGATGACTCGGCTTGGATAGCAGATTCTGGCCCCGCCTACTCCAGGCCCAAGTATGCGCACCTGCCTGCTGTGCACCAGAAGACTGAAGAGCTGACCAAAGCCCAGGTGTGGCCCTGCACTGCATTGCTTCTTCTGATACATGAGAATTCGAAAGAAATAGTTCAAACTGGGTCCTTTTGAAGTTCTGAGAGGATGGGAGTTGCGCCTGTGTGCTCAATGAGGAGCACTGGTCATCCTTTGCTGCATCAAAACGGCGAGCAGTGCTGGGGCGATGAACGCAGCTGGGAATGAAAGTGAGCATTCCTTGCAGGGGGATGCCACTGATGAGGAGGAGGTACCCGACTTGTCTGGGAAATCCCTGCAGGTTGACACTCGCGCTCTTGCAACTGCGTGCAATGTACTGAAGTGGCTGCGATGCTCATCCCCTGCCATATTCCCTTGCATGCCATCAGCGTAGATCTCTGCTTTCATATCGTAGCCTCCCTCTCGAGGAACTTGAACCTCAGTATCATCTCTTCTGCAGGAGCTCATGGCCGAGAAGATGTTGTCAGAAAGAAAGGAACATACGCGCGCACACCTGGAAGCGCTGAAGAAGAAGGATGACGAGTTGGTGGTGCGCAAGCAAAACCATGCTGCCCTGTCAAGAAGTGCTTGTCTCTTCTTATGCTTGCGTAGATGATGTTCTCAAGGGCGTTCCCAAGTGCCATTCTAGTGCACTTTGCTCCAGGTGTGCAAATCTGTGTGCAGGCCAGCATGAGCGAGGCACTGAAACCCAACAACGGGAAGGGTGCCCACCACAATCTCCTGACGTCCATGCGCGAGCAGCGCATCATGCGACAGGAGATCCTGAAGAAAATGCGGCATCACAGGGAGGTCAGCATTCACCAGCTGCGCATGTGCACCCGCCAAATTTGCTTGACCCAGCTGCCCACAGGTTGTGCTCATTACAATCTTCATCGATCGTTGGTCTGTGCGCTATGCAGGTCAACAGGGCACTGACAAAGTACATCACAAAGGAGGATCAATAAATGGGAGTCAGAATGTCTCCATGCACATCTTGTTTGTGCTGCAACAACAATGGCAAAGCGTTTTTGAGGCCTGGGATGTTGCATGCCCACTGCACTTCAGAGGCCGGCACTCCCCGAGTGTGTCTGTAGGGATCAAGTGAGGCGTATGCATCTTAAGGCTGTGTGCAGAAATATTTAGGTCGGTGGATAGAGCTGCGATGATAATGAACAGACTGGCTTCAAGTGGTTAAGCTTGTGTGGCTCCCCTTCTTGGGGTGTAATGAAAGTATGAAAGGTGCATATGGCACTCAGAGAGTCTCCCAAGAATGCAACATGTATCCGCCGCTCAAATCAAACTCTGGATCTTTACCAGCAGGTGCCATCACTTCACACAAATGCTCCTTTCAATAAAAATATGTCACACAAAATGTCAGATATCACGTGGCAAAACACGCAGCATTTATTGAGGTGAGCTCACTCTCCTTCTGGTACGAGACTCCTGGATGCTCTATTCAATGATCCATGCATGATGTCAGGGCCTTCACACACCTGCCTGCAAACATCCTGCATGAAGCAAACGCGTTTGTCTGGGATGACTTCTAAGTTCTCTGATTCCAGTGTTTACGGTGTCAGCAATACAAGTGAATCTCTGATCACTCGTGCGACACAGCGCCAGCACAAGCTGCTGCCTGCCCTGCTAAAGTTGCAGTACGAAAGGTTCAAAGAAGTGGCTGACTGTGCACCTCGCTGCACCAGTCTCCTCCTATTCAACTGCTACAAAGTCCACCCTCCTGAGACTCGCCGACGAGCGGACTGTGACATTGCCCGCTTCACTGACTGGGCCAAACAATGCAGTTAACATCTAGACTCCACCTACTCCGCATACCTTTCTCAACCTTGGCGGAGTCCTTTGATGTACTTGTAGCATGACCAGGTCCAGTCCCTGTGTCACGAGCACAGGACAAGAGATCCAAAATTCGGGCAGCCTACTCGGTGGGTGAATTTTTAAACTTGCTATAAACAGCATTGTGCTGTGGCACAGGAACATGCAGCAGGGCCGGCTGGATCTCGGCGAGCAGGGAGAGGACCAGGGGAACGGTGAAGTTCCGGAAGGGGCCCGGCAGCAGCGCCATGAAGCGGCAGCGGAAATCGGCCGAGAAGCTGTCCATCCAATCATGCTGGGATACCTCGGGAGTCCGCAGGGGCCGCAGCATGATCACTGTGTGCTCTCCTGCACCAAGCAAAACAAAGCTGTGTAAGTCACCCCGACTTTGTCGGCCATATTTAGCAGAACCTGCAGACAGACGGCTTGGAAAGAGGGCAGACATCAGCGCCGGCCCGCTCTGCGCATCCGATCAGTTCCCCAGAGCTCTCCTGTGATGAGCCATCAAGCAGGACTTCTGCAAGGTTGTGACAGAAATTGGCAGCTGACAGGGGCTGCCATGACTCATTAAAGGTCTGCTTTCAGCATCCTTGCCGAGTCAGAAAGCGCCTCTGCAAGAGCAAGATATCGCCGCTGCTGGACAGCTCAAGCAACATGCGCAGGCCTCTCAAGGTAAAGTAGAGCTGCACGCCAGCAGACGCCCATGCACAGCTCACGTGGCGCATGCATTCTCGCTAATGTTTGAAATATGGCAGAGCTGTGCACCGGTGATGTCGCTGGCATTCTGGCGCAGGTAGACCGGGCCATAGCCGGCCCTTCGCCAGAACCTGAATAAGTCCAGGGTGAGGCCGAAGGATGTGCCCAGGTAGTGCAGGGCCTCTGGCGGCCGGTCTCCTAAATTTGTCAGCAGCGGCGGCAGCCCTGAGCGTGGCGCTATCCTCTCATCCATTAAGTTTCCACCTGGTCAAGGCATGCATCGCCTCAGGTGAAGGGACATCAAGGGACCTTCCAGCACAATGACATCTTGATGTGTCATGATATAATGCATGGGGCCTTGCCAAGAGCAGCCTCTGAACAAGCATTAAGGGACCCTTCATCAATGAATAACTTGCTCTTGCCAGTCCCTACGCATGGTGTATAAGACTGGCAAGAGCAAGCGTCTTAAGGAGCAGAAGAGCGTGTAGAAAAGCAGCACAAGAACAGCTCAGAATGATTTCCTCGTCGAAGATACACAATGAAGCAGGTGCGACGCACCGTTGCTGACGGCTGCGCCATTGGCGCGGCCGCTGGTGGAAGCTTCCCCTGGGCCTCTGCGCTCCCCATCCTCCTCCTGTTCTTCCTGCAGTGGTGGCAGGCGCTTAATGCAATGACCGTTGGGGCCTCTTTCATGCCCCTGGAACGGCGCCTCTGTGGAATGCAGCCCACCAGGGATACGGTCCTAAGCATGCAATGGACTGCTACCACTCCTGCAAAGAGCAGGACAGCACACCAGCCAAGTGCCAGGCATCTCCCTGCATTTCTGCGCTGTCAGGTGCACAGCGGACAGCAGGCATGGCTCAGTCAATTGCACACAAGTGGTCCATGTGCCGTTTGCACGGCTTAATGGGGCAAAAGTCAGCCCTCTGAACGGCTGACACACCACATGTGCGCGGAATCAGCAAAAAGAGGTGCAAGGGTATTGTCCTTACGAAGAATAGGTGGGTCATAAAGCCTTGATTACAGTCATGAACTTGGCAAACGGTTGCAAAGGCGGCCTCCCTTATTGAGTGGAATGGAGCGCTCACCAGGTCTGCAAGCTCGCCCTGGTAGTAACGGCGCAGCAGCTCAAGCGCGCGGCCGCCGTAGCCCTGCCTGGGCATTTCGGGGTGGACGGCTATGCGCACGACGCGCGCACCTGACAGCACCAGGAAATCATGGTTCTGGTACTGCCGACCAATCGTCCACGGAATCAGATCTCCCTGCACGCACAGATTGAATCTCAAACATTGATTCTTGAGAACCACTGGTGGATGATGAACACTTGCGCAACGCACCATGGTGTTGCAACCGGCAAGGCGCCATGCACGGCGTCCTGCTGAGGGCAGCAGACAGCATGATACACATCACGTGTAATGGTGATAACCTCATGCGACTGAGGCCTGCTGCATCGTTTTCACTGCTATTTCCTTTCTATCATGAGCTACTGCCCACTGGGCAGCGCGTGGGCTGCCCAGAGAAGGCAGGCACCGAGCGAAATAAGCTTCTTGACAAAGCGCTTAAAAATGACCAAATTTGTCAAATTCGGGTTCTCTCACTGTTTGTCTCTCGGGTTCTCAGCTACGTATTAAGAGTCTTCATCAGAGAAACTAAAGCATGGACGACGAGCAACGAAAGGCGTATATTGCTTCCTATGTCATACCGGAAGAGGTGCGCTCCTTTGATGGTGTTCCTTGCTCTTAAGAACATGGAAGCACCTTCTCATACTTCTGCTTGTCCGCAGGTCAGCAAAGCCATTGCCAAGGGCGAAGAAACTCGTAAGTTGCGTTCTGCTCACAGTGTTACTTTTCTGCTGCTTTTGATTTTTATTTCACCAAGCCAACGAAAGAAGCTCTCAGGGTGCTGATGACTGGTCCAGGGAGAAAGCGGGAGCAAGAACTGTTGAAACTTTACTTGGCGAAATACGACCCTCAAAGTGACCTCGATCCACAGGTTTGCTTCTTTTCAAAAACGACTTGGGACCTGCATTTGTGCAGTTCTGTCCCATATCAGTGACTGCTTTCATTTGGGACAACTGCTTATCATGATCCATCCACAGGGTGAATCCTCTTCAAATTCTTCACCGGTCCAATCACCTGATACTTCTCCTCAGTCCTCCAAGACACAACAGAAGCAGCAGAATGGGGGCGTGCCTGCAGATCAGGTCAGCTAAAACCCGGTTGATACCTATGCAAGGCATCATCAATGCACTCTGAACACCACTGTCCTCTAAGCACCACATCATTCACAGCACTGTCGTCTCAAACGCATGCCTTTGACTATGCCTGAAGGCCGGCATCAAAATCTCTTGCACGAGTGTGCAAAGCTGCATTGTAGCTGTGTCTTCTTGTGCAGGTTACAGTGGAAACCCCAGAGGAGCTGCTCAAGAACAGGGTCATGGCTGGAGGGGACAAGCATGGATGTGGAACAGAAGATTCAGCTGAAATCAAGGTGCTATCTGACCCCATCACTAATGTTGCCTAGTTCTTTGGGGTGAAGAGCTCTGATAGTGTTGAGTACTCCTGCTGCCGATGTCCTCCTGACAGTCGCATTGACATCAGTGTTGCCTCTCAATATTCTTCAACATGTCTGCTTCCTGGAAAAATGTCTGCATTGGATCCTCAACCTCTTCCATTGCCTTCAGCAGGACCTGGGTGTTCTGGTGGATTCACTGGAGCCACCCAAAGACATCCAGGCCAGCATGGAGGCTGTACGTGCCCTGAAGAGGGAGCTTCAGGTCTGTATTAATCTTGCCGCCTTCTTCCAATCCTAGCCTGCATGAAGTCCCACCGAGATGCTGTGTTTATGGTCACTGTAGTCACCTTCCTGGAGTTGTGAGCTATGAGCGCCATCTTTTCTGCAGGCGTTCCGTGGCGGCTTCACAGGAGGGCCTCTCAGCCTGCGCACAGTCATGGAGAAGCAGGACAAGCTGCGGGCGCTGGAAGAACAGGTCACGAAGAGGCTGCTGCAGCAGACCAAGGTTAGCATGTACAAGCACCATCTGCATGGGCATCTGACAATGTATTCCAGGGTTCTCTCCTGTACTCTGGGACTTGGACTGGGACATGCAAATTATTGTGTTCACTCTGTCATCGGACGATCCCCCCCCCGGCGCAATCCAGACCCGATGATGTCAGCCTCAGCTGGCTGAATTTTCATGTGCCTCAAATCTGAATGGACTGTTTGCAGGTGCTGAGGGGAATACTGGCGTACAACGCAGGAGGAACCTATGAGGACTGATTCTTCCAGGCTCCATACTGCATTCTATCACCTGTTTCACTCCTGGAAGTGAGGAATCCATGAAGGACAAAGTTTCATGTCAAGCCCTGCTGTACAGCATGTCAAAACCGGTCATATGGTGATGTGCTTTGCTGCCGAAGCAAGTTAATTTGCTATTTCAGCCATCAAGAATACCCATGGGAACTCTTTGCCTCAGCAGCGCAATGATGATAATCATGCTGTTCCTGATGTAGTCATCTGTGGGACGCAATACGGTGACAGGACTTACTCATGCATTGGCGTTGAGAGGTATCATGCATGTAGGCATGAAATGAAGCTGCAGTCAGTTGCCTACATGTCTCTTACATGCTCTTGTACTTTTGGGTAAAGCCCAAGATTGGCATCCGCTGACCACTGGTCAGCTCTGTAAGCCGATGTTTGCAGGGAGGCTGTGGATTGTGAAGTCTGTGGCACCTAGAACTACTGCATTCTTTTCCACACACGCAAGCTTCAGATCCAAACATGTAGGACCCCATGCAAGTGACCAGGTCTCGCAATGCTGTGAGAAGCCTTCTTGCAGGAGTATTCTCGTTGGCACGAAGCTTTGATCCTCATGTCGCATGACTGACACATGCTTCCCAAGTTCCTCGAGGCACAGCTCTATACCACTTATGGTCAAGTTTTTCGGGATTGTACTTACAGCACATTTATTGATGCTGTGAGCTCATGAGGGACAATTGAGCATGGGCTCGAGTCCCTGTACGGCTGGTGTCAGCAGGCCACTAAGAAATCGCATTCATCCATATCTGATAGTAGTACCGGCACTCGCACATGCACATTCACTTCTCCATCTGCATGATCCCAACATGTCACTGATATATACCTTGACACGGCTGGAGCACCATTCTGCAAGAAAGAGGCTCGCTGGGATCCTGTACATCCCGGTGCGCAGGCCTTTGCAAATCTTATGATGAGGAGCAGCTCTCCACATCCTGAAGATTCATTCCCAAGCACGAAGCATCATAGGAAATCGAAATGTCCCAGAGCAGGAAAGAGTCTTCTGTTCGCTAGGAGAAGGGCAGCTGCATTAACAGCATTCACATCGACAACCCCAGCTGACGCACACGCTTTGTGCCCCGATGGTCCCTTTGTAGCTCCTTGCCCGGCGCTGCGCTTCTTCAAAAGGCAGCAATAGGATGGTATAAGAGCTGCTGTCCCTAAATAGAAGACCGTCAAGCTTCTGATCGCAATTGCCGCCCACGGACTTGCCCAGGACACCTGCGCAGCCAGCACATGCGCAGCCAGCACATGCACGGCTGAACCTCTGCAGAATTGTCCTTTGGCAATTGAAGCGTCCTTGAGATTACTCCAGCTTGCTGCAGCTCTTTCAAGCGGTGCTGCCAAACCAGCAGGACTCATGCCTCATAACGTCTCCCTCACCACATCATTCCCACTGCTGCAGGCTTCCAAGCCTCCTTGATCTCTCTGTTCACCATCACCGGATGGGCTTGACCCAGAACAAGCAGCATGCCATAATGATCATGTCTGGAGGTTGCAATTTGCAGCTGCAGGACTCTCATGGCTCACATCAGCATGCGGCCGCATCAAGACAGGTTTGTTTATAGCCTTGCCGCATGCCGCGGTGTACAGAAACCGGCTTCAAGTCGTCATTGCGACCAGATGTCAACCGTTTGGCACTCCAGCAGATAAGATGACCTGCTCATCAGCCAAATCCCCCTTCATGCCACAAAAAGGAAAAGCTTGGGTAAGTGCATGATGAATGCTCTTGCATGCAATGTACTCAATGGCACAGCACCTGCCTGCACTCAAGCTGTCACACAAGCTGTCATGGAGACTAGCACTTTGACTTAGTATGTGCTGCCCCCAGCTAAAACCATGCATCTCCAATGCATGTGTTCTGCAGCACTTCAGCTTCGTACCATAGCAAGCTCAGGTTCTCTGGAGATTGAATGCAAGAACACCAGGCTTGCCACCCTGTTGCTCATTCAAAAGAGGCCTGCTGCAGACCTGGGGGTTATACAAGCAGGTTGCTTTTGATTCTCCTGTGCTGCTCTCCTGCTAAATTCACTGCTGATGCATGATATGATGCTGCCCTGGGTACCTACATCATCCCCATATTTAATCTGAGCTCTCCAGTGCTGCTGCAATGCAGCAATATTCGACGAATGGCAAGCTGGGACTATTGGACTCCTCTACCGTCGTCGATTTTGATTGATTCACCGTTTGATGTGTAACAAGAGCCTCATAGTAACAGGTTTTCCCAATGGCGAACACCCAACCGGTCTTACTACAATCGAATTCCCTTGGATGATTATTTTCTGTGTAATGGATGTCCAGAAGTTGCTGAGAAGGCGGTAAATGAGAAATCACACTCGCAGGCCTGGGATTCATTGATCAACAGGAAGCGCCAATTGTCAATTGGAAGGAGACATACCTTGCGCAGAGGCTACCGGTCCAAGATCAGGAAGATTAGAGCGAGATGGCACCCGTGCATGGTATGGCCGACACTGAGAAAAAACAATAAGACGGCCTGGTTGCACTCCTTATGGCATGCAAAGTCTGGTCCCATCCCTTTCCAGCAGAATAGCATACCTGTCAATGCCACAGTGGATGCGAGGCAATTCTTTCCTGTACTGCAGGCGACTTTAAAAGCCTCGTCCAATACGACATGGCTCAGTGGCCTGGCCACCTCGGCATGAAGATCTTGCACTTCTACATAGAGAAGCGCATTGAGTGGAGGGCAGCAGGCGCAAACGGGGTTGCATTGCTGCTGTGCGAGCGCATACTTGACCGAGGCCCGCGTCCATATGTGCTTGGCGATCGGATGCCACTAGACGATACAGGCATGGACGCGATCATCGATGAAGACATGCTGATCACGCTGCAGGTACAGGTCGAAGCCTGACAAGCTGTGTGTTTCACACAAGAAAAGTGTCTTCAGGGAACTGACCCATTGCTGCAAGTGGCATCTGGAAGGTGCAACCCTGCACCAAAGAAGCCAGCAGCCGAACACTCCATCTCTGACATGCAGTCCTTTCTTTGCAGGTTGACTTCGCAACGGTGCTCAATAAATGTGAAGCTGAGATGGAGAGGCGCTTGGATCTTGAGTTGCTGCTCTCTGAATACAACAAGGTCAGTTGCTGCGTCCTCACCTTGAGCACCTATAAGTGCAGAGCAATAGCAAGTTTAGGGACGAACAATAAGCATGCATTTAGTTGGCAAGGACACTGAAAATGCTGAATATCAAGGGTTGTGCATGCGCATGCAGCTCTTGATTGCCGCAGCCTTTGACTCCGGCAACATGCTCGTGGCAGTGACTGTCAACACGTCCATGGAGGGCTATGGGAAGAGGTTTGCTGCTGACAAGGTCTCAAAATGGGTGAACCAAAACCAGGATGTCAGAGACACTCTGACGGAGGTTCTGGCTGGCCCCAGCAGCGCGAGCACACTGCAGACCTTCTTGAAGGGAGCCGAAAAAGCCTGGAAGGTCCGCATAGGTAAGCCCAAGTGTTAGCAAGTGCATGCACACCATGGTGGCTGAGAGCAGCAATGAACTGAACCTCAGAGCAACAGATCTCATGCAACATGCATGTTTGGACACATATTTACGACGGGGGGGTTTTGTGCGTGCAGCAAAGACACACCCTGCGGACGTCAACGAGCTGTACGCCATCTGGAGGCCGACGAAGCAGCTGCTCGAGTATGCAAGAAGATCTAAGGAGGAGTCAGACCACCTGACCTTCCTCATCGAGTTTGCCGGCCTCTTTGAGTACTGGGTGAACGGATTCATGCAGCCGTTGATCAAGTTCCCATTCAAGCACGAGCAGCCGCAGCAGAACCCTGAGCAACAGCAGCCAGAGATGCCCCTCCAGCAGCAGCAGCAACAGCCGCAGCCGCAGATGCCCCAGCAGCAGCAGCAGCAGCAGCATGGGCAGCAGCAGGATCAGCAGCAGCAGGGGCACAAGCATCAGAAGTCCAAGCACCGGCAGAAGAAGGGCACCAGCCAAAAGGCAAAGTACCACCTGATCTGAGTATCCTGCTGCTTGTCATTGCCTTCCTATATTGGCGAGACATGATGCTTCTATTCTGGGACTCTGCCTTGTCAGGAGTCTGAGCACCTACTGAAGAATAACAGCCTTCACACAATATATTTGGAATATTTGATGCGTCCTGAATGACACTATGTCGAGAATGAACATATATTGAATCAAAGCACAGGCACTGCTATGAAAAGAGAGGTGAACTATATTCTACAACAGTGACTAGTGCAAAAAGGCAATTACAGGAGAATAGAACAGCTTACGGTAAAAGATTTGATGCAGAGTGTGAAGGTGTAAGTGTAGAAGTGCATGCATATTCTGATTGGATTGATGATGACATCCCATGATGATGTTACACATGTGTTCCTCGAAGAGATTAAGTAGCATACCAGAACGTGCCAGTCTTGACGGCAAGTGAATATGTAAATAGTATTTACTAAATGCAGTCCAACTTATACGGTTTCAAAGCAACAAGGATCTCGCACACAGCGCATGCGCGCTAGGCCGGTTAGTGAACTTAAGTTGCCTACTGCTTCTTTGACGTCCTGGGGCGCTTCTCGCCCCCCTTGCCAGCCTTACCCCCTTTTTGCTTCTTGTACAGACTAGGGGATGTTTCTGCTGGCTTGCGCTTATCCCCCGAGGCAGCCTGTGCACAGCACAACAGCAGTGAGTTGCACTGCATGCATGACAATGCCGCACATGGAGCAACCCGGCTGCTGCAAGTGCTTGACGGCAGGGCGACCATCAAGGAACTGATGTGACGAGCCAAAGTCAGTAACTATTAAAAGGAGGACCCGCCAGAGCATCTCACCTTGACACTGACTAATGCCCCAGAAGACGGCCCCCCCCGGCCCACTGCCTCTGCGAACCTGTCGTCATCGCCTTCAATCGCAAACTCGGCGAGCTGATCTGGCTTGAATGCCTCCCGCATCCGCTCATTCACCTCCTGCACGCGCCAGCAGAGACACAAACAGTCAACTTGGCAGGTGATGCCCTGAGCACAATCCAGCAAACTCCCAGGCCTCATGTGCGAGCAGAAACGACGGCTCTGCTGTGTGCCACACCGTGCAGCTACATCACAACACATGCATCTCTGTGCTTCCCTGCTCCCTCTCTGAGCACTGCAGCGCAGTCCAGAACTCGCAGCAATTCACACCTCTCGGCCTCCATGCTCACTCGCAGAGCCCTGCAGATTCTCTACAGCGCCTGCTCATTCTTGAGACCGCTGCAGGGGCCTACAGGGGGCGTACCTGGGCTGCCTCGTCCAGGTCCTGGTCCACATCGACTTCGTGTGGCTGCATCTGGATCTCTTGCGCCTGCGGCAGCGTGCGCCCCACGGCCGCCTCCCTGGCCCCTCTGAGAAGTCCGTAGAGCTTTCTGATGGCCTGCACACAACACCAGGCGCTCTGTCCTGCTGCTGCACCAAATCTAGGATGACATGAAAGGAGTAGTGCGGCGGTCTGGGGCGTTCCAGGTGTCGGCGAGTCACCAGTGACACATGCAAGGTAAGTTATCAGGCACTGGGCGCTCCAAGCCACTGCTGCACACGCTGCATGAATGCTTCAACCATATGAATTACTGGTGCTGCAATACGGGGCGTTCCAGGTGTCGGTGAGTCACCAGTGATACATTAAGGTAAGTAAACAGCGGCGCAGGAAGGGACCTGAGAGAAAGCTGCTCTGGTGGAAGCAGTGACAACTCCTCATCAGACACCTCTGGTGTACTCTTGATAGATGCGGGTGCTCACCTTGTTGAACAAGGCCAGCACTTGGCTGGAGGGAAGGTTGAGCTCCCTCTCAATCGTTGTAACGTCCCTCTGCTGCAGGCCCAGGACGGCCAGGATCGCGGCCTGCCCATGCGACATAGTGGCAGGCAAGCGCTGTGCAAAGTACGCCCGAGCCAGGGACGGCAGCAGGTCCATCGTGAGATGGTGATCCACCGTATTATTTGCATACTTCTGCGCAGCACCAAAACGCAGGTGTTCAGGCGCGGTCATGCAGGGAGAGATTTTCATGCTGCACACAGAGGGCTTTGCACACAAGCTGGAAGGGAAAAGGCAGGCGCAGCAAGCGGGTATGCGCGGGGTGTACTGGGGCAGGCTTACCTCGAGGCGTCTGAGGTCATGAGGGGAGAGTGGGCTGCCGTCTGCCCTGATGACTTCCACTCCCTTCTGAATGGCCGCCTGCCAGCACACCACGGGATCAATCAGCATTGGCACTAACAGCCACAATTCCTCCCCTTGCATCCAGATCCATATCAAATGACACGCTGCCACAGTCCAACATCAGAACCCACACTGCATTCTCTGGCCACAAAAGAAGCCCTTTCTGGTTGTCTGAGAGCCGCGCTAGCAGCGCTGCATGTTCCCATGACAGCGCCAGCACCATGCAGCAATGTGACATTTACCGTGCCCACCAACAACCAATGATCTCACTCTTAACGATGCATGAATAGTGTCTGCAGCAGCAAAATCCCAGGCCATGCGCATCATCAAAACGCACCATCACTGCTAGTGATCCATGAGGAGTAAGTATGGGCAGGAATGTACCTGCGTCTCGGCCTCGCTCCAGCTGACCTTGGCCGCGAGCAGGGAGAGGACCAGGGGAACGGTGAAGTTGCGGAAGGGGCCCGGCAGAAGCGCCATGAAGCGGCAGCGGAAATCGGCCGAGAAGCTGTCCATCCAATCATGCTGGGATATCTCGGGAGTCCGCAGCGGCCGCAGCATGATCACTGTGTGCTCTCCTGCACCAAACAGAAAAAAGGGGTGTAACTCACCCCGACTTAATCGGCCATAAATAGCACAACCTGCAGACAGACGGCATGTATTGTGGAAAGAGGGCAGACATCAGCGCCGGCCCGCTCTGCGCATCCGATTAGTTCCCCAGAGCTCTCCTGTGATGAGCCATCAAGCAGGGGCTGCCATGACTCATTAAAGATCTGCTTTCAGCATCCTTGCCGAGTCAGAAAGCGTCTCTGCAAGAGCGAGACATCGCCGCTGCTGAACAGCTCAAGCAACACGCGCAGGCCTCTCAAGGTAAAGTAGAGCTGCATGCCAGCAGACGCACATGCACAGCTCACATGGCGCATGCATTCTCTCTAATGTTTGAAATATGAAAGAGCTGCGCACCGGTGATGTCGCTGGCATTCTGGCGCAGGTAGACCGGGCCATAGCCGGCCCTTCGCCAGAACCTGAATAAGTCCAGTGTGAGGCCGAAGGATGTGCCCAGGTAGTGCAGGGCCTCTGGCGGCCGGTCTCCCAAATTTGTCAGCAGCGGCGGCAGCCCTGAGCGTGGCGCTATCCTCTCATCCAACAAGTTTCCACCTGGTCAAGGCATGCATCGCCTCAGGTGAAGGGACATCAAGGGACCTTCCAGCACAGTGACATCTTGATGTGTCATGATATAATGCATGGGGCCTTGCCAAGAGCAGCCTCTGAACAAGCATTAAGGGACCCTTCATCAATGAATAACTTGCTCTTGCCAGTCCCTAGGCATGGTGTATAAGACTGGCAAGAGCAAGCGTCTTAAGGAGCAGAAGAGCATGCAGAAAATCAGCACTAGAACAGCTCAGAATGATTTCCTCGTCGAAGATACACAATGAAGCAGGTGCGACGCACCGTTGCTGACGGCTGCGCCATTGGCGCGGCCGCTGGTGGAAGCTTCCCCAGGGCCTCTGCGCTCCCCGTCCTCCTCCTCTTCTTCCTGCAGTGGTGGCAGGCGCTTAATGCAATGACCGTTGGGGCCCCTTTCATGCCCCTGGAACGGCGCCTCTGTGGAATGCAGCCCACCAGGGATACGGCTTTAAGCATGCAATGGACTGCTACCACTTCTGCAAAGAGCAGGAAAGCACACCAGCCAAGTGCCAGGCATCTCTGCGCTGTCAGGTGCACAGAGGACAGCAGGCATGGCTCAGTCAATTGCACACAAGTGGTCCATGTGCCATTTGCACGGCTTAATGGGACGAAAGTCAGCCCTCCAAACGGCTGACACACCACATGTGGGCGAAATCAGCAAAATGAGGTGCAAGGGTGTCCTTATGAGGAACAGGTGGGTTATAGAAACATTTGGTTACAGTCATGAACTTGGCAAACGGTTGCAAAGGCGGCCTCCCTTGTTGAGTGGAATGGAGCGCTCACCAGGTCTGCAAGCTCGCCCTGGTAGTAACGGCGCAGCAGCTCAAGCGCGCGGCTGCCGTAGCCCTGCCTTGGCATTTCGGGGTGGACGGCTATGCGCACGACGCGCGCACCTGACAGCACCGGGAAATCCTGGTCCTGGTACTGCTGACCAATGGTCCACGGAATTAGATCTCCCTGCACGCACAGATTTCAATATCAAACATTGATTCTTGAGAACCACTGGTGGATGATGATGAACACTTGTGCAACGCACCATGGCGTTGCACGGCATCCTGCTGAGGGCAGCAGACAGCATGATACATTGAGGAGGCAGACTCGGTGAACTGTCACAGAAAGAAAAAATCCCGAAGAAAATACCTGAGGCTGCTGTCCCAGGGCCAGCGTCTTTGAGGCGACCTGCTTGGAGACAGATCCCTCCAGAGCCACCTGGATCCAAAAGCACCCATAGCTCAGCAAAGCACCCAGTCACCTGGACACAACTTTGAAGCTCGCAACACAACCGACGAATACACAGGTACATAGCCTGCGCTTGAAAATTTAGTTTGAACGTTTTTTTCATGGCCCGGGTTGGCGAGGGGCGCTATATCTCTTGAGCGCCATGGCCACGATTTATTGGGTCCTGCTTGGATCAACAAGGGAGAAATTGTGGCAACCTTTGACTAAAGCTTGTCTGCAGGACAGACCTTGCCTCTTGGCAGGAAAAGCGTGTAATGATAATATTAAGAATAATAACCTTTTAGTTGCTTGACCCTGACATCCCCAATCAGTTCTATGATCTTAAGTAAAGTGAGGTTTCATGCCAGGCTGGCGCTTGCCTGGACGACAGCCAGGATGTCGGGGATGGCGTTGACTGTGGGGTCATGGGGCCCCAGCAGCACAAAGAGATGGTGCGCTGGCGCGTCGGCCATCAGGAGCAGATCGTTGGGCGTGTTGCGGTAGTGGCTCGCCACGTACAGTGCCACCATCCGCTGCAGAAACGCCTCTGACGCCTGCACCCAAAAACACCCACTTGCGCTCAGCACCACAGCCTTTATGCTACTATCTAGACTCTTGCCAGCTGTCGAAATCTGCTGCTGCACTGGCAAGGGCAAGGCAGTCTGGCAGAAATTAGTGCGGTAGCATCTGCACATCCACTAGATCAGATGGTGTGGCACGTTCCATGCATGCGTGTGGTGTGCACTGCCTTCCCTCCCAATCATAGAACCCCATGTGCATACATCATTACACGCACATGTGGCAGACACTGAAGCTCCCTGCATTGACATGGGATACAAGATGAAGCCGACATGACACATGCATGGTGGTGGTGAAGCAGGGTGCAACACCTTGTGGAAGGAGAAGAGGGTGTCGCGCTCCACATAGAAGAGGTCGCAGTCTCCGGGCAGCGGCAGCTTCGGGGGGACCTTGGGCACGTGCTCGCTGGCGTTCAGGCACAGCAGCTCATTCAGCCAAGCCTCCACCTTGTCACCCGCCCCATACCTGCAACATCGAACATTCATTCACCAAGTTTTCCAGCGATCTGAGATCTACTCTCAACACATGCTCAAAGCAACCTGAGAAGGCAACACTGTGCACAGTGAACATCTGTGCTTATAGCAATATTGACATGCAGAGGGGCTTTAGTGGTCAACTGTATCTAAGTTCTATTGGGTGCTTACACGAGTACGAATGAACAAACTCAAAGCTGAAAATAAACAATTTGTTCTACGCTGAAGGAGGGCCACCTAATGGGCTCCTGCAGCTGGACCTCCCGGAAGGTACGCCCCATGCCGGCGGCACCGCCCTGCTGCTCGCGCGCGGCGTCCCCGCTGCTCAGCTTGGCGCCGTCCGTGCGCAGCTGCTGCAGCAGCTTCAGTGACAGAGAACGCCCCGTTCCCTCGTACCTGCACATTTTTACAATTTAGAGTATGGCAGATTTAGATGTCAAGGAAGAGCAACCGCAAAAATTATTCCACGGGCTGCCTCTCAGTGTGAAACATAATGCATGCAACGAACAAAACTCTTCCGGCCCAGGAGCACGCTCAAATGTAATGAAAAGAAATGTCACCCCCATAGCATTTCTATGTACGCCTCCTTTATGCGCCCATCATTTTCGTCCTTATGGAGCCTGCCTATCTCTTTAGGCTGCAGCTTCTTCACTGTGTTGTATGTCGGTGTTAAACCAAACGCACAGACTCCGCATGTGAAAGGCAGCACAAGTACTGCAGAGCAAAAGCAGAGACAAGTGCTGGAATGAGACAGCATGCTTGCGCACCCGTTGACTGTGGAGCAGAGGAATACGAGGTAGGGCCCCAGCATTGCTTTGACGAGGGGCAGAGGTATGGCGGCGGCCTCATCGATGACCAGCAGCTCTGCCTGCCCTAGCCGCTCATGGTGCTGCGGCTGAATGTATTGCACCGTCTGCACAGATGCACACCACACCACACTGCTCAGCAGAATCCCACTCCACTGGCAAGGGACACTGATGGTTGACACGTAGCAATGCTTACTTTCATGCATGCCTCTACATGTAAGATAAGAACAATGGCAGCACATGTGCAGCTTCAGCAAGACTGTATGGCACCTGCATGATCATTTGCCACTTGCAGTTACGTATACGCAACCATTGCCCCTATGACCCTCTGCTGCTGAACTCATGGAAACCCGCCCCTGAGAATGGTGGACGCCTTCTGCCAGAGGTTTCTGTATAGGCTGCTGCACACCTTGCAGCTGCTGTCCAGCTGATTTGCTGAGACAGGATAGGCCCATACAAATTGACCTGCAATTCATATCCATTTGAGCGTACCTGGCGGTGGTCGCGGAAGACATTCACGCGGACGATGGCCTTCTGGAAAGCCGGGTTTGTGGACTCCACCAGGTCGTAGTCAATGTGCTCCTGGTAGCCCAGCGCATCCAGACCCTGCACGTTGCCGTATCACTTACATCAGGTTGGAAAATCATTGTAATGTGAAGCATTTTCAACGGGAAGGTTCATATACAGCGCAAGAGAGGTGTAGTGCATAGACAAAGCAGTGCAGGTGAGAGGATGAATGGTTTTCGAAGAGTCTTTGCTAGGCAGACCTCCATAGATCCAGAAACCCACCCATGCACTCTTTCCTAACAGGCAAGTCTGAGCCGAACACCATAATAGACTTTTTAAAAAGATATGCAGGTTAGGCGTGCCTTGAAGATGAATTCGAACAGCGTGCGCAGGTTCTCGGGGCTGGGCGCGGTAACAAAAATGTTGGAGTAGCCCAGAGCCAGCGCGCCGGCAATCCCAAGGCCGAGCGCAGCGGATTTACCGCGGCCGCGCGCGGCCGTCAGCGCGACGGTGGCGCGCAGAGTCTTATCGCTGGCTGCGTCCAGGAAGGTGACCACTGCACGGCCCTGGTCCAGACTACGCGCACACGCCACCAGCGACCCCGCCGGCTGCGAGGGACCACATGGAGATCATGAGAAAATGCAGAGTACAGCAATGCTAGTGGAGCTCACAGAGCCGCCCCAGCAGGGGTGCTGAAAGCCAAACAACACCCGTGGCTTTTGTGTGACAGTAGCGCATGAAGCACCAACGAGCTCCTTTCAGCACATCTGACTCGGTAGTAACAAAGCTGCCCATGCTGCCGCTGCTACGACCTGGCAAACTAGTAGCTTTGGTGTGGTTCTGGCTGGATTGGCTGACTTGTGACACTGCTGCTGGTAATGTCTAGCTCATTCAGGCATCAGGACCCTGAGTGGCAATCGCTCAGACCTGCTACGATCCCATAAAACGCTCACCTGGACGTCTCTGAGGGACTCCACGAGCTCCTTGAGTTCGGCGGGCGACTCGCCGTTGCCGGGAACATCCGGCGTGCCGTCCTCCCTCAGGGGCACCGGCTTGAGGCCGTCCCTGACATGGGAGGAGATGGGCAGAATGTTCAGCTCGTCGTCCATCAGCATGCAATTGGTGTTGGATGCCAGCGACAGCACCAGCCGCTCATTGAACCGCCCTGTATCCCCAGGAATGTCATTGGTAAGACTCTGCACCATTTGATGGAAGCTTGAGGAGCTGAACTGATACAGTACATGGTGCGATCAGGCACTAACAAGAGACAAAGCAAAGCTTCACACCATGGCATCTGCAAGAACCCTCCAACATTGTACTTCTCTATAAGAGTAAATTGGATGACAGAATGCTAAACGCTGACAGGACTGGTTGGTACTGAGCAGAAGGGAGACGGCAGCTTGAGGAAGATGGGAAAAGGGTAGCACCTGTGACCTGCTGGTGGGACTCGGTGCGGAAGCGCAGGTGCACATCCATCGTGAGGCTGTAGAGCTGCGTGAGCGACGTGAGGGAGCTCAGCAGCAGCACTATGATGCCGCCGCCCTCCACCGTCTCAATCGTGCGCGCCAGCAGGTTGGGCGTCAGCGCCTCAAAGTCCTGCCAGCAAATGTTCTCTCAATTGCTGTTGTCTAAGTGCTCCCAGCACCACACATGCAATCTTTAGACAAACACGAGGTGTCCCAATCAAAAGGGGGGACGTCTGAGTGCGGGAAGCATTCGGCTGCATGATCCAACTCACCTTCAAGATTGTGGAATCCCCATATACCGTACTTGATGCCAATGGCGGAGCTATGCTAGGTTGTAATCCTTCATACAAGAAGGCAGAGGTGCGTTTGTTGCCTAGTACAAGGCATGCCAGTCCGGGATACCCACCTGTAGGACGCACATGCCAAAGGTGTTGCCCAAGATCTTGTGGGTGTCGTGGTAGTAGCAGTAGCGGATGTTGGTGGAGGCAACGAAGAGCGAGAATGGGTCCTCCTTCTCAGGGTCCAGCAGGCCCCTCACCATCATCTTCTTAATCTGCCGCATCCGTTTCTTGCGGTGACTGCAGGTACAGCACAACTCCGATCAGCACATATGACCTGCACATAGAAGTCATGGACTAGGGCAGCACAGTGTGAGTGCCCAGCGCTGTGCAGGGTCTGCATTGGGCACGCCGGCAAGGTGCTTCTAAGAGAGTGGTGCTGATAATCATGGCATACCTGCTGAGGTACAGATCCTTCTTGTAGCACCACAGCACAGACGGCCGTGCCTTCACAGCTGTCTTGGACAGCATGTAATGAAGGTTCACAACCTGGTCTCGCCCTTTGTCGCCCACTATGACGAACATGGACCTCTGGTTGAGTTTGTGACAGTTCTCAACCAGGGTTCTAATGCGAGAATCCACCTTTTTCCTCATGATTGCAAGGCTGGAGGTTTTGTAAAGTATCCTTTGAAGTTGTTTTGACACTATTTTTTCTTACTAGAGTAACGTGGTAACTGCGCTTGGCGTATTGTTTTGGCGACTGTGCAAAGGCTCTACGCAAAAGCGACTTCTAATTATTTGTTGTATAGAACGATCGGGGTGTAATACACGAGAACAGCGCGCGGCTGCACTGAAGGAAAGTCACGATCTGACCATCCCACGTACAACAGTACTTCGGCGCACAGAGTTTGACTCAGCGGATTTTCAACATTGATCTTGATAAAAGGGATTGAATTTCCTTCTCAATTATTGTTTCCATTTGCCGTCATGGCGATCTATGAATCATCGCCGCAGCGACCCCCCGCTATTGCACGTGAGAGCAAGCACGGGGGACCTGACGGGCGCCACTTACTGTCGGAAAGACGAGTTGACCCACCTGTCGCCCCGTTGACCTCGCCTAAGACGCACTCATCGGGCATGTACTTTCGAGAGAATTCAGATATTGAGAACGTATTATAGTCGCTGTCTCTTATATCATGACGGATCGAGCCTGATCGGCGCAGGATGCGAAAGCTAATACTGAGGGGCCTCTTACTAGTCGACACCAGCGTGCACGGAAAGCAGGAGCTCAAAGCTTGGAAGAGGGGGATCAAGCTTGTGCAATCTTTGCGATTCGCTAGATTTATTTGGAACTCGAAGTTATAAGCGGACGCTGAGAGTGCACATCCTACGAGGCAAGCACAAGAACCAGCTTGTTGCAGCAGCGTGCATGTCTAATCATCCAGTTATCTTCTTTTACTGTTATTATCAACTTCACATAACATTGAATCGGATGCATCTGTGTCTGAAGTGTTACAAGTTAGGCCTGCAACAGTCGTCATGCTGAAAGCTGAAACAAGACTTGCTCTTTTAGGTGGAGAACGATCTCCTCGGATTCGAAATCTAATTCAAAACTTCGATTTTGCGGAGTTCGCAGAAGGACAGATACATTGACAAGGGCCATCGCAAGGTAGGAGCTGCCCTCAGATCAAATACCTGAGCGCCAACTCTGCTGGTTTCACAACGACAAGTTGCTCGTGTCACCTTGACAAACTTTTTGCGTAGGCACTAGATCGTCCAGTGGCAACAGCGGGTGTAAGTAGACAGCCATGGGCATTGCAGCTTTCCTTTGCCTGGTGGCACTGGTCTCGGAGGCCGCAGCTGGTGGCTGGAGACACACACAGGGAAGAGGCCAGGCCAAAGTGCCGTCTGCAGCCCACCGCCATCTCAAAAGCAGCCATAGCCATGCTTATGGAGCTGGCTTGACCCACAGTGACCCGCACCACAACAGGTGTGTGATGGCTCAAGGTGGTGCTCAGAAGATGGTCAAACACATGAGGCAAATGCTGCAATGCCAGCCTGATTATCAGCCCACAGAGGGGCTTGCGAAACTTCAGCTGCAATTGCTCATTGCAGTGGCTGCTCAATTGCGCACATGTGATATGTACATCCATATCCAAGAGACTGGTCTGTGTTTCAGGGAGGCGCACGAGCACATCATTGTGCCACAGGAGTTTGTGTACGTCTATGACCTGCCAGAAAAGTTCAACAAGGACATCAAGGAATTACCCACCATCTGGCATCCGGAGCAGTATGACATTGATCAGGTAATCGCTGGTTCCAACTTGCTTCCTTGCTTTAGAGTCCCACAATCCAAATGGTGCTCATCAATGCGCAAGCACCATACGAGGAGACAATTCCAGCAAGGTAGCCCAATGGTAAATAACAGAACGGTTGTCTTAGCGCAAGTCCGAGGCTAAGGCATGTGCGCGCAGGTGCTGCACAAGCACCTGACACACAGCGAGGTCAACACAAAAGATCCAAGCGTGGCCAAGGTATTCTATATCCCAGTGTACCTGGGCCGCTACTTCAATGCGCAGTGGCAGCGCTTCAGTGATCCCAGCGATGCCTGGCTCATCAATAAGGAGTGCCACGGCCTCGACTCTGTCGACTGCTGGGCTGAGAAGTGGAAAGTGGCCGAGAATGTGAGCCCCCTCTTCCCAGGAGTTTTTCCCTTCCATGATGATTTGTAGCTGCATCTCCTATTGATACAGGTATGTGCCTGACCAAGATCCTAATGGAAGGCTGCTTGTGCCACCCTGACATGCAGGCCCTCCATTTTAGTCATTCTGATGTCATTCCTGGGCGTAATGCGGTGTCAATATGTGTGTATGCAGGCCACTTCGGATCTGGTGAGGAGTGCAATTGCGCATGTGAAGGAGAACTACCCGTACTGGAACGCCTCAAACGGGGCGGACCACTTCATGGTGTTCAGCTACGACCACGGCAAGTGCGAGATGGCCAAGGCGCTGCGATTTGAGGAGTTTGGGGAAATGTTCTCCATCCAGGCCTACGGCAGCCTGGTCTACAGGTGCCCCTTGATCTCAACCAACCTGCACCTGCATGTTTACCTTGTGAGCAATTCTGCTGAATGATATATGTGCGCTAATGCCACCGGCAAAGTAGAGGGACCTTCTGTCTCCTCAATGTGCAAAATGGAGAAAGCATAACTGCCCAATCCGTTGCGCTGCCCATGCAAGTAAGCCTTCAGCTCGGATTGGGGTGCTTTCTTAATTCGTCCTCCTCAGAGGAAGCTCCTCAAATGAGTCAACTACAGCGATGATGAGTGCATGGTGTGGGAGCAGGTCGAATGCCAAGGTGCAAGCGGTGGACAGGGGGGACTCATACAGCTGGTCAGGCCCCTCAACGTGGGCCTGCTACCGGCCGGACGCGGATGTCCTAGTACCAGTCTTCTCCCCATATGGCCACAACACCATCCTGTCGCCCTTTGCGGTCGAGCGCAACATCTCCCTGCTCATGCGCTTTGACTACCCTTTGAATGACGGCAAGTCCCTGGTGGCGCACCACGGGCACCGGCTGCGAAAGGAGCTGATCGACTACTGGCAGGAGCAGCCGCTGAACGGCTCCGACCTGGGCTTGCGCAGCACCAAGGCACGCCCCATTCCTGCTGCCAGTGATTGGCTTGCCGCTCTGATGCAATTGCTCAAATATGCAATTTGTCCCTAGAAGACAATGCACAATGCCTGCATAGCTTCCCAGGTTGCTTGGCATCCTTCAAGTTGACTAAACATCCAGGCCCAGGCGGGGCATATTGCAGACCAAGCTGCGGCCATAATGCGAAGTCAAGCAAGGGTGGCCCCATGAGAATACTTGCTAGAAGCTTCTCAGCACAGGAAGTCTGCATAACCAAGTCCAAAGCCGCATCAAAGCAGTGAGGAACGCATGCCTCTCAGACTGGACCAATCATTCACCTAACGAGTCTGCGAGCAGGGCTACATTCCGCATCATGCTTGTGGTACCTATGCTCGATGACCTGCCTAGCCATCAAGTAGTCATGCGTAGTCATCTGTGCATGCGTAGGAGACAGAGGAGGACATGAGGCGCAGCGTGTTCTGCGTGTGCCCGCCAGGGAACACCCAGGACAGCGCGCGAGTGTGGCGAGCCATCACCTTTGGCTGCATCCCGGTCACATTTTTCCGCGCCTTCGACCTGCCCTTCCAGCGCCACATGGGCATGCCCTACGCCGATTTCGTGCTCAACATCCAGCCGGATGACTACCGCCAGCTCAACGCGCGCATCCAGGCCCTCCTCGACAACCCCTCCCAGCTGCGCCGCATGCAGGTGCGAGCGCATTTGTCAATCTAAAATCCTACAGTGACTAATTATGTATAAATGTATAAATCCCTTGAAATTCTTCATGAGTCCCTCATAGTTATTGTGCATGCCAAATCAGTGGGAGCACGTGCTGCGCTTTTTGTAGGTTAGGCTAAGCCATCTGGCTGGTGTGCACTGTCCGTGTGACATCTGTACACATGGTACCTATCACAATGAAGCTATCGAGGGAGGTCCCACTAGTGCAGTCAATTGCATGCAGCACTCAAGGTTGACAGATGCAGAGCCTGGAGCTGCTTGTCTGCACTCGTTGGCACCTGTCTCAAAAGGGCAAGTCCTGCTCACAGGAAGCATTGGAGCGGCATCAGAGGTTTTTCGTGTGGGATGAGGCCGGCGATGGCGGCATCTACACAATGGTGGAAAAGGAGCTCACTCTCAGGGCGCACAACATGGGCACAGTGCAGTCTGTGCTGTAGCCAGCAATATACGAGCATGGGTATTGGAAGTTGGAGCTCGATAGTGGAAGAGTACAACAGAGTGTAATGGTTATTCAAGCTGCAGCGGCCAACGGGAGGCTGACACCTTGAGGATACCCCTTGTCCAACAAAATATCATCGCGATCGGCGCAAACGAAGGCGCTAGCTGTTGTTGAGGATGGTTGTGACCAGCTCACCATCAGTGCAGCACATTCCAGCTGCAGCATCTCAAGAGTGTGTCTGCATACATGTTGCCTTTCCTCAGTCCATTCAGATATCATCAGTCGTTGATCAAGCACCGCGTCAGAGTGCGCTATTGAGACCAAACTTTCCAGGCTTGACATAGAAACACCTATGATGGACTGCGGGATTATTGCACTGAAATTGTATCAATGTACTGATTGGCACAGTGACACGTGCACTTAATGACACAATTTTGAATTACAATGAAGCTCGGGCAACAATAGTGAGATGACCACTCCGGCAATTAGCTGTCACTTTTGTCCCTGGCAAGTTTGTGCCAAATGTATTTCAATTCATGCAGATTTGTGCTGCATTCAGTCACTAGACAGTCTGGAAAACACGGATATCGTGGTCGTTATTTAGCGCCAAGGAGCACAGGCAGGCACTGCCTGAGATTGGGCCAGCTTGATGCTCCTCCTAGTGATCCAAAGAACATGTGTCACGGGGATCATCGCCTCTTCTTTGCAGCTGGATTGAGGGGCTCCACAGCCAAAGGGATTGCATGGCCCCGGTGATTGAAGGACATGAAGTCTGGTCGGAACACATTTGCATCCAAGCCCCTGCATCAGGAGAGTCTGATCAATTGACCTGAGGTAGCATCACAGCCATGAGCAAACAGCAGCTGCTGTACAGCCTACAAGAAGTGGCATGGTGGCGCAAACCACAGGTGTAACTCACTCCTGATTCGCCAAAGCACTTATTGGCTTGAAGTTGCCTGCTAGCTGAAGGCTTCCTGCGTCACCACCAGATAAGCCCAACAGGTTGTGGCATGGATACATGGTTTTCCTCCAAGTATGCAAAGCATAGCCTGACCGTGCGGTTGGTTCTCACCCCACATACAAAGTATTGCTGCCAACAGTACCTCCACCACAACTTGCGCAGGAACACTTTCAAACTCCTCTTGCGTCAACTTGAGCATATCCCGATCTGCAGCACAGAAACAATGACGATCACATGCTGAAGGGCACCTTTGTTGACTCCAGATCAAGTCGGATTGCATAGTTGAAAGCCAACGTTATGTCTCTAGTATTTGCCCTCACGACCGATTCCAACATATATAATTGCATAGATTAAAGACTTGGGGGGTGCACTTACATCTTAATGTCTCGTATCCAGCAAATACAAAGAGGGCGATGCCTGCTATCACTGCCATACCGCTGACAGATGGGGCCATCTTCCCCCTCAATGTAAGATCAACGAGAAAGGCTATTGAAAAGTGCGGAGGTTACAAATCAATGGAGGTCAGAGTATATGTGGAGTTCCCGACGTTGCGGGATCTTAGGACTGACTTAAGTCTTGTCTACTTTCACAATCTTGTTTCGGCAGTGAATAGCAGACTAGTGCGACCTAAGTTTTCGAGCTTGAACGTCAAGGCTTTGCTTATAAGAGATTAACAAGAAACTGAAGAGGAGTGGGCGTGGCATGCAAAACCCCAATTAAACCCCCACCACTATAAGACCCAAGGCCCAATCAACCTGCAAGCTCGAGACAGAAAGCACTGCAATATTTACATGGGTAGAGGAAGTCCAAACATCCACACACAGCAGCAGCACCGTTGCTGCGCTTCTAGGCATCATCCTGAGTCAAAATTGGTGTCCGCGTCATGCTGCAGCCCTACATGGAACACCGTGTGGGGACCCCAAAGGCTTTTCATGAGACCACAGCCGCCGCGGCAGCTGGCAATGTAGCATGCGCAATGCGTGCCACCCCATCAGCTAATCTAACACATCGTTCTGACGGAAGGAACCCAGGGATTTACATAGTGGGTCTGCTTCTGAGCAGGCACCCGCAGGAGCTGGTCTCACAAGAAGAGTATGACGATCTGAAGCCTCTCAGTAAACTGAAAACTGTTGCTGGGCTCGCTGTGGAGAAGATCATCCCAGAAACAGAAGCGAAAGAGTCATCAGTATCCTATGATGAGATGCGCAGCTCCACTCCAAGCCCCTCCTTTAGTTTCTCATACGTCACAAAGGCGATTGCGATGGAGGGCACCACTTTAATGTAGTTTGGCAGCAGCCCCTGCAGATACAAGCACAACACACATGTCAGGTACATGAGCATTGCTTAAAATCTCAGCTGCACAAGCAGCACATGTACAATCACCAGAAGCCTTGCAAAGTAGCCATGACAGATGAGGGCACCCATGTGCAGCATCTCAGGAATGTCCACCTTGAAAAGAGCCTTCGTGCCCTCTTCCCTGACTGTGCGCACAAAGCAGTCGATCATGCCCTTGTACGCCACAGCATGACCCCCCTCTGCATGCAGCTCTTGCGCCCCTTGCCACCCAGACATCTGCGCGCACATGGCTGGTCATGTCTGATGTACATGATAAAGTAGCCATTCACACGGCTTCGCTTGCTCGCATGCTAGTCAGGTAGAGCCCGGATCTCCTGGTAATAAATGCCTGCAATAATAACAGAGTTTATGTGCTTCTGTACAGCATGAGGTAGCACCTGCATTCGCCTGCGGACAACATCTAGGGGGTATGCCACCGTCTGCCCTGTTGTCCCCGCAACGCCGCCGCATGCTAGCCGTGACATCGTGCTCAACTCCCGTTCATCATTCAGTTCTGCAACACAACAAAGACCAGTGCTCTCACTACACAGTATCACATATCAGCAGGTGTTTGCTTCAGCGCGCAGCACCAAAAGCAAATCTGTCTTTCAAGGGTTTTAAGCTGTGCGCACCATAGAATTTGAGGACATTGTCTTTCAGGGTTTCGTACACCGCGAAATTCAGCCCCACATAGGGGATCACGCCGATGACACTGGGCAGCCACCCCTTCCACAACGCAATGATGCCCTCCTGCAGTCCAACAACCATATCATTCCATGTTCACCAAGCAGATCACATGGTCTCCTCTATGTCCTGCTAATACCCATGAGGCTGTGCACCGGTGATTCATGCTTCGGCTTGCAGTATTTGCCATGCCAGGAACACCCTATGCAGAGGCCAGCTGCAGTGTGCTACATCAAAAAGAATTCATTAAATACAATATAGAAGCCAATACAATCTATCAAGGTTGATGGGCACGGCGGCGCGCTTGCCTCCTTGACGATGACGGTGGCGGCATGCACGATGCCTCGGTAGCGGTGCACGCCCTCCATGCTCTGCACAGTCAGCCGGCCGCGCACCATGTCCAGCGGATATGTCGCACTCATCCCCACGATGCCTGCCCCCGCGCCTGCCGCCAGCCGCAGTAGCGGCGTCATCTGGCCGTCTCCCCCGTTCTCTATTAGGTGGTGCGAGATCCGCCTGTGGACACATCCGCATGCATGCATCAGCCGCCTGCTCGTCACGCGGCAGTCTGTCCTGGTCTCACAAGCCCATGCCTCTCCATTATTGTTATCCAGGGAGTGCCAGCATGAACGTGTGTACTTGTTTTTTTGCTGGGGTTTGGGAACTGTCCAAAATGAGAAATGGGCGACCGGCATGAATGAAAGGGCCACTTTCAAACACAGGGGCAAAATGGCCTGGATGTGCACACACCTGCAGAGTTGCTCATAGGTCAAGAACTTCACAGCCGAGTTGGGGATGATGCGCACGCAATTCGTCCAGTTCCCGCGGAACATCCCACGAATCCCCTCATTCTTGCTCATCAGTTTCAGACCCTGGAAATTTATAAGAACATTGGCTTTCGTTGTGCCTCCATCACGAGTATTGCATAAAAACAAACTGTAAAAGACATGCCCCTACCTGCCAGACTCCGGTGTACACCTTGTTGCTGCCCTGCACCTGCATTAGAATTTTGAGGCGTTCCAAAGGTGCCACCGCCGTCCTTGACCTGTAGAGATGCGGCAACAAACAATATTCAAAATCTGGAGGTTGCTCCCCATACACGTGTAAACTTCCTGGCCACCTAACCTTCCTCGATTAAAAGACACAGCAGATGATCTCAGGGTAAGCTGGGAAGCAGGCCAGCACTCACACTCCGCCTGCAACACCGCCCGCCACCAGAGATTTGACGATGCTCTGCCATGAGAGATTCTTCGATGGAAGTTTTTCTTGCCCACTGCCCCCATTCTCCTTACTCATGCTACTCGTTGCTGAGGCCAGCCCTTTGCAGGCCTTCTCCCACTACTCACGTTTTCAAAACTCGTTTGCAAGTCAGATCAAAATGCAACCGAGAAAAGGCAATTCATGAGGTTCCAATTCAGTTTTTGCTTCATAACGAAAGACCTAAAAGTGGTCCGGCCGATCGCCACCTCAGTACCACGCAAAGCAAAAGCAGAAAACGCCGATGCGCACACAAGACACCTGGGATAACATCATGAGAACAATCTGACCCAATACGGTGCACAATTCCTGGGAGCAGCCCAAGATAAATGCAGCTGAAGACGACTCAGCATGGGTTCCAATGGCTGCCCTAAAATCCCCTGATCACGAGATGTTGCAATTGGGGTGTTACAGCAATGACACCAAGAGGCAGGGCTGGAGCCTGAAAGTCGTGCAAAGATACTCAACTCTGCGCAACGGTTTCACATTTTCTGCTCAAGTTGCCTTCCACAGGTGGCTAGCTGCATATATGCATGCGCGTCATGTGGGTATTGAGCAAGTCCAAGGAATTTCGAAATGCATGATCGAACTAAATTCACCGTGACATTCCTAAAACTGTGACAGTGCAAAGCTAAAGTTTGGAGTCATTCCCTGTCATTTGCCAGTTGTCTCATAGCCAGGAGCTGCATTCGAATAGAGCCATGTTTACAGTGATCATGATACAACACAATGCTGGATATTCCTCCTTCCCATTAGGTCAAGCAGTTCTTCCCTGACCTGCATCAGATGCATTTACTAAAATAGTATTCGCGATCCCACTTGCTCAATAGCCTCCGAGTGTCTTCTCACACCCAAGCACAAAACAGTATTTGCAGTACAGAGACTATGCGGCTGTGATACCACCTGCATTTTTTCAGCTGTTATGCTCAGCAAACCCAGTCACTGGGCCAGTGAGCGCTGCCATTTATCCGGGCGGCAGCAGATCTGTAGTAGCAGGTGCTCTTTGCATCGAGTTAGCATTGAGTGCGCAGCCTAATCAGCTGCGGGGCCTAGTCATCAAGCTGTGGCACGATGACGCCGTAGCCGCGGGTCTTGCGCTTGTACAGCACGCGCACCTGCTTGCTGCTCTTGTCCCGGAACACAAAGAAGGGATGGCCGACCTGCTCCACCTGTGCCCCCAACCAAACATCTCAGGGTCAACGCTTATGCTTTATTAGCAGAATCGTTCCCCATTCATATACCTGTGACAAGACCTCCACAAAGAGCTCACGCTCAGAGTCGCCCCGAGGTCAGCGACTGCAAATATAGTGTGCTGCCACCTCATCGCAACTTTGTGCCACTGAGCAAGGCCAGCGCAGTGCACGCATGGTCAGCAGAACACATTTTTCGTCTTCATTCTACCCAAGCAGGCATGATGACGCAGCCAGAAAAAAGCGGACACCCATAAAGAGCGCCCCCGCAGTGGCTCATGCTACACACATGCACTCAGCAGCCACAAAAATGAGTGCTGATAGAGGCGGCACCTGCTCAAGGGCGTCCTCCAGGCTCATGGGCTCCAGGACGAAGGTCTTGGTGCGCACAACCTCAGGGAAGGCAGCGGCCTCCTGATCCGTGGGCAGCTTGTCCACCAAGTCCTCCGCCTCGCTTGGCAATGACTGCAACAGCACACCGGTGTAAGTTGTGAAAAATGCCATGGTCCCCTGCAGCTACCCTCAACCAAGTGCCCCCAACAGGCTTGTCTCCAGCATTAAATTACAATGAAAGCTTAGTCCTCCGCTGTTGATGTACCGCCCAATCTTTGCCATTCCAGGCTTGCTTGGCAAACAGTTCACAAAAGGTGCCTGTCCTGGGCTTTGTCGTAGAAGATCCAATGGCATTGACTATTACAGCACACGATACTCTGATCTACAGCGAGCAAACCTCCCATCTTTGTGCAGCAGGGCAGCTTGTGCTTGCTGTCAAGTACAAATTGAGAAGCGCCGGGTGCCTTCCAAAAGGCCAAATGAAGAACTTAGAACAGAAAGCACGAATGCAGCAGAAAGAATGTGTCTGCCTTGTGATGGGTCATGAGGCACCAAGGCTAGTGCGTTGCCAGGATGTCTCAGACACCTGAGGCTCATTGGTCTTGTAGGCAGTCTTTCACTGCCCGTCACACATTACAAATTCCTTAAAAAATCGATGAAGGGTCGAGTGGTGGGCTCCAGAGCTTGGGTACCTGGCCGATAGTCTCTCCACCTCGGGGACCACCAGGCCCCGCCCACCTGCCGCGCGATATCGCCTGCAACAAAGCTCACTTCTTGTTATCTGCTTGTCAGCAAAAGAATGGGGCAACACAGCTGTCTGTTCCGAAGTAATTGGCAACAGAGACCACAATAGAGCGCTGACATTTGTTCAAGCATTCCAGAAGGTTGCTTGGAAGGCTTTTCACCTTCTCCTTCATTTTACGCAGTTTCCGAGCAACCTTGTCGGACACAAGGTCAATGCTGGCGTACATGCTCTCCTCAACATCCTCAGCTCGCACCTGCAGAACCCGCTCACACCACCATTCGGAGCATGTTCATGACGCAATGAGATTCTTGTGATGTGCCATCAATGTTGACATCCCCAGGCATACTTTTGTGAACAAGTTAGACAGCTGCAAGAGACCTTGTGTGGGCCCCGTTCACAAGCACGTGTGATACGTTCTGCCATAGGAGTGATAGATGCTTTCTAGGTTGCGAAAATGTATTTATACAAAGATGGGCATCGGGGCTTACAATCCCATTTCGCAGCGTGTAGATGGTGATCTCAGTCTTCTGCTTCTTTGGACCCTTGCTGGCGTCGCCCCCAGAGGCTGATAACCTCACATCTACCTCTTTGATGGCCGCCTCGTATTTTACAACCACCTTGCTCAGCTTGTCCTCCTGTATCACAAACAGAAGTGTTGAAGAAGGGGTCCCGATGACTGTGCCCCTGGTCTCAACGGCACTTGAGGTCACATCGAAAGGCAACAGGTCCCCCCTTTCAAAGCAATCAACACTATTAACAATCTATCTACTTGTGTCCGAATTTCAATTTGTATCCTCAAAGGAGTTCTACTATCACAGGCTTCTGTCGATGGGCTGACTCAGCATCTGCAGACCTCAAGCAGAAGGATCTGTCGTTCTGTCGTACTCAAGCCTCGTAAGTTGTTGCAAATACATTCTGAAAGGCAACAAGCTGAGATGATCGTTTGAGTTATCGAAGAAGCTCACCACATATTTTTTCAACGCTGGTGTCACTTCCACATGCCTGCCCTGGGTGATAATCTTTACAGTGCTGGGCTGCGCTGAGGCCACTGCGCTTATCTTCAAGGTGTTTCGGTGCTGGCGATGCGGTTGGTGTACACTAGGGGTAGAATAATAAGAAGTGCTCTTTGGCTTCAGAACAGGGGATCCTCTGCAGAAAGCGTTGTTCGCGATGCGTGGCGCAGTGCAAGGGCTCTGCAAGCTATGGAGCATCTGCGTTTTCACGAATGCGGCCATCTTGATTTCAGAATTCAGAAAGCAGTCTGATCTGTGCCGATCTTCCTCTCTTGGGCAAATCTGGTGCAGCCGTCAAATTTGGCAACTTCTGTTACGAGCCAAATATCATTTTGATTTCAAAAGATGCCAGGAATGTGCTGTCGCCATTTAGGTTGTGAGATGCTGTTTGGGATGTGATGAAAGGTATTTTAGGACCTGTCTATCCCACAAACCCCACAATATTGCATCTACATTACTGTATAGTGATCATGAATCATGATGGTTGCCAATTGGCAAGCATTGCTTGGGCACAGTCACTGGGGTGCAATTACCTGATCACAGACAGAAACCATTACAACAACATTCAAAGGTTCCAATACTTCAAGTTGGGATTGCATCCCAGGTGCAATATGTGAGCTTACAGGAAGCCCTGTTGTTAACCAACTCACAAATCCTCACAGAGGATAACCTGCGTGCCGCGCCCCACAACTGCAATGTCCCAGCCTTTTTTAGGGGCCGGCAGTGGCAACACATGCAGCGCTGAGGGCTCCAGCACCTGCAGCACTATGCTCTCACCCTCCTCCACCTGAACCTGACAGCCTCCTGGGCCCTCCGCTGGCTTCACACCAGCACCTTTGCAGTTTGCAGCACTTTGCTCTGTATCCTGCTGCAATCTCTCTCTTTGCCCCGTGCTGGCAGCGTTGGCTTTGAGCTCATAGTCACTGACTGCAAAGCTGTCGCTTGAGCTGAGTGCTTTGGACGCTGAGGGGTAGTCTGCTCCTGCTGCAGAGGCGAAGTCACTGTCTGCAGCCGTGAAGAGTGTTGTCCATGTGCGCAAACGCTGATCCAAGCCCAGTGAAGCCACCAGGCGGCCATCTGTCCACACTCCCTGTGCATCAACGCATTTTCATGGACCCTGCTGCACAAGTGCCCACTGCCATATGGAAGCCTGCATGCTGCGTTTGACACAACGGCATGCCCATTTGGAAGAGTGCACAAGTCTGCTTGTCACGAAGGGCCTTGGAGCAGGCCTCACATTGTGCATGCTGTGGACTCGTTGCAGAAAATTGCAATGAGTCATTTGGGAGACTTTCTAGTTGTGCACTCACCCTCAGTGCTGAGCTGTGCGCGTTGGGTAGATGCGCAGAGGCTGCGACCTCAATCACAGGCCTGAGGTCTGTGCCTTGCCATCTGATGTTGAAGAGGGTGAGGCGAAGTGCCTGATCGTCGCCACCAGTTGCCAGAAGCACTCTACACGCTCCTGCAAACAGCTTTCTAGGTCAGGTGACTCCCTAGGAACCGGGAGGAGCTTCACTGGTCCGCACAGAAGGCTCCTTGAAGGATGACAAAAGGATAAAAGGTCTAAAACAGTTGTCCGTTGTCCTCACCTTCAGAGCTTTCCAAACACGCTGCACTCATGGCATTGACTCCGGACTGGTGTAGTCCAGGGAGCGCCAAAACAGGCTGCTGCTCATCCCCATCAGCCACATCACTCGCGCAGTTCCACACAGCCACTGCTCCATCTGTTGCTCCACTGAGGACCAGCTGACTCTGTCTCCCTGCAATGCTTGCATGCGCGAGACTCAGGACTGGCGCGGTGTGGTAGCACAGATTTGCCACATGCGCCCACCTGCACACATTACTGCTCCTGAGATGCTCATCTTGCATTCTTGAGGTGGCTTCATGACAAAGTATAAGGATGCATCAACATAAGAGGCTTGCCTTCTGGACTTCAGGTCAAAGCTGAGATGCCGCAGGGTTGCATCAGATGAGGCCGCCACAATACCAATGACATCAGCGGAGCACCCGTTCGCAAAGGCCACCACAGCCATGTACCTGCGCGGCAAGAAGCATGCTACAAGTAAGCATCCCGAAACGCTTGACACATACAAGCTCCTTTCCAGCAACCTCCACTGAACCTGGGCTTCCTGCAATGCTGTCTTCACCACCCATGACACGGATCCTGGACCTCTGGCAACCAGTGCAAGAGAGATCTCACAAGTCCACCAGGAGAGTCAGACATCCTTTGGACTTCACAGTTTGAAGCTTTCACCTATGCTCTGAGCCCCTGGAGTTGCAGCCGGGCGCGTTGGAGCGAGGCCGCAAGCCGCCCTTTGGCGGCGGCCGCGTCGACAGCCACCGGTGCTCCAGTGTGATAGCTTTGCTCTCCGGCTGCGTCTGCGCATCCTGTGCAGACGTGGCAGCCTCGCCGCGCAACGTCAGCTGCCATGCCATCAGTACCTCCTTGGCCCCTCCGCTGATCATCACGCCGGTTCCTGTAGAGCAGGGCAGTAGAGTATCAGCTACAGAGATCCAGCCCTGCTTGCCGGACCAATGCATGAAAGCAGCTTGATGCATGACAATCAGTTCACCTTTGTAAACCTGGGCGAATAGTAGCGAGTCCAACGACTGTAATAAATGGTAAAATGCAAGAAGTGGGGCGAGATATCACGGACCTGGCACAGTAGGCACAAGAGACATTGACTTCACTGCTGTGCCGGCTGCATGCTCGCCAATCTCCACCGAAGCATGCAAGCCCTGACCACAAAAACATGGAAAATTCATGCCATGTTGCCTGCCGCTCAGATCGTCTGTCAAACACCAAGTGTGCATGTGAATACAACCAAAACTCTAAGTTCCCGTAGGATCAGCAACGGCCAAGAGCAGCATGCTTGCATATCTTGGATATCAATAGGATTGGAGGTCAAAGGCACCTGTGCTGGTGTATAAAGCAGGCGGTTGATGATGCCATCCTCCCCTCCAGTGATCACTGCCAGTGGTATCTGACCCTGTGGCGCACGCATGAGCGCCACGCACTGTATCTCCCGCCCGTGGTGCAGCAAGTGCAGTGACCTTACCCCGCTGCTGCCAGAGCCACCCCTGCCTTGCCCTGTAGCATAAAAATCACCCAGTAAGACTCCCACATACTTGTCTGGCTCATGTTCAAGATACACCGAAGATGATGGATATTTGCATAACCATTGCACTGGGAGAGTCACCTGCAGCAGAGGACTCGATCACATGATCGCGTCGCCTCTGAACGTGGATCTTGCGATCGCGGTAGAAGGCAAAAGTGAAGGTCGTTGGGGATGTGATGAGTGCAGCATACTGCCGCCTCCAGCCGCCACAGCGCACGCGCGCCAGCTCACACCGATGACTCATGCTGAATACAATCCAGTCATCCGCCTGCACACACCTGCCTCAGCATCTATCCCAATGGAATCCGCAGACAGGCATGCTATTGGAGAGCCTGCGCATTCATGTGACTTGGAGGAGGAATCTGCAAGCAGTCAGCATTCCTTAAAGCTTACCTGGAAGCCAGACAGGATGCGATCTGCTCTGCCACTGGGGCCAGGCAGGTGCTGCTCGCTGTCTATGACAGTCAGTGCACTGACGCTCTCAACATTGGCCAGAATCAGGGCATCCACCTGCGTGCAAGGCACTTGTCGTTGTGCTCTCCTATTGAGGAATGAAATTGTGGTCTCTTCCCTCCAGAGGTTTGGCTTATCATGTGCAATATAAATCTTGCTGAGAAAATGCAACACACATTGTTCAGAAGAGAGAAGGAGGGCTGTGACTGAAGGAGACACTTCCGAGCACATTACCTCAGACAGCGCTGAAGGTTGCTGGTCTGAGTGAGCACAGCTGCGCCTCTCGTCCAGACTCAAAACTTGCATGGTGTCCAGCACATCGTGTGCAGCCCTTTCTCCACTGCCTGCTGCCTCCTGCAACTCTGAAAGAACCACCCCCTCTGACGCACACTGTTCACTGCGGTCCCCCACTCCCTTCTCAAACATGCTGCGGAGTCTGCTGTCTGTTTTGGAAGTGCAGGCAGGGGGAGTGAGCATGTAGTGCTGGATGCTGCCCTCATGACTGCCTGTGGCCACGCTGCCTTCTGGGCTGATGCTGACCAGGCTGACTGGCAGACTCTGATGCGCATGCTTCAGCACAGCAATCAGCGGCATCTTGGCGTGGCCGCCTGCAAATCAGAGGACAGGGTGTGGATTACGTGGCACATCTGCACATTTAATATCAAACTGCAAGTGCTGACAACTCCGAGTTCTGCACTGCACCTGTTGCGGTCCGCTAAGGCATGGAATAACAAGCAGAGTGTGCTCCTTTGCCAGATGACGAGTTTACGCCATGGGAATCAAATTTAATCTCACCTGGGCGGTGGAGGCATGCGGCGTCAAAGTGGAAGGCAAGAACATTCCCAGTGCGGTCTCCGCAGACCAGCAATTGCTGCTCCACATCCACATCCAGTCTGAGGATTCGCACACCAAAGGGAGACCTGGCTTCAGCCAGCAGCGCACCCTGCATACCCACCCTCACTGGATCCTGCAGCACGCACGAGTGAACATTGAGCATACATGACAAATTCCAAGCTTGAGGACAGTGGCATGCAGTCTGAAGCAGGAGCACTCACGTCCATTCTGGTACAGTGTGCAGAGGGGTCGGCTCTGGACAGAAGGCCACTGACAGTCCACAAGCGCAGAGTGCCGTCCAGTGCAGCTGTGATGACCACTTCAGATCCAAAACATGGCACCCAGAAAGCATTGAGTACTGGAGTTCCCCCGTGCGCATGCCAAGAAACACTCTGAAGCGCTGAGTGCCCTGCAACATGCCCTTCACACATGCCTTACTTTTCTGTTGCAGAAGCATGAAGGCCCACCAGCACAATGACGACAGGGAATCGAAAATGCATGCAAAGATGTCGACCTGCATTGCTCATTGAGCTGGATACACCAAGAAGGCTTGCCCAGCCGCTCTGTTCCCCAGTCACTACAAGCGTCCGATTGGCCAAAAGGTTCTCTCTCCCCTCAACAGAAGCATCGGGATCTGCCAGCTGAGTCACCTGCAGTGGAAGAAAGAACACGTTTTGTTATCGCCGCGTCAAATCAACAAACCCCAAACAAGACCTCAGAAAGAAGGATACACTACAGAGATCCTGGGAAATGCTACTCACAGCAATGCAGACCAGGGGCTCTGCTCGTCCATTCTCCCACAGATGCTCCCAGTGTTCCTCGCCTCCTTCCCCGTGAGGCAGGTGCACTCGTTGGAGCCTGCCAGCATTTGTCCCCACGTACAGCACTTCATGGCTGGCCAGTGCCATGGACCGCACCCAATCCCCTTTGCTGCCCTTCAGCTTCTGCTGCAACTGGCCTGCATTCCACTCGCATAGCTTATACGCCACCTTCCAAGCCATCGCATTTGAAACAGAATGCAGATACAAGCACGATGGCATGCATAATATACCAATTGCTGTGCAATTCAGCATCTGTACTTCGGTGTCTCAAGCACTCACCAGATGATGCAAAAGGAGCAGTGCTCTGCAGAAGCGTGAAGGCTTCCATCTGAGGTCCACGCTCTGCTCTTGCAGTCTTTATACCCTCTGCTGCGCTGTCTCCACTGTTTTCACAACATTTTGCTGGCTCCTCAAGGCATGAAGCCGGCACATGTTCCGCCAGCGACCATATCTTGACGGAGCCATCAGCGCCAGCAGTGGCAAGCTGCTGGTGTGGCAGCATGGCAGTACGCCACACTCCCCTGCCCCTGTGCCCTTGCAGGACTGCCACGCACTGGTCGTCCTTCCATATCCTGCAAAGCAGTCAGCGAGAGGGTGTCAAGAAAACCTGAGTAGAGTTCTTCAACCAATCCCAGTAGCCTGATTGGTACACTGTGAAGCCCATGTGCCGTGCTCGCTGATTTCTCTTGTTGTTCAGTAGGTCGATGGCAAAGCCTGCCTGGATGTGGCTATGCCAGCAACAAGCAAGGACATCTTTAAGAGGGAGAGTGCTGCAGCACAGAGATGGCTTGCCTGCAGGTGCAGTCCTCACTGGCGCTGATCATGAGGCCACCCCAGAACCTCACATCCCACACGCGTGCCTCGTGCCCATACAGGATCCTCACAGCCACGAGGGTGATGGGGTCTGTACTGGCCTTGGGAGCTTCCTTGGGCAAGGCCCACACTCGCACAGTCCTGTCGTCGGATGCAGATGCCAAGGTGCTGCCGTCCGGGGCCCAGCAGACTCTGTTAAGAGCACCTTCAGATTTACAGTGCTCACCATGCAGAGGATCTTTGTTACAATGAAAGTCTGTCACAGAAGGACAAGCGTGACTTTCCGACACGGCCAATGAAGAATCTCGCTTGCCTGTGGATTGATCCATCATGTCCTTTCAAACGGTACAGGGCTGCATGGTGAGTATGTGCGGGGACAACATCGCATGTGTTTTCTGCTGCAGAAATGGCCACATGCCAGACTAGTACATCAAGAAAGACTGTCCCAGCTGCCACCCAGATGTCCACATGTGACGAGTTCTGCCCCAAGCAAATATAACAGATAAGGTTCTGATTTAGTCAATTTGACTTTGGATGCGGCTGCATTACCTTGCATTCACAGAGCTGTTGTGTAGAGAGGAAATGGAGATCCACATACCTGCATCCCTGCATGAAGGGACAATGAGTAGAGAAGCAGCTTCTCGGTGCATTGGGCTGACTGAATGAGTTGCACCTGCAACCAGAAGCATGGCATTCTGCGTTAGCCTCTTGGCAGAGATTAGTACTGTAGATGGTCTTGCTGCGTCATCTTGGCATATCTGCACACGAGAGTGATTCCCTTAGGAAAGCGGCACACCTTTGCATGACAGTCATCCGCACTTGCCGTGATGCGGAACACGCTGATTGAGTTGTTGCTGAGTCCCACCACACAGAGTCCACTCGCGCTACTGATCTGCCTTACATTTATGTCAAGAGTCCAATGCGAAAATGGCCCAAGCTGGCTGTGGCTAACAAACACAGGGACCTCCTCGGGTCTGAAAAGGAAGACCTGCAATTCAGAAGGAGTCTGAGAAATTACGGCAGCTAATCGTCTAATTTTCTACCTTCTGGAATGAGAACACTGACTCCAGTTGCGGACCTTTGCCTGCCTGCCTCCATGGACGGCTAGCAGGGGGCCCCAGTGGCCAGAAGCACTATGAATTCCATGAACACGCGTTCCATCCTCGAAGGCAGTATGCTTTAAATGATCTCCATCTTCTTTTGCCAGATTGTACGCGTAAATTTGAGATCCAATCCCTGCACAGGAAGCGCAGATCACGACTGGATCGTTCAGAAAAACTATGAAGAGAAGCACCCTGTGCACATTTGTTCCGCACCTGCTAGCACGTAGATGTCTTTGATGCCTGACTCTAAACACCACAGCGTAGTCACATCTCCTGTGAAGTCACGGCGATACAATGGCATCGATCTACAAATCTACGACTTCGCGTGTTCTGGTGGGCAAGCTTCGATGTTCTGCAGATCAGCCGTACTAGTCATTCCGTGACAATCACATATGTTTCATATGACTGTTCGGAGATTTGCGTGCTGATTTTTGGTGCATGCAAGATAGCACGTGAGCCCTTCAGGCGAAGCACGCCCCTTTCCTTGAGCGTGTCGTGCTGCGCTCTGTCCAGGGATCGCGATGTGCAAACTTACTTGCCCGATAGTTCTAGACTCAGGCGTACTAGATTTCCTAGGACATAGCTCTCTAGACTCTCCTCGAGGACGTTCATCATAGCTCTGCTGGAGTGACATGGCTTGACTTTCTGAAGACATTATCCATTTAGTCCCCCCTTCTTCTTTGATATGGACGCTATCGATCTAACTAAATCTGATAGTGACGAGGACGTGCGTCTGGTGAAGCGCCAGAGGACAAGCTCACCCGACGACGAGGTAGAACTGATTGAAAAGCCTCACACACCAGCACCGGCTGCCGCTGGCCCAGAAGTGGCTCTCGGCGATGAGGATCTCCTAATCATCAGAGCTACTGGACCGGTGTGTTCCCATTGGCTTCAGATCGTTGGATTCGTATTGCTGGAAAGCGTGAACACCATCACAAGCACCTTCCTAGAGTACTATGGGATATGCACACTTGGATCGCTGCCTAGGGGGCGATCTCCAAGTTGCGTGATTGTGAACTTCAGATTACTTCCTTTGTTCGACTTGACGGATCCATTTGGCGCACATGTCAGACTCGCTTCAGAATAACATCGTGTTTTGAAACTCTGGCATAGGTGGTGGCACCTTGACGGCAGCCCCACTCTCCATTTCGATTGGCTCTATGGCCCTGTTATCTTATGCTCTTAATCGTAAAACCAGAGTGCCCCATCGTTGACAGGTGTGGAACCAGGATTTGCCACACGGCAGGACGCAGTGCGGCAAGCATCCCTTTGTCTCATCAAAGAGTCCCAGCAATAGGGAACACTGCATCAAGGTAACTTTTTACTGAAAAGTGAGCGAATACTGCAGGTGTCCTAATGATCGGGGTGGCATTCACTCACAAATGCCCTCCAAGAGTTGCTGATGTGGATTGCATGCCATGCAGTGCTTCTCTTATGTCTGCGATGTGGAAGCGGACAAATGCCAGCTTTGGGGGTCAGGTGAGACCCGTTTTGTGGCTTCTGCTTGCTTTGATAGTATTTGCACCACAATGTGTTGCTGTATGCCAGCTTGTGGCAATATATACTGCCCTGCACAGGCCACAGCAGCCAGGATCACTGCAATGCACATGGCGGACGCAGCTTATACAGGGACATGCGCGCAGCTGCCCAGAGGTCGGCCGCATCTCCCCCTGCCCTCCCATCTGCATCTGGGGCAGCCGGGCCATCAGCCGGCTCTGCAAGCGCCCAAAGACGGCAGAGCTTCCCCACATCTCCGCATGGTGTTGCTTCGGAAGGCTCTGCGGCAGCTGGAAGCAAGCTGAGCATGGGGAATGTGCCAGGTGCCGCGCCACCCTCCAGTGCTGCCCGGCTGGATGCAGTCAGTGGACAGAACGCAGGCAGTCACTCGAGGGCCGAATGTGTTGCCCACCGCTTTCATCACCAGATGAACACAGAGAATCACCCGCACTGTGACCTGGTAGGTGCTGTGATCTAGAGCAATTCTACTTGCTGTCACCACCTCACAACCATGCGTTTTCTGTCTCAACTGTCACTTCTATTGTAATCATTGTGTGTCCCTATCAATGTGAAGCATTGCACAGAAAATTGATCTGGTACTTACGCTTTGGAGGTGGTCCTCATGGACAGATTAATTGACATTTTCGTTCTGCATGCAGTGCAAGTGCTTCATCTGCGACGATCTGGCATCAAAAGTGCGAACGCTGGGGGACCGGTGAGCCCTCCTGGCGTGCAAGGGCATGCACATGCTCATTTGATGATGCGACACGGGTTTTTACCATGCTATGCCACTGGCATGCATGACTGACTGGCGCGCAAACATAAGCCTGCTCTCATACTGATTGGTGGACATGTATGGCTTGCAGGTGCGGTATTCAACGACCACTGCAATGCGCATTCAGCCATGCAGGCCTACAGGCTACTGCGAGAGGCCCAGAAGCGCAAACCCCACTCTGGGCTGGCGCCCTCACAGCCCTCAGCCGTGCCCGTGCAGGTCCCGCCACTGCCGGACCCGATGCAGGTTAACAGTGGATCACATGGTCACAGCAGCGCTCCTCAGTCAGCTCCCCCCACAGCAGCCCAGTGTGCAGCCAAGAAGGCCAAGGAGGCCTGGAAGCCTCTTGACCCGAGCAATGTGCTGCCGGATCCCAGCCTGAACAAGCAGATGGTAGAGATTGGGACCATCCACTTGCCCATCAAGGTATGTCACACCTGCTCATATAAGTATTCATGACAGACCCTCATTTTTGAACTCTCTGTGCGCTGCATTCTTTCGTCTCATGCCTGCTACATGAACAGCCGTCTAATTTAATTTTCTTGCCCAGATGGTCTTCTAGGTGAAAGTATGCTTTGTGCACAGGCAGTGGAGCCCTACACCCTGGCAGACCTGCAGGAGCGGTTAGTGCCCACAGGCATATGGAGCAGGTACAGGGAGAACGAGTACTACAGTCACCGCACAGCCATTGCCATTTCCACCGTCCAGTACAACACCGCCTTGGTGGAACTGCTGCCCCTGCCACTGCTGCAGCATGGGTGCGAGCGAACGCCGATGCGCGTTCGCCGTGTCACCATCGTGAGCGCACCTGGCTCCCTTGAGCTCTTGCACTTCTGCATTTGGGCTTGTCATGAGGCACACCTTACCTGAAAGCATACAATACAATGCTTGAAGTATGCACGCCTTCAAGCAATCCAATATCCAGCAAGTATGATTTCTGCTGGATTGTAAGAGGATTGCTGCTTTCGCAGGTGAGCCACGATGGCCGCGCCAAGCCTCTCACCATAGGCGTCAGCGTGCACAAGGAAGCAAAGATGTCAGAGCTGCTGGAGGCTGTCAGGCAGCACCCTGCAGCAGCATGCAGCCCAGAGGAGGAGCTGATCTTGGCATACTCCACGAGGAACAAGAATGCCTGCATGAAGGCTACCCTCGTCCCTAGCATGTCCACAAAGACTCAAGAGTACCAGGCCAAGCATGGGTGCGGCTCCATTTCACAGTTGCAGCCAATTGAACATAACCAACATCTTGCCATTCCATGTACTATTACAAAGCATGACCTCCCAAGCACTTCCTATAAAGCCTGTGGCTCTTCATCAAGCCAACTAGGATTTTTACCGACCATTGGGGCAAATTGACTGGAGCATGTTATATGTATGGTTGCATATATCTGAGGTCACGCATGTGTGCATGCAGGTATGTCGTGTTCCGTGTACCTCGCGTCAAAGCTGTCAAGGAAGAGGCGAAGCGGTCCATTCATGCGGTGGTGCATGGGAAGAAATATAACCCTGGCAGCTACCCAGACTATGTGGACACCGCTCACCCCATCATGATCAGCCTGACTGCAGACTTGTGGAAAGGAGGCAAAGCAGCGGGGAAACAAGTGGCAGCCATGATTGCCGCTGCATTGGCTCCGCATCGCAAGCCGGACTTGCCCAACAAGCCCCCTGACCAGGGAATGGAGCTCATCCGCTACAGCAACTGTGCGTGACCTTTATCCAATGTGCTTACTTCATGTGATGGTGGCACAGCTCCAACTGATACTGCGCTTACTGCGGCAGTGCAGGGTGGTGAATCTGTGTGAGATCTGGCTCCATTGCAATGGACACCCTGACTTTGTCAAATGCTCACACGCGATCCCTCTTGCTTGCTAGCGGAGATTGAGCACTTTTTGTGGCCTGCGCAGCTGGGTATGCCACTCCAGGCATCAGGCGCAGCTTTGACCACGCAGCGAAAAGCCTCCTTGAGCTGTCCAATTGCATCGATGAGGGTGTGATGTATATTGGAGCCCACTGGAAGTCTCCTGGTCTGGAACTGTATGACACAGAGTCCTGGTCGCAGCCCGAGGTGGATGCTAGCGCCTCTGAGGAGGTCATGGCCGGTGAGTTGTCCCCCTTGCTAAAATTGCATCTAGCTTAGAACATGGAGCACCATCTTGTTAATCTTTCACCTAGTGAAGCGCGCTGGTGTTTGCTAGGATATGTTGTGTGCTCATTCCAAACAATGCATTTCCAGGCATGAAGAGCGCCACACCTCTGGGAAGATTTGTCTAGACCCTGTTTGCACGCTGTCTCTGTGATGTGCGAGGCCTCTTTCCATCTTCAGGCCTCTCCTGATACCATGATGCGCTGTGCTGCTGCCAGACACGGAGTTCCTGATCAAGGAGGAGGAGGAAGCCACCAAGGCACAGGAGGATCGGGCAAAGCTGCCAAGAGACCTGTTGAGCGAGCTGTCATCTGCATGCACGAATTACCGAGCTGACCAGATAAAATTGGCGCAGTCGTGTCACAAGGCATTGACGCCCCCTGTCGCAGCCTGCAAGCTCGCCATCTTCCCAGACAGAGAGGGCGGCGCGGAGTGTGCCACCCTTGCAATCCAGGTGTGCTTGATTGGCCTCACTCGTCCAGACCTTCCTTTGAGCATGTTGCGATGCATGCACCACTGCTGTGCAGTCTTTCTTGGCATGCTTGTTTGGACAATATTAAGATTGGTTCACATTCTATGGAGCATTCCTGACTGAAATAGCTGTTGTTTGCCAGGTATTTGTTTGGCACAGACGTGGGACATTCAACCGCGACTTTTTCCGCTCGCCAGATGATTGGGCGCCTGCTGGCAAGGAGAAAAGGCGCTTCAGATACCTGGAGAACTCAGAGTGCCTTGAAGACACCATGCGTTTCCTGCTCAAGGACAACCCACTGGCGGAGGTGAATAAGCATACTTTGTGGCATTATACAATCTTTTCTTTTTATGCTAGCCTGAGAGTCACAGGCAGTGGGAACCAATTACTAAGAACATGTCTACAACCTGTCGCAGGCTATGGAAGAGGAGCTCAAGGCCTGTCTCTCCAAAATGCGCTCAGTTGGGTCCAACCGCGGCGTCACGGTGGGCCACTTGAAATTTAAACACTGAGGGAAAATATTTTCTTGCCCACATCCAATCACCAAGAGTCGATGTATTCTAGTGTTTTGTGGAGCGCTCAAATGGTGTGTCATGGGCAGATGCTGATGAAATTAATGGAAGCCGGGGAGCGGCCGGAGGAGCCCCAGCCGCCGGGATTGACGGTGCAGCTGCACCCGTACCAGCGCCAGTCGCTGCGCTTCATGCTGGACAATGAGAGCGGAGAGGGCGGCCACCGGCGCCACTTCTGGGTTCCCTGCAAGACCCCCAGCGGCTTCACCTTCTGGTGGTCGCCTATTTTCAATCGGGCATGCAAGCAGGTTGCTCCAAGCCCCTGGGGCGGCTTCTTGGCTGAGGAGATGGTAAGGTCTCCATATGCTGCGAGTGCAGAAGATTTGGAGTCTGTGCGATTTTGTCAGCATTTCTGGCGGCATACCACATGAACAAAAGACTAGTCCTGATAATCATCTTTGTGCATGCAGGGCTGCGGCAAGACTGTGGAGGTTTTGGCATTGATCCTGTCCAACCCAGCATCACCAGATGTCGTGTCTGGCACTCTGGCTCCTGACGGGGTTTCCATTCAGAGCAGGTATGCCACAAGACAGCTTGATACTGTGAGATGAAACTGCTGCAGCCATTCTGCTCTAGCGTCTGACTCTGCTTTGTGTTTGTGCCCTGTGCAGGGCGACGCTGGTGGTGTGTGCTGTGTCCCTGGTGGGGCAGTGGATGGAGGAGGCCAGGTCCAAGCTGAACGGATCTCTGCGCATGTACCAGTACCACGGGCAGGGCAGGAACAGGGACGTTCAGAGCCTGGCCACCGACTACGACCTCGTGGTCACCACCTACCAGGTAGTTTCTGCGGAGGGTTTTGAGTTAGGCACAACTGGGGCCGTGTGTCCAGCTTCTGATGACAAGGCACATAATGCATGGCTGAGGATGTTTGCAACTGCATGCAAATACTGCTTCTTCCGGTAGCTGAACATGTGCATATGTCTCCATGCAGACGCTGGGCTCGGACTGGAGGATGTACACCAAGAAGGGCGGCAACACAGACGGGCGCTTCCAGCCATTGGGGCAGATCCACTGGCACAGGGTCGTCCTGGATGTGAGTGCCTGCACCTCACAAGCGGACCCACCATCCCAAATTTTTGTTCCACTGATATTTGGGTATATTTCGTTTGGATAGAGTATCACTGAATTTCAAAATAAGCTGTCATTGCCGCAGGAGAGCCACACTGTGAAGGCAGGTGGCGCACAGCAGGCAATGGCATGTTGTGCGCTGAAGGCAGACCGCAGGTGGTGCTGCTCAGGCACGCCGATCTCCACGGAAGTCAGGTGAGGATGCTAGCACGCGCTGGCTTGATCTCCTGGGATAGAGGAAACTGCAGAGTGCTTGATGCCGTTAAGAAAGAGCCCTGCCTCACCCAACTTCACCTGACGATCTGGGATTTTGTTGGAGTGCAGTGATTTTATGGGGCAGTTCAACTTCCTGGGCTGCCACCCCTTCAGCCTGAAGAACTACTTCCTTTTCCAGGCAAGCTGGTCCACCTCTCCAGAAGTCTACCTAATTCATATGGTGAATTGTGCCTTAAAGCAGAAAATTATTGTAGAGCACTCGTTGAGGCATGATAGAGTGTCGTGCAGGTGAAGCCCACGTGGTTATCCAGCTACAATCACAAATCAGATGGTGCTGTGTGCTTGCTGTATGCGCTGGGCCGCACAGCAATCCGCCACACCCAGCAGCAGCGGCTCGGCGGCATGACTGTCTGCGAGCTGCCTGAGAAAACCGAGGAGACTGTTGCAGGTACAAGATAGCATGCCTTTTTAGGAATCCCCTCAATCAAGAGTTTTCTAGTAGCCTTGACAGGATGTGATTGGCCAGCAGTGAACAAGAAGTAGCTCAAGTGGCAAAACTAGTGATGCCATTGAATTTGTATGTTGCTGTGGCAATGCAGTGGAGTTCTCAGAGGCGGAGCAGCGCTTGTACCTGCGCGTGCACAAGGAGGCCAAGGCGGAGTTTGAGAAGTACACAGCTCAGGGCATGAACTGGGTCGTGCGCAACCTGCTGTCCATCATGGCCCTGCTCAGCCCCCTCCGCGCCATCTGCTCTGGCGGCGTCCTGCGCGAGCGGGTATTGCCCCAAGTCAACAGTTGCACCAATTACTCTGCACCAATCGCTTTCCTGAAGTCTCAATTTGATGGGAGCTGTAGTGAAGTGGTTGGAAACTTTGTGCGCAGGATGTCAAGGTGCCCAGCATGGAAGAAGCACAAGAGCAGGAGGCACAAGCTGGGGCCGACCGAAACCTGGTGGCACCCTCGGAGGAGTGCTCCATCTGCCTGAATGCTGACATGGAGCGCCCCTGCCGCACTCCCTGCCTGCACTGGTTCTGCAGGTGCGGATTTAGCTGCTTGAGATTGCCTGCATGTGCACCGCTTCTGGTTCTGCTGAAGACCCTGTACAACAATCGTGTCATGTCGACAGGTCGTTGCCTTGCAGCAATGCCTTGCCAGGGTAGGTCCCTACTCTACTGCCTTTCATCCTGATGTTGCTCAGGTTGTAGGAGACATTGCAAATAACGGTAGTTGATAGGCCTGAGTTACAATCCGCTGCAGGGAGTGCATCAGTGCCGAGCTGACAGTGAGGGACAAGTGCCCGCTCTGCCGCCAGCAGATCCAGATGGCACAGCTGACGGAGGGCGTGTCTGCCCCTCGGGATGAGGACGAGGAAATGGAGGAAGCCCCCACTGATGGCGCAGCCGCCAACTTGGTTGTTTCCGAGTCCAAGCTGCGTGTGCTCCTGAATGAGGTGAACCAGACTGACACCATTGCTTAGCTCCTATTGCAGATGGCATTGTGCAGGGGCAGCAGCAGCGCTGACGTAAGCTTGCACGACGCTATAAGAATGGTGCTGTGCTGGTGCCATCTATTGTGTCTGTTGGCAGGTCTCTTTTTACTCATGGCATGACGATAGAGGCACCTCAAATGGCGCAATGCTGGTTGCAGCTGGCGGACATGCGTGCAAAAGATCCGGCGGCAAAGGCGCTGATATTCACGCAATCAACAGCACGCTGGAGTGGTTGATGGCGCGGCTGACGCAGGAGGGCTATGGCTACCGCACCATCTCGGGCAGCATGCCTCTGAAGAAGCGCAGCCAGGTGATTTTGCTTTCCTTTTGGTGGTCCCTTATCTCCTGGGTATCCTTCATTAGGGAGCATGTAAGCGGCTGCCGTGAGGGGTCTCTTCTGTGGGCATCAATGTTGACATTGTGCCAGTAAGATAAACTGCATGCTTTCTTTGCGCAGGCGATAGAAGCGTTCCAGCGGGACCCTCCCACGACGGTGTTCCTGCTGAGCATGCGCAGTGGCGCGGTGGGGATCAACCTGACGGCGGCCAACCACGTGTTCATCCTGGAGCCCGCCATGAACCCCGCGCTGGAGGACCAGGCCGTCGGCCGCGCCTTCCGCATGGGCCAGACCCGGCCGGTCATCGTCAAGAAGCTCTACATCAAGGTGGGATGCTGTTTGCATGCATCATTCCATGCTCCACGGCCCACAAGCCATGTATTGTTTACTTGACCTGCATATTGCGTGCTTTGAACCTACTGTATGCTGATTATAGCTCAGTCATCTTCTACACCTGTTTGTAGGCCGCTCTGCAATTGCATTTTACCTCATTCAACCTTGCTGACTCATTGCAGAGCCATGGCAACACTGACGCTTGCACCGCCTGCAGGGGTCTGTGGAGGAGCGCATCATGGAGCTGGTGAAGGATCGGCGAGAGGGCAAAGTGACGGGGGGCGTAGGGGACGCTGCTGGCCACTCGGAGGAGGGTGACTACAGCAGGCATGTGCGCAAGAGCAAGATGCGGCAGCAGGATGTGGCCGGCGCCATCAGCACTGACCGCCAGAACCTGCGCCTGGCAGAGCTGCAGCTGCTGTTCAAGGTTTGTGGCAGCTTGTAGAGCATGCTCTGTTGGATTTATGACAGCTATTTCCTTGCTGGCCTGAATGATAGGTGTGGTTTTGTGTTGCACTGATCTCTGGGTCTGCTGCCGGCCTGGCTTTGAACATTGTCATGTCCGGGCATGTTGCCTCTATAGTCATGTCATGAGTCAGAAGAGACCTGGCTGAGTATCTTGTTGTCCTGTGCAGGACCCCTTTCTGCCCATCACAGCGGACTTGCAGCAGGCAGCAGCGGCATATGATGCAGCTCCTGCAGCGGCAGGTAAGACTGATGCACCTGTGGCTGTGCATGTTGTGGGGAGACAATGGAAATCATGTAGACTTTGCTTGCAGTCAAGGAGACACCTGCGCTCATTGCTCAATTCAGCCTGGACTTTTGCAACGCAGCAGGCGCAGATGAACCCTAAAATAAATACGCCATCTTTGTGTTTTGCAGCGTGTGGTGGGTGCGCCTGAGCAGCTGAGGACAGGGTGCACATGCCTTTTCAAATCTCTCTTGGATGTTGAGTATGTTCTTGTCAAGGGATGCCCTTTCAAGATTTTGTACAGCTCAGCTTACTGCTTGTTTTGGTGACTTAACGTGTATATACTTGTACAGTGTGCTGATCTTATGATCATGATTGCTTCCAAGAAGATCACCGTAGCTGAGTATATCAGAGGTAGGCATGGCCTTACAATAACCGCTTCGGACAGCACTTATATGCTAGATCTAAATCTGTCTAGCCTGATTGTCCCTTGTGAACGAGGCTAGCCGTAGATTGAGGAAGGCTGGCACCAGCGCCCTGACTTGACATGTTATCTGCTGGCGTGCTGTAGTGTGCTTGAGCTGTAATAAGACTTTGATGACGCCTGCATAAAGTATATATATATATATATATATATGGGGCATACATGGCATGCCACAAGCTGCCTAGGCGCCTTCAACAATAATGGCATGCATGTACAGCATCTCCATGACATTTTTGTGATAGATATTGCAAGGTCATTTGTGAGTGGAGTCTTGGCGCTTCTGTATAAAATCTGTTGCAACTTCCAGTTGACTTCCAGCTTCACGTGGGTCTGCCATGCTGGATGCCCGTGGATGCCATGCTGTGCGAGTGCAGAGTCTTCAATCGGGTTGGGCTTGCAATTATCTTATTGCACAATCAGATGATCAGGCGAAACCTACAACTTGCTGCACCCATTCTGCGGAGATAGAGCTTTGTCGCCGATAAGTAGCATGCTGTGCTAGCATGAGATGATAGTTGACTTCCTGAGTATGAAAGACTACGCCCCCTTTATCAGATAGCATGGACACTATAGATCTAACAAATTCTGACAGTGACGAGGAGTTTCGATTCGCCAAGCGCCAGAGGAGGAGCGCACCCGACGATGATGAGGTCCAGATTGTAGAGAAGCCTGTCACACCAGCGCCGGCCGTCGCTGGCCCAGAACCAGCTCTCGGAGATGAGGATCTTCTGATCACAAGGGCCACCGGACCGGTGTGTTTTCGCTTCTTTTTATCATGAGAAGGGAAGTGATTCCTTGGATGTGCTGCTTCAAGCGACTATGCTGTTGCATTGCCAGATATGGAATCAGGATCTCCCGCATAGCAGAACGCAGTGCGGCAAGCATCCATTTGTCGCATCTAAGAATGTCAGCAATAAGGAGCACTGCAGCAAGGTGAGTCTGTTCTAGTACTCATCCATATTTTGGTGTTTGCCCACACTGTTCCTTGCCAGATCTGTAGTATGATCTACTTGCATCTTCCTGGCTTGCGGCCACTCAAGTTTGGTTGTGTGTATGCAGTGCTTCTGCTTCGTCTGCGATGTGGAGGCGGACAAGTGCCAACACTGGGGAACAGGTGACATTCTCATTCGCATGGGCTGGTGTGAACCACATGCGATGGCTTGTCGCAGTGACATGCGCTGAGAAGCAATGACTCTCCTCCCGCGCTGTCAATCCTTCACCGCAGCGTTTTGCCCGGTTCGTGCAGGCCAGAGCAGCCAGGATCACTGCAATGCGCATGGCGGACGCAGCCTGTTCAGAGACATGCACGCAAGTGCCCCGAGGCGGGCCGCATCTCCCTCCGCCCTCCCATCTGCAGGTGGTGCCGCCGGACCTTCAGGATATTCTGTAGGTGGCCGGCTGACTGCCACACCCACAGCAGCTAGGACCCCGGCACACCGTGCTGCAGCTCCGCTCAGGCTGAGCTTATCTTTGCCAGCTCTAGGGCCTCCAGCGCCCTCTGCTGGAGCAGGGCCATCCCGACAAGTCAACTTGGCAGAGGGTGAGGATGAGAGCGACAGCGACAGCGACAGTGGCAGTGATGACTCCGATGGCTACGACGATGGCTATTGGGAGGACATCGGAGATGACAGCAGGGATCCTTTCCGTTCAGGATATCTTGGGCAGCATGCAGCCGCACAGACCCCTGCTGAGATGCGGCCACGAAAGATGGCCATCCAGCCCCTCGATCCAGGCACCGTTCTGCCAGACCCCGCGCAGAATGACCGGATGCTCGAGCTTGGAACCATCAACTTGGCCATCAAGGTACATCCCTCATCAGGCTGCGCTGTGGCTTGCTCTGCTTACTTACATCCGGTTAAATCGCTCATCTTGCTCTTCTTTCACCACCATTTCCAAGGCACTTTTCTTACTGTGGCTGAGCAGCCACTGTGATTTGCGCAGGCCAAGGCGCCGTACAATCTGGCAGACTTGCGCGAGCGTCTGGTTCCTACAGGCATTGCAAGCAAAGAGAATGAGTCTGCTCGTAAAGATCGTGTGACCATTTCAAGCCTCCACTGGTCTGATATGCTCGAGCTGCTGCCGCTGCCGCTGCTACAGTATGGATGTGAGCGGACGCCCATGCGCGTGCGCCGCGTCACAATTGTGCGTTCCGTTATACTTTTCATCTGGAAGGCCCTGTGCGAAGTTTCATACTTGATCCCTTCATGCGTGGAATGCCTTTGTTCATCACCTGCCTGCGCCAACGCAGTGGCTCAGCTTGTGCTGCCAGTGCCATTGTAGCACCGCTAAATATGGCTGCTCCTGATGCTGGGGAAAGTGTGATCTGCTTTCAGGTACACCATGACGGCCGTGCGAAGCCTCTCACAGTGGGTGTGAGCGTGCACAAGGATGCAAGACTCTCTGAGCTGCTGGAGGCTATGAAGCAGCACCCTGCAGCAGCCTGCAGCCCAGAGGAGGAGCTGGTTGTGGGGTACTGCACCGGGGAGGCACCCAACCCCCTCCATACCACCACCTTGCTGGATGCCTCACAGGAGACCAATGAGAAACATGCCAAGCGAGGGTGCGCACTGGTTTGAAGCTTCCATTTATATTGCGGCAGGCAGCCTGCATGGTCCGTGATGCATATGGCACAACAGCCAGGGCCATCAGAGGGATGCAGTTCTGGGGGTTATCTGTACCGGCATGGCAGACATGCACCCCTGCTGCATCCGTAATAATCATGCGTCCCTCTTCTCGATTTGCAGGTATGTGGCATATCGCGTGCCGCGTGTCAACCCTGGGCAGTCCAAGCGGCCCAGAAGAGTAATGGTCTTCAACAAGAAACGTGACCACGAGGAATACGACAACAAGTATGCAAGTTACTTGGACACTGCTCACACGCTGCTGCTCGACCTGCCCGGAGACCTGTGGAAGGGCGGCCATGATGAGAGCAAGACAGTGGCGCGCATGGTTGCCGGGGCGCTAGCCCCATATCGGAAGCCCGGCTTGCCCAAGCCGGCCTTGAACCGCTGCTTCTCTCTCCACCGCTGCGACACTTGTGCGCAAGCTGTGCCAGCCCCCTCCGAATGTTGCTACCCAAAATGATGCCGCATTGAATATGATCGGATGTCTGCTCGCAGACCCATCAGCAGAGCATCCGGCATCCCCTCTCTGGGCGGTATGCAGAGAACTGCACTGTAGCACAGTACTGTGGAGGCACCTCTGATTGGAGCAGCAGTGGTGCTGATGCATGTGTGCTGCGCGCAGTGGGGGATGCGATGGATTGGGGGAAGAAGAGGTTTTGCCAAGCAGCGACAAGATCGCACCAGATCTCTGAGAGCATCGAGAATGGTGTGTTGTTCTTGGCAGCGCATTGGAAGCCCTGCGGCCTGGAACTGTATGATACAGGATCCTGGTCGCAGCCAGAAGTGGACCCCAGTGCATCCGAGCAGGCCATGGCCGGTGCTTCCCTATACACCTTCCCTGCAATCCTCAATATCATTGTTCTTGTTTTTTGTTCGTATTCTTATGATTATGATGATGATGATGATGACACATTTTGCAGTTCCTAGGCATCTAGGATCTAGGTAAGTCCCGCAACACGCGTATCAGATTTCTCCAACAGTGATCCCTAAAATTTCAAGGGCCTTGCATGTGTACCAGATGCCAAGTCAGTGTGGCACCCCTGATGAGAGGCCTGGTCATCTGCTGAAGAAGTACTCTGAAGGAGAATAACAGGCTCAAGAATGTATCGCTAACAACAGGTTGTACAATTCTGTGCAGAGACAGAGTTGCTGATTGAGGAGGACAACAAATTGGAGGCGGCGAGGGACGAGCGGTCACATCTGCCAAATCTTCTGGTCATAGACCTTGCCGACGCATGCAGGACCTTCCGTGCGGACCAAAGAAAGCTTCCACAGAAGTCTGGCGAACCTATTCCTCTGGCTGCCTGTAAGCTTGCCATCCTGCCTGCCGAAGGGGCCAACCAGGAGATTGCCACGCTGTCAATCCAGGTTTGTGTCATGATCTTTTCTCCTACAAAAGTATTTTTGTGGAGCTTCCTTGTGGTATTTGTGATTGTATTCACTGCTGTACGGCTTGACTTTGCCTGCACTTGCTTATCAGAGCTCCTTTGTACTTAGTCTGCTCCAACTTCCCTAATGAGCTGGTGCCTTTGGCCAGATCTTCATCTGGAAGAGCAAGGGGCCATTCAACCGCGAGCTCTTTGAGTCAGCAGATGATTGGCTCATCAATGACAAGTGGTTTGCTGACTCATTAGAGTCCTTAACTATGGTCATGGAATATCTGACGAGGGACGATCCCCTGGCCGTGGTGCGCAAATCCTCATACCCCCCAATGCTGTGTAAGTTGTCATAGTTTGCCCAGATTTTGCACTGCATATTTTGATAGCAGAGAAAGTGCCAACATGCATTGGTTGATGCAGGCCATGCGCGAGGAGATGAAGGAGTGCTTCGGCAAGATGAAGGCGTCACGACCCTACAGTGATACGGTGTGCACAAGATCTGCGTTCTCAGCCATGGAAGAATTGAGAACACTCAGCTGTTCATTTATTTTCGATGAATCTGAGGACCTGTCATCCATTGTTGGGGCTTCAGATGCTGATGAAATGGCTGCAAGCTGGGGAGCGGCCGGACGCGCCGCAGCCGCCCGGGCTGACGGTGCAGCTGCACCCGTACCAGCGCCAGTCGCTGCGCTTCATGCTCGACAACGAGAGCGGAGAGGGGGGCCACCGGCGCCACTTCTGGGTCCCCTACAAGACCCCCAGCGGTTTCACCGTCTGGTGGTCTCCCATCTTCAAGCGAGCATGCAGGGTGGTTGCTCCGAGCCCCTGGGGCGGCTTCCTGGCTGAGGAGATGGTGCGCTGCCAACATCTGCTCAAGACCTTGAAATGCCAGTAACGATGGTACCTAGAGATTTTGCTTCCTAAATCATACTGATGTTGTAATGAGCCACCATAATGATGCATGCAGGGCTGTGGCAAGACCGTGGAAGTCTTGGCACTGATCTTGGCCAACCCAGCACCACCAGAGACTGTGTCTGGCACCTCCACTTCTGATGGCTACATTCAGAGCAGGTAGACATGGAGCACGTGTGGTGAAACACGCTGGAGCTTGATCGTTCTGAATGCTCTGCAGCAATTGCTCAAGATGTCATCTAAGCTGGGGAAAATATGCTACAGGGCGACGCTGGTGGTGTGTGCTGTTTCCTTGGTGGGGCAGTGGATGGAGGAGGCCAAGTCCAAGCTGAATGGCTCACTGCACATGTACCAGTACCACGGGCAGGGCAGGATAAGGGATCCAAAGCGACTGGCCGTGGACTATGACCTCGTGGTCACCACCTACCAGGTGAGCTAGCATGCTTGTCATGTGATATCTGCTAGCATGCAAATGCCTGAGGAACCAGGGGTAATTTGTAATTTTGACAACTGTGTGTGCAATTGCTTGCAGACGCTGGGCTCTGACTGGAGGATGTACACCAAGAAGGGCGGCAACACAGACGGGCGCTTCCAGCCTCTGGGCCAGATCAAGTGGCACAGGGTCATCCTGGACGTGAGTGCCTGCACCCATGCAATGCTGTTAGTGCGTTATTGCTGGACTTGTAGATCAATTTTTTTGTTTGACCAGACTTCTGCCTGCGATGTGATACAATGCATCTTGAATTCTTGCAGGAAAGCCACACTGTGAAAGCGGGTGGCGCACAGCAGTCGATGGCATGTTGTGCGCTGAAGGGAGACCGAAGGTGGTGCTGCTCTGGCACGCCAATATCCACAGAAATCAGGTGAGGGCTCACCAGGCTGAAAGAAGCAACAATGCCTTCACGAGTGCTTTTTAACCTAGTATATAGACAGTAACGTTGCCTCACGTCAGTGGTGTTGGCATGCAGCGAGTTCATGGGGCAATTCAACTTCCTGGGATGCCCTCCCTTCAGCACAAAGAACTTCTTCCAGTACCATGTACGAGCCCCTATGTGGGCAACACAGCCGATTGCACTGCCATGTAATACCTCCATGAGCTGCCTTCATGCGCCCCCATCAATCTGCCTCCCTGCCTGCCTGGAAGTCAACAGCTCAGCAGATCATGTGCACGTAGAGCGGCGATGTTGTGACCACCCGTTTGTGCAGGTCAAGCCAACTTGGACAACAGGCGCTTATAATCTCACAGATGGTGCTGTGTGCTTGCTGTATGCGCTGCGCCGCACACTCATTCGCCACACCCAACAGCAGCGCCTGGGCGGCAAGACTGTCTGTGAGCTGCCCAAGAAGACCGAGGAGAGCATTGCAGGTATTGCTGAGGTCTTCCTTGATGTCTGTGCAGAATTCCAAGAGTACATCAGTAAGGTGTAAAAATACCTGCCTCCTCCATGTGCATGCATGGTGCTGAGGATCCTCTCAAATGCGTGCCTTGCAGTGAATTTCTCCGAGGCGGAGCAGGGCCTCTACTTGCGCGTGCACAACGAGGCCAAGGCAGAATTCCACAGATATGTTTCGCGCGGCGCGCACTACGTTGCAAAGCATCTTCTGTCCATCATGAGCCTGCTGAGCCCCCTTCGCGCCATCTGCTCTGGCGGCGTGCTGCGTGACAAGGCAAGGCCCTTTGCTCCCATGGCGGACAGTCTTGTACATTGTCTTATATGGGCCATGTTTCGTTGAGTGAAGCTATATCAGGCATGACTGTATGAGGTGGTGACCGCAGGATGTCAAGGTGCCCAGCTTGGATGAGGAACAGGAAGTGCCTGTGGGGGTGGACCCAAATCTTGTAGCACCCTCAGAGGAGTGCTCCATCTGCCTCAACCTCGATATGGAGCGCCCCTGCCGCACCCCATGCATGCACTGGTTTTGCAGGTGAGCGTTCGGCTGCAAGCTGCAAGCATGGTTCTGCTATTGTGTCATTTGGGAAGCCACGATTGGCTAGTGGCCCATCTGGTTGCCATTGGTTTGCCTGGATCTCTTTGCTATTCCTTCTTGATCTGAAGGATGATGTCAAGCACAGCGTTGTCGACAAAGATGATCCAATCAAAATATGAAAATAAATTGCAGGGAGTGCATCACTGCCGAGCTCACGGTGAGGGACAAGTGCCCGCTCTGCCGCCAGCAGATCAGTGCGGCGGAGCTCACAGAAGGAGTGAGCGTTTCCAGAGGGGAGGACGATCAGCTGGACGCAGGCGTCAGCAGCTCAAGCACAACCACTGCAGTCGCGTCTGAGTCCAAGCTGCGCATGCTCCTAGATGAGGTGAGTCCCAAAGCACTGCTCCCGGTGTCTGCTCCACGGTATCACCCCCCTTTTCAAATTTATAGAGTCACGCCCTCTGCATGTGGCCTCAAGAGGAAAGATATGTCAATATAGCCAGCTATTAGCACAATCCGGCTGCCATTGGTCTCTTTTTGGACAATAAATAAAGGGCCGGGCATTGTTTATTATGTGTGCACAGCGATTGCCATACATTGTACTGACTTGGGAAGAGCAGCGACCCAGGTTGCTCACAGCATTTGAGCTTATGAATTCATGGGGCGCGGTGCAGCTGGCCAAGATGCGGGAGGGCGATCCGTCGGCCAAGGCGCTGATATTCACGCAGTTCAATGCCACGCTGGAGTGGCTGATGGCGCGGCTGACGCAGGAGGGCTATGGCTACCGCACCATCTCCGGCAGCATGCCCCTCAAGAAGCGCAGTCAGGTGTGCTTTGCGCTGCTCAATTGTGATGTGCTGTTTCTGCATCAGGGTTAATGTGGGCTTTCGTGGGTAGTGGACATGGCATCACAGCATGCTCCTTTCTCCCCCCAGGCGATAGAGGCGTTCCAGCGCGATCCGCCCACAACGGTGTTCCTGCTGAGCATGCGCAGTGGCGCGGTGGGGATCAACCTGACGGCGGCCAATCACGTGTTCATCCTGGAGCCCGCCATGAACCCCGTGCTGGAGGACCAGGCCGTCGGCCGCGCCTTCCGCATGGGCCAGACCCGGCCGGTCATCGTGAAGAAGCTGTACATCAAGGTGGGATGATCATGTTGGCTATTGCTGCATGCCAAAGGGACGTTGATCTCCATGCATGCATGCTCTCAACTTCTTAATAATGACATCAAATCCTGAATCAAGTGCCCTCCCTTCTACACCTCCATGTACAAAGCTGTGTTCCTGGGACTCCCCTGGACAAAGCTGCTGCTTAGATGCGCACTGCTTGCAGGGATCAGTGGAGGAGCGCATCATGGAGCTGGTCAACGACCGGCGCGAGGGCAAAGTGACGGGGGGCGTAGGGCCACAGGCCAGGGTGCGGCAGCAGGATGTGGCCGGCTCAATCAACACCGACCGCCAGAATCTGCGCATGGCAGAGCTGCAGCTGCTCTTCCAGGTGCGCCCCGGCATGTCATGTGCTTGGCACCAGGTGGGCTTTGAAATTGTGTGAATTAGGGGTTCTGCAGTTTGGCGCATCAAGCGGTCTGTCCGCTTTGATCAGGATGAGCTGAAGCCAAGCATTGCAGCCATTGTATCCAGGCTGCCTCTGAACCTCAGAGTGTTTTCTGCAGGACCCCTTCAAGCCAAGCACAGCAGGTTTGGTCCAGGCAGCAGCGGCATATGATGCAGCTCCTGCGCCAGCAGGTAGGAGCTGTACATTTCAGGACCTCCAAGATTAGTTCACTCCTTTGCTCATACGCTTGCCACAGCGCATGTCCTTGAGGAGTGCAGGTGTCTCAAAGATACGGATGATGATGGCAGACTATGTGTGCTTTGCAGCATGTGGCGGAAGCAGCTGACAGCGGCCTGCTGGCTAGCAGTAGCCACATCTGGATTCCAAATTCTTCTTGGTCTGTCCACAGGCCTTGTGATTCAACTTCAGAAGAGCATAGCCTTGGCGGATGGTCAGCTGCGGCGCCGGCGTGCCAATTGTTCTGTGATGTTGTACGAAAGCTTGTTAAACTCAAAATGCATACGCAGAACCCGTTACTCCACCAAGCTGCTGCGACAGCTTTAGAATGTGTACACATGTGCATGCAGTGCTGGGCACTGCCAGTGAGTGGTTGGCGCGCACAATATATTGTGTTAACGGGCAAAGCCATGCCTGTGCAGTACAAAAGAAAAGAAGGCCGATGCTGCTACTGCCTTTCTTGACCTCATTAAGGAAGGAAAAAGAAACCTGCCCTTCAATATTCTTCATTGCATGGATCGAATGCTGGTGCCAAAGTGCCATGCTCAGAAAGGCATTTCACGCGAAGCATGTCACGGCCACGTGGGCCATCAGCTTGCTGCATGAGCAATCTCGCTTGTTGGCCCTGTAACCATGGGAGACAAAAAGGGGATCTCTTGCTTTGCTGAGCTAGTAGATCACATCAGGCAGCTGGTTGTGCACGTAATCTCGCCAGTGGTACCAACTGTTCACGTCAAGGTTGCGTTCGTAGGAAGCGATAGAACGTGTTGACATCAAAAACGAGATCCATCACATCCCCCTTCGCCATCAGTATGGATGTTATAGATCTGACTCATCTTGAAGACGGTAAAGATCTGGGATCGGTGAAGCGTCTCAAGAGGATCCCACCCAATGAGGCCCAGGTCACTCAGAAGCCAAGAGCACCTGCGCCAGCTGGCCCTGACTCGCATCTCGGTGATGAAGATCTTGTGCTAACAAAATCCATCGGACCGGTAAGCGAGGCCAACCTCTATTTCTGCCTGCAACTCCCCCGACTTCCGAGGTACACGCAGATGCTAGCAATCGAAGCACCAGCGACAAAGCGACGTTGTGATTACTTGCATTTCACACGATTTTAAGCAGACAGAGTCCGTTATGGGGACATCCATGTGCCTGCATTTGACATAATGCCCTGTCAAGATCTGTAAGAACTGGGCTAGCACTGGCACCAAGATGCTGGACTTCCTCCGTGACTGACCGTGCTCATTGTATGCCAGGTGTGGAATCGGGATTTCCCGCATGTCAGGACACAATGTGGCAACCATTTGTTTGTCCCAACCAAAAGCATCAGCAATAGATCACACTGCAGCTTGGTGACTGCCCGTTTTCTGCGTTTTCAGCCCAATCGATCAAAAGCGCTTGAAACAGAGAAGAACCTGGTAAAAATGTGGCAAACCCACTTTCTCACAATCACTCACGCTGCGTGTGTGCCTTTCAGTGCTTCTGCTATGTGTGCGATGTGGAGGCGGACAAGTGCAAGCTCTGGGGTTCAGGTCGGCCTCCAAAATGTGTCTTTGCACGTACCGGTGCTAGCAGCACCGACCTGGCACTTTATCGTTTAAAAGCTGTTCAGATGCGTTGCAAGCAAGGCAATAAGAAGCATATGCTGCACTGCTGCCAAGGGTTGCATCATGTTTTCCCTGATTGCACAGGCTTATGGACCATGGATCACTGCAATGCGCATGCCGGCCTTCAGCTGTACAAAAACACGCGTTCAGCTGCCCGAGTGTCAGCCCCAGCCCAATACACTCATTTACCTGCAGCCTGGGCTTACACCCCCTGCCCCAGCTCGGCAAGCGCCCCAAGGACCTACACACCACTATCAGTGGCCAGCCCTCCCCAAGGCTCTGCTACAGCCACGAGCTCACTGATCAACAGATCTGTGCCTGCTGTCGCGCCAGCGACGCCCCCCAAAACTGCAATGCCATGTGCAGCCGGTGCATCCACTGGAGCAGCCCTGAGCAAGGAGGGGAGTCCCTATTCCTACACCCCTGCTCAGCAGTCGAGCAGGGCCACCCTCAAAAGGCTGCTCAGAGAGGTGACTACTCGTCCACCCCCTGCTTTCTCCCAGCTTGATGCATAACATTGCATCTTTTCGAGTCCAAATTTTTCACACAAGTCCCAACGTTAGTAAACCATCTTTTCACGTGCATGAAAGTGTGAGAGAGCTGCGTGAAGGGTCAAGGCTCCTTGCAGATGGATGGGCGCCTCCGAGAGTCTGAAGAGCGACTTGCAAGGGATGTGAGGAGAGCTGCGGAGGCGTTGGTCAGAAGGAATGCAGCACAGCATGAAGCGCGCGCATATAGAGAGTAACCGGATAAGCCATCGACATGGACCACAAGAACGTGGGACTACCAGGGCCAGCCGCTCTAGAGACCTGGCAAGTGAGTGAATGCCCGTCTTGCAGCAAGGGGGGTGTTATATTGCCACCAAAAGGACAAGTGATTGCCAGGCTGTTCCAATGGCTTGCTGTCTTCCTGACAGCTACTCATGTTTTCACTCCCCTCTGAGCGATTTGACCTACCCGTCTTGATCAAGAGACCTCTGCGTGACAGCGAGCTGGATCGCACTGATGCTCGTGACGGGGAATTATCCGCCCGTCATAGCAGCCAGGATGCAGGCAGCGGCAGCTCAGGGATATTAAGTCACGTTGAATATGATGAGTTGATGTACTTTCAAAGTTGTGCATGTATATGAAGCAGAGCATACTGCTTGTACCAATAGGGATCGCATGCCAACTTGATCCCAGTTGTAGATGGCAACCATGTGGGCCTATTTTTTGCGGTCAATACAGTTGTGCAGCCGGTGCAGCTTCGCTACATGTGGCGGGAGCATTGCAAGGACATGGCGCATTGTAAAGCCCTTGCTTGAAGTCATGCATGCAGCGCTGTTTAGTTTAATCAATACTCATGGAAGGGTACTGATCAGGAACTGCAGTGTATATTTGAAATCTTGCGATGACACTATCTAGCGCTACCGACACAGTCACCTCAACCTGTTGCATGCATTCAAAAAAATCAAAGCAAGTGCCAAAAACCCAGCTGTGAATATCCCCAGAACATCAGCTTGATGCAACACTACCTACATGATGCATCTGTTCAACCTGTACCAAAAGCATGGAAATCGAAGTCTTATGCGCATGTACTACATAGTATGGTGCGTTTGAAGAGCTTGCAGTTGCCACTATCCAGCGTTTGCCATTTCATCCCATGCTACAAACACCGTGTATCTGTCAGTCTTCACTCTTCCCTGCTGTAAGAACAATTGATTGCTCCATGAACCTCATATCCAAGAATTGAAGACCCAGCTCCAGGCTGGAATGCATCACCAAATCACTGCACCATCAAGACAAGCCTGTTACACTCTGCAGCTTCATGCAGATGTAGGAACACAAGCTTGACTTAAAGAGTGCTCAGATTGGGCAAGGATAGCCCAGTCGTCTGACGAGGGCAGTATAGTCCACGATTGTCTTGTAAGCCACACCTTCGTGGCCCTGTATTTTCTGAGAGGAGGTCTCCTGCACATCTCCCCACTGCATGGTGCCAGCTCGCACCAGCTGCACTGTGGGCTTGTCCAGGCCATGCATCATCGCAATCTGCACCACACAATGATACAGTCACTGATAAGTGATGCGGGTCGCTGGTTGCATTTCCAAACATAAATATTATCACAGGCTCTTCCTGCCTGAGGCAAGGTGCGTCTGCAGAGAAACGTCAGATGAAGGCTGCCACATGTCCTACCCCTTGATGGATTCACCAGATCCAAGCATCATTATGCCCAGCTAAAATACATGTTCGGCAGCTGTTGAGTACCATGGCGCATTGAATTCAGAGTTGCTAGCGCAGAAATGCAGAAATGCATTTTTCTCCTGATCTGTAAGGTGCAATGGATGGGAGCTGCAGATGCTCACCAGAGCTGCTTGCTCCTTGACTGCTTTGACGATCTGCTCGGCATTCTGCCCCTTCTTGCCGCGCAGGATGATGCACGAAGCACCTGACCTGCGGGTTTGTAACGAATCAGTTCAGTTTCTGCACATTTCTTGCTGTCACAAGCATTTGACAGGTTGTGAAAAGCTTGTGCCACAATCCTGTCACAGCCTCAAGATGGTGCCTGGGGCTTGCCACACAGGATAGAGCAGGGCCCACAGAGTCACAGAAGCACACAACAGCACAGACAATGGGGAAGTGGAGTAGTTCAGGATTGTGCACATAGTGAACATTCAAGTCATTATAGGACCAGGTGCATGCATTGACGCACCGCTCATCTGCGACACGGATCATCGCCTGTGTGAGCACTCCATCTGTGTCAAACTCAGCGGCCGGCAGCATCTCTCCCACCCACTGCTGTGCGCCGCTCTTCTTGTCAGCACCCTGCCACCAAAATCCCAGAAAGCCATCAGCTTCCAATACCAGATCACAGCATCCTCACTCCCCTCAAACACCAATTCGCAATGGTGCACCTTTTCAGTTCAAGCACATACAAAGGTGTCAGACACCACTCTATTATAGTATATATTGAAGTTGCCGCCAATTTGTTGAATGCCGAAGCAGGAAGGGTCAGAGAACTGGTGTACCTGAGGCGCTGCGGTCTTGGTGGAGGTACGGGAGCCGCCCTTGTGCAGCCCCTCATAGGCGCTGTCTTCGCGCATCAGCCGTCGCTCGGCAGTTGCCGGTGCCTTGTCGGCCGCCGCTGGCGAGGCCGGCTTGTGCATGGCAAACTTGGCCTGCCATGCACGGTCAGCGTCAATCTCGATGCTGCGCTGGTGACGCATCAGCTCCTGCAAAGAACAATCACAAATACACAGTCAAGGTCTTGCCTCATTTGATGCACAAGACATAGGGCTGGATGGAGGACTCAGATCCTCTGCAAGGGGAAGAGCAGGTTTGCCTTCAGAATGACACCTGCAATGACAATGCCAAAGATACTAGTGAGCACCCCTTGGCCTCTCAGTATGCACAGGGGAAAGTATGCCCATGTGGGTGTCAATTCAAGAAGATATGGAAGCCACGATCTGCTGTAAGGAAGTCAAGGTGCAGCTGCTCAGGACAGCATAATCTGGAGGTCTGTGGGTACTGAAAGGGAATGCTGTGGATATGAGACGGCACCTGTGCACAGCCGACTATGGTGGTGGGCTGGTTGCTGTTGGCGGACAGGCTTGGTCCCTTGAAGGCGCTTGAAAGTGCCGGAGTTGTGGAGCCGGCTTTGGCTGCGTCTGCAGCAGCGTTGGCAGGAGGCGGGCTTGCAGTCGACGGTGTTCCTGTCGATCTACAAACGCATGCCAAGATGTCCTCATACTTGATGCATAGAATTTCCTTTTGCACCATGCACAGCAAAGATCATCACTGTATCACCTGTGGTCTGTGAATGACTGTCAGGCCAGCTGAAAACTTCACAATGTCAAGCAGCCCCAACTCTCTGCAGTGACCTGCTGGAGAACTCGCTCTGCATGAGCCTCTTGAAAAATAGCCGGGAAGGGAGCTCACAGCGTGCCAGGTGTTGCTGATCCAAGGGTGGATCCGGCCTTGGACACGGTCTTGTGGGGCGCTTGAGGCTTGGCAGGCTCCTCGTCGAAGAGCAGCTGCTCATGGAGGTCTGAGTCGCTGCTGAAGCCGTCCTCGTCGGTGTCTGACGCGTCGCCCGGCAGCGCCGTCTGGAGATTCAGGCCATCCCCCATGGCCTGCACCATGTCTGCGCAGCCAAATGCACCTTTGTCAATACAAGACAATCTGGCCCTGCTCCTTTCAGGCTTATCACTTGCAGAGATCATGGTGCCACTGGCTTCATAAGACAGCAAACGGTGTCCTTCACCGCCCAGCAAACAAGTCTTCTAAGTTGGCAGACAATCAGTCTCAGCTCGCTCATCTTTCTGAGACATGACCTGAAGTACATGCATGGCTGTGAACATCGGTTGTGGCCAGTTGCCATCCTTTATCTGCGCTTAGAATAACCAGAGGCAGGTGCTTTGATGGAGCAGAGGAGAGCGGTGGGTGCGCGCACCAAAGGCGTCGCTCCAGGGCTCGTCGTAGGCGGAGTCCTTGGGGAATCCGCGCAGCGCACGCAGCTGCTCCCGTATCCATGCTCGCTTTGACTGCAGCCGCCAAATCTTCTCCTGCGCGTTTAATTGAAATTTCCTCAGTTGGCGCTGACACTAGCAGGAAGGCTACCAGAGCTTGATCCCTAATTAGCATAGTAAAAGAAGAAGGCGAGTGTCTGCAAGCGCAGCTTCAATTGTTGCAGCGCAAGGGGCAACATAAGGGTCTCGCTGCCGTGTACACAGATGACAAGCTCGGTCACAACCCCACAGAATCATCTGCTTTTCTCTGAATCGCCTTCTCTTTTTTTTCCCTCTCATTTCTGGCTCTTCAGGGCAGAGAAAAAAAGATATTATACAAAGCTAAACGGCGCCCCCACCTCCACATTGAGCTCTGGGGTGTCCGGCTTGGGCGGCTGCGCGGGCATTCGGCGTCGGCCAACCAGCGGCGGCAGCGGCTTGGCCGCCCCCGGCCGCGCGGGCGCTTCCACACGGGACGCGGCCCGGAACAGCACGCGCTGCGTCGGCTTCACAGCAGCTGCGCGCGCAGCTTCCGCCATGGCTGCCCTGTGCGGGCCCTTACTGTGCCCCGATCCCTGCTGCAGACACAAACACAATTTCATGCCAGTTCAGATCTGCATTGGGACACCGGCTTGCAGGTTGATTGTGCATCACAGGCTGCATGTTTGGCCTGAATTGCTGGGGTTCGGATGAACTGTGACCATTGCCGTGCAAGAGTAGAACGTCCCTATATGACACTTGGAATCCTGTGCAGTTGAAAACTAAACAAGGGCTGACAGGTGCAGCGACTACCTCTGGCCAGAAGGCTGGTGTAGGGGAGGGCACGGCTGCCTGGGCTGCCACATCTGCCGGCATGAAGCCATAGACAGGGGCAGCGCTCTCAGGGGCCTCCGCAGCTGGCGCGCTTGTCTTGACGCTGTACTTGATCTGCACATGTGATTGGCAGTACTCAGAGCTGGCCAACGACACTTTGATCAGGACTTTACAGGTCCTTGGAATGCTTGCATGCATGATCAACACATTGACTGTGTAATCAGGGTACAGTTGATGAGCAATCCTTGAGTGATGTCAGCGAGCAGCAGTCACCTGGCGTTCAGTCCATGATCCCAGCTGCTCATCGGTGAATGGCGCTTTCACTGCTTCCTCTGCCTTGATGTAGGCCCCACCAATACCGCTGTTATGCAGATCAGCGATCCTGCGCACGAGTCACCATGATCTCAGGTTATTTTCAAGCATTGGGAACAACTCAAAGGAGCTTTTGACTCGGTTACAGAAAATTAAGTATGTGCGGTGTGCCTGGTGAGAAGCACTCACAGGTGGTCTGGCAGAGCATGGTTGCCCAATCCCCTCTTGTTGGGGATGAGGACTGGCTTGGTAACGCTTGACCCAGGTAGGATATCACTAAAGGTGTCTGAAGCGCCGAATGCAGGGACGGGATTCCTTGATGTCGCCACCTGTGTGATCTTGTTGACCTTGCGCAGTGGAGCATCTGTGACATAGAGTCCTGCGAAACACAAACCAGTATTGTCACCCACTTCAATGTTCTCCTGCAGGCGGCAAAAGGCTTAAACGAGATCGAAAATGCAGTAAATTAGGTTGCAATGGGGGCCTCAGTCAGGACGGTAGGGATCAAAGAACGTGCCGATAGGGCTGATGTGGAAGTCGATGCTCGACCCATCACTGAGGGGTGTCTCGGGTGAAAGCGTCGAGCTGAGGTCGCTGAAGGCCCGATGAGAGTGAGCTACGGGGCTGGGAGTCCCGGGAAGACTAAGCGTCCTGCAAGAAAGGCGTCCGCACACGGTCACGTTATCAGCCACACGACCATGAATCCTGATCCTGGCGTGCTGAAAAGACCTTGGTACATTATGAAGCAAAGCAACTGAGACATTGGACGGTTGAGAGGCCCTGTAACCCTGAAAGCGACGTAAAAACCGGCAAGATGCACCCTTTGACTCGCACGTGCCACCTGTGAAGCGACCCCTCTTGGTTTTGCGTGAGGAGGACCCACCAGTTCTCTTCGTAAAGCTTCAGTGCATCTCCTGAGCTATATATCGCCTTCTTCGTGGTGTCCAGCTTTGGTTTCACCGGTCCGCAGAAATTCATTCTTTCAAGACCCGTGCCGGCTGAACGTCCACAGCTGCCGCCAATGTCACGGTGGATCACGGGTCAGCCAGTGCCTCCGGGACGCATGCCGTTTGTCGTCATCTAAGCTACTGTCTAGGATGACCTTGAAGGAGCGACAAGCAGGCATTCTCAGCAGCGACAGGCGACGGCACAGCGAGCCAGCATCCTTCCAGTGAGTCTGCGACGAGTGGCCTTAGCTGGTTGGAAATACAGGAAGTCGGAGGTGCTGGATCGGAGAGAGAAAGCAACGAGCGCGATTCCAGTAGTTTGAGCGGCTGCAATTGCAAGAAGCATCTTGGGGAAGATGAACAGGTGCCGGCACGTGTTGAACCCTGATCCTGATCTGGCTCGTTGTGGTCGTGGCACAGGCCATGTGAAAGCTGCAAAGCCGAAGCATTGGTTCACCTTGATTGATCCTGCGTGACTAGTGCACTTGCCAGTAGGACAGTGAGATTCTCTGGTCGAGCTGTTATGCCGTCATGCAGCTACATGTAGTGCAGTGGTGCATGCTTTGGAGGGTTACTATCTAATAGTATTCTTTACACCTCACTATGCCAGATGAGCATTGCTCTTGAGCCAGCCCACAGGATCACATCCACTCGATTGGTGCATCCACCTGACAAAGCACGATATGCCGTCTGCCTACAACAAACACATAGTACGCATTGGACGGTCCAAACTGGACCCCAAGTTCCTTCAGTCTCTATAGCCGCTCCAAGTTGGAGACGGGTAGCCTATAAGCTGCATCCTGCGCAATGTCCTAAAATAACATGGCAGATGTCAACAGCGTGTGAATGTGCATGCTTAACGCATCTGCACATCGTGCGGTGAGAATCGTGCTGGCTTCTCAAGGAGGCTTCTCTCGAAAATATGTAGACTTGACAGTCCTAGAGATCAGCCCATTGCCTGCACTCTCGCGCACCAGTTTCACTATTCCTTCATTGAATTCCTTGATGTTCAAAGCAAGAAAAGGGCACTGTCACATTTGTCTCTGCCGCTCAAGTTGAGCCCGCGCACTGGTAGCACTTGGCAAACCTGCACCACGCGATCATTCCGGGCGTGAGAACGTGCTAGCAGCCAGATACTGCCGATGCTACACATGCAGCCAACATGACTCAGGGAACTTCCGCTATCTTGCTGTGATGCACAGCAAGGCATGCAGTACGCACCAGTGGAAGGTGTTTATTTCCTCAGCGAGTGTCTTGACAGCATACGCAAACTCCAGGCCGCCGAGCACTGCCACACAGACATCAATTAGAACCTACCTGTCTACTACAAGCGTCCTTGCTGCGGCCGGAACCCTATTGTTTGCGTATTCTCGCAGGCAGAAAAGTGAGCATCCTTCATGTCTGCACGATCGCCTGTGCTTGAGGCCTAATCCTGTCAATGTGGCAAGGGCAGATCATGAGCTCATTACGGCAGCATACCTGCAAAGACCACCATGATCGCAAAGTTGATCACGAACATTGGCATCCAGTCCCTCTGCGCCAGGAAGCTGCAGACAATAATTGGGCATAAGAACTTTACTGGCTGCATTTCAGCAGCAAGTTCCTGACCCCAGCATGCACATGCACTGCTGTCATTGCACTCTACCCATTCAGGTCCATCATGGGGAATGCTTCAGAATGGCAAGGAGCTTGAGCTATGCGCACACCCAGGAATGAACTTGGGGCACTGCTCGCGGCGCTCCTTCTTCCAATAGAACATGGTGAAGGCGAGGCATGGCAGGAAAAAGGCGAGCGAGGGGTCAGTCAGAGCGCTGGCGAGCGAATTGAGCACCCCATCTGCAAGCCAACTTGAATTAGAAACAATTTCTTATTGCTAAATAAAGGCGTTGTCTGCTGGCCTTCAAGAAACCCATTTTTCTGCGCGAAGGGTGTTCAAAGCATGGAAGGGGCCTCACAGAAGGGAATTGCAAGAGCAAGAAAGAAGATCAGTCCCACTGCACAATGCACATCAAGATGTCAGCCTTCGATGTCAATATTCATTTGGGCCAACCTGCCTGACGCTTAGGAAATTATCAGAGCAACACTGCATGCAGACAGGGCCAAAGCAAAAGTGCCACGTGGCATGCATGCACAGAGAAGACACATCATACCGACTGGGAGCCGAGAGGGCAGGCGAAAATAGTAGGGCAGGCCTTGTGTTCGTACAAAGCGCTCCCACAGAAACATCAGCGGCTGCATGCAGCGCGGAGGCACACTTCAGGGATTTCTTATCCACCCACTGCTCTTCAAAAGTGCAGCAACAAGTGTGTGCAACAGGCAAAGGAAGTCTGACTTGTGGCAGAATCAGGTCCAGAATGGTTCCGGTGTCTTCTGGTGTGCTTGAAGCAGTTCCAGACCTGGACATGCAGAGTGAATGCTGCGATGTTGTGGATGAGCATGATGTAGACAGATGCGGTCCGCCAGCCGCTGGGCGGCAGGATGGAGTAAATGTTCCCTGAACCATACACCCTCAAGCTTGGCACAGACTCAACAGACACGCCATGCGCACCCATGCCTCAAACTCTGAATGCTCCAGGGGAAAAAATACGTGTTAGAGAACAATAGGAGTCTTGCTCTGGACCCTAAGTAGGACCAACCTGCAGATTGTCTGCTGAGAATCTGCAGGTCGACATGGCAGCAAGAGAGGGTGGTGAGCGGACAGTAAAGCAAATTGCGCAATGACAGGTGCAGTGTTCGGCAGTTCTGCCCACCTTGTGTGAGGGCTTGGTGGGGGTAAGCCAGCACGACGGCTGTGGTGTGAGGAATGACCAGTAACATGATCCAGATGATGGCCAGCACGAAGGCGTGATCCATCTTGCGGCTCTGCCTCATGCTGTCTGTGATCTCCATTACCGCTGCAAAGCTGCCAGACCCGCTCGCCATCACAGCCGCCCCTGTGATTGCAACCAGTTAAATCTCTCTGTCATGAAAACAGTTGGAGTTTTGCTTGCCTGGATTGCCCACTTCAAGAACAGCTCAGGGTCAGGCACATTTTAAAAAGGATTGGTGACTAAGCGTTTGATGATTAGCTCACCTGTGAAGAAGCGCTGGACACTAGGTGGGCTCCTGCATGCATGCACACACCCTACATTTCAGCCAGCAAAGCCCCCCTCTAAATTTACTCAAAACTTTTGCTGGATACTTCCACTTCTGGCTGATTTCAGTGCATCCAAAGATGGCCACGGCTGGCTGGATGGGGTATAAATATTGAGCACCGCGTCCACGGTTGATAGGGTCTTGCCTAGATCTGACTAGTCCAGCAGGGGGTAGAACTGTGGCAGCCTCATAACTGCAGCTTGTCTGCAGGACGTAGGAACCTTGCCCTTTGGCAGGAAAGCGTGGACTAAAGGACAATCAGAACATTGGAAGGTAAAAAGCACACAAGAGGATCTTGCTGTGGTCGATGCCCTTGCTGCATGCATTGATAAAGAAGTAGAGGCAGCTGTAATTGGTGCCCGCCAGGCCAACAATGTTGAGCAGGCGGTTGCTGCGCGCCGTGGGTAAGAAGGCAAACATGCTGATAATCGGCCCAAAGATGAAGCTCCACGTCCTGCATGCAAGATGAGCTCAACCTTGCTGAAATTTCAGCTTGGTTGTCATTGGATATGCAAGTCAATCCACCATCCTGTGATAGATAGTTGCAATGCAGGGCTGCAAGCCAGTCACCTTGTTCCATGGAAAGCCAAGCTTCCCAGCAGTAAGCCTGCCACGTGGAGCCATCCTGTACAGTACGAGTCTAGAAAGCCAAAGGAAGTGTACTGACCCACCTCTTGTTGAACTCTTTGTTGACCGCGTACTGGCTGCTGGATGATGCCACAATCTGGACAATGCCGGTGCCTAGCACAGATATGACGATGAAGATCTGCAAATGCATGGACAGGATTACTGCCTTCTGCTTGATGGCTCAAGGGCACATTCTTGTACGCGATTAAGAGCCTCCGCAAGGGAAGCTTAAACTGCATGAACTTTACCTTTGTTATGAAGCCCAGCACAGGCCCTCCTGCAAATTCTGGTACACACGCAAGATTGGTCAATTCATCTTTTCATTCAATACTACACTAGCTCATGAAGGACGCGTGCTTGAGCACAAACATCTCATGAGTGATCACACTGGCAAAAAGGCGACTAGATTCTCTCTTGTCTTCAGTCTGGCAGCACAGGCAAGGGTCAATTATGGATGTACGTCACCGCATTTTCAGGAAGCTGAGCTCACCTATGATGTCATGCATCTGCCCATGCAAAAACCACACCTCAGCTGTTGCACATGGCTCCATTCCCCACCACGCACACACACAAAGCAGCGTCTATACAGTCTGGAGAATTCTGCAATGTGCATTTGTTCTCAGCTATTTGTTGAGGAGCAGGGACCTTCACCTGTGTGGTCATGTGACGTCGTCTGTATCCATTTGAATCGTGTGAGTCGTACCAGCGATCTTCCTTCACCTGTGCCAGAAATATGGGACAATGAGCCTTTTGCCTCGGCAAGTATATTTGCATAGACAAGACAGAAAGAGCAGGTTTGATCAACGGAAATGTTGTGGGACTAGAATGTGCATGGCAAGAAAAGAACGCTCACCATTCTCTGCTTGCGATGCTGGAATAGGATGACTAGCAGCCACAGTGTGTAGATGGCTATGATGTCTGTGCCCACCTTCAAAGTCACACCTGTAGCGCACATCTCCTCTTACATAATCTATCACAACCTGAGATTATATGCTTTTGAAGGTGTCCGGTGGTGTCCAAACCATAAAAGATGTCAAAACATGTCTAACAATCACCTATCTCTTTCAGATGAGCACCACTGCTGCCATGACAGATATTGGCCATTTTTGGGACAGACACAAAGATTTAGACAGTTCACCTACCAGCGATGATGCCAGTGGAAGCCATCTGGTAGGGGTAGCTCAGAATGATCTGCCCGATGCTTGTGCAGGCCACGCACAGTGTTGCATCCCACCACTGCAGCCATGGCAGATACAAGTCTACCTCTGCAGGCTGAAGCATACCAGTAGAGACAAGAGTGCGCTGAACTCTGCCAGCAGTGAGGAAGAAACGGCGATCAACACATGTTCTATGCATAGAAACATATGGGTGTGAGGGAGCATGACCTGGTGTCCCTCTGTGAGGGCTGCTGTCACAGCATGGACGACCTTCTCAGCTTTACCAGATCGGGGGGCTGCACCACATGAGTTTGTTCTTTTTTACACATGCAGTAGCCCACATCAGCAACAAGGGTGTGCACACTGCATTAATGTGTTGGCGAAAAATGAAAGGAGACATGAGCAGTGGCTTGCCTGGAGCGCGTGAGGGATCAAATGGGTCATCCCACATGTCTTCAGCCAGATTTTGCACTTCTGGGATCTGTGAATTGGCGTACGTACCATCTGCACGTTGCAGACATCAGCAGCATTTAGGGAGTCGTTGGGGATGTAAGCATTGCTGAGGCTTTTTGGAAAGAGCTGCGACTGAGCTCGACGTGACGAGAGCACCTGATGCTAGAACGTGGGCCTTTGGATCGGTGGGCTTTGGGTAGTGAATATCCCACAGAAGTGGTTGGTCACTGCCTCTTGAATACAACCCAGCCTGAGCCAGACGACCGAACCACGCTGCCATCGCGTGGGCACCGAGAGTGCTGGTGAGCCACGTTACACGGAATGACCACCGGTGACATGCAGAAAACAAATATCATACTTGATTTGAATCCTTTTGTGGACCACTGAGATTGTCCGTGCCTGCTGTAACCGTTCTCGGAGATCCGGCTTGTAGGACAGGGAGGTCATCCCCCGCGGCTTGAGGCCCTGAGTCAAGCTCAAACGTCTTCATTGTGCAGTCTGAATTTCTGTTATGTAGTTGAGAGACAGAGGCACGCGAAGATTGTCCTGCAGAATCGTACTTTCGTGCCGCACGTGTCGCCTCGTGCCTTGCTAATTCACGTGGTGGCAACCTTGGACCTTCTTGGACTTGCAGAGCAGTCATGATGTCAGAATTTTTGGGAGTAAAGTTGTTGGGAGCACCGCCCCTTATGCTTCAAGACCCAAATTCATGATGCCAGCAGTGCGCTGGCCTGGTTCAGAGAAATATTGCAGTAAGATGCATATGCTGCTCAAAGCACTATGTTACCAGATTTTCCAAAGGGAGATATTTTTATTAAATGATAAAAGTGCCAAAGTGAACAGAATTCACACACACATCCAAGCCAAGCTAGCAGGATGGCAGCAAGTCTGGACCAAATATATTGCACCCGCATAGATTCTTGCGCAAGATGCATGCAGCTTCCACTCTAAAAATAAAATAGACAGCGCTCATGCTTTCCAAACTAACCTGAAAAGCGCAATTTGCATACCAAGATGCCAAATTGTAATGGCACATTTCCTACTCGGGACTATCCTCCTAACACGTGCTTGGCCCCACAAATGGCCAGCCTTCAGACAATGTAGTCAACAGTGTAGACACATTTTTTGGCAATTCCTTAATACAGCAACACAACAGCTGCACGTCCAATGAATCATGTCAGGGCATGATTGTCAGTTCACGACCTCTGCACACAGCAGCCCCAATGGGCGGCATCAACCCCTTTTGCAGAAAATACGGCACAGCACAAAGACCTGTGCGGCCAGAGGCGCCTGCTCGGTCCTATGGCATCTAATTTATAGTTCCATCTCAGCAACGAAGAAATTAAATCTTTAGCCCGAGAGACGCAACAATCATCACACACTACACCAGTGCAGCAAGCTGATGAAAGGTCACAGACATCACCATGCAAACTATTTGCAGATCAGAGATCGTTATGCAGAATGCAGGGCAGATTTGCACGCTCTTCCTGTCAAAGGGACTGACATTTCACGCTGATGATTCCTGGCCAGGATCCTTTTCCCAGAGCCATCAAAGGCTTCTGGACTTCTTTCTTGACATCGCTCCAAGCCAACCAGAAGGGAAAACTGACTGGCTATTCCCTTTTTGAACCCTTCTCTTGTCAGAGCTCTAACACTCCATTTTGGCTGCCAACAAAAGTATCCGGGCCAGGTTTATAGAGCATCTCACTTTCTGCGGCTTTCACTATAATGTTCTGCTCACACCCCTTTCTGGTAGGGGGCCTCAAACCGACAATGAGACCACTGGATTGGAAATGCAACCCCCTTTGCGCACATGGCTCCCAACTCGTAATAAAGAGCAGCCCGAGCAAGAGCCTTGGAAGCTGGTCTGCATGTGTCAATGGCAGGCAATTCCCTAAACGCTGTTCCAGGCTACAAAGCATATTCTCCAGAGCCTCTAGGGAAATATAGGGCACCACTGAGCAGCATGAGCCAAAGTCACTGGGATGTGGATTGACACTTGTATGTCTGCCCATCTGCAGTGTCTGGCAGCATTGCTAATGGGCAACAATTATTAGGTACGCGAGCTAATACTTCTGAATCCGAACACAATTTGTTGGGTCTTCTTTTGCCAAAACCTCAAGTTGCTCCAGGAGAAGGTAGCACACCGGGCCAGCTCACATGAAACAGTGAGAACCTTTTATCTAATAAAGTACTTGGGGGGGCTTTGAGGCAAATTCAAATGTGTCAGCATATTGTGCCCCCCTATTCATCTGTGTGATCAACAAGCAGGGCTCATCGTAGGGTAACCTGGTCCTATCTCTGGAACAATCTGACAAAAAAAGAGAGGGGACGCACAATTCTTGTGCCCGGGCATAGCCACTTACTGCACCTGAATCGTTGCAAACAGTGAAAAGACTCTGAGTCCAGGTACTTTGCTGGAAATCCACAAAGGGTCGGCCAGACCTGTCTTCTTTGGAGCGTGGGGCAATTCAAAATTTTGGAATGCCACAGGGGTTGGGAGGAAAGCAGGCCTTGTTGGGACATCTAATGCAGCCTCACTTGATCACTGCATTCTAATCGGCCTTTGAGCCGGATAAAAGAAATGTTGAGTAAAGATGTTCTTCCTTGTCCAATCTTATCTCAGTTCCTCGGGTGTTTTGGACCCACTTATGAGTGATTCGCTGGGCGGCTGGATTATTTTTCTCAGCTGATGGGGCTGTTTCAACCTTGCCTAGTTTTGCACCTCTTCTCTTTGGCTGCAGTGAGTGGCGCCTGAATGAGAGGCAGCTGCCGCTTTCTGCTTTCACTTCGAGGAAGGCTGCCCCTGCAGCCACATCCTAACTATCACATTCACGTCCTGCAGACCCTGGGGTATGTCCTGCAGCTGTAGGATCCTCCTGACAATATCAATCGGACATCTGCACCCGTGAGAAATATCGCTACCTTCAGACTGGACCGAAATGCCCAACAGAACTGCAGCGGTCAATGCATGAATGGGGAGTTGCTTGTCCAGGGGGCGTGGAGCACCTGTTTGTTGCACAAGTCAGCGCCCTTGCGTTTCGTTCTCTTGAGTGCGGGTGCAGACAGAGTGATTGTCACTGCCGCGTCCGCCCCGGCGAAGCATGGCTGCTGGGGCTGCGCAGGGGCGTTCCCTGGTGCTGATGTGACAGCCGCCGCCGCAAGAATGTCAGCGATGATGTCAGCAGAGCCCGGCGCGTCTCCGATGGCGATCGGCGCAGGCGCACAGACCGTGTCATTGAGGCTGTATGTGGCCCGTTTGCCGGCCTGTGCACAGCCACATAATAAGACTCATTCTCCGGGGCGTGACTTGACTCTGATGTATAAAGACTAGGGCCCCCCGAAAAGTGAACAAGTCATGAAATGCACTAATTGTGAGCCTGAGGCACCATCTGAAAGACTAGCGGCTGTTCTGTGTACGCACCTTGGTTTGCTTGACGGGAGGCTTGGCCGGTTTGGCGGCAGCGGCGGTGGCAGTCTTGGCAGAGGGGGTGGTGCCTGCCTTGTGGCAGGCCGTGATCTCCTGGCACAGCGACAGGAAGGAGGCCGGCCCGGCCGGTGCGAGCGCGCGCAGATTGTTCAGCTGCACCTCATTCAGCACCTGCAGCCCCTCAAAGATTTGCATCAGACTGAGATATTGGGTGGGGCAATCTATTGTATAGAATTCAAGCAGGATTCAAAGTCCTGAATGCCAATACGGTGATATTGAACACAGATGCTTCTTCGCTCTCGTACAAACCCATCACCTAATCCCTTGACAGCAGGTCGAAGGAGGACGGCATGATAATCATGAACTCAGCGGAACGGCCCGAGCACCAGCATACTCAAGGCTGAGCAATGAGCACAACCCAACACGCAGTTTCAAATCATCACTTTTCAAGGATCCATTTTGAGTATTTTTTTGGCACACAAGCAGGCCTCACCTCGCTGCAAGCGTCAGAGAGGCTGCGCATGAGGTGGTCTGCATGCACCGCAACGCCGCTGAGCTGGCCGCACACCAGGTGGGTTGCCAGCTTTGGCTCCAGCAGGCCCTCCTCCCCCCGGGGCATCATCTGCACACAAGGCGCTGACATCAGCAATGTGCCATGCGAGCGCGCTGCTTCGGTTACATTGCACAACCTTTCCTCTCCTCAAATGAAGCATGCGCATGCCAATTTGCATGGTACTTCCTCGAAAGATTCTGTCGGTTTGGTAGTGCAGATGTTGCAAAGACCACAGGCTTGCTGATCATCCTTTAAAAAATGGCTGCTTCTGATCAAGAGCGCCCCCTTACACGCTTGCAATTTGAGCAACGTCCAGAACAATCAGCGGAACACTGGGGGCGTAGCACAGTGATCTGCTGATGATTCTACGGATGCCTGTGCCCACCTGCAGCTTGTTAGCGATGCTGTAGCACTCGTTGCGCAGGGCTGCCACTTGCAGCAGGTGGGCGCTGTAGGCAGCTGCCAGGGCGTCCTTCTGAGCCTTGGACAGCCTCAGAAAGGTCTGCATGAACACCAAAATAGCCAGGATCGTCACAGTCAGCTATGGCAATATTATTGCACAGCATCTCAAAAATGCCTATGGCAGTGTTTGAAAGCAAAGTCTGTCTCAGCAGGGGCACATGTGGGTGGGGGAAGAGAATGCTTTGAGGGAATATTGGTAGTATAGGGCAGGGGTGAATGTGGAGCTTACCAGAATTGAGCTCCACAGTACAGCCTCTTTGCCGGCCGGCTCCTGACTGGCGTCCTGCTCCTGAGGCCCTGAAGGCGGATTGATCCCCTGGACACCCAAAATTAGGACAGTGAGCACCCCTGCAGCCACCCTTCTTTCTGGCCATCAACAAGTACCCAAGCAGACACCCTCGCTGCTCGTCTATGGCCCTTGTTTTTCTCAAATATCCCATCCGGAGCGGGAGCACCATCAGAGAATGCTCATCATTTGTGTCGCTCGATATGACTCAGCATGCGGAACCAGGCAGGGCCGCACCGTTACGGGGCCAGGCACACCGAGGCCGGCCGCTTTGTAGAGCTCGTCAATTGTTGCGCACGGCTCCTGTGGGCATGCACGCTTTCACACTCAAGTAATGCGAGGAACCCGTTTGCTGTGTCCCTGCTGCTGCTTCATTTACTGAACGCATGCAGGGTTACAGGGCTGCAGCCTGTTTTATGGATATCTAGCAATCACACACAGGTCCATCCTTGATGCCCTTGGCAGGGCTGAGGGGTGGGGTGTAGATGGGGACACACACCAGCATGAGGTCTTGGAGCAGGTTTGGTGAGGGCGGGGGATCAGCTGACTGGACCGGAGGAGCCTGCCTGCCTGCTGCAGGGCCCATGCAGCTGGCTATGGACGCCATGAAGCCCACCTCCTCCTGTAGAATTGCAAAATCTGACTCAGCACCTCATCCTCCATCAAATCAATCTCCCCTCTCCACTGTAACATTCTCCTTCTTCCGCATGATCATAAGCACAAATATTGCACTCAGCCGCCGCCCAATGCGCCGCACTGACCCACCGCTAGTGCATTCTCCCAAGCCTTGAGCACCAACAAGTATCTACAAGGTCCTGACAAAATCAGAGGCCAGGAGCAAATTGCCAACCGATAAGACAGCAGGAGGCTGTGACAGCTCAGCAACATGGACGCGTTCAAGCTTGGCCCTGCCCTCATCTGTCACTGACAATGCAAGCTTATCAGCAAGGGGGTACAACAGTAGCAGTTATAGGAAATTGTGGAGCTCAGGGTGTTCAGAGCGCACATGCTGCATGTGCCAGGGAAGGTTGGTGCTGAGCTCGGAGTGGCGGTTGAGCAAGTCCACAAGCTCTCGCTCCAGGGCCGCCTTGCGCTCGCGCAGACACCCCGCACTCAACCCTGCTGCCGCCACCTTCGCCTGCCAGCACACGCACCCACTCAGCACCACCCTGCCTCGTGCTTTTATCCTGCCTACGCAGCTTGCGTGTTGAGTGCGCTTTGCAACATGATGAGTAGCACTTGCATGTGCGGGCAGCCACAGTCACTGTGGAAGCTTCCCATGTGTCAGAGGCATGAGCAACAACCTGTTACCTAGAACAACACGGAGGTTGGTCAATTTGGCCTGTCGCAACAATTTTCGTTTGCACTGTACCTTCTTGCGCTGTGTGGAGTCCTTGCGCGGCGGCTTGCTGGCCGCGGCCGGGGGCGGCTGCAGCCGCGGCAGAGCCGGCGCGGGCGCGGCCGGCACTGGCCGGGCCGGCCCTGCAACCGGCGCGGCCCAGTTGGCGGCTGCGCGCTGAGCGCCGCCCATGGAGCCCTCTTCAGCCCAGGATGGCGGTCCTGAGGCGTTCACTCTTGAGCTGACAGCAGCTGTAGGCTGCGCCTGACCATGATCGCTAGGAGCCCGGGGTTGCACCGGCGGTGTGGCAGGAGTCTGGTCTGCAGAGGCGTTGTTCTGAAGGCTGGCCTGGAGCTTTGAGGCTGGGCTTGGGGTGTGGCCCGGGGTGAGGACTGCGTTGGCTAGATCTAGCTCTGAGGGCACTGCTGAGATGCCCAGGGGAGGGCTCCAGGGCAGGAGCTGCAGAATGGGGTCTTGTTCTGCATTTGCGGCCCAGCCCATGCCGTCGAGGCTGTCCCATAGAGACCAGATGTCCCCTTCCAAGTCAGGTGTCCCATGCCCATTGTGCACCCTGGGCGCATTCTCCTTTGGGGTCCTGCAGCAGTGGACGCCGAACTTTCTAGATGTATACGATTATTGATCTCCCCTTGCAAAATCTCAAGGACTCTCTAGTCTGGGGTAGCTCTGCCTAGGGCTTTGGAACACGTCCTGAAGATGCCCCTGACAAGAACCTCGCCAAGTCTGAGTAGGGCTTACAACGAACCGGTGAAGTAGTCGTATCAAGCGCCAGTTTGCAATGCAGAGCCAAGGATTGGCCCAAGGCAAATTTGGGATAAGAGCGAGCGCGCCAAAAGAAGTGACCGCATGCTACCCAACAACCCCGTTGGCATTGGGATTTCAGAGGTCTGTAAGTCATAAGATAAAGCTTTTTGTGCCCTACTTACGTCCTAATATCCCTGAATCAAGCTCAAGGTCGGGCAAGAGCGCGTGCCCACGCAAGCTACACCTGTCCCTGCCGATCGCGTCTCATACTTCAGCTTCAGCCCGACGATCTGTACTGAAGTGACTACATGCGCACTCAAATCGGCTATGTGAGGTGATGTGTGTCCATACTCCTACCAATTGTCACGCACCCTGGAAGCTGCATTAGGCGCGCTTTGTGATGGGACCAGAACGGGCGGCAAACAGACGTTGGCGAGGTGATCAAAGTCGCAGTCCGTTTGCCTCCACGGTCTGGCAGCTCCGCCTATATCATCGATTGCAAGTCCCCGTTGTTCCCTCAACTTCTGTGTGGTCATTCGAATCAGGAGGTGTGAGGGTTCGATGTCGTACCAGATGCAGGGTAAATGGTAAAGTTCACGGCAGCTTCCAAAATTTCAAAAGCGTGGGTGCTGACTTGAACCTCTCAGCTTCTACTTCTACCTGAGGAAGATAAGGAATTTTGAGGCAATAACAGCACGGAGTCTCCCATCATTAACATTTGCTCAGGATCCTGAAATCATGCCTGATTGTTTTTTAAATGTCAGTGTGCACATGTCTCAGAATCCATCTCAAACCATGATTCAAGGAATATCGGTATAAGTTCCAGGGTCCAGGTGAGAGCCCCACAAAGCAAGAATCATTGCACACCAATCATATGATACATGCTGAGCCTTCGAATCGCAGACCTCTGCAGCTGCCCGTGAGCAGCACCCTCAGTAGTAATTGGCGACCTTGCGCCTGTGCACAGCAGTTTTGCTGTCGGGGTTGGTGACGTCGCCGTTAGTCACCTCCGCGTAGGTGATCCAGTGATCGGCTGTCTCCATGCGCGACTTGACCTGGCACTCGATGTACGCGACGGCGTCCGACAGCGCCGGTGATCCGTTGGCTGCCTCGAAGGAATCCACCCCTGCAAACCTGTCTGCTCCTGGAGGGAAGCGCTGCAGGAAATGCTGCACACACCACACAAGATTGCATCAGTCTGCATGCTATTGATAATTGGGACCACTGTGGGACATCTGATCAGCCTTGACAGTGCGCAATGACATGATGTCTCAGTCTCTTCCAGGTCACGCCTAGCAGCAGGTTATTGCACAGGCTTACACATGCGAATGGACATCGCAGTCAGCCATGCCCGCCGCTCTACACTACTATACAGAGGTGCTGCATGTACCGCAGACATGCTCGAGTGAGAGTGCATGCCTCTGGTGCGAAGGAGGCCGCCCTTTCTACTGACTCTGACGCTCGCACTAACTTGAAAGTCTTCACCACTTCGGCCTTTTATGACTACAATAATTTGGAGCAGGTGATGTCTGGCCGCCGCACCTTCATGAGGGGCCCGTACTGGCCCTCGCCCAGGCAGTTGAGCACAAAGGTGTCGCCGACCTGCATCAGGCTCTCAATGGCGCGGTCCTTCGCCACCGCCACCGTCAGCCCCAGCGGCTCAAAGCTCGCCTGCACAACACACCCGCAGTCCCGGCGTCAGCACAGCTGCCCTGTCAATCATCCATGCACAAAGGCATGCACCCTCGCACATGCTTCATCCAGCTGCAGTCAAGGCACCCATGGCAGCATGGACAGACATCCAGCTGACACATCCTTCCTCAGCAAGGCTCCAACACTTCACATCTTGAAACCTGCAGGTCAAGCAGGAGCTTCCCCTCCTTATGAGCGCCCCTTTGGGAGAGTACTGCTACGCTCTAATGACAAAAGAAAGGGAAAGATAGGGAAAGATTAGGTAACAGCGACTGGAACGCACCTGGGCGACCCAGGAGGCGACCATGGCGCCGCGCGCGCCGCCGCGGTGGGCAGCGGTGACAATGTAGAGGCCGGAGCTGAGCCGCGCGAGCGCTTTGGCGACGTCATTGCTCATGGCGGCCTTCTTGCGCGCGATGCTGTCCTTCTGCGTCAGCGCCTGCGCCAGCCGCGTCCCCGTCTGCTCAAACTCCTGCGCGCACCAGCACACCTGCCACGTCAGCGCTCCAGCACACACGCATGCCAGCTCAACGCCCACATCTTCACGCCATGCTACCACACCATTCCAGCAAAGCAGCCATGCTCCAGCCGTGCTTAGCATGCCAGGGTTCTTGCTTTACCCCTTCACTTGTGAGTGACATTCAAGGGCTGAACACACGAGTGCTCTCAGAAGGAAAAACACACAAATTTTTAAGAGACAAATGCCCTGCAAATTCCTTCTTAAGCACCGTCCCTAAGTCTGCCTTGAGTCTGCCTTTGCTGTCAGAGATCCCTGACTCTGTGTACCAGCAACGGGAAGGACCAAGCGCAGGGCGGCACAGACCTAAGACGAAGCAAGGGGGCTGGAGAATTGCTGACACGCAATCATTTACCTGATAGGTGCCTTCGGTGGGGACGGCCTTGACACGGAGGGGGTCAAAGATTGGCGTGGCGTTGATATCGACCAGGCTGCCCACCAGAGTGTCCACCGGCTCATCCCGGCCGCCATAACTCTCCGCAATCACCACCTGCGCATGACCCAGCAGGCATCAACCCCATGCATGACAGCTTCTCTACACTGGTTATGCCATGCGTAACACTCTGCGAGTGCCGATGAAGGTTCTTCTTGGGTCACAACACACTGAAACGTGTGATGCCACGTCTCAAACTCCACCTCGCTGACTAGCGCATGCATCAAGCTGCAGCGGAGTGCCCTTTGTGCACATGCTGCGAAGCTTTGACAGCCCGGCCATGTGGTGGGCGATTCAACTGATGCCGAATGACGCTCAATGGCAAAGAAGCCTCCCCAGAAGGTTTGGAGGGAGAGCGAATCCAGCACAGTATCAAGTGGCGAAGAGCAGCGGTCACCTTCTGCTTGGATTTGAGGGTGGAGAGGAGCGTGGCAATGGTGGCGCGGGCCTCGGCTGAGTCGTCTGGGGGAGCCATCAGCACCACTCCAGAGCACCGCCCCACAACCTCCACCAGTTCCTGTAAACAATGACATGAACCCACCAATGGATATCTGCGGCTCTGCTTCTGAACATGTGACAATCAGCGAGGCATGATCTAGTTTCGGGATATTTTTGGCAAGGAGTGCTTCAAACGCGCAGTTGTTCACATTGCAGCCAGGCAACTACATAATGGTGAGCACTGACTGGCACATGCAGTTTACGACCAAGACTCCCACGCAAGCAGAGTGTCGCCAAGGAAGCAGCAAATACTTGCTGTACAGAGAAGCACGAGGGACAAGTGGCGCAACAAGTGGCGCATGGCAAGAGGCGTACCTGAGGGTCAGCCGAGAGGATGTCCAGCATCTCGACAGCGACATCGACCTTGGTGATGCCGCGGGCGAGAGTCTGAGACAGCCTGTCGCTGAAGCCATAGTCGCTCGCGTACAGCACCGCCACCCGCGCAGTCGCCTTCTCCACCCCCTCGCTCCAGTGCTTGTACCTGCATATACACCTTTATATTCACCCACCCTGCAACTTAGAGCAGCCCCATACGGCACAAGAAGGCTTTGCGCAACCTCCATGGGCTGGCCATGGCGGTAAAAGCGCCGTCTGGCCAATTGTCCCTATTTATCCTGGCCAGGAAGAGCCCACACTTGGCCAGGAGAAGCTCTGGCACCATTGACAATGGCCTGCATTTGCTGAGCTACGCATTTTCTCCAAGCCATGCTGGCACTCATCCTCATCATGTCATCGCACTGCCCCTTCCCGCATGCGGCGCATCGACAGGCACACGACAACGAACGGATGCCAGCTGCATGCACGGAGGCGGCACATGCGCGCACCTGCCGACGAGCTCCTGCATGTTGTAGCGCAGGATGGGGCCGTGGCCGGTGGCGATGGTGGTGTAGGGCAGGTCCTGGGTCTTGCGCAGCGCGGTTAGCACGGAGCGCGCGTTGGGCCGCATGAGGCAGTCGTAGTAGAAGCGGAAGTGCGGCGACAGCGGCTGCAGCGCGCTGTCAAAGGGGTCGTCCTGGCAGTAGTGCGCGCCAAACGCGTCGCACGTGTACATCACGCCTGAGGCAGAACAGACCTTCTTGAGTCTTTCTCTCCACGTTTGCTCTCAAGCCACGCTTGGCATAAAAGTGCCCCACCAGCCTGGTGGGAAAGCTTGAATGCCTGGTGGGAAAGCTTGAATGGAGGGATTGCCTTGAATGAGGGTGCCAGCGCATGCAGTAATTCTTGCACTTCCAGCAGAGGCCGGCACCAAGACAATTATGCAAAGTACTGCCACCCCCAGAAGATTTATCATTGAGGCTGCATGGGCTTCAAAGTGACACAGAACTCCCTAGGGTGGCATGGTGACAAAGTAATCAGATGGATTGTGGGCGCAGCAGCTGCACCTGTGGCGTGATCGAAGGAGAACATGGTGTCCGGCCAGTGCAGGTTGGGCGCCATGACAAACTCGATGACGTGGCCGTTTCCCAGGTCGATTTTGTCGCCTCCCTTGACCGCCTGCTCCTTGAAGGGGCGGTGGGTGAGGTTTTTCAGGTATGCCAGTGCCACCTTGGACCCCGCCACGACTGCGTCCGGAAATGTATCCAGCACGTCTGGAATTAGCCCTGTGGCAGGCAGGTGGACAACTCAACAATGCATGCACGTCAAAATTTGTCATTTATCACCCGACGTCCTGCTATCCACGTATCAAACTGGGCAAATGCTGTCCTAAAGCACCAATGGAATATGCATGCATGGAGGTAAGCATGCAGAACATTGCAAAGCACCCAACAATGGCCACGGCCTTGGCCATGACAGGTCCCACAAGATCGCAGAATCAGCGCTGCTAGGTGCACAAGGAAGCTATGCTATGGAACATACCGCTGTGGTCTGGCTCTGTGTGTGAGACCATGATATAGTCCAGGCTGCGGCCCGCGGCTTTGAGCTGCTCCTTGAGGGTGTCCATGTAGAGGCCACGGAACTTCTCATGAGATGCATCCACCAAAGCTGTCTTCTCGCCAAAGATCAGGAAAGAATTGTATGTGGTGCCCTTCTCCAACCTGAACCACAGTGGCAGTGCAAACTCTTCGCCATGCTTCCACAATGGAAGGGTCATCACTGGGTGTTCTAATACACATTTAGGCATGTACATTTCTACTTTGTGGTCAAACTTGGAAAGTTGCGCATTCTCACCCAAATTCAATATCAAAGCGATCTCTGTCCCAGTCGAGTGACCTTATTGTAATAGTTGCGTCTGCAACCTCTGTGACCTGCACAGCAATCAATGCATCATGCATCTCTGTGAAAGTGCCTGGAGCGATCACCCACTGCTGTATGTCCAGAGCTATGACTGCAGCTGCAGAAATCGACCTGGGTCTGCAGGCGCTTGTCGCTGTTGAACATTTGAATGTCGGACATCTTGACAGCGGGAGCTTCAACCTGCAAAGGAAGCAGTCCATTCAATGATACTTGAGGGCTTGTGGAGGACGGCATGTGAAGCTGGGAAGATATTTCAGACATGAGTCAACTGCATCGCATCGGGCAATGGCCTACTGTTGCTGTTGCAGCGGATACAAGTTGGCATGCAATATTCTGACGCTGGCGTTGACTGCCTCGCTGATTCTTTGGCCTGCACCTCCTCTGGTGGTGTGCAACAAATGGCACCCTCGAGGGGAGACTCGATCGAGAGCTCGTGCTGGCTTGCTCGTACGAGCTTGTGGTCTGATGTGCGGTCCTCATACCGATTTTGGACTCACACACCTTCCGACAGCTTCCTTACTGGCAAAGATCGGGTCTTCCCGGAACGTAATACGTGCGATCTGACAGCACGCACTCCTGTGCACTAATTTCTGTGCAATTCACAACGACACAGACGGAACACCACCTCCAGTACTATTAATTGGATCAATGAGAGAAGATATCCAGATGCCACGAATGCGAATTGGTTGGGGACACTGTCGACGACGGCGATGGCCATTTTAGTCACGTAACAAGGGAATCAGTATATATACAGCTGCAGGGGTGTTTAATCCTCGCAGCAGGTCTATGCCGGCGAACCTCTTTAGAACATTCTTGAAACACAGCCAGGCGGCCCCTACTTCCGTTACGTTTTGCAAAGATTACACTTGCACCTGAGCAAATTTTGATTGAAGAAGAGACTTTGTGAAGCTTAAAGAATCTTGCAGCCATGGCGAAACAGGCACCAGCCATCGGTATCGACCTGGGAACGACCTACAGGTGAGAGGTGTCAGCCTCTTGGTGTGTCTGCACAGCCATACTTTTGGGTGGCCATGCAGGAATTAAGTTGCATCTTGCTTGCCACTATCCAAAAGCAATCGTCTGATTGTATCCTAGATGCATAGTGTTCTAAAGCAGGCTCTGATTCTTCGGAATATCTGTGGATCAGTCAGGCTGCACACTTTTCTTTACACTCTCGAGGCTGACCATGTGTGGCTATTTCTGCTCGCAGTTGTGTGGGAGTATGGATGAACGATCGTGTGGAGATCATCGGTACGCTTCGGGGACTTGCTCTTGCCTGTCGTCGAATGTTCTGGCTGGTTCTGCGGCTGATATGGTGGTGTCTGCAACGGAATACTGAGATTGCATTGTGTGATTGCAGCCAACGACATGGGAAACCGCACTACGCCGTCCTACGTTGCTTTCACAGACACCGAGCGTCTGATCGGTGATGCAGCAAAGAACCAGGTGGGCAGTTGCCGGAGTATTTTGGGTACGATGAAGTTCAGCTTTGGCGAGGCTGATGATACTCACGAACAATTGCTGTTGTTGCCTTATAGGTGGCCATGAACCCCATCAACACTGTGTTCGACGCCAAGCGTCTGATCGGCCGCAAGTTCCACGACGCCAGCATCCAGGCAGATATCAAGCACTGGCCCTTCACAGTGAAGCCTGGCCCGGGTGACAAGCCCATGATTGAGGGTACGTCTTCAGGGGACCCAGCAAAATCATGCTTGATTTTCACTAGTATTTTGAAGGTTGGCAGGAGGATCCTGGTCTGGAAGGGGTTTGCAGCCTTGGCTGGCGTGCCTTGCATAGCTGCGGCCTGAAGTGTAGGACTAACAGCATGCTTCTGCTCTGTGCAGTGGACTACAAGGGCGAGAAGAGGGAGTTCTCAGCTGAGGAGGTCAGCTCTATGGTCCTGGTGAAAATGAAGGAGACGGCACAGGCATTCCTTGGAGCTGACAAGGAGGTGAAGAGGGCGGTCGTCACAGTGCCAGCCTACTTCAATGACAGCCAAAGACAAGCCACCAAGGATGCTGGTGCGCACACCTTCTGCTGCCATGCATGTCATCAGCCGTCTTTGTCAGTTTTGTCGTGCTTTGTGGCATCATTGCTGGGAGCTGCCATCTGCTGCATGGTTTTGAGTGTACTGACCACAACTGCTATTGTTGGCAGGTGTGATTGCTGGACTCGACGTGATGCGCATCATCAACGAGCCCACCGCAGCCGCCATCGCATACGGCCTGGACAAGAAGAGCACCTCAGTGGGTGAGAGCAACGTGCTCATCTTTGACCTGGGCGGCGGCACCTTCGATGTGTCCCTGCTGACCATCGAGGAGGGCATCTTCGAGGTCAAGGCCACCGCTGGAGACACCCACTTGGGCGGAGAGGACTTTGACAACCGGCTGGTCAATTTCTTCGTGCAGGTGTGTCTACTTCGCTCTCTTCTGCAGTCACTGTCTACTCATCTACCCCAGCAGTGTGCAGGAAAGATATTGAAGTAGATTCAAGGAGGTCGTTGGCATCAAGGTCTGCTGGGCATGCACTGGGCCGGATAGTTCAGGGCGAAATTTACATACGAAGGAGAAGTCACAAGAAGTCATGTATTTAATGGCATGGGCTTCTGGTGTGCGCAGGAGTTCAAGAGGAAGCACAAGAAGGACATCAGCGGCAACCCGCGTGCCCTGAGGCGGCTGCGCACATCCTGCGAGCGCGCCAAGCGCACGCTGTCCAGCTCAGCGCAGACCTCCATCGAGATCGACTCCCTGTTCGAGGGCGTTGACTTCTACTCCTCCATCACCCGCGCTCGCTTTGAGGAGCTCAACATGGACCTCTTCCGCAAGTGCATGGAGCCCGTTGAGAAGACCCTGCGCGACGCCAAGATGGACAAGTCCTCGGTATGTTTTTCTTCACTGCTGTCCTGTCTCTTGTGGGGACCCTTCTTGCATTTGTATATCCTTCACTTGGGCATCACAGAAGCGGCGTGATTTTGTATTGATCTTCGTAAATTGTCTGCATGGTCATCAGTATGCATGCCTCCATGATTTTCAATATATTTTTTAAGTGATTTGGCCTTGGTTGAAATTTTTTCAGCAGATGTCTTACATGGTGAAGTGCTGGCCTGCAGGTGAATGAGATTGTGCTGGTGGGCGGCTCCACCCGTATCCCCAAGGTGCAGCAGATGCTTCAGGACTTCTTCAACGGCAAGGAGCTGTGCAAGGCCATCAACCCCGATGAGGCTGTCGCCTACGGCGCTGCAGTGCAGGTGTGTACAGCCTGCCTATCTTTTATGGTCCTGTGATTGATTCCTGAGCCTGTTTTTGATGCTTCAGCGCCCTGAGGTGAGTTTTGTGAGCTGGCTGGCTGCATGCTGACAGGAGATTTGTTGCTGATGCAGGCTGCCATCCTGAGTGGAGAGGGCAGCGAGAAGGTGCAGGACCTGCTGCTGCTGGATGTCACCCCTCTCAGTCTGGGTCTGGAGACTGCCGGAGGCGTCATGGTGAGAAGCAGCATCTCTATGCATTGAACTTGTGGAGAAGCATGATCTTGATCGTTCAAGCACCTAGTTGGAAAAGAATTCTCTTGTCATGTCTCGCCTAGCGGCAGTTTTTTGTGTGGGTTTTCTTTGAAGACTGCACGGTGCTGACTGGCTGCTCTGCTGTGTTGCAGACCGTGCTCATCCCGCGCAACACCACCATCCCCACAAAGAAGGAGCAGGTGTTCTCCACCTACTCCGACAACCAGCCAGGCGTGCTCATCCAGGTGTTTGAGGGCGAGAGGTCTCGCACCCGTGACAACAACCTGCTCGGCAAATTTGAGCTGTCCGGCATCCCCCCCGCCCCTCGGGGCGTGCCACAGATCAACGTCGTCTTCGACATTGACGCCAACGGCATCCTCAACGTGTCCGCTGAGGACAAGACCACTGGTGCGCCCGCACTCTCTGCTTACTTACCTGCTCATAGAGTCTTTTGACATGAAACACTCCTTGCTCATAGAATCTTTCAACACCTTTGGGCTCATGGGATTGCGGATGAGGGCTTCTGGTGAGGAAGACATCTGCCATGGCTGGCACATCTGGTTGGCATCAGTTTCATTAGCCCCTGCATAGTTGCTAAAGATGATTTGATGCTGAGGGGTTTTGTGACTTTGTGGCTGCAGGCCAGAAGAACAAGATCACGATCACCAACGACAAGGGCCGTCTCAGCAAGGAGGAGATTGAGCGCATGGTGCAGGAGGCAGAGAAATACAAGGCAGAGGACGAGGAGGCCCGCAAGCGCATCGACGCCAAGAACGCCCTCGAGAACTACGCCTTCAACATGCGTAACACCATCAAGGACGAGAAGGTACGTTTTTGCACTGTCACTGTGTGATAAGGATTTGGAACAGCCTGCGCACAGCTGCTCTGTTTGCACCCTTTCCTGAACACACAATGGCCATCCTGCACCTGCTGTTGTCTTGCTGTGTTCCCATTGTCTTTTCAGCTTCGAGCACAGGACAGGACACCGTGTGCTCTAAGTAGTTCCTGTGTCAAGCTATCCATAGGCTGACATGTGTTGATGTGGGTGCAGGTGGCAAGCAAGCTGGACAAGGATGACCTGGAGAAGATTGAGAAGGAGGTGGACGAGGCCATCAGCTGGCTGGACGCCAACCAGCTGGCAGAGACTGAGGAGCTGGAGCACAAGCTCAAGGAGCTCGAGGGCGTCTGCTCTCCCATCATCTCCAAGATGTATGGAGCAGCTGGCGGTAAGCACCCCTTCTACTTCTTCCTTTGTTGCCACTGTTACACTTGATTCTTTGCCTGGGGTCCAGGCTTGTCAGCTGTCCATTGATCAGCTATCAGAAGCACCTTGTCAGTGGTTTAAAGGTGGAGGTTGAATGCAAGAATTGCTCAGCTATCAGAAGCACCTTGTAAGTGGTTTAGGGGCGGAAATAAATGTTAAAGTTGCTTCAATTTGTGCTGCAGGCGCAGAGGGAATGCCTGGTGGTATGCCAGGCGGCATGCCTGACATGAGCGGCGCGTCAGCCGGCGGCGGATCCAGCGGCCCCGGCCCTAAGATTGAGGAGGTCGACTAAATTGGCAAATTGGCGGCCCTGCCATTACATAAGCACACAGCAGCCCCAGAACTGCCGTTCAGCGGCTTGCAGAAGTGTTGTGGAAACGCATCCCCTTGGTCACACCTTGTGACCTGTTGTCCAGAATGTGGAGCAGGCTTGCCCCCACGTGAAAGACCAGCATTTGAGCACTCTGCTTCTGTGCGCTGGCTCAGCTCAACGGGGGGCAAATTGGGCAGTTTTGCGCGTTCTTGAGCATGGTGTGGAGATGTGAGATTTCAGAGTTGTTGGAGAAGTTTGGGGAAGGTCAGTGACGTTGCTCACTGCTGTTCATTATGCTCGGCACAATGCTACAAATGGTGTCTGCTTCCAGACAACATAACCTGGAAAGCACTGTCATTCTGGCTGCCTGCAAAATGGTTGGCAGGCTGCGGCCTTACAACTGTACATGTACCGCGCTCTTCACAGATTCTTGTAGTAGGTTTAGGATTCTGAAAGGACAATTGGAGAAGATGAGGAGGCGCCTTTATAAAATCAACGGCGCCTTTCTGTTTCTTTTGACTGTCTTGTTATCGGTGCTGTCTTCTTGAGCTAATTTGGGCATCATCGGGAAATGTCGCATTTTAACCCATCACATGAGAGGTTACACCTAGGTGTAAGGATTTTTGTAACAACCATCAATCCATCCACTGTGTAACTGGCCAAGGCGCACTGACCTGTATATGCATGTGCACACCCCGAGGTGACTATCGTGGATCTCTTGGGAGTCGATCAGCATGAAAGACATTCGCACAATATATTACACTTTACACTTATCCAGACCAGCAGCAGGTTCTCTCCAAGCATGCTGCAGCTTCCGCTGTTACAGGAAGCTGCAGGGTGCCGAACTTATCTCTTTCATTTCTGAAGGACACAATGAATCCCTAAGAGGCAAAGCATCCAAGATCTTGCCTGGATCGTAAAGCTTGTGAATTTAAAGCCCAGTTAGGAGTCTAGGTGATACTCTAGGTTCTGGTCAATGCCAAGAGAAAGCTGAGAACGATGCAGACCGTGCCAGGCCGAATCTGCCAGCGATCTGATCTTGCAATAAGGTCTTATGGGGTTGCAATACCAAAACTCCGTCCTTTTTCGTCCGGAAAGCTACCGGAGAGGTTGCCCACTGCAAAGACACAGCGAGCTGCATCTAGAAATCTTGCCAAGAGTAGAAAAGGATTCAAATGCAGAGCTGCTGCTCCTCCAGCAATCAGGGAGGTGCGGATCGCAATCCTTTCTAGAAGTATTTGCCATTTATGGAGGATTCACTAGTCGAAATGCGCCTATCTAACATTCCTGTCTCTTGGTGTACTGCTCTGTGTATCCACAATTGTACCAATTTGCAAATGTGCAGGCGCCTCCCAGTGCCCCAAAGGTGAAGATTGAAGGCGTTGAAGCTGTTCCCATCAGCAAGAGCGTGACTCTATTGCGGGGCATATGCAATGAGCGGCTGAAGATCGATATTGAATATGGGCTCAAACGCGGCACCACAGACAACAGCTACCTTGTTCGGGTGCGCCTTGATGCCACGCAGACGTCCTTATCTGTCCATCTTGACAGTGTGCTCTTCTTTGCTTCATGATGCTTCTTTACAGAACTTGCAGCAATGGACTTGCAAACGGTCATTGTGCACTCTGCTGCAGGATGGAAAAGATTTCATCCTGATCGATGTGCCGGATGAGAACTTTAAAGAAGATCATGGTGAGCCTGCACTGCAGTCACACAATCTGGCTTGACCTCAGTATCTGGTCCCAAAACTTTTTGCCAGTCTTGCACTGCATCATCCTGGATGTCCAGCACATGCTCATTGGCGGGTCCCTGATTGTGTGAGGCAATTCATTGGCTGTGGCAGTGGCAACGCTGGAGCAGACAATCCCTCTGCAAAGCCTCCGGCGGATTGTGGTGACGCACCTCACGCCGAAGCGGCTGCCCTCGCTGAGAGCGCTGCTGGAGCGGAAGCAGGCGGCTGGAGGTCCACTGGACATCCACCTGTCCAACCCTGCCCTGCAGCTACTGCGCTCAAGCCTGGGTGAGCTCCCTGCTCTGTTACCTCTACTCCCTGCTAATGCCAGCCAACTATTGCCTAGCCAGAAATACATAGGTAAGCTTCCCAGCTGCCTGCCTGCCTGCGAGCTGCTGGCAATTGGAAAGCTTGCAAACACCCTTTGGCAGGCTTTCAAGTCAGCTGTGAGTCCGGTCAGGGCGACTGGCAGATCGCGCACACCACCACAATCTGGGACGAATTGTGCTCTCTCAAACACTATTTTGAATCTTGCTGCTTGAGGCCCGCTGCGCTCTGCACCAGCACATCACCATGCATTGGGCGCCGGCGGCACTAGGGGTGATTGATGATAAAACACTTGTGTGTCAAAATACCGCCAACAGTCGTGCTGTTGTTTGCGGCAGCGGCGGGTGAGCCTGTGTGCGCTTGTGCCGGCAGGCTGCTATTTAGCACGTGCATGCATGTGCCAGCGGGCAGCGACAAATCAGTTATGTGCGTGCATGTGCCGGCAGGTGGCGACAAGGAGGGCGCGGCGCTGCTGTCATCGGTGGAGCTGGTGGCCGCGCGTTCAGGGGCGTCACTGGAGGTTGGCACAGAAATTGCGCTGAAGCTTATCCCCTGCCCGACCCCCCGCTGGCCCGACCTGCTTGTGGCCTACAGCCCCGGCGACCGCCTGCTCTTCACCTCCAAGCTCTTCTCGGCCCACGTCAGGTATGCTGTCTCCCCTTCCCTAGTCTCATGTGTCCTGTACTACTCTCGTTACTTCTGGTCAAAGCTGGGACAATCTGCTGGCTTGTCAGTGTCCAGAAAGACAGCGAGGTGCTCTTGGCATGCCCAAGACTGGGAGCCTTGAATTATGTGTTTTGCGCAGGTCAACGGCGGTCTTGACGAAACCCTTACGTGATTTGCTGTGATGCATGGCATACTGTTGTGAATTGTGGGATTGGAGATTTGAGTACAGCGATGTGCGTTGTGCAGTCCTGAGAAGGCGGGTGAGGACAGGGGCGAGGTGACAGACAAGAAGGGGTGGGATGCATACCGCAATGACTGGCGCAACTTCTTCGAGTGCATGCTGGCCCCGGTCGCCCAGCAGGTGGAAGGTGAGGAGCCTTCACTCTTTTTCAAAGTCCAACGCAGGAAGCTTCTTCCTGCAAATGCTTCTCTGCCTCGATTTGAATCAACTGTTGGACTCCTTGACCAGCAGGTGTTAATATGCGTGAACGTCACCTGATGCACTGCCTGCATGCCTGCCCCCTCGACAAATTTTGAAGCCCAAAATGATAGGCATGATAACTTGTGTATTGGGCTCTTCGAACGCGTTGGCTTGAACAGCTCGAGATAACAGGCGTGATCAATTGTGTGATTGGGCTCTGCCAGGGGCGTTGGAAAGGCTAGATGTGGTGGCTGCGCCATCCACACAGAGCGGCTCACCGCTGCAGGCGGTTTTGGAGGCGCTCAGAGCCACGCAAGCCATTCTCGAGGCCTCGCAGACAGCCCGCTTTGGCGCCAAGGTATCCGAATGCATGCTATCTAGATACCTCGAGCATCATGAACTTTCGCTTGGAGGAATGTATCTTATTGCGCATTATTCTGAGAGCGTCAAGCCACCCATACCAGCCACAGTGAGGAGCTCATTGGTGTACATTGCGGTGGCATGAATTGTAGCACCATTTGCGTTGATTACCGAGTTACTTCTCCGTGTTCAAAGGGTATTTCACAAGCCAACGCGGTGTTTTGTGGCAAGCAGAGCATGGGAGTGAGGGCTACAGGCGTTGGAATGGTGGCAGCAGCGCTGTGCCCCATGCATGGCCCTGTTGTCCGATCCAGCGTCACAGAGCTGGTCGGCCAGTACAGGCAAGGCAGCCCACCCTTTGCATGCCCACCTGCACAAACGGTCTTTGCAGCAAATCTGAGCAATTTGTGTCTGATCCGAGCCCCAACTCTGTGAATATGCAATAGGATTGCACCTGTGTATGTGGCGGCATGGCTTAGGATGCTGTAGTATTTCATGAGAGCACCAGCAATGTGCATGCTGCCAAGGCAGCAGGAACCAGCAGGTAGAATGGTAGAAAGGCCTTGAGGACGATAACAGAACTGACATGCATGTTGGATCTACCCTCTGTGCTACAAGTCATGTAGCTATGTTGCATCTCTACTCTCTTACAAGCGATGCATGCTAATATTATGCTTGGCCCAGGGAGTGGACGCGCGCGCAGATCGCTGCTGCAGAGCAGGCCAGCGTGGCAGTGCTGTACGCGTCAGCCTACGGCAACACCGCGGCTCTGGCGCAGGCCATCAGCCGAGGCATCACCAAAGCAGGCAAGCAGCCCCCCTCTTGCTCCCACCTTACCACCAATTTGTCACCCAACCCAGCCCCCTTTGCACTCTGTTGGCAGCATCCTGCTGCTTTTGTGCAGCCACCTTTGCTGGACCTGCATAGCCCTAAAGTCACCACTTTGGGCCGTACCCTTTACTCTGCCTCCTTCTCCTTCTCTGAGCAACATCAACAGCGGCCTTTGATGAAGCACGTTTCTCAACTTGAATGCCCCTTTTGATAATGGAGCATTCTGGCATGCCTTGCAGACTTCATATCTCGTTTTATTTTAAAGAACGGCAACTGAATCTCAAGCAGGCGTTTAGTTAGTCATTTGAATGATGAGCGCCAGGGATTATTTGCAGGTGTGGGGGTGAATACTCTGAATCTGGAGGTGGTGCCCCTGGATGAGGTCAGCCTTTCCATTAGCAAGAGCGGCGGATTTGTCATCGGCAGCCCCACGCTGGGAGGCCACATGCCCACACAGGTACAGCTCTCTGCCCACTAGTCCTACCCCATGCTCTTGACAAAGCTACAAAGCTGCGTTCCTATGACCTCAAATGAATGCTCTGTTACCTGCATCACATATGTCTGCTTCCACCCTTGTCCCTCATTGTAGTCTCATATTTGGGTAGGTCCCCCCGTTGCGTGCATGAGGTATATGTGCACCACCATCTGTCCTCCCATATCTCGGGAAAAATTGTTTTTATCATGGGGTACACATGGACTGGGCCATTTGCTGATGTGGAAATTGGGTACATTATGTAATTTCCAGTATTCGCCACGCCAGCGGCCGTATCCCTGCAGGAAGTGAGTGTGATCAGGATTCATGCCTGTGGTGAAAATGGCACAGGTGCAGACGGCGTTGGGAGCAGTGCTGAGGGACGCCAGCGCAAAGGAGCTGCCCTGTGGCGTGTTTGGCAGCTTTGGCTGGAGTGGCGAGGCCGTGGACGAGCTGGAGAGCCGCCTCAGGGTGAGCTCACCATTCTTCACTTCTTCATCACTTCACCGCCTTCTTAGAATAAAGCATGCATCAATGGGCAAAGCTCAATGTATGCATGTATCAAAGGCTGTGAAGCGCGTATTCACAAGGGGAAGCAAGATATTGCTGACCTTGCCTGACACGGATTTGTACTTTCTGTTCAGTGCAGCCTTGAGAGGCACTTTGACATGTCACTAGCCACGCTCGCGGCTCACACAGTAAGCTGTGCACAGCATGCCTAGCTGGTGGCATGCTGTGGTGCCTCACGCCGTTTTGTTCTTAGTCATTTGACTGAAAGTCTGCTTGGTCCCACTCTGATTTATTGGTTTTATATCATGCGATAAGAGATCTTGAAGATTTTGAGGGTTGATGAACTTTACGTATTAAGCTTGATAGCCCGGCGTTGCAATGCAAAGTGCAAGGGAGGGCGCAAATGCACTGTAAGTTGGGTAAGCATCTGGGTCAAAGGACCTTGCGCCTGCTGCGGGTGCAATTAAGTTGATCTGATGGGCGGCGGCTGTGTGCAGGATGCGGGGTTCCAGCAGGCGTTTGGCGCGATCCGGGTCAAGTTCAAGCCGACGGCCAAGGACATGCAGATGGCCGAGGAGTCCGGCACGGATCTGGCGCAGCGGGTCCTGAAAAAGCTCAAGGCCCAGCAGCGCAAGGCCCAGGCCGGCGCCAGCCAAGTCAGCACAGGCACGCACCATCCCTCATTCTCAGATGTGCATTCCTTTCTAATCCAGATCCAGATAGTGGCCCTCCTTCTTTCTGCAATTGGAGCTGAAGAACATGCAGTTCTCCCCATGCTCAGATGTGCAAACTTCCCCTGACTGCCAATGGGCAAAAGTCAGATGTAAGCTTCTCCAATTGGCAGCATCCTAGTCTTTGGCTGGCCTAAACAGCAGCTTTTCATAATTCTCAGCGCTTTTTGCTGCTCAGCATGCCTTGCTCAGCGGAGGCATTGGCAAGAAGTAGAGGCAGGGGCTTTGGCAAACTCAGCTACATACCTATAAGCGCCCCACTTGCCACAGATGCAGCGTTCCTGTCTTGTGTAGGTCTCCGAGTGTTGTGTTGAGACTGTCCGAGCAGCCCGTGTTGAAGGTGTGGCGCAGTCTGCTGCACCACAAGTGGCAGCAGCAGCGCACAAGCTCCCGGCCAGAGCCGGTTCTCACATGCATGCATGCATGCAGAGCTCATGATGGATGTTTGGACACCAGATGCCAAGGAAGGTGCACAGTGTTTCTGACGAGGCTTTGAACTGACGTGCAGGGAAGGCGACCGGAACAGAGCAGGCTGTTGGCCGAGTGCTGGGCGCCATGTGCGCAATAACTGCCCGAGACGATGACGCGCAGTCAGCCATGCTCGCCTCATGGATATCCCAGGTCCAATTGTCCCTTTGAATGAATGAACATCCCTTTTCCCTGCACAGGCGGGATGCCCCTTGAAAACAGAGAGCGGAAGACTTTGTGGAGGTTCCTTGAATGGCGTGTCATTTCAGACCATTGCTAGCAGCATGACAAGATGTCACAATGGGGTAGCAAAGTAGCGATGATGAGGAATATGACCTACCACTTCAAATGAACTTATTGCTGAATCTGAAATTTCAATTTGAACTGTCTGGGTTTGAAGATTTAAAATTTGGAATATTCTGACGCAGGCGAGCTTTGATCCGCCGGGGCTGTCTGTGGCGGTGAAGAAGGACAGGGCAGCAGAGGCGTTGCTGGCGGTGGGCTCAAAGTTTGTGGTCAACATTCTGGCAGAGGGCAAGGAGAAGCCGGTGATCAAGCAGCTGCTCAAGCCCTTCAAGCCTGGCGAGGACCGATTTGAAGGAATGGACACGCAGGTGCGCCAAGTGTCACCCTTCCAGATCTGCCTTGTATATATTCTACTGAAGTTTTGCTTCTGGCCAGGTCACCAGTGGCAGAGTGCATGGCAAGCATTTCCTGAGAGGGCTGCAAGTTTGTGCCGTATCAGGTTGCGAGGCTGGTGTTACACAGGAAGGCCTAAGGGCAGCCGCCAGCTGCATGGGAAGGAACCTCACGTAGGTTTGGAGGATCTTGTTTCTAGGGAGAGCCAGCTGCATTCTGAGCAGAGCCCATGAAATCTGCAGGTGTCCGAGGCGACAGGCTGTGCTATCCTGCCGGGCACAGCGGCCTACTTGGAGTGCAGCGTGGCCGACAAGCTGGAGGCAGGCGACCACTGGGTGGTATATGCCACTGTGGACTCCGGCCAAGTCACAGAGGAGGGCGCACTCAGCGCTGTGCACCATCGGAAGATCGGCACCACCTATTGAGGGGATAAAGGCAGCGATTGGAGGGTTCGAACATGGAGCGTGTATGCATGTGCTCATGGGCATTGTGTGTGGTCAGCTCAGCATTCTGGGGCCCCATTTCTGGGCCAGCACTGGAATATGTGGACAACAAGCTGCCTGTCTGCAGTTTTGCAGCCCTCCCAAGGTTGAACATCCGATGGATGATCCCAGAAGATATCCCAGGGGGATATGGGCGTGTGCTTCTGGATTCTTAGATGGGGTTCTGGTCCGCCCAGCACTTTCTGCCACATTTACTGTCAAGTGATTCAGGCAGGTTATGAATACCTGGGCTTGCCCAGAGACATCTTCAAGTGCTGACTGGGCATCCCTGGATCTTTGTTGAGGCACTGTCAAACCCTGATTATAGTGGTGTGCAGATTGCGAGTTGCAGGCTTTGTTGGCCAGGGCCGTGGCCATGGCCAGACAGTCCCACACCAGCTTTTACATGTGGCATCAAAGTCGTGACCTGATGCGGATTGCAACTTGACGAATGGAATCATGCTTTGCCAGTCAACTGACTAGTCTGCAGTCCCCTGGCTTTGCAAATGAAAGGTATCGGACAATACACTTTTCTCGTTGCCTGGAATTGATCACCTTGTGATATTGTCCTTCATGGATCTTTGAGGGAGAGTCTGCTAAATGAGAGGTGATGCATTTTTAATAAGAGACATTGAACACGGCAAGATAGTATCTGCATGGAGGAATGCTGATCAGTCATGACTGGATCATGGCCCAATACTTTCATGTGATCAGATTTCTCTCGTCCTCTGCTCACGCTTGCAAGCAATATGATGATTTCTTTATAGTAATAAGGATCCCTGGTCTGATGCTGAACAAGTAGACCAAACCACATGCGTTGCTGCAAGCGCTGCCTGTACCCTTTTGAAGCCTCATCCCACGAGGGCACACAGCTGCGCGCAACGGCCATATCTGCATCTATCTCTGACAGCAATGCCTCATAACAGGCAGCCCTCGTAATAACGTAAAGTGACCTCAGCTGGTGCCCGTCGACTGCGAGCAGGAATGCACGTGTCTCGCAGCGTCATGCAGTGCCAAGTGCCCCAAAACGCACATTAGTACTCCTGGGCCGGGAGATGTTTGTTCTGTCTGATGTCCTCTATTCACACCGTGGAGCAGCCCTTTCTCCTACTCTGGCGCTCGCAATGCCTGCATGTATTGCATTTCCCCTTCTGTGACTAAGCGGCTCTGTGCCTTTTACTTTATCCAGGCCCAGACATCATCGCGCTTGCGGCATTCGTCCAATAGAACCACTTTCGCGACCGCCTCCGCCTTGTCCACTGACTTCATGAACGTCCACATCCACGACAAGAACCGCGCTGCGTCATCGTGCGTCTGCAAACAGCAATGCGTCCGCCCGATCAGCGCTGATGCATGGGCGGGAAAGCTAGTTCACAGATGCAGATGGGGTTTGACGAAAGAACTTGATCTGGGGGATGGGGCCACTCCCAGACGCGGGGGAGCATGTTCAAAGTCAGCCAGCGCAAGGAACAACGCAAAGCTGCCCGGTACAAGGGCAGAGGACTTCCCCAGCCGACAGGGAGCAAAATAGCTCCCACAACAGGAAGGAGCTCCTGGAGGGCAGAGGATGAGCAGGAACCCTCAACCATTTGGAGTGCGGGTGTGAGCACTCTAGGGAGATCAGGGATGGCCTGTCATGCAGTGTATCTGTCAAGTGGGCAGGAAAACGTTTGCCACCCATTAGAAAGGGGTGCCTTTCTGGGAGTATTCTGCGCATACAACTCACCACGATGTCTTCCCTGTGGACTGCCGCCTTGATGTTGTTGTGCAACTGCTCCCGCTGCGCCAGGTACACCGCGCGCAGCTTCCCCCTGGCAGCAGCACACAGCTCAGCATTAGTAATGTTGCGTCCTGCATGGCCGGCGTTAGTAATCCTGCTTTGCATGGCCGCAGAGGGTGGAACAGAGCCTCTTGGCGCACCTCTAAATTACTCATCACCTGCCATCACTGCCTGGCCCGGGGCTCTATTATTCTACCTGTCACCTGATCCATGCGAGCCGCAACGAGCAATGAGTGGCTTCCGGCCATACTGGTGGGGGGTGTGCTCAGCAGTGAGGGGCTAACAAAGCACAGAAGGGGTCAGGGGCAGCTGAGGTTCAGAGGTTTGCCCACCTGTTGGCCTCCAAGGCTTTGATGTCCTCCTTGAGCTGCGCGTAGCTTCCCTGACCATCTCCCCTGAGCAGGGAGCAGGCGCTCTTGACCATGGCCCCCAGTGAGGCCATCATGCGGTCATAGTCCACCTTGGCAGGCCCCATGAAGTTCCTGAACGCCGACCCTGTGTACCTCCCGGATATACTGGGCGGCTGCAAGCACAATGCAGCACAGTGAGAGCCCGCCAAAACACACGACACAGCAATTATATAACCATTTATGTGCAAGCTTGTCTGCAGACGCACCTTGTCCCTTACCATGTGATGATCATAATATGTCACATATTGAGGGAGGGCTGCCAGCACATGATGAAGTAGTGCGAACTTCACAGTTGGGAATTGCAGTGGTATGGAGGAGCAATGAATTAGTGCAGAGCAGCAGTTCACGAGCCTTGCCTGTCTGACGACGATATCAAGTGCAGCGAGCCTGTTCTGCAGATCCATCAGCTCCACCAGAGTGCGCTTCACAGCCTGCACAGCACACAATTCTCAGGCTATGACCCATACAAGCTTTTCTAACGATGTGCAGAACGAGACGCAAAACGGGCTGCAAGAAGAGCGTGCACAAGCAGGATGGGGATAGAAATTGAGGGGAAAAGAGTTGTATGGAGCGTACTGTTGGGAAGGTGTACCAGCCCGTCTTCCAAAGGACGCTCTCCTTCGCCAAAGCCATCTGCACCTTACCTGCCCATGCACGAGGAAAAGACCTCAATCTTCTGGAGCAGCACCCTCCAAATTTGACAAACAGACATGCAGCTGAAACATTTCCAGCGCTCATCAAATATGGATCGGGCGAGGATCTGCATCTGCTAATGTACTGTACCAAAGCTGCAGGAATGGCTCTACCTGTACCAAGACAGTAGAGCCAACGCTCTGCTTCCAAAACGCGCAGTCAACTCGGGGCATCAGGAACAGAGCAGGAGCGCACTGAGCGGCTAAACAATTGAATTTCCCGGCTAGCATTGCAGATTGACCCTTCAACATGGTGGCGCGTGTGTAAAGTCCACACATTCTGCACCTTTAGACAACTTGCTGCGGCCAGCAGGTTAGTAGGAGCAGCGCACTCAGAGGCAGCGCGATACGCTGCTGCAACGCTGTGGTGGGGAATGGCGCAACCTCTTTGTCGGGTTCCAGGCCGGCCTCGGAGCGGTTGAGCAGGTAGAAGTGCTGGCAGTACTCGTCCATCAGCTCAAAACTGTTCTTGTATGCAGCCGCCAACAAGTCCAGCGCCGTCTGAGACCCGTACCTGCGCCATGCCAGTGGGCTTTTCATGAAATTATTTTGGAAGAGTGCAAGTGGATCCACCCCCACTGGACTCGGTGAGGTGCTCAGCAGATGCAGTATTTGAATGTATGCAGCAGTATGCTCTATGCAAGTGCCTTGTAGAGATGTGGCACCAAAGCTATTGGCAGAATGACTCTTGCAGAGCACATCTGGAAGACAGAATGAGGTAACCGAGATCACAGGCCAGGGCGACACATCTTGTGTCCCTCTCTCTTGTGCTGCACATGGATGCACATGCTGGCACATCTTGTGGCCACATGCATGCACAGACTAGGACGCCAGAGAGAAGCAATGTGCCACAAGAGCACTATGCAGAGGCGCGCGCACCGGGCAGGATGATCTTGGCAACCAGCATGGGCACAACCGATAAAACCGGACAGATCACAGACTCAGTCATAATTTAGAGTGAGAAAGCAGGACAGCTGTCACAATGACCCAGGCACAGGGGGGCGCCAGGGCAGGACGATGTTGGAGGCCAGCATGGGCACAACGAATCAAATAAACAGATCACAGATTTAGTCATGAAAAGGAGATCAGGAATCAGAACAGCTCTCACAGAGATCCAATTAAGGAGCGCACCAGGGCAGGATGATGTTGGAGGCGAGCATGGCCGCAAGGCAGCCGATGGAGATGGAGAGCACGCGCGCCGCGTAGTAGTGAGCGCTGCCGGCCTCGTCGCAGAAGGTGCAGGAGAACTTGGTGGCTTGGCTCAGCACGAGCGCGTTGGCTGAGATGAGCGTCAGCATTATCGCGTACAGGTACTGCGTGCGGCCGCCAAAACCCAACAGGAATGTCACCGTCACCACGATCAGCTGCGCGGCACAGGGCAGCCCAATCCAAATTTTCATTCGAAATTTTCATTTCAAAATTTGAAATGCAGATTTAATTTGGATTTGAATTCTTTCATTACAATAACACCCCGCATTTGACTTCCTCCTGGAAACGCAGACCGCAGGATCTTGAGCAGAGACTGTCTCATGCAAGCGAGCTCCAGACGCAAGATTCAATGCTCATGCTCCTGAAGCTGCATGGTTGCCTGAAAGAGAACACATAGCGCACAGCCTAGGTCTTCCTCCACGAGACTCCTCACAAAGTGACTGACAAGGCATGGGTGCATCACATCTCCATGACGGGTTTCTGGATCAGTTTGCAAGAGTGGCTGGCTCGGACCATGAGCAGGTAAGGGTTGGTGGCCAGCCCAGAGCGCAGCATGACCAGGAAGCCTAGGGTCCCCCCAACAACAGTCCCCCCAATCCGCAGCACTCCCTTGGAAATTGTCATCTCCACCCGCTCGCTCATCACAATGGGCACGCTCAAAAATCCTGGGCATGGAATCAGTGTCCCGATTAGTGTTCCGATTAGTGTCTGATAGCAGCCAAGGTGGCTGTTTTTTATTGGTTGTGGCTATTTGGTGGCTTTTTGGAGAATTATTTGGCTGCCGCAGGCAGCCACACTGTGGCTGGCACATATTAATCGGCACCCACCAAATTCCTTGGGGGAGGTAATAAGTTAACGCCAAAATGGCGATTAGTAAGCAAAATAGTCATGAAACGTGGCTATTTCGCCCCTGCAGGGCTCATGAAATAGCCACGGGGTCAAACTTCAGCATATTTTCAATCCGAACACTGCATGGAAATATCACTTCAGAATTTTAAGATCATTGTTTCCGTTCTGCCTACGTGGTTTCCCCTTGCACCTCTGTGGAATCGGCGGGCCGCCCACGCCTTGCATTTGCAAGAGGTGGCAGGCCTGCTCACCAGGAAGCATGTTGGCGGCTTTATGGGTTGCTAAGACAGCTCTCACAGGAGAGCGGCAGGGTTCGGGGACTTAGCAGTGCACAGAAGAGGGGCCAAGGGGAGGGTCACCGTAGAAGGGATAGTACTTCCGCACTTCTGTGTAGAGGTCTGAGTGCACCAGGATCAGCACCAGGACCACCGCACATGTCAGCCTGTTGCAGCACAAAAATGGTCATCAATCAAGCAGCCACATCACTGGATTAGCTCCTGAGGTGTACAATGGCCACTCAGCAATTGGGCTGCACAGGTGGCAGCAAATCGATGCCCAAAAAAAGCCAGGACAAGGGTAGAGGAAGGCTTATGTACCAGAATTTAAGCCAGAATTGGAAAAAACGGTCCTTCATGGCCTTCACAAACGCTCCCCTGGAGCTCAGCGCCTGATGCAAACAATTGAAAGAGGTGATCATCTATTGAAATGATTTGAAGAAGTGACAATCTATTTATCAGGGGATCATTTGACATGTCATGTTATTTAGACATTGAAACAGCACCTCAAGACAAAAGCATGACATAGCAGCTCTGATCATGTAAAACATCAGTTGCCTCACCTGTGGTATCTGCTGTGTATAACACTTCCACCAGGATTGGTAGACTGGCACGCACAACAGGTTTGGCAGCAGGTTTTTAATCCACAGTGTGTTGCTGCTCAGCCATCCCTTTGGGCCTGTGCTGGGATTCTGTGCCTTTGTCGGGCTCTTCCCAGGCTGTGGAGCCTCGATGGATAGCGAGCTCAATTTTGCAGGTCCCTGCTTGTAACAAAGAAATCAGACATGTGAGAAGATGTCAGGAAGTGATGCACCGCCCGCACCATACTGCGTTGCTCATCATCTTTAACCTAAGACGGCTGCAGCAGCATTTGAGAAAATATTAGACCTTACCGGGGTTTCTTTTGCTGGAGGCAAAACTGATCCGGCCTCCTGTGCAATAGTGGTATAAGACTCTCTGAGGGAAGTAGGTGCTTTTGCAGTTTTACTGCCGCTCTCGCCCTTTGAGCTTGCTTCCATGACTAGCTCGTGAGCACCTGCACAAGCTAATTGATATGCATGGCATACGAATGGTAGATGTGCAGATGCAAGTCAAGATAATGGGGCGCTGCAAGGGAAGAACACGGAGACCCTCACGAAAATACTGTGTGTCTCGCCAGAGAAATATTGGAAATATGTGTGGAGGCATGAGAGATAGAGGCAAACCCGGCTGATGCATGTCAAGAGCTTTGGCCACTGCCTTCTCCACTTCCTCCATGGAGTCCACTATGCCAGCTGTGAGTAGCGTCACAAAAAGCAGCGCGCGAATCTGCCAGGCAGATTGGACCCATTTATATGCTCATGCAACCACTGCCAAACACAACGTTGAACGGATGGCCCTTTCCTCGCTGATCAGTAAGTCCTTTTGGACTGCTGCTGTGAAACGCATGCTGCACAGGCATGCTCTGCATGGAGACTCACACACCCTATCCTTACACAGGTGACCAGGAGGATGGGTGGCATGTGGGATGAACCTCGGCTGCTGGGGTGATGAAGATGCCTTCCTTCTCCTCCTCCCTCACCCTGGCCCAGTAGCTGTCCAGCGCCGTGGCAATGTCCGCTGTCAGCACCTTTCGCACCACCCCCCACTGGTCCCCAAACATCACCTTCAGCCGCACCTGCCCGAGCACAAAATGTCAATTTATGTCGTGTCGATTTTTTGCTGCCGATTGCAATTTTATTCACCCTAGCAGAGGCCAACTTGACAAACTTCTCAAGAAGGCAGACCACGGTATTGCCGTCGGAATGAGGAATTGGATGTGCTACCAAGCAATGAGCTTTGGTAATGCACAGTGCTGTGGAGTGTAGTGAACCCATGCAAGAGAGGACCTGACAATAAGCAGCACCCCAGCAGCACGTTGGGGTTGTCTAATGCTCTCCCACTGTACAGGACACTGAATGTATGAGCTTCCAATTGCGCACAGCATGCAACTATGAAGCAAACATACCTCCTGCTTCCTGCGGTGGCACATGACGGCCTTGCCAAGCTTGGCGCAGGCGACGGCTATAAGGCTGTGGATCAGCCTGAAGCTGGGCAGCAGATCCACGCCAAAGTACTTCTGGAAGAAGGCGCTGCGCAGGTATTGGGACCTGCCCTCCAGTAGTGATTCTAGCGCTGCCACACGGATCGTGAGATTCTCCACTGCTGCTATCAGCGCCGCCCAGTCACTGGTGACCATGGGCGACCTCTGCAGGAAAGCTGGCTCACAGGATGCCTGCAGAAAGGAGCATCGGTTGATAGATATAAAAAGAATACGTGGTGATCCTGAACATCTGAGGGGCGTCTCTGGCATGGCAAAGGAGTTGGTCCGAATGCCTCTTAAATCAAGACAAATGAAGTGCGGCAGAGTCAGCTGTAATAGTGTGGCTGACAGTCATGTGTTAAGCAGCAATGGGAAAGGCAAGAGCAAAGGGAAGCACTGACCGCACGCAATCTCATGCGAGCATTGCCTAGGAGAGGCTGCAGGGATCCAGCCAGTACTCCTCCAGGGCCCCCCGGCTTTGGTAGCTGCCTCTGCAGCCGTGGCTTTGTGGCATGCTGCAACTCCTCAAAGAAAGCCTGGAAAAAAAAGCAACCAGTCAGCCAACCTTCCCTGCTTTCAACACCATAAATCCTTCCATTTATATACCTCTTCGTAGTCTTTGGGTCTGGACCCTGCATGGTGCATTGCAAAAGGAATCAAGGCCACACCTCCTCAGTGGGCTCTTCTCCCCCATGCATGTCCACAAACTTCCCCAGCGTGCGCTTTGTGGCCTGCCGCTGCATGGCTATCTCGTGCTGATCAGGCGCAAAAATGAAGCCAGCATACCTGCACCACAGGCAATCTTGGTGCTGCACTCGTTTCCCCACCTCACTGTGCATGGAACCACCTGCCATGTTTGGCATGTATGCGAGGAACTCCATGAGCGCTACTGGAAATGAGCGAGGATATGAAATTCCTCACCCAGAGATGCTTTGCCCAAGGCCTCGTAGGGTGGCAGCAATGCTGCCGCGAAGCTCATCGCCTGCTAGAGTTGGAAGGACGAGTGCCCCTGACAAAGCCGTAGCTAAGCCCGCTATGACAGCGACCAGTATCACATTTGCCACGACCTGCATCAGATTGATCATTTTATGCCCTCAGCATGATGTGAGCAAAGAATACAGAGATTATTGACAACAGATGATGGCAAACACACCTCGCGCCAAACGCTGCGCAGCGGATCAACAAATTGGGAATTAAGAACCACCACTCCGTACACGAGCATGCCAGCAATGCCTGTCAAGCACAAGAGTTGATTAGTATTATCTGTGACATTTTGTCACGACACAACAAGAGCACAAATGATTTGCTGTGCATTGAGAGGAGGAGTGCGCACCATTTGGGTTCGAAATTGCCGGGTTGCTGCCGGCACGCACTGTGGCAAATGGGATCATGCCAATGACACCAAAGATGCACAGGAACACTGTGCGGTGGTGTGTGGCAACAGCAAGACTCACCTGCACAGCCAATTCCAACTTGCATATTAGGTACTACTGGCAGTCAGTAAGAAGCAGCTGTGGAGGCGCATCATTGGACAGGTATCCCATGAAGCACAGCTTGGTGTGCAGCACCACCGTGTGCACGCTCAAGACAGCATGCGTAGACTGAGTAAGCTTACCACACAACCACCAATGACGGCTGCCAAGGTTGCAGGGCCAATCAACAACACGCAACCAATGAATCTGTCACCCATGTTATTGCTCTGGGATATGAGCAGGCTGCACACGAGGTACAGGGTAGCTGCAAGGCAATCCTGGCTGAAGCGCATACGCGGCACCAGGGGGAACAAGCTGACACCGAACTGACCGACTGCCAGCTGAAAGCCTGCATGGAGCACGCACAACAGAGTCAGGAGGGATTGATTGTAGGTTGGGGTGACCAGATTACCTTTCACGATCTGCATGCTGCTGGCGAGGTTCTGGCTGTATCGTTGTGTCAATCTTCATCTTAAATTAAGAACTTGCAAATCAAGTTTAATACATAACATTGCAGAGGAAGTGGGCGAGGTCTAGACATCTTGATGTCTACCTGTTCGGAAAGCGTCGGTAAGCAGGAATCCAACCAATATGTCTCTGGGGGTGCGCTTCCATGGGAAGTTTTTCTTGTGCGTTGCTTTGGCAGCAGGCGCTTCAATATCCTGGTCTTCTGCCTTCATTTTGGTGATGGCATGGACCCGCTAGCTTAATTTCTGCAGCACATACGGCCATTGCATTGTGATTTTCTGGATAACACAGAAAGCATCTCAGTGTCTATGGAAGCTGCAAGCTGTGAGCGTTCTTCAACGGCCTTTATCTGACAATCGTCAACAAAGCAGTGATGATGTCATGCAGTTGGAATTCCTATATTTCGAGGGCACTGTCTGAGGGTGTAAACAGGTTAATCTCTTGTCCAGTCCAGTTGCCAATTCTTCTTTGTTCGCTTGCAGTTGCTTTTGTGAAGATATTGCACCAAAGCACCACCGCATACGTATGCGCGGCAGTGGCGGCGGCCCTCTGAGGCAGCCTAGGCCTAAAGGTCGTCCATGCGCATGCATGCGTTACAATATACTGATCCATAAGATGAATTGTCACAGATTGTCCCATGAAATGCATCTTTTCGAAGAGACAGTCGAAGAGGACTTCGAGAGTAGACGGGCCTGGGCGGTGCAGTCGTGGGTGGCATGAGTACTGCCATGATGCTCCTTCCACAAGAAGGGTCCCAGTGGCCCAGTTCCGCAGATCCGGTCCGAAGGATGGCGCCATCTATTTTTTAGAAACAATCCCACAGATGTGGCTGTAGACGCCCTGGATATGCCCTCTGGCCTCTGACTTTATGTTTTCCATCCTGAAGAAGGGCAAAAGGCACCAGACATTTTCATGTGCATTACTTGCCCCGGGGCCGGCCGCCGGCTTGATAAGCGGCATCTTGAATACCGTGGCAAGGCCAGACGCTGGCGCCAGATCTGGCCAGGCCTTGGCTGCAGGGGCTGCCATAAAGCACCTGATCATGCTTGGCCTCGTGTGGCGTACACAATGCTGCTTCCAAAAGAGAGTCAAGTAAGGCTGCGCACATAGCTGCAGCAGTGCGCTTGGGGCTTGATCAATCTATCTTGCTAGTTCATGGGAATCATCCTTAATTGCATACCTTGGCCAGAATTTAGAACCAGAAATCCACTTACATTGCACCTCGTGGGACTACTTGGCACGATAGGCTGCCTGTCAGTCAGATGAGGTCGCTAAAGGAGTATCTTCTGAGCCGCCCCACTCAGTCCATGATCCGTCATAAACAGACACCTGATCAGCACAAGCACACCCTCAGTGGTGTAAAAAAATTTCTTCCGCCCCTTATGACAGAGACCATTCTGTGCACGCAAGATCTTCCAAAACCGCTGTATGAGAGCACATTTAGGATTTTGTGCGCAGCTTGGCTCGTTCAAACTGGAAAGTCAAGCCATACCTGGGATGCGGGTGACACCTGGTGCAGCGCCAAAGCCAGCACGCTTGCAGTAACACCAGTGCCGCAAGACGCTACTATTGGTGCCTTAATATTCACCCCGGCACTGGCAAACACCTTCGCTAGCTCACCGTTATCTTTGAACTTACCGCCTTCCAATACCTGATGCCCACACAACAGAAACATCAATTGACATTTCTGCAATCCTGAGAGGCTCTGCCTCCCACTGCAAATGTGTTTGTTACTGATCAGTCACTCGTGAGTAGCGCAGTCGTCCATGAACAAGAAGACAAATGGCAGGAATAAGAAAGCTGCCTGCGTGAAGGGGACATTCAAGGAGTTGGGGATGTGGCCGCTTCTGACGCCAGCACGCGGCTCTGCCTCTTTGCCTGCAAAGCGCCCGGCGCCCCGAGCGTCGATGACAGTCTCCTCTCTGCTGTCAATATTGCTCCTCACTTGCTGCAAGCTCCGCACCAACCCCTCCTGCAGAACAACAGACTATGTGCATGTTCCTCCATTACACCGCCAAAAACTTGTCTTATTTGCAATTGAGTGCTTGCCTAAAGGCAGCCACCAGAAGCACTTCCTATGGGGTAAAGTTCTTCTACTGCTTTATTTATGGGTTCATTGAGGAAAACTTACCTGCAGCTTGGCTGGGTACTTGGTCGATGCAGGAGGATTTGCAGCTGCTTGCGCTGCACCGTCAACTGCGCCATCATCCACAGGATCGCTGTCAAGTGGATGGCCTCCTGCCTTCCAGGCAGGGTAGCCCCCGTCCAGCACAGCCACTCTGCAAATGACACTCACCTTCAGGCACGAATAATATGAAGGCACGGGCATGCGCAAACCCATTCGGTGGAAGGTCAGCCAAAGGGGCAGCGTAGAAGCACAGCCTCACTTGCAAGCAAGGAGCACAGTGCTACCTGTCATGGCCAAAGGCACGGAAGGTCCACCAGACGCGAGGAGCACTGAAGATTCCACTGCGGTCATATATCACCACCTGCAGAGGCACTCAGCAGCTTCACAAAAGTGCTTATAAAGGATTATCGATAATAGACAAGTACCTAGACCCCGAATCCAGTTCATGGGAGAAATCAGAGGAGAGATGTATGAGCGCAGCTAATACTATCTCCACATCATGTGCTGGGGTAAGGTTGAGACGTCCTGCGATGCACCTGTGTGTCCCTATCTATACCCAGTGCGTCAGCTGCTGCTGCAAATGCTTCCTCTGCGGGGAGCATGTGTGGCAGGTCTGTGTTTTGGTCTGAAATCTTGTCCACATCAAAAAAGCGGCTGCCAGGGATGCGGTCCAACTTGAATTCCTCGCGAGGATTTCTGCCTACATAATGCAGCCAAGCAAGATATTAGCATTGTGCACAATTGTGTTTTGAGTCATCTTTAATGTGCAGGAAGGACAGAAATGGCTATACCTGCAGCTGGCATGTACCAAGACCCATCAAGTATCCTTAGATTTGAATCTTGCAGCCTGCGAGGCAATCACTGATGGATTAGGCCATGGAAGAAAAGGGAGACACACTCCAGAATTGACCACACCTTTCTCAGCGCCTTGCCTGTCTTTCAACCAGTGTGGTGTGACAAGTGAAGAGCTGGTTGCCATTGGGGAAGTCCGTTGGCTTGAGGATGAAATCCAAAGACGTGAGGAGACGTGCGCCTTGGCACTGCCTTTGGCTGATCTAGATCTGGTACAGTCAAAGTGAAAAGGGAATTGTCTTGTGTCGACAAGTCGTGAGCGTGCTGAAATCTCAAGGTGAGCCTGGCACTACCACAATCACATGTATCAGTATTGAGCAGAGAAAAACGGCAAAATAGACTCACATGGGGCACATGGGCACCTCATATGCTGAACGTGGAGGTTAAACTATTACCTTAACCCCAGGACTTGCTGGCAACAAACAACACCGTCTGATCGCTTGCATTCTTGTCGAATTCGAAGCAATGATGTCGTTAAGGCTAGAGAGCGATTGTTACTTTTGGGCACATGCGTCATGCAGCTCGTCACATGCAACCATGACGTCTCATGTGCAGAGCAACAGATGGCCTTGCTCCCTTGCTGAGACTCCCGCAATTTGCTAGCTTCAGGAACTCGGAAATTGGTTGGACTCTTTTTCACCGTGACACCCTGTGACTTGCTGTCAGAAAGAAGATTGCTTCACTGCTGCGTGGGCGTATTGTTGTGAGATTCTTTTGTCGTTCACAATTGCTTCTGAGAAGTCTTTTATATCAATATAAGGCGTCCATGAATCCATTGACGCAGATAAAAAACACACAGAAGGCCACCAAGCTTGAGATCGTTTCTGGTATATCTGATTCAGCTTCTTGGCACGCAAAATTCAAGCACTCAGCGTACATCTTTGCCGGTGGCCTTGCCTACACACTGACAGAAGGGGACCTCCTCGCTGTGTTCAGCCAGTATGGAGAGATCGTGGACGTCAACTTGGTCAGGCAAGGCTCCAGCCAACCGATCTCCTGTCTTGCTATCCCCTTGTAATTTCTCACAGCATCCTTCTGAAAAAGTGGCTGAAGCAGCTGGCCTGTCCCACGCGTCCACAGGGACAAGGAGACTGGAAAATCGCGAGGCTTTGCATTCCTAGCATACGAGGACCAGCGCAGCACCGTGCTGGCAGTAGACAACCTGAGTGGCGCAAAGGTGGCTGGCCGAGTAGTGACAGTGAACCATGTGGACAACTACAAAGTCAAGAGGGCAGAGGTGCACGCTCCTGCGCGTTTCCAGCATTCCTTCAGCTTTAATAACCTTCTCAGTACTCGATGTACGTTTCACACTTGATACCTGAAGAAGAAGAGATGGTTGGAAGGGGCTGCGCACGATTTGCAGGTGGAGGGGCGGCCAGTGTCAGACTCTGAGGAGGACCTGGAGCCTGATGAGGCGGCTGCGGAGGCTGCTGCGAGGGCAGCTGAGCTGGACGGGGCACAGGTGGAGCGCATTGACAGCGGCAGCAGAGCAGGTGAGCTGCTCAAATGATCTCTCGTCATTCCACGTGTTGCCTGCCAGCAGTAAGGTGGTTATGCAGACAAGCCGCATGTAAAGGCTGCCAAAATTTATGCTTTCTTTGACTTGCCATATCCAAGCAAGACCCAATCATCGCCCAAGTGGCACTGTGCTCAGTATTTGTACCGCTCTCTCCAGCCAGGGTCCCACTGATCCTTTAAGACATCGGAAGGCTGCCCCTGATGCAATTTATGTGCTGGCCTCCACAGAACAAATGGGGTATTTTGGGATCCCATGGAAGTGGCCCGATGCAAGACTTGTGCCCCACTCCTTTGGGCCAAGGCTTGTGGCCACAGCGTACTCATATATAGGGTCATCAGCAAGTGTTGTGGATCTTTTGTCAGGTGGATCAGGCAATGGGCAGGCGGCGCCTGGTGATGCACCCTGGGCGGGCAAGACATCAGTGTTTGCTTTGCTGCATGAGGAACTGCCTAGGCCTCCCCAGAAGCGGCCACAGCCAGATCGTGGGCTGAATCCAATAGAGGAAGGGAAGCCCAATAAGCAGAAGAAGGAGAAGAAAGAAAAGAAGGAAAAGAAAGAAAAGAAGGAGAAGAAAGCGAAAAAGGAGGTAAGCTGCTGTGTGCGCAACACCATGGATTGCTCTCTGTACACATCTAATCGATTTGAATAATTCTTGTCTTCTTCAACATTGTAGAGAAAAAACTCTGACATTTGTTGATTGTGTTCCTCTGCAGCACAAGGAGGGGCGACGGCGAGATTGTTAATGCCCGTGGCCACTGAATTTTACACAAATGAATGTTGCTTGACCTTCCCGTCCGACATGCATGCAATTCTGCATGTCTCCAGATATCTTTTCAAGTGCTGTGTGAGAGTTGGACAGTTTCCTGTTGATGCTATGCATATGCCGCATGATCATCATAATGGGCATGATCGATATCGGCTCATCATATATGCTCATGAGCGGCTCAGTAGAAGTGAAGGAAGCAAATGCATGTAGAGAGGAACAATGGGAATTCAAAATGTTTCCAAGAAAGTACATCGCACCCTGCATCAGAAATGGTACCTCTCACAGTGGCAAGCGTTCAGCATAATTACTGGCAGAAGCTTGAGCTCACTGCTACACTTCCAGATGGCATCATTGATCAATGCAATCAGAAAATCGTGACTATTAGCATGACAAATGTGGCATCATGCATGCAAGAAAAGAATTTGGATATGTGACCAAGCTCCAGCAAAGCATCCAGCACTTGCTGAGGTGGAAAGCGCGCAAAACCCACGTGCAAGGTTCACTCCCCAAGTTCCACCATCCGAGATCCCGCACAAATCTGCACGCACCGGGTACTGTGCCTCGGTAGTCTCACACATTCTTTTGCTAGGATGTAAGCGGGAATGTCCCAAATTGTTTGGGATTGGAAAAGCAGCGGTTCAAGAACACGTAGTATTATGTGCCTCTGTATGAATCGCCACCTCAGCAATTCTCAGTCTATATGATGCTATAACTCTGCAGATTTGTCCAATACTGTTTGCCATCTTTTCATTGAATCCTGTAAGATGCAAGAAACGGACGAAGTGTCCTCCTTGGCTTCGGCATGGCTGCCTAGCGCCCAAAGAAAGCTCCTGGCTTCTGGGGTGCTTGCCACAGTCCTTGCTCTCTCCGAGCTGTACAATGGATCTGTATCAAAAGTATTACGATATGTCAAGAGGTACGCTGCCCCAGACGTCTGCTCATCCAAGCCAAACACACCAGATCAGCCTTGTACATGGGACGGGCAACCAGTCGGTTGGCGCATGTCAATAAAATCTCGATACATGCTCATGGAAGTATGCATCTTCCTGCAGGGGTTGTGCCGCTGCTTTTGCTCAGTGGATCGAAGACCAGGGCGGCTTCCCTCTGTTCACAATCGAAGGTTTGTTTCCACCCTTGACATTTTCATAGCGCATAATTGCCTGAAGTCGCTTAGTTGTTGCCACTGACACGGTTGATGGTGTGATAACAAGGCAATGAGCCTGAGGTGACTGAGGCCACCTGGAAACTTCCAATCTCAAGCTCACAGCAGAAGAGCCTGGTTGCGGGCCAAACAAGCAGCACGGAGAGCACTGCAGCTGCCGTCCCTGCTGAGGAGGAGAGCGCAGCAGATAGCAGCAGGTCTGCAATCCTTCTCCAATGCATAATTCTGGATTCTGACAAGTAGGGAGGCTCACTGACAAATGAGAGATGTCTGTGATGAGGTTGCCGGCACATCCTCATGAGCGCTTTCTGTATACTTGTGTAATCTCCTTGTCTCGCTGGATCTTTGATGTGGTTGCAGCTCGTCGGATCTGCCCAATTTCTTCGCATCCACAAAGTTCTTCGCGTGCCTGGACCTCTTGGAGTCCCAGGAGCTGTTCGAGGCCACTCAAATGGTGACCACCTCTCTCAACACACCATGAAGCAGCTTCTGCATGAGTCCTGCTTCAAGCTGCTTCAAGCTGCAGCTGCAAGAGGGTGCCCATGCATGCCTGTGATTGGCCATCTTTGGTATCGTTGACTTCTGAAGGATATTTGGCCATTCTTGGTGTCGATGTCGTTAGAAGGATGCACGGGACCATGTTTGCAGGTTAAGATGCAGCCAAAGGAGGTGCTGTTCCGCGTGGGGGATGACAGTCAGTCAGGCATCTTCATAGTGGTGGAGGGCCGCTTGGGGGTCTACCTTGAAGAGAATGACAGCGACTCCCTCACCCTCACCAACACCCTCATCACTGGGGAGAGCGTGGGAGACCTGGATGTCCTTGACGGTGTGTTTTGAAAACTCTCAGACTCTTAAGCACCTTCTTCCACAAAGTCAGTCATTACAGATATCACCCAGTGTTTGGATGTTCTCAAGTGTGATGCATGCATGCTTCACCCAGGTGGCATGCACATTTGATTGACGTGATTGTGGGACTTGTGATGCAAAAGTTTTTTGGTACCTGTGACTGTGACAGGAGCCAGGCGCAGTGTGACCTGCATAGCTATGGAGGAGGGAGCTACACTGGTCAATGTATCACGAGACCTCTTCATGAGTTTTATTGCAGCCAAGCCTCGCACCCTGCAGATCTACCTCCATAAGGTGGGCTACACGCTCCTCATCTGAGGTTGAACCCAGAGCCTTTTTGCTTGGGGTAAGGAAGGGCTTTCAGTGGCCGCTCAAGGGCGGTGTCAGCTCCTGGGATCAGGTGCTAAGAGACATTTGTATTTGTTTTATTACAGGCTATGGCGAGGCTCTGGCGCGTGGCACATTTTGTGCTGAGCGACTTCCTGGCACTGTCTCTGGACCAAATGCCTGCCGGTAAGACTGCATACCCAGAGGGGATCCCTCCAGCAGCACCCAGCGCTTCCACGGCAGCCTTAGACCTGGGCAGACATGGCTCCCAACAGCCTGTAAGCCCTGCTGCCTCTTGCAATAAATTTAGTGCTTTTGCAGACTTCAGGAAAGAGGTCTCTCAAGCCTGTTACAGTAGGCATGTGTACATGCCGACATCCGCTCTGCATCTTTTTGAATGCTCCTGTGGAAGTGCAAGCATGCCACTGTGTGGACGTCGTCTGTCACATGCACTGTTGCATGGATTTGCAATTCCCAAGAACTTGAGCATGGGTTCTTGCTACAGGCTGAGGGCAGCGGCAATGGCAAGCCGCCCCTGACGCTGCCAAGAAAGGGCTCCAGACCAGGCAACGGCGCACAGAAGGTGCCGAGTCTGCCGAGGCCGCAGACTGCCAAGGAACGCGGCGGGGTGAAGTTTGCACCGCAGCTGGAGATTGTGAGCGAGGCGCCTGCCCGCGAGACATCTGCCGTCCTCAGCCAGGAGGCCATCCCGTCTGCCTCGTCCTTACAACAGAACGCCAAAGACTCTTGTCCCGAGCTGAGGCCTGCTATTCTGTGCGCACTTCTTCAAGCTTCTCTTGGTATCTCTGGGCATGACTTGAGCATGATCTTCAGTTCATGATCGGGTCACTTGCAGAATCTACAATACTCTTGATTTTTGAGAGAGAGAAAGCGAGAAAGAGAGAGATTATATACATGACTGAATGTGTCGGCTATCACGCAGGCTACGGCCGGCGTCTGAGGAGCTCTCAGCATCAGCCTCCGAAGAGGCCAGCCCGGGGTCATTTGGCGTGCAGATGCAGACCCCCTTCAGGTATGCTGCCTTGTGGACGAGTCTCTGTCGGCTGTTACTCCCATGCATCCTGCTAAGTAGACAACAAGGAATTTGACCTTGGTACCACTGCCCTGTATGTGCTTGTAGTGTGATAAGTTGCCCCATCGAGATGTCAAGGAGTTGCATTTGCGTTCAGTAGATGGATGCCTGTGGATCCCATCACGCGGAATCTGCGTGCATTATAATATACTTTGCCTTGATGTCTGCTTACCTCTTTCTCTAACATTTCCCGTGACCATGTCCTCTCTTCTGACATACCTCTTACTCTAGTGAATGGACTGTGACCAGTAGCTGAGGAAAGCGGTTGTGGCCTGCCCTCAGGGATATTCAGGAGGAGGTGGATCTGGATGGGGCGCTGGCGCAGATGGGGGCGTCCTTCTTGGATGTGAAATCACCCACGCAGGCAGACGAGGAGCTGTACGCTGCTGCCAGCCACCGACAGACCTTTGCTTCCGGCGCACTGCTGCACCAGTCCCAACAGGTGCTTCCTTCCCATCCTGCCACCTATCATATATCTCGCACCAAGTCTTGATGAATTGTATTCAGGCATGTCATTTTGTTTTGCTCCCATGCATGTATGATATTCACAGCTTGTCACAGTCCTCTGCAGATGACTGTCCAGGGCATCCAGTAAACAAGTGAACCCACGTATAGATGGGAGGAGTGGCTTGCTAAAGCTGGTGGCGATTTACCATGGCTTGTTTGTATACGCTCCTGGCCATCGGAAGCACATGTGTGTCAGAGGTTGATAATCAGCCACATTAATGAGCAGAGCTGCAAAAAGGACCAGCTGCCAAGAGCAGACATCATGAGCCTTTGATCTCACCTTCAACGCAGTGATCGATGTGTGCAGATGGCGCGGAGTCCGAGCAGCACATTGATAGGCAAGCGGCGGGTGGCGGGGCATGAGAAGTCGGACGTACTGCAGCAGCTGCGCAGCTCCGCCTCGCGCGCTGGCAGCCTGGCCGGGCCTGACAAGTCGGCCTTCCGGCGCAGCCTCTCCCTCAAACGCAACCTCAGCCACCACCTGGACCAGGTACCAAACTTCACACCTTTGTTTGATTGTACATTTTTATATGGCAAGGGCAGTGTGACCGGCTGAGCAGTGTGCCAAATGCTATGCCCTGCAGTAGGCCGGGTGCCATGCAGGGCAACTGGTGCTTGTGGGCCCTCAAAAGCATATTCTATGTGTGGCATGGCAGGGGCTGTTTGTCAAACTGTGCCACAAACTGTGCCAAATATGCTCGTGCCCTGCATTAGATTTGATACCACGCCTTGACAATTTGTGCATGGGCCGCAATTTGGCAATGTTCAAAATTCATGCAGAATGCGGGGTGATTTGGACGCGTTGGTTGTTTCAGGGGACTGCTGCGGTACCAGTGTCTATGAGGCTTCCTGAGGCGGCATCCATGCAGTCCATACAGAGTGCAGAGGACACCAGCGATACCTTCTCTCCCACTGGCATCCGCAGCAAGGCAGACCTTCTGCAGGATCAGGTGTGCCTCTTTTCTTGTCTAGAAAGCATGGCAAGGTGCTTCCCTGGGGCAGGACACAGAGGGAGACGTGCAGAGCTGCTGGCATACTGCTACGAGCGTTGTGATCTTTGCAATCTTCAACAATGGAGTCATATGCTGTCTTGCTCGCTTGTTTGCTGCATCGAGGGCTGCATATAAGGATTGGGTTGCCTGCAGGACTCTTTGTATGGAAGCAACCCCAATCTCAAGTCCGTGGACCCAGGTCCGATGGTGAGCGATGCAGAGATTGCGAGCTCCATCAAGAACACCATGAACATGCTGAAGACCATGTCCCTCCCGCTGTCCCTGCTCAAGGGATCCGCCTCTGCAGATGCTCTCGCGGACGCTTTCAAGGTGAGACCTATCCTGCCTGTGTCTTTATGCTAAACAGCATTGCGTTTGGGCCCTGCTCTTAATTCGCACCAGAAGGCTTGAAATTGTGCATGGTTTTGAGTGTAAATTTTATACATCTTTCCATGCTGTTGCACTGACTGTTCAATGTTTGATGACCACAGCAGGAGGATGTGGGTGCCTTTGGGTTTGGCCGGGCTGCATCTCTCAGGCGGCCGTTCAGCTCCGGTGCACAGGTGCGCTCATGCACCTCTAAGGCCAATCTCTCAACACGCCACCGTTGTCCTTCACAGCAGATCGCAAACTTGACAACACAATGCTGAGGCTTAGCATGCCTATTCCATCACAGGAAATGCATTATTTTTGCCAGTGCAGCTTTTAGCCGACTTGTCCTGCTTCTGCTCTGCTTTGCTCTCTTGTTGCACTAAGTGATTGATTGATTGCATGTGCAGGCGAGCCTTGCTGCCGGCTGGGATGTGATCAGTCCAGATGAAGGCGGCCTGACAGACGAGTTCTGGGACCTTCTCCTGTCCAACCAAGCTGCAGCGGCGCCAGGCCTCAAGAGTCAGGTCTCCGGTGCAAGCCCGCTTGGACAGCCTGTGCTGCTGCGCAGAGGCGAGCTCCTGCACGGGGTGGACCAGCCAGTGCGCCAATTCTATGTCCTTCTGGAGGTGAGACTCTGCCCCAGACATGCAGAATGCGTCTTTGTGTTAATAAAGCAGCTTTGCCATCATCATTCAAGTCGTGAAGCAAAAGCTGCGCGGCGTTCTTGTGCTATGCTGGAGGGTAAGACGTGGCCATCGCGGCCCTCAGCACCCATCATGCAGCATAGTCATATGGACTGCATGATCAGTGCAGGAGGCGAATTTATGATTACCCAATCCTATTGTTAACATTCACAGCCACAGGTGTTGCTGGTTTTACCCGTTTCCTTTTCTTTCTTCCACCCTTACTTATGGTGTTGGCGCAGGGCAACATGCTGGCGGAGCGGGCAGGCAAAGGGAAGAAGCAGGAGAGCGGGCTGGTGGGCCCGGGCAGCGTCGTGGGCGCGGCAGCGTTCCTGTCAAGCACGCGCAGCCGCACCGCCGTGCGCGCTGCCGGCACCTGCTGCCTGGCCGCCTTCGGGCCGCAAGAGCTGGAAGCTCTCCTGGTGAGATGGTCTCTGCATGCAAAGAAGAACAATTACCTGGTGTCATGTTATGTAGACGTTACAAGTGGCACAGCAATAATATGGGATTTTTTTACTTCATGGTGCCAGTCTCTGGATGCAGAAGCGACAAATTGGGCTTCATCTGGTTACAGAAACGTAATCAGAGGAATGGAAAACAAGAGCTGATCAGAAGAATCAGCACAGCTGGCCCAGAACATTGCGTTGGCGCTAATTCCGAGTGCGCTGCCATGGTATTTTGCAGGAGGAGGACTCAGATGCCTTTCTGGAGCTTCTCCTGCTGGCGGCGCGGTCGCTCGGCCCTGTCATCCGGCGCTTCATCTCGCTGGGCCTCAACAGAGTGTGGCTCAAAGCTGGAGACCCTGCCTACAGGTGTGTGTGGTTCCATGTTTCATCCTCTACTGGCATGACATGTACTGGCCCAAGACGTTGCTAGGTGGTTGTCATTCAGGAGTCACCATGTTTAATATGGGAATATTGCATTGAGCACTGGAAGTAACGCTGCAGGCAAGGGGAGGCTGCGGAGTCACTGTACATTATCATCAGCGGCCGCCTGAGACTCCTGCGAGAGGACCCCGCTGCACGGCTGCCCCTGACTGTGGAGGAAGAGGTATGGAGCAATCTTGATATTATATTATCTGCATGATAATCGGCTTGATAGGAGCTCACTTGCTGTCTATGAAGCATGCAAGGCAGATGGCAATGAAGGGAATGAAGGGCTTGGCAGCAAGTTGGGTGAGATAACCATGGCTGGCTGTGCAGGTGGGCAGAGGAGAGGCGGTGGGAGCCGTGTGGGCCCTGACAGGCGGCTACCATGACACCACAGCGCTGTGTGTCCGCGACTCTGAATTTGTGCGCATGTCGAAGGTGATGATGCCTTTCGTCAACCATCTTTTCATGACACCATCACTGTGCTGTGCTAAGGCCATGCACAAAGTTTCAATTTTATTCTTGCAGTAAGCTTGCAAATATCGGCAGATAGTATCACCCCTGACGTGTAAAATACTCTCACAGGGCGCGTTCGAGCTCCTCGCGCAGCAGAATCCCCGGGCCACATCCCGCATGCTGGAGGGCATGGCTCGCAGAATTGCAGCCGCATCATCGGCGCGCGGCCGCAGGTAACAAACTACTTCTGCCATATCTCCGATTGGTCCTCTAAGACGTTTTCCTCGCTCTTGCCAAGATCCTAGCTCCTGCATCCATTTCGGCAGACATAACCTTGTGATTAGCGCATATTGCTGTTGATGCTTTAGGCAAGTTTGATTGCTGTTATTGCCTGCATGACGGAATGGTGTCTGAGGGTGGCTGTCTCATTGCAGGTCTGCATTTACTGCCTCTACCCGGCAGACGGCCAACACAGCCGCAGTGAGGCAGGCGACCCAGGGCCACACCGGCAGCGAGGAGGATGCCAGGCGAGGAGAGATTGTTACCATCGCCCTCGTGCCAGCAGGTGAATGATCAAGCCTTGATTGCATGGTTGCCCTCTCAGCTTGAGAAGAGGGATAGTGGGCCTTTCACTCTGCCGATCTGGCTGGTTCCTCTTGAAGTGAAATTCTTGAACGCGAACGAGTGCATGCTCAAAAGAACATGCAGAGATTTTGCATTTGCAGCAAACATTTTACATCCAGCAGAGCATGATATGTGGTGCATCCATGCGCTGACAAGGGTGCGTGTGATGCAGGGTCCTATGCATCTTGGGTGGCGGGTGATAACCTTGCGCCAGCCACGGATGGGGCGGCAGGGACCAGCGGGGACGCATCCAGAAAGCCGCCCAATCTGAGGAAGAGCGTCTCTGGCTTTGCTGCAAACGGCGGCGCTGCCACAATGGCTGTGCGCAAAGTAGCAGCTGCCCTCAAGGTGCAGTCACCTGACACTTTGACACCTTCGCAGCAGCTTCAACTCCTCAAGAACACCCCTTGTGTCTCCTCTTTGCAGCATAAATATTGACCCACAAAGCAATTGTGCCCTGTATATATTGCATGCGGATTCTAGACAGTAAAGACATCCAGATATTCCAGTGAGTGAAGACATCCAGATATTCATGCTACAGCTTCCAGTTTCTCATACGTCAGTCAGGTAAACCAAAAGTCTGCAGAGTGACGCAAGCAGCATGTTCAAGAATGACATGTGGCTTCGCAGAACTCCTTGGAAGAGCTGTTTGGCCCGACGCTGCACCTGAACGCCAGCACTCTGGAGCTCAGCTTCCCCACCGCCTTCCAGCGCCTCCACATCTCCTTCTATCGCTCCAAGCTCACGTCCTGGATGGCTGCTCAGGAGGAGGACTACAGGTATAGATACCTGCACCCCCCTTTGTTCAATTGTGATCCACTGGACCCTATGCGGCCATTAGACCTGCTACACATGAGGGCATTTTATGGGAAATTCAGGGATGCAAAGAGGGGCCTGGCTTAGGCGTAGGGTACAAGCTTTATCAGCCTGTGGCACCCCACGCTTTGTTGTTGAGCAAGTGGTGTTGTGTACCTCGTTTTGGGATGGAGTGCGTGAGATGGTTGTGGTGTGGCCAGGTTCATTCTGCTGGAGGCCGATGCAGCGCTGACGCCCTGGTCTCGCATCTGCATCTCCCACGCTGACTGTGTCCTGCTGGTGGGCGCTGAGGAGGCCAGCCCACAGGTGCTGCTGCGCTTCTGATCTTCCTCTGGATCTTTTGACAGATCCTTGGGCTGTCCCTGCTCAAGCAATTGATAAAGGGCTCTCCCATGCAATGTATGTGATGGTGCCGTGATGCATGGTATAAGGGTAGCCTTCCTTGCAGGTGAATCTGCTTGAAGAGCAGCTCGTCTGGGCGCCCATGGGCCCTCCCTCTGAGGCAGTACCCGCTGCGAGTGCCCCCAGGTGTGCTGAGCCCCCCCTTGTTCTCTTTCTTGCTAGATGCACTCAATCACACATTCAGGATGTCCTAACCATACATTCAGGGTGTCACACACCAACCATTCCTTCTCTCCACCTGAGGAATTGTTGTTTTGTATTTGCAGTACCTCTCAGACGTCCCTGCTGGGCCCCTTTGACCCGACCACCATAGCATCCTGGAGCAACGTTGAGGGCAACCCCCAGCGCGGCCCGCAGCTCACTGGCAAAGCCGCCAACTGGGCCGCCCAGATGCGGTGCGCTGCCACATCATCTTGATGTTTCTTGCCGATGTCATGTTCATATCATTGGCATGATGCAGTGGACTGAGAGATCAAGAGTAGCCAAATTTGCAAGCCTCATCACCATCGTGCCATGTGCTGGCATGTGCTTGCATGTGACACCTATGGGGATCTGCACAAACAGGAGAGTGGAGCTGGTTTTGCTGCATCGGCCGGGAGTGGAGCCGACAAGCACGGCAGCCTGGATCACGCCGAGGCCCCTGCTAGCCCGCCACCACCACGTCCGCCTCTCAAACTCCAAGGTACAACATCTTTGCTTAGATAAACTCTGGAGAGTTTTATAGTTAGACCACGGTCAGCAGTCTGCACTGAAGCAATTGAAGGGAACCACCAACAGCATAGGCAGTTTGGTTGAGCTCGAAGGACGTTCACAGAGCAGGTTGGGCAAAGATGGCAGGTTCATATCTTCGCTGCGCTCATCTGAGGAAGTGGAGCTCAATCTGCGATTTCAGCAATCCTCTCGCCGGGTTGGTCAGCTGGCACATCACACGGCACATAATAGTCATTGCCTGCTGCCAGGACATGGCGCGCGTGGCGCGGTGGATGGCGGGCAAGGCGGTGGGTTTGGTGCTGAGCGGCGGCGGCTCGCGCGGGCTGGCGCATCTGGGCGTCCTGCATGCGCTCGACGACGCCGGCGTGCCCGTCGATGTCATCGGCGGCACCTCCCAGGTAGCGTTCCCTGCAAAGCTGTCTGAGGGCCCCCTTCGCATGCCAGTGAACCCCGTTGGCTCTGCAGAAATCAATTCCATGGCTTTGCTCTTGCTGTATGATGCTTACCTCTTGTTCAGACTCACCTCTGTCAGCCTTGACGAGATTTTGGTTGGTGGGATAACTTTCTAATGCACCGCACGTGCTGCACAATCAACAACCATACAGTATCAGAATAGCATAAGTAAGTATTAGCGCTGCGATTCTGCAATGAGGTACACGACGGCTAGATTTCCATACGGTGTACGGAGAGCTTAGCTGCCGCATGCCTGATTGCCGAATTTCAGTGCTGCTCACATGCTTGCCAAATGAGATTCATCGTTGCAGATTCACCTTCTTTGGGACATGGGCGGCTGATGCAGCTCTCTACATGCATGTGTCACACTCTGACGTTGCTCATGATGTGTGCTTAATACTTATGCTGGTGTGTGTCATGTGTGCAGGGGGCGTTCATGGCTGCGCTGTACGCTCAGGGGCTGTCGTGGGAGCGCATGCACCGAGTGGTACGCGATTACGCGGGCGCCATGGGTAGCGTGCGCCACCTGCTCTCAGACCTTACGCTGCCGCTCATCTCCGTCTTCTCCGGGGCCGGCTTTGACCGCGTCGTGCGCGAATCCTTCGGCCACGGCGCGGAGCGCATCGAGGACCTCTGGCTCAAGTGCGCCTAACAACAGCCATTCTTGAGAGACTTTGTTGCTAACGCTCGCAGGAATGATGAGGAAGTGGAGCAGTGAGCTTCCTCTGAGGGTTCGGAACGTAATGACGCCTGAGTCACGTTGACTGCACGTCGATGCCTTGCAAGTACTGTCTTGACCTGCATCTGGAAGTGCCGGAACATGTCTTCTAGGAGACATGCTGACATTGGCTGGTTTTGATCCATTTTACGCTTGAATGTGGCGTCATTGGCTACAAATGCCATGCTCTTCAGAAGACCCAAATGAAATTACACATATCGTGCCTCAATAGTGATATTTGCTGTGTGCGCTGTGCGTCGCAGCTTCTTCTGCATGACTACCAATTTGACGCGTGGCGAGCCGAGCGTGCATGTGGAGGGCCTGCTGTGGAAGCTGGTGCGCGCCAGCATGACCATCGTGGGCCTGGTGCCCCCCGTGACCGAGGGCGGCGAGCTGCTTATCGACGGGGGGTACCTCAACAACATGCCCGTCGACGTCATGCGCGGCCTCGGCGTCGACACAGTATGTTACATCCGCCTTATGCAAATCGCATCATGCACATCATCCATTTGATGTGCTTCTTCTTGTGCATGTCAGCTCAGGGGACAACCATCACATCACATCATATCCATCACATACCCTTTAGCTATGTCTGTACTTCTGACTCGATTAACTCAAACCACCTGATGCGATGCCGCCTCATCAGCATCGTCGTCAGACCTGCTTGCTTCCTGAGTCTGTTCTGAGAGTCGCTTGTCTGGGAACTACGCATAATGTGGGATCGTTTCACTACCAGCCCTCCGCTTCCACAGCAGTCCCTACTTCAAAGACCCCGCCATTCTGCCGTACCCTCAATGCAGAAGCACCAGGAGGAGGTCCGCCTTGGGTGGCTGGCAGAATGGCTTGGTCTTTGATGTGCGATGGTTGCGCTGTGTAAAGGGGCAACCTTTTAATAACTGTGGGAGTTTTATTCATGCTCTCTATGCAGGCGTTGAATGTGCCGTGCGCGCATGACTTTATGGCTATCTGGTTCACAGGTGATAGTGGTGGATGTTGAGGACCGGGACGACTCTGTTTGGCACAACCTGACGCCCATCGACGGTGGCCTCAGCGGCTGGCGCCTGCTCTGGGACCGTTGGTGCCCCATCCCCGCCCTCAGGTGCGCCTCTCTCTCAGACACTTCTGTATAGCTATTCCCCTTACGCACCAACATGTTATCACGCCTTCATAGCTCCAATTGTCTGCAGCAGGTGTAAATTATACTCATGAGGTCAAAGGACACCTCCAATCGAGGGCATTCTGAGCAAGCATCGACCTGCGCAGTGCTCAGCTAGCCAGCTTGCAGGGTCACCCGCCCTCATTCATGTATGATGCAAAGGTCAGGGCATCTCTGTTACTAGAGCTAGTTGTTGAAGGTTTGTGGGTGCATGCCAGGTACAACATAAAGATGCCGCGGTACAACCAGATCGTAAACGCGCTGACGTGGATGAGCCACAGCCAGAACCTGCGGCGAGTCGCGAGGGAACACCCCATAGACCTGTACCTGCAGCCGCCAGTCACACGCTACCGCCTGCTCGACTACCACCTCATGGACCGCATTGTGCGCGACTCCAACCGGTGCGCGACCGCTGCTTGTTTTCAGTCGACTGTGTGCAGCATGCAGCATCCACCATGCAGGGATGCATGCATCTTTGAGGCTGATGTCTACTACCTCGGGTGTTGCTTCAGCCCTTGCATGGTGGCTGTAATGGTATTCAGATGAATTGGACACTGCACCGTTATGTTGGCAAGTCAGGCTCTGCTGCGACAGGCTCCTGGTGTCCTCCTAGGACTGGGTGAGTAGCAGGTGACATCTACATTTTAGTTAGTGGCGGCCACTGGCAGTGATTCATCAGCTGTGCCTACACAATGCTCCTTGGCATAACATGAGGAGTGATTACTGCCTGGGCAGGTATGCGTGGGCGGCGATATCGGAGTGGCAGTGCAGCCAGGGGGTGACGCAGCGTGGCCGGCTGACGGCGCAGTTTATGAATGCGGCCAAGGACAGCATGCGCCGGGCGCGCTCCGTTGCCTGCATGACCCAGCTGCAGGCCAAGCAGAAGCAGGACTTTGACGCTGACGACGCCGACAACGGAGAACGCGCGCCCGCCGAGAGGTGATCCGTCCAAGGATGTTTCAAATAACTTTGCACTGTGTACATTCGGTCGCCCGCAGCAGCATGTGGCTTCTGCTGGAAGCTTGTCCCGTGCTTGGCCCACTAGGATGAGGCTGCTTCTGGCAGTAGTGCGTGCTGTTGCAGGCGCGTTGTGCGCAGTCTGACATGACACTGCTGGTCACTTTTCGCTGCATAGCTGGTGTTGGCCCAGCCACAGCAATGTCTGCATTTGGGTATTTTTCTTTGGTCAAGAAACTTACATTTGTCTGACTGCATCATTGTGACGTTCACAGGGAGGACGGTGCTGCGCCGGCACTGAGTGGGTCAGAGACAGCCGTGCTGAGCCAGGCGCCGTCGCTGCTGTACAACATCCCAGAGTCCATGTCTAGCGCTGCGTCCTCCTCCACTGAAGCCGCCCTCTCCGACATGTCCGTGGACCCCGCTGGCCGCTTCTCCTTTGACAGCATCAGATCTGTGCCGGGTGCGCCTGCCAATAACCTGGATCTCTTTGTTATGAGAAGAGCTCCAATTCATTGTGAAATATTTGGGTACGTGCCTGGAGCACATGTGCCTTTCCTGCTGCTGAGGAGGTGATGACATGAGCGTGGTCGATGCATGGAAGATTTTAATTGTGGGGCGTGTGTAACAAGCAGGCGCTGGAAGGCTCAAAGGGCCGGTGGCATCGCCGTCGGAAGTGGATGTAGCAGAGGTGGCGGAGGAGGAAAGCAGTGCGCAGTTGGGGAACACCGATGCTGGTGGTGACTTGTCAAAGGAGCCGCCACAGCCTGTTGTGGTGCGCCTTTAGACTACTAGTACTGCCTGTCTGTGGGCAACTCTTGGAACATTTGTCATGGTGCACTTGTCAGAGGTGCGATTGGTCAAGGAGGGGCACGTTGCCATCTGCTTTAGCTGAAAATCGTGTGTCTTTTTGTGTATGCAGCCGGTGCCCTTTTGGGAGTCACCCACCTCTTTCCACCTAACGCCTCCCTCCACCGACATGGCTGCAGTAGCAGAAACAGGGAGAGCCCCGCTGCCCATTCCCATGCCCACCCAACAGAACGGCAGCGATGTTGGCGCCTTCACTCTGGCAGCCGCTGCCGCCAGCGTCTCAGAAGCCAGCAGCGCCTTTGACAGAGCCAGCAACGTCCGCGACTACCCCAGATCCCTACCCATCGTGCTGAGCCCCTCCTTCCTGAGCTCAGAAGATGACGAGGACGAAGAGGGCAGCAGTGAGGTGGACGCTGCAGTGGATGCACTGATGGACGAGGAAGCAGCGGCAGGCAGCACAGAGTCCGAGGATACACCCGAGGAGGAGGCGAAATCGGGCCTGCAGGTTGGCAATGGGGGGAGCTTGACCCCCCGGCGGCTACTGAGCAGGAGCAGCTTCAGCCGCACGCGCAGCAACAGCTTCAACAGCAGCATGAGCGCCGGTGAGAGGCCCTCCTTGCGCACCCAGCATGGCACTACTGGACGGGTAGTCTTGCTCAAACTTGAGAAGAAGCTTGCACGTTCCCTGAACTGGGCTTGGGGTTGCTGATTCATTTGTAGAAAAGCACTGCTACACCCCCTCTTCCTCGACGAGCACTACAATTTTGTTGCTACCTTGTGCAAGGGTGCATGTCAAGCGGAAGGCAGGTGCCTCTTTTCTACACAGGAATGGGCACTGGTTGCCAATGCACCTAAATCAATGATCCAACCGGACTCTAAATTATCCATGTCTCTGCAGGCGGCCTGGCGGAGGACATGCGCACGGCGAGCACGGGACTGATGGACCTGCCCGAGGCGGGCGGCCCGTCGGGCAGCGCGCCAATGCGCATCCCGGTCGTGCCGGAGGTGCGCCGGCCGTCGCTGCCACCCGGGCGCGGCTCGCTCGGCAGCGGCAGCCGCCTCGGCAGCGCCAACATGCACCGGCAGCTCTCATCCCACCCCTCCCACGCCATGCCCTCCGGTGCGCATGCGCACCCTCTCATCTGCTGAGGAATTGAGCAGACTGCTATCTTTTGTGGACCTCACCTAATGCCCCTTATTGCTTGCCCACACCGTATGGAAATTGCCTATAGCACTGTCTGCAGTGTCTCTTTTGCTGGTGGCACTATGGCCTGTTTGGCTTTCGCCAAGTTTTTTTAGTGCAGGCCGTGCCTGACTGTCAGTGCACATTCTTGAAGGAGGGATTTGATTGAGTGAATTGCTGTCAGATATCAGTGACACCATGCCAACAAAATGAGGTGTTGCTGGGTGCTTGTGTGCGCAGATGACTCAGAGATGCCTTTGGCAGGCTACCCATCCAGCTACAGCAGCAGCTTCCGGCTCCCCGAGCCAAATTTGGACGCGCGCAGGAACTCCCTCGCAGACATGTCAGACATCTTTGACTTCCCTGTCGGCACGCCTGATGCCTCACAGGAGGAAGCTGCCGCCCCAAGAGGAGCCAATTGAGGCAGTCCATGAGGAGTGACTGTGTTGCCAGAGAGCATGCTGTGCTGCTGTTGTGAAGTTCGTGTTGCAACTACGGCATGGTTGGGTTTGAAACGTTCAAGTCATCCTGACAGGCAGAATTCTCGCTTGAAAATGTGCTGGCCGCTGAACAGGAAAGCCCAGGATCCACGATAGGTTGACATCGCCGATTAAGCTCTAAAATTAATTTAACCTAAGTGGGTTCAAAGTATTGAATAACTCTAGCAATGCAGCTACAGGCACAGATCTTTAGGTATCTGTAGCTTCATGATATGATCTGATATGATGCAATGAATCCTCTGTGCTGGGTTCTTGCCTCGCCATTTGTCAGGCTCATGCTTGAAGACACATCGATGTCAGAAGCTTGAGTGATGGTTTGATGTTCGCGCTTGTCTCCTCACGGCCCGCACACAAAATTGTTTGGGCTTGTCAGGACAAATTACAGAAATTGCTCAAGGGAATGCTTTTGAATTTGTGAAAGCCAGGTTTTTGTACAAGAACTGCTATTAAGATGCTGCTCCTGATATGCTGCAGCTGCTTTTTAACTGGTGATTGTTGGGTTTCACGCCTGGCCATGCATGTGACGATTGGATTACTTGAGGCCACCATATTGTTGCATATAAAGTGTGTCGCAAGGATCTGTAACATTCCATAACACGCCAATCAGAGCAATAAAATCAGATGATGTTGCCAACAAATTGCTTTGTTGAATACTGCAGCTGCCTGCGTCTCTGAAACTGATGTCAACACTGCCTCCATTGAGCATGCTTGAGGAACGCATGACCTAATATCTCCCCTTGATCCCACACACCTATAGACTCTTTGAAATCTAATCTTGTATGCAAAAGATTCAAAAGGCCTGCTTATCTGCCTACACAATCCAAACCTTGTCTCTATACTAGCTATAGCTACCATTTAGGACATGCAACCAGGATTGCACCTAACTGTCTTTGACTATGTCTTAGCAGAAACATGCGTTTCAAATGCGCCCGATGACATGTATGTATGATCCTGTGCTAGCAGCTGTCACAGACTTTACCTCCACTAGTTCATATTTATACAGGCATTGTCGTTTGTTGCATTTGTCAGGCATTCCTTCAAGAGTCCTGAGCACACAAGCAGTGCCATCAGTCACATTGCTCTACCACAATGCTCTTGAGGGGGTGAGCACAGATCGCACATGCGTGCCGACTGTCAAATTAACGAGTGACTGGTCCCAATGGCGACCCATACATGTAGCTATGACAAGCTAGTGCGGAAGCACAGGCACCAGGAATATGCTGGTGCTCCCAAGTGCATCTCTTTTGTCAAATACTTCTCTCCCTGGTCACAGAGCTTGTGAGAGGTCCAATTGCCCCACAACAACCTCTCCAAGCCATGGACGGTGCTACAGACCCCTTCTACATGCCAGCTAGATTCACTAAATAAAGAACGTGGAAAGGGGAAGCTCAGATCAGTACACATCCGCGTACGGGAGTCTGCAGCAGATCTAAGGAAAAAGAAGACATTACTTCAATGTGCATTGAACGCCATTCGGGGCCCAGAGCTCTTGTGGGAAGGCTGGAGGCGTCGTTTCAAACATCACGGCGTCTGACAGTGCTTGCAGAAAGCCCACCCATTTTGTTTCCAGGCCCCTGTCATATGGGTTCCCCAACATGCGGCAGCCTGCGCCATCCCACAGACACACTCAACACCACACCATTGCATGCACAACTACCAATTCTGCATGGGATCCAGCCAGGAGAGTGAACATTGCACCAGATACACTCTTATATGAAGGAAAGAGATCTGCACTTATCAAGGCAGAGCACATACCTCATTTATCAAGGCACAGCACATTTCTCTGAACTTCAACCAAATTCTAATGAAAAAATAGAATAAAATGGGGCAGCACCAGTTATTGCGCTGGCAATGATGAGGCCTTCCAAGTAGGTCCCCTTCTCGCTGGGGTGGTTCCCATCCTCCTCATAAATCTCTGTGAAAGTATTCCAGCGTGCCGGAAAGTCCTTCACTCTGCAAATACTCACATTTTGACCTGCACCCCAGCAATTCCAGAACGTCAGCAGGTGCTCGCTGTCAACTTCGAGGCCTTATCTTGCAAATGGAATCTGCGGCGAAGGATGTCCAGGCTGGCTTTCTGAGAGCACGCGTGGCCTGTAAGCAGCTCTGTACCTGGTGTGGTGGTAAAAGGCACTGAGTCCGATCGGGCGGGCAGGCTGATCTCTGATCTCACCGGCTCGCCTTTGATACTTTCCGGCACTGTCACTTGAGGGCCCAGAACAGGCGCTTCGGCGACAGCTGGCCCAGAGGCCTCGTCCTCTGGGGCTTCTGCTTGCGGCTCAGGCGCAGGACCTTCAGCTGCTGGCACTTCTGCTGACAGCTCAGGCGCAGGAGCTTCGTCCTCTGGGGCTTCTGCTGGCACCCCAGGCGCAGGAGCTTCAGCCACTGGCTCAGGTGCACCTGCTGCCTCGTCCTCACCAACCTCTCGCAGCCTGTGCCGCCTGCCAGCTGTCATGGACCCTCCACCAGCACCACGCATGCTCTGCTCCAGCTCCACAGCGTTGTCTTGCCGCACAGAGCGCGACTGGGCGCTTCTCGGCTGACAGAGGAGCTTTCTGCCGGCTGAGATGCTGGTCCACGCCAGGCCCAAGCCGCCACCTGGCACGGCAGCTGCCGCCGGCGCGTCGGCGGCTGGAGGCGTTCCCGCCGGTGCCAACTTTGGCGCAGGCACCGCAGCATTAGTCAGGGGCAATCCCGCCGGCGCCAGATCTGGGGCGGGCGAGGGCGCTGGCACCTCGGCGCGGCGGGGGCAGATGGCGGCCAGCAGCGGCAGATTAGGCGCTGCCAAAACAGGCGCCGCAGCTTCCCCATGCGGCTGTCGCGCCGCCGCGGCCGCCTTGGCCTTCGGCACGGTCAGGAACGAGGCGACCGCCGAAGGATTGGCGGCAGAAACAACAACTTCGGGCCCCAGAGCCGGTGCAGCACTGCTGCCGTCAGCGGGGCTGGGGGCAATGGCAGGCTGAAGGGCTGCGCTGGGTGCGCCGGATTTTGCACTTGAGTTTGCTCCAGGGCTGGTTGCATTTGCAAGCACTGCAGTGCCGTTCTGCGACGGCCTCAGGGCGGCCTGCTGGGAGAGAACGCCTCTGACTGCCTGCCAAGCCAAGCCCACGGGCGCCAGGAAGACAGGAATGCCTGTGTCTTCGCGCACTGCTCGCAGCAGCTCCACGTAGCGCCCATTCACCTTGTTCTGCAGACACATGATTGCTGCTCTCAGAAAGCACGAACACAACGAGCTGCAAAATTCTTGGACATTGTGGGCTCTCCAAGGTGTGTAAGTATGCCTTCCAAAGCATCAATGCAGGAAAAGACAGACTCAGTGGGGAGGCAAAATTGCCTATCACCACGTGCACTGAGTCGAAGAATTACAAGCTCCTTACAAATTATTTGGCAGAGTGACGAGGGGCATGCGCACCTGCATGTCCTCAAAGGAGGGGAACTTGTCATTGCTGCCGTCCAGCCACGCCCATGTGAGAACCACTCCGACTCGAGCGCCGCGCGCTGCCGCCAATCTAGCCAGCCCGGCAATGGCGTCCCTGGTGCCCACCTCACTCTCGCCCCCCAGTGCAACCTGCTCACTCTCCTCCTGCATGCGCACATTGACCCCAGTCAGCAGCCATTAGAACACATGCTATGAGAACGCCCCAAAGAATGGGAGAGAATCGTGGAATTACCTCAGGAGGCATACAGCAGGACATTACCAAGGTTGCTGCTCTGTATTTGGTGCAAAGCACTCTTTATGGTTGCTCTCTATGTGCGGTTGCCGCAGATAATCAGGCAAATGCCTCGCACATTGGACGAGTGGAAAGGAGGTCGGGCTGAAGGGACTTCTGACCTGCAGGATGACATAGTCCCATTTCTCTATGCTCTCAGGGTCTAGAGCTGCATAGTCGTAGGTGCCGGGTGTCTCAGCCTTCTTCAGATGCTCGCTAAGAAACTCGCCAGACTCGGCAATTTGCACTGCCTCTATTGCAGTGTTGGGAAATTGCTGACTCAGCAAATGTGCCACCACCTGCCCATGAACAAGCCATACACGCTCAAATTGATCTGATAGATACATATATTGGAACTGCAAGAGTTTCGATACAAGTGCACGATTGGCAGGAGCTAGTGGCTTGCCTGGTAAGTGCCATTGTTTTCAAAAGACAGTGAGTTCCCCACAACAAGGACGCGCAGGGTGCGGCTTTCTCCTTCAGTTGCAGGTGCGGGTGCATCCGTTGACACAACAGGGCCGATAAAGAGGGAGACCGACACGAGGGTTAGAATACAGACGTCTCTGGCAGACATGCCCAGCTGCCAAGAAGCTTCCTGCGTTTGCAGAATGTCGTTGAGCACGGCGCTGCATCATAACCCAATAACATCCAGCAACACAGAACCCCTTTGGGATCTGATTATGGTGTATCGACTGGCCCAGCGTCCAGCAAGTTCTGGAAGCCGGAGACGCATGGAAAATGTGGACACATCCCGGTGACGTCACCTCTCAACGAATGCTCTTCGCTCGATCGCCGATGCGATGTGATTATATCCTTAGTATACAAGGATCGCAAAGTGCTCAAGTCGAAACGAAGACTGCGCGCAGCACCTTACCGCGTTGGCGAACGCTTCCGATGACGGCTTAGCTTACAGAGTCTTTCACGCACAATGACCGACACGACGCTGACAATCACATTAAAAAATTGTGTTCATCAGACAAGACTCCATCGCAGGCCAACCCTGAGGATTCTAGCAAACAATTGGTCATGCGTCTTAAAGCGACCGAGAAACCCTTCTTCTGCGCCCTTATAACGACCCTCAAGCTTGCTTTGAACCCTCTTGAGAACGGAGCAGGAACGTCTCTTCATGCTGTAATGCGACCTCATATTGTACCTTGGAACCTGCAGTAGATATAACTCGGCAAGAAGCCTGTTACAACACTCTATCGACCTGCATGACAGTTTGCCTCTCAGAATTGCTGCGAGGGCCCCTATAGACTGGGTGGGCGATGCCTCTAAGCGACAAGGACAAATGCCTCGCGCGACTCTTCATGTCAGGCTGCTTTCATCATTGGGAGTTGATACCAGGTGAATCATTGGCAAGTGCTCCTTTCAAATCTTGCTTATGCAAAGACATTGCAGTGTAACCGTCAAGCACATCTAAGTGCGTTTCCTTCACGTCTGCTCGAGCTCTTAATGGCGATGATCATCGCATGAAGCCAGAGATAATTGTTTTGTGCTTCTGCTTACGTTTGAGGTCTTACTTGCAGAATTGGGACAGAAGTGCTATGCAGCAGGCTGCACGCTCGAGGAAGTCAGGGGTTGTGTTCGGCACCTCATCGTGTACGCCAGCTCTCTCGAATGCAACCAAGTTATCTAGTAGACGTAATTTTGATCTGCCTCGTTTATCTAGTCATTTCTGTGACCAACCGCAAGTTGCCTCAGGAATTTTCTAAAAACAATGCGTGATGTGCAGGGTAGCAGGGTATGGGCCCTGCCTGGCAGCCACAAACCATTTACATGCCGCCAAGGCAAGCCGTGTCTTATTCGTTATCACTACATTACAGGCACCCATTTACTCTCACACCGCTTTTGCACCCTCCCCTGAAACCCAGCATCAGATTTGTCCTAATCTGCGCAGCTCATGGATGGCAACACCTCTGGAAAAGTGGGCGGCCCTCCAGGAAACGCCTTTGAGCTGGTGTACACAGTGGTGACTGATGCAGTGCGCGAGAAGATGCACAATGTGGACCCAATACTAGCTGAGTACATCAGGTGTGCCACCCCCTTTCTAATGGCCTCACATGCTCATTCCACCCATTAAACGCACCCAAGCACATGCGCTTTGACTTCATTGAACATGTAGCAGAAGGGTCCTCGATTGCCAGTGGATTGCATGGTGTAACCAGCTCCAGTGTGCAGCGCATCAACAAGGTCCTGCAGGACAATTGGCGATGATGAATTCGGAATGAAGTGCAGGCGCCACTTGTACGGGGACATCTACAGCAGCCCGGGGCTGAGCCTGGCGCAGAAGCAGGTCCTCATGGTGGCCTTCCTGGGAGAGGCCAATATGCACGAGCAACTGTTTGGCCACCTCCTAGCGGTGCAGCATTCCAACCCATCACTATCTCAACTCACCTGCCTCCCATAGAATCCTGCGCTATTAAGAATGCCATGTCAAGCATGCAACTTTGCTTCCATAAGTGACGAAGTCAGAACGCCGTACTGAGCACAATATGCATGCATGCGGTGCAGGCCATGCGCTTCGGCAATGATTTGGAGGCGTGTCTGAAAGCCATCCAGATCGGCTTTGAGCTGTCGCCCAGGCCCAACGATGCAGTCTATAAAGGGGCTGTGAAGACCCTTGAAATGGTCCGAACTAGCCTCCTTACAATACCCTTCTTTTCCCTCTCCACTGTCCTTTGTTTCTTTGCCTCTTTTGATTGCAGATGCTGAGATTGTCAGCCCTTTGTTTCTGCCAGGCTTACAGGAAGTACAAGAAGGAGTTCAAGGAGGGAGCAGCTGCTTCACCAACAGTCATTGTCCCGGACCCGGCATCAGTACAGTGCGTTACATTGCATATTTGCTGTGATACGTTGTGCTGAATGTTTACCTTTTCATTGTTTATCATCAGAGAAAGCAGCATCCCGCTTTGCATGGGAAGCACTGGCAGGTCATATGCATTCATTTTGCGTTGGAAAAACGGTATCAGTATTCTCCAGCATAAAGACAGGGATGAACGCCGGTTGGTGCAGGATCCCTTCCCTGTACAAGGCACCCCAAGCTCAGCAGCAGATGCCAGCTGCAGCAGAGCAGCTGCTGGAGGAAGGCAATGAGGAACCTCCACTTGCAGAGCTGCCGGAGATGGAGAAGCAACCCAAATTGCAGCGTGCCGGCCCATCTGAAGCCTTTTCCAAGCTCCACATCGAGCGCTCTGGGCCATCTGGCAATTTCTCAAAGCTGTACGGGCTGAAGGTCAGGGCTTTCGCCCACGACATGTCACACAGTACTAACAGCACCTCGTCACCTTAGGGATTCCCTGAGTTTCAGGTATGGGCCAGAGGCTCGCAATTTATTGCTGTGCAACTGGCTCATCAGATATCATGCATTTGCTTGGGAGGAGTTCAAGTCCTTCATCACAATAGCGCATGGTAATACATACTCAGTGTTGGTTATATTCTTGGCGCTTGCATAGACAGCAGCTGCCGTGTTCTCATGTTTATGTTTCAAGACACATCATTCGCCTGTTACAGCATGAGCTGCTGCCTACTTGGTCTGGCTGAATCACAATAGATTAGGAACATGCGTTCAAGGATTTGCCGTGGTCTTCATGTAACCCGTAGTTCCAGTCACACGTCACAACACTAAAGAGAAGCATCAGGATGCATGGCATCACTTGCCGATGCAGAAGGTGGAGAATACTCTGTCCAGCACATCTTGGCCCGCCTCTGATCCAGTCACTTCTCCTAGGGCTAACAGCGCGTCCTTCACATCTATGGTCCAGAAATCAACAGGCAGCCCATCTTGCACGCTTTGTGCTGCCCTCTCCAGTGCCTCTCTCGCCCTCAGCAGCGCCTCTGCCTGCCTCTCATTCACTGCCCACCCGCTGCCGCCTGCACGCAATGAACCCAAGCTGTTTGAGAGATGTGTATTGGCCCCTTCGTCCGTCGTATCCAGTACTCCCTTCAGCACATTACAGGTCATTTTAAGTCCTCCAAAACAGCCAAGTTGCATTAAGACTTTCCTTGAGCTTTGCACAGACACTGCCATGCCTTAATGGGCCTCGTGCACGAGGAAAGAATGCCACAACAAGTAACAAGCAAGCAGATCAAGGGATAACGTACTGGGGACAGGATTAATCTGGGTCTCGCCTGTATTGAGTGAGGGCAGGCCAGCAGCGTGCACCACTGCAGCTCTGAGGTCATCCAGTCCAGCCCCTGACGCAGCTGATGTGGAGACCATTTGCCTGCATGCTGCCCGCACCTGCCAAGACACAGCCACCCATTACATGCAGAAGAACCACATCATCCTTTGCGAGGCAGTGCCGCATTGAATTCCTCATGATGGCAGCTTTCTGGCTGTGAAGATAGGTGACACCAACCAAGTGTCACCTCGACAGGCAGGCTTTGCTGTGCGGATGCTGCGCCGTCTGCAAGGTCCATTTTGTTGGCAACAAGTATGAGCGGGGGCACTGGCAGCTGCATGCTACTCGTGGAAAGTCGCGCCCTGTGGGCCAAGCCCCTCTGCTTCTCCTCATCTAGAGGATTTCTCCTCTGATCAGCTCCATCAGACTGCCAGCCGCTTGTGCCAACATTTTCAGAAGTACTGACAGTGGCATCTGATTCCAGTCGTGCTGAACTAGCAGCCGCTGCAGTGCCAGAACCGCCTGAAGTTGAGTGGTCCTCGCTGGCAGTGCTGCTCGACCAGAGACCCCCAAACACAACTCCATCCTCCTCCGTCCATCCCTCCTGCGATGCAGCACATGTAATGCTCTCATGAATATGACCCTCAGAAATATCAATCATCAACCTGCAAAGTACTCAGCATCAGATATCCCCAGCACTTATCCTTACAAAAGACGCCTCACCAGCAGGCCCCCCAACATGGTGTATCAGGATGTGATAGGGGCAATCAATAGAGAATCATTTGTTCTTTCACTACCCTAGATGCGGGCAAAGAATGAAATGGGAGGCACCATGGCATCATAGATCATGAGGACGATGTCGGCCCCTTGCGCAGCCGCGCGAGAGCGCTGCACTCCCAGCCGCTCCACCAGATCCCCCGCCTCCCTCACACCCGCCGTGTCCAGCAGGCTCACAGGAACGCCCTCCATGACCGCGCCTGCGTATTTATCAGTCATCATGCCTAATGCATCAGTCAGCCGCATGCAGACGAGAGCTCTCTCTACAGCGCAGAACTTGTTCTCATAGTACGCAGCAAACAACACTGTCCTGCCATGTGTAAGAGCAGCAGGGGCAAGGGCCCGGGCCCAAGCAAGCAATAGCTAGATTGAGGTGTGCTAAGGCCGGAAGAAGAGGCAAAGGTGCTGCTTGTTGGTGAGTTGGTGACCTGCTTCGACGATGTCTCTGGTGGTGCCAGGGATGTCGGTCACGATGGCCCTCTGGCTGCCGCTGAGGGCGTTGAGGAGGCTGCTCTTGCCCACGTTGGGCCTGCCCACCAGAGCCACCTGGCACTCCAGACAAGTGTTAAATGGGCACTACCGTATCTGGTGGATTTGACAATGGCTGTTGTAGTTCATTCAATTGCACCCATCCCATGATATCTGCCACCCAGTTGACAGGCTTGAGTTGAGCAGACAAGAGGGGGCAGTGCTGCCCCATGAATATGTTTGTGACGAGGTTGACACGGGAGTAGCAGGTGAAAACTTCACCTGCAGGCCTGTGCTGAGGAGTCTGCCTCTCTGGGCGGTGTCCAGCGCGCTGGACACCTTTTCGCTGAGCTCTGCCAGGCGCCGCCCCAGAAGCTGCGCGTCCATGGGCGGCAGATCCTCGTCAAAATCTATCCGGGCCTGCACACAGAGCCCGCTGACTTCCACACTTCTGAAAAGCAATGGTCAAATAAAGGCCATGGTGACGTTTTCCAGCGGACTGACACCACAAGGCCGGTTGCCTTCATGTCCTACAGGACACCTTTTCCAAAAGACAACATTGAACAGCTGCACAGGACCGTCTACGGTGACACAGCCGACACTGCTGATCAGATCGGATACACATCGAGCAACCACAAGCGTCCGAAATTTGGCAGGAAAGTCCTGATCGATCAACACAGATGCTTCGATAAGCCTGCTCACCTCCAGCTCAGCCAGCAGGTTCACCGCGTCGCTGCGCATGGCCGCCACCGCCGCGCCGATGCCCCCGGACATGCCCGCCAGAGCGCTGTCCGCGGCCGCAGCCGTGCGCGCATTCACAAGCGCTGCCACCGCTTCAGCCTATGCACACCACACTTGCTCTGTCTATGTTGCCCATTGCAATTCCGTGGCCTATGATCTGTGCTTTGGATGTACCTGTTCCCTTTGGCACCTTCCACCTAGATTTCTAGGCAAGCTCTTCCGCATACGCGAGGAGATAGCTCTTGGTCACAAAGTCGGAAGGACCCGATAAATGCCGGATTCCCTTGCGAATGTTAAACTGTCAAGATGTTAAATGCAAGTGCAGTGGGGCACCAGCAGAAGCCATAGCTGATTGATAACCCCCTGGCCCCTCAAGATATCGACACTGTGCTTTTGTTGAGTGCAGCCTCTTGTCCCCGTGGCGCTGTGGTATGTACGGAGGATCATCTTCCTTAATTAGAAGGCAGTCACAAACGGGCGGCTCCGCACTGACAGACTTACGGTTGAGCAAAATGACGTTGTGCTGCGACCGGTTTCACTGGTGGCAGCTGCACCTGGGAGAGGTCGAGGCGGCCGTTGAGGAATGCGCGCAGAGTGAACTCGCCCGGGCGCGCGCGGCGGGCGCCGGCGGCCAGGCATGCCTGCAGCGCCCGCGCAGCGCAGACGCCGCCTCCGTGCGTGTGCAGTTCCACCACGTCCTCCCTCGTGTACGATCGCGGCGCCAGCATCGCAAGCAGCAACACCTGCGAAGAAGCCAAGGGATGCAGACAGAGACAGGTGAGTCGCGACTTGACCATGCCATGCTTATTTTGACATGGTGAGTGATATCCATGGCTGACACTGCGTGCTTCTCATGCTCTGTAGCAGCAGCCAAGAAGATGGATTGATAGAGTCTGGTTCAAGGAGCAGCAATGCAATAGAAATGTGCCTCTACCAGGATAGTATGAACAGGATAGCATAGCATGGAGGAGAGCATTGTTCAGACACCTCGTCTATTGCGCTCCCGTTGGTGTCTTGCAGCAGCCCATGGTGCACTCTGTGCGACTGTGGCTGCCACTGCTGCACCCGCATTTTCCCGCTCGGCTGGAAGATCTGCTGCGCAATCTGCACTGCCTCTGCCCCGGACAGCCGCACTATTGACACTGCGCCCTGTGGCCCTGCGCAAGTCTCGCCTGAGGTCAATAGTTCTTACTCCAGAGAAGGAGTGACAAGCCCATGCCAAGTATAAGAGAGCATCGGGTTGACCAGTCTGTAATACCTGTGACAATGGCAGCTATTGTGTCGGCCCCATAGCTTGTGGATGGTGCACTGTCAACTCCCCTTGGAGAGGCCTCACCAAGGAGGGAGGCACCAACTGAGAGAATTCCTGTACATGCAAAACGCATGCAAGCCTTTGGATGCCGAGACTATTACTAAATTGTTATAGCAGCACACTTTCATGCTGCAGCTGTGCAGTTCGGCAAGTGCTTGCCTCGCCCATCTGCCACTCCCAGCAACTGCCTCTGACCGTCTTGGATACGCCGTATCCCTCCAGACACACGCTGCTTACTAGAATATGTACAACACCACCTTGACGAGCCAGACGTCAGGCCACGAGCGATCAGACGTTGCTGTAAATGAGTGAGTGTAGATGCGGCATGCATCTCTCTGAGTCCAAAGAGACCGGCGCTAGTCCAATCCTTGGATCCAGGGCATGAAACAAATAGAGTACATCTCTCACGATGCAACTGACTGAGCTCAGATCGAAAGCTGCTTATTTATAAGAATTTACGGAAGGTTACTGAAGAATGGAGGCTACCTAAGAGAGATACTGTGACGTGAATGCGCTTTTGTGAACGGAAAGAAACAGCCGGCTGCACAGAATTCAAGTCTTATTTTCAGCATACGTTCAATCTCTCACCTTCCCCCTCTGGCGACACTAGTGTGCAATTCCCTTGTTCTATTGAAAATTAGTTCAGAGTCCCCTGAAATGGAGCCAAATCTGAGAGCTAAAATCCATGGCGTACCCATTGAAGCAATGGCTGAAGTGATTATGCTGCCCTTCGAATGTAGGCAAGGAGGATACAAGGGTCCTTTGCTGGCTGAAAGAATCGAGCTTCACTTGGACTCTGTCACCTCCTACGAAGATTTGGCAGGTACTTCACTTGCGCAGTGCTTGGTCTTTTGCAGATTGTTGATATAATTATCTTTCATATTTTTGCTAACATATTCGCAGGCGAAGTAAACAGTGAGCTCCACCACATCGGCCAAGGAGATAAGAAGGTAAAATTTTTGCAGTTCTTCCGGACCGGAGACGAGCATGGCCCCACCTTGGGGTTCATGAATTTCCCACAGACAGAGACACCATTCCCGGGGCCGATCAAAGGTAAGATAGCTCCTTTTCTATATTCCATTTGTGATTGGCGATGGCATCACTGACTCTTTGTGAGTTGGCTAACCCATATTTTTGCTGATGCCAGGCTTCCTCGACCAGCAGCGTGTTGTCAAGGGACTTGCCATTGTTTGAACCCGTTCACGGTAGGCTGCCGTGCCCGACATGCAGAAAGCTCCATGCAACAGACTTGAATTCAGTACTGTTGTTCCCTGCTAGGAATCGACCTTGCTTCTTTGCACAGGCGACCGAATGGCAGCACCTCCAAATCTGGGGTCTGTGATGGTCTTCTGGTGACCGATCCTCAAATGAGAGGTTTTCCGTTTGCCCTCCTTCAAGGGCCTTGTGAACTGGAATCAGTATGGCCTGAGTTTGCAGCAATTGATCACGGCCAGCGCACAGCACATTGTCGACAGCAGCAGAGCTGTGGATGCGGAAGTCTTACTCGTTCACCCATTGCGCGCTGCTGGGGTTCCCGATGAGCAGGTTACTGAGCAGAACATTTCAACAGGACCTGGGAGTATGGCCCAAGCATGCCAGTGGAATCTTTGCCCCAGCGCATTGGAGTGATTTTCAGGAGCCTGGCCCCAGAGTCGCCACCTCTGCAGTCAGCATAGCAGCGCAGGGCTCCTTTGCAGCTGTGACAAGTGTGTTTGGTATTAGCACTGAATGCTGAGTTTTTTCAAGGAACTTCCATACAAACTAAAAATTCTCTAAAACAGGCTGATGAGGCTGATGTGAGCATGATCTATCGATCCACTCCTTCTTGCAGGTAGTGTTTGGTGTCTGCCTGCTCTCCTGTGACAGGAGAGCGGTTCTTTGCCTTGCCCTGACTCACTGTGTGCTCCTCTTCAGACCGAGCCAGGCATAATTATCCATTTGTCACTGTGATGTTGTTTGCCTTTTGTGTCCTGTTTGTCTGCATGTGTCTGATCTGTAACAGGATTGCATCTGTATAGGCTTATGCAGTGCTCCGGAGTGTCTTCTTTGTCTCTTTGAGGGAGCTGGTAGGAGGGCAACAGTTTGATGGGTTCCTTGCCTTGTCACCTTTTGAGCGCGCCGCCTCTTTTTTGAGAGACGACTTCATGTCAGGAGTCCTTAATCAGTTGCATGCGGTCCACCGCCTTGGGGACAGTTTCCTTGTGGACATTGTGTCCCTTAGGACCTCCTTGTTGCCCGCATAGTGACTTCAGCTTTGTTCTAGTGGTGTACACTGTTCCGTGTGTGATGACTACATGTTTGTCTGTGATTGTCTGCCCAACTCTGGGTATTCCTGCAAGATAACCTCAACGTCACCTACAATGGTGTTGCGTTGCTGGCAGGCCAGAGGCCCCGGATATAGAGGGGTACTCATCCTGGGCAGGGAGTGCATGCATGTATATGATGAGTGAGTGATAGGCTGCAGACCAATGAAGGCCCCGCAGATGTGGCTGCAGACGCCCTGCGTGTATGCCCTATGGCTTCTGGCTTTGGGTTTGCCGACCTGTAATAATAATAATAATAATAACAGGCTCTACCTCTGTTTCATTTACATCTTGCCTGCATGGTGTTCGCAACCCTTGTGTTAGAAACCCTGCAGCCGGCAGGAGCCAAATCGGGCAGCATCAGCTGAATGGCCTCAGCTCAACGCCCAGTTCCATCGGCTCATCAGCATCGACAGATCAGCGAACAAAAATATAAAGTGTCGAGACAACTCTGCAGTCAATATTTTGTCGACTTTATATCCAATATTTCTGCAATTGATTGCATTTCGCATACCTTGAGCTACAGATCGCAGGAAATCTGATCGAACTAAGGAGCAGTCAGGAGTCCAAAATATAAGTCTTCGATAGTTTTTTTGCGACGCTTCACTGCAGTTTGCGCAAATGCAAGCCGGAGGATTGAATCAATGCGCATCGTTCAGCGCACTAGACTTGAGGCCTAACACAGGGCGACATGCACTCACAGCACCACGGTCTTCCTTCAGCAGACGCCCAGCTGTAGGCAGAGGTACTCCTTCTTTATGACATTTGGCTACATAATTACTTGAAATTGCATTAGATCCAGGAAATGCACATTTGCACCTGATACAGAAATTTTAAGGTCAGGAGCACAGGCCAGCATTGTCTCAGGGAGACAATTGCAATGCCATAAAAACACGCGGTCTGCGTGTGAGTGTATCACAAATAAGCCTGTGCCCAAGAAAGTGTGCAGTAGCCTTGCCAATGCCTAAAGGTTGTGTCTGCCTTGGACAGGCCTCGTTGTAGTGCGTGCTGCAGTGACAGCGGATCCTAAGACTAGAGTCGTCATCACGGGCCAGGGCATTGCCTCGGTCTTTGGTAATGATGTCAACACCTTCTATAACACGTGCGCACCCCTTTTTTCCCCCAGTCTTTTCGTGTGTCTAGAGCTTGTCATTGATACTCCCTTTACTGAGTATCTGATGACGCCGTGGCTTCTTTTTGGCGCAGATTGTTGGAAGGCAAGTCTGGGGTGAAGCCAATCACCAGATTCGATGCCTCTGAATTCCCGACCACGTTCGCGGCACAGATTGAGAACTTTGACAACGAGGGGTGAGGGCACTCTCCCACAAGCTTCAAATCAGGACATGCAACTTTATATGCATGTCATGGTGTACTGCTCGATGATTTTATTGGCAGGCATATACCCGATGTGACCCGATGTTGCTGCATGGCATAGGCTCATCGACAAGAAGAATGCCAGGCGGTACGATGACTGCATATCATACTCTCTGGTCTCCGCCAAGAAGGTGCGGCCACAGAGGCTTTCTCTGTCAAGGCACAACCTAGTCGTCAGACTTGTAGATAGTGTGATAAAGGATGTGCATCGAAGGACCAAAGAACGCTCTCACATACTCATCCTCCATCCTCATATTCAAATTCAATCTGGCGATTAATTGTGGGCCTGTCTTCAGATCAGCCCACATCTGTGCAGATAGTTGCTGTTGATTAAGCTTATGGGCCAGACTGTGCTATTGGCTGTGGGGATCAGCCGATATGAGGTTCAATGTCCAGCGGATTTTGCGCGCATGGAAATTTAGATGCGCTGTTTGAATTTGAAACAGGCGCTGGCGGACGCTGGGCTGGAGAAGGGGAGCGAGGCGTTTGAGAAGCTGGACAAGACGCGTGCGGGCATCTTGATTGGCAGCGGCATGGGCGGCCTCACCGTTTTCCAGGACGGCGTCAAAAACCTGGTCGAGAAGGGCTACAAGAAAATCACCCCCTTCTTCATCCCCTACGCCATCACCAACATGTGCGCAGTTCTAAAACTGATTGTCCTTGCAATGGTCTCCATCTCGTACTCCTGGACTGTATACAGGCAGTCTCACTGCAGATTTTTCTCTGAGATCCAGACTCATCAGGATTTCATTATGGGAGCCAGCGTGTTGGAAACAGTGACCCAGCATTTCGGGGGGTCCAGAGAGGCCGTCAATGACAAGTTGCGCCACAAGGCAGGGGGGGCGCGGTCATGTGCGGGGGCGCCCACCACTTCTGTACAGCACATTGTGATTTGATGTCAGCCATAAGTGGCCCAAACGGCCGACTGCTCATTCCGTGCCATTTTGTGTGATGCAGGGGAGGCGCACTGGTGGGCATTGAGACGGGCTTCATGGGCCCCAACTACTCCATCTCAACGGCGTGCGCGACGGCCAACTACGCATTTGTGGCGGCCGCCAACCACATCCGCAAGGGCGAGGTCGACATCATGCTGGCCGGCGGCTCCGAGGCTCCCATCATCCCTGTCGGCCTTGGTGGCTTCGTCGCCTGCAGGTGGACGAAATCCCTACATTTCTCTGCCTGTCTCCCATGCAATGCTCTTGGTCTGCTCCGCAAGGCCTCTGACCAGCACAATCCCAGCAGAAGCTGGAGGCTCAATGCAGTCTTCTGCGTCTACACCCCAGGCCTCTGTCCATCGCAATGACTCATAGCCGCATCAGATGCAAGAGGCTCCATCAACTTCTGCATTAACATCAATTACTGCATCCATGAAAGGGGCTGAATCTTCTTGCATATAGATTGAAGATGGCTGGAGCAAGATACATCAGGAGCGAGAAGTCTGATTCCCTGCAGGGCGCTGTCGTCGGGTGGGCTGACGGGTGAGCCGCAGAAGGCGTCGCGGCCGTGGGACAAGGACCGTGACGGCTTTGTCATGGGCGAGGGCGCCGGCGTCCTCGTCATGGAGTCCCTGGAGCACGCCCAGGTGCGCACCTTCCATCTCTTGGTTTCTCTTGCTTATAATTTGCCATGCCAGTGGAGAAAACAGGAGGCATATCCCTCTGTTGACTCCAGACTTTGTTTCCTGCTGGGCAAGTGGTAGAGTGTTGTGGCAATTCTGACATTGCCACCCCATGCAGAAAGGGGTGGCAGAGCAGGGATATTATGTCGCCTCCGACGAGAGTGCTGCCAGATTTTTGGATAAGCTCTAGCGACATACAGCATGCCGGACCCTCATTGGTGCAGCTCACTAGCACGCCTGTAACTGTCTGCCCGTCCCTGAATGTTCCGTGACGGCTGCAGGCGCGCGGCGCAAACATTTTGGCGGAGTACATGGGCGGCGGAATCACATGCGATGCGTACCACATGACGGATCCGCGCGCGGACGGCCTCGGGGTCTCCACCTGCATCGAGATCGCCCTCAAGGACGCCGGCATCGAGCGCGAACAGGCACGCCGCCGGACTGATGCCCTTTACTAATCGCTCACTGGTAGCAGAAAGTGCAAATTTGCTGCTCATGCAGCAGAAGGCCGTTTTGGGCGCCGTGCCTGCAGCACCTTGTCCAGAGGTGTCCTTTGGCATGCACCCTGTCATGGCTTGTGTTCTGAGTCCAGTTCTTCCCATATCTTGCTAGCCCAGAAAATGAAGCCCAAGACACTGATAAATAGAATGGCAGATCTGGGCATGGCTAGGTGAGCTCAGGGTGTCGCTGTGCAATGGGGACATATCACGTGCACCAGATCTGAGCTATTAAACCACAAATCCGTTCAGATCCCAAAACAGAGACAAGACGGCTGACGAATGCTGTGCGCGGGTGAGCAGGTGAACTACATCAACGCACACGCGACGAGCACGCTGGTGGGTGACGTGGCAGAGGTGAAGGCGATAAAGAAGGTGTTCCCCAGCATGGCGGGCATCAAGGTCAACGGCACCAAGTCCCTCATCGGCCACTGTCTCGGCGCGGCCGGCGGCCTCGAGGCAGTCGCCACCATCCAGGCCATCCGCACCGGCTGGCTGCACCCCACCCTCAACCAGGCATGCTCAGGACTTTCCTTGGGCACACACTTTTCGAGTGCTCCAGCTCCCCTTTCACTGCCTAGGACGTCCGAGAGACATCAGGCACACGCAGAACAGCACTCTGCAAATTTGCACTGGGTTTGCAACTTCAGTCTGGCGCGGATCTTATGCAACGACAAGTTCCCTGAGCGCTCCAGTCCCCCTCAGCTGCCTTGGAGGATGACCTGCTGTTTGATGAGGCAATCTGCCATGCATCTCACCCTCAATCGGCATGCGCAGACCTTCAGATCAGATGCATTTCCTGACTGTTGCAGCTCTCCTCTTCTTCTTGGAAGTAATTGACTTTGCATGCGCGTGCGTCCTCAGCTAGTGGCAGAAGGCCCTTTGCCTGCCTGCTGCTGCGGTGTCTGGGTTGGTGGGATGCCTGAATGGAAGGCAAAAAGTGAGAGCATTCTCTTTGTTCCCATGGGCACTGTCTGACAGCTGTGGTGCTTGCCTGCAGGACAACCTGGTGGATGAGGTAGCAGACATTGACACCGTGCCCAACGTGAAGAGCCAGCACGAGGTCACCGCTGCAATCTCAAACTCTTTCGGCTTCGGCGGTCACAATTCCGTCGTTGTCTTTGCCCCATACAAGGAGTGATGTGCTGCTACTTTGCAGCGACTTCTGTGGGATGTGTGTGAGAGAGAGTGAACGGTAGGCATGGAGAGTGTGGAAAGGGAGCCCCTTGCAATGTACAGAATGCTGCTTGGTAGTGCCAGAAGACTTTTACTTGCATTTCTTGCTGCGCACAGCGTACAGTGCCAGTATACATATGACACACACAACAGAGAGAGAAGAGGGACATTATATTGGCTAGGGCATATCGCCGCAAAAAAATGGCAAATGTTACGAAATAAGTTGCCTGTATTGCATACCAGGCATGAAGCAGTACGCATGCATGCCGACACAAATCTAACAGCACTATCATGACTGTAATAGAGTTCTTATTTTATTGCGGAGCATGACATGATGGTTCAGCTGATGACAGCTCCTGAACAATCAAGAAATTAGTATCCCTTGAGGCCCTTAGGCTTTCTAAGACTGCAACAAGTGCATCCTCCAAGGTAATCCAAATGGCTCTTCGGCAAAGATGCAGATATGGGCAACTCGCAAAATGGACAACGTCATCTAGCTTCATACTGTGAATAATACTTACAGAGGTAGTTACAGAGATGGCTCTTTCAGGCAAGTCAAGTTGGAGTATTCATAGACACTGCAATGCTCTCAAAGAAATCAAGACATCAATAGAAAATCTCATACAAATGCCTGACTCATGGTCCCTATTCTAGAAAAACCAACCTGTATTATTCTGATATTCACACCCTAGCTAGCTTCAAATGCAAAGTTGCTTCACCATTATTGCCACGTCACAGCAAATCACCTTGAACACTCCACACACCAAAACATACCGATGTTCTGTCTGTCTGCTGCCCCGCATGTATGAGAGATGCACACGCACAGTATCGACACCACAATTCCAAAACACTCCGATCTACTTCCCAGATCCCAAATAAATGCTCATGACATCACATCACCACAACTAAGGACACTCCACAGCAAAATCACCATCAAAGGATGCCACGCAGGGCGTAATCCTGACAATCTTCACATGGAAAAGTAAATGAAAATCACAGCCGGTGCCTCTACAAGCACCTGCAAAGACAATCAGCAACCCGAAAGCTGCCTCAAAATGCATCAGCACGTATGCTATGTCTCCCTCTTTGCCAGTGATTCATTGGCTCAAAATGCGCCGGCACGGATGATGAGCGAGCCGGCAGCGGCCACGGCTGCGCTGAGCGCGGCAGCGGCCACCTGCTGGTCTCCAATAGCGGCCGTGCCGCCCTTGCCGACAGCGGCCAGCAGCTGCTTGGTCACCTGGTTAGGCTCCACCCCCTCGCGTACCATGGACCTCTGCAGCTCCATGCCCTTCTCCCTGTCACCATGACACACGCTCAGCGAATGAACTCATATGGAGTTCAACAAAGCCCAATGCAGCCATATCGCATGTAGAGAAAGCCCCGACATTTCTTTGCATCTACTTCAATTTGGGGGTGGGCATCATCAAGCACGAGCTATTGGGAGACAAATCATCTCCAGGTGTGCAGGGCTGCAGGCAAACTCTCTGTAATCAAGTTCATCTGCAGTCCAACCCTTGCCTGGGTCTACCATCACAGTTCTGTGCTACGGCCGGAGGTGCATGGAGGTGGAGGGCTCACCACTGCTGTGCGCGCTCGCAGGCGGCCATGAGGGCGTTGTAGACGTGCACGGTCAGCGGCACCCTGCGCTGACGCATCATCTGCCGCACGCGCAGAGCTCCCTTCCAGTCCCCCTTCATGCTGCACGGCCAAATATACACCCCGTCAACCTCCTGCCGCTCCTCAACTCACATGACTCCACTCAATCCAGCACCCGGCATAAGCACACTCTAGCGCACTTGTACTCTCATCTGTGGATCATGCATGAGACCTGCAAAGGACCTAGTCAGCGACTGATGCAGCACAAGGGAGCTCAGCAGATAAACAGCAAGGACGCCACACAATACACGCATGCTCAGCTGGACAAGACAAGTAACTCTTAACCCAAACTCAGCACAAGAATAAATCAGCGAAGGCACATGCACAAAAAGACACCTGACTCGAACCAAGCCAGTAAATATAAAGCTCAGCAGGAAGATTGCACACACCTGAAGGCGGCGATGAGGCCGCAGTAGGCGTAGTCACGCGGCGTGTGGCCCACTTTGATCATGGCCTGGTAGACCGCCTCGGCCTTGTCGGGGAGGCCGGCCATGCCGTACGCGGCGATGAGCGTCTCGTAGGAGACAGCGTCCGGCTCGGGGATCTCTGTGAAGAGCTCCTCGGCCGCCTCGGCCCGCCCGGACTTGGCCAGCGCTGACATGGCGGTGTTGTACATGATTGTGTTGGGGGCGATGCCCAGCGCGCGCGCACGCTCCAGCACTCCCAGTGCCTGCGCCACATCAGCAATGAGTCAGCAATCAGGCAGCACAGCAGCCAAACTTGGCTGTCGGATAATTTATAGCCTCAACACTCAGATGCTCATGACGACTCAAAACAGCTACCCAGAAATGTAAATCTGAACCTCTGACGGCGGTCCCATCGGAAAAGAGTGTCAAGATTGTATGAGAGAAGGACCCCTTCATCCCTGCCTTCTCTACCGTACAGCCACGACATGCCTTACAATAGTCATGATTGTCAGCACCGCTGTCAAGAAACAAGGATGACAGCCGTTGCACTTGCATGCAAAAGTGACCAGGAGGGATTGGCATTCTCACCTCGTTCCACTTGCCGGCGCGCTCGTAGGCGAGCATCATGGCGCCGCAAACGACCTCATTGAGCGCGGTCTTGGCGGCGGTTGGGGGCCGCACAGGGCGGCCCGGCAGCTTGCTGCGGTGCTCATTGCCGCGCATCTCAAGACCCCACTTTGCACCCGACACACCGTTTGAGACAGCCTGCAACGCAAGCATGAACTATCACACTTGGACTATCACACTTAAGGTGAGGTGACTCAAAGCAGCATGCTTAAAAGTCCATTCCTTCATGGCTCATCAAGGAGCGGTAACAAAATAAGACAGTGCAAAGGGAGCGCTGAGAAGTAGATTACCTGAGGTCGGACGAGACCCGGGACCACATTGCTGCGGACGCCTGGGATCTGCATGGGCTGGGAAGTGCTCCTGCTGGTTGGTGCCTGGGTGGCGGAGGAGAACAGGCTGAAGGGCTCATGTGATCCTGCACTGGAGCCGCTGGTCTCTGAGACATTCGACTGGCCCGGCAAATTGTCCGGCAGCATGTCTGACACCGAGCTGGCCTCGCCGCGCGGGCTTGAAGACAGCACCTGCCGCAAATCACATCCCTCAGCAAAGCACCCTGTAAGTCTGCAGCGATCACTGCCACAGAGAGACGACTGTGGACATCTGCATGCCTCACAGCAAGCATCAGGCACACCCTTCAGCCATTTCAATGTGACACAGATTTCTGTCTAACGCAGATATCTGTGGCAACATGCAAACGAAGCACCGCCCTCCAAAAATCAAACCAGGAGAACCAGGAGAAGCTAAGCTGAGTATTTCAATTTGTGTTTGTTATGGCTGTCGGGTGCACACCTGCTCTGCGAGGGCGATCGGCATGTCGCCGTAGCTGCCGGCGCCGTGCAGCTCCCCGGCGTGCAGCCGCTGCTCCAGCTCGCGGCTGAGCGCTTCAGCCACCCCTCCAAAATCATCGCCTCCCTCGCTGCCGCTCGCATTATCCACCTCGCGCGCCACCCGGCTATTAGTCGCCGCTTGGGTGTCCAAGGACCGCCGCGCTGGTGTCACGATCGGCGCCCAGGCTCGGGAGAAGTCCATCTGGGAGGGGGCCTCGCTCTGCTGCCCCGACAGGCCCCAGGGGTGCTGCGGCAGGGCGGAGAAAGAGTCATCGTCGTCTGGATGGGACATGCTGGCGGCGCCGCTTGGGATGCCGTCCATCATGAAGACATCCCGGTGAGGAAGTGCAGCTCCGTGAGATGCGTACGCCTCTGCCTCCAGCTCGCTGAACACCTGGGACAATGCCAGAGAGCCTGTCAGCACCGGTGCGCCTCGCCAGACCCAGAAGTCAGTCGAGATGATAGCTGCGCGCTGCTGTTGTACCTTGCATGTCTTTGCTCTCTTCCGTCGCAAGCCACAACAGCGACGGCCTGCTCCTCTCTCGAATGTCCTCTGCTTTGTGCTGACGTGATCAAGCTCGGTCCACGCATGAGTAATAGACCCAGAGGCACACAGTGAGCAGGATAAAAATTAGAATGAGAAGGCACCTGCTCAGCTAGCGCCCACTGGCCGTGCTCGCCCATGGTTTTGAGCAGGGCGGAGTAGGTGTACGCATTGGGCTCCACGCGCGCGGCAGACATGTCAGTCTTCAGGCGCTGTAGCGTGTGCAGCGCACGCTTCCACTGCTTCGCGTTGCCCAGCGCCGTTATCAGCGCCGTGTAGGTACGCACGTTGGGCTTCACGCCTGCCTGGTGACACAGCCAAAACTCTTCAGACAGCTGCACATCATCCTGTGGCCTCCATAGGAAACAGCACAACTGCAATAGCAAGTCAGACCACTAATCACAGTTTGCGCTGAGCCTCAGCATGCACAACTGCAGCAGAAGGGATAGCAAGCAATCAAAACAGCAACAATCGCCTGCTGCCCAATTTAAGTACCACTGTGAATCTCAAGCTGGCTTGCGCTTGTAGTCAATTGACCAGGAAATACAATACGACACGAAGAGGGCCTGACCTGGAGCATCCAGGAGACGACGCGTTCGGCGCGCTCCCACTGGGCGTCTGCGCCGAGGGCGGAGATGAGGGCGGTGCAGGAGACGACGTCGGGCTTAATGCCCAGCTCCAGCATCTCGTCAAACAGCTCCACCGCGCGCGGCCACTGGCTGCCCGCCGCACACGCGCTGATCGCCGCTGCGTACGCGTGCCCTGCAGTGGTAGTGTAGACACCTTAGCAAGAGCACCTTTTCCTACTTTATCCAGAAGCCTGCTGTCGCATCTTCCTTGCGAGTGGGACACCACATGTCAATGCGAATGGCTTGCCAAGAATCAATGCCTCCATATGCCCCAAACATGCACAAGCACGGCTGATCCTTGTTAATAAGCCCAACAATTTGTTGCACTTTCCTGGAAGGATATCAACGGAGAGAAGAAGGAAGAATAATGTCTGACCTGTGGGCTGGCAGCCGGCAGCGACCATGTCGGACCAGATGCAGAGAGCCTTCTCCCAGCGGCCGCCGTCGGCAGCGGCGCGCATGGCAGCGGTGAACGCATGAACCGACGGCGCCAGGCGGCTGCCCGGGGCCGCGTCGCGCATGCGGTCGTACATGGCCAGAGCGCGGGCCGTGTCCCCCGAGCGCGTGCACACCTCCAGCAGCGATGTGCACATGCGGCAGTCCGGCTCGCACCCGGCCGCCACTGCATCGTCCCACACCTGACAGCATGACAGCACCACGAGTCAGAATCACAGTAGCTGAGCTTGATGGGAATCACATGAACACAATCCTGGCATGCAAGGCAGGCAACAACCATAAGCTTTCCAGCTGGTACTTAAGGGTGTAAAAGCATGCATGCTAACACTGCCCACATGAACCTGAAGGGACAACGTGAACACCTAATCAGGGAGTGCGCAGCTCAAGTGCCAGCTCAACGCCAGCGTCCTGCTGCAGTAAGTGCATGCGGTCCCTGTCGTCCGGGTACTGGCAAGGAGTTCATGTACACCTTTCACAAGAGCAATGCCATCTGATCCAGGCACACCTTGAGGGCGCGGTCAATGAGGTTGCCGGCGAGCGCAGCGCGCATGGCGGCGGTGTAGGTGAAGACGGTGGGGCGCAGGCCGGCGCCGCCCTCGGCAACGCGTGCGCGCATCCAGTCATAGATGCTCAGCGCGTGCAGCGCCTGCCCGTGCTGCGCGCAGACGCGGATCAGCGTGGTGCACAGGCGATCATCCGGCGCGTGGCCCATGCCCAGCAGCCACTCGTGCAGCAGCAGCGCGCGCCGCCAGGTGGCCTTGCTGCGGCCCAGAGCCGCCACCAGCTTGTCCAGCTCACGATTGTCCAACCCACGCGCTGACACCTGTCGCAGTGACATCACTGTCTAATCAGCGCCCTCTGTCCTGATGGCATCAGCCTGGCTGAGATGCATCGCGTGCTCAACAGCTCATAACGCATGTACATTCTTCCGTGAGGAGGAAAGCAAAGGGACGGTGAGGCAGCGCAAAGCTGAGGAGCTGGTGAGAAGGTTGAGGTGACTACAGGGCCAACGTGGGATTCTTTAGGCCTGTTGCGGTCAGTAAGGGTGCACCCTGCAAGGCTATCCTGTGTAAGAGGATAAAGGAGGACTCACCCTCTGGGCTGTGGGCAGGTCTACGTTGGCACTGGGGTCCAGCAGGCGGTACAAGGCTGGAGGCAGGCTGCCTGCATGCGGTCCGGAGGGGTCCACCACCTGGGATGTTTTCGGGCTTTAGCACATGCATATTGTCTCGTCTTCGTAACCACACACAGCATGTGAAAAATGGCAGCAACAAGAACATAACATCCAAACGGTGGTCACGACCGGGGTGACTTGGCACAGAGCTGCACGCTCCCGTGCTCGATCGCCCTTGCCAGATTATGATCTCCACAGAACGAAGGTACGAGAGAACATCAATACTGTTGAGCTCCGTCCACGTCACTCCAGAACAGGCAGTGACGAGACATCCACCAAGGAGAGATAAGGGAGGCCCCCTCACCGGCAGGAAGTCTGGCACATGGAAGCGTTGGCCCTTCGTCTGCGGCCGTGCCTCCAAATCGAGCGTCTGAGCGCTGACTGCATGGGCCTGGTACCGGTTCCTGGACAGGCCCCGGGCATCGAAGGAGCCAGAAGGCGCTGCGTTGGCGTGGCTGTTGAGGAAAGGCTTCTGTCCAAAGGTGACTGATCCCCTGCCGGACTGGGTGAGGGTATTCCCAGCCACCGACTCTGCTCCCGGGAAGAACTGCAAGCCCCCGAGGGTAGCTGCCAATACCATTCTTGCCACTCAGAGCCCCTCAGACTCTACTGCCCCTATTGATAGCAATAATATGTACTAATGAATTCACGATATTAGTTTGGTGCTTTTCATATGCGGAATTGATCGCCTATATCTGCAGATCTCGTAAAGGAAGCCACTTGAATCGCCTTGTTGTCCATTTTCTGCTCCTGACAAGATATTAAATCCACCCTTTACCCACCCTTCATTGACGTGGCCTCCTGGTGTGGCTTCATGAAAGGGTTTTAGATATCCTGAGTCTATCCGAAAGGTTCGCCGTTCGAGACCTGATGCCAGGCAGAAGCCCTTCTCGGAGCCCTACACCTTTGCCAGTTCGGAACCGAACTTGATCGAGAGAGTCTGACCGCCTGACGCAAGCAGAGCCTTCCTGATCCTCTCTCTTTCAGAGATCAAGCTTAGGGGAGAAGTCAGATGGGGCTGTGCTACTCCTGCGTCGACAACGCTTCAGTCGAAGTCGTCGAAAGGGTACGCGCAGCTGCACGATTCCGAAAAGTGGTCTTTGCAAAGTAGTGTAGTTTATGAGACGAGCTCAGATGGCCTATCTGTGAAGCAAGAGAACCGTAGTTGTATTAGCACAAGGGGAACCTGGTCGGTTAGGGCTTAGGTTGAAGAAAAGAAATCGCAAAACAAAGAACGTTGGGGAGGACCTGATCCTTCTGTGGTGGAGCATCGTTTCCTTACATGGGTGTTCAGTGCGATGTCGACCTGTTGAGTTGTCATCACTGTATGTGCCAACTATAAGTGTGGCCCTGCAGTTCGGAAAATTTCATCGGATTGCGGAGCCAGGCTTCAATTGTATCTGCTGCCTTATAGGTGAATCCTCAACCCTTACAATTTTCCTTGCACTGTTGCTCCAATGCAGGCTTGCACGTAAAATTGTGAGGTCCCAGCTAGACAAAGAACTCAACAAAGGATCAAAGAGTTACTCGGTGCACAGGAGAATCAGTGGCTGGGAGCCTCTCGTTGCGTGTACAGCAGCTTGACGTCCGCTGTGAGACCAAAACCAAGGACAACGTGAGTGCCACCTGACCTTGCACCAGCCTTTTGAGTGTCACTACATGCTAGCAGATGTGCCTTCAGCTTGCGCCGATCGACTTGCAGCTGAGGTTAAATTTCATCCTGCTGCAGGTGTTTGTAAACGTGGTGGTCTCTGTTCAGTACCAGGTGAGTCCTCAGTGGCAGCCCCCCTGACATGGTCACTGTAAATGACCCCATATCGCACTCTGGACAATGCATGCCTCTTTATATCACACTCACAGTCTGCTGTGTAGGTCGAGAAGGAGAACTTGTACAGCGCCTTCTACAAGCTCACAGACTCCAGATCCCAGATCACCTCCTACGTGTTTGATGTCGGTGGGTACTTGCATGCATGACCTGATGTGAATAACAAACGCATAGGTGTGAATCTGCTCGCAAAGTCTACATTTTGACTTGTTGCGATCCTATGTTCCTGTGAGCAGTTACAATACAAGAGCAGAGTGTTGAACTTGTGTTAATGCAATGCAGTGCGCGCCACCGTGCCCAAGATCCTGCTGGACGATGTCTTCACGGTGATTGCCTGCACCGCATGCAGTGCTGAGTATCCTGGCCTGGAAGCACTTTGAGAGGTTTGTAGCTTTGCATTAGGTCATTGACGAGGATCATTTGCCGCAAAGGGCACCTTGCAGCCCTGTGCAACAATGGTGATCATCTTGATGAATTAATGCAATGCTACAGCGCGGTTATGCCTAGGTTGCCACTAGCAGATTGAATCTAGCTCGTCTCCAAAAGCAGCACAGCTGTGATTTGGGGAGCAGATTGATGTGAAGAGCAATTTGAGGTGAGCTTGACTGGCGCTTGACTGACGCTTGACATATGTGCATGCAGACCAAGGAGGAGATCGCGCACAGCGTCAAGGAGGAGCTGACTAAGAGCATGTCCTCCTTCGGCTTCATGATCATCCAGACGCTGGTGACGGACATCGAGCCCGACATGAAAGTGCGCGCCGCCATGAACGAAATCAATGCTGCGCAGCGTATGAGGTGCGCCCAGCTTTCAATGCTGCTGTCCCTGCTGCTTTGCTTGCAAATATCGAAAGAAGCAAGCCCGAGGAGGTAAGCAGGGACGTGCTTCTCTAGTAGGTGGTTGTTTGCGGGCACACATAGAAGCGCTCTGGAAAAGTCATCCTGGAGGAAGTGAGAGCAGGGTTATTGAGCATGGTGTACTGTACGTGCAGGGTGGCGGCCATGGAGAAGGCGGAAGCTGAGAAGGTGCAGGTGGTCAAGGCTGCAGAAGGTAACGCCGCCGAGTCAGTGCTCTGTATGAGTAATTACCCTGGATGCCTTGCCAATAATGCCAGGTGGCATCAAACAAGCCGTTACCATCATGACCCAGTAGCCTACAGCAGTCAGCCGATGCCGCTGCTAACCAATGCAGGGACATCATTAATATATATGCACACCTTCCCTGCAAGCACCTAGCCAATCATATTTTATCAAATAAGTGAGATGTTGGGGCCTGGTGAGTTGATTCCCCTTCATTGCGGCTGCGCAGGTAATGCTGAGGCGCAGTATCTGGCGGGAGTGGGAGTGGCGCGGCAGCGGCAGGCGATCGTGAACGGGCTGAGGGACAGCATCAAGAACTTCTCCAGTGACATCAGCGATGTCAGCTCCCGTGATGTCATCGAAATGGTGCGCGCATCCCTAGCCCCACCTGTATCTTTGGCTGCATGCTTGCTGTGTCTTGCACATGCTGGTGACGCAGAGGCATTGTCACAGCAGTATCTCAGACTAGATTTGGCATTTTGAGTACGCCAGAAAAGCTCCATTCTGACGGTTCATGGTTTTTGGGTATGCAGATGATGATCACCCAGTACTTTGACATGCTCAAGGACGTGGGCAGCTCAAACAGGTGAGAGCCATGTTATGTCCTGGGCAGCAACGCTCTTATGATGATCTTTCCCACATGCAAGAGCACACCATGCACATTGCTGCAGAGCGGTGCACCTTGCGGAGGCAAAAGTGGACAAGCGCTATGTAGTGAAGTGAATTAGCATCCTGCTTGATTATTCTCCGCCGTGAGGACTGCGCGCTGCACTTCAGCCGTCTTTTGAGCAGTGCCCAATCCTGACAGGGTATTGTTACTGATCTTGTTGGATGATGTGCGCTCGCAGGAATTCGACGGTGTTCCTGCCGCACTCGCCGGGCAACATCGCGGACATCTCCAGCCAGATCCGTAACGGATTCCTGCAGGGCACCGTCGGGGCTCCCCCGGCGCCCACAATGCAGCGCTGATCCACACAGCGCCAATGCTGCACACTGTCAGCAGGCACGCAGTTGCAAGATATCACTTTCAAGACCATTGCCGTCAGGTACAGGGACGATTCCTTTGCACAGTTTATACTAGAAAGCAGTGGCAAGATAGCAGAGGTAGCGACCGCTGGCTTGCAGCTGACCAAGATGCATGCAGGGGGCTTGCCACCCTGTCTCAAGATCGCATTTGGCGTGTTGTCAGGCCCTGCGTGGGCGCTTGAGAAGTGACTGAACGTGAGAAGAGGGCTGGCCCGCGGCTGACCCTGTCTGATGGAAGGGAGTGGAAAACGAGGTGCCCACAGCTCGGCTAGGCCTCTTCCACTGGTAGCAGGTTTGATTTTGAAGCTTTGTAGATGCTGGGTTGCCTTTACAGACTCCGCAGGATCCGGCACATCCCTGGGCAGAGGTGTTATGGACCTTTATTCACAATACTTACCCAGCAGTTCAGCGCTCTGCTCAAGACAGAACTGCTAGGAGGCCCTTGTGAGGCTCCAGTTGAACAGAAATGGATGAGGGCCTCGGCCTTGGGTACTTGAGCAACAGCTGGTTGTTGCCCACTGGGAGGCATAGGGTTGATAGATCAAAAAGATCTCAAGCAAGACAATATGCACTCATGATGCTGCCGAGTATAGATGCCGTTGACTGTCTGCGATTTAGGGGGAGTTGTTTTTCTTTGCATCTTAAGGCTCAATGAGTTTCTGCTTGCAGCGTGCAAGGCCTGTCCCACAAAGACACTACTGCGAACACTCTACAGTAAGTTCTTTGCAAACTTTGCAATGCAAAGTCATTGCACTGTTATCTGGCAGATGAGATAGTGGGAGGCCTTGTGACTCGTACAGCTCCTTAATCATAATTTGGGTGTTGAAGTGTTTTTGAATTGCGTTGCTATTTGCTAGCGCTGACTAGTGTAGGATGGCATCACAGGATAGTTGTCACAGCAATCATGGGGTCAAAGATAAGTAATGCAGTTTTTGGGGAGTATTGATCACTAGGAGATGCCAGTGTGGCACTGAAAGTGAAAGCGCTGCTGCACTTGCTTTGGTTTTGACATCTTTTCAGCGGGTGAAGCGAAATCTTGAAACAAACAAACCGGATGATATGCATGGCGCCTCTGACATTTATACTAGGTCCTAGCAACCCACAATGTCGTGTAACATGCAGCACATTTCTCTTCTCTTGCTTACTTCAGAATTAGATTGCTTGCCAGCAGATTCCAAAAATTCTTCACGGAGCAGGGAATGACTCAAAAGAATTCTGCCACCTTGCTGTGTTGCTTGCCATCGCCATTCTCTGCGGCTGCCTGTTGCTTCCTGGCACGCTCCTCTGCTTGCTGCTTTTCCACCTACAACACAGAGCTTATATATCCTCTTCCGATATATCCTCTTCCATGTCTTCAATAGGCACATTCCCACTCTTATGCAACTCCAAATTTCAAAAGGGCTGTTCATGCATGGACCAGGCATCATGCTTTACAAAATTCCAGGATAGATCATGCGTGTCACATCAAAATGAAGGCAGGATGCCAGACACTGTCGGACATGTCGGACATGCAAGGCAGTGTGAGCGCCAAGAAGGGAAGAAGGGTTGCCTCGCACTGTGAACAATGTGCATCGACGAAACAAACATCTCCCATGGATTCAGAATAGAGCATGCGTCTCACCTTTGCAATGAGGGGCCGCATCATGAGGATGTAGAACATTTGCAAGTATCTGCGCGTCTCCCGCCTCTCAAGATCGCTGACGTACTTCCAAAAGCTGTGCAACCGCACACACAAACATCATTTGGCCTCCCATTTGATACTATTGGTGCGAAAAGCTGCCAGTTCATGGCGGCACAACAGAAGCAAACAGCTGGGTGGGCCCTGTATGCTTCCCAGAAGACTTTGAAAGGTCTGCGTGCACCAGCAGACAGAGATCCTTCGCATGCAACATCGATTCGCACCTGTAGATTCTGCTGAGTGTCATCAGCCTGTCAGCATAGAGCGTCCACGTGTACCTGCAGAGACAACAGCCCTTCTGATACATTTCAACAATTCACTTGAATCCCTAAAAAATTCAATTCACATCGAATCTGCAGTCTTTCAAAAGGCGCTTCCCCAATGGAAGCAGCACAGCTGAAAATTATCAAAGAGCTGGAAAGGGGTGCGCGCTTTTCTTGGACGCGTGCCAGGGAGCCCTGAGAGACCTGCAGCCAGCGCTCCGGGTTCTTCGTGCTCTCCTCAAAGAAGTCTGCCATTGTCTCTGCAGCCTGACTGCCGTGGTAGGGGTCAATGTTGAAGCCCGACTTCTTGTCCACCACAATCTGCAGCAGATGTCAAAAGTGCCAATCAGCAAGCTTGTCCACAAACAAGCAGCCTGGTCTGTCTTCCACTTGATGCCCAGAGCTTTTTACAAAGCACTGGTGAGGCCAGGAGATTATACATCGGGATCCTGTTAAAAGGCAGTTGTAAGCAGAATTGCTATATGGAGTTGGCAGCAAAGGGGGCATTGGTCGACAAGTTGCATACAATCTCAGTGCAGAGTCTCTGTCAGCAAAGCACTAGTGCAGAATGTTTTGCCTCTTGAGCACTCCCTTTGGTGGGAATGACGCATTGAAAGCACGATGCAATGGCAGATGGGCAGGAAAGCGCGGGTGACTTGCCTCTGCGGGGCCTCCGCAGATGGTTGCAAAGACAGGCAGGCCACAGCTCATGGCCTCAACCACTGTCAGCCCGAATGCCTCATACAGCGCCGGCTGCACAAACGCCCCTCGCTTGTCTGCGCAAAGGAAATACGTTCATATCATATTTTACCCAGATTTGTGCGCATTTTGAGAAGGCGTTGTGCACAGTGCATGCATGCAGGGCATTGCAGGAGTGGGGGAGTATGCTGCGCAGGGGCAGCCATCAAAGGTCCTACATGCAAGTGCGAACACTCACCGGCAACATATCTGTAGATCTCGCCGTTGCGCACCGGATTCTTCTGCGCTACCAGCCACCTGCAAATTCAAATTCGAGCTTCAGTTTTCAAGTTTTCAATAAATGCCATAATAGTGCCACAGTGACTCCTCACCTGCCTTGATCAGCACGGCACCAGACGATTGCAAAGAGATACAGTCCCCAGCAGGCTAAGTTACATCCAGTTGTGTCTCCACTATCAGGCTGCCGTAAGACACTATATTAGCACTCAGGAGCGAGGCACCCACCTGAGCTCGCCCTGGAGGCCATATTCCTCGATGATGATGTGCATCTTTTTGCACTGGTCCTTCTCCTCCCTGTCAGTTGTCTGTTCAGGATCCACGACGCCTCCCACGATGACCAGGTTGCACAGCTCGCGCAGCCGCTTGTTGCCGCCAAACCATTCTGCCAGGCCTGTCAGGTTCTTCACGTGGTCCAGGCGTGCCATGGAGAAGATTATGGGCTTGCTGGGGTCCTGCGCACAGCCGCATGACAAGGGCCTTTCTCACCTTGTGGGCAGGACTTGTGCACCGTCCTGAAATGTGTACTGCAATAGAGGAGACTGGGAATTTCGTATGTGCTTTTTAGACATCACCAAGCTTGGAACACGCAATTGCACAATCTGCAGAAGCCACAAAATGTTTTCTCCGGCCAGTGGGCAGAACTTTTGCATGGCCTTCAAATCAAAGCCACGCGATCTGATGGTAGTCGGATCGGTATGTTGTGCTGCAAAGCCTGTTTGGCAAGCTGCTTCATGCATAGACAGCTTGTGCGTTGGTGCTGCCACAGAAAGCCTACAGAGGGGTCATGTATCCTTGATCCATGCACCGGTGTGGGTGCAACACCTGTGCATGAATATCAAGCACATGGCCGCCTCTGGCATGCATGCATGCGGCCGTAGAAGGCCTGCTTCCGCCAAAAGGGCGTGTTATGGAAAGCAGCATGCTGCACAGAGGCAAGTGCTCTGGACACTGGAATCACATGTGCAGAGCTGCAGCCCACCTTGAGCACACCCTTTGCCAGGGGCGCCTCTTCCTTGCCAAACAGCAGCTCCTCGATCTCCGGGTGCAGGCTGGTCAGCCGCTTGTCGGCTTGGTCATAGGAGAAGTAGATGTCGCTGTCTGCGCCAGGGCTCACGATGTTGAACTTGGGATCAAACACGTCGATGCCCTGCGCCAGCGAGAACAAGCAATGTCTTCTCTGGAAATGCCACTAGGATTTGCCAGTGCCATATTGCTTGGTGATCTCATGCCATGCTCACAGAGCACCGATTGAAGCACAGTCTCCATGCCAGCAAGTTGCCGGTGCGGACTGCCGGATGCATCACAAGTCATTCCACAATGCAAACTGCCACTCCCTTGCTGAGGACAGCTGCAGGGCCTGCTCTGAAGACACAAAACTCCTGTGACAAGAGCCGAAAGTTCATGAAGGCCAGACACTCTGCACCACACCCAGGCCTCCAGCGCAGAGGTGCATCAAGTGCAAAATGAAAGGCTGGGGTCGCACATGGACGATGCGGTAGAGGCCCGGCATGGTGAAAGACTGGTGGTCCTCGTACTGCCCCAGAGTGTGCTGCGTGCCGGCAATTTCCTGGAACGTGGACGTGATGATGAAGTCGCTGTGGTTCATGGCGATCACGTCTGCTGTGAATTGCGCCGCAAAGTGATAGTCCTCATCCAGCTTCTTCCTGCACAGCATGCGTGGCTCTCTTCAGTGCTTCACCTGCATTCCGCCTGATTAGCCCAAAAGAAAATGGAGCCCACATATGTAATGTGCCAGACAACATACGATGTGGTGCCACATGCAACATCCTGGACTGCAGAGCAGTTCAGTGGCACACAGTTAAACAGATCCTGCGCTGTGAAATATGCGGAGTCACCTGCTTAACAGTGATGCATGAAAGATGTGCAAGACACCAGTGCCCGCACATGATCCGCGCATGGGAGGCTCAACGAACACATATGAAGCCAATGGAGTCCGGCCAGTGGTGCATACTGCTTTTTCTGGTGCGCACCAGTTGACGTCGGCGTCGGGGTACTTAGTCTTTTCGAGGGCGTGTGCGATGGTGCACTGGGTCACGTTGAGGTGGAAGGAGAGCAGCGAGGCCACCAGGTTGCCGTCGCTGTAATTGCCAATTATGAGATCCGGCCGGCCGCCCAGCTCAGCACGGATCTCACCCCCGGCGTCCACCGCGAACCGCTCCAGGTACGGCCACACGTCAAATCTGTGTCAGAGTTCCTATTAGCTTTTACTTTCATTTGTTCTGTGTCGTTCGCATGCACATCCTGCAGCATGATATTGTGATGGTGGAACACTCTGCAGGTGCTGCACGGCCTAGCCCACTCTCTTGTGTGCGGCCATGGAAAGGGGCTGCACCTGCCATGCATCTTATCATGACGCGGTCCTCCATGCCTTGTAGACCTTTTATCACGCATGCACTCATCCCAATTTTACTGAGATGCTCTTAATGTCTGGTAATCTTCAAGTATCTGAAATATTATAAAATTTAAGAGCGTGCCTGGAGACCCAGTGCTGGAGGATGCCGTTGTCGTCGCGGAAGGGAACGCGCAGAATTTGCGCGTGGTGCGTCCCGCTGATGTGCTCCAGACGCTGGTCGCAGCTGGTGCCCTGCGTCCAGGGGGTTGTTTTAGAGGGTTTCATGGGGGTCCTCAAGATATAAACAGTGGGCTCCGAGTGATAACTCTGGGACCATCCAGACATCTGTTCCTTGATCCGGGAAGCATGCAGAACAAACACCAGGTTCTCTGGACCCCATCCCGGAAGCCAGATACATGTGGAGATGTGAAGTGAGCTCCCATACAGCAGAGTCCTTTTCTGTTCGCATGCAGTGTAGCTTGTAGAGGGTCCATATGGATTCTGATGTGGCCAGATCCAGGAGGAAGCCTGCCTGGGCCTCGGGGATGAGGCGGGTGACGACCAGGATCTGGGGCTCCACGCCCGTCAGCCCCTGCTGCCAGATGCGCGCCAGCATCTCACGCTCCAGCGCGCGCACCTGGTCCAAAATGTACACCACCTGCCGCCAGAGAACAAAGAGAATTTCAGAATGTCTGAGCACAGGGCATTGGTGGCTCTAGAAGTGCAGGCTCTGGACTTGAGCATGCTGGCGTGTGGACCTGCAAACTGCATTGCCCATCTTGGACTCTACACAAAGCTGCCTCCAAAGGGATCACCGAGTTGCGGCTCAGGACAAGTGGTCCTAATTGCACAGCACCTCTTTGGGGTGCTTTTCAGTGCGTTACCAGTGTTTGTCCAGAACAGAATCAGCACAGTTTCAAAGCTGTAAGGCTGCATGCATGGGTCAGATGAAGAGGTGAGGAGATCTAGATCAGCATGCGGTGGACCTCATGCATGTAAAGGACAGGGCAGGATTGAGTGCAGGCGCGGTTAGGCATGAAAGGGTGGTGCAGACCTGGCCTCCAGTGTCGGGTTTGCCAAGGACATTCTGCTGCCCAAAGAAGCCATGCGGCGACAGAATGACCACCTTGAATCCCATGGGGAGCCTGCCCAAGAACGCCTGCACCATGGCACAGCCATCAGTATAAATGTTTAAGTATTTGTGAGTATCAGTAAGTACAACAGCGCAGACAATGGAGATTGGATCAATACCAATCCTGCCGATTATGCAATGCAAAAGAAGCAGGACAAAGACAGAGTCAGGTGAAGATAGGTGTTTGCGCAATCAATGCGTTCACAGGGCATCAAGTGGTTGGCAACAGAAGGGAAGAAAAATATATACAAGGGGAACTGAGGGCTTGCCTGCAGGGTTTCAGGGTCGCAGGCCTGCATGATGTCAGCGAGCAGGTGCATGGTGTTCTGCGCGCGCCCCACTGTGTTGCCCCAGCCCCTCTCAAATCCCATGTCCTGGAGCCCTATCGCCACCTCCTCGATTGGCGTCTGCAGCTCCGGCACAAAACTTTGGTCCAACATAATGCCCATGGTTCACAGTATGGAAATGTGAGCTGAAACAACCTGCACTCTCTGGATTAATCACTGGAATACATCTCTCAATGGAACAAATCTCAGAAGAGTAAGGCTAGAGATACAAATCTAAGCATGTGTAACGGTTGGTGGTGCATATGAAATGTTACCTCCGGATCGTGGTCATTCAGGAAGTTGTCTGCCTTGTCCAGAGCTCTGCCCATCTCCTGGGCGTTCTTGATGCGATCGTTGAGCATCAGAGACTGGCCGTTGTAGGACAGCGTGAGCAGGAAGTCAAAGATCGGGTGGAAGTCTGCGTTGTTGGAGGCAAACAGCCTGGAGGAGAGATGCCTGCAGCCCAAGCACTTTGTGAGTCAATCATTAAGTATCTGCAACGCCTGCCTTGGCACTGGCAAAGCAAGCTGCATTCTGATCTGGTGCATGCGAAAGGTGAGTGGCGCAGTCATGCTGCTAGGCTGACCTATTGAGGAACTTGACTCCTTCTCCAATGGAATTTGGCCTGGTCAGCTTTGGGAAGTGGGAATTGAAGGGCTCCAGATCTATCTCCAGCTGCCAGAAAGCTTCTGTCGGGTCCCTCTTGCCATCTGCGCCCAGCGAAGTATGAGCACTTGAATCAGACAAATCACTTACAATGCGCCTGATGGTCGACTTGTAGCAGTTTGCATGTGTGAGACACAATGGTTCTAGGGTGCCAAGGTCCAGGAATGCTTCAGAAATAATTTTTGGGCGTATCATGACCATTTGGAAATCAGATCGGAGTAAGGGACCTACTGACGAGCTTCTCCTTGAACATGAGATACTCTGAAATTGTGAGGTCGTCCACTTGCATGGAGCTGACACAGATGCGGCAGTGGAAGTATCGGCCCACAGTTGGCCTCAAGGCGAAAGCAACACAGCCGTCATACACAACCGCCTGCATTGCAATGCAAACTATCTAAGCATGTGTGACAAACTCCGTCAGGCAAGACTGTTTCCACATCAGCTGACTGAGTGGAAACATCATGCAACGATTGCAATGCAAAGCTGTTTTGATGATCAACAGGTCAAATTATGCCCTTCATTTAGATTGCAAGAGGTCCTACCTCTTGGCACCATTCAAGCTGCGTGGCAAAAGCAGATTCCAGCAGCGCTGGTGATTTGCACTCATCAGCTACCTTCTTCAGCTCATCTTGCAAGACATGTGGTTTTAGAATTGGATTGTCCTGCCCGGCCTTTATGGTCCTGCAACAGGGGGCCTTTCAGCACTGCACAGAGACATAGGCAAGCTGGCATGATTTCTGCAACGTGTTCTCACCTGTTGAGCAGTAAGACAATCTCATTCCTGTGCTCTGCAACTGCTGCTGCCAGATCGGCAGCATATGTAGGCAGACTTGCCCCTGTCTTCACCATGCCGCTGTAAAACAATCTGAATGTGTCACAATATGCTCTTGATGATTCTGCAGGCACAGGATGCATTTTATTGCGTGAAATGCTCAAGTCCAATGTTCATCCCAACCGTCTACATAAAGACACAGCGAACGCCATGTTGTAATCGGAATACAATTCGAAGCCAATCATAATCTTGCATGCATAAGGACAATCTAGCCGATGAACAAAGCATACAGATGGCGTAGTTACGCGTGCTCGATCCTCGGTATCTTTGATGACGATACAACCTTCTACAAATCTCTGAGCATTCAAACTGCATGAGGAAGAACATGAAAAGTAACGTAAAAGCATCACAAGAGCCGCAAGAAGGCACCTTAGACTCTGGAGAGAAGGTGCGATCCGCAACTTGGCTCTAGCAGAAGTGCGATTCTCCGCACAAGTTCGATGAAAGACTTCGCAGTACCTGAACGATATTGATAAGTGATCGCACTGCCTACTCCTTGCTTTTTGTAAAGTTAAGATGCTGACCTAGATTTGGAGCATCTATATTCGGACTGTCGTCAGCCGAGGAAGCTGACGTGGATGAGGCATCATGCATGTGCAGAAATCCTTGACCACTTGCTCCTCTAGCACTTGACACTGCCCTCAGCAGAGAGCGATCGACTTTCAACTTACATTGAAAAGCTATGAACAAGGCTGTAAAGCTAGTTCAGTCGGATCCGGGCAAAGATGGCAACAAGGACCACTTCATCTGCAAGAACATTCCTTTGAAGAATGCGTCTGAAAGTCACTGAGGCACTCTCGTGTTGCTGTCCCCACATTCTTGCTTGCCTTTTAACGATTGCAATATCTGACAGCAAATCTTCACTCTGCAGCCCTCAATTCAGGAGTTCCAAACATGACAGGTAGAGTTCGCCCAGCAAATGTTCATCCTGGATCTGAAACACACTAGAAGAATGGATCAAGCCTGATGTCATGCTCACGGGCAACCTTCTTGCCAGTGCACAGGCAGGCTATGCACATGACCTTGCCCGTGCCTGAACAGGACCCACACCGCTCCCCTGCAACCGTCATTGGGCCATTCGATGTCTTGCCAATGAGGGGTGTCTTGGCTCCCTCAGTCGCCGACGTGCCAGTGGCAGAACTTGCATTGAATCCGGCTGCGGTAAGGGCTCCCTCTCCGCTGCATGCACCACAGGCCACATATCCACACCCCTGTGCACAAGCACAACCCTCAACCTGCTGCCACTGTCATTGCATCCCAATCATCTTGGCTTATATGGCATGTATATGACATCAGTCCTCTCGATGCCTTTCAGAACTGCCATCTGTATACTTTCCCTGCAGAAGAGGAAGCACTGAAAAGTCAGGATGGAGCGGTTGTGAGAGCAGGGGACAGCAAGGCTTGCATTGATTTGCGCAAGCTCGTGTGCGCTCCGCACTGGAAAGCAGAGATAGATGCACCATGAGGGCGGAGCACGGGAATGTTTGTAATTTGGAGGGCTCAGTGCGCGCCTCGCAGTAGACGCAGCGGGTCTTGGCCTGCAGCTTGGCGTTGTTAACCTCCACAACGAGCAGCGTGGACAGGACCCCCACAGCACCGCCGCAGAAGGATGCCACGATGGGGTCTACCTCCGCCAGCTGCGCCGGCAGGTGCATCGACCGGATAAACTGCTCGTACGATGTGCCTGAAATTGCATCGTAATAATAAGTACACGATGTTCAGAGTAATTATTTCAAGACATTTGTCCTCAATCTCAGGAAAGTTCAAGAGGTCTTGCGACTTCAGGCCTTGGCTGTATGAGCTGACAAATACTCCTACACCACAGCATCAATCTGCCGACAAGCTCTTGCTGGACGTGGCCAGAAATTTTTTAAAGACCTTGGCACTCTCGAGTGAGTGCTTGGTGGCCGGACTTCATGCCACACTTGCCATTGACAAAAATGCACGATCAGGTATATGATAGGGTTCCCACCTCCAATGCCCAGACGCACTTCCAGAATGGGCGAGAGCAGGCCGCCAAAGATGATGATGACAGCACAGGCTGCAGCGTAGAACTGAAAGTACCCGCTGATGGTAGCATCTGTCAGGGGAGGCAGGAAAGGTAGCGCACTGGGATACCTCTCTTCTCCCAACTCCTCCTCCTTTGTCTTTTCCCCGCCCTGATGAGAAGCCAGCCGACCCTCTCACATACATTTATCATTGCAAGTACCCGCAGCACACTGACGGACAGCGGTAGATGGGCGGATTGACACTGGGGAGAGAAGCTCAGGGCACATACTTGATATCAAAAAGCCAGGACATGGTGCCCAAGCTACTAGGCAGTTGGATCACCTTGATGCGCTGTTGAATGCGCAGCCGCCGCACTTCCTCCATAAGCAAAAATATCTTGTTGCGGCGCGCGGAAATGTTCTGGCTGATCTCCTCGAGCTGCAGCTTTGCAAAGTCCTGTGCACCCCACAGGCCTCAAATAATACAGATACACGTGTGCACACTTCATCAGCAAGCCCTCACAGCTGGAACAGGGTCCCTTACTCACCCTCACAGACTCGCGACTTTCAATGATGCAGAAGTTCTCCGGCAATGCCTCCGTGTCATACGACCTGCATTTCACAGGGACTTGTAACAGGCCTGGCCTTGAACATTCTACCGGCATGGAAAATGCCATGTAACAAACTGTGCAGGTGGCTACACTCCACCTGGATGACTGGCTGGACGACGATGCCTCGCTCTGACTCCCCATTCTGTTATAGTCATTCTCCTCAGGTGTTGCGGTGCCTGCACTGGCCTGAGGCCTGCATCGGAGCCTTGGATGCCGTTGGAGCCGCCTCTGCTGCAGCTTGCAGGTGCAATACAGAAAGGGATGCTGAGTGCTGCCCACTCTGCCTACATCGAGCAGCTTGTTCAACACCATGGCCACTGGAGGTGAAGTTCTTGGGACTCTTGGGGCAAGGATATCGTCACCGAGGCGGCTTGCGCTCTGATAAAAGTATATAAATGTAAAAATCTACTGGTTTCTTGCTGCTGACAATTTTCAAAGCTTGCAGACACTTAGAAGCAGTACGGTACTAGGAAATCCAACACAACCGTCCCAAGAACGAAGCACTAACACACCGATCACCGAAGCGCCGATTAGAGATCCAGTAACCCGCACACACTTGTATGAATGATTGGTTCTGAATATTGCTGTGTCCTTCGAAAGTCTATCCAAGAGAATCCACGTGGAGAGGCTGGAGGTGACTCACTACAGCATCATGCCATTGTGGGCCTCATTTGCGTTGGTCGTGTCTCACTCCAAGACTGCAAACCTGCTGTGTTCGTCTGATCTGTTGCAGACACTTTTAAGAATATAGCAGAGCAAGTCGTTAACATTCGCTGCGTCGTATTTGCCTGTGCAAGGCTCCTAGTCTAAGCAAGTTTGTGTCGTCTCCTTGGAAAAGCGTGCAATCCTCGCAGATTGTTATTTAAACTACAGAACAAGACATCCATCAATAACAATCCAATGATGCAGATACAGCAGTCTTTAAGCAGGGGATGTCCAACATCCTGTCCACGTCACGCCCTGAAGCAGACAGCGAGGTCGCGGCAGATCGCTCCACAGAGTCTACAGTGCAGATATGGAGTAAAATCACCGAGTCGTCATCATCTGCATCGCCGACAGGGGCCCAGCAGATGTTGTTCCTCAAGAGATGCTTCTCACCAGGACACAGAGGAGGTCAACAGCCGGTCTGCTTTGCTGTCCGATCATGAAGAAGCAGGTATGATTTATCTCTTCATTCGCTGAATGCTACTTCTCACACCAATGACATATTCACTTTGTGGACAGCCAGGGTAACAGACTGTTTGAGAAGAATCCTGTCTGAGTGCTGCCTTAAGAAAAAAGTTGTACCACTCTAGGATTTTTTTGCGTGCAAGAAATCTAAATCTGCTCAGCTGCGTCTCACATCAACAATACTGATCATGGGCAGGAACCTCGGGGAACGTGGACAGCGAACCCTCAGCGTTGGAGCAGAGGAGTCAACCTAGGGAAAGATGGGAGCTGGCCTCCTGGATGCTTGGGCACAAACATCCAGGAATGAGCTCAGTGCTTCTGGGAGCTGCAGGATTCAGCCTACTGGGTGGAGCCCCTATCCAGACAGTCCTACAAACATGCAACTGTAGAAATCTGCGTCTGAATGATATGCATGCGATCTCTGATGCATCCCATCAGTCAACATGTGGGATTGTGCTGTGCTTGAGGATTGGTGTTTTATGGCAGGTGGTACAATTGACTTCTCTGGGCCACAGTCAATAGCCACGGCACTGGGAGTACTGGCAGGCATCATCGCCATCCATGAGTGCGGCCACTTTGCAGCCGCTCGCCTGCAGGGCATTCATGTGACCAAATTCGCCATTGGCTTCGGCCCTCCCCTCCTCAGCTACCAGGTGACCACCTGTCTCGCCTCCAGGTGTCCGCTGCACACATCCACAGTCATATTTCTGCTTGAGAGAAGATACATCCACTTACATTCGCGGCATCCTCTTTTAGTGCGCCCAGCACACCATGCTTTTTGCTTGCTAGAAGGCAGACACCCCAGAAGTTTGTGGTTTTGAGATGGACAGTCAAAGAGTGCTTATCGAATCAACAAGCCTCCTTTGGCTCCCGACAGGTCTCTAAAATGTATCAATTAAAAGTCACCGCAAGACATACAAGTCAGAGCGAGCGCCATAAGTAGGGAGAAAGGGCTGCCTCGCAGTTTCATGCAGTGGGTGCAACAACTTGCAAGACAACTCCGGCCCAGGAATACGATAATATAATAATTGCCAACTTACAGGGCAAGGATGTGGAGTACTCACTGCGCGCAATCCCCCTGGGCGGCTATGTGGCATTCCCTGACGATGACCCGGAGAGCAAGTATGAAGCAGAGGACCCGGACCTTCTGAAGAACCGCTCCATCGCAGAACGCGCTCTTGTCATCTCCGCCGGTGTTATCGCCAACATCATCTTCGCCTTCAGCATCCTCTTCACACAGGTTAGAGCGCCATTTTGGTCCGAGGCTCATATTCCAAAGCTCTCCTATGCCTGAATGTGGCTCGAATGGCCCATACAAGGGCTGAAGCTCTAGCTTGTAACATGGGTGTGAGAGTCAAGCAAAACCACACTATCTAGCAGACTCCTTTGGTCTTTTGGGCATTTGGATTTGAAATTTTGAATCTCAAACTTGAGATTTGCAGTTCCAAACCGAAAAAATAATGAGGGGCGTGTGCAGGTGTCGACGGTGGGGGTTTCGGAGAGCGTGTTCCGGCCCGGGGTGCTGGTGCCGGATGTCAGCCGCGCGTCGCCGGCGGCCGAGGCCGGGCTGCGCCGCGGCGATGTCATCCTCAAGGTGCAGGACCTGGAGGCCACCGCCAGCCGCTCTACCATCCCCCGCGTCGTCCAGTACATCATGTGCGCACCCCCACTGCTGCTCCACACCGCCTTTTCCGGCACACCAGATGAAAGATCGGCGTACACATGAACCTGCTAAGTCTTGAGTACTGCATTGTTTAGGATCTGCAACGAAAAACTTTGGTCAGGGAGTGAGTACTTTGTTTCATTTGCACCGCATCTTGTGCAGAGCATTTGGCTCACCTGTGAGCAGGAAGCAGCTCCTTTGGCTGCTGGGCGTGCTGTGTGATAGAAGTTACTGTATTGCTTGCAAAGGTAAATCCAGTGCAAGGTTGGGCTGACCTGATGGCACGGACAGGCTGCTGCTCAGTACTGATTGTATGGCTCGTCTGCATATATAGAGACCACCCAGAGAAGAAGCTGGACTTCACAGTGTCGCGCGGAGGCAGCATTGTGCACATTCCGGTCACGCCGGCGCTGGCGGCTGACGGCGGCGGCCGCATCGGCGTGTCCCTGGCGCCCAACGCAAAAATCGTGCGACGCGCGGCCAAGGGCATTTCTGAGGCCCTCTCCCTGACTGGCTCTGAGTTCTCGCGCCTCCTCAACATCGTCACCGGCGGTGCGCTGCCTACCCTCACAATGATCTAGACAAGGAGCTGAAGGAGTTCCTTGACAAATTGCAAGGCATCCCCCAGCAATGCCGGGCCGATCCAATAATTGGAATAAAGGTTTGCGCGCCTGAAAGCAGCACTGCCGGACCGTGCAAGTCTCAATGTGATTGTGGACGATGTCATTGCAAGAAAGCTTACTGATAGGGCTGGATGTGAGGCTGAGTCTTTCTAGACACCTCTGCCTTTAAGCAAAACATTTGAGGAGTTGAGGCAACCTTGCAAGGTGCTCTTGTGATCGTCACCCATGCAAATTTGTGAGTACATCAAGGTGAAGGAGAATGTGTGTTAAGAAAGGTCTGTGTGCATGCGTGGGCAGGGCTGCAGCAGGTGATCTTCAATTTTGAGAAGACAAAGGACTCGCTGTCTGGCCCGGTGGCCATAGTGGCGGTGGGCGCTGAGGTGGCGCGGTCTGACGCAGCGGGCCTGTTCCAGTTTGCAGCCATCCTCAACATCAACCTGGCCGTCATCAACATCCTCCCCTTGCCGGTGAGCTCATGTCACTTTTTCACCTGATGACATCAGTGCGTTTATCCTGAAACCACTGCATGAGCTGCACCTACCTGTCGCACGTTGTTCTCCGTTTGAGCAGAGGGGGCAGCAGCCTCTCTGCTGTCCCGACCAGAAGTTTTCTCAGCCTAATACCATGTCATTTGAGTCTGACTCTGCATGCAATGCCGAACTTGGAGCTGAAAGGTTGGTGCCGCTGATTCAGGCGCTGGACGGAGGGTATCTGGCGCTGCTTTTGGCAGAGGCGGTGCGCGGTAAGAAGCTGCCTGCCGGTGTTGAGCAGGGCATCATGGCTTCAGGATTCCTGCTTATCACTGCTGTTGGGCTGCTGCTCGTGCTGCGAGACACCCTGAACCTCACGCTCGGCAGCACTGGGTTGTGAATGGCTCTGGCGGTGTGGCGGACGATGTTGGGTGCAATAATATCTAGAGACAGCACCTGGTGTACCAACGGGAGAGTGTGCAAGCGAGGCAAACACATGTTAGGGAGAGGTGCAACATGGCAGGTAGTGTATTCTAGAGCAAGGCCCTGCCATGTGAGGATGGAGTCTGCCTACTGACCTATGCTATTTTTTCACTAGCTGTGCGCGTGCGGGCATGAACGAGGGGAGCAATATGACTGGCAACAGGCAACATTGACATTCTTTACCTTACTTGCTTGTTACTCTGTTCGCAACAATTTGCTGTACGTTGTTGGCATCATGCTGATGATCATGATGATTGGGGAACGCTGATTGGATGACATGTGGCCATGGGGTCTTGTGCTTGTACGCATGCATGCATGCGATGAGGGAACACATGAAAGTGCTTGGACTGAAAGCCTCCAAAGGCCTTAGGCTGAAGCCTTGATCTTAATATAACAGAAAGTGATGTTGTCATGTCCCTCCACCTTACGAATGTGCATGGAGTGAGGAAGCAATTTCCAGCTTCGCGGCAGCTTTTTCTTGGAATACGTGAAGCTGGCCTGCCACCTGACCATGACAGATGGTGCCCCCCAAATGATGGCGCGCGTCCCAGAGCCAGACGCAACCCGCACATCTTCTTGTCATCGCCAAGCACCCATCTTGTAGAAAGATTCGACTTTCCTGAATCAATTCAAGGCCGCTGCACGATATCAGTCACAGAAACAGGTCCTAGGCTCGGCTGGCGCTTGCAAGCCAGGTAGTGGCTGTGCTTCGGCCCCACCCCAGGTCCCCACATGCGCCATGAGCCTGCAGGTGATGTGCTTCCGGGTGTTCTGAGGTGATAATTAGTCTTTTGAGCCGGTCGAGGAGCATGCACGGCAATCACTTGGACGTCCACGAAAATACTGTACTGACGGAACCTTAGCTCTGGTGGTGCTGGCACTGTCTGAATATTTTGGCGTCAGATGCGGGTGCCCATTTGATGGACAATGCTTTCGTATGACTGGCAATCTGGTTGGTGGAGAGATCATTTGTGAGTGTCTTGAACCCTTTCTGAGCGACAAGGTCGACTTCCTCCGACCTTCACCATGCATTCTTCGCCCTTGTACTACCAATGTGCATCTATGTTTTCTGATCGTCTTGTCTGCTTGATGCACAGGTGCTATGTGCACTGAGCTGGGAGCATGACGGGGTTTCTGCGACGGGTGGTCTCGTGTCGACGACTCCCCGGCAGCGATCCTGAAGCTCCCGATCTGGAGTCTCCACTGCTTCTGAGCAAACTCAGCGGATCTTTCTCAGCCCCAGAGCTAGCACATCGCCAGCAGCACGCCCACAGCGGGCCAGATTCCCCAAATAGACACAGCCCAAGAAGGAAGATGGTAGGACAGCCCAAGCCCAAGCAATTCCAGCATCTGGCGTTTGCCTTCGTCTTAGGCGGCCTGCTGACCTACCTCTGCACCAGCCTCATGGGCAAGGCAGGCTCTCACCTGGGCTTCATCAACACCCAAGCATCCTTCCTTACCAGGTGATCCTTTTCCCTGTGAATAGCTGAGTACTTGTGGCTGCAGACTAATGACCTTCCTCCATACAAGAGTGCATCATCCGTCATATGGGCATGAGATCTCAAGGATGCCCGGAAGGTGTGCAAAATGTGAAAGGGCACTTGTTGAGAGTGCAGCTGTATTCTGATGCGCATATACACTGTGCACCGTGCCCACGGTCGATTGGTTCTTTCTTCAGATCTGGCGAGTCCATCAAGGGGTAGAATGTCTGGCAGTCCTACATGCAGCTTCTTTGCAGACGTACCTTGCCTCTTGCGCTAAAAAGCATTTTACAGATATGCCATTGGTGGAGAAAGCGGCAAGATAGGGAGGCTGGAGGGGGCGTATTGATACATTGCTGCAAGGCACCTAGCCCTGAGGGCTGGCACAAGCGTTTGGCAATACTTATAATAATTAATATTATTATTGTTACATTTTACGGACCTTTTGGGAGCCACCTGAGGCTCATTGGTCTTGTGGGCAGTCTGTCACTGCCCATCTTCATATCACAGACATCTCAGGTGTCTGCATTCCGTTAAAAATTTGGCAATAGTAATGGGTATGATGTGGTGTGCAACAGGCAGACACCGCCGGTCCCATGCAAGCCGGTGGATGAGCCGCGGCTGCCACCCGGCTATGGCCTTTCGCCACTGGCGCTCGGCAACTTGACAGGGAATGCCGCCGCCACAACTGACCGCCTCATTGTCGCCGTCAGGCACTCTGAAGTGAGCCCCCTGTCCTGCATATTTTTTATATTCTGGCCTAAAGGCCTCTAGCTTCCATTCTGTTGCCACTGATCAGCAGTCAGTCCTGATGGGCTCTTGAAAATGCCCAAAGAGGGTATTCTGCAAGTGGCTCTTTATGGAGCGGCTTAAAAGCTGCTGGCTGTGAGAGGGGAAGCAAGCGCGCCGACAATCTGCTCAGTCTCAGTCAGTCTCAGCACAGTCTCTTTACCCCTCACAGGACCCGCACCACTTAGAAGCCTACTGGAGTGGCAAGGTGCACCGCTTTTACAGGCGAGACCTGCACACCCTGGATATCAGGGAGGGCATGACGGAGGTGCGGCTCAATCCCAGCCGCACCGATTTTTGCAGCGCTGAAGGGATCCAAACGTCCCGCAGCGCATGTCCGTCATGTGCCCCAATGAAAGTTCCCATGTACAGTAAATCTGAATCCTGCAGACCAGGCCAGCACCTGACGTGATCGGCATGATTTGCCTGGCTCACTCTGCGAGGGTCCCCCATAGAACGGAAACCCAAGTCTTATGGGGGGCTCCAATAAAACTGAAGACTAGCCCTGTTCAGATATTCCACTATACCCAGACCCAGATGACAGAGTTTGACACCCACGAGAGTCTTATTAGTGAGAGGGCAGTGCACTGTTTGATGGACACTATTGCAGCGTGACTTTGTCATGCTGAACATCCTGAGGAGCTGCAATTAGGCCACGCTTTGTTTTCTTTACTAACTTTTTTTGTTTATGAAAGGGCGCTGTGGTTGCGCGCAGGACACATCGTGGCTGGACATCTACTTGTCGGAGATCCCCCACGTGGTATACCAGGTTGACGACTGGGACAAGACAACGGGTGCTGAGCATCGCACGCTGGTGAACAAAGGCAACGAGGCGATGGCCTACCTCCAATTCATCATCGACTACTGGGGCCGCCTGCCCGCCTCCATCGTATTCCTGCACGGCCACAGGTGACCGCAGCATGCGCGCACCTGCTTACTGTTACATGCTACGCTTCTCCCTGCAAGGTTCGCAAATGACGCATTGTGGGACGCCCAGTCGAGGTTGAAGCAGCAGTATTTTCAGACCTAAAGCGGCAGTTTTGCTTGGAACAGAGCTTCATGATATAGCTCCTGGATAAGATCAGGATACCATTGCACCATTTTTAGCACAGCAGGGATGTTTGACATACTTTTGGAGCTTGTATGAGGCTAGCCTTGCAGCCAGGAAGCTTCTCTTGCATTTGGCAAGAGGGTGCTGTTAATCACGGGTGAAACATAACCCATACTTTTATTGTATATTTATTATCCATGTTACGCCGCAGGGGCACTTGGCACGTGGACGACCATGTGCCGATCCTGCGGCGGGTGCGTTGGGGGCAGGTCCCTTACGGGAACCTGCGGTACCGTAACGGACCCCACAACCGGCTGCGGTGGAAGTGCGGCAACGAGACGGCCGACCCGGCATTCCGCAAGTTTGACTGCAACTGGGTCGGCAACTGGATCTACCCGGGCTCGCTCAAGCCGCGCCGTGAGAAGCTGATCACGCCCATGAACAAGGACGAGTGGATCGACTCCGTGGAGCTGACCGAGGTGCGCAGCGTTCTCTCCTTTGAATGCTGTGCCAAGTTAGGCTCCTGATGCTTTCAGAATTACTGACCCTCCCCCATGTTCTGCTGCAAGTGAGAATCAAACGCAATACAAGTTGTGATTGCCAGATGTGATGTGCATGCTTGGCAGGCGGCCAGGGCTGGTCCATCAGGCAAATGAGGTAATAGATGCTAGGTGTGACCGGTGCAACATGCACAGATGCTGAATAGCACTGCAGATGTTGCAAGCTGTGTACTGTGATGTCATGTTGGGGTTGAGGAGCACCGCCTTTTCTCCTGCCTTTGCAAGACAACACAGGCATTTGCGCCTGTTGTAGCTCGGGATCAAGGCAGACCAGTTGCACATAGCAAGAGTGCTGTGTGTGCACAGGTGTGGGACCAGACGTTTGCTGAGGAGCTGGGCCCCATGCCGCATGTCATCCACGGGCCTTGCTGCGCCGAATTCATCGTCTCCCGTGAGCGCATCGAGGCACACCCCAGGTGAGTGGCACCGCAATCCACCCTTCTATTGGCAATATCAACCCCATCCATCTGCCATTTGTCTAGGATCAGGGGTGCAATGACTTCCCAGAAATCTTTCAAGATGACCAACTTTGTGTGCATAGAATTTAGCATAGAGGCTCTTGACAATGTCTTGTCCAGATGAATGCTATCAAGGAAACTTGATGCACAGATGCAATTCCTGTCAACTGGCTGCTGAGGTTTTGGCGCATGGCACAGGGAGTTCTACGTGCGTCTGCGCGACTGGATCCGCGACACGGAGCTGGACCGCTACAGGAGCGGGCGCGTGTTTGAGTACATGTGGGCCATCATATTTGGCGAGCCGGCCGTCACCGAGCCCATCGAGGAGTGCGACCTGCTGCGCTGCACCGAGGAGGACCGAGCCGCCGCTGCCGCGCCGACTGCCGCCTCTGCGCGCCACTACATCACCACCACCAACACCAAGGACGATGCTCTGCGCCGCACCGCGCATTGAAGCAGCGGGCTTCAATATCCCAAGGATCATGAACTGGGCGATCTTGGAGTCATGCGCAAGGAGAAGGCCCTGCGCCGAGCTGCTCGCAAATTCCTTGTGCGGTGTCATGGGTCTGAGACACTCTCTTTCAAGTATCAGAGTTTGGGGCGCTCCTAGGCGCCAAGGGCGGGGGGCTGCATTCCTGAGAAGCAGCCAAGGAAAATAGCTGCAGAGCAGCAGACAATGGCGGATGGGTGGACAGGCTCGGCTGCAGGTGTCGTTGTGGTCACTTGAAGAGAAGCAGCCGGTCTTAGTTTGGGGGATGAATGCATGCAGCATTATTCAAGCTGAGCATGCCAAGTGAAATGTCGCTGCCACAAGCATGGCGACGTTTTGGGATATTCTTATGAGGTGTTAATTATATGCGTCGTGGGTAGAGTCGTAGTGAGGGCTACCTTTGCAGCAGATCTTGCAGTGGTGGAAAAGCCCACAAGAGAACAGCAGCCTGGGCACCTCGAACCAGGCAAAGGAGAGAGTGTGGATCACCTGAACGCCTTCAGTTGAAAATGAACCGGATGAGAATTGTAGGAGGCAAGCTTGCAAGAGTATTCTGCATGAACAGACAGAGGCAATCTGCATGTTAAGCTCAGCAGATGCAGGTCATGATAGGTAAAATTAGTTTTGTTGACATCATTGCAATGCAGGTGATGGCAGCGGCATTTGGTGGTATGTACACAAAGCTATTGGTATTGAGGAGCGTGGACTGAGAAACCGGCAGAACTTAGACTCCTCCTTGACTTCTGTTGAGGCTCTCTGATGTTGAGACTTTGCAGCATGTGTCTCAATGGTTGGACCTGTTTGCATGAAGTTTGCGGCACTGACGACTACTCTTGAGCTCTTTATGGTGATCTACTACAGTGGTCAGTAGCACGATACCTTGACCCAGCTTTATGGGTTCCGGCTTCTCAAAGCAAACTTCTCATTTTGTTGTGTGCTCTTCAAATTCACAGTGTATGCCTAGTAAATATGTCTTATCCCAATTAATGCAGCTCCAGATACTCGCGCATTTTATGCACCAGTTCATTTATGATGGGCCAAGCTTGATCGGATCTCAGGAGTTGTGGGCACGTTGCTCGAAGTTAGCAGAGGCAGACCTCAGTTGGGAGTCAAGCAGTTGCATTGTACATGCTCATGTAAATAATCTCTTTCAAATTCAATGTCAGCCCTGAGCGGGCCAACAATGACGTTATACTGCTCCTGATTGACGATAAGAATGCCCTACAAGTATGATGTGGAATCAACTGCATGGTCATACGTCGAAGGTTTTTGTCCAGGAAACTCCCAGTCTGTTGGCTCTATAGATACAGACAAGCAACCCAAGAATTGAAAAGCAAAGGTTCTCTCAAGCACAAGTTTCTCAGCGCTGCTGCGCCCGTTCCAGCATGCTTTTGAGGTGCTGCTGCAGCATGGCTTCCTCGTCCGCCAGGCTCTTCAGCTTCTCGGCGTCCGCTCTCCTGATGTCCTCTGGCGTCTTCTCCTCATAATCGCTCATGCTTCGCTTCGTGTTCAGCACCTCGATCTGCTCTGCCAGCTTGGCCTGTGCGCACACATCCACCCCTTGCTGCCAAGCCTCCAAAGGTATTATATGTACTGGGAGTTTGATTTTTTTGATTTACTGGCGGTCAAGGGACCATCGGTCAAGACTTTGGGTGTCAAACAGGACTGCCCACCACGCATGCGCAAGTCGTGGCTGTACAAATAAACACACCAGGTGCACCTCAGAAAGTACGTCAAGAGTTGCATGGTGTGTCTTCAAGGCTGCGTTGAGCTGGCTACAGGTGACTTGATAACAAATCTACACACTGACCAGTGGACTTTCGCTTCTCCTCAGCTGTAGAAGATCAGTAGTCACAATTTAGCAAGCTTGTCTGCAGATGAACCTTGCCTCTGTGTGTAAACAAATATTCAACATTTATAATAACAGTGATAGTACGGTAATAATATAAACTAAGCAAGGGGCTGCGTGGTGCGCGCAGGGGAGCCAGCGGCAGCTGACGCACGTGGGCCGTGAAGGATGCTTACCAGCATATGCATTTACCATATGCACACACAGGTCAGCAGACTCAACCATGGTCAGTGGTTGGCTTAAGACCCCATAGAGGATGTGGGCCGCTACCTGCTTGGCCTGCAGCTTCTCTGCCTCCTTCTGTGGGTCCACAATGCCTTCCAAGTCCAAGCACACCGTCATGGCATCATTCACCACATACACTCCACACCCCTTGGGAGCCTCCTCCCCCTCCTGCAACACCTGCACAGCCACCAGCACGCAAGCTCGTCAGCATGCCTCACAACACACACGGGAGCAATTGTACAACCCACGGTAAGGTCTGGGCCAGAGTGAGTTCAAGAATGACTCTCATGTGGAGCACTGAGCGCTGCTGAGCAGTATCCCAGTGACAAATCAGATTATTAAATGATATAACTCAACTTCTGATGTCTTCAATCGTTGCTCAGCAACCGGGCACGCGGTCTGTCATTCAGCAGCCAATAACCATAGGATGCCTCACCTTGACTGTGTCTGAGAGCGCCAGGGTGCCTATGAGCTCAGAGCATCTCCGCAGCACGTCCGCGCTGGAGGCCACCTTGCATGCAATGTGCAGCGCCTGCCTCTGCTTCGTTTTCAGGTCGTAGTCTGCAACCCACCACACATTCCAATCAGCACAAACAAGCCACCACTTTGCACAGCAAACTTCTTAGCCACCAGCCCCCAGCCAGCAGCAGGACAATCTCCCTAGCAGAACAGCTGCTTGCCAGATCACATGTCGCTGGTGTTGCAGTGATTATAAACCCATCGAACGCCTAAAAAACAGAGACTCCTTCACATTCATGTGCAGACATGTGCCGGCATGTGCACGCACCTGACCGCAGGCTGCGCGCGGCCCTGACGACGTCCAGGATGAGGGCGACCTCGTCCTCTCCGGTGGGGTCGGCCCAGGACGGCTGCGCGGCCGGGAACGGCGCTATCATGATGGAGGCAAAGCCGCCTGACTGATCCCGTCGCCCCGGCAGCCGCTGCCACAGCTCCTCCGTCACAAACGGCATGAATGGATGCAGCAACCTGCGCAGCACCAACACAAACTTCCACGACTCACCATTACTGGTCATGACTATGCAATACCTACTACTGCCGAGCTACCCGTTAGTCCATGATGCACAACAAACCAGTGCCACTGGCTTGCATGATGGCAATGGCAACAGTCCCCAGCAGCGCAACAGGCACCAGAGACTTCTCAGGAGCCTGTGGCGTCTTTGCAACAGGCCACCAGGTGCATGTGAATGCATGCCTCACACAGCCTAAGTGGGAGGAAGAACGGGAGGAAGCTGTCACCTGAGGCCGGTGTCTAGACAGAGCCAGAGGGTGTCCTTGTAGGCTTGCTGCCCTTCTGGGCTGCTGGTAAATGCGGCCGGGGCGGCCGTCTCCGCGCCCGCGGCCTCGGCTTCCGCGCCCGGCCGTGGGATCACCGGCTTCACCAGCTCTACGAACACGTCGCACAGGTCGTACTGCCACCAGCCGTACAGCGCCTGTGAGGCAACACGACTTCAGCCGCGTTGCACTTTGCAAATGGGCCTGAACAGAGGCGGACCTTGTAGCGTACACTGTAAAGGTAGGCATCCACGTGCTGTACTAAGGCATCTGAGCACCTTCCAGTATGTGATACACACGTAGGGAGCGAGTGGTCTCTGATACCTCAAGAAATCTCTTCATCTAAAAAATCTCAAAAGATGAGAAATGTCTCTGACATGTGATAGTACCTTAATACCAGGGACTACTTTTAGCACCACTTTCTAGAATTCTAGTTGCTCATGAGATAGTGTAAATCTTCCAACAATGCCAGTGAAGGTCACAAGTCATGCTGAGCTCCACAGAAGAGTACAGCAAACATGCCAAGTGAGATCTGACCTGGGTGCCGTCTGCGAAGCTGTAGGTCTCAAAGCCGGTGACCACTTTCTGCGTGGCGGCGTTGAGGCGGGAGAGGATCCATCGGCAGGGCAGCGGCAGCTGCGCGGCGGCTGGCAGCTGCGGCGAGGGCCGGAAATCGTCGCCGAGGCGCTCGAGCGCGAATTTGACGGCGTTCCAGAGCTTGTTGCACCAGTAGCGGTTGGCCACCACGCGCTTTATGTCCAGGTTCACGCTCAGCGCCTGCGTGGGTAGCAACCCAGACAATCTCAGACTCTATTTTCAAGAGGAGTGATCAAGTTGAATGCAGGGCTTTATCCCCAAGCACACACTGCACACTCAACAAGCTCATGCCGAAATATAGTGTGCTGCTAAGGCATGCTGGAGCATCCCAACATCTTGTCTGAAGGAGAGTTGACTTTGCTCTGCAGCTTAACTTGCAGGTATTTGTTGCACTTCATTCGTGCTGTTGTCAAGAAGAAAGTGATTTGCTGTTAGAGTTTGCTGTGCAGGTTCCACAAAATATGTTGCCCATGTTGCGACGCTCTCTCCTAATTACATGTAGAGCCTCCCTGGCACAGTCTGGTGCCTAATGCAGAGGTGTGATTAATAGGGAAGTATCCAGCATTATTTAAACAAAGATTTTGGCATGATACGGTTGCGCAGTTGTGCATGCAGGCAGAATGCGGTCACCTGCGAGGTGTAGGAGAGGAGGGTGAAGCGCAGGGCGTCGGTGCCGCACTCCTCGATGCCCTCAGGGAAGTCCGCCTTCTGGCCCTGCTTCGCCCTCTCCATCTCATTCTTCTCCAGGTTGCCCCCCCCCAGCGTGGAGTACAGCCCCTGCAGCCATCCAGGCTCAACTGTCTAAGAATCCTGCCGCAAGATGCTCATCTGAAGGGTCTGCAAGCCTTGCAAAGCAACGTCTACTGGATATAATCCCATTGCCGTGAACGCTTGCTGAGGCTCTCTCAGCCTGATTTACTTTTTGTTTTAAGTTGCATCTGGGGCAGGAGGTGCAGCCAAGGGCAAAAGGTGTGAAGCAGTGATGACCCCGTCCAGCCAACCTACTCAAGAGGCAATCCCAGCAGCTCTTGAAGTGGGTCTGTGACAGAACGCGGTCAGCCCGCTGCACGCTCTTGCTTGCACAGGCTGCATCCCCTAACCCTCCAGCACTGCCAGACAGCAAATCTGCTGTGCGTTCTCTGGGTGAAACACCTTGGCAGGGTGAAATTTTCCGAGCCCACGCTTGTGAAGTTTTCCTAGCCTGTTTAGGGCGTCAGGCTCAGTATGTACCTCTAGTGAGATGCCCTCGATGACATGGAGGGGGTCGATGACATTTCCCAGGGACTTGGACATCTTGCGGCCGTGCGCGTCCCTCACCATGCTGTGCAGGTAGATCTGCTTGAATGGCACCTCCCCTGCACAACGCCCATAGTATTTTCCCCTTCATCATCCGCAACCCTCTCATTCAGCTTGCCCCGCCCTGCTTTGTATTGTCCACCAGAATGGCAGAAAAAGCGCCATGCATGCCAGTAATTGATCAAAAGGCAAGCTGGAACGTGCTCTGCTGAGGTCAGCAATGAAGTGAAAGACTGCTGGCTCACCGGTGAGTTTCATGCCCATCATGACCATGCGGGCGACCCAGAAGAAGAGGATGTCGTGCCCCGTCTCCAGCAGCGTTGTCGGGTAGTACTTGGCCAGATCAGGCGTCTGCTCCGGCCAGCCAAACACCGAGAAGGGGAACAGGCCCGAGGAAAACCAGGTGTCCAACACATCATCGTCCTGCCATTGCACAACGACAATCTCTCCAGACAAACGGGGTTTTGTTGAGTGATATTGTAACAATAAGCGAGGTTGCAGATCTTGAATAATGGCGGGTGGTCTAGGCCCGTGAATCTGTGAATTGCTCCATGCTGCAAAAGGCTTGGAAGAATGTTCAGGAATATGTGACAGAGCTGCTGTGATGCATGTGAAAGGCTTACTTAAGCAACAAAATAATAATGTAGGTAAGGAAGGATCAGCGAGGGAGAGGATACATGCCCACCTGCACCAGGTTCTGGACCTTTCCAGGGAAGCGCTCTTCAGCGACCTTCCTGGCTGACTCGGCATCGCGCGCCACCACCCACCTGCACATGCACTCCAGTCATTGCAAGGATTCCATGTGTATTTCATCTCGCTTCAGCTTTTCTGCATCAGCTGCCGTCTTCACTTGGAAAGTCTGGCATGGATTTGCATGTGAGAGGACAGCGGTATTCATGGAGAGCGCATGCGCTCAAATCACACAGCCATCTATGCAAGGTTCACCATAGCATCCTTCAGGAAGCTGCAGGAAGGATTAGTCTCTTTTAAGAGTAAATACTAAAGTTCTGCAGGAAGGGTTGTAGCCGTAACATTGCAGCATACCTGTCCATGCGCTCGTCCATGGTGCCTGGGGGCGCTGCATCTCCCTCGCCCTCAAGGGTCACGTAGTAGGCGGGGATTCGGTGGCCAAACCACAGCTGCCGGCTGATGCACCAGTCACGGATGTTCTCCAGCCACCTGTGAAGGTAAAGCCAGCTCAGCACAGCCCAGCCCAGCCCAGCCCGGCAATGACTCGCCAGCCCCATGTGCTACACTTCTCCTAGTTTGAGCCCAGCGCAAGTGATCTGCTCACCGCTGGCCTGAGCCAAGCCAGTAAGGAGTGCGAGGGCATCTAATAGAGAACATCGAGCCGCAATCCATGCCCGACGTGTTTGTACATGTTTCTTTATGGTTGTACGCTCTGCCACTGACGTCAAGTAAGTGGGGACAGAGAGAGTGATTTATTTTAATGCTGCGCGATGTCAAGTCAGAATGCAATCAACAACATGACAACCAGGCAGATGTGAATCATGGTACAGCTCGCACAGTAAGGCAGGGAGGCGTAGAACACTGCAGACCTGAACCAGGTGGCCTTGAACTCGTCGGGTAGGATTGAGATGCGGCCGTCGCGCACGGCGGCACAGGCATCGTCGGCCATGCCCTTGCAGGACACCCACCACTGCGGCTTGAGCACCGGCTCTATCACGTCCTTGCTGCGGCTGCACAGGCCCAGTCGCATCGCGTTGCCCGCCTCCCCACGGTACAGCCCCTTCTCCTTCAGCCAGTCCACCACCGTCTTCCTCGCCTGCCACACCCACCATACAGCACAGTCAGCGACAGCTGATACGAAATTCAGAACAAGTGCGCCGTCACAGGAAGTGCTCAGTGCTTGTACTCTATGTGAGAAGATTGGAGCAGGGCACCGCACCGTCCTGCAAAGTGTTTGTGACAGTTGATCAACAGGCCACCCAATTTTGTGTTGCTTCACCAATCAGCAGAAGGAGACAGTAAGAGATGTACCAATGATAACCTCACCATCGAGCACTTGAGGGTGAAGAAAAAGGTGCGAGATGTACCGATGATACACCCAACCTCAGGCAATGAAAGGTTGAAGAATGACTGGCGAACATTCTAGAAATACCTGGAAGCGGGGTTGGCCGGCAAACTGGCCGCCGCGCTCGTTGATGGCGCCGTCGTTGGTAAGGATGTTGATGAAGTCGAGGGCGTGGCGCTTGCCAGTGGCGAAATCGTTGGGGTCGTGCGCGGGTGTGATCTTGACCGCGCCCGTCCCAAAGGATATGTCCACCAACTCCGCGTCGGTGATGATGGGGATCTTGCGCCCGTCCAATGGGTGCACCACGTGCTTGCCGTGGAGGTGCGCGTACCTACATGCGCGGGGGTTGTGTCGCGTCTATTACCAACTCCATCATATGATATGACCATGGGCAGTGAAAGACTGCCTGCAAGACCAATGAGCCTCAGGTGCCTGCCAACAGGTCTGTAAAACTCAGTAAGAATAAAAGTAAGGCATGCCCACGCCAGCAATGAGGTGAGCTGCACCATGCAATTTGTGAAGCACCTCCTTGGGAACCATGTTGCTTTTACTCAGATACAGTAATGCAAATAACCTCCTCGGTTACGCATTTTGCATGTAATGTCAAGGGCACCGCTTGACCAGGATCTCTTAGGGCAGTAGCTCGCAGGGCATCCTATTTAGATATCCGAGCAATGACAACATTTGCCTGGAGGCCAGTACAGTGAAGCCTCTTTACCATATACATCAGCAGTCCGCAGCTAAGAATTGCACAAGGGTGTCAAGCACAAGGCAGGGGCGCACACCGTGGGTCATCTGGGTGCACAGCCACGGCCGTGTCGCCGAGCATGGTCTCCGGCCGCGTTGTGGCCACCACGATCTCGCCAGCGCCGTCCTCCAGCGGATATGCAAACGAGGTGAGCACGCCAAACATCACCTTCTCGTCATACCCCGGCACCGCCAGCTCGGTGTTCTCGGCAATGTCGATGTAGTCCACCTGTCAGTGCAGCACCAGCCATGTGAGTGTCACATTTTAAAAGTTGAGCATTTTTTGCACATCAAGGATGGCATGAGGCGGATGTGCTGTGCAGAGAGGCTGAACTGTTATCTACAGGACTGCGAAGTGTTGGCAAGCACCGAAATCCCATAATCGTCCTCTCATCTCTCAGGTCACCATTGACGGGCATCAAGGTGCTCTACGCTGTGGGCGAACGCCAGTTTCCCATGATTCCACTCTCGTTTCTCAAGTCACCATGAAGGGCAATGAAGGTGTTCTGCGCTGGATCATACATCGCTGCATTGTCTGCATTTGGCCTTCAACGAAGGTGGCAGCTAGCCAAGGAAGGGTCAAAACAAACTATAAAAGTAAGGCATAAGGCAATTCACGGAGAATTGAAAGTAAGGCAGAAGGCAATTTAGGCAAGCTGAGTGACATGCCTCGATGTCGGAGACGGCGGTCTTGAGGCGGGTGCACCAGTTGACCAGGCGGTTGTCGCGGTAGATGAGGCCCTCCTTGTGCAGCCGCAGGAATGCTTCCAGCACGGCCGCGCTCAGCTTGTCGTCCATGGTGAATGCCAGGCGGGACCAGTCCGGCGAGGCCCCCATACGCCGCAGCTGCGCCAGGATCTTGCCTCCGTAAGTGTCCACCCACTTGTACACCTCCCCCACAAACGCTTCCCGCCCTGCACAGCGTCCCGCGCAACTTCGGAAATGGAAGTTGCAGGCAAGCCACAGGGTTCCAAACAAAGCCCACGATTTTCCCAAGGGCCCACTGACTGAAGGACATCCTGACTTCTCACTGTGATACTGCATAATATTCTACAATTCTGAGATTTCAGGAGCCCAGGACCCCTTTCTGATCTGCTATGCAATCCCTCCTCTGTCGCCCACTTGCCTTAGGCAGTGGCAGCTCTGGTGAACATATCTAAAGCTGAGAGTGAGCAGGGCAGTGCACAAGAGGCCATGACGCACCCAGGTCGTGGCGTGTGATGCCCTGCTCCCGCTGCAGCTGCTTCTCGACCACGGTCTGCGTGGCAATGCCTGCATGGTCTGTTCCAGGTACCCACAGAGCGTTGCGCCCGCTCATGCGATGCCACCGCGTCAGTGTATCCTGCACACCCCAGCACTTCTCACCCCTGTTCAAGAGCTCTGGCATGGAGTACGGACCTGTACACAGTGATCTGCACATGTAACTTAGCATGGGATCAGGATGCACCAGACATGGCAACAGACAATAAAATTGCAAAGGCACGGATGAGGGAGATCACAATGCTGACCTCTACGGCGACCATGAGAGCATGGCCAAGGTGCAACGAGCCCGTCACATTGGGGGGTGGGATAACGATCACAAATGGCTCTGCATCGCTCTTGTCATTCGGCTTGAAGTAGCCGCAGTCCTCCCACCAAGCATATCTGCACACGCCAATCAATTTCACTACGATAGATTTTACATTCCAACCATGCATGCCCTGCAAAAAAGCTGCAAGAAAGGTCAGTCCAGATGCAGCACAATGCGCTGTTCACTACCTAGGACAGCTTTGCCTGAGTACAGGATGCAGACAGTGTGTGAGTTAAGCGTACGTAGCAGCTTCCACGAATTTGGGGTCGTAGCCCTTGGGCATCTCTGCAGCGTAGTCCTTCTTCTGGCCCTTGGGCGTTGCCCGTGCCGCATCGATCATTTGCTGCACAGCCTGTGCCTCCGCAGCCTGGACACAAGGAAGACAGCAGATAAGAGTCTGCAGGGTAATCAGTACCTGAGACTACGCATAAGACGGTGGCTTGCTCGTCTGTGCATAGATGTATTCGAGCGCTGCAGCACTGCCTTGTCTGCCTCACCGTCTTCTCCTCTGCCTCCTTCTTGGCCTTGGCCTTCTTTGAGTCGACATCTTTTGGAGCTGCTGCCTTGGCAGCTTTGGCAGCGGCCTTGGCCTTCTTTGCCGCTTTCTCCTTGGCCTTTGCGTCCTGCACATCACACAGGCCTGGCATGCATAACCTCTCCTGGCCATCTATGCGCTGAAAAGCGATGTAAATGACAACACCAGGCAGAAGCAATCCTGATTGCACAATGGGCCCAACATGGTGAAGCAAGCACGGTGCAATCGACAGGGGCATCACAAGATCACTGTACTGACAATCCCTCGTATCTGGAGAAATTTGCGTTCAGGACAGCACCAAACCTTCTTGGCCTTCTTTTCGGGATTCTCCGGCGCTGCTGCTCCATTCTCAGATGGCTTTGTGGAGGCAAGCGAAGCTGGCTGCGCCTGTTCAGCAGCTGGTGCTTCCTCACTCTTACCCTCACACGCTTCTTCTGCCTGGGTATTGGCTGTATTTTGGGGTGTAGTATCTTTTGTTTCCTGCATAGCTGGGGCTGGTGCGGTTTGCGGAAGAGAGCTAGGAGCGGCTGGCGTGTCGAGATCAGATGCCCGTGTCCTGGTGGTCTCAGATGGCTCGCCTCCATTCCGCCCCAACTCTTCCATCTTCTTAATGAGATCCTTTACTCCCATGACGTCAAGAAATTAGACAGTATTGACCCCGGTTCACCTCCAATGCTCAGACTGATTTTCCGAAATGCTTTTTATCTTCGGGATTTTGTTCTATAAAAAGGAGCTATACCTACGAATATTGTCAAGAACACCTTAAGATCATATCGTGTGCAGTGCTTTGCAATTCCAAGCAAATTAAGGTGGGCTTGGAACAGCTGCCAAATCTGGCTCCATTCCGAGCCTTGCTGTGCTTTGCATGGGATTGTCATCGACGATGCCCCATGAGAGCATTCGATTGCACTTGATTGATGATGGGCAATCGGGACCTTTGATGGGAATAAACCAACGGAAACGAGTATTTGCACTTTCAGATGTCATCAAAATGCTGAGAGAATCCTCCTTTTGATGCGCAATGCAAAGCAAGGACCGCGCATTGCATTTTGAAGATAAGAATTTTCTTTAGGGAAAGGTGCATGGCGATTGCGTGATTCAAAATAACTCCAGCAGTGTACAAGCGGTCCCCCACGCTTGGAGACAATAGCGACCTTCGGCCTTTTCAGAGGGCTTGTGCTGCCGCTGTGCGCACGCTGTCATCAAAGATACAGCAGAGGGCCACCTAGGGGCCTCTTCTATCTGGCAGCACCCTCCAACCGCTCAGTAATGAAGCAGGCCACAATTGGCAGGTTTTTCACCACTCCCAGTGGCGTCAAGGCTTCAGACACTGCTAAAGCGTCTCCACAGATACAAACTGGGAGCAGAGAAGCTTTGAAGAATGTCAACAGCGTAGAAAAGAAGCGCGTTCGTGAGGTGCCGCTTCAGTCCAAGAAAACTACCTGCTACGCTTTCACTTGATAAACGTGTGCATTTTGTGCAAAATAAATGGTAAGACAGAAATATCACGTCGTCTTTCATGTTTCGTTTGTCTTGTTTCAGCATCGTCTCGCTTAGGGCCCCATGCTGCATGAGCTGATGGCAGTAGTGTCATTGCACAATTGTCGTTGAAACCCGGCGCATGCAGGTGGTGGCTGCGCGAGGCTCAGGCTCAGAAAGCAAGCCATTGCATGAGGAAGAGGGGTCAGGCAGAGGAGGTGGGAGGTTGAAGAGGCTTCGCAAAGCAGAGGGGAGCAAGAAGAGCTCAACTGATGCCCAAGTGTGGTTCTATACAATTACCACGCATCATTCCCTATTGGAAGCCACCACAAACAGGAAATTCTTGGAAATCTTTTGTTAGTCGGCTCAGAACGACAAAAAATAAGGGGGCATGTCTGCATGCAGGCAGCGGGAGCAGTTAATGAGCTGGAAGATGATATTGATGAGCCAAGCGACAATCAGGTGGGGAACTGCATTGCCTAGGGTCTCCAAAACATCTGACATGCACGAAACATGCTGCCACAATTGAGAGAATCTGGCTCTCACGCTGTGAACCCTTAACAGGTCTCTCCCACTCCAGCGGCAGCAGCTGAACCGATAGAGGAGGTGGCGTCTCCAGTGGCTGGGCATTCAGCAGGGAAGTCCCCAGCTGCAGTGAATCCCACGCAGGAGTCTGACCGGATAGAGGACAGCGACAAGGAGGGAGCACAAGCGCCCCCGCACCCGATAGCACGTGTGACCCTCGCTCATGCTGATCTGGACGCTGATTTTTGTGGAAACTTCCCTTCCTGCACATGATCACACATGTGCTCCCATGTCCAAGTGTGATGCATAGTTGCCAGCCTGATGGAAGTCGTTGCATGTGCAGCATCAGTGGGGAAGGGCAAAGGGAAGGCGAAGGGGAAGGCAGCAACGGCAACAAAGAAGAAGCCAACAAAAGCTGCAGTCAGTTCTGAAGCTCTGGCTGCGGTGGGCAACGACAATGCAGATGACGAGGCAGACTCAGAGGCATCCTCACACTCGCAAGAGGATGGCGATGACAAAGAGGGGGATAGTGCTGCCTCCAAGCCACTTAAGATGGCCGTGCTCAAGCCTCCTGGCGCCGGCAGCAAACCCGGCAAGGTAATTATAGATCCCCATTACTGCCTCGACCCTCATGCAAGCTGCATGCTCTTCCTGGATTAGCTAGTCTGTTGTCACAAGGGCAAATACCTGACTGCAGATGAAGCAGTGTGAGTGGGGGCCGTCGCAGCGATTGCCTATCATCCATGTTCTCCACAGCTGTCATTAGACATATCTGCAAGTGACTGACTGGACTGCTTTCTCCTGCAAGCAGGGAGCCGTCAAAATGGAGGGTGTGGGGCTCGGGGCAGTGGCGGCAGCCAAGGCATACGCCAACTTTGACTCTGCTGAGCTGGCCACATGGAAGGCAGGGGAGCCGGTGCCCTTCTTGTTCCTGGCATCCACCTTTGAGGCCATCGCAAACCAGCCCAAGCGGCTGCAGATGACCCAGCTGCTGGTCACAGCCTTCAGAACCATCCTGGCTACCACCCCAGAAGACCTCCTGCCCGCTGTCTACCTCTGCAGCAACCAGGTGGGCCAAAGTTCATATTTGATCCCCGAAATGAGCCACCGGCACCAGTGCAGTATTGGACTCTGTACTTCTTGGTTGACCAGGAGTGCTTCATGACCACTGATCCGTCAGGCATGCAGCAGCAGCAATAGCATGTAGAGAGCAGTGCGGTGTGGAGATGCACTGAGAGGCACTTAACAAAAGTATTCCTTGTGGCGCAGGTGGCTCCATCCCATGAGGGTCTGGAGCTGGGCATTGGGGACTCCATCCTGATGAAGGTGCTTCCCTACTCTCTTAAACAAGAGTATGCTAATGCAGATCCTTCATCACTTGCTGCATGAAAGCTCTCTTGTGTGCTTGTCTGGTTGACTGGGAAGTGACTTTTTGCAGATCTGCCCAGCAGGTCCCTTCGGTGCACTGGTTTGTCGTGCATGAATCTTGGAGAATAACAATCGCTTGGGGCTGTGCAGGCGCTCTGTCAGGCCACCGGCAAGTCAATGCAGAAGATCAAGGATGACTACGCGGAGGCGGGGGACCTGGGCAACGTGGCGGCGGCTGCTCGAGCCAAGCAGAAGACCATGTTCAAGCCCAAGCCCCTCACCGTGCAGGGCGTCTTCAAGTGCGCCTCCTTGGCTCATCAACTTGTGTTCTTTTTGACTTCTTACTGCTTATTAGTGTTGTCCATGACATTGTAATTGTGCAAAGTCAATCCTCTGAAGTGCCCAATGTCGAGCGAGGCCTGTCTTTGCACCCTCGCCTAGTATAAATTTGGTGCCTTCATGCACAGCGGGTGAAGCTTGTCAGTAGTTCATAGATGGCTGGTCAGGTGTGATGGCAATCTGGGGTTTGCACCCAGGGCGTTCCAGGCCATAGCGAGGACGCAGGGCACAAAGAGCCAGGAGCGCAAGGTCGACCTCATCAACAAGCTGCTCGTGTCTTCCACCGATGTCGAGCCGGGCTTCATCATGCGCGCCCTGCAGGTCTGCTTTTTAAAGAGACAGCAACAGCTTGCTTTTGCGCATGTCTGCTCAAGAAGCCGCTTTTGTAATTGACGCAAATATTTTTAAAAACAAATACTTACATTTCCATCCACATATCGTTGCAGTCTCGGACCTCTATTTGTCTTCTGCATGAAGCACAAGGTGCTTTACATGGCTGAGGCTGTGAACCTTGAAGGCCTTGTCGGTGATTCTGCTCGACAAAAGGAGGAGAGCATGAAATTTACCATGCATGCGGCTGCGTGCAGGGGAAGTTGAGGATAGGCCTGGGGGACGAGACAGTGCGGGTGGCGCTGGCGCACGCGCAGTCGCTGCACCGTCACGGCGCTGACAATGCTGACGGCAAGCTAGCCAACCGCCTGGAGACGGCCGTGCAGGCCGTCAAGCAGGCCTACAGCCAGTGCCCCTCCTACGACGCCCTCATCCCCGCCCTCCTCCAGTACCCCATCGAGGTGCCCCACCCCTTTGCGTTTGTTTTGAAGAATTGCTCATGAATTTGTCGTTTCCTGGACGTGCTGAGCTGCATCTCTACCATGTGAGCCTTTGAAATGCTGTTGCTAAAAGAGCACTGCAGCTAACATTATCACGGGTGGCCATGAACGGGAGGGTCACAATAAGCAGCAAAACTGATGCTCAGGGACAAGTTGCATCAGTTCCTGTAAAAACTGCATGCATGCACCTTGGCTTACCCTCAGCCGATTGTCAGACTGGTCTTATGCTCTCTTTCTCTGACAGGAATCGCTTGCCTATTATTGCCTGGCGTCTCCTCTCAATGAAATTTCTGTCCAGCCAAGGTCCTGTGGATGACTGCAGGACTTGCCGGACCATGTGAGATTCACACCGGGGGTGCCGGTGAAGCCGATGCTGGCCAAAGCGACCACAGGCATCGCAGAGGTTCTGGAGAAATTTACGGACCAGGAGTTCACTTGCGAGTACAAGTATGACGGGGAGCGCGCCCAGGTGCACTACACTGAGGACGGCAAGGTCTTCATCTACAGGTGCCCCCCTGCTGCTGCTGACATCATCACCCCCTTGTCCCCTTGCCATTCAGACGTCAGGTCCCCGGAGGAAGGCCATTGATAGGGAAGTCTATCATCCTCTTAGCACCCATGGTGGGCTGTCGGCCACAGGGGCTGCTTGCAGATGGCCTTTTCTCTTTGCAGAGAGGCCTGTCATGCTGCTGCTGAATGCATAACTATTTTGTTTGATATCAGAAATTGAAGTGCACAGAGTGAGTGACAGCCGTCAATTTTTTATCAGTTGATGGGGGATGCTGTGAGCGAGCAGTGCATGAAGATAAGCAGGTGGGTGACATGTTCATGTGTGGCTGCAGCCGAAACAGCGAGAACAACACGGGCAAGTACCCGGACATAGCGGCCATCGTACCCAGCATGGTGCGCGAGGGCGTCAAGTCCATGGTCCTCGACTGCGAGGCCGTCGCCTTCGAGCGCGCCACCGGCAAGATCCTGCCCTTCCAGGTCAGCACCCGCCACTTACATTGCATGTCCCAATGCTCTAGCGCTTCCAATTGTCCACTTCTGACAGGCTACACAGCATCTCCTGTGCTGCTGCAGCCATGTGTGTGCAATGTCGCCCTCGAGCTGGAAACATGATCTTTTAATGGGTTCAGTGCACATTTGAAGGGCACCAAGAGCCTGAAAGGGGATTTTTCGACCTTGGGACAGAGTCAAGAGGCCGTCAGCAATGCTGTGATGAGCAGGGCTGTCACGCTGCTGCCTGACGTGCGGCATGTGGCGGCTTTTTCTTTTGCTGAGGGAAAGTATTCGACACAATGAAGTACTCCTGGTTGTGCTGAGGGCGCAATGATGACTGGACTTTAAGTGAGCACCCCTGGCTGCGGGCAGGTGCTGAGCACACGCAAGCGCAAGGATGTGGAGGTGGCGGACATCAAGGTGCAGGTGTGCCTGTTCGCCTTTGACTGCCTCTACCTCAACGGCGCCATGCTCCTGCAGAAGCCCCTCACTGAGCGCCGCACCGCCCTCTCCCAAGCCGTCCGCGAGAAGCCCGGAGAGCTGCAGTTTGCCCTCTTCAAGGCACATTCTTATGTCCTCATCCCCTTGCCTTGAAGCAGTAACGTGCAGGAATAGGCAGCCGGGCAGCTGGGCATCTGTTGAACTAGATGATATGGACTGCAACCAAGGGTTGTCGTACAGATCCATGCAGCACAACGTGTATGTTGTCAAGGCTTCTTTCTTGTCTTGCAAATCGTCAAGAAGGAAAGATTAATGCTCGCGCTGGTGCTGTCCTCGTGAGTCTTCCATATACTGGAACCTCTCCGCAGTCTTCTGATCTTATTAGATGTGTTGCAGACATCCACTGATGTTGAAGAGCTGGGAACCTTTCTGAACGAGTCGGTGGCGGCGGGCACGGAGGGGCTGATTGTGAAGACGATGGACAGCACCTATGAGCCGTCCAGGCGCTCCCTGCACTGGCTCAAGCTCAAGAAGGATTACCTGGAGGGCGTGGGTGACACCCTCGACGTGGCTGTCATCGGCGCCTGGTTCGGCAAGTGCGTCCCTCGCACCCCTTTCTCAAGCCTGTCTGGGCTCTGCAAAAGTCCGTATTACCTATGAAGGCGTTGGAAACGGTGGAGAGCTTTGCTGACAGTGTGACATAGTTGGAAGCAAGCTCCTCGGAGAGTCTTCACAAGGATAGAGGCCGCTTGGGCGGCCGCATGCTGCTGGCAGAGTGCTTGTTATAGAACAGGAGATTGGTTTTGATTGCTGGTCACGTCCAATCATGGGTTTATGGGAGGGTGACCCTGTGCGCTGGAGGGATGCTGGGTGATGTTTCGTCGTGGAATAATAGAGGAGAGGTCAGCGCAGAAGGGTACAGGGGCAGGCGCATGCATGCTGAGTGGTTGGGTGTTGGGTGCATGCAGGGGGAAGCGGTCAGGGGTGTTTGGGGCGTTCCTGCTGGCGGTGTACAATCCGGAGGGCGAGGAGTTCCAGACCATCTCCAAGATCGGCACGGGCTTCTCCGAGGAGCAGCTGAAGCAGTTCAGCGAGGAGCTGCGCCTGCACACCATCCCCACCGCCAAGCCCTACTACCGGTGCGCGCATGCCACACATTTCTGCTCTCCCATGTCAACTTCTGATACTGTATCCGTGCTGTGAAAGCCCGGTGCGCCCTTTGTTTGCAATGCACAGCTTGCACTGCAAGATGAGCTCGGATGTTTCTTTGGTGCCTTCATGTGTGTTGTGGATTCCAGTATGAGTGAACATTATAGCACAACACTTGGGGAGGAATTTAGCTCAGCCATGGAGACACTTAAGAAACATCTGTGCTCACAATGTGCGGACTGATTTTGCGTGCTGTACTGAGCTGACTTTCCTGGGGATCCTTACTTGCTGCGCACAACGCCCTCGTGCTGTGCCTTTGCAGCCGGGGGATGACAAAGACTGTACTTATTGCGGCGCAGGTACTCAGAGACACTGCTGCCGGACATCTGGTTTGACGCAAAGACGGTGTGGGAGGTCAAGTGCGCTGACTTCAGCATCTCGCCGCGACACAAGGCGGCACTGGGATTAGCCGACCCTGACAAGGGTATCTCAATCCGTTTCCCCCGCCTCGTCAAAGTCCGCGATGACAAAACACCCGAGGACGCCACCTCAGCCGAACAGGCACGCCCCCCAATTGACGCCCTCACTCCGCCCTCACATGCATGCCCTTACTGCTCTGCCACAGTACCGTGGTATTGGATGGATATTATCCTATTTTCCTGAAGACGAAGATTTTGGCTTGCCATCTGCAATATGGGGTTTGGCTCGGACGCTGTCTTACCGCGTGTATCCACGAGGAAGGCCCTCCAGTCAGAGAGAGCACTGTTTGCCTCTGATTGTGGACCCGTTTACCTAAGTAAGAGCTGAGAGGATCTTTCCTGGTGGTTCAGGTTGCAGAAATGTACTTCAAGCAGGCGCTGACATCAGGGCAGCAGAAGGGAAAGCAGGAGGACGAGGAATGACAGGAAGCTCTGAGGAAGTCCATGCCACAGGTTTTACAGGATGTTTTCCCTGGTGCCCTGCTGACCCTGTGGATCTTAGTAATTGCTGACTTGGGAGAGCCTGCAGTGACAGTTTCCACCTGGATCCCCTCAAATGAATGAGTCATATATGGAGCTTGAAGCTGTTTTGATGCAGTGCGCCGCAAGAGGCAGTAGAGTGGACACGTGTGTTTCCATCGGACCTTCGAGCTCGCTTGGATTGCAGCGCTGTTTAGTTATACTCTTACTGTAATTGACTGTTTATAAACTTCAGAAAACTTTCATAATTTTTAAGAGAACCTTGGTTCAGGCCTGAAATATGTGCACATGCACATTTCCCTGCAATTCGTCACAAAGTAGAGGAGTGTTCGCCCAGGGGATGGGGAGATCTTGTATAACACATGTGCAGGCTCCGAGTTGCAAGAATTGTAAGGGACGCTTAAGAAAAAAGTGCACATCCTAATTTGTGCCCCATGCTGCATGCATAAGAAGGCCTTTGCCTCGGCCCTTAACATTTTATGGCTCCTCTGCGGCTGTGTAGGCAGGTGTGTGCAATGTTCAATGGCACCATGCTATGCAGTAGCACTTGAGGGGGATTCGACAAGAAGTTCCAGGAAGTGACTCACGACCTCAGCACGTGCATGATTTTCTGAGGGAAAGTCATGCTGAACGCTCGCAGATGTCGAACAGCCTGCTGTAACATAAACGCACACTCTGGCTCGTTTTGTACCGACAAGAATATTTGAAGACATTTCTTCTGCTCTTGTGGCGGTCCGTCGGGAGTCTTGATGCCAGCGCCGAAGTGGACATGAGAAGGCAGACAAATGCAGACGTTTGACGGCAATCAAACCAGGTGAGTTCGGTATTTCTTCTATATGGATCTCACAATCTGTGCAAGTGGTTTCGAATGGGGCGGTGATTTGAAGTTAGTGGGACCTCATGAATGCTGTGGCAATTCTAGGGGTAGAGCATGCAAGATGGGTTGTCTTTATGAAATGAAATGAGAATCATACAGAAATATATAAATTGTGATCGTCGCGATGGATTGCTTTCGGCATCCTCCAAGGAATGTGGCCTACGAGAGGTCACTGTCACGAGGGACCATAGAGAGCAAACCTGGCCGGGATCATCCGCTGTTCACCTTTGATGGAGTTTGAACTCCTCTTGGTTGATTCCATAGATGTCCCAGATCTTGGTGTAAAGTGTGTGTTAGTCAGGTTGCACTTGCGTAGGAAACGCAGGCATGGGACACTGAGGTCTGGTGCACCAAAGACCAGATCAATCTGCCACCGCCTCTAAATATTCTGTCAGAAGGGACGTCTACAACATTTGACTGTAGCCTCAACTGTTTAGAGGCAATTTTCCGGGTATTGGTGCAGAGGGTCAAAGGTGCACCTGCGTGGAAGCTGCAGCTCTGAGCCACACCTGCAGAGGCATACAAGCACATCCGGTCTCTCGCTGGATCAAAATCAGAATTGCTGCATTTACATTCTCTCACCAAGACATGCATCCGGCATTGGTGTGCAGGGGTATGGAGGGCAGCCTTCGCAGGGAGTATGATGGGAGGAGGCAGCCCTCTCCCAACCTGCCCATGCGACCAGACCACTATGCTGCCAACTTGAGTGATAGCCACGACCTTGGCCCATACAGCCGGGCACCCACTCCCCAGTCCGACACGTCCTCCACCTCTCGGTTTGGGAGCTTTGTGGACAGAGGGGCTTCGTCATCGTCGTCCTCCTCCCATAGGATGCCCAGCGGACAGCCTCGCCATGCATCCTCCAGATCTGCAACGCCATTGGTGCGGTACCTTTTAAGTGGAGGACACCCTATTGTCTGCTCTGTGTCAATGTCAACAACTGTTCTTACGGGAATGAACGAATGATCCAGAGAATATGACCTGGCCCTTGACGGGGCAGGCCATGTCCCTCTAAACAAAATGTCACCTTGCTTCTCTGGAAGGCAGGCAGCTGAAAAGTGTTGATATGAGAATTTGCATGCGACGCAGGGGTCACAAGGGGGTGGCATGGCGATTGGAGCGGTGCCCAGCTTCCGGGCACGCGGGCAGGTGCAGGAAATGGGCATGGCTGCAGCGGGCAGCCGCCTGCGCGGCCGCGGCAGCCACGACGGCCCTGCCAGGAGCCTGGCGTCCGTTGGCCATGGAGCACCCTTTGATGTCACCCCACTGGGACTGGTCAGCAGCCAGCTAGTGCCACTGTTTCAGCTCTGGATTTGGCTCTGTGAACATAGTTTTTCCACAGAAATACTAGCCGCCATCCATGAAGGCGTGCAGAAAGTGGCTCTGCTATTATGTGCACCCTGTCTTAGTTGCACCTCAGCCAAATAACAGGACTGAAGCCCACGACTTCCAATTATCTCTGAGCAAGGCAGAGGAAGGAGTTTGGACCTTGACATCTGGGGATGTCATGTTGCTGCAGTCACAGTCAGCACCGTGGCCTGAGGTGCCGCTGTCCCCAAAGACTCCGCAGACGCCGATGCTGTCCAAACACGGGACATGGCACACGCTGGACATACGAGGCGCCTCGTGCTCCGTGTCTATCCCAGAGGACGAGAGCGTGCACAGCGAGGGCGGCCAGAGCGCCAGCTACCGGACTCCGGTGCGCCTTCCTGTGCATTGCTGTAAGCTTAACAACAGGACAGTAGCTCACAACGGGTGCCAATCAGAATACAGAGATATCGTTTGTGAGCTGAGCTCCTCTGTGAAGAGGTGCTGTTCAGGCTCAATGGCCTCTCGCAGGAGCCCAATTTGAAAGGGTGCATGCATTGTGCAGGTGCTGCCAAAGGGAGCGGCGCCCTTCTACATGGACAGCGCAGCTAGGGAATCGAGCGATTTGGAGTCCTTACCGACAATATCCGGGTACCACACCCAACTTCCAAGTCATCCTTTCACTGCATCCGGTTCTAGCTACGTTGTCACGGATCGCCTCAGACGACTGGTTCTCAGACCCAAGAGGGTCATCGTTACCGAAATGTCCCTCCTTTCGTCCTAACATCGTCACATGTGACAGGCATGCCCCCACGCAGTCTCCAGTTGCAAGCATGTGACGGGATCTGTTTTGCTTGCTGCAGTACTTTCTGGTGCTGCTGCGCGGGCGCCGGGCGATCGGCCCTGGGGCGTTGTTTTGCGGCCTGCTGGCACTACAGCACGCTGGCCTTCGCAGAGTATCCGCTGCGGCGGCACCGCCAGTGGATGGGTGCGGTTCTGCCCTGCCCGGGTGACGGGGACGCTGACCGGGACGCGCACAACGGCGAGTCGGCGCCCGACGGCCGCGGCGGAGTCAAGCGGCGGCTGCCCTTCGGCTGCCTCGACACGTCAGAGCCTGGCGCGAAGACGTATGCTCCACGCTTTCCACCTAAACAAACCTACATGGCCCATGTTCTACTCTACCTGGCTAGGCCAAATAAGCATGTATCAAACTATGATTCTTGCAATCTCTCAAAGTCAGTGCAAGACCGCCATGTGAATTGCTGCGACAAGTACAAGACTGCATGCACAGAAATTTGTCATGGCGGCATCTAGGTGTTGGCAGGTGTGCAGGGTCATGTTGATCACTGCAGGAAGGCAAATCCAGACTCCAGTAGGCTCATCGAAGTTTTTTTAACACATTGTTGTGTGCTTGGAGCAGGCAAGAATTGGAGGAGTTCTATGCCAACAACCGTAAGCGGCGACGGCTGGCGTACGCCCTCCGGCGCAGAAAGTCCTCCAATGGCTTCAAGGGCGCCTGGGACCGCATCTCCAACGACGTGAGTTTTGAAGTCATCCCTTCATAGTGCCTTACAAACAGGAGCATGCGCGTGCCGATGTGCAGAAGAAGAGGGTTGCTGAGACACCTGCCACTTCTGACTTTTATGTATCTGTGTGTGCAGCTGTTCATCTTCGGTGAGCTGGTGTTCGACCGCAGTACGCCGCGGTGCCTGAGGCATCACATCCCCTGGTTCACCCTTGTCTTCCTAGCGGTGAGTAATCCATCCTATCTACCCTTTCAATGAGCAGCAGCCTGTCCAATCATCTCTCCTGCTCAAATCCAGTGAGCCTGTTTGCACTCATTGAAGTCCTCCAGAGGGCCATGATGATCAGTTTATATTTAGCTATCTGAATTCTGCGCAGCTGCAATTCATCACTTTTGCCTTCATGGCGGGCGAGTATGTGTCCTACCTCATGGGGCAGCCAGCGGCCGGGGAGTGCGCGGCTTCGGTGTTCAAGTCGGGCCCACACGCGCTGTGGCAGTGGGTGATCGCTTGGGAGCCCTGCCACACCTTCCAGGGAGACTTCCTCGTCCTATGGGGCGCCAAGTGCGCACCTGAACCTGCCTCCCTTCACTATATTGATTAAAAAGGATATTCTGTATCTGTACCACGTCATGCTGATTCAAACCTCCATGCAGCCCACGCAAAAGAAAGTTGCCGATGCAGCTGCCTTAGAGGTCAAGGAGGATTAACTTCACAGCCCCGACACATAACGAAGCACAAGTCACCTCGTGTCAGAGCACAGCAGGCTGAGGCCATTGCAATGCTGGACTCCTGCTCACGCGAAGTATTAAGTCTCCACCATCTCAATCGCTCTGCATGTGTCAGAAGATGTATTGCATGTGGCAGGTACGCGCCTGTGATGCGGGCGGCGGCGGTGTGGTGGCGCTGGCTGTCATCTTTAGTCATCAATGACTCGTTCGTCCACCTGGCGGCCGGCGCGCTGCTCTTCGGCAGCCTGGGCTTGCACTTGGAGCGGCGTTACGGCACGCGGCGCATCGCCGTACTGGCGCTCATCTGCGGCATTGCCGGAAACTTCTTCGACACCACTATCATGGTGTGTTGCATTATTGCGCAGCAGCAAGTATTCAAGATTTGCTGGATATGCATTCCTGGTGGCGATGTCACACTGAGGTTGAGAGAAGCCTTTGAGGCTTTCGGGAGATCTGTAGTGCTGAATGATGCTACCGTCATCATGACCACCAATTTTGTGTACCTGACATAACATGTTCTCAGTCCACGCCAGCTGTTGCCTGCAGCTGGTGGGATGGTGGGCAAGACTGTTCAAGAACTGGAGCTGGTGGTCATTGCGGTTGAATTGCAAGCCAGCCAAGTGCAGGATCCTCATCCAGTGCTGTTGTCACGTCTGTGATTGTTAATGACTCTTTGGAGCAAGAGTCCCACAGCTCTGCCCCACTGGCACTGCAACCTCTGGTGCAGCCATAACTCAAGCATATTTCTGCGGCTGAGGGGGCTGCATGGTGAATCGCAGGATCCGTGCGCGGTGGTGTTGGCAGGTGCCGGCTGCACGGTGGGCCTGCTGGGCCCCTTCTTCATGGACATCCTCCTCAACTTTGATGCCATAAGGTCCGCCCCAGCCCTCCTAGCCTCTCCCGTGACCCATTGCCCGTGCTTTTGGGAGATTCCCACACTTGCCCATTGCTCCCACGCTTGCCGTCTTCATTGGAGGCTGGATCGGAGGCCAGAAAGATGGTGCCTGGGCTGGGGAATGAGTTTTTGTGTGCTGGTGTTGGCGCAGGTATCCGGTGCTGCGAGTTGTGGGAGTGGCAGGGGCGGGGGCGTGCTTCGCCACGGCCGCCTGCCAGACAGGCTACCCCTACCGGCTCACGCCCCTGGGTGGCTTCCTGGCAGGCATCTTCCCAGGTGTCTATCAAAAATTCTGTAGCCACCTTTCCCCGATGCTTTTCATTGGGCCTTACCCCAAGCTGTGGCGGCAGAACCCACAGGTTGCAGTGCTTGTTGCAGTGCTTGTTGCAATTAGTTTTGGCCACTGGGCAAATGTGGATAGCATGTTGGTGCATGCAATGGTGAAGGTAGCTGTCCTTGCCACAATGTACTACATCTATTATGTGCTGGAATGCAAGGGTTGGCTTGCCAGTAGTGGAGGATGGAAGGGAATGACTCTGAAGTAGATGCCGCAATGCATCTAGCCCTGTGGGCTGGAACGACCCTTTTAATATGATCCTAATTGAATGGGTGGCATGTGGTGTGCAGGAATGGTGTTCATGCCGCACGTAAAGAGCGAGAAGTACGAGTGGTTCTTGCCCTTTGGGGCGCTGGCCACCAGCTTTGTGCTGCTCATCGTGCTGCCCATAGTCATCTACGCTGCGCGCTTTCCCCATATGGCCTGCCCCTGATGTCCTTGGAGGCATGCAGCGTAATCTGCAAGCGGCCTTTGTTGCATAAGTCCCCGCAATGGTCGTGTGTTTCTGTGGACCCTTGTTGATGACCTCTTGAGTTTGGCACACTATTGTTGCTGAGGTCCTGATATGGAATGGAGCCTCAAGCAAGCACGACCTGGACTTTGTTTCCTGGTCAGCCCCTCACAGTACCTCATTCAGTGCCAGGTTTTTAGCTGACAGACCGGCATTTCATCCAGGAATGGAATTGTGCAGTATGTAGTGGTGATTCCCGATGATGCAGCCCCGCGCACCAGATGTTGTGTTTTGGCAATTGTGGCCCCGGGGACCTCTCAGCGGGTAGGATGCTTTGCACTGTGGGCAGCGCTGGAACACAGGCCAAATAGAATAAAGTTAGGTGCGGAGTGGCAGTCAGAGTCGTTTGGAGCCATGGGGGCAAGGGGTGTGGGAATGTTCTTTTGGATTTAGGAGAGGCCATGCGAGCACTCTCCAAGTGTACACACGATTGAGTTTGCAGGCTGCAGACCTTTGTAGAGTTGTTGCGCAGCCTGACTGGATCTTTGCCTCTGCATTGGCACACAGAATAGCACCGATGCTGCGGCCTCTGTTAACTGCAACTTTACTTTTTCCATACTGCATGATGCTGCTGTTCCCATCAGGAATCATCATCGGTCACAGGGTCTAGGATTCTGGTGATGTTTTTTCGCATGCAGGTGGGTATATTGCGGTAGCACGTTTTCATTTTGCAGCCTATTGCTCATGGGTGGTATTGCCTCAATTAGAGCTTCCTCATTTCTTTTCTCACTGAAGGCAGCCTCCTGCAAAACATGATGTACAGCACGCTACTGTCCATGCAGCTGATCTCTGTTGTTTAGTGAGGCGCTGAAGGAGTTGCTTCCTGAATTGGACTGGACTTGCAGCACATACGGAATCAAGCACTTCTGGATCTAATGAGGTGTTACATTTGCACATGCTGCTGTGCTAGATTGTGCAATGTTTTGCACATTGCTCATATTTTGTCAGTCTGATTGAGACTTACAAAAGTGCAATTGCTTGCAAGCTTGCAAGCTTCATGATGCAACCCGTGCCGGGGGAGCTTATGAACTCTCGGTGCTTTTGTAAAATTTCTAGATAGAAATGACTCGCCGTAAGGATAGTTTGAAGGAACCATAAGGGCCTTCGATGGAGCTTTCACGGCCATAAAAATCATGCTTGTGAAGTTGTCATATGTGTCAGTCAGGTAAGCAGGAAAACGGTGTTCCCTACTTCCCCCAAAATGCCAAACACAAACAAAGCAGCATGCAATACATCATTTGGTGTGACAAGCTGAACAAGTGAAGGTGAGAAAGTTACCCGAAGCGTTGGGAGACGGGAATCAATCTGCAATATTTGCGTCAAAATCCAGTGCAAAACAGGTGTGTGAAGTGGTGACTGCGGCATATAGTTGTCATATGTCATGAGCCACGTGCTAGACACTCAGGTTCACGTGCTGTAGCACTCAAAGTTCTCCAATTTCTCCGCTGCAGGAGAACGACAACTGGGATAGCAAAGTCATTTCAATCGCGTACATGCCGCTCACGATTTAATTAATCATTTCGAGGCTCGTTTTTGGTGTCACTTTGATCTAGATCTTGCAGCTGAAAGCAGTCCTGCATTCAGAGTGCCAATAGCGACCTCCACGCACAAGGATTCCTGAATTGATAATTTTAGAAGTAAGAGTTCTTCGGCTTGATTGCAGAGCAGCATAAAGAGCAAGCAAGTAATTCGAAAACGGCTTTGAGGAAAAGTGCTTGTGACCGATATTTGATATGTCGCAACTTCGCAAGAGGACAGCAGCGACCGTTGAGGAGGTGTGTAAGAGGATGTATGCGAAAAGACACGCTTATATCTCAGTTCTCTGCAGCAGAGGAAGGCTCCAGTCTCTTCATCACGTTCTCATGGAGTCAGATCTGAGCTGCCCTGTATCTGTAGGAGACCGTGGACGATGTCGACGAGAAAAAAAGCGCAGAAAAGAATGAGTGCGTGACTCCATTATACTGTTGTCTCATAGTCTGCAGTTTCAGCTGCCCTGCTGAAAAGTTCCCTGCTTTTTAAAGTAATAGTCTAGCTGTGTGTGCAGGGACCTGCCGACGTACTGGGAAATCGTGAAATTTGTCCTTGTGGGGATTAGCTTTGGTTTGGTGATCATGATTTTCGTGCACGCAACCCGCTTCATCGGCATGTGGCTGGATGGCAAGCTCTGATTCTGGCTTCAGGATTCTCAAGCAATTAGTCTGCTGACTTTTCTCGTCTGATAGAAGAGGCCATCCTTTGCACGGCTGGGGCGCTCAGCCTGAGGCTATTGTACACGCATGTGTGCACTGCCCTGCATATTTTGACTGTCCTCAAAAGAGGATGCCGCGCATTGATGGAAGCAGCAACATGGTGTTACAGCGGTGAACTTGAAAAGTTTACATTCCGCAACGCATGCTCAGCAATATTATTCTGGCAGTGACTGTTTCAGATTGTGCCACGGCGCACGATTATTTGACGTTGACAAGCCTCATAAGATCCTTGCAGAGCTAGGTTGCCAGGATCTGGCTTTGCAGTCTGGCCAGTCAACAACAAACTTATGAAACTTTCATTGCTTGTACAGTAGTTTCTCCTAGCAGGACTATAGCCTGGTCTTCGAATCTTCAGACAAGGATGTCTTGACAATATTGCTCCAGGACTGTTTTGCTTGTCTGTTGTTTGACCCGCAGCGTTTGGTGCAATAAAAAGCTCTGCACCGCCTGCCTTTCAGCTTTGTAATGCGTTTCCAGCTACAAAAATGTACCTGCGCTCCCTAGATCCAAACACCAGCAGCATCCAGCCAGTCCACCCCACAGTCAGCAATGCTGACAGCGTTCTGTTCTGTGCTGTGCAACGGTGTTCTCACCACCCATTCCCGCAGCTGTGCTCTTTGCTCCGCTGGAGGCTGCTACATTATTAGCATTTAGTGCTGCCCCCTCCTGTCCAGGTGGCGCTCACACAAAGTAGCAGGTGTAGGAAATGGTGTAGTCCTGCGGCGGGCTCACGTTGGCGTCGTGCACACTCGCGCCAAACAGCGTCTGGAAGATGTTGTACTGCGGCCCGGCCGTCTCCACCTGCGTGCATGCGACGGTCACGTCATGACAGTTTCTAATAAACACTTGCCACACATGCAGATTCCTGTCGCCATGAGGGGGGAAGCACATGCAGCTGCCCAGACTCCCAGCTGCAGTTGCGCACTCCCCTTCTCTTCTCAAAGTATTTGCTGCATGGCATGTATGGAATCTGTCTAGACACCCGATTCCCAAAAAATCTCGTTTGCTCCAGGCATAACAGTGTCCTCTTGTGACCATCTAAAACGGGGCTCAGAGGAAGCGCATGCAAAACATGCTAGCACATGCAAAAAGAAAAAACAAGAAAATCATTATTCGACGATGTGGCTTACAGCAAGCGTGGGCAACAGAGGGCGAAAGGGGGGACCTTGGCAATGACGTAGGGGTGGTTGGGGTCAATGCCAGAGTTGTCAAAGCAGATGGTGGAGGTCTTGACTGGGCCGCCGTCCAACTGGATGGCGCAGAAGTTGAGGGAGATGCCCGAGTAGGGCGCTGTGTTCTTCAGGGTGTTGAGCCCCGTGCGGTAGCTGGTCTTGTCAAACACATAGTAGCACTCGATCGTGCCCTTCAGGATGAGGCTGGCCTTGCACCTGCGCGGCACTCAGGGCCCTTATCAGATCTGAGCTAGAGGTCAGGACACCCTGATAGCCCAGCAGCAAGCTCTGCTGGCAGGTACGCTCAGGAGCCAGGCATAGACTTGATACACCCATGACAGGGCAAGAGGAACATGCCCAGTTGTCCGTAGGCTGCTTGAATTGCATCTTCGATCATCAGCTAGAGTGTCTTCTGCTCTCCATGCATTTCACAAACAATCTGGCAGACGAAAATTTGATGCTAGTCTCTGTCAGCAAGAGTGACAAGTACGTCATCAAACTGAATAGAAGACAGTTTGTGTAGGCCAGGAGCGCACTGTGCAGTGAAGAAGAGGCCGCTCTGCGTGAACTGCTTGGCCTTGTTCTGCACAGCTGTCAGGTAGCTGGTGAACGAAGCGCTGGGGGTCACTTGGCTGTTGTCGGACCGCGCCGGGTTGAAGCAATTGATGGTGGGCCAGATGGGGAACACATAGTCCACAATGGGGTCAATTCCTAGGGACTGTATCCTCTGCACCTGCAGGAGTGAAATAAATGCCACTGTCAGTAACTCATGGTGATGGTGTGTATCTTAGTACACAGCCAAGTGCAAACAACTAGTCTCCGGGCTCATCACTAGTACAGGAATAAGGTGTTTGGGAAAGATGACAGTGCTCACTTGCACAAGAGCGAGTAGGCAAAGGAGTCCAGTTGCAAGCGCCTGGTGTCTTCTGGCAGCCATGACTGTGCGAAATTCCTGGCTTGAGGAAAGGGGTCCCAAACTCCAGTGTTCAGCAGGTGACAGCTACAGGTCGCCTTCCGCACTCTGCGAAGAACAGCTGCACCTTGTTGGAGTTATGACTTGTCCTCACTCTGCTATTTCGTTCCTTTGCAGGTTATCACAATAAAATGACACTAATATCCTGGTCTGGCCCTTTTGCCAGAAAACATCCAACCTCGTGTCTCTGCCTGCCGGTCCAAATTGGACGAGGGCGGGTGAATTTTCCCAGAATGTGCTAAGTTCAGTTGAAATCTCCTTTCCCGTTGCGACAACGCTGCAGAAACCAAAGAGAATTGCAGGGTTGCTCCTGGGAAAGTTGGTGTGTTTGCAGCTTGCACCAGCAATCAGTTGATTTGATTCAGTTAGCCGGGGAGAAAATACTGGTAGCACTTCTAGCATGACCCAGAAGCCTTTTGTTCTCGCTTGAGACAGTGCGAAACTTGGCAGCTTTCTGAGACATGTCCAACGGCACGCCAGAACCTCGCACCTGCTCGTCTCTAAGGTTTCCACAGCTTCTCCTTTGGTTTTCTCTCTATGGATAAGTTTTGAGAAGAAAGTCAACGGGAATGCGCAAAAAATTGTCGACGACAGATAATCTGTCGGAAAGAACTTTTGGAGCAGTGCGCGTATCTTGCACGAGGGGACATGCAAGACTTCTAGCGACTCTCTCTGGTGGTGACGAGCGGACTGTGCTTGTAATAGCAGCAAGCGGTAGCAGTGCCTGAGAACGACGCTATTGTCGAGACAAGTCAACCTGCAGCCTGAAAGTACATGGTGCTGTGATAGATGGTCAAACACATGACGCCCCACGCAAAGTAACTGAAGGTAGAGCAGCACAACCTGCTGACTTGTTGCAACAACATTACAAAAAGTTGATGGAGATTTGAACAAGATCTTCAGTGAGAGCTTGCTGCTGGAAAAGTAAGCCAAGTAGATCACCTCGATGGATGTATAGACAACGAACAGACTCACATTGCCGGCAGCAATGCGCAATTGAACTTTGAAACGAACCTTCTCGTCACTGTAAGCAATGCCGCTGCGGCTATTCCTCACACCAACTCGAGCATCTTATTGCTCAGGAGATTTCCTTACAGCCACCTTGGAGGTTTGCAAGTGCCTTCTATCGATGCTTGAAATTGTCACACGATCCATTTACTCGTATAACAGCAAAGAAGGAAGCTTTGTGTCTTCTACATTCACGTCGATCAACCACCTGTTGTGCCTCGAGTCCAAACCTGCAAGATGGTGGTTGCAGGTATTAAATGACAGCAGCGTGCCTGAGAGTTTCAGTGGCCCCATTGAGGTGGCCACGGTGAATGTAGACTTCTCAGGCTCTGAGCGCATAGACAGGTCATGGGTGTCCTCGTCGTACCAGCCTGTCTCAGCCCAATTTCTCAGAGAGGGCAAAAGGGAGGTCAGGCAGATCCTGCGCACGCCGCCGGCGAGGCTGGTCATGCAGGACACCATTCTTGTGCCTGGCGATTCGCGCAGGTGGCTGCTGAGGTGAGCAAAGCACCAGAAAGTTCTGGCTATATCGTCCAGGCATGTTCGTCCCTGTCTGCAGGGCTGCATGTCTCACTTTCAGAGCTGTTATTGCCTCAAGTGCATGCAGACCAGCTGTTGCATGTAGCTCTGGTGTGCAGATCAGCTGTTGCATGTGGCCCTGATCTGCAGACAATTTTATGAATGTGGCAGTGAAGTTTGATGCTTTTGTGAGACGTGGCTGGAAGAAAGCTGTCGCGCTTGCGCAGGTTCCGGCTGCCCAGAACGCTGCCGCCCAGTTTCAAGGGCGTGGCGGCGCGCTTCAGCTACCAGCTCCAGGCCACGGTGCAGTTTGCGCTGCCCAAAAAGCTTCCTAGCATACCCAGCATCCCCCTCTCCTCCTCTGCCGCTGTCCTGGCTGACTCCCACGAGCCTGGCCGGAACCCCTTTGTCACAGCCTCCGCCGCAGCCTCCAACGATGGTGTGCCCTCTCGGCTGCACATGCACAAATGGTTTATTTCAGCAGGCACAGAAAGAAGCAGAGAACCCTGTCATCAGGCCTGTCTTTCTCTATGTGCTGTTGACGCTACCGAACTGGTTGTCCCCTGCATATTTCATGAGAGGCCAGCTTCTGAGATTCAGGCCCTCCATATATTTGCAGAGTTCCGTATGTGTGAGATGCTGCAGTCCTGCTGTCGAGGTTCGTTGCTAATGTGGCATAGCGCACATGGGTGCAGGTGGCGGCAGCTGGAGCAGGAGGGGGTCCAGTGGCAGCCTGGCCCAGTCAGCATCGCTGCCGCTGCCACCCAGCGACAACCTGGCGGCCCCTAGCAGATACCAGACGGCCGAGGCCAGCACTCCGGTGCACCTCTGGCCAGCCTGGGTGAGTGATCTAAGCTTGGGCTGCCATTGCTATCTTTGTCACCCCTGGGACCTCTTGCATGCATGTGAGAATATGTGATCTCTTCCACTCCATGTGGGTCGGACCAACACTGTCATTCTTGTATCTGCATGTTTAAGGAATACCATCAAGCATTTGCCTTTGTGGGCCTTTCTCCATCCCTGTGGGTGAGACTAAATCTGGCATCGTGGAATGGCACAAGTGCTGGGCAAACAGATATTGCGGATAATGACATGGGGGGTTGTGTTGTTGAAGGACCCGAGCGAGAGGAGGGGAGGCGTGGGGTCGGTGGCGGCTGGGGATGATGCAGAGCAGGCGGCGGTGACCTACCAACTGAATTATTTGCCCAGGGAGCTCACCATAGACTTCCAGGCGCGTCCCAAATGCCCATCTATTTTTATGATACCTTCACAATTCTGTACCTCGCAAGGATCTCTGTGAGAACATATTCTCACAGAGCCTACAGACATGTGTGTGGACTCATGAGGGCCATGATTCGATATACCACAAGACCATCATTCCATGGCAACCTTTCAAGGCCCCCATCCAAACAATGTAATGTGATCAGGAAGACAGCTGTATGCTGTTCTCGGGATCTGGACAACAGAGTCTGAAGTCTTTTGGAAATGCATGTGCAGGAGCTTGGGCGGGAGGGCGAGGCGGGCGGCAGCGGCAAGGGGTTTGCCTTCCAGCAGCTGGAGGGGGATGGCCAGGCGTGGCAGCCGGCCTTCCTGACCTCCATCGATCATCGCCCCTCTGTCACGGCCGAGACGCCAACGTTCCCTCCGCCGGCGCTCAGCCAAGACGCCGATGACCCGGGGGAGGCTGCAGACGAGGACGGCGCAGACGCCATCACGCCCCTATCCGAGGTGTCCACTTCTTTACCGCGCCAACACTTTGTTGGGCCGCCATGTGTCGCCTTTGCTCGGAAAACGTTACCACTCCAATATTGCTGAATGAGGTACTAGATTGGTATCCCACCGCCTTGCTACGAACGCCTCGACACCATGCTGTGGGCATCGTGGTGGCTCTGTGGCTCTGTGAAACGAAGAAGGTTGTCTGTAAGGAGCTGCGAGTGGGGCGTTGTGTTGCCCTGCAAAGCGATTACGAAGAAAGTTGGTTGAGGGCCAAGTCAGGGCATCGACGGAGTATGCTCTCTGCATGTGATCTGCCAAGGAGAGCAAAGTACCAGTATCCCTTCTTGCTACAAGGAGTAGGAGGGGACATGCGTTCAATATATTTGACTGCACTAAAGCTGCTGTTACCAAGCACTGGAAGATTCTGCTCCTGAGTTCGATTCCCAGTCGCCATGTCAATGCAATATCATATTGCGCGCACGTAAGAATTGTCATGGTGGCGCAGATGACGCTGCACCCTGCGGGGGAGAGTGAGGATGCGGAGGGGCCGCAGTCCTCGGCGCTGCGGAGTGCGCGGTCGGCCACCAGCACCGGCCGCCACATGCTCACCTCCCCAACCACCCCCGGCGAAGCCGCCCTCCGCTCCTACAACCTGCGGGTGCGCCCTACCACCTCCCTTTTCCCCCTCCTTTAAAGGGATGTCCTGACCCTGAAATATTTGCTTGAGCCTTATTGCATGCTGCCGTTTTCCCTTCCCCTTGTTGTCAGCCCCTTCTGTCCTGTTCCACTGCCTCAAGGCTTACCTTCTGCTTGTCCGGTGCCTGACAGCAACCTATAATAGGACAGCGTTAATAAAGTATTGACACAAATATCTTCACAGCCCCCCTTTCCCCTGTGAGTCCTGCATGGCTCCTACGCCATGCACACTGCTATACAGTGTCTGATTGTTCATTGCCGAGCAAACAGCGTCATGCAGGCCTGATATGCAAGCATCCTAACATGGTAAGCTCACCAGCAAATGTCGGCATCATATTCTAATGTGGTGAAGACAGGTGTGCTGTACCAAATGGAGTGGCTGCATGTGCGCAGGTGGGAGATGCGGCATTGGTGCGGGTGGCGCTGCATGCGCCCTCGGACGGCCATGTTGCGCTGGGGTCGGTGCTGTCCGGCACGCTGGACTTCAGAGCGTCACAGGAGGCCGCCGCCCTCAACCCAGAAGCCCCCAGATGCGTCCAGGTGCGCAAGACCCCACTAAAAATTTGTCTGCAACATTCCCTACTCTCAATAATGTAATGGAGTGCGCCTTTCTAGGGGTCAAGATGGTGCCTTAGGGTCCAGTGGTATACAAATGTTGGTGCCTGGCGTTGCTTCTGGGCAGGCACCCTTCCCGCATGTATCACTGCTGAGGCGGTGACGTGAATTTTATTTTGTGTTGCGTTCCAAGGTGGCCGTGCTGTTGGAGACGGAGGAGGTTGTGAACGAGCGGTGGCGATCCAGCAGCGCTGCACGGCAGCAGAACTCATCCATCCGCAAGGTGCGCGCCCGCCGACCGCCCCCGCCGCACTCCTCTTCTTTACTGCTTTTGCACTGCGAAAATTGTGCTGTACGCTGCAAGCTTCTGCCTATGCCATGAACAGAGATATTTGCGGAGAAGCAGGCTTGAGGCCGGAAGCAGCATCCAGAGGGCTCGCTCTGTGTGATTGAAGTTCTCATTAGTGTGCCAGGTCTAGGTTACTTGTCTCATTGCGTTTGGCTGTAACATTACCAGGAGATGGCGTAGAGAGATACGCCAGAGCGTAGAGGTCTGCTCCTGTGCAAGTGGCATGGCCATTTACTTGTGCACGGCATCTGATTCAGGTGTGGGGCGAGCACGTGGAGATAACAGCAGACTTGGTGTTGACGCACTTCATGTTCTCGCTGCCTGCGGACGCGCCGGCCTCATTCGCGACGCACCTAGTGTCGCTGCGCTGGGTTCTGCGCTTTGAGTTCACCACATCTGTCGCCAAGCCGGCCAGCTGGCTTTCTGGGGGCCCCACCCCCGAGCGCATTGCCTGGGCCCTGCCAGTGCTTGTACGGCCGCCAGCCATCCCCAGGAACTTGTGACAGTGGACAATATGTGGGTGCATTGCGCTGGGAATGTCAGCAGTAGAGCACTTTTGCAGTTGAGGTGTTCCAGGGAAGTATGGTCATGATTGTAGTGTACAAGCGTTCCATGTAAAGTCAGATGCGCTAAAGCTGTCCTGCGTATTTCTGCATTCTGCCATGCATGCACCCATTTGTCAGATAAGAAATGCCAATAACGCCAAAACGATTCATTTGCAAGCTTGGCAGGCTTAAACAGTTGCTTCAAGCTTGAGTTTATCCTCCTTCTGAGGTACATTACTTGTAGCTGCAGGTTGTAGCGTCAAGCTCCCCCATACATACTCCATCATTCTCTTTTATAGTCCTGCATAATCACAAACTGAGGGAATGCCCACAGTGAGGATTCCATACCCACAAGCTCACGTGCTTCACGTGTTGACATATATTAGGATAGGTCGTTCGGCTGGAATGCAAAATGTCCTCGTTCCTTTTCTATTTGCTTAAATCTTGGAACTCTCTTTCATAACTTTTTATAGGTGCCACTTAGACTAGGAAAAGGCGCTCTCTGGAGATCCACCCATCATGCGCATTGATGCCCCGTGAAGGGCGACAAAGTGGCAATTGATCTGAACCGCCTGAGGGATCACGGCACAGGAACGAATCCTGTAGCCGTCAATGGCTTGGGTGAGATGCTGCTTGATAAAGAGCCTCTGTAATGCCCAGACTTCTAACCTGCAGGGGGTCAGTTTGATATATTTGGCAGGCTTTTGGAGTGGCATCATGGAATGCATTTGGGGTCGCTTAGAACCAATGCCTGCAACCAAAGTTCCCCGGAAAACAGATTGAGGCGACATCTATCTTGCATGCAATGATCAAGTGCTAAATTCTCTTCAGTACGGATGGTGCCTTTCGCTGTCGCGCAATGGACATTTCGTCCTCTTATGTATGGATTTGTAAGGCACGCTTTTCTTGGTATGAGATAATCCTACAAATTACGAACTATCTGCCATGGACACCTTCTCAAAACGCCATCGTCTCAGAACTATTTGTTCCAAGCCACAGCATTATATCGTGATCAATAAATATACATAAGTCCCTGGCATGACTCAGTCCAGCCTCTGGATCCACACAGCGGGTCGGGCTTGTAAAGATACATCATGAAATGCGTCGTGCAAGTGCAAGGAGTCTCCAGTCAATATTGTCACAGAAGCCCCAGCAGAAGCAGCAGTACAAACGCGTCAAAAGATTCCAGCAGCTCAGCCCATCAGACATGTGATGCGCCGTCTGTGTCCCTGAGCAGGGGCGTGCCAGGATCCTCATCATGTGCTGCAGATGCATCCTCGCTGGCAGTCACAATGCGGTAATCAGGCTCCCTGCCGCTGAAATACCGCCCCAGGTTGAACACAGCCGCTCCCAGGAACAGCAGCACCGCGCTGATGCCTATGCTTATCCTGGATGCATGCGGTGACAGCAGTCCTCGGCTTATGAACTTGCAGCTACAGTCCCGGAACATCTGCTGCCCAAGGATTGGCCCCCACATCAAAAACTCCCAGCTGATGCTAGATCCGACAATGCTTGAGCAGTTGAGAAGAGCAGAGATGACAAATAGAGGAAGATAGATTTTGCTTACCGCCAATTCTGGATGCGCTCCTGCAACCAGCCCAGAAGGACGGGGGAGGGAACGTCCCCAAACACATGGATGACTATCACCTGCAGCGACATCGCAAACGGCCGCAGCCGCGCCGGGACCGACCACAGCACCACCGCCGTGTTGGGCGCCTGCAAATGTTTTGCAATTTTAGCAAATACAGCAATGGCAACATGATAATAACAATCATTTGGGTAGGCAGGGTACATCTGGAGCCAGCTGTTGTGGTGATGAAAGCATAATCACAGGGAGGACGAGACTCAAAGGGCTCATTGCGGGATGTTCACAAGAGGAATTGCAGCAGAAAAATCTCCCAAATTTAAAAACACATGAAGAGGCAGGTGTGCTGACGGGAGTTCAGGAGCTCCCAGCAAGGGACTGGGGATCAGAGAAGAAGAAGATGCTGCGGATATGCCGCAACGGCTGCAAATTTGGATGGGAGCTTACCTGAATGCCAAAGATGGCGAATTGCCCGGCTGCAAAGGGAGGTACAAATGCCAACAGCGATGTGGTCACTCCAAAGGCCAGCAGGATGAGCACACCCCTGAGCCAGAGCAGACCACGCAAGTGAGTCCTTGCACCATCACCTTGCCACCACATGCAACTAGCAATTCAGCAGTGCATCAGCACAGCCAGTCAAAGGCTCTGATGGTCTCAGGATGCAGCACCGGACCAAGAGACTCCAGCCATTCTAAGCAATGGGGAGGAGGCTCTCACCCGATGGCCATGCCGCCAGCGCAAATGGCGAGGGCATTGCCCATGGTGGAGCCCATGCGATCCAGCACATACCCGCCCGTCAGCGTGCCGAACACTCCAGTCAGCACCGTGACCGCCCCAAACACCAGATCCGCCGTCTCCCCGCTGATTGCAAACACATCCCTTCCCGCCTTCGGCCCTAGATACGCTATCGCCCCTATGAAGGCTGCGGCAGCACACAGAATGAGGTCAGCACATGCCCTTGGTCTCAGCAGCAGCGCCGTATATATGAGGCCTCGGACGTCAGGATGCAGGTGTGCCTAGATGTACCTCCTACAATCAGAGAGGGCACATGTCTCCCCTGCGCAGGTATGTAAAGCAAGCACAAGAGCAGCAACCTCCAACAATTGAGTCAACACATACCTTTTATGCTTAATCTGCAGGAGTGAGTTGAAAGACGCACCAGTGTACAGGGTCTGGCCGCCCACGGTGCAGACGTAGACAGGGTGCCTGCACACGGTCACCAGGTCCTCCCCAACCTCTCTCACCGCCCCAGCCAACCCTCTCCCAAACCCCTTTGGCCCCTTCACACCCCTCACCACCTCTGCCGGAGTCCTGTCCGCCTCTGCGCACACCACAGAAATGTCAGAAACCGTACTTCCCAATTCCCATCATTGTGCATGCATGTCTTTCCCAAGCACTCACAACGACACATGTAAGCATGTCAGATCAATGATTCATTCTGCATTTACAGCGTCAAATGCAGGGGCCAGCCTGTCCCAAAGGACAAAGCAGGAGCACAGCACCATGTCTGTTTAGGCTAAGGATAGCTGTCCAGGGAGCAGGGAGATTGTCCCAATCTTAGCATCTTCTTATGATCCCCCATTGCAGGGTGCACCTTTGGTCATGCCGCGCAGGTGGATGGGGGGTGCGAGGGCGCAGAAGGCCACAAAGGGCGCCATCGCTGCGGCCTCCAGCAAAAACGCCGCGCGCCAGCCCAGAGGACCCGCCACCAACCCCCCAAATATGTACCCCTGCCAGCCCAATCGCAATGTCACACTTACCCAGCACCCTCAACATAGAAATTCTATGTACCTTGCCCTCCAATGACTTGAGCCCTGCAGGATGATGCCAATGTCAGCAAGCTGGGTGGGTGATAGAGGGAATGTGACCCACCAGGGCATAGCCAACCGGGATGCAGAGGTAAAAGGTGGCCAGCCATCTGGTCTTTGCATGCGGAGGCGCGTTGTCATCTGTGCACATGATTGCAATGTCAGCTGAGTAAGCGCGATCAGCTGCTGAAGAGAGTAGACAGTGAGAGTGTCGTTGTGCTGGTCAGCAATGAATCAGAGCTGCACTTACCTATGAATGGCGAGGCCAGCGCCACAAAAGAAGCCTCTCCAACCCCCACAAACATGCGGCATGTGAGCAGGCTCCAGAAGCCTGCAGGGAAGGCAACATTGTCATGGTCACACTTCTTACATGCCTCTTACATGCAAATGCATAGCTCTCAGCAAGTTGTGCACAAATCGATTGGGAAGTCACCAATGCTCAAGCCGCAGCCAGCTGTGGACAGGGTCCAGACACCCAGGCCCAGAGCGATTAGCCTGAAGGCATTGACGTGCTTGCTGGCCTCTGCGAAGATTGGCGACGACACAAGAAGGCCGACCTGCGCAGTGTGTCCTTACTTTCAGGCAGGCATCTTGCTCACAAAGGCCTCAGATGTGCAGCTGATGAAGTAGGTAATTACAATGGCACGGTTTGTGGCTCACCAGGAAAGCTGCAGGAAGGTAGCCATCCTGGGTCAGGCTCAGCCCAAAGTCACCCTGCACGTGCAACAGATCAGGTGAGCCCCGGGAGTGCTGACACCGCGTGAAAACAGGAAAACAAAGCTCCGGACATGATCCCACCTGGATGCCATAACCAGGCGACTTGTCATCACCTCGAGCTCCATTTACACCATTGCTCGATATAACGCCTGAAAGTTGAGCAAGACAGAAGAGTCCTTGGACTACGTTGATATGTGTAAACTCTGGTGCCAAGCCTTGCTAGGCAAGTACGTCGCTCATATTTTAAGCACTGAGCTGCTTCAACCATATATGGATTCTTGTGCAACGCTCTGACTGATCGCACCTCTGTCCATGTAGACGAGCATGTTCATGGCACAAAACAGCCATAGTAATCTGGCCGGTGTAAACCATCCTTTGCTCTCTACTTCTACAATATCTGGCTCTTCTGATGGCATCGCACGCACTATTCAGCGTGCGATTCGGGTCATGGAGGAGGTAGATGTTGTCGCTACAAGAAACTGGAGTAGCCACGCAAAGAGTTTGACGGATAAAAGAATTTTTCAGAGAGTACTTTCCATCTCTCGGATGTAAATTTCTCCTCCGCAATGCAACAAGCATGTTGCAACAAGCATGTTGCAAATGCTTGTGGATGAAGCTGACTGATCTCAAGGGTTTCTGTAGGGTTCTTAAACCTGCAAATTTCTCCTCGACAGCAATTGCGTGCCCAATGCAAAGCCTCAGTGACAAGTTGTCAATAACAACCAAGTGTTTTCTCAAACACTGAGAGGGGTTTTAAAGCCTGCTGCCTAAGTGCCACAACACCCAGGCCCATAAAAGGCCCAGAGTAGCGTTGTGCGGACGTCCACATCGAGCAGGGTTCCGAAGTCACACAAGGAACAGGTGCTGAAGGTGTGAGCTCGTTGAAGTATAAATGTATCTCTATAATGCTTTTCCGAAAATCATTTACGCAAAAGCCTGCAGCATGGCGAGCAGAGCTCTTCCACAGTCACTTTACTAACAGTGGCTAGGAACACCCAGGATAGGGAGAGCCCAGCAGCATCTGGCGCAGAAATGTTTGTACTGAAAGCCGTTCGAAAACTTACCTTATTGCTGTTGATAGTTCTCACCATTCTTTGTTCATCTTCAAGAAAGGCCTTTCTGAGCCCATAGCTCTGGACTTGCATAACAGCACTTTGAAGAGAAGGGCCATGCTTGCAGGGGCTCCTGGAAGTGGCATAATGCGCATGAGAACGCACCGTACGGCTAGTGCAGCTCTGGGCTTTCTGCTCTTGACAGCCTGCGCACATGCCCAGTACCAAAGCCAGGCTAGAGACAGCCCAACAGTCTTCCAGCATGACAGGTGCTGTGCAGGCCTCCTTGAACACACGTCATTTCATCCTTCATTTTGCAGCAAGCGAGGACGTGTGTCAACAAGATGTCCCTGGTCTACCAAGGGATGGGGACTCAAAGGAGATACTTGTGTTGCTGCAGGCCTGGGCAGCCGACCATAGACATGAGCCACTGGAAAAAGGTGTATGCAAAGTGCACCACCCCCACAACCCAGACGTCCCCGACCAGCCCCATCTTTGACACCTACCTGGCTGACTTGGCAGCAACCTTCACCGCTGCCAACCCCCTGCTCCTTGCTGGAGAGTGCGCCCCTTTCTATCTCTTCCTTTCCCCTTGATTTTTTTTCTGCCTAAAACTGGAACTCAAATCCCAACCTATGTTGCTGTGCAAGAGCAAGCAAACAACCTGGTCAGCTGCCAGACATTTGTGCCACTTGCAAAGCGGCCCATTTAAGAAATATCCCAAATCTCTGGTGCTAGCTTTGCCTGCATGTCTGCATTTCTCCTTGTCTAATTCACCGAGTGACAGCTGGTCGATATCATGACTGACACGTGTGCGGCGGGTTGTGTTCAGGTGCAAGCGGGACCAGATGAACAATGGAGTGGCGGCGTGCGGATACACATTTGACCCCAGCGACTACTACCGGCAGGCCATCACCAACATGGACGGCCGGCCCAGGCTCACCTTCACCTCCTGCGGGTGCGCTGCCCTGCTGCCAACTGCCCTGCCCACTTGCCTTCTGAACTTGCATGCGTCTAGCAGGAGCTCATGCCTTTGAACGATGGACATAGCATCCGGCTATAAGGTCATCCTGCCTCTCTGTGGCCACGAGAAGCTGACCGGACCCGCAGCACAACCGGGAACTTCAAGGCTTGCAATCTGAGCTGTGCAATGTCAGCAGTTCTGACAATGCCTTGGAAACAACTCCAGGGTGGCTTTTCGTGCTTCTGGGCCCCCCAGGGATTTGTCACCAGCCCAACACATTTGCCTTGCAGAATGGCAAAATGACTGAATGGACAGAAACCTGTCCCAGAGCAGGTATACTACTGGTCAATCCTTGGAGCATTTTTGGCATCCAGAAGGGATGCCTTGGGATGTCCTTGAGCATGAGATGATTGCCTCAGCTCGCAAGCGGAATCATAGTCTCCCAAAGGTCTGGAGTGAGGGACTAAGACCTGCGGACACACCTTGCCTTTGGGCACAGACAGCATGTGGGAATTAGTCATGACATGTGCATGTGGTGATGTGGCACAGCATCCAGCTGGACGGCGGTAATGTGGCGGCAAGCAACACCTGCTGGACAGACGCAGCCTCGACAAACGGGGAGGTTGCGGTGCGCTCGGCGCTGAGTCAGACCGCGCTGGGGCCGGTGTCATTTGCGGTGACGGTGCAGGACGGCAACCCGGCATTGGGCGGCACATACGTGGGATCCATCACAGCGACTTTCACCTGCAAGTACTACAACCCTGCGCAGCTGATGCTCCCCGGCTGAGCCCGCGCATGTCTTACCTGTGCCTGGAGAACAAAGAAAACTGTCGAAGGTACTGATAAGGTGTGCAAGGATCCTGATGTGCATATCATGTTGCTGGACACTTTGAGGGGAGGTGAAGGGTTTATGTTGCTGGCAATTGGGAAGAATGTGGCGGTGGACCAGCGCATGTACATTGAACAGCTATTGTGTGAATACGCATGGCTGACAGTAATGTAGATACAATAGAGGAACTGTTGCGGTTTGGTACTAGAGTTCTTGCGGTTGCATGTAACCCACCTAATAGGGACCTGCTAGTAGCTTGGCTTCACAGTAGGCGGGCTGTCATTACAATGCATCATACGACTCCTGAACACTTCCAAGTTGTCATCACAGTGCATGAATCATTAAAAGTAAACGGACAGGCTGTGTCAAAGCCACAAATTGCTTCTTAGGCACCGGTGCACTACGATAACCAAGCTGATCACACACACACTGCTCCTAAACACAAAATTTGAACCCAACGAAGAGCTCTGTTGTTCCTGTCCCAGATCTTGTACACCTAATTATACATACAGAAACACACTCCCCTCAAAAATTGTTCTGCATGTGCTCCTAAGACGCTCTTGCAACACTGGTCGCTGGAGCATGCGCATGCACAAGGGAAACAGCATACCGCCCAAAAAGAGAACTTGCTAGTCTCAGCCCCTGCTGGAGTAAATCTCAGTATCAAGACACCCCCTTGGAGGACATCCCTGATGTAGACACCTCGTCACCGCAAAGAGGTGGTGTGTTTATCATCAGCATTCTGCAGTTACTTGCTGGGAGCGGATAGGGCAGCCAGTCGGGCAACAGTGTCCTTGGAGGGCGCTGCAGTGATGACAATGGAGCGGTTGAGGATGGCGTCGGTGGCAGTGGTCAGCTGCTCCTTGATGGCCATCAGCAGGGCTGCGGCCAGGATGCTCTGCACGATCTTCGCGCGCATCCCCTTGTAAAAGCCCAGCAGACCTGGCGAAAGAAAGACCATTTCTCAACCTTTGTAGATTGCAATCTACAAAGGTTCCGGCTGGCCTCACAGAGACGAGGGCTACACATGCCCCATTGAGCTCCCCAACCCAGGCAGCAGAAGCAAGTCAAAATTTAGCTGTGCTCAACGTGCCTCCCTTGCTCCTTAAATAACAATTGACTTCTTGGGGATAATTTTGTTTCAGCTTGTAGAGCGCAAGGTGTACAACAAGAACAGTGGACTCCAACCAAGTAGCCTATTTAACTTGTACGCCTTGGAATCTATGAGCTGCAGCAGTTGCTTGTTTTGCACACAAGCTGGGAGTTCCCCTGGCCGGAGGCAAGGCACCTTCCCCGTGCTAGTAACATGCATGTTGTTTGATTGCTACAAGAAGAAAGGGTGAGCAGGCCCGGGCGCGCACCCTCGGTGCGCCAGATGCGTTCGAGGGCGTCGAGGGTACCGGTGTAGCGCCGCTCTGCGCTGGTGTGCTTGCCGGATGACATGAGGCGCGCCTTAACCAGCAGCAGCGGGTAGGTCACCACCGTCGCGCCCAGTTTGGCCACCGCGCTCAGCCAGAACACGTCCCCGGGGCTCGTGCGCCGCGCGTTCCCTCCGCCTGCATGCATGCATCGAATTTCTAAATATTACTAGTGGCATAAGCAAGCGAAACTGCTCCTGTTTCCTCCCACTACTATTACTACCACCTGCTCTTGCTGCCAGAAGCAGTGTTGCCAATTTCCAGCCCCTTCTTGTTCTCAGTAGATTCAAGCAAGACCCAAACAAACGCGAGCACGGTGCTCAGACTTCATACCGCTTCCCGCCAGCCAGGGCACACATCAAAATGAATGGTAGGGAATTGTTGTTTGAATTGTTGCGAGAGTTGCTGGGCATCAGAATGTTTGGCCATGCATGCATGCACAAGCACTTAATGGGGCTTCCTGAAGAGGAAAACTGGCAGGATTGCAAGGAGTCTAAGAGTGCCTGCCCTCTCTGGGAATGGCTTACAAGAGTCCAGCTGGCAAGTAGTAAATGCACCTGAGGCGACGCGCCGCCAGTCCTCGAGCCTGGATCTGAGGTACTCGAACAGCATGTAGTTCACGCTGGGGTTGGAAACCATCACCAAAGATGGCAGCACCCCCGTCCAGAACCCCTGAATCATAGCACCACCGCCTCGAGACATGGCGCACCATATTAATCATAAATATCCCGTTTAAGTGAGCGCCAGCAAGCTGCATTGAGACATGTTAGCACAGCAAGAAGGAATGAAGGCCACAAGCTCTCCGGGGTGGAGGATATCCTTACCAGAATGCCATGCTCCTTGTAGATCTCCCTGCATGTCTCCAGGGGTCCAGGCGGCTTCACATGCTCGTTGCCCTCCTCGATGCTCTTCTGGTATGCCTGCCAGCATTTTGCAAGATTTGAGGAAAGTACCTTGTGTCTATTCGTCTGTGACGTGCTTCGGCCGGCCAATGTGTCTGTTCTGCACAAAGATGGATACTCAGGGAGAGGATGCGCTCACCTGCATGCGCGTGGCTACACACCAGATGGGGTTGGTGAGGAGCACATTGCCACAGCCAGCAAGGAAGGCCACCAGCAGGGATGGTCCCACTCCAATATCCTGCAGTTTCCAGACCCGCTTTTCCGGTAGTTTGCATTGCAAACAACCTTATGGCTGAACCTGATGCCATGATGCAATCCATTGTATTACACTGCAGGCATTGATGCATGCACCCTACCTGAGACTTTGTCAGCGTGAGGCGCTGATGCCTGGCTACAAAGAATTGGCGGAGTAAGGAATAGAAGTAGAAGTAGACGCCCTGGGACACGGCTGTGCCAAGGAGAGATGCCTGAAGCCCTTGGAACAAGCCAGTCCAGCCTGACTCGCGAATGACCTGCAACATTAGACGAGTGAAGGGGCATCTTGTCTATAAGATGGGGACTTGGCAGAGGATATCCTCGCTCGAAATTGCTGTGTCTGATGCAAGCCATCCACCTACCTCCAGTATGTCAGCAATTGTCCCGGTAGCAGCCTTCTTGGAACTAGGCAGAACTGTCTCTTTCTTGTGGGACCTAGTAGCCTGCAGCGTTGACACTGTCATGAGGGGGTACGTGACCACCGTCGCTGCCATCCCTGCAGCTGCCCCAGAGACACCTTCCACAACCTCGGGTGCCACCATCGTAAACAGTAAGCCAACCCGAAGGGAATGTGAATTGTGCCCTGGTCTGCAAGACGCCCCAAAGGCCTAGGACTGGACAGCCCTGCAGCAGAACACTAATTTAAACAAGAGAGAAATTTCGCAGATGCGAATTTCACTTTAAAAACTGGCACAAATATGCAGAAATCATTCTTGCTCCAAAAGCAAACGGTGACTCAGCATATTTAGGCCACGGTGGACTCGACCGACCGATCTCCACCCTGGCCATTCAGACTGGAATCAGGTTGGATTGCATTCCATCCACAAGAACTCTAATGAGAGACATCTTACGTACGGAAACTGCCTCCATTCAGGACTGTGATTGTTCCTGAAATTTTGCTGTTGCGCATCCTTCACAAAATATTTGTTGACACTGGCAATACCGGCGATCAGATTTCCTGCCGAAAAGGCCCTGAATTGAATCCGATGTCATTGAAATGGAGATCGCCCTGGTGAGCGCGTGGCACTTCACAACTGCTTGTCACAGCCCTCCTAGCTGCTCCACCTAACCACTGCGTACTATGACGACAAGTGTATTGATACGTTTCTATGGGCGTGCTCAGGGAGACGGGACATGGTCCCAAGCATGCTCCCATACCTCCACCCCCACACCCCACATACGATCTGGATCAGGTGTGTGCACCTGGAGCTCGAGCCTAAGATTTCAAGCAATGCACTTTCAGAACCACAGTAACTGAGCTAACTTTTCATTGCAGATCGTGAGGCTGGCGTTGGAAGAGGACTCCGCAGGCATTGGGGATGTCACCACGCTCTCAACGTGCGCTCTCAACTGCCCTTTGCCGTTCTTCCCTGGAGCTATCACTTCTACTCTGGTCATGAATCATTGAGCATGGCTGCAGGATCCCAGCAGACACCCAGGCTGTCGCAAGCTTCCTAGCAAAGGCTGATGGCATCCTGGCTGGCCTTGCTGTGGCAGACAAGGTACGGCACCACTCCCCTTAGTTCCCACCCAAAAATACCCCTGTCATATGAGTCTCCACTTTAGTGCCCCTTTCTTTGCTAACAATGCATCTCATATCTGCCTGGGCACATCTTACTGACCATCCTTCGTATTGGCAAAATGCAATCTAACCAGATTCCGTTGTTATGACACTAGACAAGGGACACAGGGATTCTGCCAATTCATTACGGCTTTTCATGCATCTCACGACTGAAGATTATTGGATGCAGGTGTGCGCAGCAGTGGACCCAGGACTGGAGGTGACCTGGACGCACAAGGACGGGGACTTTGTGGTGAAGGGGACGATCTTTGGAGGCGTCCGCGGCGCGGCGCGCAGCATCCTGGTGGCAGAGCGAGTGGCGCTCAACTTCCTGCAGCGCATGTCGGGGATTGCCACTGCCGCCCGCGCCATGGTGGCCGCCGTCGAGGTGTGCATCAAGTATCATTTCACCAAGGAGACCTGAAATCTGGGCATTGCCCGGCACGGTGATAGCAATAATAGGTCTCATCACAGTGAGTGGGTCTGCCCAATGCGAGCAGGTCGAGCAGTTGGTTCAGAGAGAAGCACTGCTCACATGTGCAGTATTTGCTCCTGGTGCTGGGGCCTATTACTTTGCTGGTGCAGACAGCATCACCACCAAGATTTCCTCCGATTTTCATTGACAAAGAATACATAAACGTCCATCACTGGACAGCCGGCTGGGGACTAAAAATGCTCGAGGGAATGATGCGGCTGATTGACTTGCTTGCATGTTGCACACACAAATGACAGGGCCACGCAGCGCGCATTCTGGAGACGCGCAAGACGGTGCCGGGGCTGCGGCTGCTGGACAAGTGGGCGGTGCTGATCGGCGGCGGCGTGAACCACCGCATAGGCCTCTACGACATGGTCATGATCAAGAACAACCACATCTCCGCCGCCGGCTCCGTCAACGCCGCCGTGCACCGCACCCTGGTGCGCACTTTTCACCCATTTCTATGCACATGGCGCTCCCGATGCCAGACACATCAAGTCTCTGCAGATGCTGTCCTGCCTTCGTTTGTTTCCTTGGACCCCTTGCGCAGCCGCAAGACAGGCAGTGGAGGCACCTGCCTTTGTAGCCTTGGTGCATTGGGTTGAAGGAAGCGGTTCGGAGCCATTAAATAGCTGCAGAAACTTGGTGTGCCTGGTGCCTGATAACACCACTTTGCCTGCCAACATTTGTGGGGGTCATGACTCCGATGAGAAGGCACGATGCCACCTTACCAGTCTAGGGGAGGGGGCCACTACAGTCTGTTCATCTGTGCGGAGCTCGCCACTCCGCTGGTGGCTGCTTCCTCTCGATGGTTGCAGCAGCGGCAAGCGGCACGCATAGCAAATATTTGTGCCATTGCAGGAGTACACGAGGGAGCGGGGGCTGCGGGTGCCAATAGAGGTGGAGGCCAGGACGCTGCAGGAGGTGCATGAGGTCCTGGCAGTGCTGGAAGCGGACCCTGGCTGCATAGACCGCATCATGCTCGACAACATGACCCGCCTGGACCCCACGCTGCCAGGTGACCCCCACCCTCAGTCCCCGCATATATATTGACAGACCACCCCTATTTATCTTCAACACAAGATGGTGCCTCTTAAAAAGATGTAGAGTTTTGAGGTTTCCCTTGTTCCCCAAGCAAGAGTGAGCATTAGTATGACATGCAAAGCTTCAAGATCATGCGACAGCTTGCATGTGGGCGCAATCTTGGCACTGCTCTGCTGGTGCGATGAGTAATGTCGGGGTGGTCACTTAACTTTCTTGTGGTGTCTGTGCAGATGGAGTGGATGTACAGATGCTGCAGAGTGCCATGGACCTTGTTAAGGGGCACACGATAGAAACAGAGGCGAGCGGGAATGTGTCGATAGAGACTGTGCGGCGAATAGCATCGACGGGGGTTGGATTCATTTCGTGCGGCGCCCTCACACATTCTGTTACTGCACTGGATATCTCGCTGCGCATACATGACACTTGAGACTCTGCAATTATTTTCTGGTACTTGACTGTGCTTTATGTTGTTGCTATGTGTTGTACAAAGAGTGTGGAATTGTGAGAGACGTTCAGTAGACACAATTGTTTCAGGTTCACTCTTGCAGAAATAGAAATGCTGTTGACCAAGGATAGGTATGCCCTGCATGGCAGCTTATCCACCAATAATACACCAAAGAGGGTGCCCAAAAGGTAATTACTTATAAGAGCTGGTACCAGGTTAGTTTTGTTGCATGCATGTGCATGGTAGAAGAAGGTACTCAATCATACTTCAAGCATCCTTTTACAGAATTGTCAACCAGTGGCTACCATGGTCATCAAGTTAGGTTTGCATGCCAAAAGCTGTAAATTCAGCAGATGTCAGCACGTACAAGTGAGGCGCATATATGATTAGAGTCTATGCACAGCCTAAGGATTGTCAGAATTTTTAAAGGTAACCCGTCATTCAAAAAGCGCAATCAGTCAAGGACCTTGGAAACAACTCCGGCGCCGACGGTGCGGCCGCCCTCGCGCATGGCAAAGCGCAGGCCGGGCTCCATGGCAACAGAGGAGATGAGCTCAAAGTGCGCGGTCACATTGTCGCCCGGCATCACCATCTCAGTGCCCTCTGGAAGCGTCACAATGCCTGCAGTGCACACCATAGAAACCCAGATCAGCGTCCTGCATTTTCCGCACCCAAAGGGACATAAGCAAATCAAGGAGAAGCCCTCCACAGACAGGTGTTTTCCAGTCGCTGTGATTGAGGAGCCCGCTTCAATTCTGGCACGACCTTTGCAGTCTGGAGGACACAGAGATACAGACAGCCCAGCGAAGACAACAATGACACAGAGATGTGATAAGCGCACCTGTGATGTCGGCTGTGCGGAAGAAGAACTGGGGCTTGTAGTTGGTGAAGAAGGGGGTGTGGCGGCCGCCCTCCTCCTTGTTGAGGCAGTAGATCTCGCCCTCAAATTTCTTGTGGGGCGTGATGCTGCCCGGTTTGCACGCAACCTGCCAGCCAGACACGACCCCATCACCTCAACCCCCTTGGTCTAGCAACACCACAAATTCTGCCACAGCTGCTGCCTGTCCCATACCAATTCCTTCCTAATTCCCGGCAGGTCGGGCAATTCAGTAGCGCTGCAGCTGAATAGATGGTGCCAAAACCCAGTGGAAAGACCACCAGACGCCACTCTTCGCATTTCTGTAGCCTTTCTCATGAATGATCAGCCTCAGACTGACCTTTATAAAGGCTCCCAAACATGCCTCAGGTCCCCAGACTGTCAAAAGAAGTCCTGTGACGAACAGTGATCAGGGGCTGGGGCAATTAAATTCTTGAATTCTTGGGATAGGAGACAGAAAGCGCACCTGACCGCGGACGACGTCGTCGCGCTTGATGCCGCGCAGGAGCAGGCCCACGTTGTCGCCGGCCTGGCCCTCGTTGAGCTGCTTCTTGAACATCTCCACGCCCGTGACAGTGGTCTTGAGCGGCGTCTGGATGCCCAGAATCTCCACCTCATCCCCCGTCCGCACTATTCCCTGCTCCACTCGCCCCGTCACCACCGTACCACGCCCCTGCGCGCACCAACACCCTGCCCTCCTCAGCGCGATACTCACACCATTTGGAGCACCCCCATACGGGACATAGCTGTGCATCCACACCCCGATGCAGCGGCTAGAGAGGTTGAGTGGAGGTGATTGATGGCCTGTGTGCTGTGAGCAACATATATCACAGTCGCTTGCGATTCCCATGTGCATTTCCCCATCTCATGATGCCGCATGGCACTACATGGGAGCACAGACATGCTCTGGCCATCCATGCAGACATCCCCGCCCATGCACGGCAGAGGAATGAAGATGCGCTGTGGCCATGCAGGAGCTGAGAAAGGTAGGGTCTTATTGCTATACTAACCCATACTATAGTACCCCTCAAGCATACAGTCGATACCCCTGGAAGTGGCGCCGAGGGAACCGTGCCTGGATGGAGAAGACGTCTTCGACGGGCATGGAGAATGGCTTGTCGAGGGCGCGTGCGGGCGTGGGCACGTAATCGTCCACCGCTTGCATCAGCTCCAGGATCTTCTCCTTGCCCAGCGCCTCATTCTCGCCCTTCAGCGCCGCCAGCGCCGAGCCGCGCACAATCGGGATCTCGTCGCCCGGGAACCTGCATGCGCGCAAAGGGCCTGTTCAGGCAAATGGCTAACTTGGGCATTGATTATTTCAGGAGAGGTGCTGACACGCGCACAGAGGCAGCAGGCGAAAGCCTTATGCTCTTCTGTGCTTCTGAGCAGGGGTGGCAGAGGGTTGGCTACTGACCTCGTTTGTGCAAAAAATTCAGGCTTTGCAACTGTCATTCTACCAGATTGTGGCTGTCATAGGCACAATGACTCCATGCAGGCATGCTGGATGCTGGAAGAAGGGGTCAAACTGTGGCCGTGTGAGCCTCTCAAAAATTTCAAAGCAGCGAATAGAGCCTCACTTGTAGAAGCTGAGAAGTTCCCGGAGCTCCATCTCTACAAGCTCCACTAGCTCCTCATCCTCCACCGCATCAATCTTGTTCAAGAAGCAGACTATGCTGGGCACGCCAACCTGCGACCACGCTCATGTATTTGAGTCTCAAGACGCAGCTTGCACACACAGCACAGCAGCCTCCTTCACACTGCAAGGTGAGCAGGAAAGTGCCGTCCTTTGTTGAGGAGGAACGAGGCCAGGAGTTACGCATTGCACACCTGCCGCGCTAAGAGGATGTGCTCCCGCGTCTGAGGCATGGGCCCATCCGTGGCCGACACCACAAGGATTGCCCCGTCCATCTGCACCAGCCAATGGCAATCAGATTCACAACCATCGACTGTAAGCACAGTGGAAAATTGCACGCTCCATAAACTACTTTACATGCAGAAATGACCTAGCCTTGCCTGCGCTGCGCCAGTGATCATGTTCTTGACGTAGTCAGCGTGCCCAGGGCAGTCCACGTGAGCGTAATGCCGCTTGTCTGTCTGGTATTCCACTGCACAGCAGAAATTAACATGTCAATGACATCTTCTCAGCAACCATAGAGGCATCATGGAGCTTTTAACTTCCCTCTAAAGCCATAGCAAAGAATTGAGCTGTTGGCCAAGCCCGCACCGTGAGCTGTAGCGATTGTGATACCACGGGCCTTCTCCTCTGGTGCCTGCATGAGCGGGGCGGTCAGCGGATCTATAAAGACTGGCACATAGCAGAACTTTTGAAGATGTCACAGGAGGAGATCTCTCACCTTGTCAATCTGATCGAATGCCACAGCCTTAGACTGACCCATTTCTGATAGTACCTGCACCATGGGAACTTGTTCGTGGAAGCTTGTACACACTTAATTGCCCCGGTGACATTGTGCACATGATGCAAAAGACTTGATGAAAACCCATAATGGACTTGCCTTAGTGATGGCAGCTGTCAGGGTGGTCTTCCCATGATCAACGTGGCCAATCGTTCCCACGTTCAGATGGGGTTTGGTGCGAGTATTAATGTCATAATCTGCGGCGGCCTGAACAAAGCGTGCGCTCAACGAAGGCAGACAGCATGGCTCTAGCAACCTGGGACACAGTTGTTGTATGTTAGAAGGTAACTTCTCTGTTTCAAAGAACCCTATGAACAAGACCTCATCAAAATCAGCTGGTGGCGATCTGAAACATCAGATGTCTTGCAATCAAATATGTTCAAAGTATCCACGATGGAATGCAGGCGTCCCCAGCGCGAAACAGAAATATATGATCTGAGTGCTCAGCTGACCTCTGAGAAGTGCCTGGCAGTTGCTGATTCGCTTGTTGTGCCAAACGCTGAGTGAGGCAGGAGAGCGCTCTTCTACCAAGCACTCCTGCCATTTTGGTATCGCGCCTGAGAGGCAAATTTGCTTTTCCTCCTCTGGAATGCAGAAGCCGTCTGTTGCGTCAGGGCTTTCCAGCTCAGGGACTTATGGAGGGATTTGAGAGCATGTGTAGGGTTTTGCACTTCGCGCTCTCTGGTCTTCTCAATATCCCCTATGCTCTCGTTAGCTGTTGAAGATTTTAGTGAAGGTTACTGTGGATGTTTATTGGAAGATCTGCCATCAAGCAAGATAGGACGCGAGGAGCAGATTATCCATCGAGTAGGCATGCAATTCTTGCGTCTCGCTGCAAAGACCTCTGATGCGATCGTAAGATCGCCATGAGGTTCGCAGATGACATCATCGAGCGTCCTGGAACGGGCAGTAAGAACAAGGACGACAGAGCTCCTCGTGCACGCTGGCTGGTGGGAGGAGGTTCAACTTGCTTTTTTAGTATAATGCAACTGTGGCCAACGTGCCTAGTTAATGGTTTGTATTACTTACAAGAGCACTTGAGGCGTCCTACCGCTGACAGCAGCTTCATGACTGCACTTTCAACAGCCATCGTGCTCTATACTGACTCAATTTGTGCTCGCAGGTCCTCTTCATATCTCTGATCCTTGTATGGTAAGCTCTACTGACGAAACTGAGAACTGGAATGTCGCATATAGGGTTTAAGTGTCAATCAATGACCCAAATTCACTTTCTTGTACAGGGCTTACCTCTTCCACTATGCAGGCCACAGCACCTCGAATAAGGTGAGTACAAAAGACACTTGCACTTCCATCAGATAACAATTACGCTGCACTGTGTTGCTGATCGAGTCCTTGATTGCAGAGGAGAGCTAAGGGAGCTCATGCACACAACAGCAAGCCACAGATGCATATCAAGGTACGGATAGCTCCAGAATCTTTGCAAGCTATCAAGCAAGCGCTCTGAGAGCAGCTTAAAGGAGGCCTGTCAACACAGGTGTCTGTGAGCAACAGCAGTAGCTTACAAGCCCGTATAGTGGGAGCGCTGCAGAGCCAGAAGCAGCATGCGGTGGGGCAGCAGCTGTCTCGGTCCTCAAAGGGCCGAAAAAGCCTGCCAAGTCAAACAACGGTACGCCTCAGACGGCAGCACCGCAAACGCGCCTTGCTGACTTGAATGGCGTTGACGGGACCAACGAAGTGACATGTCACACATAATATCAGTGGCTATATCTGCACTGTTTGCTGTTTTCTGCCGACAGGGTGGAGCAAAGGTCCCTGAGGTTGGGCCCGGTTGGGGCTGGTACAGCAGTGCCAAGAAGGATGGTACTGAGGACACTGCGCTGTGGGCGAAGAGGCAGAAAGAAGTGGTGGAGGTACATCTCTTCCCAGCAATGCTGTCATGTTCCTCCTGGATAAATGCTAGCCCACCATTGATTGGTACAGACATCTGTTGATATGATGATCTCCTGGCTGGCTCACAGGCAACCAAGCACTCATGGAGGGCATATGAGACCTATGCCTGGGGAATGGATGAGTTGACGCCCTTGACAAAGGGTGGCAATGATGCCTTTGGCGGCCTGGGAGCCACCCTCATTGATAGCCTGGACACTCTGCACATGATGGGCTTGTACAGTGACTTCAGAAGGTAGACACTTCTTCCAGACGTTCCTTTGTTTTATGGTGCCGTTTGCTCAGTAGCATTCCTACTGCTTCATATGCAAGAAATAGGAGGTTGCTAATTGTGTTTTGTCATCAACGCCATCTTGGGTGTGCATGCAGGGCGAGAGATTGGGTGGCAACACAGCTAGACCTGCAGCATGACGCAAAGTTGTCTTTATTTGAAGTCACAATTCGAATTGTTGGCGGCCTGATTGCCGCTTATGACGCCTGTGGCGACGCAGTCTTTCTCACCAAAGCCGATGAACTGGCATCCAAGATGCTTGACAACTTCAGGAGCACAGAACAAGGTGTGCTGAAGCATTTGCATTTAATCTACACAGATATTCCATTGAACATCTTTAGATGCTGTACATGTAATGCCATGGAAAGCCATTATGTCGAGCTCTCGCATGTATGCTCGTCAATTTCAATGCCCACCGCTATTGTGTGCAAATTGACTGCTGTGTGCCTGGCAGGCAAGCAGACAGTGTTGCCCGTGAACGAGGTCTTCCTCAACCCTCACAGCCTGGAAACTATGAGAGCCAAGGCTACCACGCCAGAAACCGTGAGTCTGGCAGAGTTTGGGTCGTTCTCCCTGGAGTGGCATGCTTTGTCGGCCCGCACTGGCAAGCCAGAGTATGGGATTCAAGCTGATAAGATCATAGATGGTCTCAATCAACGCTACCCAAAGCAGGTAAAGGCCTGGCCTTCTGACAAAGAACGTAAGGCTGATTTTGTGCACAGTCATGCATCTTGTGGCATGGTGTGTTTGTGGTGGTGTTGTATGTGGTGTGCATGGTAGTATGATGGTTTTCTAGTAGTCCAGCAGGACCTGAGCCCAAAGCATCTGAGCAATGACTGATTTAGCTGTACCTATGCAGGCGTTCCTGCCAACCTGGTTCAACAGGCACACGGGCAAATACAATCCGGGTAACATGTACACTGTTGGAGGACTGGCTGACTCATACTTTGAGTACCTGCTGAAGCTGTGGCTCTTGCGAGGCAGAAGGGTGCGCATCACCTGACTATCCACTTCAGCACACTGTCGTTCTTGCGGATACCGAAAGTAATTGACTCATGACTTTGCTGACCAATTATGCAAAGGCAGCAAGATTGCTGCATTTGCCTCAAATCATTGCCACATGGTAACACCCGTCAATCAAAGCGCGAGGCCGGGATCACTTTGCAATGCATGCACATGAACATTGTCACACAACCCTGTGGTGTCATTTTGGGCTGTGCAGAGCTCAAGCGTTCCGAACCCCAAGAAGCTTACAATCATCCTCTGTGCAGGGAGAGGTGTACAGGAGTATGTGGGAGAGGGCTATGGATGAGGTTTTGGATCGGCTGCTGCATGTGTCTTCAGACGGCCTGAGTTATGTGGGTCATATCAGTGTTGCCAAGAGAGCGGGCTCCCAAGGCACCTTCAAACCCAAGGTAGCAAAGCCACTGCTGATGCATCTGCCCTGCCATTGCATGCTTGAGCATCTTGGTGTCCAACAGCATGCATGCTCTCTTCGTTTTTTGCAGCTGGAGAGACTCTTGTTCATCTTTCCGATCACAACTTTGCTCGGCATCTTGAGAGGAAGCCCTTTGCCTGCTCTCACGCATCATCACAATGCTGCCTATTGCTGACTTCTGCCGCCATTATCACTTGCAGATGGAGCATCTGGCCTGCTACCTGCCTGGTAATCTCGCCCTGGGGGTAGGGGAGGGTGCTGTCCGGGGTGCCAAGGCGCACCTGTATGCATCTGTGGCGGCCAACCTCACCTACACATGCTGGCAGATGTACGAGCGCATGCCCACAGGTGCCATCCCTGCACATCTCAATTTGCTACTGAAATCTTTAGATCTGCCTTTGTGACCCCTGATACCTGTCCTGCCAGGTAATTCGTGGCCTTGCCATGCGCCCATCAACTTAGTTTTGCTTCATTGCTTTGCATGGGCTTCTTTTGAGCCTGGTAAATGTTTAAGGTACGGGGCTTGTGCCTGCATTATCTTTTTGTGGTGATGTTGATGCAGGATTGGCACCAGAGGCTGTCAGCTTTGACCCAGTGGTGGGCATGACCGTGGAGAAGGGCTCAGGGAGGAACATCCTCCGGCCAGAGACCATAGAGTCCCTGTACTACATGTGGCGGCTGACCGGGGACCGTAAATACCGTGACTGGGGCTGGGAAATCTTTCAAGCCTTCCAGAAGCATTCCAGGGGCAAGACCGGCTACCACTCCATTTCGGTGAGCCCTTCTGCATGACTCTTTTCTGCTGAGCATCTCACTTTTGCATGCTTGTGCAGCAGGCGACTGCCCGGCACACAGCTGTTTGTCTCTTCAGCGTTTGAGTAATGTGAAGTTTAAATCTTCCTGGTTCTGTGCTGGCCATGCAAGCTGTGGATCGGGCCTTGAACTTTCTGCTGGGCTTGGCATGCAATGCAGGATGTCATGAAGGTGCCTCCACAGGCAGAGGACAAGATGGAGAGCTTCTGGCTTGCGGAGACCCTGAAATATACATGGCTCTTATTCGGGAAGCCTGATGCTCTGCCGCTCGACAAATACGTTCTTAACACCGAGGCGCACCCTCTGCTCATTAAAGCGGCGGCGGCATGATACCTGCAGGACATCTACACCGGTCTGGCAGCCTCAGATTGGCAAGGCAGCGCTCCCGATGCGACATTGTGCATCGGATCTACAGCCGTCAAACGTTGTCGTTATCATGATGGCATGAGATTTAGTGTTGACATCAAGTTTTGGAGCTGGCATTGAGTATCTGTTTAAGAGCCGTCCTGGTTAGCTTTGGGCTCTGAACGTTGCAGGACCAGTCTATTGACATGTGTGCGACTGACTCACACTGTAGCCAGACTGATAGACAGCAATCATTGATGCGGCATATGGTTTGCTACGCACGTTGCTTAGTGACAGTTGTGGATAAGTTGCTGCCCACAGGTGTCTGAATCGAGACTGCATGAATTATAGTCAGTTGACAGGCTGGGCAGGGCACTGCCAGTGATCGCGAAGTTCAGTCCAACTTTGAATATTTTGGTAATATTGTCCACTGATCAATTATAAAATAGACGTGGTCCACTGGCAGTGGGCGCCATGGTACTGTGGTTTCCTTTCAGCAAGTGATAGAATCTGGCATCTGCTCCAAGCTGAATCTGCGTTCTTGTAAACTCAAGCTGTCGAGGTGGGGACCAAATGGTCAAGGAGAGCTGCCTGGAAGCTCAAGGACACGCCCTATATAGGCACCCAAAGGGGATTGAGCCTCGACTAGGGCAACTGAGCACTCCGCAACGCAAAGTGGGCGTGACGGACTGCTTGCACCCGTGACGAAAGAAAGGGGTACAGGAAGCGTACAAATTCTGCTGGACGCAAGGTCAGCAGGGGAGTGATGGCCGCATTGGGAGCGGGCCTGCGCGGCGGGCTCTGCTGCCCCAGACTGAGTGCTGCGAGCTGTTCAGAAAGACGGCCAGCCTTTAGCAGCTCGGCCCCTAGAGCAGGTCTACGGCAATCTCTCGCAGGGAGCCGGCTTGGGAGCTCACTTTCACAGGTGCGAGGAGAAAAGCAAGCAGCGGGCGTTTTTTGAGGGGCGCTCCATTTAGATATTATCGATCTGGATGGACGATACCTTTCGGTTCTTCACGCAACGGAGTTCACAGATGGGCAGTAGATTGCACATTTCCTTCAGATGTGAAATATGGGAATCGGTTGCTGATGTGTCGCAGTTGTTAGTATGACTGCAGTAATAATCGCTGTGTCCCTACTGCAGTCAATCTCCCCTCTCCAGCAGCAAGCAGAGAGGCCCACTCGTCCAAGCTTGTCGAGGCGAGCAGCGCAGCGACCTGTAGCATCTGCGGTCGCAGCCTCTGCTGCTGCTGCCAGCGATGGGGTTGATGTTGCACCGCCCAAAAAGGGCTTCATGGGGATCGAGGCGATTACCTGGAAGAAAATTATCCCTCTGGGCTTCATGTTCTTCTGTATTCTCTTCAATTACACCATTCTGCGTGACACAAAGGTGCGTCAGTCCTCACTGTCAGTGGAAGCATGAGAGACACCTGGGCATTCATTCCTCTATAACCCTTCATCTATGTCCTGTATAAAAAAACAGAAACACATCCGACAGATCTTGTCTGACCTGCAAGACCCTGCCTCAGAGGAAAACCGAACACAGTGTCCACTGTGCAGGATGTGCTCGTGGTCACAGCACCAGGAAGTGGAGCAGAGGTCATTCCATTCCTCAAAACCTGGGTGAACCTGCCAATGGCTATCGGGTTCACGGTGCTGTACGCAAAGGTGACACATCCTCGCTTGCATCCTTGCCCCGTTGCCATCATTGCTTGCCTCCAAGCCGCCGAGGATCTCTACAACGCTGCAGCTGTTGTTGAGGTTTCTGTGCCGCCTGCACGCAGCTGGCCAACGTGCTGTCCACGGAGGCGCTGTTCTACGCTTGCATTCTGCCCTTCATTGCATTCTTTGGCTCCTTCGCCTTCATCATGTACCCTCTGCGCGACGTGCTGCACCCCACAGGTGTGGCTCTTGTTGGGTTATGCCTGGCTCCCTCTCATCTACGCGACTTGCAGCAATGAATGTCCCAAGAAGTACAGCACTGGGCTGCCACAGCACAATACAGCACAGCAATTCTGCTGGGTTGGCATGCATCGCATGGAGAGAGCAGGCAAAAGTGCAGGTGTTGTAGCAGGGCAACCCTGATGTGTGTATTGCTGTGGCAGCCCTTGCGGAGAGGTTGCTGGACACTTACGGCGTGCGTTTTGCGGGGCCCATTTCCATCCTGCGCAACTGGACCTTCTGCCTGTTCTACGTGATGGCCGAGCTGTGGGGCTCCGTCGTTGTCTCCCTCCTCTTCTGGGGCTTTGCCAACCAGGTCTGTCACCTCTCTGGCCAAATTTTACACATCACTGTGGCTGATGTTCCCCATCTGGCGAGGGGCGTGAACAAATTCCGGCAAGACAGTATGCAAAGAAATTCTGTAATTTTCCTCTTATGTGCATTGTCGTGAGCCTGCGGCTGCTGCAAGCTGTGTGCCTGCAGAAAGGATGCACAGTGTTGATTAGTGTGGATCAGCAGCTGAGGGACTGGGGTGTGCTGCACAGATCACCACGGTGGATGAGGCAAAGACCTTCTACCCTCTCTTCGGCCTGGGAGCCAACGTGGCGCTCATCTTCTCCGGACGCGCCGTCAAATACTTCTCCAACGTGAGTCACAGTGCCTCCTTGGTTCTCTCGTCGCCTTCGTAATATGCTCAATGCACCTCACATGCGATCAGCTCTGTTGCATGCATGCAGCAGATCCATCTTTGGACTCTGTGGTAGTGGACTTGATCCTGCTGACAGGGAATGCTTATTCAGAACGGCGCGCAATCCGATAATTATGGTCCCTTGCGCTGCTGGTTGGATATGTATCTACCCTCACGGGAACTCGTCGAGATAAACCGTCCCCTGAGAGCTGTGTGAGATGACATGTGACGGGAGCATGTGTGTTGGCTGCGCGCAGGTGCGCTCACGCCTGCCGCCAGGTGTCGACGGCTGGGGCTACTCGCTGAAGGGCATGATGGGCATGGTGGTCATCGGCGGCCTGCTCATCACCGCCACCTACTGGCTGCTGCAGCGCACTGTGGTGAAGACTGTCAAGGCCGGCCAGCCCAAGAAGAAGAAGGCCAAGCCCAACATGTCCGTTGGCGAGTCCTTCACCTTCCTCGCCAAGTCCCCGTACATCCGCGACCTCGCCCTCCTGGTGCGCCCTCGCCCTGTTTGCCTGTATCATAATGTGTTGAAACATGTCATCTAACAGTCCAGTGCTGAGCTGCTGTATCAAGCCAAATCTGACCTACCTGGCATGGTACTGCATGGTACGATGCCCTGCCCTGTGCTCCATTGGTTTCCATTACATGGGCAGACACTCGTGTTAGGGGTGCCAGCCTAATCATGCATCTTGTCTGAAGCTTGAGAGAGCAGGATAGCATGGGCAGGCTCTGAAAGTGTGCCGCCTGTTGCTGCTGCGCAGGTGGTGTCGTACGGAATCTCCATCAACCTGGTGGAGGTGACCTGGAAGAGCAAGATCAAGCAGCAGTTCCCCAACCCCAACGACTACTCCGCCTTCATGGGCGACTTCTCCTCCGCCACAGGTGCACACTTGACCTTTTAGCAACCTCTCATCCTTTTGTGCTTTCATACCCCAGACGCAGTCTTCCCTTGCTCTTCAGAACCAGCCAGATACATTGTCCAAGAAATCTTGCAGGCAGCGTATAATTGCCAAACTCGACATTCTTTGTGACATGCTTTCGGAGACCCAGGCACATTGCAAGTTGCATATGCAATGTGGTCCCTAATGCATGAGTTCAACCTGTGGGCGGGGCAGGCTGTTACAGGACATTCTAAGCAATTGCTTGAATTACATACTTACTGCATGGCGCAGGCGCGGTGACGTTCATCATGATGCTGCTGTCGCGTGTGATCTTCCGGAAGTACGGCTGGGGAGTGGCCGCCCAGATCACGCCCACCGTGCTGCTGATCACCGGAGTGGCCTTCTTCGCGCTCGTGCTGTTCTCGGCGCCACTCACCCCCTGGCTGGCCACCATCAACCTCACGCCCCTCATGGCCGCCGTGCTCATCGGCGCAGCGCAGAACGTGTTCTCCAAGTCCGCCAAGTACTCACTGTTCGACCCCTGCAAGGAGATGGCCTACATCCCCCTAGACCAGGAGACCCAGCTCAAGGTGCTGCTCTGGTCTCCTCTTCTACCTTATTAGTTTCTCCAGGCAGATGGTGTCCTCAGCACACACTCTCCTCCGGCCCCTGCTTTGCCGGCTGTCAATTCCAGTCTGTAGCGACAGTGAGAGAGACAATGGTTGTCACATGCTCAACTTGTCCCTGTGTAGCAACAAGTTCACGTGGGGTTGTGACCTATCGTCCCAGAGCTGCTGCATGCGGTGGGTCAGAGAGCACTTGATTACCTCATGATCCCTACTGGTCCCAGTCAATCCTGTTTGCCGCAAGTCAAAGAAAAGAAAGAGGGACACATGCGTCTCGCTATGCTTCAAGGTATGTAACCATATGAAAGGCTTCAAGAACATGGTCGACGTGTTTCTGTCTCGAGCAGAGTACTAATGTATCTTGGGCTTGTGTGCGCTGCAGGGCAAGGCGGCCATTGACGTGGTGTGCAACCCGCTGGGCAAGTCTGGAGGCTCGGCCATTCAACAGATGATGATCATCGGCTTTGGCTCCCTTGCCGCCTCCACCCCCTACCTCGGCGTCATCCTGCTCGGTGTCGTCGTCATGTGGATCGGCGCTGCCGGCTCCCTCAGCAAGCAGGCACGCCCAAACTTTCCCTCCGTGCCTTCCGCTCTTGTGGATACATAGTAATCGTTTGGTCATGATTGTCGTTAGTAATACTGGTGGACATAAACATCGTAATCTTGGGGACCCGAATGTAGTATAAGCAGCACATACCACTAGCAAGCGTAGCTGCTCTGCATGAGCTGCGTGATCATGAAGCACCGATAAGCAAAGGAAAGCTCATCGAACACTGGAGACGCTGACACAGAAGAGCAAGATCACCCAGGGAGATGGAAGTAGTGATTTGGGGATTTGAGTTCCCGAAGGGCGAATGACACTGAGGGGTGGTGGTGTGGTGTGCAGTTCACGGAGCTGCAGCAGAAGGAGCAGCTGGCCAAGCTGGCCATGGCGCGCCAGGCGCTGGCCACAGCCCCCGCCACCAAGAAGTTCAGGTTCATCTCCGGCGTCAACGAGCAGGTGCGCACTGGTTGCACTGGTAAATCTGTATCTTTGTTTTCACCACGACGATTCAGATTGACAAGCCTTCTGCTTATGTGCAAGTGCTCGCTATCTGTGTTTGTTGTATGGTGTCCCTGCTTCTTGTGTCGAGGCAAACAGACATGCACCGGGGAGGCATAGATATGGCTATCACAATCAGCGTGCATTTCTGTCAATTCATCCATGCGGTTTGCAGGTTCATAGCAGTGTCCCTGTAGATTTTGACATTTGCATAGCGCCGTGGTTATGATCATGGCAGCCATTGAACTGCAGCTTGTCTGCAGACGCACCTTGCCTCTTGGCAGGAAACGCGTGTAATAGAGTCATAACGCCGTGGGCTGGTGACATTACTTTATCTGTCCATGTGCAGGGCTTCATCGAGGGCAAGTACGTGCCCCTTGAGGAGGGCGTGGACGTGACTGCCTCCATGGACATCGTGGAGGCCGAGTCAGCCGAGGAAGCCGCCACCAAGTCCGGCAATGGCAAGATCGGCATCAACGCCAAGGCCGAGCAGATCGAGTGAGCGCAGCTTTACTCCAGCCAAGTCTCCCTGTGCCCATTGGCCTGGCTCTCTTTCTGGCAACAGTCTGGGAGAGTCGAGCAGTAAAAAGGAGGCATGGCGAGTGGCAGTTAAGCAACGAAGCATCTTGTCTGGGGGCATCCCCTTCCTCCTGGCCAACAGTGCTGGCCTGGCAAGTGATTCTCATGGGGCACTGGTTGAAACAGGGCATGTGCCTCCGGGCAAGGACATGATATGCCATACGGAATGACATCTTATACAGGATGTCAGCAAAGGTGATGAAGGAGAAAAGCAAGAATTTCAGGACATGACAAATTGCTGTCAGGAAGCATGTCAGCACTTTGTAGGTGCAGAGCAGCTTTCAGATGGTCACAGCGTAGGACAGGACAAGTGACCCGGGTGACTCTTTGGCAGAAAGATGTAGGATGATGCAAATGATGCTGAGGCTCCCTGAAGATGAGAAATAGGCTCGAGTAAGTCCTATCATTCAAGAAAGGATTGATTCTCCGTTCCAGCTATTTGGCCCTTGATCAGATGTTTTGGGACTAAAAGATTCTTTGCAGCTGCCAGGCGTGTTGATGAACCCCTGCAGTTAGATTTGCTGGGTTGCTCTCTAGCGATCCGCATTGGATTTCACCGGTGTTTGTGATTTACAGGCAGCCAGGTATTAATATGAAGTGGTGCTAGGCGGCCATATGTGCAAGTGAACCCTGGTTGCCTCTGCAGCTCGTTTGAGCAATACACCAAGCGTCATTGTAATGCAATCCATCCAGAGTATCCTATAAGCAAATTAACCAACCATTCGTAACAAGCAGAATCAAAGCGAAATCTGATCCAGATCTAGCCTAGCTTACCGTGACATTACTAGGGGTCATTCCTCGGTAATATTGCGTGCGCAAGTACAAGCTTCAGTCCCGGGTCTCTGCAGTCCTACTCAACACAGGGAGGAAGCTCGCAGTATCATATTAGCAACTAATGAGCTTGTGGCGGAAGAGCTCTGGGTACTTGATTTCTTCCTCCGTCCGTGTGTCAGGCAGCTGCAGCGGCTTGTCCGTCAGATACAGCAGCTCCCTGAAATTCTGCACCCCCGCACACCAAACACTTGACAACAGGCAAAAAATTGTCACGCCTCAAATCTGCAAAGGTGCAGTAATCACCAGAAGCATAATGCATGGACCATGAATGCTCTTCAGGCAAATCATGCTGGCTTCCACTTACGCAGTGGTCACCAGAGGGTGAGGCTCAGTTCTTCCATGCACCGCGCCACCGGGCTTGAAAATTGACATTCGTAAGAGTCAAACGTGCATTGGTCTTGGATTGTGCAGAGTGCAGGATGAGCGTGCCTGGTTGAGCCAGGGTGTGGCCACTAGGCGGTGGTCGCACATTGCTCTCAGGAGCTCGGCAGCGTCGGTGTCTGCGCCTAGAACGGCCTCGATTTCGTCGCGCACCTCCTGGCACATCACCAGGAGCCGGTAGCCGCGCACCGTCGCCGCATCGATGCAGCTCTCCTCCTCCTCCCTTGCTGCAGCACCCACACTTGTCACATGCTCATGCGCTAGCACATCGCTATCCTCGTTGCACCGCAATCTGATGCACGCATCTGAACATGAACTTGACAACCATTCAAATGTACAAGAGCACATGTATAAAATGTGCCCGTTATTTTGAAAAGGACGCAGTACGCAAGCGCCGCCTCCTTTGGCTGCAGAGTTTGGCATCGCTGCCTGCTCAGCAAATAGATTCCTTCTGAGGGGTATGGGGGCATTGTGCAGGTCAAAAAGAAGCAAAGCAGGCATGGCAGAGATCTCACCAATGGTGAGCAGCCAGTGCCGGACGTTGGCGGCGCTCTGCAGAAGGCCGACGCGCTCCTCGATGAGCCGTGAGATGGCGAGCCACAAGGCATCCCGGTTCTGCAGCCGTAATCCCTGCCCCATCTCAAAGGCTAGGCATGTTGACCCTGTGTCAAGGTCCTGTATGTGCGCAAACCTGCGTGCACACAGAATTGATGAGACTGACAGAAGGGAAGGGGCTGTCATACTGTTCCCTTTTCCTGGGAATTGCCTGAAAATGGAACTGGCTGGAGCGACACTGCCAAACCCGCAGAGGTTGGCTGTGGATTGGCAAGAAGTAGAGAATACCAAGGATGATGCTTTCGAGGACGGGCTAAGCTCAACAACCAATGTTAGAGGGATGCGGCGTCCCCTGACACACCCTTCACACCAGCATTTGATGAGCGGAAGTGGACTCATGTCGCCCCCCGGACACAACCTTCACAACACGCATGTTATAAGAAACTTGCAATATACATCAAGACATGTGGAGGAAGAAGAGACGCGCCAGTAGGCAGGCACGAAGAGTGCGTCGCCCGGGTGCAGCACGGCGGTGAGCCCCTGCACGCGGCGAAGCAGCGGCCAGGCGCCCGTGTCGGGGCGATCCAGGTCCGGCATCGCGTAGCCGTCGTAGGGGTGGTGTATGGGGAATGCGTACATCCCCCTGTGCGCGTACTCCGGCGATATAAGCAACACCCGCCGCCGCCCCGCCACCTTTGCGCATGCAAATATCCCTCTCGAGAGCCGTTCTGATTCATGTTCAGACACCAAAGAGACTAAAGCAGCATGGCAAGGTGCAGCTGCTTACTGAAGGCGTGTCATCTCGGCTATGAAGTGAATTTGCTTTAACGTGGGACCAAGCAGAGTGCACAAGCATGAGACAGTAAATTGTGCGTGTGCAAGCCAAGGTCCCTGCAATACCGTAATCCCTGCAGGGCCATAGGGCATTTTTTGGGCAGTAATCAGCTGGCGGGGGGGCGGTATAATTACTGAGCACCGTGCCCACGGTGAATTATGGTTGCATAGATCTGACGAGCTCAACACTGGGTGGAACTTTGCAGCCTTTGACTGCGGCTTGTCTGCAGACGCACCTTGCCTCTTGACTGGATGGGCGTGTATTTGTTACAATAAAGCAGGTGCAGCTGGTATTTTAACTGCATGGTGTAGCGCGCACCTGAGCAAGCAGGCGGTCATGTGTGTGGTAGCGCGCAGGCTGCAGGCCATTGGAGGAGCCCACCTCCAGACTGACCCCTCTGATGCCACCCCACTTATGGATGTGCTGCGACTCCTGCAGTACATGCAGAGAGTCTCGAGGCAAACCTATCAATTGCGAGAGACCTGAGCTTACCGCCCCATCACACCTACCACAGATAGGACACTGTCTTGCAGGCAGACTGTGTCCTGGTGCATCAGTAGCACGAATGGTCTCAAATCGTGAACTGAACATGCCCACCACCAAATGACAACAAAATCAGTGCTAAGCGAGGCAAGGAGCTAGTAAGCAGGGACCCACCTCAAGCCATTGCCAGTCTATGCAATTTCTAAGGTCATCCTGCAGGCCAGGACCCAGGTCCTCACAGGGCTGCGCTGAGTTGTCTATGCTCCGGCCCATCATCACTGGTGCCTGCATTCACAGAAGCACCTCATCAGTATTCTGTATCATGCCATCAAAATTCACATCTGCATGGCGTGCCCCGGGGCCCGGATTGGCACACCAACTAAGCGAGAGCAAGATTATGAGTGTATGCTGCGCCTACATCTCTAGGTGAACTCCATTGCCTCAAGTATGTGTCCTACTGCTTGACAGCTGCATTGGGCATGCGTGGGTAGCTGAGGCGCTTACCCTGACAAAGGCCTTTCTGGTCTTCCACGAGCTCAGGCAGTCCACAAACTCGGAAAACTTCATCTGCAAGCGCTGTGTGGCAGGCTCGCGGACATGATAGAAGGATCCAAACACATTCTTGCTGTCGTCATGCTCCAAATAAGCACTGCTCTTCTCTTCACTTGACGGGACCTCTACATTCCCCCGCCGCAACCCAAATGCACTCGCCTGCAATTGTCACATCACGTCAGCTGTCAGATGTCACAATTCCGGCTATTTTCAGGTGCTTGTGACTGGTGTGTGCCATTTTAAGGAGCTTCAAGCTGCTTTGAATAATGTAGGGACTGCTGCAGTACGTATGTGCACACAGGAAGCCTACCAGGTAGGGCAGAGTCCAGCGCTCCAACAGCTTTTGCACCAAGGGACTCTTGGACATCACAGCAGGCTGGCAGGTGCGCAGAACCTCCCAGGCTGCATTGTATCCCCTCGCCTCGCTCACGTCAAATTTCTCGATGTCAGCTGTTGCTATCCACTTGGGATACCGCGGTGCTGGCAACCCATGAACTCCCTGCCTGCTCCAGAAGCAGACTTAACAGCTTAATAAGCTCAATTGATGCTACAAATAATGTGATCTAATGAAAAGTCATTCACATTGTTTCTCTTGGTATGGGCCCCCTTTGCTATGGGCAGCGTGAGCATCAGGCATGAAGGGTTGCAGCCCTGCGGAAGGATCGACACCTGTCTATGGCCAGCACCGTCTGTTGGCCTTGCGTGGCATTGGTCTTTGAACCATTCTTTAGCTTCAGCTTACCGTGCCCCCGCCCATTAGCGGGCGGGATGATGACTGTGTCGGTGCGCACAGCCAGATCAGTCGTCATCTCCAATTTCTGTGGCCTGCCGTTTCTGGTGAAATGCTGCTATTTTTGCTGGTAAATCTTCAATAACTCTATATTGCCGCCGATATATCTTGCATCGAGCAATTTAGAGGTGCTTTTAGAACGTACGCCCATCGCACGCCGTTACGGTTGGGTTTCCCTCAATGATTCAAATCCCTTAGTGGAAGGGTTATAAACTCGAAACCCCAGAGCCAAAAGGCTTGAAGTTTTGAAGGGCGTGACCACTTCAATCTAGATCCCCCATCATTTATCACTTTCATACGACTCCCAGCTTGCAAAGATGTCAAACCCCGTTGTGTTCTTCGATGTCTCCGCTGGAGGAGCCCCCGTGGGCAGGATCGAGATGACGGTAAGAACTTGAGACCAACCCCGTGCTTCTTTCTGGCTTATTCGATGTTAATCTGCCAACAAGCACTCTTGGAAACTTTTCTGCGTATCTTTTGGATGCCAGGGTTTGTTGTTGCTTGTGTGCTTGAAGTCTGATCAGGTGTTGATCACCAAAGGTAAATATCTAGGGTGGCGGTTACTATGAGAGTTGTCATTGTTATCAAGCAAATTGTCACAGAAGAACATATATTATAGGTATGATAGGATTCACACCGTACTTACTGTTTTCCTGGCAGGGCAGCTGCTGTGATCGTCCCTCAATCTGTGAAGCAATCTATTTACTGCAAGGGTGCATGGTAATGCTCGTGAGTATTCAATAGCAAAATTGTCGTGCATGCAGCTGCGTAATGACGTCACACCCAGGACCGCTGAGAACTTCAGGGCTCTCTGTACCGGTGCGTCATCTTTCTGTCTGCTGCTCTGCCGCAAATGAGAAGAAATCTCGCTGCCCCAGTATCTGCGCTGCGTTGTCAAGTCAATTCAAGCTAATTCAAGCCCTATTCTTTTCCTGTTGTTGGGGGCACGTAGCCGATTCATCCGTGGTGCTCTGAGCACAGGAGAGAAGGGCGTGGGCCGCATGGGCAAGCCCCTTCACTTCAAGGGCAGCTCCTTCCACCGTGTCATCCCCGACTTCATGTGCCAGGTTTGTAAGAAATCTCCCCCTTTCACTCCAGCCTTTCCATTATCAACGAAGGCTCCTTTTCCCCTGCAGAGTCGACTGTGAATCATTATGATATTGCGGCTGCACATGTAGGGAGGTGACTTCACCGCCGGCAACGGCACTGGCGGCGAGTCCATCTACGGAGCCAAGTTCGCTGACGAGAACTTCACCCTCAAGCACACTGGCCCCGGTAAGCCCTTTTCTTGCAGCTCTTGACCGACCATGGAAAGCGCTTCTTTCCTTGCCTGGAGTCTGCAATGTGACAGTTTTGTAATGTACATTATGCCTTTGCAGGAATCCTGTCCATGGCCAACGCTGGTGCCAACACCAACGGATCCCAGTTCTTCCTGTGCACTGCCAAGGTGAGTGGCCTTCCTGTCAACAAATACTTGAAAGTAACACTGTTGCACCCTCATCTATCTTTTGTTTCCAAGTGTTGTGTGCTGCGTTTTGCATGTGTTTGCAAGGTGGGCTGATACATGTGTGCAAACCTGCAGACTGCCTGGCTGGACGGCAAGCATGTGGTGTTTGGGTCTGTGACCAAGGGCATGGACGTTGTGAAGAAGATTGAGAGCTTCGGCAGCGGAAGCGGCAAAACCAGCAAGCCCATCACCATCACCGACTGCGGGTGCGTCTTGAGACAGCCAGTGACAGACACCATTTGACGGCAGTGGTGCTAATCTTACAAATTGGGAGTAGTACACTTGTTGACTGCGCATCATTGTGGCTTGCTTAACTTCAGTGTGAATGTCAGCTGCAGGATTCAGAGTTTTCTCAAAGGGCCCGGGCCGATGTGTGTATGTGCAGGCAGCTGTCTTAGATTGGAGCTCAACACAGCGAGTCGTGAGACGCGCACCGCGTAGACAATCGCTTTCTCTTGAGTGTAGATGCAGTAAAGACATTCGCAGCCGCATGCTTCCTGTCTCGAAGACTTCTGCTTTTCTTTCCTTCTGGTGGTTGCTACTCGGCTTGGCTCAGCTCTGCAGCGTGGCTAGCATGCTAGCATGCGCAGCGTAGGCTCTAGCTTTGTATGCATCTCGAGCTCGCAACTGATTTGCTCGACAACCTGATGGAAGCTGGCTGTTCCTTGTGCCTTGCAACTTCACCGTTTAATGCCAGTGGATTCTGAGTCTGCAAAACAAGCCTTATGGGACGGCCCATGCAGGGAAGGAAGTGCACAGAAGTATTACTAACGACACGTCACCTTTTGGTCATGCCAGCAAGCTAGCGTCTGCTCCCGATTCACATCAAAGCACTGAAGCACATCAAATAGCTGCCAGACCTCCTTGTTTCTCACACTTGAAGAGTCCTGGACCGTCAACAATGCTAATCCGAGAGTAGTTCGACATTCTTAAGCTGCCAACTTTTCCGTTACCAGCGCATGGGGTGTAGCTCCGGTTCCTCTTCCTGCAAAGGCTGTGTCCCCCATGGGAAAGAATAGCCTGAGATTGTTGCATTAAAAGCGCCTCGTAATTGGAGGGCATTTAAAGTCTGCTTCCTGAAATGCCGATCCTAGGCATAAATAGGCGTGTGGGGGAGGCAAAGCAGCAAGGCACAAGCCCTGCAGGCTCAGTGCCAGCAGGGAAAACAGACCTTCTGCTTCGCTTCTTTGACTCCCATTTCTTCGACGAGTGGATAGCCTTGACGTGCGCAGCTGCCACATCCTCTTGAAGTGGCCACAAAGTTTGCATTGCCACCAGACATATGTGCTGCTGATGCAGTGCCTCGTATCGTTCAGAGTTTCTCATTGGGATTTTATGTACTTGTGTGGCTGGCCTGCACGAAATGATTCTTTTGCTTGGTGATGCAGGTATCTGTACAAGAGCAATTCTCCAGGCGTGCAGGATTACCTGTGCAATCGCCTCTACAACCTCCCTGAGGCGGGACTGGAGAAATACCTGTCTCAGCTATGTCAGCTTATCATTAGCAGACCGTATGGACCCCTCGAGAAGGTGGTGGTGGACTTGTGTGCTCGAAGCCTCCGGTTTGCTGTGAAGGCAAGTGCCCGGCCTTCCTTGTAGATGCAAGTCACTCTTGGAGTTGGATGACTTCCAGCGTGAATGACTTCCAGCTCCCTGTAATTATTGGCAGGAGACCTAGCAAGCACTGAAAACGGGCCACTTGACCTGTGCTCTAAGAGTTGCCTGCGTCCGCAGACATACTGGCTCCTGCTGGCGATATCCCAGGACCAGCCGAAGAACAAATATGTGTCCGACCTGCGGGACCGCTGCGAGCGCGCTGCATTGGAGGGGTCTTGGGTGAGCCCTGCCTGTGAGAGAGCACCGTTAAGACTCTGCACTTTGCCTATTTGTGGGCAAATTTTGCCAGCATATCCTGAGCCCCTGGGCCTTGATTTATGTATCTCTGTCGCTGCAACAGGAGCCGCCTTTTAGGGAAACAAAGCTGCTGCCGCTGAGCCCACCGCGGACCAGAGGCTGGCTGCGCTCCTCCCCCATCAGCCCCACTGTCTCTCTGCAGCCCCAGCCTGGCAAACAAAGGTGCACCACCTCCTCGCCTTGTCAGCGATGTCTCCTTCACTCCCTTCTGCCTGCCGCCACTGCCAGTGCTGCGCTAGCGGTGGACAATCCTGTTTCGTTTTGTTAGGGGGTTGCTTCACAGCCTGCTGATGCAGTAATAGAGGGACTGCCTACAGGGATCACATCCACGCAATCTGTAAATTGGCGTAAATCAGGGTTTCTGCAGTGCGTACAACACACCCTCCCACACACCCACATAAACAAACACAGTCATTTGACAGATGGATGAATGTGCATGGCTCGGTGTTCTGATGTGCTGACTGGGTGTAATTTGCTGGCACAGGGGCCTGGCAATTGAGCGGGTGAACGGCAACGGGAGCGCGAACGGCAGGTGGGGCTCGCCGGACCCCTTCCTGCCGGGGGATCGACCCCCAGCGTGGGGGGCAATGGGGGGCGCCGGCGCGCACGGCCGGCCAATGTCGCCGGACGCCATCAGCCGACCGACGTCCCCGGACGGCCTTGGCGGCGGCCTCTACTCCTCCTACACCATGGGCACTGGCCTGGAGGGCCTCATCTGCGCATCCCCCTCCGCCGTCCGCGACCGCCCACCCAGGCACGCTGCCCCTTCTCTTGTGACCCACTGCTCTTGAAAAAGAATTTCCACTAATCTTTTGATGTTTCTTCGATTCCACAGCTTTCTTCTGGCGTCCTAGTGTGCCTTGTGGAAGAGTTTAACGACCCTGGTGCAGATGCTGACGATGAGGATGCCGACTGAATTGTTATCTTCTTCGCCTGCGGCTGCACTAGGGTTCCCAATGGGAGGGTGTGGCAAATGCGAGGGGGAACTGCCCACCCTTCTCTTCGCTTGCTCCTGGCTTTGCACGCTGGTGGTCAGGTTCTGTTATGAGCTTGAGGACCTTGGTGGGACCGCAGTAGCATGATACTGCTGACCCCTACAGCATGCTCTGCGCCTGCGTTTGCACCAGGATCCTCCATGACATAAGTGTTGGCAAAGCGGGCGATTATAATTTTGGCGGGACATGAGCTATGTGGACCACCAGTGGGTATTAGTACTGGTATGACTGTTCAATGGGCTTTTGTGCAGGGGGGTGACGTCGCTGCAGATTGCGCGTGCTACGGACGCGGAGCGGGCCGAGGCGCGCAGCCTGAGCGCGGACCGGCGGCGCAAGCTGCGCCTGGACCTGGGCGACTCAGAGGGCGTTTCCACGCTTCTCGAAAACAGCCTCCTCGGTGCCGAAGGCGCGCTGTCTCTCCCCATGTCCCAACTTGCTCCTATTTTCTACACTTACCAGCGCTTGTTGGTCATACCCTATGCTTTGCTCCCTGTCTGCACCCCACAGACGCAATGCAAGCGGCTTAAGTAATATCCTTGCAAGGCTCTGGCCTCTGTGCGAACCAACAGCACAGCACCCTGCTTGACAAAATAATGGAGGCTAGATGCAGGAAGGTGCACAGACCACAATGCGTCAGGGACAGGTCTTAGCGTGACTCTGAGGAAGCACTGAGCAAAGCAACTAATCACGTTCGGGGTGAAGTGTGCGCAGGTGGGCAGCCGGGCGTGGTTGTGGCAGGGGACGCCACTGCAGACATATCACCACCGTCGTCGCCGCGGCTGCGCCAGACGACCTTTGGTGCTACGCTGGACTTCATTGAGGCGCTTTGCGACGCGTCCTCTGGCCTCACCTCCTTTGCACCCGTGCGCCTCACTTCCCTGGCCTTGAATTAGGAAAAAAGATTGTCCTCACTGCCCTTTGTCTTGTTTGAAGATGTTGCCCTGTCCACAGGCTTCATTCTGTGGTCTGTGATGCTCTCCCGTGCAGCAGGAATGCATGCAGAGCTCTGCATGCCAAGGCATAGAAGTATGACCAGAGAGGCTGACGAGAGGTTTGGCAATGTGGTTGCGCAGGAGGACAGGGAGTGGGCGCTGAGGAATGGGCTGGAGGAGATCAACAAGGAGATAGAGGCGGCCAGCCGCAACGGCGTGGCCTGCTGGTTCCCCATGGGCACCCGCAACGAGCGCATCGTCCGCCTGGCCACCAAAGAAGCCCAGCTCCTCAACTCCAGGTGCGCCCCAGCCCTCTCAACCTTGGCAACTGCTCCTTGTCCCTCGCGCATAGAATGCACAACTCTGAACTTTTGCAGAGCGATCCCTATTGGATTGTCTCTAACTTCACACCAGCAGGAATTGTATGAAGCGGAGATTGATGCCCAACTGACTGCGTTCCACAATCCTTTACAGAGAATAGCAAAGTGATAAAAAGCAGTGCCGGACAGAGGTGGCTGCTTCGGTGGTGCAGGGAGAAGGCGCCGTTCATGCTGCTGATCGAGGTGCTGAGCAACGACGAGGGCAGCGTGATTGAGGATGCCAAGTACTCGGCCGGAAGTGACGCAGCCGCCGCCCTCAGCCGCCCCGCCGGCTCGCGCGGCAAGACTGTGCCTCGGCCCTACACGCCGCCTGGAGCCCTTAAGCCTGACGGCGATGGACCTGGTAAGTGCACTTCTATGCCAGGCAAGGTACTTGTCTGCAGGGGAGTTTCCCTTGGCAAAGGCTGCCTTCTGTGTAAGATTCTGGCTCACTGTTGCAACAATGGCACATGGCAACTGTTGCTGGGGACGAGAAGGTGAGAGCTGGGGAATGGCCCTAGGTCGGAGTGCAGGAACATACTTTCAAGTTTGGCATGTGCTCAGCATGCAACATGTAATTGCAGGATCAGAGGCGCCTGAGGGTGGCCTTCTGGGCGGGGCATCCCCAGTGCGTACGCTGGACTTTGAGGACCAGCCGCTGCCGCTGCAGCGCATCAGGGAGTCCGACCAGCCCAACACAGAGCCGCCGGCTGCAGTCGACATCGAGCTGCCAGAGCTGGCTGTCCAAGAATCAATCTCCCCCTCAGCCATGGTGCCCAAGTCCGTCTTTGCTGACAGCGGCGATGAGTCAGTGGCTGACATCAGCCGTCAGGCTGCGGCCTCGTTCTCTGTAGACGAGACGCCGGCATCGAGTTCAGCGCAGCCAGCCTCGTCGTGCCACCGGCGACGCCAGGTCAGCCCGGGCGATGCGGATGACATCAGCGGCGCAGCGTCCACATCAGCAAGCGCCATCAGCAGACCGCAGCAGCCGCAGCAGCACAGGCGGCCGCTGCCATTGGACATCCCCGGGGGCGGAGCGAGGGGGGCGGACCACTCAGCAGTGGTTGGCAGCCCCACCACAACGGCGCCGATCGTGGCGCAGATCCGCCGCAGCCGCAGCACCGACGTGGAGGCGCCCGCGGACCTGCACACAGCCGCCAGCGGGGGGCTGCGGCTCGGCCCCAGCGCGCTCGTGCGGGCCGTGGGCCGCGCCCTGCGCTCCGTCGTGGGCGGCGACAGCGAAGAGGCCGTTGCGCCGCTGGTGCGCTCTCCTTCCGCTATTTCTGGTCTCTCTTGTTTGTCGCGCTTCAAGATTGAAGGCGTTTAGCCCTGTTGACAAGCACTTCTGGGCACCCAGGCCCAGTGCATGGCTTGCTGAGGACACAGTCATTCAAGGAAACAACAAACTAAATATGTGTAATGCTTGTTGATGCCAAGCAGGCTGCAAGCTCGAGCGGGGAGGCAGCGAGCGTGGTGGCGAATGCGGCGGCAGCAGCGGCTGCGGCCGGCATCGGCCCTGCCGGCGACGCAAACGAGGCGGCCCGGAGCCTGCGGCTGCGGCAGGCCATAATGGGCGACACCGCGGGCGGAGCGGGCGGCTCTGCCGCCGGAACGGCTGACCCAAAAGCCATTGAGAGCCCCTCCAATTCCTTCTCCAGGTCCTGCCAGCCTATCCTCACGTTGACAAGATGTTCTCTTGAGTCATTGCTCTCACTTGCTCTGAGCTTGTGGAAGACTGAGAGCTGTGATCATGGCATACTGTAGTACTATATCTTGGTATGGTCTTCGTGGTGAGATAGCTCTCAGAGAACTGGTCAGGCTGAGCTGGTTGATTTTCTGGCGCAGGGGACTCCAGTCAGCGTTGGCAGGTCTGCGGGGCACAGGCCCTTTGGTGTCGGTGACTCTGGAGGTGTTGGGGGATGTCAGCAGGAATGCGGGCCCTGCGAGCACGTCTGGTGAGGCATGCCAGCAGTGCGGCACGCGCTGCGACGCCGGATTGCCCCCGCGGCCGCCGACAGGTGTTTTCTCCTGCCCTCTCGTTCGCCCATCAGCTGCTGCTTCGGTTTGCTGTCCTGACCAGTGCTGTGACTATACCCCAGGTGCACGATGGCAAATGCTATTTTTGGTCCTACTGGATGTGGACGGCCAGCAAGATGATGCTTGCCTGAATTATTGTGTGAAAGAGGTGCTGATGAGGTTTGGCTTGGCAGGGTCGGGTGTGAGGAGGTCAGAGAGCAAGGAGTCGGTGGCAACTGGCGCGCGGGCTCTGACAATGCTGTGCCACTGGGGCACCTGCAAAACAAAGGAGGATGACGCTGTGCCGGCCCCCTACGTCAGAGTGCGCCTGAAGGTGAGCCCTTGTCATTGCAAGGGAAATTCTGTTCTTTCGGTCTTGAAGGGAATGCAGGATTCCGTGGCATCCTTGCAGGAGTCAGGTATCCAGCCGTTCCAGTATTGTGTCGATTGTCTTCGTGCCTGCAAGTTGCTTGAAAATTATGTGCGTGGAAATTGTGTCTACACAAGTTATGGTGATGACTGACATCATGACCAGGTGCATGGCGGCGTGGACTTGCGACTGGCGGCTCGGCCCAGCCCGAACCACCGCCGGATACCCTCCGACGAGGCGCTGATGCGCATGGCCGCATACCACCGCGCCCCTGTCCCCGTTCTGCCCACCGTCAGCAGCCCCCCGTCCTCCCCCGCGCCCAGCCAGACGCTGCCCCAGTCCGCCGTCACTGCCGCCCTCGACAGTAAGTCCTGCCTCTGCAACACAGTTGCCGTTGCCTGCATATGGCCTGCCTGCCTTGCTCATATTTCTAATCTGCCTGCTTGGCTGGCATATATTCAAGACGTCTTTCCCTTCTTTCTCTTGCGTGTTTGTGTTTTCAAGCTGTGGTATATTTTCAAGCCCATCAAACAGCCGAAGAGCATGCTTGCGGTTAGACGCATGCCGTTTTCAGAGGCGCCAAAGAGCACAGTTGCCAATTGAGACTAATGGAGGCTGGGTTGTGGTACAGGCATGAGCAAGCAGGGCAATAGGAAGCCGCTGCGGGAGAGGATTAATGGCGTGGAATCAGCGCTGTCAGAAGCCACCACTCCTGAGGACGCCGCCTGCTCCGCGCATGCCCCGCTCCTTGATGCCGATACGGAAGCAGGCCAGGTGCTTTGACCTTCATCTCTCTTGCTTTCCCTTCATGCACTTGACAGCATGATACTGAGCCATGTCATTTTCATCCCTTGCCTTAATGGAAGGACACTTTCTTTTTTGAAAAACGTTCTCAGAAGGTTGTTTTTCTTGTAATTCTGTTGCACTAACAGGCCATTGGGATTTACCAGGTATGTACAGTGCAAAGGCTGGAGAACTGTAAACAAATCTGAGCGCGAGAATGGTTCTCAAATGGTTGGTGATTTATCTTGACGGCTCGGTGTCACGAACAGGCGATGACGTCAGCGGCGGCCACGGATGCGGAGGAGGCGGCGGCGCAGGCGCGGGCGGTGTATGGGGAGCGTTTTGTGGACAAGGCGCGGCGCGTGCAGGCGCAGTCGCCGCACGGCCGGCGCCCCGGCTGGGCCGTCCGCCCCGTCATCGTCAAATCCGGCGACGACTGCCGGCAGGTGCGCGCACCTGCACACCTCACTCATGCCACTCCAAAGGCCTGCCATATATGACGGGCAACGTGCTGGTGATGCCCCTGGAATGCAGCCTGAGCCCCCTCTGCAGGGATGACATGTCGCACCACCCTACCTTGCCACGTCGTTCGTGCAGAGGGGCTTACTGGACTTTTGCCCGTATGTAGTGGGCATTGCGAAGTCATGTTCTGCATTGCAGAATCCGCAGTGCAGGCAGTCCCTCTTTGCAAATCAGAATGAAATTGACCGCCCAACTGCGCGTCTCTGAGCTGCTCATTCCTGCAGATGCTGCAACTTTCTCTTGTGTGAACCGCCAATTACTGCCGCTTCAGGAGCTGCTGGCGGCGCAGCTGATCCGCGCGCTGGCGGACATCTTCCAGGAGAGCTCTCTCCCGCTCTACCTGCGCCCGTACGAGGTCTTAGTCACCAGCAACCGTACCGCGCTGATCGAGCTGGTGCCGGACTCGCTCTCGGTGCACACCATCAAAGCCAAGAGCGCGCCGGGAGCCTCGCTGTCGGACCACTTCTTCGCCAAGTTCGGCCGCGGCACCGCCGCCTGCCTCGCCGCGCAGCGCGCGTTCGCCGAGTCCATGGCCGGCTACAGCATCGCCTGCTACCTGCTCCAGATCAAGGTGCGCCCGCACCTCTCTGCATGCCTGCCCTTCTACCTTGCACTTGCTGTGTATGAAATGCTCGCCTGCTTGGCATGCATGCATGTGCAGCCTCTGCGTGCCTGTCAATCACCAAGGAGGCGGACCTTGGAGAAGGCTTGCTGTTGGAAATTCCCACCTACTGGGAAGCTTACATAATTTTGATGCGTGCGCTGATACGTGGTACTCCTCATCTCACCCGGTCAGTCACAGCATAGCCTTCAACGAGCGGTCTTCATGGCTTGGCGTTTGAGGGAAAAAGATCGATGTGAGAATGGTGTACGAATTGCAGGACCGGCACAACGGCAACATTCTGCTGGACGACGCGGGGCACCTGATCCACATCGATTTTGGGTTCATGCTGAGTAACTCGCCCGGCAGCGTCAACTTTGAGGCGGCGCCCTTCAAGCTGACGCGCGAGCTGCTGGAGGTCATGGACTCCTCCTCCGAGGGCCACCCCTCCGAAATGTTCGACTACTACAAGGTGATTCATCCCACACCCCCCTCCCAAACAGTGTTTTAAGCCAGGGCATGCTGTGCAGATCAACCACTCTTGTGTCGAGCATGCAAAGCACAGCTTTCCTTGTGTGGGCACCGCATCATCAAACGGATTTTGTTGTCAGCTCTCAGCTGCTGATTGTAGTCTTGCTCCACGACTTGCCATATACCTTTGTCAGAACTGACAAGGCTTGCGCAGAAGGCAGAATGCTTGAAGGGATGCCAGAGCTTCTCGCACTCCACCGGAGTGTTCCTTTAGTGCAAGACCTGACGGCGTGTGCTGACGCGAGGCTTGTGGCACATGCGCGCAGGTGCTGTGCATCCAGGGGTTCCTGGCGAGCCGCAAGCACGCGGACCGCATCATCCTGCTGGTCGAGATGATGGCCGCCAGCGGATGCCCCTGCTTCAAGGCCGGCGCGCGCGCAGTGCACAACCTGCGCAAGCGCTTCCACCTCAACCTGACGGAAACCCAGTGCGTGGAGGTCGTCTTGGCCATGATCGCTGACTCGTTGGACGCCTGGCGCACTCGGCAGTACGACTACTATCAGCGCGTGCTCAATGGCATCCTCTGAGCGCGACCGCGGCCGGCCGGCCCTGGAATCGGCACGCGGCCGGCCGGGAAACGGCGCCGGCCGGCCGGCGTGCGTGCATTTGCGCGCATGCGCCCGCACATGCGGAAGAGGGTGGGCTGGAGCGTGATGGCGGGTGTGTGAGGTATTTGGAAAGTGTGCTGGGATTAAGGAGTGATGTTGGCAAGAGATTTATGCGGAAGATGAGGTCTCAGCTCAGGGTGATTCTCATGAACCATGGTACGGTATTGCTGATAAATAATGTTAGTAAAATGATAGAGAATAGGCTTTGAAGATGTTCCTGGGGGTGCATGATGGTCGGGTGAAGGCTGTGTGAGTCTTGAGCATACCGGAAACATGTGGCTTGTGCTGGTTTCAAGGGAAGATTTCTTTTGCAGTTCCATACTGTTGGGTTTGGCCGAATAATCCTTGAGAATATGTCTATCGCCACCTGGAGAGTAGAAGCCAGTGCAACAAGGTGGCCTATATGATTTGCAGGGAATACTTTTGAACACAGAATCAGCCAGATTTGCATCGCGGCCAGAGGTTATGAGAAAGGTGCTAAGTGTTGCTTTGCTTTGTGTTTTCTTGCTGTAGTCCTTAGTTTATCACAACAACTAGAGTGTTACCTTTGTTGAGACGACTTGTAGTCTTCATGTGTAGCTTTCGTGTCACCGGTTTGTGGAGGATCGTAGTTTTAACTTGGAGTCTTTTGACAAAGTCGTGCCAGTATCAGTGATACGTGATACTGTATCATGTTAATAGGATAGGCCCTTTTTCAGTGTGCACATCCTTGTCCTTTGAACAGATTACTTGCTTGATGTCCCTGCAGCAAACTTTGTCAGATCTGTTAACAATCTTCTGCTGTTACATACCGTCCTGACACCATATTAAAAATGATTGGCGTCGGTACTCACCCTTAAAAATTGAGTACATTGTGCAGCTGGCTACACTAAAGGCACAGCTGCAGCAATACCAAAACAGAGCAAGGCTCAGCAAGCATGCACTCTGTCTCAGACGACAGACTGCATTGCTGTACAGGAAGATATGTCCAGTGCCTAGCTAGCGTGCCGTGCATGTTCAAGCCAACCATCCGGTCAAAGACCCTGTACAATAGGTGCAAATGCTTCTTGCATGTCTCGATTACAACATCAACGAGCAAACAGAAAGCTGCTGAATGTGCAGCGCATTAGCAACAAAGAAAAGCTACTTGTCCTTCTTGGCTTCTGCAGGAACAGCAGATGTTGAGGGAGCTGCTGCCTCCGTTCCATCTGTGATTGGCCCCTGCAAGTTGACAAACACAGATGTTGAAACAACAAGCACTCAAATGTGAGGCAATCAACGCAGAGCTATGGCAGACGTGCTAGTCGCAACAAGTCCAGAGGCACAGCAAATCAACGCAGGGGTGCAGAAAGAGACAGTAAATAGCAAATGACAAGGGAAAGCCCACCTGCTCAGCGGCTGGCTCCTCTGCTGAGAACCTGTTGCAACCAACATGTCCCACAACTCAGTATCGCCAATACTGCGTCAGAGGCTGCAACCCATGATCTCCGCCACACAGCCCATATCTTCAGCAAAGAGCCACATCAAGGCTCTCACACACGCAGCCGCCTGGGTGGCTTGAATTTGGCCCTTAAGCTGGCAAGCATGTCATTTGGATGTACAAGGGAAATGCTCTACCGGTCCTTCCTTCTGTGCCTCAAACGCATCATCACCAGAGTTGAGGGTGCATGCAGCGGATGTGCTGGCAAGACAGAAACATCCATTGGGCCACACCCAAACTCGAAAATCTGCACGGTAGCTTTTTTGCACCTCACAATGCGTGCATCAGATTAGTGCGACGCAGAGTCTGTCATCAATTCGCATGCAGCAGATGTGTGCGCATCCAAGGAGAATGCGAGGGGCGCACCCAAACTCGTTGGCGCGCTTCTTGTCGACGCCGTAGATCCACTTCTGGTAGAGGAAGATGAGGAACACGATGTCGTCGCGGAAGACTGAGAGACGGTGCAGCGTGGGCATCTTGATGACAAAGGCGAAGAGGTCGTCGATGATGGTGTTGAGGAACTTGTAGGTGAGCTGGCGCCAGGGCAGGTGCGCCACGCTCTTCATGCGGTAGTTCAGGTACAGCTGCGGGCACTGCGCCAGTGCACACAGTGGCATGCTCAGTGATTGCCTTTCTTTGCAGTGGCACACACTTGTCCAAAAAAGCAGGTGGAAAGCGCAGCTATAAGCAGACACCCGCTGTCTCGCAGCCAGGCTGCTGCGCAGACGAGGCATGATAAAGCAGGAAGGCACTCCCTAAGACAGCAACTCCCTAGATAGACCACAGACTTTTGCACAAGGACACCGTTGCACAGCAACAGACCAATGCATTCAGCGCTTGAGCGCTCCATTATTGCCGCATTCTCAGAAACGGAGAAAGACTTTCATGAGGCGGCTGTACATTTTCCAACGCACAGCCAGCTGCACACCCTACCATTCATTGCGGCACATACCACCAACTTGACACAGGGAGACAAAGACAAGGTGAATGGCAGGGGATTGTGCTATGTCATGCATGGAACGGTCATTGGTAGGTCATGAATTGAACAGCCAAAGGGCTGTTCCACAGAACACCCCTCCTTCGTCGTCACCCCTCATTCCCTGATGATGAGGTGAGCATTGGTGGCCGGGTTGGGTTTGCACCATGAGCACGAAGCCGAAGGTGTAGACTGCGCCGACGAGGGTGTTGAGGACCCAGGAGTACCAGGAGCGGTGCGTCTGGTACAGCAGCGTGTACACGCTGTAGGCCGCCACGAGAGGGAAGAGCGCGTAGCTCAGGTAGCGCATCGCCTCCGCGTCGTACTGCTTCGTCTTGGACTCCCTGCACGCCGCGCATGCATGCATGTGAACCACGTCAGCGACACATCAGCTGCCGCATGCAAGCAGGTGAACTTGCCGGGCAGAGCACTGGACTTCAAGCTGTGCCTCCCATTTGCTCCCAAGGCCGGCATCACGCGGCGCAGGGTGTCCCCAGCTCCTGAATATGACCGACGACGATCGTCACTTTACAGCGCCTCCAGAAGATCAATGCCCATTGGCCGATACTTGACAAATCGACCAAGTGTCTCTGGCTGGCTCAAGAGCCAGAGACACTTGGCTTGTGATCGAGGTTGCAGCGTTTCTGGGCAACATCCATCCAGCGCTGGGGCCGAGCGCGAGGGGCTACGCACGAGTAGGAGGATTTGTCGGCAAAGCGCAGGCGGGGGTAGCCGCAGGAGGTGTCCAGGGAGATGGACATGGCCTGCGTCAGCTTCCAGAACTCTATGATGAGCCCCAGGCCGCTGCTGAACAGCACCACGTAGCTCGTGTTCTCCTCCAGCAGGTACAGCATGATCACCACCTGCGCACACAACCACACACCTGCCTTCAACGAATGCACGCAAACCTTGCAGGAACCATGCTGGCCAGTGATTGCTTCTCCCAGCTGGACCGTTGCCCTGCAGGGGCAGCTGGCTGCATGACTTGCTTGCAGCCTCAGGCGGCCTGCTGCCTCAAGATTGAGCATGCAGAGAGACTGGATCCAAGGGCCTGTCTGATGGTGCTCTCAACGTACATTGGGTGGACCACCATCAACAGACACGCGCCATCCGCAAGAGCATGCACAGCTGCAGGAAGGTGCGCTTGAGGGTGCAAAATGAGAGCGAAGCTGACCTGGCAGAAGCAGTTGATTCCGACGGTGCGCACGGAGAGGCCCTCGACGCTCTTTTTGTTGCGCCAAAAGCCGATGTCGTTCTTGAAGGCCAGCACGTCAAACACCGAGTGCAGCATGGACACCGCGAAGGTGATGGCCAGGAATATGGGGTTCCCTTCCAGCAGCACCCGCTTCAGCTCGTCCGACTCGCCGTCCGCCTGCATCCCCATGTCCCTCTGTGCCAGCACAGAAGGTCTCCCTCAGACACTGGTGAGGTGTCAGGAGTGGCCATGATCTGGGCCATGAAATGACACTATGTTATGAGTCCTCAATGAGTCCTCATCAGCATGTACTAAACCCCCCCATGAGCCACAGAGCTACAGTTCTGCAAAATGATTGACATGCAAAGAGGCCGCTTCTTAAGGATGGTGATTAGGTGTGCCCTAGCGTCAATGGCGTGGTTCTTGCGAAGCTGTCAGCCTTGTGAAGTCAGCTGCCCCTGTCATCCTACCGGCTGCTCCAAGGCATGTGAAGGTGGGCAGTGTACCTGCATCTGGAAGCTCTTCTCCATCTGGGCGTAGATGGTGAACTTCCAAAGCGCCATCTGGTGCAGGTCCAGCGCCACTTGCACCTCCGAGAGCGTCTCGTTCACCGGCACCAGCGTGTCGCGCAGCATCCAGAAATCGTTAAAGAATACTGACGGCTTGTACGTCATCATGTCGAAGTCCACATCCAGGTACTCCTTGATCTGCGCAATGTATTGGCAGTCAAACTGTAACTGACATGCCCAGACTCCAGGGAACGATTACAACCAGTCAGGCCTCCGCGCATCTCTCCGAAACAAACTGTGTGAGGTACTCATATGGTAATGGGGGATCAAGCGCTGCAGTGCTTGAAAGGGGATGTAGCCAATGCCGAGGCAAAGCAGGTGTTGGGATGCTCTGAGGGGGGCTGTGTACGTGGTCAGGCACAGCGTTTGCGGGGTAGGCAGTGGCGTCGTCTATGAGGGCGATGCTGACATAGGGCTTGATGAAGCTGATGTACTCTGCCGGCTTGGCCGCCTCCTCCTTGTCAGCCTTCCTCGCATCTACCTGCTCCGCTTGCGTGGTGGCAAGCAAGTTCACCCCGGTCTTGTTCTTGGGCCGCGGCAGGTATCTGTTGAGCACTGCAACGCCCAGCACACCCAGTTTACACATCTGAACTTTGATTAGGATATAGTGACCAGCACTGGAAAAATGCTGGCGTTTGCCAGGCCTGAACACTTGAGGGAAGGACAAAAGTAGGAATAATGGCAAATTTCAGCACAAGGACTTGGGGGACGAGGTGGGACTCACTGGCTGACTTGGAGAAGACTGTGTTATTTTTGTAGAACGGATCTGTCGGGTCAATGGCAACGCCTGTCGGTGCAAAGAAGGCGTGCAGATACACTGTCCCATTGTTCTGCACTGCCTGCAGTGCCAGTGCGCAGCTTTGATACGTCACTGTGATCTGAAAAATGGAGGGTTGAGAATGAGAGTTTATATGCAGTCAGCCACAATGGACGACCAAGTAATCACTAAAACCTGGGCCATCAAAGAGTATGGCCTAGTACAACCATAGGGAATGAGCATACCTCAGATGGGTGATACGTGATGTTGAGTTTCCTATCGGCCTCTGTTCCTAGTGCGAAATCCTTCTCTGCCCATACGAGGGCTTTGGAGTCGCTGTACTGACTGAAAGAGGGCTGCTCTGACAAGAACACATACAAGTCCAGATGTGTGCCTCTTTGGAACTGTGGTACGAGCATGTCTTGTCTCGTAAGTTGCTTCTTCTCGCCTCCTCCGCCGAAGAATGTTTTGAACATCCACCACATGGCTACCATGCGCAAGATGCCAAACAGAGGGTTTGACCTCTGCTGGCCCTGCTGCTGCCCGCCAGCAGCATCCGGGGCTGCAGGTGCTGCAACAGGATTGGCCATAATATCTATTGATATCCTGAAGGTAGTTGTCCGATTAACAATATGATCGGTCGCCTATTCTAGAATATGAGCGCGCAGACTTGAAAGTTCACTTTGGCGATCAGCCAACCGCTCGCTCTTGCTGTGCCAGAAATGACAACGAGGATCTCGTGACTGTGAAGTTTACAGCAAACAGGGTTATCTCAAGTTCGTACAAGGGACAATCATCCCATGCATCTCCTCTTTCTGGCAACCTCGATCTGCACAGCCACGACACCTGATTTGGCTCTGATCAGGACCCGGGTCGTCTTGTAAAAGGGGGGTCTTTGGCTTCCAGGGTCCGCTGACCCTAGCTCCATGCAACATTGCGATCGTCCCATCGCTTCCACAACAAACGAACTCAAAGCATTGCAGCAGCTTTCTGATAAAGAAGCGCACATTCCCCAACAGAACTTTTGCTGAGTCTGCTCAAAAGGAAGTGTACCCTGCGTCTTGGTGTTTGGCAGCTACTTTTACCAAAGACAGTACTCACCTAGAGAACGTACAACAGAGATATTTGCTGTAGATCTGCAAGAAATCAACAAGAGCATCAGCACCGATAAGGCAGTGTTACGGCAGCTTCTCGATTTAGCGATCGTGCATTTTCTGCTCTACGATCGCAGTTGGAGTGGGTAATATCGATTGCACAGGTGAACACATATTCACTGATGTTAATAATATTCAGCGACCTCAAGCGACAGGTGGACTCAAGCATAAGTGAATTGTAACATCCGCACACTCCTCCTTGTGACTGTCAGCACGTCTTTACAATTGATGTATCATTGAGCATATACAAATAGCTCTTCAATATTCATAGCGCCATCAGGAAGGGATGAGGCATTGTGTGACTGGCAGGTCTAGTTGCCTCTTTGAAGGAAGGGCACCTTCTTCAGAGCTATGATCTTGCATAGTCTGCTTGCGGCCTGACAAAACCAGGATTGTAGACTGGTAGAACAGCCTCGGCAGCATGTATAGCAGTGCAGCGGAGGAGGAGGATCTCCCGGACGATGCTGAGATTACACAAGTGCGTCCTGATTTATGCTCTGCACACAGTACTCCAACTGTGCCAGTCGAAAGAAGCATTGCACATTCCAAATGCAAAATCAGAAGCTCTGAATTTCTAATATGGAATTTTGCATGCAGGAGGATGCCTGGGCAGTGATCAGTGCCTTCTTTGAGGCCAAGGGGCTTGTCCGACAGCAGCTGGACTCCTTCAATGAGTTCATCAACTCCAATATGCAGGTGCGCATTATTTAATGCACTTAATCTGCTGCATCGCTGAAGACCTCCCGCAGCGATCAGCTGCTACTTCTCGCAGCTGGATAAACTCGCCGTTTGACATGACATCATCATGTTTGTGGAGAATCTTGGGCGTTTGCGGGAGTCAGAGAAAAGTGCATGCATGCAGGAAATTGTGGACGAGTATGGGACGCTGCTGGTGAAGCCGGAATCGCAGCACAACCCAGGCATGGCAGAGCTGGAGGAGAAGGAGTACAAGGTGGAGTTTGGGCAGATCTACCTCAGCAAGCCCACGATGACAGAGGCCGATGGGGAGACTGTCGTGCTCTTTCCCAAGGAAGCCCGGCTGCGCAACCTCACGTGAGTATTTATGCCCATGGTCACATGTTTCCAGTGGTCAGTCAGGTGTTCCTGCAGCGTTGGCAGGTCCTGTGGAGAGGCGCTCAAAGGGTGTGCTGCTGTGCTGTGCAGGTATGCAGCACCGCTGTACATTGACATCAAGAAGACAGTGATCACGCGGGTGCCCAATGGGGAGGCAGAGACAGAGGAGGAGTCCTACCCCAAGATCTTCATCGGGGAGGTGAGTGCATGCCAAACAACACCAAGTCAAGGGGAAGGGGTGTTGGACAAAAGCATTGCTTATTGTCAGCAGACCTTCTTGTAGTTTGCAGTGGCAGGGGATCTCAAAGTGTTAGCGATGGGTGCAGGTGCCCATCATGCTGCGATCCAGCTACTGCAGTCTCCACGAAAGAACCAATCAGCAGCTGACGCAGCTGGGAGAGTGCCCCTATGACCAGGCGCGCCCCGTAATCCACACCGTGCCAACTGGTTTGCAAACTAGCTTTGTGTGGATCTTCTTAGAAGCATGTCTGGTTGTTCATAGCCAATATAGCCAGCAATCGCTGGAGCCAATGAGTACTGGAAGGCCCAGTGCATGCGGCACGACATGGCGCATGCCCCTGAGAGTTGCAGTGCGTTGCGCGCAGGGGGGCTACTTTGTGGTGAATGGCAGCGAGAAGGTGCTGATCGCCCAGGAGCGCATGGCGAACAACCAGGTGTACGTGTTCCGCAAGAGCCAGCCGAGCAAGTATGCGTACCAGGCTGAGTGCCGCTCCGTGGTGGAGAACAGCACGCGCAACACCAGCAGTATGTCCATCAGAATGCTCGCGCGCTCCGGCGGCAAGGGCGGCCAGGTCAGATATTTCCCCCTGAATTTCTTCCCCAGAAAGTCAAAAAATCTTATTTCTGCGCCCGTGTCCCTTCTCAATTTCCCTGAGCTGCAGCATGTGAATGCCAAAAAGCCTGCTTTACTCCTGCACTTGAGATTGCTCCAGAAAACTTAAAGGGTGGTAGATTTATGCCCTAGCTCACTACCGCAAGGGTGCATTGCAGGCATGAACTAGTCACCTCCAAGTTTTCTTGGGCTTATTCAAGACTGGCATCCAGGCACTTGCCTTCACCAATTTCTGAACATACTCTTGCGTGGACCTGACTGGCAGTGGTCCGGCATGTTATTATCACTGCTCAGAGGGTGACTGTTGTGGTGCAGGCGATCCGGGCGACACTCCCCTACATCCGCGCAGACATCCCCATCCTCATCATCTTCAGGGCGCTCGGCCTGACGGCTGACAAGGACATCCTGCAGCACGTGGTGTACGACTTCAACGACACTGCCATGATGGAAGCGCTGCGGCCCTCCATCGAGGAGGCCTTCCCCATCCAAACCCAGGAGGTGGGTCCCTGCTGCTGCCCAGCCGCCTTTGACTAGTCAAACTCTGCATGCACATGAGTCTGTGCTGGCCGATTCTGAATTCGTTTTGTCACTTTGCAGCGCTCTGTAAACATATAAATCCAGGTCACATCTGTTCGAGCTCCCACGTCAAGTGCAACGAGCAGTTGTTGCAGTGGAAACGCGGCACTCTTATTTGCCTGGCCGGGTGTCCATGATAAACCTCTTTCGCAGCAGATTTCATTGTGCCCAGGTCAAGCGTGGCACGAGTCGTCTTCAAGTCTTACAAAACTGTTTGCAACGTACTCAATGTGAGGGGCTGGTGAGGTTTCAGTCATTGTGTGAGATCTGCGGCAAGTGACCAGCATGGTTCAGACAGGTTCAAATTTCAGTTCAAAATCATATTTTGTGCATGTGACGGCAGGTGGCGCTGGATTTCATCGGCAAGCGCGGCAGCAACCCGGGGGTGACGCGCGAGAAGCGCATCCACTACGCGCGGGACATCCTGCAGCGCGAGATGCTGCCGCACGTGGCCATCGGCGAGTTCTCCGAAACCAAGAAGGCCTACTTCTTCGGCTACATGGTCCACCGCCTGCTCCTGGTGCGACCCCACAGTGGCTGAGACACAGTCAAATGTCTGCTGGTCATATTGGTGTCTTGCTGCATGTGGCTGTCTCCAATGCAGTCAGGTAACTGGTTGTCACGGTGATTGTGAAGGCCCTTGAGACGAACTTCACAAGAACCAGAGGACTCCATGCCTTGACTACGTTGGCGACCAGGGAATGCTCGCGTTTGTGCATGCCCAAATCTTATGCTGTTTGTAGCTGAGATGCTTTTGAGCAGTGTATATTGATGCTGATGGGTGGGTGTTGGTGCGCAGGTGGCGCTTGGCAGGAGGGACCAGGATGACAGGGACCACTACTGCAACAAGCGCCTGGACCTGGGGGGCCCCCTGCTGGCCAACCTGTTCCGGCAGCTCTTCCGCAAGCTCACCAAGGACGTGCGCTCGCATGTGCAGAAGGCTGTCGACAGGGGTGAGCCTCTCTCATGCTTACTTAATTCCATGTGTCTCTGAATGATATCATGCTTGCCGCTGGTGTATGGGATTATTTTTGCCCCTGTCCCTGCCAATCTCAGTTTTGTACCTTGCATGTTGAGTGCTGGGTTGCCTTGCTTGCAGGGAAGGAGATCAACCTGATGGCTGCTGTGAACAAGGACACGATCACAAGGGGCCTGCGCTACTCCATCGCCACAGGCAACTGGGGCATGCAGGGGACCGCCGGCATGCGCGCCGGTGTCTCACAGGTACTCCCAGAGCCTCCAGCCATCCAGCCATCTGTCATATTTTCCCTTTTTATAGTTCATCTGTCGGCATCAGAGATCGGCGTTTGCCCGTTCCTCGACCGAGGTTTGGACACTACGGCAGGCCATTCAGAATTGCGAGATAAGTCATGGAGATTGGGGTGTGAGGCTGTGTTCTGGCATGCAGGTGCTGAACAGGCTCACCTATGCATCAACATTGTCCCATCTGCGGCGAATCAGCTCCCCCATTGGCCGAGAGGGCAAGCTGGCAAAGCCGCGCCAGCTGCACAACTCCCAGGTGTGCCTAGTTCTCCACAAGGAGCACAGGGAAGTCAACGCCGTGGCAGAAGATTTCTGAGAGGCTATGTTGGAGGTCTCTCTTTGACGAAAGGCTTGCAAGTATGCCTGCAATATCTCTTTGGCCACTCCATTGACTCCTCTGTAAATTTTTTAAGAGAGCATCTTGCCAGTATACGAGCCTTTGTGTGACCCGTGTAAATGCATGCACGGGGTACATACTACCACATGCTCTCAGTCACGTACAGGAGGGACGAGGCTCACTTTGCGAGACCAGCAATATATGAGTCCATGTGAGTGTGTGTTGAGTGCGTTTTGGTTTACTGGCTGCAGTGGGGCGTGATCTGCCCGGCTGAGACGCCGGAGGGGCAGGCGTGCGGGCTGGTGAAGAATCTGGCGCTGATGTCTTACGTGAGCGTGGGCTGCCCCTCCGCTCCCATCGGCGAGTTCCTGGAGGAGTGGTCCACCGAAAACCTGGAGGAGATCAACCCCAGCGTCATACTCGAGGTATTTCACCTTACTGCTGTCCCACTCTGCATCAAACTGGCTGTTCACCTGTCCCACTACTGCATTTACTGGCCTTATTTCAGGCAGTTGTGCCACTGCGCCCTTGACTCACGCACAATGGTATTGTCGCCTGAAGATTGCCGGTAATCTTGGTGGTGCAGCACGTATGGCAATGTTGAAGCATCCTTTGTTCAGGTGGGTGCCCCACAGAGCAGCCCAATGTTGTGGGTGTTCAAGTTGAGCAAAATGTGACGGAGTTGTGACTCTGTGTGTCTTGTGGTGCGGCAGGCGACCAAGGTGTTTGTGAACGGGGTGTGGGTGGGAATCCACCGGCAGCCTGCCGTGCTGGTTAACACGCTGCGCAAGATGCGCCGCCAGGTTGACATCAGCACAGAGGTGAGCGCCCAACTCATCAATCTATCCCTGGCCACCCACCCTGTCCTACACCCCAACACATGCTGATGCTGGCTGGAGCACAAGTACACCACTGCACTCACTGGGCAGCAGAGTGAGTTGTTCGGGGATGCTGGCTGCAAAGGGATCCTTAATGGGGCGGGCAAGAGGGTCTGGGATATTGCATGCCTCATCCTGCTGTGCATTGCTCATGAGTGTCCTGCGTTGAATCATTTGTGAGCCTTTAAGAAACTCAGCTCTTATTGATACTCTTAAGCACACTGGTCGGCTCTGCAGTGCAGTCAGGGTGCAAGTTTCTAAAACTCACGCTGTGCTCGCTCCGTCCATCATGTGCTGAACGACCCGCTGGTTCCAACGGGGGAGCACATGGCTCCATGATGCGGCTCTTGGACTCAAGTGTAATTGTGAGTGCAGGTGGGCATCGTGCACGACATCCGACTCCAGGAGCTGCGGCTGTATACGGACTACGGGCGCTGCTGCCGGCCGCTGTTCATCGTGGACCCTGACCGCAAGCGGCTCACCATTACCAAGGACGACATCCGCCAGCTCCAAGAACGCGAAGTCACCCACTTCGGCTGGAACGTGAGGCCCCTGCATGCTCTCCTTCAGTTTGCGGCATGCCAGCGTGACTTGCTGTGTCCCCTGAAGTCCGCCCTCTAAGCACCTTATCGTTTAGCATGACATGCATTGTTCCCTTGATTCACCTAAAAACGCATCGGGCACACTGTCGGCAGTTAGTGTTTCATGTTGCCTTCTCTCCTCACCGTTGTCCTGCTTGTTGCCACAAAGTGGACAGCTTCCAGCATTACAGATGTCCATCATGCCTGCAGCCTGTAGTGGCTGGTGCACAGCATGATTTATTGTGCCTGGCTGTTGGACAAGACCTGAGTGGAAGCTGAACCATTTGGGACGACTGCAACCGCAGGAGCTGGTGCACAAGGGGTGCATAGAGTACATAGACACAGAGGAGGAGGAAACAACGATGATTGCCATGGAGATCAAGGACCTGGAGAATGCGCGCACGCCCGGGCGGGTGGCCTACAGTGAGACATACACCCACTGCGAGATCCACCCCTCCATGATCCTGGGCGTTTGTGCGTCCATCATCCCCTTCCCCGACCACAACCAGTCCCCCCGCAACACCTACCAGTCCGCCATGGGGAAACAGGCCATGGGTGCGCCCTTTGCCCTCTCTCCCTCCCTCACTGCACTGGCCTGGAAGTTTTCGTTGAAAGAGTTCCTTACTGCAGGCTGGAGCCTGAATGTCTCCAGCAATGACCCTAGCATCATGCCTCCTTCAATGGTCTCCTTCAATGATTCCCGGAAATCTGCTGTGCCTCTGCGTGAAGGAATAGAGCATTGTAGAGGTCACAGAGATGAAGGTGATCTACGCGCTGCAGCTGATCTCAAAGGGTGAGGAGGACGTTGAGTAAGTTTGGTACGTGGTGCTGCGCAGGCATGTATGTGACCAACTACCAGACGCGCATGGACACGCAGGCGTATGTGCTGTACTACCCCCAGAAGCCACTCGTCACCACGCGCGCCATGGAGCACCTCCACTTCAGGTGCCTCCCATTCCTTCTTCTGTGCCCCAGCGCACAGTCTGGCCCCCTTCCTTTCCCCACCATCACCGTATTCACTCAAGTACGACTTCTGAAGTGGTAGCTGCTCGCGTTGAAAGTGCTGATGGCGTACTCTACAGCCACTGCCTCTGTCTTGCTGGTGCTAGCATGTCTTCAAGAGGACAGCTATTTTCTAGGAAGGCGGTGGAATTGACTGCTGGTTGGGGGTTGCTGCAGGGAGCTGCCGGCAGGGCAGAACACGATTGTGGCGATTGCGTGCTACAGCGGCTATAACCAGGAGGACTCCCTCATGATGAACCAGTCCTCCATCGACCGCGGCTTCTTCAGATCCATGTTCTTCCGAACCTACCGGGTGCGCCGCCTGCTCCATCTACCCATTTTTTCACAATATACAGTAGCACATCGCAGGACTGCAGCTGCTGAAGCAACTCATATTATGCCGCGTGTCCAAGCTACCACCGTTCCTCTTTAACATAATCATTCCAGCAGACATGACAGTCCCTTGCATGTCAATTGTACAGTCATCTTGATGATCTTGAATGAAGACATTTTGCTACATCTTGAATTGAGGTCATGCAAAGGCTTGCTGATCCCTTTGCTTGTGAAATGCACAGAAAGATTCAGAACAGAATTCAGAAGGTCAAATGCTGGCATTGAGGAGACATGTGGAGAAGCTGACGCAGCAGATGTTTGGAAAAATGTGCAGGCGGAGGAGAAGAAGCAGGGGTCGCTGGTGCAGGAGGTGATAGAGGTGCCGGACCGCAGCGTCACGGTGGCCATGCGCCACGGCACCTACGACAAGCTCGACGACGACGGGATCGCGCCGCCCGGCACCCGCGTCTCCGGGGAAGACGTCATCATCGGCAAGGTGCAGCCCTTTTGCACTCGTTTGCACTCATTTAGACAAATGATGCACTCTGCAATGTTTGCCATGATCCCACACATGCCTGCCTTGCCCTGATGGGACCACGTTCGTCCGTCCAATTCAATGTAAAGGCTCCTACAATCTGTGCTTGATCTCATGCAACCCTGCCTTGCATTAATAAGAAATTAAAGAATGAGCCCGTCAATTTCGTTTGTTCAAATGCAGTAAGGGTCTACCTCGCTACTGTGCGCAGGAGCTCTGCCTCTCATGCCCTTCCCTGTAGGAATTGAGATCAAGCCTGTGTTGCTGAGTGATATGGTTCCAAGTGGGATTCACGTCTCGCACCCTCAACTCATCAACTTGGGGGCTGCGCTTGTTCCGAAATCGATGAAATTGGGGTGCGAGATGTGCATTGTTGCCATGTGGCTTGGATACTGATGGCCGGAGATGTGTGGGTTGCATGCAGACGTCGCCGCTGGCGGATGAGCAGCCGGGCGTTGCGCAGCGCTTCAGCAAGAAGGACGTGTCGACGAGCCTGCGCAACAGCGAGTCCGGCATGATCGACCAGGTCATGGTCACCACCAACGCCGAGGGCCAGCGCTTTGTCAAAATCCGAGTGCGCCCTCTAACTTGCTACTTTTTGCATGTTCTGCAGGCATCAGAATGGCAGTTTGTTCCCTGTGTGGCTGCGGACCATCTCTTTTCTTCAGGGCGGGCTATTCTATTCTTAGATGCAGCAACCCTCATTTGGTGGTCACAGCGGCCGGGGTGGCTGCAATTGGCGTGCGACAGATGCAAGCAGAGACTGCCTTCTTGCACGAAATGACTCCGCTGAATAGACTGCTTGTGAAGACCAGGAATGCGTTCAAGCAGGGCAAGCAGCGTGTTGCATCTCGTGTATGGAGGACCAAAGAGCATCTCTTGCATGTTTGGCCACCATATATCTATGTTGCAAGTGATGCCAATCATATATCCTGAGAAAAATGAAATTTGTCATGGTGCGCAGGTTCGGTCGATCCGGATTCCGCAGGTGGGCGACAAGTTTGCGAGCCGGCACGGACAGAAGGGCACAATTGGCATGACGTACACGCAGGAGGACATGCCCTGGACGTCCGAGGGCATCGTGCCCGACCTCATCATCAATCCCCACGCCATCCCCTCCCGCATGACCATCGGCCATCTCGTCGAGGCCCTCATGAGCAAGGCACGCCCCCTTCTTGTACATATTGCTTTGAAGAGAGACACTGCATTCCTGCTATTCGCCGAGCCCTTCCAATTTCACTCTGTGGCCAAAGATATCAATTGTAGATTCTACAATCTGCAGGCACCCTGCATGCAGTGCAGGACAAATTTCTTTCCGCCGCATTATGTGCTCTGGGTATCAGCAGGGGCATGAGTGGGCTCCAGTGCCCAAGATATGTGCATCACTGGGCGTCTGGCGGCATGAGCTGAGATGAAGGGATGAGTCAGCGTTGATGTTCGGATGACTCAGCATTCTGTGCGGCCGTAACAGGTGGCGGCGCTGGTGGGCAAGGAGGGAGACGCGACGCCGTTTGCGGAGGTGACGGTGGACAACATCAGCGCGGCGCTGCACACCTGCGGCTACCAGTCGCGCGGCTGGGAGACCATGTACAACGGCCACACCGGCCGCCGCCTGCAGGCCCAAATCTTCCTCAACCCCACCTACTACCAGCGCCTCAAGCACATGGTGCGCCACTGGAGGCCCCTCACAGCAACTGCTCCCCGGCTCTGCAGACCCGCACAGAGGATATCTGATGGAATCTGGCAGCCACCGGTTCGTGTGCCACTTGTTACGTTTGGCAGGAGTGCAGACCTGGCACTTCCCTCACATGCTTGGTGTGGTGCAAGAGTTGCCTGCACCGCGGATGAGGTAGATTCATGGCGAGCTGGCTGTGGCCGAGACTCTTCCGAAGGGATATTCCTGTATTTTCACACAATAGAGCCAAAGGGAGAGCACAGGTTTGTCAAGGGCTGGGATGCATCCGAAGTCTTCACATCTGTGCGTGCACAGGTGGACGACAAGATCCATTCGCGCGGGCGGGGCCCGGTGCAGATTCTGACGCGGCAGCCGGTGGAGGGCCGAGCGCGCGATGGAGGGTTGCGCTTTGGGGAGATGGAGCGCGATTGCATCATCTCCCATGGCTCCGCCGCCTTCCTCAAGGCATGCCCTGCTCTCGTACATCATTGTTGGTTCAACGTGGCTTCTTTGTGTCAACAATCAACTATCTCTTCTTCTGTCGCCACTTTTTCCCTTCCTGGCTTGCTAGTTTCACCTGCCTATGCAGCAAATTGCTGCAAGGGTTGACTGGGTCGTATGGACTTATCTGTGTACATAATTTTTTGGGGCTGAGCAAAACTAATGCCCAATTCAGCCCAGTAACAGGCTCAACCTGAGGTGGCTGCAGCGGCAGATAGATGTTGCGAAGGGTTTGCCAACTTGGTCCTGAATGCCGGTGTGGTGTTGCAGGAGCGGCTGTTCGACCAGAGCGATGCGTACAGGGTGCATGTGTGCGACCGCTGCGGCCTCTTTGCGGTGGCCAACCTGAAGAAGAACCAGTTCCACTGCCCCGCCTGCAAAAACACCACCGGCATTGTGCAGGTGCGCATCTGTCAAAACAAACATCTCTCGCTGTTAAAATGCAGTATGTGATGCTTGCTACCATGGTTGCATCTTATTGGTTTGGCTGCCTTGATCGGCTTGATTGGCTTCAAGGACACCCTGCTTGCCTGTAGCAGGACATGATGTGCTGACAACAGTGAATGCATGAGCAGCAATTGTGCTGACAACAGTCAATGCACGAGCAAGGCTTGGATTTGCATGAGCTGAGGCAGCAGCCCTGACAAGGTTTGTGGTGCGGCAGGTGCACATGCCGTACGCATGCAAGCTGCTCTTCCAGGAGCTCATGGCAATGGCCATAGCGCCGCGCATGCAGTTCTAGCCAGGATTACTGGAAGCACATGTCGTCTGTAGAGCGCAGTAGTACATGCAGCCCAGAAGAGTGGGGTTACTGCAAGCAGAGCTCCGTGAGAAATGCCAGTCTGGCGATTTGCACCGGTTTCATGCGTACAATTGATGTGACCTATCATTCGCAAAGAAATGACTCTGAACCCATTTTTGAACTCCTATGTATGGTCTGCTGTGCTTCGTTTGCTGCATAAGCATGTGTGGTGGTGTTCTGTGATGCAGAATTGCTGATTGGAAGTCATTTGTCATGACAGTCATGCCTTCAAGACCTTGTCCGCTGCGACCCCTAAGGCCTTAAGCAAATTTGCGGTCAGTTCTGCATCTCTCGCATTTGTCATGATGCCTTTGTCTGTGCATGGGCCATACTTGGAGTGCTTCATGGAGTGCGATGAGGACCGTTGTGCTGAGTCAAGAAGAGGGTTGAGCCTGTGCTGAGATGTCACAATGCTGGCCAAGTTTGCTGACGTCGATGCCATGGCCAGCTCGACAATTGAAAGGGGTGATGATGAAGCGATAATGATCAAAAGTCAACGACGCTCCGATAGGGGATTCTTTCCGGAAGCGCTGTGTTCTGCGAAAAGGGATCCGAGGACGTCAGGGCATTGACTTAGTTATACGAGAACACCTGAGAAAGCTTTGAGAGGCCCAAAACGCTATCCGAAATGACGGGAGGAAGACGTGCTGTATTGGTGAAACTAGTGATCACGGCTCTCTCGGTCTGCGTATGTCAGGTATGAACTGTCTCAGGGTGCCTGATTGATACATGGACTTACTTTATTTGCTGAGAATTGCCTGGTTGCCAATATGTCGAGCCCCTCCAGCTGCAAAGCGGTGACGTCCATTGCTGCATGCACTGAGTCTGCGTGAGTGATTGCCTGACATTGCGAAGTAGATTACGATCTCTTATCAGGCCATAGCGTACATAGTGCTACGATGAATCCACGAACGTCAGGTGATACATCTCAGTGACCGAGCAATCTTGCGCATCGCAGGGCGCTGGGAACCAATACAAAGTCATTCTGCAGCGGAAAGATCCAGGAATCACATTGTTAGGGGACCTACTGCACTTAGGATCCAATCTTCCTCGGATCGACAGTCCCTTAGCGGCTCTTCACCGGGTTTTTCTGGGGAAGTACGTGCCCCTGGAGGTCTTCAGCGTGAACATGACGGCGCTCAGTCCAGAACAATTGTGTGGTTACTTAGTTCAGCTGAATCCAGGTGCGCATCTTCGACTCTCTGGAACACACGCTTGCGAAGTTTCGTCGAGTTTCAATAAATTCAACGCTCACTTCATCGACTCGTTGATCGTCTCCACCTGGGCGTGGGACAGGGGCCTCCACCTGCTGAAAATATGAAGCTATAATAGCTGCAAGCTTCCAGAGTACTTGACTTCTCAGAATTGGTGCTACCCCTGCAGGATTAGCTTTTTGTGAGCGTGATGGGCCAGTCACGCTTGACGCACCAAGCGCAACGCCCAATGATCCTATCTACCCTAGAGAGACCAATTTAGAAGCCATCAAGGTCCCACAAGCTTGGAAGACCGGACAATTTGGCAGCCAGAAGGTGCTGCATCCACCCAACCTTCAGTCCTGCCGCAAAATATATTGGGTGCACCTGCCATTTGCAAATTGACGCCCTGACCAAAAGCCTGTGCTTTTCTGAGCGCAGCATGAGAGTGCACTTCAGCTGGATGTTGAAGTTGAGGTTTTAGGTTGAACCCGTTTTGCAGGTGCGTGTTTGCATCATTGACACTGGCGTGGACAATCTGCACCCAGACCTGGCGGGCAACCTCTGGATGAATGCGGCAGAGATGAACGGCCCCGGAGCGACCGCTGCCAACGGGTACAAAAATGGCATTGACGACGATGGCGACGGTGAGTCATCACCATCGTTGGTTGAACTTGGCACTCCAGCTCCTGTACGCTCGAGCTGTGCTCATGACTCTTCTCAAGGAGAACGCTAGATTTTGCTGTACTCTACTGCAGCTAAGTACATCAATTAACACCCAGGGCAAGATTGAGCTGCATTCCAGGTCCTGAACGTGTTGAGCTCTGCACATGACATATATCTCCTGAGAGATTGTCATGTCACAAAGCAGAGATCCTAAGGTCTTCCAGTATGGGCCTGTGCAGGCAGGAACGCACCACTGAGGTCATGGTTTTATCATGATGGTGTGCAGGCGTTGTGGACAACATTTACGGCGCGAACTTCAACACGGACCCGCCGAGCGCGGACATTCTGGACGGCCACGGCCATGGCACCCACGTGGCCGGCATCATCGGCGCCGTCGGCAACAACGGAATCGGAGTTACTGGCGTTGCTCAGGTACGCTGCAGCGCTGCTCCACATATTTTGCAGCAGAACATGCGCGTCCATATCATTGTACACAGTTGTGCTGCACGATGGTGGCAGTCACAGGAGGCTAGCATGTGGCGCGAGAACACTTGTCAGCGCAGAGTTCCCCGCCAGTGAATGTCAACACCAGTATCGCCGGTAGCAAAGCACACATGTCCCCTCATTGTGACCAGCTCTGCTGCATGCCTGTGGTAGCCACAGGAAAGTATCCCTGAGGGGAGACCAGGCCTGGCAGGAGAGCAGTTCGCAGGACAGTGCTCCAGTGCCAGAGAACAGTGAACGTCTTATAATCTGAAATGTTGGGGGTTAAAACTGGTGTCCAGGTAGTGACGGTGCTGCCCTGCCGGTTCATGGACGCCAATGGCAACGGCAGCAGGGAGCAGGCCATCAAGTGCATGGACTGGTGCCTCAAACGCGAGGCCCATGTCCTGTCCAACTCCTGGGGCGAGGTCCCCAACTCACTGTCCCTCCAGGTATCGCGCGCAATATATTTCCCCAAGCCCTCGCCTCACCCCCCCCCCCCCCCCCGGTCCACCGCCAACCCCTCGCCGTTTTTCCTTCCCCCATTCTTTCCCCTTCCCCTTTCTCCTCTCTCCTTACCCTTGAGGGACTGTTAACTGACTTTCTATTCTCCCTTCCTCACTTGCTCTGCAGGTGCCAGGGCAAGCAGGCACAAGCCGCCATGGTTCCTCCGCCACAGGGACTTTCTTTTTCTTTCCTTTCCTCTCTTTTACTACTTCTTTTTCGTGCTATTTTTTTTTCACATTGCGTTGGTTTGGTGTGTTCCCAGACGGTGACAATACTGCCCTGCCGCTTCATGGACACGAGGGGCTTGGGCGACATTTCCCTGGCAGTGCTGTGCTATGACTGGTGCCTCGACCACGGCGCCCACGTGCTCTCCAGCTCCTTTGGCATCTATGAGCAGTGGGGCGAGCAGGCCCTCAAGGTCCTCTTCTTCATTTATGCCTCTTTCTTCCTCGCAATCTCTGCGCTTTTCATTATTTTTTGGTTTTTCTTTGCTTTTTTGCACGCTAATTTTCCACTTTTTTCAATTTACTCACCTTCCTTTCTGGCGCATTGATGAGGCCTGCTTTCCATGTTGCTGGCTTCACATGCTTGCTTAAGATGAGCTATTGGCATGTAGAAATTGTGCAGAGTCTCTCCTGCCTCATACTGATGCGGGTGTCTGTGCATGCAGACGGCTGTGGCCACGGTGGCGGCCAGGGGCGTTCTGTTTGTGTCATCGGCAGGCAATGATCACGCGGACAATGACCTCAACCCCCACTGGCCATCCAACCTTGAGACTGACACCACCATCGCCGTGGCCGCTCTCGACCGCACCGGCGCCGTCTGGTGAGAAATTTCACGCCTTCACACATTTTCCTTACCGCCAGGATCTCAATCTGCTGAGAACCTCATCGAGCAGCAGCGCAAGTGACTGTCTTTGCTGTGCGACATTGCCAGCTTGGAAAAATCCATCAGCCTCGTACTTTACGTGTGTGTCCATGCTTTGCACGAGCTGCAAAACTGTTAGATTACCACCAGCGCAGACATTAAACTGCTGTACCCTCTGCATTTAATGCCACGCTTCTACTCAGAGTGCAGCTCAAGAGTACCTTGCGGCCCCATGCCGAGGACAGATGCTGGCTGCAGGTCGGGCAGCAACTATGGGAACAAGACAGTGGACATTGCGGCCCCGGGCGAGAATGTGATATCCACCTACATCGGCGGTGACACCCCCTACACCACCATGACCGGCACATCCGTGGCTGTGCCCCACGTCGCTGGCACCGCCGCCCTCTTATTGGCACAGTGCGCACCCCCATTCTCCTGCTGCTCGCAGCCCAGCAGCATTAGCTTTGCTTGCCCAGAACCAGACCCGGCCGGACATGGATAGTTTGATCTGAAAGTGGGATCCCTGATCAAGCGCATGTGTACTCTCTTTTGTGAATGCTCCGTACCTCTGAACATGTACAAAAGAAGGTGCAAAAGGCTCGGTGCAAGGCGATAGTAGGAGGATCACAAGCAGAAGCCCTCTGCTTGGCATCCTGAATCAGGCATGCGCCTGGGTGGCTGAAACGAGTTGATGCTGAGATGAGATGCGATGGAGGATTGGCGGGTCATGGGACCAAGTTTGTGTGCATGCAGGCTGATGCAGAATGGGTACAACATATCCTCGCTGGCGCCCAACAAGGGCGTTGGGGCTCTGGTCAAGAAGATCATCATGCAGAGCGTGGACCCCCTGCCAGGTCAGCACTCCACTCATGTCACTCCTCCAGTCTTCCTAAACGGTGTTTCATATTGCATCCTGACTGTGCTGATCTGCCCAGGCAAGCAGGAATGCTAGAAGCAACCTGATGCCGGCTGCGCACCTCCAAGCAGGTTTGCATGTCTCCTGAATACGGGAGGAGGCCATTATTTGCCCTGAGGATGGGGTGTCTTTGTTACAGGGAATCGGGTTGCATGGGGTTCCCTCAACACAGCCGCCGCACTCAAGAGAGCCGCCGGAATGACACCCACCAGCGCTCAAATAGGTGCAACCCCCGCTTACTATCAGCCTTGCAAGCAATTCACCTCGTGCCATGCAGCATGCACCCCTTGCTCTCGCACTCCATTGTGCCAAGAAAAAAGGCGACTATAATGTCAGACATCCCTTGCATGCAGCAGGAAGTTGGCATGCATTAAGAAGCCATCCCTATCGTGAGCCTTGGGTGTAGGCTGGCCTCATGGGACTAGCACTGCCTCTGCTAGTTCAGAGCCAAAAACTGGGTCGCTCCTGTCTGTCACAGAGCACCGACTCCAGTGCACATATCTGTTGCAGGCACTGTTTCGGATGGAGCGGTCACAGAGGGCTCCAGCGGAAGCTACAACGGGTCCTTCCCGGACCTCAGCAGCGTGCTGGGAGCGCTGGCAACGTATGGCAACACATTTGGAGGCAACACTCCGGACGGCCCTGCAGTGTTGGACGGCGCTACTGGTGAGTCATCATCTCACACAACAGTCCACAACATCCCACACAAGCCAACCTTCTCAAAAGCCGCAATCTCAAAAGCCGCACAGTCGACCAGTGTCGATACTACTAGCTCTGCAGACTCATTGCTGAGATGCCACAGAGCTTCTGTGAAGCCACAGTCTATCGTGTGTACTCCTTGGTGGATGTTGTGTGTGCTTCTTGATGTTGCTGGACTACAAGACACATGCCAAAATCTGACGAGTTGCTTCGAATTCTTGAATCGATGCTTTACAGGCCCAGGCGGTGCACAGAATGGAGGTGCGAGCAAATCGGGGGGCGTCCAAGCGACGGCGTCCCCTCCGCCTTCCATCGCCGCAGCCGTGGCGTCCGCGGCGCAGGAGTTTGCTTGGCGCGTCGGCGGCGGCCGCAACCTGCGCTCGGCCGGGGGATTGCGGGGAGTCGATGCGCTGCGGGACGGCAGGCCACAAGCGACCCAACAAAGCCAGCTCCTATGAGCGCTCTCAGAAGTTTTGAAAGAGCATCTTCAAGGGAATCAAGAGAGTTTTACGCAGAGCATGTGCGGCTGGGTGCGAGAGGCAAGACTGTGGAGCAAAGGGCGGGGTAAGAGCTGCGGACTCTCATGCAGAAATCCCAGCCCGGGACCAAGGGACAAGATATCTTGCTGTAGCGGCCGTCTTGATTTGCATGTGACTCTCTCTTCAGTCCGCGGCTGAGCTGGCGGGTTAGGGTGCACCTGCCTCAACCCCGCTCAGCCGCCGAATTCATTGTTTAAGAAAAGTTGCGCGGTGCTCTTTTTCCAAATAGGCTAGTGAAGCGCATTCTTGCAGCGTTCTGCCATTGCGGAGCGAGCTGCAAGCCAACAAGGGGCTGCAAGCTGTCTGCAGAGACTTGTACATTCTGTGCATGCAAGGCCTTGCAAGCCTAGGCTCGCATGAGCAGCAGCGAAACAGATGTGGGAAATGCCTGAAACCTTTTTTTGAACTCACTGGAACAGACAACGGGATTTCGTGCATTGCGTATTTCCTTTGCAACTTTCCTACTGATAGCAGCATCGACATTAGTTCAGCATGTATTGTGCAGCCATTCTTAGATGCGGCACAACGGTGCGGCTGAGAATTCTTTGTAGATAGGTGCTGATAGCTTGGAGACATTCAGCTTAATCAAAGCATGCATGAGTGCAGTATCAAGGGACCGGCTTGTAGCAGACTTCCAGACAACCGAGAACTCATGGCTCACTTAGAGAAATGGTTCATACTTTGCAAACATGTCATACTGCACTGCAGAAATTTCCTACTATTGTACACAAAAGATGCTAGCACCTGCCGTTCAGAGACAAGCTATGTCGCCACAATCTCATGAGGGTGCCATTCGAGCAAGAGCTCCGCACCTGCAGACCAGAGATGGTCGCATCTAGGAACTTGATCACACATGATTTACCTCACATACTTCATCGGTCTTTGAATTTTCTGCTGTGTCGGGCTCCCCAGCCTCTGAATTTTGATTTGGATTTGGTCGGGGTCAAATCTTGGCGTCCCCACTTTTTCTTCCTCTCTTCCTCACATGGTACTTGGCGGTCTAATCAGTGGCGCTTTGGGATGTGAGTGTCGTACACCTGCATTGCACAGCCACATGCTTTCGCAGGTCTGCACTGTTCACAAGCTCCTTGCACCTTATACATCTGTCGAACAGTGACTTCAGCAGTACTCTGCAGGTGCTGTCATCCTCACACCTGGTTGCTGTGCAGTGCCACTATGGCTTCCTGGGGCATCTCTCCAGGCTCTTTGCTGGAGTGGTGTTCTGGGTCCAGCACAGCTGTCAGGCGCTCCTGAGCCTGCGGCCGCTTGAAAGGATTTTCATCCTCGCCCTTTCGGAATCTGTCGCCGGGGTCAAAGTCAGTCTTCTGCACTCACTCCAGCTGTCTCAGATCTTCGACATATGCCCTCTCGGCACTGCTTGCAGCGATTTGGAATAGTAACGGTCGCTGCAACGACTTTTTAAAATCGAAGTAACATCAAGGTTGATATTACTTTGGTATTCTGGACAGTTTGACTCCGATGCATGCGGCATCGGACATCAGCCCCTTCAGATTAACGCTTTATATCTGGTGGTGCAGACATTACCAAATAGTGAGCAACGACAAATTAAAGAAACGCACTCCTCCAAGCTTGCCTTGTGCCTCTGCAAGCTTGTCCTTCACCACGGCCTTTGCAGGCCCCTCAGGTCCAGCCTTCAGGTCAAAGTCATCATCCATGCTGAGATGGCTTGGTTGATAGTGGGTGATCTATCAATAATTGTATTTCTCATCGCTTCCTTGAGCACTTAAAACTAAATGCAGCCAAACGAGGTGTGTTGCGACGTACGGATAGTGTATTTTTGGGACGTTGCCAAATTGGGTGACGGCTTTCTCACTCAGTTGGGTGGCTTTGCACGAGATGTTGTGGCGATCTTAACCACTACGGAAACCCGTTTGGTGGGCTTGGGAAACAACGAGCTCCTGCTAGCACGGGCTGCAGATGTCCAAGAGATCTTCGAAACCCTTTGATGCAGATCAATCGTGTGAGGAGGGGGAGAAGTGGTGCTTGCCGGTCCCATCTGGGTCGGTTACCATCCAGATACATCTCAAGAGATGGTCCACGCCATATGCATGGGATGAAATCTGGAAAAGTACTGAACTCAACGGAAAGTCTCTGACTCAACCTCTTTGTACGGCATGTGCTGGGAATTTTCGCTGGTGTGCAGAAGACATTCCTCAATGCTGAAACAATGTCAGCATGTAAAAACTTATATCCCACTTTTATAAGATTGAAATTTGAGTGTGAATGCTTGTCGTAGTATACTTTGACTGTACGGCAGAAGCAGTGCAGCTCCGAGCAGTGTCGAGTCCATGTACTCTTCAGCTTGTTAATGAGGAATATTATGTTTATTATGAAGAGAACTCAGCCTGGCATGCCATCCGTTCTGCGCTGCTGCTTCAATTGGTCGGCACGCATATTTCTTCACACATCTAGATCTGCCTCACATGGCGTAGTGACTCTCGCACCGGTGCCCACTGGCTTCTGCCACAAACAGCCCTGGATCTCACAAGCTTTCCCCATGTCTCCATCTGACTCTGTGTTCTTAAGCTCAAGCGCCCATCTAAACCTTGTTCCAGGGCACATGTGGAGTCTCCGTCCTACCAGTCTGCATATTTTTCTTGACCTGGAGTCTGGCACCCATGCTCAATCACACATTGAAGGGCTTTGAAGGCTTTTGCCACATCAGGGTGCTCCTACAGATTTCTGTCAGCTCTGCACAGTGACAAATTCGTGATCAGGGGTCGTTCGTAGAGGGTCACACCGCAATAGAAGGGTCGATGAGTGCTGGGGGAAAGCTCGGTGGCCTCTAGTGCGGACTGAAACGACGCAAGGCGATCTCAAGGACTGTCCCAGATGAGGATGTAGAAAAGCTGCGGCATGAAAGGCAGCAGATGCAACTTTTTGGCCCTCACCTTGGCCTTGTTGCCCTTCTGCTGCCTCGGAGAGGTCTGCCCGGCGCTGTCAGATTGCTGTGCTGCAGACGTACTTTGAGTGTGTGAATGGCATTGTGGTCAGGATTAAAATAATTCAAGATCTCACGATCCAGCATTCCTTCCTTGGCGTAGTTCTGCTGACCTTCCAAATCATGTGCCTGGTTCTATGTGACAAGATGTGACACTCAAAAGAGTGGCTTTAGTCAACGAGTACCTGGATCTTTTCCACAAGGGCTCTTGCACATCTTTTGGTAGATGAATGATTTTTCTGCCAGACGTGGAATCGATCATTTGCAAGAAATGGATGAAGGCCACCAGCACCTCTTGAGCGCTGCTGTATTGACGTCACGCAGGGTGTGTTCGATAACTTTAGGCTGCTCATCCAGCGCCCAAATTCTGCTGGCGTGTTCTCTGGCGACTTCAACGGGGGCAAGACAGAGGCGGATCCGCTCACAGCGTTGCAGAGGACTTTCGCTGGCTCAATAGTCCCCTTAGAGGTCTTCCAAGTGAACACGTCCCTGCTCAGCCCGCAGGCACTGTGCGAATTTCTTATAAAATTTAATCCAGGTGAGCATCGGGAAGCCACAACAAGACCCCGCCTGCTTTTGGCGATGTTACTGACCAGAAACGGCGTCCAAGGAGACATGCCACGAACTTTACATTGGCACTTTAGTGAGCTGCAGGCACCTGCAGCAATCCTGTAACAACTTGCACCAGTTTTCCGGAACCTCTTCTTTCTAGCATGCAGCCATTGGGCTCAACAGGAGCCAGCATGGCAGTCCAGTGGGAGGCTGCAAAATTGCTGGATGTCGCTTTTAGAGCAAAACGTGAGGAATGAAACTGAGCAAGCTGCCAATTTGCACGCAGAAATCACCATCTGTGAGCCGGACCAGAAGGTGAAGGTAGAAGCCCCCAGCGCGACACCCAACGACCCGCTCTACGCGCAGCAATGGAACATGAAAGCCATCGGCGTGGACAAGGCCTGGGCCAAGGGTCAATTGGGGGACCCCCAACGAAGGGTCAGCACCTCTCAGGTCACCCTGCCATACAGCAGCATGTGTGGACTATTGCAAACTCTTTGAGGGGGCAGCCTCACAGTAAAAAAACTCAACAATTCGCTGCTTGGCACTTCAATCTTGGGGGTGACTTTTGCAGGTGAGGGTGTGCATGGTGGATACTGGCATAGACATAACACACCCAGACCTGGTCAACAACCTGTGGATCAACCCTGTGGAGATGGCAGGCCCGGGCGCCACAGCTGCCAACGGTTACCAGAACGGCATTGACGACGATGGGAACGGTGAGTCACATTTCAGTCCCTACTTAAAGAAGCTTGCAACCCAGACGCTGATGCAAAGCTCAACAGATCATGCACGTAGCCCTGCAGAAGAGCTTGAAAGGGGTGCCAGCAACGCAGACTTTCTATGGGCTCCAAGGATCTTATCAGCTGAGAAATTGAGCGAGAAACTGTTTACCTGCTGCAGGCATCATAGATGACATCCATGGCGCGGACTTTGTGAATGGGGGGAAGGACGGGAACATTCAAGACCAGAATGGGCACGGCACCTTTGTGGCGGGCGTTGTGGGAGCCATGACCAACAATGGGCTGGGGGTGGCGGGGATCAACCAGGTCAGTGCATGCCCCCTTCTGCATCACCCACTGCATCACCTAACCTCCATCTTGCATCCCTTTCGGATCACCCCTGGACAAAAAGTATGGATCAAATGGTGGTCAAAGTCTCTAGCATCTGCAGCGTGGGGTGTCATCTACATGCCTCTTGAGAATGATACACTCTTTATCTGGACCCAAATGCGCATTCTAGCTAGCATACGGCATGGGAAATCCATCATTAAGCGTTTGAGCTTGTGTGGCTTGGTGAAACAAGATTGCCAGTGGGGTTGCATACACCAGGGCAGACGCTGTGGTTGAGACAGAGTGTCTGATGTGTGCAGTATGCGAGCCTGGTGGGGTGCCGGTTCATGGATGCGACTGGGAACGGGTGGGTGTCGGACGCAATCCGGTGCTTTGAGTACTGCCTGTCCAAAGACACGCAGGTGCTGTCCAACTCCTGGGGCGGCGTCGACTACTCCAAATCCCTGCAGGTACAGTCCTCAAACCATTGCACTCAACACAGGAGTTCAGTTGTGATGTATGTGAGTGTTGTGCTTGCGACCTGACAGCAGATATCGCACAGATCTGCAGAGTAGTGCTGAGCAGGCACCGCCTCTTGAATGGGGGGACTTGGAGATCTGCTGCTTAGCATGCGCAGGAGCTTGAACGCTGTATAAGGCAATAATTATGCTCCTGCACCATCTCTAGGGGCTGATACCTTTCAAACTCTGGATTAGAGTCTCCAAGCGCCTTTGCAGAGGAGAGGCAAAGTAGTGGTGACGCATGCTGACGTGGTCGGCTGACGTGGCAGGCTGCGCTGGACCACCTGTCGGCGAGGGGGGCGCTGGTGGTGGCGTCGGCGGGGAACGAGGGAGTTAACACGGACACAACGCCGCACTACCCCTCCTCGCTGCCCGATGACATCATCATGGCAGTCGGCGCAGCCACCCGCCAAAACGCCCTCTGGTGCGCCAACTCCGTACCCTTCTGCATGCCTCCCCATGCATGCCACCCATGCATGTTCATACTGTACTCAACATGACTAGCTCAATGAGTTTAGCTGCTCATGCGCTGCCCTGCCACTGACTGCTGGGCTGGTCAGGCTCGCTACATGCTGGGCAAGCAGAATAGCAAGACTGTGAAAGGACGGCGCCAATGCAAGGGCTGCTCAGCAATGGTTTTGGCACCTTGTTATACTTCTGCAACCATAAAAATGACGTTCTGGCATGTGGATGGGCACAGCTGCCTTGGAGTGCGTCCCAGCGGTGCTGGCAGGGCATGTTGCGGTACAAGGCATGCATTTCTGCTTCAATTGCCCCTTACTTTTGTGTGCAGCGCGCACGGCTTCATTGCCATGCCCCTGATGAGAACGCAGTCTCTGTGGTGCAGGGCGCGCAGCAACTACGGTACGCAGACGGTGCACATAATGGCGCCGGGCGTGAATGTGCTGTCCACTGGGCTGGGGGGCCTCTATGTGCAGCTCACCGGCACATCCATGGCCACCCCCCACGTCGCCGGCACCGCCGCCCTGCTCCTCGCGCAGTGCGTCCCCTTTTCTCACCCCTCAGGATTTTTCCGAACCCCTTCACTTAGTCGCAGTAGGGGGATCTAGACAATCTGGTCAAGATTCCCCTGGCCCCAGCAGGAAGTCTATATCAGCTTGACCTTCAAGCGAGCATCTCGCGTTGAGTTGGAGTCCCAATTTGGTCCTTGTGTAAAAGGCCACAAGCATATGCTTCTTGCTGACTGCGGCAGCAATAAGTCTGGCAGCCAGTGATTCACATCCAAAGGCTTAACTGTGTCGCAGGGGGGGCATTGTTGCTGATGCGTCCTGTTGAGCCCAGTGGTGAGTGTGGGGGCAGTATGCCTGTGCATGAGTGCTTTTTAAGGAGGTAATGACTGAGGCGGGCTGGTGTACAGGTACCTCAAGAACGGCTGGGAAGTGACCACCAAGGCGCCCAACAAGGGACTGGCCTCACAGCTCAAGAAGATCATCATGCAGTCCGCCAAAAAGGTCAACGGTGGGTCCCTCCATTTTCTTGCCCCCACACTGACGATCCCTGCCAGATGCTCCTCTGAAAGAGCCAACAAATGTACATTGGAACAGAGATGTATCTGGACCCTGGCATCCAGATGAGCCCTACATCTGCAGCATGTCATCAAAAGAGGCATGCAAGCGGAGATCCTCTGTGTATGTTTCCTGAGACAAATGAAAACTGGCGCGCAGGGGCGTCCATAAAGAGTGGCCTGCTTGACACGGCGGCAGCCTTAGCGCTGGTGCCACTCAAGCCCACGACAGAGAGCATCGGCGCATTCAGCTCTGATTTTGGTGCGCCCACCTTGGCTTCTTCATTTTTCAGATCATTCCTGGATGTACCTTGCCTATGATCATCCATGCATTGGCCGGCAGAATTGCAGTGCCAGTGCCTAATCGCAAGATTACTTTGTGTGCCGTCTCTCGCAAGCAAAAAGAAAGCCTCACACCCATTGCACAAGAGAAGGACTACACCAACCAAGAATCAGATCTGCGTTCCTACCTTCCTGCCGCTGACGACGAATGCTGCCTTTTGGTGTGTGCAGCCAGACCAGAAGGGAACGTCACATCAGACGGCGGCGCCGCGAATACTACTGTTGTGGCTCTGGCCCCTGCCGTGGACTGGTCTGCCACATTTGACCCCAACCAGCCGGGCGCTGCAGCCAGCTCCGGCGGCTCTAGTGGTAGCGATGCGGCTTCGCCCAGCAGCGCAAACTCGTGGCTGCCTAACTTCCCTTCCGACCTCTTCTACCCCTCGGTGAGAACTCCCCTCCCGCATGCTTCCCCTCAAACCTGCTGCGCACACCCCATCTTCATCTGGAGGGCAAAGATCCTGCCAGCAGCACGCAGCTGTATTGCTCATGTTTGGCAGATCATTGGCAACGAGCTTCAGTAGCATATGCTAGAAATCTAGGCAAATATTTCATTTCAGGATCGAGTATCTGCTTGTCCTCCACTCCCCAGAATTGAGCCATTAATTCAGTTATTGAAGTCTACTGCAATGAAGCTCACTGTGCAAATGGGGGACTGATGGCCGGTGCTTTGCGCGCATGCAGCCACCCACGCCGCCGGCATCGGAGACCTCCTCTCCGATCAATGTCAACGGCAGCAGCACAACGGCCCACCCCTGGGACCTACCCTCCAACCGGCCGCTCATGCCGGGCGACTCGCTGGCCTCCATCGAGAAGCGAGTCGCGGCGGCCGCTAGCGGCTCTGCCGCTTCGGCCGAGGCTGCCGCGCCGCCGCAGACGTTCCTCGACAAGATTTTCGGCCGGCGGCTGCTCGCCGGGGCCGCTTTGCAGCCCGATCACGCCGCCGCGCCGGCCGCATGACTGCTCGCATCGTGCGCAGGAAGATGCCCGTGTTTGCGCGCTCGTCTAGAGCCGGCCCCACTTGCCACCGGTGGAAAGAAGCAATTTTCCAGGCTGCCACGTGATGTAAGCAGCAGCAGCGGCTGCATCCCGGCGCGCAATGCACTGCGTGGGGCACATGAACGCATCTGCTGTCGCTCACGGGTATCCATTTTTTTCCTATTGCAACAAGAACACAGCAGCGACGGAGTGGTCGGGGAGCCCTGACCTTGCCAGAGGCAAGATCAGAGGCCCCCATGAGGGGTGCAATTTGCACAGGGCCCGGCGATTGAGGGGGGTGGGTGGGCAAAATATCGACAGCTTATATTTTTTCTTCTTTTGTGCAAACCAACGCTTCAGTTGCCGGTTGCTGTTTGAGCCGGGTGCTCTCATAGCTCTGTTCAGTGCATGCACGGATTCTGAGGTGAGCATTCAGATTGTGTTGTGTAGATTTCCAGACCCAGTGTTGCACATGATAATGTGCCCCATCACGTGTAGGATAGGAGCCAACCCCTTACAACAGCGCCTTGCTTGGTCCTGGCTTCTCTTAAGCTTAGGATGAGACAAGGCAATCATGAGTGTATGTGCATAGAACTTGTGTCATTAGCTGCTTTTGGACTCAACCTTTCTTGCCCTCTTGCACATGCGCCCAGCAATTGATCCAGGGGCGGAGTAGCGTGTATGCATTCTGACAAGCACCCATCCGCGCAATATGCAAGGTTGAATGCTGCGGGAATTCATTCACGGATGAGTCAAGACTTCCAATTCGAGAGTGCAGTGCGCAGAACAAGGCGTCATCTGGGTGTGGCACTCTTGAACCATGATGGCCGGCGCAGCAGCTGCCTGCCTACAGCTGTGAATTTCATTGCGCTAGGGCTGCGCCATATAAGAGCGGAAGAACTTGGAATTGAGGTGTTGAATAGCTTATTAGATTGAAGGTCGGTCTAGCTGATGTGCACGCGGTAATTTTGAGCGTTCAGACGCACTGACACCGCCAGCACCGATGAGTTTGTTTCTTGCATGTGAGAGAAATGACCAATGTCGTTCTCTACTTGTAAATAATTCAATTTGCATCTTGACATCATGTCCAGCGCATGCATGTCCATCCCAATATTGATTACTGATGCCTAGGAGGACCTACAAATTGTTCCAGTGTCATCAGTCCCTGAAGAATCCTACTGTACATCATTGGGCATTGCCAAAAATTTCTACATATACCAACCCCTACATGTACCAACCTAAACTCTAAATGACACCCTGGAAGCACTTCGGCTCTTACACCAATACAAGCGCCTTCAAATTGCCGATGAACCTGATCCCAGGCCTAAAACACACAGGCAACACGGCAAAGAACTCCCATCATTTGCGCAGACGGCAATGGCACACGTGGAACATAAACAACCTGAAGTCTAAAACCTAAACGCCGTCCAAAATTGTGGGTCCTAGAGTCCCACTTGCATCCGTTTGAATACCAATCCCTAACCTGAAAGTGCTGATCACACTGTGCGGCACGTGCTGCTAACAGAATCACCCCAGAATAGCAAATCCATTGACTGCGCAACAGCACAAGCACAGTATATAGGCTGCTGCTGGCTCAGCCGAGTGGAGGCCCCTGCTTGCCGATTCACCCCAGGCATCTGCCCTTCCAGCAGACAACATGTCTCGCACAAAGGTCTTCGCAGTCCCGAGGTCCCATTATTACACAGGGTGGTGCTGCGCTTGTTAGACTCGGCAGGTCACGATAGTGGCCGCCTCACATGCGCGAGCCGGGGGCGACGCCGGCGCCGAGCTGGGTGCCGGTGCGCGCGGCGTTGGCGAGGTAGTCGCAGGGCTTGAAGAAGCCGGCCAAGCCGCTCGCCTCAAACTGCGCAGCCCAACCGTTCAGCCGCTCCGCCACTCGCGCCGGTCCTATAAGGTCCGCCCACTTTATCAGCCCGCCCCTGCACGCGCATACACGCCTCAGCTTCGTGTCGTGCTTGAGACCAAGCGGTGTTCTTCATAGTCACAGAATACGACACTCAGCACTCAGCAATTAACACTCAGAAAGCCCAGCAATTGAGCAGCTGTGCCTGTAATGTTACACAATGCTGCAGCCTGTTCCCAGGACACTCTTAAACATGCCAACAGTACAGAGTGATCCTGCATGGTAATGAGCCTGAAGGGATGGCAGCCTGGACTTGAAAGATGCCCACTGCTGTCTGAAAGCACAACAACAAGGTTCTAAGCAACACCGTGACTTGTGGCTTCATGGCACATGACAGGCCTGACAATCCTTAAGCCCTGCTCCTAACAAGATTACATTTCTTGTCAGGTATGTTGTCATGCATGTCACCTACCACGATGCACAAAGTCACGAAAAGGCAAAAGGGCAAAGGGAACAAGGGCAAAAGGGTCACCTGTAGGCGGGGAAGCCCATGGAGAGGACGGTGGCGACGTCCAGGTCAGCAGGCTTGTCCACGATGCCCTCTGCGATGACGCGGCAGCCCTCGTTCACGACCGGGAAGAATATGAACTCGATAATGTCCTGTGGGCTCATTGGCGGCGGCTTGCCGCCCTTGTACAGGCCCGCCGCCTGTAAACGGTACAATAATGCAAAATCAGACAACGACCTCATTCAGCGGTGTGAAAACTGCCAAGGGTGGTTTTATGCATGCATGGCGCATGCACTGTGGTATCTGAGTACGCTGATGACATCCATGAACACCACAATCATCCTCCGACACCGCAAAGCATGCAACATGCGCAATTAGATTAAATTGTCCCATACGAAAGGCCCCTCCACAATGCATAGGATCATCTTTGATATAAGACAGTGGCAAAGGATACTATCCTTAGCATAGTCATGCCAATGAAACGTTGATGCCAAGAGCCAAAGAGCTCAAATGCATTAGCACGACATGCATTCCTTGACCTGGTCACAGGGGACTCTTGAATTTATTAGTATCCCCCTGCTGGTCACCCATGAACAGGTGACGAGAAGAACAGGATAGGGAGCTAAGCATGCGGTGGAAGTGTAGTGTGATGTGTAGCGGGGGAGTGATGCAAAGAGGAGCGGCTGCGCACCTTGCGGGAGGCCTCGACGATGGGGGCGAGGGAGGGGTCGGGCTTGGCCTTGCGGCGCGCGTCGTACGCGTAGAAGCCGGAGCCGGTCTTCTCGCCCAGGCGCTTGGCCTCGTTCAGCTTCACGATCAGGTGCGCCGGGTAGGTGCGCTCCGGGAAGGAGTCCAGGAAATTCTTGCCCACATGCAGCCCGATGTCAGCGCCCACCAGATCGCTCAGCCTGCCCACTCAGAAGATTTAGTCTTAGACTCTGGTCTTGGTGATCACTAAATGGCACGATTACGTTTGGTGAATGGCCAGAAGGCCAAGGAATTAACAGTAACACGAAAGGAGAGGATTTGGGCCGCTGTGCATGAATTGCTCTTGGAGACTGGGAAACGTGACCTCCAGCAGCCAGTGGGGCAGCCAGCAACACATGATCTGCAGTCCCTCTAAATTTCTCATCCTACGCCTTCACATCAAGAGCCCGTGGTCCCAAGTACCCCCCTGACATGTGAGGCAGAGCAGATTAAACTGTGAATGCCGGCAAACTGATGCAATGATGGCTGTCCAGATGCAGAGGTCGCGCTGACTATATATGAGGTGAACATGAAATGAGGGGCCCCCCACCTGAAGGGCCCCATGGGCATGCCGAAGCCAGCGAAGATGGCCATGTCGATCTTGTAGGGGTCCAGGCCCATGTCGACCAGGAGGCAGGCCGCCTGCGTGTAGGGGAAGAACACGCGGTTCACCGCAAAGCCCGTGCAATTGCCTACCACCACCGGCGTCTTCTTGATCGCGCTGCCATACTCCAGCGTGTCCAGAATCACCTGCACGCATGCACCCGTAGTTTGTCAGTGTTGCTGATTTTATTAGCTCGTGAGTGTTTGGATGCCATAAAAGGCGCTCTGCTGAGGACCTCAGCCAGGTATCAGATCAGGTCTAACTTGGCTGGAAGCGATGTCAGCTATCTCAAAGACTGAAACCCAGGGTAGTATCAATGAGATTCACAAGCCACAACAGGCCTCAGGCAACCTTACCACTAGAGCTTCACAACTCCCAGTCTTATTGCTCATGGCAGCAGAATCTTGCTGGTGTGCATTGCATCTGAGCAGGCCTCACTTGCAGTCAAGGCATGTTTACATGCAGAACACGACAGGAAGTTGCTGCCGTACAGATATCCAGAATTTTGAAGACCCCTGAGCCGGCAGGGCCCACCATCCAAGCCCATTGTTTGGAATCCAATGGTCATATCAGCAGCGTCTGGAAGTGAGGAATGAATTCAAGACAATTAGCGGGGGAAGAAGGAGGGTGGGGGCCGCGCCTGGGGGGAGGTCTTGTCGGTGCGCACGATCTCGAGCAGGGGCATGATGTGGGCGGGCGAGAAAAAGTGCGCGCCCACGATGCGCTCGGCCGCGCGAGTCTTGGCACCTATCAGAGAAATGTCGATGGTGGACGTGTTGGACGACAGGATGGCGTCCGGGCGGCACACGCGCTCCAGGTCCGCGAATATGCGCTGCTTCAGGCCCACGTCCTCGATCACCGCTTCGATCACCTGCATTTAGCACAGTCAGTGCTGCTCAGATCTCAAAATTTTTTGAAAGGTGAGTGCATGCGCATGTCCCACAACTTTTAAGACTGGGATGGTCTAGCTTGCATGCTGGAGAAGCAACAAGCAGAGTGGAATCCTGCTTGATGCCTAAATACGTCAAAAAATCATCATGCTAACAAAGGCTTGTTGCACTCCAGGCACCGAGCTGCCAGGCTCACAAGCCCAGGCATAGAGTGCTGGCAATGGAAATACAATTGGGTACTGCGTCAGACAGGAAAACATACGTGAGTGTAGTGCGCTCAATCTCGCAAGATGACAAAGATGAAGGAAGCTTGAGGGCAAGGGCAGCTGAGGTGGCGCACCATGTCGACGGAGGCAAAGTCATTGTAGTCGAGGGCGCCCTTCACGCGCGCAAAGACAGCGTCGGCCGCCTCCTGGGTCATCTTGCCCTTCTTCACGCGGCTCGCCAGGTTGGACTTTATCCTGGCCATGCCTCCCTGTCGCTCACGCAATGCATCAGCCCGTCAGCATGACATGTTGATTTTCATAAGGCACAGGCCACGTCACACAGTCAACACCCAAATGATTTCGACATGCAGAAATCCCTTTCAAGGGTTGACGCGTTGCTATAGAAATGCAGCAAGGTGAAAGCACTGGTTCTGCCAGCAGCAAGAAGGACAGAAGTGCTGCAGTCATTCCCACAAGATTTCCCTGTATGCAAGCGCCGCCCACTTTGCGCCCATCAGCAGAGCGAACGACACAATCAAACAGGAGCACCTTGTGATGAGTGGACCTCAACAATTCTGGCCTCGCCGAGGCACGTGAAATCCTTTGCTTCTTATACGTTCATCAAGTCCTTTCTAAGACAGGGGGGAGAAGCAGACGGCAGGGCACCTCGAGGAACTTCTGGTTGACCTCCTTGACAATGACTTCAATGCCTGCGAGCGCGCTGGCGGTGGCAATGCCGGACCCCATGAGGCCACCACCCAGCACCGCGATCTTCTTGATGCGCCGTGGCTTCAGACCGCCATCCGTAATCCCCTTCACCTGCCCAGCAGCCAAGTAAACACTCAACAGTGAAGTTTAACGCTTTGCATGCCTGATGTGCTATACATCCCAACCAGGACAGCTGGTACATGCACTGAAAGCTGCAATCTGATGTAGAGATAGGCAGGAGACGGACTGAAGACAGGAAGAAAGTATGTCAAACAGCGCACCTTTTTGGTGGCACGCTGTGCGAAGAAGATGTGGACGAGGGCCTTGTGCGTGTCCAGGGAGGCTGCCTTGTTAAAGGCCACAGACTCCTGCAGTCGCATGCACGTTTTTCAGAACTTGCCACGCATTGCAACACTGGCTGTGGCCCCACTCACTGCACTATGTATAAAGCCCATCACGTACTGATTTTGTGGTGCCTTTCCAGGGTGCAACACGTGCAGGTACCATAAACTCGAGAGACTTTGTCAAGGTGATCTGTCATGGTAACCAAAAGTTGGGTGTGCATATGCGTGCCTGCTTGAGGCCTGCGAGGCCGCCCTCCTCGATGCCGACGCGGATGGCGTCCAGGCACAGCAGCGGGTGGGTGAGGTGGGGGGCGCGCTTCTGCGTCTCCGCACGCGCAAACTCCAGGATCGGCAGCGCCTCTCCCAGGGATTCCAGCTTGTCCGTCCTGCAATGCATTCCACATTTTCCTCAGCCCCATCGCTGCATCCAATACACCCATCGACCACCACCTAAGCAGTAGTTTCCTGATGTGGCTAAAAAGATGGAAGTCGCATCTGCTTGTGGCTTGCAATGGGACAACAGGCCCTTATCCACAAGACAACTGTAAGTCCTCTCCTTACAAATTCCAACCTAAAAATCCATTGCCTCCACACCCAAAATCGAGAGTAACTATGTACAGGGACATCCACCTTCATGGGTAAAACAACCAGGCCAACCTGGGAGACAAAAGGCGGTGGGGCAGCACCTATAGAGGGAGAAGTTGCGGGGCTTGGTGCCGGCGGCAATCTCGGAGGCCCATGCGCGCGCGGCCGCCAGCAGCTTCTCCTTGGGGACCACGCCGTCGACGAGGCCCAGCTTGGCGGCCTTCTTGTCATTGATGGGCGCGCTCGTCAGCATCATCTGCGCCGCCGTCTGCAGGCCCACCAGCCGCGGCAGCCGCTGCGTGCCGCCGAACCCCGGCAGAATTCCCAGCTGCAGCTCTGGCAGCCCCACCTTTGTGCCTGTGCAATAAGAGACCCCATCAGGTACTGGTGCCTCATCAAGGGAGACACAGCCACCTAAGTATTGATCAAGCACTGCCCAGCTTTGCATCTGTCAAGACACACGACATTGCACACCCCGCCATGCACTTGGTCTCTTGCGCAAAGCAGGACCGGCAACAAATTGTGAGCCAAGAAAGCCAGGAAGGCTAGTGAGAGCGGACCAGGGGTGCAGAGGCGCGCATTGCAGGCCATCGCGACCTCCAGGCCGCCGCCAAGGGCCATGGTCTCCACAGCCGCCACCGTCGGTTTGGGCCCGCTCTCCAGCAGCGCGCAGAAGTTGTCATTGATCCTGCAGATCCAGTCAAAAGGCACGTCAGACATGCTCGGCACACGCGTGCTTGCATGTAAGTGTGCACACAGCTGCAGTAGAATGGGGAGAGATAAGGACAGGATGTGCACCTGCTGTCAATGCCGCCGCCGCCAGACTTGGCAAACTGGTTGATGTCAAACCCGGCGCTGAACCTGCCCTTGGCCCCGGTCACCACGATGGCCTTGACATCCTGCCGCGAGTGGGCTTCGCGCAGGCAATTGAACAGAGCGTTGAGCACTGCAAGAAACAACATGTGAACATGAGGAGGGACACATGACTGCAGGCTGTAGAGTCCAACCAAGGTGCTTTTACTAGATATCTCCTTATTGAAGTATCGGTGCTGACGTGCGATTCATACATCCGAGATAACTCCTTTTGCACATTCACGGTAATTTCTAACTCAGTAAGGCTGCAGAAATGCCATAAAGAGCTCTATCAAGACCTCCAACAGGACATGCGACTGCTGAAATTACAAGCGGCCCAATATCATTGGGATATTTTGTGCCCCGAAAATCATTCCAAGAAAATACGAAGATTGGCTGAGATTATGTGTGAGCTGTGCAAACAGACGTGGAGAAGAAAGGCGCGCCTGCCGGATGGAGAGCGTTCACAGGAGGATTTGTGAGCGTGATGATGGCGACGCCGTCCGAACCAACCTCAAGAGTAGCTGTAGGATTCGTCATGATTGCTAAAATTTAAGCACGTTCAATGAGACTGCGCGACCCAAACACGCCCCTCTTTGTTGGCGTCTGACTCGGCACACCACGTGGATAAAGTCGTTGTCCGACTGTTCGACGGCGTGATTTCCTTTCGTGATGGGAATTTCTTGCCTGTATTAAACGATCTCGGTGACTGTTTGCAGCCCCATGAGCAGCAGGTATCTCTCGGTGAACTATAAGGCGCAGCAACAAACCACAAAGTCGCTAGCTGGCTGTTTCTTGAGATCCAGGATCCCGGTTGTCTCATTGCGATGGTCCAAGATCATGAGATCAAGGTGCGCTATTTCAGGCAATTCTGCAATAGCGCTGCTTCAACTGCCGCGCTCGAGATGTTGCTGAGCTTAGTGTAAACGAAACAAACAGATGTGCATGCGAGCCTAAATTGGCGTAACTGTAGGTAGCTTCAGTGCCGGTAGGCCGAGGAAGACAAAGCGTCCGTGATGATCGATCCTGGAATAGCAAAGCCTGCTTTGAGTGAATTGTATGAGTGATGGGGGAGGATTGCTAATCTGTGGCATAAATTGGCATCGCTTTGAGTGCATATATGGTCACCCCAGAGCACCTGCCAACACAAACAGGTGCAATGCACAACATTCTGCGATATGGCATTCATAACACATAGCTCGTTCGACTTATCTCGAACAGAAAATTGTGCCTCAGTGAATTCCTCGTACCCGCAGACAGGTTGGTTGCAATGCTCTTATACCTGCAGAGCATGAGTGTTACCTCGTACATGTTAGATCCTCGCCCTGGTATTCTATATGCTTATTTACTGATCAAATGACTGTAGCGCGTGATCCCTGCTGGTATATCGGGTATCGGGACACGAGAAGGTTGTTGAATCTGGACAATGCTGAAGGGAGCTCTGCGGTAGCAGGCGGTTCCTTGTATGGGTGGCAGATTCAGAGGCGGCGCTTCTGCAGGCTCAACCGCAGCTTCACTGCCGAGGATGAGAACGAGGAGTGAGCATGCATTTGCAAGGCCAGACAACAGTCAGAGTGCAATGGTTGAGGCACCCACTGCTTCCGGCAATGCAAAACCACAGTCTGCGCGCGCATCCAGGAAGAAAACTCTCGCTGCAGCAGCAGCTGAGGAGGGAATCAATGACGCCACACAGAGCAGTGGGAAGACTGAGGGCGGTCAGGGGAAGAGGCCAGCAAGGGAGCGCAACACAGGAAAGGGAACTCGAGAAGATGCGAAAAGGCATCGGATGGATGCAGCTCAGGGCACAGCTGAGAAGGAGGTGCAGACCGACCATGTTGCAATCAGCGCAGCGGCGCAGCCAGACATCTCCCATTATGAGTGTCCCATCTGTATATCCATCATCATCGCCCCTGTTGTCTGTGAGTGTCCAGCATCCCTTCTACTCCCACACTGGCCTATGTCCAGTATTGCCCATTGTGCGCAGGCAAACCCGGGTGTGCTAAGACAGGTTATGAAACTAGAAGCAGGGTCAACCATCAGTAATCTTTGAGCAATTCGTCATAATTTACCTTGCATGCTGTGCAGCTCCCTGTGGCCATGACTTCTGCCAGCACTGTTATGAGGGCATGATGGCGACTCCCGGGTCGCGTTTCCCCGGCAATCTGAAATGCCCCATCTGTCGTGAGGCAATGCCCTCAAAGGTTCCTGGTGCGCCTCTCAAGCTTTACCATGTCTTTGGCATTCCATGCTGCTGTGCCGTTGCATGTGCGGCCCAATACATTGTGAAAATTTGGCAGTTGATGGGCGCACAAAGCCCCTTTCTGATGCCATGCCTGTGGGTATGGTGAAGGGGTCTGCAAGCGGCTGGAGAGCACAGTCGAGCTTCTGTTCCCTCAGCAGCTGACAGCCCGCAGGTAGGCACAGTCTATCCTTCAGCTTCAGCTGCACGCTTAATGGCCGTGTTTGGAAGTGCATCACAGGTGATGTGATTGAAATATGGGCAATCTGTTGGCAGGGCGCTATTAGCTGATGAGCTGGAAGAGAGAAATAAGGACAGGGAGCGGGCCAAAGAGGCACAGCGAGCACAGCGAGGTATGCCCTGTGTTGCTCAGACTTCTAAAATTGCAAGCAACGTAGTGCCAGAGGAATGCCGTCCCCGGATTTCGCACAACCTTCAAACGTTGTTGCCAGATTATAATGCATGTAAAAGCTGCCTTACTGACAGGTTGTGTTGTGCACAGGGGGGGGAATAGCAATGGCGGAGGTATTTGAGACCCTCCATCACATCACCAGAGAGGCCCGAGATCGTCTGGCAGCTGTCGGCACCATGTATGAACCAGGTCAGTGCCAGCATATTCTGCTCGCTCTCTCTGCATGCCATTGCCTGAATTGCTGGAGCACAGCTGCGATGCAGTGGCATGCATTCTTCACACTCACTGCTGCTGCTTTCACTGGTGTGGGATGTTGCTGCAGATGGAGAGGCGGGCGCGCAAGCGAGTGCTGCACATTCGGCCCCGGGCAGCGTTGCTTGGGGCATGGGGGGCATGCAAATGAGCGCATTCAGGCGGCCAGTTTCAATGGCTCTCCGGGCAGGCAACCAGACTCAGGCGGCGCCCCGGCAACAGCAGAGCGGGGCGCAAGCGGCCGAAGCACCCCGTGAGAATGTTGCCGCGCCCCCTGCACCTGGGGATGATGGACCATGGCTCCCCTGGGGGCACTTACACCCGCAAACAGGGGGGTGGATGAATCAGGTTAGCTCCCCGTGCTCTCACCAAGGACCAGCTTTCTGATCAGCTCAATTTGTTAAAATGCACCTTCACTGTTCTGCAACCCACCGGTCCATCCCAAAATGCAATTTGAAAAACAAGCCAGCAAGTGGTCACTGTCTTGCGCTGACCGGCAATCATGAGGCCAATCTTGCAGAAGTTGCTGGCAGAGGGCTTTGCTGACAAAAGTCGGTGCCTGTGTTTGGCAGGCGTCACCTGTGTCTTGGGGCCAGCCTGGGGCTTCCACTGAGCCCAGCCCAGCAGCGCAAGGAGGAGCCCAGCTGCCATTCAGCTGGGCCGCAAACACTGCGCCCATGCCGCAGCCCACGCTGGAGGCACCAGCCAGCGGGCCTGTCCCTGAGGACCAGCAAAACAGCATTGCCCAGAGCTTCCGGGTGCGGTCCCCGCTCAAGATCGGCACGCTTTCCACCAGTGCTTGTTTCTACTGGCGGGATCCCGGGAGGCGTTTGCGTCAGTGACAGTGCGTGCAGATTGATGCTTGAGAAGTCTTTGTGCTGCGTGCCAGCATTGGCTCGGCACCTGCATGCGTGCAATTGTAAGCATGTGCCACAGCTGATCTTATGCGTATGGTGGCAGGGATTGGCTGCGCTGGCCAGCAGAGTCGTCATGTTCCACCAGGCAATGCACGCTGGTGGCGAGGACGAAGACGCGGCTGCAAGCCAGATGTACGCGGAGCTGCTGAACGCCCAACGCGTGGCTGAGGGGATGCAATTCCCTATGCCAGCAGGTGGGCACACCTACGCTCCGCCTCTTGGGCACCTAAATCTTGGGGATAGTACATCTGTGTTTTTCAGCTGAGACACTGCATATCTTCAGAGCCCCTCCTATAGGACTGTATAAGTCTCAATGCTGTCAGTCAGGGCTGACATTGGTGGGACCAATTCCTGGTCTTGCGTTGCCAGATGACTTTGATTTGCACTGAACACTGACATTGATTATTTCTTGAGAAAGTGAAATTCAGAAGTATTTTGTCGGGAGAGCACACCTTGCTGCAAACAGAGGAGACCTTACTAGATATTCTTTGCTTTGTTCAGGCCATTCCTTGTTTGGCTACAACATCAATCGCATGCGCACCTGAAGGCTGTGTACAGCGGGGGTAGCCGCTATCAGCTGTATCCTATGTTGTCATAACCACCCATGAATGATTTTGTCAGAAGAAACTTGGAGTCTCTTGCTTTTTGGTTTTGGTTTTGGTTTTGACTCGGTGGAGGTCCTTGAGTTGGTGTAGGGAGGCTCAAGGCAGACCAGGATGAAGTCTGTCATAGAAACGCTGCTGTGATGCACCTGATCCTTGAGGATTGACGAGGCGTGCAATGGTAATGATGACTGATTACCCATATTTGTGGCAGGTGTGGGAGGTGGAGGGGAGGGGGGCGCAGGTCCCCCCAGCGGCAGTCTGGGGCTGCCCACCTTCACAATGGGGAGGGTGGAGGACAGACCCCGGAATCGTCGCCAGCGCCGCCGAGCGCAGAACCTTCCCAGCCCGAGTTTCCTTGCAAGGAACATGCCGCCTTCAGGGGGAGTAGAAGAATAGGGAACCCTGTTCTTCAACGCCCCCTGCCATCGTAGCCCCTGAAGCATGGAGGCTCGGGGTCCAGGCTGGAAAATAGCCGAGAGATTCTGACTTGAGATCAATTTTCATGGCGCACATGATGGCCTTTGTATTGTGGGAAGGCGTCTCTGCCCTTGTGTACAGTAGGCTGAGGTAGCTTTGTCCGTTAGCAGATAGACAGGCTGTTGCACAACACTCCTGCCCCATTGTCAATTGTCTGGCAGTTGACTTGTCAAGCTGCAGCTGTCACTCAAGCCTCACTCTTTGTGCACGTTGAATACTATAAAACTGACTGGCAGTCCGAGTGACGTCGTAGGTTAGGTGTCTGTTGGCGGCCACGTATGGTCCCTGGCCGCATGTGTAGCATATGCTACATACGTTTGTATCAATAGCATTTGGGCTCATGGTGGATTGCCAGACCACTTTGAAATTTTGGTAGGATCAAGTTGATATCAGCCTAGTAGGCCTTTTTTGGCCCGCGCCAGCGCCGGCGCCTTGGACACTTGGGTGAGAGATTACCATATATGTATAAACCTGCAGGCTAGCTGCTGGTATATTGACAATTTCTGAAGACCATACCGCCATTGCTTGTAAGAAATAAGGAAAACCCATCTACTGCATGTAGAATGCTGAAATGATCATTACTAATGTAGTGACTACCATACTCCGACACAGGAACGCCGCTCTGTAATTTTTTACCGATCCAACGCAGCTCAGGTGATTTAAGTGCAAATTGTGTCATTCACAGCAGCCTTTGGCGTGATCGGGACCCTGAAGGTTGCCCTTGAGGCTTCCCACGTGTACTAGGCGGGTCTTGTCTCCGTGAACCGGCGGAGTGAAGGGTCGATCACCCACTAGCTTTCCAATAACAGGGTGTCAGATAGACGTCTACATGGACCTTTGGAGGGGATTCTAACCCACCTTGAAATTTGAATAGTTCATCGAAGCTGAAATATTGGCGCATCAGGAAGGGCTGGCTCCCAACTCGCTGGGTAGCTAGGTGAGCAGAACACCTAGCATAGTAACGGCGTTGGTCACTTTTATGCTCGCAAAGTCGTACCTGCTCATTTGTTCTATTAGTTTGATGAATAATCAATTCAATGAAATGACTGCACTAAGATGCGACCTTTTCCGATCTTCACTCTGGTGGTTCTCAGGAAAAGAGCAGTACTGCGCTGAGGCCTGGAAGCAACTGAGCACAGCGGCTCATGCGACAAATCGGCTGAGGTTCTCCTCAGAGTCATGAAGAGGCTCTGGCAACGCTGGTTGGGGCTGCTCCTGCTGCTCCTGTTGCATCTGTCACACAGCGACGCTCGGACTCAGCCTCTGAAACACAGGAGGGCAAACAGTGTTGCAGCAAAGTCAGAGCAGGGCACCAGGAGCGTCAGGCAACCCGTGGTTGCAGGCAGGGACACTGGTGCGGGCTTCCTAGCTGAAAATTGCAGCCCACACTGGCCTTCTTAGTCTCTGCCCACCCGCTTAATGAATGCATGCATCGCTGTTCTTTGGTTCCTGTAGAAGAGAGCTGGCGTGAGAGAGAAGTCTGGAATTGGCTGCGTCAGGTGCCCAAGGGTTGCGAAGAACCAGTCACTTGAGAGCCAGGAGGAGAAGGGCGCACAACGTCGGGGGAGAGCAATTAAAACACAATGATGGGGGAGGGCAATTACCGCAGGTACGAGCTCGTCACCATGCCACCTGATTTGTTTGATCTGAGGTCAATCTGATAAATTCGTTGCAAGAGAGCAAGGCAGCGGCTGACCTTGCAGATTAATCTTTTTCAGATACCTCAAGAGGGGCGCAACAGGAGGAGGCGAGCTGGAGAGAAGGTGTGCCTCTTTATTCCCGTTGCTCTCAACTTGCATGGCATCGCTCTCATGGGTCTTGCATGTTTGTGGATTATAAGAATTCAGGAATTTGACATGAACATCACAAGTCCCAGGATTGCAGTTTAGTGCAAGTTTGCATGCGCAGCTGGCGCTTCAAGCCGGAGAGGAAGGGGCCAATCCGGCAGTGAAGGCCAAGGGGACGAAGAAGAAGAAAAAGAAGACTGCGGGCAAGAAGAAGATGAGCAAGGAGGAGGCCATTGCAGCCGCGCAGGAGGCACAGGCAGCAGCTGCTGCCGCTCTGGAGAAGGGTGTTTCTCATGAGGATGCTGCCAAGGCCGCACAGGCTTCACTTAATGTGAGTCCCCTTCTAGTGGATTGAAACGAAGCTTAGTATGATGGTGTCAAAATAACACCGGTTGGGCTGCACACTTAGGGCACTCTGTCTCTAGTAATTGGCGAGACGTTCAGCATGTAATGGTACTGCCACAGTGGTGCTGGCATGCACTGTGAACATGGCACCCCTACACAGCTCTTTTTAATAGCCTCCCAATGTTTGTACTTGTTAAACGTGCTTGCTCTCTCCCCAATCAAGCTAGGGGGCATTATGCACCCCACCACAACTTGGTTTTTCTAAAAAAAGACGCCAATATTGTGGCAAGGTACATCAAATCTTTGGCAGGGACCTGATCAGCATATTACTGTCCTGCAGGAAAAGGGCGCTACGGAGCTGACCAAGGGGGTATTGGGCGCGGAAGATGTGGAAAAAGCAGAGGGCCGGCCGGCCGCCTTCAAAAAGAAGGACGCTGCCACGGACGAAGCGGCCACAGAGGAGGCGGCCGGCACGGCAGAGGCGTCTACCGCACCAGCCAAGAAAAAGAAGAAGAAGAAAAATGCTGCCACGTCAGACGCCGCAGCTCTTGCTGCAAAAGCTGACGATGCGGCAGGTGTGGTTCACTATGCACCTGTGTACACATTTTGTTGTGCAAAGCACATGTGCGACGCGCATGAGGACATCTCGTCCTGGCCAGTTCTTCACAAATCTTGAGGCATGGTACTGATGCCGTCGGCCTGGAAAGGGTCCTCGTCTGCAATGCACTGCTGACAGAAGCATGTTGTTGTCACAGACGAAGGCGCTACTGACAAGAGCATTGCGGAGCCTGAGTCTGACCTCAGTGCTGACGCAAAGCCAGCCGCAGCGGCAGAGGAGCCGGCCAAGCCGGCGCCCAAGAAGAGGAAAAAGAAGAAGGGATCCATGAAGAAGAAGGCGGTAGCGGGCGAGGTGTCAGACAGGCAGCTGCGTACCCTAGACTCCAATGGCACCATGCTGAGTCAGCAGGGCGATGCCACTAGCTATGACGTGGAAGATGATGTGGATGATGACGGCGAGGCTGAGGATAATTTCGAGGAAGAAGCAGAGGAGTTTGAGCTGAGCATGACGGGGACAGATGAGGCCGAGGAGACCGCCAAAGTTGCCGCTGCATCGTCCGAAGCCGGTGCAAAGCAGATAGGGGCCACTGCTGAGGCAGCCGGCACCCCGGACCACCCGACGGCAGCGCCTGCAAAGCCGAGTGGAGAGAGCCAAGCGCTGCCGGGTTTCACAGTGAATTTCACGCCCCCAGAACAGCCAGTTCAGGGCATTGAGGTGGGCGCTACAGAGCACGCGTGGCCGCAGCCGGCCGCAGCGGCTCCGGAGGCGGCCGCACCCGCGCCGGAGACAGTCGCAGCGGCCGCCGCGCCGGCGCAGCCGCCGGTGAAGGCGGCCCGGCCGTGGTTCCCGCTGCCGGAGAAGCGCGAGATTTCGTCGGAGGTGCTGGCCAGCCTGATCAACGCGTCGGGCGCGGCCGTGAAGCGCGATGCGGCGCCGTTTGTTTCCAAGCTGCGCAAGCACACGAGCCCGCACCAGCCCAACGCCACTGCAGAGGGTGGCAGCGCTCACGGCCACTATGAAGCATCCTCAGAGGCCGGTGATGCAGCAGAGACCCAGGTGAGATGCGCAGCCTGCGGAACTCCACTCCTTCTTCTTCTTAAGCATCGTGTGCCTCTTGTGCGTCGCAAGTTCTGCCCTGCCAGCCTGTGCATTCATTGGTACTGCACATGTTTTGAAAAGACTTCGTTGCGAGGCCAAAGTTCCTGACATGCGCGGCTTGCAGGGCAAGCTTGGGAAGGATGGGAAAGAGGATGCGGGCGGGGCGCACCCCGCGCGGAAGGAGGCGGCCAAGGCGGACGAGGATGCCGCAGCGCTGCCGGAGGTCAAGCAGCTGCCACCCTGGTTCAAGGAGACCCCTGACGCCAAAGACGTGCGTGCAAGCCCCTGTTCTACCCCCTCTCCTGACCTATATACACATGGATGCTTGCGTGCATTTGCTGATGCAATTTTGGCATTTATGTCCTATAACTGCCAGGACAACTGCCCACTGAGCTTCTGGAGCACAAGCGCATAGATGTTATCAGTGCTTACTCGTTGACAGTGCATTACAGCGCTGCATATGTTGGCGGTGATGACAGCAAGGGCCTGATGTCATTGGTGATGCTCTGTGGGGTGCAGCGGGCGGCCAAGGTTGGGCAGCGGCACAAGTCGCGGCAGAAGGCGTTGGGCGCTGAGGAGAAGTGGCTGCGCGCACATCAGCACCACCTGGCGGAGGTGCGCGACGAGTACGACGTCATCTTCTACGGCGATGACATCATCGAGGCCTGGAGGTGGGGTGTTCCCTCCCAACACACCATTAGTCACCATGTCAGACATGCTTGGCTGACCTAGGATGCTGTCTGCTGCAAATGTTGATTGCTCTGCACCCAAGCCCCTGTGTATTGAGGTTTCGTGCGCTGGGCACTTCAAACCTAAGCAGTATGCCAGTGGGAAGCGACGTGTGCTGCTGGTGAACAGCGCAATGGATGCAAGGATGTTAGCAAATGCATTATTGATGGTATGTGCTTGCGAGAAGAGGTGATGACATGGGTGACGGCTGGTGCAGGGGGACGTTTGTGGGGCAGAAGTATGGCCCCTTCAACGACATCCCCGCCGTCTGGGACCATTTCTTCGGCAGCAAGGGGTACAAGGCGCTGGCTGCCGGCATCGCAGGTGATCCCACTCTCCCTCTCGCAGGGACTGAACATCTGTCCCTTTCCTTCTTTGCTGCGTGAAGCGCACTTCGCTGGCAGCTTCACCGCACCATGCCTGTCTGCCAACAGCCAAGGATATTGGGTGAGCGCCTTTTGGCTGGTGCCAGTTGGCCCGGGGCCGTTGCCCATGTTGGCGTCGGTGGGTATGAGAGTCTGGGGTTGTCTTACCCCTCCTATCGCTGCGCTGCGTTCAAAATGTTCATACCCACCGACGCCAACATGGGCAACGGCCCCGGGCCAACTGGCACCAGCCAAAAGGCAAGCTTCTGTTTCTTGCTCAGCATGTAACATGTGACCTCCGCCAGGCTGATTTATTATTGTCGGAGTGTAAGGAGCAGTGGCTTAAGTTATCATGCTCTGTCGCCTACCAGGCCAGCCTGACAGGCCAGCCAAACCAGCTCCAACAAAGGTAGCGGCTTGAGGTCTAAAATCTGGTGCCTGTCAGTTGGTCTTCTAGCCAATGCCCTTTCGGTTGCAGAAGACTGGCTCACATCAAGGCATGCGAAAGCGCTGTTGGCCCTCTATCTCAGCCATCAGCGCAGGCTGCCTGCATGTCAGAGACTCCCTTTCTTCCTTCTAGTGGTGATCCATCCATAGCCGGCACCTTCATAGTTCAGACCGCAGCACATTTGGGCTCATGTCCCTTTGTGTGCCGTAAATGGACGGGGCTGATTCTGCACTGGGCACTGGGCAGGTGATGGGGTTGAGCAGCTGCTGTGGCGGCTGAAGAATGGAGAGCTGCCGCCGATTGTGCCCCCAAAGGTCATCGTCTTAGCCTGCGGCACGAATTCCAAGGGCATGGTGCGCGCCCTACACTCTCTTTATGACGTGTCCACCCTGGCACTCTGTAATACGCTGGTCAAATTGTGATACACACCAGCAACTTGTCATTGTGATTAATGTAAGACACCCTCCCGCTCACCACATGACCACCACCATCTAGTCACGAGACGTGTGCAGTCATTGGATGTTACAAGTGCTCAGTCATCCATGGGGTTTGTAATGCTAAGCTGGCGGCTGCGGTCACAGAGCGGGGAGTGGGACTAGCCACAGCTTCACCGCTGTCCAGTCACACATCAGCACAACAATTGGGGGCTGACGTTCCGATGAGTCATGCTGAGCTGGCGGGTGCGGATGCAGAGCGGGGAGTGCGCGTTGCCGGCGGCGGAGGAGGCGGCTGCGAAGATGCGGGCGGTGCTGGAGTTTGTGCGGGGGGCGCTGCCGGCCACGCGCATTGTAGCGCTGGCTCCGCTGCCCAAGGGTGACTACTGGCCCAACCGCTGCACGCCCGCCTTCGACATCTTCAACGCCAACCTTCAGGTGAGGTTCACTGGCTCTTGCAGACATTAAAATCTCCCCTATGACATCCGGTCTGTTGCCTCACCATTTTGTGGCACCATGACAGTGCCCTGAGAACGCAAAACGCTATTCTAAATTGGCTGAAAACGGCTACTCTTGATAGTTATGGCTTGAAGTGCCGCATTTGAGGATGCGAAAAGCTTTTCCAAATTGGCTGAAGACGGCTAATCTTGATAGCCATGGCTTGAAATGCCGCATTTCAAGTGCATTTCTGGCAGGCCTCACTCTGTGTGGCATAATTTACACATGGAGCTCCTGTAGAAGCGTGGCACTCAAAGTGCAGGAGGCAGCAGGACGGTAACATTGAGCTGTTGGTGCACATGGGAGACAGTCATTTGATCTTGTCATACGAATACAAATTCAAACTGAACACTGCTGCTACTGTCCTGCGCAGGCCGCAGCAAGCGAGCACCCGCAGCATGTGTTTTACGAGGATTACGGCACGGCGTTCCTGACCAAGCGGCCGGCGGTGGTGTGGGCGGCCAACTCCACGTCGCCGGTGCGCGAAGAGATCAACGAGATGTATATGCCCGACGCGCTGCACCCATCGGCCCCCGGCATGCGCCTGATTGCCGGCAAGCTTGAGCCCCTTATCAGCCGTCTACTTGGCGAGGCCGAGACCGCCGCGCAGAGCGCCTGAGCCGGGCACCTAAATCAGGAGAGCGTGCATAACATGAAAGGCAGTGCAAGCGGGAAACCATGCGGGAAGGGCTGTCTTGCTGTGTACACATGAGGGCATTGACAATGCAAAACTTTTTCTAGTCAATCCCAGTCCAGGAGTGAGACAGCATCTGCGCTGGAGACTCCTCCTGGGGACTTGCACTCTGCAAATTGATTGCACCACGCGGTTGATGAGCGTGGTTGATTTGTGGACTTTGGCGGACCTTGTGCGCCAAGAGATTAGTGTGCAATGACATCTGCCTGCATGGTGGCGCTGCGCATCTTACTTTGACATATGCGACCCTTGTGCGGGTGTTGATAGAGGGGTCATTCTTGGATGCCTAGGGACTGGGAAGCCGTAGAGCAGGGATTTAACTCTATTAAGGGTTGGTGCTGGAGAGAGGAATAGACAAGGGATCTAGAACTGGTGCACACTGAGCAGCATTGTCTGAGGATATGCATGGTTATAGCTAGAGCTGGGATTGCAGCCAAGTAAAGGGCAACAGTTGCTTAAGTTCTTGCCAGGAGCTCCTATATAATAATTATTGTAGTGGCGTGTACTATGGGTTGCCCTCAGAATCAGAGCTGATCACAATGGGGACGGCGGCCGGCAGGTGAAAAGGGTGACCATCCCTGTTACCAGCGGTAATGCCAAGGGGGGCCAGATCAGGGTCATCTGGCTCCGGCAAGACAGGGGCGGGAGATAGGTCCTGGTGAATCTCAATTCCCATGTCTGAGGCAGGGCTGCCAATGCGAGGAGTAGGAGTGCCAGGCACTGGCAGCCCTCATGGGATATACCATGGCGTTGCGGTGGAGCTTGCATGGACTGTCTGAAAGATTTGATGTCAACGCTGTCAGTTCATCCACAATGTAATCACCGATTTTGGCCCTTGCAAACACAATGATTTGTATTGTGTCGATCCGCAATGTGTCACAGGGACCTAGTGGACTCGATGCATGAGTTTTATGCCAGACGATGGCAATCACAAAATATCTGCTGTGCCATTTGCAACTAGCGCTCTTCAATGCATTCCCAACACAAATTGCTTGCGCCCAGTCTAGTCAGCTTGGAATGCATTCATTGCAAGCACCAGATCAACTTTTGAGTCTTGTCAAGCAAAGTTATCTTATTCCTGGGACTGCCAGTGTTGACAAAGCTCTGAAGTGCTTTCGATCGGACTGCCAGCAATAACCAATTTACTAAGCGCCGCCGGCAGTTCTCTTTACTGGCACTGCAGCGGCATCGTCTTGCTTAGCACGGCCACAAGGCACTCACTGCAATCCCTTGCCAGCCTTCTGTGCGGTTCTAGAAGATGCGAGGGCCGCAGGATGCTGCCGTTGCAAGAAAACCAGAAACAAAAAGATGATGGTGATCCACAGCGCACATAGGCTGATACCTGCAAAAGCACATCTCCCCTTGTGTTCTCAAATTTGGCAAAGGAACTGTTTATGTGCAGCATGCACTTGTCTCTACTTATGGCCTTCTGTGCATCAATTTGCTCAGGTATGCAGCGTGGCAGAACGCACCTAGCCATTTCACCCGCTGTAGGCTGGCCTGAAGCACTGCCTCAGCAGAGAGCTGCTCCTGGCTGGGCCCCTTCAGCACATCCATCATGCCACTGCTCCTCCCCTGCACGAGCGACCAGCATTCCATTCAGGCACAGGACCACGGCCAACATCTCTAAAACAATGAGAATGCCTGGCATGCATGCACTGAAGATGAACGGGCCATCCATCCTCCTAAGCAGCCATATGCATGCACGAGCACTTCTCAGAAGCTTTTGTACAAAATACTGCATCAGGTTCCTTTACATTAAATGCTCCACTGCAAGAGTGGCATGGCGCAAGCTTTTTTGAATGGCCCATGCAGCAGTCTGCGCACCTGGACGTGCACCTTGAGATGCGCGACCCGCGGCTGGCCGCTTGTAGAGGTCCTCTTGCGCCGCAGCTTGAGGCGCACGTTGCCGATGCTGGCCTCTTTCTTCACCTCCATCGCGTCCTCCAAGTCCTTCTTAAGCCTCGGCAGCGGCCGCGGCTCCCGCCGTTTCCCTGCAGCCAATATGCAACGTTTTCACGATAACAGATCGCACTTTGACTGCCAGAACAACGAGCATGCTCTGCTGTGAAGCACGCTGCGCTCTCAGATACTGTATGCTGTTCAAAGTCGCAGCAGGCAGATGACGAAGAGGCGGGGACTGCAAGAAATGTGCTTCAGGTTGCAATTGGGGCCATGCAGGAGCAGTGCCGCCGGTACATTTTGAGTGGAAACATTGGAAGCAAGGTGTCGAAGAAAAGAGGCCACTCACCCTGGCTACCCTTGCCGACGCCGTTGGCCCAGATGCGCGCGGCCAGGCTCTGCCGGCTGGACATGTGCCGCTCCAACAGCGCCTGAACAGGCGAGCGGCTCTGGCTGCTGCCGTCCTCCAACACCTCATCGTGGCCCCGTTCCCTCGTCTGCACACCCGGACAACCTCAGGCAACTTGAGAGAACTCCATATCAGATCTAGCCGGCATGCCCTCTGAACACTGCGGCACTTGCTGCCTCCTGCAGAAACAAGACCAATGCCATTGCTGGCATTCTCAAATTTGAGCGGCCTATATGCAATGCCACCAATGTCATCCTCCTCTTCTGTCAGGCAACAGAACTGCACCAGGGTGAGGAGAAGGGCGTGGATTTTCCTTGTGCAGATGGACAGAGATTGGGAGGGGAAGGCGTCACCTTGATGCCATCGTTGGCGTGGCAGCGTTTGCAGGACTTGCGGCAGCCGGGGCCCAGGTCTGTGGCGCCAAGCATCATTGTGGGGTTCTCGACGCACTGGTTCGTCTTCTCCCAGCCGGGGCAGTCCGGCTGCGCACACACCGCATGCATGCTATGTAAGCTCATAAGAGAGTGGCCGTGATTTCTCAACAGACGCGATTGCATTTCTGTCAGGAAGCAAGAAGCTATATATCATTTCTGCAACAGGGCCACCTGGACTAAGGAGACTGTCTCAAGCGAGTGCATGTGGCCAAGCGGGCAGTCATGCACTTGTCATGCTTTGGTGTCTGTTGTTGGGTCTGTAAGCTTAAAAGGCTGTAGGAGGTGTCAAGAACATACATATTGGTCCTTGCATTCTGTGCCTCGGAGGATAGGCTCCAGGTCATCATAAGCATCGTCCAATTCCTGCTCCAGCTTTGCCACCTGCGCACAGAGAAATCTCTTACAAGGCGCCAGCATGCAGGAAGCAAGACACTTGACTCTAGGCAACAGGGATGTTTCTGCATGCCATCAGGGTTGTGTGGTGGAAGTGCAGAGTGTCCAGATGTTTGCATTATGCAGAAGGGGGTCATGTTGCCTCATGAAATGTTCTGCATACCTTTGCGCACTCAGTGAGGAGTTGGTCGGAGATGGGGCAGTGGGTGAGGTGGTGCTCACACAGCGCAGAATTGAGAACCACAAGGGGCTCGATCGCCAGCAGCAGCTTCAGCAGGAACGGGCCCTGCAGGTCGCCGCACAATCAGCATTTAATAAGTATTTCACCCGCGGTATTGTACGGCGTTGATAAGCCTCACAACCCCACAAGGATCTGCATTGCAAGCGTGCACTTCCATATGCAACTTTCAACAGGCATCTCTGCATCCGGCCCTTGCTTCTGCAAGAATGTGCACGCAGCCGAGTCTGCCCAGGTACCAGGCACGAAATCTAAAAAATTTGTAGCAGGGCTTTTTGCATGGTGCAGCAGGATTGAGTAGCGCACCGTGACTTCTGTGAAGGTGGAGGGGCTTGGGGGCAGGGGGAGCAGGCCAGCAGTAGGGCGATCCAGGGAGAGGTCCCAGGGGGTGCACTGCTGCGGGTCAAAATCGTGGAACCAGGCCTTGTCAAACGCGAAGCCGTGGCCCTTCACCTCGAACAGCAGCCCATAGTGTAGCACACTCGGCGGTTCTGCATGCGAACAGAATCTCAAGATTATCTGCCGCCCAATCGTTGGCTTCATTGTGTCCTTGTGTCAAGCCATCGGCATTCAGCATGGCTACACTCATCTCTGCTGACATAATAAAGGAAGGCTTGCAGCAAGGTCCAGATTCATGCGCAGAAGTCGGCCCCATCAATTAGCTGGCAACACTTCTGTTCAGAATGCATGCAGGGGGACGGGATCTTGTGTTAGGTATTCCACCCTCACCGCTGGTGAAGTAGCCAGGGTAGATCCACTGGAAATAGTCCACCGGGTTGTGCCACACGTTCGCCTTTGCCGCGCCAAAGACATACCCGTACATCTCCGCGATCCACGGCTTCTGTCCCGCCTCCATTGCGTGCATGTCCCCCGTCAAATTCCATGCCTGCCATGCATGCACTCAACACGTCAAATACGGTATATACCAAGAGTGTCAAAATTGCTTGAAGCAGAATATCTTGGATGCCACCGTTCTGAGCAAGGCTGTGCATCACAAGCGAGGCACTGTGCATGCTATTGACAAAATCGCAAAAGAGGAGTTCCCCAGGCTGTGAGTGAACAGTGTGAAATTTAATATTAAATTCGTGCCTTGGGGTCGTTGCGGACTTTACGGGTGAAGGTGCTCCACATGGGCGCCACCATCTTCAGATCCTCCTTTGTAATTAAGTACGGCGCACCGGCCTGCACCGGCAGTCGTTTTGAATTAAAATTTGAATACTGCAATTAACACGCTTCATGGAGAACCATCAACCACACAAGATGCCAAACCCTTGTCGGCATTGAGAAGCTCTCAATTCCTTCTGGTTGGCGTTTGCAGCTGCGGGGTTCAGGCAATTTGAGTGCGTATCTGCATGGAAAGAGGCAAGGGTGATGTGGCGCACCATGTCAGCAAGGCGCCCCTTGGGCCCCAGATTCGTGTCTGTGCGCGGCTCAACTCCCTGGAGGTGTGTCCTCGCCAGCTCGTTGGTGACCCCCTTCAGAAAGTCAAAGTAGGGAGCGGCTGCCCAACCTGCCCACCGCAAATCCGTTTCTTACAACAGGAAGATGTGCCCACAGACTGCCATCTCCATGCACAGGTCTTCCAGCTGCAGGGGCCCTCCCCTGTAATTTCATTACGAGCTGCCAGGGCACAGCATCGAAGGCGGGTAAGGGAAAAATTAGTGACCTTCTAAAATGCTGCAAAGACAGCTGCGCACCTGGCCTGACTTTGAGCTCTTCGGGCAAGTAAGGGCGGCGCATGATGATGTCGGAGTCCATGATGAGGATGTAAAGCTCCTCTGGCTCAGCAAACTGTGCAACCACCACACTGGCCCATCAACTATGCTTACACCTGAGTATGTGCTGCCACTAAAATCGCTTGCATGGGATGATGAGTGTGAAGCCAGCAAGAAGAATAATGCGATCATAGCACAGAGGGTTGGCAGCCCACCCTGAGCCAGTGTGTGATAGCGCCGGGCTTGTTGTATGGCGGGTAGTTGTCGTCATGCTCAGAGTCCTGGGCAAAGCTGGGCGCCACGTACGTATTTACGCCCTGTATCTCGATTGGGGTGTGGCTCTTCAGCTCCTCCTTGGTGCAGGGCAGCAGCCTTGTCAAGGGGCCCTCCTGACCCGCTCGCCTGAAGCTGCACAAAGCAGACAGCTACGCAGTCAGCAAGGGCGCCGTCTTCCTTCAAGTTCTATTTTCTTGGGAAATGGTGAAGGAGTTTTGATACTGTCATTGTCGATCAAAAAGCAACGTGCACTTGTTTGTCATTGAAGAAGGCATGTGGGAAAGAGGTGGTCTTACCTGTATGCAAAGCCCAGGATTTGCCAGTCAAAATACTTTGAGCACCCGCCTGTGATCACTGTGTGCACCTGAGCCGGCTGTATTGTAGGTACTTCCTCTGATCCATCAAGGAAAATAAGCAATGTTACAATGAAAATATAGCTGCACGAGATTGTTGTGAGAGACATCTGCTGTGCCATTTATCTTCGATCTGATTCTGATAGCTGATCAGAAGATCACTCAGATCTACTGTCGATTGTCTGCTCGCATGTATGACTGCACGTGCAACTCCCAATTATTCTGGAGATTTTTTTGTTGCTAAAAATTGACCCTCAGCATGCGATACTTGCTCCTCTTCAAGCTGCTTTCGTATTGCCAGAAGTATTGAACAAAGCGAGTATATATTTGCTGAGGAGTTTTCAGAATCAAATAGTCCCCCACATCGAGGGAAGATTGCAACTATGCCTGCACACATCTTAACATATGAATGGGGTCCAGTGGAAACCCAGATTGCCGGATCATCTTCAACGCCGAATTCAACTGATGTCAACACAAATCCTGGTGGTGTATTCAAAACTGCAGTGGCATCGGTAGATTGGATTTCTCGATCAGAGCATTGCTGGCGCACTTTGTGTTCGAATGGTGGCCTATTCAGGCGTTGCCGCCCTCGCATGAAATGTGACTCCTGTCCACATGGACCAATATGCAAGAGCATTTGAGAAGCAGGGCATCTCTGAAGCAATCCATGGCAGGGAGCAATAAACTCTGTCTTGAGACAACTTCATGACACAAAAGAGTGATGATCAGAGCTGTCCGGCAGCCCCTGGCAGAGTCTGCCAGCTGCCTGCAGGCGGATCCGGATAGATCGAATGAAATTGAAGCTGAGCATACACTACGCTCAGTGGATGTGCCAATCTGCATATAGCCTTCAAGCCCATTCCTTGGAAGCGACACTTTCCCCAATAGTATATTACATAGAAATCGAGACTGAACTTCGTGCTTTCCAGATGGCAATGCTGTTGACATCATGCCTATTAATGTTGCAGTGCGCTCTAAACAAGAAGAGTCATCCGTGTTGACACGGTGTTAAGTTATCAAGCAGTGCCCAATCAAACACATCCGTGTGACTTTTCCTGGCCCTGATGAGATAGCTGCACAAGGTCATCAGACGCCCAGAGTTTGGGTGCGCAGGGGCCGAACAACCTGGTCAATGACTCCGTACTCCTGTGCCTCCTTGGTGTCAAAGTACTTGTTCCGGTTGAAGTCAAACTGGACCTGCATTGCACAAGAAGGTCGATCGGATCACATTCCAGCAAGGAAGAAACAAGAAAGCTCCAACAATCACTTGCGCATACACTTTGATTAATGCACTTGACTGTTTGCACCACCAGCATGGTGTGCGTATTGGACAAAACATTGCACAGCAGGCTCCTTGAAGGACTGGGTGGTCACTGGGAGTGCAGCAATAGTATGCAAAAGGAGTACATACCTTCTCAATGGGCTGGCCGGTGGCCTGTGAGAGGACCTGGTTGACATAGTTGCGGAGCCGCATGAGCTCGCGCGCCTCATTGTTGATGTCCGATGCCTGGCCGCGCGCAGAGCCCGAGGGATGATGCAGCATGATGCGCGTGTTGGGCAGCGCATACCTCTTCCCCTGCACCAGCCAACCAGCGATATGTTCAGGCCACGCTCACTTGAATCTCTACAGCAATTTCCAAGCCCTCCATGCTTCTCCTCCTCAGTATCGCAACAGCCTGAACCCCCACAACTCCGCGACAATTGGTCTACCGAGGCCAAACGATCATCACTGCAGCATGTAACAGGGGAATTGAGGGCAGGGCGCCAAGTGACAGCAGCTGTAGATGCCAGAAATTCGGCGCAGCAAGGTGGTGAGCAAGGAACTCACCTTCTTGCCAACAGCCAGAAGGAAGCCGCTCATGCCCATGCAGCCGCCAAAGCCAACAGTGCCCACATCGCTGCCGATGTACTTCATTGTGTCAAAGATGGCCAAGCAGGGCACCACCTGCACCATGCCAGTTATTACTTTCATAACCTTTTTATGCTCTTATGATCTGGAGCTGAGAGGGCTGATGAACAGTGCCAATGTCGCTCAATTTGGCCAACCAATGTTCAGCAAGAGGGAATTGAGAGGCTGCGTACATCTCCTCCCGAGCAGTTGATGTACAGCGTGATGTCCTTCTTGTTCTCTGAATCCAAATAAAGCATTGTGGCCACAAGCTGGTTCCCCAACTCCTCATCCACAGCCTTGCTTAAAAAGATGATCCGTTCCCGGTACTGCACACAGAGGCGATACTCAGCTCTTGCATTCGTCGACACAGAGCTGATCTCGCAAGTGAACAGAGAGATGTGCGAAGGCAATGAGACAGTCCTTTCACATTCAGCATTCCATTACAGGATTCGCTTGCGCACCAGGCAATTCCAGATATCCACCCACTGCCATCCACCTGCCTGTGGGGCCCTGTAGGGTACTCTAGGTACCCCAATGGGCATCATGCGTGTGACTTGCCGCCTAGGCCCTCCAGTTTGCCTGCAACACCAGTGCACCCACGTCAACCAGATTGCAGGATCAAAAGACTGTGACAGTCACGTGCAGAACATCTCAGATTTTACCTGCATTGTGCAATGACTCCCTGTGTCCTGGACCAAAAATCGCTGCTTTGTGCTGAGGCAGAACTTGCTCTGGCCAGTCGATCTGCACACAACTAAGTGAGTCAGAATCCTGGAGTCTGAGCGGTCGGAACATTGCCTTACAAGCAACAAATGATACTTAACATAAGGAAGAACGCCCCAAAGGTCGAATGAACGCGTGGCATTCTCACCAGTGGTCTGCATGCCCACATAATGTGCTGGTGGTCTGAGGACTACATTGGAAGCTGCATGTGCACCAAATCGCGCACTGGTGCAGGCACGATGGGAGGATGATGACGCAACATTAGCCATCAGGCTCCCCTCAGCACTATTTTATTACTTTGTAGTCGCCCGAGACACCCGTCTGAAGTCCACGCACTTTTATGTGAGCGAACACAAACAACGTGTACTTCTTGAAGAAAACTGCCAGTCCACAGCAATGTATCGTGCACTTTCTCACAGGAGTTGTGCACGTCCCTTGCCCAGCTGATCCAGTTTCGTGGGTTGCCAATATTGGACTTCTTGGATCAGACGTGGTGTTCTGCGGCCTTGCAGTGCGCTGCATTCTGAATCTTCACTCCAATTTGACCTGCTCTTCATCGCAAAAGTTACCTTTATTCAACCGTGATACCTCCTTACAGCTGATACCAAGGACTAGGTCTTGCGAGGAGACGAAGTCGTGGGCATAGTAAAGATGCTTACTTCTGAATTCCTGCAGCACGGCCTTTCATGTAGGCATCAATCAGGAACGAAATTGATATGCAGCAAGACTTGCACAAAACGCCTGCAATTTAGCGGGAGCTGCAAGCGTACCCCGGTTCCAAGGGCTGAGGGGACCTCAGGTGATGGAGATGCAGCTCCAGCGCTGGCATCGAAGCCAGCCCTTGCCCGCCCACCACCACGTCCGAAGCCTCAAGAAACTCCTCAATTTGGTCGATTGGACACAAGGACCAGGCGGAGGGATCCTGGGACGCAAGAAGGCCAAGACAGAAGAGGACAGATGAGCAGGGAGCGCTTTGCAGAGGGTACAATTCCAGGCCTGTATCAATCATAGGAAGCAATCAAATGGCGTGTATGAAGCCCTGCACCATACTCACAGCAGACTGCATTGCTCCTGCTAGCTAACACGGGAGGTTTGTTCTCAACTGCGTCCCCACCCCCATGCATCTGGCAATATTGATGGCTTGCTTTGTGCTGCCACAGGCAGGAACGGTTATGACAACAGCAATGGCAGCGGGCCCCAGCGCAGAACGTCCCAAGCCTACACCAATGGCGCAGCGCCCCCCTCCAGCAACAGGCCTCCCACCTACCCAAGGCCGCCGAGAGAGGACAGGAGTGACGCCGATGCGCCCGATGCAACGGAGAGGCCACCACCGCGTCCCAGCACATTTTCGGCTGATGGTGAGGAATCAGCGCCGCAGGGCAGCAGCAGCAATGTACTGCAGCCCCCCGCTCGGGCAGGCTCCGAGGAGGATGCCAGCACCAGTGGCAGCGCGGATTTTGCTCCACCAGCCGCTCCAGCTCCAGTGCCTGTCCTGGCAGCGGCTCCCAGGAGACCTTCACCTCGCCAAGTCACACCTGCTCCCAAGTCAGCACCTCACCATCCAACCTCTCGAGACAAGAAAGCACCTGTTGTGATGCCTGACATCATCTTGGGGCGGTAATTGCTACCAAGGAAGTGGCGATTGTCACAATCACATAGCAAGCATAGTGTTGCAAGAGAGTTGTGCATGGTGCACAGGTTCCGTCCTCCCGACATGCAGACCTTTGGGGGCCGCCGGGGGCAGACAGACGCTGGCAACAACATGGCCCAGCCATACCGCCCGCCGCCGCCCAGCGGCCCGGGCGGCTTTGTGCGCGACACCGGCTTTGGCAGACCTTCTGGCAGGTGTGCCTTTCCCTCGTTCGCTCATTTTTGCCTCATGGGGGGGGGTGTAGCAAATGCAGTACTCATGAAAGAAAAGGGCCGTCCTGCAATTAGCCTTCTTGTGAAGTATCATTGACAGCACCACTGGAACTTTGAGGGCTTCCCTTTTTGTAATATTTTCTCCAGTCCGCACCATATAATGCTAGGAGATATAAGCGTTCTGGTTCTTTGTGTGCGCGTAGGCAAGGGGGCCCCGGGGAGAGGCAGGACGGGTTCAGGGGGAGGCGCCAGATGCAGGAGCGGTCGAAGCAGGACCCGACGGCGCGCCGCAGCAGCCGCGCGCAGCGGCGCATGGAGCGCGCAGATGCGCGGGCGGCCGCGGCGCCGGTGCGCGAGGAGATCTTTGAGCTGGGAGACGAGGGCATGAGCGTGGCGGAGGTCGCCCTGCGACTGGCGGTGTCTACCGCGGAGGTCGTCAAGACGCTCTTCATGCAGGGCATCATGGTGCAGGTCAACCAGGTGCGCACCTCTGCGCCCTTGCCTCTCCCCCGCACACGGGTCAGGGAAGATGACAATGGGCGGCTTATTACATTCAGGATGTAGTTGTATCTGGGATATATTGAGCCTCTTATTCATGTTTTCTTTGGCCGCACCACATATTGTGCACGACCATGTGTTGTCTTCCCTTTACAATGCCCATGTGTGCTTTCAATTGTTACCTGGTGCTTGGGAAGGCAGCAAGCCCAAAATCTTTTGCAAGGCGCCCTCTTTTGGTGCATGGAGAAGCATGGATTCTATCCAGCGTGCTGCATGTATTGAGGGTATGGCATTCCCATGCGCGCAGGTGCTGGACAAGGCGACGGTGAAGATGGTGGCGGAGGCGTTTGAGGTGGAGGTGCTGGACAAGGAGGAGGAGGGCGTGGACTTCATGGCGCGCAAGACCGTGGACTACACCGAGGACGAGGACGAGGAGTCCCTGCTGCCGCGCGCGCCCATCGTCACCGTCATGGGCCACGTCGACCACGGCAAGGTGTGCCCATAGGCCAGCAAATAATGTATCAACAGGGGCCTGAAATCAAGGTTTGTGGGGCATCCTGGAGCCCGCTTTGTACTGAGGGTGGGAGGAACACACCCCCCGCCAACCACTCAGAAATTCTGTAGGTGTGAAGGGCCGCAGTTGAGCTGTTACATCCGCCAGGCCTGCCTGCTACTTATTTTTTTGTGTATGTGGGCGAGGATGGGCTACTGTGATGGGCTCGACGCCCAGCAAATGCTATGACCTTTGCTGCGTGTGAAGCGTACCAGAGTAGCCCATTGATTTCTGCCCCACTGCATGCACTCCTCTGGGCCCCACTTCGCCATCAAATCCATACTGAGATGATTCTACGCCGCATCTCCGCCGGCCCACATGTCTGCTTGGCTTGGGTTGAGAGAATGCTACGTATAAATCATTAAACTGTATGGTGGGCGCGCGCAGACGTCGCTGCTGGACCACATCCGCAAGACGCGCGTGGCGGTGGGCGAGGCTGGCGGCATCACGCAGGCCATCGGCGCCTACACCGTTGACGTGCCCACGGCCGACGGGCCCAAACAGATCACATTCCTCGACACCCCCGGCCACGAGGTCCGCCTCCTCCAACACTCCTCTGGAAATCTGGATTCAGTACTTGAAGATTGAATATCCTGAAAATCTTCACTTACAGTATGCATGTACATGGTGATGCAGTCCTGCCACTATCTGCCTATGTCTAAAATTTCCTGGGCTGCTTGTCCTCTGTCACTAGCTGGCACTGCTCTTTTATTACTTATTTAGTCTGTCTGTGCAGTTGTGGGGTCTTGATGCTCCCTTTGAACAATTTACTGTAGCGTAGCTAAGAGGAACGCCCTGCGATTGTGCAGGCATTCAGCGCGATGAGGGCGCGCGGCACGCGGGTGACGGACATCGCGATCGTTGTTGTGGCGGCGGATGACGGCGTTCGGCCGCAGACGATCGAGGCCATCTCCCACGCAAAGGCTGCCGGCGTGCCCATCCTCGTCGCCATCAACAAGGTGAATTCTGCTGCTTGCTGCGCACCAATGTGCTCTGTCTGCAGCTCATGCGGCTGCTCCGGCAGTGCGAGAAAGGCTTGGGGCATGCTGCACACATGGGGTAGTGTTGGGTATATTTTGGTGGGTTCCGTATGGAGCTGCAGAAGATGTGAATAATGTCGTAGAGAAGGCCCAATGTTGTTTCATTGGCTGACCTCTGGGGTTTTCGGTACAGATTGACAAGGAGGGCGCGAATGTGGAGCGGGTGAAGCAGGGGCTGAGCGAGGCGGGCTTGCTGCCTGAGGAGTGGGGCGGCCAGACCCCCATGGTGGCGGTGAGTGCACCCACTTGTCTTATTTGCAGTGGCACTCAAGGCTTTTACCTGATGAACAAAGGCCTTGCCCGCCGATTATAAAATGTCAAGTTTGTGGGGACCCTGCTATACATGCTGCTCACATGGATGCAGATGCATGAATTTCGCTGTCTGTATGTGACAGTGTCTTATGAGCTGAGGACCCAACATCTGCTAAGTCTTATCAGCTCCGTATGAAGGTCTGCACTACGTGCTGATGTGCCTGTGTGGCGGCTGTGCAGATAAGTGCAAAGAAGGGGGACGGTGTGGACGGGCTGCTGGAGACGGTGCTGCTGATGGCGGAGGTTGAGGAGCTGGTGGCCAACCCGGACCGCCTCGCGCGCGGCACCGTCATCGAGTCCCACCTCGACAAGCGCACCGGCCCCGTCGCCACCGTCCTCGTTGCGGCCGGCACGCTGCGCAACGGCGACGTCGTGCAGGCCGGCTCCACCTACGGCAAGGTGCGCGCTGCAGCTCTTCAGCCCTGCTTCAGTGGAGAGGTCTGCAAGACGCGCAGCAAGCACAAGAAGGGGGTTAGCTCCTTTGGAGCTGTGCACAGGGGATGCCCCGCAGCAGAAAGCAGCGCTTCACTGCCCAGGAGGACATAATATGTATAATTTAATTGTCAAGTATATTTTTGATGCTGCGCAAGAATATATAGGGAAGACACTCGAGGAGGTATTTTGTCTTCCAGACATTCAAGATAGCAGAGCGCTGCATCACTATGCATCGCTTTTCAGGCAAGAGGGAAGTGAGAGGAGGAACTTTTCACTGTTGTTATTGCGAAGGGCTGAGGCGCGCACGTGTGGCGCAGGTGCGGTCCCTGAGGGAGAGCAGCGGCGACGTGACGGAGGCGGGTCCCTCCATCGCGGTGCAGATGGTCGGCCTCAACGGCGTGCCCACCGCCGGAGACGAGTTTGCCGTCTGCGCCAGTGAGCAGGAGGTGCGCCCCTCAATCATCATTCTCCCCGTTATTGCCACCCTTTCGCTCCTCCCCATCCGAAGAGCATGGTGGATCCCTCTCCACATTAGCAAGGAGCCAGGCTTGGCCTCCTCTGAGCCCTACTTTCTGGGGCCTGTTCTTGCATGTGTAACTGCTGTGAAGGATGATCATGAGTGCGTACTGCATGCTCTTGAGGGCAAAAGACATGCATGTGGACCTTGCACCGGTAGAATTTTGCAGCGCCAGCAGCTGTACTGTAGGAAAATTAGAATAGACGTGGCTCATGCCGAGGGTTTGACTGCATCTTGTCTAGAGGACGCACCTTGCCTTGTAGCGGGAAAGGCGTGTGATAATAAAAATAATGCTGAGGGTGGAAGGTGTGGTTGCTGGTGCAGGCGCGGAAGCAGGCGGAGGCGATAGAGATAGGGATGCGAATGGACCGTCTGGCGCAGCAGATGGGCGACAGCATGGTGACCACCAACACGCTCGCCTCCATGGACGAGGACGACGAAACAGCTCTCAAACGCCTTAACCTCATCCTTAAGGTACGTGACTTCTCCAGCTTCTTAGTCGAGGGAGAGTGCACGTGATTTCAACAACATGGTAGCAACTTCCTGGGAGATTGCTTTCACAAGTGGACATAGGTCTTGGGAAAGTGCTTCTAGGCTGGCCAGTGTCCGATTCGTTGGTTCACGTGCTGCAATCGCTTGCAAGGTGTGATATAAAAGTCACAATGTGGCTGCCCCTTTAATTGCATTGCTTTTGTTTCTCATTGTGCAGTGATATTGCATGGCTGTGACATGGGCTTTTTGTGCGCATCTTCTGATCATCTTCATCTTGATCTTGATGTCTGGCGTGATATAGTTTTGGGTGTGGGCTGGTGCAGGCGGATGCAACTGGAGCACTGGAGGCAGTGAAGGCGGCGGTGGGCGTGCTCCCCCAGGACCGTGTGTCGCCGCGTTTCCTGCTGGCCGCCGCGTCTGACATCTCAGCCTCGGACGTGGACCTGGCCTTTGCCTCGGGCGCCCTCATCCTGGGCTTCAACATCGAGCCCTCCGAGTCTGTCCAGGCCGCGGCCAAGCAATATGGTGAGCACCCCTGCAGAGCAATTCGACATGTTGCACCCGTTCCAGTGCATCATGCATCAGTGCATGGCAGCCAATGGGAGCTCTGAGGCATGATATCCCATGGCACTGCCATCACAACAACTTGTCCAGAGAGACACACGCACTGCTGCTTCGTGATTGGGCCGAGTCACTTGAGGCATTGTCTGCAGGCCGGGGGTGTGCATGCGGCATTGCTGCTCTCTAGTAGATGTGCTTAGACGATCCTGCCTAAACCATCATGCACACTGGCTCGGCCCAGCAATCTGTAGGAGCAATATCTTAATGCAAAACATCTGATGGCACTGCTATGAGGTGGTTCCATACATTGTTCTGCTATGCACGGAAGGGGTGGAAACAACTTCCACCGTTGTGCTAAAATACCAAACAAAACAGTGCTTTGCTTTTTGGTGCAGGGGTTGCCTTGGTCTCTTACTCCAGAACCCTGTGATGAAGATTTATGATGGTCAGATTATAGTCAATGGTGGTTCAGAGTTAAGGGCCAAGTCGAAATGATAGTGTCACTGTCTGAAAGGGCGATTTGTGCGTGTGCAGGGGTGGATGTGCGGTCGTACAGGGTGATATACGACATGGTGGACGATCTCCGGGCGCTGATGGAGGGCAAGCTGGCGCCCACAGAGGAGCGGCTGCCGCAGGGGTCGGCAGAGGTGCGTGCCGTGTTTGGGTCGGGCTCGCGCGTCGTCGCCGGCTGCATGGTCACCGACGGCTCCATCCGCAAGGGCTCCCTCGCCGTGGTGCGTCCCTTTCTCCTTTTTGCCGCCGGCTTCACTTTTCAAGCCGCGTTTCGATCAGAAGCACTTGCAAGAGCAGCTGACAGAAGTACATGCCGCCTTTGTCTTTACAGAGCTGTCTCTGCTCTCTCCCTATTTCCCTAGAGATATGCAATGCCGCTGTACAGCCAGGCAAATGCGTGACGTCTGAAGCGCTCTGCTGCTGCCCTAAAGGGGGCTGCGTAGAATTGTGCCTACTGACCTGGAGGTCTACAATGGCAGGATTCTCATCATACAATATGCAGGCATCATAATCAGCTCATTCACGCATATGGTGCACTGAGACGATGCATCTGTCAACAGGTGAAGCGCGGCAAGAAGACGGTGCACGAGGGCAAGGTGGCCTCGCTGCGGCGCGTGAAGGATGATGTGAAAGAGGTGTCGGCCGGGCTGGAGTGCGGTGTTGGCGTGGAGAACTTCACCAACTTCAAGGAGGGCGACACCCTGGAGCTCTTCGAGGTCAAGATCAAGCAGCAGACCCTGGAGGAGGCCCGGCTTGTCACTGCGCCTGCAGCCGAGCCCGTCGCTGCTTAACGCGCCGGGACAAGTATGGTATGCAATGAAACCATCTGCTGGCAGAAAGTAGACATCCTAGGGCTTGTGCAGCACTGAGCAGGGGGTTTTGAGCTGCGAGACTGGTCTGTTCCGTGAGGCAGTCTGTGATTTCAGATGCACGGATAGTGTGGGTGCTGGGTCTGCGCTCCTACTTCTCTGCATGCAGTGGTGATTGTAGAGGGATACGCAGCACCTGATGATGATAAGTGGAATGGATGCTGAGAGATACTGGCATGACTCCTGAAAGTCAGTCCGCTTCACGTGGCGGTCACATCAATGTCATTGAGACTATAAACAGCAAGCGTAATTGTGGCATGCCAGCAAATCGATTCCTTGTGGGATCTTTCTCCTCGGAGGTGGAGTACTTTTTTGTGTTTTTGCAGAGGATATAGAAGACTGCCTAAGGAAAGCGAGTTGTATTGCGCAACTCCCGTTGATGGATCCATGGACTTGCCGTGATTGAGGTTAGCGGGCTTTGAGAAGAAATTGATGTGGATGAATTGGATATTGGTAAGATTTGTGCAAGAATATGTGTCTGTGTAAGTACCTTGGGAAGACAATCCGGACATGAAGGCCGCCTACATCCAAAGTTCATGAGCAGAACCATTCTCCAAAAGCCATAAGATTTTATCTAAATTGCTGCACTGACTAGAGCTCTAGATTTAGATATCCAGTTGAGATCCCAGACAAGTACATCATGTCCTACCATTGCTCAATAGCATTCATGAATGCAACACAAGACAGACCGGACAGACAAAATACAGAAACGAGGCGCTACATTTCAACACTTACAAGCCATGCACCCATTGCTATCTGCCTGAAGACAAGCCTTGCACGACAGATCGCAGCTTTGCAATCTCTGCGTCCTTCGCCAGGAGCTCATCATAATGAAGCTTGAACACCGCTGCAAACACAGCGGCGAAACCCTCACACACTTGCGCAGTCAGGTATTAGCACTCTCAGGCGGCCATAATAACCATTCTGAGGGTCGATCTACACAAACTTCTGACCTGACAGTCAATGCTGCATAAATGCATGATCATATCAAGCGTGACTACTGATTGCCCCAAATCTGGCTCAGGTCCCAAAGGGTCCTGAGACCAAAACTTAATAAAATCACTCAATCATTTAAATGAGTAAAATCTAAGCAGAGCTTTTCTTTCTCACAAGGGCAAAGCTTGGAAAATGAGGCGCTTGCCTGCATTGTTTTCCAGCTCTTCTTGCAGCTCGCAAGCGCGTTTTCTGGCAGCCTGCGTGGTGGCATCCTGCTCTGCCAGCCTTCGCCGCGACGCCTGCAGCTGCTGCTCCAGCTCCGCTATCCGCCGCTGCTGCGCCTGTATTTATATGTTTCTTTTTATACTCATCCTATATCCCTGCACCTATTCTATATGTAACACGGATGGTGCCACGTCAGCACCACATCACCGCTGGTTACATACAAGAGCGATCTTGCTCCTGATACCGAATCGCTATTTGCATGCAATTGAAACCACGAGGCACCCTTTCCTGCTTGCCACTGCTTAGATGTCAAGGCATTGTCTTTTCTTGAAGAAGCTTCTGCTGCACTGCACCAGCTGACCCTGCCACCGATTTCCTCTCACTCCTGCTGCATCCCTTAGTCCTGTGACCTGCTGGCATGGCAGCGCGGCAGAAGATGCTACACCCAGCCACTGAGCAAAACAGACACACATGCAGCATGTGTCAGCTGAAGGATGCAGGTGCAGAGGAGCAGGAGCGCACACCTCTATGGTGCGCGTGTACTGCTGCAGGGGGATCATCTGGTTGTAGGCATCCTCGTCCAGGTACACAGCATCGTCTATCGCGCGCGCAATCACATCCAGCGCCACCTTTGCATCCTCTATGTTGCCCACCGCAGCCTGCCACCTGTGCAGTAATGGAGTTCCACTCAGAGACTGCAGATTTTCCAGAAGCTTGGTGCCTGTCAAAGGGCCGTGAAGTGGACTGAAGAAATTGCCTTCCAGCAGCGCATGGGTCTGCGCAGAGCAGCAACGACCAACACATGCCTCCGGGCCGGAAGCCTGTGAATGCCTATCAGCATTTAATATTGGCATCATGCCCCTGCAAGCAGAGCGAGAATGCAATGGATGGGATGTGCGTCGAGCGAGGAGTGGGGATTTGCGCGCCTGTCTGGCCCGATCGGGTGGCCGAGCTCTGAGATGTCATCGGAGATCTCTGAAGTTGTGGCGGTGCTGGGAGCCTCGCTTGCGCTGAGCCTGATCTTTGACAGGGATGCCAGCGCTGCCTGCGCCGCCGCTGCAGCCGGGGGACCTGCAGCATAGGCCAGCATACAGTCAACTTAACGTCCTTCTGTCAGAAGCAATGACTTCCTGGTTTGTGCCGGTACGAGGGATGCATGCATGGCGCAGCCTCTTGACCTCATGCAGCAGAGCAGGGGGCCAGCTGACAGGGCAATGACTGTTGGGATGGGTTGCCCTCACCATCTGCACCGTTGTCATCTGGCAGGTAGGCTGCAGGTCCCGGCCCAGTACTGCTCTGTGATCCAGTCCTGGAATGGGTCCTGCGTGTTGAAGCGCTGGAGGGACGCTGCAGAGAAGATGCCGGGCTCAGGCTGGGTTTGCTGTACAAGTAGGCTCTCCCAGGGTCCCTCTGAGGCTTCTCTTTCTCGTTGCGCCCAGTCTTGCTGCTCATCAGGTGCTCTTTGTGTGCTATCAGTCTGCTATTTCAGGGACACTGCCGCCTTTAAAACAGACCGCTTAGCATGCCGAAGTTACCCACACGACGCGTTGGGCTCGCAATAAGCGATTCGAACCCTGCAATGGGGTGGTCAGATCACATCCTCAACTATGACCAAGGTTCGCAACACCTCCTGAAGCCTACTCAAAACCAGCAAATTATTCTTTTGATACTCCCTGACAAGGTTCCTTCGTATCAAAAAACCTTTTCAGAAGTGTATGACCATCACGAAATCGAATGAAGCGGTTTTCAAGGGACTTTAGCCAACAAGGGAACAGGCGAGATCTGACTGGAATCCTAGAACCAGGAGTCTTTGTTCTTTGTGGTTAGACGAAAACTTCTTGATGCTCTGTTCCAGTCTTAGAATTGCACCAGATGTTCTCGTGAGTATTAGTCATCCCTGTGTCACACCTGCCAAGGTGGAGCACAGGGGCACTGCAGGAAAATGGCTTTCTTGGAAGTTCATCTGCAATCTATTCTTGAGCTACTGTAAACACTAACTATGCAGTGCATCATGTCTAGACCAAACATTAGTGAGAACCTCAAGGTGGCGCCGGTGCGCCGCGCAAGGCGGCTAGCGCTATCATACTCATAGCCTGCTGCTATAATAGCATGTTGCCGCTGCGGAAGGCGTCAAGCTGTGCGGGCGCAAGCAGGCTTGGACACCAGTAAGCATCATGCATGCATGGAACGATCTTGCAACTTGCAACCTCACTTTCTCACGGGTTTTCAGATACCATCAATGCAATTTGTCACGCGAGCTGCTGACTGTTTGACGTCAAGACCATCATATTCCTGACAGCCCTTGGCGGTCTCCGGCTCTTGGTATCTAACCAGTAGCATTTAACGGTGCCATCCCTGCTAGTAAATCAAACCTTCATCAATAGGAAGAGGGAAAGACTTTGTCATCAGGTGGTCCCACTGACTCGACTGCGAGAATCGCTCTGCTCTCGGCAGTAACGATCTAGCTGTACAGTGCACACACGTATACGAGTTACATAACTCGCCAAAAATGCTAGAGCAGCCTGCATGCCGTCATGCGGTCATGTGCATTGGCTACTGTCTGAGGAGTATTTCTGCTGCTGAGTCTGTTGTAGCACTGCTGCCGCCACACTTACTGCTGCTTGCACTTCCGCATCTTCGGGGGTCAATTCCAAAGCTTTCCTGCGCCATGCCGAGAGCAAGCCCTGAAAAGTTGTGCTCAGCCACGCATGGGGTCGTTATGATGCAATGCATTGTTATGTAGTCTCCTACAGTTTAGGTTGAACTGGTCACGGCACGCCACCTGTATGCAAGGAGGGAAGCCCTGTAGTGACCAAGACCCATTTGTGCTTCGCCCAAAGCAACCCATCCTGGCACCCTGCTCATGCATTACTATTTGGAATTTAGTTGCTTTCAGACACTACGACCTCCTCAGAAATTGAAAACACATGTGCTTCACCCTTCACAAGTCAGACTCCTGGCTTTGGCCAGTAAGATGGCGAGTGAGATCCAGTATTCCTGCCATACCATTCTGGTTTCAATATTGTGACCATTTGCGCTTCATCTACAGCTTCTCTGAATTTGCCTTGCTCCAGTTTGCGCAGCGATCGTTGATGGTGCGCTTCGGCATTTGCTTCTTCTTGCTCCATTCCGCTAGTGATGTGCCTGATGTCCACAGTTGTAATTAGTGTTTTTTGCAGGCTTGTTCAATACACCTTATTGACTTTCAATTTAATTCGTATATATTGAGAAGAAGTCGTCCTGACGACAAGTTTCACAGAGTCAACTCTTGGTAAGACCATCCGATCTGGACATTTTTTAGAGATTGAATTTATCTGCAAGAGAATTGGAGCACGTTCAACCTACCGTCCGCGTAACTTGCGCGATACTGTTCCTCGAGACCTTTCATATTCCGTTTCTTGGACGCCGAATGGGGAGATTATGGCCTTCCATGGCATGGACTGACCATGCCTTCCTTCTCTGATCCTTAAACAAATATCAATCAGAGGAAGAGACGTCAAGCATCTTCACGGCAAGCAAAGTAGGCGTAAAGTGTAAGAGAGTTCTGTCCTATTTCAGGGATACATACAATACATGTCTAGACAATACAGATCTGGCTGCTCATGGGTCCTTCAAGAGCACTGGCTGAAATAACATTCTAGATCTAATCTTCAATCGCTTTCCAATCGCATACTAGGTAGTTCTGGCAGAGCATACAAGTCTACAGGGCCAGCTACAGAGTGCTAGATGTACTCTTCAAGCACTTGCACCAGCAATCATTGATATTGGTGGCCCACACAGTAGCACTTTTCTAGGGATCTGCAGCTGCCACATAGAGGAAGCGGCACAGATGCTCTAGCGGTCCTCAAGCTTCTTTCCGTTGCGCATGTACTCCACGAAGTCATCAAGAAGGTATGGCCACGCGCTCCCACTCTCCTCGAAATTTGACAGGTCCTCTTTGACTGCCTGCACGTGACACGAGCGCCGTCATCATCAGAGCCACAGCGCGATGAAGGCCCCTCTAGTACTCATGAAAGGAGAGATGCATGCTAGCAAGACATACAAGGCAGTGCAAGCGCAAATTGGGAGAAAGGACTGCCTCGCGGAGTATATGCAATGCTAGTGATGTACAAGACACCATGATACCTTAAGACGGAAAACAACACAAGCGGGACGCGTACTCTGCAGAAGTCTAGCAGCTGTATCCATGTGTCCCTTGAGACTGCTCTGTTGTGGTGCTGCTCCAGGAATGCACACCAGGCATCGAGCAGTGGCCAGGGTTTGACAGAGAACAGGAGCCGCCACAAACTTATGGCTGTGTCCTGTGGCATGCACTTCTTCCCCTTGTCCAGAGCAAAGCTGTATGTGTAGTTGTAGATCTCCTGGGCATCACATTTGAAGGTCTGTCAGCTTTTACGATATTTGGCAGAGTTCAGGATGAAAATAAATCATCTGCAGGATGGAGGATGCATGACGCAGGAAGGCCATTCCCAAGCAGTGCTCCATTGCTTGAATTTGAAGTAAAGACAGGAGGACTGTTCAGCTACCATTGCCAATAAATTGGCACGTGGATGTGCATGAGCAAGCCACATTTTGTGAGATGCAGGACAAGTCTAGCGCCTGTGCATACCTTGAACTTCTTGTCATCTTGAAGTTCCGCCCTGAGTCCTGGCAGCTTCTGCTGCAGCTTCTTTATGCTGTCACACCGCAGGCTGGCCATGCCCTTGATGAACTCATCCTTGCTGAACTCGCACATCGTCGCTGCACTGAAATGCCTGCTGAGCACTAGCATGACAGGGTCTTCTGGAATCACCTGTTCACATTGCACACTTCTCACTCAGCACAATGCACCACCTCCCCAGCAAAACCACTCAGGATCTTGACCACGGCAGGCAAATGACCCAGTCCTGGATATGAGGGGTAATATGGAACGCTTTGGGAGACAGTAAGTGGCCTCGCAATCTATCCTGCCATGCACACCTGGAGGTCCTCGCAGAAGAGGCCGACACCTTCTGCCAGTATCATGTCAGAGTGGGGGTCCTGGTACCGCTGATACAGCTGCTGCAGAGCAGTCTGAGATGTGCGCTGGGGCACAGACACTTGCGCGGGTGCCGGAGGCACGGACTGATAGTAGATCTCTATAGCTGCCTCTATGCTCCAATCTGCAGCCTGAATGCACGCAGCAAGACCTCTCACACAATAAGAAGTCTGAAGGCGAAGGCTTGGTGAAGGACAACAGACTCAGGCGTCATCTACACCAAGACTACTACAAGGGACACTTCTGAGACATTATATAGCTTAAGCTTCACAAGCAAACCTTTGGAACCACATCACAAGGTGATCCAGCCATACGGACCTGAAGGCATCTCAAGGCCATCTTTTCGTGTGCATTGGTGATACCAACGAACGCCTCGATCTTGTCTTTACTTTGACGATCTAACCGGTGCATTGTGGTCTATCAGATCTCAGTGCGCATCATTCGACTCTGCTCCACACAGTAGGGTTTTCGTATCGTTTAGCATCGCCTGCCCTTAAGTCTCAAGAACGTTGACCTTGCCTGCTGATTTCATCGCATGATCACACTTAAAGTGAATTCAACGACTCAACATTGCTGAGCAATCCCACGCTGATAGCTCGAAGACGATTGTGCAAGATTTGCAAATATGGCACAGAGCACCTGGCAAGGGCTGAAACACTAATCTAGCGTTCTTTGCGCTCCTCACCCAGTCATCTCTGTTCGGTTTTGAAATTTGAACTCTGGAATGGTTGAAGTGACCAGCAAGGAGACTTCAGGCTAGGGTGTATAAGTTGAGCTTCAGGTTACTCAGGGGACATGATATAGACATTCTGACAGCACCAGCGCCAGTTCCTTGGACTGAGATGAGAAAGCACACACATTTGTAAAGCAGCTTGCAGCGCCGTAGAAGGCTCTGAGATACCTTGTCAGCCTTGATTGTCAGCTTGCAGACGGCTATCGAATAGATCTTGCGGGACTAGGTCTGTCTATAATGTCTTGATGGTGAAATAGCATGAGGAGCACTTTAAGACGATCAAAAAGGGCTGATGCCCCTGTGCCAGGGCCTCTGACTTTCCTGTGCATCCTATGTCTGCTAGGTATGCTCACCGCTTACTGCATGCGACTTGCCTTGAGTGTGCCTCGAAGACATCGCTATGTGTAATAGCAACCTTGGCAGCCTTTTGAGTCGTATGGCGTGCACGATCGCCCGCCCACTGCTTACTACAAAATACATCATGATAATCCATGAATCCACACGGGCACGATCGCATCATTCAGTGTCCTCCTAGTGAAGTAACTCACATCATCAGTGTTGTCCTCTTCTAGTGTTCCTCAGGCCGCCACAGAACTCAATTGGGGCTTTAAAGGCCAGGATAAGACTTTCCAAATAATTGGAAGGTTTGGTAGTTGACATTTGTTACCTGAGGATCCCCTGCTGGTGGCTGCGCAGGAACTGTATGCTGCAAGGAAGGTGGGGCTGGACACGCGCTTCTGTTTGCTGATCATGCACCAGTGCTGCGGAATTTCAAGGTGCGCTATTTTGTGATGCTATTTGGGAAGGTCCTGGTGGCCTCAGCCCCAATGTCTGCAGCACACTGGTGCTTTTGAAGCAAGAGTAACTGCAAGCTCAGGTCTAAAAAAGAGCTTGGTACAATCGCAGAATTTTGCCTCGGACGCCTTTACGTTTGAGGCATGGGTGAGCACGTCAGACTACTGCCATCGAGGTAAGGTGCACCTTCATTGCTTTTTCACTACTCTGAAGGCTGAATTCGTATTCTAAATTTGCCTTCCGCAGGTGGAATCATGTCCTATGCTTTGGAGTCGAAGAGCAGCGATGCGAAGGCGCGCGACGAGGCATTCAACCATTTTGTGGTCTTTGATGCCTACGACCTCATTGCATGCCATGACTTCCAGGTGAGTGCTCAGATCCAAATGCACCTGACTAAGTGCGCTTGCAAGCGACTACCCACAAAATTTGACAGGCAGATTACATCAAACAACCTGCCCTGCCGTTGCAGTGACTGCGCTTCAAGTCTGGAAGATAGTTCATAGAATGGTGTTGGCTCTAAGGGTGTGTGGTGCCTGCATACAGTATTTGGACCTGTGGCCGGACACCGACAATGTCAGCTGCATGAGCGCCTTCAACCGCACCCACACGGCCAACTACATCGACCGCACTGGCGGCTGGCACCACCTGGCAGTCACCTGGACCAAGGCCGGCAATGGCCGCACGCGCATCTACAAGGACGGCCTCCTCATGGCTGAGGTAACCCTCCCAACCTTGCTGACCCAATGCTGTGTTTATTTCTTGCCCTGGGTGCGTGTCATTTTTCTCAGGAGGTCACAATGGCCGCCGCAGGAAGAAACATATACCCATTCTGTTCATGTTGTGTTTTATGTGTGTCTCCTGTTCTGGCATTGTCATGTCGAGGTGAATCGATGGTGTGGTGCTTTGTTCTGGCAGACGGCATCTGGCAAGACGAAGCCGCTGCAGTCCGGGGGCGCCTTCATGCTGGGTGGCGAGCAGGACTGCTACGGCGGCTGCACCGACGCTGGCCAGGCCTTCTACGGCCTCATGGACGAGGTAGGAGCAGTTCTCTGCGATCCTAGCCCCTTTTTGAGCGCTTGTGACAGGCACCAATCCCTGACAGCGGCAAACGTGTGGGGGATGGGCATGGATTGGGCAGGCAATAATTCTGTCACCCTGTTCCGCTACCGGCAATGACACCTGGCAATGGCAAATTAATGAGTGCCTGGCATGGGCGACATTGGGCAATTGTATCACCCCGATCGCTTCCTGGGCGCATGCGCTAAGGGTGATGACAGCTGGCAGTGACAAAAAAGTGAGTAATGGATGTCACTGGATTTTTGCATGGGTGTGCAGGTGCGGCTGTGGAAGGTGGAGCGCAGCCACGATGACATTCTGAGGTACATGCGCCGGACTGGGGGCAGCCTGGACAACCACGCCGACCTCATTGCCTACTGGAAGTTTGACGAGCCAGATGGGTGGGCCACCTGCAACCTCCCGTCCCTAGGACTCCCTTTGCTGCATCTGCAATGCTTTTTTCTGGATCAGCTCATGTCCTGCAAGCTGCCAATGGGGATTATTGAAAGGAACTGGAGTGTTGTGTGCAGGGCTGATGGGCTGACGAGCGCGCATCTGGTGGCAAAGGACAGCAGTGGCAATGGGAATGACCTCCCCCTGGTGTCACCACCCATGCACCTCGATGCTGACATCAGCAAGGCAGGATACTCGCTTACGCCCCTTCTAGTTTTCAATATTAGCCACTTCATGCAAGCCTCTCTGATAAGAAGTCCCTTGTGAGGAGGAGACGATTAAGAAAGATGCATGAAGGATTAATTGTGGATGGATGTGTAAAGAGCCACGTGTGTATTGCGCAGGATGGCAAGCAGCTGTCAACGGGCAGCTTGAACTTTGCCAACAACTACGCCTTCAACCCGGCGATGGTCAACATGCCAGAGAAGGACTTCACTGTGGAGTTCTGGGCGCGCACGCCAGCCTACGATGAGGACACCACCACCAACTCCTTCACCACCCTCTTCTCCTACGCCACCCACACCCAGAGAAAGAACATCTGTGCGCCCACAGCCAATCTCAGATGGAACTTTGAACCACAAGAGCAGAGATGTATGGCATTGACAGCATGGGCTACAACATGCTGCATTCTTCAGCATGATTATGCTCATGCAATCTCTCTATTGAGGTTACTCCTGTCTGGGCCTATAGTGCTGATGATTGAGATAGTGCTCTGTCCCCGATGTCAGGTTGTCAGGCTGTCAGGTTTCTCATAGGCTCATGTAGGCCCCTTACAATATACAAGCTCTGCATATGCGCCTTTGATTTGTCACGTGGCTGGTGCAGTCTCCGGGGGAGTCACTGACAGCGTGTTTACGGACGACGCGATACGGGTGGAGAAGTACTACGAGGAGTTCCGTAACACGCGCGACCTGGATTACCTGGACATCCAAACGCGCGGATCCATCACCGTCCACATCAATTCCAACCGCGACGGCAACGGCCGGCGCTTTGAAAACTGGCTCGACTACAACGTCCAGTGGTGGGCCCCCATCATTTTATCGCTCTGAACTGCATGTCAAGATGGTGTGCTGACAAAACATCCTCTGTATGGGTATGCTGCTGGAGATGGCTTGTGGTGGCAGCACTTGAGATTGCTCTTTGCAAAGGTTCACACGTTAGGAAAAGGACATCCAACAACATGGGAGGTGTCTGTGTCCACGTGAAGTGAGCCTGCATGCTCGTCACATATTCTGCATGTCCTGGAAAAGCAGAGCATCTTTAAATAGCATTCTGGCATGCCTCGATGGACACTAATACCTCCCATGCAAACCCAAAAGCCAGATGTTGATGTACTGATGGATGCGATCTGGCAGGCTGGACGGCGACTGGCACCACATCGCAGTGACGTGGGAGGGCAACTCGGGGCTGACGGCAATGTACTTTGACGGCGAGCCGCAGAAGCCCTTCTGGCGCGCCACGGGCGGCCAGGTGGAGCAGCAGGACCCGGCATTAGGCGGCGTTGACTCCCACCTCGCCTGGGGCACCGACCGCCAAAACCATGGTGCGTGGGAAAACTGGAAGACGTGCACTGTCTGAATGGCGCTGCATATGCCTGGATTGCAAGCCCAGGTCGCTGTGCAGTCCTGGGATTTTGTATCTCACACGCAGAAGGCATGACATGCAGCAGACACATGGGTGGTTTGGCATGCAGTGCGTGAACAATTATTAAGACTCTGGGTGAATGCGCTTAGCTAGAGACCAGCCGACAAAAAGGCCTGCAGAGCGGAGGCCACCAGAGTTGCACCCTATATAATATAGGGCTTTACAGCATGTCACGTGATGAGACTGTGTATGTGGCCAGGTTCACTGGTGCTGGGCCAGAACCAGGAGTGCTACGGCGCATGCTTCTCGCCCTCCGAGTCCCTCAGCGGCGATATGGCAGCGCTGCGAATCTGGGGACGCGCCAAGAACCAGGTCTTGACACTCTTCCTACCCTGCCCAGTCGTGTTGGTCTTAGCAATTATAAAAGTTGCCTGCAAAACTCCTATGCTAGTAGTTTCGATGTCTGACATGCTGGCACTGCTGCAGGAGGACATCCGCGCTGACATGTTCTCTGAGAAGCCGGGGACCGAGCTGGACCTGCTGACCATGTACAACTTCCGCAGCCAGGACATCTCCAAGGGCCATCTGGGCAAGGTACATCCCCACTTAACAGCTTTGGACTCATGCATGCCTGCAACCTGATCTATACCTCTCCCTCGGTTCTTGACACGGAACATGACACACCCCTTAGAGTCTTTTAACTCCCTGGCATGACTGAGAACAAGGGATCCCCACCAAGCCTTTTTTGAATCAGAAGTTTGTCCTGATGTGGCACAGACTGACTGCATGGCAGTCTGTTCGGCCAGGAATCAAGAGTGTCAGCCAGCATGCAAACAGCAATGTAGGATATCACATGCTAGCTCTATCCTTCCAATAGGATTATGATCGCTGACTTACTGTTTGGCAATAGGAAATGGTGTCGGATTCGAGGGGCAGCCACGACAACAAGCTGGAGCTGTGGGGGGACACCCCCCGCTGGGAGTACTCCACAGCGCCCCTCATGGAGTGGGACTCCGGCGCGGCCCTCGCCCCCGCCAACCCCGGCAGCCGCGGCCACGCCCTGCACCTCAACGACCAACAGGTGCGAACTGTTGGCTGGAAATCCTAATTTCTATCCACCTCACTCATTGCAGGATACTGTTTGCACTTGTTTGGCTAAAGAAACATGCCAGAAGTCCCCAGAAGGAACTCCTGCTTGCGCCTTTCCATATGTACATTGCCTCACTCGTTGCAGAATCTTGCTTGCTCCTCTCGGCTAAGCAAGAAATATGCCACAACCCAAAATAAGACCACCTGCTTGCGCATTCACCATGCCAAGAGTACTCCTTGTTCATTTTTATCATTTCCTGCGCGTTGGTTTTTATTTCTGTTTTATTTTTGATGGTGTTGCATACTTCTTCCAAGAGAAGTACAGCTATGGATGGCAGCAGCACTAAATATTCTGTGCCGCAGGCGTTGATGATGACGGGGTTCAAGGAGTGGCCGCGTGACGCAATAACGGTGGAGTTCTGGATGCTGAGCGTGGACAAGTGCCGCAAGGGCGTCCCCTTCTCCTACGCCACCGGCGGCTACGAGCGCGCAGACAACACCTTCCTCATCCTCAACTACAACGACTGGTTCGCAGCCTGCTTTGTGATGTATCAACAATTTCATTGCAGCAAGGTCTTTGGAAGGTATTAGTATCTCTCAGTGGGTGCCTGGGACAACGACTGGTGGGCAGCCTTCATTTGCGATTTAGAGAGGATCTCATGACGGCATTTTTCCTTGTAAGGTGCTGATGTCTCCCAGAGGGTACGAGCTCTGCCTGTCAGCGCAGCAGCCGCGTCCTAAGCGGATTTTGCGCGCATGATGGCTAGTTGTCCTCCTTCAGCTGTGCAATCTCAACTGCTTATCGCCAAGGAGATGTTGTTGCTGAGTTGTGGGAGGACAATTGGCCAGGTTGGGGCTCTGAAGAGGACAACACAAGTGCGAAGAATTGCATGCAGTGTTGTGAGTTCTCAGCGGAACCAGAACCTTATGCAGTCAGGACCTGGCAGCCGCATACCTGCGATTCTGGTTGCGCTGCACCCACAGTACTACATGCATGCTCGCTGGAGAGTCCAACATTGAGGTGTTCAGAGGATGTATTTGATGGTCAGCGCTGAGTGGGTTGGGGCTGCAGGGGCATCTCTGTGATGGAGGACGAGGGGCAGCTGAGCGACCACACTGCGGGCATGTCTTCCACGGACGGCTCCTGGCACCACATCGCGGTCACCTGGCAGTCCTCCGACGGCTCTGCCTCTCTCTATGACAACGGCCGCAAGGTGTGTCTCACTAGGACCCACCTGTGAACCCTTGCCCATCTCATACACCACTCTCACCTATGGTGATGGTGTCAGCTGCCACACCAGTGCATCTGATTGTAGGCGATGCTGTACTTGCGATGAGACCAAGGCTTTGAGTCTGTGCCTGGTCAGGTGTGGACGGTGACTCGCGGCAAGGGCAAGCACATGCCGTCTGGAGGCACGCTCATCGTGGGCCGCGAGCAGGACTGCGTCGGCGGCTGCTTCGACTCAGCCCCAGGTGTGCTTCTCTCATGTCTGGCAGGTGCTGTACGTATTGTGGGGCCGAAGCTGTCTGTTTTGTAATAGATGAGGAGGAGTTTGCCCAGTCAGAAAAGAAAAATGCGCAAGGTCCTTTTCACTGTTCCTCCGGGTTCACAGCTCCGGTCCTTACTTCTGAATCTGAGCATTTGCTGAAGTGTGTCACTGTCTTACTGTTGGATTGTGATCACAGCACAGAAAGTCCTCAGCACGTCGTCGGACATTACCTGCAGCGGGAAGGCATGTTTTTGAGGACATTGTGAGCTGTGCAGGGGCGAGCGGGAAGCTGGACAGGATGAGGGACCAGGAGTATGGCGCCCAGGACTTCTACGGAGCCATTGATGAGCTGCGCATCTGGCGCACAGTGCGCACCCAGGATCAGATCAAGCAGGTGCGGCAATCAGCCCTCACAATCGCTCCAGTAGCCTGCCCATTAGGAGGTACTTCATGGTAGTGTTTAGTATCCCCTGTGCACATGATGTGCACAAGATACTTCAAGCTAGCAGTCAGCTCGCATGCACAACCAGAATGTTTACATTAGTGATTCTGACAGTAAAATTTGTCGCACTAAAACTTGTAAGGACGTGCAAGCCTGCTCTGTTTCGCATGCCTGCTGAAGCTGACATGCAGGTCTGCAACAAGCAACTTTAATGCAACTGTCTCTTAGCTAATGGTACTGTGGGTGTGCAAAGGCACCTTAAAAGCGACCCTCTTGTGACGGTCTGAATCTGAATGGAAGCTCCTTGCTGCAAGCTACTGCACCACTTCATAGCACCAAGCAGGAAAGAGGGATGCACACAGTTGCAGTGTGCACATCTCTGCCTGGTGTATTACTACTAATACTGAGAATTGGTATGATGTGGCATGCTTGCAGGGCATGGCAACGGCGGCCGAGCGCGCGGGAGCAGAGGGTGACGGGGCGGTGTCGGACCATGATCCGGACCTGATGGCGTACTGGAAGTTTGACGAGGGCGCTGGCTTCTTAGTCAAAGACTCCACCGGCCGCGGCCACGATTTGTACCTCACTGGGGAGCCCCGCTGGCAGGTGAGACACCAGTTGATGCAAGGGACAAGGGTACTTGTGTATGTCAATGTTGCATGCACCCATAGTGTTCTGCAGCTCTAGCAGTATGCCTGCATGCCGACAGTCAATACGCCTTACAGGAGCGCTGCACCTGCAGCACTATCGAGCTTTTTGCAGCTGCAAAACTAGGTCAGCATAAGGCAGCGAATGCAGACGTGACGAGTTCGCAGGCGCTGGTATGTGCTCTCGCGCTGTTGCAGCTGATCGGAGCACAGAGATGCGCTAACAGGTCCCTGGACGGGAGCATGTTGGCAAGATGTCAGCGTCTTTCAAATCATGGATGACTGAGCTGGCAAATCTGGGGTGCAGGTGGTGAAGTGGCTGAGCGTGTGCGGCAATGGCATCGTGGAGGGCGCAGAGGAGTGCGACGACGGTGACACAGACGACGGCGACGGCTGCTCCGCACAGTGCAAGGTGCAGATCTCTTCCCTCGAAAAAGAAAAAAACGCAACCTGGGGGGCCCCAAAAGTGCGTACGCGAAGCAGTGAAGTAGGCTGGGGACATTGCCTCACATATTAATGCTCCCGGTGGGCGCGTCTTGGCAGAACACGTGGCAGGAGGCAATGAGTTTCCTATGTCGCTGCACATCGTAACAGAAGGGAAGGAACTGTTTTTGGACAGCTCTGCGCTGTCCCTGCCTCAACTCTTGTACACTTCACCGGGCTAAAGTGGGAGCGGCATTTGTGACTTGGCGTGTGTGAGCCCGTAACAACCTTCAATATCTTCTCAATATTGCACTTGTGCTACTGGCTGCAGGTGGAGGAGGGCTGGCAGTGCACAGGGGAGAGCCCGTCCGAGTGCTGGCCCAACGACCAAGCTGGCAAGCATGCAGGCCCGGGGTCCGTACACCCTGTCCACCCTAGCCCTGGGTAACCATCACCCAAATATCACCCAGCCCATACCCCATGCATTTTGGCCTCCATACCGCATGCATGTCGCTGTGCCCTTGTCAGCATTGAAAGGCGCCGAAGCATTGCAAATGCCCGTCTGCAGAAGTGGATGCTTGAGCTGAGCAGGGATGTATTGAGCCGGTGTTAATGCCACAGGGCGCACTCGGGTGACTCCTCCGGGCAGAGCGCGCAGGGAGGCAACTCCAAGAGCGGCTCTGGCGGCCACACTGTTGCCATCGTCCTCAGCATCATCTTCACCGTGCTCGTGCTGGGATGCCTCGGTAAGCACACATCCTCATCTGCATCCCCTCATACTCCCTTTTGTCACTGCAGACGCCCTGATTTTGCCAATCTTACTTTAAGTGATTGTCTACCTAGAGAGGGGAGAAATTTGCATTCGTCCTATCAAATACTACTGGCAAAGCTATTAGTATTCTCGCACGCTTGCAGGTCCTAGAAATCTAGGATCTAGGCACTCTAGCGAGACGTCTATAAGATTTGTCCATCCTGCTGGCAAAGTGACCGGCGCCAGTGATACGAAGGGATGATCAGGGACTGTGTGTGTGGCAGGCGTGGGCCTGCTGTACAGGCACTCGCTGATGGAGGCCTTCCCGGGAGTGGAGGAGAGCGTTCGCGACCTGGGCAGCCGCCTGCGCGGCCGCCAGCGTGGCACCCTCTACCAGGCACGCCCCTGCCCTAGTGATTGGTCATGATGACTCACGGCAAGACCTTGGGACCTCGCCGGCTTGTGTAGTGAATCGGACATTAGGAAAATGCACAGGAAGTGAGCAGTGTGTTTATGACCAGCGGCAAGATGGTGTTGTGACACATCCCATTGAACAGGACTGGTCTAGGTATCAGAGTTTTCTTGAGACCATGAGAAGGAGGTATGGTCAGAGAAAAAGAAACTGGCTGATACCGTAGAAGTATTCCACCTGGTGGGCGGGCGCCTTGTGCAGATCAGTGAGCATTATGCCAGAGCCCTTGAGAGGCAATCTCTGGCAGCTCAGGGATCAGCCCAAGGCTGACGCACTTCAACTGAAGTATTTCTAAGTGATTCCGTTTCTTAGAGTGGCTTCAATACAGCTTTTCTGTGCAACGGATCGACAAATATGATGTCATGCAGGGGCTGGACACGCTGGACCCTGAAGAGCGCTTGGATATCTCCCCTGAGTTTGTTGGCGTCCGTCACCCCCAGGGTCCTTATTCGCCCCTGAACGGAGATGTTTCGGGCGCTGGCAACCGCTAGCTTCAAGCACAATACCCCTCATGGCCAAGTCTATGTAGGAGAGAAGATGGCCTGGCACTTGCTTCTGTGCAAGCTTGATCCTGTGCAAGCTGGGTCCGCTTAAGATCCTGCGAACTCTCCCTTTGAAATCTCGCCCGAAAACAATTCAAATCAAAGCTCAACAGCATCGAATCGGGAAATCTTTTCTTGGAATGCCCTGAAGACCCCGCTGAACAGGATGGGAAGGTTAGGTCTGCAGCATAAGAGAGAAACCTTTCGTGCATGTGGGGTGATTTGAGCAGCTGATGTCTTGAAATTTATGCTGCCATGCCCGGCAGCTCCCCTGTATTATTATGCCTCTATGTACATGTGCCATAACTATCAGACCAGTGGAGTAATTTTGATATAATGCATGTACTTCTTGTGCATGATTGTGAGACTGCAATTGCACTCTCAGCACCATTATCTTGCTGGTAATAATTTTGGCAAGCGAGCGTGTTACACGATTCATTGGCACCTTCAGTGGCGCAATCAGCTGTAGGAACCAATACAATCATGGGACGGGCCGTCTCCAATGTGTAAAAGGCCTTGCCACTTTACTACTTCCCAGCGTTTCACAAATGGTCTGCTGTGCGCGATACACAGTATTTAGAATGCTTCAAGAAACTGTCTGGTATCCCTTTGTTACAGGCTGTCTTTGATGGTACAACGCGTTTAGTCAAGACACTGAGTCAATCTTATCTGCCTGCAGCTAGCTGCATGTCCACAGTCCATATTGTGTAAGAGAAACTCTCACGCACATTCGCTGAGCTCACAGGCTGCTGTGCTCCTGCTGCTTTGCCTTCCTCTTCAGCAGCCTCTGCCAGTACATGGCCGCAGCACCCAACAGGATTAGAAATCCCACAAAGTAGAGGAAGTTTGCCAGACTGATGCGCGACAGTAGCCTGTAGCGCAGCTCGGCTCTGCAGGTCGGCGCAAAGGGGAACTCCTCGCAATAGCCATCCCCTGCAGTACACCAGCAACTAGCTCAGCTCCCTGCAACAACACTCCTCCAACAGCCACAAAGGTGGCTTGAAGCTGCCGCACAGCCGAGCAGTTTTAGCAACAGATGTGCCTGCTGACACGGTTCACAAGACCACCTAGGCGCGTCGCCATCTTCTTCTGCATGCATGCGATGTAAGTGCGCAATGGACAGGGACCATTCGGCTGCCAACAAGCAGTGCCTCCAAGGCGCAAGTCTTGCTGCATACTTACAGAGACATGTCATAGAGGCAGGCAAGGGAGGACATGCCTGGCTCGCAGACGGTCTGCAGGGCCTTGGCAAACTTGGGGTTCTTGGACTGGTCCACGCGCGCGCCATTCTCAAGTCGTATCCAGGTCTCGGCCTCGTGCGCCTCCTGCCCAGCCTTCAGTAGAATAACTCGCGCGCCATGGCCCCACCCGGGTGGCGGCCCGTAGCTCCCGTACCCTGCGCCGTCACCCGCCACCATCTTTACTTGCCCCAGTACTCCTTGCAACCCTCACAGAAACTTTCCTCGCATTTCCTAGCTTGCCTTACAAGGCGGGTAATCTAAGGTAAAGCATGCCCTCAACGATGCCCTCTGCATGTCCAAGACATTTCGTTCCCTTTCATTTTGTTTCCTCTCCACTGTTCAGGGGAAACGGTATGCCATGCGAGAAACACATGGGTATGCAGCATTGTGGCTCTGTGGCAAGGGTGAGCAGAAAGATTAAGCGCTTGGAATGCTGCGCACCCGTCTTGTGGCCGTAGGCGAGGCGCACGCCGTGCAGGAGGCCCTCGTAGTTGTTGTCGTGGTCGTGGCCGCTGTGCAGCGCAGTGACGCCCGCGTCTTTGAGCGCGTCAAACAGGCCGGTGTCCGACATGGGGCAGTTGACCGGCTCATGCTTGCTGCCGCGCGCAGATCCCCGGTTCCAGACCTCCATGAACTCCGGCACCGGCACGTGCACAAAGGCCAGCGAGGGCACCTTTGGCAACCCTGACAGCGTTCGGTTCATCCACCAGATCGTTGGCCTCTCCACGCACCCCCTGCATTGACAGGGCTCCTTTTTCAGAACCTTTATGGGGGCTGCAGTAATCCTCTCCAGAAAGGGGTGCTTGCGGAATGCGGACACTCCCTACGTTGACAAGGGTCCCAATCTTTGATTTCAGATTTAAATTCAAAGTACAAAAGTGAGGAAATTTACGGTGCTCTTTCTCCAGGAAGGGATGATAGTGGTAAGAGAGCCATGCTCTGATGGAGAGATGGGTTTTGTCCCAACAGAGCCACACAGGGCAAGATGGAAAGGTGATGTTTGTGGCATCATGCCATGTAGTCCCTGATGGAAAATGGCGTCAGCACATGCAGGCCTGTGGATGTGGTGGCCAGTGCGGTGGTGACAAGCAGACAAAGCAGAGGTGTGTAGCACTAGAGGTGCAGCCACAGGAGCGGATGGTGAAGGCAGGGCACTCACGAGCCCCCATACATCCAGTCGCAGCCCCTGCCGCCCGAGTCCAGCATCCACAGCCGCGCAGCCGGCGCGCCTCCCTTGCTAGCCGCAATGTCCAGGTAGTAATTGGAGAGCCCAATTGCCTCCCGAGGCCCCAGCTGCGTCAGCGACCCCTGCTGCAGCCGAGTGTCGAGCAGCACTATCTGCTCGCGTGACAAATCCGCCTCGTCATCGTGGTTGCCCAGGATCAGCGCGTACGGTACGCCCGCTGCCGCTATCGGCTTCACAAGCTGGCGGAACCTGAAAGTGAGCGACAGCTTCCTACCTGAGCTCTGGTACTTTGCACTTCATGAGGTAGGGGAGCAAAGCTGATGGGGATGAAAGGGATCAGCTTGTTGGTGCTGCTGTGAGCACCGAGAAATGCGGAAAGGGTGCGTGAGGGCGCTGACCTCTTCTCAAACCAGCCCACAGTGCCGTCCCAGGCAAAGCCACTGACCATGTCGCCTGAGAGCACTGCCAAGTCCGGCTGCTCATATGACAAGATATTGGCGATGACCTGCGTGCAGATTTTTCATTCTCACACCCAGAACCATGCTCATGAGTCCTCGAGCTCCTGAGACCCTAGGACCAGGAATGAGGCCTCTTGAGTCAAAGAAAATGCTTGATCTCTGTTCCATCTTCTCAGCCGTTCCACTTATGTTGATACCTTGTCTGTGTGCTCATCAGTCTCAGGGAAGTGGCCGTAGTGGAGGTCAGCTAGTTGCACGATCTTGAAGTATCCATCCTGATCAAACTTCAGCTGGATCTTCTTCGTGGACCTCGTGTATTTTGTTGCAGAACATAGACTAATTAACGATAGTATTAGACCAAGAAAGGCGACTTGCAAGAGCGGGAATCGTCTAGCCATCGATATATCAGCCCCTTGCAAGAGGCTGCTTTCCGGCTATCTGCATCCATCCAGGTCGTAGATGTCAGTAAATATAGACATCCAATAATTCAAACGAGATAAAGTTGGCCCCCCCTCACAGCATAGCGATGTCTAATGGAAGCGTTTGTGGGAAGGGCATGGAGAATCCCCCTGAATTGTAAAACCCTCAAACAACCTGGGGTGCGTATATACAGAATTTCCAAGGAGTTCAATGCGAGCAAGCTTCCCGAAGGCAAAGAGCAAGCCTTCTCGAATCGTGCGCAATAATAATAATAGTAAAAGACATTGATCCTGGTGCTGGTTTGGTTCCTTGGCGTTCAGTGGAATACCTTTTACTGATTTTCCATCGTCACCAGTCAAACCTTGGAAGGCCTTTGGCCGGAGACAATGTCCCGTGAACACATTTCATAGTGGATGATCTGAAGTGATGTGAACACATGGGGTCTAGAGGGGCCAAGAACCCCTTTGCACCGCCCTTGAGCGTGCAACAACCGTTGGTGAAAGGGAGAAACGCTGTCCAGGTGAACTTCCTCAGCACCGCTCATATTCTTCCCTGCATCGCATGCAAGTAGTCTTGCTCTTTATACGCTTGATTTCATACTAGAAGGCACATGTTTTGCGCATCAAGGCGTCAGATTTTGGTCTGTGAAAGACTGATCAGAATGTGTTGTTGCACTCCAACTAGGTATGATTGTGCGTTGTTTCTGATTGGTGAAATCACAGCAACAACCATCCTCATGCTAAACGAGTATGACATGTATCTCAAAAGCACTTTTGAGGTTGTTCATGCTCAGGTGGACAAATGTAAGAAAAATAACTCTGGGACTGCCTGCTTCCCAGGAGATCAGTGTTTTTAAATCAATAGTTTTCAAAAGGAGGTCGCAGTTTTGTGGGATGGGATGACAAAGAGAGGATATCTTAAGCGTCGTGTGGACCTACAGGACCTGCTGACGGGAGACGCGTACTACTGTTATGATGCTGACAGTACTGGAGTGCCCTCAGCGGGAGGACTCCCAGACATAACCTCAGGGCGGGACTCTGCAAATTCTTCCCAGGTACAGTCCAATATTTAATGGTTCATCCGGCAAACTATTGCTAGGCACAGAGCCAGAGCAGTTGAAGTGGGTAGAAAGAAGCTTCCCTTGAATTAGATTTTGTGTGCACAGGAATCCCAAGCTCGTCCCTTGGGCGACACAGAAGCCTTTGCGGCACAGCGGCAACCATTGGATGCATTTAACAGCTCGTCAGAGGCACCAAGCACTTCAGGTGGGTTGCCACCGTCCTGCCACAAATGCATGACCTCCTTCATCTTGCATGTGGCAGCATGAATGCTTTGAGGATTTAAAATTTCAACAAATTTGATCTCGTGGTTCACAGGGAATCATTCAGGTGCATCCACACAAGGTGCCAGTAGGGGTGTTGCAGTGGACGATATTCCAGAAGCCACTGTGGACGCCTGGTTTGCTGAAGCAGACCGTGATGGGGATGGTCGCATATCTGGCGCAGAGGCCCGAGACTTCTTCCTAAGAACCAACCTGCCAAAGCAGGCGCTCTCAAAGGTACATCGTGCCTGCAAGACCATAGCCATTGGGCAGCGACATGCAGTGTACCTCCGCAAGTCTTAAAGAGACAGTGATCAACAGTCTGAAGGGGCATGTGCAGAGGCATGATGAGCTGATCATGCTGACCTGGCTGCATGACATGTGCAGATCTGGAACACGGTCAAGGCTGTGACAAATGCCACTCACGAGGGGCTGTCGAGGGAGCAATTCAGTGTCGCTCTTCGGCTGGTCGCCTTTGCGCAGAGCGAGCCGTATCCCCACCCGGACGCCATTGCCAAAGCAGCCAGCCCCAGCAAATGGCAGGAGTACAAGGGAAAGCCCTTGCCTCCGCCAAAGCTGGCCCCAGACCCCAGGTGAGACCAGTGTAATCAATTAAGAAGTGTCATACTGATGAATCATTATATGCACAGCGTGAGTCATCATTATTTGTGCTGCAGGCTGGCGCAAAACCCCCCGTTGCCTGCAGAGACGCCCATGGGACAGGATCCGCGCCTGTTCAGTGTCCCACAGCTAACGCCCCTTTCAAGCCCTTTCAGAGGTCAGCTGCTGAGCATCTTACATTGAGCAGAGATCAAGCCTGCTTTTATTCTTTGCGCTTTGTGCTCTTTGTGCTCTTAAACTGTCTCAGCAAGTGCTTGCACACTTACAGCAGCCTCAGACTAGACATTGGTTTCAGCGGGTGACAACATACCGGTGACCTGCCATAGGCTTGGATATCAGTGACAGCGCTGCCCCAATGGCTCCTGCGGCAGCGTCTGAAGTGGGCATTTCTCCAATGACACCCGCCCAGGATTCTGGTCTGCAGCCTGCTTCCAGCAATGGATCGTCCCCTCCTCGACCACCCCCTAATCTGCCCCCACTCGCCCTCGATGTGCGGCTGCCGCCCCTGCACCCCAAACAGGCTGCCCAGCTGTACCTTCTCGCCATCGGCCACGGCTCGCTCTTTGCAGGTATCCCCTTGGCCCGCTTCCTCCTCTGGCTACATGCCAGAAAAGCACCATGATTTTTGTCTTCTGGTCCTCAAGATTGAGGCTCCTGAGCTGCATGCGAGCTCAACATGCATGAGAGCAGAGTTTCACACAGAAGATCTCAATTCTGATGGCACTTTTTCGCATGTTGACAGGTCCCACCAGGCGAGGCGGCGTGCTGCAGTGGGGAGATGTGGAGGGGGATATAGGCCGCCCTGATCTGCCGCCCGGTGTTGTCACCCTGCAGGAGGCCTGGCTTCCCCCTGACGAGGACGCTGATGCTGCTCCCTCCACAGAGGTCAGCCCTCCTCACTCCTCCACACATCACAAGCATCCCTGCCCTGCATGTCATGAATTTCTAAGTTGCCCCACTCACGGATCATCTGAGGCCGTAAGGTCCAGAGGACTCATATGACATTCACTACCCTTTGATCTACCTGGCTGTGACGGAGAGAATATGACTGGTGTTGTGCACTGTGATCCAGGCGGTGTTGGCTGAGGCTGGCAAGGCCACATGCCTGCTGGCGGACGAGCTGTCCAACGTGCTGTGGGTGGGCCACTCGGACGGCAGAGTCTCTGGGCACAGCCTGGGCGACGCACCCGGCACTGCCATCAATTCCCAGCAGATCTGCTGCTGGCAGGTGGGCGCTGGTTTTGTCACCTTACAAAGAGACCTGCTCCTTAATCAACCCCAATTGAGAGGGCTATCTGTGGAAAAAGTGCGCAATTTTATTGCCGGTGGATGTATGGGAGTACAATTGTTCATGCATTTGGCTTAGAAATTTGTACCCTTGCCTGGCGCTGGTAGTGAGTTTGCTCACCGCCCACCGCCATGAGCAAGAGCAAACCTGGCCTGTGTGTTGGTTAAAGGGTGTGTTGGATGAAGGGTGTGTTGGTGGTGGGCAGGCCCACAAGGTTGGGTCAGTGACGGCGCTGTGCCGGACGCCTTGGGGAGAGCTGTGGACTGGGAGCAGCCGGGGGTCGGTGCGCGTGTGGGACATAGCCCGGCTGGACGCGTTGAGCGAGCCGGGCGAGCTGCTTCCGCGCGAGTTGCGCCGCAATGGCGGCCAGCGGCCCCACGCCGGCAAAGTCTCCCACATCATCTGCCCGCCGGGCGGCCAGGTGCCTTCCCCTATGAAACACTCCCACTACTCCATGTTCCAAGCAGTGAAAATCCCTGCTGCTCTCTTCTTGCTAATTTTTGGCAACCTCAGGATATCATCAAGGCTGCCTGATATTTGTAGCTTGGAATTCACCATGTCAGGTGTGGTTTGCAAACAGATGTGCAAGGTTACCAGAGGTTGTACAGGCTTCTCATCTGTCCCCATTGTGTTTTTTCTTCAACCGACTTTGGCTAACTAGCAAGAGTATTTTTTGTGCAGGTGGTGTGGACGGGCGGTGAGAGGTCTATCCTGCTGTGGTGTGCGTACACGGGCGCGTATCTTGGAGCGCTGATCAGCAAGGAGGTCGACCCCGCGCTGGAGGGGGAGGCGGCATCCTCGGCCAGCGACCGAGAGGAGCGGAAGAACTTCATTGACCCCAGCAAGGTGCTGCCCAGGGGTCATTAAGAGCAATGAATACAGAGTTTGCCGTTGTCCCAGCATGCCGTCCTGGTTGGCACGTGTAACATCTGCATCTGGCATACTGATTTCTCGCTGTACCCTGAGCCAATGTGGGCATATCCTTGACTTTATACTGGTGACAACCACACCTGCGCACTTTATGCGAGGGACTGGCATGCAGGTGCAGACTATCAAGACAATATTTATGGGTTTGTAATGCACCATGATACGGTGTATATATGAAACTTTGGTGTTTAAATGGAACATCTGGCATGATGCAGGGGTTGAAGGTTGACAGCAGCGGGCGTGCGGTCGCTCGGCCGCACCGGCTGCAGCGGGAGCACTGGGTGGAGGAGCAGAAATGCTGGGCTGCAAACGCGGAGAAGCGATCCGCGCAGTACCTCGAGTCCTTCGCCTTCCGCAGCGGCAAGGCCCTGGACAATGCAGGTGGGCTTGCCCAAATAAACCCTCCTTCCTCTGGTTCCTCACCTATCCTGCAAGAGAAAGCATGTCAATAATGCCAGGAACTCCGAGAGACATCTGAAAGGATAAGCTGATGGATGCTGGATGGATGTTGCAGGCAAAGCTGCAAAGTTTCTGGGCAAGCTGGGGAAAAGGATCGCGCGCAATGCAGTGCAGGAGTCGAGCCTCACGCCCGAAAGCTCAACCTCCAGGTGCGCTGCTGTTGACACATCCTCAACCCTCGCTTTCTGCGACAAAAACCTGCAAAATCAGTTGCAACCTGGCCTTTCTCCGCCATATTCTCTTTGCGAGTACTGAGGATGCAGACTTGAGTACATACCAAAGAACCAATTCCCCTTTCTTCAATTGCAGTGCCAGCGGTACTCGGGGCTACCGCACAGCAGAGGCGGTCGACGATGACGAAG